CTACCACTGTACAGTGCGAAGCTGTGGAAGGGCAAAAGCCAGACGAATCATACGACGAGAAGAAAGAAATATTGTGGAACGACCTGGCGTGCATCTAGCGATTGATTTTCATGACTTTCAGAAAAGCTCAATGAATGGAGAAAAGACATTGATGCTTATAACCGATCGATTTAGCGGTTTTATCTGGGACTTTTATATGACGTCGCACAAAAGCGTGGAGATCTTAGAAACTCTGAAATGGTTCTTTGAATATCTGAAAAAGCACCATGATGTTAGTCCGATCAAGATTGAGATGGATAATGAGATATTCTTACACCGACCTGAGGTAAAGGAGTGGCTGATTACCAAACATGTTACTATCGAGCCCTCAACGGCAAATAATCAAGGACAAAACGGTGCCGCTGAGCGCTCAGGGGGTGTCATCAAGGATAAGGCTAGGGCCATGAGAAATGGTGCAAAGTTACCTACGGATTTATGGTCAGAAATATACCGAGCCTCAATCTATCTTTACAACCGTACCCCAAAGTTCATGTACAACTGGAAAACGCCATACGATAGGTTCCATACTTACGTTGCTTTGCAAAATGGAATTTGCATACAAGATCAGAAACCTCAACTTGCTCACCTGAAGGTATATGGCTGTAAAGCATATGCCCTCACATCGGAGTATCAACTCAAGAAAAATCGACTTCAACGCTTCAATCCGCGAGCATGGGTAGGCTATCTCGTTGGATATGACTCAACAAATGTTTATAGGATTTGGAATCCTTCGACAGGGAGGATCGTGCGAGCAAGGGACGTTATTTTTAACGAGGATGAAGTCTTCAGTGGAGATATCCAAGATATTAAGGATGATCTCCTTCATGTGTCTGTTGAAGAACTGACAATCTTGCTGAACAAGATAGATATCCGAGTACAGTCAGGTGAAGTCGAAGATAATGCTAACTTTGGAGATGAGATGGAGGATTTGGTGTTTGACCGAAATAGGCACAACGATGAGCGTACGACAACAACAGGCTCGGTGACTGGTTCTGGATTTGAAGATTCAAGTCAGCTTGATTCGGACTATCCAAGCGGCCCATCTCTGACGCCAGGAGAAGGATTGTTAGAGGGGATTGATAAATATGCTTATCCTACACCTCCAGATACGCCTCCGAGCGCACTGTTGGCGGCTAGCATAACTATCGTCCATGAAAATGACCTCAACCTCCGTCAGAGCTCTGAGCACGCAGCTGGAACGTCAACTGGCGGGGTCAGGCCCAGAGGGTCGCTCGTTCAGGAAGCAACCACCAAGGAAGGTCCCAGAGGGGCTCTTGATGGTGTAGGCACGGTCAGGTCCAGAGGATCGCGTGCTGAGTTTGGGGACAGGCCCAGAGGGTCGCCCAATCTGCGTGACTCCATGGTAGGTCTCAGAGAGGCTCATGGCAGGCATATCCTTGAGGACGGACCCAGAGGGTCGCTTGAGAAGAACGGGGTAGGCTTCAGAGAGGCTCCTGTTAAAACCGTCGCCGCTGCTTTGACTACGCAACGAGGAGAGCTCAATCCTTGGAGGTTTGCTTTTCTAGCAGGCACACGACATCGTCAGTATGAGGTGAACACAGTCAAATTTGATCACGTGAGCCTCCAACGACGTCTAAGGTCAGGACGTCGACTTCAGTCAGTTCTAGTCCGCGACCTACCGCCTGCTCCCAAGAGTCACCGTGAAGTGGAAAAACATCCTTTAGGTTGGTTATTTGAGGAGGCTGAGAGAGATCACCTTAAAAGTCACGATCCATCTGGCTCTTGGACAACGGTGCCTATCGGTAAGGCAAAAGGAAAGCAGATTCTCGATTGTATGTGGGTATATGTCTATAAGCAGGACAAGAAAGGTCGTCTAGTCAAGTGCAAGGCACGACTCGTGGTAAGAGGTGATCAAGAGAAAAGAGATGATACAAGGGACACGTATGCTGCTACTCTTGCTGCGAGATCTTTTAGGACATTTATGGCTATTGCTGCGCGCTTCAATCTGGAACTCAAGCAATATGACGCTGTCAATGCCTTCGTTAATGCCATACTGGACGAAGAGATCTTTATGAGAATGGCTCCTGGATATCGTGAGTCTGGAAAAATATATCGACTAAACAAGGCTCTTTACGGATTGCGTAGATCACCACTCCTATGGCAAAAGGAACTTACCAGCACCCTCATAGAGTTGGGTTTCAAAACAGTGCCTCACGAACCGTGTTGCATGTTGAAATCTGGGATCATACTGTTCTTTTATGTAGACGATATCGTTGTCGCATATAAGAAGAGCCACCAACCAGAAGCTGACTCAGTCATGAACCAACTTCGTGCCAAATACAAAATATCCGGAGGAGGAGACCTGGAGTGGTTCCTAGGTATGAGAGTTATACGGGATCGAAGCAATAAGGTGATCTGGCTCAGTCAAGCCACCTATATCGATAAAATTGCGAAGTTAGCCGACACTCGACAAACTGACGACACACCAATGGCTCGAGAAGAATTACTCCCATACGAAGGAACGGCCACCTACAAAAGTAACCATCAATATCAACGGAAAGTTGGCTCAATCATGTATGCGGCAGTAAGCACTCGACCTGACGTGGCTTTTGCCGTCTCACGGCTTTCACGGTTCTTGTCAAATCCCGGACCAAAGCACCATCAAGCTGCTGACAAGGTTTTATGCTACCTCGAACGTCATCGTGCGTACGCCTTGAGGCTTGGAGGAGGTGAAGATTATTCAGTATCAACAGACGCCTCCTTTGCAGATAATACACTTGACCGTAAGAGCTCGCAAGCATACGTCATGACACTTTTTGGTGGAACGATAGGATGGCAAGCGAACAAGCAGGATACGGTAACAACGTCAACCACTGAAGCTGAACTGTTAGCTCTCGCTCAGGGGGTGAAAGAAGGCAAATATGTCCTTCGATTGCTTCTGGAGTTGGAGATACGTTTTAGAACACCTACTCTTCACGTTTTCTGCGATAACCAGCAAACTCTAGGATTGCTGGAGAAGGACGCTCCGCGACTGCGTACGAAGCTCCGACACGTCGATATTCATAATCACTGGGTACGACAAGAGGTGCAGAAGGGAGACATCCAAGTGCACTACATGCCCACAAAAGATATGATTGCCAACGGCCTGACCAAGGCACTCAGCAAACAGGAACACCAAAAGTTCCTCAATCAGATCGGAGTAGAGGATATCGACAGCTATCTCACTCCCCAGCAAAAGAATATGGAGAACCCGGATATCGAAGAATTACTTTCTCTCAATGACGTGCCCGACAACTTATGAAGCTATTCCAGCTTTGCAAGCAGTTGCTTTCTGCAGCTGAGGGGGTGTGTCAGATAATCCGGCTTTCAAACGAGGCAGAAAGATCGACTGTTCAATCTTACAGGTCTAAAAGGCAGATTTAGGCATATATCTGGGCACCTAGATTTCAGCCCAATATTTACCCCTCCTGATAGCTCACAAATCACCCCGCCAAAGGTGTCTATAAAGGACCCGGCTTTAAAGACTTGAAAGACAGACACAGAACTCAATACATACAATCTTGCTAGTCACTTCTTTTCTTTGATCCTAGTAAAACCCTCTTCAGGATTGGCCTGGAATAAACCGACCAATCCGACAATATCTAGCTAGCTATCCCCGTCCCCCTCGTTCTTGGGGACAAGTCACAATATTAGGAATCAAGATATCTTCATATTGTCAGGCTCATTAGGCCGCTTCGTGTTCGCGCCTTACTACCGTCTATGCTTCGTGATACGGACCGTAGTTAAACCAACACTGAGAGAGAACCTTTTCACTACTAATGAACTTTCAGTGGCGGCATCCTGTCAGGTCCGCGACCAGATTCGATTAGTCCTTCGAGACTACGTACACCAGAAAGCGAAAATGGCTGTTCTCGAATATCAGCCCTGATTTTTGTCTCTAGCATCATTTACCACGCTTTTTGGTGGATCTTGGATGAGAGACTTCGTTCACAAGCGTGTAAAGTCTTGAATTGCGTAGAAACTAGATAGTGCGGCGGGACGTTCGAGAGAAAAGTAATGCCATAGTCTTAATAAAAGGAAGGAGACCGTTATTGAAAATTTAGTAATGTAGCGGTCATTTTTTTTTATATTTGTAGAGGGCAATGAGCATTCCAGAGCGCTCAGTCACTAGAAGGCATTCGTAATACATCAATACAGAGCTTGACTCTAGCAGAAAGTCAATAGACATCTCAACAACTACTCCACAAAGCACCGTGATCCTTTGCCCCCTTAACTGCAGTAGAATGATATGATGGTGGATCTCATCCAGACTCATACATCTCAAGGCTTCAAAATGCGGATAGCGATCTCCAAATCGTTGATCTTTTTCGCCAGGATGGTTCGCCGTTCCTTAGTAGCTGGCGACTCACCAGCAATGGTTTCCAGCTGCTCCGTCTCTAGTCTTATGGCCCATTCCTGACTGAAAACAGCCAGAGGACTCGCAGGTCCTGTTAGCAGGCAGTGGCCGATAGCTTGATGGTAAACATTATCGATGAATCTTTTCCGCGCCACTTTGTAGTAAGACCAAAGAATGTCATGTATTTCCTCTTTGACGTGTTCGACATTGCTTTTAGTGGTTGTAGCTTGTCTGACAGACTCAAGATCGACAAAAGGTTGTCTGAAGTAATTACCCCCTTGGGTTGGACTTCCCTCCGAGCTTTTCCCTTCAATGATGCAGCGATCCGATTCCCACGTGAAACCTGGAGTTTTTCATTAAAATAATGATTTGAAGTATATGGTCTTTTGTCCCGCTCAGTGGACACGAGGAACATGACTTGATTCATAGCTGCTCTGTACCTGTCGAGAACTTCTTCAAGAATAGAAGACCATATCTCTTGTTGAACTCGAATGTCGGTACAAAGCATCTTCACCGTCGTGATCATGAACCGGTGAATGGCCATTATAATTTTGCTTACATATACCTGCGTCATTTTCTCCCACTTACTAGATTGCTCTTTGAATGCGCTGGAGAGTATAGCGCCACCAAAGGTGCCCAACTCTACACCACGAGACCGTAAATAAAGCCCCCCAAGCCAATCCATAATGTTGTCTTGCGGGTAGTCGAAGTCATCATCTTTGATAACAATATTTTCAAGAACGGGGTCTTCAAGATCAGGATCTTCGACCCCGGTTTGATTCGTATTTATGTCGGGCTCAGGAATGAAATCTGCTTCCTCGCTGTCATTGTCATTTCTCTCTCCACCGCTTTGAAACTGGGTTTCAAAGTAACGGAGCTGCGCCTTGTCCTCAAAGTCCGAGTTAAACTGCTAGGTAAGGTTGATGACATGCATAATAAGTCTGAGTTCATTGGTGCTCTCAAATGTGCTGTGGCTATGGTAGTGAGCATTCAAGGCTGCCTGAACCAGTTCTTGAAACTGACGACCCAAAGCGCTCAAAAATAGACGTTGTTCTTGCTCGGTCTGACATGCTGGCCCGAGATGATTCAATTCGCTCCGACAATCAGTCAACTGCCTTTGAACGTCCTTCCGTAGTCCCGGGAATTCCCTGCGGGTGATTTGGCCTAGGAGCTCACTCAATCTTGATTTCAAGGCCTGCACACCGAGTCGATCTTTCGGCAAATCACTCCAAGGTTTTTCCCGGAACAACTGTTCTACAGCAATCTGGTCGAACTTATCGTCATCGTCCGCGCCGCGATTTCGAACGACATAATATCCAAGCGCGAGCGGTTTCTTCTTTCCCAACACCACATTGCACACTGCAGCGCGTGCGCTGACTTCGGTAACAAGATCCGGCTTCGTCAAAACTCCCAGAGTCCGCTCGCTTGCTTTATCATAATCCTCAGCCAGTGTCAAAATTTCCTGCGTAGCGGGGTCCACATTGCTGGGGAGAACGGCGAGGATGATGGTTCGATTATCTTTGATATATTTCTTCACCATGTTTTGAACAAGGATGATGTCATAGTTTGTAGTGACTCCTTCAGTTGGATTACGAAATATTCCTGGTACGTCTATGAGGGTCAGATAGTCTTCATCAGGACCACATATTTCGACTTTCAAGACATCTTCGCTGAAAACATTGCTATCGCTCGAAGCAGGATCCATCCGGATCCCCATCCGATTGTTGACCTGTCGCAGGGTCAATGCTTGTTTATCACAGTAATCTGTATTAGGAAACAGACCTCCTTAAGAATTCTAGGAAATTGATCACGGAACTTTTCCGGAGATAACAAGCCTGGATTATACTCTTCTAAACGCTTTCTATGTTCATCAGATGCGCAAGGTCCTGGGATGATGGTGATGTCAACTCGGGACACTAAGTCTCAGCGGGACGTGATTTGTGTCGCGTAGCGGGTGCAGAGCTCCAGATTGCGAGGAAATGGAATGTTTGTGAGGCTCTCCAAAAGAGATGATTTGCCGGAACTTTGGTGGGGACTATGTAGTTCTTTTCACTGACCTGTCAATTTGTTTCTAATCAGAGATAAGATGTACTGCCCTTTCTTAAGAAATAAACAGCAGCCCCGCCTAGTGTCTAATAGGAGAGTAATCTGGCCAGCTTAAATACTTAACTTTCTCTCCGAAGGACTACAATACTCACATCCAGAACCACAACGTGACCAAGCACAATGTCAGAAAACAAAGTCGCTGTGATTGGAAGTCAAGATGCACAAATGGAGACTGACTTAGGCGCTAGTATAAAGGGGTAAGTCTTATTAGAGATCTTGCATTGAAGCAGCTAGGATATTGAATGAAAATTCGACGGGGTTGCTAGACCAGAGAGATCGTTCATCCTATTATCGCGCATACCTACCTCCCCGGGTGGGGGGGTTGTTGGTCTCGAGAGAAGAGCGCCAAAGGCCATTTCCGATAGGCAAGCGTGATGCCTGAAGATGATGGGATTTAGTAGTACAGTATACAAAATTGCGCAAGTGAAACAACATATGAATGCACAATTAGAATGATATAGTTCATTGGAAAAGTAGTGCATATGTCATGGACCTGGCCTCGAAATACGTTAGACTTTGTCAAACCTTACACCCGTATTAGTTTTGATGGCTGTAATAAGCTTTGGAAGGGCTAAAATGAAGAAAATCACTTAGATTTTACGTTTCGGTACAAAAATACCTCATAGCCTAGCTCTGCAATGTCTGTAAAATATGTTGATATCTTCTTGCAGCAGCATCATAAAGAGTGTTGCCATTGCTATATAAGCCACCCTGCAGGATATGAAAATCACAGGTGTTAAGAGTAGTAACGACATGCATAGAGATAAGAAACATGTTGCATGGACAAACAGCAAACAAGTATAGTCTCCCTAGAGGCATGAGGAAAAATAATGAAATCTTGGGAGGACCCAGGTTATTATGTTGACTTGACTGATGGATTTCGCAGGTATAGCTGCAATTTCAATGGTCACTGTGGGTTAGGTTATACCGCAATTAACCCAATTCAACGAAATCTAAGTCATACTAAAGCCGCGACTAGGGGGGAGTCATTAACTATCCACCAAGGTTGTTAAAGAAGAGGCCAAGCCCATAAAAAGTAGCTCAGCAGTTATGTTTGCCAGTATTGTACATGAAGATCAGTAGTTGAGTTACCTAGCGGGCTGAGACAATCGATGTTGATGCAGACTTCTTTTCACAGGGAACTAATGCATGTAACTACGCCGCATGGGCACGGACCACATCGATACCAACGCCAAGACTGATCTCTCCGGCGGGATTTTCAGGGCCTTGCCGTTGGCGCTAGTTTTTTATTAAAGTTTATAGGTTGATTAGTTGTTGAAATGTGAAGCCTTTATTGGATAGTCAGTTGTAGTAGTATTGGCTAGCCTGTCCCTTTAACATAGTGGAGAATGTATTTACAAATTAATCACGTCTCAAACCAATCTTTGCGTAACAGTCGTAGAAGACTTATAGCTTAGTACTAAGGATATCATATTTCTCCCCTCCATACTTCTTATCATCATTGCTGTAGATCTTCATAAGGTCTATAAGTAACTTAGGGTTACCCTCAGCAGCGCCATCAGCTGTGTAACAACCAACATGCCTGATAAACCTCCTAGGGGTTAGGGTTAGAACAGAGAGTGGCAAAAGTGTGGATACTTCAGCTGGTCATGGTCAAGGTTCAGCTGGCTAGGGTCAATGTTCAGCTGGCTATGGTCAATAACGCATTGCTGTAAAGCAATATGAATGTCTCTTATATAGACTGCACACTACAAAGGCAGAAGAAATAGATTTCAGTACGTTGACATTCCATACCCTACCTTGTGTGCTTAGCCTTCTGCGATCCCTCTCGAACGTAACCATACATACCCTACGTAACGTTGTTACAAGCTGGTATAGGGATTCATTCGTATGGTAGTTGAGGTAGTACTAGTGGAGAAGGGAATGCAGGAGAAAGGTAAGTAGTGGTCAGATATAGATGTTAAATCTAGCGTTGAATAGGTTGTTCTAGAAGGGATAGCTGAGTTATCTACCACTGGGGTTAAGTTTAGCCTTGTGGTTACTGGACATATTGGCTTTGAAAAGTTAAAGTGACAGCCATAGGGGTACAAGTTTAAGTATAATTGGTCTGCTGTGGAGCTGGTTGAGTATCCTTAGAAGGAATATTAGGGAGTTTTATTATAGAGGAAGTGTTTAAGATAGGCACAGTGTTTGTCTTGGATTGAATCTTGGCTCATAGATCCTCCCACTTCTTAATTACTTTAGCTTTGTTTTCCAAGGCTTCTTCTGTCCAATCTGCCTGAGTTTCTTTGTGAAGGCACTCATATAGTACGTGTGCGTATAATAGAGCTCCTGCAGATGGCTTAACCCATACACCATGATGTACCAGGTAGTCGCGCAGGCCTCTGACAGCTAGCCGGGTCGCTACCTTAAAGAGATCAAGTGTAAATCCTTCAAAATCCTCCTGAAAGGTATTCCATAGATCTTCTCCTTCGCAGTCATGGAGATCATAACACTCCTGCAACCAGGCAATATATGTTGATGATCTTGGGCACATGTTGTTCCTCATCTTTTAGGTTAAGGGAGAGACCCCAGAAGTCTAGATCTACCGCATATTCAAGATTATCTAGGATTGGAATCATCTTTAATGTGTCGTACGCAGGTTTCGCACATGTTTTGAAGGTATTGAAATTGTCGGTAGTTATGTTTAGTGAAGTGTCAGTGATAGGTAGGTTTGTTCAGCCCCCTCAAGTTATCAGTCACTCTCTGGGCTAATTCATCAAAGTTCTTCGCGCAGATAGTGATTTTGGTCGGCATCTCTTGATAGGCTCAATAAAGAGGTCGAGCTTAACATTGTATAATAGTTGAGAGTTGGTTTGCGCAGAGATTTTGGGATAATCGGTGGTTAAAGAATACTCTCCGCACTTAATTCGTAATCAAGTCAACAAAAGATGGCTTTAAGGGCGTGATAGACGCAGGTCAGAAGTATTGTAATCTTAGCCTCTAACCTTTGAATATCTTCTAGTTTCCTAATTCGTGCTGCTGCAACAAAAGAGGGACCATTGATACTCTTTAGCATAGAGCCTCAAGGTAAGTCACGCTTAATTTATGCCTTACGTAACAAAATAAATAGCTTATCCTTGAATATCTATCTCTTCTGAAGAAACCTAGCTAATCTATGGTATTAACCACTGAGCAGTGTTGGTATTATAGGAGTGTGCACACAGGTAAGGTGTAGGTTCGAGGTTGTTGTATTTAGTTGTGTCTATTAAGTCTCCAAAGGAGCTCAGCTACCTATGTGTAGGTAAACAAAGCCAAGCTAACCAAGCTAGACTAACTACAGCTGTCACCTCTAACTCACTTCCTTTTATCCCCCTTTTATCTCCTCCCATATTGAATACTTCGGGAATATGCTATTCCTACAATTACCATCCTGGGAAAAAAAATCGAGAGAAGATTCAGTTCGAAGTGGACGACATGTGGCGCATTTTTATGGCAGCCACATCCGATCTGGCATCTCGTAATACGATCTGTGTGTTCGATGCTCTCGATGAGTGCCGCGATCAAGACCAGAAAGAGCTGATTGAGAGACTTCGTGGATTCCATGATCGACACCTGGATAGACAAGGAAATTGGTTGAAATTTCTCGTGACAAGTAGACCGTATGATAATATTCAAGATTACTTTCGGCCAGTGACTGAAAGCTTTCCGCAGATCCATCTTCGCGGTGAAGAAGAGAATGATCAAATTCACGAAGAGATCAATCTGGTAGTAAAGGCCAAATTGGCTGAGCTGGGTAAGGACCTAGGCCTGCGTGCTGACACGCAAGAGCGGCTTGAAAGGGAGCTCTGCGAAATGAAGCATCGCACATACCTTTGGTTGTATTTAGCAATCGATGATATCAAAAGAACATTGAAAAATAGTCTTCGGCCAGACCGGGAAACCATTCCACCGCTTCCGAAGAATGTCCCCAAAGCATATGAGAGAATCCTCAATCGAGTTCCTTCCGACCAAAAAGCTAAGATAGAAACCATTCTGCGAATCATTGTTGGTGCGCGACGTCCACTGACTGTTCAGGAGATGGCCATGGCTTTGGGAGTGGCGACGACTCCGGGTGCAGAAACAGCAACGGAGGCCGGCCTGAGCCCTAACGGATTAGACAAAAAGATAAGGCAACTCTGTGGGCTGTTTGTTTTCATCAAGGAATCCAAAATCTATCTCATTCATCAGACTGCAAGAGAGTTCCTTGTTAGCAGACATGATTGATCTGCCAGCACCCATTGGCATCTTGAGAAGCGCCAAACAGAGATACAAATGACTGAAATATGTGTCAAATATCTTCTTATGAACGAGCTGGTCATTGATGATGAAAGGCCTGTAGGAAGCTTATTAAATTATTCTGCCGAACATTGGGTAGATCATTTTCGAGATGTACTCTCCCCGAAAAGCGGACTATTGGACTTGGTTTGGAAGCTTTATGAGACTGGGACCGACCGATTTCGCGTTTGATTTCCTAAATTTTGGCAGGCGGAAATGCCGTATTATAAAGACCCGAAGATGAATGCACTGCACTTAGCTGCTTTCAATGGCCATGAGGAGATCTTGTTACGGGTTGCTTTGAATAAGAAAGAGGCAATTGACCAAACCGATAACTCAGCAACAAGTGCACTACAATGGGCGTGTCTTCGTGGGCATTCTCGGATTGTGGAGCGACTGATAAAGAAGGGAGCCAATATCAATGCTCAGGGTGGATATTATAGTAATGCTGTACAGGCTGCTTCTACAAAAGGACATCTGAAGATTGTACAACATTTGCTTGAAAACGGAGCTGATATTAATGCTCAAGGTGGAGCCTATGGCAATTCTTTGCAGGCTGCCTGCGCAGGAGGACATATTCAGATTGTACAGCATTTGTTCGAAAACGGAGCTGATATCAATGCTCAAGGTGGAATTTATGGCTATGCACTCTATGCCGCATCTGCAAAAGGGTACCTTAAGATTGTACAGCAACTGCTAGACAAGGGTGCTAATATCAATTCTGAGGATAGATATTATAGACATGCCCTTCATTCAGCATCTGTGGGGGAGTACCTGGAGATTGTACAGCTACTGATGGGTAAGGGGCCATAATCAATATGTGATGTCTCCGACCATGCAGTATCAGTATACTATTGAAAGAGGATACTGACTTGAAGCACCATGAATAATATTTGACAATTCCATATTTTCATATAGTAGCCAAAGAAACAGACCGTTCGTGGCTGTCAGCATCTTACAGACCTGTGAATATGATATTACCTGCAGAATAGATTCTTTGAGCAAGCTGCGTGCGCGTGTAAGATTCTCCACGGATGGAAATGCGCCAGAACCTATTCCAAATTGCGTACTGCGACCCGCTTGCAACAATATTATTACCGATATCTTGAGGCGAAAATTGACGCCGGTGTAGATCGAAAAAATTCCGGAAGCCTGTAAATCGCTTTCATTGCCCCTTCCGCCCTAACAGCCGTCAGTCACTAGCATTCCGTAGAGAAGTAAGCCAGTCCTACATGCATGTAAAGCCACCAGCGCACTTGGAGAGAGCTAGTGCTTTGGATAAATTTGTGGCAAGATAGAGGTCCGGTGCACTCTCTCGAAATATGCCTATTGCTGATAGATGTTTCATGAGCTGACCTCTGGTAAAAATTGATTAAAAATTAGAATAGCAGATTCAATGCGGAAATGAAGACAGACTGGTTAGAATTGGATCCATCTCAGTGACCCGAGCAAGATATTCAACTGGTATGGACTTGTTCAGGGCCTGGCTCATGTAGAAGAAAATCCCACAGTCGATAGCAGCAAGGATCGCACCATATAGAGTTAGCTAGATTATTAGCCAAGGAATATCATCAAAGACAGGGCAAATCTCACCTCTGCCCAACACAGTCTAATCATAGTCTCCCGTGGAGTCTCTAGAGCCTGCACGAGAAGGCGAGCGATTCGCAGCAGATGCAAGCGATGATGCTCGTTTATTGGCAGGTCTAGATATGGAAGCATGTCCATGATTAGATGTGGCACGGCAGCTATATCACTGGCCTAGATCGCAACTGCATCCAGTGAGGAAGGAAATTCGTCAAGCTTCAAGGCCATCGTTTGAAGACATGCACTGGTTTGAGAAATTAGATCTTTGGGAAATGTCCCTGAGCCAGCCTTTCATACAGGGCACTCGTGCTAGTGTTTAGTGCCTATTTGCTGCTCTGGTTCCGGTTTGGGATCAAACTATTTCTGAAATGATTCAAAGAATATAGTCGGTAGACTGGTCACGAACCATAGGCGGTCCATATTTGATCAGGAAAAGAGGCGTGCTCAGTGGGTGATATTGGAAGACGGATCAAATATAAGATAGGGCAGCACCATGACTTTTGTTCTGATTACCAACACCTATGATGGCTTAAAACAGAGGCCCAACTATCCTTATTGCGATGTGGACCACCACGTCAATTGCAACGATCTTCGTCGCTGCAAGGTTGTTTACAAGAATCAGAATCTTAAGGAAGTTGGCCTTGATGACTACTTGATCGCATCTTCCATGGTAAGGATCACACTTTTTGTTATTAGGATCTAAATTAATACCATTAGGTAATTGGACTTCTATTTGTTAGCCTGGCAACAGCCACCGTCACAGCTGGTGATAGCAAGCATGTTTCTGCGCTGTTATGTCACAGTTTTGAAAGAGTAGTAATATTAAACACTACAGCATATGCTCCTAGTATCATATCCTTTGTTCTGCCCAAGTTAGGGGTTATAGCCCTTTTGTGTCGAATTTTCAACCCGACTTGGCGCTAGAGAATTTTTCTGTGGGCTTTCATTGAGGGCAGCAGCCTAGTCATTTGTAGATACATTATCATTCTTTATATGCAATACCGTCCAATGAGAGCCATGTGGACACCTAGCCTAGGAAAGTGCTGGAGTCCAGGTATTGTGGTTGACTATTCCATCTTCGCAGGGAGTATTTTAACGCTAGCCTACTTACCCCTTTAGATGCTGACTGTGGCTAGCGCTCTCGGCTTTTCTGGACATCTTCCTTGCAATCTATCCTGGAGTGATATTGTGGAATCTCCAGATGGCAACCAGGAGAAAAGCCCTACTCCTCATTACTTTCGCTTTAGGATCCTGGTAAGTGTCATAGATATTATCTAAATATATTCTAATCAGTGTAAGCGCTGCTATTGTGGCTATCGTTAAATGTACTTATATTCCAGGACTAGCAAATGAATCCAACCCGACCTGTGAATAGCATCAACACTGATTATAACTCACATGACTAACCATAGAATACAGATAGTACATTAGAATTTGTTATTTGGACTAAGTACTATATACCTGCTTTGGGCGTGCCGTCGCTGACCTAGCTACGCTGTGTAAAGTATGATCCATGTTGTCGACAGAGAACTACCCGCCATTCAGGTAATACGCGAAGATAGGAAGGAAAAGAGTGAGATTCCTCCACCATTTTTATAGATATTAAGTTGAAATAAGAGGAAGTTATATTTAAGTGTGTAGAAAATGTGGTTATATAAGAAGATTTACAAATAAAGAAGTTAACTGCGTACGAGAAAAAAGTAATTATTGACTATTCTACCCCTGAATTGCTGACTGCGCTAAACCTATTTTGCCTAGCTCCCGAAATTTTTGTTAGCGATAACCCTGAGCTGATCAACAGCCCAATGCAAACTATAGGCGATCCACGCTGTGACGGCGTACTGCAGCGTGGAGGAGTGGAGGTCTCACCTCCATGTTCGGCAAATCAGATTCGTATTGCCGCGTTCGAGAAGGGACATATGAAGATGAGAGCTCGTCGTTCAACAGACTGACAGTTACATAGTTCTATATGTCCAGCCTATCGGATATCAATCCCACTGCTGGCTGACGCGGTGCGCGACACGGGAATTATCAACGTAACGACACGGTTCTCCCACATACCGATACGCATATGGCTGCAAGGAGATAGAGATGGTAGAGCGGCGTTGGAACCGACAGTAGGTGGAGGTGCGGCTAGTGGACATTCGGAGGAAATCGCTGAACACTAGACGCAACAGCATAATGAACAGTCCAATGATTACAGCTATTGTTAACACATCAGTGATTTTCTAAAGTCCGCACACGATTGCAAGAGTATGATTCAAAATATCTAGCTAAATCAAACCGTGCCACAATCTCATTTCTTCTCCGCCGCTACAAATTTCAAATATTGCCCCACAAGCTCTTTCAACGTCTCCTTGAATGATACGAACTCCCACCCAAACTCTTTCTCCGTCTCCCGAGTATCCAACCTCCAGATCCTCGCCCTCAGGCTTCCCCCCAATTTCAATGTCCCGTTCTCCACAGCTTCTGGAAAGAACTTCGTAACATAGTTCTGCGCATCTTCCCAATCAATACCATCCGGTGCATCAGAACTCAAAATATAGTCTTTGTTCCCTTGCACACTCGGCTTCAACGCATCGATATGCGCCCTAGCCACATCATCAACGTGCACTGTAGCCCCCACCATCTGCGGGATATTGGCATCCAGGAGCGGACCAAGTGCGAGAGAGTTCCCGGACGTCACCAACTCAGCGGCATTTGTAGCCAGTTCATCTGGCCCGAATACTACTGTTGGCAGCAAGTTGACGAACTCAAATTCTGGCTTCTCCTCCTCCATGAATTTTTTTGTGGCAATGCGGGATAGGGTCTTGGATGCGAAGTATGCTTCCATTGACGTGCCGTAGGGACCGGCAATGTTGGAGTTGATGTCGGCTGCGGTAAATAGTGTGAGGTCTGGGGACGCAGGCGCGGGACCAAACATCCAGGCGAAGGAGATCAGGGTTACGGCGGAGGAGGTGATGACGACACGCTTGATTGAGGGAGTGCGGTGCGCGGCGTTGAGGATGGAGAGGGTCACTTTTAAGGCTGGGTTGATAATGTCGCGGTCATAGTCGTCCGACTAAGAAGGATTAGCTTTGTGACGATCAGGCACGGAGATGTGTAATACCTCGATGGCAGGAGGGGAGGCGATATGGAGAATTCCCGTGACACCAGCGAGGTGAGGATCGAAGGAGTGGGTGTCTGAGAGATCGGGAATAACAACCCATTGTAAGTTGTCCATGTGGGGTGCGACTCGAGCGTGAGACTGGAGTTTTGTGGCCTGTTCGGCCTTGCGGATGACCGCACGTACTGGGAACCCTGCTTCAAGAGCTAGGATCAGAGTCTTGAATCCGATATAGCCAGAAACGCCCGTAATCTATGAAGGTGTAAGTAATTGTCGTTAGTGAAAACGGCTGTGGGACCTGTGGAGCCTGTGCTTTCTCACCAGAATGAGATCTCCTGCCATTATCATTCGAGATGCTCAGAAGAGACTTGGAAATTTTCTTTGAAAGAAGTTGAGATGAAATGGGAGGAGATGGGAGTGTCGGGATCTCGAATATGATGAAGATGAGGGGAACAGGAGAAAGGGGAATTGCATGCCATCTTATACACTTGCGAAGGCATTTCAAGGCGACAAGAATCTCCGGACATGAACAAGAACGACGCAATGAAAATTCAATTGCATTAGATTTTGTGGTACTTGGCAATTGTGGCAGCGGAAAATATTGTATAGCCCGGAAAATCGACAAAACGCTAGCACGGATGATCGGAGATAGAGGCATTCGACGGGACGAAGGCTTGGCACTCCTTGGCACGTCGGAGCCCCTGGTATTCTAGATGATCCAATCGGGCAACTACCAGATCTCTCGAGGCCAGAAAGCTGATAGGCGATGGGGGTCGTCTTGAAAGATTTGTGATCTTGTTGTAAGAAGAGAAGGCGGAGTGAGGTTGAGGTTGTGGAGTTGTGATCTGCAGCGCGCTAAACAGCCTAACCCGAAGCGGCAAGAGCCTCCTTGGCTTCCCACCTCAACATCGACTTCTCTCCACCCAAAATATTCCGGGTGGCATGAAAGCGCAGCAACTTAGAAGATTGATCTGCTCCGCCCTGGCCCTGCTATCAGCCATTACATCCGAAGGTCACAGCAGACGTCCATGAATATAAAGCCTAGGACCAGTGGAACAACCTCCTGCCGGCATATCGACAATGATACCGGGCCGTTCCTCTGCAAGATCTGCTCCAAAGCCTTCACAAAACGTATGGTTCGATTCCTTTTGCTCTCAAGCACAATCCTATCAGCCATTTGCTCAACTGTCGTGCTAGGAACCTCGAGGAATCGACACGTACTGTACTGTAGGAAGAAGTGGGTGGGCAGTCTCCCGGTCTTGAGGAAATCATGTGCAGCTTGTCGGAAAGCCAAAGCAAGATGCGACTCGGAACTCCCAAATTGTAGTCGATGCGATGATAGGGGCCTTACTTGTGTTTATGAATTGACTAGGAAGAGTGCGACCTCAGCCCAACAACCTGCATTTGCTCCACCTGATGAGCCAAGCCCCGATGGTACATTGCTTGTTGATATCCCAGAACCGGGCAATCAAAACGATATCCCTTGGAATGCCCATGCGGACAACGGCAATGACGCTCAGATCAGCTTAGATATGGATGCTCCTAGTCTTTGGCTTGCTCCTGTGCCCGACCTGACGCCTCAGAACGACCTCGCTCTCTGGGAACCGGATGCTGGATTTGTGGAAGACGTGGAACTTTCTGACATGGGTGCTAATATTTCGTCCAATGGCTATTCAATCAATGGATCCTCGATCAACTGGTTTATCCCTGGCCCAACACCAAGCTTAACCCTCGACGCGACATTCTCAACTCCCGCAGACTGCATGTTCCATACCCCCTACCTAGTCCTTCGACCCATAGACCGTGATCTGTCCCCCACCTCGCCCAGAAGTCCATTCATTCACGCATATCTCCCAACGGGCTCACAAATCGGCCGCGCCTTCCTTCTGCAGAACTTCAAATCGTACGCCACGGCCCTTGCAACGAAGAACCTGCCGCCCTTCATCCACGGCACGTCGCTTCCATCCCCAGACCCGAGCTCGGGTCAAACTCCGACTTGCGCAACCCCACCTCCTCTACCGACACTAGAGATTTGCAAATCGATCGTCTCACTCTACACCACCAAGACACCTGCAACAAGCTCTTTCCTCTGGCGCACTATAACCATGGAAAAGGACCGCTTTATGGACGAATACGTGAACGGAGATGAGTGGACTGTGCTGTCCATGCTTCAGGCAGTCACGTTGTATATCCTTCTCAGGATCTTTGACGAGGACTCATTCTCCGCTGAATTCGACCGCGAGCTCACTAGAGCGATGACGGTGAGACTTTGATTTCCTCCACTTATCAACGAGCTAACGGTTCTTCCTGCTAGGAAATTGCAATCCAAGCTGAACAGTGCAGATTAGTCTGCAGTGCTGAGATTGAAGGCCGCCGTCCGGAATGGAAAGAGTGGGTGTTGGTGGAGTCGAAACGAAGGACCGTGACGGTAGCCTTCATACTGTATCTTCTATTCGACATCAAACCTGAACAACGGGCCAAAACTAAAGTCGGGCTCTCCGTTCTACCGCTTCCTGCCCATAAGCATCTTTGGGAGGCGGCGACGGAAGGTGAGTGGATAGAAAAGTATGACGAGATGCTGAGGGCAAGAGATGGGAGGTGTTATTTGAGGTATGCGGATTTAATGGCGCTTAGGAGGGGACATGGAGGGGATAAGATGAATGACCTGAATTCATGGATGGTGAGCGGTGATGCGTTTGGGATTCTAGTTCTAATGGCTGCGAATTCTCTCTAATTGTCTATCCTCAATGAGCATTATCCCACATCTCCCTAAACCAAGCCATATCCGCTCCTTCCTCCTCCTCCCCCTCCTCCTCCTCCTCCTCCTCCTCTTCCTCACCCCCACCCGCATTCTTCTTCCTCGCCATCTTAGCGAGCAACTCGTCAAGCGTGACAACCTTGACCACCTTCCCCTTATCCATGATAAGAATAGTATCAACGCTTCGGATGGTGTCCAAGCGATGAGCTATCGTCAAGATAGTGTGCTTGGCGAACTCCTCCCTGATGATGCGCTGCATAAGCCCGTTCGTCCTTGCGTCCACGTTGCCCGTCGCTTCGTCAAGGATTAGGATCCTAGATCAGTCTTTCAGGAGCAAAGCGCGGGCAGGCCGAAGAGTTGGAACTGGCCGTGTGATAGAGGGGAGCCTTTAAGCGGTGCTTCGAGGGGATCGACTTTTGCTTTCTTCGGCGTGATGGCACCGTTTGCCGTCTCATCATTACTCGGCGTTGCGGTCCCAGAGGGCGCCGCAGTATTACTGCCACTTGTACCACCTGTGCCGCGAGATTTGATGACGTTCCATAGCTGGACCTTCTCGAGCGCTGCGATGATTTCCTCGTCTGAGACAGTGCCTGAGGGGTCGAGTTGAGCCATATACTGTCATTCAAAACGAATGTGTCCTGTGGGATCGCAATGAGGCTAGAGACCAAGGGGGTCTAGCTAGATAGACGCAGGAGAAGGGGGGTGTGTGTGTGTTTATTTAACGGCCGTGGTTCGTGACTCGCACGCTTCCCACCGATCCCTATTGGGACATAGGCCGCCGAGGGGTAAACCTCGGGCTTCAAATCGTCTATCAGATTTATATACAAATATGAGACTCTTTGGCGCATTTCCGTAGCTGCCGTGGTCTTACTGGGAGGTCCACTTCTAAGTGGGTTTTGGGTATTTACCAGCTGCAATGGTCCGCCTACACTCCGTGACCCATAATTCTACCGCCATAGTAGTTTAGTAGTGAGTTTTGCAAAGATAGAAAGAGATAGGGAAGAGAAAATGAGAAGGAAAAAGGGAATATAAAAGGAAAGTTAGACTATCTTAGCTAGGTGCTAAGGAGAGGTTGGCGAGGACAGATGTCCTCAAAGAAACGGGTCTCTGCTAGCCATGTGGCTAGTTTTTGTGTTCCTTTCGCAGTGCCTAAAAGAAAAGAGATAACTTCAGAAGAGGGTCCAGGAGGATGAGGGGCTCGTCTCTTAGCTATATAGTAGAAGAAGAAATGTAGAGGTGCTTTTCTTGCTCCACACCGACAGAGAAGATAAGTATCATTATAATTAAAGCATTCATGGTAGTCCGCAAAGTCTCCATGACCAGTACGGGCTGCTATGATACGGCTAAGGTCAAGTCGGTTGAGTTGAAGCTCTCCAGGGCATTTAAAAGACGTAGTTATTTCTAGATCTTAGTATGTCTGTGGTGCTACAGTCTGCCACCGTATCTGAGCAGTGGAAAGGGATTGAGTCTTGGCGTATCTCTTTAGCGAGGCGTATGAGGACTTGTATGGAGAGGGGGGGATAGAGGCAGCTCCTTCCTTAGCAGTGAGATTAGCCGCTTCATCCTTAGGGATTTTGGTATGTCCAGGGACCCATCGGATTTGGATTGATCTACTTTTGGTGTGTGGAAGCCTTTCGCATAGTGGCCAGGCGGCTGCAAGGGTGCGAAAGGATTCAAAGACTTCTTGAGAGGATCCTATAGAGGGAGATAGGAGGTGTGTGGCAACTTCCAGATTGTCAAGACAGATCCATAAGTTGGTAGCAAATTGAGCTGTTGGGTATACTATTACTGCTTAAGCACCAGCTAGAGTAGCTTCTGCTTTGGTATTGAAGACTTCTTTCCCATGTCTGTATGAGAGTAAGGAGCAGAGGAACTAATAGTATGCTTAAACTCTAATATAGCCACCCCCTGCACGTCCGTCTACTAGCCTAGATCCATCTGAAAAGATTACAATATCTGAGCTAGGGATTGTGGGTTGAAAAGTCATGAAATTAGCCGCTGCCTGTCCCTTAGTGTGTTCCATGGGAGCTCCTATTTGAGTTTGGGCATTCTCACGAGACTTGCGAGGGTGCCAGGGAGTGTATTGGAGAGGGTTTATCTGTTCAGAGTTGGGGAGGGCCAGTATATGGCAGGCAAATCGGCTAGTTTATCGGCTATTACTGGCGATCTGTCCTGCGCGTCTTCGTAGTGGGTGATAAGGATCAAGACGCCATAGGCGGACAGTTGCAAGGAGGGCTATTCGATCTAGTTCGATTTCTAGTGGAGAGAATCCAGACTCTCGATAAAGGACAGGCATTGGGGTTGTACGGAAGACTGAAAGGACTGCACTTGCGCCTGTTAGTATTACTTTAGTTAGTTTCTTAAGATGTTCTCCAACTCAGTTTGAAGTCTGGGAGGGCCTGGGGCGAGTACGTCCTGGCCACCAGGTTTCTGCACCATAGTATACTTTATAGAGTACACAGGCTGATATAGCCTGCTATAGTAAATGAGGTTTAACTTCTTGGACAGTATTCCTTAGAGAGTGAAGAGCATTAGCTACAGTGAGGGCTTTAGATACTGTTTCTCTAATATGTTATTTGAATATAAGCTTTTTATTAAAGAGGATTCCTAGCTATCATAGATATAGCCGTTTAGTGTTTTCTAATATTGTAATAGATCTAGCTTTCACTAAAGGTGTATTGGTTGGGTCCTGGTCTACTTTATATCGGGAGAAGTGAAGAAGCTCATATTTATCTGGTACAAATGTAATGCCCTCTGCAGTACTCCAGTTAAGAGCTTCTTGAAGTAAGTCTGATAAGGCTTCGCAGTTAGTAGTAAGAGATGTTGAGATTGCCAGGTTAGCTGCATTATCCGCATAACCAAATCTGTTCCTTAGGTTTCCTAGATGGAATAGATGCGCTATGTAGAGCATGAAAAGAATGCTAGATACTAGGGATCCTTGTAGAAGACCACAGGTAATTTAAGGGGCCGATCTCTCCATTGAGTTGGATCTGAACTAATCGCCCAGTAGCGAAGGAGGCAATCCAGAGAACGAGATTGATAGGCCAGCCCTGCTCACGTAATCTGCGGATCAGTCTGCCGGGAAGCACGGCATCAAAGGCGCCTTTGACATCTAGGGTAAGGAGTGAGGCAGTCATGCCTTGATTTAGCGCTTGTTCGACATCATGTGTTAGGCATGTAGTCAGATCATTTATAGATCTTAGTGGGAGAGCCCCAAACTATTATCTTGCTAATACTTCGTAGTATATAGAGATCCATGCCATATTCTGTGCCACTAAGCGCTCAAGTCCTTTGCTAAGAACTGATAGGAGAGCGATTGGTCTATATAATCTAGGTGAGGACCAATCGGTCTTTTTTAGTTTCTGGATGATTGCTAAGATTGCGTGTCGAAAGCATTTAGGATGATACCCAATCTTTATACACCCTTAATATAGCATTAGTACCTTATCTTTAATTAGAGGCCATGCTACTTTAAGTATGCAGGTTGGGAATTCGTCTGCGCCAGGGGCTGTGTTTCCTGCCTGAAGTACTGACTCCTCCACTTATAGCATCGATATATCCGGGAAGTAGAGACTAGTGGAAGGGACTGCTGGGGAGTCCAGAGGTATGTCTCCTGCCTCTGCCAAGTTCTGGAGAAGATGATAGACTAGTACGTCTCGTTTCTCGTGTACAGTAACTGCTGGGAGGCTGATAGGCCTTAGCGGATCTTTCAGTGGAGGGCTTCGGAAAATGCCTATAGACTTATGCCATTTGCTCATGTCAAAAACATCCTTCATTTATGAAACTGTGGAGAGCTTGTCTCGCCAAAATTATCATTGAGACTATCTAGTAGTCTAGCGGAAGTCTGTCTTTGAGCAGAGGCCTGAGTGGTAATTGTGTAAAGCTTTCTTATAGTCTTCATTCTACTATGGTTGTCCTATACCTTGTGTCAGGGTTCTCTTGGCAGAGCCTCTATATGCTCCTTGGATTGCAGATATCAGTTTTTCAGCGAGAGCATTGAGGTCTTCTTCTGTCATGGTTGGGCTCTCGATAGTAGCAAGGTTAGAGGCGAGAAGCAAGAGGAAGCAGGTATAGTCTAGTGTGTTAAATCTCAGTTTCTGAGCTGTTTCCTTGTATCTCTAATCCCATGGAACAGTGGTGATTAGTGGTTGATGATTTGAGGTTACATCTAAGTGGCTCGCTATGCTAGTTTTAGCTCCTGCAAGTGCCAGAGGGCTTGAGGCAAAGCTAAGGTCTAACACGTTACCCCTTTCATGTGTGGGACAGTCTATGTCAGAGATAAGTACTAGACCCTAGAGGTCCAGCCAGTTAATAAATGACTCTGCAAAAGGTATGGGGCTGCGTTGTAGCAAGGGCTGCCATCTATTATGTAGTAGATTGAGATTACCTGTGAGTATTGTTAATTGAGGGAGATACGCCTCTGGCAGGGTTGTAAGAGCTTTTGCGGCTTCACCTACTCTAATGGAGCCTACTAGGGCGTTATAGATATTAACTATTAGAGCAGACTTTCCTGTGGGTGAAAAATCTGAAGGAACAAGAGATCCGAGGCCTCTTTAGTATCAGTTGTGAAGGGGCGTAGCTGGGAGGTCTGAATGCCTTTCTTCTTTTAGACATAGGTGAGGACTCGTGGTCGGCTATTTATTGCCCAACTGTCAGTTGGGGAGAAGTATTTATATAATGGGTGTTTTTTTGTGATCTGTCGGCTAAGATCTTTGAATATATATGGTTCTTGGATTAGGATAATATTAACGTCGCTAGTGTATGCTAATATGAGAGCTATTTTATGTGCATCTAGCGCGTGTCCTACATTTAGCTGTAGGATTTTAAGAGGCGCCTTTTAAGTTGGATAGTGATAGATTATAGCTCTCATTCAACAAGAGAGGCAAACTAATTTTGTGATTAAGGGGTTATAAAGTGGACTGCGCGAGCTGTAATTGGAGGATCTTCAGTTGGGGTGCGAGGTGGAGGGGTTACTGAACAGAAAGGAGAGATAATCTCATGGGTTAAAGGCTAAGTTGGCATCTCATCTAGTGCTATAGGTATTTCTTATGTGTCTATGGAAAGCTGAGAGCTACATCCTCCTTCAGTTCAAGCTTTTGCAAGGTTCATAGAGTAGGATTTGCGGATCTCTGCTTGTTAAGCTTTGGTGTATTTAGTGTTGCCTTTAGGGCGCAGGAGGCATTCTAGGAAATCAGCTAGATATAGTCCATGACAGTATATGTATCTAGGAGGGCACTGATGAGGCTCTGGAGCTGTGCAGCGGTTAACATAGCCCTCTTTAGTATGCTCTAAGGAGCCACAGAGCTGGCATTAAGAGGAGCAGGCATAGGATTGTGCATTATGCTATTTCTAGCATCATGTGCATTAAATAACTATTATTTTCTTAAAGAGGTGACGAGCCTTGGTGATAGTACTAAAAAGACATAGATGGATAGGCAGTAGTAATTTTGTGCCTTCTAGAAAGTTGACAAACCAGCTTGAGGAGAGAGTATTAGGGTTGGCAGCACTTATAGTGGTCTTGCTAATAGATATAGGCTTGAGCCCTGTAGTTTCGCTGATTTCTGAGGATAGTAGTATAGGATTGATAGGGATTAGTGAGTATTGGCCATCTAGGATTTGGCCAATTTTCCTTGGCACATTAGTGACACGGTATGAGACCCATCGGGAACTGTGTTCTATCTAGCAGTTAATAAAGAATGCAGAGATAATCTCTTTTTAGGTCTTAAGGGCTAGGAGGGCTTCTGGAGATGAGGGGCATAGTGCAAAGCCAGTCTTTATAGCTTGAACTTCTTTTAGTGCTGCACTGTTTGAGTTTAGTTGAGACCGTAGGCTAAAATAGATAGTGTAGGCTTCCATTTTTCTAGCTACATGGTTAGCTGGGAGGTGTATGAAGAGCCGGTTGTCGGGGAGGGGTTGTTTGGCCAGAGGCATAGGCTTTTTAACAGGGGCTTTAGGGTAAGTAGTGGGAGTTAATTTGACCGGGGCATATTAGGTAATAGTCGCATAAGTCGACTGTTCAAGACCTGAGGGGGGACGTAAGGGAGGGGGTGAAGGGGGTAAGGAATTTAGGGTGGAGGAAGGGGAAGAGGAAGGGGAAGGGGAAGGGGACAGGGCAGGTAGAATGGAGGTCGTCGAGATACCGCTGATATAGGCGTTGAAATGTTGTTGGGCTACTTGGGCGAGGTCATCACTTAGAGCGGTGAGGGCTCTCAGTAGGTGAGGGGCAAGGCCGGTGGTTTGGCTGCGGTGTTTATCAAGGAATACAGCTATAGGGCTGAAGATCTTCTGTCCTTCAGAAGCTCTTATTGTAGCTGTAGATGTTGATTCCAGTAGGGCTGTCTGTAGAGGGCCATCTGTACCAGGGCCTTTACGCGCCATGGTGTTGCCGGACGCGTTGAGACGCGTCAAAGGCCGCACTCCTGGGAGCTAGGTGGTAGAGAGGGGTGAGGAATTTGAGCCTCTGACTGTTTGATGTGAATAATTGTGGAGAAGTCGTCTATCAACTCGAAATCGAGCGTCGAGAATGTTGTGTAATTGCGCTGGATGCGAGGGTGCAGTCGAGATCTGGATAGCTGACATCACGTGATATTATCACGTGACGAAGGCTACACAGAAATCCCTTACCGGGTCGGTGTCAGACATCTCGGAAAAAGAGGCAACTTAAACTACTCAATTGAACCCATATTCCGTGTTAGGAAGCTTATCGTACTAGTACTAGTGCAGATGCACCCACACTGGGGTTGATAATTGCGCTGGGGCGCACCCACAACGGGGACCGTGTGGGTGGGCAGAAAGGCACAGATATTGTCCAACCTGGACTCAGGTCGGGGTACTACTCTGTACCCAGTTATTGTCCTGTAGTTGCAGTCTACAATCTTGCTGTGTATCTTGACTGCTCAATATTGTATAGCATCACATGTTAGGCTTTGCTAATAATCCGGCATGTGAGAAGATAGTCTCGAACTGATGGAGCCTAGATGGTTATTTAAGAGGTCATCTTTCTGATGCTTCTTGTCTAGGTTGTCTAGGCCAGATTCAGATACCCAGTCCAGATACCTAAGCTGAGATCAATACACAATATTGCAATTCTTCAACATCATTTAAAATGGTCCGAATGTCTATCATCTCCTTCCTTGCCTACGGTGAGTGGTCTTATTCTCCTCCCGCATTCAAGCTCGTAACTTTGTATCAAATTAACGGGTATAACAGCAATCGTTATCATGCCTCATGGCCAGGTAAAGGCAAATCCTTCGCATGGGGCGATTCTCGCCAATGATACAGACGACAGTCCTCACGGAGAGGTAAGTACACTGCCACGCAACAGATCATAGGGTTAATACGAAGAGAACACCATAGACCCTTGGCTGTTTGCCAGTTATTGGAGGTGCAAGTCTATATCTTTCTGCACTGTCCAATGTCCTGAAATTACTAACTTGCTTGAAAAAACAAGTGCCCCGCCAGTCTCGATTGCTGTAGCCTCAAATGTGTCGACTTGCAATCAGACCCTGACCATTGTGGTGCGTGTTCTAAAAGAGTATGACATCTGTCTTGATATCCTCACAGGTCCATCTTTGGCTTGTCTGATCTGGTACTGGGCCTTTAGTGTTCTGCTTCCACACCATTCTGTGTCTTTGGGCAATGTACAGCTGGCCCAATCATCACCACGACTACTATTGCAGCAACTACTACTACAACAACAACAACTACTACTACTACTACTGCAACCCAGGTCATTTGCCCAACCGGAAGAGCCTGTGGTATACAATGTGTAAGTGCACCCTGATTCCATATCTATACCGCTACTAAATTTACAAATTAGTGTCTTGAACCCCAAGCCTGCGTTACCGCCAACCTGCGTTGTACCTGTATAGTCGATACCGACTGTAACCTAGGCCATGTCTGTGTCAATGGCGAATGTTGTCTTTTTGCTAATTCCTGCGCGGGTGTCTGCGTAAGTTCAACGTCCATCCTAAAAAGAACATTTCATTGCGTGAACGGACTTGTGCTGATGATTATCGTCTAAATAGTGTGCGACTGCATGCGTCAACGGTGCCTGTCCACCGACCCCTTGACCGCGTTTTACTAGGTTGAAAGATCTATCTAGGTGATAGCATGTGTCTGTCCCTGACGTGGCTTTTTCATTTCTTATGGGACTTGATTCCAGTGAATGTAGGCTGGAAGGTGGCAAGGTATAATCGATATCAAGGAGGGACAAGGGCAGAATATAATTTCAACATTGGAAGATTGATATTGGAAATAAGCTTTGGAAAATACAATCATTTGTGATGCAGAAGGACAAATCAAGATGTGAAAAAAAAAAAAAAACAGTTGTAAGATGATCTACAGGACTATATAGGTACTCTACATATGTTCCGTTGAAAATCGGGAAAAGGAGAGTTATATCTTTAATTGATTTATTAAGCGTAGTGGAAATTAACGAGTGAAATATTAGCTTTTCGTCAGCTATGAATCAATCAAAGAATGGTTAATCTTACAGACTGTCTAGCAGCTGGACAGAGATGGGTTGCAGCATATGTAACGTTATATCGGCTTAATTGAATGTTACTCCAGGGACAAGGAGTCCTGCATGAACCTTACAGTAACTGTCGGAACGACAATATTAACCCTACGCGTTTCGGCACCAGATATTAGTTAGTCCAACGTGGCATATGCCTGTCGCGTATATATCTAGCTAGCTATCCCCCGTCCCCCTTGCTCTTGGGGGATCAATCACAATATTAGGAATGAAGATAGCTTTATATTGTCAGGCTCATTAGGCCGCTTCGTGCTTGTGCCTTGCTACCGTCTATGCTTCGTGATACGGACCATAGCAAAACTAACAATTATAAAAGCTCGTGATGTAATATTCAATGAGGATGAAGTTTTTAATGGTAATTTGGAACGTCTGAAAGATGACGTGCGAGATATCCCTCTTCCAGAATCGGCAGAATTGTTGATGAAGACCAACATTACTCAAGAAGGTCAAATTCTTGGATCTAACAGTGAGTCAGAAGAGTTAAGTCCCGAAGAAGACACAATTCTACTCGGGAATCCTCTCAGCGTCGAAGAATCGGTAGAAGATATCAATATCGAAGAGGACCTGGACCAAGATCAAATATCAGCCATCCCAGAGACAAAGAAAAATTTGGCTGGTACAGAAGAATTCGCTTACCCAACGCCGCTAGAAACGCCGCTAGCAGCGTTACTTTCTGCAACAATCAAAATTTCCGATGATTTGGACACGCTTGCTAATAATTTACTAGGAGAGGAGTCTAAACAGGTTGACAGCGAGTTCCGGCCTTGGAATGCTTCCTTCCTCGCGGGTCAACGGCAAAGTTGTCGATAGAGACAGAATCGACCGATTGATTCGAAAGAACATGTTATCAGAACTGCACTGCAGAGATATCTGCCTTACCTTCCTCAACGGCATGAAGATCTGGTTTCTCATCCAATGGGACGAGAGTTTGAGAAGACAGAGAGAGATTACCTTGCAAGTCATATCCCAACAAAGTCGTGGAGGAAGATAGAGGGTTGGGGAGGCCAAAGGAGAACAAATTCTCTGCTGCATGTGGGTCTACGTATACAGGTTTGACAACATGGAAGACTTTGACGGTACTATCGGGGATATTAATAAGCATAACAAAGAGAAGGAAGGAGCAACTGCGTTGGTGCGTCTAGGGAGGGTCTTTATAGCCCTTGCCTCGTGTTAGATTCATCGAGGTTAATTTGCCTTCAATATTGTGAAATTGGTAGAAAACTAGCTGATACTGTATTTCCTCGACTAACTGCTTGGTAGTCCCACAAACTGGTGTTCTTTCTAACATGGGAAATTGTCCTCTATATTGAAGAATTTAAAGCCTTTTGGTTTAATTATTTACAGTAACCCCAACTGGTGCCCCAGAAGCAGGTGGTGGTAGAGGTAGTGTTTGATTTATCAGGGTTTTATTTTGCCCTCAATCTCCTGAAATTGACAGAAACTCAATGATACTGTATTGTCTCAATTGAATGTCTGGATGTCTCTGACAAAGTTGTGCTGCCTCTAACAGGGAATTGCCCTCTATAATGAAGAATTGAAACCCCTCGCCTTAATACGTGTTTCTTCCTGATTGGTAGGCCAGTTGGCCTCACTGTGCTCTGCACTTCACTAATAATATCTAATAGGTGGCGACAAAGGCTGTGACACAAGTCTAGCCAACTGCACTTGCCTCATCATCCCCGTCGACAGCTCGTCTCCATCCAAAGCAGCGGGAACATTTTACAACGGCACCATCACATCGAGAATCTCCTCAATCTTCAACTTCGACTTCGGCTCCAATGTCACCAATAGACAATGAACATTGGTCTTCTTGTTCCCAACCAAAAACCAACTGGAGACTTCATCATTCAGCTTCAGCGGTGATGGCGCCATCAGATTCTCCGAGTTGGAAAAGCCGGCTAGTAATTTCACAACGGCAGATAATATCCCTCATGTCAAAGTCGATTATGGAGTCACGCGTGTTTCGCCCGGTCATTCCTATAGTATTTCAACATTTGCATGTCCCGCTGGCGGGACAGTGGCATTCGAATTGAGGAACGCGGGGACTATGGATCTGAATTATTTCGAAGATTACAATCCTTCTCCGTGAGTTTTTTATGTTTTGAAGACTTGAACAAGATCTACTGACCCGGTGACAGAATCGGTCTTTATGTCACCACATGTTGAATGATATAACCCGGCAGAAAGTCATGAGACGATCCATCCCCAGTAGACGACGGCTCTAGAATGTCTGCTTAAAAAGCGTTCAATCAATTTGCTCGAACGAGTAGTTACTAATCGCGTATTAGTATTAATGACATTCTCCATTTGGTTTGAATAAGGTGTTATACTTACGAACTTGGTATAGTCAAAACAAGTAAATCGAATCAATTACCACCAGGTATATTTACAACTAGAATACTGTTTACAATTGCTGAAAGACTCGGAACTAGATTCTCATATCGTATTTGGTAGATCCTGGGGGTGTTGTCTGCAATGGGCTCTTCAGGCTTCAACTTGGGTGTTGAAATTTGTGGAATCCGGTCATCATACAGCAGACACAGTATCTATGCCTTTCTGCCCATCCACACTGGTCTCCCAAATTACAGGCCAATATGAGTTATCCCTTCATGTCATGCTTTCAGTTATAACCTTGAAAGTAGTATTTAATGAGCGTATATTGATCTGTGTTGGCTTGTTCTACTTCACAATGTCACACTGACTAGAATCCAGCCTTCTTGTAGATGTTGAATCTGACCAATTTTCCTGGGTTGTGAGTCATCATGAGAGTTGTTGCCTAGATAAAATATGCCTGCTGTGCCTGTTTTCTGTTGAAGAATTGGTGGTAAAGGCACGAATGTGGCTGATGCTAAATGAGAAAGATAATGATAATAGTGATCAATAAAGAACGGTTGACAAATGAGTGGATCATGTAATAAAGACAATCACAATAGCAATATCACAGCAAAAGAAGAAAATAAAGAGATGATTAAGTGAATGTGTATGGAATGCCGTTGCTCAGGCCAGCACTGGTGACAACCTCCAAAGCGTAATTCCCTGCTGCTGCGGCAGGTGAAGTTGCAGATATACTGAGGTCAGAGTTGACTGTAAAGCTTGCCGCTGCAACTACTGCAGTTGCTGAGACAAAGACCACATCAGTGGTACTGGCCAAGTTTTGCCCAGTGATGGACACCACTGTGCCCCCTGCAGCTGGTCCTGAAGTTGGAGTGATTGAAGTAAGTACTGGTGGACTCACATAGCTGAAGCTAATTGAGCTATTTGTGCCACCTGTAGTGGCAATATTGATTGGAACCGTGCCAGCAACATCTGCTGGTGTAACAACACCTAATGAAGTATCACTGACAGAAACAATAGTCCCTGGAGTGGTTCCAAAATTCACACCAGTGGTACCTCCAAGACCACTACCAGTAATGGTAACAGTATCACCTCCAGCTGTGGAGCCCACAGAAGGAGTCGCGGTTGTAACTACAGGTCCAGAACTATAAGTATAGTTAGGGCCAGTAGTGGAACCACCAGTTGTTGTGACTGTTACAGGGGCAGTCCCAACACCTGGCGGAACGACTGCAGTCATTACGGTTGGTGATATGACGGCAAAAGATGGGGATGGTGTAGTGCTAAATGTAACTCCTGTAGCACCAGTGAAGCCTGTACCATTGATAGTAACAGTATTCCCGCCTGCTGTGGTCCCAGATACTGGCGTAATTGACGTCACAGTGGGAGCCGCAACGTAGGTGTATGTTAAATTGTTACTTGGACCAGTTGCGTTGGTCACATTGACTGCTGCAGTTCCTGTTCCTGCTGGCGCGACTGCAGAAATTTGAGTGTTGGAAAGGACAGCGAAGCTGGTGGCAGGCGTACCACCAAAGCTGACTGCGGTAGTGTAGAGAAGATTTGTGCCGTTGATTGTGACCAAGTTCCCACCTGCCGCTGGCCCGCTGGTCGGAGAAAGGAGAGAAATGACTGGAGCAGAGGGAGTGGTATTATAAGTGAACTGCAGGTTTTGGGTGCTGGAACCAGCTGCAGTGGTTACGACTACTGGGACTGTACCAGTACCAGTTGGGGCTGTGACAAAAAGTGATGTGCTGGTGTTCGAGAGAATAGTCGCAGTAGTGGCACCAAATCTGACCGTGGTGGCACTGGCGAGATTAGTGCCAGAGATGAGTACTGTGGTGCCGACAGGGCCAGAGTTAGGAGTGAGTTTAGAGATAGTAGGGGCAGACATTGCAGGTCAAGATAATCAGGCGTTGGGCTTGAATAAAAGAGTTGCAGTAGGGTAAGTGCAAATGGACTCAGTGCTCACCTTTTATAAGCAGACCTCAAGTTAAGTGGCTTCCCTATGATATTAAATACAGGATCCAAAACCAAACAGAGTTATAAGAATTGAAGAGAGAGATAGGAATTGTAGGGTAAGATGTGAAGGGTGGCCTGGTTACATGACATGAAATGAAACATTGTGCAATGTTGTAAGATGTTATATAAGCTAGCTCTAGGACCTCACACAATATAGTATACCACACTAGCTGGCTCATGTAGCGCATTGTCAACCTGATAGGAAAAGACGCAGAATGAAAAGCCTCATTGACATAGTCTCATTTTTCAACAGAGATGCCAAGGTTGGAATTTTCATATGACATACAATGATATCACACATGCATTCATAAGGCAGCTCACTTGATGTAACATGCCACACAAACCAGCTTCATATGACATACCACTTGAGCTAGCTTGTGTCTTGTGGTCACCACACAAGCCAGTGTATACTAGGTTGGTTCTGGTGGGCAGTACAAGGTGTCACAGTTATGGAGATATTGTCTTAAGCATGGAGGAAGTTGATATACATGCACATGAAGCCCTCCATCTAGAGGATATATGCTTGCTTCAACTAACCAAAGCAGCCAACATCGAGCGATTAGAATAGGTGTGAGGAATGGGGAGGCATGCGTCGATATGCCAGTTATCCAGGAAGCTACTACATTCTTGGTATCATTTAGCCATATAGTGTACTACGCGACCCAAGGTTATGAACAGAGTGCTTAGGCTGATCGCCTGGATCGCGGTTGTCAGATTAGGCTAATTTGGCCCTGCCTCCGCATTCTGTAGTTGAGATGACCATCCCGAGGAAAGGGATGTCATCATGAAGCTTATCTCGTCGAGGTTGTAGATAACGTCCTCAGGGATATGTACTTGGCCTCCCTACAGTCTGAAATAACCTTCAGAACTTGCATTAGGCCCTCTGATAGTTGAATCTGCGAGAATAGTCTATAAACAGCTCGAACTGGATGTTGACAAAGTTGGAGGCCAAGTCCTTCCAACCCGTTGCGCGTCATACATGTGTAGCAGTTGGGTTGCCATATCTTCCACGTCATGTAGTCTGGGGTAAACAATGTGTAGGTAACTCGACTATGTAGTCAACTACAGCTCTTTCTTCTACACTAGTGAGTTTCTTCAAATTGGTTAGAACATTGCGCCGTGTAAGACGACCGTGATCATCGCCATAAGAGGGTTGTGGGGCGACTCTGTAGAATATAACTATAGCTTACAGGCTTAGATTTCTGTCTTTTTCAATGGCGTCAAGAGCCAGATTAACATTGGCTTCACATGGAATAGATTCCACAGTTTGTTACAGAGGAAGTTAGTGTTGCACATTGAAGATGCATGTTGCTTGTGTGACGGTCGCAATCCGGGCCTGGGAGTAATGCGTTTGGTGTAGTGCGAGAGGTCCACACTACAATACACCGTTCTTGGAGCCAAGACATACATACTACACTACACTACACTGAACACACTACTTTTTTTACTAAGCAGAATTCTTGTGGCAACTATATTAGTTATTCGGTCTATTCCCATTCGATTACCTGATATCGATAGCATTGCTTCAAGCATCCTGCTGCACCTATGATATCTGCTTTGTGGCACCCCCTATCTGGTCGGACCATTCTTCCTGTACTACTAAATATTCTTTCTGGCTCCGCACTCATTGCTAGAATCGCAAACAAGTCCAGCAAAAGTTGCAAGATACGGCTATACTAAGCACCTGTCGTACCAGTACGCAACTAGATCATCCATATTCTTCTCCCTTGGTAGCTTCTGCCACTCAGCAAACTCATCAGTAAGTTCTAGCTTCTCTTCGTCATTACTGGTGTGAAACTCTTCCTCCATGACATATTCAAGACTATTATTTTGGTCTGCTTAACGTCTACAGAGTTTAATTATATCTGAATCCAAGAGATCTCTGACTTTCTTTGTCTTGTAAAGACTCCACTGTTTTTGAAGAGCTACATCTACAGCATTTTGCCAATCAACATGATCAGCCCATTTCTTCTAGATCCATTGCCATTTAAGGTGCGGGTGAGAGCTATTGCAGCAATATAAGCAGATAAATCATCAGGTCAATCAATAGCATTTATCAAGCTTCTCCCATCCAAGCTGGAGGCTATTATGGAGGTGGCGATATACTATTGGGCTCTAATTTTCAGGGATATTACCATCTGCGGTACTCATAACCGGAGAGTACCTATCGACGAAGACTTTCATATCTTTGAGCAGTAACTCTATGGCAGGAAGAACCTCCCAGAGAGCCCCATATCTACATATATAACTATGAGGGAGGAGACTTCCAAGGGAAAGATTGATAATTAGACTCCGGACTTACCGTCCTGTGCTTGGCCCTCAAGCCGCTTGATGGCTAATTTGAAGGGTTTTAAATCGCAAGATATTCCGCCAAAACTGACCAGCTATCCACTGAGAAATAGTCTTCACAAATTGTGGACCTAGATTGGTGTTTTTTTAGTAGGGGCCTTGTGCTGTTGTGTGTAATCTTCGCTATATAATTATCATTCTCCTTCATTATTTTGTGCATGGACTCATCAATAGGAGTTTGGAGCATCACACCGCGTTCAATCATATCATATGATGAATTCCAGCAAGTCTCTTGGTCCTCGACCAATTTGTAAATCTTCATCTGGAAGACGTGTGATTTCGGTCTCCTGGAGCTTCTCGGAGAGCTGTTGCCTTTGACCAGTCCAAGTGATATATTTGACAATATTGTGAAGTTTTCCAATGGGGCCTTTTTCCTCCACAGCTCTAGGTCTTTCAGCTCCTCTTGTGCCAGCCGAATATCTTCTTGTAGAGCATCAGGATCTTTGCCAAAAATTATCTTATGAGTAACTAGATTCAGTACATTACTAGCACGCCGAAGACGACTATAGATACATAAAATAGTGAGCTTTCATTTGCCAATGTGAAGTTATAGTTATTTACCTTTTACCTGCATCGAATGCAAACACATCGGCGAGCGCAATGACTGCTGTATCATTGTTGTGTGTATTATCTAGTACAAAATAGCGAAGCCGATCTTAAGGCTGATTTATAAATAACAACTGTAACGCCCTCTACAATATTGATCCCAGTATGACTGCCAACAACTTCTGGTAAACTGAGTAGAAAGGTGCATAATTTGCCTTGCTAGTTAATGAAGTACACAACTATTCCACATAATGTGAGAAGATTTTGAGACGTCTAGAGATCAAAGGATATATGGATTTTGCCTAGCGTTATGTAGATGCTCTATTATTATTCCTTTATATTTGTCTAAATCTTTTATAACCCAGTCATAAATAGATCGGTAAGTGGGTAAACACCCAAACTCACCCAGAGATCCATTTAATTCAAGCATCAGATCATGGAAATAGGGACTCTCAACTTGATTAAATGCAATATTGTCATGGACAATCCATCGCATAAGCTTCATTTAAACCCGTTTTAGATCAAAGTCAGTGATCAGTTGATGGACTATGTCCCGATCTCTTATGGTGAGTGAGCGATCTGGTTGTTTGAATGCATCAAAAAATGACCTCTTCTTTACAGCAGGCCCATCCTTAGTAAGCTCATGTTCGTCTTTCATGTGCTTCAGAGGTATACGAGTCCCGCCACTGACTTTCCACAGACGACTTTTATGTCGTCTTGTACTATGGCACTTTTTGCAAAGCCAGTATTTTCGTCTGTTCTACTCTCTTTAATATCATATCCTTGCGTCCAGATCCAGGCACAGTGATTTGCTGAGTGAGTGGGCAACTAGAAATTTAAAATACAACTCCAATCAATATCCTCGTAGCTATGGACAGCAACTGCAGGAGAGGTATCAGGCTCGGCATTTTTGCTATTGAAATCAGACGTGTCTTGGTGTTCTATTGAAACAGTGTTCAGCATTGATGTTGTGCAAAGTGGTAATGATAGCGTGACTAATAACTAACATATGTTACTATTTCCTATTTGGGTCGTGAATTATGCCCACCGCCTCCAGGCCCTGACCAATAATGCCACTCTGCTACTCCTCTGCTAATATATGTTGGAAATAGAGTAAGCTATTCCTATTTGGGATAGGATTCAAAGAACCGCACGAGCATTGATCAACAGGAAATTTCAAGAATCAGATTCACATATCGACTTCATATATCAACACAAGATTGCGACAAGATTAATCTTACAAATCAACTTTACAGCCTATATCTAGAAACTTCGATTGAACATGGATGCTGACTTCAAGTGATGTCATTTATTTTGAGAATGTGAATATAAAAAGGAACAAGATTGCCAGATAGTGTGACGGCTCTGGCAACCTTACTATATGAGAGAGTAGTAGAGAGGATCCACCATCCTCAATATTCTGGTCTTTTTGGCGCAACAGCTTAGTGAGCGAATACTCCCGTGAGCGAGGTCGTGACAGATAGTGACGTTTTAGATAGTGTGCACGAATATCAGAAAAATCCCTACTCTAAGAGACTCCTTAGTTGATATTACTAAGTTGGTGCTAGTACAGATTCGGTTCCATTAATATAGATATGTCACATGAAGATAATTCAGTGCATTTAGTGTAGTGTAATGTAGTTTGGGTCCTTACACTACACACACTGAAAATAACACAGCTCACACTACTCCATGCTACACTAAAATGTAGTGCACTACGTTTAGTGCGTGTACACTGGAATACTCGCACTATTCTCAAGCCCGGTTTGATCTGCTCACTTGTGTGGCCCTTTATGTCCCCGCACTAGCTCCGGGGTCAGAGCTAGGTAGATAATGGCAATGCCAAATTAACCTACACTACCACCAATCGATACTCACTGGATTTTGCTCACGGTAACTCACCTGCCTTACCGGTTTAGCCACATTTCGATTCGTCAGTCCTTCGTCTGCTATCTGGAGTTGTCACCAATGAGGTATTCAGCTACTTCGAGCGCTAATTTGAGAAGTACTCTTAGTAAATTGCTACTAAAGGAAGAGGTTCATGAAACTAAACCGAAAATGGACGCATGGTGAATCCGGTATCTAGGAGGGATGGGTTATTACTTTTGGGGGGAATATGACTATAACGACAAGAAGGGATGTGTAAGACACAACTTATGGGCTAGAGAAGCCTTTGCAGCTGATACAGCTTTTCCTCTCGAAATAAGACCATGACCACAGTGTATGCAATGGATGGCAAATAGCGTACTTGTAGCCCTTTAGGCTTGGTGCCTCCGGGCGTAATGAAATTACTTCTACTTTGCTCATAATATATTATGCCTAAATATAGTTGCTGAATTGACAAGGGAAACATTAGTTGCATAGTCCCCGATTCAGCCCTCCAATAATAACCATACCTCCAAAATAGAGTCAACTCTACTGCCCCTAACACGCCTATACAAGGTTTTTCAGATTTAGCCGCAACACCTATAAGCCACCTCATAATGTGTGATACTCTACTTGGGCCAGCTGATATAACATGAGATATCAAACAAGCCATCTTGCATTACATAACATGATACATAGTTAAGTGGGCTGATATGTATTACGTGATACATGGTGACTCTGTTGTGTGACTACTAACTAGGCCACCCTTTATGCTAAGGTCAACTGGAAAGTTGCTTCCCTTGAGTATATAATGAGAGGACATATAAAATTTATTACCTTGATCAATATCTTTGCCTACTATTACTAGAATCAATCCTACTTCTGGCCCTACTACTAGCAGCCTACCAGTAACGTTTACTGGCACTTATATCACCATTAACTGGAGCAGAGCGACAATCTGTCACAGCTGTCGCTCCCATTATTTCTTCATTCTTTAACCGACCGTCCAGTGCCAGACTGGAAAATCGTTACAGTCGGCAGCATAAAGCTCCTCTACATCAACAGCATTATCTTAGTAGTACTTCTGCCAGCAACTTCACCATCCTTTCCAACATTCAAGTTGTCCCGGTCGCGCCAGCAGCTATGGCAGGAGCTACATCTGTCAGTGCGTCTAATGGAAGTAGCACCAGTGGTAGTCTACCAGGCTCCACTAACAAAGTTCTTCCTCCTCTCATTATCTCTGTGAAACCTGATAGCGGCCCTATTCCAGGCGGAAACACTGTATCTATCATCGGCCTTGGCTTCACAAATGCTACAGCTGTAGCTTTTGGCCCAACCCCCGCCACCTCCTTCACTGTGGCCTCCTATGAAACAATAAACGCTGTTGTTCCACCAGGACCTAGAGGCGGCGGCACTGTCTCTGTCCGTGTCACTGGATCTCAGGGTATCAGTAATACCATGCCATACACCTATAAAGCTCATCCTGTTATCGACAATGCGACTCCTAATAATGGCCCTCCTACAGGCGGAAACACTGTTATCATTACTGGCTCTGGTTTTGCCAATGCTACTTCGGTGACTTTTGGATCAATTTCAGCCACATACTTTACCAAAGTCTCTGACACACAAATACATGCTGTTGTTCCACCAGGATCTAGTAGCAGCACTGCCTCTGTCCATGTCAATGGACCTGGTGGTATTAGTAATAGCATACCATATATTTACGCTATTCCTGTTATCAACGCTATAAGTCCCACTAGTGGCCGTGTTGCAGGTGGAAACACTGTTGTTATTACTGGTCGTGGGTTGCTAGATGTCACAGCTGTGACATTTGGTCCAAATCATGCCTCTTTCACTATTGTTTCTGACACATTGATAGACGCTGTTGCTCCACCAAGACTTAATGGTATAGGCACTGTCTCTGTCTATGTCACTGGGCCTGGTGGTATTACTAGTAATGGCATACCATACAGCTACAATCAAATTGGTCCTGTTATTGGTACTATAAGCCCTACTAGTGGCCCTGTTGCAGGTGGAAACACTGTTGTTATTACTGGCTCTGGTTTCACAAATATCACAGCTGTGACTTTTGGTTCAAATCCTCAGACTTCTACTCCTTTCACTGTTGTCTCTAGCACAGTGATCAATGCTATTGTTCCACCAGGACCTAGTGGTGGAGGCACTGTCCCTATCTATGTTATTGGGTCTACTGGCATTAGTAATGGCATATCATATACCTATACTCAAACTGGTCCTGTTATCAGTTCTATAAGCCCTACTAGTGGCCCTATTGCAGGCGGAAACACTACTATTATTACTGGCTCTGGTTTTACAAATGCTACAGCTGTGACTTTTGATTCAACTTCTACCTCTTTCACTACTGCCTCTGATACAGTGATCAATGCTATTGTTCCACCAGGACCTAGTGGTGGAGGCACTGTCTCTGTACATGTTACTGGGCCTAGTGGCATTAGCAATGGCATATCATACACCTATACTCAAACTGGTCCTGTTATTGGTACTATAAGCCCTACTAGTGGCCCTGTTGCAGGCGGAAACACTGCTATTATTACTGGCTCTGGTTTTACAAATGCTACAGCTGTGACTTTTGATTCAACTTCTGCCTCTTTTGCTATTGCCTCTGATACAGTGATCAATGCTATTGTTCCACCAGGACCTAGTGGTGGAGGTACTGTCTCTGTACATGTTACTGGGCCTAGTGGCATTAGCAATGGCATATCATACACCTATACTCAAACTGGTCCTGTTATCAGTTCTATAAGCCCTACTAGTGGCCCTATTGCAGGCGGAAACACTGCTGTTATTACTGGCTCTGGTTTTACAAATGCTACAGCTGTGACTTTTAATTCAACTTCTGCCTCTTTTGCTATTGCCTCTGATACAGTGATCAATGCTATTGTTCCGCCAGGACCTAGTGGTGGAGGCACTGTCTCTGTACATGTTACTGGGCCTAGTGGCATTAGCAATGGCATATCATACACCTATACTCAAACTGGTCCTGTTATCAGTTCTATAAGCCCTACTAGTGGCCCTGTTGCAGGCGGAAACACTGCTATTATTACTGGCTCTGGTTTTACAAATGCTACAGCTGTGACTTTTGATTCAACTTCTGCCTCTTTTGCTATTGCCTCTGATACAGTGATCAATGCTATTGTTCCACCAGGACCTAGTGGTGGAGGTACTGTCTCTGTACATGTTACTGGGCCTAGTGGCATTAGCAATGGCATATCATACACCTATACTCAAACTAGTCCTGTTATCAGTTCTATAAGCCCTACTAGTGGCCCTGTTGCAGGCGGAAATACTGCTGTTATTACTGGCTCTGGTTTTACAAATGCTACAGCTGTGACTTTTGATTCAACTTCTGCCTCTTTTGCTATTGCCTCTGATACAGTGATCAATGCTATTGTTCCACCAGGACCTAGTGGTGGAGGCACTGTCTCTGTACATGTTACTGGGTCTAGTGGTACCGGTACGGTTGCATATACCTATGCTCTAGCTCCTATTGTCACCGGGCTTACCCCAGCGGCTGGGCCGATAGCAGGTGGGAATACGGTCACCATCACAGGCTCAAACTTCAGCAATGCCACAGCAGTTACATTTGATGGTATTCTAGCCAGTTCTTTTGCCATTTTACAGCCCACTCAGATAGTTGCTGTTGCTCCGCCGGCTACTGCTGTCAAGGTTGCCTCTGTGGTAGTCACAACGCCTGGTGGTTCTAGCACTCCTGGCCCAGGGTCTGAGTATGCTTATACAACTGCACCTTCCACTATAAGTGTGAGTCCTGCTTTGGGCAGCACGGCTGGTGGAGACACTGTTACCATCATCGGCAGTGGCTTCAGAGGTACCACCAGTGTGGATTTTGGAACCACCCCTGCAACAAGCTTTACAGTTTTCAGTAATACGGAGATAAATGCCATCACACCAGCACACTTCATTGGCACAGTCCCAATTGTTATTACCAGCTCAGGTGGCACAAACAGCACACTTAGTTTCAGCTTTGTGATGCCACCAGTTCTTACCTCAATTGCGCCAACTTCCGGATCGGCTGCAGGGGGCACGGTGGTGTCCATCACCGGGCAAAATTTGGCAAGTTCCCTTAATGTGAATTTTGGGCACACTGCAGTAGTGCCTACGTCCATCATTGACGACAACACAGTAACTGCAATAAGCCCTGCTGGAACGGCGGGTGTTATTGCTGTGACGGTTACTACAGCTGCTGGCACCAGCAACGGCCTCCCATTCATCTATGTCATGTAATTAGGATTGAGAAACACACGCACTGTACGCGCATCGTATTGAAATTAAAATTTGCAGTTTCAAAGCCGGGTCCTTTATAGACACCTTTGGCGGGGTGATTTGTGAGCTATCAGGAGGGGTAATGTTGGTTTACCTTCATTAGATCGCAAGATCTAAGAAGGACAGCTAATCCAACAAGCTGACTGAGCCAGTAATACTGAATTCCTAATATTGCGACTAATCCTCAGAACTAGGGGGATGCGGGTGGTGAGGTGTAGTTATCCTCCGTACCGTACGCTATCTGTCGGTTGCAAAAGGTGTGAGACTCTTGGCGCGGAACTTCGCAAAAAATGTCACAAGCAAGCCTTTTACATACAAGTCAGCATTCCACGCGCAATAACGTGTCACCACGTGTAATTCTTATCGAAAATCGCGTGAAATTCTTGAAGCTCTACTCCTCTCCCTGTTAGGAAATTTTTACTTGTGATATTACAGTATGCCGACTACGCGCTCTGCAAATAACAGCCCACTGGTCAACGAACCCCCTCCAATAAATTCATACAACCTTTGATCTCAACGTGTCCCAAGCCATATTCGAACAGGCGATAGTTTCGATGAAAGGAATTATATACCGACAGGAACAGTGACTCAAATGCGTTGCATGCAGGAGCGTCAAGCCTCGTCCGGATTGCCTACACTAGCTCAGTCTAAAACCGCGACACAAAACGTACACCAAAAGGCTGCAGAAAAGAAATCCAGTCGTAAGCGCGCTGCAGCTTCAGAAAAGGAACTCGCCTCTCATTCTTCCACTGGAGCGCCATCTTCCAAGCGTGTACGATTTGAACTTTATGCCTTACATAATATTTTGGCAAATGCAGTAGTGACTGCTGCTTCGCATGTACGTTCAGAAACACCACAAGATGAGTTAATTGTTCTATCTTCTGAAGACGCCCCTCAGCCATCTGAGGCAAATAATAATAGTGGAGAGGAAGATAATGGTCTTTCTCCACTTCCAACTGGGCTATGCTCTAGGGAATTTGACAGCAGTAGTTAACCGCAAGATTCAACACCATATGGCTCTGAGGCAATGGAGGAAGCTGCAACAAATCTTATCAATACTAATAGAAGCTTCAAACGGATTTCTGCAAAGCAGTATAATATGGTTACTGGTGAATCTCTCCGTGAGACCCATGAAGATATCAGTATTATCAATTTGTCTGATATACAAGATGAATACAACCATATGATTTCAAGCCAGGATTATTCACTTGGAATTGATCTCCAAATCTATATCAACAAACACAGAATTGCTGGGGGGGGGTGTGTTGGGATTCTGCCCTTAGATAGTCAGCACCGCCTACCGGATGTAGTTAGCGCGCTGGTAGCTAGATATCTCCGCTCCTAGGAACCTAGGTTCCTAGAGACACACACACAACAGAGTCAGTTTTCCTGCTTCAAGCACAAGAAAATATCCGCTTCGTTGACCATGTTATCGAATTTTGAATGTTATTTGTAGGAGCGGGGTAAAACGGGCATCGAGTGATCGGGAACGATAGTTGCGCGCTAGGTTCTTGGCATTGCCAACACTTTTGACTCCTGTTAGATAAACCGGATATCCAGCAAGACAGTGTCAGATAATTCGGATATCCGGAGGCAGTAAAAGGAAGTGAACAATCAGAAGCCCTATCTTATAGCTTCCAAAATTTACCCCTCTTGATGACTCACAAATCACCCCGCCAAAAGTGTCTATAAAAGACCCGGCTTTGAAACCTGATGGAGAGAGAGATACAGAACTCAATACATACAATCTTGCTAGTCACTTCTTTTCTTTGATCCTAGTAAAACACTCTTCAGGATTGGCCTGGAATAAACCGACTAATCCGACAACTCCAACCTCCGTAGATACTAAATAATTGGATAGCGCTCGTTTAACGGCACAAGAGTTAAGCGCATGTCTTATCTCGGTATTTACGTATATCCTTCTGCTTTGTTTTTGTTGATTTTTCCCTCACGTCTTTACAGGATCCTGACCTTTGCATGTTGTCCTCTCTCCTTCTCTGTCACTTGAACGATTCAGTCGCCGTACATTTGATATGATCACTATGCAGGTCTCTGATAAGGCTCCTGGATTGGAGTCGCAAGACGTGGACTATGATGTTCTTCAAGAAGCCCAAGCTGGAGCCGGAGCTGGAACTGCCCGTGATGATGATGACATGCACCGGATGGGAAAGATTCAGGAGTTAAAGGCATTTCGCACCTCTCCCTGCTGACCACAACTACACTACACGGCATTGCTTTCTCACATTCTCAAATAGAGAAACCTCCGGCCTTTGGCTGCATTGAGTTTTGCTTCGGTCCTGCAAGCAACCTGGGAATTTCTTCTAATGTGAGGAGACCCCTTCTTCAAATCTCGAATCAAACCTTTAATTCATTCTAATCAAAAATGCTGAATTGTTTTCAGCTCCAACTCTCAAGGTTTGACGAATGGAGGTATGGCTGGTTTGTTCTGGTCATTTATCTGGACTTTTATTGGATTTGGGTTCATCATCGCTTCCCTGTCCGAAATGGCATCTATGTATGATGAACCTCAAAAGACCTTGGCATAGTTGTCTGTACTCATCTAGTAGAATAATAGGGCTCCAACTTCTGGCGGACAATATCACTGGGTTTCTGAGTTTTCCGCGCCTCGATATCAAAAGTTCCTCAGTTATATTACAGGTTGGAAATTGCTGCTTTAGCCAACATCATATCTTCATCGCTAATCCTCTTATTCCTTGTGCAGGGTGGATGTCAGTGTTGGCATGGCAAGCCGGGTCAGCCTCTGGATCATTCCTCACTGGAACCATCATTCAGGGATTGATCAGCATACGAGATCCGAACTACATCCCGGAAAATTGGCAAGGTACTTTATTTGTCTTCGCGATGATCCTGGTAATATACATCTTCAATGTGCACGCATCTAATTTGATGCCCGTCTTGAATAACCTCTTGATGATTCTTCATATCCTGTCCTGGGCAGTAGTTGTAATTGCGCTGTGGGCTCTAGCTCCTCATCAACATGCAAAAGCTGTATTTACGCAGTGGGAGAATCTTGGAGGCTGGTCTAGCATGGGCTTGAGCGTGATGATCGGACAAATCTCGGCCATCTACGCTTCTTTGAGTATGTATCAACAAATTCTGTGGACTGTACAGAAGTTGCTAACGAATGAGCAACGCCAGGTTCTGATGCAACTGCGCACATGTCCGAAGAAGTCAAAGACGCAGGTCGAAGTGTACCAGTTGCCATTGCCTGGGGATATTTCAGCAATGGCCTCATGGCTGTCGTCGTGTTGATTGCTTACCTCTTCTCTATGCCATCGGTGGATGACGCCCTGAACGATGCCACGGGTTTCCCATTCCTCTACGTCTTCGAAAACGCAGTCTCAACAGCAGGTGTGAATGGGCTCACCGCAATCATATTATTACCAGTGATATTTAGCAATATTCTCTTCAATGCTTCTACATCCCGCCAAACCTTCGCCTTCGCTCGTGATAAGGGTCTCCCATTTTCCAAATGGATTTCAAAAGTTGACGAGAAGCGCAAAATCCCTGTGAATGCCATTGTTCTGTCGTGCATCATCAGTTGCTTGCTTTCGCTTATCAATATTGGTTCTCAAACTGCTTTCAATGCGATTATTTCCCTGAATGTGGCCGCATTGATGTATACGTACATCATCTCTATCAGCTGTGTAATCTATCGGAAGATCTGGCATGCTGATACTCTTCCACCGTGTCGATGGGATATGGGACGATGGGGGTTACCCGTGAACATCGTCGGGCTGGTATACTGCTGTTTTTCTTTCTTCTGGTCATTGTGGCCGAGTAGTCTTCCGGTAACCCTGGACACTTTTAACTGGAGTGTGGTGATCTTTGGAGGGGTCTTCATGACTAGTCTCGGTATGTACGTATTCAAGGGACGGAAACAATATGCAGGACCAGCGGTCATACTCTTGCGTTTGCAGGATTAATGACCTTTTTTGCTCAAAGAATATAATATCATTCGCTCACATTCAAGGCAGCTGTGGCACAATCTTTTGGCTTTGTGTGTGAAGCTCATATCGGGATAACTAAAGGAGAGGGAAGCTAGGTGGCCTTACATAGTAGATTTATTTAGTATATAGCCTTATCCCTTACTGGAAAATGCTGGGTCTAAGAAACAGCTGCTTAATGATTACCTAACCCTATCTTCATGACTAATAGATAACTAGTTTAAGTTATGGACAAAGCTACAACGAAAGCTTGTAGGGCATATTCCCAATACGGTACGTATGTTGCATTGGGGGCGACGATTAATTGGATACGCAAAGTCTGTAGTTTTCATATACGGTTCGACCCCATGCTAACAGGAACGCTTCTAACGCTTCTCGAGGATGTATTGTTCCTATTTATCCGAAATACATCACTATGGGGCATCGTCGCTCTTTCATCAGTTGATTACTATATAGTTGGTAGTTCCTACTAGAGATGGACAATCTAACTAGATCTCATTGAGGGCTTTTTTATTCTTCTTTCTAAATTAATATTATTGATTACTTTGAATTGTATTTAGCGTCCAGCCACAGCTCTCTAGTGATTGTAACGCTCGCCATCCGGTTCCTACGTTGTGAATCAGGTGAACCCTCGGAACCACAATTCGTAAGAATCGTCATTACGGAAAATTTACAAAACAAGGATAACACTGAAGAAATATACCTCAAATATGATCAAAAGTAAATACCAGACAACTGAACTACACGTCATCCATTAAGCTAAGGCAGTCCTCACCAGGTCGGCTGATTAATGGCTTCCAGAAACGCAATTGCAATGGCTCCAATTTCCTATTTTGGGCCTCTCTATGACTACAAGTAGTGCCATGGTTACATGGTCTACGCCTGATATCAGTACATAACTACAATTTCGGTATACGTGGGAATATTACCTAGATAACGGCCCTAACATTCCGCGAGATATATAACTCTAGTGTAGCCTTTCTCTCATGTACTCAACTTCCAAACACCAAGGAACAAACTGAAGACAGACATCTTATTATTGAACATGTTTGCCAAAGCTATTGCTTCATTTATGATGTTAGCCTCGTGCGCGTTCGGGGCTCCTGGGGTATGATTACTTACTCTGATAAAGAATTGATAACAAATTGATACGATCCTAGAAAAATGTACAAATTGGTGCTCCTCATGAATTGGTGTCCAATCCATCAGGCCAAAAGGTGACTTCGTCAGAAGCTTTCACGAGCGGCGCTGGGAACCGTGATAATAGTAATATTTATGACGGCACTGGCAATGCTGGAACTGACCAGTATAGTAAGACTGCCACTTTCTTTCTATTGATCCTAGTTTACAAGACCTCACACAGATTGCTATTACGGGGGCTGGGAAAATTTTCCCCCTAAGTCGGAGTGGATAGAGTTCGATGCAATGTGGAACTATTCCAAATCTGCAATGTCGACATCTTGTTCCGACCTTGGTATCGGCTCATGCTCAAATGGAGCTGGAGCATTCGGATCTGGTGACTCCGGACAACAGATTGGCATGATCTGGAATGCTATTCAGCAAGTTGCTGAGTCCTCGTTGGTTGACCATCGTTTTATTCTTGCTACGATTTTACAAGAAGTGAGTTCCAAAGACCTACTATACGCGCCATGGAGCCTATTAAATCTATACTTACATTCTTTATGTAAAGTCCTCTGGTTGCGTCAATGTGTGCGCGACGACAAACCCAGACCCCTCCCAGCCAGATAACCCGGGTCTGATGCAATCAGATGGTGGCTCAACTTTCGTTGGCAATTCTGCTAGCAATTCGGCTCAACAAACAAGTATAACGCAAATGGTCATTGACGGCACTCAGGGAACAGCTGATGGTGATGGTCTCGTCCAATGCATTAACCAATACGGAAACGTCTATGAGGTAAGATCCCTATGTTGGATAGGATTTCGAGGTGTGATACTAACAGACACAGGCTGCTAGATGTTACAACTCTGGATCAGTTGACAGCTCTGATTTGAACAATGGGGAAGGAGCGACGAACTCGTACGTGAATGACATCGCTAACCGACTGACTGGATGGTTGTATTCCAACTCAAACTTCGACAACTGCTAAAAATATCGTGCGCGTGTTCAATGATGAGTGGGAGTGGACAAGGTTGATGATCGACATGTGTCCATGTATCGTTAAATTATCAACGTTAAAGTGCCTTAAATTACTCTTATGTTCCAAGTTGATCATTGATGGTATGATTTAAATACGTAGCCTATAAAATAAGTAACTCGGTCATGCATGCCTGCTTTATCTATGCCGGCTATGCTTCGACTATTACGTGCACTTTCCATGAGAAGTTACAAGATTCCAAAAGAATGCACACTTTTCTATATATATATATATACCTTTATTGTATGCAAAGGATGCCACAAAGAGCCAGAAGGGCCAGTTATATCAGAGGATAGCTAGGTATGATCTGTCTAGGTGGTAGGAGAGTACCTAACTAATGGTAGGTATAAAGAACCTTACGAACCAGGAGTACTTTTATCTTCCAGGACCTGCAGAAATCTCTGCTTCTCGAGGTTATGTTTCATCCCATTCTTCCAATTTACGAACTACCTGCCTTCCACCGGCACAAGGTCGTACTGCTACCTCGGGGAAACGTTGTCATCTATGCCACCGGGAAGTATGTCGAATTTGTAGGACAGGTAAATATGAAAGCTACACGCCGGTTTGGAGACAAGCATTTGTTGATTATTTAATATTTAATATTTATTGATGAAATCTACTCAACGCAAAAATTCATACTTTATTCCACTGAGATTCATCGCACACTGACTGTTTAAATGATCCAACTTCTCCGCTTTCTCGTTCTACTATATCATTGCAGAAGTCGAACCGAATATTGTACATGTTCAGTGACATCTGGATGATTGATCAAGAACGAGGCTCGCAATTTCAATGATGTAGAAGAAACTTGTTTTAACTTTTCATGGACTTCATCAACGATTGGTGTATGATCTGATAACAATTTCAGCAGCGACCTAGCAATCACTCTGATCACTCGTCAAAAATTTTTTCAAGGTAGTTAAGCCAATTTTCACCAAGAACTTTACGCATCTTCGTTTCAGACCAGCCTGCTCTAGCCATAGCTTCTGCCAGCTTTCCGCGCTCCGCTAATGGACCCAGAGGCTTAACTACCGTCTGACTCCCCCACGGGGTCAAACGCCTTGCATATCCCTTGTCCTTGTTACACCAAGCCATGAATTCACTCGGCCGGCCATGGCCCTCACTTGAATCAGAGCCGACACCAACCAAATCTTCCCCAATCAAATCAATAACATAATCCAACGCAGCAACATAGTCGTCGATAGTACTATCATTGCCTTTTGCCATATGTGGTCCAAACTGCGAAAGACCAACAAAACCACCCTTTGACCCAATAAGCTTAATGAGATAATCAGACTTATTGCGAGGGTGGTCTTTGAGCCCCGCAGGTAATACATGTGAGAAACATGGTGGTTTACTAGAGTAATTAATGGCGTCTTCACTGGTTCTAGGTCCTACGTGGCTCAAGTCAAGCACGATTCCAAGTTTGCTCATCTCATCAACCACTTCGCGTCCGAATCCGGTCAGCCCAGAATCGTTCAGCTCGGTATAGCCGGCACCCGAATAATTCTGTGTGTTGTATGTAAGTTGCATTTTCCGCACGCCTAGGTCGCGGAATATGCGCAAATAATCCAGTTGGTCTTCAATGCCAGCTGTGTTCTGCCAAGAGAGTAGAACAGCCGTCTTCCCGTCCTTCTTGGCTTGACGGATGTCCACCACTGTATGTGCCTGGACGATTAAGTCGGAGTGCTCCTCAAACCACTTTTTCCACTGCACGACATTGGCAATTGATTGCCTGAATCCCTCCCACAACCCGCAAGTGCAGGAAACTCCGGTGATGCCACCTTTATTCCAGGCCTCGAAGATATCCCTTGACCAATTGGCTATATTCAAACCGTCAAAATGAATGGCTGATCGATAAATTTGCTGTGCTTCGGATTCGGAAAGCATTCTGACGCGCAGGGGGTTGATATTGATGGTGGTGAGGAGCTCGTGAAAAAACTGTTGAATGAATAACAACCGTGCAATGGGAAGAAAACTTGGTCTAACATCGAACTCGCATGCCGTACAGCGTGACTGATTAATCTATAGGCAATTTTCCCATGCTCGGAGCCTCCGACAGAGACCTACCACAACCGGTAAGGGGTAAGGGTTATTAGGGTTATATTGGGATCCTTATCAATCACGCCATGCTGAGCTAATCCAGGACAAGAAGTGCAAACAAGGCAAACAAAGGTTCACAACGTAACAACGAAAGGCTTTCCTTTGCTTCCGGATTCCAGAATGCTAAACAGCTCGATGTTTTCTTCCCCGTCTGAAAGTCACGAACCGCCATAGAGATGCTGGGTTCTGGGTGATGATGAAGGGCGCGTTCCAGCAGTTTCGCATATCAAAGCCTCCACCACGAAACGGCCGTCGCACACAACAACAGTCGCAATCCACTGGTACTTCGGACCCACCATCGGTTTCCGCGTCGCAGTCAACTCCAGATGAGTTCGAAGAGTCTTCGCGATACTCTGCACAGTTTGCCTGCGGGCGTTGTCGGCGATTAAAAAAAAAGTGTACCCGTACGGCGGAAGGGTCATGCAGTCTATGTCTTGCAGCTTGGCTACCATGCTCTTTTCCCAAGTCTATCCAAAAGGCCCAGGAACGCGAGAAGGCGTTTCAAGAACGCATTTCATGGCTCTCTCGCTTCGTGAATGAGGCCCGACCCCCCAACTCAGTCCCCGTTGAGTTGATTGAGACCGGCCAGGACATCATCACAACTTCAATTACCCCTCCTATCCCTACCGAGCAGGCCCCCATTGCCAGTGACTCCTGGACTGTGTACAGCCATCAGCAAGAACTCTTGCTTGGTTTTGGGAAAACCCTAAAAGGTTATCCCAAAACCATCAACCCGCCATGTCTTCTCGATAAAGCTACAGGCACGCGCCTCGTAGATGCGTACTTTCGCCACGTCCATCGTGCCTATCCCTTTCTAGATCGCCATGAAATGGTACGATGCATGATTTCCTGCTTCCTATCGGCGACCAACGATACCATCTTGCTGGAAATATCACGTATCCCAACTCGCCTTGCTGTGGTCATGGCTATTGGTCGTACAACACTGCAGCGAGTAAACGAAATTGGTAATACGTTAGTTCCCTTTTTCAACATCCCGGAAAAGGAGATCATTCACGATTGCTTGTGCAAAAATGACCTCGCATCCTTGGAGATCCTGACCTTGCTTACCTTATATTCTCTATTTGAACCCAACAGCGTACCACCAGGTTCAATTACAGGAATTCTGACGCGCAAGGTAGTCTCTATGGGTCTTATACGAGATAGCGGTTCTTCTTGTGAAATATCTCAGGTCGAATTGGAACGTCGCCGGCGACTCTTTTGGTCTGTATATGTGTTAGATCGCATGATCAGCGTCTCTTACGGCCTTCCACCTGGTATCAGCGATGATGATATCGCCGTTCCGCTGCCAAGCATCACCGTCGACGAATATGCATCCTCAGACCGATACAGCTATGCCATGACTCTACAGGTGAATCGACATGTCGTCTCTTTACGACGCCTTGAAGGAAGAATCATGCAGAAAATCCATCTATTATCCTCACAGAGACTGGCTGCGATGAGTTCGCCCATTTCAACGTCCTATTATGAGGACACTCGCCGTGAAATAGACGACTGGTATACGCAAGGATGTCTCATGTCTAGCTCAGCAATGAATAACACCGATCATCTGCCTTTTCATAACACTATTACATGGCATAACGTACGATATCAAAACCTTTACGTTTTGCTATATAGCCCTTCTAGGTTCAATGTGGAACGTTCCTTGGATGAAATTGAAGAATTGCATTCTGCCGCACGCAAGTATGTGCATGCCAGTCTCATCCTACAGCAGCAGAATCACCTCCCTCTCAATTGGATCACTTTATGTCGATTCTTGACGATGGGCGCCACATTTTTTTACTGCTACGTATGGCGACTCAAACATATTTCGTGTCCTGGGAATATAGAGGTTCATAGTGACAATAAGTCTCGAAACTATATCTTGCCATGGGAATCCCCGAATTCCACGACAGGAGGAGAGTCGACCTTATATGGAATGGCTAACGACGTGGCTCTATGTGCAAGGGTTTTGGAATCCTTCTCGGAAGATTGGGGAGCCGCTAAACGCGCAGCAGGCGTCTTGCAACGATTCTCTGGATATGTAACAGAACAGCAATCGACATCCTTCGTGGAAACAACACCCCGTGCTGACCAAGGTCTTCAATCTTTAGCTCGACATTACGATCCTGTTCTCGATGCCGTGGTTGGCGCATCCGTGCTGGACGCTCCCCTGAATGACCGGCAGTTGCTTCCGCTGCAGACTATTCGTAGAGAAATCCAAGAATTGATTAAGGACACGCTTGGAGAGACCACGATTTATTCCCACGCAGTAAAAGAGTTTGAGTCCACGTCCAGGCTGATGAAAACTGACGACGGGCCCAGGTTGTTTCCCGCCGAGAAGTATGGAGCGACATCGCTCGCAGTCAGTGACTTCCCAGACCCAGATGCCTCAGCGGATAAGTCAGGTCGCATTACGAGCTCTTGGCCGGATTTCATGGATGACCTGGGTTTTGGGGTTCTTTAATAGTAGTATATACCAATATGCTGCTCCTCCTGACTTTCATGGAATGCTGTGGCCAAACAGTGCGTAGTTCCTGCAATTGTGCAACCAAGCATCAACCCGATCGAGATACCTATCTTTTATGTGTGGTGGAGAGATTTACTCCGGCCAGAAGAAATAGACTATGGAGAATGTCGTGTCCTGTGAAAGCCTATCGATAAGAATCGCGGAACCACCGACTCGGGGAGTTCTCCGCTCGGGCTTCGGGTGACCCAATGCGGAAAGACAAGGCGGAGGTGCTCCGACTCTCAACAATTGATTCTTTGCAGTGACCAACCGAAAGCATCAGATGACATTGTTGAACTCATTGTAAGTATCGATGTCGCAATCGCATCCACGTAGCCTCTATTCCTTTAGCCCGTTTACTATCAAATCGATGATTGTTGATAGCGGTTTCTGCGTGTGTCACTGTTCTTTCGGCTAGTACTTAAAGATGTGGGCAGAACGACAAGCTTCTGATCCTGCCACAAAGTTTCACACGCGAACTTCCAAGGTCTACAACAGCTATTGAATCATGTCGGCGCAAGACGACGAGAGGAAGTCGATGAGGAATACGGCTACCACTTCCTCGGAAAGTGAAGATGGCGGCTATCCCCAGCGTCTGCCCCTGAGCAAGAGAATTCTAGGTACAATTTGGGATTCACTAGATAAGTCTCCTGAGGAGAGGAGATTGATTGCAAAGCTGGACTGGTGGATCCTGTCGTATGTCTGTGTTGCGTATTTCATCAAATATCTCGACCAGACCAACGTACGTATAGCTACCGGGTTCATTCTCTCGACCATGGTTCTAACATGATGTCCATCTACAATCTGCAGGTCTCAAATGCATACGTCTCAGGAATGAAGGAAGACCTCAAACTAAAAGGTAATGATTTGAACTATCTTACGACTTACTGGACCATCGGATATATCATCGGCAACCTCCCCTCTCAGGTCATCCTGACTAAGGTCCGTCCGAGCATTTGGTTGCCCACTCTGGAAATCATTTGGAGTATTTTGGTGATTGGTATGGCTGGAGCTAAAAACGTAACCACGATCTATACGCTGCGATTCTTCATTGGGTTGCTCGAGGCATCTGCTTACCCCGGCATCATGTCACTTCTTGGATCGTGGTATACGCCTGCAGAGCTTGGAAAGCGTAGCTGTATCTTTCAGGCATCCTCTAGTGCTGCGCAGATGTTCTCTGGCTATCTTCAGGCAGCACTATACAAGGGAATGAATGGCCGGAGTGGAATGTCGGCGTGGCAGTGGCTTTTCATTCTTGACGGCATTATTGGAATCCCCATTGCCTTGTACGGTTTTTGGGCTGTGCCGGACTCTCCTACAGATACGCGTAGCCGGTGGCTCACTGCCAAAGAAAGGGAATTATCCATCGAGAGAATGAAGAATGCCGGACATGCACCTCCACGGAAGTTGACGCCTCGCACATTCTTCGACGTTGGTTGTACCTGGGCTGCATGGTTGTTCTCGCTATTGTTTATTGCACACGTTTGCGGAATCCGAATTTACTCGTATTTCAACGTCTGGCTGAAATCCACAGGCCGTTATAGCGTTGAACAGGTCAACCTGATCCCGACAGCCGGCTTCGGAGCTCAGATAATCTTTACCTTATCGTATGCGTGGATCAGCGATGCTTTGCAGATGCGATGGCCAATAATCATCTTTGCAGCAATTATTGCGCTTATAGGAACTATCATCCTTTCTGTGTGGCCAGCGAACAATATTCCTGCAATGATGACGGGATGGATTCTCACCTTCTTAGAAACCGGGGCTGGTGCTCTGATTATCGCCTGGATCAATGAAGTTTGTGCTTACTCGAGAGAGCACCGTATGCTGATTATAGGCTTTGTGGAAACAATGGCTTTTACCTTCAATGCATGGGTTCCTTTGCTAGCATACAACACGTCTCAGTCCCCTCATTTTAAAGTTGGATACAAGCTAGCTGCGATGTTTTTTGCCTTGGAGATTGTCTTAACGTTGTTAATCGCGTATGTTGAGAAGCGATGGAATTTGCAGAAGCAATATCTTAGACGAGAAGAGTCTCAACAGGGGCAGGGAGAACAGGAAACCCACACGGGTGTTTCTGTCGACTAGTAGATATAAAAGTTATTTCAAGCTAGGAGCTGACATCAAAATTTAATATACATATTTATATACTACTCAGCTGGGTAATGACTGCTCATGGAAGTACGATACAAAAGAATGCAGTATGTATTTGCAGGTTATTTTTATAACCAGTCCCAAGGTTTTTGTGACCATATCTCTAGTACCCAGGTAAGTTCACTGCTTCACTGTATATGAATAAACACTCAATGCCTTCCTGTAGATATTCGCAAAATTTCCACTAATTCACAGAGAGAATGAATGTCCAATAAGACCAGCATATAAGTGTTGTTTGTTTTCACTACTATTTTGTCTCGATAAAAGCGCCTACTCAATCTAAGTGAAGTGTTGTATTAAGATCAATATAGGAGAGCACCTTAGACTATTAGGCACCACAAGTGATCCAAGTGTGACTTTTAGTAGGTTTGGTGATGGTTCCAAGATGAAATTTACCCGTCGCAGCGCCTTACCCGTCGGCGGTGCGGGTCGGCTCCGGCTCAACAGAATCAATTTTTACATATCATGTACAAATTGACCCAAATTGAGCTTCAAAAGCACCATCAAAATGCCATCGATTCGTACAAAAAAACAGGAAGTTGATATAAAAATAGCAGCATAGGAATTGGCAGCAAGATAAATTCAAGACCATCAAAGTTGCTGCGCGAGCCCATGCGACTCTATATACGACTCTTTACGACAGTGTCAAGGGCCGCGCATCCAAATCTACACGCAAAGCAACGAACCGCTTATTTACAGAGTATCAGGAACACGCATTAAAGGCATGGTCAGCTTAACTTGACGACATAGGGTCACTCCTACGACAGAGCTCTTGAAAACGCAGGCCAATCCTACTATGCAATATGACGCCCATTGTATATATGTAGAAAATCAAACTTTTTCTTTTGGGGGACAATACTGTTAAAAATAAAGGTTAGTCAGGAGTCGACATTACCTTATTACACAGAAGAAGTGCGCTGTGAACTATCTAGGTAGCCGACTTGAGTCTGTGTATGAACAGCTGTACGTACTTCCAGGTTTGACAGAGTTTAGTCGTTCACCTGGGCAATGTTAGGTAACTCGACTTCACCGGGAAATTTCTGTACTATTCCAACTTCGCAAAGCCCTCTACCATAGTTCAGGTATACGGATATGCTCATATGTATTGGTAGTATCGGTTTATTTCTACATTATTCCATGGATTCCTACGCAATGCACCTGAAGTTCTGTTTCCTAGTAATTATGAGCAATATCGGGTCTCAATTACGGTAGTTCGTTTTCGGTTTGAGGGATCTCATAGATTCGCACTACCTTATGTACAATGTGGCTAGTTTCTAAGGTCATAGCGGTGGCTCGACCACTTCCTATTCAGTGTTCCATGAATTGTATCGCTACAAAGGAAATGCATTGATCGAATAGCGACGTCTACTCTATTACATCGGTGATTGTTATATTTATTGTGTCGGTATCTCGGAAGATGATACTTCTTAGGCTGTGTGGCTGGCTGAGACGCGGAATTGCTGCATGGTTATGCTAGGATGTGAAAATTACTACTAACTTACGCGATCCATTTATTCCTCTTTTCTTTAATCTTTCATAGAGATACTGCGCAATCTTGATTAGATGCTGATCCCTGCCATAGCACCTATTATGTGGCCAGAAGCTCTGAATCAGTGGATTCCGAATACATCGTATATCACGTCTTACGGAGTTCATGCAAGCTAGTTTATATTATTTAATCATATTGCGAATCAGTAGCCATAGGTCCCAGTATTATACATTTATCTGCAAGCACGAAAGTTTGTAAAGAATACCGCACCAAAATTGTAAGGTAGATCATCTAGGGAAGAGATGCATACATAAAGTCATGATAATAGTTCTTCGTGATATCGTGCTATGGATGACCTTTGACACGTTAGGTAGTTACATTTATATCTTCATACTCCAAGAGGAACTCCACAACAATAGCTTCTCAACTAACCACACATTTATGACTGGAGACAATAGCTGAGCTACCTCACGATTATCGGGGACTCTAATGTATGAGAAACCATAGGGGGGATATGATAATAATAATGCAGCTATCCCTGCTAGTAATACTCCGTAATAGCTAGTCATGATCGAGATGTTTCCGTAAGACAAACTAAAACAGCGTCATTCGCTGCTTATACGTGCCCCAAAAAATGGTCTCAATTATATGCATGCACTCCACAGACTAACCAGTTATCAATCGCCCATTGGTTCATCCATAGTCCTGACTCTTTGCTCAGTCTTTGTAGTCCCCGCCTTGAGATGCATCATACTCGACAATTGTATGACGAGAACTCGCACTCGAAAGGAAAACAGCAATGACGACTTGAAATGTGATCCCCTTAAGAATGATCTACTCTGATCGTCTAGATGATGTATTCATCTAGCAGCCCCACGATGTCCTAGTACACTGTATATCCAGAGCTCGAAAGTTCGATTGGCGGAATCTAGGCGAGCTTCGTATCGTGTTAGATCTACTTACCGAATCCGTAGGTGGAAATATTACTGGTCATATTCACTAACACCTCTTTGGTACGGTGGGATCCTCGGTTGTAACAATGATTTTAGCGAAGGATGTCCCGGTTTCATTCTCAACTGGGCTGCTATATTGAGACTTGACAATGTTGACAGATGTGGCTAGCTTCGGAAAGTTCTCCTTCTCCACTGCTAGCCAGCTATCGCCGGCGCCAGCTGTACTTACAGCGCCTTGGAGCATTAGCTCACGCCTCACGGGACATCTAAGGCAATGCAATTATGTGCAACCCGTAACGAACCCCGCTTCTAAATTCTTTCTACAGAGTTCAAGTTCAGTTATTTCTGGCATACTACGAAGTTCCTCAAGTTATTATGTAATTCCTTCGGAGCGTGACGGACCAAATTGACGAACGGAGAGTAGTAAAAATACTATTTCTAACGCGGGGGTTTCTGTAGATAATCAGGATCGAATTAACAAATCGTCAGCTGCAAATAGTACCCATCGTTCATGGAATGCAAGGTTTGAGAAGCAGATCATTTAGGGCAATCAGCGATTCAGCGGGTATTGGCCAGCAAGTGACAAGACGCAGAGGAGAGATGTGGACCAACCAGGCCAAATTCTGCACTAAGGTACGTAGCACTAGTCGCCCTTTGACGCCAGCCAGACTCACCCAGGTCGTATAAGAGATGGTAGTTCGGGGCTTTTCAGGGTTCCCGCCGGGCCGCTGGCCCACTTAGCCTGAGCTGATTTTGAGCCCGTGGTCATCGCCACAGATCATTGCCAGACCAGACCTCCACGTCTTCCTTCCAGACTACTTACGCATTATTGATGAGAGAACCATTACCCTTGCCGTGCTTGCAGAATTTCTAAGGTGACCTACAACCGATCAATAATCACAGTCAGAAATATTCAACCGAGTCGGCGCGCACATGGCCCTTTTTTTTGCCAAGCCATGGGTCAAACCGAGTCCAGCAAACATTTTCGGACAGGCTCCAACTACTTGCATGGTGACGCACCCCAGGCTATTGAGAGAGACATTTCAATACCGATCCTCTTTGAATCGTGGAGTATGTATGCCATAGTTTGCCCCACTGTTCCACAAAACCTGATGTAGACATAGCTTCGCCATGTTCTGATCCTAATTTGAGAGCAGAGCAGACCACCACCTGCCCGTGCAACATTCTGTACTGATCCGGAAATTAGTGGAGTAGTACAAGCTGCACCTTTATATACGGCTTTTTTTTCCGGTTGGCTCAATTGGTTTCGTCCGCATGTTTTACAAGTGAACCTCGCAGGCGAGACTCGCCAAATGGCTCGAGCTATGGCCACAAGAAGTCGAACTCATGTGTGGTTCAGGCAGCCATATACTGCTTTCAGGTGCCTTGGACTCATTGTATCGTTACACTGTATTGACACCCTGCGGCGGACTGGATTGTTAAGAGCTTCGGTGGGTGTGACGGCTAGAGCGGCTTAGCTGAGAGAGCTTTCTTCTCCACTTGCGAGAGCATCCACGAGCTATCCACGATTTTTGGCTGCTAAGTCAAGCAGTTCAGGACGTTCATTTGAAACTAAGTTCAGACCATCTTGCTGCAAGGTGTGCGCCACATGATTCTGCTCAACATTTGCAGTTCATACCGCACAATGGATCAGCAACCAATCATGTCAACTTCGTGCATGACAAACTGCAAGACGAGACGGGAATCATTGTTGATCAATTTATTTTACTCAATTTATGACGAGTGAACGTTGATCCTATCGGCTCATGCTACCTGGGCTTGTACGCTATGCCGTAAGATTCTCATTCATGTGAACAGGGATCTTGAAAACAATAGCTGGTAGTCCGGCCCATTGATCGTCCTTCTTGCAAGGGAAGCTTGAACTCGGAGTAGCCGGATCAATTTCTGCATTTCAAAACTATTCCAGGTTCCACTGTTTCTAAATTCATCGACAGCTTGGAGAGGTGCAACCGCGTCTGACACTAATGTCATCAAACGGATCTTCCACAAACCAAAACGCATTCCCATAAAAAGGTCACCAGAGCCCTCTTTCCTTTCCTTTCTGCAATTTCTTTTGTATAGAAGCTATTGAATGTTTTGTATCAAGTGCTTCAAGTGCTGCATCAGAAAAACCGAGAGTGATACCCCTCCTCCCCCAAAATTGGTTATACAGCGCAACCAATCGGTGGGAGACAACCGATTGAAATATCGCACTGAGGAGAACACCACTGAACTTCCCAGGAATACTGTGCAACCAGAAGCTACCCTATCTGTTATCCCTAGCCCACCAATCCATCCTCGGCCAACAACAAACATGGCACCTTCTCTACAAGTAGAGTCACCATCACATCCTCTGTCTCCTGGGCTTGGGGGACACTGGAGACGAATCTCTGGCGGCATTCTTGATTTTGATAGTGTCTCCAATGGCGCTGCGCGTTCTGTTGTCTCGCGACGAGTCTCTAGAAAGACGGCCGCCGGTGGAGAGTCCTCAACCATCTCCAACGTGGTTTACTCCCTAAAACGACGAAGTGGTGATGAACTGGGCGGGACAACATCTTCAAAACTGATGAACGCAAATCATGCTACGCTCCTAGACTGGATCCGTCATCAGCGCATGAGCAAGATTCCACCAGAGGGAAGTAGCTATGACAAGGTCTTGGCATGGGCCCAATTATTTGTTGAACGTTTGCACTCTTTTGATCTTGCTATTGAACACTTTGCGGGAGATAGCTATTTAGCGGCACAGCTGGCATACGGCTATTGTGCAATCTTGCTAGAGGTTTGTCTTAGAAGCTCCCCTCTCGCTTCCACTTACAATACAATGTCTCGAAACTGATGCCAATTTAACAGCTGGGTGAAGAAAATTCTTCAGCACTTAGGATTTCATTTGGCTTCTTCTACAGCATATCGATGGTCCTAGTCAATCTCCTCGAACGCACTGAGCTGTTCGCCGTGTCCCAAGAGATTAAAGAACAGCTCGTTCTGGCATTGACGGACTTGGTTACATTGGTGGCCAGTGTGTCCACTTACTTTCACAAAGCTCTTCGTGGGCTGACGAAACCAATAATCTCCGTTAATATATACGGCACTTTCTCGGGGCAGATAGAAAGTTTCCGCAGCCGTTGTGACAAGATCTCGGAGGCAATGTGGAAACATCAACTCTTGAAGGATGACTTAGATGGAGAACGAGGTAAGCTTAGGCGAATATCAATACACGTTATTGTAACTAGGAGCGTTCTGATATCCTTCCTTGTAGTTTCCGAAGTCAAATCTATCAGACAATGGTTGGCCCCAGAGGACCGTGTCCTTGCGAACGTCGCCGAAAATACGTCGCATCTTGCCCACGATCGCGAGGAATTGACATGCCTTTGGTTGAGTCCTTACTTGACCCGTTTCCTTAAGAGCGAGCAACTCAAAGGCCTCTCCATCACAGGCGCATCAGGCTCCGGAAAGACAGTTTTGGCTTCGGTTATTGTCGATCATTTACAACATCCTATTGGTGGCGTAACATACAACACTCTGTTCATTCCAATTAGTAAGAGAAATGCCATGCCACATATTACTCAGTTCTGTAAACAATACTAACTAGGTATGATTCCGTTAGATGCCCGTGTTCCGGTCGAGACAGAACCCCAGGCTGTGGTGAAGTCGATTCTTCGCCAGTTATTTGAGAAACGAATCGGCAATACTCACCTATTTCAGGTTCTTTCTGATGCGTACGATCGCAGCAAAAAAGTTACCGTCATCGACGACTATGAAAAGATTCTTTGGGATGCCCTAGACACTTCCCTCGGTACTCCTCTTCGTGGCTCTAAACCTCTTGTTCTTGTCGTTGACGGTCTTGATGAAGCATCAGGCTCAGAGTCGATCTTGCTTCAAAGGCTCCAAGCCGCTACCAAGAAGACAAATAATCTGAAACTCGTCGTTTTGGGGTCTCAAAAGTTTGAGGCATCAAATGTACTCACCAACATACACATAACCTCGGACTTGATTTTTGATGATATTGCGGCTGTGATACGGAACGGTTTCGAAACATATCCAGTATATACCACTCTTCCAGAAACAGATCAGGAAATCCTGATCGAGAGAATTACGCAGGCTGCCAATGGTTCCTTTCTCTGGGCTAAGCTTACCGCCAAGCTCGCTCGCAGCGCAGATTCTGCTGGCTCCCTTCAAAAGTTCGTCAATTCCATAGTCACTTCGAAGCTGACTATTACGGACTTGGTTACACAGTTTCTGCAGTCACCAGATCTCACGGATGAAGCTAAGCTCATGGTGATCTGGCTAGCGACGGCACAGCGCCCTTTATCTCAGAGCGAACTGTCCACCCTGCTTTCTATTCAGATTGACAAGGCCACAGTTACGGACCGAAAATTTGACGTGCTAAAGCTCCTAAAACCTGTCAACTCTTTGGTATGCGTCGAAGATGGTTACGTTTACCTTCGACATGGTCAGGTTCGATCGGCTGTCATTGATGTCTTCTCGAAGGGAAAGCTTGTTCCTACCGTGAAAGATAGACATGCAGACCTGTTGCGAAGACTTTTTGTCTATTCGCGATTTGCAATTACTGAAGACCACGAACCTTCCTTGACCTCCTTTGATCGCTTCGAGAAATCCAAGCTTCTTGACAAATATGTACTTCTTGATTTTTCCTTGCGATACTGGTTTACACATCTCTGCCAGACGACTACCTTTACTACAGATGGCGAAGCTGGCGCAGCAAAGGAGTTTGGTAAATTATTCCCGACAAGTACAACATTCTACCTATTGCAACAAACCGTCTGGGAACACAGACCAATTCCAACTCTTCTATCATGGTACACGACAGTTACCAAACTTACTCGGAATGTCCTTACCCCCAATCACCTGGCCACACTACAGTCAATCCTTACACTTGCCCTGTTCTACCGTCAGATTGGCCGCTATCCAGAATCTGGCCAGTTGTTCTACGAGGCGATCTCTATCAGTCGTACCGTCCTCAACTCGCAACACATTATTACCACGCAACTTGCGAGTCTCTTCCTTGAAGTGACGGCCGAGAAGGTCACAGAGACCAGGACCGACATCATGACTAAGAGGGAGGAGATCCTTCGTCTACTGGTGGAGGCTTACAAAACCCATTACGGAGCAACCTCTGAGATCGTGATTTCAACGCTGACCCAATTGGCTGAACACTACCAACTCATAAAAGAAGATTCCAAGGCAAGAGAAATTTACCTCTCACTTCGGTCGGCTACCATACAACAATATGGTGCCGATTCTCAGGAAGCTCGAGACATTGGTGGCAGCCTGCATGTGCATCTGACTGGCCATACTTCGCAGATCGAGACAGACACACAGACCACGCTCCTCCTAGATGTTGAGGAAAGAGATGAGCTACTCGAGTCAGAGACCCAGAATTTCTGGGCCCTCTTGAAGAAAGCCGAGCAATATTCATCCGAAAGCCAATTTCAGTTGGCAGAGAAGACATTTGTTCAGATATGGCAGCAAGCAAGCAAGGAATGTCGCATGCACTATTCTTCTGAGTGGGAAGAAAAGAAATTCAAGGCTGTTTTGGCGTACTCCAAATTCTTGAAAGCGCAAAAAAGAGAGTACGAGGCGTCTTCTCTACTGACCACAACGTGGCAAGAGTATGAACAGACCAGCGTCGCGACTGAGACATCTATCTCTTATATAGCCGAGATTGCGAAAGTAATGAAGAGCGTTGGCTTATCGAGTCTTGCGCTCTCCGTCTATAAGCGCGTCTCGCAGTTCTACGAAAGCACCAGCCGAACCCAAACGTCAGCATATAAAGAGATCCAAGAAAGTATCCATATCACCTCGCAGGAGGTGCTAAAGGTGGTCTCTACGTCCTCTTCAGTCGTGTCTGAAACCACCCTTGAAGAGATTGTCTACGAAGCGTCATCTTCTATCACTACAGTTGATCAAACTTCGATCACTGCTACATCAACCCTCTTCGAAATGTACATTTCGCAGCATCGTTGGCACGACGGTACGCGTTTAATCAAACGAGTTTTGCAGGGAATCTGGCCTACCCTGTTTGCTCCGTCGCTGCAAGATGTTACTCTGCCTGGCAAGCACGTTGAGCATTGCATTGAGCTTGCGGAGCGGTTGAGTCAATGCTATCACGCCCGTCGTCGTATCGGAAAGGAAGAAGATATTCGTGCCAGAATCTATCGCGCAGTTCGATCCGACCGTCAAGTCGGAGATAAACTTCTTGATCGCGTCACCACAGAACTTCTCCGCTTGTTTGAACGTACTTCCCAGACAGACAAGGTAATCACCCTTCGTCAAGAACTACTCGGCGACTATCTTGGAAAGTACGGCCTTCACCATTCAATTGTGATTACCAATCTTTGGGCTCTAGCGGAGTTGACACGTCCACGTCCGATTTTTGTCGATTACTACCGCCAGATCATTACCGCGATCAATAAAGACTCTGACATCTGCCTACCGGATGCCTTTGAGCCTCTCGTAATTGTTGCTACAGAGTTGTGGACTCAAGGACGTTATTCTGATGCGGTATCCTATTATCAAATTCTTTACAAAACTTTCTTGCAGCAGCCCAAGTTGAACCCCAAATTTGAGGACCAAGAATTTGTTAAATCCTTTTTCACGCGGTATACTCACTCTCTTCGAGCTCTACAGACTGAATTCGCTGTAATCCACAAGATTACAGTCGACTATCAAGCTAGGGTCAAAGCTATTTTTGGTGCTACGGCGTCAATTACCATCCAAGCATCCTTGACATTGGCCAAAATCTGCCAGGAATCAAAGCGATTTGAAATCGAGGCTATTCATCTGTATGAAGAGTTATTGAAAATCAAGTCGGACGAAATTGACTATCAAGAGATTACTGCCACTCTGGATGCTATCTACGAAGAACAAACTGCCATTGTGACATCAACTCAATCTGAGTCAGTCTCTTCTGCCCAAATTGAACGCGCAGCCTCCGTTCTCAAGCGTCGCATAACTACTGTGCGTAAGACACATGGTTGGGCCCATGAGGAGTCTCTCTCCAAGATGCAAGAGATGATTTCGTTCTACTCTAAGCGTAATGAGACGGAGACTGTCGTTAAGGAGTTGAAGGAGGCCACAGTGCAAATTCTCACGACAGAAACCTCATCTACCAGACTCATTGCCAGTGCATCTACCATTGCAACGAGTTACATTGCATCAAATCAGATTCAAAAGGCGACCGAGCTATCTCACGAAGTATACCGGCAAATTGTTATGAAAGATAGTACTAATGCAAAGTCTGTCAGCTTCGATCTCACATCCAAAGACCGGCAGAGCCTCGTGTTCTTGGCCCAGTTTGAATATAGCTTGCGCCAAAACTCGTCATTGACCTTGAATGAGATCTTTTCGTCTTTGACAACAGAGTATATCTACTTTGAGGAGTACAGAAGCCAATTGAGATCAACAAGTACCACTCTGCAAAGTTTAACATTCAATGCTGCACGACTCCACGCATTCCTGCTCTCCAGGGAACGTCACTCAATTGCCACGCGAGTCTACGAAGATTTTCTCAATTACTTCTTGGGGACCGAGGGTAAACGGATCAAGTTGACCGAAATTTCTCAAGCTAGGATTTTTACACTCACCCTGCTGAACTACTTCAGCGTTCACAGCACTAAGAATTTCCTACGTTCTATCGGCATAGCGAGCTATGAACATACACAACAGTTGATTACGGATAAAAGATATGATGCCGCTGCTGATCTCGCCCTTGCAGCTTTCCGTTACATTTCTGCGCATGAGGAATATCGCAGCACGTCAATTCTGAAATTTGTTTTTCAACTTGGTCTGGCTGTTGCTGGGCGTAACACTGTTCCGGCATCTGACGAAGGTGCTCGTTCGAAGTTATTGAAGGTTTCATCTGTGATCCTGCAAGAAGCCTTTAAAGTTGTCAAAGAACTAAAGATCAACTTGACACGACTTAGCCTGGGCCATTTGAACAATCTCATTGCTCTTCTCGGGGAACAACAAGACTACCGGTCCCTATCCTGGCTTCTGACGCTACTGTGGAACAGTCGCGACGCTCAACGGTCGTGGCCGCCATCTGTTACATTTGCTCTTGGACGTCGGTTTATTCTTGTGCGCTACCTTGTGGGAGAGGTAACAGGTGCACTTCGCCTTGCGGAAGACATTGTTTACAATTGTCGCCGCGTCCATGGACCTCGTCATCCTAGCACACTCGAGATGTCGGTTCTCCTATCTCAACTGTACACTAGCGTTGCACAACGCTATCAAAATCAAAAGTCCGGTCAAGAAATTGCTCATCGCTACTACAAGAAATCTGCAGCAGTACACGAAAACATTCTCCGCGTCTTCAGCGATCCTTCCTTTGCGGAACTCGAGGGTGGTGATATGAGTATGAGCATGGACGGATCTACCTATTCAATGGAGTTTGGTAATGTTGCAAGTAGTAGCTGGACAGAGGGCCAACACGTCCGTCAACATCTAGCGCTGTTGAAACTCGCCATTGAACGTTTGGGTGACTGGCCAAAGGATTACAGCGAGTTTGAGCGCCTCAATGCGGACATCTTCCGCGAATTTAAAGAAGATCTTAATGGTGTGGAAGGTGTAGAGAAATGGGCACCGAAGAAGTTTGGGTCTGGAAAGGCTGAGCGGAACGATGACCTTTTGGACACTAACATCAAGAGTTGGGAGATTGTTGACGCATCGGTTCTCAATGGAGCGCATGCCGAGGAGGAAGAGGAACTCTAAATTGCTCACCTACTCACCTTCATTCTTTGCTTTTTATTTTTGCTCCTCCCTTAATTATTTTCTGCTTTTGTTTACTTTCCTTGCAACTCTTAGTATGCCTAACAAGAATGTCGTATCGTCTATATTCATCTTTACGTACGTCCTTCTGTCATGTCATTTCATTGTCTAGAATCCTAGCCAGCATATGATTTATTAGCAGTTGATACTGCTATATTGTATTTCATAATACCAATTGACTATGAAATCTATCTCAGCAATCAATATGTCCCACATCCTACCCTGGCATCGACCATGTTATGCTTAAAGAGTCTCTGTTAATCATACTTACTCCCCACATTGATAGAGATCGGGACGTTAATGATCTATACCTAAATACCACGTTAGATCCCTCCCTGGCTTGTCAGTGCATGCCTGTGTTGACATCTCTCCATGAAGACCTCGGTAGTTTGATACACTACTCGAAGTCAAAATCGTAACACTTCGCGAATATCCTTTCCGGAAACGGAATTTATTCGAATTAAATTAGAGATCCGCATAACATTATCAACGATTGATCGGATACATTCAAAAGCCGCAAATCCCATAACTGACGATTACCCATACTAAACTAATTTGGAATATTCTCTCCCATTGGTTAGGGGAGGAAACCGCAAATTGCTATGCGCCATTCTACCCGATTGACATAATCGATGGGGTGAAATCCGGCCTTTGCTATTGCCAGAACCCGGTTGATCTTATCTCCGTCAGGGTATACATGTGTTGAGAATAACTGAAGGGGCAACGACGCAGCATAAATACTACCTGTCACCGGGTTTGTAGACGATGAATTCCAGATATAACTACGAGACCCATCTACGAAGATACATCTAACTACATACATCACTCTTCTGACTCAGATTACTGTACATCATTTGAATCATTATATTGTTACGCGTGCAGATAACCATGTCGGACGAAGTTGTCCATCAGCGCCTAAACCTTCCCCTCACGATCACGCCAGAGAAATGTTCTGGTGGTACTTATATAGTCACTGGAGCAAACACCGGTCTAGGTTTGGAAGCAGCGAAGCATCTAGTGGCAGTCGGTGCTGCAAAGGTCATTCTCGCTGTCCGTAACATAGCGGCAGGTGAGGCAGCTAAGGATCGAATCATCAAGGAAACTGGAAAGCTGGGTACTGCCGAAGTGTGGGCTCTGGATCTCACGAGCTATGAATCCGTAAAGACTTTTGCAAGTAAAGCTATCGAGGAGCTTGACCGGATCGATGCAGTCATTGAGAATGCGGCGGTTGCCTCAGCCCATGGTAGGGCTGAGGGCCATTTGCTATCGATGACGGTCAACGTGTATAGTACACTTCTGTTAGGAGTGTTACTGTTGCCGAAGTTAGAAGAGAATGCGCAGCGCTATGGAATCACTCCTCATTTGACGATCGTCACTAGCGGTGCAAGCTTTGACACTCATTCCAAATGGAATGAGATCAAGGACGATCCGCTGGCGAAGATGGATAATGAGAGTATTGGACTGCTCTTGTGGGTATCAGCCATTCCGTTGAGACTTCACGTGGTGTTTTGCAGATCCGAATTTGCTGACTCAATATTGTATAGATACCCAATTAGCAAGCTTATAGGGATTTTTGCCATTCGCAAACTGGCCAGTCTGCTCCCCGTCTCGAAAACCGGAGTAGTCCTTAACCTGGTCAACCCTGGTCTGTGCAAAACCGAGTTGTCTCGAAATGCACCGCCCGCTTTTCAGCAGCAGCTGTCAGAAATGCATGCTAGATTTGGTCGTACTGCAGAGGATGGTAGTCGTACTCTCCTACATGGCGCAGTTGCAGGGAAGGAAAGCCATGGAGTCTATCTGAACGATTGTGAGCCTGCCGAGTAAGTAGTGAAAGCGCACAGACTCATCCGAGACTATTACTCACTGTGCATCTTCTTCTAGTCACAAGTTGCCATCGTGGATAACCGATGAAGAGGGAAATAGAACCCAGGACTTGCTTTGGGGTGCTCTTGCTAGAGAACTGGAAGTGATTTCTCCAGGATGTATCCACAGTATCATATAAGCCTAGGAGGATTCGTTCCTCTCGTGTCGCCCGAAGTTGGATAGATGTCGTGATCACGCAATTATTGTTTTGACACAGAATGCCAGATAGCCATTTTTTTTGACCCTCGCTTCAAATTGATCTTCTTCTGTCAACACATGAGGAGTTGGCTGGCTCCGTATGTACTACTTACACGAGATGTAAGTTAGGAGACGCCGATGATTTTTCGACAAAGGGTGATTCATAGTATGTGGATGCTTTTAGCCAGAGACTTTGACTTGAGCTATTGTAAAGAGAATTGACCCAGGGAAGTTTGACAAGTGCTTTCGAGACTCCGTTCCAACTGTAAAGACCGAGTTTTTGAGCCGTTGTCGCTACCATTGGTGCGAGCCACTCTTGGTCATTAGGACCAAGTATGGTGGCATTCCCAAGAAATAGGAGCCACAATAGAACCGATAGATGGACTTGAAAGTCGAACGTGAGTAGCACTCGAAGCAGTTCGGACATGAATGGCATATCTGGAATCTTCCTATCGAGCCTATTCATAAATGTTGTAACGAACATGGCAAGGCCCAGATGAATGGAGTTTTCCAGTCTACTGAGTTGGTATGATTGACTGAGTGGGCTTATTGAGATCACTTGATATCCAAGAAGAATTATATTAGCATTGAAAAAATAGAGATTGACCTTCAGCGCTTTCGTCTCAGCTGCATCATTGAGCTGCCTGGAAAGGGACATTGCTTCAACGAGGGCATTGTGAAGATCAATACTCAAATTCATTGAAAATCCCAGTAAAGAAGAGTCCACAGTGCATCTTAGATGATGGAGAGGGCAGACTCCGGAACCGAAAATGATCGCACGGCTCGCAAGGACATGGTTGACGTTGAAGATAGTTGCAGTGCCCATATATAATGCGAAGTCAAGGTCAACCCTTTCGATTGTGGGTTAGCACCAACTACGAGGCAGATAATTGTATGGATAACTTACCTGAATGCTTTTTGCATTATTATTGGCATCTCTTTTTGTACCTCTAGTACACCGCCTCGTACATTTATCAACCTTAGTAGCCCGTTTAGATGTATAAGCCCTTGATAGTGTTGGCTTTGATGACGCTCGTATTGAGCTAACATCAAAATAGTGGCAATCGTGGACAGCGGAACAACATTGTCGGACAGTTTCTTGTTCACCAATCTGAAGGTCTGACATAGGTGGTGAATTGCGTCTCTAGAAGGACTTGACTGTTGAGTGAGACAATCTATAGCCGTCGAACTGAGAGCAATGGCGCCGTGGAAGTCTGGATCGTGTCGAGATTTGTCAGGGGCAAATATCTGGCTCCAACGATTCTTGCCGAGGTCTTACATGCTTCGTCTAAAAACATCAGTCTGGCCAACATTGGGCCGGCACTATGACTGCATTCGAACACGTCATTTAGCTCAGACGCATGACGCGGAGTCATCATAAACGAAATAGCTATTGGGAATGAGTATTGAAAGTATATAAAGGTCAAAGTGGTCCCCCACTTACAGCAGATGGATTGAGGGTCTTACCTCTCTTGGCAAGGGATCTGGAAGCCAAGTTTGGTTGGCTCGAAGTAAAGAAATAGCACACATCATCCCCTATTGGCCGCTCAATTGGCAAGACTGTCTCCTCGGACGATGATTCACTCTGAGTCAGCTCTGAATGTATTTGTGCGCTGGGAAAAGCAACAGGATGTGTCAACTGTTCTTTTAAGGCTTTGATTCTGGATGGACGGACAACTGTCTTGCCAGCATTCTTCCCTGTAGCAACAAGACTGCGAATTCGTTTCCTGGTCCTCGGATCAATTTTGCTATTATTGTCAATGAATTCGAATGTCATCTTAGACTATTCTTTATGCCACAGCCGTAAAATACTCGTTTCAGGGCGCCGAGAGTAGTAGGGTCGGTCAGCAATGTTGTTAACTTAGTTATGTTAATTGCGGAAAAAATCGAATAAGCAGAGATGGTCCCACACGGCACTCTGCGGCCTCCCATTGGCTGCACTACTGTCGCGGAGATAACGGTGTTAGCGGACGACATCACCCTACGAGACCCGTGAGAAGATATCCTGTCGCGTGTATCAATCATGAGCAGATGATCGTTTGGTGTATCTCGGCTGGACAAAATGCGCGACTTGGTCAAGAAACGTTCGGGCTGATTTCACCGTTAAATCCGCCATTCATTATCGGATGCTGGGCACAACTACAGCTTTTTTGAGAAACCAAAGAAGAACCCATCAAAAGCCCGAAAAACTTCGTGTCTTTCTTGTATTTTGATCTTTCTTCCAGCCTGTTCGAAAAATGGAAGACGAAATCTCATGTGAATATTCGATGTCATTGCCGCCCCAGTCGGAGATAACTTACACCTCCCATAATACCTGTAGGAGCAGAGTGTAGCAGTTACCGCTTAAGGCCGGCAAGTCAAATATATAACCAGGCAATCAAATACCCGGATAGGCACGAACATCATCTATAAGAGCAGTTCGGTGTGAGTATTGCTAAATATCTTTATACATTCACCATTTTTGCAATTGTGGCAAATCAAACTGTCTTACAATATTTGCCAAAAACAATGCCGAGGATCCTAATATTAGGCGCCACTGGCTACATAGGCAGACGGGTTGCTAGTCGACTTATCGAAAGTGGTAAGCATTCCGTCTACGGCATAGTAAGAACCCAAGAGAAAGCACTTCAGCTTCAGAAAGAAGAGATCATACCAGTGCTGTGCGCCGATCCTGTCAGCAATCCAGAGCCTTATCTTGCAACGGTGCGATCGAGCTCCATAGACATTGTGATTGATGTATCTGGAGCCAATAAGCAATCGCATGCATTTCTAAATGATTTGAAGCGACTTGGTCAGGAACGCATCGAGTCATATCGCAAGAGAGGGATTGCGAATGGACCGAAGTTGGGTTTCATTTACTGCTCCGGAACTTGGGTTCACGGCTCCTCCAATAGGCCCGTTACAGACTTAGATTTAGTTGGTCCTGACTCAATGACTGCCCCTCAAGAGCTCGTTGCTTGGCGAGTCAAGCTTGAGGATGAGGTCATTGCTTCAAATGACATACTAGATGCCATGGTACTTAGGCCGGCCTTAATATATGGGCGCGAATCAACAATATGGTCTCCATTCTTTACGCCTGTCCTCGAAGCAGCAAGGAACAAGATCGAAAGCCCTATTGAAATCCCTCTCGAAGCTCAGTCCAAACCTGGATTGGTTCACATTGACGATGTTGCGACAGCATTCCAAAACGCCGTTGAGAAACTACCGATAATAGCTGGGGCAAATGTATATCCAGTCTTTGATCTTGTGACGAGTCAGGAAAGTATGCGTGAAGTTTTTGATGCAGTGGGTGCATGTTTTGGCTATGCCGGAGTCATCCAACTGAAGGGTCATGGAGATGACCTTTTTGCGAAAGCTATGAGCACTACCTTTCGTGGTACATCAGCACGCGCAGAATTGCTCCTTGGATGGCGACCAAGACGACGAGGTGGTTTTGTCAAGGACATGGATATTTACTGCATGGCATTTGCAGCAGGTATATAGCGTTGTCTCATAGGTCTTGGTAGCAAGACTTTATAGTGAGAGACAGCAGCTCGCGATAGTCGCATCCATCCATTCAGACGCAACAAAGAAGATACTATGATGGATTTATGTTCTCCCATCAACTTGGTGTAATTTCAGCGCGTTTCAACATTTCTGCTTTACAACTTTGTGATCTTGATGTTGCATCCGGCGTGCTTGATCCGTCTTACATTTGGAATGCGGTATTGGTTGCTTATGGACCTAGGACTATGAATCAAAATTTCTTTGAATACTACGATCGGGAAATTGCAGACATTAGCCATGGCATTCCGTACTGGTAGTCACATCTATCCAATGGCTACGTCTTAGAGAAAAATCGGAAATTGTTTACTCCTTTGGGATCTTTGAGATAGTCATTTGCAATATTCACTATAGATTCTAGACACCCATCTATACTCTCCCGAATCAACTAATCAAATATTCGGAAATGACTGAACGAACAGGGAAAGCTGTCAAGCAATCATTGCAAGAGGCTGAGTACTCTATGAATATTGAGACTGCCAGAAAAATGTTAATGGCTACTCATGGCCACGGTCGTTCAGATTGAAATTTCTTTCTGGTTTTTCTCCTAGTTACTAGCCTCCACGAGTTGGCTCCTCTTGCTTCGCTTGAGAGACCAAGATAGAAGGTTAGATCAAGTAAAACCAGGTACAGAGCGCTTCAGCCAAATGGATGTATTGCTGTGACCTTTGCCACAGAAAAGGGCTATCAACCTCGTGATAAAAAAAGTTCCTATAGGGGTATGGGCCAAAAATAAAACATTGCAGCTGATCGGCCTGTATCAGAAAATGGCCATTTTGGATTCGATGCTAGCTCTAGCTAGAGGACCGTTCACACTGCTCTAGGTCTGTCTCCCGCGGAGAGCCAGGTGACTTTGGCAATTTCACGGAAAGGATTGGATGATTATAAAATACATGGATGATTCAATTATAAGTTTTGGCTTGCACAAAAACCCGTGTCTTGAAGGCTTGGGTTTTACGAATTTTCTCATTCCCTATCTACAACCTCTGTAAAGGAAGTTGACTTCCAACTAGTTACAAGAAACCAGGTACATGATTCTTTGGAGGACAAATAACATCAAAGGGTGATATTTCTCCCTCTTTGATCCCATTTGTCGATTCCAAGTCTCGAAGTAACAAACATCAATCTTACTCGAGGCGAAGAGAGCCCGTGAAAGGATGATAGTCCGCTTCCGTTTCCCATTGAGCTTCATAGAGCGACTCATCCATCTGTGATGCATCCATTCCCGATATGACCTCGCTAAGAAAGAATGGAGAGATTAGCTTTTCTGAGTCGATGTCAGATTAGTTATGTACTTACCTGTCTGTAGCAAGAACCTCAAACCCCGGAATACAGTCAATGAGAGCATATATTATGTAACTTCCAATAAAACTCCAGGAGAACCCAATGATCGCTTCAAGGCTTTGGATTCCGAGCTGTTTCCAGTTCCCATCAAACACAGCACCACCAGAAATGAATGTAGCTCCGTCATAGGCTGCGACCTCTTTTTGTGCAAAAAGCCCGGTCATCAAAGTCCCGACAAATCCGCCGATGCAATGTGTTGCAAAAGTATCTCCGTTGTCCACCCAGCGCCACCTAGCAGCTTGTTTGGTAAACTTGATGCGAAGAGCCTGTCTGCATACCACCGCACCGAACACCCCAAAGAAAAATGCGCTGCTCATGCCAATAAAACCGGCACTCGGGGTGATAAGCACAAGCCCTGAAATTGCACCCATAAAGGTACTATCGAGACTCCAGACCCCAGACTCCCAATAGGTTATGAATGCCCACGTCATAGCACCTGCAGCGGCGCAGATGTTAGTAACACAGGCAGCCATCACACTCTTGAAGTTGAGCGAGAGGGTGGTTCCAGCATCAAACGCCAGCCACGAATTCCAGATAGTGATCAAGGCAAGAACCTGTGACATGCTATTGTGTGGTCTGTGCAGCTTTAGGTGTTGGGGTGTGCGACATGCAGACTTCCTAGAGCGGAACAGTGGATAGGACAGATAGACGCTGAGAGCAGTTGCGCTTGCACCGCTGCATATGTGGACAGGTGTTCCGCCAGCGAAATCAAGCACTCCCAGGTTGCCTAGGAATCCATTCTCAGACCAGACCATGTGAGCAAGAGGCTCGTAAACGAAAGTGCTCCATAACTATTGAAGATGAAAGAGTCAATGAGGGCGTGACAATCATGATGATATTCATAGAATCTGACAGGCATAGCAATGACAAGGATAAGAGTAGTGACATACGAAACAGAATGGAAAAAGAGGGAGCAGTCTTCCACGCTCACATGCTCCGCCCACCGCAATCGCGCAGACGGTTGCACAGAAGATTAATTGAAATTCCGAAAAGAGTATCTCGGGTATTGTGCCTACTGGTTGCGCAAGAACACCGCGATGGAATGCCTTTTCGAATCCCCCAATAATTGAGTTTCCCTCGCCGTATGCTAGTGAGTAACCGATAATCCACCACTGAACGGTGCACATAATAACGGCAATCAAGCCGGGATAGAAGGAGGCTAGGCCGCTACGGCGAGTCGAATAGCCCGAGTACCCCAGGCCAACAGCTGGAATAATGGGCCAGCAGAACACGCAACAGACGAGAATGAAGACCGTATCGATCTTGGAGCAAGCCTCCCATGCGTCCACCACGGAGCCCATCTTGGATACTACGCTATGTATCACAGTTGAGATCGTCGGTGCTCTGAATTTCTTTATTCTCCGACTTTACTGATCTCGACGTAGCAGAGGCCTTGTCTTCTCTCACCAGCAGTCTTCGAGTTCAGTGGTAGACTGCCGAAGACCTTTGTGACACAAGGTAACGCGACCGGCCCGTAAAATGGCATGCAGCCACTTATTTGAGCAGCCTTTGCTTTAAGGCGGCCTAAATGGCAAGTAGGTGCTTGATTTTCGCTCTTCTAGCGATTGAAGTAGCTGAGATAGGAATTGAGGTGCGAAATAAGTGATGGAGCGATTGAAGAAGAGCAGAATTCGGGCAGGGAATAGAGATTGAGGGTTTCAATTAATCCTTTCAGTGTCTTGAACGGGAAAGAAAAGAATGAAGAAAAGTAATAAGACAAACAAAGCAATGTCCTGCGCCCTACGAACGCCTCGCGGCATGTATAAGGTAGTGTGAGGGCTTATCATGGCCTATCGACCTGCCCAATATGGTAGTTAGAACGGCAAGGATAGAGGGCAAGATACTTCCACATTATCATTTGAGTGGGCAGCCTTTTCGTTCTTCTGCGCAGGTATCTTGGCCTCAGATATTATCGCCAGTTCCCCAAACCAGTAGAGATGTCTCTGCATCAACTGTCGTATATCTGAAGCAAACAATTTGCACTGGGTGAAGAGAACCCATTTTTAACTACTAAAGGCGTTCATTGGCCAGATATACCAGTTATGTGGAACCCGGTATCTATATTAGGTTAGACTGTTCCTATCCTAATGAAGTGATTGGTTGAATATACATATGGACGGTTCTATGAGCCAATGGTATGTCGACCTGATTCGGCATAGTTGGCCAATCAGAAACGTTGAGTATAGTATTGAGTCGTGACTCATGCGTCGAATAGAAAGAGACAGCAGGTATATAAAAACATCAAATCAGTACCAAAGTCATATCGGGTAAAATAATAGACTGCACAGCCGAAGTCTCTGACTCACAGTATGTATCTTCGTACAGTTCATGCAGAGGGAAACCTCGCCATTCTCCAGGAATTCGTCAAACAGAACCCTTTGGGAATTCTTAACACTGCCCTCAAGTCCACGGTTTACCCGTTCATTCAATCTAGTCATATTCCGTTTGTGTTCAATGTTGATACAAGTGCAACGGGGCACGAAGACAACCAGCAGGGTTATGGGGTTCTACGAGGTCATATCGCCAAACAAAATCCGCAGGCAAAGGTCTTAATCGAAACGCTGGCTGCTACACAGACTGAGCTTGGGGATGAAACTATCAGAGAACTTCCAGAAGACGTGCTGGTGCTATTCAATGGACCTCATCATCACTACGTGACGCCCAAATTCTACGTTGAAACTAAACCCACCACGGGTAAGGTTGTGCCAACATGGAATTATTCTGCCGTTCAAGTCTACGGTAAAGTAAGCGTTTATTGCGACTCCAAATCAGAAGAGACATCCTCGTTTTTACAACGACAGGTGGAGGACTTGAGTAGACAAGCAGAAACATCCATTATGGGATACACGGGGGGAGGCAATCTTTCCCCCTGGGAGGTTTCTGACGCGCCTGTGTCTTATATTGACATCCTCAAGAAGAATATTATTGGAATTGAAATCCGAATTCATCGAATGGAAGGAAAATTCAAGTTGAGTCAAGAAATGGGTAAAGGAGACAGAGAAGGTGTCATTCAGGGATTCGACAATTTGAACAGTGACGTTGGAAGGAACATGGCGGAGATGGTGAAGGACCGTGGGAATAAGAAGGACGAGGGAGCTTGAGATAGCTTTAAATTACTTTCATTCAATCTCATGTTTAGCTGACACGATAATTACCAGATGCTATGGCCCATATACAGGATTCGTATTGTATATAGTACTCTACATTCAGCTTATGCATTGCTACAACCTTGAAAGCTTTTCAATCTGATTATAAAAAGTCCGAAAAGTCTGTAAAGCCGCCCGGTATATAATGAAATGTTTAAAACAGGCATATTTGTTATAGAATAGTTTTTCAACGTAAGCAGCATCTCATACAGTTCTCACTAGGAGGTAATGAGCGAATCCCTAGGTAACTTTGGGACTTATTTGGATATTGAGTCACTGAGGCCATAGGGAGGTTGCATCAGCGGATGCTCATTAAACCCACTAGAGCTGATAACTTGGCCTGGTTTGGGCAGTACCTACATATGTACCCACCTAAATAGGTAGGTAGGCAGAGACATGATATTTGCCCATGCCGGTGGTGTAGATATTAACTAAGTAGCTTTGAGATGCCAGAGGGGCGTATATAAATGTATTTTTAATTGGCGCACAACGCACCCGTGGATGTCACTATGCCTACACCTACCTGGGTGGTATACACCCTAGTCAACTAGATGAATATATTTATAAGGAAGTATATATAAAAAACTTGATATTAATGATATTAGGTACTTATAAAAGATATCATAGATACCTAAGTGACAATACGACCTTTCGGTCCTGGAAAGAATGAGTTTTGAGTTTAACTGTAAGCTTCAGGAGCAACCTTGGAGGTGACCATGACTTGAAGTCATTCAAGGGTATATGCATTGATCTAATTTGTGAAGTCGATGGACTTCCGAGGAATTGGAGCGTAAGTATAAATTACAATTAGAATTGCACACACTCCTCTATCCCTCGCGAGTACTCGGGTTTGCTAGCTTCATCGACTATCAAGATTTTTGTGGCATCGAGTACATCGGGAACTCATTTTTTCAATTTTTCACGCTTGTAAGCTCCGGAGAATATCTAGTCGTAGAGATATCCTCCAATTCAAGTATCTGAGGTGTTGTGCTTGCATGTTCACCTCATCCCGTACCATCCACTTTAGGAAGGAGATACCTAATGCGGTAAATATCAATTCTTGCCTGATTAGGAAGTAAGTACCTACGTTGATACTATAGCCATTTACCATGCAAGAAGGTGCATGAATGAATCTCTGTGGTTATTGTTTTGTAACATGTCAATGCAGCATTCCCACTTACAAATCGCCGAAATTATGACAATCAAGGAAACTGAAGAATTAGAGCACCATCATGTAATGAACAACAGCCTAGACATCGAGTACCTAATTATGAAAGATTTTATTTTGGCAAATTACACAGGTACAGCTGTTGGATTATGCCCCATTACACATGAGCATATGTGTCAATGACACTTTTTTGTGACTTATCCAATGATAACAATGCTTACTACAGGATTCTCAACTCAATAAGTCAGTATTTCCAAGACTATTTGCAAGTATATGAGATAATACTAGCATCAAGGGTTAATATAAATGTTATTGACTGCATGCTTGTGCATGGTTCTGTGGGTTACTTACATTCAACTGCTATCGACTGAATACCCTAAATAGATCATGTATAAGGTAGGATCATCACCGGGTTGACAAGGACCTTTGCCGTCATTACCCAAAAAACATGATAGAATTACTCTGTTTTCTTCCATAGTCACATGTTAGAGTTCAGTGATATGATTGGGAAGTGATACACCTGCACTAGCAGATAAGAAGTCACTATCTGAGTGGTACAGATACATAGCATATCCGGCCGAATCCTCATGTTTGTGAATCCATGCATCAGAATCATGCAAGCCCGAAGTAGTCGAGATAAAAACAGGTACTCCTTCCTTATAGGTAATTTCCTACTCAGTCAAACCACAGGAACTAGTTCCAGCTTACTGAACCACTGTCATGCATTGATCCTATAGCTAGCATAGTAATGATCGCCAAGTACTATACTGTAATAGCTATAAAAGCCGACGGAGTTTTGGTATTCTCCCTGCTGCATTTTCAATCGTCAGATGTTCTTCTACCTTTGATTGGTGTGGGCATAAAAGGTGGCTTGGTCCGTCGTTGCTTAGTTTTTCTTATACTGAGACCAACGTTGAACCCCGGTAGTGCTGAATGCAACATTATAATCTATCGGCTGAATACCCGTGGCTAAATCTTAATAGGTAAGTGCTGCTAAACTATTATATCGGAACTGAGGGGGACCGTGAATAAAATGTATCTACTATGTTCACACAAAGAGAATCTCTCACCATATGAGGCTAAATGCCATCCGTAAAGGAGCAGTGCGTATGAGCAGATGTATGAATATCATACAGAGATCAAGAAGCCAATTCTCTTAACGTATATATTCCTGGTCTTTTAGACTCCTTCAAATGATATACCAAACCCCTCACATCAGCCTTTGATAGGTTCTTATAATTGGTGGGTTCGACGATTTGTGATATCAGCGCCAAGACTAAAATCAGTCAAGTCATGCGCTTCGATAGATGCCTTCAGTGTACAACCTCACCCACAATCGCCTATAACACTTTCTTTCTAAAAAACACCTTCCTAAGAGAGACTTCATGTACTTCATTGCGGGGATGCCGGCCTAGATCGTGGAGCCATGTACTAGCTACATGTTTTCAGGTACCTCGACTCCCGGGTCTCACTCAATACTGAGGAAAAGAGATGACGACGCCAATGTAACTACTAGATGTCTCTTTTCTTAGTCTGTTTTCCACCCCACCTCCGGTTATCTTTTTACTCGAAACCACTGATGCATACAAACAACACCATGAAAATTCCAAAGAGCTTCCAACAAAGATATACTCCATTTCCTATGTTATGTTAACTAATACTTGACATAAGAGATTAGAGTGATTGCTATGTACCGGAAAGACGCTCAGCTAAATTATGAATGATTGCGTTACGATTGAAAGGGGTTCAGGAATGGTGGAGCATAGATAAGCACGATATACGTCTTAAATGATCGATAGGCAATCGGCAAAGGCTTATTTATTTGAGTCATCTGCAGGAACTCTATATTAGTAGCTGTCTAGTTATCTTGAAGAGCTGATAGACATTATGGAGCAGGCTCTATCAGGATAAAAGTTCAGCAGCACCCTCTAAGAATGGCGAACATTATGGGACGTTGGGCGACTAGCAACAAGGAATGTCCCGTTCGTGCATGTTATCTTTGCAATGTGGTATAGTCAGCGCCGTAATGGCTTCATTATCCATGTTCATATCTCATTCGGGAAGGTGATTGGCGGTCCCAATTGTGAAACATATGTACTCTGAATAAATCATCCACAGGTAGTCAAACAGGCACTTGTAGTCGAAAGTATATAGGGTAAAAAAGTATAAAAGGAATGACATTCCCTCTGGCCTAAAACCAGAAATAACTACAACAAAAAGGCAGAAGTATCAAGATCACCAACTCATTGCACACCATATCATAATAACATTATATTTACCATGAAGTCTATCGTTCTCTCTCTCCTTATTCTTGCTGGCCTTACAGCCGCTGCTCCTCTTACTGAGAAGCGTTTGGCTCGCCGTGCCGCTGGCACTCGGCGCTCAAGCCCACCATATGTTCCCAACTCCTATGGCGTGGAACAGTTGAACATTACAAACTCTAAGAATGTTGAGTACAGCGAGAACTGGGCCGGAGCTGTTCTTATCGGGACCGGCTACACCGCAGTGACCGCCGAATTCACTGTCCCTACCCCTACGGCTCCGGGTGGTGGCAACACCGAGTACTGTGCATCTGCTTGGGTCGGTCTTGACGGAGACACTTGCGACAGCTCAATTCTTCAGACTGGTGTCGACTTCTGCGTACAGGGCGGTGATGTGAGCTATGATGCTTGGTATGAATGGTACCCCGACTATGCCTACGACTTCAGTGGCATCAGCATCTCTGCTGGAGATGTTATGAAGATCACGGTCACTGCCACTAGTACCTCTTCCGGTTCCGCAGTTGTTGAAAATGTTAGCACTGGTAGAACAGTCACCCATAGCTTTTCTGGTGAATCCGACAGACTCTGCGAGTACAATGCTGAGTGGATCGTGGAGGACTTTGAGGAAGGGGACTCATTGGTTCCCTTCGCTAATTTTGGCACTGTTACCTTCACTAATGCTGTCGCTACACACAACGGTGCTGGTGTTGGAACCAGTGGTGCCACTATAATAGATATTGAGCAAGACAGCGGTGTCCTTACCTCCGTTTCTGCTTCCGGTAACACCGTCACCGTCAAGTACGTTTGAAAACATGGTTTTCAAATGGTCGAATCGCACGTCAAGTTGTGACTCCCATTACAAAATGAGACTTTTTCAGAACTACTATTATCGAATTTATACAGTATGAAGCATACTAATACTGATATACATGACGACGGTGGAGGATAGGGATTCAATATAATGACTTCTGAGGCATGCAAATTGTAGCTCTGTAATTCTAATCCCAAGTAATTTGGCTGGGTATTTTATTCGTTCCCCAGGGACTCTTAGGGTTATTAGATCCCAAGTACAGACAGATAAGATAAGATCGAGGAACATCTGATAACTACCCGTCGCTTCACCTCCCCCAGCCCCAGTCCGAATAGGGTGGGGGGAGGTGAAGCGACGGGTAGTATCCGTTCGCCCGATTGCGTTATCAGTGAAAACTCATCTTGATTTCTCAACGTCCACAGTCTAGTCGGGTTTCCCAGTTTATCTAACATCATATATATATTTTATATGACTATTGACACGGACTGTGGTAACCCTCTCTGCTATAGAGGAGCCCTACTTTCTCCAAACTTCCAACTAAGTAGCCTCGTCACGTTTGACGAAAACCGCAACCGTATATCTAATTGGCGGGGGTACTCTTTACCCAATTTGCAGTTACTTAACTATACTTGTTCTAATATCCTGTCTCCCGAGCGAATTGACGTTAGACGGCTTGTCATCCGAATAAAGCGAGTATGCGCGTCGCTATAATTGGGGCTGGTCCTGGGGGCCTGGCTGCTGCCAGGTAAGCAATACCACTCTTTGTGTCAGGAACAAACAGAAACAAAGATTCTCTAAGTATTGTACGATTTCTCTAATATGAACCTAGATATCTTTATGCTGAGAAGGCCTTCTCTGCAATTACGATCTTTGAACAGCGCGATGAAGTCGGCGGGGTCTGGTGTCATACCTCGGAAGATACAATAGACGAGGATTTCGCCATTCCTCATACAAAACCAACAACAGAGGCAGAAAAGCCCATTGTAACCAATCAGGCAAATAATCATGTCATTTTTCAGTCGCCGGTGTACGATCTTCTGGAGACGAATATCCCACATACTTTGATGGGGTATTCCGATAAGAAATTTCCGAAAGGAACGCCCCTGTTCCCTTCACATCGAGACGTCAAACAGTACCTGCAAGGTTATGCGAAGGACTTATCGTCTATTATGTTTCATACACAAGTTGTCGATGTATGTCTTCGAGACGAAAATGCAGCCAATGCCACGTGGCTGGTTTCTGTACAGGATCTTCGAACACATTATCTATCCACTCATGAATTTGATGCTGTTGTTGTCGCTAGTGGTCATTACAGTGATCATTATATTCCGGATATCGTAGGTATGCGGGAGTGGAATACTGCTTACCCGCACTCTATATCTCATTCGAAACATTATAAACGACCGGAACATTTTACGAATCAGGTGCGTTTTCCAACCCTTTGCTACCCTTCTGGTTCCGTCAGGCCTGTCAGTTACAAAAATTGGGCCACCAATGCTTCAAATCTTTCTTGCAGTTCCGTGACTAACTTTTACACTTTTGTAGAAGGTAGTCGTCGTAGGGAATTCGGCATCGGGAGTCGACGTGAGTGTGCAAATTGCGACCGTGTCGAAAAAGCCACTTCTCCTTTCAGAGAGGAGCGATTCCCCAGTCTATCTGAGAGATAACCATCGAATCAGGACTGTGCCCGAAATTATTGAATTTATCACCCGTGACCGCGCACTCCGTTTTGCAGATGGTCACATTGAGAAAGACATTGATCATGTCCTATTCTGCACGGGATATCTTTATTCATTTCCATTTTTATCATCTTTGAGTCCTCCTGTAGAGGTCCCGAACGGAAGTCGTCCTGATCACTTATTTCAACATATATTCTATTACCCTCAGCCAACACTGACATTTATCGGGCTTCCACTTAAGATTATACCCTTCCCGCTTTCCGAAGGCCAGGCTGCGGTCATAGCACGGGCATACTCTGGCCGCTTGTCCCTGCCACCCTTGGAAGAAATGAAGGCATGGGAAGCTGATTGGATTGCTAGACATGGATCGGATAAGAGTTTCAGTGTTCTCGGTTTTCCTGCGGATGCCGAATATCTCAATCATCTCCATCATTGGAGTCTACAGGCTAGAAGAAAAGATGGATTGGAAAATGACGGTCAGGGGAAGATTCCTCCAGTATGGGGAGATGAGGAACAGTGGTTGCGGGAATTGACACCGACGATTAAAGCTGCTTCGCAAGCTTTGGGAAATAAACGAAAGGAAATACGAACGCTGGAAGAGCTCGGCTTTTCTTATGCTAAAGATGGAAAATCAAAGCTATAATGAGAGAACGATAAAACACGCTCAGATAGCACCACCCAGGTGGACATAGAAATTAGATCATTGACTCGTTATATACCTACGTACATTAAAATGCCTCAAGGCTCAATTTCATTTCATAAAGTGAGCTAAAATCCACCAGCACCACGAACACGCTGAACAGCCCCAACGATACCCCTAGCCCAGCTAAACCTACCAGGATCGGGGCCTATTGTTCCTTCGGCTATTGCACCTGTTTCAGGGTGGTGCCAACAACCATCTTCGGAACTAACGAGACCAAATTGCGATGTGTTCTGGTTCCGGTCTATAGCTTCGCGCCATACTTTACAAATTAGTGGAGAGTCGATCATAATATTCACTTCGGTTGAATGGAAAAATGATTGTGTATCTAAATTTCCATTTCCTGTAAATACTAAGTGTTAGCTCATGCATAGTAAATCTTAAGGAGATCCAAGTGCTCTAATCAACTGGCTCACCTTGTATAGCAACTGTTTCATCGACAATCATCAACTTGACATGGCTACTACGATGCTTGAATTTATTATGAACAGGCGACTTTCGATCTTTTGCAGTATAGTTATAGATCCTGAGCCGAGACTTCTCCTCTTCAATAGCAAGAGAAGAGTACAGACGATAAGCAATCATCTCGTTAGTACCGTTCTGGCCAGGAAGTAACTCTCCTGCATCATTGTAGCCGAGCGTCACGTATGCAGTCACGGTAACTCCACGCCTAACAGCATTGAGCAACGGCTCCAGGAGGGGCTCTGCGTTCATATTTGGCGTTTGAATGAAAATGGTCCTTTCGGCATTGTTGACGGCAGCCAACCATGTGGCGTTTTGGGGCACTGGATAGTTTGAGTTGCCAGGAGCTGTAGACACGCGTACAAAGGTTAGCTAGCTACTTATAGACTTGAAGATCTTCAGATCTTGGTGAAAGTCCTCCGAAGGTTACATACAGCCATTTGGTTCTCTGTTTACCAGTGCCATTGGAACTGGCTCGTGTTGGGGCATCACAATGTAAGGGGTCATCTTATTGCTCTCTGTAATATCCGGTCCGTTAGGTTGAGGAAGTTTTTGGTTTTGTAATGCTTCCTTGTTGTGGACTAAAGTTCTTTTGTCTTGGTACCGGTGTTAGTATCGTAAGACACCAGTTTTTGGAACTTGACATACTGAGATGGCGCGTTGCCGCGTCTCGTCTGGTCTCGCCTGGTCTCGTATCAAGCTGGCTGTTTACTCTCCTCGCCTCCTCAACGAAATTGTAATCATAGTGTGGATCTGTACTCGTGGATTCTGGAAGAATCTCTAACTGTCTTTGCGAAGAACCGGATGCAGTTGAGTTTGGTAATTGCGCTTTGGTGAGCGAGCTATGATGTGAAGGTATTTGTCGCTGGGCCGCCGGGCTACTAATCATCGGTAATGACGGCTTCGTATGTTTTGCCCAGGATATGAGTAACATGTCATACATCGCATCCACAACAGGGCCTTCCAGATGGACCATCATTTCGAGGTTATCGTTGTCCTGGATATTGTTACTTTGCAGTAGTCCGATTTTTCGGTCAATAGTACACAGTTTTGCGTGGAACGTCCCAAGCACCGGACGATGATAGTTGATGACTTCCATATCTATATTCGGAATGTCATCAGGTGCGGGAAGTTGGATTTTGTCACCGGTATATTCCTTTGGCGAGACGTTTTGATGGTTTTCATAGAGCTAATTTTGCATTAGTCTTGATAATAACGCATGTGGACACACCTACCTGCTTTACACTGCCTCGGTCGTAGATGATCTTGACGACAACTTTGTCGCTTCGTTCTCCTGCTCGTCTCGACAACTCACGGAGTGCATTTGTGATAATGATGGATGCATCTGAATAGATCCAAAAATTGGTGGCCAAGAAAACTTCCTTTTCGGCGCGAACGATACAGTTTGCAGTGTGCCGGTTAATATCAGGTAGTGTCGAAATAATAGTTAAAGGGACGACACCATGCGTGCCCATCAGGCACGGTGAAACCAATCCAGCCAGTGGCTGGTTTTCAAGCGAGCGCAAAGCATTGTAGTAGCACTAGAACCAGGCAAGTGGAAGCAAGTCAGTCCCTTAAGCTCTCGCATTAGGTAGATATTTCCATTGCAACTTCACCTTTAGAAACAGATTACTCGGGCGTTGGCCACCCCAATTCCCGCATTCTAATGCTCGCTGGAGATCTTCCTCCTCAACTTCATCGCGAGATGGTGGTTTGGCGTTGTCTCCAGATGCTTTAGGCTTGTGCTTATTGAAGAGTCTATTCGCAATCTCCCCGGGCGATTGATTAGGGTTCTCGGCAAGTTCCGAGCTGACACTTTTGTCGCTCACGGCGTATTGGTATAGCGAGTCGGATAACATTTTCAATGCAGCTATTGTAAAATAGAGACTGATCGTCTCAATGCCAATTGTTCTAGGTACAGCCTTCAAAAATATGTAGAGAGAGCATCGAGAGAGGTGAGGATCGAAGCACTTAATCAAGCTTTTGTGGGGAACGCCTTGACGTCATGTCGTCCGCCTATCTTTGCTGAATGATTTACCCATAATTATATTATTACAATACTACTACAACCGTAGTGAAATAACTAGTTTGCTTTGTTCCATACTTCTCGACTCATATTGCGGAGAGAGTGTCTTTCAAACATGCAGCCCGTGAACGTCAGCGGCGCGGCATACTAGCAAGCCCTAACCATACAAAGAGTCAATTTATAATCCGTCCAGCTAAGTTTCCTGTACATTGGCCCGACCAGTGAAGACGATTCTAGTAGGATACTCGACTTTTGTTGCTCGCTGGAAGATGTCATTTCCGGGTGCGATAATTGCGTGCCCATATTAATCTCCCATTCAACCATTAGTCGGCCAATCCCACAGTCTTGATAAGCAAAGTACACAAAACGACATCCAGTGGATTATCCATATATTTTCTTCTTCTCTCATCAGCTTGCTGTAGATAAGAGTCCACCAAGGTCTTTAGCTGGGAATGTATACATCTATTTGTTGGCCAATGAGAACAGTAGGATTTAGGATCTATCAATCTATGCAGTTCTATTGGCTGTTTGTCACAATAACCAATCAGAAATAATTGCGCGCTGCTAAAAGACCCACCTGCCAGACAAATTTCATCAAAGAATCACTTTACCGAGACCTGCAGTTTCAGCAATTATTCATCTCCAGACAAGCGCAATGAAATGGTTGCAAAACTGAGGACACTGACCGGCTGTTTACAATGTAAGATCTCATACCCTCGCATAGATCAATATATCACTCCCCAGGGTTAACGGATTTCTCGTAGGTCGAAGGCGACGTAAAAAATGTGATGAGACCAAACCTGCATGCGCTGGGTGCAGGCGAAATGGGCTATACTGCCAATGGCCAGGACCAGATTCCGTAGACAAGCGGTGTCGACGATATCGAAGAGCTGCCACGCCAAAGTCTCAATCTCCGCCTGAACTGACTGCTCATGATAATCGTCAAATTCGGATTCCAAAAAGCATCAAGCATTTCCATCATTCATTTGACCAAAAAGGGTCGATGCTTGTCGAGTACTGTCTGTTTTCGTTTCTGCCTTCTCAGTACCATCAAGCTGCAGATGGCAAGCCTACAGTCGATCTATCCTATCTACGGTATATGTGTTTAGAATCGCACCTATTGCTGAATGCCGTGTCTGCGTGTGCTATGATCACATTAAATACAGCAAGTAAATTGGACCAGGCATATGACTCATCTCACAGGTTGTATATGGCTGCCATATCCGAAATATCAGCAGGTATTGCCGAGGGCACCTTGACTGGCACGGAGGACTCTCTTCTGGCATCAGTCATATGGCTCTGTGTGTATGAAGTACGGTTGAATAATGCAACTGTTATTTGACCGTCGAAAGTGGCTGACAACATCACAGAATTCGAGAATAGAGGTCAGACGACAGAGTTCTATTCATGCGGAAGCACTACGCCGCATTCTCCTTTTGCGCGAGCCCATGGACTTCCAACATTCCTCCATGTCAGAACTGGTTTGGGAGCGTATGTGTGTCGAGTCTTATATATATCATAGCGCTGTCACGACATTGTTTGACGGTCAAGTAAGCTTGATAGAAGATACACTTATGGTACTGAGGAAGTTTGGCACTCGCATGTCAACTGCTACAGCTGAGATCGACGTCTTTCAAAAGGCGGAGAGCCAGACATCGCAATCCATTATTCAGTCTCCAGTTCTTGGAGCTCCCTACCAAATGTTCCTCTTTCTCGTCGAAGGGACTCGACTTGCACGTGACATATGTCCTGGATCTGTCACTGACGAAATACTCGCATGGTCGCGTTACTACGCGGTCTGCAAGATGCAATTTACTCTTGAGGAAACTGCTAGCAACTATTACGGTGACTCCCGCAGGTGGATTGGGAAGTTGTACGCTGTCGGTATTCGGGTTCTATTTCTCTATATCCTTTCGGCTTCAGAACTAAATCATAACGAAAGCTTAGAACACTACTTGTCCTGGTGTACGGAGTTCAACTTGACTCTGAGTGAAGCTCGAAGATTGTTGATATCAACTAGAGATGATATTGGCAAGACGTGGGGCAAATTCTTCCTATGGCCTCTTGCTATCATCGGCGCTGTGCTCTATGATGCCAGTGATATTTCAGTGGTGAAAAGCTGGCTCGATCGTATCATGCGCAAGAGCAACAGTAGCAGCGTTATGGTCATCAGAAAAGTACTTGAGGACCGAATTTGGACTCAACAGCTTAGCCCTGGTGATTTGGAAAGCCCTCAAAGTTACATGCAGGGCCTGACGATTATGCTGGACACCAACATTATGAACGAGGGCGCAGCGTCTCTGACATATCAATTCCCATTGTAGCTCTCGTATCGTCAGGTTTGATGATGCCATCTCCTGGGTGGCCTGTGCCATATTCACGCATCAAATTCTTCGCCATGTCATTCAATGCAGCGCAGAATACTTTCGACGGTGGGATCCCCGAGGAATCTGACAAATAGCTTGACAAAATCTGCGAATTTTCGGGGACAGCTGTCGATAATGGAGAGGCAAAATATGCACCTCAATGTCAGCGATCATATTCACATCTGCAACAGGCCTCCATCAGTAAGCTGCATTGCTGTGTAGTGATGTCTTGACTGTTAACCCACAAGTTGGCTCCAACGGATGAAACCAGAGTCATATGGAATCAATTAAAGTGGTCAAGCATACCTCCCGATGCTGTGTCCATGAAAATAGCGATGAGGCCATGAAATGGGGGAAATTTATCGCTGATACACTCAGTGTACACAGAGGATGTTGTACAGTCGCGCAACATGCTAGACTGACCGAGCAAATTATGCACAAGCTACAGGAAAATATTGCAATTGTTCTGCCATCCACTTCAACTCCGTCATCAAACTGTCTGTGTCCCGCAGTGGGAAGTCTCGCCGATAATCCTCCAGCATAATATTCACAGTCAACTTCTCGTTGTCATTACTGGCTATAAGCCACGAGGCACTCAGAAGGATAAGTATATATCCCGATCCCAATGGTCGATAGATACATGCTAATTTGGCCAGTTCTAGTGTTTGGGTGACCAAGCTCGTGGAGTCTGCTATAAGTTCGATTGCGTCAAAAGGAGGAGTGAACGCGTGGAGCACCCAATTCAAGATAGTGACAATCAAGAGCCCGATGCCATATGCGCGCTGGTAATAGGCATGAAGTACAACGATTTTAAGCGTATTATTAGGATCAGACGGAGGTCCCCTGGCCCAATTTCCTTGTAGCTGGAGCAGTAATTTTTGGGAAGCTTCATACATGGGTTTTGTCTCAGCTCTCAGTATTGCTATCTCCCGCTCACCAGTTGCCGCTCGCGCACGACGGAGTATATTTGGCACGTGGGCAAGATATTGCATCAATTGTCCCTCGGGGAGTTTAGCGTCAAGCTCGTTTCCTACCAGAAAAGTCCATTGCTGCGGGTCAAGTTCTATCTTTTCGTTGAAGAAACCTTCAAACAACTGTGAGGAATAAACATGATGCACATGACGTCGTACGTTAGGGTACACGTACTACACAACCTCGTAAAGAAAGGAGCAGTTGCTGCTCAAAGTCATCCTGGGGCTTGGTAAAGGATCGCGCCTTTAGTATTTTGGCAGCGCCTTCGCAATGGCCTGACCATCGTTGTCCTTCAGAACCATTCAGATTCTGGTGGTACTTAGTTTCACGCGTGAATAATACGTAAAACTTGGCTGTTTGACACCTACCTGACATATCAGTAACAGCATCACCGCGCACAAAGTTTCCGACGTTCCAGCTTTGGTGGGATCGTCGAGACATTTCCTCAAACTCCGCAGAGCGCGGGAATAACTACTCAAGGTCTCGACCGAGATGTCCGATCGCGTACAAAAGTTGGTGTGCGCGCAAACAAGGGCATCCACCGCACTATCCAACGCTTCATTCTCGTTCATATGTCGCAGAATCTCAAACATGAAAAAGCCATATGCCCAAGCGAGATTATATTTCAAGTTGGTTGTCAATTTCGTCGCTTGAACATATTTACTTGTAAGGATTGTGATTTTATTGCTTGGTGGCAGCCGGGGAAGTGATGCGATCACGTCCGCTTTGACCTGCAGACCCGAGTCTGTATTCGACGAATTTGTTTTCTTCTTCGTTTTGCTCGTTCCGAACGGTTGTTGTTCTTGGAATTTATACCTCTGCTGACCAGAGCCAACGCATTTCAACCCGAGGCGGATACATCGCGAACACGTGGGAGTTTTCTCGTCGCACTGATTTCAAAGCCGTGAGTTTATTGCATGTCAGTCGAAGTCTGCTGACTAACCTTCTTCTTCGATTTGCGACAACAATCACACGCTTTTCCTGAAGGCACTCCAGGCATTTTATTACAATTCAACGGTTTCCGCTTATTTTCGTGTATAAAAGCAAATAACAAGAGGTCCTTCTTGGTCAACTGTCAACGAATTGTTACATGCAAAAAATTATTCCATGTTGTTTCGAATTTCAGCCGCGATGAAGTCACGGCTGGCTTTAGCCCCATTGGGCGACTCCAACATGCTGAGCAACGCGCGCCAAGAAGTGCCAAATATTGCCGTCTCTGAATGCTGAACACTCACAGGTTCGCTGTTATTGTGAATGTGGTCAGGATCATCTTCGAGCTGGAGGCTAGGCATAGCAGTGCCACAATTCTGTCTGCTGAGTCACTGCCGTCCGGCTATCGCTGTGATGGAATCGAGGTGTAGGCCGATTTGACAGACAGAGGTTGGATGATTGAGAGGAGGTCGTCCATTCAGCGAGTACGGTGAATCTGTACTTACGGGTCATACTCTCCTGGGACCAGGAGAGTACTTATCCTCAGCTTTCGTTACATATCTCATCGGTGATCAACCACCGCATGTTTGTTGATTTGCGGGTAACAGAGTACGCAGTGGACGAATTACATGCCTGCCAATACGACTGATCTTCGTCAAACCTCCAAATGCTTTGCAAGGCAGAGATATCTTCGTATTCAGCGTCAGACTCAGCCAGTATATTGGCACTTTTCACAGACTAGCCCTTTGCAGAGATATGGACCGCTGAGTGGAAAATTGTTTTTTGCAGCATTGCCATTGGTCAGGTGTAGTGTCAAAATGGGCCTTCTGTGAAAGAAAGTTGACAAATTTGGCCAATCAAATTATGCCATTCAGAGTGAGGTCCAAAAATAATTAGATTTGCTAACGTCATTTGGATGCCAGTCATCCAATCGAATACGTTCTACTGCTGAGGTAATCTCCTTAGCCAATCATGTCATTGCAAATACGGGGACTTAAGGTTTAGGGTTCAGAGGCTGAGATAACCCTAACAAGCGTCTTGTGCCGCCATTCATCGATCCAGGAATACCTGATTGTTAGGGTTGTCATTGCACTCGCCTTGTTTGAGCATAAATATGGACTCCAACCCCCGTGGATCATCTTCAGTCATGACGACCAGAATACAAAAACCCTTCAAGCGACAGTACACTACACATTCCCTCTCGTGAACCACATCGTACCGCCCAATATGAGCTCCAACTCGGACTCGGAGACGTATAGTCTTTATCCCTACCATCCAAGCCATGTCCTTCCAATTGTTTTTGCCGTCTTGATTGGCATATCTTTAGTGATGCACATCTACCAGAACTTGTGAGTTTACTCAGTTGGCGTCTTTCTACCATGCAAAGTGTCTCGAGTCCGAAAGCTCACGTTTATTCCTTTATACAGTCGCTATAAATTTTGGACCGTCACGTTCTGGATGTCGTGGGGTGGCACAGTATTTACTGTTGGCTGGATAGCTAGGTGCATATCGAGCTATCAAACGTCGAATGTGAATTTATACATCGTCCAGACGGTGTTCATCTATGCTGGGCCGCCTATCTATTCCGCATCAGCCTACAACATCCTCGGCCGGCTTTTGCACTACTTACCAATGCATGCTCCACTACATCCTAACCGAGTCACCATCTTTTTCGTCTACTTGGGTGCAGCAGTGGAATCCTTGACCGCCTCCGGTGCTGCTCGCATGGCTACGAATACGGATAGTTTGTCTCGATACAAAAGCGGTGGGACACTTGTCTCAACGGCACTTCTGTTGCAAGCTGTTATCGAAGCTATGGTAGTGAGCGTGATTGCCCTAGTGCATTATCGCGCTTCTCGCGCTGCTCATCGTCCACCACCTAACGTACGAAAACTCTGTATCACTCTCTATGGAACATCCTTTCTCATTATTTTCCGATGTATCTGCCGTGCCGTCGAGTCTTTCACACTTTACGCATCGATTGAAAGCTGCAAGCAAGGAGATTGCAGTCCTATTCTGACTCATGAGTGGTATCTCTACAGCTTTGAGGCTGCACCAATGGTTCTCTTCACATACTGGCTTAATATAATGCATCCTGGTAGATTGCTACCCCGACAAAAGACCCGTTATCTGGATCTCGATTGCAAAACTGAGCGACTAGGTCCCGGTTGGATTGACAAGCGATCCCTGTGGCAGACTGTGATCGATCCGTTTGACATGTCAGGTATGATATCTAGCAAGCCGAATCATGAGAGTTTCTGGCTGTGGCCGGAAAAGTGGCCGGCTGTTGTCGATGGTAGTTTCGCGCAAGGAACGGCATCTAATATACAGAATTCAAGGTCTAAACCGAATGAACGTTCCGAGAGTGGGCACAAGATGCTTCCATCTCAGTCGAATCCCTGATGAAAGGATTTTAGTATCGTGATGGAGTTATTTATTGTGTTGATTCTTCTTTTTACTTGCCGGTGTTGACTGTTAAGTAGATGTATGTTTTATCTTGATCTACATACATGCACTGTCTACAAACAATACTATTATTGACGTCCAAATATATATTGATTCGGAACCTTCGAACTGTGACGAGTAGATTGGTATACAATCATCATAGAATAATGACATATACTGTATCCTCCAACCTTGCGACCGCTAAGGTTCTCAAGCAATCCAAAACCACACTCTTTCTGTTGCCAAGGGGTATTAGTACTCAAATAGTGCCTGGGAGAATTACGCAGATAGACTTACCAAAGATATTTCTCGGTTTGGCATCCTCCCAGGAGCCTTCCAATCGATCCGCTTCTTCCTTTCCAGAAAAGAAATCTATTTCATCCAATTTGACAAAACTAGTTCTGTGGTATATTTTATATCCTAAAAACAATGTTGCAAAGATCGGTATGTCGATATATGGTGGAATAAATGATTTAGCACTGAACTTTCCTGGAAAGAAACAGTCGAATCCGTTGAAAAATGCCACTGTAGAGGAAAAGAGACACGAAAACCACGCTAGGTAAGGTTGGAATGGAGCCCGGAATGGAAGTGAAGACCTTGAAATGCCTTGATGTTTCATGCCTTTGTGGAAGCGGAGATAAGTTATGGAGACGGATGTCCATACGATCAGAGTGCTCACGGAGCTGAGGTTGCTTATCCAGAAAAATACGTCAGATGCGCTTGAATTTACATTCAAGTAAACCAGTAGACTGAGCATGGCGGTGATGGCTACGCATGCATATGGAACTCCAAATTTTTCGTACTTCAAAAACCCGGGTGCTTTTCCGTCAAGCGCAGTAGAGTACAATACCCGAGTCGAAGCGTAGAAGAAAGAGTTACCCGCCGAAAAGGCGGAGGTAAGTACGACTGCATTGATGATTGATGGGAGGACTCTGATGCCTCCATTTTGCATTGCGATAACAAAGGGGCTGGCACCGACTCCAGGAGCGCCTTGCTTAATAGCATTCAGGAGACGGTTATCCGTGGCGGAGACGCACATACCGACCAAGAAAATGCTTAGAACGTAAAAGACTGCAATACGCCAGAAGACTCTGCGGACTGCTTTGGGTATATTTCGTCGGGGGTTCTCAGTCTCCCCGGCTGCGACAACCACCATCTCGCTTCCGCCGTAAGCAAATGTAGCGCTGATGAAGACTTTGAAGAAGGCAAGAAAACGCCCCAAGGCTCCTGGTTCAAGATATTCCAGCATTGGGCCCGGATTGTGCCAGTATCTAAAACCAATGCGATCATGGCTCGGTGCGCCTCCAAGAGTGATGATGAGCATAAGGAGAATTAACCCGCAGATTGTTGTCAATTTAATAGCTCCAAAGGCAAACTCGATTTCACCATAGAACCGCACAGGGAAGAGGTTTATGGCAACAACTGCTACTAACATGATCGTGATCCAGGCAACGGTTGAGACGCTTTCTGGCCAGTAATCGATAACCAACGCCGCGGCACTGATCTCTATGGGCACGCCGATTGCGAACTGATACCAATAATTCCAGCCCAGCGTAAATCCTAAGGCAGGATCGACGTAGCGCGCCGCGTATACGGGCACTGCACCTGGTAAGGGAAGCCAGGTCGCCATTTCACCCATGCTGTTGATCACGGCGTAGAGATTGAAACCGGTTATAAGGTAGGCCAGTACTGCCGAAAGAGGTCCTGCGAGAGACAATGTTTGACCCGTACCGACAAAAAGGCCGGTGCCTATAGCACCCGATAGTGCGAGAAACTGGACATGTCGCGATTTCAGTCTTCGTTGTAGTGTCCCAACGTTATGATGTTCGTATTCGCCACATTTGAGTTCTTTTTTATCTAGGATGCTTGCATCGACTATCGTTTTCGAATCATTGCTCCCCAAAGCTTCAATGTCTTTCGTCATCTCACCAACTATAGCCGCACACTATACTGTACCTTTTTGTCTGACTACCTTTTCGTTCGTTCCAAATGAGAACTCATCCAGGCCAACATATCTGAGTATACGGCAGCAAGGATGCGACAGATGTGAGCAGACATGTTTTATATGATTATCCCCGCAGTTTCCAACATATTTGCTGACAAGGTTCCAAGTTGCATGATTGTCTTATCTCTCCTCTACGTAGCATCTCGATTGTCAATCCCCCGCTTTCCACTTGGCACAAGATAGCATGTGGGGAGCACCTGGGCAGGACAGGAAAATCAGCCTGTAGCATAGGAGATTGTTGATTACTTCAAAACTCTAGATTCATGTGTCGGTTTGAGCCGCTTCCAGATTATAGTTTTAAGGCTACCACCGATGTAACTTTGAAACCTTTCTTGCTCACTGATCGATAGTAGAAGCTGGTTAGCAGAGTGAATCGGGAAAGTATAGCGATTGCTCTACGTAGTCGGCACCTTTATGACAGAATACGTTTCAATACTATTAAATTAGAGATCAAATAGCATATATGGATCAGGCAGATATTAGACATGAGAGGAATCGACAAGCTTGATAAATCTTTAGGTCAGAAAAGAGCATACAAAAAAAAGAATCAGCGGGCTGCTGAGCGGCCGTAGTGAAATATCTAGAATAGAAGGAAAAGCCCGGCACCAGCGAGCCCGGAAAGAAAGTGTTTCGCATTGCCGGTGGCCAATGCTGCGATGCCGGAGGAAGTGGAAGTTGATTTTGAAGAGCCCCCTGAACTCGCACTAGCAGTGGTGGTCACTCCAGTGGCACTCACCACTCCCGTAGTCGCCGTCTCAACTCCATTCCCTGTAGCAGTCGAGACAGCGGAAGGAACAATCGTTGCCCCTGGCACTGCATTGGCGCCTGTCCCAATCTCCAGGATATCATCTTTTCCGGGGTTGAAGTTAGTATTGGCGAGGGAGATTTCGTTGTTCTCGAGGTCATAGACGACGTATGCACTGCGGAGGAAAGTGTCTCCAAGGAGATTTACACCAGCTTTACCGGGAGCAATACCAAGCAAACAACTATTCTTGGGCCAGTCCGAAAAGGCCTCGTATAATACCAGTTGACTGAGACCGACATTAATCTTCGCTCCGGAAAGACTGAATGTTACGTTATAGTTGGTGGTCATCAAATCACAGTTCACGTAAGCGACCCCATCCTTGTCGGAGAATGTCGCATTCAGAGACTTGTAGATTTCGGAAACAAGAGCGTCTGGTAACAAGATAAAAGGTGAGCCTGTATCTAGCGAAACTGCTAGTGGTAGATTCGTCGTAGAGCTAGTGGACTTGTCCCCGGTTTGTACAATGACTTCAGTCAAGGCGAGCGCGAGTGAATAGTAATTGTTATAGACAGGAACAACTGGGAGAGTTTGCAGTTCACCAATGTACTTGGCCTTGTTGACTCCTCCGAATAGTAGAATACCAGTGTCTGCATCCGTGCCGTCCATCCAGAGACTGTAGGCGGTGGATTTGGTGATGCCGTTCGCAGTCAAGGCATAAGGCAGGTTGTTGTATGTTTTGTTTTGTCCAGCTGCGTATGTGGAGATGTTGTATCCGACACCAGCAATACCGACTATTTTGATCACATCATAAATTAGTACGACTGCTAACAATCACTTCTCTACATGAATGTCACGCAAAGCAAGGCGTCCATTTAATACGAGCTGAATGTGAGCTCACCGTCAGAGGAAGTTTCATTGACAACGACAAACTGGAAGTCTTTCACAGTCGCATCCCCCAAACCGAGAGTATCCGTGGCATAGGTACCAAGAGCCGTAGTGCCATAGGCGTACGTCGCATTATATCCAAGACCTAGTGACTTGAAAGAAGATGAAGAGCTAGAGTCGTAAACACCTCCTTGCTTGCCTGATCCGGGAGCCGCAACGACCCATAAGTCACTACTACCTGTATCTAGAGAGAGTGTGAAATTCTGGGGAGGTGTTCCCAATGTCAAGTTAAACCAATAGCTTGAATTTTGCTATATATTTGTTAGAGCTGAACCACGTCGCACAATTGGTTGATTTTCGCTGCTGCATGCAAATTCTCATACTTACCATGTTCATAATAGAGACGTCCAGTGGAGAAGTGCTTCTTTTGTCCAAGGTCCCTGCCGACTGTCTGCGTATTATCGGGGCCTCCAGGACTGCTGGCGCATCTCGTCTATAAAGAGACAGTGCATTGCCAACTGACACCGTCGTTAGGACGATGAACGGCAACGAAACTGTCACACGCATTGTGATGAGGGATTGATATTGATTCCCGAAAAAAAAAAAGTGTGTGCGGTAAACAAGGATATTGTATTGAGATCAATTTTTCCGAGGTAGCTGTACACTGGTCACCACATCCAAGTTGTCTGGATTTTCGTCTTGTGGAGATTTCTGTGCCCTGGTCTTTGACCCATCTTTAAGCCGCCGGGTGATGTGGCGAAATGGACACGCATGTCAACGTTAAGTCGGGGACTATTACTTTGTGGCGTTCGTCCATGGCAGTCTCTGTCACTGATAAAACCAGGAACTCTGCACAATTGAGCTACGTATGTTTATAATATATGCAAGCCTAGGCAGCGCTGCTTCTAAGGTCCATCTGCTTAACTTGATCTGGTTAGTAGTTGATGCTAAGCCCATGCAAATGACTTTACGCGCCGGTCAAAGTAAGTGAGCTCCAATCCTTCCCCGGTTTCGATGATTTATAATCGTGGTTGCATTGAATGATATTTTTGTGGATTCGTTGGCCAAGCCTCACGAGTCATGACCGGTTATCCTTCCGCTTGATCCGTTCGGTAAAATCCCTCAATGCGTACTCCGTACCCCTATTCCACTCACGTCCTAGTTTTCATTTGACATTATATGCCTACAGAACTACTCCGTATACCATAATGACCATAATAATGTCCGGCTTCGTCTTTGGCATGACCCATTTAAATTGGTCACACTAATATCTTGTTGTTGCTCTGCATGTCGGACCTACTTTACTAGGTCCCCCGCACGTCAGCACCAATTATTTAGTTCTCACTCAAAAGAATGAAACCCCTCGAGGTTGCGGATCAGGTTAAGAGTAACGGAAGCACAGCACTAGTTATCATACAGTGGGTCGATTGAGTCGGGCGTAAATTAATTCTAGGAGGTCGTATTTAGATTGCCTTCAAAATCCTTCTGAAGATGAACTGTATGTATCTTGATCCTTTTTGCGATCCAATGTCCATATTCGAGCGACGTTTCTGTTGGCAAATTCATTGATAATATGTTCTGTCCATCAATTGTCGTCGAATACCGAATATGTCTCTTCGAAAACGGGCGAAGATGGCGACAAGTTGACCCCCTCAAATGTCTTTTTAAGTATAAAAACCTGCGGCTCGCTGGTTATGTTTTACAGTGGTTGAATTGATTTCCTCTCACGGCATATCAATCAGCCTACAAAGACGAGGGGATTTCCAACGGTATGATCGAAAAACAAAGTGTGATTGCCGCCTGTTTTAATCTCAGGTAGATCTATCAGCCCCTGCAGGAATACAGACATTCCAGACTTATAACTACATGAGATCAGACGTCTTTAAAAATAAAATGCAATTACTTTGCCCATGTAAAAATCATTCCCCCAAGCATACTTCTTATCAAGCTGAAGCGGATACTACTGCAATGGCAACAAACGCGTTCAAAACGTATAGAATCGCCACTATACCAGGAGATGGCATCGGTCCAGTTAGTAGCAACAGGTTATGACTGGCAGTCTATCTTGAAATTACTAATATATCTGTTCCGCCTATAGGAAATGGTGAATGTTTCTATCGATGTCCTTGAGTCTTTGCAAGAGATCTCGGCACATTCAAGCTCGATTTTACCGAGCTCGATTGGAGTACGGCACGATATAAAAAGACGGGAAAGTATATGCCAGACGATGGGTTGAATGTTCTGAAAACATTTGATGCTGGTATATTCGGTGCAGTTGGTGCGCCAGGTATGGACTCCCATTCTTGATCATTTTGCTTCCAGGTTTCTGGGCGCTCATCCATAATACTCCCTGACGTGTTTCCGCGTAGAGGCCCCTGACCTTATCTCCCTATGGAATCTGCTCTTAGCCATCCGTGGACCAATGCAATTATACGCTAATGTGAGACCCGTGAAAAACTCTCCAAAATTACCTTCACTGCTTAGAGGGGTCGAGGACGGTGACATTGACTGGTTACTCGTCCGCGAGAACAGCGAAGGAGAATGTCGCGGTCAAGGCGGACGGACTCATCGCGGAACACCATGGGAGGCAGCAACTGAAGTATCTATTTTCACCTGAGTGGGAATTGAGCGTATTATGCGTTTTGCTTTTGATACTGCCCGCAGCCACCCTCGCAAACTACTTACTGTGGTTACAAAGAGTAATGCCATGCTCAACGGCATGGTACTCTGGGATGAAGTTGCTGCTGAAGTAGCTCGGGAATATCCGGACGTCAAATGGGACAAAATGCTAGTTGATGCTATGACAGTCCGGATGGCTGCTAATCCTGAGTCTTTGGATACAATCGTGGGCACAAATCTACATATTGACATCCTGTCTGACCTTGCTGCTGCACTAGCTGGTTCTATTGGCATTGCTGCTTCTAGCAATCTCGACCCTACGCGTAAAAACCCATCACTATTCGAGCCGGTTCATGGTAGTGCCTTTGATATTACTGGGAAGGGGATTGCCAACCCTGTGGCTACCTTATGGTCCGCCTCAAAGATGCTGGATTAGCTTGGAGAGAAGGACGTGGCAAGAGGTTTATTTCAAGCAGTCCAGGATACATGCAGCCAAGGGATTTGTACGCCTGATTTGGGTGGGAAGGTCAATACGATTGAGTTTAGATAAGAGGTTGTTGAAACCATCAAACAGTCACTGCGTTAGCCCAGCTATACCGTTGATGGACGTATTAGAAGATATATTGCAATTACCGTGAATCTATTCCCTACGTAAATAAAATTATGCATGTTCAAAAACAAATTTGACCTAAAGTTGAAACTCGTCCTAATTGCATTATTCCCTCTTCATTGTCTGATCATATACGAAATAAAGTTATGAAATGATCGATGTAAAGGCACCTTAATTCGGCTGCGTAATGCCTCTCATACCCTATATGATAGAATAACGTACACTCTATAGGCGTAGCTATCAGCGGTGTACGAATTTGACAAAGTCATTAACAATTGTACTATCCGTTAGGAGGTGTGCTTACTTGTTTGCTTCACCTGAATCCTATATGACCGAGACTTCAGAATTGCAATGTCGGCGTGTCTCCTCCTCGGAGCCCCAACTCTTGTGTTTCCTTGTACTAGGAGCAGAGAAATGACCATCTGGTCAGAGTTATTTGGCTATCAAACACTTCTCAATACTACCTAGGTAATAACTATTATTTCAGATTTGATCATGCCTATGATTATTTCAATGTCTTTTAAATTCATGTGGGCGTATGGGGCTACAATAGGTATTACTACCTTTAACATCCTTCTGATGTCTAAGTGGGAAATTATATGAGGCATTTCCGGACCCTGGAACGCTGCACAGAATCCAACGGCTTGTCTACTAATACTGTCAGAATTTCACCGGAGACCATAACTTAGGCCCAATTCACAATGGATGGGTTCCCGAATCTAGAGACGGAGCATGTACACAATCCCTATCCCATGCTGGAGTGTTATATGAATCTAATATGGGCGTAAACATATGATGGGAAAACTGTCTGCATAGATTAATATGCCTGGATCATTTGGTTTTGTGGAAATGTCAACCTTGAAACTTAACCTGACTATATGGGAATGCACTTACCTAACTGGGTATTGGGCACAAGGCAGTATTCAGTGTAATGGCTTTCCTTGACTGCTTGGACCCTAACTTTGAGAAAGTTCTCTAGGGTACTAGGTTTATACTAGATCATGATCGTATACTTTGGCTCTTCATTAGAGCTTTCTGATTGTCCCAATTTAGTCGATCCAACTAGGTCATAGATTCCAATGTACTCCGTTGACTTGTTTCTTAGGCAGTATGAGGTATGATGAGGTTTAGCAGTGCTCTATTACCAAATAGCTAAACCACGATAACATGGAATACACCTCGAAATGTGCAGTTAGTAGGCTGGGCAAGATTACATGTGAGCTTGAGCATTAGATGTGAGTATGAATGTAGGAATTGGAACTCTTTCTTCATTTCGGAAGTTATGCCCTAGTTGAGTTGATATGATTATCTGTGTACTGATACTTCATAACTATTTCACTTCAATTCGTAGTGTGTTCTTGAGAGCTGATAGCGAGGAATTCTCTGTATTACTTGCTAGCTAATGTGTGTGTGAGGATCATGATGGGAAGAAGGATATCCTCGCTAGCACGCGAGGGTATATCCTTCTCCCAACCGCGCTAACTACATGCGGAAAGCGGCGCTGGAGACAAAGGGAGGAACTTCCCATCATATGTGTTACCACACATAGATCTATAAATGCATTTCTCAGTGTTAACGTTGTAGATGAGAAACCGTCAACTTAGAAGAATATATTGCTCATCATGCAACCATCGTCTCTAGAAATATGGTATAATAGATAATCTTTCCACTTGCTCTAGTTGTCATCAACTCTCGCAGCGCAATCTTCCTCTAATCAAGATCTTACTTTAATATTGTCGGTTTATCTACGTCTAGGTCGCTAGCACTAGTCACGTAGAACAGCTATTCCGACGAGCTGACGAGCCTGATCAATATGGTATAGAATTCCTGATATTGATGACTGCCCCCCAAGAGTAAGGGGGGTGTGTGTGTGTGTGTGTGTATATTTAACGGCCATGGTTCGTGACTTGCACGCTTCCCACCGATCCCTACTGGGACATAGGCCGCCGAGGGGTAAGCCTCGGGCTTCAGGTCCTATCAGATTTATATACAAATAAGAGACTCTTTGGCGCATTTCCATAGCTGCCGTGGTCTTAAAGGGAGATCCACTTCCTAGTGGGTTTTAGGTATTTATTAGCTGCAATGGTCTACCTACGCTCCATGACCCATCATTCTACCACCATCATACTTAAGCAGTGAGTTTGAAAAGAAAAAGGGAAGAAGGAAAGAAGAAAAGAAAGAAAGAAAAAGAACAAAGGAAAAGAGAGATATAAGGGGAAAGTAGGGCTGACTTAGCTAGGTGCTAAGGAGAGGTTGGCGAGGACAGATATCCTCAAAGAAACGGGTCTCTGCTAGCCATGAGGCTAGTTTTCGTGTTCCTTTCACAGTACCTAAAAGGAAAGAGATAACTTCAGAAGGGGGTCCAGGTGGACGAGGGGCTTATCTCTTAGCTATATAGCAGAAGAAGAAATGTAGAGGTGCTTTTTATGCTCTACACTGACAAAGAAGATAAGCGTCATCATGATTAAAGCGCTTATAGTAATCCGCAAAGTCTCCATAACCAGTACGGGCCGCTATGATACAGTCAAGGTCAAGTCGGTTAAGTTGAAGCTCTCTAGGGCGTTTAGGAGATGTAGTTATTTCTAGATCTTGGTATGTCTGTGGTGCTATAGTCTGCCACCGTGTCTGAGCAGCAGAAAGAGATTGAGTCTTGGCGTATCTCTTTAGCGAGGCATATGAGGACTTGTATGGAGAGGGGGGGATAGAGATAGCTCCTTCCTTGGCAGCGAGATCAGCTACTTTATTCTCAGAGATTTTAGTGTGTCCAGGGACCCATCGGATTTGGATTGATCCACTTTTGGTGTGTGGAAGCCTTTCGCGTAGTAGCCAGGCGGCTGCAAGGGTGTGAAAGGATTCAAAGACCTCTTGAGAGGATCCTGTAGAGGGGGATAGGAGGTGCATAATAACTTCCAGGTTGTCAAGACAGATCCATAGGTTGGTAGCAAATTGAGCTGTTGGGTATGCTATTGCTGCTTGAGCATCAGCTAGAGCAGCTTCTACTTCTATGTTAAAGACCTCTTTCCCATGTCTGTATGAGAGTGAGGAGCGGAGAAACTGATAGTGTGCTTGAATTCCAATATAGCCACCCCCTGCACGTCCGTCTATTAGCCTAGATCCATCTGAAAAGATTACAATATCCAAGCTAGGGATGGTGCGTTGAAAAGCCGTGAAATTAGCCGCTGCCTGTTCCTTAATGCGTCCCATGGGAGCTCCTATTTGGGCTAGGGCACTCTTGCGTAACTCACAAGGGTACTAGGGAGCATGTTGTAGAGGGTTTATTTATTCAGAGTTGGGGAGCGCCAGCACTTGGCGGGCAAATCGACTGGTTTGTTGGCTGTCTCTGGCTATCTGTTCTGCGCGTCTTCGGAGTGGGTGGTATGGATTAAGACGCCGTAGGCGGACCAATATTTGGAGAGCTATTTAATCTAGTTCAATTTCTAGCAGAGAGAATCCAGACTCTTGGTATAGAACAGATATTAGGGTTATGCAGAAAACTGGAAGGACTGCTCTTGCGCCTGCTAGTATTACTTTGGTTAGTTTCTCAAGATGTTCTCCAACTCGATTTGAGATTTAGGAAGGTCCAGGGCGAGTATGTCCTGGCCACCAGGTTTCTGCGCCATAGTATGCTTTATAGAGTACACAGGCTGATACAGCCTGCTATAGTAAATGAGGTTTGACTCTACAGATAGTATTCCCTAGAGAGCGAAGGGCATTAGCTATAGTGAGGGCTTTAGATGCTGTTTTACCAATGTACCATTTAAATATTAGCTTTTTATTAAAGAGGATTCCTAGCCAGCGTAGATATAGCCATTTAGTATTTTCTAAGATTATGATAGATCTAGCTTTTACTGAAGGTGTATAGATTGGGTCCTGGTCTGCTTTATGTCAGGAGAAGTGAAGAAGCTTGTATTTATCTGGTGCAAATGTAATGCCCTCTGCAGCGCCCTAGTTTAGAGCTTCTTGTAGTGAGTCTGATAATGCTTCGCAGTTAGTAGCAAGAGATGTTGAGATTGCCAGGTTAGCTGCATCGTCTGCGTAACCAAATCTGTTCCTTGGGTTTCCTAGACAGAATAGGGGCGCTATGTAGAGTATGAAAAGAATGCTAGATACTGGGGATCCTTGTGGAAGACCGCAGGCAATGTCTGTTGAGGGGTCAATCTCTCCATTGAGTCGGATCTGGACTGATCGCCCAGTAGCAAAGGAGGCAATCCAGAGAATAAGATTAGTGGGCCAGCCCTGCTCACGTAATCTGCGGATGAGTCTGCCGGGAAGCACGGCATCAAAAGCGCTCTTGACATCTAGGGTAAGGAGTGAGGCAGTCATGCCTTGATTTAGTGCTTGTTCAACATCATATGTTAGGCATGTGGTTAGATCATTTGCAGATCTTAGTGGGAGAGCCCTAAACTGTTGCCTTGCTAATACTTTATAGTGTATAGAGATCCATGCCATATTCCATGCCACCAAGCGCTCAAGTCCTTTGCCAAGAACTGATAGGAGAGCAATCGGTCTATATGATCTAGGTAAGGACCAATCAGTCTTTTTTAGTTTCTAGATAATTGCTAAGATTGCATGTCGAAAGCATTTCAGGTGATAACCAATCTTTAGGCACCCTTGATATAACATTAGTACCTTGTCCTTAATTAGAGGCCATACCACTTTAAGTATGCAGGTTGGGATTTCGTCTGAGCCAGGGGCTGTGTTTCCTGCCTGAAGTACTGACTCCTCCACCTGTGCCATTGTTATATCTGGGAAGTAGAGACTAGTGGTAGGGACTGCTGGGGAGTCCAGAGGTATGTCTCCTGCCTCAGCCAAGTTTTAAAGAAGATTACGGACTAGTACGTCTCGTTTCTCATGTATAGTAACTGCTGGGAAGCTATTGGGTCTCAGTAGATCCTTCAGTGGAGGGCTTCAGAAGGTGCCTATAGACTTATGCTATTTACTCATATCGAAGATATCCTTCATTTGTGTTGCCGTAGAGAGCTTATCTCGCCAAAATTGTCGTTGAGACCATCTTGTTATTCTGCGGAAGTCTGTCTTTGAGCAGAGGCCTAAGCAGTAATTGTGTAAAGCTTTCTTGTAGTCTTCATTCCACCATGGTTATTCTATGCCTTGTGTCATAGTCCTCTTAGCAGAGCCTCTATATGCTCCTTGAATTGCAGATGTCAGTTTTTTAGCAAGGGCATCAAGATCTTCTTCTGTTGCGGCTGAGCTCTCAGTGCCAGCGAGATTAGAGGCGAGGAGCGAGAGGAAGGAGGTGTGGTCTAGTGTGTCAAATCTCAGTTTCTGAGCTGTTTCCTTGTATCTCTAATCCCATAGAACAGTGGTAATTAGTGGTTGATGATCAGAGGTAGTATCTAAGTGGCTCGCTATGCTAGCTTTGGCTCCTGCGAGTGCCAGAGGGCTTAAGGCGAAACTAAGGTCTAACACGTTACCCCTTTCATGTATGGGACAGTCTATGTCGGAAATGAGTACTAGACCCTGGAGATCCAGCCAGTTGATAAACGGCTCTGCAAAAGTTGTAGGGCTGCGTTATAGCGAGGGTTGCCATCTGTTGTGTAGTAGGTTGAGATCACCTGTAAGTATCGTTATTTGAGGGAAATACACCTCTGGCAAGATTGTGAGAGCTTTTGTGGCTTCACCTGCTCTGCTGCAGCCTGCTGGGGCATTATAGATGTTAACTATCAGAGTGGACTTTCCTGTGGGTGAAAAAATCTAAAGGAATAGGAGATCTGAGGCTTCTTTAGTGTCAGTTGTAAAGAGGCGTAGCTGGGAGGTCCGGATGCCTTTCTTCTTTTAGATATAGGTGAGGACTTGTGTTCGGCCACTTATTGCCTAGCTATCAGTTGGGGAGAAGCATTCATATGATGGATGTTTTTTAGTAATCTATTAGCTAAGGTCTTTGAATGTATATAGTTCTTGGATTAGGATAATATTAATGTTGCTAGTGTATGCTAATGTGAGGGCTATTTCATGTGCGTCTGGCGCGTGCCCTACATTTAACTGTAGGATTTTGAGAGGCGCCTTTTAAGTTAGATAGTGATAGATCATAGCTCCTGTTCAAGAAGAGAGGCAAACTAATTTTGTGGTTGAGGGGTTGTAAAATAAACTGCACGAGCTATAATGGGAGGATCTTTAGTTAGGGCGCGAGGTGGGGGGGTTACTGAACGGAAAGGAGAGATAATCTCATAGATTGAAGGCTGTGATGGCATCTTATCTAATGCTATAGGTGTTTCTTGTGTGCCTATGGAGAGCTAAGAGCTACATCCTCCTTCAGTTCGAGCTTTTGCAAGGTTTATGGTGTAGGATTTGCGGATCTCTGTTTGTTAAGCTTTAGTATGTTTAGTATTGCCTTTAGGGCGTAGAAGGCATTCTGTAAAATTAGCTAGATGTAGTCCATAGCAGTATATGCATCTAGGAGGGCATTAATGAGGCTCTAGGGCTATGCAGCGGTTGACATAGCCCTCTTCAGTATGCTCTGAGGAGCTGCATAGTCGGCATCGAGAGGGGCGTGCACAGGATCGTGCATTATGCCATTTCTAGTATTGTGTGCATTAAATAACTGTTGTTTTCTTAGAGAGATGACGAGCATTAGTGATAGTGCTAAAAAGATGTAGCTGGATAGGCAGTAGTAATTTCGTGCCTTCTAGGAAGTTGACAAACCAGCTTGAGGAGAGAGTATCAGGGTTGGCAGCGCTCGTAGTGGTCTCGCTAATAGATATAGGCTTGAGCCCTGTAGTTTTGCTAATTTCTAAGGATAGTAGTGTAGGATTGACAGGGATTAGAGAGTATTGACCATCTAAGATTTAGCTAATTTTCCTTGGCATGTTGGTGACTCGGTATAAGACCCATTGGGAGCTGCATTCTATCTAGCAGTTAATAAAGAATGCAGAGATCGTCTCTTTTTGGGCCTCAAGGGCTAGGAGGGCTTCTGGAGATGAGGGACATAGTGCAAAGCCAGTCTTTATAGCTTGGACTTCTTTTAGTGCTGCACTATTTAAGTTTAGTTGAGATTGTAGGCTAGAGTAGATAGCGTAGGCTTCCATTTTTCTGGCTGCATGGTCAGCTGGGAGGCGTACGAAGAGCCAGATGTTAGGAAGGGGTTGTTTCACCAGAAGCATAGGCTTTTTAATAGAGGCTTTAGAGTGAGTAGTGGGAGTTAATTTGACCGGGGCATATTAGGTAATAGTCGCATAAGTTGACTGGTTAAGGCCTGAGGGGGGACGTGAGGGAGGGGGTGAAGGGGGTAAGGGATTTAGGATGGGGGAAGAGGAAGGAGAAGGAGACAGGGCAGGTAGAATGGAGATCGTCAAGATACCGCTGATATAAGTGTTGAAATGTTGTTGAGCTACCAAGGTGAGGTCATCGCTTAGAGTGGTGAGGGCTCTCAGTAGGTGAGGAGCAAGGCCGGTGGTTTAGCTGCGGTGTTTATCAAGGAATACAGCTATGGGGCTGAAGATCTTCTGTCCCTCAGAAGCTCTTGTTGTGGCTGTAGACGTGGATTCCAGAAAGGCTGTCTGTAGAGGGCCGTCTGTACCAGGGCCTTTACGCGCCATGGTGTTGCCGGGCGCGTTGGGACGCGTCAAAGGCTGCACTCCTGGGAGCTAGGTGGTAGAGAGGGTTGAGGATTGTGAGCCTCCGACTGTTTGATATAAATAATTATAAGGAAGTCGCTGTCAGCGTGCTACACCCGTGGATCTCCCTCCGGCGCGGATCAACTATGCTCCGAGAGTCATGTGACCTCCGTAAAGGGGTCAGCGCAGCTGTAGTTAGCTTAGATAACCAATAACAACAACCAGCACATTAACAGTCGCCTATCAACTCCTATCCAAGAGTAAGGGGGACGGGGAGTAGCTAACTACATATATACGCGGCACGCACGTGCCGCGTTCGACTAACTGATATTCAGTGCCGAAACGCGCTAGGTTTGATATTCACGTTCCGACAAATATCAACTGCTATCTTGATAATCTGCCGCGTCAAATATTACTCAATCAATATGATCTCATTTGCTACTATCCCCGCTGCTTTCTTTGCTATCCTGTGTGACGGCGTGCATTCTCTATCCTAAGAGGTAACTAGTCCAACAAAAACTAAGCATAAGGAAAAAAAGGAAAAGAGCACGCCCAGCCGCGGGCAGAGATCTCTTTTGTATGTGCGTACGGCTCTCATCGGAGCCTAATCGGGAAATTGTGAAGACAAAGAGATATCCCGATTTGGAACTCCCTAGAGCTTAGGGCTCCGACGAGGAGCCAACGCGATACAGCTGCCAGGCTCGTCACATCCTGCGCGGGTCTCAGCAGGTTCGAGCACAGCAGGTCTGCTTTGTTGGCTCATACAAGTGCGGCTCGACTCTCCTAGCAACACCTTACAGTACATACGGCAAAAGGAGACCGGATATCAATTTATTTTTCTGGGTTCCGATCGTTGTTTTTGCAGAGAATAGATAAATGTAACTGTCGGAACGTGAATATCAAACCCTACGCGTTTCGGCACCGGATTAGTTAGTCTGACGTGGCACGTGCGTGCCGCGTATATCTAGCTAGCTATCCCCCGTCCTAGTCACAATATTAGGAATCAAGATAGCTTCATATTGCCAGGCTCATTAGGCCGCTTCGTGCTCGTGCCTTGCTACCGTCTATGCTTCGTGATACGGACCGTAGCTAAACCAACAATAACTTCGCGAAAGGGATAATGGGACGGCATGTTGGAGGTACAACAACAGTCGCCGTTGCAGTCACGATTGCCGTTGATGTGTTTGTACCGGGATTCTGACTGCATTGGTCGTCGACAGTAACGTTGTAAGTCGATTGACGCCCATTAACACAATATGTGTTTGCTATAATGCCTCCTTGACTATCATTGCATCGGTACAGTACTTGATAGACTGGAACTATCCCAGGTGGTGGGATAACCCCAGACTGGTTCACCACTGCAGAGAGCTCATTAAAGGTGTAGCATAACTCGATTAGCTATCAAGCCAGTTCTTCTTTTCGTTGATCTTTCTCGTACCATTCAACTCAGCTAGAATATAACCACACTGGTAGGTTTGATAATAGCATGGTGTGGCGAATCCACAAACGAAGGCATAAATCACAAAGGTTATAGCGAGTGATAGGATCATTTTTGAACAATTTAAGGTGTTTAAAGTGAACTTTCTTTAACTGAAAAGACTAGTTAAGGCACTAAAAATGGACCTTGGGAGCGACAGCAACAGTAGAGACCAGTGTCAATGTGACATGAAGGATAGCCCTAGAGGTACGTGGAATTGGATATTTATATTCTATCTCGGTATATCTAGACACATTTATCTCGCTCATTATACAGCCAACGCTGGGATGAACCCAGGAATCGAACCATCCATCTATCAACATGGGTACGAGGCAATAAAATCGGCCCGGGGTGAGTGAGTACCCCTCATGTAGAGTATAATTGATTTGTACAACCATCGCACCTGTTGAGTAGCATTTCAAGACAATCCACGCCACTTCTTATACATGTACATTTAACTTCGCTTCGCAGGAGATGTGTTGCTATAGCATTGCTTGGTAAATTGATGTGATCCCCTACTCCCTCCTCACGTGGCATGGCTTTAATTCGCTCATTTTGTCAGATAATCTGGATTACAAACGAGGCAGAGAGACTTGATGTTCGATCTTACAGGTCTAAAAAGGCACCTTAGGTCATATATCTGGGAACCGAGATTTCAGCCCAATGTTTACCCCTTATGATAGCTCACAAATCACCCCGCCAAAGATGTTTATAAAAGCCCAGCTTTGAAACTTGATGAACAGAAAGAACAGAACTCAATACATACAATCTTGCTAGTCACTTCTTTTCTTTGATACTAGTAAAACACTTTTCAGGATTGGCCTGGAATAAACCGACTAATCCGACACATTTGAGACGTAGAACTGAGAACGGTACACGAGTCCTCCTGGGCTATTTTGTGAAGTAATCCACGGAACCTGGCAGAATTGATCCCATGTTGTAGTAAACTTTCGTAATTATTTCCATCTATATACTGTCACTTAGATATACCTAGGTGATGGACAGTGGATACTGGTAGTCGCCACCACCTCGTCTAAATTACTGGAAGTCTCATTAATCGCACAGTGTCTTGATATGTACATGACTGTAATCCAGTACTTCAAGGTCAATCCAATAGACAATATGATTTCACTATCGAGTGGACGTCCAGTAAATGACACGGCATCTAGTTGCGAAGCCACCTTCTGCCCGTATTGGAAATAACTTTGTACACTTGAAGGCATTGGCGCATGTCACCAGAGCTCCGGACTACCTACAACATTCGTCTTGTATCTATAGTGTTACTATCCCGTATGTACTATCCAGTTTTCAACATCCACAAATGCATTGCATGGTCAGTAATAGCTAGGCTTTCACATGTGAGATTACTCTATCCAACTCTTGCAGTGGAAGAGAATCTCTACAAAAGCCTTCAATTATATGTAATCTGAGAGATCATGTTATATGAATACTGAAGGCGCCGAGATATCGTAAGCAATTCTTGAAGCATTCATCGTTCTGTGGGAACATTTCACAAGCAGCAAGCTGAAATCAAGTATTGCCACTACACGCTGTGTATTCATCGAAGTTTTATTTAAGCTAAAGGCATGTGATAGCTAGTCTAATTGATTCTGCGTATTCTCGGCGTAAACAATCCCTCAACACTCAATAAGACCGTCATGAAATACAGGCACTCGTTGGGCGATATAGTTATTAGGGTTATTCAATCCCGGCGACATTTTGGCACCTAAAATATCAGGCATCAAAGATAAACGGTGTGGGGTTATCTTATCTCACTCTACTTGTCTCTCTTTAATTGATTTCTCTCTTCAACAAACTACACCATTGCTCCCAATACGCAGCTTAATTTCTAACAATGGGCGAGTATATTGCAAGCCCGGACGGCCCGACAGCCTTCGGCCGTAACATGCTGCGGAAGCACTTCATGATCAACCCGAGATATCGACCACTCAATCACGGTACTTTCTGTCGCTTCTCATTTTGTCTTCTTAAACCTACAGTTCTTTCCCTTTATGTCCCGCGTAAAAAGTCTTGAATATGAATTCTCGGAGCTCGAGGGCTAATGGAGTGTCTGGTATTTACATTTCATAGGCTCCTTCGGCACATTTCCTGTCCAAGTACGCGATGCGCAACGCAAATTGCAAGATGAACAAGAATCCCGGCCCGATGTTTTCTTCGTCATATCGCATGCAGAACACGTTACCGAGTCTCGCAAGGCAATTGCAAATTTAGTTCACGCCCCGGTCGACGAGTGCGTATTTGTGAAAAATGCCTCCACCGGGATTAATACTATTCTCCGAAATCTGGATTTCAAACAGGGCGATGTCATCGTATACTTTGCGACAGTATATAATGCAGTGGAACAGACCTTAGAATCATTGATGGAAACAACCCCGGTGCAAACGCGAAGAGTCAGCTACACTTTTCCGATCACGCACGACGAGATCTTGAAGAAGTTTCTGGCTGTGGTGAAGCAGACGAAAAGTGAGGGGCAGAACGTGCGGGTGGCTATATTTGACACGATTGTATCGGTTCCGGGGGTCAGGTTTCCCTTTGAAAAACTTATCAAGGCATGCACAAAAGAGTCAATTTTGAGTGTTATCGATGGCGCACACGGCGTCGGTCAGATTCCTTTGTATCTTGGGGATCTTAGCCCTGACTTTTTCGTCAGTAACTGTCACAAGTATGTCCCAGTATCCATATCAGTTTAGGACTATATAATTAACATTTATAGATGGCTATACACACCTCGTGGGTGTGCATTGCTTTATGTTCCCAAACGTAATCAGCATCTACTCCGAACATCTTTTCCCACATCTCATGGTTATACGTCACCTGCTGACAGGGGACGTGGGATACACGCAGGAAAATCCGACTTTGAAATATTGTTCGAATTTGTTGCAACTGCGGATGATACTCCCTATATGTGTGTCCCCGCTGCCCTCGACTTTCGAAAACGAGTATGTGGAGGTGAAGCCGCTATATATACATACCTACACACCATTGCTCAAGAAGGTGGAGATGTTGTCGCTCGAATATTGGGAACAGATGTCATGCAAGAACCTGGACTCTCCATTCCTATCGAACAAAGTGATATTCGAAGATGCGCTATGACAAATGTGCGAATGCCACTAGCTTTCAAAGACGATAAGAACGTTAATCGTCATGTACCAGATCCATCATCCTCTCCATTTCCATTGCTCAGTATAAAGGACGCAACGCCAGTAACGGAATGGATGCAAGCCAAACTTATACAGGAGTTTGATACCTTTGCAAAATTCTACCCACATGGAGGATGGTTGTGGCTTCGGCTAAGTGGGCAGATTTATCTTGAAATTGAGGATTTCGAATGGATTGGCCATATTGCGCGTAGCCTCTGTGAACGGGTTGCTTCAGGAGAATGGCTGCACAAGTCGAGGATTTGAGTTCATGACCTTGGGCCAAGTTATACAACCTTATTGAGTCGTACTTATGGTCACGGATACAAACTGTGAAAAACATGTTAATTTATAGGCGCTGGGTCACAAATCATCGATCAGCACTTTCGCGTTAAACTTTTGATAGAGACATTGGTTCCAAATATCTTCCATCCCTCGCAACAAACCCTGATACCAGCATCGGTATTGCTGGGATTGCTTATGTTAATCATACCGGTGCGAATCACTTTCACTAAAATCTCTAGATGGATTTCGTATATTACAGTGACGTGCCCATCTTCGGTAATGGCCTATGTACCGAGGTGATGCAAATCTGGGGCAGAAACAACTCGTGATATTGCCGGCGTCTGATCTAGTCTCACATCTTGCTCTTAGATTCCACGCCTTCTACATTTAAACAGCCATGACATGAAATCTAGAATTTGAAGCTGCAAGAGCAGTTCCTCTTTCGGCCTAGTGTACGAACGTAGGATTCTATTGAGCGCTTTCTTGAAATAGACTAGCGCAGGGTGTAGTCCCATTAGCGCCCGTTACGGATTAGTAATCTAACTGAATTGGGGTTAGTGTACGAAGAGTCGCCCAGGTTCGTATAAAACTATCTCGGTATGCATCCAACTGACACTGCCTTCCTACCTCTCGCATTTCTATTAAGGTAAGTCGAGTGAAGCCTGAATTTCTTACTCAATAGGTAAATTATAATAAGCCCATACTTCGGCTCTTAGCTGCTAATTGACGGCTTGGCAGTCGTTTTTATATCTATGGATGCTCACGGATGTTGTATAGTTACCTAGATAAAAGACAACAATGCTACATTATGCTTTGACGCTGCAGATAACTACTTTCGTCAGTTTCAGATCATTTGGTTTCGGGATCTGATGAACTGGGACTACCGTATGCGATCCCTATGCGATGCGTATTGAATTCTCGAGGGCCTTATGGGGTTGCTTTGCCAATTTGTCAGAGAGACGAGTGGCTCGGTTTCGTTTGTCTTTGAAGCTGTAACTTAACTGCGGGAATTCAATATGCTTTCCGATTGCCATCAGAAGGTTGCAAAGGTCTTATAAACGAATACGAAGCACTACGTGTCTGACAATAGAAACCCTCCAATCACTGAGCACACTTCAAATCCTTCATTGTCATGTGGGCTTTGAAGTGATTAGGAAGGATCGTATTTCAATGCCCAAATATCTCAATTCGAAGCTTACAAGCGAGGGCTTAGTGCTAGTCAGCCACAATCTCTCTGGGACCACACCGAGTATCCCAGTGTCATGGTACCTAGCGCTTAGACGATCCATGTACGAAGCGCTGGCAGTAACCAAATGCCTTTGGGCTTACCCATTAGACTAGGCAGAAATTACTCTTACTCCCCTGTTCTCCTTAATCGAATTGACCATATGTTCCTATAATTGGTCTGCTCGTGTCTGCTCGGGTACTTGACTTCACAGGCGCACTTTGAATCTATCAGGGAAAATACTGCAGCCAGGACATATGTGATTGTTGTGAATTACTACGTCAATCATGACATCCGAAGACAAAATCTTCGATCTTACGGTAGGGCGGACGAGAAGGACAAACCCAATACCAGAAACCTGTTATCAATATGACGGGAGAATGAGATGCTCCTCGCCCATCACGACTTTCTCTCGCGGTACACAAATTTTCGAAATGCCCGTCCACTCCACAGCGTTGCATATGGCGTATCCATCCTTGAGACCTGCTGGAAATAGCCGAAAAGGTCGATCAAATCGGACCGACGCTTTGCCATTTGGCAAGAGATACAGTACGAAATCAATAATTGACACGACCAGAGAAACGGCAGAAATCAATCAATCGGATGATACAGCTGAGACTTCGAAGACAAATGCAACATCACCAAGAAGCAAACGACGTCCGGTATTAGGCGTCGGAAACATTGTCAGTATCAGTCAACCGAACGGTGCAGAGCGATTAGCAATGATTTCCGAAATGACTACATTCCACGACTCCAAGATTGCAATTGTGTGCGCATGGCTCTTTACACGGGATGATATCCATGAAGACCTAATACTGAATGGAGGTTTTTCATTGAATGAGTCTCATCGATATCTACAGTCCAAATGGCCTGTCTTAACTGCCGATAGCAAGTCGATGACAACGACAGCCCGGTCGCAGTGTGATTACATGGTCAGCACACACCGCACCATTGCCGTTTTGGATGCACTAGGTACCATGCTTACAGGAGTCCCGTCACATGTTGCTTCAAGGGTCTGTCGGGATGCGGTCTACCATGCCGACTCGGCGGAAAGAAGTATATCTGATGTTGACGATGATACTTGTCATTGGCTGAAAAAGATTCTTCATTCTTGATTCTGTGTAGCGAATTACGCATTGTATGATGGAGTATGCCATTTCATTTTGGAGTCTTTGTTTGCCTTGAGTGTAGGGATTGAGGACTGGAAACAATAATATCTACTTACCTTGTAATTTGACTCAGCAGTGTTCAATAGTATAGTTGGGAGGCCATTACGAGCATCCATTGTTTGAGATGGAAGTGTTTGATACTTCCTTAGTAGTATCAGGAACACGTAGTAATATGGGCCCAAGACGGTGAACGGTGTCAGATAACCTGGATATCCGGCGAGGCAGAAGATAGGCTATTCGATCAGGTCAACCAGTCACCTCAGGGCTACCTACATTTTAGCAAATAAGAAGCCATCTTCTTATCAGGGCTCAATATAGCCCACAAATCACCCCGCCAAAAAGTGTCTATAAAGACCTGGCATTGAAAGGTTATGTATTCGAAAAGGGGGAGAGAACTCAATACACACAATCTTGCTAGTCGCTTCTTCTTTTCTCATCCCAGTAAATCACTATTCAGGATTGGCCTGGAATAAACCTTAGCCCTAAAACCTACCTCGGTTGTCTCTAAGGAAATCCAAAACCTGAACGCCTACCAAGTAAATTATGCTAATATTTAATTTACTGTGTCATAAGACGATGAAAGATTGCTCAGGTTCTCACGTTGGTTCATATTGGCTGATGTGAGTGGCCATCGCATGTATGGATCTCTATGGCAGCTCCCCATACCTCTCTAGGAGGTCCGAGGTCACAGTTCACTAATAAGACTTCTCATATTCCAAGGACCAACACTCTGTAGATGAAAATACACAGCCATCACCCAGTTTCAGCGTTTGTTATTACTACTAGTTACTCAACAAGCAGTGGCCCTTGCAACAGAGGTATGTTGCTACTAGGTCAACTTCGACAGATCCCAACGAGCCACCACTAACACCGACTCCCTTAACAATTATATCAGTGGAAATCCATCAATAAAATCCAATCCGCCTTTCTACATAGTCGATGAGCGTGGAGGATCTCGGACCCAAAGCATTAAGGACAAGGTATCTCAGCTACGACGTTATTGCTCCTATGCTGATATAACCCAACTACACAGACCACTTATAGTTCTCCAATTCGTGAAGGAATAATGATATTCTGATAACCGGATCTCAACATGACTGAAGACAAAGTAACCGGTCAAGTAGACCACATCGAGAATGAGGGTAAAATCCCTAGCAATAGCAAGAATGAAGTTTCTATCACTAACATCCATCGGCAGCAGCAAAAGCAGGTTTGAAATGGGGTAACACTCCGAGCATTAATAACGCCACCAAAAAGAAAGGTAAAACCCCCAGTCCCGGTCACTTTGTACACCTGATCCCCGCCGAAAAAGCAGGAGAAATGCAGGAAAAAAGAGTGAACACGGTCTTATATGCTGAAATGAACCGAAATAAACTGGAAGGAAAGGGAAGCTTTTGGTCAAAGGTTTCCCAGACGGCGTGGGGAGGAGGATGAATCAAATAGTGGGCGAGGCCGGTGTATATGGAGAATTACGAGGGATTCTCCGCCGCAGGTTCACCAGACTCCCATTCAACTTTTGACCTAGTTCCTAGTATTGGGATTCCAACTCGGCCGAGGTACTGCCCTCTAGGCCTTTCTCATGTTCATTCAAGAGAAATATTGCGAGGTTTTAGTGTAACATTTGGGAATATGCACGCCACATTCAGGGCAATTGTGCAACAAAGCGAAGATACGCAAGGACTCTGATACTTTGAATATACGAGCAATGATGAAGAAATCCGAGAGTATTTACTGTAGTACGAACTACCACCATTCAAGCACTAACAGCCAACGAGATTCAATGTTGTTAAAATATACTGTTACACACAGATGCTACATATCTTGCAGGGAACAGCAATAAAGAACAAAACAGGAACGAGTCTGAAACAATGAGTCTCGATGCCAGACTATGTACATTTAGTTTCTCATTGCTGTATTATCTGATCCCCATGACAGCGATACCACATATTTCCTTTTTCTCGAAGGGCCATAAACATGTATTCATACGGGTTGATCCGGGGTGGGTAATTACGATAATTTTGCAATGGTCATATGATGAATAAAAGAAAATGTCATATCCCCGATGGCCAATGACAGGTAATCAGGATAAGTCAACAGGCATGGCTCGTAGGTGCATTTCGGGCTACACCCCCATATTGTGATACCTTTCTCTCGACTCCTCGAGTTCAGTTTGATCTTCGTACCACGCGAGGTTCGGTACCAAGATATTCAACAGTGTAATCGAGCCCTGCTCAATTGAATGATATATAAAAGGCTGAGAAGTGATCTTTTCCCGGCGCGTCAAATCTTGGTTACCTTAGTCTTTTTTCCCCTATCGATATTGATTAAACAGAATCCATACGCGCCGAAAACACTATTTAACACATCATCAATCAATTCTTCCGAATTTTTTCAACATGCAATTCCTCAAGACATTCTTGTTGGGTGCGTTGACTTTTGTAGTCCCGGCTTCAGCGGCCACTATTCAGAAGAGGGACACCGTTGATGTATGCTCTTTTTCTTATCAATAAGGTATTGACAATAGCTAATCCCTCGCTTAAACCTCTGCAGGTCTTCATCTGGGGCAGCGCAAACTTCAACGATTACACCGAATCCTATACCTTCAACCCCGGCGAATGTCAGGCGATTACTGCCCCATCGTAAGTCCAAGGTTAATCAACAGCACAAAAATAACTGATTGTTGATCGTGAGATACAGATCAGGGAGCGTGGGCTCCGCAACAGTTGACGAGAATGCTAGTTGCAACGTATACGCGTAAGTACTCCGATGACCGTAACTAACACATCAATCAGCAACTGAGCGAGTATATGCACAGGAGCTCCGACTGCTCGGGTAATGTAGCAGGAACATTCAGTGCTCCGGGTATCTCTGATACTGGCTCCCTTCGGAGCAGCTTCGGAAGCGTCGTGTGCACGATTCCTGGGAGTGGGAGCGGTGGTAGTGCAAGCACAACTTCGACCGCTGCCAGTGAGCCAACTGACGTTTGTGATCTGTAAGAGGGTTGAATGGTACGAGGTATCGGTATACAGTGCAGTACTGCACGGCAATATTAGTGACGAGGAATTCACCATGCAATTATCGTTGACAGCTATGCGCCTGAGGTTGGTGATAGTATTCCAGGGCAAGATCCCAGATTGAAGGTACTTAAGAAGTTAGATAAAATAAGATTCTATTATTTGATCATCATCGATAATATCAACACCAGACTATAACCTCCAAACCTAACCTAGGAAAACGCATGTGAGGAAAACGGCTACCCTAGTTCCGTCAAATTATGCTGCCCTTGTTGTCCATCATTGATATCACACACAGGTCTGACTACATCGTCAGCGTTATGCTCTTCATCCTCTTGTACTGTAGTTATACGACCACTCATTGTGGAGATAGCTGTCGTCGTATGGTCTCTGTTCGAGTTTTCCACAGTACTTCCCTCTTGAGAAACAGAAAGTGAAACTGCATCCGAGACTGAATTGTCTGACACTTGCCTATTTTGTGGTGGCCGTCCTGGATCCGATGAGCCAATTTCTGAGATATTTGACTCGTCACTCCGATATCCGATACTGAAGTTACTAGTGTGTCGGACGTTTTGGTGACTTGGCCTTGCTGGTGATTGACTACTATACATCATTTCGTCAATGTTAGGAGACACGAGTGGCGGAGATCTTTCAGGCTGGGTCCATTGCGTCTCATTCCAATGCGGTGATTGATCGTTGGAACCCATTTCGAAGACAGGAGTGCCGATACCTGGAAGATATTAGCACGAAGATATAGGACTTCACATTAGTTATTGACGTACTCTCCATTTCATGCAAAGCCATACTTCCAGCTTCTGAAACATGGCGGTCATGAATCTTCGAGGACACGACGGTAGCTCCGTCAATATCTGCAGCACCCAGTTCTGCTTGACTTTTACCGTCTTGCGTAGCTGTGCCGTGGAGCCATCGTAGTACAAACCCCCTTATTCCACTCGTGCTAACCTGTGTCTCGCTTGCTCTTGTACTCCTCCGTGGCTTTCGTCTCCGCCAAATCAAGAATAGAATTACGGCGACTGCGACAACTATCAACCCAAGTACAACACCTAGTACAGGCCCTACCCAAGTTGGAAGCCCGCTTCCACCTGTGACAGTGATCGTTGTCGGTCCCGGGGAAGGAGTGGATGTATTGGTTGAGTTTGTGGGGTGCAAGTCATAGGGATAATATGTTGCGATGGTTTTCGTGTAGGCCGTCGCAAAAACATCACCGATCGTTGGTGGTGGCTGAACCGTTGCACTTCCGTTCATACTGTTCGCTGTAAGTAAAATGTATTAGGTACGAAGAGGAGGATTCGTAAGAAGCACTTACTTGCCACCGATCTTTGCCGTGACCACATCTGGTACTCTATATTCGGCCCATACTCTAGGGTCATAAGAGTCCTGGAATCTTAAGTTGTTTAAGTTGAAGACTTCTGCAATGCCACCTTGGAGACAAATGACCGGGTTGCCAGCGTAGATTCCTCCTAGTATCATCATTTGGTCCGGGTATACCATGAAGCATTTGTGTCCACTTCTACCATGATTACTCTGTCCACTATAGGCGTGGGTCCATACCATTTGGGGTACTGACAGTATGTAGACATCGTCTGAAGGGATGCTGCTTTGGTTAATACCATCGTATCCACCGTATATGTATATGTTGAATGATGACTGATCTCTTGCAGGTGCTACCACGGAGCAGAACAGAGTCAACTGGGGCGGTATATCGCCAGTCGTGTTCTGTTGATACCATTTCTTGTTGGCAATATCGTATAGAGAAACCGTCTCCATGAATTTCGGGCTTATTTGAGTCTAGGTTCATGTTAGCAGACAGCCCACACAGAATTTGATTACACTTACACTGTCATTCGTTTGTGATGCATTCAATGCCTGAACGGCCGTTAAAGAGACTGGATTGATGACCCCCCCTATTGCAACAAGTACTCCGTTGTTGCCGGCTGGAATCCAAGCAAGTTCCGCATTCGCCCGTGCAGGGACAAAAGGCGGTAGTGTATCATTCGCCCAGGTCTCTTGCCTCATGACTGACATATTGACTGAGATTAGAGTGTTTGCCAGATTTTCTACAGATCCGCCCTCGTTGACAATGGGTCGCCAGCCTGCTCCTCGCATACCGCTGAAATAGTATCCCATGTTTTCACTTGGGGCAGAGACACTGGCGCCGTTCGTGACATAGCGTGTAATATTCGTGGGCAGGTCTTTGGTGATGAAACCAGCCGACCATGCTTGACGCGCTGGACCGTATTGGTATGCCTCGTAGCCTAGGATTGCATTTGCTGGAGGGGCGCTTGAACTGTTTGTCGCGTCGACGAGGCCTCTGCATTATCTTGTTAGATGGGCTATTGAATCATTCAATGATCTTACCCAAAGGTAATCCACTCATCGTTATTGGCAAACATGGCTCCGTCAACATAATTCGGTGCAATATTGTTGCTGGCTGACACGCCTGTCCTGGACAATGTCTTGAACAAGCCTGTGACATTGGTCGACCGGTTGAAGGGCTGGCCCAGATTGAGCGTATACACCACCCCATCGATGCCTCCTGGTTGATGTTAAAGAAATGAAGATGGTAAAAGTTGAAAAAATAGAGAGAGACGAACCGTCATTTTGAGGCGAGGCGTAGCTTCCATCCGAGAGGCCGCTGTTCTGGACGTTAGGAAGGAGCGACCGACATAGTTCAAAAGAGGAAGGCGCGACTCACACCTGCCACCACAATTCTCCGCCGTCCAGATAAATCGTGTCCCGGATGACATTCGCTGTTTTCTCCTTGTCAACTCTCTCTCTCTCTCTGTATCAGTTGAGCTCACCTCGAAATTGCGCCCAGTTGCACATCGACACATTCACTTCATTCTGCCATCCAAGTCCACCGACGCTTTTGACGAGCGTCCAGGCGATTATGCTGTTAATGAGCCAACGCAGCATGTTCCACTAATGCTCACCATACGGCACGAAGAGGTGTATTGTACAGTATCATCTCCCTTTGCTTGTGTACTGTCCTGCTGGTCAGCTTCCCAGAGGGCCCAAGGACGACATAGACGAGAACACAAGGCTGGACACTGCGGCAGACGAGACGTAGATGGGGCAAAATTCCGGAGTGCTGCAAAGTACAGACTTCCCCTCATCGCCTGCGTGGTGTGTTATCCTAAACCTGGAAGCTGCATGACTCCACCTGCAAATTGCCCAATGTGTCATGAGTATCTCAGCATGATAGGTACATTGTGGCCGGAAATACAATTGCGTTCCTCAGGAAATGTTGTACATGAGGTCTGGAAAGGCTACTGAACGGCTTCTTGCATATGGCCGTGGTCGAGATTTTCAGCTTGTCCAGCTTTTAGGCGTACCACTCTCTTGCCTATGAGGCTCAATGTCTCGTTGTTGACCAATCTGCGATGAATGCGGTCCGTCGTATGCATGGGTACGCTTTTATGCATACCAAGTTACAGGGAATATCCTGCTTATCTGACTAATCCTAATTGCTTGGATTGGGCCCGATGCGTGGGCAGAAATGAAAATTCCCCGTGTTGGCTAAAAGCAGACACACCTACGGCTTTAAAGTTGCATCAAATGGAGAAAAAAAGTCCGATCGTGCCAACACATATATACAAGAAAGATTTTCGGCAATGTACACCCCCCACAGCCTGGCCTGTGGCCGAAATGGTAGCCTGACTACACTGAGAACAATCAGGAGGGGTCAGTCGAGATATCAATTTGGCCCATGCATTGTTTATGCTGACTCAAGGCTGAGTTAAATTTTCACTGCTGTAAAGAGGGTGAGAAGTCAAGGTATTCATTTTTGGCTTCCAGCTCCATATGTAAGGCCGAGTTTCTCGCTTTTTCAAATTGTGATCCCAAAGAGCCCTCAGAGATATATTCTGTCGTTTTCGTTGTGTCGGTCGTCTTGAAGCAGAAAGACGAAGGGCTGGTCAACCATGCATCCAACATGGTCAATCCTTTACTTTTGTTTGGCAATCATGCCAATTTTTTGTATGGGAGAAAATCGCACAGATACCGATCCCAATACCTCTTCGCACTCAACTTCTGACACTGAAGGACTCGCCGAGGACTGTTTGTGCTCAGAATCTATAAGCACTTCAACCAGTACGACTACCACGGTGATCAGTGTCTATCCCCCCACACCTCCCATCATTACGTCCACAGGTACGTATACCAGTTGGTCTACAAGCTGGTCTACAAGTTGGTGGACAAGCTATTGGACCAGTTGGTCGACAAGTACCACTACACTCAGTATTCCTCCTACAACATGGATAACCACCAAGACAACTGTGTCTACGTCTACGAGCGCTTGGACAAGTACATCGACAAGCACTATCTACTATACTACAATCCCAGCAACGACTTCAACAAGCACGTCGACTACTACTACCACCACCACGTCTACTTTTACGGAAACAGAATCATGTGAGCCAACCACAACATCTACATCTCCTGTCACAATTACTTCACCTACTCTATCTACCTCTTCTATAACATCTACCTCACCTGTCACATCTATCTCACCTACTCTGTCTACATCTACCTCTCGATCTACCACTATAACTCTACCTATCTCTACTTCTCCGTCTATCTCTACAACTCCAACAACATCTACTCCTCTATCAACCTCAACTACTCCATCTACCTCTACTACTACGTCTATCTCTACAACTCCACCTACCTCAACTACCCCATCTACCTCTACTTCTCTATCTATCTCTACTTCTCTGTCTATCTCTACTTCTCTGTCTATCTCTACTTCTCTGTCTATCTCTACTTCTCTGTCTATCTCTACAACTCCATCTACCTCAACTACCCCATCTACATCTACCTCTCTATCTACTACTATAACTCTACCTATCTCTACTTCTCCGTCTATCTCTACAACTCCAACAACATCTACTCCTCTATCAACCTCAACTACTCCATCTACCTCTACTATTACGTCTATCTCTTCAACCAGCACCGGTTACAGCATCTCGGTATGTCCAAGCCGTATTGTGAATCCAACATATACAGCCCCCACGCCATTCCCAACAGACTACACTTGGGGCTGTAAACCGGGATATCTATGCCATCCAAAAAACAAACCTCCTGGCGGGGGAGAGTGCAATTTTGAAGCGGGACTTCCTGCAGCGTCTTTTTACTGTTCGCCAGATGAATGTATTCCAAGCCCTGAACTCATTCAGGATCCGGATAAAGGTTGGGGAGATGGTTATCACTCGAATAAAACCGGCACTTTTGAAGTAACTCCGGGCTATTTCAATCTCAATCCAACCGAATTCGGTCTCAACTACAGCATATTCACATTCCCTTGCGATGACGGAGGACGATATCTCAGTGGATTCTATAATCATGGCAATTCTCCAAAGGATAGTACCGGATATATACTTAACAGAAGAGCCAAGAGGCAAACAGGAGGCGCAGAGTATGTCCCGCCCGTCTGCTACCCCCAGTGCAATAAGGTGGCCCTCGAAGGGGAGAAAGAAGGGAAAACAAAATCTCTGTGTGACAGCTCTTCTGTTTTTATGACATTGTTGAGGGACTGCAATTTGTGCATATCGGCTCATAGTACCGGTGAAACAACCCAAGACCCGCCTCCTTTTGAGCCGTGGTTATTTTATTGCTCGTCGTTGGACGCAGTGACGTCATCCAGCAGTACTACTACAGCAACCACCACATCAACGGTGCCAAAACTTCCTGATTCCACTGCAGCTGGTACGATTACGAGTACAAGCACTACCACAACCGTCACCCAGCCACAGACCACCAGCTCTTCAACTTCTTCTCCCTCTCAGACCTCAATAACAGTCACATCTACTACTACGATATCTCCCTCAGGCTTGTCGTCAAAAACAACGCCGACTTCTTCCGCTAGTCAGGCGACTGAGATGACAACAACAGTTTCTACTACGGCAACCAGCACGAGTCCAACATCTACTCTATCTCTTTCGAGTGTTTCTAGTACGCCCAGTGCGTCTAGTATATCTGGTACATCCACCCCTAGTACATCTACGTCTAGTACCCCTAGCACTTTGAGGGCAGCTGCCACTTCTACTACATTCACTACATCTAGTACATCTACCAGCTCTCGGACCTCTGCAAGGTCATCATCCACGTCGACTGGTCTATTGAATACTCCGAGTGGTAGCCTTACATCGAGCTCCTCAACGCCAACCACTTCAACAACTTCAAAAACAAGTACCGGGGCCATTGACACTCTTCCATCGCCTAATAGCACTTCCAGTGTCAGTTCTGCTAGTGTTGGCGTGACAAGCAGCGCGACGGCCCCTGGAAACACTGTCAGTACTCCCATTCTCAATCCAGGAACTATCAGCGGCACCAGGACGCCGTCTCCAATAATTTCGGGCGTCACTGAAACGGTTCCTGCTACGACAACTGGCTTCTCTCACGGAGCTTCATCGCGTATTTCCCAGTCGATTTCTGGCAGATCTCTTATTACCATCAGCGCTGGAATATGGTTCTTGATTACATTATTCTAAAGGGAGAGTCGAAGACAGTGTCGCTTGTAGCTGATGGTTAATCAGATTGAATTCTTTCTTCTTTTAATATAACCTTTGAATTATATGGAAACTTAGGAAACAGATTAATCTTAATAACACATTTTCTGTTTACTTATTCATGTTTTTTTCTGTTTACAAACATGAATAAGTCTGGAATAGAAATAGACATATGTGCTTTTTGTAAGTCTACTGTGTACGGTGAGAAGACTCTTAACATTCAAATAATTATATTAAATAAGCATATACATGCTACCACCTTAGTAGGCGATGATAGTGTATACAACTCCTGTCATGATTTATGGTGGCTGGTTTGCTAGAATTTTGTCATGTTAAAGTGTAAGATTATATAAAAGTGGAGGGCACTGCATTAACAAAGTATTCCTTGTGATTAATGACAGATGTAAGACTGTATAGAAATATTCATAGTGTCTGTTTGTATTCTCTGGCGCATTCCAATCATAGACTAATCACCTTCTAATAATGTACAATGAATTACCATGATATCCTCATTCGTGTTCATGACGACCTTCGATCAGTCAAAATGACCACACATGTACTTTCGATCCTCGAGTAGCTTCTCTCTCTCGACCTTGAGTTCCTCAATCCAGTCCAAATAGGTAATAAATCTCTCATACTCCCACCTCATCTCATCAAAAACCTTCATTGCCTCCTTCATATCCTTGTTCTTACCAACCACCTTGTCTGGGGCAAACTCTTTGGCAGAAGAAGGTAGATCGGGGCGCCAAGTTTGTTCCATCACCTTGAGTTTTTCGACTTGTTCTTGTGCTGTTTCAAGTACACGATCCAATTGAGTGCTGTTTTCGGCCAGACGCGAAGAAATCTCTGCGATGTCCCCACGGCAAAGGGTCATGGCGAGTTGTTTGGAGGCGTACGAAGTGGTGGATTTGATGATTTTGTAAGCTAGGTCGAATTCTGCGCGTGTGTTGAGTGTTGGGGAAGATAGTTGCGCTACCAGTAACTTTGCAGGTGTTGGAGTTGGAGTAATAGGCGCATTTCTGGCTTTGTAAATGCTTGTTGAGGAAGAGTTTGACGTCGAGTGCTGGCGACGCTTCTTGGATTTGTCTAGAGGAAGAGGAGGCATTGAGAAGCGCACTTTTGGCGTATTTGATCTGGCTTTGTGGGCGACTTGTAAAATAGCTTCAGCAATGGACAGGTTGTGAGTTGGGACGTGAGAGGGCATACTTTGGTCGTTGTTAAGCTTGTGGTTGGAGAGACATGGAACAAGTATGACAGACGTCATATCGCGAGAGATTTTCATACTTGGATTCGATTGCAGATTTTGATTGGAAAAGAGTGCGTCAGATTATCAATCTCTACAGGTTGAGAATGAGTTCGTAAAAAGAGACTTGATCACTTTCTCGTGTCGAAAGAATTAGACGAGGCGTTTAGGATTGACAGCCATCAACGATTGTCGTTGGACACAAATGGATTAAATTCAGCGGCATTGTCCTTCAATTGCAGCCAGACTGTTTGACGTCAAGGGAGGTTGGTTCATTGTCCATGATAGTTGTTGATGTGAGCATGTGACTGCTTCGCTAGAGAGCAATAGATAGTCATGGACATGGGATGGATTGTATTGCCCAAAGAGATAACAGCTTTAGATAAAAGGAGCTCAGATTGGCAATCCATCAATGAGCCAGTTCAAAGCTAGCAGGATAATCTGCTATAGTAGATTGTAGAACATTCAATTATATTAATCATTCATCACTATCATGACCATAATTGATAGGACATTATATAATGCAATTTGTGGTACTATGCGTTCAACATCAACAATTCAGAATCAAGGACGGTCCTTTCGCTTCTCAACCTTGGCCACAAAATGCCATGGCTGCACACAGAAAGCTCCATTAACATCGCCATCGATTGTATAATTCATGTCTGCCAATTCGAGGTCAACCTCCCTCAATACAGTAATCAAGGTAAGCCAGCTCCATTGCCAAGCATACTTGGTTCCAAAGCACCGTCTCTTCCCATTTCCAAAGCCCTTCTTTACTCCTGAAGGCAGTCTATCGTATGCTTCACCAAACATGCGCTCTGGGCGGAAAGCCTCTGGGTCATCGAAGACGGCGGGGTCACGATTCACAGCACCGAGAACAGCAATGAGAGCTTGGTTGCTGGGCAGTTGATATTGGCCACCGGCTAGCGAAACATATGGTCCCGTGTTCACGTCCGGGCGCGGTTCGATATTGAAACCGGGTGCGACAGCAGATAAACGCATGGACTCGCGAAGTATCGCGTTGCAAAACTGGAATTGTTGGAGGTTCTCGTAGGTGAGCTCTCTGTCAGCACCTAAAATAGAGTCTATTTCCTCGCGGGCTCTGGTGATGTACTGGGGGTTCTTGAGCAAGTAGTACAGCGCGAAACTGACAAGACAAGGTGATGTTGCAGATCCGATAAAGATGTTGATGATTTCATCAATGATTTGTTCATGGTCAAGAGAGGCACCGGTCTCGGGGTCTTTGCCGTTCAACATCACATTGAGCATGTCATCAAACGTTCCCTGTTCCTGCTTACGCTTTGCGATGACATCGGCACAGAACGATCGCATGATTTTGATATCCTTGTCATAGCCACGCTGGTGAATCAGCCAGTTCAGTAATTTCGGGCGTGTCGGGCGCTTCACAGCTTCCATGGTGGATTTGTCAATGGAAGTGAGAAAGGCGGGGAAAGGCCCTGACATCCAGTCACCCTTTTGGTGGAAGAAGGTCCAAACAGCCACTTGCAGGTTGAGTCGCTTGAGACCATCTGCTACATTCACCTTTTGTCTCGGTTTGGATGTCCAGAAAGGAACAATGGCCGCGATGCTGTCGCGCTGATCGTTGAAGGTGATTTTGTTCGACTCGTCCGATACCCAGGGGGTCATGATGCGATGGGCAGGCCCCCAAATCTTTTCGCTTTCGGATTCATAGGCTGTAAATAGAGATGCATGGACGGCCTGGCGAATTTCGACAATAGGGCCATTGACACATTTTCGGAAGCGAGTCTCGTCACATATTTCTTCTAAGAGCGCCGCATTGCAAATGAAGACGATTTGTGTGCCGAGAGCATTGATTTTGAATATAGGACCTCGAGCACAGTCAGTATTAAGATTGTGCGCAATTTCATATCTTTACGTACCCCATTTGGCAGCCAATTTGTTCAGAGAGCCCCACGTGTTGCTTGGGTCGACGTCAAAGATGTTCCCTAGCAATGGTACACCAGGAGGCTGAGGGATCTTGCTTGTCATGTTGATGGAAGTTGTCACTCGCACATGAGAAGATGCGAAAAACCGAGAATACAAACGAAGATTAAAACACGGGCTGCAAGCCACTACGTCGTGTGGGATAAATCGCGAGTTTCCTGTGCTAGGGTCTGGGAATGAGCCAGAGCCCTCAGATCAACCTCAGCCAGCCGAGGGCGCAAGATTTGAACTAAAACACGGGTCTGGCATAGTTCTGCAGCTCTTTCACCGCTAACTTTGAATATGGAGCGATTTGTTAACGTCCCAAGTCAGTGCATTAAAGAGAAGTCGCGGATTCGTCATACTGCATGCAGTGGAAGGGAGATGGCCGGAAAGCGGGAGTCGGAGCGGTTCGTCGATCTGGACCACATCTCAAAACCCAAGAATGGGAAGCCTTCTAACCTCGATCAACTTGGATCAAGGCTTAGATGGGGGGGATTGTCCAGCGGCCATTGGCGAGTTTGTAGGGAGAAGAGCTTGCCGAGACGCCAATCTCGGAGCTACTCGTCGTAGCGCTCTGATGGGTTCGGAGGTGGAGTTCCTCTGCTGAACAGTGGGCATCACTAGTCGATGTAGCACTCACACTCGGACACGACGAGTGCTGAAGTGGACACGAAGCCTTGCGCTTGATCCAACAAATCCATGCGAAAAAATCACTGTGATTGAACTGAAAAGCAAGTTGTAAGAAAGTGCCCATAGGATGAAGTGACAGCTGGACTATTTTAATTTTTACCAGTGCTGGAATAGCATGAAATCATGGAATAACAATGTCTTCAAGTAGTGACAAGCGTTTCTGATAGGCCAGAAGCGGAAGGAGAGGAAAAGTGACTGATCACATGACTGTATATTTCCTGATTATACAAAATCGAGACGCCAAACATCTCCCAGACGATTATTCGCCTCTCCCAGTCCTCCCTGCACTACAATTGTGTCTTTACCAACTACGTCGGCTCCAAACCATCCCCGTGCATCAGGAATAACATCGCCCTGAGCGTCAACCTTGTGCCAAGTCTTTCTCTCAATGTCAAACGCCCATACATCACCCAGCATTTTTCCGGCACCTTGATGCCCCAGGTTACTTGGATCACTCTCTCCGAACAAAGTGACAACGTATGATTTATCGCCAACGGCAACCGGGAGCAGAGCGCAAACGCTTCGTGCAATCGGGCCGGATTTACTGTCTGGTTCATATGAGTGCGATTCCCAGGAATTGGTTTCGGGAGTGTACACGTCAATGCTTCCACCCTGCTCGGTTTTCCCATCGAACCCATTCATTCGGTAGAGCTTCCCGTCTGCGAACGCAATGGAGGTGCCTCCGCGAGCTGGATCCGGAGCAGAGGCGAGTTGTTTCCATTGTTTGGTGCTGACGCTGAAAGACCAAAGATCTGAGAGTCGACCCTTTTCAGGACATCCTGCATGAATATATATCGTATCCTTCTGGTCACAGGTCATGCAGTGGTAGCTGCGTGGCTCGGGGCAATTGCTTGCGTCCACAGGAGACAGCATCGACCATTGTCCAGTTGCCGTATCGAACTTCCAAATAGCACCCTGTTCGTCAATAGGAGCCATTGCCACTCCGCCGCGACCAGAAAAGAGATATATACTTTCTTTCAGGGCCGTGGTCGCTGTGCCGACTCGAGGAGAGGGCGCATCGGATGACGAGTGGATAGAGTTGACAGCGGCTAGAAAAGCGATTAGAGGTCCATTCGACTAATGAACAGGGGAATGAAGGACACACCTTGGCCGCCCAAGGATACAACATGAAGAGCATTATCGCGGGGCTCTCGAGGTCGCAACTCTCCACCAAAAACGTAGGTTTTGTTATCGACAGCAGAGAGCGCCTGTGACGAACGTCGCAAGATCTCGACGTCGAGGAGTTTGTGCCATTTGGCGTGGAGGGTCATTGTGCAAGCGTCTTTTCAATGTAGCAGACTGTTAATCAATTGCACGCTCTGGATGTAATGCGACTGAGTGAGCCCAGATGGACGATTTGTATAGTAAACAGTCAAGGACCTTGGTGGCGTGTATATAAATCAAATTTTCAACATTCAATTTCCAGTAGTCGAGGTTCAGGTTATGGTAATGTATGAAATCTAAGCAGTGAATTAATATAGGAGTGTATCAGCCCATACAAGAACAGTGATAATTCGTTCAAATCCTCAGTATAGCAGATATATGAGAAGAAAACTCACTCCGGATGGAGAAGGGATACCGTATTTAAACAGAAGTACCAGATACAGTGGCCATTATTGGTCAGCTGGAGGGATGTTATTACCCGAAAGTATGTACCATCTCAACAGAATAAAATCATCAACCACCACCTATGCTATGGAAAATTCGACCAGACTATCTCTGGCCGATTGAACTCTGCAATCTTGTCGGTATGCGCTGTATACGGTGACAGTCATTATATCTCGATATATTAGCCTTCGTTCAGCATAGCCCACGCTCTACAATATTCCACTCGGACTCTATATCCAACCTACATCACACGAGATGGCCGGTAACAATCCAGAAGAACAGCCCACACAAGACGTAGAAGTCCCAACCAATGAACCGGAACCGGCACTACCACCCTCGATTCCCTCGAACCTAGCCTACCGTCTGTATATATCCCATTTTCTGTCGACATGGAACTCGCGCCTCTTTGAATTCGGATCCGTCCTTTTCCTAGCTTCGATATACCCACAAACTCTGCTACCTATGTCTGTTTATGCGCTGGTGCGTAGCGGTGCAGCAATCGTATTTTCTCAGGCATTGGGCTTCTGGATTGATCGTGGTGAGCGACTGGCTACCGTACAGACGTCAATCGTCGGACAGCGACTGGCGGTCGCGGGGAGTTGTGTTATTTTTGGGCTACTGCAACAAGAGAATGACATAATACGAGGTGGGAAGGTAAAGGACGGGCTTTTTGCGGTTACGGTAGTGTTGGCGTGCGTGGAGAAATTGTGTTCTGTGCTGAACACGGTGTCAATCGAGAGAGATTGGGTATGCTATTCGTTGACATGATGATGTGATTGAGCTGACAGTTATAGATTGTCGTCATTACCGAAGGGAACGAAGGGGTTCGAAGAGGTTAGTAGTGCTACTAGGGTGCAATCACGGTGCTGACTCAGTCTAGTGATGAATGCGCGAATGCGGAGAATTGACCTCTTCTGCAAACTCGTTGGACCATTGACAATTTCTTTGGTAGCTTCGGCGTCAACCCTGATTGCAATACGTGTTACTTTTGCAATGAGTGTGGCTTCAGTTCTGGTTGAAGTTCTGTGTATTGCTCAGGTAAGTGAAGCTCGTCGAAAGTACATTCCTATACTTATTTGGTCAGGTTTACAAGGCATTTCCTCAACTTCGACGCAACGAAGTCGACGAAGAGACAATAAATACTACTATGCAACAAACCTCGACCCCTGCAACACTTGTCCGTTGCTTGAATATCGGACTCCGGAACATCCTGCCTATCTCATCACTTCGCTTCTACTTCACTCACCCCGCATTCGTACCATCATTCGCACTATCCCTCCTTTACTTCACTGTATTGTCCTTTTCCGGCCAAATGATTACGTATCTCGTCTCTGTCGGCTACAGTACACTCTACATTGGTATCGCGCGAACAGTAAGCACTGCCCTGGAACTTAGCGCAACATGGATCGCTCCTCGGATGATGAAACGGGTCGGTGTTGTGCGTGGCGGAATATGGAGTCTATGCTGGCAGATGGCCTGGCTCGGTGTTGGAGTAACATGGTTCTTTGCAAATTCCAATCGTGAAGGCCGAGACGTAATTATTGCAGCGACTGGACTTGCTGTTGGGGTCGCTTTGAGTCGAATCGGGCTCTGGGGGTATGATCTGTGTGCGCAGAATCTTATTCAAGACGTGAGTCAATACATTCACATTCAAAGAAAAGGTATTGATCGGAAAGATAGGAAATCGAAGATTCGCATCGCGGAGAATTCTCCACCGCCGAAGCCGCTTTTCAAAACCTATTCGAACTATTGTCTTATGCGTCAACGATCATCTTTTCAAAGCCGTCGCAGTTCCAGTGGCCGGTCGCTATCAGTACGGTAGCAGTGTATATGGCAGGCGGACTGTATGCGTATTTCGTGCGCCGGAGAAGGGGGCATTTGTTCCATCCTCCGGAGTGGATGCTAATTAAGCGACAAGCTGTATAGTTCTCTGGCTTGTATGTACCGCAAAGTCGAGTCTTCGACGTTCATCTGTGAAATGTTATGACCCAGTACCTAGAAAAGGAGGATTCACCCACTAATGTTAGAAATAGGGTCGGTTATAAACCGCTAGATCCAGCACGTTAGCCAGAAGTGACTCGCAGAGGCCAAGCAGATTCTCTAACAACTAACTAGCGACCCTCGCGCTAACCGCTTTTGAATAGCGTGTTCCAGTTGATTACCTAAGCGACGCCATTCCGGCGCTGCCCACGCCATACGCTATTTACATAGATTTGCTAGGTCCTTTCTCACATAGCTTGTAAACAATAATCTCCACATCTTATGATTCAAAACATCGAGCCAAGAAGTGGCTGTAACGGCCCCAGAGCAGAATAATGCCGACTAAGGTCGCTCCAAATCTTGAGCTCTAACTAGCATCGCCCGGCTAGACTGGAAGAAGCCAAATGGCCCCTCTTCTAAGCAACCCAGGAAATTGAGGAAATTTCAGCTGCTGACGCCGGGATTGTCGCTTCTGATACAGTCTTCCTGCTGGACGATGCAGATCTGTTTGACAGTCTAAGGATGCCCTCTCACGCTACACGTGTCTAAACCCCGCGTATACGATGAATATGTGAGATAGATCAGGCCAAAATAACGGACGAATTCAACAAAAGGTGAGGATGGACCGCACGAAATACCTCGACAGCCTGCGAGGCATCGCCGCCGTCATCGTCGCTTTTGACCGTGTGTTTCTAAACGATTTGAATCTCGCCTTTCGCTCCTACTGGACTGAACCCGCGTCGAAAAACCGAGTATGGCTACAGTTACCCCCGTTCCGGATCGTGTTTGCAGCTCATGCGATGGTGACGCTGTTCTTTGTTATCTCGGGGTATGTGATATCGATCAATTTGTTGCGAGTGCGACAGTGTCAGCAGCAAGATTTTATAAATCAGGTGGCTTCTTCGGCGACGCGGAGGGTTTTTAGACTCTTTTTGCCTGTGTTGGTAATTGCGTCTCTGTCGCAGATTTTGTTCTGGGCGAATCTATATACCTTCACCTCTGTGGAAATCAAACAATTCATCGCCGAGAACAAGATTCGGCCATGGAGTGCGCCAGGAGATCACCTCGCATACTTGTTTCGGTATATGACCGACATCATCAACCCGTTCGGTGCGCTGCAGCCTAAAGATGCGAACCATGGTCTTAATGAACAATTTTGGACGATGCCGGCTGAATTTCGCGGATCCTGCTTGGTGTATTTCTTGGTCGTTGTCATGTCCCCCTGGAGAGCACAGACGAGGTTGATTGTGCTTGGTGGATTGGCCGTGTACTTCTTATGGTCTGGGATGTGGGATGTTGCGACGTTTATCGCTGGTTTGTGGTTGGCAGAGCTTAAAATCAATGAAGAGGCTGAAAACGGCTATACATATTCTCATCACTATCCGGATCTTGAGGATGACTCGGACGTATCTACCACATCATCTCTGTCGTCAATCCTATCGTCATGGAGCGGAGCGTTCAGCTCTGACAGCAAGATGACACGCCAGCTTTTGACGCCTGTCTCAATAACCAACCTCATCCTCTTTGCTCTCGGGATTCATCTCATGTGTCTCCCCTCCGGCAGCACGGAGGTAAATGACGGTCACCTCACAACTGGATACCGCACGCTTCTACTCTTACAACCATCGACCTGGAAAAATTGGGACGTAGTCCATTACAGTTGGAAATCCGTTGGGTCCGTTTTAGTGATCTACGCAATCAATAGCTCTCCCCGTTGGCTTTTTCGACGCCCCCTCGAAACATCCCGGACACTACGATACCTTGGCCGAATCTCATTCCCGATGTATCTTATTCAACAAATCGTCTACTCTCTTTGGCGCGAATCTGTCAAGAATTGGATCTGGAAGGATCTGACCGGGTATGAATATCCTGGTGGACAGCTTGCCGGCAGAGAGCCATTTGCACGTTTCGTTATGTGGATGGGGACAACTATGATCCTAGGCCCTGTGTTAGTGTATTTGTCCGAGGAGGCTGGGAGGTATGTTGAACGGGTGGGTGTGGTTGCTGGCAGGGAGGTAGAAAGATGGTTGATGTAGTCGTTCTCCCTCTATGTATACTTTTGTTTGTTATTTATGGACATATGCATACAATACAGAATCTTCAATGTACGTCTACCGATCCATCTTCATGAAATACTTGTTCAATCATCTTATGTTTCAATACACCCTACGTAATCTACGTTCTAGAAAAGACCAAAACAAATAACTATCTGGTTACTAATGTGGTGAGATATAAGCGAGCAACGTGGTGTTGGGTTCATAGGCACACAATCCCTATATAAGTGTTGACTATGATCCTGCTTCATCCTGTGGAAAGCATGCCTCAGTAGGCAGCCCTGATATACATCTGCGCAACCGAGCCAGAGGAAAGCATTCTCAGGGATATCTATGTCGGCTCTAGGCGTGTCAACTTGGAAAAGCAGGGAGTCTGCAGAATGGATATGCAAAGCCATGCAGGACTGTCGATTTGAGAAATTGAATTTGTAAAAATAACGATTTGAAGATCTTCAGGGGTGTTCGTTATTTCTAAGGAGGGGACGGCAGGTAGTCATGTAACCTTGATATTGAATTGTCCCGATTATTTTTTGAGACAATACTAACTACAAATCTTTTCAGCTGATGACACCTACATTTCGAACTTTTTGAAATGTCTATTCTTTGTCTTCGAGGTCGTGCCTGCTTTTAATGTCATCAATCCCAAGCCTCCAGCCATCCTACTCTTCCTCCTTAAATTTTTCTTCCACCACAAAACGAACCTCTCTCTTTTCAACATTACTTGCCATTAGAGATTTCAAAATGGCTTGAGACAATATGTGCATCCGCAATCTAGAGGGTCGAGTGTTTCCAGAGAGGTGAGGAGCAGTCACGATCGAGGAGCAACTGGCAGAGCTTTGGAAGAATCTGGTGTCGGAAGACGAGTGACGATGATGAGCGTGAGAATGGAGAGGTTGTTAACAAAGCGGAAGAAGATGATAAGGAGGAGAAAGCAGTGAAGGGATAAGAAGTTTCATTCCCAGTCAGTCTGAACCTGTACCACTGCATAATACAGTACCCGAGCAAATGAGGCCTAGGATACTCTCACACCCCTGCGTAGATACCGGGCTATAAATTCCATTGTATTACAGTGGGACCTGGCTATAACGATCAGAAGGCATCTCAGAACCTAAGTCAACATACTTAAAATTTAGAGATGAAGAGAACTCCAAAATATTTAATCTACCATAGTGTTCATAATTAGGATGCTCTTCAGTTCCATACAAAAGTAATCAAGGTTGAGATCAGTATAGACATGGGGAGCATTTCTTTTCGTTATAGTCAGGTTCTACTGTATCCAGGTGATTTCTTCTCCTCGCCCCCAGAATCGGTCATTTGCCTTTTCAAGTATGGCCGGTACGTCCCGGGCCATCTACCTACAATATAAGAAAGCATCAAGTAAATAGATAATTTGGCTTGTAAATCTTACCAGTTTCGCTCCTATTCTCTCTTGGTAGAAGGACGCTTCGTGACTTGCCGCTCTGGAAACAATGTAGAGATATTCTTCCCTTAACGACACTCGGTCGTTGGCCGAAACTTACTGAGAAGGTATGTTTTCTGTTAGGAGAAAACGCCAGTCTCCCAGCCGCTCGGTCAGAAAAACGTTTCTGTCTTTGCACCCTAGCCAAAACGTTCACGAAGTCTTCATATCGACCACAACACGAATGTGGTGGCGCTCATCCTCAACAATGACTAGGTCTGGAATGAGTTTTTCCTGGACGCCATGCGGTCGTCTTCCAGTCTAGCCGTCAGGTGGGTGTCAAAACCTGCCATCCGGACATTAAGGCGTAAGGACTGGAAGATGGGATTGATTTGATCAGAGACATGCTGGACGCCAGTCTCTTCCCTACGGCGTGTCTCTGATGGTGGTGCTTTTGGGCCGTTGGATCTGTTGCGTACTTTCTGATAGCATCTCTGACCGTCTTTGAAAATGAAACTCGGCGCCAGTCTAGATACACTAATGAAGTTGGTATATGAAGTAATATATTGACGGTCGATATTACAAATCCGCATTGCACCCACTCTTGCGAGAGAGCTTTCTCTGGTCTTGCACCCTCACCAGAACGCCCGCAAAGTAGACTCTGCTGTAGGTAGCAGTGTAGTGTAGCACCACAGAGCTGATAAGTAGAAGAGGGAGACATTGTGGATACGGGTTGATTTCTAAAGTATGGGAATGCACAAATCTTGTTTCGAGCCTGGTTCGATGGGATGTAAGCAGACGCCAGTGGTGGACTGAACGGTAACAGGAGCGAGAGAAGTCTTACATGAAGGATGATAGAACTTGAAGTAGTTAGTAGTGTGATGGTGGGACGGTTCTGATGTTCAAAGTAGCACTAGAGGAGTCCTATGGCGCCGCCTGGACGGATTGCAACGTCGATGTGATGATCCAAACCATGTTTGCTTCCTAGCCCGTAACTGGCCAAACGAAAGATGAGGAAGAAAAGACAAAAAAGTGGGAGAAAGATCAATCCGGGCCGCAGAGAGAATAAATAGACCACAACACGTGACCCAAAATACCGTAACCAAACAAACCGTTTGCCCAAGCTCTAACGCGGAGCCCTAATACAGCCACCGCCAACGTATGTATGTCAATGTCTCAAGCATACTGTTTACTCCAGTAGGTAGATATATGAAAAAACGAAGAGATATCACCGAGCCCAGAAATTTTGCTGGAAATCGATGGACCAAAGAAATATCTGTATTCATTGACTCTGGAATGAGTAAATCCTTCTAACGGCCGTCCAGTTCTGAACAACCAAAGCCATGCAATTGATATACGTTCATAAAAATCAAATCGAGAAAAAATCAATCAGAGGCAGACGGTGAGGGTGCAAGACATGCCTGGTCAGCAGCCAGAGACTTGTACCGCGCCAGTAGATCCGTCGTTGGGACGCCATCTTGATGCATGAAGTTGAAATGGGCCGCTAGAGCTGTGCCCTCAATGAGGATTGCTACACCAAGGTTAGTATCTTACCGTCAAGAGAATTAGATTGGGGCTAACTCACGTCGTCCGGTATCGCGCTGCAGCGTGTCGCCCTGGATATCCAGGCGATCAAGGATATCTGTATCAAGAATATCACCTCCCAAAATGGCCAAAAAGCTTAACTGGATATAGTCATCTTTCACATCCCAGGGCCGATCGAACTTGTATAAGTTTAACTTTTCCTTTTCTATATTTTCGAGTAACGAGTAATGTTGCTGCGACGCCATTGCCCAGCTTTCATTTTTCGATCTCCCTCCTTCATATGTAAAGTGAGCAACAGGAGTGCGATTCAGTGCTCTATCATCTGGGACGCGCAGCCACCGATGATTTGGCAATGGTATATTCCAATCCGACGACCACACGAAGTCTTCAGGACCTGTCCAATTAGGGTATCCTGAAGACTTCCAAGTGATATTGTGCACGTGGTTTGCCAAGGCCTTGAAAAGTGTGCTATGTTCACCAACTTTCTCTGCTAGTTCTTGGACTTGCTTTGACCCTGACTTGCCGTCACCTTGCTCTGCTTTGGACTCAGGTGCACTGAAATTAAATCCCTTTGGCAAGTCTGGAAGATATGGGTGAAGAGCACCAGCATGGTAATGCAAAAAATTTACGGGTGGATTATTCACAATATTGGCAGAGATAGCCAGTGCATCGTGGCTAATGAGCTTTCTAGCCACCAGACGCTCAATGGTGTCTTTTGCAAACCATACCTATTTCATTGTTAGTTGGAAATACAAGGGAGCAGCACGCATAATACTAACAATATCCTCGATTTTGATGTACATAGTCTCGCGACTGACCGTGCGCCGCATCTCGGCGTGGTCAGACTTCAAGTACAGAGGCGATCGAGCTAAGATTTCGTCGAGATATGCAAGATCTGATTTATTTTTGGTATTGACGACCCAGACCACATTATCAAGCCAGCCGCCATTAGTGACAAGATTTCTCTCCACGGAATTAGTATCTTGTACGTGATATGAGAAGGACGCAACTTACCTCGAGGTAACAGTGCGACAACTCAACTCTGTCACGACGGTCAAAAGTGACAAGTCCGCTAATGTTCAGATTCCCAGGTTTGCCTGGGATCCGCTGTTCTTGTGAAGGCCATTTGACTGGATCGCCTGGACGAGCTGGTGGTGGGAACTTGGGAGCGGGAGCTGACTCGGTTGGTTTTGCATCGTGCGATTGAACTACACTCGACGTCATCGGTAATAATGGTGGTGGTAATTGCAAGGTAAATGGTCGAATGATTGTCTCAGATACTGTCCAGTCCTCTTCTTCTGCATATTCGTCTTCGTCCGCTTCACTTCCGTATTCGTTCGAGACATGCGTCGGCGAATTCGATGCTGAATGATCGGTCAACTTAGTGTTGGTCATTGGAGACCCGACAGGGCTTATCCTGGGATCTGCCGTTTGCCATAGAAATAACGATAAAAGAAAGAGAGAAGCAAACGTCACGATAATCACAAAGCGACCCTGTAGCTTTCGTGGTCGTGTAGACGGACTCATCGGGGCCGTATATATGGGTTGGTCAATTTAAAAAGTTTTAAATGAGTGTGGAGATTTTCTTGATGAATAGCACATTGTCAATTAAATGACAAAGTCTGCTTGAGAATCGGATGACGAAGCAAAAAAGAAAGGAAGACGAAAAACTATCTTATGAGTTTAAGTTTCAGTCGCGATTTGCGAGCTTGAGACATTGCTTGGCCGGATGCGGCATAGCGTACATGGTATTCTACAGTTGTTCTTACATGTTAAAGAATGATATCAAGGTAATCGATTGTGATAATATATCTCTAGCTGCCCTTGTCCTCTGTGTAGCTGGGTATGGGCATTGTCGAGAGACTCGTACATTCGTTTGTAGGTTACTTACGAAAGGTTAGGGTTAGGGCCGATAAGGGACACCGAATATGAATGATCAGAAGAGAAGAAGCCCGCTAAGATTACATGAAAAATCAAGTATTATCCACCGTTGACAAGGTACTGAAGACATACTAAGTCGCTAATTAGTAATTTAGTATAACTCGGGCAATGGTTTTGGATTCGGTGGAAGCTCCTGTGCTTTCGGCGTCGGAGGAAGTTCATATAGTGACGATGGAAGGCGACCCTTGGTTTCTGTTGGAGGCATACCCGGATGCTCAACTGGTCGTTTTCGACGACGGCGATGATGGATATACACTGATATGAGCGCGAGAAGAGCAAAAGCTAAGACGACTGCACCGATTGCGATACCTGCCTTGGCTCCGACCGATAGCCCTGAAGAGTTCCCGGAAGGAGGAGGCTGTGTTTCGGCCGTTGGAGTAGGAGTTATGGCCTGTTCTGCGGGTGTTGTCGCTGCTGATGTTGTCACGGTCGGTTCTGGACTTGTTGAGGTCGATGTTGATGATGATGTTGATGATGATGTTGATGATGATGTTGATGCTGTTGATGTCGACATGGACGTCGAAACTACTGTTGTAGCGGATCCGGCAACCCATATAGTAAAGAGATTAGATGGAGCTGCTCCAATAAATGTTTCGTTCGTTGGTGACTGGCAATTTCGCTGGTTCTCATTTCCACCACAGCACTTCCATGAACCGTCAGAACTATCATAAACAATATCTGGTAGACCAGTATCGGCTAAAATGCACACAAAGCAGTCAATAAATGGTAAGAGTTACAAACTACTTGAACTCAACTCACCACACCGATTTGCACACGCGGAGCTTGAGACCTGTCCGTCGAGGAATGTCCCATCTGAACAACCGGCCGAATAGTAACCACTCCCACCAGCATTACTGTGAGAAGTATATGCGCAGATATTGTCGGAAAGACAAAAGTCACCGTTTGCACAACAGGGAACAACTGAATTTGTCTTGTTTATGGGTCCGCAAGGGCTTGAAGCTGGTATATAAGCTATGCCAGAGGGCCAGGCGCATTGGTATTTTGACATGATTATTACCAGGATGCGGTAGAAATCTCGAATCTCGAGAACTCGACAACACAGAATTAATGAACAAACAGTAATGTATGTAAGCCCTTGCTTTGAATATGTGGTGCGAGGGTTTGTTCTGTTGTGGTACACTGGTAATTGCAAAGCAGATCATACCATAAATGAGTGAATTGGACAGAATCCTGGACACATTCAACTGTAATCTTCAGCAACCTGCAAAGTACTTAGAAACTTATTAATAGTATTACGTGTGACACCAAGGAGCAAATCTTAGCTGTGCCACAAATATTGAATGTGACAGATCAAAAATACATCCCTGTAAGTCACACTGTGAATGGCAACACCCGGCGCTTAGATGCATCGCACTAAATGATAGTCTACACACATGATGCAGGGATAGCGCCTAGATGCTCGATGCTCATTTGGTTAACTTGATGAGTAATATTTCTAGATATTAATTAAGTTAGTTAGTTACCATTTACCTGCACCAACCCAACCCCTTCAAGGGGTTGGTGCAGGTTGGCAAGGGTAGCATTCTTTTGATAATAAGACGACTTGCAAGTGGCTGATATGTACCTTTCTGTTGTACTGGAGAATAGAAGCATCCTTGTACCAATTAGTACAGTGCAGGTGCATGCTATGAATGAATATTAATATAATTATTTGAGCCTCACTACAAAACTATGCAATTATCTAGCTTATTTTTATGTGTCATACTTCAGGTCTGGGTTCTTATCAATTAGATAGTGATATACTGTGACTTTCCATCGACAACCCTAATTCCGAATTTTCCCTGCTCAATTTATATCAATCCTCTGGACACAACATAGCCCGTGGACGTAGGAAATAAATGGATGAGAGCACCGACAACCGTTAGTGATCGCTTGAATACTCTCGAGAACTTGAACAAGCCAATATGCCGTCGCTGAGTCTTCGCAGCCTTGACGAGACCGACGAGTCCGTTAACGAAGTTATCGGTCGTTACTCTGACGGCAAGGCGTTGGAAGTTTTACAACAATGTCTTGAACCCAATGGAGACCTATCAATTGGAGAAGCTGCGAAGCTGGTCGATGACATACTTCCAAGCCCTGAGGAACACGACTTTCATTTTCAGTCGGGGAGTCTTGGCTCCCAGCACATTCCATATGACAATCTAGCTCAAACTCATTTCCACCCATAACTCCCGCTGGGAGTTATGAATTAAGTTTCTATGCTCTGAGAGCCTCAGGAATGAGTAATACGATTCGCTTCGGGTTATCAGTTCCACACTGAATGCTCAGTCAAATTGCGTCTGCGGTGATATTCCTTCCAAGCGCCTGGGTCATCTCGCGGAGGATACAAAGGGTCCTGGGAACTGACCATGTTACATGTGGTTCATGAGTCATGTGTCATTTCATTTGGATGAATTGGCAGGCTCTGTGAAATATTCGTGAATACCTAGTCACTCAAATCCAATTTTAGCACGATCCTAGACCATGAATCTCCATAAATTATTGGCCCATTCAAACGTGGGCTAATAAGGCTGTAATTGAATTGCTTTTTAAGGACAAGAAAAACCAGAGACCATAATGGATTTTCAGACATATATATCAGCATTTCAGAGTGTGACTGGTGTCAGCAGGTTCAGTTTTTCAAATTAATCACCAAGGAAGAATAATCCATCAACTTCCGAGCAATCATTTGCTTTGACGAAACTACAGGGAGAGATGATTTTATAAATGAAGGATTGCCAACGGTACCTAGTTATGTACAGGATACAACACATCTGTATGTTATCAATCGTCACAGAATCTATCGTTCTTCTTTATGAGTATAGTATCAATGCCATTCGGATTATGTTGGATTGTCGGTTGCTTATCAAGAATATGATTTATTTAGCAGCATATTCTACAGCTGCTTTCTAATATGTTTCGTATGGACGCTATGATCTAGCAGTAGCTTGGACCTGACTATGCATCGAGATTGCTCCCGATGAGTGTCATTCGCAACCAGAATTTGGGACACTCCATAGCCCCAGTAATAAGGGTCAACTACCCCGTCATCTTCGTCCTTAACATCGTCCTCGTCGTTGTCAATATCCAACAAGTCATCTTCATTCATATCACGAGTGTTGTCGTCATGTTCGCTATTGTCAGAGGGTGTATCCGCCATGAGATTTTCGTTCTCACTGACATCGTCGAAATCTGCTTCATCGCTGATGTGAATATTTCGATCAAGAGGCTGTCGAAAAGACATGCCGTTTTTAGGATACCAGCTTTGCATCGGCACCTCACTCGGGCTTTGGCTAATAATGATTTTGGCATACGAATAATTGGAGATGCTGTTGATTTGGCTTGAGTCTACATCGCTTCCGCCAACACGTTGACAATACACTGGAAAACGTAGTCCCGAAATCAACCGCCACAACAAAATGCCTCGCTTTGGATCCCTGAATCGCTGTGGCTAAAGGACAACAGGCCCGTCATCTGATGCAAACTAAATAAATTTATTCAAGGGAGTGGGATATACTTCACCCATAGTGATCAGTTAGTTCGGTTTACCTTGGTCACTCACGGGAACGCAGGAAAAGGTCTACTGGGTGAACATATCTGCCTTGACTGCACGTCTGACGGCCTTGAATATCCTTGAAGGTACACTTTGGGTAGTATGCACCATGAAAGATGCTCTAGAATACGATCGAAATACAATCTACTACAGTAGTCAAGTCAGTGTTGCTGCCATGTGGGTTCTGCGTGCAGGCCAATGGCTGTGTAATGAGGTCCTGCCCACGGGAACCTATTCCTAATGGTGCTACTGGAATCTGGATGACTGAAGGGTTATATACAGGGCCCGCACATGGGATGGAAAAATGGAAATTTTGGCAAAAAGGCTTTTTGATGCTGCTGCCGATAGCGAACACACTACTGACGAGTGCAAGATGCTTGCATGTAGAGCTACCAATATGATGGAATCCCTTGCAGGAGATAGTATGTGATGACTTTGTGGCTGTTTTATCCTGCTCGCTTGTATTCTTAGTATGCTATGAACTAATTCTAGTGATCCAATCCTTCACACTGTGTGTACAACAATTCTTGGACCCAACACCTGGTGGTGGTACTACTCTAGCGCACTATGTAAAGCAATAGCAGGTAAATTTAAGCTTTTTAAGACAGCTGACATCCTACGGGCTGCGTAGAATATGGAGAGTTCCCTTGGAAGTAGGAAGGTAGCCGGTTTACAGGGTTTGTGATGGAACCCATGATTATTCACATTTATCCAAGATACCTTATACTCAATTGAAAAATACATATAATAGATTCCAGTCATTAAGATACAAGTCTCAATAAATCAAGTAACCTGTGAATGGACCCCGAGAGCTATGTCGTCAAACATAGCCTTAGAATGTGGTGATCATGAATTAGGGCTAACTCCCCCATGCAGGAAGTTGACTGTACCAAAGTTCCATCTTTTTGAATGGACAATTAACAAATACGCCAGTATTGGAAATATTACTGCCGTTGTAGTTGTGTAATTTGTAATAGTAAATACCAACGATACCTAAGTAGCATATAGTTTCACGACATGTCTATACGCCATTTTATGTTACTTCTATCTACTCAATAGTACTCCGTTCGAGCTCCTCCCATATCCTGCGAAGATATTCATCACATTCATCCACATAAGGAAGCGCTTCCAGAACATTTTTTACACGTCGCCACGAATCCAAATTCAGTGTCTGCACGGCATTAGACAGTCTCCCAAGGAACCACTGTCTAGTCCGTCGTCCTTCTGCCGCCGCTCCTCCAACAAAGAGAAGCCACAAAAGAATCACTGATGGATATTGTTGTTCATGTTCTATCTCATCAAGTGCATATATCAAGGAATCAACTAGGTAGTCCAAAACATTGCTCTGTATCGAGAGCTGGCGTAACCATAAACATAAAAATATGCTTCCGGCGATAGGATAGACGCGAGACGTAACAAACGGCGTTGTCAGTGCATCGGTCTGTGAGATGAGTTCATTTTCAATGATTTGGTGCATCTGCAGCTCAGTTATGTTCAATTGGTCAAGCCATGAGGATTGTTGGGCTATGGTGACGGCAGGATTTCGCGGCATGGTTGTTGAGAGATGTTTGAGTGAATGGAACATAGATGGGATTGAAGGGTGGCAGTCTCCAGGGAGTTTCGTAAGAATGCCATCTAGCATTCTGCGTTCATTGTTCATTGGGTGGTCGTGCTGATCGTTGGAAATGAGCATATTCGCTCTGCATCCGCATTAGTGCTTCATATCCCAAGAGTCATCGTCGGTTTGGAGCCTCACATCTTTACAATACCCAATGCCGAATAATGATCAGGTGGAGCTCCAATTGTACCCCCGTTAGCGTCCATTATCACTTGTAATCCAGCCATATGTTTCTGTGCATTGTCTAAGGATCCGGTTGTGTACTATCCATCCACTGTCAGCTATCGATTACCTACTCCAGTGGAGTGTCACCACAAACCTCAACAATCCCCAAAATGGCAATAGCAACTTGGACATCAAACGTTATGTTATTCGGTTGCCTAGCTAGGCTCTCGTTCACAATCTGGATCGTCTGGACTTTGTGATGGTAGTACGCAGCCACGAGATCTGATTTATGTCTCTCGTTGCCCCTGCCACTTATGAGAATTCTATGAGTCGCTACTACGCTCAGTAGAGCGTTCAGGACTGCGGCACTGGAGACTATAAACGGGAGACAGTAGTAGAGTAGACCGAAGCCGGTTCTTCGGACAGGGTTTTGAATGAAGACGTATATTTGTGCAACTGTCAAATAGCCAAGTCAGCACCTACATAGAAGATGTGTCAACGATTAGCTGACTTACGGTAATCATAAAGCTGCATTGTTTCCGACGAGTACTCTACAGGTAGTGCTGTCCAACAGAAACGTCAGCTCTGAGCCTCTTCTGGGACCTTGCTGCCGGGGAGATAATTCTCACTTCGTATTGAAACCACCCGAATATGATTCTCAACATCCCTGTCTTTAGTCGTCTCTTTACAATACTCGGTATTCAGTTGTCCACAGGTCCGACATATATAATGATAAATGATACGAGGATCGTAATCCGGAAAGACTTCTGAATTAATCGTTTGTGGATCACGCTGGCCCAAAGCCTGCTGTGCTCTGAAACGTTGCATAACATGCGAGCGTATTCGACTCCTCGAAGAGTTCGGTGAGGATGGCGTGGTGGCAGATATCCATTCAAACCTGGTAGAAGGCCCTGTTGCATCGAAGACGATTTGTTGAAATGGCCGTATTGTGCCACTTCTCCTGGGGGTGGACGTTGATATTGGTGTGGCTGGGCTGTCGCGACGTTGGCACGTACACTGCATATTGACATATAATGCTCTTTCTGTAAGGACATTCATCTGCTTCATTCAAGTTGAATATTGGAGTCATGTTTGATGGTTTCTATCATTTTATACATTTTTAACTTTCGAAATATATGATGTCAGAGGCAACACATCGGCCTCGGTATCTGGATAGACGGGGTTAAAATTTTCTTCGCGCTGCAGATTTTCGGCCGTACTGCGCATTTCTGTCGCTAAACTCCTTACCCGAAATGGAAGTATTTTCGCATAAACGGCACAGTTAGGTGGTTTTTCTTGATGATTAGAAAATGTCAGTGTACACTTCGTAAGTGATAAAAGGACTATAGTGGTCTAATAATGTCAAACAAGTACCCTTCCAAAACGAGAACATACAATACAGCGATAATTTACTCAATAATAGACTGCGCCCTCCAACTGGCGTCATCATCGTCAAACAATCACCACCATCCAAACCCCAACTTCGCCGTTGTGTACCAGGAGTGGCGTACAATGCGCCCATATACTTCTTACATGAGCATCGAATCGGTTGAGCGATTGGACTCGTGCAGTTCTTGCAACATCGATAATTCGCCAGGACTAAGGGGCTCTGCGAACTCCATTAAGTTATTCCTGGCTTCTCCAGCTCTTTTTGGAGTTGCCGACGGATTGAATGGTTTTGCATTCTCAGAATCATTGTGTGTATGCCATTTGTATACCCATTTTGATGGGCGAGGTCGCCATCCTCCTCGAACTGACCATTGGGCGAAGGATGTCCCGACGCACTGATTCCCTTAATTGAGTCCATGCGAGTATCATCCATCACTAGACCGCTTACGTCAACGCCAATGAAGCAGCGCACTTTGCCGTTATTATCGCAGAGTGGTGCGCACATAAGGAGGTTCATGAACGGGGATCCGTCTCGACGACTGGGGTCTGTTAGACCAGCGTCAATATTGATTTGTATAATGAACCCCTACTAGTCAAGGAAAACCTCATGGTGCTGCTGACCAGCCTCGATCACGTCGCGGATTCGACGTTTACTATGCTTATTCGTCTTTGGGCCTTGCAAGAACCGACAATTTCGTCCCAATACGTACTCCATACCATACTGAGTGATTCGATGAAACTCTACCTGTCATCAGCTCGGCTGGCTATTACTTTCATTGGATATTATTACCTTCTGATGCAAAAATGATGGGGTTATCTAGTCTGGATGGATCCGTCAAACAGAATACCTCGGCCAGCGCATCGGATGTTCCTTGAAATTTCGACTGAAGAGTTCCTTTGATCACATTCGAAACTAAAGATACGCAATTTGATGTAATGAAGGCAACCCATCAATAACTAGAGCATGGAGTGCATTTTGTGCCTGTTGCTCTAGCTTCGGGCTCCTTGCGTTGGGGATGTGTTCGTCTGAGGATTCGATGTCGGGTAGGAGCATTAGTAATCGTGCAACAGGGTTGGCATACTCAATTGGCTGCCTTGCTCTTACTCTTTTAAAAGAGTTCAACAAGATCATAAAAGAGTTGTTGTCCTCCATGATCTTCCTTTTCCTCGATAGGATCAAACGACGGGTTGTTATTGTTCTCATTTGCCTGTTGCAAGAATGGTAATTTGTATTCTGACGGTCTTCGGCGTAGTTCATCAATTGAGTCCTGCGCCTCAACTATAATAGAATTATGATCAGATGTATTGTCCATATGTGTTCGGTTCGGCCGTGATGTATTTCTATCTTCACTAGAGGCCACATGAGAGGTCACCGGAAGCGGGAAGTCCTATAGAGCGACTTCATTGTAATTATCGCGGCTCCTTCAATTTGAATGTCAGATCTGGAAAGAAATATAAAGGCCTACCGCGACGGCACATTGCTACGATCATAGGCTCTTCATGGGATCTGTAACCAGGGTGAAGTGGTGATTCCTTTGCGATCTGGTCACATTGCATGATATCAGCTTTCAGAGATCATTCACTGAATCAACAAGAACTTTTGCTCTTGAATCTTGGTAACCTTGCGTAGCTGCTGTCATTTCACGAACAGTGGAGGTTGGTCACTCGATATGTGTAGAAGAGAAGAAGATGAAGCAGAATATCGGACAGTAAGAAGCGCGAAGCTGGATCTAGGGTTAGGGTTGTATTCCTGACATAGGGGAAAAGAAAGCCTCGTTTGGGGCGCACATCATCTTGTCTTTGAAGGCACCATGGAATGGTCCTACGAGGATCCAGTGAGTTCACCCCTACAAGCATTATTGCACGCCGTTATACTGTAAACATAGTCTGTACGTGAAAGGGGGAGGGCATCCCACTCAATATGCGGGGGACGATAACCCCCACTCTCCCACTACGATTGCTTCAAGCCGACATTTCTTGACCGTCCTCTATCATCCCCTTCGATATTCTGCTTCCTGCTAGGCTTAATTGCTGAGTACTAACAAGAACAAAGATGGACGTCTCTCTCGAAACGCATCAGTCATACATCGGCCAACCAGCCAGCGCGCTCCCCACCCCCGCGCTGGTGATAAGCAAACCAGTCCTGGAAAGCAATGTTAAGAAACTTCACGAAGATATTGACACGCTGGGTATAGGCTTTCGGCCTCATGTAAAGACACTCAAGGTTCGTCATTACAGAGTACCAAAAGGAGAATCTGTTTGGCATCTTACTCATGCCCGTGACAGAGTATTGAGACTACGCGGATCATGCTCGCGAATGGGCGGTATAAAAAGATTGTCGCGTCTACACTGTGCGAGATTCGAGGATGCTTGCCACTGGTCAAAGAGGGCATCCTAGATGAGGTACTTCATCGGCATGCTTATACAAGGTCAACACACTAATCACACTCATAGTGTCTATACGGATTGCCTATAAGACCTTCCGTACTCGCAGACCTGGACAAGTTCACCAGTCAATATGGTCTGAAAATAGTGCTCATGGTTGATCACTCTGATCATATACGGATCCTGGAAGAGTTCAATACTCGCACTGGCCGCACGACCCCGTGGCCGGTCTTCATCAAAGTCGACGTTGGCACCAAGCGTGCGGGCATTCAAAACTCATCCTCACGACTGGATGAGGTGATTCAATCAGCCAACGAGTCGGAGGGTGTATCGATACATGGTTTTTACTGTCATGCTGGTCACTCATATGCATCAAAATCGACTGAAGACGCTGTGAAGGTCCTCAATGATGAAATCAACGGTGTCTTGATAGCTGCCAAGAAACTCATCGATCCCAAGACAGAACTTGTTCTTTCTATTGGCGCTACGCCCACAGCTCATGTCGTCTCCAACTTGAAGGCTAGCCTACCGAAAAACACGCAGCTAGAGTTGCATGCGGGGAATTTTCCAGCTAATGACCTTCAACAAGTGGCGACTGGATTAGTCTCACTCTCCGATCAAGCAGTAAGAGTTGTGGCAGAGGTATGTAGTGTGTATCCTGAGCGCAATGAAGCACTCATCAACGCCGGAGTGCTTGCGCTTACGAAAGAGACGAGTTCGTTCGCTGGATTGGCCAGGTGGACGGACGGAATAGACTGGAGTATTGTACGTGTCAGTCAGGAACATGGAATCTTTGGCTGGGTGGGAGACGATGCCAAAAGAGAGAAGGTCGAGGAAAAGTTCAAGATTGGGCAAAAGGTGTTGCTGTATACTCAGCACGCATGTATTACGAGTGCGATGTTCCATGCGTTTTACGTGGTGGATAAACAGGATATTGTTCGAGAGACCTGGGTCCCATGGAAAGGGTGGTAGACTTGCCTTGTCACTAAGAACACATGCAGAGTGCTGTGTTTATGCTATATAGAAGAACAATAAAGGCACGATGATTGGCCACAAGCGGCAAATTTGTGTGAGCAGGAAAAATACATAGTGGTAAACTGATGACGGTAAATAACGGAGAACCACCAATCGAATACTTGGAAAGCGCACTCGGATGCCCCAACTCCCCGGTATTTTTACCGCAATCTCGGACGAGCCTATCGCCGGCGACCCGTGCTCGGAATCAAACTGAGCCCTCAACTTCCATCTTCCGCGTCACTTCTTCACTTCCCATACGCCAACCGACGATATGCATAAACATGGCTCCAGATTTCCCGTGCGTAGCGCGCCGGCGCCCATTGTCTCCTCGGATTTGGACGGTACGGTAGTTAAGCCGATTGTTCATCGGCGTCTGTTGTTGGTTTATCTGTCGGATTTCGGATTTTGAATATGAATATAGCGAATGAGAGAGGTCTGTGAAGACGTAAGTGCCTGTCTCCTAAATTGCGGGAATGGAACGGATTTAAGTGTTTTGTGGGACTGTTTCTGGACGTTCTGGTGTGGATCTGCATATGCCTACGTTTATTTATAAGAGTCTCATACCCCTTGACTTTAGTTTTTCCCCCTCTCTGTTGATCTACTCTTTCTTTTTGCTACTCGGGGATTCTCTCAAAATGGACCAAGATTACAACCATACGTTATCCTCGCCACCAGAAAAGATGAGCCAGGCACCCGTCTCAGAAGAAAGATCTATTTACGAAAAGCCAGATCACGACTGGCCTCTCAAACACAAAGTCGTCGAAAGTAAAGACCGCGAGGAGCGCTCAGGTTTCAAAAAGCGTGAACTCGGCGTAACATGGAAAAACCTCAATGTGGACGTCGTCAGCGCCGAAGCTGCTGTCAACGAAAATGTAATCTCGCAATTCAATATCCCCAAGCTCATCTCTGAGTCACGACACAAGAAACCGCTCCGAAGAATATTGAGTGATAGCCATGGCTGTGTCAAGCCCGGCGAGATGCTTTTGGTGCTAGGACGACCCGGGTCAGGTTGCACGACACTGCTGAATATCATTGCAAACAACAGGAAAGGATATACTTCCGTGACAGGAGATGTGTGGTATGGATCCATGACGCCCAAAGAAGCCAAAGCACACCGAGGACAGATTGTGATGAATTCCGAAGAAGAGATTTTTTTCCCAACATTGACTGTGGGCCAGACACTGGATTTTGCGACAAGGGTCAAGATTCCGCATAATATTCCGCAAGATGTTGAATCGCATGAAGCCCTGCGAGTAGAAACAAAGGAATTCTTGCTTGAATCTATGGGAATATCGCATACGCACAGTACCATGGTCGGTAATGAGTATGTGCGTGGCGTGTCTGGAGGAGAGCGGAAGCGTGTTTCAATTATTGAAACCCTGGCGACAAGAGGATCAGTCTATTGCTGGGATAATAGTACCCGTGGACTAGACGCTAGCAGCGCCTTGAGTTATACAAAGGCAATTCGCGCAATGACTGATATTCTGGGGTTGGCGTCCATTGTCACTTTATATCAGGCTGGAAACGGTATATATGATCTGTTCGACAAGGTGCTTGTTCTCGACGAAGGCAAAGAGATTTTCTATGGGCCTTTAAAAGAAGCGCGTCCGTACATGGAGAAGCTCGGTTTCGTCTGTAGAGACGGTGCTAATGTTGCCGATTATCTGACTGGCGTCACCGTGCCGACTGAACGATTGATTCGTGAGGGGTACGAGCACACTTTCCCTCGAAATGCCGATATGTTGCTTGACGCATACAAGAAATCCGACATCTACCCCAGGATGACAGCAGAATACGATTTTCCTTCGTCGCAGGAAGCGCAAGAGAAAACGCAGATGTTCAAGGAAGCAGTAACCCACGAAAAACATCCTCAGCTACCAAATTCCAGCCCCCTAACATCCAGTTTCGCGAACCAGGTCAAAGCGGCAATTGTACGACAGTATCAAATCATATGGGGAGACAAATCTTCGTTTCTGATCAAGCAAATATCGTCTCTGGTGCAGGCTTTGATTGCCGGTTCCTTGTTCTACAATGCCCCGAATAACAGTGGGGGTTTGTTTGTCAAATCCGGAGCTCTATTCTTTTCGTTGCTGTACAACTCTTTGGTCGCTATGAGTGAAGTGACTGATTCGTTTACTGGACGTCCTGTACTGATGAAGCACAAGAATTTTGCCATGTATCATCCAGCGGCGTTTTGTATTGCGCAGATCGCGGCCGATATTCCGATTATTTTGTTCCAGGTCAGTATTTTCGGTATTGTGGTGTATTTCATGGTTGGTTTGACCACCTCTGCCGCTGCCTTCTTCACCTACTGGGTTATTATTATTGCTGCGACGATGGTGAGTCCCCTCTCTTCTTCCATTCCCTCTTCAAGACTAACTAGATGTAGTGCATGACTGCGATGTTCCGCGCAATCGGTGCCACGTCCTCCAACTTTGACGACGCATCCAAAGTCTCAGGTCTTATAATCACAGCATCGCTCATGTACACCGGTTACATGATTTTCAAACCAAACATGCATCCTTGGTTCGTGTGGCTCTACTGGATTGATCCGCTTGCCTACGGATTTGAGGCCCTTCTTGGCAACGAATACAAAAACAAAACTATCCCTTGTGTCGGCAATAATCTGGTACCTGTGGGACCAGGGTATACGGATTCCTCTTTCCAGTCATGTGCTGGTGTTGGGGGAGCTGTTCAGGGGCAGGCGTATGTGACGGGTGAAGCATATTTGAATTCTCTATCGTATAGTTCATCTCATGTATGGCGCAATTTTGGAATCTTGTGGGCATTCTGGGCTCTCTTCGTGGCTATCACTATCTTCGCTACTTCTCGATGGCGTTTGTCGGCAGAAGACGGTCCTTCGTTGCTCATTCCGCGTGAGAACCTGAAAACTGTCCAACAGAGAAAATCTCTTGATGAAGAAGCTCTGCCCCAGTCTGCGGACGGCGCCGTAAGTAGCTCAGCCAATACACTTGCTGAGAGACCAGGCGTTCAGCCCATCCAACCTGAACTTGACAACAATCTTATTCGAAACACGTCTGTTTTTACATGGAAGAATCTCTGTTACACAGTCAAGACACCATCCGGAGATCGCGTGCTTCTCGATCATGTTCAAGGATGGGTCAAACCAGGCATGTTGGGCGCTTTGATGGGTTCTTCAGGGGCTGGAAAAACGACTTTGCTTGATGTTCTTGCTCAGCGAAAGACAGAAGGTACCATTCATGGATCAATCCTGGTTGATGGTCGCCCCTTGCCCCTCTCATTTCAGCGTTCGGCTGGCTATTGTGAGCAGCTTGACGTCCATGAACCGTATGCCACTGTTCGCGAGGCTTTGGAGTTCTCGGCCTTGTTGCGTCAACCCGGTGACACGCCCCGTGAAGAAAAGCTGAAGTACGTTGACGTCATCATCGATTTGTTAGAGTTGCACGACATTGCCGATACTCTCATTGGTAAAGTTGGCTGTGGTCTTTCCGTCGAACAGCGGAAGCGAGTTACTATCGGTGTCGAATTGGTCTCTAAACCCAGCATTCTCATCTTCCTCGACGAACCCACTTCCGGTCTCGATGGACAATCCGCTTTCAATACCGTTCGTTTCCTCAGGAAACTGGCGGATGTCGGTCAGGCAATTCTCGTCACCATCCATCAGCCCTCTGCACAGCTCTTTGCTCAATTTGATTCCCTCTTACTTCTCACCAAGGGTGGTAAAACAGTCTATTTCGGCGACATCGGTGACAACGCAGCCACGATCAAAGAATACTTTGGCCGCTACGGAGCCCCTTGTCCGCCAGAAGCCAACCCAGCCGAGCATATGATCGATGTCGTTTCCGGGGAACTTTCGCAAGGACGAGACTGGAACAAAGTCTGGTTAGAGTCTCCTGAATATGATGCCATGAACCGTGAACTCGACAGAATTGTCGCTGACGCCGCCGCAAAACCACCTGGTACGCTGGACGATGGCAGGGAATTCGCAACTTCTCTCTATGAACAGACCAAGATCGTGACACAGCGGATGAATGTGGCTTTGTACCGCAATACTCCTTATGTGAATAACAAGTTCATGCTACACATAGTGTCGGCATTGTTTAATGGGTTTTCCTTCTGGATGATTGGTGACAGAGTCACTGACTTGCAGATGAGATTGTTCACCGTGTTTCAATTCATCTTTGTGGCACCCGGTGTCATTGCGCAATTGCAACCACTTTTCATCGAACGACGAGACATCTATGAAGCACGTGAGAAGAAGTCCAAAATGTATTCTTGGAAAGCCTTCGTGACGGGTTTAATCGTTTCGGAAATTCCATACCTATGCATATGCGCCGTGCTGTACTTTGTCTGTTGGTACTATACTGTCGGATTTCCCAGCGACTCCAACAAGGCCGGTGCTACATTTTTCGTCATGTTCATGTACGAGTTTATATATACAGGCATTGGTCAATTCATCGCCGCTTATGCGCCTAACGCGGTTTCTGCTACCCTCGCTAATCCGTTGTTGATTGGTGTCTTGGTCTCATTTTGTGGTGTATTGGTGCCATATGTGCAGATCCAGGAATTTTGGCGATATTGGCTTTATTGGTTGAATCCATTCAACTATTTGATGGGCAGTTTGCTCACATTCACTATGTGGGACAGTCCTGTCAAATGCGCCGAGAAGGAATTTGCCATTTTCGACACGCCCAACGCCACAACTTGCAAAGACTACCTGAGTGAGTACCTCAGTACTTTTAATGCAGCGGCCTATTTGGAGAACCCGGACGCTACGTCTGGTTGTCGAGTCTGCCAGTATAGGAAGGGAAGTGATTATCTGCACGTCCTTAATATTAAGGAATATTACTATGGGTGGAGAGATGCTGCGATTGTGGTGATTTTCGTTATTTCGTCGTATGCCATGGTATACTTGTTGATGAAGTTGAGGACGAAGGCGAGCAAGAAGGCTGAATAGTTCGTTCATTTTTCATTCTCCTTTGTTTCTTTCCCACTCCTTTTCTATTCATTTCCTTGATTTCGTTTTCCTTTCCTTAAGCTGGCGTTAATCTAACTGGAGGGTACATCGACTCGTCATAGAATTAGACGTTTAATAGAATACTGTTTATATAGTTGGGAACAATCAGACTGCATTTGTTTATCATTCCGTCTAGATAATAATGTAAGGTACTTTGTATTGACTCGCTGAGTTATTTTCGCGTGGGAAGAGTCATTGATAAGAGAACCATGTCGGCGCATACGCGACAGTCCAGCCTTGAGACAAATGTTAGTCGGATTCTTCATTGTAAATGGTAGTGTGTTTGAGTGAAGATGTTGTTTCAGGTGAGGTAGGAGATGCAAAATATAATCAATGTAATTTCATATGGGGTTGAAACATAGAAAAAGCACCTTTCATCATTATAAATTCAAAATGAGAAGAAGAAAAGTGTTAACATACCTTATCTACTGCAAATCACGAAAGCATGTTGCTTAATCGAGGGAAGCATAAATATGTTGTCGAGTTGTTGAAGAAGAATTTTTGCTTCGAAAGCTTTGATTTTGGAGCTTGGCAGCTTAGCGACCACGTGATTGAATCGGATTATCTTATCTCCGAGCTATCGCCCAAAAAACTGAGAGGCCGGTCCTTTCCACGATCGAAGAATAATCACGAGGGTACGTCGTCGCAAATTGGTGTACTTGTCAAGTACGTAGAGTAGATCAATACGCGCCTTGCTCAGAATCGAGCCAAGGGCCACCATCGGAATCATCAATCATCTTCATCCTTCAGCAAATCCCACAACTTTCGCGCCTCTTCCACTGCCTTGTTATCGAATTCCACAGTATTTGCTTCATGGTTCGACCCTTGAAATGAAGATTGTTGCGCATCCAGACCCTCTGTCGTCAACTGTTCCAACAACCTCTCAACCCGATTCTTCACGTCATCCATCTCCTGTATCTGGCTCCGTGCACTCTCCAATTGTTCTTCCATCATCAATATTAGCGATTCCCTAGCTTGGTGTGGTCTGTACAGATTGAGAAGGTGGTGCGCATTGATGAATAGATTCCGTAGATCACCTAGTTTCGCTTCGAAATCTTCGGGGGCTATAGAGAGGACACCAACAAATTCCAAAAAGTTCAGTAAGAGGGACTTGCTGATTTTTAAGAGATAATATGCATGGTTTAATGGTTGGCCGCCGTTGGGATCGTCCTTTCCGCCGTTAGTCGTAGGGACGTCGGGGTACAGTTGTTCAATACCCTGTTCGTTTAGAGAGGGCAGATTTGTCGATAGCTATACACTCGCGACATCAGCACCAACCGATAGACGATATAGAAAGAGAAGGAGAGAGGAGTTCATACGCTTTGCAACTCCCCAAAAACGGCGTATGAACCTTCTGTCGGAGGTTCAGGCGGAATCAAATAGCGAAGCTCAGGTGGTACATCCAACGCTCGCAGCTCACTTGGGTGCCATTTCTTGCCTTTAAAAGTCCTTGGAATATTAGACTCCTTCTTAATCTTTTCCAGTTTCTCGATGTTCTCTGTCGTGAAGTGTTTCCAGAAAGGCGGAGGCGGTGGAAAGGGTGCCGTCAGGCTGCGTTGTGCATCTGCCATGTTGGTTGTGTATTCCTCGTCAGGTAGTCAGCATGCGATCAGCAGGCCATCTAAGAATGATGGATCAAGCTCATCTGAGCTTCTGGCGCAAAAGTGCAAAGGGTGAGAGTGTTGGTGAGGTTGAAGATCGGAGGAAATCGACGGAGGAAAGCTGCTCTCCGCATGGTGAATTCTATTGGCTGTCCGCTTACTACAAACATCAACATTGTTAAGCTACAACCTACAACTATCTACTATCATCGACAAAATCATTATAATCAAGTGTTCGTCTGAGTATTTCTAAACGACTATCAATTAGCTAAGAAAAATTATTTATCATATCTCACTTCAGTACCTATTATGAACCAGTCAGCACGAATGTCTCGAAATCACATACTCCAGATGAGAGCCGACTTACGAAAAACTTTCCGAATGATACCACACCTCCCTGGCTTTAAGCTGTCCGCTGATGATCTGTTGCTGGGCAGAAACTGCCGCCTCGCTCATATCATGAGACATGGATGACGGACCACACGCTAATAGCCCAATCGTCGCATCTTCCTGGTCAGCAATAAGATCCTTAGTGGTGACTCGGAGATTGGGCTGGCCTTTATAAAGGTTGACGTTGAACATATCGGTGATGGATGGATCCTGAGAGTCGCCAGATTCTTCATTGTTCAGCTGGACTGTCGTCGAACCCTGTGCTTTTTCGAGATCCGAGCGATTATTTACGGTCTCCTCTTGGGACCCGGACTCTCCTGTCTCGTGGATATCGACTGATATACCAGCAAAAGCCTCTTTAGACAGTGGATAGCGATGGGCGATATCTTTTAATGCTTCAATATACCATATCCGCGTGTCTGGTTCGCGTGTGGCAACGATTACTTTCAGTCTTCTGTTTGCCTTTCTAGTGACGATATACCTCTGCAAGATATGTTCAATGACAGCGAGAGTGAAACCGGCACCAGCACCGCCGCCGACTGCTAGTGCGCTGTCAGAGAAATTTAACTGTGTGCTCGGAATTCCACCGTACGGCCCGTCCATCAGCACTGGGATCTCAGTGTTGGGATGTTTTATCGCCTGCGCCATCAAGAATTTCGTATCGCCACCTCGCGGTCGGATGTAGAACACCAGCTGACTTGCCTTTTCCGCCGGATCGGTATGAGGCATCGAGCAAATGGTAAATGGGTGAGCGGTTAACACGTGCATTATGCCACCAGCTAAGAAACGAAGATAGATATGCTGTCCCACTGTCCACCTCGCCTTCCTTGAGTTGATCGTGATTTTTAGTGTACCGTTGCTTTCCCGTTGAAGACGCGCTTCGTGGCCGACACCATACTCGAAATATGTCTTGCATTGCGAATAGCACCAGGACAGAGTGTAAAGAACAGCAGTGGCGATGAAGTAATCCCACGAGGACAGGGTATAGTCGCAGTGGAAGAAAAAGAAGACGATGAATACCAATGCCGCTATAAAATGGGTCGATTTGAAGAATTCATAGTACCGATTACTGTGCCGTTAGCTTGGAGTCTACGAAATAGGGGCGGGAGGAAATACCGAAGCCATGGGATAGATCCAAATGTGAGCCACGCTTGTGCAAGCAATGCCACGACTCCCGTTACCCAGAGACCTCCGTCATTCCATTGTTCCACGATATCACCCATCTGAATGTGATAGACGATGAAGGGGAAGGTGTGTACCAGAGCGAGAACGAACATTGCCCAGGCAGCCCAGCTATGCCAGTTGGTTAATAACTCGTGAGAGATTCCCGTTAGTAACGTGATTGGACTCGCTTTCGCTGCCAGCATACTGTCTGGTCAGATACATCGTCAAGCGGACAATTTGGGCAGTGACTTACTAAATGAACGGCATACAGGCCAGTGCCATGAATCCAGAGCGAGTTGCAATCGGGGGAGAGTTTCCATAGTTGATTTCCATCGTGTTGGGCCAGTAGTAAGGACGAGGAGCGAGAGTCATTGCTAATCACGTTACTCATATGCTCACTTTCAGTTTCAACGTCAGGCATACCGAGGAAATAGACAACACCAACCGCCGCCAGAAAAAGGGCGCCAATTGACTGGGTGCTGCTTCCTAGAATCCACAACTTCTTATAAGACAATGTTCGAAAGACTGCCATCAATCGCGCCCATCCGGAAAGTCGTTTCCATGATCGCGGCGTGAACAGCCGTATCAACCGAGCCATTGTGAAAAGCATGATGGCAACCAGGAAAAAGGCTACTGTTGGTAGGCTGTAGCGATGATCAGCTTCGTACCAGAATACCCAGTATCGGTGTTTGTAGGCACATTGCTCAGGGGTCATGGTACACTCTCCAGGGTCGCGAGAAGAGTGTAACATGACAGGTGAGGTGAGCCATGGCAGCATCGGCATCTTGACTTGTTACTTGCTAGTAGTCTTCCTCAGATGTGTCGCATGCCGCGCACGGTTTGCAGGGCCCTCTGGTATATAACTAAACAGCTTTCAGCGTGACTGAGCAAATCCGAACAGATTACTACCCACCGCCAAGGGACCTAGACTGCCATTTGAGAAGATTTATCTTCACGGATACTTACCTGGGAGTCTCTTAAGACGCATTAAACTGCACTAGTAAGACTTTTCCACGCTGAGACGTTCAAAGCGTTGAAACACGTGGTACGCGAGCCCTAAGAGAGTGCAGAAAAAACTATGTGGTTGGTGGTATGGAGCAGTTGAGCGCATTTGAGAGAGTTTAGTCGGGGTTAGTACATTAGGGCTATTTCTCACCATGCTAAGATACGAAGCATCGGCTTATCAAGCAAATTTGAGCATATTAACAGAGGATATTAATCGAGTAGACAAAAGTTGACTCTATTCATTCATTCAATTATTTATTTATTTATATTCTTATTCCGACTCCCAACTCGGGGAATAAGCTACGGTAGCATTTTACCTACAGCTTTACTTTTCAACCTAGGATCATATACATCCTAGACAGCCAAATAGTCAAAATGGACATGTCAGGAATGGCCATGACCACCACCGCGACGGGCATGTCAATGCCCTCGTCTACATCCTCTTCCACCTCCTCTGACATGTCCGGCCATACCATGTCCATGGTAATGACATTCTTCATTTCTGCTCGGTCATCACTATTTACCACTACATGGACACCGACCAATGACGGGCAATACGCCGGTACCTGCATATTTCTGATTGTTCTCGCAGTTATTCTCCGTTTCCTGCTTGCACTTAGACCGATCCTTGAGTCGAGAGTTTGGAGCGATCATGCTCGGATACATGGCGGGGGGCATATATTACATGATAGTGCACAGATTGAGCAGCAGTCTATAAAGGCGGGAGGGACGACGTCGGTTAGGCAAGTTAGATATGATCTTTCAAGTCGGTGGGCTGGTTGGAGGGTTAACGATGCTGCTGGACGTGCTACCTATGATTTTTTGGTTGCCGGGGTTGGTTATTTGCTGTAGGCTATTCAACTTCCTTTGCTACTAGGATACGGAGGCTAACTAATGATTATTAGCATGCTAGCTGTCATGACAATGAACGTTGGATATTTTCTCTCGGTACTTGCTGGGATATGGCTGGGAACGTTTATACTCGGAGGTGCTGCGGCTGACAATCAGTGGGCTCATTGCTGAGTGTGTATCATTAGGAAGAAAGTACACCCAGGTAACTTTACTCATGGTATTCGATTTGAATGTTCTACTTCAAGCTTCGGCCTTTCTATGCACCAGGTAACACGACTTGATCAATCTATAGGTAATCCGTAGGTAGATGTCGCAGAACCACTGGATCCTTCACATATTTCTAACTCTGGAAGTAACTAAGTTAATTGGTGGCTCATGGTTCCTGTCGCCGTCATATACAATGGATGGCAATATGCCTTGACGCCACCACTGCTAGTTATCCTCTGTGGGAAGTTAGGGTTAAGAGTGCCACTTTCTGTAAATCTTATTTCACCTCTACATCACCTATTCAAATTCACTATTCAATCGCCGCTCCTTTTTACACTCACCAATGCAGACTTTCTATCTAGGTAACATCGGCTTGAAGCATTACGTACGGGACAAAAGTCATAGCCATGTCTCACTTTTGATATGGAAGGTCGTCAACTACCACTTATGGTGGTGTCAGTAATCTTTTTTGTTTTGGCTAGCGTATTCGTCGCCCTCTATTTGATTTCCTGCATATTTGTGGTGAAGCGGCTCGGAATAGCTGACTACTTGATGTTGCTGGCATGGGTAGGTGTCCTCTTCCTGAAAGCGAACGGTGTTTTATCTACTACTAACGGAGTAGCCGTTTTACTACATTGTATTAATCCTGTCATGCAGATCATCGATTTTGGCTTTGTCTTTTCACTCACATACGCCGTGGGGAGGGGATTTGGACGACATGGCCATGATATCAATGCGGAAGATACCATCGCAATCAACAAAGCTATCTATGTTTACAACATTCTATATGTAGGTTGTCCTCTTCTATTAGTGCTCAGCGCACCGGGCTAAATATCTAGGATCCAACATCAATGGCAGCTAAAAGCTCAATATTGGCCTTCTTTCTAAGGCTTACTCGCGAGAAGAAAATGTACTACTGGGCCAACTGTGCCATTCTTTTCATTATCAATGGCCTGGGTTTGGTCCTGACTATACATCAAGTATATCAGTGTCATCCGGTCTATGAGGTCTTTCGTCTAGAAGCTCAGACCAGCGAGTCTTGCACCAATGTATTCTTATCGGCCCTCGCATCTTCGCCGTACAACATATTCACCGATGTCGCCATTCTTGTCATTCCCATTCCTCTTTTGACTCGAATTCACTTGCCATTCAGACAGAGACTGATTTTAGTCTTCACTTTTGGTGTCGGAATTTCGGTGATTGCCATAGATGTCGTCCGCTTTGCTTCCTTCCAGACTACAGCCCGAGATCAGCTTGTAAAACTGAATTCATTTCACACAGAGGACATTGGCAATGAAGACTATACTTGTATGCGTGTTGGCTCTGCTCTCATTGACCCGTTTCTCTCCTCTCCCAATACCCCGATCCTATCTTCAGTAAACGGACAGCCCACACTAACTGGATTGATGTTAATAGGGTATGCTGCCTTTCCAATGATGTGGTCAGCGGTGGAGGTGAATACGACAATAATTTGCGCATGTGTCCCAAGCCTCAAACCTCTTCTAGCTCGATTCACCCCTTCTCTTATCGGTCAGCCTAAAGGCACTCCTCCAGCTGAGCCCGTTAATGATGAAAGAGGCCATACAACGAGATTTGATAATCCACAAACCGTTACTGGGGAGATGATGGACATCTTGACAGGCGGAGAAACACAACAGGGAGGTCATGTTACGGCAGGTTGGGAGATGCGTGAACGCTATCCGTCGAATATTAAGCTGCTTAACCTCTTGAACCTCAGACCGACAAAAGTCCTTAAGTTGAATACCAAAGAATCTATTCCTGCATTCACGATGGTCACTACCCTCTTTTTCCTATGGGGATTTGCTTACGGATTTCTGGATGTGCTCGGTCAGAGATTTGGGCTAGCACACCTGGGCCCGCTGCGTACGGCCGGACTCGAGGCCTCACACTTTGGTGGATATCTTGTTATTCCACTCACAGTTGGTCTTCTGGTGTTGAAGAGAGCAGGTTTCACAACCTCGTTTATTACAGGTCTTTACATCTACGCTGTAGGGGTTCTACTCTTCTGGCCAGCTGCGGTCACCGTTTCTTTCCCGATTGGTGTCCTATCTAACGTGATCATTGGTTCTGGACTGGGAATCTTGGAGATGACTGCAAACCTTTTCATCTCAATCTGTGGACCGCTCGAGTACGCCGAGATTAGGCTTTGTATCTCCCAGGGCATGCAGGCCGTCGGGGAGTTGTTGTCACGGCTATTGGTTAGCAGAGCTATTCTTGTGGACGTTGATCGAATAGACGATGTGGTTAGTTTACAGTGGACATACCTCGCCATTAGCCTTTTTGTCATATTGCTTGCTGTGTTATTCTATTACATTCCGGTGCCCAAAGCATCCGATGATGAGTTACAGGAGCTTAGTGACTTACGAGAAGCAAATAGAGCTCAAGTACGAAGAATTCCTGTTGTTTATTTGACACTCGCATTAGGTGTATGGTCACAATTCTTCATGGAAGCCGGGCACGAAGCAAACGTGGTCGGCTCGAAGGACATAGTAACGGGCAGGTGAGTTGAGCTTCGCTCTTTAGTTTAGATACTTTCCTATCTGGTACTAATTATTACACACAGAACCCATTTATCATCTGCTTCGGACATTGAATCCATCGGAGCTACATTACATGGTGTTTCTCGGTTTACCGCGGCTTTCGTTCTGTGGAAATGGTCAAAGCCACGGTGGGTACTCCTAATTACGTCTATTTTCTCGATTGCGTTTGCAATTGCCTGTACTGCAACAACCGGAAATATGTCGACTATCATGTCTCTTGTTATATGGCTCACAGATGGTCCGCACTATCCTATTATCTTTGCGATTTCGTTACGTGGAACAGGAGTTCATGCAAAAACCGCAGCTGCCTTTCTGGCCGCTTCTGTTGTTGGAGCTGTTCCTGGTCGGATGATACGATATGCAGCATCATTATCCATTGGTGATGCCTCGTGCTGTGTTGTTGTTGCCTTTATGAGTGCAGGGACGATTTTCCCTATCTATCTAACATTGTCCAAAGCTGCAAGGAGGCAGGTTGATCCGATCAAAGATGAGTACCTGAAGTGAAAATTCTCTTGGATTTTTGGCTCGAAGTCTGTCAATCACATCATATCCATTATATCATTGATCTTGTTGAACAAGGCAAAATGGTCGAGATTCTTCCCACAGGTCGACCTGTCTGTTACCTAGATAAGGTTCCACGAACACGTATATTGAAGGCCATCAATCAGGTATACCTAGGTATATTCAGACATTCAGTAATAATAATGCCAATTCTGTAGACGGCAATACATCTTCAGAATCGCATTGTGTTTTCAAACACATCTATCAGACTTATAGCCCTACTGACGACCTCCTTGCATTCCCTGGTGACAGCAAATCACTCATTGACTTCTGTGAAGCGCAATTTCCAGAACTGCCACCTTTCGGATGTGAAGTCTGCTTTCCCTTTATACAGTGGACCGCCTTTCCATGATTGTGCCGTATCCTTGTCAATCCACTGATCATCAAGATGTTTGAACAACGTCCGCCCGCACCACAGAATCCACTGAGCTGCATCAAGCAAGTAGGCTCTGCGTATTCCTTCTGTCTTATCCTTCAGTTAATCTTCGAGGGCATCAGGCATCGCCCATATGGCGTATGTTGGATCCGTTGGGAAGATACGGTGCTCGTAGAGATGGGCTACGAAAGACATATAATTCACAAATTCCCCAGGATCCTCATTCTCAGGTCCTTAAATTTGTGGTCAGTTCGAGATTATATACTCATTGGCATGTGCAGCTATTGTCATTGCTGATCCATTGATCAACGCCATTGGTACTGGATGGCTTTTAACCATTGGTGTAATCCTATGTTGGTTGAGTAGTCTTGTTCTTATCCCTATGCAATACAGGGCAGAGCCATAGAGTAAGGAGATGGCAGAGAAGATCCTAAGACTCAACCTATAGCTGGGTTTCGAAACGAATACCAGAAAAGAGAGACTAGCATGTTCGTATACATAGATCTCTGTCTTTGATAACGATCAAAATAACCCTAATCGTAGAAGTATATCCCTTGAATATGATTGGGCAACGTTGTCTGCTCCACTCTTCAAGTTGTTCACTATCCTCTAACTCTTTCCTGTAACCCATCAACACAGCAACACCGGCATAGCATGTTTATGCTGAGCACACCGACCACGATGCTCGCTACATGTATATAAAACAACACGATGCCTCCATTCCCTCCACCACGAAACAGCATGGCATTTTCCAATCAGCCTGGTCCACTTGGCGCAATAGCCCGGTTCTGGGAGCGGACATATGCCGCTGATTATGTCGCGTTGGGATTTGTCGCGGCTGGATTTATATTAGTGAGTTGAATCTAGTCAAGATGAGAGCGATAGCTGACGATGGTGCTTTAGATTCAATTATTTGTTACACCGTTCCATCGAATGTTTTATTTGGACAACATGGCTATTCAGTTCCCGTTTGCGAAGTCAGAACGAGTTCCCATGCGTACGTCCTTTCCTATCTAGGATCGCTTCAATTCTAACTCGTGGTAGCATGGTCAATTGTATACTCGGCCGTCTTCCCTACGCTCGTCCTCCTCCTCTGGGCACTTATAACACGCCCATCCGCACACAAACTCCACGTCAGCTTTTTAGGGCTGGTCGTATCTTTGGCTGTAACACCTTTCCTAACGGATATCATTAAAAACGCTGTTGGTCGACCACGACCGGATCTCATTGATCGATGCAAACCCGAACCGGGCACGCCAGAACATAAACTCGTCACATTCAGTGTGTGTATGCAGGCGAACGAACACATTCTACAAGAAGGGTGGAGAAGTTTCCCAAGTGGACACAGCAGTTTTGCGTTTGCCGGGTTGGGATTTTTGTCTTTGTATGCATCCCGCCCTCGCTGGACGCTGCTTAACTAATTGAGACTAGATTTCTAGCAGGCCAGTTGCACGTCTTCCGTCCACGCGCCGATCTCGGTCGTTGCCTATTCACATTTATCCCCACATTAGGCGCTCTCATGATCGCTATATCCCGCTGCGAAGATTATAGACACGATGTGTGGGACGTCACGGCGGGCGCAATACTTGGATCGAGTGTGGCATATTTCACGTATAGACGGTATTATCCATCTTTGAGGGATAAACGATGCCATGTACCGTATGATCTGGCGGTAGTCAAAGGAGTGGAGGGATTCACAAAGTTGACGGATGATGAGGAGCGATTATTGGGTGTTCGTGATGGATCGGGGCAGGAGGGACTTCCTATGCATATGGACCTACCACGAAACTAGACCATACGTCCACATTCTTCCTACTGTATACAATAGTATAAATAAGTCCAAAAATGCATTGATACGAATATATACAAGATCCCTCTAGTCTACAACTTGGCCTTTGTCTGCGACTTCTTGAGAATAGGATCAAGCTTTGTGGCCTTCATGATGTTTCCCTTGATCTTGAGTTTTCCCCCCATGAATAGTCGTTGCGCGTTCGCTTTTCCGGCGACGAGGCTGGCGAAGTCTTCATCGGAGAGGACGAGGGTTACTAAATCACCATTAATTAGTATACACTCTTGAGTATCTTTGTTTTGGAGTGCATACCATCGGGCTTTCCGCCGAGTCCCTTGCCAACCTTACCCTCGTTCTTAAGATCAATGTGCCATGAAGCTTCCTTGCCGGCGGAGTTGGTGAGTGTGAATCCGTAGATGCCAGCGCCTTGTTTGATGGCGTCTTTGCGGTCATTTTCGTTGGAGAGAGCCTCGTTAATCGCGTCGAAGGCGCCGGAGGCAGGGAACGAATCTATAGAAGTCAGTGTCGTTGTCGGAGCTAGGAGTGTTGCGAACGTACCGTCTTTAACGGACATGTTGGCGGGTGTGAGTGTATGTAACGCGTTTGTAATATCCAAACAAAGTCCTGAAAAGAACAAATTGTTAAAATGTAGTTCGTTCCGATAGGGACACGTTCAAGTATATAACTTGATTGTCAGTTGGGAGATGAAGAAGATCAAGTGTAAGGATGCGACAGACGAACCTCGGCAGATAACTTGTGATGTAGGATCGTCAAGGACTTACTATGTTAGTTCAAAGTATCCAACAGAGGAATTTCGGCCAAGTCAAGAGCAAGGATGAATCGTTGCGAGACTAGCGAAATGAAGCGAAGAATATGGAGAAGTCGTTCGTGACGTCGGGGGAGAACATGTGATTATTTCCGAAGGCTTGGCTGCCGAGGCTGGCTTACTCCTACAACTACTTCGCACACAAAAAGACACTCAGTAGGATTTGATTCAATTCAACAAAAGAAAAGAAAAGAATGGCTACACAAGTATAGGCGATTGAACCGTCTTGTGCAGAAAATCATGATTCTTCCAAAGTGTCCTCTTTGACCGCGCCCAATTACTCAGTCCCTCACGGAGAGTCCTGAAATTCAGGTTCGGTCGATGTACCGGCTCCTCTTCTAATAACATCGCAGCAGTTGACGCATACAGATCGTTATTAGGCAGTACTTCTGTCGTTTTGGTGTGTCTCTTCTTCTTCTTCCTTTTCCGTCTCTTGTGTTGTTCCGGCGGCGATGATTCACCAACCAAGGGGTTTGCGCTTAAGACGAGCGGAACTTCCATGACTTCGACTTCAGGTTGCTGCTTCTCACCCCAGGCACCCTCATACTCGGCGCTCGATAGCGTGCGCCAAGGGATAAGTGCATCTTCCCACGTACCACTCCGTAGCGAGACATTCTCAAAATCAAACTCGAGTAACGAGTGACGATGCTCGGTTAGGAAATCCGAGACCTGCGATGCATCCAGAACCGCATTACCCAAGACCATATATTGTAAATGCGGAAATTTCAACGGACGTAAGTAATGTCTCGTCTTAGGACAAGCCTGTGACCTCGCCGCCAATTCACAGAGAGCCGGCTCTGTGGCTAGAGACAATGGACTCGGTCCCTTTCCCTTTGTATCCGTCCAGTGAAACATAAAACTACGCAAGGCATGAAACTGCTGTAAATACAGATGCAAAAATTTCAAATGATCGGTTGCCTGACCTTTTTCGAACGGGAAAGTGTCCATATGGATGTCGAGCTTGCGAATACGAGTCCATCGTTTACAGCTGTTCGGTAATGAGCCCATACCCGCCATCGGACACAGGTATTGGATGCCACCGGGATGGATGGGGGTGAGTGACAATTCCTCTAGGCGCGGGAGGGGTGCTTGTTCAATTGCGATTCTCAAAGAGGAAAGTGCATAATCGACCACACTGCGACGGTAGCGATAAATGGGGTCTTGACCGGCACAGTTCACTCGCAAATGTTGCAGGGATGGCATATATGTCAATGCACATGCGAATGAGGATACGTTCATCGCCGCATGAAACAGAGGTGGGTATTGCTTGATAAGTAGGTCGGTCATTTCCCAAGTTCCATACGTGGGCTCCGTCGGTCCTCTATTTGTAGGCGTAGCATTTGCAGGAGGAGTTGGACACCGTGCCAATGGTGTAAAAACAAAACTAACCTCATCCCCAGTCCCTGGATCCAGCAACGGTGGTAAGAATGTCTCTGCAGTATGCTCCATGACAAAAGTCACGGTTCTAATATGTCCACCAATGCGTTCTAGTGCAGCCATGCGCGCCGGTTTCGTAAACGTACTGCTTCGAAATGTGATTGATACATCTCGGAATAAATGGCGGGATGTAGTGGCAGCAAAGTCATGACAGACCAGACGTAGGTCTTTCAGGGTGGAGGTGTCTAGCATAGAGAGAAGACAGTCTCGGGTGAGATCTGTGTACCAGAATTTTGAGAAGGATTGAGATGGCATTGTTCCTTTTTCTTCAGGTTGAGTAGTGGTTAGGGCTGTGAAAAGGTTATTACCCGGATAGGAAGGTGGGATGGTATCAACAGGATATAGTCAAGAAGCGAATAGGAGAAAGAAATATTCCGGATATTTCTTAAGGATATGCAATAGTCGTGAATCAACATAATCTCGTCATATCATCAAAAGTATATCATAACAAGCATGAACTGGTTGTGCGAGGCGGAACAAGTCCAACCTCAACCTCAGAAATCGGGCATGCCATATATGTATTCTACAACAAATAGAAGTGAAGCTCGCTTATCCCACGCCAAGCAATATCGACGCGTCAAAGAGACCTCAGTTCTTGAATAACCTTTCACAAAATCCACGACATCGCGACTTCAACTCGAGAGTCGATAGAGGAAATGGAATTGCTTCGGCCAACCCAATCACATCCCGCGTCTCGACAGGAAAAGATGGAAAAATCAACTAAATGGTGAGTCATATTCTCCGAAGAAGAAGAAGCATCGACTGCAGCGAGGGGAATCATAGGAAGGCATCCTATAGGTCGGGTGAAGAGAAAAAGTTTCACGCCGAGATGGGAGATGCATTAGTCGATGGATTTTCTCTCTCTAGAAACGAGGTTCCCGCATGAAACGGAACGAAACGAAACGCGATATGGACGAATAAGAGGTGTTGACTGTTTAAAAGACAAGATTGAGGTTGAGACGGTGAGGCGAGATGCAAGACGCCGACCAATCAGGCAGCAAGAGATGCCTGAGACGTTCTGTCACGGGAAGCAGACGCGAATCGACGCGTCTAGAGCGCGTTAAAACGCGACACGAGATGCGAAATGGGCCAATCAGATCTTAGTATTCACACGAACGCGATTATGAGTCAGCCAGTGGACACCTTAGGCAATAAATTCAGTATCCTACTCGAGCGAGCCAACTTACATGAATGGTGGAATTAAATACTTGATTTGAAAATACTACAGCGAAATATGAGCGAATCACTCATCTAGCAAGAAAGTATCCCAAAACTGTTCAACGGTTTTGGCAAATCACGCTAGAATGCGTTCCTAATCTAGTAAGAGAACAAAGCAATAGAGTCAGGGTAGACACTCAGGTTGTCCGAGTACAAAGCAGCACTGGTTCCGTTAATAGTGATCATGTTCGTAGTTCCCACAGTCTGGTAGCCATAGACATTCAATCCGGACACAGAGCCATCGACACGGAAAGTCTCACTCTGGCAGTTCTCGCCGTTACCGACGTTCGAGCAAGATGTGCTGTATGAGTTGAAAAAGCTGTACAAACCGAGACCGTACATAGTGATGTCTTTGCTGTTGGTGATGTGTAGGCCAAGGGCATCACAGTTTCCTTCAAGACAGGTGCTGAATTCTGGGTCGGACCAGGGGCTGGATGTGATAGATTTGTAAGGCCCGGAGGTGGCATCAGGCTTGGGTTGGTAGTAGGGTGTTTCGGTTTGGAAGTAGCCACCTACAACGTTGGAAGCACCGTTGAATTGGAATTGGTAGAGTCCATGGTGCTCAGAGCCGGTGCCCCACCTGCAGTCAGTTAGTACGTTTCAACAGACAACGCAGGGCGGCTTACATTTCAATGTTGCTGCCCTCCACAAGAACACCGCGACCAGTGTAGATTGACGTCTGGGTGTTAGCTGGGTCCTCGATGTCATGATCAGCAGTCCAGAACCAGTTGTTCTCAAAGTAGACATTCGACGCGTCAGAGGTAATGTGGACGTTCAAGAAAGCAGCCTGACAGTCACTTGAAACATCAGCAGTGGTTGGACACTGGCTAAGCTGTAGGTTAGACCCTGCCCAGCCACCAATCTGCGAGTGCACATCCCATGCACCCGAACCCAGTTCACCAGCGAGGTTCCATTCAATGAGGATAGCGCCGGCAGTGCCGCCAATGGTACCAACACGCATATCCGACCATTCGACAGTACCCTTATCGCCGCTCTTGCCAACTTGGACAACAGGGTAAGGGTGGGATGCATCGGAGAACTTGTCACCGCTACCGGCGATGATAGGGTAGCTTTCTCCGACAACCTTGGATCCAGGAGGGAAGTAGATGGTGTCGGTGACCAAGTAGATACCGTAGTCGAAGAAAACAAGAGATCCACTAGAGGCCGCAGAGGAGAGAGCCTTATTGATGGCAGCGGTGTCGTCAGTGGTACCGTCACCAGCAGCGCCAGCACTGCGGATGCTGACTACTTGGTCGGTAGTATAAGACTCATACTGGGGCTTGGCCTTGGTATAGTAGTTGGAAGTGCCAGAGGCAAGGAGAGCAGTGGGACGAGACGCAGCAGCGTATGTTCCGGAAAGAGTGCTGGGTCCGGTAGGAGAATATTCGTGACCCTGACCGTAGCTGGCAATAGTCTTAGAACCTCCTTCAAGATAGGTAGTGCCGCCAGGTCCGGCAACGGCAGTAGTCACCGAGTCCAAAACAACATTCTCTAGGATCAAATTACCTGCGCCGGCGGGGTCGCCATTAGAGGTCCAGGAAGTGTTAACGAATGTTTCAACGTTGGAGATGGTGCTGTCGATGATATTCACGCCACCGACGAGTTGAGTGCCGCCGGATGTACTGAACGTAATACCATATTTACAGTTGTTGATATTGAGTCCGACATAGGTCCAGCCCCAGTTCCAGAGCTGAGTGATACCGGTAACGGCATTGTTGATGGTAACGTTGCGCATGGTGAACTGTTGGTTGCCGATGTTGAGACCCTGCAAACCACCGTTGACAACCACATCGCCAATGAATCCAGCGGACCCTAATCTGTCAGCCTATCTTCAAACCACTTGCGCCTCTGTTCGCTTGGATAACATACCGTCCTCAATGAAAATACCCGTATGTTGGCTGCCATCGTCAGCGTTCAAATTGACGACCACGTTTTGCAGGCTAGTAGCCTGGGACGTGGGCCAGTGAATACCAGTGGCTGCAGTACTGCCAGGAATGTTGGTCATGTCAATAACCAAGTTGCGAATTTGACGCAAGAAAACATTAGTAGAAATCCATCCTTCCTTGCCATTGGGTTGGTATTGGTCTCCATCAATGAGACCAATTCCGGCAAAGTTGGCGGTGGCCTTAAGAATGGCAGGACTGTTGGGGTTACCAACGAGTTGAGTAAAGTAGTAGTCAATAATAGGAGAAGAGATCACATAGGTGCCAGCGGGAAAGTAAACAATAGCGGGAGTCTTGGTGGTTGTGCTGTTGGAAGACGGTGCTGTCCGGTCACCGTCGCTGATGGCCATTTGGATAGCAGCCGTGTCATCAGTAGTGCCGTCACCTGTAGTTTACTATGAGCGACGTATCTAAATCACCAAGCATAGTTGCACTAACCGGCAGCACCGTAGTCCCTGACATTACGGAAAACAGTGTATCCGCTCCCAGCAAAAGGGGCTTTCCCTTGATGGTCGATATCGGCCAACCAATAAGCGGGATCAGTTGCGGCACCGGCAGCTTTGATGGGTGCAATAGAAGGCGAAGGAGTCGAAACTGCCACCGAAGACGATGCACTTGGTGACGGAGGGGATCTCTTATGAGTATACTGAGGAAACGCGCTCGCGCCAGCGACGAGCAAGGCGGAAGAAAGAATGGAAGACCAATGCATGATTCGCCGTTTGCACATAAAGGAGTGTATGGGTGATATGCAAATGGGAAAAGCAAATTGGATTGTCGGATCGAACCCTGGCCGGGCTGGCCCTTTTGTAGGTTAATGTCGAAGCGTGTCGGGTGGCTGCCGCTATACTGTAGTAGTTCGGCAACGCCATCCACATTCCTTTGGCGTGGGCAACCCATGGTCATCAAGGTTGCCTTCCACGATCGAGAGCCATGTGTGGAGCAGAGTTAAGGTAGCTCTTATTCGTCGTATAAATAGATCAGCTGCCGCTGAAGTATCGGACTACCGATGTGATTGGGCTTATTGAAGGCATGATTCGGCTTCTCCCCGTCGCCGTGATCTGTGTTGACTCCACTGTCCAAGGACTGATGGCCTTGCCATAAGCCGTTTGACGTTCCATTCTGCTATGCGCTCCGTACTGGGCACGTAGCATTGTTAGTAGCGCTGCCCCTGAGCGTACCTGGCATTAGTGAAGAGAAAAGGATGGAAGTGAAGATAACCTAGGTAGAGAGGGTGGGGCCGCTAACTATAATCTGCAATCTTTGTGTGGTATTCGCTCTTTGGTGATGATCTCTATATTTGTAGATGACTCGTACAATGGCTCGAGACTTGGTCAGCCCTCGGCTTGACATGGTTGGGCTCTTCTCTACCACACTATGCCATCCGGTATTTCTCAGGTGATACGAAGCTGCAGGAAACAGGAGTCAATATTGGCAACTGGAGTAAACACCTCGGTCTGGTCGATCGACAAGTCGTATCATCGGGCCGGACTAGGATCACATTGTTGCTGATCATGGCCTGAACCGTTTAAGATCAAGGGATTACTGGCTGCTTATCATCTTTTTGCTTGATTTCGTACCCCAAACTAAGTCCGGAGTAGTCGCCGAGTCTCTTGCACAGACCGACGCGGATCGGATTGAAATACGTAGATAATTTGTTTTATTTAGCAGAAAAAATACGCATTATCATGCCTTTGTGCATTTATATTACTGAAGAAGGAAATAAAAAGAAAGTATATTGTCGGACCGGTGTTCTGGCCCCAAGATCCGGATGGATTCGGTCCCGGGCTAGTCGCTGCTAATTTAGGGGTCAATCTATCCCATTGCAACGGTACGAAACACTTCATCTGATTGCAGGAGTCATGTTCACGTATTGGATTTCGAGATCTCGGCATAATTACACTCATATGTCGATGTGATTGGAACAATAGCATAACATACCGTGATAACTATATCGACTAGTAAGAGTAGATTGAATTGTCGTCTTGATAAGTGCAATAAACGCGTACCCTAGAATCCGCGCGAAGGATTTTATACATCAGCAGGATCGAGAAAGTATGGTCCTTCATTAACAGGATAAGAGATCCGGTCCGAGGTTGCACTACAGCAGCTCGTGAGATTTGTATGTCGTGGTGGGCAACACGAGATGGCGATTCTTCACAAGCGTCCTGTTGATTGCAACTTACTGTTTACTTCCTAATCACTAAGTACTCTCATGGTAGTACTGGGATAAGACGATCTATTTTATATGATGTCTTTTGCACATGTGAGATAGTCAGTCGGTTATTTCTGTTCCACGTGTATTGTTCGTGTGCGTCTGCAATACAGTTATGCTGTCTATAACGACCGTAATCAATCTCGGCTAAGCTGTACCTCGAGGTAAGTCTCTTTAAACAGCACGTTTAGCCTATTATTTGAATCGAGAAGGCTCAGGATGTTAGGACCCAGAATGAAATATCTCGACGATATGCTGGCTATCAATTGCCGACAGCCAGCTAGGTACGTCTTTGCGGTGTGCCCACCGGCGTGGGGGAACATTTAGTTTCCATATAAAAATTGTCTCCCCCGCGTTTTTAATATGCGTTTGTGCGGAGTTGATCATAAACATTTGCGGAGAGAGCGTTTCTTCTGTGTTCTTACCTTCTAGCGCGAGAAGCTCTGGAATAATTAGCTTCTACAATTGGCTATTTGGTAGCGATAATTGCCTAAATGGAGATCATTTATCCAGAGTTTCTTCCACTGCTTGGAGTATGGAGTCGGCAATCGATTGCAATCAATTGCTTTCTCCACTCGAACTAGACGAGGACGAGAGAATCAGGACATGTCTGCTTTCAACCACGCTTGCGATCTCAGAAAATCGCATTAACTTTCGGCTTCATCCTGAGTTTGATGACGCTGATGAGAAGAAAAAGTTCCAAGTTCTGCCGTGAAATTAACCGGAATGTTTTGACTTAAAAAACCGAAGCATTCCGTTCGTGAATTGGAGAAGAGAAACTTGACCATCACGTTCAAACCTCTCCCTCTCACACTACCTGTCGAGGTACGCGGCCTATGTATATACATACCTAACACAGAAATCATTCGCCATGCTCGTCAAAAAAGCTGCGGTTGTTTCCCTCATCCCAGCTGCCTCTCTTGCAGCTACTAGCTCTCAAACTGAAATCACTATTGATCTGCAATCCCGGTACCAGTCCGTGGACGGCTTCGGCTGCTCACAGGCCTTCCAACGGGCAGAGGATATCTTCGGGAAATATGGCTTGTCACCAAAGAATCAAAGCTATGTTCTCGACCTCATGTTTAGTCGAGAACGCGGCGCAGGCTTCACCATATTGCGCAACGGTATCGGGTCGAGTAACACGTCGACGAGCAATTTAATGAACTCCATTGAACCTTTTAGCCCCGGTGGTCCCAGTAAACCGCCTCATTACACATGGGACTTTTATAACAGTGGCCAATTCCCTCTGTCGTTGGAGGCCAGAGCGCGAGGTCTTCCCTATATCTATGCCGACGCGTGGTCCGCACCTGGGTATATGAAAACAAACCAGGACGAAAACTGGAATGGTTATCTCTGCGGAATTGAAGGCGAGTCATGCCCCTCCGGGGATTGGAGACAGGCCTACGCCAACTATTTGGTGCAGTACGTCAAATTCTATGCAGAATCCGGAGTCAAAGTCACACACTTGGGATTCTTGAACGAGCCTCAGGAAGTCGTTTCCTATGCAAGTATGGGTTCGAACGGTACTCAGGCCGCTGAATTTATCAAAATTTTGGGTCAGACCCTCGAGCGGGAAGGCATCGATATAGAACTCACATGTTGTGATAGCGTGGGCTGGAAGGAGCAGGAGGATATGATTCCTGGCTTGCAAGTCATTGGTTCCGATGGCAAGAGTGCCGAAGATTATCTTTCAATCGTTACTGGCCACGGCTACTCTTCAGCTCCAACATTCCCCCTCTCGACCAAACGACGCACTTGGCTAACCGAGTGGACGGATCTGTCAGGAGCTTATACTCCATACACTTTCTTTGCTGACGGTGGTGCAGGTGAAGGTATGACCTGGGCGAATAACGTCCAGACTGCCTTCGTGAATGCCAACGTGAGCGGGTTTGTCTACTGGATTGGCGCCGAGAACTCGACGACGAACTCTGGCATGATCAACCTGATTGATGACAAGGTCATCCCTTCCAAACGTTTCTGGTCATTGGCTTCATTCAGCAAGTTTGTCCGGCCCAATGCAGTACGTGTTGGAGCCGTTAGCACCAACCCCTCGGTTACTGTGAGTGCGTTCGAAAACACGAATGGGGTCATCGCCGTCCAGGTAATCAACAACGGGAGTTCGGATGCTTCCTTAACGATCAATCTGGGAAAGACGAACAGAGTAGCCAGGACTGTCACACCATGGGTCACCAGCAATGATTACGATTTGGAGCCAATGAGCCCGATCAACGTTAAGGGAGGATCGTTTTTGGCCACCGTACCCTCCAGATCTTTGACGAGCTTCGTCACTGAGTGCGGGTGATGATCTTGTAATTGTAGTTCCGTTACTCGACAGCTAGAAAAGAAATAGTGATGGGGCCTTTGCCCTCCGTTTCATGACATCTTGCAAGAACATTGCCATTGTATCGACTTATCCTCGCTGCTCATTAATCGGAGTATCCGTACTACGTAATAAATAACTATTCCCAAATAAGTATAGCCCATACAGGCCACCACTTTCGGAGTTTTTCCCCACGGGACCTTCTCCTTCCATCATCAGACAACATCAAAAAGACAAATACCATTCTGCTGCTAGCCTGGAATATTTCCAATGGGAGCAAAGACTTACGAAGGAGGCGATCACCACGAGGATGGTAAGCAAAGAGTCTCCTCAACTTTCCACAGTCTGATACTAATTCATCTAGCAACCAATGTGCTTTCGACCAAATCGAATGCCGTTGGCGGCAAGCCTCGTGGAGCCAACATGCTGGAAGACGGAGACGGCGAATTCGGAAGCGACGACGACGACGACGGCGGTGATGGGCAAGATTCATCCTTGGCCATGGTAAATCCCGATGATGCTGCTAAGCCGAAGAAGAAAAAACGTAGCAAAAAGAAGAAGAACAACAAGAAGAAGTCCGGTGCTGGTGCTCAGCGGCAGACTTCTCCTCCTAGGGTTCCGCTTTCTCAACTCTTTCCGGATGGGAAATATCCCATTGGACAGATGGTGGAAGTTCAAGATGAGAATCTCCGTCGTACTACAGATGAAGAATTCCGCTATCTTAGCCGCGGGACTATCACCGATGACGAGGCTCTCAACGACTATCGCAAGGCCGCCGAGGTTCATCGTCAAGTCCGTCGATGGATTCATGAAACCATCCAACCCGGATCGTCCTTGACCGAACTGGCGGTAGGCATCGAAGATGGCGTGCGTGCTCTGCTCGAGCATCAGGGACTAGAGCCTGGAGATAGCCTCAAGGGTGGAATGGGATTTCCCACTGGTCTGGCGTTGAACAATTGCGCTGCGCACTATACACCTAATCCGGGTCAGAAGGATATCATCTTGAAAACAGACGATGTCCTGAAAATCGACTTTGGTGTGCATGTGAACGGCTGGATTGTCGATAGTGCCTTTACTGTTACTTTTGATCCTGTCTACGACAATCTGGTCGCTGCAGTCAAAGATGCCACCAATACTGGTCTAAAGGTTGTAACTTCCCCGTATGCTTCAATGGTCGGTTAGCTAACTCTCTTAAGTGCGCTGGTGTGGATGCGCGTGTAGGTGAGATTGGAGGCTTCATTCAAGAAGCCATGGAAAGCTACGAGGTTGAGATAAATGGCAAGGTGTACCCTGTTAAGTCTATCCGCAGTATTACAGGACACGACATTCTCCGTTACAGGGTCCACGGAGGCAAGCAGGTGCCTTTTGTCAAAAGCAACGATCAGACGAAAATGGAAGAGGGTGAAGTGTTTGCGATTGAGACTTTTGGTAGTACTGGCAAGGGCTACTTGAGGGATGGTGTTAGTGTTCGTCGTGACTTCGTGATTTGATATCTAGCTGACTAAAATATGTGAAGCCTGGCGTTTACGGCTATAGTAAAGAGCCACATGCAGGAAACGTTCATCTGCCGCTCGCTTCGGCACGCGCGCTTTTGAAGACCATCAATCAGAATTTCGGCACCATTCCGTTCTGTCGCCGTTATCTTGATCGTCTCGGAATCGAAAAGTATCTTCTGGGGGTAAGATGCACATACTTCGAACATTGAGTACTTCTTCGTGACTGACTGTTACTTTTTGACCTGTAGATGAACAGTCTTATTTCTCATGGGATCGTCCAAATGTATCCGCCCTTGGTTGATATTGCTGGTTCTTATACCGCCCAATTTGAACATGTACGTATCGGAAATTGTGCAGAGAAAATCAAAACTGACATCTAAACAGACAATCTTGATCAATTCTTCCGGAAATGAGATCATCAGCCGTGGGGATGACTATTGAGTCAACGCCTACGAGCCAGGAGTTGCCGCTGTCACTTTTCTTGTATCCAACTACAATCGCTCCTTCGATTGATGTTTATGCCGCTTCCTCGGAGCCCAGTGTTTCAGACAGTCAAGCAACGATATGCTTTTATCACTTGAACGTGGGGTTCTGGAACCGCCAAGAGGGGATTATATGGTAGTAAACCTTTATTGAGAAAATCCAACTACTTACACTCGTTTTTACTGTGACCTACCTGTAGTAAATCACTTATAGACATAAATATCAACCTATTGCTATATGGTGTAGCGAAATCTCCAGTGCTCAAACCAGCAATCGATCCACGCAATAACAAAGAGCTGGAAAGCGTCTCGTGATAATTTCTTGTTTATGAATTGCCCGAGTGTGACTTCATTGTCTTCTGTACTTTCACTGTAAAGAAATTTAGAGACAATGTACCAAAGATACCATGTCCGGCTCCATTCATGATCTCTGCAAAAGCTCCTTGATTCTGGATAGTTTCTCGCGTAAGCGAAGGATCTCGTTTGCATTTTCATCTTCCTGATCGTCATCTTCCAAGGCCTGCGTCATGGCGGCCTTTAGTAAAATCTGATATTTCGGTTTATTGAAAACGCTGAAATGATCTTGCTCTTGTCTTTCCGTGAGGTGGCTAATCTCAGAAACTCTGTATTCAGCCGGCAAACCCAACGAGCTTTCAATAAATTCAATCTGGTGTTCAAATGCTTGCACAATGATCTTCAGATATAAGTACCCCTGAGGGAGGGGAAATCCTCCCATCTCAAACCCAGGCTCAAATCTGACCTTGGCAGCTTCGTTGGGAAAATCTCGAAGGACAAAGATCAGACGGGAGAATATAACGTCAAACATACGCACAAATAACAAATAAGTACTTATTATCATTAAGATCGTGGGTTTGACAAGGGTGTATTTTGCGGGGGGAATGTTGTAGAAATCAAAGGATCTCCCCTCGTCTTTTTCTTTCTCGGATTCGTCCGATTGCTTAGATGATTTGGTCCACACTTTGACAATATCAACGAATTCTGTCGTACTCCGTAGCAGCATTCCAACTGGGTTTTCATCTAGTCTTGATCTGCTGGGGCTTTCTTGAGTAGACTCCGAATCATGACCTGTGCGTTCATTGACATCTACCATTGATATTCGCCACGGAGGAGGACAGGATTGGGTTTGTAGAAGTAAATGAGACTCGACGAGGAAGTGATTCAGCCTCGACAGCGCGAACAGTGGGTTCTTAGCGTATAAAAACTCAGGGTCTAAAGGACTCTGCTCTTCCCCGGAACTTTGTTGCGCAGAGTCTCGCGGTGTTGGAGGGTAAAGGTGAGAGATGCCTAAAGGCGTAGGCTGGTCAGGAACACCCTGTAGTAGATCGTGGCCGGCTGATTCAGAAGGCGGGTTTAGGAAGGAGAACAAGTCGTCCATCGTAGTAGAAAGGCTTTCTGTTTGTACGTCGCACATCATTGGATCCCAGGACTGGGGATGAAGATACGTCGGAGAATCAGACTGTGGCATGTCTACCTTTGGCGATATTGCCTGAGGAAACACATTTCGTTGGCTGGGAGACGTTATTGCGTCTACTAAATGTTGATTATTACCAAGAATCTTCTGGTTGGTATTCGAAGGTGCCCATAAGTGAGAATGCTCTATATGATGGTATAGAGGCTTTCGTAACGGCCGCCCCAATGGTTTGGCGTTGCTTGTCATACAAACAACTCTGGCACGAATGCACCGAATACATGAGGCGCCGTTTTCACGACGACACCGCAGTTTCTGGTCTCGACACCGGTCACAGGCTGACCGCTTTCCACTATACATGTTTGAGCAAACAAGCAAGAAAAGTATGGAAAAGATAGTGTAGAAGGGACGACGTTGGAAGTTGTGAAGAGATTCGGAGTTGGTCTGTTTAGGCTCCGAATCGTCTCCGATTAGCCAATCACGACCTAGATAAGTATCCGAATATTGAGCCCTAATTTGTATCTGGAAGACTCAGTATGGATACAATAAATCTTCAAGGGGGAATATAAAGTGTTTCTGTTCGCTAGATTTTGTATATTAAAATCAAATGACAATAGACCAGGGAAGAACATTCGTCTTATCTCTCTCTATCTAACAGTAATACGATGTCTAGTGATCAGGATCAGGTTGCTCCTGTCAAGGAGCAAGCCTCAATTCCCCCTGAATCAGCAGAGCAAGCAGTCGTTACCTATCAATCGCCAGGCAAAAAAGGCTTCAAGTTCTGGGCTGTTATTGCGACCTTGTCTATCGCCGGCAACCTTACTGCTCTCGAGGCAACCATTGTGTCAACTGCTTTGCCAACGATCATCACTGAGTTGAATGGCGCTGACAAGTATATATGGGTTGCCAATGCTTATTTATTATCCTTGTAAGCCTATGATACATCGATATATTGGAATTATAAACTAATCTTGTTACATCGAATAGCACCGCACTACAACCAATCTACGGCCAATTAGCAAATGTATTTGGAAGACGACATCCAATGCTAATCTCGACAGCGTTCTATATACTTGGGAGTGGAATATGCGGTGGTGCCAATAATATTGAGATGTTGATCGCAGGCAGAGCAATACAGGGCATTGGAGCTGCTGGACTAAACGTTCTCATCGAAATTGTCGTTTGCGACATTACACCTCTCAGAGAACGAGGCCTATATCTTGGTATTGTAATGGGGTCAATTCTGTTTAGCTCTGGTCTTGGTCCCTTGTTCGGAGGACTTATAGTGCAGAACACCAGCTGGAGATGGGTGTTTTATTTGAATCTTCCTATTGGCGGAGTTGTATTGGTTGCAATGGCTCTTTTCCTTCAAGTGAAATTCGACAATAAAATGGCATTCACGCTAAAAAGATTGGATCTTGGTGGAAGCATCATATTCGCTGGATCCGCAGCATCTATTTCACTCGCTCTAGCCTGGGCCGGTTCGGCATACTCTTGGTCATCGGTTCAAGTGATACTCCCCCTTGTTATGGGCTTCGTTGGATTAGGATGCTTTCTGATGTACGAGAGTTTTCTTGCTGATCCTATCATGCCACTTCGCCTGTTCCAGAACCGGACATCACTTATAGCGTTCTTTCTCACATTCCTCCATGCCATTGGCGTTATGATGCCGCTCTACTTCCTGCCAGTTTATTTCCAGGCTGTTCTAGGCGCCAGCCCAGAACGCTCGGGGATTGATCTACTACCTACCATCCTTACGATCATACCATTTGCCATGACTGCTGGGGTTCTTCTGCAACAGTTGGGGCGTTATAAGCCAATTCACTTCGTCGGATCTGCAGCTCTAGCAATATCATTCGGTCTCTTCTCGCTATTAGACGAGAACTCCTCGACTGCAGCATGGGTACTATTTCAGATGTTAATGTCCGCCGGCGCTGGTCTCATCATCCCCACGTTACTTCCAGCAGTGCAAGCCGAATTGACTGACGCAGATACCGGGAGCGCAACGGGGACATGGACATTTATTCGAAGTTTTGGAATGACTTGGGGGGTTACAATTCCATCCACAATTTTCAATGATCGGACAAGCCAATTGTCTGCTCGGATACAGGATCCAAGTGTCGTATCTCTGCTTACTGGTGGTCAAGCGTATGAGCGCGCGACGAAAGAATTTGTCAATTCAATAGCCGATCCCACTGTAAGAGCTCAAGTCATCTCGGTATTCGCAGAGAGCTTGAAGAGAATGTGGCAAGTGGGCATTGCTTTTGTTGCCCTTGGCTTTTTGGTGGTCTTGCTGGAGAAGGAGGTTCCATTGCGGAAAGAATTGAACACGGAGTACGGTATTGAGAAATAATAAGAACGCCCTTAAGAAGTGTCTAATATATGTACGATTAATTATATCTAGCGAAGAAGAAACGTTGGCATATATAGTAACTCATATAACCCTAACCCTAATAAATATATACCTAGAGATAAATGTGGCTTAGTGCATGAAGCTAAGCTATTTCCAGTATTTGCCCCCTCGGAAGGCGCGAGTTGCTCAGTGCGCCGGTCAGACCTGCCTCAGAGCTGAGGGAAGGCGCGGAAAAAAAAAAAAACAGTTCAAGAAGAACATCGACAGTCTCCAGCATCCAACAGACAAGCACAACAGCGTGGACTGCGAATCGGCACATTCTATGTATCATTTTTAATTTTCGATTCCTTTCGCTATCGGTCCATAATTTTTTCCCGCCGGAATTATCTCGACGGCTCGTTGACGTGAGTTTGCTCCCGCGATTGGTGTTTTTCAGCGACCATCCGTCATCATCAGAATAGCTCTAACCATCGCGGCGAAGCTATTTCAGTCGAGTCGAGGTCTTTTTTCTTTGCAATATAATAACATCTTCATCCAAGAGTCGTTGTTTATTGCGATTTGCCAGCACAGTGGACGCCGAAGATTCATATTCGTGGGATTGTTCTGTGCGCCGACGGATTGCATTTCCTCCATCGATCGAATCCTCGATTTATGCTGCGCGTGCATCGCGACGAACAATAGATTGCTGTCAAAACGTATTTTAGCACCATTTATTTGATATCTTGCATGTCGAAACGATACTTTACTGAGAGTAGCAGCGCGTCGTATTGAAGGACTCAGTCGCCTCATCCATCCCTCGTGTTGTATCTGGGAATCCATAGCTGGCGCAACTGACGACCAGAAGTTATTAAAAAAACAAGGAGGGGCGAAAATTGGATAGCTTCACAACTGTGGATTGGGCTTTTGCGGTGTCACTATCGCTGTGGTAGTTGTGTTCAGCGCTTAGGAAAGGACACGGTCAGTTCGTTGGGGGAGTTGATATTTCAACTGCGCTCCGTTGATGTCGAAACGCCTTCTTCCAGGCCCGCACGCTGACAGGTCTGCTGGGATCAATTTCGACATGTCGAGCACTCCAAATGATACGCCTCAGCGGGCAACAGCTGCTCAGTTGGCCACAAGGAGGTAAGTGAAGAGTTTCGTTTGGCTATTGTTGTGTCGCTTGTATTGTTTGACCTATTATCGGGTATTCCCTATTAGCCATGGGCAGAGCAGCAATCTTGCCGCATTATCAGGCTCACAGAAGTGGCTATTGTTGACAAAAACTCGATTGTGTTTCCGTTGTCTCGTTCATTTGTCGTATTCCTATCGAGCGGTCCTCGTCTGCTTCTCACCAGTATTGAAGTCATCCCACTCCTTCTCCCTCCAACTTCTCTCTTTCAACTCGTCCTTTTATCTCAACTGCTTTCTTCAATCAATTTTTTCTTCGGTTTCATCTTTCAACCCACTCGTTCAGCACAACAAGACTTTTGTTTCTGCAAATCATCCTTTCAAAGCCTCTAAAATGTTTGGATTCTTACATTCTCCCGGTAGGATCAAAGAACTCAACAAGCGTAGAGCCAAGCCGGCCACGCAAACCGCTCCTCAGACACCATTCTCATTTGGCGATACGGGCCCTTCAAGCTCTGGAGCTTCCAATGGCTTTTCCTTCGGTCAATCTCAAAGCTTTCCTGCACCGAGTGCTTCAGGTGCCCCTCAAAATGGCTCCCAGTCTGTTTCTTTCGGTGCTGGGAGTGGCTCCTTCAATTTTGGGGGGTTCAATTCTACTCCTGCCAACAACCCATTTGCCAATCTGAACGGCGGCAACGCACAAATTCAAAGCCAGAATCAGCAATCCAACATCTTCGGTGCCAAAAGCTCAACTCAGCCTGCACAACCCTCAGGTCAGGGCATATTTGGTCAAAATTTGAACTCAGGCTTCCAATCTCAACCAGCAAGCACCGTTCCCAACCCATTCGCAAAGCCTACTCCTGCTCCTACTTCTGGTCCGCTTTTCCAATCACAGCCTGCCTCGACTGGTCCATCATTGTTTGGACAAACAAAGCCGACAAGCACTGACGCCAACCTCTTCGGACGAGCCGCATCTCCTGCTCCTGCATCTACCCCAACAACAGCAACCACTGCTCCAAGCTCACTCTTCGGTCAAAATTCTACATCTGCTGCTCCTAGCTCCCCGCTCTTCCAGTCTAAACCTGTAACAAATGTGGGCTCAACTCTTTTTGGTCAAAACCCCCCTCCACCCACCACGGGCACTACGAACCTGTTTGGTCAGTCAGTCGGTGCTTCTTCCGCCGGTACCACTACAACCGCCGCCGCGACAAACGGCCCTACATCTTTGTTTGGAAAGACCCCTTCTGCCTCTAGTGGCTCGTCATTGTTCCAACCTAAACCTGCCATCTCTGGAACACCTAATATTTTTGGGCAAACTCCTACTATCGCAGCTCCTGGTGCGTCTTTGTTTGGACAATCTGTAGGAGCGAAGAATGATAGCACCCCTCGTTTCACTCCGTCCACACCAGCCAAGGCCAGCGGCTCTTTGTTGGGCAATGCGCCTTCAACAGGTACTTTCAACTTTGGACAGGCAACTGCTACAACTCAGAAGCCTCTATTCAATCTCACTACCGATTCTGACGACATGAGCACTTCCCCCGATGGTAAGCGCAAACCAAGCGAACAACCTTCAGCTGCTCCTTCAAACATTTTCGGCCAGAAGCCGGCAGAGAGCTCCGTTCCATCTGCATCCAACGTCAGTCGTCCTACGTCTTCGCTTTTTGGCACTTTTACTCCATCAGCGACCGCCAACCCTCCTTCGCCAAGCATTAGCGCTTCTAGTAATATTTTTGGCCAGCAACAATCAAGATCCGTTTCACCTGCACCAAACGGTGTCACAACCACAGCTAGTTCTGTATTTGCACCCACTACCACCGCTTCGACTGGACCCCATCCGTTTTCATCACTGTTTGCAGCCAGCTCCAATAAACCAGCTACAAGCCCAGCGCCAGCTCCAGCTCCATCGGCTTCTGCAACGACTGCTCCGCCAACTCAATCACTTTTTGCGGGAAGTTCAAAGTCGGCCACAACCACCGCGCCGTCCCAATCACTTTCTGCCGGAGCTTCTCAACTAGCTCAAAAAGAGACTATGTTTGCATCTCAGCTCAGCCCCGGCAAGAGAATGGGAGCCGAAATTATGGATCAAGGTCTCTCCAAAAAGTCTGCGGCTACACCTCAAGTTTCTGCTGAGGAATCTCTTGAACAGGACAAGAGAGCCCAAATTCGTGATCTGAATCGTAGCTTCAAAGAGCTTATTCCTTCCTACGATCCTGAGACCCAGAGCTTGGACAGTATCATTCTCCATTACATTCGTATGCGACGGGTGATCGGCGTACCGGTCGGTTCACTCACTAACAAACCTGGCAAACGCAAGCTTGACGATGCGCATGGGATTGAATCACCTGTTCAAAGGCCAACAACAAAGAAGTCCAGGGGTCAAGAGGCTGAGCCAGTACTTCCACTTTTTTTACAACCTTCTTCGTCTTCTGGTGACAAGCGAAAGTCGACTGAAAATCTTGATGATAGCGTGAACAGTAAACGCCGGGCTCAACCTTTTGTGCGCCCTACAACCCAGGCAGGTGCAGATGGCAAGTCAGAAACGGCTAGCATCTTTGCAAGTTCATTCTCCGCACCCAAAGATGCCACTCCAGCTAGCACAGCCTCTAGCAGCTCTAATCTATTCAGCTTTGGTGCTTTACCCGCTAAAGAAACCACTCGTCCGGCATCTCCCCAGAAGGAACAGCCGGAAACAGCTGTCAAACCCGCTTTCGAGGTCCCCAAGTTTGGCAATCTTGCCGGCCAGAATTTTGCTAGCCAGTTTGGTAAGGGAAGTTTTAAGGCGTCTTCAGCTGATGCCCCTAAGGTTCAACTTGAGGTTCCTAAGTTTGGAGCTTCTGGACAGAGCTTTATGAGTCAGTTTTCTCAGAAAGCCAAAGGTGATGATACGGACGAAGACAGCAGTGACTCCGAAGCAGAGCATGTTGTCGAAAAGAAAGTTGAGAAACCCAGCTCCGTGCAACCACAATCTAACGCCTTTTCTGGTTCCGTTTTCGACAGCAAGCTCGGAGCACCCTCTGTCGGAATACATAACATTTTTGGACACTTGAACGCTTCCACTGCAACCTCAGATGTTGGAGAATCTTCCGATGACGATTTGACAGAGGAGCTATCCAAGCGGGCCGAGAAGAGCAAGCCTGATTCTGAGGCTGAACCAAAAACAACAACCAGCTTGTTCGGTCGTATCACCAGACCTGACGGGACACCTGTCAATCTGAGCTCAGATGAAGAAAAAGCAGAGACGCCCAAGGTCAACCCACTTTTCGGACAAACTACTCCTAGTACATCCCTCGCAGCACCCAACAGCACTCCCCTGTTCAGCCCAGCATCCGCTGCAAAGGCATCTAACATCTTTGGGGGCAAGTTTTACAGTCTCGATGGTTTAAAGGTGCCCCGTACTAACAATCGTTTAATAGGATCTTCCATACCATCATCAACATTCAATCCCTTCTCGTCTAGCCTCAATCCTGCCGCTCAACTCCTTGCTAAAGAGGGAACGACCACCGCGAGCGTCACATCTGATTCGAACGCGGAAGACACCGACACTGAAACCCCGAAGGATGCTCAACTTAATCTTTTGACTAATGCTGGCGAAGAAGATGAAGACTGCATCTTTGAAGGCCGCTCTCGAGGCTCGAAATACGTGGACAAGTCGGAGGGCGGAAAGACCGAGAAGTCCTGGGAAGTCCAGGGTGTTGGTCCCCTCCGTGTTCTTGTGAACAAGGAAACAAAGCGTGCTCGTCTCCTGCTACGTGCCGATCCTAGTGGAAAAGCTGTCCTCAATACAGCCATTAGTCGCGCCATAGACTACAAGTTTCAACCCGGCGGTTGCTCGTTTTTAGTGCCTCGTCGGGATGGTTCTGGTTTGGACATGTGGATGCTTCGATTCAAGAAAGAGATTACTGCAGAAGTTGAGAATGCCGTGAAGACGGCCAAAGAAGGTTTGCCTCAGTAAGGGAATGATGAATTGTCATTTTTTGCGATCGATTTGCATGAAGAAGCATTTGTTGATGATTTTCACGGAGTTCTCCCCAGGCATGATATCAACGTGTATTGTAGCAGTGTATTTTACTTTCGACTTCGATGGTGGATATCCAGTTCTTCAGGAATAAACACAATTCATTCTCGAATTCTTCATGTGTACAGATTCAAAGCAATACTATTACAGTCAGCCAGTCAGCTTAGTTTGGTAGATTGAGTTCTATGAAGAAAGGCGTAAGCTAATGTTGTCATACACTGATGTGGTTGACATTTCGTTTCATAATGTGTTATTTTATGCAGGTTACCCTAAGATACCGATAACCTGCCCTTGGTTCTCATCATAGAGGACCAGGGAAACATATCCGTACAAAGACATGCCATCAAGATAAAAAAAAAATTTCCCACCACGCCATGATCACAAAAGCATATTTTGATTTGGAAAGAACACCGTATGCAACAAGACTCGAATTTTATGATATCTAAGCATCCTCGACAACAGTGGTGTTAAGACCCTTGGCATCCTTGACATTGACGGCCTGAACGTAGCTGTAGAGCTTCTCCTTGGCACCCTCCTCGTCGTTACGCTTGCGGCTGATGCGGACACGGAGACGGAAGGGGACACCCTTGATACCGGCTTCCCAGACCTTCTTGTTCAACTGGGGGTCGAGGCGGACGTCCTTGGTGCCCTGTTCTCCATTAATATCGTCATTTGAAGGGGAAAGAGCCGCGGGGAGGGAAAGCTTACCATAGCCTGCTCAGCGAAAGCACGAATCTCTTTGACAGCGCGGGGAGCTCGCTTCTTGAAGGTGACACCGTGCACCTTTTGATAGAAAAGAGGGAAAATTAGTCTTCCGTCCAAAATGCCTTTTGTGTGTGGAAAAAATTGAGAGTTGAACTGCATGAAATGCAGCCAGGCCATAGAGGTGGACTTCATCAAACTAATTTGCTGAAAGGATGTTTTTCTTATGGTTCCGATTCTCTCGCAAGAAGAAGGAACCGAGAAGAGAAAAACGTTCTCCGTCCATTGTCTAACAAATCGTAATCTGCTATGTCTTATTCCCTCCCTTCGCTGAGATCTGTCCACCCGCTTCTTGAATCCCAATTCATGATTCTAACGAAGTCGCTTGAAGACTCGGAGTAGAAAAATGTTTTCATATCGACAATTCAACGCTTCGACTATGCGGTAGGACGGGCGAAAAAAAAAGGACTGGGAAACAAGACATATTGCAAATCCGATCGTAGGGCCAACAACCTCCTGTGTAGTGAAGCGCAAAACAATGCGAAAGGATAGGGATTGATTCAACATACTCTCTTGTGCAGGTGGATGGTGTATTCGCGCGACACAACGTCGGCGATGGCGGAACGGCCGCTTTTCTTTCCCTTGGTGGTGCTCGACATTTCTTTAAACGATCAAAGATTAGTTTCTGAGGCTGATAATTACCAGAGAAAATGGGAGGAGTACTAACTGGCTGTGTGGAATGTGCCGGACTGTCGTTTTTCAGTTGTCGTCGTCGTCGAGTCAAAGAAGTCAACCTCAGATCGTTAGAATGATTTTGTGTGGGCGCCCGCCGTAGTGCGTCGCTTAAGGGAATACGTACTGTCATTGGTTGGGAAATGGTCACGTGAGCGATCCTTCGACTTCTTCGCAACCACAGTCTCCACACGATATGATTGGCTAGATTGAGGACTTTACAGTAGTATTTGAATCTACCAAAAATTAATCTTCCGGCTTGACTTTACCCTCACTTACATCAGGATAAACGTCAAATCGGCGCTGTGTATATACAGGAATGCCTTTCCTTGCGGAATCAATGGCCTCATTCGTCAAATCAGCATATACAATGTCCTCCTTCTCCTCCAATTCACCCAAAACCTCGGCATTCGGACTAGCGATAAAGGAATGTCCATACGCATGGTAACTTGCGCTCATATCACGGGCTGGGCTGCACATGGCGACATAGACCTGGTTGTCTACTGCTCGCGCTCGTCCCAGGAGAGACCAGTGCATAGGTCCAGTCGTCGTATTGAATGCGCCGGGATAAACGAGCAGGAATGCGCCCTTGCGAGCTGCAATCATTGCTAATTCCGGGAATCGCACGTCGTAACAAATAGCTAAACCGATCTTCCCGTATTCTGGCAAGTCTAATATTGTGACCTTGTTACCCGGAAAGAGAACTTCACTCTCCTTGAAAGTAATCTTGCCCGGGATATCAATATCAAATAAATGGGTTTTGCGATGGGTGCCGATCAACGCTCCCGTTGGCGAAAAGACAAGTGATGTGTTGTAGTATTTCTTGGTTTCTGGTTCCAACTCTGGAATACTGCCCCCAACAAGGTATGATTTCGCCTCCGCGGCCAACGACGATAGCGCATGGTATGAAGGCGACTGTTCCTTTGTGGGTGGCGAAGGTAAGAGAGTCTCAGCGTATTTGGGGAAGAATTGCGTGCCGTATGGAGAGTTGAAGCATTCCGGGAGAACGATTAATGAGGCGCCAGCTTTGGCGGCTTCGAGGACTTTGGTGCGCGCATGAGTGAGATTTGTGGCTTTATCGGCTCCTAAAGGTTAATTTGTTAGTTCTTCACTTGGGAAAGGATTGGATTGTGATCGAACACACCGGATGCCAACTGTATGAGGGCGAGCTTGAGGGGTTGTTTGAGAAGTGTCGTCATTTCTGTAATCTTGTGATCCTGTTTATCCTACTCTAATATCGTGCGATCAAGCAGATTTATTTGAGGTTGTTTGATGGAGTCTGCTATAAATTGTCGTAGTTGTACAGAGTATGGGACTCTCATGTCCGCGGGGTCTGAAGTCCGGTCTCCATTCCGATGTCGTGGTTTATGCCCTATTTATCAGGCACGAATTTCGCAACCAAATCTCCGCTTTCTGAAGCTTCAGCCAAGTCTTGAACAACAATAACAACGACGACAAGAGTCACCAGAAACAAGTCTACATCAGCAAATAGAACCTTACGCACGAGAGCAATTACCAACTTGGAATCGCAATATTGCTAACTTGTTGTTATACAGTTATGACTCCACAGCTGCCCCCATGAAGGATCCTTCTAGTTTCAGCCCCAGGTACCGCGACGCGTTTTATGACTTTCGTCGGTGTTTATCCAAATGTGGAAGAGCATCTGATAGCAACCCAGTCGTAAGCTCAGAAGTGAGACAGTTGGATCGGTTGTTTCTGGACATCTCCACAATCCATCCACATGGGTCGTTCCTTTGGCATAACGCCCCTAAATATGGTTTGCGCAACACGACATCGCCAACTCCCTCTTATCTGATGACTACGACGACTTAGCGACCAACCATTTTACCAACGGGACCAGAATCATGCAACGGCTGGATATAGGGGGTAGCAAGTGCTGAAATATTCACCTAGTCTGTACGGAGTACGACGAGGATCCAGGCAAAGTAAGTAAGTTATACAGCGACGTTTATTGGATCTTAAATTCGAGTCGTATAGTCACCTGCATCCGCGAACTAAGATGTTGACTGTGGCTGTGACTGAAATTCAATATGACATGCTTAGCATCTTCCGCCCCAGCTATAGCTCCCAGTCATGCTTATACAGAAAAGGGCAAAACGGACCGAAAGCTGAAACCAAACGTAGAGATGAGTCTGTGGGGTGGTTTGTTTGTGTTTTTGTGTTCATGTTTGACAGATGGCAACAGTGGAAAGTCGCATAAATATGTGGGATGATCAGTTGTTTGGCATGAATATCAAACAGGTCGCGGCTAAGCGTCAGGCCCCTATTCCTTCCTGAGGCATCAGTCAGGAGTTAGAGTTCGCTGTATCCGCACTAAGCCCGAACGGGCACTAGGCCGGCTTCCAGAAGCTGAAGAGAACAATTTGCCGGCCTGTGAGTGGTCGAGCTTGTTTTCTTAGCGCCGCCCGCTATTTGGCCGAGAGCCGCCTCTTATTGGCTGAGACGGCTGAGCGGCGTGCCACTTTCTATTCTAGGCAGAGAAAAAGAGAGAAGGCAAAAAAGACGACAAAGAGGACGACATTTTGCTTCTCTACATTCTATTTTTTCATATCTGCTACGTAGACGGTCTCTTCGCTTCATCGTTTTGACTGTCTGGGTGGGCTAAGGTTGGCCGGCTTATTTAACCGCCGTGGGAGCCTTATTACTCATATTATTCTCACGCGTCGGCTTTAAAGTTATACATTGTCATCCTCATCCTGCAGCCCCCAATTCAACAAGATCCATCGACTCTACGTACCTGCTGCTTGGATAACCCGATCAATATACAAAAACGAAGGTGGACTCCATCGTTATATGAGCGACCATGTTCGAAAACTTCTCATTCCCGTCACCGTCTTCCACGGCTGAAGGGGACGACCGACTGATGCTCGACTGCGATAGCACGACAATATCTCCGCTTTCTTCACGGTGTCCCTCACCCTCATCATTTTTACCAAGAAGATCGCGTCCGCTATCACGTCCCCGTTCCCCGTTTCATCGTCGTCCGCAACAACCTCCCACCTCTATGCCGAGCAACTACGAGCAGTTTCAGCGCCGAATTTCCGTTAGCACGCTGACGGAAAAGCTGAATGCCCATACTTTGGATCAGAATACCACTCCAGGGTTATCGCACGCTCCCCATGAGTCACCAGTTTCACCAATCTCTCCGACCTCGTTTTCATTCTCTGTGACCAAAGATTCCGGCTCTTCCCGTGGCAGTGTACGGACGCTTTTGACCCCACCAGGCGAATATGACGATGAAGGATACGACGATCTGTTGACTTCTGGCTGGGAACCGTATCACAATGCGCAGTCTCCAACATCTATACCTCTCGACAGCGATGGATTTCTGGACGTGCCCCAGCAGCGTTTCCCGCGTGAGCAAAGCTTGCGTTCCCAACGCCAGCAAATGTCTCGAGCGCAGTGCAATGTCGACGTTCTCAAGCTTGCTCTGCTAGCTGAAAACTTCAGCAGTCGGACCTCCGAGTCAGTGGGCCTCAGTGATGACGAATGCCATCCTAGTTCTTTACCACCAGATACTTCCCCGCCAAGCCTCCGACGACCGTCCATCAAACCTCGATGCGGAAGTGGCGCTTCTGTAGCTGGAAATCTGCGCTATCGCTCACGGACGTCGTTAAATCCTGAGATGGTCCGGCGACGTAGCACTTCTTCAGCGGCGACATTCGCCTCTTCGACGCGAATTGCAAAACCCCGTGCTCGCGAATTACTTTCGAAGAAGAGCGAGCAGACATTAAGACGGAAGAGTCTGGTTTGCGCAACGATAGCATCGGCCATGTATGAGGCACCGACTTCTAGACCTTCGAGCCCTTAGGGGCGACCTGATTTCTGATTGTTTCCTTGGGCATCTCGCTACTTCACTTCTTTGTCTATATTTACAGCTCTCCTTTTCCTTTTATTACTTTTGTTTGAGTCCATATCTGGCATCGCATTGGGAGGCGTTAGTCTTTTATACATCTAGAACTTTTCCTCAGGGAGAAAAAGGTATGGAACTGGTTTTCTCTCTATTTTCGACCTATACAGCATTGCGATACGCGGGATCATTACAGTCATTGCTCTTGTTTCTACTATTTCGTAGCTTTTGTGTTTATTTATACTGGCCGGCAGCCTGCTCAATTCTTCCTAGAAATTCATTTTGGTCATTTCAGTCCCTGCGTCTCTCTATAAGCTCAAAATCATCCTAGAATGCATCCATCATGCCTGCCAACTTCGAAGTCATCACAGTTTCCAACATACAGAGACTGGATACCCAAATACATGGGAGTGCAGTCCGTCACTTTCGTCAATCGTAAAAATTGATTAGCCAATGAAGCCAAAGTTGTAGTATCATACAGTCATCATATCATAGACAATGGCATTGAGACGCTAAACACACATATCAGCAAAGGATTTATTTTACCAGATGCTAACGGGAAACTTACAGTGTTTCCTTTGCTTCTTCCTAGGAGCAATAGTAGTAGTCACTACTCTCGGTGCTGACGAAATTTGAGGAGGCGGCGGCGTAGTAACTCGGATATCCTCGAAACGTATGTAGCGATGGTCAGGATGACGCACGGGGATCTCGGGGCACCAGCTGATCCTTGTCACTGGCTGTGGATTAGGGGAAGGAGGAGTAGAGGCGTCGTCCTCTGGTTCTGAGTCGTAGAGGATGGGAGTGTCGAGGTCTGGAGGGTTGGAGGATAACGGACGAGCACGACGGGAGACGATGCGAAGGGCAGGTGCCGTTTCCTGACGAGTCACGTTAGTATTGTACAGATGGGAAGAGGGACTTCCCGAAAAGGAAACCCACCTCATTGTCATCTTCCGTAGTGTGGCCTTTATCTTCCTCTTCATATTCCTCCTCCTCATCTGCAAATTCATCCTCGTCGCCATTGATTAGCTCGACATTCCCCATATCATGCTTTGCTTCAGCTAGATCAGATGACAACGAGGACGCGCCGGAGCTAGTACCGGTAGTTGCCATGAAGGCAGCGGCCCGCTCGACATATGGACGAATAGAGGCACGGGTGCTAGGAGCACTCGTCGAAAGGTTGCTATTCGAAGGTCGATTGTGTGGCATACGTATTTGAGTCGGTTCGTTCCATGTATCTGGCTGCCATGGGCGTTCAACTCTCTCATCGTGCACTCCATCATCATCATCATCGGCAGATACAATTCTATCCTCATCTTCTACGCCAATGTAGCGCATGATATCCTCAAAGGTCAAACCGTTGTTTTCGGTTTCCAGTTGACGGAGGGCATCCTGGAGAGTTTGATGACGGTTCGCTGAGTAAGATCGCGAGGTTGGTCGACGGCGGGATGAGAGTTCTTCAAATTCGTGACGAGATGGGTCCTCATTATCCCTCTCAGCGCTGGCTGTCTTGTCAGAAGCTGGCTGCTGTATGAGTTTCACCGATTCTTCTACTTCCCAGTGACCAGACAGCGGAGAACGAGGTGTATCTCTTTCATGGCGGTCGAAATTCTCTTGAAAGGTTTCATATTTAGGAGATGAACGCTTATCCGAGCCACCAAACAGACGAGATACCTTCTGTTTCAGTGTTTTCGCTGGAGACTTGGGTGATCGCGGTGACACTGTAGCCGAAGCCGGCTCCTTCAAGGGAGGCAATGCAGCAAAAGAGTGGCTGGATTGTGGCAGTCCTGGTGAAGGTGCTGGTGAAGTGTACTTAGAAAGAACCGCGCTTTCGGATGCTGAAATAGGACGAATCATATCGTCAGGTATTCCATAACTCATCAATGAGTGAGTTGGAGAAATATCTGGGCTGTCGTGCTCCATCTTGTCCTTGGAATAGATCGATAGCGGGTATGATGCAGCTGTCTCGAAGTAAAGCGATGGACTTTTGGGATTCAGAATCTCGAATTCTGTTCCCTTGTGCTTGATTTTCAGGACTGGAGTGCTAGGGGAGGGCACCGTCAGACCTGAGGATGTTCGACTGTGACTGGCGAAATTTTGAGCTTGTTTCTTCAGTCGAGCAGAGAACGGGTGCTGCTAGACGGTTAGTGACTCGATTTCCTTCCTCTAGGGCCAATAATATATGTGCTTCAGCAATTCCAAAGTTAACAATAAAAGTGGTGAGAGAAGTATGATGAGCAAATGAAAGTGATGGGAAAGGAAGATGGATTTTCACTGTGCAGAGATTAAACAGGAAACGCAAAAGATTGAGCAAACAAAAAAAAAAATATTCACAATCAGGTTGACCAGATAATTGAACAGGGCACCCTAACAAACACTTACTAGTCGTCGTCCTGATAAGTGGTTTGATGGCACAGGCCGTGAGAATGACCTAACCACGGGTATCGGAGATATTGGTGTCGGGAGGTCACCACCAGACAAACTAATAACTGACTGGCTGAAAGAAAGTGGCGGAGGACTCGAGGAAGCCGATGAGACAGGAGACTGGTGCTGAAATCCATAGTCATGATGGTGCGTTTGACATAGGTTCAAGGCAGCTGGTTTTCTCTTGAGTCTGGGTCGTGGAGAGGTGGGTGAGATCTTGTCTTGCCGAGACAGGGATTTTCGATATTCATGAATTGATAATTGGCCCGAGGAGAAACTCGTGTCGATGCGCAAGCCAGAAGATATATGTGTTTGAGTCATTTTCAAATATCTTGACGGATTAAACACTAGCGGATATCTGAGCGGCAAACAAGCCTTGCAACAGTAAGATACTCGCTTCAAAAAGTATCACAACCTCACACTGGAAATGGGGAAATGAGACACCGGACAGTGAATTATTCTATCGACATCAGCTACATTCATTTGGGGTTCTAACATCAAGTAGGGCAAACTCACTTTGTGCAAATGCTCGAAACGAAACAGAAGAAACAGAATCCGATACCGTCTATACCACTATATCAAGCCGAGAACCCAGGAACACCGTCTAATGTGCAATATGAATTAAGAGAGAAAATGTGCACGACTTTCCAAAATCAGTTCAACGCAGATATCATCTACGGGTTCGAGGACCTACTTCTCAATAAGCGAAGTTGGCCGAACTCAATCTCGACAGCAACGGGAATGTATTATACAGCATGCACAGTTATACGGCTGAGTAAGCATGTATGTTTCGAGAGAAACACGAGTAACGAATGACGCGGCTAACAGCCGAGGAGGACTTGATTCTTTAAGTATGAAACGAGTGGTATGTGCTTTTTGTAGAACCGTTTTGCCATACTTGCCGGATACAAGGGTGTCAGTGAGTATCAGAAGAGTATCTTTTGTTGACAAACCAGCTGATATTAATATGTAGTCATGTATAAACAAAGGGAAGGATTCAAATAGATCAACGAAAAGAGGGAAAAGACTTGGTCATCCTTTCTTCTTTTCCTCCGAGCTATTGACTGAGCCTCCATCTTTGGGATGCTGAAATGATCCGAAACAATGGAAAACATTACTAATAGCATGCTAAGCAAAGACTGACTGATCGTGTTCGTCCCACACCATCATCTATCCCAGAGCAATCGAATGGACCTGGTTGAACATCATCATCAGGCACAATTTTCACTCTAGCCTTGAAAAAAGAGGGACCAAAAAAATTGGGTACCCAAAGCAAATCGGAACTAAGAGGAATGAGAAAGGCATTATTCTTTTCCAATGGACGAATAGATGCTGCCGACGAAGGGAATTCGTCAAGAAGCCAAAGGACTTTTGTGTGGATGAAGTCGTTTTTATTCTTTTGGTAGTAGCATTTCTCGCCTCTCGTTGGTCGATCGCTTATCCGCAGTGGCAACCAATCAGAGTTTCGTCCGCCGATTTGTTTACATCGACCAATCAGGCCCCGTCATATCTCTAACCAGTGAGCGTCCAAAAACACTGTGTTCTTTGAAACAACAGGGCTGAGACTTGGACATTGATGGTGTGGACTCAAATCCATGATCAAATGGTGCAGCTCAAGTGGGGAAGTGCAGATGACTATCCCAGTCGAGAAAAGAGCTGGTCGCTGGAGAGGAGAAACGATAAATAAAGGAACGTGGCACGCTATGGGTGACTTTATCATGCATTATAGTCATTTTCTGCTACATCTGCAAGGTACGGTCCTGTTTACGGTTTGTGCAATGTTTTACCATTTGAGAGAGCAATATATGTTGTTGCTTTTTCAAAAAGTAAGAGTTTTCTCGCCTCCGTGAGCCCGATATTGTACGGCCATAGTTACTCAAGGATACCTTGGTAGAGTCGTAGTCAGAAGTGGCTGTTGATTGGCCCGAGGATATATCCAGCTGGATCTGAGGACATGGGTGGCTACTGGCACTTAACAATCAGTTGAGGAAACAGTGTGGATATGAATATGGACAGGGGATGGGAAGGACAGTGCAGGCTAATTATTTGTGGCTGTGTCTGTAAATGAGACTTCGGCAGATGATCCATTGCATGGTGGTGCATGGAGGATAATTACGTACAACCTAACTACTGAGCACGTACAAAGTTCATGCAGCCCTGGAGCTCCTTTTTCTTGCTGCTTTGTTGCATGATTCATTCCGGCATGGTATCATTTCCCTTCCCGCCAGACTTTGACATGTGAAACAGTCATCTGTGCAATTACTGACTTCGTGAAATTCTAAACATTACTTTTAATGGTACAAAAAGTACATTCATTTACTACATCGCCTAGCGGTCTACAACTACCTACATAGGGGAGCTGCCCGTTGCAAATGTCTTAACCATCATACCGAGCTAAGATGGTTTCCATTCATGGTGGAGTTTTACCAGAGGTGTTTATTCTTTGCTGGATGAGTACAAATGATATTCTTTTGACTGATTATGCTGGGAAAACTAGCAATGCTTCATTAGGAGCGTGCACGAAATTACCCGTTTGGGATAAATTTAGGGCTACGGGCCATGGGCTTTGCTGGGGTCGAAACATTAGACAAAGACCGCCAACTCCTTCTTCTAAAGTATTCATTTTTGCATAACTCGTGTCTTCTTTAGTACATTAGGTAAGTAATGCATAGTCCAGTTAAAAGCCATCGATAATAAGCGATCTAAAGTAAGCACTATACTAGCAACAGAGATTGATCAATCCTCAATAATGCCTTTCCCGATCGTTTATGGGAGCTACTTTCACGTTTATACCTTTTACCGTAGCCTGTCGCGAAACTAACGACAACAATTGTCCCCTTAACACCGTGGCATCGAATTTAACTCGAGTTTAACCCTAACCTGAGCTGCATGGCGTACAATGTGTGTGCAGCTCTGGAATATTTTCATGCAACGGCCTTTAAGGGTTGCATATGTGAACTTTTGATCATCCCAGAGACAGCTACTAGTTTGACCGTCCAGACCATAACATATGCAAGTATTGGACGAGGCAAGGGATATGAATTCTTGAAGATCCCAGTATCATTACCTCGTTGCTAATCTCCGCCTTATCCCCGCAGATTCTTTGTTCGTTGCTTGCGTGGCGACTGGAGTAGTCACGACTATATAGACACTTCCTTTCGTATGTCGTATTTTGACCGTTGAATCGACTTCGAAATGGTCCGCCAGCTGGCGGCGAAACCAGAAACTGAGATTAAAGTCGTCTTTGCAACCTCACGGCAGAGAATCCACGTCTGAAAGAGTTGACAGAAGAGTATCCTGGTCGTGTCATTTTCGTTCCTCTCACTGTCGGCGACGAGGCGAGCATGCGTAATGCTGTGCCTGTTGTTGAGAGTGCCCTCAAGGACAAAGGACTGAATGGGCTGGATGTTCTCATCAATACTGCCGGCATCATGGGCGCGGCTCATGCGGAGGAAATGTAACCCAGTCCTTAGTGTCCATGTGTATACCGAGATATAGATTACTGATTTCGAAAAGGTCCGACTTGGATGACGTTTTTCATGTCAACGATACTGGCCCTCATATGATGATCTTGATCTTTCTGCCTCTTCTACGGAATGGTAATGAGAAAAAGGTCATTAACTGTAGGTTTATCTACGTCTAGGTCGCTAGCACTAGATTCGTAGAACAGCTAATTCGACAAGCTGATGAGCCCGACCAATATGTTGTGGAACTCCTAATATTGATGACTAACCCCCAAGAGCATGGAGGACGGGAGATAAATGAATGAATGATGTTTATTACGCCCGGAGGGACTAACCCTATAAAATTGTGTTAACTGTAAGGGCTCATTCAATAGTCATATTGGAAGCTAAGTACAAGAATACCAAACATGGAGAAAGAAAGAAAAAGCTAGGAATGTGAGGCTATCTGCAAACAAGATGTATTGTGTCGGAACGTTGGTTTACTAGAGCGATGACTAAGCGAAGGCGAGCACTAAACAATACGTATAAGGAACTAGGTCTATTTTCCGGCACTCCTCTAAAACCCCTTATCTAGGAGTATTGAACCTGTTTTTATATACAAGATTCCATAGAAGTGATATCACCAAAAGTCGACACTTGTGCAAATCGAACTTTCTAGAGATAGGCTGTAAAGTTGATTTGTAATGTTCAATATCGCGTCGGAATGTGATGCCAATTCTCGAAATTTCTTGATACGCAAATCTTGTCCTATTCCCAAATTGGTTTAGTTCATTCTGAGTTCCAACATATTGTCGTGATCACGTGACAGAATCACGAACCCCCCTACGTAACCCTAGCATGTGACTACGTAAACAGAACTCTGCGAATAACCTCATTACTGACCGTCACATTAACCGCGTTTCTCGTTGCTATAGACGCTAAACCAGTGAGTATATCCACTGGATGGTTGCTTAGCTAGATTGTTGATGGGGTTGACTGATTGCTGCTAGTATAGATCTATTACTACTAAGGATAGATATCCACCTATGGTTTGTCTCGGGCAGGATATGTTCCAGGGCGGTTGCCATTGATTCTAAATCCGCTATGTATAGATTCTACTCTGTCTTTTTCCCCAGTGTAAAGGAGTAGCTAAATCTGATATTATTATTAGCTTGAGTATCTTCTATGTGACTGTCGGAAAACTTCGGTCGAACTACCGTCGAGTATATCTCGGATAGCTTATAACACGCTGAAGTTATAAGGCTTCTAAGTACGAAAGGCTTCTTGAAAGCAAAGTCTTAATAAAAGGATGAATATCCGGTTCGATAGAAGAACGTATACTCAAGTTGTCAAAGCTAAGGGGTACTTAGCACGGTTAATTCAAGACGATAGAATAAACTAAATACATGATAAATGAGCGTCCTTATATATTCCATCATCATCATAGAATCCATAGAATTCCTCTGATTTCTCTGATCCTTGGATTATATCCATCATAGAATATCTCTGATACCCTAACCCTAATGGTTACGGATAATCCTTGTTTCCGTTAGTGCAGTAGTGTAACACTATCTAGTCAATCCATTGGCTGCGGATTCTTGATTCTTCTGACAGTGACCTCCTATGCCCACAATCCCTGATCTAGTAGATGTGCATATAGCAATCAAGATACCTATTGCCTTGTTAGCTATCTCAATAGCTCTTTCCCTGTTCTCTTTGTATATCATCTGTATCCAGTTTGTCCATGGTGGAATAGTGAATGCCTGAATAGTTTCTATCTGCTTTATTACTGTTGTATCTAGTATTTGGGATATCCTCTGTAGTGGAGACCTAAACCTCTAGGTTATAATGATTCTCAGTTTGACCAGGGGATTTGATTTAGGTAGTGTCTAAATGTTAATCTGTAGTTTCATAGCTTTCTCTATATGTCGATTTTAGAAAGGCTGAATGCCTGCTTCTGCCTCAGCTACTGCAGTTGCCACTATCTAAAAGGCTCCTATAACTGCGATGGCCCTATGCTTCTATATTCTATTTAGTTAAATACTATATTCCTTTTGCTCCACACGTATGCATCTAGATATTAGAGGCATAATCTGCTGCTGGTGCCACTGTTGCTCTAAACAATTATCTTACTATCCACGTAATATTATTTTTAGCCTTCTCAGCACTAGCTGCTATGAATTCTTTGATAGCAGCATTGGCGATGTGTTCCTTGAAGTATAGCTAGAAATCTATCACTACTCCTAGGATCTTTGTACTTTCCTTTGGTTTGACTATTTTATCTTTAACTATGAATGGCACGCTACTTAAATAGCTTGCAGTCTAGGTAAAGTGTACTATGGTTGTTTTATCACATTTAAATATAGCTCTGCTGCGTCTTTCCCAATCAAGGGCTCTGTTAATCACTGCTTAGATATCAGTACAACTCTTTTCAGCTAACGCGCCTGTTATTAAGGTTGTGTAGTTGTTTATGAAGGCTACTGAGCCTCTTACTACGCTAATTTTGTACTAAATAAGGTCCACATTGAAGAAGAGAAATAGTATTGGTGATAGTAGTGACCCTTATAATAGGCCTGCTTGAGATAGCTCTCCTTGTTCACTTATTAGCCCATTAACCATAATAGTTGCAGTGCATCTTAAGCAAAAGGCATTAATCTATTGAACTATCTTATCAGTTATTCCCCTTGCCTTGAGTCTTTGGAGAAGTCGCTCTTTAAAGACTCTATTGTATGCCTCTTTGATGTCAAAACTAATCAAGCTGAGAACCTTTTTATTTCTCTAGGCCTTGTAGATCTCTTCCTAAAGTAGTAAAAGTGCTTGTTCTGCTGAGTGCCTCTTCCTTGTGCTAAAGTGGTTTGTAGGCAAGAGGCTAAACATTTCAATGGTATATAATATCCTTTCTGTAGTATATAAAGTGATTTATGCATGAGACTATATGAGTCGTACTCAGCAGTTTTTGCTAAAATGTGAGGGCGTTCATTCTCTATCCTAAGAGATAACTAATCGAGCAAAAACTAGGCATGAGGAAAGAGGGAGAAAAGACTCTCTAAGCCGCTCGTAAGGACTCTTTTTATATGTGCGTCCGGGGCCTTGTCGGTGCGTATTTAGGAAATCCTGAAGACAAAGAAGGATATCCCCGTTAGGGTCATCCTCTTAGGGCTTAGGGCTCAGTCCAGGTGCCGGCAAGGTCCGTACGGTATCCTGCTCCGTAGCCTAGCCGTCACAAAAAGATTTATGTGGTCCTCCATAAGGAACACATTTTGGAATTATAACCTGGCAGGTGCTGTGGTAGTGTCCCTTATTTGTACATTTAGCGTAGGTCTGAGTCTTTTTACAAGAAAAGGCCTTATGCCCTATCTCCTAATAGTTAAAATATTGAGCTAGTCCCATCCATTGTTCAAAGATTCGAGTGTACGCAGATTCTCCTGTTATATCAAAGTAGTTGCCATCTATTAACTGTTTAGCATCGGTTCCTTTCGTGATATATACCACTATAGATCCATATGCTTTGTTGGAGTCCTTCTTACTGATCCAGGAGATTTTAGCAATGTTGACATTATTCTCTTTTCCCAAGACCTCGACTGCCCCTGGTAGGATGTTCCCATCTGCATCCAGGACTGCTGTCTGGTTAGCATTGTCGATTTTGACCGGGTACAGCTGGTCTCGTAAGACTCTCATTCCTGGCATATTAATCTTTTGGGTAGCTTCTTTGACCTGCTGGATCTCGTCTTCATGCCTGCAAATCACTTTGACTCGGTCTGCATTTTTTGGGTCCTTGGCCATTGCTGCACAGCGCTAATTCTTTGTTTCCTCACTCCCTCGCATCTCTTTCTCAATCTGTTGTCTAATATTAGCTATCTGGGCTTTAGCTTTATCTTCTTCTCCAACGCGAGAAGTGTCGATTGTGCAGAATAGTGTATTAGCCACCGTAGGAGGCGCTAGAGGGCCTAGATGTGTATCCTGCTGGTGACTAGATTGGCTGCTAATCATATCTGCGAATGACGGCTGTGATTTGGTCTGCATGAGAGCTGCGTTAATTGGAGTATTCGCCATAGTCTCTAGCTGTTCCCGGAGTTGCTTGCATTCTTCTATAGACTGGCATTGGACTGTCTCCAGCTGAGTCTGTAGGGCTTTAATTGTGTTGCTCTGCTCCTGGATCATTACTGACTATTCTTTAATCATTTTCTCTTGCTCTAGTGCTTTGTTTCTCATCGATGAGGCTAGCTGCCTTCTTTACCGCTGTCAGTTCCATTTGAGTCATTGATTTCTTAGATGCTTTAACGTTGCTGGTGTTATTGGTGCTGCCTATGGCCTCTCGGGCCCTCGTTGAGGGTGTTATAACGTGTCCCGAACGCGTTGTTGTCGCCGGCTCCTCCACCATCGCGTCCGCCATCACCAGCTTAGCTCCTAGAGCTGAGTAAGGGTTTCATTGTTGCCGCCGAGAATAGATCCAGATGTCGGATCTATGGCCGTGAGAGTTGGGCAGCAACAGATTGGAATACGGTACCGTTACTGAAGGCCGCGGGGGTGCTAACAGTGATGGCAACTACCCCAGTTCCAGGAGGAGAGACGGCAGTTATGAGGTTATCAGAAACCAAAGTAAAGGATGCCGCTGGAGTTGCTCCAAAGTAAACGCCACTTGCAATTATCAACCCAGCTCCGTTGATAGTCACTGTTGTTCCCCCTGACTCCGATCCCTGAGAGGGGCTGGAAGAAGTGATGACAGGTGGTGGCTGGAAACTGAAGCTCGTGGAGGTATCTGTGCCACCTGGAGTGGTGATGATAATAGGGACCGTACCAACAGCATGAGGAGGTGTGATGGCGTCAACTTCAGTATCGCTAACGACAGTGATACTGGCTGCAGGTGTTGTTCCAAAGAGGACACTCGATGTTCCCGTCAAGCCAGTGCCGGTTATAGCGACGGGGGTACCGCGCGATATTATACCTGCCGTTGGGAATATCGAAACGGGTGCTGGTAGCGCGATATATGTGTAGGTGCAGGAGGGCTAGTGTAAGCGTCAGCTAAGACGGTCACATTAACGGGCCCGGCAACAGATCCGGCCGGTGCAGTGACATTGATAGCCGTAGGTGATAGGATCGTGAAAATAGTAGCCGGAGTGCCGTTAAACCTGACCGCTGTGACGGTATTGAGGTTGGTGCCAGTAATAGTGACAGTGTTCCCGCCTGCAAGTGACCCCCGAGTTTGGGATCAAACTACTAATCGAAGGCGTGGGGGCGGCGTTGTATGTATATGGGGCCCCGACAACACCATTACCAGCCGGACTAGACACTGTGACGGTCACAGTGCCGGTTCCAGGGGGAACAGTCGCAGTGATAGATGTATCGGAGGTGACTGAGAAGCTGGGGGCAGGGGTGGAACCGAAATTTACTCGAGTGGCGTATGAGAATCCAGTTCCTGTCAGCGCAACTGTATTCCCACCACTAGCGGGACCGTTATTGGGGACCACGGACATGACTGTAGGGAGAGCTACCGCGGAATCGTAGGTATAAGTCAGAGTTGTAGCACTGGAACCTGCTCCATTTCTGACGCTGACGCTCGCCGCACCTGGACCGGCCGGAGCCGGTGGCACCACGACAGCAAGCTGAGTGTTGGATAGGACAGCAAAACTGCTGGCAGGCACAGTGGTGGCGCCCTGCGTGAAGGTTACGCCCGTCGTGTAAAGCAGATTAGAGCCAGTAATTATTGTCGTGTTCCCACCGGGTAGTGGGCCATGAGTGGGATTCAGAGAAGTAAGTACGGGGATAGTAATACTCGTAAAGTTGAAAAACACTGGCTGAGTACTAGTGCCAGCCGCGGTGGTCACGGCCACTCTTGCTGCACCCACAGCATAGGGCCATACAGGAGTTACAACAGAGACAGTTGTTGCAGTGCTCCCACTTGGAACAACCGTGACAGTAGTAACACCAGTACCAGAAGTCATTAGGTGGCGCCGGACAGGTTGGTGCCAGCGATCAATAAAGAAGTACCACCGGAAACAGGACCAGTGGTAGGATTAATTCCAGCAACAGTGGGTGCCGACATTGTCAAGAATGATCACAAGGGACGAGATTGTATAGAATTCAGCGGATATCAGTGAGTTTGGGAATTTCTGTCAGTCGGTCGAAGTCTGAAGACCTGATGAAACTTCATAGCTTAAATACTAATTAGCATCACATCTTAAGCACAATAATTCTAGCTGCCATGTTCTAGATCATGATTGAGGTCGTCGGGTGATGTGTTGATCTCATCGAAGGTTGAATATACGACATACTCAGTTAGTAGTACAAACTCTGGGTTGATAGTCAATAGATGCCCACTTTGGACATGATTTGTATGACCCTCGGATGGCGACCATGGCAACTTTATGTCTAAGAAATTGGGGCTCTGTCATACCCTAGCCTGCTACCAATTTCCAGATCCTATGGCTATGCACTTGAAGTCTCTGCTTGGTGTCATGCAAGTCGTCTGCATTGGCACAGAGACGTCTCAATCTCCATTCTCCATTCAGTCTTCTCTCAGCGTTGGGGGATCTTATCATGGAGTCTCTTTACAATACTAAAACGTCTCTTAAGGGCTGTGTAAGGTAGCCTAAAAACGGCCAGGCGTAGGCGGGCAGCTAGAGGAAAGCAAGCATCTACGGTTCCACTCATACCCCATATCATCTCTAGAGAGGGTGTCGTTCAATTGGTGTTCAAAGGAAACAGTCGCACTTGACCCTCCTCGTCTACAATCAATCCTACTTTGTTAGATGTTCAATTATGGGCATGCAACTTGTACAATAGGCGTAGTGAACCATCCATTATACCGGACGTACAGATACCAACTCAATTCTACCATAGGTTGTTTCTTCTGCGCCTGATCCTCGCATTTCGAATGTTTTGATCACGCAAGATGTCCAAATACTACGCAACTTTTTACTACTATATTCTCTTTCCTGGCCGCAGGATTGCGCAATATCATCAGGTGATGGCACTTGAAGTTTTTCTATTGTTTTTTGGTCTCAAGAGATTTGTGAGATTACACAACACTGAAGACCTCTAGATACCACCCACCGTTTTCAGCATTGATCTCTATTTGCAGAGTGTAGAGTGTGCATGATAATATCTGGCTATACACTGGGAGTCTTTCTAATTACTTGGTCCCTAGAGATTTGTGAAACTGCAGACCCCAAAGATGTTAGCCTAGCACCATTGATTGTTGGTCTGAATGTTCACATGCAGCCTTTCTGCCTGTCAACACACTACTCTTTGACATGAGCAAGGCATTCTTATCGTCCTTAAGGGTGCCATCAACCTAACTATGTTACTTTTGATGGCAGTCTCTCTAATATTGGATTACTCACATGAGAGACAAATCATTGCACCAACGCTTCTTGTTACATATGCAGTCTCCTGTCACAAGATAACCACACAATCTTCCTTCCTAGATCACTCATACCTCTCGAGAGGACATTCAGCTAAGACACTAATTGGCAAGTCTATGCCCCTGCTACCAAAGAAGCTTCTCAACAATCTGCCTTGAGAAAATAGAGATGCTCAGCAGGAGGTCAACCATTTTGGCAAATGAATTGTGGGACTACTAAGCTCTAGGTATGAGCAAGCCGCGCGAACCGTCTCTTCCGCTCATTTCAATCTTGTAGAAATTGCTGGAATACAAGTAGAAGCTCTAATAACTATTTACATATGTGTTCAGAACAAGTCCAAATGACTTCAGCTTATGTCCATTACTACCTAAGCATATATTTCGACTTCCACCTAGACGTACGATGACAGTGGCTCGACCGAAAATTGCTATTATTGTTGGAAGTCAAAGAGAGCCTCGTGTGTAGCACCATATTGCGAGATTTGTACAGGATGTCCTCCAAGGGCTTCGATGCGACTTTGACCTAAAAATTGTTGATCTCGCAGCCTGGAGCCTGCCGCTATAATGAGCCCGGAATCCCCTCCTAGATATTCTCGCCCGAAGATTACAAACATGAACATACCCGGCGCTGGTCAAGTGAAATAACTTCCTATTGTCAGATTGGTGGGTTTATTCCAGGCAAATCCTGAATAGTGGTTCTACTAGGATGAGAAAAGAAGAAGTAACTAGCAAGTTTGGGGTTCAGAAGCAATCCGATGAACTGATGTCTAACATACCCGGAGTCCCAATTTATGAAAAGTTCAACGGTCTCTGACTTATGCACATGTCCATTTTCATGGACAGGAGGTTCTATGCCGCTTGGGAGCACATCCCAGCACATTAAACTTATAATCGATACAATAGCCTTAATAGAGAAACGCCTAAAAGACAAGAGGCTCTTCTCCTCTTTTCGTTCTCCAATAATTCGTAGCCACCGGCATGTCCTCACAGCTAGTCTTTAACCATTTCCACTTGTTCCCAAATCCCTCCTTGCTTTCCAATCCACTGGCATCCCGTGGTGGTGACCACACTATTACACCGCGGTGTTTTTTCCGTGATTGTAGAAACCCCTCAAGTAAGTTACTAATCGTATCTGACTAAAGTTCGTCTGCGTTGAATGTTCTAATAGCTAGAATGATATTACCTCGCCAGCGAGGGTATGTGTGATATCAACTTAATCTTCTTGAGGGATGTTGAGTGGTGAAGGATTTACAATACGTCAGAATCCAGGGATAATTTCTAACTGGTTGACATGTATTGAACATGAGTATTGACATTAACTAGTGGCTACAAACGGACGAGGTAAATGCCCATGCAGACATTCCTATTGAAACAGGCGTAGCCCAGGTATTGAGATTGCCAAAAGGACACGGCAGGAGGGCAATGGTCGATCTTAAACATTCATGCGCCGGGTTGGGAGAACAAACCAGGTTTACATCAATATGATGGCGAGGATCTGCCATGGTAAAGCTCTTTATCTCGGTGGTGGTACCTAGGTATAGAAACATGGACTCGATGAGAAATTGGTGCTATGCATTGTACTGATGTTTGTTATATCGAGTGCGCAGATGGCTATCCTAGACGCTAGATGTGCGGCTGGCATGACTACCTAGGCAGTCAATGAAGTAAAAATAAGGTACCTAGGTAGCAGTCTCCAGGCCATATAGTTAGATATTAAAGTATCATCCATGCGAAACGGATCCTAGATTCTTGTCATAATAGTGAAGCAACCAGGTAGTGCTGATAATTGTAACAAAAAATAATGACCAGCCAAATTAACTTTTCATTTCGAAGATCCCACAAAGACAAGTCAATTTTAGTCATAACTCATAGCTAGTGTCATCTCTGTTCTGAAGCCATGAATGCTGCCAATTTCTTTCTGACGAAGAGCAAAACGAGTAAAACAGAATGTTGCGCTGATATCTTATGCAACCCGATGATTATATACTGTAAAGCGAGATATATGGACGAAGAGAAGTAAGAGTGGGGTAGAAAGCAATTTTGCGATAGAATGCATGATAAAAAAGAATGTGGATAACTGGGATATCTTGATAAATTCGGCCGTAAATTCGTATCCAAGGAACAAAGACGCCTTATGCAAAAATCTGACATAGAGAAAGCAAACAAAGACTTTAGTCTATTCATCACGAATAATATAGTCGTAGCACACTGAAACGATTAGTGTCGCTTGTATTTCTGAAGGGTAAGAAGAAAATGTTAGCTTTCATAAAGGTCCAAAAGATCCATTGGAATAGTGCGTGAGACTCACATCTTCAATCTTTCGTCGATTAGTTGGATCCAACGAATTTCCAGCTCCAAGCAAAGTTTGTCCTACAGCACGTGTAGCTCCAATAGCAGGTCGAAGTATAACGGTAGGAGCACGTCGCCAAACTGCCTTTGCAGCTCCAGCGGCACTGCTACTTTCCATGACTTCTCCGGGAACAGCAACAATAGCGTCTCGTGTCATGAGTAGATCACGCTCGAGACTGCGGAAAGCACCTCGAAGACCCTGGACAACGCCGACTGGTTGGTCGGCATAGTGAGAGATTTGTTTCTTTTCGTCCTCATCCGTGGAATCACCGTCTCCATCTGTGTGTGGGGCTCCCGTATTGGGTGCGTTGAGAAAGTCTTCTGCACTCTGGAGAACTGTCTGAGTTCCTATAGCCAGCTTGGCGCCTAATTTGATCAGTTCGTTAGTGGTGGTCTTGGCAAATGAGAATGCTCCCTTCTGAATGCTCCGCACTATTCGACCATCTTTCTTGTACTCGCGCATCGGAATGACGACAAGATCTTTCACGCCGCTTCCGACATTTACCAAAGATCGAATAGGCGCAAGACCTGCTAAGACACCAGGTAACTGATTTCGCTTTATATCAGGCATCCATATATCATTCAATGTTTGGCCGAGTCTCTCGAATCCAGAAACACCATAGATTATGACATGTCGCATGACCATATCTGCCTCGTCCAGGATAAAGAAGTTCATGAATTCAGTTGTGCGTCCAGAGCGTAAGCCTGCATAGTCGACACGTTTAGGCTTAAAGTCGAGCTTTACTCGTACTGCATTGACTTCCACTCTTTGTAAGAAAGGAGTGTCGCCTGGAGAGCTGGGAGCGGGTGCGGACTCGTCTTTGAACTCGAAGAAGCGGCTCAAGAAATCCAGCGCATCTTGGTCTACATGTAGACGTAGGGGCAACACGGTAGCCTTGGAATATGTCAGTACACCTTTGCAAACGTATCGATACAGAGCATACCTTGAGAACAATCTCAGAAGCTGCCAATTCCGCCACAGGTTTCACATTTATGATTTCCAAATGTACCATGCTAGTCCCACTTTCACGTTCTCCCGCGTCATTCATGTACGTAGCAAATTTCTTCCAGGTAGACGTTGGGATATGATCGAAAATTTCTAAATCATTCACTCTTATGTCAATTGTACTCTGAGTCTCACCGGCATTCGGTGGAAACACGACAAAATCTGCTGATATGCCTTTCAACTCAAAGGTCATTTTGTGGTGCTTGCTGCGTGACAGCCGTAACCTCTTTCCCCGAGCCGAGGCAGGTCTATTCTGATGTGAAGTATATCCAGTGATTGTCGTTGACGTGATATAGCTACCTGTCTCGCTAGCCATGTCATCAATGTCATGATTGATTGCCCGAGCTAGCTCACGCGGGTCCTTGTTTGCAGGTATACCAATGTAGATAGAGTTAAAAAGGAAATCGCCGATAACTGACTCCTCTTCATCATCTTCCGGAGACAGTCGGCTTGCTACTTTTGCACGTCGTTCTGCAGCTTTCAACTCGACGTCCTTGACGGCTTTCGAGATTGTATCTCGGGTGCGTTGCCAGTCATAACCATCAAACAGATTCCAAATGAAATGTACATCACGCACTCTAACCCTTAACGGGCTACCATGGAGTTTGACTTCATTGGCGAGTCCATAAGTATTATGAGCGGTGTCCCATCGATGAGCAGTGCCACCAACCGTCGACTTCCTAGCAAAATGATCATCCTTAAAATCAAGGCCAGTCACGCTAGTAGAAACATTGTACTGCGAATGAAAACTGTCCATGAGTTGTCTGGAACGAGACATATCGGCCATAGGGTCCGTCATACTCCCACTCATTGTCTCTTCTGAGCTAGTTCCCTGGGGATAGAAGTCGCTAACATAATCGACTTCGTCGTCCAGAGCTCCCTCAAAGTCGTCTTCAGCTTCACGTGCAGATACTTCCTCAGCGTTGATAACTTGGTCTGTCATAAAGGCATCCCCCGTGAATGAGCTCAGCATATCTTGCAAGGGCATGACCTCGGTACGATATTTGAGCGTGGTGCTTGGTAATGATGGCGGGGCAAGTCCATTGAGAAGGCTAATGAGCGTTTGAGTTGAATCAGCGCATGTTTCCAAGATAAGCAAATCATCTCTCAACTCGACATCCATAGTCTTGTCACCAGCTGCGTCGGGTGATTGTATAGTGACCGAGAGTATGGTAGATGATATGTACGAAACTGGGACGAAACCCATGTCGGCAAATTTGTTGACCTGTTCATTTTGACTGTCGACTATAGTTCGACGACTTATATTGTCCCCCGTGCCTACCATTTGCACGTCATCTATGATCATAAGTGTAGCCTTTCTGATTTCAAAATTGGCCTCGGAAATCCCCTTGTCCTGGTTGATGCACTTGAATTTGGCATACGTGAATACCGCCAACCCTTTCGCAGGCATATCTCGTGGGTTCAGACCAACTACGCAGTCTCTCAAAGATACAGCGAGTTTAAAAGGGTTTGAATCAGGTTCAGAGCCTCCATAATCTCCAAATGATAGACCTCCGATCTGAGATGTGGTCAGATCTGCGAGATTGGCCACAGAGCTGGCCATTTTCACAGCAAGCTCATCAGGTGTAGTATCATGACCGAGGCCAAGGAACGCAATTATCGAAGGCAAGGTATATTCGACCCTGAGACCGTGAAGCTTGACTTTGATTGTAGGATCCATCTCATCCGCGATGAAGCGCACCATTAACATTGGCAAGGATGACAATGAAGAGCTTTCGCTTGTAGTAACATTCAGAGCTTCACCTATGAGGCCCTCAGTCTCATTTCTCGTAAGTGAGATATCTTTAACTTGAGCCGCAATGAGAGATGGAATGCTAATGTGAGCCAGCTCGGTATCTTTAGCCAATAGACGTAAATCACCTATTTTCTCATTGACATGTATGTAGCTCTCAAACTCACGAACAAGCACGAGAGTCATGATGCCTGGCCGATCATCCTCAGGTAGGTACTTAGTTACGCTCGACAATCTAGAGATTTCGTGCGGAAGGTCGGACAGAGGCTTTAGTCCTTCAACATCGGAAATTGACAGTTTAGCCGTCGCAACAGCCACACGAAGAACGCCGCCTTGTCTTCGCTGGCGAAACAATGTATCGAGCATAATGTCGTCGTCCTCCTCATACTTATCCTTCGACGGTGTAAGCAAGGACAATAGTCGGTCAAGATCGACTTCTTTTGGAGAGTACAGATACTCAACTCGAATGTTGCCGATACCGAGAGTTACTGGGTGCTCCGCGTCGTCATCAACAAGACAAGGACCGACAACTTTAGCCTTGTCGATCTGGATACCAATGCCCTCATATCTACTCACTGCTTTGACTGCAGTAGTCTTCAGTTTGACGGCGCAGGTCTCGCCTACCACGTCAAGTATGACGCCACCAAGCCTAGCATTTATTTTCCAAGGGGGGGACGTCGTAGGCTCAGGAGGCGATTTGGGAGTCGGCACTCCCTCAAACCGCACTCCTCTTGTTTGTTTTTTCATAGTATCGGATTGATCCCCTCGAACTGTCGAAACTGAGGCGATAGAATTTCCAAGTTCCATCAAGGTACTTAGACCGCCAAGCCATCCAAAAATATTGTCCAATTTCTGTATGTTGAAATTAATATGCAAGGGCAAGGTAGCAAAGTTGAGCTTCGTAAACGCTGAGGTTTTGACGACAGTCAGCGAGACGTCGCGAGGAACCGCCGTCCGAACATCCCTGATGGATTCTCTCATCTTCAGATCTTTATTGAACGATATCAGGGATTCTGTCGCATATCCAAGGACAAACTTAGTCACTTCCAGTTGAAATTTCGTCGTGCCACCTGTGACGAGGTAGTCAGAATTGACTGATGATAGTTGCACCTGCAGAATGACATCCTCGGCCGGAGTTAATGTAGCATGAGACGATTCGGGAGCTTTCTTCTTAGCATAGTATGGAACACCCCCCAAACTTTCCAAGAACCGTATGGAGCAGGAGTGAAGGCTGAACTTGAAGTGCTTCGAATCTGACGATGGCTGTTTTGGATTGCTTTTTGCAGTCTTCGACTCTAGAGCCTCAACGTTGAGAGCGGTGATTACTTTTTGACTCGCCTTGACAAGCAGCCACCCAGTCGCTACATCAAACTGAACGATGGCCCGCCCAATGTTGATAGAGATGGCTGCTGATGAGTTTGCGAATCGAAGAGGTTCAAACACTTCAGCACCTCTGTTGCTAGACTGCTCATTAGTATCGGTGGAGATCGAAGAAGTTATAGAACTTCGGCGCATCGTAGAATAGTCTATCCTCGAACCTCCAAGTACATCACTACTTATTGATTGGGTCATAGAAATGCTGTGTTCATGTCCCTCCTGTTGTGAATGAGGCCCCTGTTGACTCCTGTCAAAGGTCTTTGGAATCCAAATGGTAACGTTACTAATATCGATGATTTTGCGAGTGGCCTCTGCATCATCGGTATGGGTTTTGATGGAAGGACTGGACCGAGGTTCAGAGTCTGGTTGATAGGACTCTCGTGTCGGCGTTTGCGGGGTATCGTCATTATCGGTGATGGGCGGTGATGGTTGAGCGCCGATTTTGGGAGTGGGAATGTCCGCCTCGGTGGTGCGAGTCACTGATTGGATAAAAGACTGCTTTTCCTCGGTGAGAGATTCAAAATCTCGCGAGTCCCAGGCACCTGGCATCAAAGGCTCTCCATGGCTAGAGGTACCACTAACAGCACTCATATACATGCTTGAAGCCTCTTCATGACTGAAAATTTTGGACTCCGATAGCTCGGCAGGTAACGAACCAGAATAAGAACTACTGCGACTGGAATGACTCTTAGCATCGTTATCTGGGGGCGAGGAAGAAATCGGCAAGTCAGCGTAGTATAATTGTTGAGTTTGTTCTGTCTGTCCCGGGGAAGATGAAGGAGACTTTTCTGGAGATGATTGAAATTCCCCGCTCCGCTCCCATGGGCCGTAAAAACGAGTATCTTCGAAATTCTCCGGATGTTGATTACCGGTATGAGGCTCGTCAAAGTCATGCCACGTCTCTATCACTTGTGATGAGGCTATCTGGGGGCTTTGCGGCCTCGGAGTACCGCTACCTTGAGGCGATCTCGGCGGTAATCCAGTTGAGTCTGCGGGATCATCAACGAATTGCGAGTGGAATACCTCATCAAGGTATCCAGGATTATCCAGTATCTCCTCCCCAAATCCGTCAAATTGGCTACCTGAAAGTGAGTGTGATGGGTTTTGGTATAAATGACCTGCCTCACTGTCTGCATCGGAGAATCTTCCATCTAAAGAATCTGTAGAGCTTTCCATAGATTGTCTAGTTGCTGCAACGGGGGTCAAAGGCCGCTCAAGTACTTGAGAGCGATATAGCATTATGGATTGACTTATGTCTGGTCCCAGGCTCTCAGTAATTGGAGGTGACTGTAACGGTGAAACACTTCGTACAGTTTCCAGGCCATGTCCGCCATTCGAAGTCGTGGTCGAAGGGGACGGTGGAGTGGCAGCGAATCGTGAATAGTTGGAGAAGACAATAGGATCGGACATGAGCTGCACACATATTGAATCTAAAGTAATTGTCCTGCCTGCCGCGGTGGATGGGACGTTTTGGCCCTCTAATGAAGCGACACAGCCTATCGATAACTCGCCAACGACCAGTGATGCTGTTAACTGGTCTGGTTTCTCCGCCGGAACTCTTTTCACGGGCCCATCTTGGGGTAGATCCATATCAACACGAACAATAACATTCATGACCTTGATTTGTAGTCTATCCAGAATTCCTTGCAGAAAGCCGGAAATGAAGCTAGGAAGTAAGACTTCCTCATTGCCAAGGCCGACTTCATCCTCATCGCTTAGTGAACTGGTTGAACGCTGTAGATACTGAGATTGCGATGCTATTGCTGCCTCTATTTCCGCTCTCTCCTCCCTAGGTTCAGACTCGATAAATGACTGTGCCAGATCGTTGGTGGTGGGCAGTGCAGATCGCTTGTCACTCCCATCGTCAGTTGCATGAGACTCGGCGGGAGGTGATGCATCGATTCCGGACTCATTATCATTCAACAGCTGTACATGCACATCGACACCTTCAACTTCGGTGATTATCCCGCTACTGTGAATATCGGCCGGGATCGTCACTCGGATCAGGGATGCGCGTGCTTTGAGTAGCTTGCATGTCGCCGGTAATTGTAGGATTGAGGATAGTTTCTGTATGGGAAGAGAAAGTGTCAAAATTGCATGTCTTGCATCAGAGGTATAATTTATTCCTTAAGGAATGCTCACTTACGTCTAACTTGAGACCCAGATCATGCAACTCAAAGGTACTCCTATGACCCCATCGTATACCCAGACTATCTAGATCGATAGCCTCAGTGTCGACCAGCTCGAGACGAGAAAGTGCGTACCGTAGCAGCCTCTTTTGCACAAAGGACGGCAGGAAGTAATCCATGGCCGCTGACGTTTTTGGAACCCAACCGGGTAAACAGCTCTCTATTTCATCGGGGTCGAATACACAAGGTACGGGTACTGTTAAAAAGGAAATGTTTGTGTTCCCTGATATATGGAGTGACTAGTGTCGCCGAATAACAATTTAACAAAGCTCGCTGTGATCGTAGGGACACGCTTTTGACGCCTAATTCCGTCTCAAATGAGGTGATCTCAAAGCCGGAGGCGGAGGGCGGAGAAACAAAGATAAGGAGCCCGATAAGACCTGGTCAGAGCCTCCGACAGGAGTGACTTCCATGTGAGGATTATTCCAGAGAGACCAAAATCCTGAGCTCTAGGAAAATAGTCAAGGATAAGTGAGGGATAGGATGGGATACTATGCCTCTAAATGAGACAACAAATGATCATGTCGAAGCCAGCGAAAAAGGATGCGTCACGTTGCCGCAGGTCACGGGTGTTGGTTTGGATGCCTCAGTCCCACATCCACGGATCCGCTGAGGCTAAGCCTTATGCGGAATAGCTGACTGTATATAGTTTAGCGCCATCCATGATAGCATCACGTAGACGGACAAATCCAAACACCAAGCACACATGTCACGAGAACAAAAATATGGGCTATCGCGAGTTCAGGTCGGATCTGAGAGAAATGGATTATGTAATTAACGCACTAGTGCCCTATAGGGTTAGTCCCTCCAGGCGTAATAAATATCTATCAGTATCACGTAGTACAGTTAGTGCTACCATAAGATCGAGTCTTCTGCTTAGTCGACTGCTTGATATACATACATCATGATGCCCATTGAAGATATGGCCAAGGAAGAAACCATAGGTCATGCTTTACTATTTACAGGGCTAATCATCAATCTCATCTGCAAACTCCATCACAACCCATTGACAAAACTTCTCAAAGTCCTGGTACCATTCCTGCAAGCGCTTCCCTTTTACCCCCTGGCCCGCGATACCCTGCTTGATATCAGCCTGCCACTCGGCAGCGGTCTGATCTTCAAAGCAGCTCCATCGTATCGAATTTTCGGCCATGGTGGCAAGGCCCGATAATCCCAAATTTTCTAGACCTTGGAGCGTCTGCCAGAAATCGTGAGTGAGGCCGTTTTTGCCGTGTCCGAGGACGGCAGGATCGTCATTGTTGAGAGACACGGAGACCCCGCGGGATAGTAAAGCCGGAAGAGAGTGATGTTTGATGGTACTTGAGAGGCGGAGTATTTCGTTCGATATGGGACAGCATTCAATGAGGATTTTCTTCTCTTTGACGAGATTAATCAGGAGAGGGTGCTTGTAAAGAGAATATCCATGTCCGATTCGCCGTGTGCCTAGCAGGATTGCATCGTATAGATTGTTGTCCGTTTCATCGCCATCTCCAAGACATTCGCCCGCGTGGAAGAAGAAGGGTATGTCGACCCCTTCCTCAGCGCACACTTTTCGGAACCAAAACAATAACGGCACCAAATCAGCAAGTGTTCTCCCCTTGTCTTCTTGACCAACGAGGTCAAAACCACATATCATATCAGGGTATTCATGTTTGGCAATTATACATTGCTCCATGCTATCGACAATATCTCTGTTGGAGAATGCTCGAACAGTCGTCCAGATCATCCGGGCGCCATAAAATTCTTTTCCTTCTTCACTAATCTTAAATTTTTCGATTTCATCCTTGAAAACTCTGAAAAATTCGACAAAGTCGCTTTCTGTGGTTGCACTGCCCGTCTTGCGCCATTCGAAAACAAATGCTGCCCTGAAATCAACGTATCTGATGCCGTCTCTAGCCAGCTCTGCAAGCATACGTCGGAAACACGGTCGGAAAATTGGTTCGTAGAATATAAGAGATTGTAATATCGGAAAAACGCGTTCGAATATGCTCCATATGGCATTAACACCATGATGGTGATAATACGAATGCTCCGCGGTAATCATCATTCGATCCTTGAGCCATTTTCGAAATCCTGCTTCTCCCCCGTCGGGGAATGTGGCAGCGCACTTACTAATGTGGACGAACGAAGCAGGTTTATAGTTGTTGCTCCAAAGAGGCTCTTTATTTTCAGATACTTCACGCGGTCTTTGTAAGTATTGAAAGGTGAATGGAGCCATTTCCAATTCTTCCTTGGTTAGTAACGGTGCTGGAGCGGACATATGCATACCCGGTGTCTCAAAAGCTTGATCTATCAAGAAGTCAAGGTCAAACATGGCATCCATATGAGCATGCAAAAGTGCGCCTTTGGGCATTCGTTCCAGGATTTTCCACAATTTTGTCTGTTCCATGCGCTCGCGGGCAACAGTGAACATCATGCCAGGATATAACAATTCATCATCTGGAGACCCTTTTTCTTTGGTCCATATTTCACGTAGCTCTTTTTCGCGAATTGTAGATACTATCTTGCAGGCTTCCTGGGCAACAGCAGACATGGAACCGCGGAAAGCAAAGTCTATAGATCGGTCAGTGAGAAGTTATATGGATGTCGACCCGGGAGTCAGAGAGGCGAGAAAGAAGAATAGAGTGATGCAAAATCTGACCATGTCTCTGTTTACGTTCCTGTTCTATGAGTGCCTCGCGACCTTCGAGATACTTTTGAATAAAGGCATCTTCAACCTGAGGAATCCCCTCACTCCTTTCCCATCGAATGTCTTCTTCGGAGCGAGTCATAGCAAGTAATCTCTGTTATCTATGCTCACGTCCACAAAAAAGCTTAAAAAAAAAGTCGTTCTCTTTGCTAGCACGCGATATGAACAGAGCAAAGAAGGATCGATCTCGGTGCCCCATTTGTAGTTTGTGTTCGTGAATGACGCGCCAGCCAATCAAGTTTTACAGGTTCTGGACCCCGCTTTGTGTGATGTCTTCAAGGCTTAGTTAAGTCAAGTTCGTAAGACCTTTGGGCACGGTCGATAAAGATTGAGGACTGCTAAATTCCTGTAGCAATGTAAGATTGTGATATCGTTGTAATAGAAGAAAGGTCAAGGAGCTTGTCGAACTCCTGAGAATAGCCGTGTGTCCGGTGACGTCACTCGACCAAAGATTTCAGGGTTGGGGTTAGGGCTCAACCTTGGAAGGAGAATTATGGAAATGGACGTTTAAATTTGAAGAGGGTGCGGTGGCGCCTAAGAGAACAAGTTATCAAAGAAAATCCTCTCATTGACTTCTTGCCTCGATGGGTAACGTCTTGCATATGCGGATTGCTGTGCTTAGATATCCGAATCGACGTCGTGGTGATAACTTGATAACTGATTAAAAGATGGAGCCATCGATATGTGGAACATTAGAATTCTTTTCTGCATTCTAAATGTTCAAAGTCCGTAAATCCCTAAGGTATTTTGGAGATATCGTCTTGGCAGATCCACCTCCTGGTAAAGTACGGAGATTCGAGCAACGCCCATGGTATATAAACGACAGACGTCTGACAACAACTACCGCCCCGGAAAAATATCATTTCGAGGACTGGTTTATAGCTAGGTCATTGTAGCTGCAGTAGTGATTACCGGCGACTGACAGGCAATTCGGGCATGAAGTCCACATTGCCGATTTGGATACCAGTGCTTGGCTGGATGGGTAGAAAAAGTTTTTATTTGGTTGGTTGGTTGGTCTATCAACTATACTCTATTATAGCTGTCTAGTCAGCACAGCTATGCAGACTTGCAACACAGATTGTTCAGATATTTTCGTTTACTGGATTCCCCTCTCTTAGTTCAACCCAGGCTCTCAGCAGATTTCATTTGAGAATGTTAATCTGGACTGTACATTATTATAATATGTAATGTGGAGCTAAGCGCATGGCTAAACGGGTAGTGGGGGGCCTAATTCATGGCCCCGCTTGCAGCCGTATTTTACAACCGATGGTATCGTTTCAGTACAGAAATGTTCGTATTTGCAAATACACATGTGTAACTGAAGTAGTTACTTAGCCGGATGGCTCTTAGTTGTTGTAACACTCTGAGGTGTAGCATCATGTTCTCAGTGTCTAGAATTATATGGTATGTATGTGTTGTTGACTCTAGCTATAGACCTCACGCTCGGTATATCCTACCTGACTGAGTACTTTTTGTCGGCCTTGTAGGTCTCAGATTCTTTGTTTGAGGGGTACTTACTTGGTCAACTAAATACATCTACTGGAAACTATTCTTTTCAGCTCGTCGGTATAATTGATAGATTCCGAAAAAGATGTCGAGGTCATGGATGTTGACTGCTGTGGAACAATAACTTGGTTACTCGCAGGTCTTATAGTTTACCTAGGTAAGGATCCCTTGAATCGCTACGTAGAACTCTAACTGAAGAGGCGATAATGGCTGTAGTGGCTTCAGATGCAGATTAAAGTAGATGCATTCCTTCAACTTCCGAGCTGCCAATCTATGTAGCAAGCTCTAGGTTAATTGCCTCCCAGCAATGAGTGCATTTTCTCCACTAACACGTGAAATCAAATATTATTCCGTATGGAGCGTTTAGTTTACTGCGGCATTTGGTAGATTCAGAACCTCCCCGCTTTCTGTCAAATATGGAATAGCGTATCCCACTGACAGCAACGCCTTCGAGGTATCAACGAACTTCTCCTGATCCTTGACTGACGCATGCCACTCTGGATCCGCTAACATGTTTGCCATGGCTTGCTGGTCAGGCATCAGATACTCGATGATACGGTCGAAATCCGCATAATCTCAGGTGGGGTTGGTCTTGATCATGACCTCTTTAAGTGGTTCATTGAGCGAAGAGGGCGTGTCGAACTAGACTCGGTAGTTAGTATCAACTGTAAATCCTAGGTTAGTTCAAATGCACACAAGAGTGTAAGATATTACTCCGTGCTTCTTGAAGACTGGAGTAGCAAGAGGTAGATGTTCTTTGACCATCCATTTCATGAATTCCTCGTGGGTGAAGTGCGGCTGACGATAGTGCGTGACGGTGTATTTCAGCCGTTGGCCTTCACGGAGTTCTGCCATGATGATTTCAGTTATCGAACTTGTATAACGGCAACTAATTAAATAGAACCAGGTTGTGAAGTCAATCGAAATGAGGAATTGTACAATTTGTGGTAGTCGAGAAGTCCAGAAGGGAAGGCGCAGTGCAGGCTTATTTACATAGTACTTCCAACTATTATCATGTGACCAATTAATTTGTCGCTGTTAGTTCCCTACTCACCAGCTCCTTTGTTTTTACACTGTCGCAGAATATAAGCGACTCGGTCCACATTATGATCGCTGTATTTAGGGTTAGGGCTAGGTAGGGCTAGATTGGTGTGTGTACCTGTATATTTACCTTCACACGTCACAAAAAGCATGCAGTCATACGATAAGAGCAGGGAGCTTAGGCGAATCTACTCATATTAGCTAGAATTCGCCTCGGCAACCCTGGTGGTCGCATACAGAATTAATTGATAGAGTGTTGATAGTTGTCTGGAGTAATATATTTAGGTTGATATAACTGTTTCCCCTGTACAATGATTAGAGATGTGCATGTTATCTTTATTAGAGGATGAGCTTATGATGTATAGCAATCCAGTTCATCTTGACTACCTAGGTAAGGGCCTCTACGACTGACTCTCATTAGCTTGGTTAATGCTTCACGACATGGGTGATCTTCTCTTCACAACAGGAGGCTTGTTGCCCAATATGCCATCAATTTCCGCCAGTATCTCCGGAGTCAACTTCTCTATGACAACCAAGGATTTCACGCTCTCGTAGATTTGGTCTGGGCGGCTGGCTCCTGTGATGGCGGAGCTCACATTTTTGTTGGCCAGTACCCAAGCCATAGCCAAGTTGGGCTGCGAAACCTCGAGTCTATCCGCGATTGGCTTGAGTTTTGCGACGACCGAAATAAATGTATCCCATTCCTTGCCACCAATGCGTGCTCTCATACGCTCAACAGATGGATCGGTACTGTTTGCCAAGCGGGAGTTCTCGGGGATTCCGTTATTATACTTCCCTGTCAAGATGCCAACCTTTAAGGGGCTCCAAATAGTAAGGCCGAGCCCTACTTCTTCATACAAGTGGGCAAAGTCTTTCTCAACTTTGTTCCGGGAAAACATGTTGTACTGCGGTTGTTCTGCCACAGGACCAATAAGCCCGAGTTTATCTGCATACCGCCACGCCGTTGCGATTTCATCGGCATCCCACTCAGAAGTGCCCCAGTAGAATGCTTTGCCTGTATTGATGACATGATTGAAGGCACGTACAGTCTCCTCGATAGGGGTGTCTCGATCGGGTCGATGTGCGAAGACTATGTCGACATACTCTAGACCGAGACGCTCAAGGGAGCCATTCAGTCCTTCAACAACATGTTTACGGGAGAGACCACGGTTATTCACGGGATTTTCCCCGAATGCCTCGCCCCAGTAAATCTGTTTGATATTCATTTAGCCAATATTTGTACGGTGGAGGCACGTTTCGACCACACCTTTGTGGACACCACAATGTCATTTCGTTTCCAACCAAACTTCTTGATAGCCTGTCCCATAACGCGCTCAGACTCGCCATTGGAGTAGCTTTCGGCGCAATCGAAGAAATTGATGCCCACATCATAGGCTGCTTTCATACAGGAAAATGTATTCTCTAGAAGTCCAGTCAATACAAGGTACAGAATGTACTCAGGAGTCATATCTCGTACCATTTTCAACATGTCCGCCATACGTTAGCCAACCGCCCAGAGAAATGGCAGAGACTTGCAGACCAGACCGGCCAAGGAAGCGGTATTGCATTCTGGGAAGATCTTTGGGGACTGGCATATTGGCGTGTTGGTTGTCGAAGCTGTAGAGGGTATATAGAACAGAAAAAGTGCTCTGCAGACCTTAAACTGACCTCGAGAGGAGTTTTATTATTATATGCACCAGGCACAGGCGGGGTATCGTGGAATGAGGGGAGATATCAAGTGTGGACTGCAGAAAGAAAAACATCTTCTCCTTAATAAGGGTCTTTTTCGGGTCCTTTACTCTTTTCTTGGTATGCGCTGAGTAAGATAGCTCCTGAATCCGGGATTTATTTATGCGCACAAATCTTACACTCTGAGTAAGATTGACTTCAATTTATAGTTATCATCATGAATATAGATGAGCATCACAAGGTGGTTGGTGATCCCTGTAGGAGAGAAACAAAAAAGGCGCCGTATTACATCCGGTACCGGTTATCCGCACCCCGGTTCAGGATAAGGGCCTCCTATCTCCTCAAATCACAACTTGAGCTGGTTCTTCCTGATTGATCAGAAGGTATTCATTGATTTGATATGTCTTACTATACTGGTTGTCTTGCCAGATATTGAATGCCTAAAATACAACTTAACAAGCGCGACTTCAGAATTATATATTCAACGTATCTCACATGTGATATAGACACCTTTTGAATATAGCCCGGGCATAATGCGATACTTTTGGTCTGATTCCCACATTTAAAATCATTGCGGGGGTAATTTTATAGCATCAATGCCATCTGCCGCTTTGCTCTTCCAATCCTCGCGCCACCGGGACAAGGCAGGGCGTCCATAAATAATATCTCCATATCCCCATGTGATCCTTCTACGATCCAAGTCTTCCGTGACATCATTATCCGGACACAATATATAAAACTGTCCAGCTGCCATTTTCTGGCTCATAAACTCGACAACCTCTTCCGGAGCCCAGGCACCGTCTGGCTTTGTAGGGAAATGTGCAGTCATGAGGCCTGTGTAGGTCCAACCGGGGATCAAGAAGTGGACACTGACATTTGGATTGCTAACATGCAAATCAAAAGACAAATGCTCGGCTATAGTTTTCACTGCGCTTTTCGAGGCATTGTATGCCGGGTTTCCGGGCGGATTGGTAATTCCCTGTTTAGAGCCCGTCAAGATTATGACGCGCTTATCGGTTTTATTGCTTGTGATGCTGTCGATGAAAGCCGCAATTCCATTTATGTACCCAAAGGTATTGACGGCAAATGTTTTCTGAAAGTACTCAGGGTCCCTCCAGTTGGTTTTTCCCGCAGCAGGTTTGAAGCTGCCTCCCGCATTTAACATGAGCAAGTCGACACCGCCGGGATGGAGAGCAAGAACGTCGCGCTGTATTCGGTCCCAGTCTTGGACATTGGAGACATCCATCTCAAAGGTGGAAATCGTGACATCAGATCCGGAAGGAAATTCATCGGCGAGTTTGGAAAGGTTACCCTTGTTGTTGTCTGAAAAGAATGAGATTCATTTCATGCGAATAGCAGAATCGTGCAGCGGCCAGGCCGATTCCTGAGGCCGCGCCTGTGATGAGAGCAGTCGCTCCTTTGCGAAAGACCGGGTGCAATGTAGTTGTCATGTTGGATGGAATCTCTATTCGTGTCAATAACGAACTGTCCGCAGGATCAATTGAGTTGGGGTGTTAACAGAAGCAGTTGTTGGAGGGGCACCCGGCGATAAGATAAAAGCCGAGACCACACAACCCGCTTACTTCATTCGATTTTCCATCTGCGAGCTAACCATAACAGGGAAAATCTCTCGCGCTAATTATTTGAAAGCCAAACGCAGATCATCTGCTGTGAGCCATCTGACCAATGAACGTTCTCCAACGCCTCAACTCTTATTCTTGTTTCGAGAGACTTGTCAGTGTAAGTCTTCATTCACTCTGAGCGACTAAATATGAGGCATTAAGCCCAATACGGGTCAATACTTCTCTTGTTTGTATTGCTTTTGTACCAATCCCCAATCAGCTGTTCTGCGCCCAGCCGTTATGGTCACACCCCTGAGTGAGACTCGACCTCGCTATTCCTTATTATTTGTTCCTCTTCCGAAAAAAGATTACTTCTGCGTGTGATAGTCATTTTGCTATTGCTTCATCAAGGCATAGACTTCTCCTCGCTCAGATCATACGGCGACGGCGCTGGAGGACATTGCTTTTCTGAAGGTCTAGTCTGAGAGTATCAAACGGGTTATAGACACAGTTGCCAATGATGGGCCCCAGAGATGAGGCATCTGCTCCGCTTTCGACGACTCAATTGGAGGCTGATGACCCTCATGGTGCACGGAAAGGGAGAGAGAGCAACCCAAAAAATGAAGATTCTCATTTACCAACATCGACCCCCACGGAAAATCCTTCTTGGACCAAAAATCACAGCGAGGGTATCGAAGTTGTAGATGAGAGACACACTTCGCGACTGTGGCTACGTCGAATTTTTAAACACGGACGATATCCTTTATATGGGATTGTATGGCTGCTGTTCACTGGGTAAGTTACTTACAGCAAATGTACGCCGTCAAGATTATCATTTATATTGGTACTTATTTAGACTTAGATGGTGGATTGCAGGCCTCATTCTACATCGTCACGATCTTGGGTGGTTGATCCCTTTTCTCTTATATCTGGTCATAACCCTTCGTATCATTTTCTTATGCGTGCCAATTACCCTCGTTACGGTTTCTATGCGCTGGATTTGGGGCAGAACTGCCATTCCGATCGCCCACTCTATACCCCAGAGATGGAAAACGTCTGTCAGCGCCCTTTTGGTAGCAGCTGTGATCTTAATCGGCGCATTTGTCTCCCCGGAGTCCGCTGACAACACTCACGAAAATCGTGCCGTCAGCCTCGCGGGATTGGTTCTTCTTATTGCCATCTTATACTTCACTTCGAAAGACCGGAAACGAGTCAACTGGCATCCAGTCATTGTTGGAATGCTCGTACAGTTCATTATCGCTCTGTTCGTTCTACGTACTAAGGCTGGGTACGACATGTTCAACTTCATTTCGAGTCTTGCTACGGGTCTACTTGGATTTGCAAAGGATGGCGTCGGATTCTTAACCACCAGTCCCATTCCAGCCAGTATTAATTCGTGGTTCTTGGTTATCGCGCTTCCGGCTATTATCTTCTTCGTGTCCCTCGTTCAAGTACTATTTTACGTCGGCGTTCTCCAATGGTTCCTGGGAAAATTTGCGGTATTCTTCTTTTGGAGTATGCGAGTCTCCGGTGCCGAAGCAGTTGTGGCGGCTGCTTCTCCGTTCATCGGCCAGGGAGAATCCGCAATGTTGATTCGGCCTTTTATTCAGTATCTAACCCTGGCTGAGCTTCATCAAGTCATGTGTTCTGGCTATGCTACGATCTCTGGTAGTGTCCTTATTGCATACGTTGCCATGGGTGTCAATCCCCAGGCTCTCGTCTCTGCTTGTGTGATGAGTATTCCGGCATCACTTGCCGTATCCAAGCTACGTTGGCCGGAACAAGAAGAGACTTTGACGTCTGGCCGGGTGGTGATTCCCGAAGACGATGAAAATCGACCCACGAACGCCCTAGAAGCTTTTACGAACGGATCATGGCTGGGCCTGAAGATCGCAGGAATGATCGGTGCGACGCTTCTTTGTATGATATCTCTCGTCGGACTCGTTAACGGTCTCCTCACGTGGTGGGGTCGTTATATCAATGTCGATGGACCAGATTTAACTTTGGAGTTGATTCTCGGATATATCTGCTACCCAATTGCCTTCTTTCTAGGGGTTTCTCGGGATAATGATGACATTTTGCTCGTGGCGCGACTCATCGGAATAAAGTTGATAACTGTAAGCCACTTCCTTGACAATGAATTATTACCATTCCTTGCAGAGCTTTTACTGATCCAGAAAGAATGAGTTCGTCGCATACAATGCTCTCCAGACAGACCCAGCCTACGCCAATCTATCCTCTCGCTCCCGCCTTATCGTCACCTATGGGCTATGTGGCTTTGCCAACATTGGCTCGCTGGGTAATCAAATCGGTGTCTTCGCCCAACTTGCACCTTGTCGTACTGGTGATGTTTCACGAGTGGCTATTTCTGCCTTGATAACTGGTGCGTTCAGTACTTTTATTAGTGCCAGCATTGCCGGGATGGTTATCATTGATGACTCAAAATATGCCACTTGATATTTTGCACATCTCTCTCTAAGATGTGTGTAATGTGAGCATGGATTGAGATCGAAGAGTTGCCGTGTCAAGGAAGTATCTAAGGTAGCTTGACCTCCTTAATCAGTACAGTCAAGAAACCACAATAACTGAAACAAGATGCATTTCATAAGGCTCTCAGCATCGATACATCTTAATTTCATCATGCAATTAGGGCCAGTCACTAGGTAGGTAAATTATTATGGAGGTGAATGAAATATGCAACAGCCCAGATTACTTTTCGTATAACTGCTCGTCATTATATGCAATACACGGTAGCTCACAATGGTACTCGCCCAGCAATATCTGTGAGTATCGTATACCTATCTCGGATAAGATAGTGGTATATTCTAATCAGATGTATATCGTATATCGTATATTCATCCTCAGTGGTCAGTATACAGTATACGATTCCTGTCCAATCATATAACGGGGCTTCGCATACCCTTATCTCTGATACTTGTCGCGTCGCCTCCCCCCAACCGCAGTATATTTATCTTATCGGAACTTGCTATGTACTAGCACGAGCTCAGTTAAGCTTAATACTCAAGGACGTTTTATAATGGGAAATCTTGATATTGACCTAATTCTGTGCACACTCTTCTATCTACATCTTGATGGGATTTTTGGACACTATTTATGTTTGAGAATCCCATATAGACGATATTCAGACAATCTCAATAGAAGATTCTCACACAAAGCTGTAAAATTGATTCGTAGGCTCAATCTTGTGTCTTCAATTTTCGAATTTTCCTTGTATCAATGTTGTAGGCTTTCCTTGATTAGGGCTCCCACTAGAGCGACGGGTCCGTCGCGATTACGTAAACTTTAAGATTATGTAATCCTCCTAAAAATTCCATCTATCAGAACCTCGGCCCAGCGCCTGCAACACCAACACCATGGCTACCTTCCCAGACGATTGCCTCCCTCCTGAATCTATCTACGACTCCCGAGAGGCCTTATTCGAGTCAATTAATACGTGGGCTGCTGTTAGGGGTTATGCATTTATAGCACGGAGGTCGACTAAAGAGAAGAATGGACGATCTACGATCACATTCGCATGTGATCGAGCATGCATCCCACCTACGCCAAGAGAACGCCAGAGAAAGACAACTACTCGAGGAACCAGCTGCCCTTTTTCAGTTATAGCTAAAGAGTCAGGTGAAGGCTGGACTTTAAAGCATCGTCCCGATCAGCGCTTCTCTATACATAACCACGAGCCGAGCCAATGCCCGTCTGCCCATCCAATTCATCGGCAATTATCCGGATGTACTTCACAACTCGTAAGGCACTCGAATGCCGGTATCGCACCAAAAGAGATTCAAACACTTGTACGGCAGAGCGGCTCACTAGCTACGCGGCAGGACATCTATAATCAAATTGCAGCTGCGCGACGAGATTCATGCGAAGGCCAGAGCCCGATTCATGCGCTTGTGAATCAGCTCGATAAAGAAGGCTTCTGGAGTCGAATACAATTTACACCAGACGGCCATGTTACGGCAGTACTTTTTGCACACCCTGACTCTCTTACCTACCTTCAAGCTTACCCTGAACTCCTCCTCCTCGATTGTACATATAAGACGAATAAATACGGTATGCCCCTCCTCGATATGATTGGCGTCGATGCGGCTCAGCGGTCCTTCTGTATTGCATTCGCATTTCTGAGTGGCGAGACTGAAGAGGATTATACGTGGGCCCTCGAGCGGTTGAAGTCGCTATACGAGCAATGTAACGCTACTCTTCCGTCCGTTATTTTAACAGACCGCTGTCTTGCAGTTATTAATGCGGCTTCGGCTCTTTTCCCTTCCGCGGCGACTCTTATCTGTATTTGGCACGCGAATAAGGCAGTCCTCGCTCGATGTCAACCAGCGTTCCCAGACGCTGAGAAATGGAAGGAGTTCTATAGGTTTTGGCACTCGATCATTAACTCGCCCATTGAAGAAGTATACGCCGAGCGCCTCGCAGAGTTCCAACAAAAATACGTCCCGGAACACCTCGAGGAAGTTGGATATATTAAGACTACGTGGCTTATCCCATTCCGGGAGAAGCTTGTACGAGCTTGGGTCGACCAATCAACTCATTTTGGTAATACAGCTACCTCCCGAGTTGAAGGGATCCACGCGCTTATCAAGTCCTACTTAAAGAGATCGACGTTCGACCTCTTCGAAGCTTGGAAAGCAATCCAACTCGCTCTTCTCAACCAACTCTCTGAGCTAAAGTCGAACCAAGCGAAGCAGCAACTTCGAGTGCCTCTCGAGCTCTCGGGAGCTTTATACGGGATCGTACGAGGTTGGGTATCGTACGAAGCTTTAAGGAAGGTGGAAGAGCAACGAAAGTTGCTTGCGAGGAGAGATCCACCTCCGTCCTCAACTTGTACGGGCACCTTCTCTCGGGTCTACGGGCTCCCATGCTTACATATATTAGACGCTCTCCAAGGGGGTCTTCTACTCGATCATTTCCATTCGCATTGGCATTTAATACGTAAGGGAGCTCCGAAATTGCTTCTCGAGCCTCGTCAGCGTATTGAGCCAGTACAGCCTCGAAGCTTGGCCGTCCCGAGGTCAAGTACTAAGCGGGAGCCTTGTCAATTTGAAATTGTCAAAGCCCAAGTAGCCCGGGCCCGTCGAGGCCCTAATAAATGTACGAATTGCGGTGCAACTGGCCATATAAGGACCTCGAGGGCATGCCCTCTACGGTATTCAAATATATTATAATATAATTGCTTCTCGAGCGTTTATATCGGTGCTCTCAGTGTTGGTGTTGCAGGCGCTGGGCCGAGGTTCTGATAGATGGAATTTTTAGGAGGATTACATAATCTTAAAGTTTACGTAATCGCGACGGACCCGTCGCTCTAGTGGGAGCCCATATCTTGTCGGAACGTTGGTTTACTAGAGCGATGACTAAGCGAAGGCGAGCACTAACGTAATTCACCACCGAAGCGGCACCACTACCGAGCCGGCATTTTTTCCCGAGCGCGTACACGATATTGATTTTATATTATTCAACACGTCAATATGCCACCAATTCGCAATAAAAACCGGAAAAATTTAGATGAGCAAGAGAGACAAATCTTATTAGCAATTTCCGATTTACAGAATGGCCGAATTCAACGTGTAGCTCAAGCTGCAAGGATTTACGAGATCCCCCGGACAACTTTACAAGATAGACTCAATGGTATTCAACAAAGATCTCTCGTACGCGCCAACAGCCATAAATTGACTCAATATGAAGAGGAATCGCTTGTCAAATGGGTGCTTGATTTAGATCGACGTGGATTACCCCCCCGGCATTCTCTTGTACGAGAAATGGCTAATTATATACTTTCACAACATGGCAAACCACAAGTTGGAAAAAATTGGATAACTAAACTGATTAAACGCCGTCCAGAGATCGATTCCAAATTCGCAAGGAAATACAACTACGAACGTGCTAAATGCGAAGATCCAAAGATAATACAAGAACATTTTGATTGCGTACAAGCTGCTATATCTGAGTACGGCATCTTACCGGAAGATATATTCAACTTTGATGAGACTGGCTTTGCTATGGGACTCTGTGCAACTGCAAAGGTTATTACTGGAAGCGATCGATATGCTCAGCCGAAGCTTTTACAGCCTGGAAATCGAGAATGGGTGACTGCAATTGAGGCAACAAATTCAACTGGATGGGCTGTGCCTTCGTACGTGATTTTCAAAGCAAAGAAAAACGTACGAGAAGGCTGGTTTGATGATCTTCCAGATGATTGGCGAATCAATATTAGCGATAATGGCTGGACTACAGATCAGATAGGATTAGAATGGCTTAAAACCCATTTTATTCCCTATATTAATGGTCGTACGGTTGGAAAATATCGAATGTTGATTCTTGATGGCCATGGAAGCCATTTGACACCAGAATTTGACCATATATGTACTGAGAATAATATTATTCCAGTCTGTATGCCACCTCATTCTTCGCATCTCTTACAGCCTCTTGATGTTGGCTGTTTTGCTGTTTTAAAGCGACATTATGGGCAGCTTGTTGAGCAACGAATGAGGCTTGGTTTCAATCATATTGATAAAATGGACTTCTTAACAGCATTTCCACAGGCTCGTACAGTGGCATATAAAGCTCAAACTATTCGGAATAGCTTCGCAGCCACTGGATTAGTGCCTTTCAATCCAGATCGAGTTATACAACAGCTTAATATTCGATTGAAGACACCAACCCCCCCTCCAAGTCGATCAAGCAATACGGCATCATCCTGCTTACAAACACCTCAAAATATACGCCAATTTATACGCCAGTCGACTACAATCAATAAACGTATAAATGAGCGTACAGAAAGCAACCAAAATCAAGAAATCAATCAGGCAGTTGTACAGTTGTCAAAAGCCTACGAAATGATAGCAAATGATGTTTTACTCGTACGGAAAGAGAACTACGATTTACGAGCTGCACATGAGAAAGAGAAGCAAAAGCGCCAAAAATCTAAAAAGCAAATATCTATTGAGCAAGCGGTTACTAAAGAAGAAGTGCAAGCGCTCGTACAAGGTCAGGTTGAGGCATCCCATGCTGTTACTACTACTCCGGCTGAGCCGGAGCTCCCAGCTTCTCAAGCAGTCGTACGCCGCCAATATCGCTGCAGTGGTTGTAACGTTATGGGGCATAGAATTAACCAATGCCCTAGTCGTATTAGTAGTTAGATTTTTGTATATAATTTGTATGTGGCTTTGAAAATTGGGATTTGAAATCAATATCGCGTACGCGCTCGGGAAAAAATGCCGGCTCGGTAGTGGTGCCGCTTCGGTGGTGAATTACGTTAAACAATACGTATAAGGAACTAGGTCTATTTTCCGGCACTCCTCTAAAACCCCTTATCTAGGAGTATTGAACCTGTTTTTATATACAAGATTCCATAGAAGTGATATCACCAAAAGTCGACACTTGTGCAAATCGAACTTTCTAGAGATAGGCTGTAAAGTTGATTTGTAATGTTCAATATCGCGTCGGAATGTGATGCCAATTCTCGAAATTTCTTGATACGCAAATCTTGTCCTATTCCCAAATTGGTTTAGTTCATTCTGAGTTCCAACATATCTTTATTATCACGTGACTTTCTGATTGTCCAATCATAATCTTGAATCATGCGTTTCTGTCATCCAATCATTCCTTCTAGTCTGTTTCTTATATCGAGTAGCTAATTGCAAATGGTTAGCGTATACAGGGTGGGGGAGGCGACGCGACGGGTTGTGCGCTATTGTAGTAAAGCAAATCCTTATATCGAGGAATGGCCAGCCCCACCGCCCTAGATTCTCCGCAGTTGCGTTCAACAATTCAACACGTCAAATCCAACGCTCATCTAGTTCTTGAGCAACGGTCCTATGATTACTATTATCAGATGATATTAATCATCCGAGACAAACGATCCGAATCCGTGTGCAAATAACAACACAGTGGGACTCTTGTTTACGGAGTACTAACAACTTCAGCGCAGGAACCCGAACTCCCGCATCTTGTCACTGAATGTTTAGTATTATGGCTCGCCCTCAAGAGAGCAGATTGAAGGGAACAGCAAAAGAAAAGAATGAGAGTCAACCTGCAGTATCACAAGATTCCTGCATGCTTCTGCGACTTCCGGGTGAGATACGCAACCTGATCTATTCGCACCTCTTCACCTCGACAAGACTCACCTTTGGCGAACGGAGCACAAGCCGTGTTTCCGCCAAAAGAATGAAGCCTGCACCCAACTCTCTGGCAATACTACGTACATGCAGCCTGGTTAAACAAGAAGCAGGAGGTCTTTGGCTTGGTCAAGTCTTGTTCAACTTTGAAAATCCAGAAGATATGCTTGACAAGCTCTCAGAGCTTCCTTCGACTACGCTTTCTCAGATCCGTTATATCCGTGTGGGTGGGCGTCCCATAAATCTTACACCGATAGGTGACGATGACGATGTATACTACAGGCTTGTATGGGTCCTCAAGTTACTTCCAGACTTGTGTCTGGATACGCTCAGCGTTCTCGGCATGTCTAATGGCGACATTGCCTACGACACCCTTAGCGGTTTAGTTAAGTACGGTAATGGATGGAAGGAGCTTCGATACATTACACCTAACTCTGAGATGCTCGGCTTTAAGAGGCTGGATTTGTTCATGGCAGACCCATACTGGCGGCAACCTCAACCGAGCACTTGGAATGACATTCTGATCCAGCGGGACGGTCTGGATTCCAGGGCCTCCGTCACAATTTACCGCTCTACTCAATCTGGTACGCCAGGCGCAGTGCTCAAACCAGAGACACGTCAGCTCTTTGAGCAAAAGCCGTCTACAGAAGATCTAGAAATGTTCGGAGTGGAAGAAGACAAGCAGCTGCTAGGAATGAATGAAAGAGGAAAAGAATTACTAGTGGTCGTAAGACGAGGTTATCAAGCTGACATCTCAGAACAAGATAGTCCCCCGTATTTATTGGAGAACGACATTCGGCAATGGGCGCATGGCTTGACTTGGGCAGAGATTCGGCGCCAGTGCATTGACTTCTTAGCCGAGAGTAGTGACGATGACGATCCCGACTTTATAGAGAAAGGTGAGGACGTCGAGGCCGATAGGTATAATGATGTTGACGAGTACGAATGGAATTCTGTCATCTAGATGAGGAGGATAGATGCTGTATACAGTACAATGTTCCGATATCGATCCGTCATAAGCCCATCTAGAATGAATAGTATCCTCCGGAATGAAATCGCATCATGTGATGCGATCCAAAAAAAAAAGGAAAAAGGGAATAAAACAGCCCGATGTGGGACTCGAACCCACAGCCTACAGGGCGCTATCAACAATAGAAACCTGTTGCGCTACCATTGCGCCAACCGGGCTTACCTAATGGTAGCTTCTTATTCTTCTTTCAATTATAAAGTGCTAGCATTCAGCATGCCATAGTAAAATATTCTAACAATAATTCCTGTATCAAGAAGTCTATCCGGTAAGAAGAATCGTGTTAAATACATCTTGTTAATAACCCTGACCTTTCAGCTAAGCAATTAAATATCATTAAACACCAAGATGATACGTTTGTGGTCTGTACGGAAATTCACTGGACAGCCTAAAGTCTATAAAGGTAATCAATAGCTAATTTATACTTGTCAATCATTTCGTATTTATTAATCGCTATCTCTCTTGCATATACACAAAGATTTTAAATACGACCTCATCCGCATTTGGCTCTGGTCCTACGAAGTATTATACACATTTTTTAATAATGCCTGCAGTTGATACAGCGTCCTCTGTGAGTTTCTCCGTATGGGAATTAACCCTAACCCTAACCAATTAAGCTTTCAATACTGCAGACGCTCTGAATTTCTGCATAGAGGTAAACAAACCGCGGATGAAGAGCGCATAACTTGTTGGCATATGGATATATCCCCGACCAAAATCCTTGTGCTTAACTATAATAGTGAGAATTCTCATAACTCTGTGGGATTTGGAAGATTACCGATTTCAGCTCTTCCTACTTGGCCACTGAGAACGGAAAGCCGTTGCTGTCACCTCCAAAATTGTCATCAGGGGCTTACGTGGCTCCAGAAATCTACTGGAATGTTGAATCCCAGATTGACAAGTCTTGTGTCGTTTGGACTTTTGGTTGTGTTCTTTTATGAGGTGCTTCTTGGGCATATCTATGGGGACGATGAACTGACCTCTCCAGAGTCTTATTACTTTGAAGAGAATGAGGACGGTCAGGTCAACGGCATTGCTCGGAAAGTTCGGAAATACTTGGATATGAACGATTCCGATAGCCGACCTGTCTTGCTTTGCAAGGGTCTTGTCTTTGCTTTTCTGCAAACTAATCCTGCCGAGCGACCTTCGGCTCAAATAGTAAAGATAGACTGGATTCAATAATTCAGGTATCAAAATCGGTGTGACTATCTCTTGTAGCTTTCAAGGAGTTTGTGTATGTTTGAGTCAGGTCTAGACTTAATACTGTTTATGAACTGAAGCTATTCCCAGTGCTTGACTGTAGCGAAGAATCAATAGAACGTGCTCGATCACACCCAAAGTAAAAACAACGTAGGCAGCATTTGTAGCACTCAACATATAATGTCAACTAATCGTGTCATTTGGACATAAGTCTTTATGCTAGGTGGCAAACGAGTACCATATACCAATAAAATATTGAGTCATCAGGCTGCCTGGCTCGCGTCATACATGATCTTCTAGGACAGATTAGCTACCTAGGTACCTTGGACATCTCTGGATATCTTCATCCGCCTTTTTTCGTCAACTCTGCTTGTAACCACTTCCCAAATAGACTCTCAACTGCAAGATTATCCATTGATGTGAATTTCCTACCTGTATCGTCGATATTTGAATCATCCACGAAGGTCGCGGTATCTAGATCCAAGGATGCATTGCTCTCAGCACCAATGAGTACTGTATATTGATTTATATTAAACCAATCATCTCGCCCACCATAGCAAATGCCTGCGGAATGGAGATGTACGACTTCCTCCTCAATCTGAGTCTTCCAACTTCGAACTTGTTCAGCGAAGATGTCCGATGTAGTATCTTCAGCCTGCGCAATGACATTTGCCAACGATTGACTGGAGGTAGTAGAAGATAGTAGTATTCCAGCTACTAAAGTCTGGCTCATCTCTGCGTCATGCTTGTATTTCTGCCCGGTGCGATCAAGTACTACTTGGATCGCGGAAGCAGACTCGTCGGATACAAAAGAGGTATCTGTCACGATACCCAGAACTGTAGATTTTCGAGTAGCGTACGTATCATGTTTTTCTTGGCCATATTTGAGCAAACAAAGATGAGCTTCTATGCTGTCCAAAGCGTCATTTTGCACTTCGCCAGTCTCGACCCATGTACTGCTACGTTTGCAAGCCTTGAAGTAACAGACGAGACCATCAGTTGTTCGGACCTTGTGTGGAGGGTTTCTCCAGTTTAACTCCCTGTCAAGTATGACCAATTCGCTACTTGGATATTGCGGAATCGTTTTTGGCAGATTGATGAACGCTGTAAAAGGGAGAGGTTGGAACTCGTATGCCGCTACATCTTCTGGGCCTTTTGTGACTTCCGGATGCACATTAGTGGTCTCCATCTCAGTGACAAGCTTTAAACTATAAGCCGGAGTATGCAGGTAATCTCTCAAGGTGATCCAATGTGGCCCGACAGGGGCTAGCTTCTGCAATGTGGTCATAGAATGGGATATTATAAGATCGCAGAGATTATTGTGCCTATCCAACATCTTCGCCACCGAATCCGCCATTGAATCACCCGGCTTGGGCTCTGCTAGCAAAGGCCTCCAAGCCGAGTAGAAGGCTGTTCCGTAGACATCTTTTTTATCCACGTGAATGGTAAACCTACTTCCGTTTCTGTAAAACAATATCCAACAAAATTCGTCCTCTTCGGTCTTCATTCCAAAACGGACGATGTGGGGAACATCGTCAAAATATCTTACAGTTGACATGGTTTGGGCTCGGTACGCTGCCTTTGTGAAATAGAGAAGCCGAATAACATTTGAAGACCAAGTCTATTCGACGTTGGCGCGATCGGACGGGATTGAAAATAGGGTGGGGTGTGGGTGCGCTTCTGCACATGTGCACACAAGTAGCTTAGTAACTGTTGGTTTAACTACGGTCCGTATCACGAAGCATAGACGGTAGTAAGGCGCGAACACGAAGCGGCCTAATGAGCCTGACAATATGAAGATATCTTGATTCCTAATATTGTGACTGATCCCCAAGAGTAAGGGGACCGGGGATAACTAGCTAGATATATATACGCGGCACGCACGTGCCACGTTGGACTAACTATATCCGGTGCCGAAACGTGTAGGGTTTGATATTCACGTTCCGACAGTAACCAATTGGTAAAGTCATATTATTCTGATTGTCTGTCTCTTCTAGCTATTTGACCTCGACGCGGTAGATCATCCCTTCGTGTAGTGTCGGAACGTTGGTTTACTAGAGCGATGACTAAGCGAAGGCGAGCACTAAACAATACGTATAAGGAACTAGGTCTATTTTCCGGCACTCCTCTAAAACCCCTTATCTAGGAGTATTGAACCTGTTTTTATATACAAGATTCCATAGAAGTGATATCACCAAAAGTCGACACTTGTGCAAATCGAACTTTCTAGAGATAGGCTGTAAAGTTGATTTGTAATGTTCAATATCGCGTCGGAATGTGATGCCAATTCTCGAAATTTCTTGATACGCAAATCTTGTCCTATTCCCAAATTGGTTTAGTTCATTCTGAGTTCCAACATGTAGCCTGCGTCACGTGAGTGATATCACATGACCAAGCTCTCGACTGCACCCGCACATCCAACATGGGGGATAATTTATTTTGTGTTGACAGAAGTTCTCCTCCCTGTTGGCAGCACCGCCTGCCGCATGTAGTTTGGCGCCTCTGGTAGAAAGGACATATAACACTTCCTAGCGGGGGTTCTTTTCTCCCAAGAGACAAACATGAGTTAGGGAAGCAATACACAGAGAATTCCTTGCTCCCATCTCTCAAGATTTTGTATTAAAAGGAAACAAGGAATCAAAGAGAAGAGAAATTGGACATAGTGACGTACAGGTTGTATACCAATGTAACATTGCAGGGATGCCATTCAATGAGAGATAAGAATGAGCAGCCTCATGATCAGCTTGATATCAGAATCCCAGGCTAGCACGATGATAAAACCTGGAATACCGTATGAACAAGTTATACTTCCTGATTATGAGACTCTTAGTATGCACCCTAAAGCAATTGAATGGGTCGAAATGAATAACTAGTTAGAATACATGAACTTTGCTAATCATTGACATGACAGGTGCCTGCCAGCATCAGTGATTGAGAATCGTAATTAATAGGAGCATAAGAATTTTTGGAATTATCGTTAAAGATTAGTTCTTAAGTACAGACAGTGACACGTCATTTCCTCTTAAACAACAACAAAACCACCGAAGTACCAACCTTCAAGGTCGGATTCTCATCAGCACTCACACCGATAGCCCTCTTAACCTCAGCACACATCTTCCGTACGCAGTCCCTCTCCGTTCCCACAAGATCAGGATTCGCCTTCCTCCATCTCGTCACCATACTAGCTGTGCCCAGACTAGCCGCTAGGTCATTCAATGTCGTTTCCCCTTTCTTTCCTTCATGGGTAGTCGAGAAGAATTCGTTTCCGTCGCTGAGGACGCCATCTTTATCCCATTCGAGGCGCACGAAGGCTGATTCTGGGAATGATTCTGCAAGGCTTTTATTGACTTGCCATGGTAGTGTAAGATCCGTATACATGTCTCGCGAGATGCGATTAGACGGTAGCTCGTACGGAGCGAGGACGTCGCGTTCCAGATGGAAAAGGACTTTCTGTACCGCTGGTGCATTGGGAGTTGATGGATCTGAGCATACATTGAATTTACAGTTTAGTTTTGGGTATGTCGTCTTTTGGTAAAATCACTCACGACAGTAGAGTGAAGAGCATGTCCATAAGGCCACCGTTCCATTTGGTTTCACCACCCGGGCAGCTTGTGCCCAGAACTCAGACATGGAGAACCAATGTGCCTGTATAGATGTTAGTTCCCTGCACTTTAATGCATCGACATCTAGATTGGACAGAGAACATCACCGCCATAGCAGCTGTTAATAAATCCACACTCCCCTCCTCTCCACCATCAACCCCATTGGATGTAAACAAGACATCTCTGATTCCTCTCGCGCAATCCTCAGCCGCACAAACGGCAAATTCAACCCTACAACCTCTATGATTCGACTCTTCACATAGCCGTCTAGCAGCCTCAATCATCTCTACCCCAGGGTCTAAACCAATTGCCAACTCCTTAAAAGAAGCCGCTAGGTCGCGAGTCGCCCGACCAGGACCACAACCAACATCTGCAAGGACATTGAGGTTTCCGCCTGTGCTTGTGTGGTGGTTTATGACTGTGTCGTAGAGTTTACGTGGATAGGAGAGGCGGGTCTGGGCGTAGGTTTGGGCTTGGGTAGCGGTGTAGGTTGTGAATGTTAGATCTGATGGTGCCATTTTGACAATAAATATATTAAGAAAATAGTTATTTCTTGCAGTCTCAAGTATAAGAAGAGTTGGGATGCGCGCAGAGCTTCAATTCATGGCTTCTCGGGTGATGGATTAGGCTCCAAGGGATTTACGGGTTGTGACTCATCTTCATAAAACAATGTTACATCAGTCGGTTTAAATATAGTCCCATAAGTCATAACACTCTTAGAAAGCCTTGACTATCGATCTATCCTCTAGCTGAACTAAATTAGCAAAGGATGATGAGTATGTAAGACTTCCTAATCTGGTTGAACTTGTAGGGCTGGCTTCATCACATGATCTGTTTACGATCCATGGATGATACAGTAGAACCTGGTTAATTATAACGTGTCAAATAATCCAGATTACAAACGAGGCAGAAAGATCCGACGTTCGATCTTACAGGTCTAAAAGAGGCACCTTAGGGCATCTATCTGCGCACCTAGATTTCACCCCGCCAGAAGTGTCTATAAAAGACCCGGCTTTGAAACCTGATGGATAGAGAGACAGAGAGCCCAATACATACTATCTTGCTAGTCACTTCTTTTCTTTTCATCCCAGTAAAACCCTCTTCAGCATTGACCTGGAATAAACCTACCAATCCGACATAACGAAAGGAAGGCCGCTCCACATTTCCACTGATATCAGCTTGGATATCTTCAATGTGGGACTGAAGAGCATCCGATTTGTTAATATTAAAATGGATCAGTATAGTGGAGGTGCCGTTCATCCCTAAATCGAACTAACTTCTGGATATCTTGACTTGGACCCCGAGAGGCCTTCTGTTCGTTATAACCAGGCTCTACGGTATCCTTTGATGCAATGACCCTAACAGTTCTAGATGAGACAAACCTTATCTACCCACCTTTGAAGTCAAAATTAGAGCATTCATATAAACAAAAAAGCCGGTTGACAATGAATCGAAGGTATCATATAACTAACAAGTATAAGATGGGTAAAGCATGTAATAATATGAAAGAAGACCAACGAAGTGAACTAAGATATTCGTGTATACGACTCCCACGCAACGCAACGCTATGGTGTTTGACCGGCAACGGTGCATCACTCCAATGTATGTGAACTTCAAAGGAATTAGGTCATAAAAATGCAAAACAAATCCAAAGTGCAACACCCCGTGAAATGCAGTCAAATTTGACATGTTTCTCATCCTGCAGAGAGAAGACAGACAGGCCAAGTGTCGAGTTCTTCGGCTCCTCCTACTCATCATCTTCAATATCCCGATGTCTAGCTAGAACATGACGTTTAAACTCTTCTGGATTCTCGTCCCAAAGCTGTGCAGCCTGGCCGTTCAAGGGACTAGAGCTGTTTTCCGAAAGTCAATTAGTACTGAATTGGCGCATGAGCCGGAAAGAGTAATACGTACTTATTGGGTTCGCCGAGTAGACTCTGAAGACTAAGCAGGACATTCTGCACATTATATACTGCGCTCCACTCATCCTTCAATATATCCAGACAGATCCGGCCCGAAAAGTCGACATTCGGGTGGTAGATGGGAGTCTTAAAAAGCACCGTTGGCGGAGCATATGGATAATTATTGGGGAAAGAGAACGAAAGCTTGAATGTCAGGTTCTCATAAGGCGTGTCTGTTGGTCCGTCAATCGTCGCTGTCCATGAGAGGAGGTTTCCGTCGGCATTGGGAAAGGCAGAGATTCCGGGCGAGGGTGAGAGCATAAGTTGCATCAATTCTGATTGCAGACTACACTCAGAAAATCCCAATTAGTTTAATATTCACATTAAAAGCTCTATTTGGTCTCACCGTTTGGTGACGCTCTGAGTATCGCCTCGCGGAGCAGAAGCTCCAAGCTTGGATGCCTCGTGGGCTTGGGGTACGGCGTTTTGAGTATCCTCCATCGCGTAGTCCATGTTGTCAAAGGAAATCAGCAAGGAGATCTCGATCTAAATTATCTTCGTGCGTTGAAGAATAGTAGGCTGTCCTGGATGGAATGCAGCAAATGTAACTGAGGTTGAAGTGACGGATGCGGTATTGACCCACAGCCGAACCAGTTACTGATGGGAAAGAGCAGAAGAAGGACACTCAAGTGGAAGTAGGAGTCAAGATATGCGGAGAATAGACGACGTTAATCTTATCCAAGAGAAACGGTCAGTTGGCACGAAGTGAGAGAAAAAGAAGTAGAGAAGACAACATAAGACGAATAAGAAAGCGATTGTTTACAGACGGGAATCCCACGGCAACAGCCGCTAAGCCTCTTTTGGATTAGTGTATTTCCCGAGCTCGACTTATCTTGGCGAAACCATTCGCTCTTCTTTTCTCTTTCAACCTCCCCGTCTCTCTGAAGATGCGTTGTCCTTGCTGAATTTGATTAATAACCTGCTGCATGGTGCATGATACGACTCTATGACTCTTCGCGATTCCGCTATCTTCATACTCGACTGTCCATGTGAACGAATTTTCTCGTCCTAGCTCACGCGACCAAGACTACACTCCAACTCCAGTTAACTATGACAGCGTGCTAGTCACATCAAGCAAGATATGCGACCACACAGCTAAAGTGCGTACCTATGAGCAGGTTCCGATGAAGAATCACAAATGTGACCGTGCAGCTGCGTGTCATGTATCCACAATGCAAACAACGCAAGCCTGTGGGGAGGATAACAAGGTGGATGCCATGGATCGCCGAATGAAGTCTTAGACTCAGCGTCTCGGATCTCGACCTCGTCAACCCTAGAGTCACAATATCTCAATTTACTTAAAACGATCCCGCAGAAGCGGTCGCCCACGCGGATCTTGCAGCCTCACTCAGAGTCGTCTAGAGACACCCCCACGCGCATTAGAGTCCGGAGAAGCAAGCAGGCTCATTAGCCGTCATTGGAGTATATGAAATCATGTCGAACACATATCTGCGTGTAAAAACAATTCTAAAAGCACTCTGAGTACTCCATAAACAGTGTAGCTTGTTGCAATGTACTCCGTAACTTAGCAAAGAAAAGAATGGGAAACGGAATGCCCAAAGAGGATAAATTGCGACGCGACCCACCAACTGTTGACTCGGCAATAATCCGTGTTCTCTGTTGACACGGCGACTTTTCGCGACGCCATCTTGACTATTGTCAGAACATCCTTTATTTCAACCTGAAGTTGGATAATAAGATCTCTCGTGGTTATATTCGCGTGTATGCCATGCAGCACTCCCAGCTTGCCCCGCTGCCCACAGAGCTACCGTTTCGCATTGTATCAAAAACAATCGGCCAAGGCGCCTATGCCTGGTATCTTCCACCCCTCGTTTCGACTTCATTTTCACTCATGGAGATGGTCTTGCTAATTTCGGATTAAATCGCGCTGTAGTATAAAAAAAGCATGTCCTCTACAAGAAAACAACCCCGTCTTCGCTGTGAAATTCATCCACAAGGAATATGCCGCGCGCCATGGAAAGATCAACGCGCGACAACTGCAGATGGAGGTGACAGTTCACAAACATATCGGTGATCACAGAAACATAATATCCTTCTTCCATACCGGTGAAGATGCAACATGGCGATGGATTGCAATGGAGCTGGCAGAAGGAGGTGATCTATTCGACAAAATCGAGGCTGATGTGGGGATTGGGGAAGATATTGCGCATCTTTACTTCACACAGCTCATCAGCGCTGTCAGTTATATGCACTCTAAGGGAGTTGGGCATCGCGATATTAAGCCGGAGAATGTGTTGTTGTCTGGCGACGGAAACCTGAAAATCGCTGATTTTGGTCTCGCTACTGTCTTTGAATATAATGGGAAGATGAAACTGTGCACTACGCTGTGCGGAAGCCCTCCGTACATCGCACCAGAAGTGATATCGTGTAGTACACGAGGCCAAACCAAGGGTACCGGGTACCGAGCCGATTTTGCAGACATTTGGTCTTGCGGGGTTGTTCTATTCGTGTTACTCGCTGGAAACACGCCGTGGGACAGTCCCACTGAAGAGAGCTTCGAGTTTAGCGAGTATCTTGAGAAAAACGCGAGGACAACGGACGAGCTCTGGCAGCGCTTGCCGACGGCAGTTTTATCACTGCTTAGAGGAATGATGAAGGTTGATGTGGCAAGTAGATTCACAATGGAAGATGTTAGGAGACATCCCTGGTTCACGCGACCAAATAAGTATATCTCCTCAGAGGGCAAACTAAGAGATCAAGTCAATCTTGCAACAAGCATGTTTGAATCTCTGCATATTGATTTTTCGCAAGATCCTCTTGCGCCTCCACCATCACAATCGCAGCGAAGTCGTCAGAGCGGGCCTTCATCTTCTGCTATGGATATTGACACACATGATGATCTGCAATCAAGACTGTCATCTACCCAACCGGAAATGCCCATGGGCAATGTTACCGTGGACTGGGACACACCTCTCGTCAATGCTTTCTCTTTCACGCAACCAACGGACCACGCCATGTCTACTACTCAAGATTACCAACTCGCCGGCCGCTTGGAAGACGAACCCGCAATGTCTCAATTCAGTCAGAATCCTGCTGTGCCACTGATTCGTACACAAAATGCACAGAAATTCGACGATATTATTCCATCGCGAACCGTGAACCGGTTCTACTCTACATGGGGATTGAAATTACTCGTCCCATTCTTGAGCGAAGCTCTGCATAGACTGGGTGTTCCTGTCCCTAGTCAGATTGCCGGCATTGACACAGGAGGTCCAGTCGTCATACGTGTTGCGACAAAAGATCAACGACTATGTTTATTGCAAGGTAACATAATTGTGGAATGTGTTTCGGAGGGTCTTTTTGAAGTCGAATTCACAAAGGTGAAGGGGGACCCGTTAGAATGGAGACGATTCTTCAAGAAAGTGGCTGTTTTGTGTAAAGATGCAATATATAGACCCGATTAAGGCTGATGGCGTTGTTGTAATTTTATCTGCGTAAGTCCTTTCAATATTTCCAAAATTTCTAGCCAATTCTACAATCGCATTGATTTTAGCATAAGCGAGCTTGTGTCTACACTATGCATGAGTTTCCTTCCAAGGTTGTTGAAATGTCTAAAAGGCATCCTCAATGAAACTCTTGCTGATTCATCCAAAAGGTCACCGGAGCACACTTCGTTATGCAGCGGAAGAAGAGCCAATGCATTACCTAGATAGGTATTAGACATATCACGAATAGGTGGTCCAGGGACAGGGATTCTCTGCTTCTTCTCTGTCATTCTGTTGTTCTTATCTTTTAGTGCATCTTTAGTGCTGCACTGAATGTCAGATCAATAGTCACAGAGTATGAAGGTATGGGGGTGCTCACAAGACATATTTTCTGGATATTGTACCATACACGACAGATTGCGGACTTTTGAGCAATCTCGTGGTCCTGAAGAGCCTTCATAGTGTCAAGCAGCTGTCCGTTAAACGAGCCATCTTTGCTTTCAATATTCCACTGCTCCAGAACTCGAATAATCTCGGAGAAAAGCCCGGGGAGGCGCAGTCAACCAGACAAATTCCACCATCTGACTGCTAGATAATACTCCTTGGCGCAACATCGAGATGGCAGAGAACCCAGTCGTAGTTATGAAAGGACATCCTGCCTTGACCTGGAAACAATCTACTGTTGAATCATGCTTCCATTTCTTCTTTGATATGAAAAACTAGATCCTGGTTCTCCTGCCAGGGCAATCCGCGACACAGCCACCGCTAAGACTCCCAGGGGAATTTCTTTTCAGACCATGCAGATAGTCAAGTATATTTGCAATTCTTTCGATCTGATCAGGTTCTAGTGAATCTTTTACCCTTCCTTCCATATAATCCAACATGATATAGCCACGGCCTATATTGTCTATGAAAAAGTGATGGACACGTGGGGCTCGAAGAATATCATAGTTTATCATGTCTTGAACCATTTTCTGGTTGATTGCTTCATTCTGGAGAGTGCAGGGCCAATTTTTATCCTACAAATCTTACATTTTCCCACCTTGGACACGACCTACTTGGATTAGATACTAGTTATAATCATGATGTAAGAATATAATTGGTTCTTACTAATATTGTATTTTATGGAGAGAGCTTTGATGAGGCATTCTAGCTACAACTGATCTATCAATGTATAAAGTTTCAGTATAGAAACGGCCGACGATGGTGGACTTTTCTATCTCTGGAAATAGGCTAGACTTTACCCATCGACGACGACAAAGAAGTAGTGATAGACACACGCTTATCTGATATACAGAGTGATTACTACATGCATGCATTACGAATCCGTGGCATATGAAAGCAGACGCCATTATTTCGCAGTAGAAACGGCCAATTTTAGGTATCAAGTCGTTAAGTCGATTACATGTACCTAGGTAGCATGGGACTAAGGATTAAACCTGATAGTATCAACTCCCTGCTTGTCTGCCTAAAAAGTAATAAACTCGAGAGAAGATTTATACTTCCCCAAAATCCCGTGTAAGAAGAAAGTTTCCAGTACTTGAGATATCAGATCAATAAAATAATCCACAAAATGATTGAGCAATTCTTTGATTTCTGCCGCCTCTATCCGCTACGAAGGCTTGCACGAAGTTGAAAAAGGGCCTTCTACGAGTTTCCGGTACGAGCTGGTCAATGGACAAAGGACTCTACAGCTGAAATGCAAAATGGCATCGCCTTGCTTCAGCGGTTGTGATCTATGAACTTGAGGAACTCGTGGCACAAATCCTTCAGGTAGAAGACATGTGCCTTGCTCACGAGAGACACGCAATCATTGTTCTGAGAGTGGGAGTGGTGGATGCTGTGGTAGGGAATGTCAATGTTACGAGAAGTCGTTGAAAGTGGCCATAAACACCGGTCGTCTATATTCGGACCGAAGATGAAAAAGAAAGTAGGGGTTTATGGACATTGTACGGTAGAACCGGCTACTGTATTCGATATAAGGGTCGCTATAAGCCTGCTCCGTGGTTTGAAAAGGCAAGCAAACCAAAATGGACGGCTTGATGGGGTTGTGCCATAATAGACAATTGCATTTTGACATTGAAAGAAAGAATGTCTCGCTATTACTATCTTGTCGTGGTTTGTTGCTGTCGGGAACTTATATGATTGTGTCGACCCGAATAAGAAAGGTTCCAGGGTTATCCAATGATTCATTATCACAAATGGATTGTCCAAGGTGTTCCTGAAACCGGAACTATACTGCAGGAAGCATTGGGTAAAAGAAAGATCATGAGTCCCTGCATGAAAGAGGAACAGCCAGGCAAGTGAACATAAAGTGAAGGCCGCTCATTCACTCATTCCATAAGCATCTTTGACTCCAGTCAGTTGGGTCAGCTCAAAGAAGTAGGTCGAATAGGCTGCAATCATGCATCCACAAAATACTTAGATGGGCCACGCCATACAAGAGATCTCAGTGCATTCCTCGGCCACAGTAAACTAGAGCATGCATCCCGAGACCAATGGATCACGCACTACATAACGTTACAGGACCCCAGCAAGGACTCGCTTCTTTACACGATAACTCTTTGTGACGGGTTGAGGCCCGAGACAACTTTACGGTAAGGGGGATGGATATATGTCACCCTAACCCTAATACCCACATGCAAATCATATGCATATCTCTTCCGAATAAGGCTAGGCTGCTTCTTCCATAAAAAGAATAGTGCATATTCTGACGCCAGTGGCTCATATAGTGCCTGAGGCAGTAAGGCCGCTGCGGGGACGGCAATGGAGCTGCCCCATTTATAAGCATCAACAGTCTACCTAGAACAACCATCCCAGTTCACTTCATATAGAGAGGTCGTTCCATATTAGAAGCCCCTCATGTATCTTGTCTTTTCGCTCCCTCATGGACAAACTTCCGGTAGAGATCCTAACCAAGATCATCGACTGTGAGTCCTGATTCCTAACCTCCCCACGTTACAGCCCACCCGTCGCATCGTCCAGACGAACTCCAAATCCACGTTGGCACCCCAGGCTGATCGAATTCCTCCAAATCAGATCTCAGTCCGCGTGAGCAGGTCAAACTGCAACTCGTTTCACGAAAGTTCTTTGAATTATCGCGAGACAACGTTCTCTGGAGACTACACTGCTATGAAAGCTCTGCGAAAGCGAATGGTGATGGGTCGACGCCGGCTCAATCCTCCGGCACCCAGCCGCTGTCGTCGCTAACACCCTTAAGTACTCTGGGAACTCATACACTGCGCACTTTGCTACAACCAAATTCGCAGATCAATTCCGGTGTAATTGACAGCGATGGCAACGCTACTGCTCCGTCCATTGGGCAAAGAAGCCGAGCTGCTGCCGAATGGGATCCTTCATATGAAACAGAAGACCTGGATTGGTATTCGGAATATATAGCTCGAAATGGGCCTATTTCTTTCAGTTGGATGCAACAGCCCATGACCGGCGGTACTAACGGTGCCATAAGGGATGCGAAGGGTGTGGGTCTGCTTAGGGATTGGAGCTTTGCGCGCGAAGATCGGGTTATCGCTCCTCTAGATGACGGCACCGTTTGCGTCTGGGATATGAATTATTCTCATTCGAGTTGTGCAAAGTCACAGAAAGGTAAAATTACCGGGATGAGCAGCCCGGGCATTCTGCTCACAGATATGTCCAAGCGAAATGATAAGACGGCTCCTCTGGAGTTTCTGAATGTGGGCGAGTGTGTTACTGTAGATTCGATGCGGAGACGAGCGTATATTGCCGTAGGCAATATCCTCAACGAGGTTGACCTAGAAACTCTACGAGTCGTCCATCAACAGCGATATGCTTGGTCGATATTTGCTTTATCGCAGGAAACAGATTATTCGGTTCCATTAACATTAGCTACGACATTGAGCCTCCAGATTTATGATGCTCGACTGTCTTCACCCGAAGAAGAGGCGGAAATCAGTCTTCGATGTGAAAGGATGCCCGCGCAATATATACCAAAATCTAATCTTTACAGCCACCCGGATTGTCAAGTCCTGCAGCTGCTTCCAAATGGGCAACTACCTCAGCGCATTCGGAGCCCCGACCCGCATCAGAAAGGTGCGGACTATGCCCCATTATTCCAGCCCGGGCCGTTGTCAATATTACATCCTCCAACTCCACATGTCAACACTATTCTTTTGGCAGGAAGGTTTCCCAGTATACTCTGTTACGACCGGCGGACCTTTCCAAAAATACAATCTGCTATTCACTCTGGTGGTCGGTTATGTGGGCTTGCATCAGTCCCAGCTCCAAGATTTCCTGTCTCCTCGAATTTCGATTGGCAGGTGAAGCACACAGTTGTGGCATGTGGTGAATATAATGGTCGAGGTTCTTTGGAGCTATATGATTTGAACTTTCATGGGTCTGATCCTCAAGATGAAAACAGCGAATCACATATGCAATCCGCCCGCTATCAAAACCGTCAGAGCGCAGCAAGTTCCAAGGTGTTATCTGTTGCGTCCCACGGCGCTCGTATTGTATTTTCGGATTCAAACGGCGATATTAAATGGGTAGAACGTGATGGACGAACCCCGGTTCGACGGCATTGGAATATCAACATAAGCAGACGGCAGTCCAAAATAGCTGCTCCGGGTAATAACATCGACGAGTCGGATCAAGTCCGAGGACTATTTTTCACTTCAGATACCAGTATGAGGAACGATGTGGTTCGCAAAATACTTCCTACGGACGCCAACTTAAATGGAGATGAACTTTTACTATGGACAGAAGATCGTATAGGACGTCTGCGCTTCTCGAACGATCCGGATGAGGATACTGACGACGAGATCCATGATCGAATGTCCCTTGATGGTGAATCTGTAGATTCTACTGAAAGGCAAGCTCGTCGACGCTCAAGGGAGGCCGCGGAACGCCGAGAACAAGAATATGCCCGTCACATACGTAGGGCACTTGAACGACAAGCGGATGAGGTGAGATGGATGGGTCGCTTGGGAATGGCATGATCAAGCCAGCAATACACATATACTGGCTATATATTGAAAGATCTGGGTACAATGCTTCTATATATTTTATGTAAATGTGCGCATTGAGCACCTCAAGAACTAATGGGACCACGATACACGATACCAATGCAAGAAACTTTTGTAATCCATTCTCCTCCAACAATCTCTAACCTAACGCAATCCATTCAAGTTGATAATGTAAGCCTCGGCTCATGTTGAGCATACGATCACGGCCCGAAGCGGAACACTTAATGCTGGACGATATTTTTGCCCCGCCGTGGCATCTAGACAACTATTGGTAATCACTTATTCATCTTTCTATAGTTACCGAGTACGAGATTATCAGAACGAGTCGCGTGATTATGCAATCTTTTCTATTTGACTTTCTGGTCTTTCATGAATACAAATTGATGACTCAGAACAAGGAAATATTCATCGCCGCTTCGATTTCGAGACTCATTAACCCCGCAGACGTTCGGAATAATCTTCTACAGTACATTGATTTCTGCAGAACCAATACTGGCCGGGTGAACTGTTCAATGCCAATTGTCCTTTAAATATACGTTCAATCGGAGATTTCACTATTCAATCTGCATTGAGGGACAAACCGCGGTATATTGACTCGTGCATCGAAGTACCGGATAGCAACGGTCGCGGCGCTATATTCTACATTCACCGGAGAAGCAACGTTCGGGGCACATTTACGGATTGGAAGACAACTTGCGAGACTGAAATATCGTACTTATCCATACAACCTATAAAATATACAATATGCCCTCTTCCACAGAGGACAATCTTTCATTCGATCCCGTGGAGGATGCGGTCGCTGCTTTTAGTGAGTCATACCGGGCATCGTCTACAAAGTCGCCTCAATTGCGCAATGAAAGTGGACAAATCAAGCTAACCATAAGGCCCTCGATCAAATAGAGAACGGACAGTTCGTGATCGTGCTAGACTCACAAGATCGCGAGAATGAGGGAGATTTAATTATAGCCGCAGATGCCATTACAGAGGCACAAATGGCATTCTTAGTACGATATTCGAGGTATATACAAATTTGATGTCTGGCTTAGAAAGACACACAAGGCTAACGAAATATTTCAGCGGCTACGTCTGCGCTCCAATTCTCCCCTCGCACGCCGACAAACTCCTCCTCCCACAAATGGTTATCAACAACGCCGACCCCCTCATCACAGCATACACTATATCCATTGACTCCAACGACCCTTCCGTAACAACCGGAATATCCGCACACGATCGTGCATTGACATGTCGACAACTAGCAGACCCAAACATTAAATCAGAGAACTTCCGACGACCGGGTCATATACTACCCCTCCGCGCCAGGGAAGGTGGCGTTCGGGAACGACGAGGTCATACGGAGGCTGCAATTGATCTGTGTCGGTTGGCCGGTCGGAGTCTGGCGGGCGTTATTGGTGAGCTAGTTGAGGAAGGTGACATCGTTGAAGGTGTGGCTGAGGTTAAGGGAAATAATGGCATGATGAGGAGGGATGCCTGTCTGAAATTTGGGAAGAGGTTTGGATTGAAGGTTACGACGATTGAGGATATGGTTGCGTATCTCGACAAGTTGGATCCGAATAGGAGGTTTGATTTTGTTAATGGGAAGGCTTGATTGAGATTGGGTTCTTTCTCGTCCTGACACGAAAAGCATAGATTACTTCTTCATATCGTGTATAATACTTACCATCTCCTTTTCCCCTTTCTTTTTGGATAGAGGTTAGAACGAGCACAGAAAAGAAAGAAACTCTATATTTGCACCAGACAATCTAAGCTCTATTATACATTTTCTCCATTCTAGGGTATCATTTTCGTTTTTCTTCGTCCTCCTCAAGGGACTTGGTAAATAAATGATCATACATGCAACTTTTGTAAATCCCACATGCAGGCCGCCCGATAGTTAGATGTTGCTTAAATGGTTAAAAAATAATCAAACGCCGATGCAATGCAAACCAAAAGCAATACAGCAGACAAACTCTCAACGCTTCAAATGGGAGTAGTCACGGAGGATACCCATCATATGGGTGTTTGTAGTCTTTCCAGTTCGTCGAGGTTTCTTCGTCTTCTTCTGCTCAACCTTGGGACGTGGCTTCACCACCTTGTTCTTATTCGTAGGTATCATGCCGGCTTTTTCCAATTCTTCGATAACTTGCTGATGGTCCGGTATTTTGGTCTTTTCCCATATTTGCCGAAACTCATCATCAAACTTATGCATAAGAGATGGATCGTTGGCCCAGACCATTTTCGGGTGATTATCTTTTTTATTTCGAGTGACGAGAAGTTTCCCGTCTCTTTCGAGTTTATCGATGATTTGTTCAACACCGGGCCAACCTTCTTTCAGATCCTTGACTAGTATTCCCGTCATTGTCGTCTGCGACTGGAGCTTTTGTAGTAGCTGCTCCTCCGAGCGGATATTGTGTGGAGGTCGGAAACTGAATGTGCCCTTTCCATCGGCTCCTGTTGGATCATAATTCACTTTGTCGTGGACTTGAAGAATGCTTCGTAGTGCATGAACGTAGCCTTGATCGTGCCGTCGATCTTGTAAAGACAAATACCCAACGATATCCTCGAAAGTGAGCGGTGCATTCTTCTCTTTCATTTTTTGAATCGCATAAAGAACATTAGTCATGATATCCTTGCCCGTACCGGTATCAGCAGGTTGCGAGTATACGACGTTTGCTGGCTCATGGCGGCGTGCTGGGCCTGGGGTGCCTGGGTTGGATGTAGGCTGTGAGGAAGTTGACGATACAGGCTGGCTGTTGCCGATGATGCGCTTCTGTTGTGGTAGGCGTCCCGCGGATGAGACGACGCTGGAATTGAAGTTATTGATTTGTTGCTGGAGATAAGACATGATGACCTCTTAAATGCTTGTGAACAGGTTAAAAGAGTGATAGTCCAGTGATTAGTACTTCTCCAAGGTTGGAAAGGAGAGAAATGAACGAATGGTGTTGGATGCCTGAAACCTGTCTCATTTACCAGGACACTTAAGAATGGAAATAGTCTTGCGATACGAATAAGGAGCAATAGATGGTGAATCCCAAGTAGAGTCTGAGTCGGAGATGACCTTTTGAGTCGCCTACATCATAAGGCAATGACATCACGTGACTATGTGTCGACCTGAAGCTAGGCTAAGCTCTGTAACTGAAAGTAGTTTCTCGAACTCAACCACACGGCATATCGCTCTGTCGACAGCCGGCCACCTTACTTTCATTCCATTTTATTTTTCTTATTTTTCTTTTCAATTATTACACCATCCGCGCCCTTGTCAATACGAGTTATGTATTGATGCTCATCGCGCGCTGTGTGCTAAACAACAAACATTGCACATACGCGCCCGTTCGTGTCAGTCACCGTCGCTCACTTTACCTTTCGATTGAGATCTTAAGTCTCATATCTCATAAAGTGCCTACGATACTGGGATCGCAATTACTGCCCCTTTGTTAGAAGCCTGTTGAGGCTACTGGAAACTCAACATGGCTTCAGCTACCATAGAGATTCCGTTTCTCGCGTCCCACTACGGCATCGCCGAAGATACACTGACGACACTTGCACAAGCTCCGACAGTTGATCTCGTGAACCAGTTGTTACAGAGTATAACGGTCAAGGCTCGAGAATTCGATGACCTGAAATCAGATAAGCTTCGACTTGAAGTTGAACTGGAGAATGCCGTCCGTGCCAGCGAGTCGAAGATCAAAGTCTTGAAGAGTTCTGTTGAGAAAGGGTTGAACGAAACATCAACGTTGCGCACTCGTCTACAGCAGTCCGGTTAGTAATATTTGCCGAATACATACCCGACTTGTCTAACTTGACCACAGAAAATGCCAAATCGAATCTCGAATCCGAAATCGCAACACTCAAGTCGTTCAGTACGTCGAATGAGTCCGAAGTCAACGGTCTGAAATCACGCATCTCATCTCTTGAGAGTTCGAACCGCGATACTTTGGCTCTCCTCGAGTCCAAGACTACCGCCTACGATAAGTTGTCCGAGGAGCTTACGGCTACTCATCAGAAGACCGTTGAACTTAGACGACAACTCTCTACTGCAGAGCAAAACCTTCAAGCAGCAAACTCCGCGTCCACTAGTGCCCGCTTCCGAGAGCAAAGTCTGGAACAGGAACTCGAGTTGACCAAGAAAAATAACGAATACTTTGAAACCGAGCTCAAAGCGAAGTCCGCTGAGTACCTTAAATTCCGCAAGGAGAAAAATGCCAGAGTCGCTGAACTTCAACGAGAAATCGAAGAAGCTAGCTCAACCATTGATCAACTCCGGCGCAGCGAAAATACATTGAAGAGCCGTCTAGATGACGTTGAGCACAAATATGAGGAGTCAATTGCTGCTATGCAGTCACTTAGGGAGGAGGCTACGTCGACTTCTGAGTCACTTCGTATTGAACTTGAAAGCGCGAACCGTTTGGCTGAGCTACAAGGCAATGCAGCGGCAACCGCTAAACAGCGTGTGCAAGAGTGCCAGATTGCTCTGGAGAAGGCACGTGATGATGCGGCAGAGGAGATCTCGAGGCTCCGGGCTGAGATTGAGACTGAACATTCAGACAAGGAGGCTGCTGAACGCAAGGTTGCCGAGCTGGAAGCCAAATTGAGCCAAGTGGAAATGCAAGCACCATTTAGCCCTGGTCCTATGAATGGTGGACCATCTACACCAATTCGCGCATCGACACCTGTGGGCACATTCTCTCCACGTACATCCAGGGGCCGCGGTGGACTGACTTTGACACAATTATACACCGAGTATGATCGAGTAAGAAGCCAGCTTGTAGCTGAGCAACGTAACAATGCGGAGCTCAAAGCTACTCTTGACGAAATGGTGCAGGATCTAGAATCCAGCAAGCCCGAAATTGACGAACTGCGTGCAGATCACGCCAGACTTGAGAATGCGGTTGTCGAAATGTCAGAGGTCCTCGAGACCTCCGGGAAGGAGCGGGATGAAGCGACACGTGAGGCAAGGAAATGGCGCGGCCAAGTGGAGGGCCTTTCAAAAGAAACTGAAATCCTTCGACAGCAACTACGGGATCTCAGCGCACAGGTCAAGGTCCTGGTGCTCGAAGTCGCCCTTTCAAGAGAGGACCAAGAATACGATCGGGAGGAATTGGTAAAGCTCGCTCGCAATGAGATTGAAGAATCCATGGCTTCTCTCAATGCCACAGGCCGCTTCATCACGCAGAATCTCACTACTTTCAAGGACCTTTCGGAGCTACAGGAGCAGAATGTCACACTTCGCCGAATGCTCCGGGAATTGGGCGACAGAATGGAGAGCCAAGAAGCCCGTGAAAGAGAATCATCTTACCAACAAGATCAGGAGGAGCTCAAAGAACTGCGCATTCGAGTTCAGACTTATCGTGATGAGATCATGAATCTTACTGCGCAAACTAAGAGCTACGTCAAGGAACGGGATACATTCCGTAGTATGCTCATGCGCAGAGGTCAAGCTGCGGGTGACAACGCTATTTTCTCTCAGTCGGTTCCTCTTGGTTCAGCACCTCCCACAATGCCAGAGCAAGCTGCTGATGGCACCGATTATGCAGACTTACTTCGGAAAGTGCAAGCTCATTTCGATACCTTCCGTCAAGAAACAGCAACTGATCATTCTGCACTCAAACAACAAGTGAATGACCTTTCTCGGAAGAACAGTGAACTCATGAGTGAGATTAGTCGATTGACTAGTCAACTTGGTGCAGCAGCCCAAAGAACTGAGTTACTGCAAAATAACTTTGATCTGCTCAAGAATGAAAACGTAGAGATTCAGAAACGATATTCGAGCTTGCTGGAAAATGTTAACCGTCAAGATATCAAGACACAGCAAGCTGCCGAGGATCTAGTCGCTGCTAAAGGAATGATCGATAGTCTGCAACGTGAAAATGCCAACCTCAAGGCAGAGAAGGATTTGTGGAAGAGCATCGAAAAGCGGCTAATCGACGACAACGAATCGCTCAGGAACGAACGCGGCCGATTGGAGTCCCTGAATACTAACCTGCAGAATATACTCAACGAACGTGAACATACCGATGCTGAAAGCCGTCGTCGCCTCCAACACAGTGTCGAATCCCTCGAGACCGAACTGCAGTCCACAAAACGGAAGTTGAATGATGAGGTTGAAGATGCTAAACGCGCAGCTTTACGTCGTGAATATGAACATGAACAGTCTCAAAAGCGAATCGATGATCTAGTTACAAGTCTCAGTTCTGTTCGTGAAGAATTGATTGGTGTTAAGACGACACGCGACCATCTCCAAACGAGAGTTGATGAACTCACCGTTGAGCTCAAGACCGCTGAAGAAAAACTCCAAGTCCTGCATTCTAAGCCTAGTGCTGCTCCAACTACAACACTACCAACGACAGACACGGAGCAAGCGCCTACCAGCGGTCTCACACGGGAACAAGAGTTAGCAATCGAAGTATCAGAGCTGAAGCGAGATCTTGAACTAGCTAGAACGGATCTGGAGCACGCAAAGGAGCAAGTAGAGGATTACAAGGCAATCAGTCAAGCAACAGAAGAGCGCCTACAATCGGTTACCGAGACGCAGGAAGAATATCGTCAAGAAACCGAGCAACTTTTGGAAGGAAAGAACGGGAGGATTGTGGAACTTGAGAAACGCGTTGAAGAAATTTCTTCTGAGCTTATTACCACCAACAACGAACTGTCCAAGTTGCGCGATGAACAGAGCGAAATTTCACGACGTGTTGAAGAACAGAAAACCATCTACGAATCTGAAATCTCACGGCTCAAGGATGAAGCTGAACGACAGCTTGAAAATGCAAGGACTTATGAACAGAGTGTACAGGCACAAGCTGAAATCGCTCAACATGCGCAGCAAAACTACGAGAGCGAGCTTGTTAAGCATGCTGAAGCCGCCAAACAGTTGCAAACTGTCCGGTCCGAAGCAAATCAACTGCGCCTTGAAATAGTCGACGTCAAAACTCAGGCTGAGAATGCCAAGAAAGATTTGGTGCAGAAGGAGGAGAGCTGGAGTGAACAAAAGGACCGTTTTGAGAGGGAAATCTCCGATCTGCAGAAACGTCGGGAGGAAGTACTACACCAGAATACTCTTCTACACAATCAACTCGAGAACATTACGAAACAGATTACGGCTTTGCAAAGAGATCGTGCAAACATTACTGCGGAAGAGGAGGAAGGTCAGGGCACAGGCTCGAGTCTTGAGTCTCTTCAAGAGGTCATTAAATATCTTCGAAGAGAAAAGGAGATTGTTGACGTTCAATATCACTTGTCTACTCAAGAGAGCAAGCGTCTGCGTCAACAGTTGGACTACGCGCAATCTCAGTTAGACGACACACGACTCAAACTGGAACAGCAACGCCGTGCTACTGCTGACAGTGATCACCAAAGTCTCAGCCATAACAAACTTGTTGAGACCTTGAATGAACTCAACGTCTTCCGTGAGAGCAGTGTTACATTGCGCAACCAAGCCAGACAGGCGGAAGCAGCCCTCGCAGAGAAATCGACTCGAGTGGATGAGCTCGTCCAACGAATCGAACCTCTTCAAAACAAAATCCGAGAATTAGAGAATCTTGTCGAAACTAAAGATGAAGAGATGAAACTCATTCATGCTGACCGTGATCGTTGGCAACAACGCACCGAGAACATCTTACAGAAGTACGATCGCGTCGATCCCACAGAAATGGAGAACCTTAAAGAGAAGCTCTCAACTTTGGAGAAGGAGCGTGATGAGGCTATTGAAGCACGTGACACATTGCAAAAACAAGTGGACGGCTTCCCGGAGCAACTCGCAAAGACTGCAGAGGAAAGTAAAGCTGAACTGCGCAGCAAGCTTACCGAACAATTTGTAAAGCGTTCCAAGGAACTCAGTGGTCGCATCAACGCAAAGCAATCTGAATTGAATGCAGTTCAACAAGAGAAGGAAGTCATTCAGCAGGAACTCACGAAAGCGCGGGAAGAGCTCAACCAGCTTAAATCAACGCCAGTTGAGCAACAAACTACAGCAATGGAAGTTGAGCCCGCCTCTGTCACTCCTGCCGTGCCCCAGCCTGCACCTTCAACTTCTCCAGGCAATGAGGAAAAGATTAAGGCTCTTGAAGAAAAGGTTGCTCGTCTGGAAGCTGCTTTGGCTGAGAAAGAAGCCCAGTTTGACACGAAGCTTAAGGAACGGTCCGACAAGATGAAAGAAGCATACAACACTAAAGTTGCGGAGCTTCGCAGAAACCACCAGCAAGAACTGGAGGCTCTTAAATCGCAGCAGCGGCAAGCGCCTCAAGAAGCCGGTCAAACTACAGAAGTCACAATACCCGGTACTCCTGCAAAGGCTGAAACTGGCGAATTGCCTGAGCTTACCGACGCTCAAGCCAAAGATCTTGTCGCTAAGAATGAGACAATCAAGGATATTATTAAGCGCAACATTCAACAACAGGTTAACAAAGTGAAAGCGCAATTGCAACAGGAAGCTCGGAACCAGGCTGCGGCGGTTGCCCCAAGTCTCGAAGCTACAGCCGAGCTTGAGAGTAAACTTGCAGAGGAGCGAGAGCGTCTCAAGAAAGTGTCAGATGAGACTATCGAAGAGAAAGTCAAATCAGCTGTTGAGTTAAACGACAAGAAGATTGCCGTTAAAATCAGTATGCTCGAGTCGCGTGCTAAGACAGCTATGGCGAAACTCCAGGTTGTGCAGAAGGCTGCCTCTGAGACCCCAGAGAAGCCCGTCCGGGAAGTGTGGGAGGTTGCCAAAGATGCAAAGGCACCTCCAGCTGCTCCGACAACCCCAGCGAAACCATCCACTCCTGCACCGGTAGCACAGGCTCAGACACCTGTCTCTACACCCTCAGTTGTCACTAATAAGGTTGCGCCCATTCCCGCTCCCACTCCCGCTGCTACAGCTGCTACCCCAGCTGCAGTTCCTGTTGCTACCCCGGCAGCCGCAGAGGTCCTAGCTCAACCCCAACAGCAGCAACAAGCAGCGAGCCCCTTTGCAGCAATCAAAGAGGGCCAACAAGGTCCTCAAACTCAAGCGACTCAGCCACAGAATGTTGCAAATCCATTCGCAGTAATAAAGCAGGATAGACAGAACCAGGCGACTCAACCAAACCAACAGGCTTCTATACCTCCAAAACCCCCAGCTGGAGGTGTTGGTAACCATGTCGGGCCTGGTCCGGCTACATTGAGAGCTCTCCAGTCTGGGCTTCCAGTTGCACGAGGACGAGGTGGCGGACGCGGAGGTAGTCAAAATGTTGGTGGAGCCCAACCCACAGATCAGTCACAGCAAGGTCAAGTCCAAAGCCAGCGCGGTACTGGTATGACACGAGGACGAGGGCGTGGCCGTGGTGGTCAACATGGCCAGACCAATGCACCTCAGAATGCCGACCAGTCGCAAGAAATTTCTGGTGGTAACAGAGGTGGTCTGAATGCTGGAGCACGTCAATTCATCCCTCAGGGCAACAAGCGACCACGTGAAGATGGTAGCGAGACAACTGCTGGCGACGCCGGTGGCGCAGGAAAGAGAATCAGAGGCGGGGGGGGACATAACCGGGGATCATGAACGGAAAGACACAAGCATATCAACAAAACAAAGAATCTCCTTTGTTATAAAATTATATATTGCGACTTGATGTTTTGTATTAATGAGCAATATTTTTTCTTTTACACATAGGGTATGTGGGCGTTGTTCGGGGTTGCACTTCATTTTCGCATGGATCTAGTATCGAGGAGATTTGCCTGGGGAAGGGAGAAAGGATGTATACATTGTATAAGGTTGCCTTGTGGTTTTGAGCAAGCATACCTACTGGATTGTACAACTACTCAATGTGGAGCGAAAAAAATAACTAGATACCTTGACAATTGTCACAACCATTCCAACGATTTGTAGCTTCTATGGGGTATATCAAAATGAGACAAAATCATAACACGTAAGACTGATCGGTTGGATGATCAATTATCACCTTCGTTTACTGCCCCCACTAGTAGATAAACTAATCATCTTCGCAAGCCCTTCACGCTCCTTATGCAATACCAATAATCTCGCATCCTCGATTCGTTTCGCATTCGGCCGATGTCCACCATGCTCCTCTGCAGCTGGACCGACGAACCGTCGCCTTTTTCTCTGTCCAATGCTACCTGTCCCAGCAGCCCAGATAACCATCCAATCCTCCACGACAGTCCCCTCTGAGATTTCACATTGAGAACAAATCTTGCTATGCGAGCCAATGGTCGCGTGGCGGTTTATAGTTGCTAATGAATCGACCACGGCGGCGGAACGGATGTATGCTCCTGTACGGATTGTGGTTTGGGGTCCTATGACCACTGAGGATGATATTCGCGTTAATATTCCATCTGATGTTGAAGTGGGCGCGCTCGTTGACTCCTTGATATCGCCGATTATAGTCTTTTCGCCAATGATGCAGCCATCCCCGATTTGTACGGGTCCTTCGAAAGCCTGGATTCTCACGCGAGGGTGGATGACGGTGCCCGACCCGATTGTTATGGGGTACGTGCCATGGAAAGCCGTGGTTTCGGAGACGGTAGTTGTCGAGTGTACAGAGACAGGGGCACGGGGTGGAGGAGCTGGACCTGATGCTGAGGATGAGGAGACGCGTTGTCGTTGGGTGGAAGTGGATGCTGATGGGGGTGGTTTTAGGTATGTTGATGAACTTGTCGATGCCATTGTTCTGTTCGGCAAAGGATTATATAGCAGTTAGTTGAAATGATACTGTTAAGCATCGAGCATCGAAAAGAAGCATCCGTGATGTTTTAGTTGAGGTCGATGAGAGAAGCTTAACATATCGCGGAGATCTTCCAGTGGGCCAATCGGAATCCGTCATCTGCGGAGAAACAGACCCACTCCGTGTCCTTGGGGCTTCACCATTCAACAATCTTGTCAACTCAGCACTCGTGTGTGTGTGTGTGTGTGTGTGTGTGTGTGTTTTTATTTAACGGCCGTGTACTCAGCACTCGTACATATGGATCTTGTAAAGAATATGACCATAAGGTCACGTGACTAGTGATCCGAGGCTAATTATAGTCTCACCCCCTGGGTTGTATGTAACGCATCGAATCATCTCCTTATCAATACTTACAAGCAGCTGGTCATTGATCACTATTACTGGACGATATTAATCCTCTGAATCTATACGGTCCATTCAGCGATTTCTTTACAGATCTCAGCGTGTGATTTGATAGAACTTCCCAAATTCGGTCAGAATGGGGAATATTGGAAGGCCCAGCACAGGATGCAATAGATGCAAGCGGCTCAAAGTCAAGGTGAATACCGGCTGGAGTATATGTATTTCCATCGATGATAATGGTACTGACATTGATATTCTCAGTGTGACGAAGAAAAGCCAGAATGTCTTCGTTGCAAAAATGCAAGTCAGAAATGTACAGGCTATCCGGATATCTTCGACATACGGCTCAGACACGAGACAGGCGTTGGTAAGAGGCGGTCAACGCGAATCAGAAAAGCAGCTCATCCCGATCCCGTTGTGCCAACAGCCAAACCTTCCAAGCGTGCAAAATCACCGTCAACGAAAGACGATGAGTCTTTTCTTTCAGCGACCATTCTCCTCTTCAAAATAGCTCTCGGGAAACCGTATGATACGAACCTGTCTTCAGATAATTATCTAGACAGTTGCATATCGATCATAAATGGTTCAGCCGACAACTCAGGTCTCAAACACGCCATGTCCGCTACTTGTAACCGATTCTATTCGTTTGTTTCTCAAAGCAAGGAGATGGAGGTTGCTTCAGAGACGAACTTTGCAGCCGCTGTTTCACTGGCGCGAGCAGCGTTGGATGATCCGGAGGAGAGCAAGTCTGATGCTACGCTATTAACGGTTATGTTGTTGTCAATGTTTGAGGTGAGCTTTTATTTCCTTTGATTTGGAGTAGATGAGTCAGTTATACTGATTAATTGAAGAATCTTAGTAGCGTCAAAGCTTATAGGTCACCGCTGAAGACCCATTTCATTGGTCTTGCGCAGTTGCTTCAACACCGAGGACCGGACTTGCTGCATAGTGGTATTTCTCTATTTTGTCTTCATCAGTTCTACTATAGACTTGTATGCCCTCCCTTTGGCGATGATTAGAAGTAAAAATACTGATTAGGTATATCTAGGCAGCAGTAGTCCTCGGCGGTGACTTGGAGGCAATGAGAGAACTTCTTGAGATTTCGAAATCTATCCGTCCACCCTGTGATATGCATCCTACCAACACCCTAGCTTCATTCACAACGGGACTCGCTTATCTGCGCTTGCGACTAGAAGCTATCAATCTCTGCTCCGGGTTTGACGTGCAGAAAATCACACTGTTGATGTCACTAGCCTTGCAACTTGAGGGGGACCTCTCACGATGGGTAAACGACGTCCCCGCGAGCTGTCAACCCAGAAAGAAGGTTCTAGACATCTTTCTATACTATCCGGACTGGGAGGACAAGTACCCCTCGCTGGCTGTAGCGCAGGATTGGAACCATTACCGGTACATGAGGATTATGACCAATATCGTTATATCACGATGCGCGGCGCTGTTGCGTCTGTATTCGAAAGTCGCTGCGGCAGATCAGGCTTGTGAGCAGATGGTGGATGAAGTCCTTGCGTCGGTGAACTTTTATATTGGCCCGCTGAAGAAGTACGAGAATGATGAGGATGAGGATGATGACGATGATTATCATCCCCATAGAATGAGTCAAGATCGAGTCGTTGATAAAAAGTATGCCCTTGGTGCACTAGGTGCCATGCTATTGTTGCCCAAATTGCGGTGGATTCTGCAGGCGGAACCATCGTTAAGGCCGAAACAAAGGGCATGTTTAGAGTCGCGGGTTAAGACGATGTTAAAATTCTACCGAGCTCACGGGGTAGAAAATGTTGATATGCAGGACCAATAGATCTTCCCTCCTATTGTGCCGCTCGCTGGTTATGTATAGTGGGTATCATAACATGCATCTAAACCTATATGACACATATCTAATTATAAATCACTCATCAAACCGACTAACCTCCCTCTCCTCCAAATCCCCCGGCTGATCTCCAGGTTTTATCCCAAAAGCCTTCCTCCATTCCCACACACCCCTATCAACTTCCTCTTTCGTCATCCCGTCTCTAACTAAACAAAACGTAACACCCAGCTCCGTCTGCACATTTCTGTTGCGCGCCTCATCGTCAAAGAATAACATTTGATCGTACGGTATGTTGCTTGATTGATGTAGGCGCGTGAAATGCTGCGTTTTGTTGCTCGGGAAGATCTGAATGTAGTCGAAATAGTCGAGAGCGCGTACGGTGCGGCGTCGCGTGTCCCGTGCGGCGGGGTTGTCGGTGAATGTTGGTATTACGTGCAGGGCTTTAAGCATGTCGCGCGCAAGATCGGGGGCGTGTGTTCTTGAGGCTATTCCGAGTGGGATGTTATGCGATTTCGCCGAGTGAAGGATCGAGGAGACGGCGGGGTAGAAAGCGAATGATTCTCCCCATCTGTTCATGTTAGAGAGATAGGGTTGTTGACAGATGGAGAGTGTACTGACTTATCGACACATCGTGAATTGTTATCTTTGGGTTTCACAGGGGCGCTGACATGCGTATCTACCCAAAATGGCCATAGGGTGTAGTCGAGATCGAAGACGATGAGTTTTGGTAGCGGGAGTTTGTCGTTAAAGGTGGAGGGCGCATTCGAGGGTTCTTCAGGGGGGAAGGAGTGATATGATTTTTGACGGCGGAGCATGTTTGCACTGTATATTTAAATGCTATGTGATCAGAGTATGTACCTGCAAACAACATGTACTATTTTTCTTTTTGCACAAGTGAGTATGTACAGGGTGAATCAAGCTGGTCCGATTTGATATCAGCGAGCCTTATCGCTCCAGGCTAAACTTTAGGAGGCTTAGGTACGCCCCACAGTTCTTTTTTCCTCGATTCTGGCCAATCACATTCCGCACTGGAAGCCGGGAAAGGTGGTTTCTATCATAGATACGGACACGGAATCAAGGCGGTAGAACTGCCAACAACTTAATGTACCGTAACCAATATAACGACAGAAGCAAGGAGAGCACGTAGTCAATGCTCGGCACATTACTTACGACATCACCGGGATCCCTCTTCTAGATCAAACAGGGCACGACAGAACTATTGTTAGTACAAGTACTCCGTACGACTAGCTGCGACAGTCTGGATAATTAGACCCCGAAACCTACTGCAGACTCTAAAGCAGCAGTAGCGGCCGCTGAATATTCCCAGGTTCAGGCTTAGCTGACAACAGTTCCCGGTTCGTCAGTGGGGAAGTGAGAAAATCTTGAAGCTGGTGGCCATCCCCAACGTCATGTAGCTGGACGAGAATAAGGATAATATATCCATATGTCCGGGTATTCGTATATTGCACTGATCCTCGCTTTAGGTCCCGAAACGAGGCTAACTCACTCATACGTAGTCCCATGTAGGGTTGTACCTCCAGCTCGATACTATCACACATTGCACACGTGAGTAGAACGGCTATACCTGATGACCGGCAAGCATCAGCTAAGAGGCTCTACGTCGACCCTCAGCATCGAACGCCATGAACTGGGCAATTTCTGTTTCATACGTCTGTGTTAGGCACTCGGTAGACTGTAGGAAGAGGGAGGCGTCAGACCCATTCGGTACCCGATCTGGCCCACTCTTTTCCCCCATTTTCCACTCTGCAAATTTGCCATGGCCACTTGTCCAGATTGATATACGTAGTCGGCCCAAATTAGATCTCAAGGGGAGCCGTAGTATGTGCGGAGGGACCCATGGAAAAGACGCATGTTATTCGTTTGTGTAAACGCAGGTCAGGGTTCGAAGGAAGAAGGGGTCGGCAGATGGTTGAAAACAAGATCTCAGACAATCAAAACAAGGCGACGGTGGATCCGTGTTTGGAGCTCAAGGGGCCATCTAGACCAGTCACACAAAGCGAGCAAAAAAAGATAGAAGTAATCATCGAAGTATAGTCACGGAGCAAGCAGTATGAAGAGTAGGATGTCTGTTGAGATGGGAGAAGAAAGCCGCCAAGAATCCAGTTGACTCCGAAAAGAGCAAGTGGTGTCCTGACTTTTCAGGCTGCCATCCCGCCTTCCAGATTCAATTAATTCCCGCTGTCCGGCGATTCCCACCTTCCCGCTCCATCTCCAACTCTCCCTCCATGCAGAGTCATGTCAATATTCCCCAGCATCCCCTGATCGATCATCTCGCTCTCATTATTGTATCATCTCCACAATGTCTCCCTCGACCTTCTAGTTGCGAGATCGGCCATAATCTCGCCCTACCAACCGGGCGTTGTGGCCAGTGCAAACGAACTGCTTTTCGCTCATCCTCCACTGTTTAGTCTCTGCACTTTACAACTTTCAACAACAACAACGTGCTATGCACATAATAGTTTCAACTCTCATACAACCATAATCACCACCTTCATCCTGCCTGTATTCTACAACTTCGGCGATATTGCCGCTTCACAACGCAATGGAGGTGTCGGGCTCGCGACCTCGGGTGCGAGACGCGTCACCGATCCTAGGTTTATCCGATAATATGTCTCGACCAGCATCGTCCAAGTCCGCTCGCATACGAGACGTAGAAATGCATCGAGAGGTCACAACCACTGTTGAGCCCTCACCCAGTATCGGCCAGTTTTCGTTCGCCCCGGCTACCCGCACCACCGTTGTCACCACCACCACAACGACCACCACCAACTTTCCCCCGCTCATCCTGAATCCTCCACGCTCAGCTCGCGAACTGAATCCCAAGTTATACCCTCTTGCTGCATATCCCACTCCGGCCGCTCTACGAAAATTCCAGTTTGAACTCGATGGCCAGTCGGTGATCTTCAATGAACCAGAAGATACCGATGCCGCTATAAACGAGGTTCGTGTGATCTCTTGCTTTCCCTTGTAAACATCTCTTGCTAACTAACGACTTCCCGCAGTTAAACGAACAGCATGCCGCTTTGAGGTCGTCCAAGGGTGTACTCACATCGGTCGCAGGCTATGACGGTCCCAATCAGAATACCTCTGTTCCCTATCCCTCGAATACAGCAGTAACCAGACGTCGAGCTGTCTCGCCATTCAAATATCCCGACACATCAGGCAGACGTACACGCTCTTTAATGGTTCCTTCAGATTCACGTGGCACCCCGTCGCAGCAGAGAAAGAGTCGCCTGGGTGGCATTGCCTCCGCCACGAATTCGTCAGTGGCCGGCCTGGCCACCCCTGAAACCGAAACAACTCGTTTCCGTCTTGATCAACATGTTGCTTTGAGAAAGCGTCTGCATACTGAGAAAGCAGGACAGTTGGTAACCTCTGCTACATCCTATCAAGGCGACGTTGATGTTTCCCAGACCTCATCTCCCAGCCAGTCATTCGCTTCAAAACCCCGTGTTAAACGTCAGAACTTGGTAGAGGCAACACCAGCACTTGAGCATCAGCCGGGCTCTATGACGCTTGTCTCCTCGGACTATCATGACCAAGATCCCCAGTCTGGTACAGAAGACGACGGGTCTGCTGAAACCCTGGCCGCAGGTAATGAAGGCACGCAAGAGTCGCAGCCATGTCAACAAACAGTTCCAACTAGTCTGTCTAGTCATGATTCAGTGCTTGGCCAGGACATGTGCCTTCCCAGCCCAAGTCTATCTCCAGTGACCGCCATGAATACTCACAACCCGGATTACTTCCTCGAGTTTCCTGATGACCAAGGAACAGATACCGACTCCAGCTTGGACAATCACATACCTGTTCTATCCAACTCCCTTCGGCAAAAGACGATGCACGACGCGTCGACTAGTCAACGTTCCATGAACGCGAACGCTATCCAGTCACGACCGACGTCTTTGATGGATATCCCAGCCACGCTAGAATTCTTCGAAGCCATACCAGACGAGATGAAGACTTACATGATGTATCAACTATTGAAACGTTGCCCCAAACCCACTTTGCAATTTGTGGCCGATACTGTCAACCCTGCATTGAAGTGCGATTTCTTGGCTCTTTTACCCGCAGAGTTGACCCTCAACATCGTGAAATACTTCGACTACCAGACTATGTGCCGGGCATCTCAGGTTTCAAAGAAATGGCGACACATCCTCAACTCCGATGAACGAGCCTGGAAAGAGTTGTTTGAGAGGGATGGCTTTCAGCTCCCACCTGGAGAGCTTCAGCAAGCCATTAGAGAAGGGTGGGGCTGGCAGTTCCCTAACGGATCGGAGGACTGGGAAAGGGATCTATCTTTAAGCCTCAAGAACGATTCCGACTTGAGTCAAACATCGCACGCTCTTTCGTCGAGTTTCATGTCTAACGCACTTTCTCTGGATTCTGTTTCCCCTCGTCGTTCAAAAAGGAAGGCCACCAATAAAACTCCGACTCGAAAGATTGCTAGACGGAAATTGCTGTCATCTCGCAGGGCTGAATCCCCCGTCTCGGATTCTTTAGACTGGGTAAACGAGGTATCAGTCCTTGAGGGGCCCGCTGCCGCTGCCAATGCTGCAGCCATTGCTATCCCCTATCCTGATGTTGGCCTGAGCTCACTCCGTAGTTTGCATCTTTATAAGTCGCTATATCGCCGCCACTTGGCCATCCGACAAGGCTGGATGCGTCCCGACTTGAAGCCAAAGCATCTGGCTTTCCGTGCTCATGATCGCCATGTCGTCACATGTCTTCAATTTGACTCGGAAAAGATCCTCACTGGCAGCGATGACACCAAGATCCATGTTTACAACACCAAAACTGGGGCATTGAGATCTGTTCTCGAAGGCCATGAAGGTGGTGTTTGGGCTCTGGAGTACCACGAGAATACACTTGTTTCCGGATCTACGGATAGATCGGTGCGTGTGTGGGATATTGAGAAGGCCAAGTGCACTCAGGTATTCCATGGCCACACATCCACTGTACGGTGTCTGCAGATCTTGCTTCCCGCTGAAGTCGGAAAGAATCCAGATGGATCTTCAATTATGATGCCTAAGGAGCCTCTTATCATTACGGGATCGCGCGATTCGAATCTGCGGGTTTGGAAGTTGCCGAAGCCTACCGACCCATACTATCTTGATGCTAGTTCACATGCTGAGGACACGGACTGTCCCTATTTCTTACGAACTCTATCGGGCCATCAATATTCAGTACGAGCCATCGCGGCACATGGCGATACTTTAGTTTCTGGAAGCTATGACTGCACTGTTCGAGTATGGAAAATTTCTAATGGTGAATGTATGCATAGACTACAAGGCCACACGCTCAAAGTCTACAGTGTCGTTCTGGACGTGGAGAGGAACCGTTGTATTAGCGGCTCTATGGATAACATGGTTAAAGTTTGGTCGTTGGATACTGGCGCCTTGCTCTACAATCTTGAAGGTCACACTTCACTTGTGGGCCTCTTAGATCTCAAGGGTGACCGTTTGGTTTCTGGCGCGGCTGATTCAACCTTGCGAATTTGGGACCCAGAGAACGGCCAGTGCAAGAACAATTTGACTGCTCACACCGGAGCCATCACCTGCTTCCAGCATGACGGCGAAAAGATCATATCTGGATCTGACAGAACACTCAAGATGTGGAATGTACGATCGGGCGAGTGCGTCAAGGACCTCCTTCGAGACCTTAGTGGCGTATGGCAAGTGCGGTTCAATGATCGCACTTGTGTAGCAGCTGTTCAGCGAGACGGCATGACTTATATTGAGGTATGTTTTCATTCTCGTAAAGATTACGCTATTTTCGGTTACTAACGATTCAAAGGTTCTCGATTTTGGTGCTTTTCGAGATGGTCTCCCTGAATACCGACTTGGTAAACGCATACTAGTGGACCGCTTTGGTTTTCCCGTTGACAACGACGACGATGAGGACGATTTTGACGGGACAGAATAAGTGGTACGACACCAAGTATCTCTTGTATACGAGCCGAATCCGTCGAGCAGTCGATGATTCGGCAGGATCTCAACATACCAATGATACCCCTTTCATGACACAAACTTCTTTTAATCTTGCGGGTTTGCATTATTGCATAGCGTGGGCGGTATTACTCTCTTTCATATTTCCATATGGCATCTTTTATTGGCAGGTGTTCGGATTGGTTCGGGCTTGAGCAAAGTTACGACATGCGACGTTTTCCGATATCCTCGAGGTCTGTCGAGCATTTTCTGCTGATTACAGGCATCATTTATTTTATTTTGTCTATGGGCATAGCAAGAGGACTGGAGTCTTTCATCTTACATTTACGATATGTTTATGTGTATTCATTCATTTTTCCTGTATTTCCCATGCTTTTCTCTTTTTCTTCAGCATTTTCAGCTGTGTATTTGCAATCGACGGGGGGGTGCGACTCAATTATATCAAGTGTATTGATGTATGCAATTTACAAAAGCATGAACAAACATGTCATCTTGAACCCACAGTATCTGAATGTGATTACTTTAGACTGTCGTAAAAGTTGCCTGATTACATTCAAGGAGACACTCCCTGAGTTATAACCAGCTCAGATATAATTACACCAATGATCTAAGCATCTATGCAATTTACATGCGACCTAGTCACCTGTAACCTCAGGCAGATCTTTTTATCTGGACACCATGATTCTGGAGCCACAAATTGTTTGGGTGCTACGATTTTCGGCCTTAGGAGAAAAGGATGGTACATGAAGGTATAGAGATGTCGTCCATTTCCACAAATGATGGGTTAGACTTCAAGGTCAGTTCCATCGAATTTGATGGCTCCAGCTGTGTCAAGCATTTATTTTTATTTCTGTTCATAGTACCCAATTGTCCTTGACCTCATACAACAGACAGGTTTGTTGCTGAAAAAATAAGAACACAGGGTATTTCTAGTAATTGCCTTGGCTTTTTTTTAAGCTTAATCTTATAGACTGCTGATGGATACATGCCATTAAATTCTGTAGTGTCCTGCCTGTCCAATCTCCATTCGATAATTGTGTTACACCCAGTTCCATCCATCTATGCTCTACATTTTCTTACGTTAGTTATATGGGTGTTCCCTTCCATCTTAATCCCGATTTCACCATTCCGTTTGCCAACTTGTGTGAGAGGAAAAGTCGTCACCTACCTACAATAAAGTTGACTAGCTGGGGCATAAGAGCCTTATAAATTTGTCCTCTTTATGTGTTTGTTTCTCCTCTTCATTCCTCTCAGCTACATCTTTCTGTATCCATCATCTTGCTTTTTCTCCGGTCGCTCTGTCTTCATGATTAGGAGTTATCATATTAGCTCACGCTTGTTAGTTTTCTTTATATCTTATTTCTTCACGTCTTGGACATCTTGAAGTTTGGACTTCTGTAACACCTGGCTATCTCTAAAAACGTGACCAGTCCTCTGCCATAATCAACCAAGATGGTACGACTAAACTACACTTCTGTGAGTGAGATGCTAGTATATTTGTTTAGACTTTATGTATCTGCTGACACCAAGCCTACAGAGAAAGATCAGTGGCGTCAAAGCTGGTCTAGCTGTGAAAAAGGATCTCGTATGCATACAATCTGCCTCTCCATTGATATAAACATACATATTAACTTTTGACAGAACAAGCGAATCCCTTCCACTCCTAATTTCAGAGTCCGAGACCCTGTCCTGGAAATCGACATCTCTGGTAAAGAACTAACAGACGATGGCTTCAACGAATTCATCCTCGATCTACGTATTGCGTTGCAATCCGCGAGCCCCGAATACCCTCAAGGAATCAACAAGTTACAAGAACTACACCTGAAGGGGAATCAGCTTACCGTCAACGCGCTTGTGGAGCTTGCTAAAATCATTCAGCTCAGCTCACGGGATCTCAAAGAGCTCGATGTCTCGAATAATGATATCAGCATTATTACGATTTCTGACGCGCAGAAATGGAAGTATTTTCTTCAATCCTTCAGCCAGTGCTGCGTCTTGAAGAAAATTGATTTCAGTGGTAATTCTCTGGGGGCCAGGGGAATTGAAATTCTGGCACGGGTTTACATTCGCAGTGAGCTTGACTTCGTCGAGACTGTCGTGGACTCTGAGGAAGACGAGCATTTGAATGATCTTGAACTTGAAGAGACTACGCAGCGTGGTGAGCATGCTGTCGTGAGCCAAGCTACGAAAGAAGTTTCTCGACGAAGTCAGACGTCACCCTCCAAGGCTCACACATACACCGACGCAGAATTCAGACGCTATGCATGCACCCGGGGTCTACGATCAGTTCCATATCTCATTTTGCAGGATGTCTCCATGACCAATGGAGCTATAATCCACCTTGCTGAGATGATTAGAATGCATCGCACTCCAGAAACGCTTCTTCCATTCCTTCCTGGCGGCAAGCCCCTCAATCTACCCCCATCTGAATACGGTGCAGGTGGTATCTATTGGTTGCCAAACGATGGTATCAGCGAGTTATCAGTCCGACTTATGAAACTTATGGAACAGATGCAACGGTCTATCGCCGAGAACGAGTCCGACGACGAACTTGCTGTTGACTTTGACGAATTTAACTTCGATGACTTGGACCACGAAGAGATGGAACGCAATCAAGAGGAACGGGAACGTCGCCGTCGGCACCGCCAGGCACTGACCGTGAATCTTGGTCGCGCCACTAGTCAGCAGCGAATCCATACGCTGGGCACCGAAGGACTGCGGAAATCTGTTCTTTGGCATTGTGCATTGCGAATGCTGGCCGTCTCTCGAGCAATCCTGCTGGACTTTACGAGTCGTCCCACCCCAGTCGAAGAGGAATTGGCCGCGTCTAAGAAATCACGACTTGAACAATTGCGTCGACAAGACGCAACCCGCTCATCACTTCCAGTCGATAAGCGACATGCATCTCCAAAACTGAACGACCAACTATTGACTGGAATATCTTCTCAGGAACGTCCGCTATCCAGCTCACCACGATGTCTCTCAACAAGGACAGTCGTAGATGGGTGGTCAACGAAATTCGACGACATCCCAAGGGGGGCGCTCATTTCTTCGTTGCGTTTTGATCCTAAATCATCGACATTTGATCACATGTTCCCCGCAATGCACCATACCCCCGAGAATCCATTATTGCAGGTTAATCCACCACCGGTCGCAGCAGCGATGCCAAATTATCCCTGTATAATCGAAAGCGAGCATGATATAAAGGCCAGTGGACATGTTCTGAAAGGAGGCAAATCGGATACCAAGAAAGATGGGGGGGTTCATCCATCATCTTCATCGCCTACCACTCTTAGTTGTGGAGGCAAGATAGCTACAACGACTGGTAACTATCGTTCCAAGTATCAATTTGGGTTGCCATTACATTTGTGGCGACGCATTATTGCTGAGGCGATGGGTGTCAATGGAATTTTGCATCCGGATCAGCAGATGAAGATCGTCTCGTATGCTGCTAGTTGGGGTGCGCTTGAGGCGGAGATGTCTATCAATGGTGCGGCGGAGCATCAGCAATTGTGGAAGATACTGGATAGTATCGATTGCTTCACATACAAGCCACTGTCTTAGGATATTGATATGACCAAAATCAGACAGCGAGATGGCGATGTGGAGTGATGGTGATTTTTTTTCTACTTTCCTAATTGGACGCTTTTAGAAAAGGAGTTACTTCGGTGGGGGCACCCGAAAAGGAAATTTAGCCCTAATCCACCAAGTTTCGGCTACTCTCTTCTCACTTTGTCCCGGGTTTCCTTGCTTATTACTACTCATTCCCTTTTCCTTGTACGAGGACCTTCCTTTCTGTCTTGAATATTAAAGTCTGCGAGAATCATTCACGTTTTCTTCTGAGATGAATATGTGACTTACAACTGTCAGCGAATGCGATGCAAATTGCTTGCAGAATGTAGTACTGGTAGAGCATCAATAGCAATTCTAGACGAGGTGCCAGGTTCAGAATAGTTTGCTCAGCCCAGTTGATTTCTATAGTCCCAAGAATAGAAGCTACAACAGACTGTAGCGAGTCATGAGTCATTTCACCATTTTCAGTTTGTGAGTGTTGGGCTAGCTATTTGGGGCTATTTTGGGATTTGGACTTATTCTAGGTGGGGGTGTGTAAATGCTTTCTCCCAACGATTCATCCTCATCTTTTCTTGTAGTTCTCTTTTTACATGATCTGATAGTCAATATCCCTCTTAAATTCACCAAATTTCAAATTACCCACCTCATTTACTACCGTTAAGCCATAGAGTGTGCGAGACCAAGGTTAACATCATGTCCAACGAAACTGTGGTGCTCATCACCGGCACGAACAGGGGTGAGTGCAATTTCCGGATTATTTACTCCATCTCAGGGACCTCAAGATTTCCCACAAAGGATGAGATCATTAACGTTCTCATCAGGTCTCGGCCTTGGCCTTGCAAAACTCTACCTTCAACAACCCAACACGCGCGTCATCCTCACTGCACGCAGCAACACGACTGCCGTTGTCGACGCACTACCAAAATCCAACGCCGGCGTACTGCACGGCATCTACAAACTCGACAGCGCATCCAACGTCGATGCAGTTGCACTACGCGAGTCGCTCACGTCTTCTGAGACCGGCGTTAGCAAGATCGATATTATCATCGCAAATGCCGGTATAGGCGAGCCATTTGACAGCGTTCTCGACGCACCTATCGATGCACTGGAAAATTTCTATCGAGCCAATACCCTCGGTCCCGTGAGACTCTATCAACAGCTTTGGAAGGACCTTCTAGAGAAATCAACGAACCCGAAATTCATTCTGATCAGCTCCGCTTTGGGTTCTGTTACCTATGTCGATAAATCGCCCTGTGGTGGGTATGGCGCATCGAAGGCGGCGGCGAATTATTTCGTGAGGAAGATGCACATGGAAAATGAGAAGTTGACGGCTGTAGTTTTGCATCCAGGGTAATTATACTTATCTCTTTGTGTGCGGAATAGCGATGTTGGAAAAAAATCTGATTTACGTGGCGGATAGCTGGGTCAAGACAGATAATGGGCAAGCATATGCCGATGCTGTCAATGTATCTGAACCGCCTTTGACGGTGGAGAAGTCAGTCGACAAAATATTTGAGATAGTACGTCCCACTATAACCAGATGTTTTCTCCGACATATTGGACTGAATTTGGTCTAGGTGTCTGCAGCAACGAAAGAAGGCATGTCGGGAAACTTTATCGATATCATGACCGGGAGCGATATCCTTTGGTAAAGCCTAAGCCCGGGATTAGGACCTGTGAGACCGTTAAAAAAAGAACCTTGGAATCCTTGTAGGACTATCAAGAAAAAGGAGACGTCTTTGGGCTTGTTAAGTTTTTATCCAGAATTGTAACCATCTAGTAGTACGTCGCGAGTCAATATCGGATTAGTTTCAGTCACTTACTTCCAATATTTGCTTCTATTCGATCTCTGTTGTCTTTTTCTCTCCGTTATCCAGGGGTTTTTCCTAACGCAGGTGAAGACTACGCTACAGATATTAAAGGAACAAATTGAGGTACGTACTAATTGACATGTCGGGCATGGGTAGGACCCAACTATGCCTACGGCAATATCAGCTGGGAGTGAGAACCAACAAGCCATACCCGATCTTTGGGCGAGTCCCAAGAAATGGGGTGCAAAACATATCAGAATACCATAATTAAGGTACTCAACACCCTGTAAATATTGTTTGCTAGGGATATCTGTCTCAGAAATTCAATATTTGTAATCCACGATGAATTGAATGGAAAATCACAAGAGAGACATGTAGTATCAACACGATTTTATGTCTGGCAGGGGTTTGCGAAACCATGCGACATCCTAAAGAAAGAATACTTGTGCGTATGGTCTTATTTTGCAAGCCATGTACATCTCTAAGCCCAGATCCTTATCAGGTACAGTCGAGTTACTGGCACGTTAGCCACCCAGTTTGCGATGATTCGGTTCTCGAGACAGCGAGAAAATCGATTACTCGTTGCGAGGTACAATATGTTGCACAATTGACTTGACACTCGAAAACAATAATCCCGTTGAATTAGAGCGCGGCCAAGATAGACCAGGACACATAGCTATGGCTTACTACAGGAATAATATCAGTCCAAAATAGTAATATACGGTAGTATATTGTTACGGGCCAGTCCTGTCGTATGAAACACTATAAGTTCATTCCTAAGATGATAACATACATGAGAAGCAAAAAGAAAAAACATGCAAATTCTGGCTGCGCGTACCACTTAATATAGAGACAGAGAATCGTGCTGTTTCTATAGAGTGTCCTTTGTAAATCCGGATACCCCGATCAATAACTCCAGTTTCCAGGAGGCTAAGTATCGACCAACTAGGATCAGCACAGATACCCCGAATAATAACACTAGGAGGGTAAGTATTGGTCAACTAGGATTACTTGCTAGATCAGAAGATAGCTTCGTGAACGGTGCTAGTGAGGGCCCTGTCCCGAACCACCCATATGGGGTCAGCCCATAACATATATGGTATCAATGCATATTTTATTTACAGTACAATCCATTTGTAAGATCAAATTTATTTCTAGAATATTTGACTTTCAATTTGAACACGTGCCTGGCACGCGCCTGATAGACTCAGCAATTTATGGACATTGCAGCCTCGTGAGTTACCACATCTATCACCAAAGTCTAGCCTTGAGGGAAACTATACAGGACAGCTAGTACTCTAGAGTATAGAGAAGTGCATCACTCATGCATTTGCTAAATATTCTTCTTAGTCTATTAGATGGAGCCTTATGCTATAACTATGTTCTAGCTAGATCGTACGGATCAACTTAACTAATCCAACAAATATCATCAGTAGTTAGAGTCTCAGGACATGTGAATGTAATAGATAATAACCAATATCTGCACCCCTATTTTCTTCATTTAGCTAATGATGTCCTGATTGCTGCCAGTTAATACGGCCCGATGGCTGCGGAAATTGCTCTTCGATCACCTCTGCACGCCTTCTCCAGAGTCCCATGAATCTCGGCTCGGTATAACCTAACCAGAATAGACACCGATATGCACTAAATAAGCCCATAGATTGAATGCTGGAAAGCTCCAGTAGCCACTGCAACTATCATCGTTGGAATTCCGTGGATGGAGCCCCAGTAAAAGAACCTAACAAACAGAAAGCTTCCCCATTTTCCGAGAAAATCATGGTAGCACTTCAGCGCTGCGAATAATCTCAATTTTTTCACGGAGATCTCTCAAGCAGCTTTTAGTCGCGTCATCATTCACCATTAAACAAGCGAGTCGGATTGCAAAGTCCTTGCTACTCCTTCGTAGCTCTCCCATGCGTCTCGAAGAGGGATATAAACTAGCTCGGGGCTTGAGATTAGCTGGGGACATGAAAGACCGATGCTAAAAGTTGAGACTTGCTTTCATCAGAGATAGTTGCCTTTAGGTATGTGATAAGGCCAGTTTCATAAATCGTAATCACCTTCTAAAGGACGGGGATTTGGTCCATCAAGGTCCTAGAATGGACTCTCCACAAATTTCCACCACACCGGTTTGGCTGGATCCGTCCACGTTGTCAAATTAATGACACAAATAGCAAAGTGTCTGACTAATGTAGTCAACTCTGTTGAGCATGAGATCTGACTTGAGTCGGAACTGTCCCAGTTTATAGGCGCACACGGTGGAAGCGGAAAATCCCTTATGGGACACGGTACATTGGCCGCTTTTTTCCATGCAAAAGTTGAGGGTCCAGGGTATATGCTTTTACCAGAGCTTACAACGGTACGGTGTTGTGAATCTAACCCAAGTCTTGGTGCTATTCTTGATATCTGGAGCGTCCTTGGCTTTCCCTTAGTAGGATTGTGTCAGAGGAGGGAGAATTGAGGAACTAGGACATTTCGAGGAATCAGTTAAATTTTATATTCTGTACATGTTTTATAACTCCTTGGTACCTCACAAGAAAGATCAAAAGATCCGCAGCTATTCCCACGTATTAGCGTTCTTAGTAGCATCTAGACTAGAGTTCAAAGTGTAAAGCTGATTGTGATGTAATTATCATCTCCAGTAACTCTAGATCTCGCGGGCTAGCAGGACAATGTAATTTCTATGACAAACTAATAGTCCGACAGCAGCCGAGGTTATATCATTCCAAGTTAATTGGTCATCTTCCCCTCATCTTTCCCCTCAAGCCTCATACTGCGCCGTTAATCTGCAACCTCGCGTTCACCCAGTCAATTGCCTCTGAGGACGCGAAGAGAATATGCTGTAATGCTATTAAGCTGGGGTGTAGGTACCTGAATGATTCCCGGACGTCTCCAGTGCATTGCAAGTAGCACGGATAGGAGAGTCGTCGGGGGTCTCTTGCCTGTTCAATTATATTGACTTCAAGATTCACATTGATCCAGTACTTGGCAATGCGTATGCGGTAAACCCATGAACGTATGCATTGTGTTGCCTCGGCGCACATAAGATAGTCATGCGCTGGCTGTTCACTTTGTATGGTGAAAATGAATTACCAATACCGCTCGGTACACGATTGCAATTCCGGGATTTGACCCCTCACGTCCGGAACTGAAATCCGGGGATGCATTTGTGTCAGAAATTTAATTTTGTAAGAAACATCACAATCGAGACAATTGTGTAAAATAGATGACCTGTATTGAGTCCTTAATCTACCAATAGATGGAAAGTATTTGAATTTCAACCCTGGATCTGCGTAGTACTGAAGGAGGATAGAGAACACCCACGTCAGACACACTGAGTACGCACCAGGAAAGCCTTTGCAGCACGAAGAGCTTTCCGTGCCTCAGTCTCCAAACCCATTCCAGTCGACAAATGAAAAACATCGTGCGGCATATCCTCCATAGTGTACAACTCAATTGCAGATCCGGCATTCCTCATTTTGTTAACCCATTCCACGATAGTGGCATAGAGCGTCTCAACACCTCCGGCTTGAACCCAGATCGGAATAGGGCTGGTAAAGGGATGATAGAATGGGCTCACAAATTCTGCATCCCGCGGTGATCCGGCAGGTGTGAATGTTGTGGCACCCCATTGCACAAAGGCATCAGAAACATAGTCTCGTCCTTTTTGAATATTGTCAACAGATAATTTCTTCTCAGTTAGATCAAGCCATGGACTATGTAGTAAAAGAGCCCGAGGTAATGGCAGTCCGCTCTCTGGGTGGGTTGTGAGATGACGAAGGAAAGTGATGGCAAGATGAGCGCCAGCAGAATCACCTGAAACTAGAATTCGGGATGGCGAAATCTGTTGGTCGTGAATGAGGTAGTTGTAGGCAGTAAGAGCATCTTGAAGTTGCGCCGGATAGCTGCTCTTGGGTTTCGAGGAGAGTCTATAGTCTAGACATAAGGCAGCGTCTGCTGGGAGTTCTTCGCAAAGCTGTCTGGGCCCTCGCTGCACGGCAGGATCTCTTGGGGTGAGTAGAACGTATGCACCGCCATGAAAATGAAGGATAATCCAGTTACTATTAGTTGACGAAGTCGCAGATGCCAAGTGCTTAAGATTAGGAATCCAGAACGCACCAACCGTTGTAGGCTGGATCTGTGGGTTGTCGAGAAGCCCAGTGTAGGTCTTCTTGAGATCCTTTGCTGGTTCCAGTACCACGAAGAGGTCTGTTTCATTTCCTGGAGTAATAGGCTGTGGTGTTTGAATGCGGATCATGCTAAGAAATTTCAAAAGATGATAGGAGATTTTGTTGACGAGAGCTGTTTTGTAGGACCATGACGAGACCGGCCTCAGAAACGGGATTCCGTACAGTATAGCCCAGGTTGGAACACTGACTGCACTCGTGAGGATATAGTAGAGTATATAAACGAACTTCAGTGGCTGACGTGCTACCAGTGGCTTTGCTGGATCCCAATTATCGGTCATTTTGCTGGTTCACTAGGTAATGTCTGTGATAGATGAGAGCCAACTGTTGATCGAGAAAGGGAAGTTGAAGATAACCAAAACTGGACGGTCCAGTCAGTATTTGTTTTTAGAATAAGCTCCGAGGCCTTCATTGCGCTATGCTTCTTTGTATCACTCAAGAGTCACTGATTCAATCGCCCGACCCGTAAAGTGAAAAATACATGTCTGATAATTATACGTATTGTTACTTCAATACCTTGGTATTATACTGTCCACCGGATTGATAAAGTCAAGACATGTGCCTATACGTGTGTATGCCATATTTAGAGTCTACCTTTATGTATTTCGTTTAACTGGAGGGATCTTTTGTGTTGTTATCTACGTCTCTCATGAAAACAGAAATGATCCGTTAGGTGTCATCTTACGACCTTCAACATAATGGATGAGTTACAAATACGATCAGAGCGGCACAGTAAACTGCCAGGACCAGTATCAGGTTACGTAAGTCTTTGTAGATATTTGCTGAATTGCTATTGTTCCACTTGTGTACGGTGCTGGATGTACAAGGTGCTTAAGGCGAAGCTTAGCATATTTGCTATCATGCAAGCAAGCGAATTGGTGGAATTAGCCAGTATAGTAGTAGAGAAGAGTGAGTTATAGAACTAGTAAATTTTGGCGAAGGAGATACCCTATTGATCAATCACGGAGTGGAAGTTATTTGCATCGCATCAGAAGTTTACCTAATTAGGAAAGTGCCTACCTATCTAGGTAGGCATAAGGGCTGTGATATAGGATTAGCCCTACCTAGGTACGAACAGCCATGACCTCAATGCCAATATGAGAATATACATTGTCATTTATGAGTACTCCTGGTAGATACAAGATAGCCCTCCTGCTTCATAGGTAGAATATTTGTGATACAGTCAGTTTGATTCGTTTCTCTGTACTAGAAGTAATCCTAGATTTACATTCTGATCTACAGTAGAACCTAGCTATAATAAAAAGAAGGACTTAGAATTCAGAGATGAAGAACTCCCCGGAATAATAATGTATGTTATTATTAATAATTGCGATGCTCTTTACGTCTATACTAAAGCAACTAAAGTTGATAATAGTATAATCATTGAGAAGCCTTCCTTTGGTTATAGGTATTGAGGAAGCTACTATGTTTTTCTGAGTCAATCGTTTCTCTTTCCTCAATCTAGTTCCAAGGGTAATAACCATTAACCGTAGCATCTACGTAGCTGCTAAGGTCTAAGAACAAATGCTTCTATAGCCTCCGTTGGCCTGCCCCATCTAACTCTTGCTGTCTTAGATTCCAGATCCATCACAATGCTAAAGAGTGTTTCTGCACCACTTGTATCGGAAGAAGCCCGGTTGATAGCTCCTGGAAAGTTGCCCTCGTCTTCAAGTATGTGTTCTGCTGCTAGCACTGTCAAAGACTTTCCCTCCTCGGTCGTGCTTTCAAGCAGCTCATTAATCCGACGTGCCCGATATAACGAATCCTCCAGAAATACTGCTTCTTTTACGCCTTTCTCATGTGGCACGTAGAAGTGATTGGTATGTGTCACCTTGCATTCCCGTAGTTCTAAGTGTTTCACGTCCACAGAGCTACACTCTAGTCCTGTGCCTCCGGTCTGATCACTCACTAGTATGTGACATGATGCAGCGAGACCCGATTTGTCTAATATGCAGATGGCCTCCTCCCTCGATGAACTGTCCAACACGGCGCGCAGAGCCATGTGCGTGGGTAGCCGGTTGTAATCAACACCACGGGCACGAATCGCGTTAAGTGTTACACTCACTCCGGTAGAGTTAAGTCCGATCTTACCAATGATTCCCGCTTCTGTGATTTGACTAATATTTGGTCGACCATTTTGTTGGATATATAACGTGATCAGGTTTTCGCGCTGCTCTCGCTCCCACTGTTTTTCATGTTGTCAGTCTTGCCGAAGCTTTATCACTTCATTTCAGTCATAGGTTGTAGTCTTACATCCCAGTTTTGGGCAGCAATAGAGACATCCCCCTGATGCCAGTAGAATGCTGTACAGCCATCGGCCATGAGACCCATAGAAATTTCTGTTCGCACGTTAAGAGCCAGGATATCTTCAAACGTGTGTCCGCAACCGTCAGCAATCCCTATGGATCAAAATACGTCAGTTGTAAACCTTTGTTGAATCTCTTAGTTGTTAACGAGCAATCGTGTACCTCTGATCTCTTCCTCATAGTGAGGCCAATCTTTTTGTAGCAAGGGCAAGAATTTTGCTGCATGTGCTTTCGCCGTGGCCCAATCCATTTGGGATTTCAACAAGAAGTATGCCTGGTAGAACTTCAGGCTTCCTGCAACCTGTTCCTTCGCAATACTGCCGTGGCGATGACCAATCTAATCAAGGTTGCGGTCAATTCTCATTACTGGAAACATTCACACCCTTTTTGCTCACCTCGTAAGGAGTCCCAGAGCAATGAACTTCCAACATTCTGGTACTCAATCAATCACTGGACTTGACTTGATATTTCGTAGGGATTAATGCAACACAGGGAGCTAATCTCCCGTACTTTCTTATCTTCCTATACCTAGGTACCTAAATCCCCGGCAAGCTCTCCTTCGGTTAATGCTTTATTTATTAGTTAAGTCTCAGCTGAGATAGCGGGGAATCGACGTGGTTATCTCCTGGCCTTGACCGTAACCGTTTCCCAAATAGACTATGGTTATTGCAGTGGTGACGCAGGCTGGTACAGACAGATTCGAAACCTCCTTCACTGTCACGGACCTGGATCCACCTTAGTTCTAACAGCGGTGCGTCGTGATACGTTAGGATAATTGAACCTCGCACAGGTTTCGACCAATGAGATAGTGGAGCGTGATGGAGTGTATGTAACGAAGTATCGAACGGTAATGAGACAGTGACTGGGAATAGTAACAAACTAAGATAGAAGAGATCCCCCGTACAGCCTGGTGCCTGTACGAGTTAGAATGCCTTGCTGACTCTCACTGTTGTATTCAAGTGACTTATGTCAAAGAGCTATGAGAAACTAAATACATGATGGTAAAGGAGCGTCCTTATATATCCAGTCTCCCACGTTTCGTATACTTTATACCATATACTTTAAAAGTAGCAAGTATAAAGTATACGATATTCTTCCAATAAGACTGCGTTGTTTCGTATACTCTTATCCTGATAAGATAGCGGTATATCTTTCTTATCATCATATAATTCCTATCTTCTGATTGCACAGTACGCTTTACTATTTATGACTGGTACTGGTTTCTTCTTGTAATTTGAAACCTTTCCTTTTCCGTAATAGTACCTTTTAGCGTCATGCAATTCAGCTTTGTAACATCACTCCCCCTCTCTCAGCCTATCGTTCTCGATAGTATAAGTAGAAAGACGCGCCCTCATTCCCAGCGTGACCCTGCTTTCTTCCGTTGGTAAGTGATGTTGTCCTTATGCTTTCATTATGCCTTGTCCAAAACTAAAATCTCAAGTAGATCCTGAACGCCTTAAAACTGATCTATTGAAGAATCGTATCCTCCAATCCTCACTCATTCGAAAGAACAGTTTTATTGTCGAATTTCCTTACAAACATTGTCACTTTAATGATCTCGATTGCATGATAGATGATAAAAATTCAAAGTGTGCTGCTTGCACTTGTTGTAGTCGTCCTTGCGAACGCCACTTTCATAGTGAAAAAGAATGGGCTAGACTTAAAGAGTCTAAACAACAAGTTTCTTGTGAACTTTCCAAAGCCTTATCTCAACAGGCTGAACTGTCCGCGAAAATAGCGAGGTTATTCTATCAACAGGAATTCCTTAAAGAGCGTGGTGTGAATATAAAGTCTCATAACTAGAAGTTGCTAGAAATCATGGATTCCAAAAACCCTCCATCTAGGGCCGAAGTGGCTGTTGCTGATGCTAAGATTATGCGAGAACAACTAGAATCCCGTGCTCTTGCTGCGACCGTCGAGGAGTTTGATACATGGCTCGCCAGTTCTAAACAATTTCCCTCCAGTTCATTGGATGCCTTCGGCGATACCTCTCTAGAACTTCCTCAGCTCCAACAAGATTCTCAATAGGTTCCCAGGTGCTTTCCTTGATGCTGTAGTCCTTCCACTTGACTAGGTAATAGAGTTTTCCGTCTGGTGATTCTTTCTCTGCTAATATGCTTTTAACTTTATAGGTTTCTTGTTCAATAGTAATTTCTTCCTGTGTCTTAGCGTTTTGTGGTGCTAGTTCTAATAATAAGATATGAAAAATTGGGTGTACTCTTATAGTGTTGAGTAGTCTCAGTTTGTAGTTAACTTCACTAATTTTTTCTTCAATTTTGAATAGTCCAATTCGTAGGTGATCGAGTTTGTCGCTTGGTCTAGTAGTTTAAATATTTTTTTATGAAAGGTAACCCTTCTCCCCCTTTTTAAAGTTAGGTCCCTTCTGATGTTTTTCGTTATAATAGCCCGTCGTAAGTTTGTTTTGATTGATGATTTCTATATGAAGATAGAAATATAACACCTTCATCTGTTGTACTTTTTCTTCTGCTGAGGTATTGACTGATTTCTTGAATTTTAGTTATCCCATTAATCGTGGTTCTCGCTCATGGTTTGCAAAGAATGGTGATACACCAGTTGTTAAATGTTTTGCTAAGTTGTATGCCAGCTGAGCCATAGATAGTAGTTCTGCCCAGTTATCCTGGTGATAATTCACATAGTGTCATAGATATTGTATCAATGTCTGGTTTGTCCTTTCTGTCTGTCTGTTTGTCTGTGGATGAAATACTGTTGATAGTTGTTGTTCTCCTCCCATAAGGTCCATCATTGATTTCCATAGTTTTGATACAAATATAGGTCCTCTGTCTGAGATTATGATCTCTAGTATTCCATGGTATTGAAACACTCCATCTATCAGTTCTTCTGCTAATTCTTTAGCGTTGGTTCCTTCTGTTGTCAGTATGAAGTGTACGTATTTTGTCATTCTGTCTACTATTACTAGAATAGTATCATATCCTTGTGATTCTAGTAGTTTGATAATGTGGTCTATCGTAATCTATTGCCATGGGTAATCTGGTGCTTTGATTTCCTGTAGTAACTTATATGGTTGGTGTCTGCTAATCTTGTTTTTCTAACATGCATTGCATTCCTTAATATAGATTTTAATATCTCTCATTATTTGTGGCCAGTAGTAATTCCTGGTGATTCGTTCCATTATATTAAGTTGTCCTGGATGACTGCTAGTTAAAGTGTCATGGTTCAGTCAAATGATTTCATTCCTTAGTGGTTTTGGTACATAGATTAAACCATACTAAAATACTAATCCTATTTCTATTGCTGTAACTTTGTCGTCTTTATTTTTAATTAAAGACTGAATTAAATTGTCCTTGGCTGTTTCTTCAATGATCTTATCCTATAATTCTAAATCTGTTGTTGTTTCTGCTGTTGCTGCAAGTGTAACTACTTGTGGATTATACTCCAAGTGTCTTTCTTTGTTTAGTTGTAGCAGTGCTGGTTTGGGTTTTTTAATCCCTTCTTCATGATCTGGTCATCTGCTAAGAGCATCTGCTCTTTCGTTTTCCTTGCCTTTGCAGTATTCGATAGTAAACTAATAATTTCCTAATAGTTCTGACTATCTGGCTTGTCTTCTTGTCAATACCTTAGTTGTCGTGAAGTATGTAAGATTCTTGTGATCTGTAATAATTCATATTAGGAATGTTACTCCTTCGAGATATACCCTCTAATGCCGAAGTGCTAACACTATAGCTAACAGTTCTTTATCGTGTATCTCGTAATTGAGTTCTGCGTCGATGAGCTTTCTTGAGTAATATGCAACTGGTCTGGGTCTTCCATCTGTTCCTGGTTAAGTCATAGTTGCTCCAATTATAAAGTCTGATGCATCTATTTCCAATATTGTTAGTAATTTAGGGTTATGTTGTGCCAAAATAGGTGCCGTTGTAAGTTGTTTTTTAGCTTCTTCAAATGCTTTTTGTTATTCTTCTTTCCATTCATATGGTATTTTCTTTTTCAGTAACTTGAACATCAGTGTCATGATTTTTGCGTAGTTTTCAATATATCGTTGATAGTAGTTGATCAATCCAATGAATGACTGTAGTTCCTTGAGGTTCCTTGGTTGAGGCCAATCCTTGATTGCCTGAACTTTCTCTTTTTCTATCTATATTCCTTCTTATGTGATCCTGTGTCCCAAGAAGTCAGTTTCTTGTACATGGAATTCGCACTTTTTCAGTTTCACTTGTAGTTTTGCCGTTTTCAGTTGTTCGAGTACTAATCTCATGTGTTTCACATGTTCTTCCATGCTGTTGGAGAATATTAAAATGTCATTCAAGTAAGCGATAGTAAAGTCGTGCAAATATAGTGAGATCACATTGTTGATATATCTCTGGAATGTTGCTGGTGCATTGGTGAGTCTGAATAGCATGACTAAATATTCAAAATGTCTAAACTTAGTCTTAAATGCTGTTTTCCATTCTTCTTCTTCCTTGATCCTGAGGTGATTATACGCGTTGGTGATATTAAGTTTAGTGAACTATTTCTTATTTTGAACTTTATCTTGTATCTCTGTAATCAGTGGTAAGAGGTAACTGTTCTTAACTGTAATGTTATTGAGTTGCTAAAAATTAACACACATTCTTAAATCTGTTGTTCCTTTCTTTTTAACGAATAATACTAGGTATCCTGCCGATGATGTTGATGGTTATATATACCTTTTTTCTAGGTTTTCTTCGATATATTTTTTTAGAGCTTCTTCTTCATTTCCTAACACTGGGTAAATCTTCTGAGGTACTGGCTCTTTTCCTTCCTTGAGTAGAATAGTATAATCCCATTCATTGTGGTCTGGTAAGGCCTGGTATGTTCCGTCGAACAGATCTCTGAACTGCTTGTATTCTGTTAGTAACGCAACATTCGTACTGCTTGCGAGTTGTCATTCCTTTGCCGCTTTCTCTAAAAGTTCCCTAAACATCTCTTATTCTTTGTGCAGCGTAATCTCTTCCGTGACTTTAGCGATGACCCTGCCCTTGGTCTCATCCTATTGAGGAGTATTCATTGTTTCCTGAATGTCAGTCTCCTGGCTCTCTGTCGTCTCAGAGGCTTTTATAGTCTGGGTTGTCCCACATCTACATCTTGTCAAATATAGGTGTCCTTTATCCCATTGGATCTCTGGGTTGTGCTTTCTCAACCATGGTATTCCTAGGATTACGTCGTCTCTTCCTAGTTTCACAATATTAAAGTTGATCATCTCAAGGTGTCTGTCAATGCTCATGGCTAACTATCCTGTTTCGTTAGTGATTCCTTCTTCTAACAGTTTCTCTCCATTGAGCCCTGTTAATGGTATCGGTGTAGGTTTCTTTTATCCTAGTATCTATAGTTTTTCTTGCATTCTTGGGTCCATATAGTTCCCGGTTGCTCCTAAATCAATTATGATTTGTATGTCACTTCCTAAGATATTGGCCGTTATCTTGAAGTGTTGTCCGTGTGTAGTGGCTTTCAAATCTTTTGCTTTTCCGATTCGTTCGATTTCTTCTTTTTGTAGTGTAGTCCACTCATGCATTAACTACTTTATGTCATTTTTAATCTTTTGCTATCTTATAGCGTTACTGTCTTCTTCTAGACTTTCCTCATTGTTCCTTAGTGATACTAGTGTTCGTTGTCTTTGCTTCGGTCTTTTAGGCTTTTGGGTCTTATTCATGTCCCTAGTCCCTGCCGACTGCTTCGCTGTATTGGGCATAGCAGTATCGTCAGTTTTTGCTAAACTGATCCTTGAGGGTTCTTCGTTGTCCCTTCTTAGCTATTTGCAGTTTTCTGGCTTTATCTCTTGGTGTGGTCTCGGAAAATATCTACTCCCTTGCTTTGCACCTAGATGCATACTGCACCAATCGTCATTACAGAAGATAAATGCAATAGATCCATGCCCTAGATGTTTCAGGTCTTTGTATAGCACTTGACAATCTGATCTGCATGGGTTTCCTAGTGCTTTAATTTCTTCCTATTTATTGTCTGTGGGGATTTCTGTTTCTGTCCGTTCTTGAGCGTCCTGGTACTAGCTCTCAGGCTTGTCATCGATTTCTGGATAATCGTCAACCCTGTTGTTTTTATTTCCTACCTCTTCGTAGTCTTCTGCATGCATTGTTGTGAGGTGTAGGTTTATTTCGCTTTCTGTTCTACTGAAGCTGCTATATATATCTCTATCATTCTGATAGTCGTTAACGCTATAATTGTTATCCCATTCAGCGTATCTTTCTTGATCTTCTTTGTTAAAGCCGTTTTCTTACGTTGCTTTAATCTATCTTTCTTTTCTTGGACTTCTGCATTCTTTCGCGTAGTGTTCTGTCTTATTGCAGTTGTAACATTTGACCATAGCTTTGTCGAACCTAACTTTCTTCTTTTCATAGGTTTTTGCTTCTGCGGTCGCATCTAGTTCCATTGGCATTGGTCCATATAGGTCATGTCATCTCTGCCCATAATTGCCTGGCCTATGTCATTATTGATTTGCTGGTAGCGCTGTCCCGTGGCGTCTCTATCCTTGTATTTCTTGTTGTTTTTGCTTAATTTCGTACAGCTTGTCGTTGATCTTGACAGCTTATTCAATAAATTCATCGATATTGTCTGGTCAATCCATCTTGATGAGTTCCACTTGAATGTCTTCTTTTAGCATGTTTTCAAACATTGCAATGAGTACGTCGTCACTATAGTCGAGTATTATGGCGATTTGCTTGAACTTGATTGCTAGTTGTCGTGCAGATCCTGTTTGTTATAGTTGTTGTAGTTACCTTTCTGCATTTCTTGCTTCGTCGATATTGCTAAACGCGAGTTGAAACTTTTCCTTGAATGTCTTGAAGGATCCTAATATTTCCTTAGTGTGGTCATTCCAATCCTTCTTTTTACTATTGTAGTATTCCCTAAGCACTGGTTCAATCTATTGAAACGCTTCTCTAGTGAAGCATGTTGCCACAAAGACTACCTTAGATTCTTTAGTTCTGAGTGATACTGCATTAATTGCCATATGCATGTCCATTTGTATAAGGAAATTCTTAAGTTCTGATCGTTTGTCGTCAAAGATTTAAGGCTTGGGTGTCTTGGATTGTTTTGCTGCCAATTGTACTTCGAGTTCTTGGATCCTCAACTGAAGCCTAGCTATGTTACTGTTTCCTCCTACAGTACTGCTAGTTGGTATTGTAGTATTTCCTGCCATTGTCAATTTCTTAATTAGGTAATACTTTCCTTATCTGGCAATTTTCTTTTAATAGTACTTGAGCCCTAAAATATCACAGAGTCAAGACGATAGCTCTTTTGTCACGGACCTAGATCCACCTTAGTTCTAACAGCGGTGCGTTGTGATACATTAGGATAGTTGAACCTTGCACAGGTTTCAACCAATGAGATAGTGGAGCGTGATAGATCGTATGTAACGAAGTATTGAACAGTAATAAGACGGTGACTGGGAATAGTAACAAACTAAGATAGAAGAGATCCCCCGTACAGCCTGGTGCCCGTACAAGTTAGAATGCCTTGCTGACTCTCACTGTTGTATTTAAGTGACTTATGTCAAAGAGCTATGAAGAACTAAATACATGATGGTAAAAGAGCGTCCTTATATATCCAGTTCCCCACGTTTCGTATACTTTATATCGTATACTTTAAAAGTAGCAAGTATAAAGTATACGATATTCTTCCAATAATATCGCGTTGTTTCGTATACTCTTATCCTGATAAGATAGCAGTATATCTTTCTTATCATTATATGATTCCTGTCTTCTGATTGCACAGTACGCTTTACTGTTCATGACTGGTACTGGTTTCTTCTTGTAATTTGAAACCTTTCCTTTTCCGTAATAGTACCTTTTAGCGTCATGCAATTCAGCTTCGTAACATTCACTGTCACGGACCTGGATCCACCTTAGTTCTAACAGCAGTGCGTCGTGATACGTTAGGATAATTGAACCTCGCACAGGTTCCAACCAATGAAGTAGTGGAGCGTGATGGATCGTACGTAACGAAGTATCGAACGGTAATGGGACGGTGACTGGGAATAGTAACAAACTAAGATAGAAGAGATCCCCCGTACAGCCTGGTGCCCGTACGAGTTAGAATGCCTTGCTGACTCTTACTGTTGTATTCAAGTGACTTATGTCAAAGAGCTATGAAGAACTAAATACATGATGGTAAAAGAGCGTCCTTATATATCCAGTCCTCCTTGTTCCATATACCGTATATCGTCTATCACTTATGGTAGATGGTAGATGATATACTGTTCATCATCCAATGATCGTAGCTCATTGTGTATACCATTTATCTTCCTTATCCTCACGTGACTTCTGTCTTCTGATTGCACAGTACGCTTTACTGTTCATGACTGGTACTGGTTTCTTCTTGTAATTTGAAACCTTTCCTTTTCCGTAATAGTACCTTTTAGCGTCATGCAATTCAGCTTCGTAACATTCACCTTTTTTACATACACTCTCTTTTCATTGCCCCACTGCCAAGCCGCTATAGTGGATACTGTATATTTCAACGTTCCACCAGTCACGTTCTGTTTTGTTTGTGACGTATCTTATGACACTAAGCCCTTCTAGGTCACTTTAACTGTTCAGTTTTAGTAAGGTTTGTAATTTACGAGCAAAATGTGACCAATTAAATACGCTTGTATTACTTAAAGTATTAAGCTAACCATTTGTGGTATACAGCAATAAATTTGCCCTACGAGTGGGGCAGATTAGTGTTTAGGAGGTGAAGCAGGTTTCTGTTACGAAGCTGAATTGCATGACGCTAAAAGGTACTACCACGGAAAAGGAAAGGTTTCAAATTACAAGAAGAAACCAGTACCAGTCATGAACAGTAAAGCGTACTGTGCAATCAGAAGACAGGAATCACGTGATGATAAGAAAGATATACCGCTATCTTATCAGGATAAGAGTATACGAAATAATGCGATATTATTGGAAGAATATCGTATACTTTATACTTGCTACTTTTAAAGTATACGATATAAAGTATACGAAACGTGGGGGACTGGATATATAAGGACGCTCTTTTACCATCATGTATTTAGTTCTTCATAGCTCTTTGACATAAGTCACTTGAATACAACAGTGAGAGTCAGCAAGGCATTCTAACTCGTACGGGCACCAGGCTGTACGGGGGATCTCTTCTATCTTAGTTTGTTACTATTCTCAGTCACCATCTCATTACTGTTCGATACTTCGTTACATACCATCCGCTACACTCCACTATATCATTGGTTGGAACCTGTGCGAGGTTCAATTATCCTAACGTATCACGACGCACCGCTGTTAGAACTAAGGTGGATCCAGGTCCGTGACAAGGGAGAGATTTCGAATCTCTCTGTACTCCGTAGTGGGCACTACGTAGCACGCATAGCCTGCATGGATCAGCTTACAAATACTGCAGGTGATTCGAGCTCGATTAGGGTTAGGGCGTAGCTGGCTTCTCTTTCTCCACTCTCGCTAAGTTATGCCCTGAACAGTGACAGTGGCTGTTGTCAATTTTCGGTCGTCTCCCCAACGCTCGATTCTAGTGGGAATCTGGGGAACCTCAGCAACAATAGACTCGCGTTGAGGTGTCGGAAGAAGCCGATTATGCGGGGTATATACGAAAGCACTGTTCCATAAAACACCGTCCACCATAAATATGCTGTTCCCCAGATTTTGAAGTTGCTCCGGCCTCATTTCGGGCAATCTACGAAGATGGACGAGCTTACCCCACGTCTTCGCGGTGGCCCAAGGAGGGCTTGTGATAACTGTCGCCTACGAAAAATCCGCTGTAATCGTGATCAACCATGTGACAAATGTGAGTCTATCCCTTTGGTCTGTCGGTACAATGATATCGTACGCCGGAAAGGACCGAAGGGCCGTACAGCTCCAGTCTTGACCGCACTTCTGTCAACAGGGAGACCGGAAGCCTCATCGATATATAATCAAGATCCTCAACTTGTCAACGACATGTTTCCCGATATTTTACAGTCGTCGTTAGCACCGCAAGGTGACAGCCCTTACCCAGCCGACTATGATGCCTCACTGTCGCTGTATGAGGAACCTGCAGCTAATCTAGCACCTCTACCACGGCGGATTTCTTCTTCGCAACTCCAAGCATATGTCCAGGCGTTCTTACAACATCTTTACTCTATCATGCCGGTTGTAGATGTGAATTCGCTCTTGCTAGATTGTGCTAGCCCAGAAGCATTGCACCCCCGACGCTATGCTCTCCTTGCTGCCCTCTCAGCTGCCACATATTTCCAATTGAAGAACCATATTCCCCAAAAAGACGCCAATCTCGACACAACCGGATTAGGATACCGCCTGGCTAAAGAGGCGGAGGAAACGCTGCATCAATTTGATCCCCTTGAGGAGCCACATGTCGACACTCTGCTCACCATGTTTTTCTTGTTCGCTGCGTATGGGAATCTTCACAAGCCAGACCGAGCCTGGCATTTCCTCAACCAAAGCATTTCTTTCGCGTACACTTTGAGGCTGAATATAGAGTCTACCTATTGGGTTCTTAACCAAAACGAGGCTGATATATTACGGAGGGTCTACTGGCTTCTTTTTGTCACGGAGCGGTAAGGAAAATCAATAACTTCCGGGCTCGTCCAAAATAGACAATAAGGACGCTGTGAAATGTCTTGCCTAATATTTTCGAACAGTGCGTATGCCCTCCAAACGGGCCGGCCAGTTATGCTTCGCGCTACGATCGAGAAGCCTTCCGTCTTCCGATCTGAGTCTCCAATAACTATGTACGGGTTCAACAGCCTAATATCACTATTTGAGAAAATCACACCTGATGTCTATGAATGGAACATTGGCAACACAGGACGACCTTGCAACCTATCATCCTTGTCAGATATCTATCAATCTGTCGCTTTCACAGCGCCACTGTTAGGTGAGGTGTCGGAAACTAGCCGAGTCGATATAATTCTCACGCAGCAATGGCTGCAAACCCGGCTGTGGCGGTTTTGCATGGGCCGACAACATCTCCATCATACACACAGCGATACGAGACTCCCTAGACAAACTCCAGCGATGGCAGGAAAGATTGTCATGTCCTGTTTGTCATCAGTGACTCAGAAGTCGGCTGACGCACATGGAATAGGATTAGTAAGTTCATCTGCTCTTTCCATCCACTATTTTTTTTTCTACGACGTCTTTATTATCGACGAGAAAAGTAAATAGGAAAGAAGTATATCACTGATAGTACTGGAAGGAACAAAAACTTTACGACATCGGGGAATGTATCTTTCACCTCTCGCAACAACTGTCTCTGAAAACAGACAAATCATTGGAGGTGTCCACAGTTGACGCGAAAGAAGTCTTGTACGGAATCTTAACTTCATTGTCCCGGGTCCGGGGATCTCAATCATACTTATTTCCGGCGCTCCTTCAGCAGTCCCAAGGGCTTCTGGGCTTGGAGGATGTACCCCCACCACTGATCGAGACGTCTCCTACTCCGGAAGCCGATGAACATGGTTTGTCTTAGCAATATTGCGTGCAGTATATAGTGCTGCTCACATTTGTGCAGTATCTGAGGTCTGGAAGTGCGGGAAATTGTGTGTCTAGATCTTGCGGAGTTGTAGAGAGTCCTAGACTCCTAAATCATGGTACACTGTAAATTATGTCTTTTGAGAATCCCATATATTTGTGTTATGCATATTTAAAATTTCCGATAATTCATGACTTCTCTAAACCAACCTCTGCATTCTAGTTTCCCTTTTTATTCCTGGTTCTTGTATCCAAGGGATGGATCTAGACCCTACCCCGCTAATTCCTACCACTGTTGTATAGACCCAACAGATTGAGCTTAGAGCTGAGTAAGATTACTTCATGTTTTCGATAATCATAGTTGCTATACCTCACTTCGTTCAAGCTTATTGCCTGCTTCAGGTATTCGATCCACTTAGTAACCTTCCCGGCCCTTCTTCGGAAAATTGATCAGATGACCATGATCCATGGTAAGCGAGCCTAAAGTCAGCTTGGAAGAAGACCACCCTGCTCCAAGACATTGATTTATGGATGATACTAAGTAAGAGACTCTTCTGATCTAGAATCTGTCTATAGTATACCTTGGCTATAACGAAATGAAGGCCTCTCCATATTTAAATTGATCTCAGGTTGGATGACTTTGGTATAGAACTGAAAAGCATCCTAATTATTGATATCAAAATAGGATATTATATTCGGGTGCCTTTCATCTTCAAATCAAATTCACATCTGAATATATTGATTTATCTCTGTTCGTTATAGCCAGGTCTTGCTGTACTACAGACAGGCTCCATGAATTTTCGGTTGAACAGCCACACGAACTCACATGTGTTTACTTATCCGATTGTTAGTGAGCTGGTCAGTCCAGATATAGTCATGGGCTTATTCAATTGAGCAAACAATCACAGATGAGGCTCTTCAGCCACTCCTAGCCATATAAATGCCTCCAATGGACGAAGGCTAATTCCCTGTCCCGAGAAACTACGGATGGCACGGTCTGGATAGTTTCCGAGGAGAATGGCTCCGGGTCCAACCCGACGACTGAGCATGTCTGGGGGTACCCAATTCACTTCTCGGGGACGGAAATTGGTAACAATCACAGCGGAACCTGCCTCTGAGGCCCGTACGTAAGCAAACACATCAGGGTGATCACTCGAAATGAGCTCAAACGAGCCGTAAACAAGAGTATCAGGGAATTCTTTTCGGAGTCGCAAGATAGTAGCCCAAAACCGGTACACACTCCGCTCGTCGTTGATCTGCATCGCTGCATTGAGATTTCTATAATCATCATGCACCGACATCCAAGGTTGGACGGTCGAAAAGCCGGCATGGCTCGAACCATCCCATTGCATAGGCGTACGCGCGTTATCTCTGGATTTCGATCGGTACTCAGTAAGGCTCACCCCTGGCGAGCCGCTCGTGATAATCCTGATGATCCCTGTCAGATTCCGGATACCCAAAAGCGATCGGAGAAGAGCCTGAATCGGGATGTGAAGGGTAAAAACTCACTCTTTGTAATGATTTAACGTTTCAACATCTCGGTACTGCTCAATTGTCCAATGCGTTGGCACGTTTGGCATACCGAGCTCCTGGCCCTGGTAAATGAAGAGTGTACCACTTTGAAATCCTAAGAAGATGGCCAGCATTTTAGCGGACATGGCACGATTTTCTGGCTCATCAGAACCGAACCGCGAGACAGTACGAGGTTGATCATGGTTTTCAAGATACAATGCATTCCAGCCTTGATGGTTGTGCATAAATGTCTGCCATTTCGACACCGCACGCTTTAGTTCACCCATGTCCCACGTTTTAGAAGTAAACTTGCCACCAGCACCGTGGTCGAGGGAGACACTATTGAGTTTATTTAGTTCTAAAGCTGAAACGCTGCGTGAAATGGGAACTGACATTTCAAAATGGAAGATCATGCTTAGCTCGCCACGATTGTGTCCAACAGCTTTGATGATTTCATCACAGTCATTCACTTCCGGCATTTCTCCAACCGAGAAAGCATCATATTCTTTCAATATCTGGCCTATCTCCTGCAAATATTCGTGAAGCCTTGGTCCACATGCATAGTGCCTAGCACCTTTCTGCCACGGGCCGGCACTGGTAACAGGTGCATCAGGAAAGCGTTGGTCCTTGCTGATGAAATTGATGACATCCATGCGGAAACCATCAGCGCCTCTTTCAAGCCAGAATCGAATTATATCGTGAACGGCACGGCGAACCTTGGGGTTCTCCCAGTTCAGATCGGGTTGTTCTTTTGCAAACAGGTGCAAGTAATATTCGCCGGATGGTTCGTGATATTCCCATGCACTTCCTAAGTGAAGGAACTTTTGTTAGAACATTCCCCTTGTTTTTCTACAGCAAAAAGAAGGAACTGATGTCCACCAAGTGACGTCCACTTACCTCCGAAATACGAAACCCAGTTGTTCGGTGGTTGTGGTTTCCCATCCTGGCCAAATACCGGTTTACGCCAGATATACCAGTCACGGAACGGATTGGACGGTGACGATATTGCTTCTTGAAACCAATGATGCTGATCCGAAGTATGATTTGCGACTAGATCAAGCACTAGCTTCATACCCCGTTCGTGAAGCGCAGCAGCAAGTCGGTCAACATCCTCCACTGTTCCATATGGGGGATGGATATTGTAATAGTCGGAAATATCATAGCCCATGTCAACTTGTGGGGAGGTGAAGATTGGACTTAGCCAGACAATATCGACGCCTAGCCCTTGAATATAATCAAGCTTCGAAATGATCCCTTGAAGATCGCCGATGCCGTCTCCGTTTGAGTCCTTGAATGATGGCGGGTATATTTGGTAGACAGTGCTTTCTTTCCACCAAGCCCTAGCAGGTTTCTGTGCTGTTTGCGCAGTGGAAGAACTTTTTGAATTGAATGAGAGCATTTTGTGGGACTGTAATATGGGACATCGGGTCCTTCTATCTTTTTGAGGTATGAAATGCAAAGTATTGTGGTCGTCTCGTCAGTAGTTTACAAACTCCCCCGTTACTTGCAAGTATATGAGGGGGGAGCATATTTATATAGTAGTTGATGTTTTGGTTTCTTTATAAATGCATCCTTACACGCAATTTATGAGATAGTATCGCTTATGACCCCCACGCTATAAACTCGATACCTGTGTCCCATCAACCGGTACTTCTCCGGAAATTGGAATAGAGCGATGAGGTTCAATTATTTGCAGTTCACCGATGAAGGACCGGAAAAGGCCCGGCATGTCAAAGTTTTTGTTACTAAGTCGTTTTGTCGTTTACCCCGGAGCCCCGCAACTCCAGAAAGATAGAATAAAAGTTTTTTGGAAGAGTCAGAGCTCATTGCACAGATTTCCAACCGAAGAAATCCCGGAATCGTATCATTGTCCCCAGATGAAAGTTTTCGCCATTTGTTCTATGTAGCTCAGATGTGAAAATAACGAGTTGAAATGACATATAAGATGACGAGATGATAGCAATTATTTGTCTCTCAGACCTACAACTTTGGAAGCTATTCCTGGACAGACGGGCTTTTCACGACTAGAACACGCACACTTTTCTCACCACTTCTTGCTCTGACAGATCAAGATGGGATCCAAGTCGACAGCAATACACCTTGAAGGGAAAGAAACTCTTGACATAGATGACACCCTCATCCACGATGCCCAGTTAGCTACGACAAAAGAACATCGCATGACACTCTGGGCAGGCTTGAAGCTATATCCAAAAGCCGTCGGTTGGTCACTTCTGATCTCGTCTGCGATTATCATGGAGGGATACGATGTTGTGCTCATGGGCTCATTCTACGCTTTCCCAGCGTTCAATATGAGGTACGGTCATGTCTTGTCGGATGGATCGTATGGTCTATCAGCACCATGGCAAGCCGGTCTATCCAACGCAATGAACTGTGGGCAAATCATCGGCCTCTTTGCAAACGGTATCATCTCAGAACGGTTTGGATACCGTAAAACAATGATGTATTCCCTAGTGGCTACGATGTCGTTTATCTTTATTCTTTTCTTTGCCCCAAATGTCCAAACTTTACTCGTCGGCGAGATTTTGATGGGCATCCCGTTAGGTGTTTATCAAACTCTTAGTGTTACCTACGCTTCCGAGGTGTGTCCTGTGGCACTCCGTGCCTACTTGACAACTTACGTGAACCTCTGCTGGGTGATTGGACAACTGATCGCATCAGGTGTGCTGAAGGGCCTTTCTGGTCGCGCTGACCAATGGGCATATCGAATCCCATTTGCGGTGCAATGGGTATGGCCTATCCCTATTTTCCTTGGAGTCTACTTTGCGCCTGAGAGCCCCTGGTGGCTGGTTCGCAAAGGCCGTCGCGACGACGCTACCGACTCTCTTCTTCGTCTTACCTCTCAGACCGATACGGACTTCAACGCCGAAGAAACGGTTGCGATGATGGTTCACACCAATGAAATAGAAAAAGAAGTCAACACCGGTACCTCATACCTGGATTGCTTCCGCGGTACTGACCGCCGTCGAACGGAGGTGGCCTGCTTAATATGGGCGGCTCAGAACCTTTGTGGCTCAGGACTAATGTCGTACTCGACAGTTTTCTACGAGCGTGCCGGCCTGGCTATCTCACAATCTTTCAACATGTCCCTTGGTCAATACGCAATAGGGTTTTGCGGCACCGTCTTCTCCTGGTTTCTAATGACGCGTTTCGGTCGCCGCACTCTATATGTTGGTGGTCTCGCTATTCTGACGGTTCTTCTTCTCGTTGTGGGTTTCATCTCCATTGCCCCGGAAACTAGCAGCACAGCCTGGGCTACTGGTTCTATGCTCCTTGTCTATACATTCTTCTATGATTCTTCGGTTGGCCCAGTCTGTTACTCTCTCGTATCAGAGATGCCTAGTACACGCTTACGTATTAAAACCGTGGCTCTTGCACGGAACTTATACAACTGCTTTAGCATCCTGAATGGTGTCATAATTCCATATATGTTGAATGTTGATGCCTGGAACTGGCGAGGTCGAGCTGGCTTTTTCTGGGGTGGGCTTGCTTTTCTGTGCTGGGTATGGGCGTTTTGGCGGCTCCCCGAGCCCAAAGGGAGGACGTATGCAGAGATGGACAAGCTATTTGAGCAAAAAGTACCCGCTCGCAAGTTCGCTACGACGGAAGTACGGCTATTCAGTGAAGAGGCAGCAGAGAGCCCAGGCCAAGTTTAGGACAGTGAGACCTGTCAATTGGTACTATCACTGCAAGTGCACAATGTTGATTAGTCAAATACAAATAGTTAACGAGTCAAATGATTTGGCTAACTTATATAATGTTGATCTAAGTCTATAGCATATGGAAAGAAAATTATCCTTTGCGACGTTGCTGGTTAAAGTCAGAATTGCGCAGCCAATTGACTGGGCAACTGACGTAAAGAAGGTTCATGAAGCTGGTGCCAAATAATATTTCCTTTGAAACTGTTATTCATGAGGTATAATTGAGAGTCTTGAATACAGTAAAACCAACAGTAGACGACAGTCGAGGAAATTTGCTTCATGTAGGACTTGACTTAGGGTTGATTAGGGCTTTTTTTTCTGCCAAGGGACAAGGCACCAAGGCAGCGAGATAAGATGAGGCTGATAAGATAAGATATCCAGGTAATCATCCCCCTTGAGTAACTCTCTGTCTTCTCCTCACCACTCACTGACAACGAAGAGCATGAAGATCTAACCATAAGCAAACCCGCACAAAACTTTGGGAACTCATACTAACTACCTGAGTACCTGATATATTAAACGCTTGAATCCAAGACCCAATCCCGAATCCATCCGTAAAGCCACTCGGATTTAATCGCTTCCAATCCCAGCAATGAAGGATAACTTTCGGACGTCTGCTTTGTGGCGAGCGGTTTTGGTGGTTTATTATTATCAGCACCCGACAGACTTGTATAAAACTCTAAGAGTTTTACCGCAGGATTTTCCCAGAGCACATCTGCAGTAACCAGTTCCTTCGGAGTACTCTTCCCTATGGTAGTAGTGGACTTGAGAAGATTCAACCATTCGTCGTATTTGACTGCCTTGATCCGTGTGTCCTTTTCATCTGCAGAAGATGGTAATGCATCCAAGATGTCAATAAGTGTCGGAAGAAGACTTTGCCACTTGACCCAATTTGGATTTATTGGATGGAAAACCCTGGCACCAGATCCTTCAACAGTTTCAGTCGAAGAAAGGCCAAACAGAATCTCAACAAGTAACGATGCAAGCTGATCGATCGGGACCCAGTCAATTCTATCTAACACACCGGCTGTATCTTCGTTCCCTTCGGTCATAGAGGAAATAGAAGAGCCCAGAGTTTCAGGAATTGCCTTGAGATAGCGAGAACTAATAACCAGACTAGGGAGCCATTCATGGCGATTCCACCCATGCGGAGAACCCTGTTCTTTTGTCACTGTGCCTGCGATTTGACCAACTCGAGCAATACCGATGTTCTTGTGGTCGAGTTTTTGGGCCGCATAATTCAGCATTCTTTCTGCCACGTATTTGCTTTCGGCGTAACCCATGGGCGCTGAACACATGGGATTGATGATGATCTCTTCCGGAACTAGGTCGTTGTGGACAGCATCGGGGATTTTGTGATAACTTGATACAGCACTGATGGACGAGAGGAATAGAGTCGACACTGGCTGCCGCTTTGCATGTGCTGTGAATGAGATGATCCCTAAGACACCACTTAAACTTGACTGGAATGACTGAAGAGCCTGATTGAAATTAACAGGCCAGGCGTTGTGAATGAAATGTGTCACGTTCGACTGCAGTTGTTGATATAACTCTTCATTTAGTCCGAAATTGGGTTGCGACAGATCTGTGGTCAAAAAAGTGACACGATCTGGGGGTAGTTCAGTCTGAATGCCCCTTTTCGCATTTCGGGTTTTTTGAAGTGTCTCAGAATCAGCAGCACGATTGAAGCAGTATACGTGCGCGATATGGTCGTTCTGTAGAAGTTTCTGCAGGATGTACGATCCTACCGCACCAGTTGAGCCTGTAAGAGCAACTACTGCTCGTTGGTCTAGCTTATTGTCTTCTTTTGCAGAAGGCTCTTGTTTACTATATTCAGACTTCACGGCAGCTATCTTGTCTATCTCTGCCTCGTACTTATGCAGTAGATCCGTGATGGTTTTTATACGTTTTGTTGCCAAATCGCTGTTGGAGTCAGACTGAGAGAGAACACTCTTCATAAGCTGTTCGACGGAGGGACTCCCGTATATCATGCTAGGTGCAACATTGAGTTCCCGACTGAGATGCAAGGCCTGAAGGGAATCCATTGCCAAGGTGAAAAAATCTGATTCGTTGTCAAAACTGCTGCTATCCCACTGAGTCACCTCTGCTACAAGATCGTGCAGAGTTTTCAAAAGTGTTTCCGGATTTTTCGGGTCGATCGAGGCCAATTTACTGCCCAACAGCCTATTACTTGCATTCGCCGCATACAACGTGTTGATTTCTTTTTCATACATGGCCAAGGTTGCTGCTCGTTGTACGGTGCCTTTTGCTGCACGAGCCATCGGCTTCGACGGATTGACGAGTAAGATGTTGTCTCTTGAAACACGAGCATGTGCAGGACATTGATTATTGGCCATCTGAACAAGAGGCCAAATGCGCTCAATAAACTGATTATGCTCGTCCCCAGCCAGAATTTCGGTGTTATGACGCTCGACTAGTAAGCATGCTTCAAAGCGTTGAGACCCAGCAACCAATACTGAGCGAATCTCTGGGTGACGAGATACCTCCTGCTCAAAGGATATTGGATTGGTTTTCTCTCCGTTCAAGAATACAATAATATCATCCTTACGACCACGATATCTCCATAGTCCGGGCATATCTGGATGTGGACTCAGCAAATCCCTCGTTTCGTATTCTTTCAATTCCGGGAAGTGAAGAAATACAGGCTGGAACTCTTCGTTCGAGGGACTTCGAACAATAACCATCTCATACAAATCACCATAATGGTGACGGTATTCGACGTTTAGCGTTGGATGAAGCTGAATATACGACCAATTCTTTCTTTTGAGGTCTCTGTCAGGCGAGTGAATTTGACTCAGCAAGCTTACCTCACTTGAGCCCGTTGTTTGGTACACTGGCATTTTGGAAGCAACAGTATCACCGGCTTGTCGGGGTACGCTACCACCGGCAAAGTACAGATGACTCAATTTCTGAGACACCAGCTCCAATGCAGCAAGCTCTTTGCTCAAGTCCTCTAGAATGAAAGGCAACACAAACGCCCAATCCATATCGCAATGTCTGACTGCGTCGAGGAACTGATCCGTCGTCAGGGGCTGGCCAGGCAATGGGAACACAGGCACACAGTCATTGAACGCGGAGACCATAAGCCCAAATCCAATTCCCGAGATATGGAAGGGTGCCAGGAAGGTAAACCAGTGTCCTGTGCGAAGAGTATCATTTCCACTGATGAAATCCCCTGTTGATGGAGCTGGTAGAGCTGTCACATTGACGGTTCGAGTAACGAATTGATGCGTGTATATCAATGGTTTCGGAATTCCTGTTGAACCAGAAGTATGTAGGATGAAGATAGGTTCATCCTTGGCTTCTTCGTATGACTTTTCATACGGGTAGTCCTCCGGTGTGCCGTCGCTAGAATCAAGGAGGTCGCGGAGCGAAGGAATATGGACTGTCGTTTCTATACTAGTTGGCCCTTCAAGGATCGTATTCACGGCTGGGAGTTGGGGATCTGTAGTAACCAGTTTCTTGCATTGGAGTTTTTCCAGTAGATGCAACTGAGCAACTTTGCTGTTCCGAGGTGATGGCAAAAACGTCTATAAGTATCATGTTAGATGCCCATACCGTTTTCTTCTTTTGGGTACTAATTACTGCTACTTACTTTGTATCCCACCTTTATTGCCGCAAGCACCACAATAAAATACCTCAAATCAAACGGACCGATATATGCTATTGTCTCAAAACTGGAACTTGGCTGTAGTTTGCCATCCAGAAGCCAGGCTACCTTATTCACGGCATTGAAGACCTGCAAATTGGTCGCAGTCTCAAGCCCTAGCGCGTATGTCGTGTCCGAAACAGGAAATTGAGCCCAAGCTCCATCAGGGTTGCATTGTGCTCTGGTTTTGAGCACTGATGGGAGTAGTTGTTGGCTGTTTGTTTGGAGGTCACCTTTTCCCATTGTAATTTTCCGAATTTCTGTTGTTGATCTTCCCTTTAGTGCCAGATATGTTAAAAAGCCATTTAATTCGAGAAGGGCATACTGAATTATTTATAGTCGAACCCGACAATATCAACATCGCACATAGGCATTTCGCTGGGTGAAATTTGAATGCGATCGGAAAGTTTTGCTGCAATTGTCTTAGGGTATGTATCTAGCAAGCTAGGAACATGTAGAACGACAACCTATCAGGTTGAGTGTTTGCGTAGTTCGTACGGCTAGATGTAACGTTTTCCAATTGAAGTATTTGGCATGCCACGACTTTAGTGGTTTGTGGACGCATAGTCCAAGATCGTTCCGAGTCCGTGGCTGACTGAACATTGAAGTTGTCTAGGTATTCCTAGACTGAATAGTGATGTGTTATTCATTTCAGCTCGCCTGTAAATTCAAATCGCTTAATATTGCTATGCATGGATTACAGGATGAGGGGACAATATGAGGGGCATTCAAAGATTCGTTCTTGTATGCTTCAAATATTTCACCGTCTTCCATCACCCGACGATGGGTCAACTACCGTAAAGGTGCCCGTTTTCTTCAACATGTTGAGATACCTGATATGCCCCGGATGATGCTAACAGAAACATAAAGAGTCGGCCAATTAGCTTCTCAAAATAGTTGACATCACTCTTCAATTATTTCAGTCTCCGTAAAAATCAGATTATTATCCGTTACGCTGATATCGTTAATCTAGGGCATCGTTATGCTCCCAGCAAGATGGATGTGGGGGCTTCTCGCGTTAGGGTTATCAAGCATAACGTTATGGTCTCCGACAACGAGAAATATAAAAAGGTTCCAAATGGCGAGACGGAATTTGTTTTGAAATCAGATCCATTGATCAAAAAGTACCCTGCTTACACTCATCGCCATACTTTTACAATAATAATTTGAAGTTCAGCGTGAGGACATTATCTCTTCAACCAATTGGTCTCGGAACAAGACCTCAGTCTAACAGTTGTCTCTTTAGCAACGAACAATCTACACCATGGCCGGAAACAACAATTATTCTATGCACTCAATCGTCGCCGCATATGGCGTCGGACTCGCTCCTCATGGCTACTATTTCATCAAGATGATGGCCAACGCAAAGGGTCAAGCGAGCAATATCCTGTAAGCCCTAACCTTACCCGTGGCATCTCGAAAGCGGAAGAGAGGACTGACGGATGTAACAGACCACGAGAAAACTTGACCAATCTGAAAGGTCGCATTCCGGCTCACGTATGGGATAAACTCGCCAGGGCACGCGGAGCGCATTTGAATGCTTTGGAGAGCTTGCCCATGTTTGCTGCTGCCATGGTATGTTCATTCACATATACCCAGATATGATTGCATACGAATCTGACACCTGTTTAGCTCGCAGGAAACCTAGCAAAGCTCCCATCAAGCGAGCTGAATACCCTTGCTGTTGAATATATTGGCGCACGTCTGTTGTATACCGCTGTGTACCTCGGAGTGCGATCCGAAGCAGCAAGTTACTTGCGTACTGGTATATGGGCCTGGAGTATCTCGATTCCTGTCTGGGGTTTGATCAAAGCAGGGAGGATGTTGAACTCGTCTAGTGAATTAAGCGGTCCCCTTTAACTGTTGAATACTTTGATGTAGATAGTATACTGAGTTATTTGTTCTTGCTGTAGAATGCCATGGCTTCTCAATTATTCACAGCTGAGATCCCTGCATAGCCAACCCCTTTTCACCTCTCTTCTTCCTAGCTTGGTTACTCCGAGTCACCAGTTCCGTGTCAAACGCCCACCACCATTTTTCAAACATGAGCTGGCCAATCTCCCATCCGCATGGCTCAAACGGGTCACTGCCTAGGACTTTTACACCTTCACCGCCCGTGTCTTCCATATCTTCCACCAACTGGATAAGGCCCATGGGACTTTGCGCGGTTTTTGGCCGTAAGTTTGGCGGAAGATTGAAGATCTGAATTAGCTTATCTCTTGTGCTTGGCCATGGGAGGAGATCCAGAAGGGGATGATGTGGGATGAGGAGCTGGGTGCTTGTGGGACGAAGGTGTGTTGGTAGTGTAGCGGAAAGCGCCACCTCTGCCGATGAGGAATCGGTGGTTACCATTGATAACGATGGAGGTGACAGAGACGGTGAAGACGAGGATGAAGTGCCTTGTCCCTGGTAAAATGGACTGATTGCTCCCAGGTCCCATATCAATTCGGCAATTTGTAATCGTTGAGCTACCTGTAATGCTGCATTGAGTAGGGTGAGAGGCGGGACTTCCAGGAGCCGGTCGTCAGGAAAGGTAAAGATTGCGGATTCTGATGTTTGAAGTTCATCGGATATGTCTCCGGTCTCGTATGAGGAGGGGGTAGTATCATCTGATCTGTCGAGGAGACTATCTAGTAGTTGGTGCTCACTCTCAAAAGTGGACATGTCCATCTGTGGCGATGTTCCGAAAGCAGATAAGGTAAAAGTGTCGTTTATGTCGATGGCCGGATACATTAAAGATTGCGAATTGAAGGGCGACAGAAAAGACATGTCGAATTGTGCAGGCTGATCGTCATCCTCATTATTAAAGGGTAAAGATGACACTGGCGTATATCGCACCGCGCCGTCCGCTGCACCGAGATCGGTCTGAACCTCGAGCTGGTCAGACACTTCTTCCTCTCGAGACTCTCGCCTAGTCCGAGACGCTTTAGACCTATTTATCGTAGAGTCCTCATTCACAACCCCATCATATTTTACCCGAGACTCCAATGCTCGCAGACGTTCTCTCCTTCTTTGTCCTACGGTGGCATGTTAGCATATATCGCGAGAGAAATCGGCTGGAGAGACATTACGATATCGCCTTTGAGCCAGGACGTTTAACACACGCTTCCGTTCAGCGGCGTCCTCGGTAAGTTCTGGGACTACAAGAGATTCAGCCTTGGACTTTCCGGCCATTGTCACCTAGACAAGGAGGTCGATCATAACTGTTAGAGGGTAGTTACAGTATTGAGAACGTTGCATCGAGGGATGAAGAAGACTAAATGAAACTTTACGATATGTCCTCATGGTTGACTGAGCACACCGACATGTGATTGGCCGAAGGGGTCTCTGGGTTCTGCGGGGTGCTCGTATTCACACAACAGAGAAACATTTCGTAACACGGCTTTTTGAAAGACACAAGGACTCAGTGGCACAGGGGTTTACCGATATCTCGCTACGGCAGATAGAACTCATCGCATGCTCTATAGGGTTAGGGTTATATTCTCATAGTACATGGCGAGTAACGAGAGTTTCAACTAGTCAGGTAACATCCTCGCTCTCTAGTATCAAATCAAGGCAGACTTAGTCAGCATTCTCGGACTAGGGCTGACAACGGCACGCATGAGCTGAACAATATCTTTGTACGTCTGAGGCAGGCGGAAAGTCGGCGAGAGACGATCATGGATAAAGTTGTTTCACTGACTCGTTAGTGTAGACATTGAAACATCTTAGAAGAGTCGCCGCTGATTTGGGATAATCCTGCAGAATAAGATGTAGCTGTTGACTCGATCTGAAACTCAATCACCAGATGAAACTGGATATGAAGCCTGACAAGTGGTCTACTACATAGTAGTAAGCAAAACATGCAAGTCATCTTGACAATAGTAATGAGTTTGCACTGTTTGCATTGATTTGTGCATTAGCTCTCCTGACAGCCAATAGCAGACAAGCGTGGCGGTAGTGGCTTTAGTGGCTTGGTAGCACGAGGCATCTGGCCAATTACCTCTGCCGGGGTCGATTCAGGGGAAGTTCTCTCTGTTTTCCATCTTTGTCTGCTGCTCGCGATAGCCTATAAGACCACAGTATTACTATGATCGGCATGTCTCTTATTGATATCATGCCGCAATAGAGACCTCAAATCGGCCTTTGCTTTCTCTAGTCTGAGCTGATCGATCTCAAACATGGAACTCCTGTCCACTTTTTTGCTGATTTAGTATGCGGTAGTAATGACTATAGTTGGCTGCTACTATAGCATACATGATCTCGAGATTTCCAATTTCTTGATCTCGCACGGGCTGGTGTACCATGTGTTGATGCTATCGAACTAGTCAATAGTTCCTGTCGTGGGTCTGTTCTCCGCTTCTCAACTTTCGGCCCTTTCCCGCGAAGCCCGCGGCACCAGGGGAACAACCAAGAATTACTCTGTACATCTCGAACTTTTCTCTTCTCACATGAGAATCTTGGACTCCAGATAAAACGAACCTCCATGATCAGCTCGCCAAACCCGGAACTCCTACAGGTTCGTCTCGTCCGTCTCGCGCATTTTTTCTCTTCCAACCATGGGACGACAGTCGCTGCGAAGTCCGTACCCAATTACTGCGCGAACATCCAGCGTCAACGCAGAGACCATCATGTACGACGAAAGAAATCTGCCTAGACAGGCAAGTCAAGGGACAACAAGAATGGCCGAAAGGAACAGAATGGTATTGATCAATCCCTTTTCCTGCGAATTCCTCCTCGGTCCACTTGGCATGGCTAACAATTGTCGTTCTCTCTCTAGGCTTCTATGCAACAGCCAGATCCGGTGGATTCCTCGTCCTTCGATCGAGAACTCCGTGTGAGGGCATCGTCACCGTTACTTGGTCGAAGCTATCAATCGTCCGCCAGATATTCTTTCCGTCCGCCTTTAGAAAAACCTCAATTGCACAATCCGAGCTCACCGCCGGGCCCCTCCCGCAACATGAATTTCGACAAATATGCATTTGACACCCAGTCACAGCGAAGCTTGGCATTTGGTGTGGTGGACGATATGCGAGGGATTGGTTTCCCTCACCTGGACCATAACACCGAAGCAGCCACCAAAAAGACGGAACAGCGGGAAGTCGCACCAAAAAAGAAACCAAGCAGACTCGATCTTTCTCTCCTATTTCCCAAACCGAAGCCTGCTGCGGCTCCATTGCTTTCTCCCCAGCGGTATACGAATTCGCCGTCACCTGTTACTTCAGACTTCTCGGCAAAATCTCCACCAGCCAAACTCAAAAAGCCTCGTTCCAGGGGTAATGTTCGAGCGTCTGTTAAGGAACCTACGGCTCCGATTTTTGATGAACCGCCGCTTCCCCGCACACGAGTTTCCAGTCGCAGACCTGCCGTTGACTGGTTTGACGTACCTCTGGAGAAAATTATTCGCCTCGGAGAGTCGCTTGAAGTTGACGTTGACAATGACAGGGATGAGGACGACACTGAGAAGTCCGATGTTGTATCGAATAATCCAAAACCATTGGCGGCGGCGACATATTCGCGAACACCAGCGGCAGCTGGAACGAAAGCAGTCTCCCCTCCAAGAGAAACAGCCAAGACTACTGCTCCCAGTTCAAAGAGATCATCACGTACTCCTCCGTCGGTACCGTATCAAGCACCCCATCAAAACCGTAGAACCGAGAATCAGTACTATCGCCAACTATTGCCTCCCTCAAATAACCCCCGTTCTCGCACCTCTCTTCAGTCATGGCAGTCGGAAGGCGATTTGCGCGCGGCTAATCAAAAACAAAAACCAGCTGGCCGCCTGTCGAAAAAGAAGAGCAATAGCACCTTCCAAACGCTAGACTTGACAAAGAACAGCGTCTTATCTTTATCATCCTCCGAAGATGAAGGCGGAGATGAAACCCATTCCGATGCAGACGAGGACTACGGCGAGCAGCTCATGAGAAAGGCGGCCCCCTCTCGAGGGCCTCGGGACAGTTTCGCCACAAACGACTACGTCGAACCAGAGATATGCCATGCCGAGGCGGTAGTAGCTACCAAAGGGTATACCTTGACACGTCTCGGCCGGGCCAGTTCAAATGTATCTAGTGTCAGCTCCGACTCGCGTGGTACGCAACGGCGTCCCATTCCTTCGCGACCCGACTCGCTGGCTTCGATGGGCAAATCATCCATTTCGACCAAGATGTATGGGCCGTCTGGGCACTTTGATGTACCTCTGATCGAGGAGCCTGAAGAGCAAGCGGACCGTGTCAATAGTACCCGACGGTCCCGGCTTTCTTCTCAATCGTACAGCGATCTCCACTCTGCGAAGAGAAGAAGTCGCATCATCGCAGTTACCCGACAGGAAGAGTCGTTACTAGAGGCAATGAGATTGCGCAATGGCCGAATTACCCCCAGCATATTCCAGGGCATTTCTGCATCTCAGACAGAGGATTCCGAGTCAGCCTTCGCAACACTTGACTCTCCCGCGACTCAATGTGATACTTCGTTCCTCCGACTCAGTGCCGCAATGCAAATCCCGCCCATTACCTCACCGAATCTCGCTGAGAGCACAGCCTCTGAAAATGACACATATGTACCGTATCGCCCTGCGTCCGATGCCGAGCAGAAAATTGATCATCACAGCATTAATAATTCAACCGCATCGCCTCGATTGAGTCTCGCATACTCCGAGACACCTTCATCTACCTCGACCATGGGCCATGCCTCTCCCGTCACGCCTACCGTTCTGCCAATTCATCGATTCTCTCAGGCAGCTCCTCCTCCTTCCTACGCACCACCTCCAGTTCCGGACGATGTGATGGCACGACGCCATTCCCGTCGTAGGACAGATAGCAGCGAAGCCATCGTGTTGGAAGAATCAGATGCCGAGAAGATACCCAACCCGCATCTATACCCATTGTGGGCTGTCAAATGGACTCGGGATCCTAATGATGTCGCTATTGCGCATTAATCATTTTACTTTCGCTCCTCAATTCGGCAAGATATATATTCGAAGTTATAGCACCTTCAACCATGAAGGTACTCAGAGTACATAATGCTCCTTCTTTTCTTTTCATTTGTCAGGTAGATGGGATGGTAATGGTTGCATTGGGAACAAGATATTTTACCGCTGGCTTGCTTTTCTTCTTTATTTGCCTTTGTGTGTATCAGCACCTCGAAGTGGGCACTTTGTATAATAATTTTTGCATTATATCCGTTACATTTCTGCATGTATTTAATAGCACCCATATCCACCGCCTAGTTGCACAGACTTAACATTCCAGTCGGACATACGTGACGTCGCCTGCATATATCATCAGCCTAGATGACAATACTTGGATACTTCTAATCACCCAATACATCATTATTATCAAATATTTCAGCATTATCCAAGTGTCCTACGCGACTATTGAGACCATCTGCTGTGGCCTAGTAGAATGAAGCAATATGATTAGCCGGGGCTCCTACCAGGGGGCCTGGCCAGGCTTTTTTGCCTACCCCAGACAAACTACGATGATACTAAACCGTTTCAGTGTAGCGTGCGCATGTGTCAGCCTGTCAGGGGAGCCCAATAACTAACTAATAAATTTTCAGATGATTAACTCCCCTGAAAATACTCCGTACCCGACTAGAGAGAAATAATATTTGCATTTCGTGCAAGTTTTTTTACTTTGTTTATCTTTTTTCTCGTCTTGTCAGTGTCGATTTACTTTATTGTTCGGCGATCAGCGTCCAGATCTCCGTCCTAGTGCCAAGATTGAAAGACGTCACGATCGATCTCTTCCTTTTCTTTTTTGTTTGGGTACACTACACTGCATCGCACCGCACCGACAACGCATCATACCTGTTTCTTCGACGGGTGAGAGTTGCTGGCTATATCTCTCGTGAAATCGGCCTATTATATATACTTTACTCGGCGTGCGACTTCTCTGCGACGTTCGGTACTCGACTTGGTCGGTTTTAAGATTTGGTGGATCTGTGTGCAATCACAGACAGATATACGCACAGTCGACGGGATAAGCAGAGGGGAGTGAGCACAATGGGGGCTGCCAAGCAGACTTCGTCAAAGTCGAGGTCGACTCATATACGGAATTTCACGTTACTTCTGGTAAGTCAAGTCGTATCTCGCGAGCACAAGCGGCGATGGCTGATGATTGGGTCTAGTTGACGATACAATATGCTTCAACCGTTGTGGTAAGCCCGACTCTACGAGAAAATATTCTTTAGGAGTATGCTAACATCGATGCAAGTTGATTCATTATTCTCGGGTAATGCCCACCGTCGCGGGGAAACGATACGTCACGTCGACCGCCGTCTTCTTGACCGAAGCCATCAAACTCGCCATTTCGTTGACAATGGCTCTATACGAAATATCCAAACGGGCCCCACCATCGATGCCCGCGACCTCGCTCTTTTCGAACCTATCAAACACAATCTTTTCAGGCGATAGCTGGAAGCTGGCTCTTCCGGCATTGTTGTATACCGTCGCAAACTCGCTACAATACGTGGCGTTGTCGAATCTCGATCCGGCGACTTATCAGGTTACGTATCAGGTTAAGCTGCTTTTTGCGGCTGTGTTTGGTCTGCTGGTTCTGCAGCGGTATATTCCCGCGCGGAATTGGGGGTTGTTGCTTTTCCTGGCTGCGGGTGTGGTGCTACTACATGCGCCGGGCCATAGGTCGGATCAACTGGTGGCTAGAGATGAATCCGTGCAGTTTCCGAGATCGCTGGAGGAATGGAAACAGAAAAAGGGATACTCACCTATGAAATTTGTTAAACGATCGGCGAGCTATGAGGGAATTGAGGAGGATATGTTACTTGAGCATCCTCCTCTCGACGGTCGTGTAGGGTTGATTGCCACTCTTTGCGCATGTCTCGCCTCTTCATTGGCTGCCGTGAGTTTCGAGAAGGTGATTCGTGATAGTGCTGCAAAGACGTCGCTGTGGGTGCGGAATGTGCAGTTGGCGGTTCAATCGGTAGTGCCTGCGTTCTTTATTGGGGTGATTTTCCTCGATGGTGAAGTTATCGCGAAGCAAGGGTTCTTTGCTGGTTATAGTTGGATTGTTTGGGTGATTATTTTCATCCAGGCTATTGGTGGTATTGGCGCTGGTTATGCTATTGTATATGCAGATCAGACTGCAAAGACGACTGCGACCGGCTTCAGCCTGGTTGTTGGGATTTTGTCTAGTTTATCTGTGTTTGATTTGGATTTGTCGGTCAACGTGAGTTCCTCTCCTCTCTCTATTAGACTGCAAATTGCTAATGCTCATCAAGTTCTCCATCGGCGCCATAGTAGTCTTGATTGCAACATTCTTATACGGCAGTTCTGCACCGTCCCCATCTTCCCTGGCCCGAATGAGGCCGCCTCCAATCCGGATTGAGAGCTACGATGCCCCTGAGAATCAGGACGGGCCCGGTGCATCGCCTCCCAACGACTTTTCTATCAAACTTCCAACCACGCCCTTATTATCTGCGGGACTCTCAACGTCCCGTCCTGCATCTCCGAGTCATCCTCGTGTGAAATCGAACCAGAATGGATCGGGTTATTTCCTCGAACCTGATGAATAGAGGAGTCATGAATAAAACGAATGAATGAACGAATAGGAAGGGAAAAGAAATTATCATAGCATATTTGCCGATTTGCTTGCTTATTTGCTTTAAATAGATGAATGCTGCTGAAGCGAGTATGTTTTATTTGCTTGTACATTATGAATATATCTGATGTTCATTTCTTTCTTGATTCCTGATTACTGAATGTCCCGTGATGCCTCCAGGGCTATTTGTGGGTAGATACCCTCCCATGGATGTGTTTCCCGGATGGGCTCCTTCCCTCCGTCCTAGTTGCTTGATGACCTCGACCCAACTTCTTCTTTCCTACATCTTCGTCTTCTTGATACTCGATGCGATATCACACTAGATGAACTGGCTTGAATAGCTCAACGTCGTTAGCATGGCTTTCCCTAGAAATACCTTCCTCCCGATGGAGGATGATGGCATTTCTCTCGACATGTTCGGTATGAATTATTCCGGAGATTATCTTTAGCTTCATACTAATTTGCAATGCAGATCGCGAGCTATTCGCTCAGCTTGGAGAGCAGGATCCTCAGCCTGTAGTCCTTACGAGAGGAGGTCTTGTGGATCGGTTTATGGAAGAGTGTAAGTGAGAATAATCCAGGGTCATGATCCTTTTCGCTTCTACTGCTGATTCAATAGCTGTGTCTCCTGAGTCACCGGTGCTAGGGCAGTATTCCAGTTCACCGGAGACATCATTCCAGTCGAGTCCATTACTGCGGTACTTCAGACCCAGTCGGCCTCGAATCGCTTCAACACCAGGCCTCTCTGAGTATCAGTATGCACCGGCTTCCACAAACGAGAGGTCAGAAGATAGTTCACCGAGCAGGAAAATGTCATCATCTTCCCCTTCATTACCTCGTCAGATCTCGTTCAGTCATGCTCCTCCCGTCGTCCAGGGTATTCGTCTTATTGAAACCAAGCAGCTCCCAGATCGTTTCCGTGCACTGTTCCCCTACCCACTCCTCAACGCTGTGCAATCAAAGTGCTTTCCACATGTTTATGAAAATGATTACAATGTTGTCGTGTCTGCGCCTACGGGAAGCGGTAAGACTGTTATTATGGAACTTGCCGTATGCCGTCTCGTGAACAATCTGAAAGATGGGTTGTTTAAACTCGTGTATCAGGCTCCAACAAGGGCTTTGTGTTCGGAAAGGTTTCGCGATTGGTCTAAGAAGTTTGCGTCCTTGGGCCTACAGTGTGCCGAATTGACTGGTGATACTGATTATGCCCAGTCTCGACTGGTGCAGACTGCCAGTATTATCATCACCACGCCGGAGAAATGGGACAGTATGACAAGGAGGTGGAGAGATCACTCAAAGTTGATGCAACTGGTGAAACTGTTTTTGATTGATGAAGTGCATGTCCTCAATGAGACACGCGGTGCCGCCCTTGAGGCTGTAGTATCTCGAATGAAATCTGTCGGCTCAAATGTCCGTTTCATCGCTTTGAGTGCCACCATACCAAATTCAGAGGACATTGCTACCTGGTTGGGCAAGAATGATATGTTGCAACATCTTCCTGCTCACAAGGAACATTTCGGTGAGGATTTTCGTCCAACAAAGCTTCAAAAATTTGTCTACGGTTATCCCTGCACAGGGAACGATTTTGCTTTTGACAGATTACTGGGTTCAAAGTACACAATCCGTTTATTTCTTCTGGGAATCCCTTGCTGACAGTGTTATCTTTGCCTAGGCTTCCTGAGATCATCTCCAAGCATTCAAATAGGAAGCCAATGATGATTTTTTGCTGCACGAGAAACTCCGCTATTTCTACTGCGAAAGAACTCGCGAAGCTTTGGTCAAACACAATTCCTCAGAGACGGCTCTGGGCTGGACCGGTGAGGATGCCTGCCGTCAAGAATACTGACCTGAAAGGTAAGTCTCATAAATTCCATATATGAGCCTTGCTAAAAAAAAAATCTATAGCATTCGTGGCCTCCGGTGTTGCCTTTCATCATGCTGGATTAGACAGCGATGACCGTCATGCTGTCGAAAAAGCTTTTCTCGAAGGCAAAATTAGTATTATTTGCTGTACATCAACACTTGCTGTCGGTGTCAACCTTCCTTGCTACCTCGTTATCATAAAGAATACGGTCTGCTGGCAGGAAGGTGGTTGCAAGGAGTACACTGACTTGGAAATGATGCAAATGCTCGGTCGTGCCGGTCGTCCTCAGTTCGACGACACTGCAGTTGCTGTCATACTCACAAAGAAGGAACGTGTTTCGATCTATGAGCAAATGATATCAGGCACGATGCAACTAGAGAGCTGCCTACATTTGAATCTTATTGATCATTTGAATGCGGAGATTTCCTTGGGCACAGTTTCGGACATTCAGAGTGCTGTCAAGTGGCTTGCCGGGACATTTCTTTTCGTGAGACTTAGGAGAAACCCTACTCGATACAAACTGAAAGAAAATGCGGATCGCAGAGATGAGGATGAGATGTTGCAACAAATATGCGAAAAGAACGTGAAACTTCTGCAGGATGCCGAACTTGTTGTCAGAGGAGGTGCCTTCAAATCTACGCCGTGGGGGGAAGCCATGGCGAGATACTACATCAAGTTTGAGACAATGAAAATCATACTGGGACTCCCTCCAAGAACAAAAACTTCAGAGATTGTAAGTTATTCGTATAATTCTCTATTTGTTTGCTTTTTGGTTGCTTTGGGGGCCTGTCGAGGTCTTCAGAAGTGCTTGTTTGCAGCTAATACTTGATCAGTCGTTATACCACTAGAAGATGCTCGCTAATATGAGGTACGTAGTTGTCTGCAATAGCCCAAGCGGAAGAATTTCACGAACTCCGTCTCAAAGCAGCGGAACGCCCTTTTTACAGGGAACTCAATCGTGCTCATGGGATCAGATTCCCCATCAAAGTCGACATGGCTCAGAATGCTCATAAGATCTCCTTGCTCATACAATCCGAACTGGGTGCAGTTGACTTCCCAGCTGCAGAACAATTCCAGAGACACAAACTGCAGTTTCAACAAGATAAAGCAATTGTTTTCAATCACATTAATCGTCTTATCCGTTGTATCATTGACTGTCAGATCCACAAGGAGGACGGAGTTGCTGTGAGGAACTGTCTAGAACTTGCGCGGAGCTTTGCTGGTCGGGTCTGGGAAAATTCACCGCTTCAAATGAAACAGATTGAGCAGATTGGTGTCGTCGCGGTCAGAAAATTAGCTGGTGCTGGTATTACCAGTATTCAAGAATTGGAGGAAACAGAAGCGCACAAGATCGACATGATTCTGAGCAAGAATCCTCCATTCGGTATGAAACTCCTCGCGAGGCTTGCCGAGTTTCCAAAGCTACGTGTGACTATCAAGATGTTGGGCAAGGTAAGTCGTCAAATACATTGCAATGGTTCTTGACTGGCTAATGACTATTGTTAGGCGAGCAAGCACGGACGTGCGCTCAGAATCAATTTCAAGGCCGAGATAGGATTTTTGAACGAGAAGACTCCAACAACCTTCCATAAGCGGCCAGTATATGTTTGCTTCGTAGCAGAGATTTCTGATGGCAGACTCGTGGACTTTAGACGCTTGAGGTAAGATCTTGTTCGTCTTATCATGCAGCCATGCACAAACTAACGTTGATCCAGTGCTCAGAAACTTCAGAATGATCATGAAATCCTGTTAAGCGCGGAGATCAAAAGCCCATTGCAGTACATTACATGTTATGTCATGTGTGATGAAATTGGTAAAGAACCCTGTCCAGGGTTTTGGCATACGGCTCTAACAAGTCTGACAGGTGGTACATGTCAATATGCAGAATTGAAGCCTGATGTGTCGGATTCGTTCTTCTCTGGTGACACCTTGGACAAATCATCTGATAGATTTGCGATGAACACATCCCGGCGCAGAAACGGTACCGGTGGCACTCCAAGACAGACAAAGCCCGCGCGGAACGAGAGCTTTGAAGACGATGATATTCCGGATGATGCTTTCCTGGCAGCCGGTAGGTGACATCGCCCTTCATTATACCTTGGTTGATAAAGGCTAACTGCTGTTCAAGTCGACAACGTCGATAGCTATCAGTCCCAACAGCGAAGCTCAGTTAACACAGCTTCACGTCAGAGTCGAAAGAGGGAACGAGGTCTAAATGAACATCACGAGGACATAGACAAAGTACAGCCAATCATGCTTGAGAATGGGAAATACAACTGCAACCACAAATGCAAAGATAAATCAACGTCCGCTTTTCTAATCTAACCTACTTTTAGTGGTATAATGACTGACCAAGTATTAGGTGCAAGCACGTCTGTTGTCGCGAAGGCCTCGACAAGCCCCCAAAGCGAACGAAAAGCAATCAAATGAACATTCTATCTTCTTTTGAGACAGTTGATTATTTAGATCTCACTCAACCCAGCAAATCAGAGCAGCCCACGAAACAGATAACGATTGATCGTCGTCTCGTTGATTCGAAAGCGACACGAATGGTTAATCTTGACTTTGCGTCATCTCAGGCAACAATACCCAAGGCTACCATCTGTAAAACGGTTGGAAATAGGAAACGTTCAAACACTCGTCGACGACATTCATCCAGTGAGTACGATAACAGTAGCGTGGATGAGTATTTCTCTCCAACCATGCCTGCATCGAATAGTATGGACAACTCAGATTCGCCCACGGTAACCACGGCTCTTGGGTTGGACGATAACTTTGAACGCATTATGGATGCATCCAATGGGGGCCTGTCGGAAGATAATATTCAGAGTGATGTCCAGAGTCCAGCGGCGAAGAGACAACGGAGTGCACTCCCAACCCATGAATCCAAATCTGTCTCGTTCGACGAAGAAAAGTCACCAACACGTCTATCGAACAAAAAGAACTTGAAATCAGGACCGGATGGGGTCTTGGTGAAGAGAAAGATCGAGCCACTGAGTGACGCAACGAACGTCGGCATCAATGCTCCGAAACGTCCTAAAGCTGATACAACGCAGCCCTCGGCCGAAAGTATTAAGAATGCAGCAAGTCATGATGATCCATACTCAATCGAAGAATTGCGGTCTCAAGAAATGGATCAGCCTGAATCTCGAGATGAGAATATTGATGAAATGCTGTTACAAGAGTTTGGAGATATCGTCAATTTCTCCGCGATGTGAAATTCCCTTTCTGCGATGTCTTACATATGGCAAACGGTATGGCTTCTGCCGATTAGTTGTTGTAATATGCGTCCACGGGTGTATTTGCATTGATATTGATATCATATGTTCGATTTGCCATTAGGGTTTGAAGGAATCCGTGATATCTGATGGGTATCTAATTAGCGTTATCTAGCTACTTTACAGTTCGCTATAATATACATATGCATATATATATTCATCATGCCAAATCGGCAAGCAGGCGTGCCCATATACTATTCACTGTTTCTGCGTCATCAACCGTTATACAGGAGGAATGACCGACTGAACACTCCCATCAAACCCTGTTGCTTGCATAATCGACCACCTTAAGGCATTAATACCCAAGAAGCTCTTCTTCATAGATCCGGCCACATCCGTCATGGCACTAACACAAATAATCTCCCCAAGCGGGGGCGGACCCTTTGTAGCCGCCAATGCAGCAGCAAACTCATAATTCCGATCCTCCGGATTCGAAGGTATTCGATCATAAGCCCGTAGCTTTTCAAGTTCCTGTTGCAACTTGGAAAGCTTTGAAAGTTTGATTTTCCGGTTGTAGTGCCAATGTTTAATGGATTTGATTTTGTCGCATAGGATGCGATCTACTTTGGAGACGATGAGCTGGTGCGGGATTGCGTATTGGCGGAGTAAAGTCAGGATTTGTTGGTCGTGGGGCTTTATGCCGTGGAGGAGGTCGATGAGGATATATGTTCGGCGAAGTCTATTCTCCTATATCAGTCATGTTGCTCTAGATAGGTGCGCAAAGAGAGGGGGAGGAAAGGGCGTACTGTTTCCGATTCTTCAGATATTTCATGATCTCTTCGCCTTGCTCCGGTCGACTACCTGCTCCATATCCGGGCATATCCAACAATACAATTTTGGATTCACCACCTTTCGTACCCCCGATACCATAAGCGTTCATCTCCGTGGTTTTACCGCGCTTGTCTCCACTGCGACATATCTCGTCGTCTACGAGTGCATTGATGAGCGAACTCTTGCCGACATTCGTTTTTCCCAAGAATGCGACTTCGGGTTCCTTGGAGTCAAAGGGAATGGTGCGGAATTGCGCTGCTGAGTATAATTTTACGGGGGAATGGCGGGTGTGTGCAAAGAAGCGTTCGGCGGATTGAATTTGAACCGGGTTGGGAGGGGTGGTATCCCAGTAGGCTGCTAAGTCGGTTAGGAGGAGGTCATCAAATGATGTATGCAGGAATTTTTGATCATGAATTTGTAGAGTTGGGTGTGTTTGGAAGCATCGTTGTTGTTGTTGTAGCGACGTTTGTGAAAGAAGAGCCTGGCAGAGTCTGTATGGTGATTTTGGTTTGAACATTTTGAGGTAGTGCGCCTTCGTCTGCTCGATGTCATATAATCCGTATTGGATTATACATCATAGACAAATTTGAGGCGAATCTATCTCCTGAGATTCATGTTGATGTAGACGGTGTTGCGGAACAGTTAAACTTGGAGAAGCTTTGTCGGAGAACTTCCCGACCTCCGGCGCTAAACCCAAAGTAAGCGGATCTGGAGTTCCCTGCGACATCATCGTCACAGCTCAGCATCAGCATCCTAAGATCATCAGTCGGCTTACATCAGAATCTGTGTTGCAAATACTCTGAGCTGTATACTTTTTGCCTTGTAATATTTGTGGCTACTGGCACCTCGTCAACATGATTAATGCCGTGCTAGTGTTCAACAACACAGGACAGCCTCGACTGACCAAGTTCTATACACAACTTGTATGTTTCAATCCTTCAAATTACGACGTTCACCAACTAACCCTACCCTAGGACACGCAGATCCAACAAAAACTCATCAAACAAATATACGACCTCGTTTCACAACGCCCTCCCTCAGCATGCAACTTCCTCCCGCTCCCACCTCTTCTATCACAAGGCGCCAGCTCCAAAGCAGCCAGCGGTCCCTCCGATGCACCTACACAAATCACATATCGCACCTATGCGACACTATCATTTATCATGATCTCGACATCCACGGAATCTCCATTGGCGCTCATTGACTTGATCCAAGTCTTCGTCGAGGCGCTCGATAGACTGTTCCAGAACGTCTGCGAGTTGGATCTTATATTCGGGTACGAGACTATGCATGCGACACTTAGTGAGATGATTATTGGGGGTGTGGTGGTTGAAACAAATACAGATAAGATTGTGGCTGGCGTAAAAGCGCAAGAGGGCTCGCGAGGGAAGAAGATTGCTGTTGATGCTGCCAGTTCGGTTGGGCAACTTAGCATACCGGGGTTGGGATCATGGCGGTGATAGTTCTCTTTTCACCGGGATGAAGTATATGATGTTATGATGATATGTATTTTAGCGTCATACTCTTTGCTACTTGACCAGCAAATTGTTTTTATACAACGAAGCAATGCTTATCGGCTTATCGACGATGTTTCCCACTGATAAGGGCTAGCCCTATCTGATAATGCAAAAGCAGGATAGCGCTGCCGTCCACACAAACAGATATCATTGGCTTCAGCAGACCCACAGGGTTCGCTTATTTGTCGCGCACGATATCTTCTCAGCTTCAAGTCCGCTTCTCATTCTGACTTTCTTTCCCTCTTCGTCCCCCTGCTCAGTCAACACAGTGCACATCCAGCACCCGACCATCACCAATCGACAACATGGTAAGCTAAAGACACCTCACAATGACTTCTTGAGTGTCTTCTCATGAGCTCTAAGAGAGTTATACGATTTCCTCTCCATTGAGTTTGCTCGACTTTCCAAGTCCACAGCATCTCAACTGGCCGAAGATGAAAATTCTTCAGGCAAAGCAATTCCGCCATTGTCTTCTGTAGTTGATTGATCGATGTCCCTGAAAAGAAGATATTTTCTATCTCTACAGGAGACTTGGTGATGATTTGGCTTGAGCCATGAAATTCGTCTTGTGTGTCTGGACAGAAATGTTCTTTGGACTAGCACGACGATTTCGTGTTGCTCTCTAGAGTTCAAAGAAGATTACAGCGTGTGTAGAACACGATTTGCTGATTCTTCTTTTCTCAATGACAGCCTCCTAAGGGTAAGAAAGTTGCTCCCGCGCCCTTCCCCCAGGGTAAGGCCGGTGCCAACAAGAAGACCAAGGTTAGTATTTCTTCTTTGACATCAGCTTTGTTACATTACTAATGATTCTTTAGAACCCCCTCTTCGAGGCCCGTAACCGCAACTTCGGTATCGGTCAGGACATCCAGCCCAAGCGCAACTTGTCCCGCTTCGTCAAGTGGCCCGAATATGTCCGTCTTCAGCGCCAGAAAAAGATCTTGAACCTCCGTCTCAAGGTCCCTCCTGCTATTGCTCAGTTCTCCAACACTCTCGACCGCAACACTGCTGCTCAAACCTTCAAGCTCCTCAACAAGTACCGCCCCGAGTCCAAGGCTGAGAAGAAGGAGCGTCTCCACAAGGAGGCCACCGCTGTTGCTGAGGGCAAGAAGAAGGAGGATGTCTCCAAGAAGCCCTATGCCGTCAAGTACGGTCTCAACCATGTTGTTGGTCTCGTTGAGAACAAGAAGGCTTCTCTCGTCTTGATTGCTCACGATGTTGACCCCATTGAGTTGGTTGTCTTCCTTCCTGCTCTTTGCCGTAAGATGGGTGTTCCTTATGCCATCATCAAGGGCAAGGCTCGCCTCGGAACTGTCGTTCACAAAAAGGTTTGTTTCTATACTGATTTATTGTAACCTCGTTCTAATTTTCATAGACCGCCGCCGTCGTCGCTTTGACCGAGGTCCGCTCCGAGGACAACTCCGAGTTCTCCAAGCTCGTCTCCGCCATCAAGGAGGGTTACTCTGACAAGTACGAAGAGAACCGTCGTCACTGGGGTGGTGGTATCATGGGTGCCAAGGCCAACGATCGCCAAGAGAAGAAGCGCAAGGCTATCGAGTCCGCCATAAAGATCTAAGGCATTGGTCTGACTGAACCCTAAAAAAAAGTTGTTTTTTCTTGCACCCTGTGATACGTCCTTTCATGTCATGGGTTATGAGAAAGAAAGTTCCCAAAAAATTCAATGAAGAGATGATGAATACCTTCAAATTATGTTTTTTTTTTCTATTTTCCTTGCAGATACCCCCTTTGACTACCATGCTCGTCATCAAATGCCAAAATCATTTTGTTTTGGTCTGAAAGGAATATTTCTGTCTTCGGTAGTAAGGAGTATCAGTAATTCGGAATTCTAATAGAGATGTATTGTGAAGGATGGGTTTATTATAATGATCGTAAATTCACTAGGAGGGGAACGAAGCGTTGTGTATAGTAGTACATTTTGATTCGCGGGCGTAACTGATATTTAGCCGATGTATGAAAAAGCAAGAGGTATGTATATACAGTCCACAAACTCCATAATGATACCACTGGAGAATTCAATTAGATACGATATAGGAGAAAAATAGCCGAACACCAGCAAAGTTAAAAGCATCAGACTCAGACTGACCAGAGATGATATTATTCGAGCAAGAGCGAGCGAGAGTGAAGAAAAGCCCCATTGCATTTAGTAAAACAATTTGCTAAACAATGAAAGGAGGAAAAACACAAGAATTCCAGTCGTAAAAGTCATTACACGGGGGTATCTTCTTCCGGGTAGTTTGATGATATCGAGACCAGATATATTATGCTATCATTGCCTCTATGAATGAGCTGATGGTGGAGGGCGGGTGAGACCTTGTCGAGCCTATCGTTTTCATTGTCAGTCCGTAAGATCTAAAATATATATATATTGTAGTAAGCTCACCTTCATCTGCTCAATTCTAGCTTTCAATTGACTCGTCACTTCAGCCGCTCGTTTCCAATTCTCAGCTGGCTCGGCTGATCGACTCGTTATCGATGGTTGATCTTCGCCACTGTGATTGCTACTAGCAGATGCGTAGCGAGACGTTGCTCGGACTGGGCTGCCTCTACTTGAAAGACTTTGTCCGACGGGTGGACTGAATTTCCGGCGGCCAAATGTTGAGTCAAGATGTGTTTCGGCGGTGGGCGAGCCGAAGCCATTGTTCTCTTTGTCTTCACTAGGACTAGAGATGTAGCTTCGTGGTCGGTTATCCAATCGCGAGCCCATATAGTGGCCAGCGCGAGAGCCGTTGCTACTATAGGTACCTGTTTCTGGTGATAATGGACCGTTGTCGGAGACACCAGCATGGAGTCCATCTGATAATACTGCCGGGGGACTCACTGCTGATGCACGAACAGCTCGAGTTAATTCACGCTTGAGTCGGTCAATCTCGCGTTGTTGTTTCTGCACTGTTTGTTCTGCGGTCTCCGCATCGCTACGAGCACGAACCAATTGTGTTTCTTTGGCCTTTATGCTTAACACATCACGGGTATGGTCCTCAATAAGTTGTGCGTTTTGATTTTGAAGCTCCGTCACTTGCGAGGAGAGCCTGGTCTTTTCTGATTTAAGATCTTCATTTATCTTCAAGAGGCGCTCTTTCTCGAGACGGAGCTCCTCTAGTTCAGCCCGCTCAACGGCTGCGAGACCAGACATCACAGGTGCAGCAACAGGTGCCGCCTCTGCAGGCGCCGCAGTTTTGCTGATCGGTCGTCCAGTTAGTCCTCGTCCTAAACCGAACTTGGGCTGCGCTGGCGGTGGTGCGGGCGCGGGTTCGTCTGGAGGTGGCGATGATACACGTCGAGGGGATCCGGCTGCAGCGCCGCCAACACCAGGAATACGTCGTTGCATCTTTAGCCCACCACCTGGAGTAGCCAACCCCGACTTGGGTACACCACCTGGACGTGCAAGGCCTGATTTGGGAACAGCCTTAGGTTTAGGAGGCGGAGATGGTTCTTCAACCGGTGGCGGCGGTGCAGCAGCAGGGGCAGACTTTTTCAATCCGAGGGCAGGTTTCTTTGAGCCTGGTGCAGCCTTCTTCGCAGCTGGAACGGCGGGTTTAGGAGGTGCGATGATAGGCTTAGGTCGGTCCTTGGCCTTCACTTCCGCTGTATCAAAGTATTCCTTGATCTTGGCCTTCCTGATGTCGTCTAGGCCGTCAAGATAAGGATTCATCGCTCGTTCACCCATAATCTTCATCAGGGTTCCTAGAATTTCGGCGGCGCCTGATCGTACAACTTCGCTCGATTCGGTGAGTAACTTGATTGCCGCTTCAGCTATTGACTTCACTTCAGGCTTTGAGGGTACATCACGCGTTGTTCGGAGGCACCTGACTAGAAACTTCACCGTTTCCTGCTTCACCTGGGGGTTTTTGTGTTTTAAAAATTCGAAAATTTCCTCAAGGCATTCCGAAAGACCAGTGGAAGCGAACACAGCATCCAGAGCTTGTCCCAACGCATCAGCAACCGATTGCTTCTTCTCCTTCAGGCGCTCCATGATGGGTGACATGATTATTGAACGGTATTTTGCGAATCCTGAACGTAGACCCTTGGCAAGCAAATCCACACAGTTGGCAGCAACTGTAACAACTGCAATATTCGCGTCCTTCATGCACTTTGCGAGCGCCTTGACAATCTCGTCGAATGGCGCTTCCTGAATTCGAGGAACATTGAGCGCATTATATAGTTCGTCTAAAGATTCTTTCCTATCCTTCCACTTTGTAGAACTCAGCTGTTCGTGTAGATTTTTCGGTACTTTCGGCATGACATCCACCGGTTCTGCGAGATCGAGGGGTTCCATTTCACCATCATCCTCCCCATAATCTTCCCCAGCTTCTCCACCTGCATCGTCCTCACCGGCAGCCGGAGCAGAAGCCATCGCCTCCTGCTGTGCTCTCGTCAATCGCTCTTGCTTTGGAGGGGCCTCTTCCTTGGCCTTCTCAAACAATTTATCCAAATCTTGCTGTTGCACTGGTTTCAGCTCGCCCCAAAATACCGGTTTCATGGCTTCCTTGAGCCATCGGTACAGCTCCACGGTAAGATTTTGTGCTTCTGCGCGAACATTCTTGTCGGCATGACCAAAAACTTTTGGTAAAATTTTAAGGACGGGTTTTGGGTCAACGATCTTGCATCCGTAGTTGTGATATATGGCTGTAATAGCATTGAGTCCTGCAGCGACAGATTTGGGTTGCTTCGCAGATAAGATAGGTAACAAGTCTTCGATGACGGGATCTGCTTTATCAAGTTCTATGAGTAGGAGTAGAGCTTCTAGTGCATTTGCTTTTGCGGCAGGACGTGCTGATGGAAGGGCCTTTTCGGCGATAGCGGAGACCGTAGCGCCTCGCGATCTATACCGATAGTTAGCACTCATTGTGCTGTGTAAAGAGTCCGATCAAACCCACCTTGTACAAGCTTGCACACCTCCATATTTCAAAAACGCGCAATACGCTGCTAAACCTTCTTGTTGAGCAGCGACATTCGAATCGGCAACAGCGCCTTTCCACAGCGACGGATCTTGTAAAAAGGGAGCGAACACGGGGTCTGATTCATCGGGTGTCTTTTCAAACTGTTTGGCAGCATCTTCGTATCCTCCTTTCCTCGCTTTCCAGACCTGTTATGTCGGTTGGACACCAATCAGCAAAGCTAACAAGCAGAGAGCAACTGTTCGCGGGAATTTCTGACCTTGTGTGTGAAGCGATCTGGTAGAGGGAGAGAGGAGTAATCTTCTTCGGCGTCAGCCATCGTGGCAGAATGCAGGCAATTAAAGCGCTGCCAGTACGTGCTTCCTACAAGTGATTTCGGCATTTCGTTAGTATTGACTTTTCGGTATGGGAGTTCGTGCGAAAGCGCGGAAAAAGCGAGATTGACGTGATAAAAAGTTGTGTTCACCTCGAGATCAGTATTTATGGCTCGCGTAGTCTCTATAATCCACTGGGCGCAGTGGTTTTGACAATAGAGTCAATAATAAATGATTGTATACCGTCAACAAAACGAAGCGGGGGAGACACTCGGCGTACTGGACAAGTCAAATAATAGATAATGGACTTGATAGAAAGAATCAAATAAGTATGATATCCACTTCCAGTATTTGTCTCTGTTTAAAGAGCTTACCTTGTGAAAGAAACGTGAGTTGTTCTGTTGCAAGTCGCTAGGTAGTTGTAGATGACTGAATGTTTTTGATGTCAACAAAAGTTCGATTGGATCCATCACCCGGGGGATCCAATCACGGCCCGCCTTGGCAAAAACAATCAACTTCGTCCGATAACTTTTATTCTCTAGGTCTTCTGTCTTTCTATATTTCTGGCAAGAATAATGTGGAGATTATAAATGCAGCCATGGATATAGATATACTTTATAAAAGCGTGATCCAAGAATGGCAGTTCTGGTCCCAAGGGTCACTACATGTGGGAGTCTGCGGATCCAGATATGTCGACATCAAAACAGCGCTGAATGTTGCGCTCTATGCTGTCTGAGTCTTGAACTAACTCTTCCCTAGGTAAATCAGGGTTATTGGAACACTGAAAAATTATTTTCCCTATACAACTTGGCAAAAGCGATATAATGCTCGCGTGCCTGTAAGTCCAGACTGATATACTTTTGATGACCCTAACCCTGATATCCTTGTATGCTTTTCGGACCAGTCATTTGCCAGCATAGAAAGGTTGGTGCAACCAGATCATCTCAAGACCTCTCATACAGAATAGAACTATATGCGCAAGATCCTAGAGGCGATGTGATCACTGGGTTGGGTTGCCGTAACCCAACTTGACTTTCCAGCTCGCAAAATCCCCTTGGATATACCGAGCTACCCACAAAGGCATCCTCAATCCCAAAGTTGTAGGGGGCCGGCTTTGGCTTCAGAAAGTACTTGGACTGGTCCCCAAGGACACCCAGGGGCTCTCTCATTGAACCGAGCATCGTCAGGATTTACATATGAGGGTATCTGCAATACTCCCAACGGCTCCCAGAAGAACTGAGAGAAGAACAAGTAATCGCGGCTAATCCTCCTACTAGTCGACGAGCGCTTCGCTTCGTGGTGACCTGAATCGAGAGGCGAAACTGCTGGATAAAAAAAAACCCTATCGGAAGATGTGGAGGGAATGGCATTGACTAATATAGGTGTTTGGCTCCAGCCTCGAAACCACAGTACATACAGCTCCAATGCCAGTCGAAGCTTCCAAGGTTCCCACCAGTATCCATCCCATCTTTCTTAGGCGAGCCTCACCACTTAGCTAGAGCACACATGACAACATATGAGCCCACAAAAGCCTCATCATATTATCTATTAATAATTATGGCATAGTTACTTGTTACATGCTCTGCTTATTGAGATCCTATGGTCCGGTCAATTAATTAATGGGGCCTGGTGTAAGGTTAGGGCTTGGTCCTAACCCTAGCCCTATAAAACCCCTGAAGACTACTCTTACATGCATGAGGATGCTGAAATCACATGCATTTTTCCAAGGACATTAGGTAATTAATTTTATGATACATGATACTTCTGCTTCTGGGGTCGTTGTTAAATAAAGCTTGGATAGGAATTGCAGGGAAGGAAAACCCCTGTTTGCGTACTGGTTGTCATGCCATGAACTCGAATTGTCAGAGGTACGCCAGTTTGTCTCTTTGTCTGCCTGGAATAATTTATTGTTCAATGCCACTCTGAAGCGGCGGAGACCTTGGTATTGTATGGTACGGTAAGCCAAGCGCTAGCGTAATACTGCTAGTCGTATTACGTTACCAGGGGCCCGAGTCGATACGAAGTAGAAAACGAGTAATACACATCATACGATATATACATACATATATGAAGCAATTCAGAACGTAGTCAACACTTTAATGCACTCGGCCTCTAAAGTAGAGACAACGTTCGTCGTGCAGTTGCATTTTCCAAGCTCAGACCCCAAGGGCTACCGAACAAATTTAATCCTAGATGAGCCAACTACTATATGAGCTCGTGGTTAGTAGATGTACATCCTCGCTGGAGGATTACCTCTCGATCCAACCAGCATATACCTAGATATAAGATATGGTGATAACATCTGACGACTTATGTGACCCTTCAATCTTATGAATCCTCTCATTTTATGCATGAAACCGGAGCCCGATTGACATCAATTCGCACAGTCGTAATCATATTGTGGAACTTCGGGTAAGCTTGAGTCTATGGATGTTATTATGAGGCATAAGAGCACGAGAATTCGCATGTAATGATTCAAGTATGTTACTGAAGGTTATACCCCGGCATTTGAAAGCCAATGTAGACTCGAATGCTCAAAGTTAGAACCTTTTCGGATACTTAGGTACTAAACTCATGTAGCAATCTCTTAAAAGTTTGCACAGGTTGTGCTATAGCAACATCTGTTCAAGATGACATCAAACACAGCTTACATTGCCTTGATCCCCTTTTCCCCAGAGTCGTCCACGCCTTTGTTTTCACCTACATCCACAGTGTCTTCGACGCCGTCCAAACCAATCTCTTTCCGGACATGGATCGGAACAATGACGGTGTCTTCTTTCATGTAGTTCGTGTCAGTCGTGCACTTCCATGTAATAAAGTACAGGATTGGCCAGCAGAGAGTGGTGAGAGCAAAGTATGCTGCGTTTTCGTTCTCGTATGGTTGTGCAGTTGCATCTACACCAAATGATACAGCGGTGCCGGCACTCAGCCCTGGAATCAATGTTAGCTGCCTGGTCAAATATTCTCATCCGAGGGTTCTTACAGGCAACGAAGAAACCTCCCATTGCAGCGAGTTTTCGTGGATCATTGGTCAAAGTACCAACAACATAGAGCACCACGTTTTGGAAGATGCCGTATTGGGCGGCAAAGAACATGTAAATCACAACAGCACCAGCATATGCTGAGTCAGTGCAGTCAATGGCTGGGCCTTCCACAGACCGATCGAACTTCCATGAAGCCAACCAGACAGTCTGAGCAGTATACGTGCCAGTGATCCAGACGGCGTCAAAGGTAATCCCCATGAAAGCTCGCTTCCGCCGACTTCCCAGTCTCTCTGTATCGAGCAGGAAACCCATGAACAAAGTAACAGGAATCTGGATAAGGTTGTTGAGCAGACTGTTCAGTGTCCTGGTTCGGAGGTTGAAGACGTAAGCGTTCATGGAGGCCTGGAAAGGGAAGAACATCTCTGGAGTAAAGAATGTTGGAATCATGAAGAGAATCCTCCAGTCTTTGAACAGGCTTAAGGTAATCTTTAATGAGTCCATAGGCGACATGTGTTTAAACGCCGCTAGTGCCGTTCCATCTGGACGCCTCAATTTTTCGGCAGGCAGCAAGAGCAAAGCCAAGCCCATGGATATGCTTTGGATGACAATGAAAACAATGTAGACAGAGTGCGGTACTCCAAGAGTATTAGAGTTCCAACTGACACCAAGGGCGACACAGGCACCGACAGCAGCCCCTGAAACGTTTGATGTCCACTGGATGGCCCTCCAGACGCCCTTATCCTTCTCCTCGGCATAAGCATTCGACGTGTAAGCCGCGGTTGACCAGAGACATCCTGCAGTTAGACCTAGATACGCACCGGCAAAGACGGGGAACCACAGATGGCCAAAAGCGTCAAAATACCACATAGCACCGATGTAGATTGGGTATCCTGTGATACCGAACATCATTGTAAGGCGCGGACCGACAGTGTTGAGAATTGTTCCAGCAAGGAGAGCGGAAAATACGAATACTCCATAGAGCACTCCATTGCTTGTGTTAGCCATCGTAATCGATGAAGCTCGGCCACCGCCGGCTCCCAGGAGCTATGAACGGTCAGATCTAGGCTCTGTGTAAAGAGATGTACGTTATAATACCTACCGCCACTGCTAGATAGAGACCTGGATTGCAGAAAAGACATGCTGACACAATCAAGTTTTGTATAAAGGGGCTGTAAAATGTCAGTGTGTGTAAGTATATTGTTTGATGCTACTAGTTTCTCACTTGTTGAGCCGTAGAAACGGTAGCTTGCCGGAGCTGTCAGACATCGTGGAACCTCTGTCTCCACAAAGTGGATGCTGTGAGCCTCAAACGAAGACTTTCGGCTGCAGGGTAAATATGTGCCTATGGTGGATGTTGTAAGCGGACGGTATTGATTGCGATACGTATCAAGTCTCTGTACTCATGCTCGACCAGAATATCTTCGGTCGTGTGGGCTTTATAATACCAGTCACTGGACCCTATCTCTATCTCGTTACCCCTCATAGAAGAAAGTGTATTTCGAAAAGATGAAGATATCAGTTCGAGTTACTTAGTGAGTTCTGTTCATTGAATCATGGCCACAGATACGGTATAACCTTATCATAGACAATCTCGCATCTCGGCACTGAGGTCGATGAGTTCCAGCGAACTGATACGCGAATGAGCTCGGATCTGGGATAATATTGTGGAGAAAAGTGATCCAGTGAATAATGTTCAAAGTCGTCTGTGCATGAATTGCGAGAGCCAAATGATTACCTATTTTCCGTTTTGAGCTCAAAACCGAGTTCCGTAGTGCAAGAACAACCCAATGCCCATAACCCTACACCTGCAACAAGATCTAGTGATCTTCTTTCAAAATAATTCCGCCCATTGGTGTTCCGATCAAGGAATCAATACTCATCAGAGGGAACACAAAGCCTAATTCTGAACAGAGTATGTGAAGCGTTCGGATGAGTATACTATAAGCAATCGAAAGCAGGGAGCCGGTCAGTTTTTAGCAGCGACCACTGCCGAAGACAGCCATGCAAATGTGTAGTAGACCACTAATCCCATACCATGCCGGCCATGACAGTGAAGTCCATATTCAATGTGCAAAAATGTATGGTATAACTCGGTCCAAAGTTGACGAAGCTTTCATGATTGGTACAAGGTAGAATTCCGAGCCCCCATTGGCGATTTTGAGGTTAAGAGCGGACACTTCGATGTAAGTGATAGTACCACATATTCCCAGCTTTCAGACAGTAAGATATAGTGACAGGATATCGCCTGACTCACGTAGACGCCTGCCTCTGTGCCATATTAGGACTAGCCCGTTCTAGGTGAGGTGTTAATATCAACCCTCGACCTCACCACTTAGCTAGAGCATACATGACATCTTCTAGAGCCTCATCATATAGTATTCAGAGAACGTATGTGCCGGTACTCAGAATCAGTTGTCGGGAGTCGCATAGTTGGCTGCGATCCCTAGGAGATGTATGACTAAAGTCACGACTGTGCTGCAACCGTGCAAGTTGCTAAGATATTGTAACATAGGTGTGCTATTAAATCTATCTACCTATACTATTTTACACAAGGGTTAAGCATTGATTACGGGGATGTTGCGCTCCAGATATCCGCTCCAAGTTGGCAAGCTTCGCTTCCAAGGTGTTTTAGACGAAAGCTGTAGGTCCTCAATGGCACTCGCATACTTGATGAGTGTCGCTTCTGAGAACGCAGTGCCCATCAAAGCGAGGCCATACGGCATTTTTGACACCTTGTTAATTCCAGCAGGCAAGGTAACGACTGGATAGCCTGCCTGGGCTGCAATTTCGTATGTAGGACCAAAGTCAGGTGGCACCAATAGAGCGGTTAGGTTGTGGCCGTTGTAATTCAACGCTGCATCGATACCGTCTACTCGACTGGTGCGCTGGCAATAGGTCAATGCTTGCCAATAGGTTTCATTCATAATACCTTTCGTTGCCAGAGACGCGAGCAGACCGTCCTGACCAGAAGCAAAAGCTGGATTCACACCAGGAATACCGCCTTCGCTACCAGCGTTATCAATATTGTACTGTACAATGTCTTCGAGCGACCGCATGTTGGTGTTTTCCAGTTCGGAAAGGTAACTCTTGATGTTGTTGTAGAAATCCACCTTCACATATGTGTACTCTGACTCGTTGGGATATCCTCGTTGAGTTCCATAATCCCAGTTCCATCCCTGGGGATCGACGATATCTTCGTAGTATGGAAGTTCTGTCCCATTGATAATGGTGGCCCCGGCTGAACGGATAAGGTCCAAAAGTTCCATCAGCTGGGCATTTTGTGCTGGATCGTTGTACTGCCAAAATGACAGCCATGGAAGTCCAAATACAGCACCCTTGAGTGCAGATTTGTCCGTCAAAAATTGTGTGTAACCGCCTTTGGGTGTTTTGCCTTTTTGGGCCAGGGTATAATTGTCGCGCTGGTCGATTCCATAGATAGCATCCAATACATATGTAGCATCCCGTACTGTTTTTCCAAAGCAGCCTACCGAGTCCTGGTGGGTTGACTCCGGAATAACGCCCGCGCGAGATGTGAGACCAACAGTAGGTTTTATACCGACAATTGCGCATCTCTCAGCAGGGTTGATGACTATTCAGGTCAGTTTCATCGGGAATAGAGCAAATCAATGGTAGAGACTCACCGCTGCCGTCAGTCTCAGTTCCCAAAGCAAAAGGCACTTGATTGGAGGTGACAGTAATTCCAGAGCCTGAACTACTTCCACCAGGGTTGACAGTAAAGTTGTATGGATTTCGGCACTGTCCACCGCGTCCGGAGTATCCCTCAGAGTAGTCATTGGAACGCATATCTGCCCATTCACTGAGGGCAGCCTTGCCTAGCAGCACCGCACCAGCTTCACGTAGCTGATACACAACATGGGCATCCCGTGGAACTACGGAACCAACTAGGGCCCAACTACCGGCTGTCGTCTCCATCTTGTCTTTACTGGCGATATTGTCCTTGACCACAAAGGGGATACCATGGAGCGGTCCTCGGACCGTCCCGTTCTGGCGTTCCACATCCAAAGCTTCCGCAATATCCAACGCATCAGGATTGAACTGCAGGATAGCACTTGCGACATTTCCTTTTAGTATAGGAGATCAGGTCGTTCTTAGGAAATAAACAACTCACTTCAAATAGGGCTGCACTTGGTAAATCCGTTCATAGTAGCACTTTAGTAATTGAACACCAGTCAAGTTGCCCGAATTCAGTTCAGCTTGAATCTCATCAATAGTGGCCTCTTCCAGCTTGAAGCCATTGCATAGGCGCATTGGAAAGAGATCAGCGCCATTGGTGCCAAGCTTGGGGAAATCGTACGGGAAAGGCTGATTGTCGATTTGCTGGGCGACCAGAGAATCATTTTTGGGGCCGTTTGATGCACCAGATAGGCCGATCAAAGCGGCAATGGCAGTGGCCAGCGCGCGAGATCGCAATTGCATAATGAAAGAGGCCTTGGCAAAAATGCCTGGTGACAGAAACAACAAAACGTGAAGAAAACTGAGGAAGCGAGTCAGCGTCAGGGATTGGAGAAAAGACCACGCATGAAGTAACTTATTCTTGGTTCCAAGGAGCTCGGAAGTGGTCGGAAAATAAACACGAGCCTTTTTCTGACCTGACGCCTAAGGGGTATGTAGTAATGCTAGCATTGTCTAACAGGGCCCAGAATCACAAATAAAAGCGAGATAGATGAATATTCCGTGATCATTTAAGATTTATTGGCTCGCCGTACAGCTTGGGAATCGCGGACTCCACCATGTGCTCCGTTCTCCGTAGCATGTGGCTACCCTGCACCAAGTCTCTTTGGACTCTTGAGCGCCATGCCGCAAGCGGAAAAGGATGGCGTGAACTAGTCGGAAAGGTTAAATCGTATGGCATGGATGATGAAATGATATGGGAAGATAGCGGCCCAGTTTCGAATTTCGGGATCTGTTTTTCGATATATTCACACGTTCACCCTCGGCGGCAATGAGATCTTACACAGGACAACGGACTCAACAGAGTCAACTTTGGAAATCATGAGTTATCCAGCATGAAATCATGTCGACTGTTCCCTCGAATATAGAGGCTGCCCAGGCCGCCGGCCGGATTCCGGCGGGCCTCAGCCTGAACTATCTCGCCGAGTCGCGAGACCGGTCTGCCAAAATCGCGATACTCTTTGTCGGCTGCTTGACTATCGTGGTCGTCGTTGCTAGGTGCTATGCGAGAGTGTTCTTGGTCAAAAGCTTTGGATTGGATGATGCGCTGGCCGCTTTCACCGTGGTGGGTTTGCTATTTACTCCCTCGGACAATGGAACAGGGATCCTAATCCTCCTTCGTTCGCAGCTCCTCTATATCGCAATTCTCGCACTCTGTATAATCTTAATTGACCTGGGTAGTGGCCGGCACATTGAGTACATTCAGTACATCCTGAGCCTCCCGCAGGTCAATCGGACAGAGGTACTCGACTTCGTCATGCACCTTCTTTATACAACCGCTCTATTTGTGTGTCGTCTTTCGGGTCTCGCGTTCTACCAGCGTCTTGCATCACATCACTCTAAAATATCAGTAGCCATCAAAGTCGCTACTGGATTCCTCATAATCGCCTATCTAGCTCAAATCTTCCTTCTTATCTTCCATTGTGTTCCCGTTACCGGTCTCTGGCCATACGTATGGCAGCCGGAGCTCAATGAATACACCTGCATCACCTGGGGAGAAGTGTATTCGGTCAATTCGGCCTTATCGCTTACCTGCGATCTGATTATGCTGGTAATTCCATTCATGTTGATATACCTACTGCACGTATCACGAAAGAGACGATTCCAATTATCGCTCATATTATTTCCTGGTGTTATGTAAGGTTCTACCCGTTTCTCCCTCTCTTCTTGGTTTTCATTTCTCACCGGCAAGTTGTCTGGTGAATTTACGACTCTGAATTAACATATCGTCCCGATAGAGTGCTGGCCATCTCTTCCGTTCGTATATACCTCGTGGTAGTCGGCCAGTGGGCCACGGACGGCAGTTGGGCTTATAACCCCATGCTGGCAATTGAAACTTCTGAGATCGGTGGGACGCTCATCGCCCTATCTATTCCGGCTCTCAAACCACTTTTTGGATCATGGTTTGGCCATGTCAAGTCAAGTACCAGTGGTCCAACTCCAAAGTCGAGTAGACCGGAGCATAGTGGCTATAGCCACAATATCTCCCGAGACTTGAAAATGGGGCAGAATGGGAATACTGGAAGTATTGAACTCAACTCGTACCATGTGAATATTGCCGCCGGACGGAAGCACGCTGCTTCTACTCCGACGATCAGTGTCAAAGATGCGCTGGAAAATGACGGGTCTTCGGATGATTTACTCTTAGATGGAGACGTTCCCGACAGAGCCCATTCGGCATTTAGTAGTCGAATTCATGTGTCACAGGAGACGACTGTATCGGCTGCAAAGGCGTCGGATTTTGCTTGAGGTTTTTCTTTGGCCGGGATACGGCGAGCAGGAAATGAGTCGTTAGCTATAAATAAAAGTGCTTGATTATCTCCATATGAAGTCCGGTTGAAGTACTTGGTGTGTTAAGCAGGCCCTGGCAACTAAAGAGACACCAAATCCTTATCCAATTGATAACTAGAAGAACCTGGTTATAACGAACAGATGGCCTCTCAGGGCCTAAGTCTTTACATCCAGAAGTGAGTTCGATTTAGGGATAAAAAGCACCTCCATATATTAATCCATTTTAGTGTTAATAACTCAGAGACTCTTCAGTTCCATATTAAAGTTATCCACGTTGATATTAGTAGAAATGTGGAGCGGCCTTCCTTTCGTTATAGCCAGGTTCTACTGTATATATGTGTCTAGGATGCATTGCATACTTTATCAACTTCGCTAGTGACCTCAATCAATTCTTCATCGGTGAACGGCGGGCGTACAATCTGAATGGAGACCGGCTGGTTTGACCACAGTTGAGGATCATCTACTCAAAACTTGTTAGCGGGTGACCCAGCACGACTCAACAGTTGGGGTCCTTACAAATCTCCCAGTTCATTCTATCAAACACGTTTTCTTTGGGAACATAGTTGGAGTCCTTTATGTCTTTTGTGGTATCGATTTTGAACTTCTTCAGTGGTAATATGGTGCTGGGGTAGTCTAGGAGATTCCAGATTGAAAAATATCCCCACCATATTGGGAAATCATGAGGGAACCCCGCTGATGGTGCACAGGGACAGATTAGGGCGTCGATAGATCGTCCGGTGCTTGTCAAATGCTGAGTATTCTGCCAGGCTTGGGCAAATAGCTTTTTATAACCTGTTTGCTTGGTGTTGAGCTATCGGCAAGTTGTCAGTCTCCTCGTAAATCAGTTTCGGACTGGGAGCGTTACTTGAAAAAGTTCTGCCACTGTCAATCCTTTGACTTTGAAAGTATCCAAGTACCACTCGTAGCTTTTCATCAGTGGTTCACCAGCCGATGCGATTACGGATTTTGTTTCTTTTGCGCCTGTTTGGAAGTACAGTTTCCACTACATTGTGTCAGAAAGGCAACTAAGTCGGCATCAAGATAACTTACTACAACTTGTGAAGCTTCCCAGAAGTCAAAAGGCGGATCGAATTCGACGACTAAGAGAGTGGTGCGTAAGATAAAATACTTTTCAGCCGTATGCATCGTAACTCACCTTCATGCCCAGCAGCCTTTAGGGCTTCCGCAGTCTCAACCAACGCCCTCGCAGTCGGAGGCTGAGGCGTTACGCATCCATCTGTGCGCATTAAGCCAAATGACAATTTCTTTGCAGTTATGACATTGTCGTTCCATGGCATTGGTACAGCAGTCGGCTCGTATCCAATATAATCGTAATGGGTCAGCAGTATCTTTGTCACGAGCTTGATATCAGCAACACTGTGACAGACCGGTCCGCACGAGACTTTTACAGAGATTTGACCCGGTGCTGTGGTGATCATACCAGACTTTGGTATTCTTTCCGCTGTGGGCCGAATGCCATATAGCCCGTTGAATGTTGCCGGGGCTCTGATGCTGCCACCGATATCCGTGGAAGGGCAAAAAGGAGACCCATGCATGCCAACGAGACTTCCATCGCCTCCTGACGAGCCCCCTGCGGAGAAATTGGTGTTGAATGGATTTAGAGTCCGTCCCCAGAGGTTGCTGACAGTTTCGAGAAGCATGCCAGTCTGCGGCATCGTAGTCCTGGCAAATGGAATAGCTATGCAAGCTCAGTAGATGACGTGGGGAAACATTCTATAGGAGACTAACCACCAGCGGTTTTGAGCAATTGCACAATGGATGCATCGGAGTCTGATATTTTATCGTGCCATGCAATCAGACCCATTGTACCAGCCTTATCTTTCATGTGGAAGTAGTCCTAAACCATTGTTTAGTATTGGATAAGAGATACCCTGGCTAGCAGACTTACTTTGACAGCAATAGGCAATCCATGCAGCGGGCCAACAACCTTCCCAGTCTCTTTGAAGATTCTGTCAAGCTCTTGTGCGCGCTGTAATGCCTCCTCATAGAAGTAAGCCGTAAGACAATTAACCTAATTTGTATATATGAGCCTTCATGCAATAGGTACAAAGGAGCCTGTTCAGTAAAGCTACTTACACATTGGTGCGCGATTGCTGCTCGAGCACAAAAGGCTTCTGTCACTTCAAACGATGACAACTGGCCGCTGCTTAGTTGAGATACCAATTCAGCGGCTGTCATCTCAGTAATTTTGAGTTGGTCCTGGGTGAGAAGCCCGCAGCTTCTGGGTACGTCGCGCACATCCGTTGAGCTTGGCCTGGTAGAAAGTCTCCATCTCTGAGGGATGGAATTAAGAAGATCGGATTGACACCGAGACGCGATCTCTTCCCAGGGCTGCATGTTGGCCAAGTTCAATAATGGAAATGTATATTAAGAGAGATGTATGAGTTATGCAAATTCTACAAGGCATTTTGTAGTAGTTTTAATTGTTGTATCGCGGATTTAAGAGTTGAGATAAGACACTCTGGTAGGTATCAATGTAGCCCAGACTTGGCCAAAGAGCTGTCCGGAACTCGGAATTCGGCCAAAAGCCCGATCCCTCACGATGATTCGAGATTAATGTAGTGATAAATTTATATCAAGCTATCTTTACATGTACACTTTTTCAGACGCTTAACTTGATCCGCCATTTGATATCAATATTTGATATGTCCACGGAACGAAAGCAGGATCCAAACTCGACACTATGGGACCCGGACAACACCACCTTTCCTCTAAGGTCTGAGCTTCCAGCGTTAGCCGGGGCCCCGAAAGACGCAGCATGGGTTTGGGGACCAAACGACAATCTTGGCCGCTTAAACCTGGTGACCCCTAGTCGAATTGTATCAGCTGCAACTGAAATAAAGTCGGGGGAGTCATGTAGAGTTGATCTTCCATTAAGCATCCCCGTTAAACCAAGCTTTGGAAGAGAGACCTTTAAACACGACATTAAGGTGATTGAAGGCGGAGTTGGTCATGATGACCTCTACACACTGAATACCCAATCCGGGACGCAATGGGATGGTTTCCGTCACATATCGCATGCCCCCAGCAAATTGTTCTATAACAATACAAGAGCTTCGGACATAACAGGATCTGACGCAAACGACAAATGTGGGATACACCACTGGGCACAAAGAGGCATAGCTGGACGAGGCGTACTTCTCGACTTTGTCTCCTATGCGGAAAAGCATGATATCAAGTACGATTCCGCTTCGTCATACGCCATCTCGTTTGAAGATCTGGTCTCATGCGGACAATTTCAAGGGCTTGACATCCGACCCGCCGCTCAAGGTGGCGACATCCAGGTAGGAGATATTCTGTTTATTCGATCCGGCTTCGTCAGAGACTACTTTTCTAGAACGGAAGAGGAGAACATTCAGATTGGATCCCGACAAGATCATATTTGGGCCGGCGTGAAGCAGGAACAAGAAATGATAGACTGGTTGCACAACTGCTACTTTGCCGCAGTAGCTGGTGACGCCCCTGCATTCGAGCGGTGGCCGTCTCCGGAGTCATACAAGCTACACGAGTACTTGCTAGCTCTTTGGGGCGTACCTATTGGAGAGATGCTGGCCTTGGAGGGAGTCAGCGTGCTGGCTAAGAAGCACCAGCGGTGGACGTTTTTCTTCACCACTGCGCCAGCGAACTGTCCTGGGGGTGTCGGTAGTCATGTAAATGGAACAGCAATTTTCTAAATGCCATTCACAATCTTTAAGAACTAAGATCCTTTTAAATAGCTGGCTCTTTTAAGTACTTCACTTTCACGTTGTGTGTGATTGAATCTGATAATTGTGTCTCGTGTAGAGATATATCCTTAGGGTTAGGGCTAAGGTGAGCGAAGATCACTTAAAACTCATTTATCCCAACATTCTATACACATACAAGGACCAGTAAAGTCTGGACTTGTATATACCAAATTCGTGCGTGAGACCTAAAGCTTGGGTGTTCCCAATGCTCGGATAACCTCCTGCGCACCTCGGGCTCCAGACCGGATGGCTCCATCCATATATCCCTTCCACTCGTAAGATGTCTCGGTTCCTACAAAGTGCACTTTCCCATGTGCAGAGCGCAGAGCATGCTCGTACTTTGACATGGTTCCTGGCGGAGCAGCAGGGCATGGACATCCTTGCGCCCACTGATCGTGCATCCATTCATGCTCATAGAATGCAATTGGCGCAGGAGCGCTGACGCCCAAACCAACGGTTCTGTTGATGTGGTCTACCACGGTCTTGAATCTCTCGGCTTGAGGTAGCTTAGATAGCCCACGGCCCAGGTCTCCGACGCAGAAGCACGTCAATGAGTACTGTCCGGCCTCGTCGACGCTCGAGTCTCGACTCACAGCCACAGGTCCAGTCCAGGACTGGAGCATGCCACATAGGTTATACTGTCGCCACCAAGGAGTAGCATAACGTACAATAACCTTGTTAGTAAATCCGAGATTGTTCTGTTGGCTTAGCTCCAGTTTGTCCTTGGGCAAGGGAGGATTGAATGTAATCTCTTTGTACAACGGTGTGGGAACGGAGACAACGAGCCGTTTGCAACGAAATTCTCCTCGTGCCGAGGATACATAAACGCCTTCTGCAGTCTGCTCCACTGTCCTGACTGGAGAGTTGAGAAGGATTGAGTCAGGTTTCAGTAGACCTGCCAAACCAATGGAGATACTTTGAGTTCCTGTTTTGCTCATGGTCAGCACACAACACAGTGTCAATCAAGCCAAATGCTCAAAGGCTTACCATTTACTAATCGCATATACTGACCACCACCTTTCTGATCCGATCGCATTTGTAGCAGACCTCCGCCGCTTTTGCAGTAGTTGAGAAAGTACAAAGCGCTGACTTCTGTTGGCTCAAGACCCAACATAGCTCTTGTCCAGACGGTTGCAGAAGCGAGGGCCGTCTTACCTCCACCTTGAGACTTGACCCAATCGTGGAAAGTAAGCTTGTCAAGCTCTGCGCCTGTGCGGACTGGATCATGTATGTCAAGCTTTTGACAAGCAGCCTCGGTTTTGTCTCGAATGCCCACCATCGATTGTACGCCATCTGACTCTGAAAGCTTCTGTTGGGTAATCAGCCTCCATTCCATTTGCGATTTTCTCAATCCGACTTACCTTTGGAACGGTGCTATAAGGAAACTGCGAGACGGTGCCATCTATATCTTCTTGGACTATATTCCCAGTAGTATTCTGGATGACCGTTTTCAACCCAAGTGCCTGAACAAGAGCAAATATCTCCGACTGGTTCGTATCATTGATCCAAGCCGCTCCAACGTCCACAAAACCTGCCAAATCCTGATTCACGGACCACGTCTTTCCACCAACCCTGTCTCTTGCCTCGACCACTGCACAGGAGTATCCGGCCCGTTGAACCTCGTATGCCGCTTTAAGGCCACTCAAACCGGCGCCGACCACAACCACGTCAACTGTTTTTAGAGGCTCCTGAGGGATAGCAAGATAGGCTTCGATCTCAAAGACAAACTCCGGGTTAGCCAGTTTTGGGACGGGAACTAAAGTTGATGCTGGCCGATGGCCATTCAGAAACGCTTTTAGTGGCTCGAAGTGGCGCCGATTGTTCGGATCATAGTTGACGATGTAGTAGACGACTTTGACAATATCCGTCACTTTAGCACCTGTAGCATCAAGACAACGCTTCAAGTTTTTGAAGGCCAGTTGTATCTGCTCATCAATATCGCTTGGTACGACTCCATTCTCGTCTGCTCCCACCTGTCCAGCAGTTGCAACAAAGCGTGTAGCTCCCGAAGAAGTAGCTACATGACTGAAAGTCGGGCGGCTGTCAAACAGTCCGTGAGGGTCTATCATTGTAGTACCAGTCTTTGCCATGGTAGAGTGCTATCTTGTCATGGATGAGCTAAACGGGTGATGTCCTTCGGTATGTATATCTTGTCATTGGCAAACTTATATGTCTATACATTTCGTGCAAAGATCACACCATGAGTTTGCGCCACTGAACAGGACAGCGAAAAACATGCCTGACGTCTCGGAACTCACGTCTTCTCAAGTCTGAGTTCCGAAGCATAGCTCCATGGTGTTTCTGTAGGTGTGGAGAAACTGCTTTGCTCGCAACCTTATCAAAGACTTATCTTTGGAACGCTTGGAAGTGCGGGGTTGTGGAATGTAGACCAGCCTTACTGGTTTAAGAAGTAGCTACATGTAAGTATTTACATCTTTTTAGCTGAGTGGAGATTGCAATATTATTATCTCGACGGCTCCGAGCCGGTATCCTTGCAAGACTAGACGCAGTACCGAGAACTAGGGTAAAAATGCAGAAGCATCGAATACTATCCAGACGGCAACAGATGCATTCATGCGACAATTGCCGCCGCCGCAAAATACGATGTGATTCAGTGCAAGAATCACCATGTAGTGCCTGTACAAAGTCGGAAGTCGATTGCAAGTAAGGAGCTACGCATGCCGCCTGCTGTTTCGTGACTGATCTCTTGTAGATTCACAGTCGGATGGAGGCGGCGCAAACGTCCCAGGACCCCAGCCTCTGTATCTTCCCGGGAGGACGTCGACAGTACGCTCCAGACACCTGATGGCATTGCCATTAATGTCTCATTATCAGATACATCTCTGATAACCAATGTCAGCCCTCAAGTGTCTTTGCAAAGCAATGACGATGAGCAAAGAAATGAAACGAACAGTCGTCTACCGGAGACAGAGATTGTTGCTTCGTTAAACCTCGCCGAGAATGGTCTTTACCACTTCTTTCGCGACGGAATTCCATCCTCTTCATGGAATGTATTTGACCCAATGGACAAAATTAGGGTTGCGTATGTTGGAACACATTTATCCAACATGTCTCATCTTGTCAGCCTAAACCGACCCAGGCCTCAGTTTCTGATCTACCCATATCCTCAAATCCATCCTCCCTTGTCGTGGAAGCCGGATATATCTCATACTACAAATCATGATATAATGCACGACATCACTTCTTTTCCGGCTAAAGATATCCGGGACGATTTCGTGGAAGCATATTTCGAGAAGATCAATCCTTACTTCCCCGTTGTTAATGAATGTGAGTTCCGGGCCCGATATCGCGATGTTGATAACCAGCCACCATTATTACTATTGCATGCAGTACTACTAGCTGGCGCTCACGTCTCGGGGCATCCAAAGGCTATGCAGGCGAGGCATGTCGTCAAAGCCGTAATATTCCGGCGTGCAAAATACGTCTTCGACATGCGCCATGAAAACGATAGAATGCATCTGGTGCAAGCTGCGTTGCTCTTCACTTGGCATTTGCAAAATGGAGACACTGCAAGTTCCAATAGTTACTTTTGGTTAGGAGTGGCTTGTCGTATTGCTTTTGGAATTGGCATGCATAGAAACCAGTTGAATGATCCTCCAAATCCGGGTCGCATGCCCATCTCAGACCGACGACTCTGGCGCCGAGTATGGTGGACACTCTTCCAGGTCGAGATCATGTCAGCTCTGGAGCATGGACGGCCATCCATGATTCGTGTCGATGATTTTGATCAAGAACCATTGAGTCCCGAAGACTTTGTCCCTGAAAATGGTACCGTCGATTCAAATATTGACTATGATTATTGCGCTCGAAACATTGCACTCTGTCACATCGCTCTGGAGCTAATTGAACTAAGCGCCCCTCGTGTTTCACCTGCAAGTCGCCAATCACGCATGGCATCCATCAACGCTCAACTTGTGAGCTGGATGCTTAGTCTACCAACCAACAACACTGAGAGCTTCGGTGCATTGAATCTGCGTCTGCTTTATAACACTGTCGTGATGCACTTTTGTCGAATGATAACCCCTGAATGCGGCTCCCCTCTTCAGCAGATAGACGGAACTGAAAAGATAAGCTTAGGAGCAAGAAATTCGATTATAACTAGTCTCGAAACACTGCAGGGAAAGGGGATGTTATCTCAGTGCCACTTCACAGCCGTGACAGCGATTACAGCAGCAGCCATACAAGTCGCCAAGGACATTCAGCAGGCTCTTGAGGGTAATCAAGCCATGATCGCTGTCAATGACATACATTTACTAGATACAGTCTGCTCAGTTGCCGAGCAGTTGTCAAAGTACTGGCCCAGTGCCGAAAGCGTTATGAAACTTTTCAGGTCTCTCTCGCAACAGTTTACGACCGCACTCAATGGAATGCGAGATGGTTATAGGTACACAAGGAGCGAGGACTTGGTAGACTTCCAGCTAGCAAATGTAAACTGGACAGATATTTTTGGATCATCATGGCCAATGGACCATTTGTATACTACGGAGCAAGAATGGGATGTAACGATGGTCCAGTCAGAGTGATAGCCCAGGCAATTAAAGAATAACCAAATCTTTATCCAATTGATAACTACAGTAGAACCTAGTTATAACGAACAGATGGCCTCTCGGGATCCAAACCCGTATATCCAGAAGTGAGTTCGATTTGGGAATGAAGGGCACCTCCATATATTAATCCATTTTAGTATTAATAACTCAGAGACTCTTTAGTTCCATATTAAAGTCATCCAAGTTGATATTAATGGAAATGCAGAGTGGCCTTCCTTTCGTTATAGCCAGATTCTACTGTATATACCTTGGAATGCTGGACCATTTTGGATATCCATGGTTCTCTGGCAGATCCATCGATATCCAAAAATGAGAATCTTCCATTTCCCGGGGTCACCAGAGCCATATCTTAAGTATACAGTAGGATCTGGCTATAACTAAAGGAAGGTCGCCTCATATTTCCACTAATCTCAGATTGGATTACTTTAACTTGAGACTGAAGAGCATCCTATTTACAAACATTAGAATATATAAGTATATTGAAAGTGCCCTTCATCCATCAATCGAAGTCACTTCTGGAAATATTGATTTCGACCCCGAGAGGCCTGCTGTTTGTTATAACCAGGTTCTACTGTATCAACAATAGAAGAGCAAATCACATCCAATTCTGAGTCGATAACTGGTTTCGAGCTATTCTAGGCCCTGTAGCCTCTGTACACTCGGATTTACATAACCCAAATAATCCGGAGTGTATATTTGAAGTCATTCGATGGGGGCGGCGGGGTAAATCTATAAAAATCGGCCTCGAAATAACAAAGCTTTACAATAGCTTCAGCTCCCAAGGTCACAATCAGTAAAAGAAACTGTGCGTGTATATCCCATATATAGGGAAAATATGTCAGAATCAGATTACATGACTCAATTTTGTACGGCGCTCGCCGAAAAAGCGTCACGCGATCCAGGCCTCCCAGTCTCCAATCCAACATCAGCATACTGGCAATCTGAACCCCATGAACTAGCAAATCACCAATCGACCCAGCTCCTATCAACCGTCGATATAGCAATCATCGGCTCGGGAATGACTGGTATTAGTTCAGCATATCATTTACTCCAGACCAGACCGGATCTTCGAGTCACGATCCTCGAAGCACGGAGTTTGACTTCTGGTGCTACGGGGCGGAATGGGGGTCATTGTAAAGAGGATCCGTATGATGATTATGAGGATTTGAAGGAGTTGTACGGTAAAGAAGGCGCCAAGAAGGTTTTGAGATTTCGGCTGGCGCAGTTAGATGCTTTGGTGGAGTTGGTTGGGAAGTTGGGGTCTGATGCGGAGAAATTGAGCTGTTTACGACGTGTGGATGGCCTGGATGTCTTTTATGATCAGGAAGCGTTTGATCGTGTAAAGGAGAAGGTGAAGAATTACTTAGAGGATTTTCCGGAGGAGAAGGATGCTTGGCTTATACATGAGGGGGATGATATCGACGAGGTATAATCCCTGACCCTTTGTCTCTTCTGAAAATCAGTCCTGACGGTGAAGACAGACATTCGGCACGATAAATGCAGTGGGATGCATCACCGGTCCAGCTGGTGCTATGTGGCCATACAAGCTTGTCGGAGCAGTTACAACGCACATCTCAAATCAAGAACTATACCCTCATCTATCCATCGAGACACATACTCCGGTCGAGAAGATAATAAAGACAGATGACGATTCCAATCACCCTTTTATCATTACAACCCCTCGAGGTAATATCAAAGCTACACATATCATCCACTGCACAAACGCATACGCCGCTCATCTCCTCCCAGGCTTACAAGGAAAGTTATACCCTATTCGGGGACAAATGACACGACAAGTCGCACCCGGGGGGTTCCCACGATTAGGAGATCGTCGGTCATGGATTTTGCATTACGATTTCGGATACGATTATGTCACGCAAGTTCCACCACTTTCTTCGTCATCATCGACAAACGATATCTATCTCGGCGGTGGCTTTCTCAAAGCTCTTGTTACAGGTCAGGTATCCGTCGAAGATGCCGATGTAGGTAGTACGCAAGACGACTTACAGAATCCTGCAGCATTGGCCAATCTCGAACATACCGTGGAGAAGAGATTACTTCACGGAAAAGGGACCAGAATTGTTGACAAATGGACTGGTGTGATGGGTTTTACGATTGATAATAATCCCATTGTCGGGAAAGTTCCGTATGAGATATCTCATAGAGCGCCGGCAGATGGTCCAACAGAAGAAGGGAGGGAATGGATAGCGGCTGGTTTCTGTGGGAATGGGATGGTGAATTGCTGGCTTAGTGGAAAAGGGATTGCGGAAATGGTTTTGAATGGAGAGCATTCTGTCAGGGGGTGGTTTCCGGTCGATGAATATGCGTGTTCACCTGAACGATTGGGAAGGATGACGTTGGTTGATAGGTTTTTGGAGTTTATCAAGGACGCTGTTTGACCTAAGTATGGTCATCGGCCTTGGACTATAGACTACATATATTGCACATATAAATGCATGTCTGGCAAGAAATCAATCAGTTACCACGAGCAGCTGCAACTGCCTTCTCTAACTGCATATATATCTCTTCAGCCCCCTTGATACAAGCAATATTCGCACCCAGCTTATTCAAAGTCTCCACATACTCATCGTACTCATCCGAGTCAAAGACAATACCTCCCCCAGCCTGCAAATACGCCACTCCATCCTTGACGAGCATCGTCCGGAGCGCAATACATGTATCCATGTCACCCGGTGTCGTACTCGAGCCGTCAATGCTGGACTTGTCATACCCGAAATAACCGACTGCTCCCGCATAGATTCCGCGTTTCTCCTTCTCCAGTTCACCAATCAACTGCATTGCGCGAACTTTGGGCGCTCCAGAGACAGTGCCTGCTGGGAAGATGGAACGGAAAGCATCGAATCTTGTCTTATCCGGGCGGAGCACACCGGATACCTGGGATACGAGATGTTGGACATGCGAGAATTTCTCAACGACCATTAGTCGGTCAACTTGCGTGGTCATCGGGTCACACACGCGATTAACGTCGTTTCTGGCCAGGTCTACAAGCATCACGTGTTCGGCGCGGTCTTTCAGACTTCCCCGCAACTCAGCTGCAAGGGCTTCGTCTTCCTCGGCGGTTTGTCCTCTCTTAACAGTGCCCGCGATTGGGTGAGTGATGATTCGACCTTTTTCTTCCTTGACAAGAAGCTCCGGACTAGCACCCACAAGTTGGAAATCCTCACAATCTATGTAGAACAAGTACGGTGACGGATTGACTGAGCGAAGATGTCGGAATATGTTGAAAGGGTGAAGCGAAGTCGGACGAGCTAATCGCTGTGAGGGAACGGCTTGAAATATATCGCCTACCTGAATATGCTGCTTCAGCTTAGTGACGTGACTTTCATATCCTGCCTGACCAATATTCGACGTATATTCCTGGTTAGGAATTATAGGTTCCTGCGGGGGAACTGGAACATATGGATCTATCAGGGCATCAATCTTCTCCTGCAACAATGCCTGCCCCTTGCGATATTCCACCTCGAGATCTACATCATTGTCGGGTATCGGAACATATGTGATGATTTTGACAACTTGGAAAAAGTGATCAATAGCGATTATGGTGTCGAAAAGCATGAAGAAGGATTCCGGAACACCGAGAACATCTTTCAACGGCCGGGCTGTCGTTGGTTCAAAGTATCGGATACAATCATATCCTACGTAGCCGATGGCGCCTCCAGTCAATGGAGGTAACTTCAAGCTGGGCACCGTCGCACTCCGGAATTGTGCTAGTTCCTTTTCGAGAATAGGTAGAGGGTCGCATTCGGGTCCATGCCCAGGGCCAGTTTTTATGATTTTCCTGGGGTCTTTTAATCCCATCAGTACGAGGCCGCCAAATCAAAAGCGTATTTGAATTGCGGCATACCTGCTCCAACAAAACTGTATCGCCCAATTGTCTCGGTAGTAGCCGCACTCTCATACAAAAACGACAATTTCGACCTAGTTTCCCAGAGATCAGAACCAGCACAGATAGCAAAGACACGGCCGTGACTCACTTGGCCGCAATTCGCAAGTATGCTAACGTAGGAGTTAGAAGCTCGGCGGGAATGGAAGTCATCAATGGAAGAAGGTTAGGAGGGTTTTTGGCATTCCGAGATCTGGCGATAACCTCGCGCGCAACCTCGAGGGTTGGCGCTACGGTGGCCTGGTACTGTCAGCTGGGTGGTCCATGGAAAACAAATGGAAAGAAAAGACATACTGGTAGGCAACTCGGAGTTGACATGATGATGTGTTTGAGATGTGAATAGTAGTTTTGAGATGAAGAGTAAAAAGCAGGGGTCCTATCGATCAGACGCAGGCATGCTATGCGATTCGCCGGTATAAGACCAATTGAATTGCGATAAAAGAGATAAATAGCAATTGCTCAGCACTCCAATATGCTCCACGCAATCTCGAGTACGGCGTATACAGAGGGTGTACTGGCAGGAAGAAGTGGTGAGTGAGCGTTGAGTCAGACATTAAGTTCGATAAAATTAATTGAGCGTTATCGGACAAGCTCACCGCCCCCGCCTTACCAGAAGGTCCCGCAGATTAATTAATCATTGCCTGGGTTACCTAGCTACATCTACGAACATATGATAGCTTCGAAGATGTCTCTCGTGTCTTCTCTCTATGAGATGACTGTCAATCGATAGTCTTCGGTCTGTATCATCACCTCTGAGCCGACAATTTAATATGACCACCGAAATTTCACTCGTTCGGCGCCATCGCTTAACGCCGTCATTCACCGATTCTGCAATCGATGTAGAATTAACAGAGGAGTTGACGCAAAGCGACGACGGCAACAACAATTCCGTACTTACTACGTCTTCAGAAAACAATGCGGCTCTACTCAATCAGCGAATTGTTCATATCGCGCATCTAGCCGCCAATGATGATACTCTGCGTGGACTCTCGCAAGATGAATGCGCCGCCGTCAACAAATATCTGGATAATATTGAGAAGTTATTCGATCCGCGACAGGAATTGACTCGTGCTATTGCGCTGAATCGTCCTGCTTCACCTACAAGTTCCGCGACTGTGACGACATCTCCTGCAAATGCGGCGCTTCGACGGAAATCAGTATCGAAAACGATCAGTCCCAAGACTGCTACTACATCATTACAACAGCAGACATCCCGCGACCTGAACTCGGTACTGGAGCAGTTGTCGATCGTCAATGAGGAGTTGCGACAACGATACCTCGAATCTCGGCATATTCATGATTTATTCATCGTCAACTGTGAAGGATTGGCGCAGAGGATTATAGAGTTGGAGAATGAAGTACATGAACTGTAAGTTCCCTCTCCCTTGCCATATCCAAGACCTACGATTGATGATAAACAGAAATTCGGATATCCTCGAAGATACAATCGAACTCGAAGGTCTGCGAGGCACAGTCCGCGGCCTCGACAGTTGGGTTAATAGATGGCAACGTCAGCGCGAATTCGCATCCGCATCTCCCTCCTCAAAATCCGCGCGACGACCAAAGTCGAGGAGTTATTGGAGACGGAAACACAAATCTTCACATGATGATGAGGACGTCGACGATGGGAATGATTTTGACACGTTTCTGGATGGCGTTTTGGCTTGGATGAGAGGTTGGAATGATGTCGAAGAAGGGTTTTTGATTCGAGCGAGGAGGAGGAAGTTGAGACGGGAGAGGAATGGACTGATCTCGTAAGTTCCACGAGATACCTAGGTAGCCCTATGTACATACTCCCTTTGCCGAGTGAGGGTTTCCATTCTCAGCTGCAGCCACTTTTGCGAGGGCGCTCACAGTCAGCCTCACTGAGTAAATTTCATGAACTGCTCGCTTCATCACGTGATCAATCAGGGTCGCTCACTGAGTAACGTAATTCACCACCGAAGCGGCACCACTACCGAGCCGGCATTTTTTCCCGAGCGCGTACACGATATTGATTTTATATTATTCAACACGTCAATATGCCACCAATTCGCAATAAAAACCGGAAAAATTTAGATGAGCAAGAGGGACGAATCTTATTAGCAATTTCCGATTTACAGAATGGCCGAATTCAACGTGTAGCTCAAGCTGCAAGGATTTACGAGATCCCCCGGACAACTTTACAAGATACTCAATGGTATTCAACAAAGATCTCTCGTACGCGCCAACAGCCATAAATTGACTCAATATGAAGAGGAATCGCTTGTCAAATGGGTGCTTGATTTAGATCGACGTGGATTACCCCCCCGGCATTCTCTTGTACGAGAAATGGCTAATTATATACTTTCACAACATGGCAAACCACAAGTTGGAAAAAATTGGATAACTAAACTGATTAAACGCCGTCCAGAGATCGATTCCAAATTCGCAAGGAAATACAACTACGAACGTGCTAAATGCGAAGATCCAAAGATAATACAAGAACATTTTGATCGCGTACAAGCTGCTATATCTGAGTACGGCATCTTACCGGAAGATATATTCAACTTTGATGAGACTGGCTTTGCTATGGGACTCTGTGCAACTGCAAAGGTTATTACTGGAAGCGATCGATATGCTCAGCCGAAGCTTTTACAGCCTGGAAATCGAGAATGGGTGACTGCAATTGAGGCAACAAATTCAACTGGATGGGCTGTGCCTTCGTACGTGATTTTCAAAGCAAAGAAAAACGTACGAGAAGGCTGGTTTGATGATCTTCCAGATGATTGGCGAATCAATATTAGCGATAATGGCTGGACTACAGATCAGATAGGATTAGAATGGCTTAAAACCCATTTTATTCCCTATATTAATGGTCGTACGGTTGGAAAATATCGAATGTTGATTCTTGATGGCCATGGAAGCCATTTGACACCAGAATTTGACCATATATGTACTGAGAATAATATTATTCCAGTCTGTATGCCACCTCATTCTTCGCATCTCTTACAGCCTCTTGATGTTGGCTGTTTTGCTGTTTTAAAGCGACATTATGGGCAGCTTGTTGAGCAACGAATGAGGCTTGGTTTCAATCATATTGATAAAATGGACTTCTTAACAGCATTTCCACAGGCTCGTACAGTGGCATATAAAGCTCAAACTATTCGGAATAGCTTCGCAGCCACTGGATTAGTGCCTTTCAATCCAGATCGAGTTATACAACAGCTTAATATTCGATTGAAGACACCAACCCCCCCTCCAAGTCGATCAAGCAATACGGCATCATCCTGCTTACAAACACCTCAAAATATACGCCAATTTATACGCCAGTCGACTACAATCAATAAACGTATAAATGAGCGTACAGAAAGCAACCAAAATCAAGAAATCAATCAGGCAGTTGTACGGTTGTCAAAAGCCTACGAAATGATAGCGAATGATGTTTTACTCGTACGGAAAGAGAACTACGATTTACGAGCTGCACATGAGAAAGAGAAGCAAAAGCGCCAAAAATCTAAAAAGCAAATATCTATTGAGCAAGCGGTTACTAAAGAAGAAGTGCAAGCGCTCGTACAAGGTCAGGTTGAGGCATCCCATGCTGTTACTACTACTCCGGCTGAGCCGGAGCTCCCAGCTTCTCAAGCAGTCGTACGCCGCCAATATCGCTGCAGTGGTTGTAACGTTATGGGGCATAGAATTAACCAATGCCCTAGTCGTATTAGTAGTTAGATTTTTGTATATAATTTGTATGTGGCTTTGAAAATTGGGATTTGAAATCAATATCGCGTACGCGCTCGGGAAAAAATGCCGGCTCGGTAGTGGTGCCGCTTCGGTGGTGAATTACGTTACTACGGTCAAGTAGGTAAATAATGTTAGTAAGCTCCACTATGCGCTTTTCCTAATTCGAACAAATTTTCTAAATACACGCACAAAGTTGTTAAATACACGCACATCTAATATCGAGTATACCCTCCCTTCGCTTCAATAATTGCCTTACAGCGTTCTGGCATGGATTCGATTAATTCTTCCAAAAAACTCTCTGGGAGCGCTTCCCAAGCCTCTTTCAGTGCAATTCTTAGGTCATTCGCATTCAAATTATCCGGAAAGTTCGCTTGTATGAAGTCTTTCATCCAATTCCAACCCATTTCAATAGGATTCAAGTCTGGGGAGAATGGAGGCCAATGTATCATATTGATTCCATGCTCCCGAATTCGTTTCTGTGTTGCCTGAGCTCCATGGCCTGGAGCACCATCCTGCATGAGTGAAAGTTGAGGAAATCTCGACATATAATCTCTAAGTTGAGGTAGAATATAGCGACAATAAGTCTCTGAATTGATCGTCCCCCACTCCTTTTCCCAAATAACAAAAGGGCTCTTTACATTACTATGAAAGGCACTCCAAACCATCCAACCTTTACTGCGAACGCGGCGCTCAACTATACACGTATCCTCAAAAACCTCATCCTTTTTCCGAGTAACCCAAGTACGAGTATGTCGACCTTTTAATACCCAGGATTCATCCGTCCACAGTATAGTTTTCCATTGATTTAATGTCCAATTGATATGCTCTTCAGCCCATGTAAGTCGTTTGGTTTTATTAATCTGCGAGAGCGGTGGCTTCCGGCAAGCAAGATATCGAAAATAACCCCGGGAATTCAACGCTGACTTAATCGCCAATTTAGAACAATTTAAATTAAGATGTAGTGCTAACTCTGAGTAGGAGAGGCGGCGAGTATAGCGAGATCGAGTCACATACTCAATGAGCCTATCAATTTCCTCAGATTTCAGGAATAACGATCTCCCCTTCCTCTTTTGAGGCGTTGGATGGTTTGCCTGGCAAGCTGATTGAACTTGGCGTATAGTAAAACCCGTACGCTGAGCAATTTGTTCATATGTCAACCCGGCATACGTTCGTAGTACTTGAATTTGAAGCCGGTCATCTCGGGTTAACTGGTATCGTTGAGGAGTGGTACTAGCTGTCGGCTCGACAGACCCATCTCGGATTTTACGTGAATCAATCTCGAGGCTTATAACCCTTTTGTGTTGCTTGCTCGGGACCATAGCGCTCGATCAAAATATCGAGAAGGACCTTTGCAGATTCCTTCGGGGCTGGGGTTAGCAAAAAGGTTCTGAGAAATCTAAAAGTCTCTCGAGCGATGACTGGTGCTTGCGCGACATTATCAGCCAGGTTGTCATAAACACGCTATGAGATGAATCGCATTAGCGGCAGCTCAGTCCCGTACACTGTTGGCATTAGACTGGTATAATCTTCTTTGTACCACACAATCAGTATGAATAATCCATTGCGGTAAAGAATAGTCGGCATCAGAGCTCAACTTGTGTTACTTGTGGTTAGCTAGATATGTAGGGCTAAGTGGCCTACGGCCACGGACTAACTAATATCCGGTACGGCGCTACAGCGCCGCATGATTGATATTGGCTAGAGAAAAATGTTGGAATCACCTAGACCAAAAAGCTGCGCGCTTACTAGGATGATCTAGTATGGTAAGATATAGAACAGAGATCAGGCAGGGTGAGGCGGGATTCCCAACAAGAAACAATACTATTTATAGTTATGATCGCTGTATTATCAACAACTTAATACTAAGTAAAAAAAGTAGTATGCAAACCACCGGAGTCAACCATAGCATTTTGGCTTACTTTCTGTGTCTGATCTCGGGTGTTCCTAACTCGGCGATAGGTTGCAAAAGCCAGACAACCATATGCTCAGGTTATTATACAGGCAGAAGGTTACTGTCGGAACGTGTGAATATCAACCCTAGACGTTTCGGCACCGGGATATTAGTTAGCCCGACATGGCACGTGCGTGCAGTGTACATAGTATATACTGTATCTAGCTAGCTATTCCCCGTCCCGTTTACTCTTGGGGGTCAGTCATCAATATTAGGAATTCCACACCATATTGACCAGGCTCGTCAGCTTGTCGGATTAGCTGTTCTACGTATCTAGTGTTGGTGACCTAGATCTAGATACACCGACAGTTACAGTTACATGGATATTTCACGAAGATTCGAACACTATAATTAAAAGTAATCGGCGTCCGCAGGTTCTGACAATGTACGGCAACGAGAGCCATACCACGACTTGTTATCGAAGTAGATGTCATCATCGTTTTGAACTGACTAATGAAGCAGGCTTGAGATTATCAGAGAACCCCAGTGACAAAATCGTTTACCTGCGCCGATTTCACCAGGGGCTCCACAATCTTCCCAAAGTCCCTATGTGCAGGATCTTTCTTCAGATAATAGTTTCGATCCTGTTCGTTCTTGAATTCCTCGATGAAGATATGAGTAAATCCTCCCTAGAGTTTCCCAGATGAATCTGATTCCGCGAAGTCTCATAGATGCATTACATACTGTTAGCTTTTCGAGACTGATATTTCTTCCTGCCATTTGTTTTGTGATATATGGCTTTTGAGAATCTGAGCGCACGCAAAGACCCTTGAGGGACGACCACCGGTTGTATACCTAGTTTCAATAAGTCATAATCGCCTTTGAAGATGGTAGGGCTAGAATATTACATCTTCCACTTGTTCAGCCGTCACCTCTTCTTTGAATTCGATCATCACGATGTGGACTATGCATATTTCAAGCGAGCAAGGAATTGTAAGAAAGCTAGTAAGAGACTATGGCGCTGTGTCGAAACACTGGATGCTCACAATTTGCACGACTATTTGTAGATCAACATTTAGAGATATAGGCCGAACATATTATACAAAGCTCCCAATACTAGGGAAATGTCCCGTTACTGCTTTAAAATGGCAGGGCTAGATGACAGTGACATTACCCGTCTTGTAACAGCGCGCTACTCGTGTAATTACACACGTACGCATGATTATCAGGCATAGATCGTTGTTCCTCCGAGCCTTCGTCCGCCGCATATTGTACTTTTCGGCGGTCGAACCGTCTGTATCAGGAATTGCAACCTAACCTATATTACTAATATCATTCCATCTCTTTATTGCTGTTCGGACGTTGGAAGCGCTCAATTAATTTAAACCTACCGCAATATCCGCTACATACGTTGCCACAGAAATGGATGATTACTGTGAAAATAATACCGAGTCAGAGGCCAAGCGGAGAAAGATCCGTAAGGGAACAAGGAGCTGCTGGGAGTGCAAAAAGCGCAAGATGAAATGCGTGTTTGTGGACTCTAGCACTCCAGCTGATGCTAGAGCTATCTGTATCGGCTGCCAACAACTGAGGAGCTAAATGCGTCAACCAGGAGTTCGAGTTTTTGCACGCAGAAGAAGATTCCAGCCGATCAGAGAGAAAAGGACGCCGCAGGGTGGGCAGCCAAGATCGCGTCGCAAGAGTCGAAACCTTAGTCGAGCAATTGATCAGGAAAGTGAATCGCGATAGACCTTCCGCCGACGGAGGCGCACCCGCAACTAGCCAAATCCCTGCACGAAATCATGAAATACCTACTCCCACATCAATTGATTTAGATTCGGCACGTTTCTTGCATTTATACGAGCCCTCGACTGTATGTGCACTGTCCGAAGCCTAGCGTGCCGTAGAACCGTCACTTACTTCGTTAGGGTCATGGTGCGGCAGAAACTGAGAGCAAATATGAAAAGCTTTCTCAGATTTAACACGAATCATTGCCATCCAGTGAAGTCATCGAGATAATACACAAAGCCCGCGACAGAAGACCCATATTTTTCCATGAGATCCTAATCACCCCATATGCTGTTCTCGAGCAGAACGGCCTCGACCTAGCTAAAAGTTCGCTCAGAACACCTGGCCCTACTTCACATCCAATATTGAAGGACTACAGTGTATGATGATGGAAAGTATGTACCAGGCTAATGGCGGGAATCTGCGACGAAGCTGGATAGCCAATCGGAGAGCTATGGTCATTGCGCAATTGATGAACCTCCTTCGAAGTGACAGCCGGGCACAATACAAGGCTCTCGACCCTGGAATCAGGGCTGATCCACGATTCATGTGGTTCCGAATTGTCTTCCATGACCGCCACTTGTGCCTCATGTTGGGGCTTACACAAGGCTCCCTCGACCAGAGCATGGCTACTGGGAAAGCTTATAAAGACGACTCCCCTATAGGCCGTCTGGAGCGTATGCACTGTACCATCGCATCTCGCATCTTGGAGCGTAACGCGTCTGGTTCGAGCTCTGATGACTTCGAGCTGACACAAAGCCTTGATCTTGAGCTACAGAAAGCGGGTAGAAGCTTGCCTAGCAAGTGGTGGCTGATGCCAAATTTGGCTATTGTCGCCGATGACTCGCTGACTCTCTTTTGGAACATGGGACAACTGTTCAATCAGCTGTACCATTATAATCTGCTCAACCAACTCCATTTGCCCTACATGCTTCGTTCTTCACCTGAACGAAAGTACGAATATTCTAAGATGACCTGCGTGAATGCTTCGGGGGGGATACTCTTGCGGTTTATAATGTTCCGTAGTTACGACAGGGCTGATTTTTGCTGCCGGACGGTCGACTTCTTTGCACTCATGGCGGCTATCACACTACTCCTGGCGCACTTGGACAGCGAGCGTCTCACACAGACCGGTAACTTGCTGGCCCACCAATATCTTAGTGACCGTGCCATGATAGAGCAGGTGCAGATGAACATGGAACAGATAAGTTGTGTGAATGGAGATGCTCTGAGCGCTCAAAGTGCAGATTTGTTGCAAATATTGCTGGTTATCGAAAATGAAACTGCAGTCAGCATCAGCACGGAGCGTCAGCGTGCAGACACCAGACAGGGAAGTTTTACAAGCAGGCGAAAACAACAATGGCGTTTTGCGGGTGCAAATACCTTACTTCGGGATCGTTAGGATTGCCCACCAAGGAGTTCTTTCTAAGGAAATGGACAGCTCAAAACCTCCTGCAAGTTATGATCAATCCAATGTGCTAATAAATGGTATGCTCAATATCGAGAGCCCAGAAGTTGCTGGGAGTGCTTTTGATCATAATCACTTCGGTAAAAAGTCTTTCGCGGAGTCAATGGCCGGGGCAAGTTGGAGCTCTGTCGACAGTGTTGGTGGTCTGCCTGCAGCGTTTACATCGCGGTACCAGTATGTCGTTTCGGACACTGCCCTGCGGCAGTACGAAGGTCCTGGGTTAACTGCCGGGTTGGACGACTGGGCATTCCAAGGTGTTGACATGGCTTTCTTTGACAACCTAATGAAAGGAGTCGATGAGGGAAATTGCTTTTGAAACGTAGGGGAATAACACCCTTGAATACAAAACATTGCAAGATGTACTCTACAAGCTACAGAATATCAACTAGTCTCTTCAAACAGGTCACAACTGTCGAGTATTCATCCTATCCGGCAACATGGGACGGTACAAGTACCTCCTCAGTCTCATAGCTCCAGCCCTCAGCCCTAAACCCTAACGGGATACAGAGGGCTACGGTCTAGAGTACTTTAGAATTGCATTGAATTGCCCGAAGCTCAGTGCTCACATTAACCGTTCCCTAAGTTACACCAAACCCTGAAATCTATATCATACTCGTGTCTGAATCTCGGACTTCAAGAGTTCAGTCGTTGAAGCTGAAGGTCGAGACACAAGCATCTCTGTAGCTACAGATAGATAGAATAGCATGCTTGGTGGCCGCGATCGTCGTAGTTGCATACTTAGTGATGACTGGGAAGCTTTTGACTATGCGACATGGAAGAATTCTGGATAGAGTATATTAAAACTTGTCTATTAGACTTGGGGTCCTTACCTATAGCCATGCACAAATCATATATAGGGAGAGGGTCGATATGTCCCATAGCTTCTCTATGGGCTCCTTATCGTTTCCGCCCAGCACTGGCCCCAAGATGGCCAAAGCAAAGAAGATAGACTTTGAAACAAGGGGTGTTTTTTCACATATGGGTTGACTTTTCCATGGTGATCTGGTTCATGCAGGTATATAGTTTATAATCCTAGCAGGCTACTATCAACTATCAGCTACATCGTTCTTCGTAGTGGTGCTAGGCTGTCACCACGCAACGCAGAAGATACAAGCTCGGCAGCGTCAACGAATTTCAAGGGAGCTGTTAACTAAGGAATGGGTATCAACAAACAATATGCCGACGGCTGTCTTCCTGCATACATTAGCTAACACCATATCGGCCATTCAGTCTTGGGTGGTCGTTGCTAGACACTAGTCTAGACAGAACTCTCGGATAATAATTGTCGGGGTCAACCATTTACGAATTGGTCAATCGGGGCAAGATGATACTATGTCAAGGCTGAGTAATACTCTTCGTTGGTGGTTCCTAAGCGATAATCTGTAGATATATTCATTGACGGCATTTCATTAGCAAAAACCGACCGACATTGTTCTTTCTCTAAACGTACTTAGTCTCTAAGATCTCTGTCACTTGCATTAACTGGCTGAGGCAGCTCGTGTTAGAAAACTTCTATCATATTCTGCTTTGTGTTCTGTTCCTGCCACTGGTCGTCCGCCCCGATGCCCATCTATACTCCTACTACAGGTTTAGATTCCGACTTAAACTCACCTATGATGAAGCTCATCTACTTTGGCAGACTTTCCCGAGGACAACTTACAACACTTGTTCCGTTGCTTGCATAATCACAGCAAGGACAAACATCGCTCACTTTTAGCCCAATTTATATACGAAGCAACTTGGGCCATTAATGAAGAAGTTCGAAAGCTACCAACAGAGCTGAAGAAGCTTACTCCACCATTCGAGACCCTCTTTAGCTGGTCAGAAAACAAAGAACTTCGGGAGGGCTTGATCTGTGGCGCCATAGATGGAGTGCTGCTAACTATCGTACAAATAGCGTCTTATGACAGGATATCACCTGTCTCACGTAGATGCCTGCCTGAGTGCCATATTGGGACGAGCCCGCATTTAGTCGAGGTGTTGATATCAAATCCGGTATGTAGGTACCTACGGCTCTATGGCCTTTGTTCTTGTACATATACTACGTTTTGGTGTACATACGATATTAACCATTCAATCCTAATATTAATTTTAACCAATTGATGCTTCATAGGAAAGAGTAATATGTCAACAAAAAATTATCCTTACGTGGTAATATCTCAGTCCATGCAATGTAATCAATGCTGTAGAATAAAAAAACTCCCCAAACCGCCGTTTCCGAAATATGAAACAAAGCAAGAAGAAAAACACCTACCAATATGCGAAAAAGCAAAGAGAAACCAAATCAACAAACCCCTCCCCCACAATAACCCCGCCGTTATTTACATATATCACCAACATAAAAACACATTTCAAAACAGGTTGGAAGTAGATTTTGCGTGCCTATTCGGGCTCATGTATGCACTGCATGCTGAAGACCTGGAGACAATATGAAAAGGAGAAAAGTACATCCAAGGAGTAGAGAAACAGAGATAAATGGAGCAAGGGTATCGTGTCAGCTGATTCGAGAAAACTGTGCAGGCCAATTCCGGTTTTATCCCAGAAACAAATCGTTCCGGGATTCAATCTGTCCAATCAATCGTGTAATCGCAGCTGAAATATCTATTATATATTATGCATTCTTCGTCATGTGTATTGACGTCGAGGAGTAAGTAATCGGAAGTGTTGTTTATATGCCGCAATCATTCAAGGATATTCACACCTCTACCTTGAAGGTTGACAACCGCAATCTAAAATCTAGTTAGCCTTGCAGTCGGTGGATTTCCCCTAAAATAAATACCTTCTTGTCGTATCCCATTGCAAGCTTCTTGCCATCTGTATCCCATGCAAGGCTACGATACGTCTCCACAACAGTAGAACCATTTTCCCCGTTCACGGGCCTTTCCAAATCTTCCTTTGTGGAACACGGAGGACATGACCAGGTGGCCAAGGGTTCATCCCCACGATCCGGATTCCATATGAAAAGTCTATCGGTGCTAGCAGCCGCAACAGCATACCCATCCGGAGAGAATGCCAAGGCTAGTGCTGGAAGACCCGGGGATAGGAATAGCGTGTGCAAACAACTCATCTTCTTCGACTCGAGATCGACTTTCCATATTTTCACGGTGTCGTCAACCGATGCGGAAGCGAATGTAAACGAAGTGCTAGTATTTGCGTCTTGGTCTTGGTGTTTGGGTCGGACCTCAATCGAAGTGATATCGGCACGATGCGCATCCTCAACAACGATTTCGTGAGTAGGAATCCACAGACTGCCGGCAGAACATGCAGCTGCGACGGCAACTGAGCCACTGCCAGTTTGGACGCCGCGAATATAGGTCCATTCGGTATTCGACTCCCGGGATTGATATCGATTGATGACTTGTAATGTTGGGTCAATTTCACATTGCCACACCGAGCCTTCACCTGATACAAAGATATGATTATCGCCCGCCCAGGTAATATCGTGAACAAGTCCATCGATTGTTTGATATGACGGAAATTCTTCGGGTTTAATAGAGTCGTCCCAAAGGGATAGCTCCGAGCTCTTATCCTTTGACGAAACCACCACCATGTGGGTGCCTTTAGGGGCCCAATGGAGTCCATTGATCATCCCTGATGCCGTTGGTAATAGGTCCACAACACTTCCGCTGCTGTCGTACATCTGAATAGACGATCGGTGTTCATTATAAGTGGCGACAGCAAATTTGTGACCAGAAGGTTCCCACGACAGCGCGGTCACCCAACTACCATCGCCTTTGCTGTCGAAGATCTTCTCGGTGCTTGGCGCTGCGCCGGGCGCCAATTTCCACAAGGTACAGAAGCTATCACCAGCCGCGGCTAATATCGACGAATCATAGGGCCGCCAAGCCGATCGAGTCACGTGGTCATCACGGGCCACTTCGACATCGAGAATGACTGTGTGGGCACCAAGGTCCGCGGCCTTGGCGGGGACATATTGCACGCCAACGCTTCGGCCGGCTGTCAATGTGTCGGTGGGCATTTCTTGTTTCTCTTCAGCAGCCGGGTCCACCATCTGTATATCTCCTTCTGCATCAGCAATCTCTGTCGACGATGGAGATTTCAGTCCCGAAGATGGGACGGACACGCGCTCATGAACGACACCGTTAGTGCCAAGATCCATTGCGCTGTCATCTCCATTGGTGGCGGGCTCGAGACGATGAACCTTTCGTCCTTTCTTGACAGTAACCGTTGGCTGTGGGGTTTCGCTGACTAGGTGGCCATTGGAAGTGACGGTGGGTTCTGGAGCAGGTTTGCTTGCCGACGGCACGGATGTCGTTGTAGTTGTACCGAGTTCAGTCTGTGCTTTGAGAGTCTCACCGCGCGTCTTTAGTGATTCCATATCAAGCGGCGTTGGTCCAAAGAATGATTTCGATGGTGTAAAGGGGATAGGATTCCCATCCTGTAATCTTGTAAGATAAGAGGGAGCAGAAGTGTGGATGGCAAATTACCTGATCAAGCGATTGCTCAATTTCATGATATTGCAGGCCCTTTTGCACTAAGGATACTAAAGCATGGGTTTTTATATGGGAAGCAAATGGTAACGTCTGTGGGTTAGCCAACCATGCTCTTTGTAACATGACAGCAGCCTCTCCATGGCCTGTGCTTTGTTAGATATATCGCCCAGGAATAGAAAGGTACCTTGAATAGTTCTATCAAGGCAGGGATTAACGAACCTGATTCTTGGAGATACCTATTAAAGGATGTTAGAAACAAATAATGGACAAATATTTAATCTAGTGTAAACTTCATATAACGTACCTCCATATTAAGTAATTTACGTGATGAGATGTCAGATCCATGATCACATTGGTGTCACTGACTGCTTCGGATGATGAGAATTGTGCATGCCAAAACCCAATAAGTACGGGTGGGCCGCACGGGCGTAGCTATGCGCCTCGAGCAAATTCAGTGAGGTAGCGGCAAGGCGCAATATGCGCGTGCGTGTCAAGGCGATGGAGTCGACAGGGAGAAAAGTGCACCCGTCCAAGTGGAATCGTCGCACAATGGAAGTGCAGGTAGCGAAAATTGGACAAGAGGCCAGGGACAACGGATGCGCGGAGACAGCAAACGGCGTGGGACCAGAGAAGAGTGGAGTTACAATGATGACGGGGTGTCTGTTTGGTTGTTGCGACAAGGATGGCTGATGTAGAGAGCCGCGAGATAAGACGAGATGTTTTTTCTCTTCAAGTAAGTGATTCGAATAATGTTCTGGGACAATCGGCGAGAATGTTGATGATGATTGAATGGGAACTGGGAAGAAATTGAAGAACATTTGACTCGCACGGGAACAGAATCGCTGTGGCTTGAGATGCATGGCCTAAGGTTGTCCGCTAGGCTCGATCGGGACGAGCCTCTCCATGGTCCAGCCTGCAGGTCAGTGGTTGTATTTTACAGGCTGTTACGACTTACACAGTACACAATTAATCGTGCGCGTGTTGACTAAACATGATTTAATACGGGGATAGCTCAATACTACATGAAACAAATGCAGTAATATGTTGAAATGGGTTAAAGTTCATGGTAAGCGATAAAAATGCGAGGCTATCCATCATATGTCTGTTGGCAGTAATACAAGATATGGTATTGTCTGTAACACGTAATTTAGTCACGCTACATAAAGTTAAGGATTATCGTTAATCCTGGTCCAGACAAGCTCTGTCGGTCCCGTGATTTCGGGCCGCCAGGAAGACGCGCAATGAGGCTCACGCCTTCTGCTCAACCATACCTCGGCACTAGGATCAACTCTCAACCTACTGTAACATCGCATTCATGTCAAGCAGCTTTCCTGAATCACGGTGAGCCAGGATATCGAGATTATTCGGAGGACGAGTCATTCTCAACTTCCCCTGATTCATGGAATCTGACATGAATCTAGCAGCCAATAGGAACAGTGCGATCGTCGTGTATTCGCCTTGTATAGATTGTAATTTATCCGTTGATTTCAATGATTTGAGACTGAAAGTGAAGCTGAAAGCTGCTTCAGCCGTTCGATCTGGGGTCACCAAACAATACTTGCTCCATAAAGACACCTATCAAATAATCAAAATATATAACGTCGGAACATTTCATCCATAAATGCCAAAAGAGTCATGTTCTAGGTAAATCTGCAATTGAAGACACGAAGGAAATACGGTATCATTACTAGTGGGTAATCTGGAGGGACTACTAATAAAGCACCAGGGCCATAAATTAAGGGCTAAGCCAGACCAATGAAATCGCGTATGCTGGTCTCTCAGCCACCAACCGCTCTGGACTTTTGTCAAGTGATTCACAACCTCAAGTTCTTCCTCATCCCAATATACGGGCCAATCAGTTCGTATTTTGCGAGCGATCTCAGAGGTCGTGTCGCAATCACATAATACCTTCATCATGCCAGTCAGGATAAATCTACCTCCAGCAACACGCGCATTACTGATCAGTCAGTTGGCGCTTTCCTTCCTGTATAACGTCGCAAGATGGAGACAACTCGATGAGGGCCCTCCAACAAGAGGAGCGCAAGGCACTCCGATCGTTCCTTATCTCACGCTCGTCCCCTCGATGTTTTACTACTACCCATGGACGATCCTCACGGCGACTTTTGTCGAGCAGAATATCTTTACAGTTTTGATTAATGGAGCAACGGTTTTCTACGGCGGGAAATACCTCGAACGAGCATGGGGTTCTAAGGAGTTTGGGAAATTCATTTTGGTTGCAGCACTCATCCCAAATACTCTGATGATTGTGATTTATATTTTCTGGGGTACTGTCACTGGTAGCAGTGTTCGAGGGTACGCTTCCTGGTTCTCCTCCGATGAATGTACAACTTCTTGCGCGATGCCTTCTGACAACTCCATCACTCTCAGTCTTACGCAGATTTGCGGCGGCGTTGCACTGCAGGCATCCTTCCTCGTTGCATTTAAACAACTTGTTCCTGAACATACCGTTACGATCTTGAAGGGAATCGTCAAGATGCGGGTCAAGCATTTCCCTGCTATTTTCCTACTTCTCAATTCTATCAGCGGTATCATTTTTGGTACCGACACAGCTGCCATACTCGCTTGGCTTGGCCTTTTGACTAGCTGGACATATCTTCGCTTTTTCAAATACCAGCCCGATCTTACGGGCACTTCTACCAACGGGCTGGGATTCAAGGGAGATGCAAGCGAGACATTTACATTTGCAACCTTTTTCCCCGATGCTATTCAACCTCCAATTGCTTTCGTTACCGATCAAATATATGCGTTCCTCGTTGCCGTCAAAGTCATCACCCCGTTCTCCGCTGAAGATATTGCTTCCAGTACCGAAAATGCAGTGGCTCGTGGCCAAGCTGGCCTTCCTAGTCTGTTGAGCAACGCCGGCGGTAGTGCGCGAGGCGCAGGTAAGCGAGAGGAAGCTGAGCGTCGACGAGCACTTGCACTCAGAGCTCTTGATCAGAGACTGCAGGCTGCTACCGCTAGCAAGCCTCCCGCATTGTCTAGTCAACCTGCTCCCGCTCCTTCAAGTACAACTGCACCTACTGTGTCCTCCGGGCAGAATATGCTTGGTGAGACTACATACACTCCGGATCACTCGTGAGATACAATATTGTTTTATGTCACTGGCGCTCTTTGAGAAGTCAGAATGGATCCTTGATGTCTATATAGATTTCAGTACATGTTAATTTGATGAGATAATGCCTATAATATAGTTGGTGGACTGGCTAGCGCAGGTACACCTCATTGAAATATTTGTTTTTTCCCTCTTCTGGATAGCGTTGACAGCGCCCGTGATAGCACTTTGCTACAGTTTAAGCGTGTACTATATCATATATGACAATTTTATACTTCAAGATGAATGCTCCGATGCTCCCTAAAAGTACATGAAAGGAGGAAACTAGATTTTGTAGATGCTAATATACAAGAACGAGACCTATACCAAAAGACCATGGGTATATCAAAGCGAATTCCCGTTTTCTTTATAACTCTCGAAGCTTCTCCACCTCTCCTCTAGCTTCTTGCAGCATTCGCTCTTGGTCCTTCTTCGCCTGACGTATACCAGCGACTCGTATCCTATCCGCTTCAGACTTGATATCCATCTGTCTGAATTTCTCAAGTTGCTCTTTATCTTCCGCTGTTGGCTCCACTTCAACTGCACCCGTCAATTCCTTGACCTGCTGCCAAATCTCCTCAAAATTATAATCCTTTAAATTCAGCACAACCGCTTTCTCTGACTCGGTGGGAGAGGGTGCGAATTCGTCCTTGATGGATGCATCATGATATGCTTGTGCCTTTTGTGGTTGGACACCAGAGAAGAAAATTGTGAGTGCTGCGTGTCGTTCTTCGCCGTCGTAGGGTTTGACGGTCATTTGGATTGCTGGGTTGTAGTATTTGAGTCGGAGGAGGCATTTGCGCCAGAATTTTTGGGCGCCTATGTGTCCGCGTCCGACGGATTTGCCGTATGTTAGGTGCATGCGAGTGACGGCTGGGAGGTTGTTGAGAGGGGAGCTGATGGAGGGTAGGGTGGCTGCGCCTGTGCCGACTCGTACATTGATTAAGCGCTGTATAGGAGGATTGGGTATTAGCAAAAAGAAGCTCGGAATTGAGGGATGGTTACTGATAACGTACATGATTCAGCTTGCGCATTCGTTTAAATAGGTTGACCATCTTGGCTGTGATATAAAATTGGTTGCAGAGAGCAATTGAATGCAAGGCTGTTTGATATGCTGGACATCGGAAAAGAGCGCGAGATAATTTGAGGTCACGTGTTGATGCTGGCCGATAATTACAGGCAATACGAGATTCGTACTATAAATTACCAATAGCTATGGTCTGATTCATACACGTGATTTTATTTTCTTGATGGCTGTGATATGTTACATTTCCTATCTCCAAGCCACAATGAACAGAATATATGAGTCACTGTCTCGACATCGTAGTACCAGTACCTATTTTCTATGCTTGCACTGCTGTCAATCAATGAATCAACATTGTAACGGAGTTGTACGATCTGGACTATACCACTTAAAGCTTAGTGCAAATAAGTGCCCTTGCCGAATCGTTCTTAGTGCGGGTAATACTCTATGAAAAAGGCACTCCGCAGAGCAACCCCCACTATAAAAAAGCAGAGTCATAACTTCGTCTTATTCTCAAAGCAGTGAGCAAATCCACAGAATCTGTGATAATAGACAGAAAATCTCTTGCGGGGAGTTTCATCTTTTGTTTGAGTTCTCCCTTCGACCAACCTGAGGCAGTCGATCCATCATGGCTGCTGCCGCCGCCGAGGCCGCGGCCCTCGATCCTAGCAACAGCTCGAAGAATACTCTCAAAATAGAAAATGTAAGCCTCTTTTCTGTGCCAATGACAACTAACACGCTCCATAATGCTGAAAACTGTTTGGTCACTAACATATACCTCACAATACAGTTCGATAAGAGAAACGCCCTCCAAGCCATCGAAAGAAAATACCAGCAACAATGGAGGGACAACGGAGTCTTCGAGGTCGATGCACCATCTTTAAAGGAGATCCCAGCCGGCACAATGTCTGCAAAAGAGCTCCGCACAAAGTTTCCCAAGTTCTTTGGTACAATGGCGTATCCCTACATGAATGGAACTCTACATGCGGGACACAGCTTCACGGCCAGTAAAGTCGAATTCATGACCGGTGTTGCTCGAATGCAAGGCAAACGCGCTCTTTTCCCTCTCGGTTTCCACTGCACGGGTATGCCAATTCTTGCGTGTGCGGATAAGTTGAAGGATGAGATTAAGCTGTTCGGAAAGAATTTTGAGGGGTACAAGCCTGAGGATGTTATGCCTGAACAACCACCTGCTCCTACCCAGGAAGTTGCGGTTGATCCCAGCAAATTCTCGGGTAAGAAGAGCAAGGCTGCCGCTAAGACGGTCAAGGCGAAATATCAGTTCCAGGTACGGACACTGTTTTCAGTCTAATGGTGTTGATTATGCTAATTTAGCAGATCATGTTGAGTATCGGTATTCCCCTCGAGGATATCCACAAATTCGCCGATGCCAACTACTGGCTTGAATACTTCCCTCCCCTTGCTATCCGGGATTTGAACAGTCTTGGTGCGAAGATCGACTGGCGACGACAGTTTGTTACCACTGACGCAAACCCTTATTACGATGCATTTGTCCGTTGGCAGATGAACCGCTTGCATGAGTTGGGAAAGATTATGTACGGTAACCGATATACGATCTACTCACCCAAGGACGGTCAACCTTGTATGGACCACGACCGGACAGAGGGTGAAGGTATTGGACCGCAAGAGTATACCGCATTGAAAGTCAAGGTTACTGAATGGTCACTGGCAGCTGCTGAGCTAGTAAAGGGCAAGATTGAAGATGATGCCAACGTCTATTTCGTTCCTGCCACCTTACGTCCAGAGACTATGTATGGACAGACTGCAATCTTCTTGGGTCCGAAGATCACATACGGTATCTATAAAGTCAAGGAAAAGGAATATTATGTCGTGACTAAGCGAGCTGCTTGGAACATGGCTTTCCAAGGAGTATTCTTCAGCAGCGAGAACTTCCCTAAGACCCAGGATCAGTTGCCTTTTGTCGCTGAAGCCCCAGGTTCTACCTTTGTGGGTACATCCGTCTCGGCACCTTTGGCTGTTCATGAAACCATCCAGATTTTGCCAATGGAGACCGTATCTGCCACTAAGGGAACTGGTGTGGTTACTTCTGTCCCATCTGATAGCCCTGACGACTTTGCCACAATCGCTGATCTAGCAAAGAAGGCGGACTACTATGGGATTAAGAAAGAATGGGCGGAGCTCGAAATTTTCCCCATCATTGAGACTCCGACTTACGGAAATCTCACTGCACCAACTTTGGTAAAACAGCTCAAAATCAACTCTCCCAAAGATGCCAATCAGTTGGCCCAAGCTAAGGATTTGGCTTACAGTGAGGGCTTTTACAAGGGTACCATGCTCGTGGGTGAATTCAAGGGAGAGGCTGTCCAAACCGCCAAGGACAAGGTCCGTCAATCTCTCATCAAGAGTGGCTTGGCCTTCCCCTTCGCAGACCCATCAGGAAGGGTTGTTAGTCGAAGTGGTGATGAGTGTGTCGTTGCTTACTTGGGTCAGTGGTTCTTGAACTACGGTGAGAACGATGCCGAGTGGCAGCAGACCACTTTGAACCACGTGGTTAATGACTTGAATACTTATGCTCCGGAGACACGGAACGGTTTCGAGGCAAACCTCAGCTGGTTAAACCGATGGGCTTGCGCAAGAACCTATGGTCTCGGCTCCAAGCTTCCATGGGATCAGCAATTCCTCGTTGAGAGTTTGAGTGACAGCACTATCTACATGGCATATTACACCATTGCTCATTTGCTTCACGGCGACCGATTTGGAAAGACTACTGGTGTCTTGGGTATTAAACCGGAGAATATGATTGATGAAGTCTGGGACTACGTCTTTACAAGGCGCGAGCTCGATGATGATGTGATTTCGAAGAGCGGTATTAGCAAAGACAGCTTGCAAACCATGCGAAGAGAGTTTGAATACTTCTACCCACTCGATGTCAGAGTCAGTGGAAAGGATTTGATTCAGAACCATCTTACCTTCTTCCTCTACATTCACATTGCTCTTTTCCCTCAAGAATACTGGCCACGCGGTGTTCGAGCCAATGGTCATTTGTTGCTCAACGGAGAGAAGATGAGTAAGAGCACGGGTAACTTCTTGACCCTCAAAGACGCTGTGGATAAATACGGAGCAGACGCCACTCGAATTGCTTTCGCTGATGCAGGAGATGGTATTGAGGATGCTAACTTTGACGAGACTGTTGCCAACAGCAACATTTTGCGTCTTCACGCGCTCAAGGGCTTCTTTGAGGAAATTGTTAAGGACGAAACCTTGCGCACTGGCGCTGCGGACTCTTTCTGGGACAGGTCTTTTAACAATGCGATGAATGTTATTGTCGATCAAGCTAAGACGGATTATGCGAAGTATGCCATATCTTCCCGTGTTGCTGTACTGTTTCTGTTGATAATGATATACTTACACCGTTACAGTACCAACTTTAAGCTCGCCCTCAAGTCAGCGCTCTACGATTTTGTGAATGCCCGTGACGTGTATCGTGAGGCGACGTCAAGTGCCGGAGTAGGAATGCATCGCGATGTAATCCTTCGTTATGCCGAGCTACAAGCATTGATTATTGCCCCCATTGCCCCTCACTGGGCGGAATATATCTGGTTGGATGTCCTCAAGAAGGTAAATCACTTCAATTTTTTGTGCCTTATTCACTCACTGATTGAAATAGTCCGAGACCATTCACCGACAATTGTTCCCTGAGGTTCCAGAGGCAGACGTTGCCTTGTCAGCCGCTACGACCTACGTCCGTGACATCTCCTCCAACATCACATCAGCTGAGGTCAATTTCATGAAGAAGATCTCCAAAGGAAAGAGCATGGGTTTCGACCCTCGCAAGCCCAAGAAGGTCATCATCTATGCAGCCAAGAAGTTCCCATCCTGGCAAGAAAAGTATATCGACCTCGTCCGCGAATCCTTCGATGCCATGAAAGTCACCATCGACGACAAGAGCCTGAACGCCAAAGTAGGCAAATTAGGTGAAATGAAGAAAGCAATGCCCTTTGTGCAAGGTCTCAAGAAGCGTTTGATCGGTAACAAGGAAGCTCCCGAGACAGTCTTTGACCGCAAACTACCCTTCGATGAGTTTGAGGTTCTTAGTGAGATGGTCAAGGGATTGAAAAGGGTGACCGGAGCAAAGGAGATTGAGATTGTTGCTGTTGAGGAAGGTGGGAAGACGGGAACTGTTGTTGGTACTGGCGAGAAGAGAGAAGGTCTCAATGCTGAGAACTCGGTTCCGGGACAACCTACCTTTGAGTTTGTCAATATCGCCGAGTAAGCGGTTCTATAAAATGTTGTTATGTTATTGATGATCCAGATGAGACAAGGACTAGCCTGTCAAAATACACTGTTCATGTTCGGTGGGGCTTTTCTGGGCATGAAGTGAATTAGTCTTTTCCAGTTGTCTGCTCTTTAGGTTGAGTAGACCACAATGCCTCTGAGAGCCAGTATCTGTATAGTTTAGCAGGTAGAGTTATGATATGATGCTAAATTTGTTTTGGGGTTAGGGTTAAACGGTCGCCTAAATCGATATGCAGGCATCATGCATTGTGGATAGATACTTTATGCAGTGGATATGCTCAAATACGTACTAGTACCGCTGATTACGCTCACCGCACAGCATCCGTGACATCAATACGGTACCGAGACGCTCTGAATACCACTGCCGTCTAAGCCGCATACAGACTAGCGCATAGCTGTACGTGGCAGCCTGGCCTCAGCCACGCTTGCATTGCTTGCCTTTGGCCTGAGGGTTCAGGCACAAAGTCCGTTCTTGCTGTACCTACCGCATTACGTAGTGAACTCGGCCCATCTTCCTCGTCTTACTCGACTACATACATCTCTTCCTTTTCACTACCATATTATTTATCGTCCCTATTGGCCTGTCATTTTTGGCCACTATACGCTTCACTACACTCAGTCGCACTCGCTCGCTACTTACACTCCAGCAGTCGTCATCCCGCCTGTCACCGCGCACGTCCGCTACCTTGAGAAAGTGGCGCCAGTTGGTGCTGCCGTTCCCCGTGCCCGCCATCATCCTAGCCCGCACGAGTCGCTGAGAGCTGGCCTGGCATCACTAATCGACCGAATTTAATATCATTGCAATCGAATAAAACAATACAGCAAACATGTCTCGAGCTCTTCGGAGTGTGAGGAATGTCACAAAGGGCTATTCATCAGTCCAAGTCAAAGTCCGCAATGGTGAGTTTGCGCCACTTTTCAGGGACGTCTTTGATCGACCGTTGCAAACGCGTCGCTTGGATGTTTCGTCTCTGCAGTATTATAGTGATTGTTCGAGTTCCAAGCTAATATCTACAGCCACAAGCAACGATCCATGGGGCCCAACGGGCACAGAAATGGGTGAGATTGCCGCTTTGACATTCAACAAGTACGATTCCAAATACCATGTTCTTTTCAGCTTAGAATGCATACTAATGACTGTTGTCCCAGCCCCAGTGATTTTTATGAGATTGTTGATATGCTTGATAAGCGATTAAATGATAAAGGAAAGAATTGGCGCCACGTCCTGAAATCGCTCAAGGTGCTCGACTATTGCCTGCACGAGGGTTCAGAACTTGTTGTCACGTGGGCGAGGAAGAACGTTTATATCATTAAGACTCTGCGTGAGTTTCAGTATATTGACGACGAAGGCCGAGATGTTGGTCAAAATGGTATGTCACTTGGCTTCGAACTGATGCAACAGCTGATATTCACATATCCTAGTTCGAGTGTCTGCTAAAGAACTTACTGCATTGATTCTTGATGAGGATCGTCTGCGCAGCGAGCGGTCCGACCGGAAACTTTGGAAATCTCGCGTGAGTGGCATTGATGAAGGTATGCAAGGATATGGAGGATCTAGCGGCGGTCGCCGCCCCGACCGTGAGAAACGTGAGCGCAGAAACCGTGATGAAGATGATACAGAATATCAATTAGCAATCGAGGCCAGCAAGGCTGAAGCAGAAGAGGAACGCAAGCGGCGCGAACGGGCTGTCAGGGACGAAGACGATGACGATCTCGCCAGGGCCATCAAGCTAAGCAAAGAAGAGGAGGAACTGCGAAGGCGCGAATTAGAAGAGAGTAATGCCAAATCGTTGTTTGACGACACTCCGGTACAACCTGCCCAGGCACAGCCCACGGGATACAACCAGGGTTACCAGCAGCAACCAGCCGTTGACTGGTTCGGCAATCCTCTTGATGCGCAGCAACCTTTAACAACCGGTTATCTCAACAACCAATATGCGCAGCCTAATGGATACCAAGCTACCGGTCAAATGAATGCGTTCAGCAACGGTTTCCAGGTGCAACCTACAGGATTTGACCCGTCGCAGCAGTTCGGCCAACCACAGAACAACTTTTTCCAGAACCAATCCCTCCAACCCCAGCAAACGGCGTTCAATAACAATAACCCATATGGGACCAATCCCATGTATGGGCAGGTGCAACAGTCTCCTCAGGAAAACTATCTGCAACCTGGCAGTCACAATCCATGGGCTACTGACAAGCAGCAAGGTCTTGATGCCCTCCGACCCATGCCTACTGGTTCAAACAATCCATTTGCGTCAGCAATCAACCGACCGGTTTCTCAACCTTCCCGACCTGGTCCACCATCATTGAACACATTGGCCGAGGAGAGGGCCACTACCTCTTTCAATACCACACCATCCGGACCTAACCCTATCGCAAACTACAAGGCGCCTAACCCGCTGCAACCATCAGCAACTTCCACCAAGCCCACACGCGCCAATGACGACCAATACGCTCGACTCAACGCTCTACTCGCCAGTGGCGAGGGTCAAGATACATTTGGTAATGTCGGCGAATTACGTGTTCCAGCTCACCATACCGCTCCCGGCACATTCATCAACTCTGCGGGTCAGGGATTCGACCGACTCAACGTGCAGCAGACTGGTAGCAACCCATTCTTCAATCAACAATTCACCGGCATGCCTCAACAGACTGGTTTTGCACAGTCGAACAATCCTTTCGGTGCCCCTGGACACCAGCAACAACAACAGGGCGGGAGCTTGATTGATCTGTGATTGTAAATCCGATAGCCTATTCCTTTGCTTATCTTGTCATTCCTTCTATTTAATTTCATCGTGACGCAAAGCCGACCCTTTCATGTGTATAGACACCATACCATATCTTTACCCTTTGTCCACGGCTTCTCTGAACCACACATTGTCACTCATTAAGAGATTCGACCATCTCTATTCTTCTTCCTTTCTCATTCTACTTATTCCCCTGTCGGTTTACTTTGTCGAGATCCACCTTTCTTTATGTCAATTTGTGTTCCTGCATATTAGTCAGAGTTCTAGTTCGTTTCTTATATCCTTTCGAAAGTCGTTGAAAGCAAATGTCATCATCTTTTTGGTTTGTTAAAATAAAATCGTATATCCAGCTGTTTGACTTCGAGGGCTTTTGCTTAAAAACAAGATCGAAATATCAAGTTTTGAGATCTATTTAATTCTTTAAGTATATTACGTATGGAAATATAATTACATGAAGGTAAATATCATACAATCAGTTCAACCTCTTCTCTGAGCAGAGAGAAGAGAAACTAGGCACCCTTCGCACCATGTAACGTCCTCTTCTTATGACTTATATTCCCCCTCCTGGGTTTATGAGAACCCGACGTAAACCGTTTCCGTCTATCAGCTTTGCGTTTATCGCGAATGAAATTCCATGTTTCAAGCGGTGGTCTTGAACCGATATGTTTTCCTAGGGGCGTGAAGACTTCTATTTTCGGCAGATCCCCCACCTCTTTAGTATCATGTTGGTGTCTCGTACGGATTTGGGCCGTTAATTCGATCCAGCCGCATCCTTCTATTAGAATATCTGTTGCATAGACTTTGTACGGTAATGCATCGAGATTCGGTTTAATGCCATGATCGTCCCATTTCTTTTTGATTGTGCTTGGTAAATGACTTAATGTGACGTCCGTGGAGAGTGTGAATGTGCCCGCGGATTGGATCGTGGTGCTATTTGCTGCCAAATACTCCGATTTAATGACGCTGTGGCCACGATCTCCCCCACCCGTGTTGTATTTTCGAACGCCGGATTGGATTTCGATTGCCTTTTCAGTTCGGGTTACGTGCGTTTCGAGGGGTACGAAGCATGCTGCTAGCACTGTGCAATCTTCGGAGATCTTGGGTGTTATTCTGATCAATCCGCCTCCGATTAGGAGAGATTGTTTGTCGTGGATTATGAGTTGCTCAGCTGGGTTGATGCGTTTGGTCATTATTAGGTCTGACTTGTGTTCGTCTAACATGAAATCTTGCAGGGTTCCGCGGTCGAGACCGGGGAGGTCGATCATTTCGCCGTGGCCACGGCCAAAGGGGATTCTGATAGGACCCACGGTTGTCCCTGGAAGACTCGAGACGATGGGGAGTGTTGGATAGAGCTCCTCGCGTGGCGGAGGGGGGAGAAGAGCATCTGGATCCAGGAATGGAGCAGCATCATTGGAATCCTTGATTCTGTCTTCCTGTTTCCGACTTTCCAGCAGATGCGCAATCTTGTCTAAATTTTTAGAGTCCTTAGGAAAGCAAGACTCGATGAAACTGCTCTTTCCGACGTTTGCTTTCCCGACTATCCACACACCACCCCCATCTTGCCGGATTTCTTCCTTGACTCGCGTCGTCCACCAACCGCGGTGAGCACTGATCATATGCACATTTCCCAATCGTACATCCTCCCGTCTCATGTCCATGGCCTTCAGAATAATTTCTCGAATCCGCTTCATCAAAGAATCAACCTGCTCCTTCGTAGCAGCCAACAGGTCCGCACGGGTAATCACAAAACTTATTGTAGTCATCCTCTTTCCATATTTGTATTTTTCAGTCTTCGATCGTCGATTTCTCGATCTTTGATCTTGGAGGTCAAGTGCTTCGTATATATTCGGGATCAGGGACATGGGGAAATCCGCTGCGTCTATGACATGGTATACACGATTCACTCGATGAGGTGATTCCTCGAGATAGGCAGCGATAGAGTCTATGGAAGGTGAGGGAATTGAGACTCCCTTGTTGTGATGTAAAAGGTCATGACAGCGGTCACAGATTTGTGTATGCTGCGCGGTCGTCTGGATATACTCCGTTGCTGCAAGGAAGATGCTTTCATCTTGTAAATCTTCCGTAGTAGTTTCTAAAGGCGCTGAACTATCATCGGCACTCTCATTCTTCTGAGAGGTAATTGTTTGCTGCTCTTTAGCAATCGCTTGCTGCCTCTTGTGCCATAATTGCTTTGACTTTTTGCGAGTTCGACTGTAGAATCCCGGCTCAGTTGGGTCGATAGTTTGCGCATATGCGCCACATCCCGGACACGATATGGGTAATGTATCTGCATGAAGAGAAACGGTTGGTGGAGGTAATGGGGGAGTAGCTGATTCTTTGTCGCCGAGCGGTGCTGGAGTATCTTCAGCCGCCATTCCGGCTTGATGGAGCGGTGCCGGAGGAAGAACTGTGGAGGCATCTGTACTCGAATATCGCAGCCATATCGCACATCGTATATTGTGTCTGTTCGGACGTAGATGTAGACTTGTCGAGGAATAAAAAAGGTTCCGCGCGTATCGAGATAGCTGAGTGTTCCCTGTGTAGTGAGAGGTTTTTGATAAAACTGTTATCCTTTTAGATAGATGAAAATAGCGCACGGACATCATGTAAATGCGCGCGAATCGTTTGGTGATGAAGATGATTCTGGGAAGTTGAAAATAAATGATGCAGCACTGCGCATTTGGTGCATGTACCGAGCCGTAAATTTTGTTGTGGCGCTCCGATAAGCCTTGATAACATGGATAAGCCTCAAGCTTGACAAGTTGAAGGATTTACTTGAATTTGACGGTATGTGATTACAGCTATGAATACAATTTATTATGCTTGTTAGGAAATTTTTCCCATGTATAACGCCGTGAAAAATTCAAGCAGGTTGCTTGCCCTTGCCTTTATCCTCAGCATCATTAGCCCTGTCCTCTTCATCACTGCTCATAAATTCATCATCCTCATCAAATCCTATAAACTTCCGTGACATCGTAGCAGGTTTGAAAGATGACGGCCTCGGGGGAGATGCTCTCGATATATCCTCATCTTCATCTTCATCGGCACTATCGCTCTCATTCTCTTCCTGACTAGAATTTCCCTCACTTGCACTCGTACTCGAGCCACCCATAATCGCATCGTGTAAATTATCACTCCAACCACCATCCTTCATCGCAGCAAGAACAGCTTCACGAGCCTTCTCGCTCATTTCCTCCCTATCCTCCATCCACTGCCCATCTAAGCGGTTTTTCCCACCACCATTCTTAATTTCTTCAGTGCGCTTTTCGGCCATTTCAACAATCGCTTCCCATCGACGTCGTCGCTCTTCTTTCTCTTTCTTATCCATCTCTGGTTTCACGGCGAGATATTCTGCGAGAGCCTTGGCTTCATTGACTGTGCGGAGACGTCGTCCATCGAGGTTCCGATTCGATCCATTGTTCTCGCCCTGGTTGCGCTTGCGTTTACTTGACATACGGCCACCGGCGGCACGAAGTTGGGAGCCGAAACCGCCTTTACCTCCTTGCAGGGGTACGGAGAGGCGAAGGGGTAGAAGATTGGTTTCAGGCGATGCATGATGATGTGTTGGTAGAAGAGATGAGATGCGTAGTGTAGATCCCGGTAGAAGTTGTTTATTTCCGATCGTTGTAAGTGTAAGATTTGCCGCGCTACGCTTCAGCGATTCTGGCAGGTAATGCTCGATTCTTTCTGTGAGGTCTGTGACGGTTGATGTAATAGGGAGCGAGAATGAGAGTGTAGGTGGCAATGCCAGTCCAGGAAAGGACGACAGGAGAATGTTGATATGCGACGCCATTATAATATCTATCTTGACAAGGCGAGCGATTCTTTGATTTCGGTAGGAAAGTGATTATGAAACTGAGAGTAAGTCGACGTCTAAAAGATCCACAGGCGGCGATGACGGTAGAGATTGGGGCGGAGATGATCTCGCACGTGACAGACGCCGACGGGCTAATCCAAGTGAGGATTGGGATTAGGGCAAACCCTCAGGCTCATTCCGCGCACTTTCCATCAAACGGGAAATTCAAGGTCAATTTGACTGTCAACCAACCAACCATCAACCAAACCACCTCAGCATAGTCAAAGCGATTCCCCGAAGAGCACAAGGAACTCGCGACAATGTGTGTATTATCAGCTATTAAAGAAACTGAAGCTAATATTCCGATCACAGGCTTATTCCCAAGGCCGACCGCAAGAAGATCCACGAGTACCTCTTCCGTGGTATGTATTAATGACCACTCGACCGGGTCTGTTGTTGAAAGGACGGTATCTGACGATGTTTGAATAGAGGGTGTGCTCGTGGCCAAGAAAGATTTCAACCTTCCCAAGCATGGAGAAATCGACACCAAGAACCTTTACGTATGTTCTCGAAGATGGGTGGAGGTGAAAAAAATGCTCATAAATAAATAGGTCATCAAGGCTCTTCAGTCCCTAGACTCCCGCGGATACGTCAAGACTCGCTTCTCATGGCAATACTACTACTACACCCTCACCCCTGAGGGTCTCGACTACCTCCGTGAATGGCTCCACGTCCCCGCCGAGATCGTGCCTGCTACTCACATCAAGCAGCAGCGTTCCCACGCTCCTCCTCGCGGTATGCTCGGTGGTGAGGAGCGCGAGCGTCGCCCTGGTGGCCGTGGTGGTCCTCGTGGAGACCGTGATGGCGGTTACCGTCGGCGTGACGAAGGCAAAGAAGGTGGTGCCCCTGGCGAGTTCGCTCCTACTTTCCGTGGTGGATTCGGTCGTGGCCGTGGTGCTGCTCCTCCATCTTAAGAAGTTTTTTCTCACCAGAACTGTGGGATCGTTTGAAGGACTTTGTTACACTCTTGCGGCGGTTCTACTCCCATTCTTCGAAAGTTAGTTCTTTGTTGAATGGTTGAGGAGGAAATACCCAATAAAAAATGGAAATGGAAATGGGATTGATGCCTTCTGTTCATGTTTAGTCATTATGAAGCTAGACTAATGGCAGCTATGACCCAGAGTTCTTATTTCCTGATAAGTATAGAAATGGGCTGTAAGAGATTGGCTATGTGAGACAAAAAGAGCAGATGATTAACCTCTGGAGGTAAGGCCTTCTGGCCATGATCATTCAGCCGGTGGACTACGATTACAGTACAGTATGTGGTATTCTGGTATGCTCATTGTGCTAAGTCTTAGGTGAATGTAGACTACATACCCAGCCTCCAAGCTTTCTTGACTGTCGCCAAGATTACATGTAGCCGACAACTTCAATTAATCCCGTCACAATAGGCCTCGATGATTCGTGCTTGTCGTCCCATGAATGTAAATACCATGATCTACGAACACGTATAGGCTGATTAGTCCATGTCTTTTGGGGATCTTCCGGCACAGACTGGACTTACAGGAAACGTGACGTGCTTCTCTAAACCGGGTTGTCTCAAGCGGCCTGAATGGAATGAGTCTTGACTCTATTAGGGTTAGGGTTCCATATAGCTACGTAGTCGATATTAACCTGCAAGCCCTAGCCCTAGCTAGCTACTTCTGGCCTAGCCTATCAGCCTGGTGCCAAAAAAATAAAGTCACATGACTTCGCGTTCAGATTTCATATATATACATTCTACTTCGTTCCATTCAGGCAATATGACAGGTAAAAGCAATGTATTTGACATGATAAAGCCCTCTTTACTAGCTACGGGACGATCCCTTTACTTCTGGATTTTTGCAAATATCTGACTACGCATGCATGACTTTGGTCAAATGTGGTAGTATTACTATCTCATCAGCTCTCTCTCCACTTACCTACGTGCCGGATTCCCTTTGACGCTTTTCGACGTTCCCGTTCCTCTTCAGTGCTTACTCCCTTGCTGCTTTTACTCACTGAGTAGAACTGAGCGCTCTGGTTCACTCACTGAGCCAATGAGCTACTTGACCCCCATGGCGACCTCGCTTCTAAAAAGTTGATACCTTTCAACTGGATCAACCAATGCCAATGAAATTTTCCTTCAAATTTACTTTACCCGAAACTAAACACTACACCAACAACATGCTTTATCTTACGATGATTTATCGTCCGGTCCTTAATGACATTCAATCGCAGTTGGAGCTATATACAACCTGTACCATACAGTGTTTAGTCTAATTTGTTATTCTTGTTCATTTCATATCCTGCATGTAAACCCCAAGTCTGAGATGCTGTCCAACGATCTAAAAAGATATGTATGCCATCCTTGCTAAGAGCAGATAAAGCTACGAATGTCATCTACTCCTATAGCGACACTGGGTTAGCGTTCCATACCACGGGTGCCCTTCATCTCTAGATCGAACTCACATCTGAATATATTCACCTAAGTAAGCCCTGAGAGACCTTCTGTTGATTATAGCCTGAATCAGCTTATGCAATTGGCTGGAGCACTCCGTAAATATCTATTTGCACTTCATCTTGAACAAGTTATCTACTCTCACTGCGCTCTCGGGGATAGAAAGGGTTGGACTAAGCATACCTGGGTAAGTGGATGGAGAGTGCTCCAGTTGACGAGATAGCAACACTACCGTATTTGACCCAAGTCATGCAGGACACCGCTGCGTAGTCAGACGTTTGGCAAAAATTGCAGAAGTCCTTATAGTAGGGGGTAGTAAAGAGAGTGGAAATGCCATGATATGAGAAAGTGAAGGGACGTTGAACATCCGGCCCCGCTTTTCTCCGCCATCCAAGTGTTGACGTACCTCTCCTTAACCCCTCCCTACTTTACCAGCTTGAAGACAATCAACATCTACATCATTCAAAATGACATCTCCAGCCTGCATCTTTTGCAAAATCATCAAGGGTATGTGCCTACCTTATCTCGGAGTTTGTCTCGGAGCTTCCCCGCATTCAGTATCCATACAATTGACTCCAAGTGTGCATGATCGAAGGAGACTGATACTGTCAAATAGGCGACATCCCCTCCTTCAAACTCTTTGAAAGCGACAAAGTGTTTGCATTTCTTGACATTCAGCCCTTGAGCCGGGGACACGCTGTATGTAACACTTCCTGCTGCTGCTCTACCAGCCATATCAAGCGACATATACAGCTGGATGGAACTTGCTAACGATTAAATCTTCGAATAGCTCGTCATTCCGAAATTCCACGGCGCAAAACTCACGGATATTCCAGATGAATATTTAACCGAGCTTTTGGTATGTATCCTCAAAAACTTGGAGAACGCAAAGGAGAGTCTAGTTATATACACTAGAATCTGAATGCGGACCTTGGAGGCACCATTCTCCACATTGCCATACGTAGAAGCGAATTGTTGAATTTTACTAACAAGCCTCAAATATAGCCCGTCGCAAAGAAGATCGCTCAAGCAACCGGTGCCGAAGATTTCAATGTTTTACAGAACAATGGTCGTGCTGCGCATCAACTTGTTGATCATGTATTTCCCCCTCCCTTCCCTTGGACCGATATCATGAGAGACAGAATGGCTAACTGTTTGGGATTGTTTGGATAGGTTCATTTCCATGTGGTATGTTCTCTTGTCTCCTTTCTACTCACTGAATACGTTGTTGATATGTCGCACAGATCCCTAAGCCAAATGAGAAAGAAGGTCTGGGAATCTCGTGGCCTGCTCAGGCAACTGACATGGACAAGCTGAAAGCTTTGCTTGAGGAGCTCAAGGGTAAGATTTAATGGCATCTATCTGCTTGATCCTACATTAGAAATGGTCAGAAATAGTCTAGTCGAACGTGGTTTTCATTCTGTTGCTGTGGTTATATCCATCAGCTCTACATGGACTATTAAGATCCATTAATAAGTCCAATCCTGCATAAGATTGTCAAAATGAAAATATAATCACGTCAATCCTGAACATAGCTCAAGTATCGCGTAACCGCTCGCATTGAGACGAGGAAAACCTATCTAATAAGCCCCCAGCTTAGATGAATTTAAATAAACGTAAATGCAACCAACCAATTAATTGATCCTGAACCCCAAAACCGAATCTAAATAGACAGCTCAGTTGGCGGAAACAGCGACAGCAGGTGCAGAAGCATCTACTCCATTAACTTCCGGTGTCACGGCCTTTTCTCCAGTTTCAACTGTTGCTGCGCCGTTGGCTGTAGCGTCTTTGACCTCCTCAGAGCCCTTCTCCGGGTAGAATTTGACCTTGCCGCCACCTAGGATCACTCCATTGCGGTCATATACAGAGCGAGCCCGGACATACGGGTCGGTCTCCCAGTAATGTCGTGAGTATTTTGCAGCGAGTTCTTCTCTCTTGGCTTTCCATGACGCAACACCTGCCTCGTCACCCTTGTTTGCAGCTTCAATCCATTTCTTCGTGGCGTCTTGTACCTCCTGTGCAATTTCTCTGTGTTTACCGAGGACTTCTTCGCGTTTAGCTGTGTCTTTCATGGCATCATTTTCGCCAGGTTGGGGTTCAACATATTCGAATTCGGCGTTATCGTCGCCGCCATGCTCTTTCAGAATGCGGCTGCGGTCGATAAAAGCCTCTAAGTCTTCGGTAGTGTTGGTAAAGTGAACCTTGGCTGCGACGACAGGGTCGAGCCATCCTTTAATAACCTTCCAAATACCTAGACTCGATTAGATATCGATCTGCATATGCCATTGTAGAAGGTACAAACCTGAGAATATCCATGGTGCCTGATGGATGAGCACAGCTCCGAGAGATTCTGGGTAATTTGCTTCAAAGCATTTAATGATGAATTTGAGGGGAGCGTAGTCCTACACGTGGTTAATAAGTAAACCGACATTTATCAAGTGGGGACGCCAAACATACCATATTAGCCATTGTAAAGCCAGTCATATCAAACATAATAACCGCAGTCTCAATAGGACGCGGCAGCATCAGTCGGGCAGTCTCGATCATATGGACTGTATATCTCTCGGTACTCTTCTCGCTGTGGACTCCAATCTTATGCATCTTGACACGAATCGAGCAAATCGGTCGTCCTTGCTTATCGACACCATGAATGAAACTCTTGCCCATGCGAGTCTGTGCCATAAAGTCGACTCCCAATCTCTTAGTTTCGTGATCGGAACTCTCCGCCTGCTCTAGCGCTTTCATTTCTCCCAACATGACATCGTCATCAACATGCATTTCTTCCCGACGCCATCGGATGGTTGATATAAGCATGACGACGGCTTTGTTGACATCCCATTTCCGGGCACGTAGAAATCTTAAAAGAAGAGCATCCGGATGGTCGGCTTTGAGCATACTCCACAAACTCTCTCGCAATTGTTCTGGTGACAGGTCCGCTACGGCCTGTTTGAAATCTTTATTCATTCCATACTTGTCATCATGGTCTGACAACGACAACCCTGCAACATCTGGGGTAGCTGGTTCCTCCTTCTTGCCACCGCCAAAGCCGAAGAAGCCACGCCTCGTCTTCTTTTTTGAATCCGGGCTTTCTGGCCGGTTGCTCAGTGCTTTTTCTAGCTGGCCATCTTCAATTTTAATATTGAACAATCTGAACAGGACTGCCCACATTTCTCGGAGCTTGACCTCTTGCTCTGGGGTGAGGTTGCCAACATGGCCAGGGGCAATATCGTAAGAAGACATTTCGAGTGTATCGATGATTCCGGTAAAATTGGAGTGAGACTGCTGCATTTGTTCTTGCTGTTGCAGGGAGGAAGTCTCCTTTTCAGACGCGGTATAGTAGAATTGAATAGCTGCTGCGCCACCAATCACACAACTGATACCAGCTAGACCCCAGCCAAATGATGCGTGCCTCGGTTGTTTGAAGCGAACTGCGGAGCCGGATCTAATGTGATGGAACAATCTCTGAGAGGGCCAGGGCGCTGGGGTAATTTGCGGGGAAACAAGCGACGCTGATCGTTTCAAGCCTTGCAATAAAGGCGATGGAACCAGACGAGGTTGACTGCTAAAGAAAGCCGAGTGGCAGAGACGAACAGCATGCATGTGCTTCCGAATAGCCCAGATTTAACTCAGGCTCGGGGAGATTGGTTGGTAAAGATCGTAGTGTCTGTACGCAGACTCTACGGAGTCGACGGACCAGCTCTTCCTCCTTTTTGTCGTTGCGAATGACCTCAATATCGAGTCGACGATAATAAACAGAAGAATGAATGACCGTTGCACCATGCACCAATTAAGAATGAGATAATGATAGTATATAGACAAAAACAATCCTCCCCTGATCTGAAAACGAGATGAGAATTGGGAGATCAGCAGCAAAGGTTGGATAAAACAGGCAGGTGCCGGAAGGAGTGCGTCACTGTATTGGTCATTACACATGACTCAAGTGCTTATTGGTCGGAGTTCGTATCTTACTACGTATTTATTCAGCACACGTAATCCGGCCTAAGCGTCCGTCGCGTTCATCAGAACCAAAACAACGAAGACAAGACAACAGCCTACAGAGCACAGACTGAAGAAAGCATCATCTGCATCGCTCCTGTCACGGCGCATACGTTAGTTGTCTTATTTTTTCTTTTCTTTTCTTTTTTTTCTTTTTTTTTGGGTTCGCGCCACTTTGGCCTGCGATCCTCCGCAGTTCATGTGTATCGACCACATACCGAGGCTCGTACATTAACATCACATCTGTGATAGGGACCGATCTCGCTTGGTTCCCTACTCCTCGGGGCCATACATTTAATTTCCTTCGATATAGTCAACAGTCAAGACTCGTCATGGACGCCGCGCCCAGGTCCGCATCCCGTCCCCGACCGACCTCCAGACCAACGACCCCGCTTCGTCCCAGCTCTAGATCGTCTATACGCAATTTTCATGGATACGGCAGCAGCATCAACGCCGCCGGATATGAAGAGCCTGCAATAAACTCATTGGAACCGCAGTTTGCAGAGCTGGCGGACTCAATGGCTGATTTGGAGGCCAACTTTATGCACCTCCAATTGATGCACGAGAGTCTGTCGAGGTTTAGCGAGAGCTTTGCTAGTTTTCTATATGGATTGAACATGAATGCGTTTTGTGTGGATTTTCCTGAGGTATTAACCCCGATCTACCATACGGTGTCTGGTTAACTGTTGTTAGGCTCCTATTCCCGAGTCATTCAAGAGGGCGAAGGAAGCAAAGGCGAATCAAGGTAAAAACTCGCACTCGCTCAGAACTGTTGCAATTCACTGATTACGTGTGTAGAGTCAATGTCCCAGAAAACCGGACAGGATGTCGATGCGACTTTCTTGTAAGATATTCATTTCCATTGATCGCATGTACAGAAGCTAATTTTGTTAAGAACAACCGATACATCGTTCATCGATAACCCTCCCGCAACGGTTTCGTCCAAAGCTACACCGAAGAAACGAATTGTTTCATCCCGAGGGCGCGGTAGTAGTAGAGGTACTGCTAGTAGTCGGTATGCTACAAGAGGATCTGGAACAGCTAGGAGTCGGCCTAGTGGACTGCCGCGGGGCAGGGGCAATCGTTGAGCGATAATATATTGGACTGAGAGTAATTGCAGCTCGCTGGAGCTCAGAGACAGTCACTGGCTACGTGCAACGCACAGGAATCTTCACACGAGGCTCCGATTGACATCGCCTGGCATGTCCGATGACATCTAGAATCCTCGGCCTAATCGGTTCACCCTTCTTGAGGTGAGAGTCATCGAAGAAAGCGATAGCATGCTATCGTAGCAACACTACCTAGATAGATATAGACAATAACAGCATGAATAAAAATGTAGAATCAAAAAGAGAGCATGCGGGTATTGCCGCGATCTATTCCCGATGGGTAAATGGCTCCGTTTTGCCGCCAGGGCAACAGCCTTAGTTTCAGGGTTCTTCATCAAATTCTCCTCTGCCAACTCCACGGGAAGTCGTTTATCGGCTGGACTCGCCAGTAGTGTCTCGTTTGTATTATTGGTGTATTGTCTGTCTGATTTTACAAAGGACTTAGTCCTTTGAGCGACTGCCCGCTTATTTTTTTTTTTTTTAATAGGGGCGGCAGCATTGTTCTAGTGGAGGCACTGACAACGAACGTCGATTGAACTAGTGAGCAGCATCAACGTCTATCAATTAGGTGTCGAATACAGCCTATCTACTGTATTTCTTGATCTGCAAGTTTGGCTTCTTTCTCGATCTTGATTTGAAGGTGATGACTTGGATATCTTCACAATACCTTTGAGTTTAGCTGCTTCACTAGCAACGAATGTTCACTTGATCTCCACGCTTGGTCTGCGTTCAAAGTCAGCTGGTCTGACTTGGCTTGATTTGCAAAAAATTGTGATCATCACAAATTGACAGCATCATGGCAGCTTCAGTCACAAGTCTGGCAACGGTGGTGCAGGTCAACGCCTTATCAGAAGCTGAATACGGCTGTGGTATGTGAAATCCTTGGGCAAGGACTTATTCTGTACTAACTGGCAAAGAACATTTATCCGGTGTATTGAAAGATGACGACGGTCGTGGCTCCAGTTTCATCATTGCTTATATGAAGCAGGCTGCAGCGAGAATGAGCAAAAACATCCGGTCTCGAAATGGAATCAAATCACAGAGCCTACCTTTGAAGCCAATATACATTTGTGTGGATTGCTCTGAAAAATATACCAATGGCGATCGACAAGTGCATAGTGATCAGACAGGGCACCAATTTTGTAAGACAACCAGCGCAATAGTCTGGGTTTTGGCTAACATGACTAGATATCGACTCTCGTACAGGAGCACTGTTCTGTCAATCTTGTCGTGATTTTGTGTACGACCATGAACTGGAGAAAATTCGTACTCGAGCAGCTGGACTGTGGTCGCGAGATCCGCTTGATCGTGATAACCTAGATGGCTCACGGGTCACTACCTCGATAGAGTCTGCAGTACTGGACGCTTATGCAAGGGCCAAGAAGGCTAATGGCATTGCCCTAGCACAAGATACTGCATTATCAAAACCCAGCAGATACATTCTCGACATTCTCAGCCAATTGAGCAACAAGTCAAGAAAACGGAAAGCGAACGAGATATCTGGAGACGAAAGCAACGGAAATGGGAATTATTTGGCATTGAACGGAATTACCACAACCGAAATTCCAGAGGCCGACGAGACGTACGTCAAAACAAACGCGACCAAACGAACATGTCAGAGTGAAGGTGTCAGGGGTCTTTTCAACCTGGGACAAACCTGTTACATGAATGTGGTCTTGCAGACATTGTTACATGAGCCGCTACTCAATGCCTTTTTTTTGGGGAATGGTCATAAATACTACGACTGCCAAATTGACGGTTGTGTATTGTGTGCGATGAGTAGGGCATTTGCAGAGTTTAATGGATGTGATAAGAAAGACGGATTTACGGCGGAAACGCTGTTATATTCGACGTGGAAGAATCATCCTGTAAGTTTATCTGTGTGTTTTTGATCGCATTGACTAATGATGGTAGCCTCTCGCTGGAAATCACCAACAAGACGCGCACGAGTTTTATCAGTTTCTTGCTGGCGGCTTGCACACAGCTTCGTCTGACGAAAACGATCAACTAAAATGCAACTGCTTCTTTTGCAAGGCTCTTTTTGGAAAGTTTCAAAGCACACTGACCTGCCCGATATGCAAACATACCAGTCCCACTGAGCAGCCGTTGTTAGAACTGAGTTTGGACGTGCAATTACACTCGAAAAAGCGACAAATGAATGGCAAATTGCGCGGATCATCGACGCCGACATTAGCAGGGTGTCTGCAGTCGTGGGTGACGCCTGAAGAATTGATAATGGAGGGATATCAATGCCAGGGATGTCACAGTTACCCAGACAAACTCACCAAGCAATTAAGAATCAAACAATTACCTGCCATGCTGTGCATGCAGATGAAGGTGCCTCCACCCCAGAATCTCCACTCAATTCAATACTAACCAATCTACTAAGCGCTTCGAACAAACCGACTCCGAAACGCGCAAAATGCAAGGCAAAATCGACTTTCCGCTCGAAATCAACATGCAACCATACACAGTCGCCTCGCCTACTAGCAAAAAGACAACAATTCGTAGCGACATATACATGTACGACCTCGCATCGGCCATAGTCCATGACGGCGCTGGTCTGAATGAAGGGCACTACATTGCGTACATTCGACAGGGGGATCGATGGTGTTTGTTCAATGATGATAAAGTCACGTTGGTTTCGGAGGGGGATGTGTTGAATGCGGATGCATATTTGTTGTTTTACACGTTGAGGTCGTTGTCTTTCGGGAAGTGAGTATAGATTGATAAAGGATACTTCTCTAGCTTGAACAGCTGGTAGAATTGACGCATCTGATTGGTTTAACATCAGGCATGGGCCAGACTTGCTCGAATGAAAGCACATGTTTCCGTCTATTGGATCTTATGAAATCTCCGTCTAAACCCGAGATTCACACCTGAACAGCTCCCGAGGTATCGGAATCGCATCTTATGTAAAACAAACAACATTCAGTTTAAGTTAGTTAACTAGTTAACGTTTAACTACGTTCGTTAGTTACGTGATCCCGTACCTGATTTAAGTAACGAAGGAAATTACCCAGACAGGAAACTCGAAGCTTCTCGATTCGAGTCCGAAACTGGACATAGTAGACGAAGGGAGAAAAATAATTTTTTTTTCGTGTTATTAAGCGCCGGGTGGAGTCGAGCGGAAGAGCTTTGATTTTATGTACGTACATATCTGTATGTCATATTATGGACATATGGATAGTGAGAATATTAATATACGGAGTTAAGAACTTAAGAGTAGTCGACGAATGGTTGCGCGATAGATAAAGAGATAAGTCAGCAACAGAACAGGCAAAGCTGAAACTTATTTCAATACTAACAAAGAGGCTGGATACAGAAGCCGGAGTAAAATACGATACAGTCACCTGTCACTATCGCTATCAATACAACAAACGGACGTGGAAACAACACCCGCACTAAGAAAGTGATGGAATCCATCCGTTTTGAAGTCCGAGGGAAAATTAGTAATATTATTAATCCGAGCTTTTTCAGGTGTTCATCTCACTCATCTCACTCTCTCACCCATAGTAGTACTTCCAGTACTTCCAGTACTCTGTTCATCTGATCCTTCTTTGTGATCTGAATATATAGTCGAAGCGGTGAACAACACATTCACTTGGTTGAAGCGTTGAAATGGGAGAGAGTCACGGGAAGCAGTAGAATTAAGGTATTTAAAGTATTGGGATGATGTCACTGGCCATCTAGACTTTGATAAGTCTTGGCGCCAGTGACTTATTCTGACTCATTTTTCTAGTCTTCTGTTTATTGATACAGGGTCCGCCAGCTACAAGCAGCGTGTACGTACTAGTACATGGTAAGCGTAGTATATACGGAGTAGAAGTAGACATACAAACAGGTTTCTTCAAAGGATACCTAGGTAATAGAGCAATCGGAAACGGCGGATGCAGCCAACAGCGCTAAACATATCGTTCAAGTGGGGCCACGAACCCTCCGAGGAGCCGAATTTTACCTTACATACAGAGTACGGAGTACACATACAGGTAGTAATACGCTCCGGATACGGCGGTCGACGGAGTTAGTATCAGCCCTGGAGGTATCAATCTATGACCTCATATGCGATTAATTCTGTAGCCGCTTCAACATATATGTCTCTATATATATATATATATATATATATATCTCTCTCTCTCTATATTTATTGACATTGTCGCCATCGTATGATGCGTATATAACGAACTGATAATAGCTGAAGTAACGATTACTATACTATATGATACAATCGTGATACTGTCAGATCGGTGATCAGTCCAAGAAGGAATACATCTCATTGGACCAGGGCAGACGATTCGGCGGCCTTGGCGAGCGGATTGAGGTGCCGATGCGCCGAGGGTTCCGGGTGATTATTTCCACGCCGTTACTGTCAATACACGAGTATGTGTATCTATATACCATGACTTTATCATACTCTCGAGCATCAATTGTTGAATATTATATATTTTCAAGTACTCCGTACTCCGTACTCTTGTTGTGTGATGTTCAGAAACCCAGTGGGGCGAGCCCTTCAGACGATCGACGCTGCACTACCGAGTGCTAGCACTAACAGACCAACAGTCAAGTCACGCTTAATTAGGCGCTAGTCTACGGTACGGCACTTAACTTACTAGTCGGCCTAGACTGGACTTTCACACGGAGCGTGATAGAACCGAGCCGTCTGGGGATGCTGTAAGCTTACATAAGTCGGTAAGAGGGGAACGGATCAGTCGGCCCCAAGCGACGTTGCAAACCTGGAGAGGAGATGAGACGACCTCGATGCATGCATGGGGCATGGATGAATGTCATGAGACCTGGGAATAGACGATACATGTCAGACAACACCGTTCAATCGAGCAAAGGACGACAGCATCAACTGATGAAAGATGAAAAGCAGTAGCAGTCGGGCCCGAATGAGTCGGCTCCATTATCGGGCCTAAAATCAGGGCAGACACAGCATTAGTTAGATACGTAGTACAGAGTACAGGCAGGTAAATATATATTACATACGGCGATTACAAGCTATTTCCACGCACCCATCAGCCTTAACGCCGGAGCTTCGAAGCCGAGATCTATGCCTGAGGAGCTTCTTGCTGTTCCTGGCCAATTTTTTTCTTGCTTGCTGCAGCTCGTCAGCAGAGTATTAATAATGTAGCTTTGTCCCAATCAATTCCGGTCCATCACTTTCTCTCCTCTTTTCTCTTTCTGCTCTTGCCTCTGCCATTACATCACTAATAGCATAGCTCGGCTACCTTCCCAAGGATCAGTTCAGATCAGCAGGGAAGGCTAAAGCTACTTCTTACAACCTAAAGGAAAAGCCAAAGACAGGACGAAAAGGTACCCAGATAAAAGAAAAAAAAAACTTGGTCACGGTTATATACCATAATACATAAAGAACAAAATGCGACAGTCTTCAATGCAGCTTCTGGCTGCAACTTGTCTGCTCATCGCAGTCGCAACCGCTCGTCCCGACGGTGGTCACAGTCATGAAGGTGGCATGGACATCGGCATGGACATGGGCATGGACATGAGCCAGAAGGATTCCATGGCTAAAGCAGAAGATGAATGGGATCTCAGCTACTGGGCTTACGGCGAACACAGCGCATCGATCACAGCTCATATTGGTCTCGAGGTGCTTGCTTGGTGCTTCGTTTTGCCTGTCGGTGAGTTCGGCTCGTCTCTGCGGTTGTGGTGGACAGTAGTATCTAACTGGATATAGCTGTCATGCTGAGTGTCGCGCATTCGCGATTCACTATTCCCACTCAGTTCGTCTTTTTGATTGTGAATGGAATCGCCTTGTTCTTCGGCCTGATCTACAACGCTTCCACCCCCGATCTGTACGAGAACAATGCGCATCACAAAATCGGATGGATCGCAAGCTCAGTGGTCGTTGCGCAAGTCGTTATTGGCATCGTTTACGCTTACTCGGGTCGGCGCACCAAGAATATGGCCCCCGAGTATGAGCGCGCAACTTTCTTCCCCGTGTCGACTCAGAATATGATGGAGCATCAGCAACTGTATACCCCTGTGCACGAGTATCGCTGGTCCGGAGACAGCGGTCAGGGTACCAGCTGCCCTACTTCTCCCGACGAGGAACATCACCCCATGACCAAGCCGGAAGAAGAGGAGGACGATATTGAGGTGCCGACTCCCCTTGCTCGCGGTTGGTTGCGTAGTGCGTTCTTGGACCGATTCTTCGCAAGTCGCGTGCCTGGTCTGGTCTCGAATAAGGTGTTGCGCGCATTGCGTCTTGTTTACAACATCATCGATCGCATCATTCTGCCTTTTGGGTTTATTGCCTTGGCCACCGGAGGCGTCACTTATGGCGGTATCTTCGTATGTATCCTGACTCCTTCAAAGTGTTTAGTAGACTGACTGACTCCTTTGCAGAAAGCTCGCAGTATCTTCAGCGGCCTCGCCCACTTCATCAAAGGCGGTATCTTTTTCTGGTACGGTCTGATCGTGTTGGGACGTTACATGGGCTGCTGGGCCAACTGGGGATGGTCCTGGAACTTGAAGCCGGCCAACTGCCGTGCCCCCACTGGCGAATTTGTCGAGTCCACTCTTATCTTCATTTATGGTTCCACCAATGTTTTCCTGGAGCACCTAGGCGGTTGGGGTCAGGCATGGTCTCCTCAAGATCTTGAGCACGTTTCCATTTCTGTCATGTTCTTTGGAGCCGGATTAGTAAGTGAGGCCGCTCCTTTCCCCCAAGATACAAGCTAATTGATTAGTGCGGTATGCTCCTCGAATCGAAACGGGTCAAGAAGTGGTTGAAGCAAAGCATCCTCGGCACCTCTCGCAATCAATCCAACGAAGACGAGGAAGAATCTTCAAGCGTCTCTTTCAACCCGATGCCGGCATTGATTATTTTCTTGCTTGGTATGATGATGGGCGGACACCAACAGAAACAAATGGTCTCGACAATGGTTCACAAACAATGGGGCTCTCTTCTTTCCGGCGCTGCATTGGCTCGTGGCGGTACCTATGCTTTGACTTATATCAAGCGGCCGACTTCGTTTCTCCCTGCTCGTCCACCGACAGAGTTGATTGGTGCCTTTTGCCTGATTTCTGGCGGTCTGATCTTTATGCTCAGTGTAAGTCTCCAAAAGAAATAAAAAGTGAAAGAATGCTAAACTCGACTGAAGGCCTCCGATATCATGGACGTCATGGTCTACTACGACCTCGATGCCATGTTCACATTCAACGTCGCCATCGGACTTAGCTGCTTCATCATGGCCTGGGAAATCGTCGTGCTTGCCATCAAAGCCTGGGCCGTCAAGAAAGAAACCGCTCAATCGCACGCTCGATCGTGGTCATCCGCTTAATCGACCAGCGCACCCCTTCGCCGGCAACAACGGTATCGAACGAGGAATAGACGAAAAGGAATCTCTCCTAATATTTTCTTTCTTATATATTCAGAGATGAATATTTCTTTTTATGATTCGCTTCAGCCTTATACCCCTATACAGTTTTTATTCTTTCCTTTTTTATGAGATGACTGGAAATCTGGCTCATCCGGATATGAGTTATGGATGTGACGGATTGGGAGGAATATGTGGTCTGATGTCAGACAGATGAATATGGATATATGAATATTTGAATGGGTATTATGATAATGTTGATAATGGAATGGGAGGTTAATAGGCAATGATCTATCAGTACTAAGTGTCTGTGAGGGTTTTGTAGCGGAAGACGGCGCACTAGTTCCCGGCATGAATAAGCTCCCTTCCGATCTCCGTAACTTACTAAGTCGACGTGAACCTCCCATTTTTGAGCCTTTTGACTTTCACAATTTTTATTTTCTCAGTTGAGGCGAAAAGGAGGCAGACAAACAGACTCGTTGATCAATGTGTTGTTGTCTGGTCAAGCGTCACTGCGACTTGTTTTGTTCTTATTGAAATCGTGATAGACTGCCATCTCGATCTTTTCTCGCGTGACATTCAACTGCTTACCACCTTCTGTTCTATGAAAAAGAGACCAGCAAAATAAATCGAAATGTCTTCTTCCCAACCAAGCGCCCTTCCAGCTTTCTCTCTCAATATCGCCCCTCTCCGATCCTACCTCCTCCGTCTCCCGCTCTTCACGCGCGCCGTGCTCCTGTTCATCGTCGCATTCTGGCTTCTCGAGTTACAGTCTGTGTGGGATGTTGTGACATGGGGAGCTATAATTCCTGATGAGAGTAATTTTGCTGCTTGTACGTCTTACCCTGATATACTATGGGAGGAGACACACTAATTGGGGTCTGGTCTAGTGTATCGATTGAATACCTACCCGGTTATACATCGCGGGTTTTTCCATGCGTTGCTGAATGCGGCGGCTTTGACGCCGTTGTTGGAGCGGTTTGAGGCGGAGCATGGGACTTTGACGGCGCTGTTGTTGTTTGTTGGACGTATGTCTATGCTTCGATACTGGAATTATCTTTTGCAATGCTAATCAATTCATTCTAGCACTCTCGACCTTCCCCGGCGCCTTATATATAATTGTCGAGAAATTTATTCTACACAACAACACGGCCGTTGTTGGTGCAAGGTTAGACGATTTTCTTGTTCTGTTGAAAATTTTGAAAGCAACTAATGCAAACAGTGTTTGGGTCTTTTTGCTCCTCGCCTCTGAGTCCATCAAGACATTCCGGACAAATCCTTACTTTCAGGTCGGCACTCTTAAAGTTCCTACTTGGACTACACCACTTTTTGTCTCCTTCGTGGTTGCCGTGCTGCTTTCGAATACGAGCTTTTTGGGGCATGTCTGTGGTATTATCTTTGGATATTTACGTATGATCCACATGCTCTCAATTCATGCAGAAAAGGTCATTGACTAATCGTCAAATAGTCGGCTTAGGCTACCTCAAAATCTTCGTTCCCCCCGAGAAGATCTTACGCTTCATTGAAGGGAAGCTAAATCTCCTCGGACGATTACCTCACTACGTCTCCGTTGACCAAAAGACTCACGGACGATACGGTGTGCTACCGACTACATCCTCTGGAGAATCTGGCGTGGCTATGAGTAGTTATATTGGGTCATCGCAGCGATTAGGGCCGTGAGATATTGATCTATCATGCATGCATGTGGTATGATGGTATGGAGCGACAGGAGAGGCTGGAAGTATAGGATATTGTAATAAGGATCATTCTTGTATATACTCGTTGCGTGTATTTTATGTGTCTAGATAATGAGGAATGAGTGTATAGTTAATGTATGTAGTAGTAAATGTTGATACCTGAGGATCCACGGGAGCTGATTGATTGGATAGTTCCGTAGCTACAAGTTGCCCTCCGCATCAACTCCTACACTTGTCAACAACTTCTTTTCAATTAGATTGAGAACTTTCATGCCCACGGACTGACTGTCCATGGTATACGTGCCAATGGGCTTATTATGTGAGTATATCATTCATCCCTCAATCTCATAAGACATATCCCAGTTTACTAACTTTAACAGCATCAAAACTCCGCAACCTGCGCAATGATCCCTCCTTCCTCCTTACTCGCCTTCCTCCCTGGATTTCGTTATTATGTATATTAGTAGGCGTCGCGTCATTACTCGTCCTGCCGCTCAACGAATATTCGCGCGAAACCTACATCTCCGAGAATGCTTACTACCGGGTCAGGTACATACCTATTTCGCAGGATCGGAGCAGAATATCTTTAGAGGGTATAAGAAGGAACTTGAGAGTGTGATTTCTGGCTCTGAGAATGCCGGTCAAGAGGAGTGGGAGATTGCGTCAGACATGGTGCAGGGAATATTTCGTGCAGCGGGATTAAAAGTTGCGACGCAGAGTTATGAGTATTCGTCCGCAGGGAATGTGCTCAAAGGACAGAATGTGTATTCAATTATACATGCGCCGAGGGGGGATGCTACGGAGGCGATTGTGTTGGTTGCTGCGTGGAGGACGATTGATGGCGAACTTAATTTGAATGGGGTTACGTTGGCGTTGAATTTGGCTAGATATTTCAAGCGTGTGTTTCTTTCACACTCACTATGTGGCAGATGAGGTTACTGACGATAACAGGATGGTCTCTCTGGTCGAAAGATATCATCTTTCTAATCACACCGGACAGCAAAGCCGGATCTCAAGCATGGGTTGACGCTTATCATGATATGCATTCAGCGTCTGCACAACCATTACCCTTAAAAAGTGGCGCGTTGCAAGGCGCCTTGGTGATTGAATACCCATTCGACCACCGCTTTGAATCTTTGCATATCGTCTACGACGGCATAAATGGGCAATTGCCAAATCTCGATCTCATCAACACCGCCGTCTCGATTGCCGGGGGACAAATGGGTATCGGGACCAGTCTTCAAGAAATGTGGAATCACGACGATAGTTACGAAAAACGTCTCGAGACTATGCTTCGGAGTATGGCTAAACAAGGCTTAGGTCTTGCTGCAGGCGCTCATAGCAGTTTTATACCCTATCATATTGACGCTATTACCCTGCAGACCAAGGGGAACGGTTGGCAGGACGAGATGGCTCTTGGTCGAACGGTAGAAGGATTATGTCGGAGTTTGAATAATTTGCTTGAACATTTGCATCAGAGCTTTTTCTTTTATTTGTTGATGCATACTAATCGGTTTGTGAGTATCGGGACGTATTTGCCTAGTGCCATGCTCGTGGCGGCGAATTTTACGATTATGGCTGTTGCTTTGTGGTTGAGGACGGGGTATGAGGATAGATTGGTCGCTGTTGGTCAACGACAGAAGATTTCATCGACAGACGAAAAGTCTGCTACGGCTGAGACTGGGTTGAATGGTATCTCGGAGCGCAAGTTGTCGGTTCCATTGACTGTCGTGGCTGTTCTACACTTTCTAGGCATTGTGCCTTTGTATATCTTGACCAGCGTTTCTTCCAAAGTAAGTCATCTACTGATCTATCATGAATGAATACTGACAATTATAGTACTTCGTCCCTTTTACCTACGCCATCCTGCTACTGACTATAACCCTCCCATTCCTCATCAGCCTCGCACTCTGCAAACTGTTCATTCCGCAACCGCAAACCTTTTACCTACTCAAATCATTTTCATTGCTATTACTCGGCTTGTTCCTCAGTGCATTGGCAACACTCAACTTTTCGCTTTCATTTATCATCGGGCTACTATGCGCACCGTTAAGTTTCGTGGGAACACCGGCAAAAATAACGCCTAAGGCGAAAAAATCGCCAAAAGATTTAGTAGTTCCTTCCCTGTCCCTTATTCTGTTGAATGCTTTGTCTCCTCCTGCGGTTCTCCTCGCTGCATGCGCGTATAGCGGCGTTTCGGTACAGGAGGTTCTTTCGCAGGCTGCTTTTGGGTGGGATGTATGGGGTCTCTGGACGCCGGTTGTGGTGTGGTGTGTGTGGTGGCCTGCTTGGATGATGGGAGCTGTATGTGTTGGGGGTTCTTTTCTTGTCTAACCCATTAATATATCGGTACATTGTACCATAGTGGAAATATATCGTATTGGACGTAATCTATTGTATCCATCTCATATTTCACTAACATGACAGATCATAATACAAGACTAAGCAGCCCAAACATCCCTTCCAACACCCTCGATCCAGTGTCCCAACTGATTTACCCCCGTATCCCACTCCTTCAACCGATTCCTCATCCCTTCAATCTGCTTCATATCCAGAACCTTTGGCTGCACCCAATTGATCCTCGCAATCTGCGCAACCTGATCAATCGACCCCTTGATCAAACCCAGGGATAACGCTTTCATGATCAAATGCTCAATCTCGTCTGATTGCACTTTCGTTTCTGCCGAGATGGTGGAGAAGGTCATTGTGCGGTCGTGCGGGGGACGACGGAAGACGGCTTCCGTTAGAGCAGACAAGGAGATTTTGATGTATAGGAATTGACGGTGGGATTCGAGGAGTTTGTTCTTGCTGATGTTACCGGCTAGTACGTCGTAGGCTGTAAGATCACCACGGTTGAAGGCGAAGAGGAGATCGCGCAGCCAGGCGTGGGGTGTCTCAGTGAGGGAGTCGAGGATTGGGTGTAGGAGGAGTTCGCCGAAGTTGTAGATTGAGTCGGATACGAGGGCTGCGACGCTGAGGTCGTAGGCGCGCGAGATTCGTTCCTCTTGGGATAGGTCGTCGAGGTTTACGCAGGCTAGATAGAGAAGGGCATTCTTATAGTAGGATGCGAATTCTTGTTTGGCCTGTACTTCTGTTAGTATTGGCAGGAAAGAATTATGGGGGAGACGCACATGGTAGTAGTCTGCATTGACTTTGTAGAATGCAGCGTGGACAACTGTCTCCACTGAGTCAAAGGTATCCAAGATTTTCTGGCTTTTATCTAAATCCTTTCGTGATCCTTCGTAGTCTTGAAGTCGTAGCTTGACGCCTGCAACATCAGCAACGGCATAGACGTATGCGTCCTGTGAGTCGGGTTTATCCACTCGATCGGCCAGTGATGTGAGGAAAGCGAGTCTCTCTTGGTCATCTAAAGAAATCAGTCAGCCTGTCCCAAGAAAATGAATATATAAACAAACCTTTACACTGCGTTGAAGCCAGCAACCCCAACGAGACAAATTTCAACTGATTAATTCGATCCGCAAAGCTGAGTATGAACGATTTGAAAATCGGTAATCGTTGAGGGGCACTCTCAGGTGTTTGGAAGAAATCAACAAGTGCGTCTGTGAGTTGATGCCAGAGTTTGCGTTCCCAGTAGTCTTCAAAGTCGAGGAATAGCGCTTGAGCTGAGCTGGGAGCTTGGTCTCGCTGGTCTGCTAGGAAGTCGGGGATCTTGTCGGCCTCCATGGTGGCGGGGATATATGCTTGGATTGATGTTGTGCGCTCGGATGACTGGAGGCTGTTAGATGGACTTTGAAGTGCAAGAGGGTTAAGAAGGGGTTCCAAGATTGGAGATGGAGGTGTAGCTGTGATGATGAGCAAGGCCACTAAGCTGTCAGTTACTGATGCCGCTCACTTGGCTAGCTCCAACTGGCCGCTCTGCCCGGCCGTAGTATCTATGCCTTAGGAATCGGGTGTCTATCACTTCATCGTATGAACTGGTGCTTTACAATTTCTTCTGTATACTGATAATCCTGATGAAGATTATAAACTTGACCAATCGATCAACTACTTCCATACAATTATACACACATCATTTAAACTGATATTCCTAGACCGGTATCCTTACAGCATAGACCTCTTCCAGCGTCCACTATCTATGTATATTCAATGCTTCAAATGCCGATTCATGAGTCTACCTACGTTTTATTGTAGGCACTAGTAGTCTTCGCAGACATTTTCAAAAGTCTCCGAGACTCATGGCCCTGTATAAATGACTGAGTATCATCTCGTACGAGAAGTACCACGGTTGAAGAATGTCTCCGGAAGCATGATATGTCTCCGGCCACAATATAAAACCATCGTCTATCTATCAAGATGCATTTCCCCTCTTTATATCAGCGGATAAACAATTTCTACTTACTCACATCAGTTGCAATCTTGATAGCAGTATACTGGTCGCACTCAGAATCTCGCAAGCAACATTCAAGCACAATGGCGGATTTGACAGAACTCAATCGGAAGCACTTTGAGTGAGTTGACAGATTGACTCGAGACATGGTCGACTGCTGATGTTCCATAGTAACATTGCCCACAATTATGATACCGGCTTCGAGAAAGCTATTAGCATGATATGTGAAGAGACCAAAAGCCATCGCCTGTGGATTAGCTCCAAGTGGACAGACACTGCAGAAGGTAAAGAAAAAGAGATTAAGCTTTTAGAGTACGCGTGTGGACCAGGGCATATTTCTCGAGTATGTTTTCCTTCGGACAGTGATATGAACCTCGTCTAACGAAGGATATAGACACTGGAACCATTTGTGACCAAATGTCTCGGCCTTGACGTTTCAGAGAACATGGTGGCCACTTATAATCAACGAGTTCAAGAAGCTGGTATCTCCTCCGAGAAGATGTCTGCAAAGGTTGGCGATCTGCTGGCGGAAACCGTGTCCGAAGGTCTACAAGGCCCTAAGTATTATGACTTTGATATCATCATTATCGGCATGGCCTTGCACCACTTCCCTGATCCTCAATTGGCAATGAAGCGGTTCACCGATAGGATACAAAAGGGTGGTGTGCTTTGGATTGTTGAGATGTTGGAAGATCATGGTTCAGAGCAGGAGCACAAGCGTATTAGCCCTGAGTCTGCGCAGACTGTTCACAAGCATGGGTTTGGTATTGAAGAGATCAAGGCATTGTTCTCGGGTGCTGGATTTGCAGACACTGCCGTCAAGATTTTGGATAAACCATTCGAGATGACACTCCACGGTCATGAGCTGTCAAAGACTATTATCTTTGCACGCGGATCCAAACTTTGATGGGGTGAGCTCATCGAGCGGCACGCAGGTGGTAGCATGGTAGTATTGAGTTTCTGTAATTAAAATGCATACATCATACTTGTTTAAAAGAGCAACTGAGATATAGAAAGGTGTCTTGTAGTCTGTTCCAAGACAGAGTAAGAATCTCCGGATGATGTTAAGACAAATCGGGTTAGCGCAGCGAATTGCGAGCGGGATCAACCTCAACCTCAACTTCCTCATGTTCCTTCAGACCTCAACCTATTCCACCACCATCTCCCCTCCATACACGCGAAAACGTATCCTGGAGGTCTGGTACAGTCAATTGGTCAGTCATTCTCTACGACAGTCTTTTGGGGCGACCGATCGACCATGCAAAAGTGCCGGGCCTTCAATGGCGCTCTGGGCCGGAAGGCACTAGTTCCCACCCCTGCCGTGCAATTTCAAGTTCAGCGAAGAAATATACAGGATGTGCATATTACTAGGACCGGGAAGCCGATTTTGAAGGTCCAAGGAGGAAGGTAAGGTTGATTGCGCGTTGGGAGACTCGTTCAATTGCTGACCATAGCCGGCCTTAGATCGTCCTTGGGAGGTTTGTGATACGTCGAATTCAGTAGTTGAATATTGCTCATTGTTTGGTATAGGCCACACTGCAACTGTCTTCGGAGCTACCGGATTTCTTGGGCGCTATATCGTCAACCGACTCGGTATGTACGCCGTCAACTAGTATGCATTGACTAATACCATATAGCTCGTGCCGGATGTACCGTCGTCGTTCCATTCCGCGAGGAAATGACCAAGCGTCATCTTAAAGTCTCTGGAGACCTCGGTCGAGTTGTTTTCATGGTGCGTACTATGGAATTGATCCGTGGATATGGCTGATTAGTGCAGGAATACGACCTCCGCAACACACAATCAATTGAAGAGAGCGTTCGCCATTCCGACGTTGTCTTCAACCTTGTTGGTCGCCAGTACCCTACAAAGTATGCGCTCCAGATGATTACACACCCTACAAATTCTAACATTAACAGGAACTTCACCTACGAGGACGTCCACGTTGACGGTGCGGAGCGCATCGCCGAAGCGGTTGCTAAATACGACGTTGACCGATTCATCCACGTTTCTTCTTACAACGCCGCCGAAGACTCTCCATCAGAGTACTTCCGCACCAAGGGTTGGGGCGAGCGTGTTGTTCGTGAGATCTTCCCTGAGACCACCATTGTTCGCCCTGCGCCAATGTTCGGATTCGAGGACAACTTGCTCCACAAACTTGCTGGCGTTACCAATCTTTTCACCGCCAACCATATGAAGGAGAAATACTGGCCCGTTCACGTAAGGTGCATCTCCCACTTGATCTCGAGTAATCACTCATCCTGCTAGGCTATTGATGTCGGAACTGCTCTTGAGCGCATGGCATACGATGACAATACCGCTTCTCAAACATTCGAGCTTTACGGTCCGAAGCAGTATTCTACTGCTGAAATTGCCGAGATTGTCGACAAGGAAATCGTTAAGCATCGCCGCCACATCAACCTTCCCAAGGCCATTCTTAAGCCTGCTGCCTACTACCTCAACAAATACTTGTGGTGGCCTACTATTTCGGCTGATGAGGTCGAACGTGAATTCATTGACCAGCACATTGATCCCACTGCGAAAACGTTCAAAGATCTAGACATTGAGCCTGCTGAGATCACTTCTCTCACCTATCTCTATCTCGTAAGTTTCTCGACTCTTGATCGACATCAAACACATACTAATCGTTTGTAGATGGGCTACCGAAGCTCTCAATACTACGACTTGCCGCCAGCTACTGAGCGTGAGCGAAGAGAAGAGAAGAAGTACCTGCACGTTCTGGATGATCAGTAGTCGCTTGCAGCTTGTATGTGTAAATAAAATGATTTCACTTGACTAGATTGATTTCCTTTGTTATCAATACATGTATTACAGTTCGTGACCAAGTCCATCACCTAAACATTCATAGTAGTACTCTATCATATGAGGCTCATGGCTGTTTGTAAGAAAGAGTAAGGATCATGAGTTGCGGGGCAATTCCAATAGTTAAAAACAAATCTCCAACTTCAAAGTGCTGCGGCAAGACAAATATTTGCGACTATTCTCAACATCACGGAAAAAGGACACTTCAATAAGGCGGATAAAAAGCAATTCTTTTATATAAGAAGTGCCACTGCTGCGACTCAGGAAAGCAACGTAAGATTCACCCAGCGTATAGGACGGATTGTCTATTTCCTTGCATATCGCACCGAGACTGAAGACAGCAAAAACTTACCGATCATTCTCTCACAAATATATAAACTGGAGTCTTTCAACTATTTCCGAAACTCCTTCCTTTACTCGACACAACAGACAAAATGACACAAATCGAAGAAAAAGGCTTTTTCGGCGGCGCCATCACTGGTGCCGTACCACATGGCTGGATTGATGGGAGGTTCGTTAGAAACATTAGAAACACCATCTGCAATATGAATAATGATGATTAAACTAAATGATTGAACAGCACACTCCGCGAAGTGCCAGACCACCAAGAAATGTTCCTCTCACCCACAACGCTCTCAAATCTCATCTTTGAGATAAATGAATACGTCCCTAAACCTTCATCTTCAGGTATAAGCGGGGTGAATTCGGGTGTAGATGTCGAATTACCGACAGCAGTTAATACCAGCACTGATTCTGATGATGTTGCGGCTGCTATGTATCATATTCTTGATATATGTGATGATGATGATACGATGGAAGTCGTTCGGGAGCCGAAGAGAGTTGTTCTTAGACGACTTTCTTCTGCTCCTGTTTATGCGTATGCGGGATCGGTTCGGTTTACGTCTCCGAGGAAACAGAGACGAGATAGTGGTATACAGCGACAGAATGATACTGTATCTACAGGGACAGGAGATACAGCAGCAGCAGCAGCGAGTGGAAGTGCGCTACCGATCCCAGACAGATCAACGAATAGTTGCCATTTCTTGTTGGTGCGACTACCGGCGCAGAGAACGGATTTATTGGTTTGGGTGAACGTGCCACATGATGAGTTTTTGGCGCAAGGGAATGAAGGGGGGTTGGCGAGTGAGGAGAAGTTGGCTGAGGATGTGATTGGGAAGTTTGTGGAGGTGCTTGATGTGAAGGATTGGGGGTTACTTGGGTCGGGTTGATAGAGGCAGGAGATGTTGTAGTTTAGGAGGATTAATGGTCTTCTCTAATGTTGCGAGGGCAGGACACTATTAATAACAACCTCGATCAAGTTGAATCCATTCAACCTGCTCTAATACCAGATATGTATAAAGAATAATGCTTCAAATGCAATCGCCACAACACCAGGCTCAAATGCAAACACAGTATGTAATAACAATGCAAGTGCAATAACAAAACCACAACAAACGCCATAAATGCTCATAAACCAAAACTACCCCAATACTCCACTTCTCATGTTTTGTACGGTCTTCAGACCAACACCTTTTAGTTTGCCCAACTCGGCAAGACTCCTTACCTGTGCTTGTTCGGCAGTCGATTCGTTTACCATATCCATCTCACAGAGGCAATTAACAATTGCCTCGGCTTTCTTTGCCCCGACGCCTTTGAGTAGTTTGATCTGGCCAACATCCCTTGAGTTGATGATAGATAGCAAATGAGCTGTGCGCGGAGACTGTATCAACAGTTCATCATCGACGTTACCACGGAGAGAGTTGTCGAACATGGATGAGTTCGTGGCCGTTTCTAGAATTGCACGCTTCCGTTTGAGACCAGTATAAGAATTAGTGTAATGGTCCTCTTCATCGGCAAAGTCATGATCAGACTCCTGGTATTCGTCATCACTCGTATCTCTTGACGAATTCGTCTTCACCATCTTAGCAGGTCTACTGATAGAGAGCATACTTCCTCGTCCAGGAAGAGTAACTGTCGGTTCAGGTTGTGACTTAGGTTTGGAGTTCAGCTTCTCTTCAAGATTAGCTATCTTAACGGCAAGCTTTTGATTCCGAGGAAAGAATGGCAAAGCAAGCTTGTACATTCGTAGAGCCGACGAAAACTCTTTCCTTCCGTGATGTTGTTTTGCCATCAAGAGATAAGAAAGCCCTTCGGCCCGAGCATCCTCTGTCCCTTCGATTCTTCGCTCAAGGACTTCCAAACGACGCTGCATTTGCTCATTCATTTGCTCCAATTGAGCTTGATGTTGATTAGAGTCATCAAGTGCCCGAGCTGCTAGCAGTTGCTCCACTTTCTTTTCCACCATTTCTTCGATCTTATCTGCTGAGACACCCTTGAGACTGGTTGCGGATAGCTTGTCCACTTCTTTGGCTGGCTTGGAATAAGATTGACGCTTAAAATTGGGACTATTCTGCTTCAAAGGCGACGACCGTCTGAGTGACGTCCGATGAGGCTTGACTGGCTGCTTGTCGGAGTACACGTAAAAAGCCTTGGTTGGTTTCTTCTCATCGGCTTTCTTATCATCATTCACCGGTATATTCACATTGATAGACGCAGTCAAAGGCCGAAGTGGTTGGCGGGATGCAGTAGATGCTAATCGCGCCGATCTCGGGGGTCCTTTAAACATGGGTTCATTTTCAACTTCCCTCACTTCAATCTTCTTTGTTCGATTGGCGAAGTTTAGCGAGCTGATAGTATCAAGATGATATGATCGTATGGGAGCCAGGTTGAGTATCATCAATGTCAAACCATTGTTCTGCCCTAATGAGAGAATGCGAGTCATCTTTGACTCTCGGTAAGGTATACGAGACTGCTTCTTGCTGATGGCCTCTACGCACTGGGCCAGTACGAAAAGACTCTTGTTAATGCTTGCGGATTCAACCATGCGTTCCTTTCCGTTCTCAGTGCGCCGATTATCCTCGGAGCCAGCTAGATCGATTGCAGATGCAATGCTAACACGGGTCTTTTCTCCATTTGTGATAACAAGCTTGACGCAGAGGATAGCGTGTGACCGTGAAGAATGGGCATTCAACTTTTCAAATCAGCAAGCTTCGGCGAGCAAGATTATAGAAAGACATACTTTTGTGGCAGATGTTGACCGGTTTGTGTTGGCTTGGTCATAGAGACTTTCAAAGTCCTTCAAACTTGGACACGGCCGTTCAGTCAAGCCAACGACAACCGTCTTTCCATGGTTGTCTCTTAGTGGCAGCCCCGCCAGCGTCCTCTTCTCTGGTGGCTCAAATAGATCATACACCTTGTCGTTGTATATCTCATAATAGCTCATCAAGACTTCCACCTTGCTTGTCCCTTCAGAGTCCTTTTCAGTCTTCCGACTACGTCGATAGATGGCGCTCAACAGTCTGGGGATAACTCCCCGATCTTGGAGACTTTTACCGCCTCGCATAGTATGTGTTTTCCCGGTTCCGGTGACGCCGTATGCAAAGATGGTAACGTCGAACCCGTTGAATAAATGTTTCACAGTGGGTGCCACTAGCACAAATTGTTCAGCAACCCGTAAGAAATTCAACGCAATCAACTAACCTTCAGCTTCAAAGAGCTCCTGTTGTGTTGTTTCTCCGCCGTAGACAGCATTGAATTGGAAGGTGTATTGTTCGCCCTCATTTTTGGGATTCGGAATCCTGATAAGGGTATCCCGCTCTTTGACAGGGACCTTGCCTGACTGCGAATCCTTCACCTTCAGCGCATCAGTGGCCACGTTTCCGGGTCGCACAATCACATCCAGTTCGCGCTCCGACTTCCAAAGAGGCCTCACACGGGCAACAACACGGACACTCATGACTCCAACTCGGCTGTCAATAACTTTGCAAGCTGAACCCAAGGGATCGATCCGAAATGAAGAAAAGGAGCGTCGGTTGAATGACGAAAAATAAACAAACAAAATGACGCTAACTACTGAGAAAAGAAAATACAGCAGAAAAAAAAAAGCAAGACGCAAACCGCCAAAGACACGGGAAAGCCGAACCTGTTGGGTTAGTATGTAGTTGATTGAGGAGGAACAGATGAGATTGAAGCAATTCAAGTTGTGGTAGTGCGATTGGTGGTTGCCACGGCAACACTGGTAATGCTTTCAACGTTCTGAGGGAAGTGCCAACTAGAGATATATTTTTCTTTGAGCTGTCAGAATAGCTGTTTACGACTTCTACTTGTTAATTAGAGAGGTCCTTGGTCTTTTGTAGCTATGATCCATGCGGTTGGCGACATTCCAAAGCTGGGATCGTGATGGTGACCGAGGTCTTTGACACAGCTCTCTACCGGCATACACTGTCGAAATACTCCGTATGCACATAAAACAGCATACGTTCTCATATATATCAGCGAGTTCTTCAGGCGTCAAGTAGTCTTGGGTTGGAGCGAGTTAGCACAGGTAGCTGGTAGAGCGTCTAGTATAACAGATCTATAACCATTCCCAGGCCCGGAAAATCTCAGGCAACCTGACGGATCTTTAGTTAAGTGAAATGATAGCTCACACATTCAAATATTGCAGCCTGCAATATTATTTCAGCAAAGAGAAAGATCAATGTGGCAGAATAGAGTGGCTTGCCTCGATCTGATTGGCTGAGTGGTCTCCCGCAGTCGCAAAGGCCACCATACAATAAGTCAACATCTCCATCCAGGCTGGGTCAAGTAGCTCAGAAGCATCACTGCGCTCTCGCCGCTTCCTGCTCGCTCCCATATTCACACTGACAGGGCGGCTTTTGAATTGTCGTCGCCGGTCGCATTGATTCTTTTATTTGAGGTTAGTCGATTGTGCCCTTGAGTAGCTCCAGGTGATTACGTTCGATCTTTCCCCGCACAACTTGTGTGGGATTGATGATCGGTTACTGACGTCCAAGGACAGGGAGACCGTTACGATTATTCGAGTCCAGGATTATATCGAATTTTTAATCCATTCCTTCGCATATCACACATCGAGTCGCGCGTTCATCCGTGTCTAATAAATCAATGGCGTCACCACAGGGAGGCTACCCTCCTCAGGAGGGTTACGGGCAGGCGCCAGCTCAGCCTCCAGTACCTGGCCCAGCTCCATCCGGTGCAGCTGGACATAGAAAGAAGCGTGCTTATGCTGGAGAGGCCTTTGACCTCGGATCGGGAGCCAATGCTGCTCTTGGAGGACAGCAAAAGGCTGGTGGCGACTATCCAGCGTATGCTGCCCAGGCCGCAGCCGCGGGCTATGCACAACCTGGATATGGAGTCGATCCTGCTGCTGCTGCTGCTGCTGCTGCTGGATATGCTGCACCACAACCTCCTGCTGTGGGCGGATATCAACCACCTGTAGCTGGATATCCTGGTCCTGCAACTGCTGGCGTTGCTCAAATCACCCAGCAATTTGGTCAAATGGGGGTGGCTGATCCAGTGCAGCAGGCGGTACCTCCGCAGCAAGTTCCAAGAGCTGCTCCTTTGAACCAGTTATACCCTACTGATCTACTGACGCAACCATTCAACGTTGCTGAGCTTGACTATCCTCCTCCGCCAATCATTCTACCACCAAATGTGAGCATTGTGTGTTGTGTGATTCTAGTATATCACTAATACCTGGTTACAGACAAGTATTTATCCCTCGCCTTATGCGAACTGCCCACCCAAGTACGTGCGTTCCACCTTGAACGCCGTCCCGACAAATCACTCGCTCCTCAAGAAGTCGAAACTCCCCTTTGCACTTGTCATTCAACCATATGCAGCACTCCACGACGCCGAAGATCCCATCCCCGTCATTCCAGATCAGGTCATTTCTCGATGCAGACGATGCAGGTCATATATCAACCCCTTTGTGTCGTTTTTGGATCAGGGTCATCGCTGGCGTTGCAACATGTGCAACTTGACCAATGACGTTCCTCAGTCATTTGATTGGGACACAGCCTTGCAAAAGCCAGCAGATCGTTCTCAGCGTCCGGAACTGAATCATGCCGTGGTGGAATTTGTTGCTCCTCAGGAATATATGGTGCGACCACCACAACCATTGGTATACCTGTTCTTGATCGATGTTAGCTATGCATCGGTGACGAATGGGCTTCTCGCAACGGCTGCTCGATGCATTAAGGAGAGCTTGGATCGTATTCCTAACGCTGATCGAAGGACACGACTTGGCTTTTTGGCTGTTGACTCCAGCCTCCATTACTTCACCATTCCTCGGGATGGATCAGAGAATTCCGCTCCTAAGATGCTCGTCGTTAGCGACCTGGACGAGCCTTTCTTGCCTATTCCCGGTGACCTGCTGGTTACATTGTCTGAATGCCGTGAGAATATTGAGAGTTTCTTGGACAAACTACAGGAGATGTTCCAAAACACCCAAAACGGCGGATGCGCTTTGGGGTCGGGTCTTCGTGCAGCTTACAAGCTGATCTCTCATGTTGGCGGAAAAATCACTGTGCTGTCGTCGTCGCTTCCCAATGTCGGCCATGGCGCGCTTACCGTGCGAGAGGATAAGAAGGTTCTGGGCACTAGCAAGGAAAGCAGTCTTTTGCAAACTGGTAACAGCTTCTACAAGAGTTTTGCCGTGGAGTGCTCCAAAGCTCAAGTTTCAATTGATATGTTTTTGTTCTCGTCACAATACCAGGACGTTGCCTCCCTTAGCAACCTCCCTCGCTACACCGGTGGCCAGACCTACTTCTACCCTGGATGGAATGCAGCCCGCACAGAAGATGCTATCAAGTTCGCTCGGGAGTTCTCTGATTATCTTTCGTCTGAGATTGGTTTGGAAGCTGTTTTGCGCGTGCGTGCCACCACGGGTCTCCGTATGAACACATTCTACGGCAACTTTTTCAACCGCAGCTCAGATCTTTGCGCATTCCCAGCCTTCCCTCGCGATCAAGCATACGTTGTTGAAGTCGCGATTGACGAGACGGTCACTAAGCCTGTTGTCTGCTTACAAACTGCTGTGCTCCACACCACTTGCAACGGCGAGAGACGCATTCGAGTATTGACCTTGGCGTTGCCGACTACTCAGACATTGGCCGATCTTTATGCATCAGCTGATCAGCAGGCCATCACTACTTACTTCAGCCACAAAGCTGTCGAGCGCGTGCTATCGAACGGATTGGAGCCTGCTCGCGAGGCTATTCAGTCAAAGATGATAGAGCTCTTGTCGACGTACCGTAAGGAGCTTGCCGGTGGTAGTGTGGGCGGCGGTGGTCTACAGTTCCCTGCTAATATGCGGGCATTGCCTGTTCTGTTCCTTGCCTTGATCAAGAACGTAAGTTATCCGCGCTTAGCAACTCGAGAGGAACTAATGATACTAATTGACTCACAGCTCGGTCTTCGTAAGTCGGCACAGATCCCTACGGATATGCGATCGGCTGCGCTGTGTCTACTTTCGACTTTGCCACTGCCGCTTATGATTCAGTATATCTACCCGAAAATGTATTCTCTGCACGACATGCCAGACGATGCAGGTCTACCCCACGAACAGACCGGGGAGATCGTCCTCCCTCCTCCTGTCAATTTGTCATCAGAGCGATTAGTGCCGTATGGTCTGTACTTGATTGACGACGGACAGACGCAATTCCTCTGGGTTGGCCGAGACACTGTTCCTCAGTTACTTCTCGACGTCTTCGGAGTCGCCGACAGGAACCAATTACGGGTAGGTAAGCAGTTCCTTCCTGAACTCGATAACGACTTCAACGAACGGGTGCGTGCCGTCATACAAAAGAGCAAGGACTACAAGGCCAAGGGCGCTGGAAGTATCGTCTCTCCTCAGTTGTACGTCGTCAAGGAGGATGGTGAACCTGGCTTGCGACTTTGGGCACAGACAATGTTGGTAGAAGACCGGGCGGATCAGAGTGTTAGTCTGCAACAATGGATGGGAACATTGCGCGATAAGGTATGCTCCTGATTTTCTGCCTTGAAGCTGACTCGAGACTAACTTTTTATGTGATAGGTTGTGCAATGATGATGTTGAATAATACTATTGACTGATTGTTTAGATCATGTAGCGTCAAGCATTTCAATGAGAATAAATCCGAGTTCGTTCCTAGATACATAATACAACAAGATACAAACCATCATGATATGATTGGCTGTATAAGCCGTGTATGGTAAGGCGTGTATTGTGGTTGACCTGCAAAAAGTGGAGACCTCCGCGCTCCGTTTGATGATCTGATTGGCTGGCAGACTGTGACAGAGGTGCTTGATCCAAAAATGGCATCCTGTAATGTATTATGTATTGTATTTGTATTCTGTATTGTGTCCGTCTTAGAGACTATAGATGTAGAAACTCATAGTTAATACGTAGTCTACATAAAAGATCATGGCATACAGTCACTGCGAATGGCCTCTTATTGCATCTTACTGGCCGAATTACCGTCCCCGTTTCACCCTGAAACGGACATTGTGCCAAGCTTCTTGGATCGACGAATTGAACCATTGATTCCGTCGACCACAATACAATGGCACGGTAATACCAATACTGAGGTTGACTGATTTCCTGTTCCTTACAGCCTCTGAACTGTGGCAGGTGATCTCTTTGTCAGTTGTCTCGGACATCAACACTAAAGTAACATGGGTTCCCTTTAGAATTTAGTTGCAGATTGAGGGCGCGCGTCTCATCTAGGTCCAGGACTGGATCGTTCTGCTGGTGATACGGTCTGTAACTGACTAGAGGCCCCTCCTGTTGGGCTGTGTGATTGCCCCACCTTATACCTCCTGCTTTTTGTCTCGCAAAAGAGGACCTTTTCTTAAAACCTCTGATACAACCGTTCTCAAACGACTAACTTGGGGAACTAGTACGGAGCTGGGTCTTACTGAGAGTTGACGTTTGAGATAAGACATCTGGAGGAATTTCGAGTTGTTCCAATTCTGCTCGAGTTGTTGGAGCGGGAGCGTCGCATCTGTTTACACTCACTCAGCCGAGGACATCAGGATCAAGGTCGCGGTGAGTATATCAGATCATCTTTCGACTCTTTGGATGGTGATGGGTCGAGATGATGACTCTGTCATCGTCGACTGAGTCGTCATCTGCTGTTCGAGCGATTGTGCTGACGCTGGTAGCAGTGACACAACCCCTCACTCTTCCTCCCGGCTATCGCATCGCTACTTTGCCATATGACTTTTGACGAGGCGCGTGAATATAACCTCACCATATAAGCGTGAACGAGAAACAATTGCACGTCTGATTTCCAGTAATTACGAGAAACTACGGCGTCATAGTATAAAGAGGTACGCTATTCATATTGGCCTCTTCCTGCGCGTTTGCACCCGACAAAGACCCGTTTGCAAGCTGTATTGAGCAACAATCAATCATCGAGGCTGGTCTACTGTCTCGCCTGCGCCTACCCATTCACTCCACTTATATCGAGTGATTGTATTGATTGTCAAAGAAAGTCTCCATTGTTGATTCATATATATTAAACTAACCTTTCTTGCTCTTCTGCTAGTTCTTCCAGTATATATTTTCCCCAAACTGCAACAACTTTTGATCTTCAATTCTCAAGTTCATCACCTACCGACGATACTTTATAGGGAGCCGCCATGGCTCAAGGGCAGACCCATGGAGGGTCGAGAAAGATCTCGTTCAATGTGTCGGATCAGTATGATATTCAGGATGTGATTGGAGAGGGCGCTTATGGTGTTGTCTGGTAAGATTGCCACCGCAAGTTTCTGAGGGTATTGCTAATAGGTATAGCTCCGCTCTACATAAACCATCAGGTCAGAAAGTCGCCATTAAGAAAATCACGCCGTTCGATCACTCCATGTTTTGTCTTCGGACTCTGCGAGAGATGAAGCTGTTGAGATATTTCAACCATGAGAATATCATTTCGATCCTCGATATTCAGAGACCACGTAATTACGATAGCTTTACTGAAGTCTATCTCATTCAGGTATGCGTCTTTGTCTGTTTGACGGCTCCAACTAACTCACGAGGGCAGGAACTCATGGAAACTGATATGCACCGAGTAATCCGCACACAAGACTTGTCCGACGACCATTGCCAATATTTCATCTACCAAACACTCCGCGCATTGAAAGCTATGCACTCAGCCAACGTTTTGCATCGAGACCTGAAACCCTCCAATCTTCTACTTAATGCCAACTGCGACTTGAAAGTTTGCGACTTTGGTTTGGCGCGTTCAGCTGCTTCCACTGACGACAATTCTGGCTTCATGACTGAATACGTTGCCACGCGTTGGTACCGTGCTCCTGAGATCATGTTGACTTTCAAAGAGTATACCAAAGCGATCGATGTATGGAGTGTGGGATGTATTTTGGCAGAAATGCTCAGCGGGAAACCCTTATTCCCAGGCAAGGATTACCACCACCAACTCACTCTGATCCTCGACGTACTCGGCACGCCAACCATGGAAGATTACTACGGAATCAAATCCCGTCGTGCACGTGAATATATTCGCTCCTTACCATTCAAGAAGAAGATTCCTTTCAAACATCTATTCCCGAAAACCAATGACCTCGCTCTTGATCTACTAGAGAAGTTATTGGCATTCAATCCTGCCAAGCGTATCACGGTCGAAGAAGCTTTGCGTCATCCCTACCTCGAGCCCTATCACGACCCAGATGATGAACCCACCGCGGATCCTATTCCAGAGGAATTCTTTGATTTTGACAAGAACAAAGATGCTCTAAGCAAAGAACAACTGAAACGTGAGCCCTTCCCTCCCCAATTTTACAGATTGTATGACGTACTGACTTGTGGATCTACAGTCCTAATTTACGAAGAAATCATGCGATAGAAGTATTATCATCTTCCCTCTTATGTTTTTTGTTGCTTTCTTAGGGGAAAGGGAGTTGGTATGATTTCGTATCCCTCTTTTTTTGTATCTAGGTTGAAGAAGAGGAAATGGTAGTTGCCGATGACGATATCATGAAATTGTTTATTGAGTTGATCCATGAACTTTTGGTGTAAAATCCGACATTGGGGACAGTAGGAGTAATTATCTATTATCACATCAAGACAATACCTAGATAGGTAGAAACTATCGCCGAATTGTGAGGAAGACGGTAGGACTGTATAGCTACTACCTAGTAGCTAGGTGAAGTGAACAAGACAATAATATTAAACAAATATGCATGTGAAGAACCACTGAACCATCTTTACAAGGGGTCATTTCAGAAAGAAGAATTAAATTTATCGTATTCCTTAAGCTTTTTTGTAACGTGACTAAGATAAAAGGGTCCAAGATACCTCCAAATGCAGTCAAAAGCAGCCCCTTCTTGAGAGCAAGGTAGTCAAACACCCTCCTAATACTTCATTCAAACACGTTAACAGTTGCTATTTATCAACGGGGTAGTTGAACGTATACTCTGCGAATCTTTTGTCATGAGAGTCGCTTTCCGACACCCCTTCCGAAACACCTATGTGTGCTGGCTGGCATAACTGAATGACATCGGTTGTGGCACCGCTAGACAGCCTCATCTCGTCGCTTAGTCTTCCCTTTCACTACTTGAGACAAATCGCCCACGGGGAGGTTCCAAGGTAGATCGACGCTGGCAGCCATCTGGACGAAGAAAAGGTACCATCCGGATAGGGAACATACGAATAGGAAAGCGCCTGATGCCTGCAGAAAAAGAATGTTCGTAATAGCAACATTGAGACAGAGAGAGAGAGACTCACTACTTGTATGTTGTGGGATAAGTGGGCGTTTCCATTAGCTAACTGCCAATATGATCCAGCAAGACAGCAGAATCCGAGGACGAGAGTTAGGAATACCACTTCAAACATTATGTTGGTTCGGATACCGCATACAAGAAAGACGAGCGATAGAAGGGCCATGAATAGGAAGAAAAATGCTGTGTACTCGCTTGTTAGCGTTGAGAACTCAGGTAGGGTATGGGGGGAAACTTGCCGTATGAGTTATAAAACTCCGGGCTGGGTGTTGTCGAAGTACCGGTGATGAAAGCTCCAGTGGCATTTGCAGATGGTGTCAGTGATACGGCGGTCGCTAACCAGAATCCTCCTATACTCATTGTCAGTAGGTTTAGGGGCTTGTTTTGCAATGAAGAAACGAACCAAAACCGGCAAAGACCACGAATGGATAGGTATTGCCCAAGATGAATTCTAGAATTCCACTAATAACCATCAGAACTCCTCCCATGCAGTACAGCACGCCCCTATAATCTATTAGTATTCGGCAAGTTAAATTTTAGAAGCAGGTCGACATACACGATAGATGCTCCGCCGCCTCCGGAGCCTCGCCATCCCATTAATTGACACGAGAGAGGTGTCAAGCTCATAACAAAACCGAGCAAACCCCTGGGATACCACGCATTAGTGAGCCAATCTTGGCCGAATATCTTTGTGGAACAAGTTGACATACAATGGAGTAGGATTTCCAAGTATCGACCGAAGGTCACCCTTCACATGATTCTTCGGTGAGAGGTAGAGCCTTTCGAAAAGCTCCGCGTCCATGGAGACGCTACCGACTGTCCTAATTTTCTGTAATGCATCTGTACGAGATGTTTCGTGGTGAAGGGTGGAGTGGTTAGACATGTCGTTTTTCTCAGAATCAGACGACATGATGAATGGACTGCAGACTAATGACTGAAAAATGTGGGAGAAGGTATTATTGAGGCTGCTGAAATTAAAGTGCAAGTAGTACCAAGATATAAGCAAGCATGTATACTATCAAGGGGCCAACAAGCTCAATATAGTAACACAAATCGATTGAATCTAGTGCATCCTGCCAACCGGACAAACGGATGCAATGTATGGACCATTCGATTTTGAAAACTAACCTCTAAATCCGCTTCATCCCTTTCCAGTTCTTGCTTTTTCTCAATCCACGACTTATGCTTATGGTATGGCTTATGCTGACCGTATAAAGCAACAAAAATAGCTTAGGGCAGAAAGGTTCTCCGCATTTCAGAATCCGGGGCCCGATTACCCCGTACGGGCGAACCACTTGGCTAGGATTCTACAATCTAGTCTCGAATTCTAGATCTGGAAATTAGTCTACAAAAATAGGAAATCCCGTGAATAAACTATCTGTGTTAAATGGCAAGGATCCGTTGGCCCGATAGTCATGACTTTCTAACGCCACGGAACCGGGACTAGCCCACCTCCGTGTAAGCCATCCATTCATCCGTAAGATTGTCTTACGGTTTCAACTTTCAAATACGTTTTTATTGGTTCTTTGCTGAGAATAGTAGACTGTGGTTTTGGGGATCGCCAACTGGTTATTGACTCCGGTCGTCCGGGGATGGATGATGCGGGGACAGCTCAGCTTAGGGTTTATGCTATCCGAAATAGGAAATATGTCGTATTAAAGTGACCAGTCAAGGGGTGACTTGCAGCTCCTCATTCCAGCCTCGAGATTATCATAGCAGCGTGTCAGCGACAAAAGTCCGGTCTTGCATGTTAAGTTGTACATGCTTCATGTACCGGAGATCTTTAGGGGCAGCATTGGATCGGTACCTACCTAGGTATTCTGTCATGGCAGCGCCGGAATGTTCAAGAAGACCAAAAAAGATTAACATCTCAGAGTATTTTTCACCTCTATGTTTGGATTTACTTCTGGCAATGCTGATTTATACCCCGTGAGGCCTTCTGTTCGATAGCTTGGTTCTACTGCATGTAGTAGTAACCTTGGCTACCTAGTTAACCCCTGATTGCCGCCTTATACCGGTTCCACCGGACCACCATAGATCTCGCCATGTCAAGTTTCGCAGCTGGGACGATACCTCTCTCAACAAACTTACTAATAACACACACAGTTTAGCCCAACAATTCCCCCGAGCAGACTATCGATTGGGTGCCCGAGAAGGAGGTTCATTATCCGCGACCTCCTTTGCCAATGTGGACTGGTGCTCGGCCAGGGCAGCTAATTGGTATGAAGTAAAAAGGTATTCAGAAGTAGTTATATCAGTGGGACCATTTGACAGTTCGTACGTCATGAATTCTTCATCTCCTTTCATTTGGTATACAGAACCATGCTGATTCTCGAGAAGGAGGGACTAATGGAGGGGCTCGCCTGGACCCTGTTTCTCATGCACAAGAGAGAGGTAGAGAGGTTTAGAATGGGATGACGGTGGAACAATTTGTTCTGGCTCGTACATAACCCACTGATCTGTGCCCTTTCGTCGTCTGAAGTCATAGCCATTAACTTCGCATATCTCACTCAAACCGACCGTCCTGACCGGGGTAGATGAAGTAGGATAAGTCTCCATTTCTTGGAAAACTTGATAGACAATCTACCGGACGGATATTGCACTCGTATTCAAGCTGCGAATTCAAATTGGTATGACGGCCGTCTTTGGTGGAACCTTGCTGATTCGCGTGCTTGTTGAAGTGATCAAACCCAAAGCAAATGTTTTCTCGACTTGTTGATACCTAGAAAAGCTGTCTGCTCTCGCTTCGCTCGAGACATTCAAGTCACAACAGTGAATACATGGTCTTTCCGCACGGAAGTTTTGCTGGTGCGTTTCTTCTCGGCCTTGCGAGTAACGTCCTTGCTCTCATCTACAATGAGCAGCGATCGAAAGTCGCGATATCCTGGACAGTTCACCTGGGCGTGAATACATTGAGAACATGCAGGTTTCTCCAGGCTACACTACAGAGGTGTCAACACATACCTCAACTGCAAGAAAAGCACGACAAACCTTTGGGGCTCGGCTTCTGCACCGGCCGCATCTAGGGCTAGGTTTGCCTCTGTATACCATTTTTCTGATTGCTGCAACACAAAGGACTCACATTTGAAACGATTGGAGTTCAGTCCCAGGGATACCCTGAATAAGGAATCAAGTAGTGACTCAACAGAATGGCGAAGATACGAGCAAGAGCTTGTATTTTAGACTAGTCCAAGTCTGGTATGCTTCCAGTAACGCATGTAAAGCTGATAGCCAATCAGAGCGCATCTATTGGTTCAGCCGTGCCCTAACTTCGATGCAGTATACAGTCTGTTCTTTTTTGCACTGATATTGTTTTGGGGCTATGATGACAGTACTATTCATATAAATTTAGGCTCAATCGCTCTGAACTTCTCTGTGGATAAGTGGGAGCTTACGTTTTCATCGATAGGCACCTACACTTCTTCTATAGACGATTTCAACTCCCCTCTCTGATCAATCCATAACAATGATTATCACAACCAAACATATCGCCATTGCAGAGTTAGTGGTACATAGCCCTGCTGCTCTAGTCTCTATATTTGTCGTCTTAAGACACGGCTTCCACCGTCAATTGGGATGGATCTATCTGTTTGTGCTCTGTGGTATTCGAATCGGAGGAGCTATCATGGAGATCCGCAGTCACAATGATCCAAGTAATACGAATGAGGAGGAATGGGTCATTATTTTGCAATCTGTGGGATTGTCGCTGCTGTTGCTGTCTAGTCTAGGGCTTTTGAAAAGAGTGTATGTTCGGTCTGCAAGGATGATATCTTATACTGAAGAGCAACAGATGCGATGAAGCGCCGACACACGTTCCAGGTGCTAGCCAATCAGCGCTTGAGACTATGGCAATAGCTGGGGGAATAGGAGGTAAATTGTATGTCAATATGTCAAGCAGGAACATATCTCTCCTTTTACGCTAGAGATTCTTCTCTTACTGATAGTTTGAATTAAAACAGGGCCGGCATTTACTCCAAAAGAGCCACATCCAACTCCCGTCGAAGTCGAGCTGTTCAAATTCTTCATCTCCCAGCACTTATCGCCCTTGTGCTCTCTATCATGGGTGGAACAGACCAATTCTCTTCAGATGTCTCGCAACATGGCTCTGGGAAGACCAAAACCCGCGTCGGGGTTATTCTCTTCCTAGCAGTCTACATTTGTCTTTTCGTCCTGTGTATGATCACAATTTCGGACGCTAGACTAATGCAGCGCAGCCAGAAGCGTATTCTTATCTGCGTCCTAACCTCACTGCCATTAATCGCGGTGCGGTTGCTGTACTCTCTGATTGGAGACTTTAGCAATAACCCCGACAACCAGTTTTCCATTGTCAATGGGTTGCCTGTAATTCAGCTGGCCATGGTTACCATTGAGGAATTCCTGATTGTTCTGATGTACGCTATTCTCGGTGTTTTCACGCCGCGTGCTTCCTCACCGAGTTTTGAGGTACCTTACGAACCTCAGCCACAGCAGTTGCTGCCACAAGTCCAGAACTATGGTCAGGAACCTGTGAATTATGCAAAGTATGCGGCCCAGAGTGCATTCAACGGTAATGCATACAATGGTCGACAGTGACCGTTAACGGTGTTTGGGAATTTCTGTTACTTTTTACCAGTCGATTTCAATCACTCTGGAGAGTTTGATGAGAATGGAACTTGATATGTTTATATACGCTATTCTCTTTTGCATCTCATCTATGATTGGTTCTGTGTATGTTGAATATGTTTGTTTTCTTCACTTGTGGTCAAAATAAAATGTCTAGTCAGCTTGCTGCTGAAATATTTTATTGCTCCAATTCTATGTTACAGACCAACTCATGAATCTGGTTTCTATTTATTCTCTGGTGACCCCGCTATATAGACTAGGTTAGCTGGCCTATCTTAGGGGTCTGTTTTACCGTAGTTGCTTCTGGGGAGCAGTGGAATTCAGTATTATTGTCACGCAAATCTTGGGACAATATACTCGGTATCGCCATTGTGGCAAATACTAACAAATATTACATGGAATAGCTAGAGCTTTGAAAATTTAGTATAGTAGTGGATTCGTAATCGAAGTCCTCGCTTAGTATAGCTAAATTCTTTTATCATACAGGTCAAGGTTGTTCAGCGCGTAGGTGAATATGTCATAGGGCTAATCTGGAAGAGACTGGAGGCAAGAAACAATACAAGAAAATTAATATTCAGGCAACCGTGGAACTGCTGAAGACCGATAAGTCTCTCTGCAGGACTAGTGGCTGTGCTTAAGGAAAACAGTGTCTGTGTAGGGGCTCGCCGCTCTCCGTTGAGGCGGAAATCCAGTGGGAGAAACCTCACCATACCTGAACTTTAAACATTACCAACATGTATGTATAGATGATCCAAATAACAAGTATTTGACTAAAGGAATTGAATCATGGCAGAGCTGAAGAGAAAATGCACGAATGAAAGAGTCTAATTACTGAAAGGTTACCAAAAGCGGAAAAGACGAACTTGCCCTAAAGCTTACCCAAATAGGGATGCTCTCAGTTAAAGCAAGAAAACTTCAAGATGGAACCATATTTAATGTCTTGTGCTTCAATATCCAAAAACAAGCGTTCTAGTTATTCAATTCATCAACTCAGATTAAGGATTTATCGTCATATCATTATGGGTTTGATCAGAGACGTACTTGGCTCAGCCATGGGAGCCGACCAAGTCAAAAACGGCTTCAACGATCGTTTTTCCTCCCCATTTAACAGGAACTCATTGCCTTCCTCTGGACAACGATAATACTCAACATATTCAAATACAGGTGGAAGACATTCACGGACACAGTCAGGGTCTCCTCAATATCCTCCTGCACTTCCACCAAGAAGCTCCGGATACGACTATCGTGACAGTCAACGTTCCTACCAACAAGACGATTACAGATATGACAGTGACGATTACGATTCCAGACAACCCTATATGAACTTTGTTCAAGATCGAGATCCTCGTCCGTACTCGGTACAACAGGGTCCTCAGGGCTACAACAATAGCTACAATGTTCAAGATTTGGGGTATTCGCGGGGAGCACTTGATGGCTTTCGCCCATTCGCTCTACCTCAGATTACCTATGGAGACGGCCAACCTTTTCTTCGCGGATATAGTGATGAACTGCAACTGTATAATATCTCCTTCAACCAGTTTATGCAAGCTTTGGATGCCATCAATGTCGCTATAATACCAAATCCGGAGGCGCAGATCTTCCAGAAGGGAGCCAATATTGCCGGATGGGTTCCTGTTAGTAGTGTCCTTCTGTTACTTTGTCTCCGAGATATGAATAGGAACTAATCTCGATACTTTTTATAGACCTGGCGCCGCTTCAATCGGCCTCACCGTTGGCCAGATCGGTGTTGGGATTGGTACAGCGATGGGCCATTCATCGGCCATTGCGAAGGTGATGTCAAAAGCCAATTTGGAACTTTTCGTGCCAAATGGTCTTGAGATCTGGTAAGTCTAAGGCTGTCATAACTGAAAAGCACTTTACTCATTTCACGACTAGCATTGGCAAATCAAAGGACGTCGACACCGAAGTTGGAATCTCTTCAAATGGAGGAGCAGGGCTCGGCGCCCAACCAGAAGACAGAGCCGCATTCTACGGCAATCACCTTGCACCTCTCACCAATGTGTTACCACCATTACAGAACAGTGGAGGACGTTCAAATCCTCTTGCAATGCTTAGTCAACAATTCTCGGATAAAGATAACGACAAGAAGATACGTAAAACGCAGGAAAAGCTGGCGAAGGGGAAAGCTGACAAGTACAATGCCCTGGAAAGGAGTCTTCAATGCGTAGGTCATTTCCTCAAAACAAAAATTTAAGGGAAGACCGGGATACTAATGGTTGTTTTAGATCATCGTAAGACGAGCGTCGCGTTCAGCTCTAGACCATTGGCAGCAGATGTTACAGCAGAGTAATGCCGCATTAAGACAGGAACAACAAAATAGACCGGGCAGATATTGAATAGCTACTGTACCCATATCTTCTCAACCTTTTCTTTTATTACTGGTTATGAACTTTGCTCTTTCTTCGAGTTGTCGTTTCTTTTATGGCGAACATTGTGGTGAATTGATTTCTAAGGTTGTAAGTATAGAACGGAGAGGCGCTTGATCTTTTCAATACCGCAAATCTACATGGAAGTCTACTGAGAAACACTTCCTTATAATCTCACTGTTATATCAGTTGAATATCACACTTCATGCAACTTCCCCGTCTTAATATTATACACAAACCCCCTCGCACTCCCCGCCAACTCTTTACGTACGAGAGGAGCAGTCTTGAGCCATTCCAGGTCATCTCTAACATTCTGCTCAATGCTTTTTTGCAGTATAAGTTAGTGCAGACCAGAGGATGAGAGTAATGAAGGGAGTGGGAAATACCTAGTCGAAACAGCACCGAATTCAGTACCAATGATGTTCTCAGTGTTACTCTCTGGATTTCGTTTTTGAATACCTTGGTGGATCATATCATTCGTAAACATGAGCGAGCCACAATCTATACCCTCACAATTATGAGTAAATATCCCTGATAAACTCTGCTGTAATAAAGATCGCACCGGTATGATGAACAATAATAACCTCTTCAAACCCATTAACGCCGAACCCTTCAAATATAAATGTATCTAAGGCAACAAGATCTTTCCAACATCCCTGTGGATGGCCGGCAACAGTACGAAAGACGATGGCATCTCTGGGTGTGAGACCGAAGTACTCCTCGGGAACAACGCGGGGATCACAGCAGCTGATCAGAGCAATCCGGGGAGGTCCCTGTCCTGCGGAACGGCTTTCGGCAAATGTTGGTAGGGGCTTATGGTTTTGAGAGGCTTCGTAGTTGCGGGCTAAAAGGTCGTTGGTGGTTAGCATGGCGTTACTAATTTCGATGGTATGATGAGAATTTGGAAAAGACTCATATTCGGTAACAGTACGATTTTATGAAGATATTTAAACCTCAATACCTGCTCACAAAAATATGCTCCAAAATCTCGGTGGCACAAATTGTTTCTAAAAGGCAACACTGAGCAAAGAATGACTGGGTGTTCCAGAGCAAAAAGATTTCCGGAAAGGGTTGACGCCGCCGATGAGGTCATTGAGAAATGACAGGCCTTAGCCCTAACGTAACTATCTACAGCATATTTATAGCCTTACTTCTGACCTTGTATAAGTATCAAGTGTTGGATACATACCTACACAAACATACAAGACTCTAAATTATATATAGATTGGACCAATGATCACCTATTTCCTAACACCGTTGCGATGCCAGTAGCCTGCCAGAACCATACACGGTGTCTTTTGTCCTCAAACTCGTATTTAACATCCTGTCCTCTTCTCCCCGCCGCATCCCAACATACAATGCGTCAATAGACCACCAGGCATTCTGGAAGAACCTCTGTCGCGGTAACAACCCCTGCAGTTATATGCACAGCAGCCACCTCTAGCTTTGCATGCGCTCTGGACTTGCTCCTGAGTATATCCCAAATGCCCGTTCCGAAAGAGATCAACCTGTCGAACATAACAGCCTTTAGGTTTCTGAAATAGGGAAGCAAAATATTTCTGAGCAATGGCGAACCATTCACCATCGTATCTCTGTATTCGTTCCTGGCTCCTCAGAAGTGCTTCTTCCTCCTTTTCGGTCAGCTTGCTGTCAATATTTTTCAGATTCTCAAGACGATTTGCGATTTCGATGTCAGCGAGTTCTGCTTGAACCATAGCCAGGGCTTTGGCTTCCAATTCCATAAACTCGTTGAACCAATCCCTTCCACTGCCCACTACGGTAAAAGAACTCGGCTAATTTGACGACGTTCTGTAACCGGTAGGCTTTAATGGGGCGACGACGATCGAGGAAAACTTACTCGATTTTCGAGAACATTTTCCCGGAACCGGTATCGAAAGCGAAATAAGAGACTGTAGGTACCGTGAAACACGTCAGTAATTAAATAAACAGACCGCCTAGGTGTGCATGAGTCGGAAACCAAGGGAGTAAGGAAGTAGCCGTGAAGACGTACGTTCAGAACGGCGACTCAGGGATCTGTAAGTCTCTAAAGAATAGCTATCTGATGGAGAGTAGCAGAAGGATAGTTGACTATGCAAAAACACGAGATTGAAAATGCGTCAAAGGTCTTAGGGGGGAAGTTTTGCTCATATACTTGACACAGGCAGCAACTTCCGTGACGTCCCTACTTGCCATAGACCTAATACGCATAATCCTAAGTCCATGGTTCTGAAACCGAAATTTATCCAAGTGCTGGATGGAATGTGTGACGATAGATCCTGCTTCCTATGGATATTATCCACCGTAACAATCAATTACATCAATAAGTGTACAATTTTGCCTACTTAGGAGGTGAATGGTGCATCAGTCCTGTTGCCTAAATAGGTTCTCAGCATAAGAACCAGGGTTTTATATGAGCGGATTAAGAAATGAGGTTGTCTTCAACTCTGGGTTTGGACTTCCAAAATATTCTTTATACTTCATCTTTGACTTCACGAGTAGTTGCTTCAATACCTCGAAGATATTGTTTAGTGGGTAGTAGAGTCCCTCTTTCAAAATCCTGTAAGCAGTTTCCGTTCACCCCAACTCCCACCGTAGATATCCTAACCTAGCGCCTTCGTTCAAGGGGTCACATTGAAATGCGTAAACCATATATCCACTGCTAGAATTCTAGTGGGAGGCAATACTGAACAAAGAATGACTGTGTGGTTCTATACTGGACGGATAGTCAGCTATGTTGCAAAGTCGATTGTAGCCACAAGTCAATTGCTTCCACTATACTGCTTAGGTATTGTTCTGATGTAATTTATAATGAATTAATCTATATTTCGAAAGGATAATTGTCAGGTATAGCTGCAGAGTCCAGCTTTGGGACGATTAATAGACCGGTCACAGAATTTCCTAATTAGGAAATTCGCCTTACAATTCTTGGATTGGACCCGGGGTTCCATTCAGGCATGAGCATTAGCAATACGGTTATTAGCATATAGATGAAGTAGAAAAATGAGTAAGCCTAGAACTACTGCGAAGAAGTGCCCGATCCCAACGCAAGAGTGCTTCGTTTGTAACAGACCGCGCATGCTGCTCAATTAGGGTTGGAGCATGACAGAATACTCTTCCTACCACCGTTTGACATATACTCAATCAACAGCAGCAACACACAAGAATAACAAACGATGCTGACCTATGCTAGTGCATGATTGGGTACTCGGGATGTGTCAGGTGATCTGGTAGAGCATATATAAGTCAGCTCGGAGCTCCTCCCCCTTCTTCTTCCTTTCTCTTCCTTCATCATCTCAAATGAGATTCTCATATGGGTTTCCATTAGCACGACCTGACACATGGTTCTTTCATCTTCATCTTCATCTTCAAATGCCTAAACCCATAGGGTTCTTTGAGATTGGGTAGCTTCTTCTTCCCCTCCTGATAGCATCAGCGTTGGAAAAGATCTACGGCTTTTTTTACACTCTATCAAATCAAAAATAGCAACAATAATGAAATTTCGGTTCTATTGTTTCTGATACTCGTCCTGCTGTTTGGTAAAGCGTCAGCCGCCAATACAGAGGACGATCAAATTACGGCACCAGACAGAACCCAATACAAATATCACGGGTAAGTTCTAGTATCTAGTATTGAGATTTACGATTGCTAATTTATATTGAAAGTGCGCATAAATTCTTCCGGGAAAATCTCTGGACCCTGTTTGGAATCATCGCATTGTTACTTGTGGTTTCGACTGTTCCTAAACGTTGGTTAGTATTTATTCTACCAACCCATTTTCTAAATCTGATTACTCACTGATATCTCATCTATAGGAAGCAGCCAAGACCATGTGGCGTTGCTGGGTCTGGTGTTATCGGAAGAAAGACAGCAAGGATATCGATATGGGGACGACGTTGGCCCTGCCGGACCACAATTCCCAGCCAGAAGGATGGAGAAGAGTCTTTGATAACGGGATGAAAAGGATGCGCTGATGGGTTGCGAGGCCAGATTGACAGATGATTGTGCGTATGGTTATCTATTTCCTGTGTATTTCAACTGCGATGCTTGAGCCTTTCTCTGATTGAACGCCATATAGTTGATCTAGTATGTTAGTATATTACCTATAGCTAGGAATGTTGATTATCTCGAGTTAGGGGATTCTCTATGTTAACGACGGATGCTCTCCTGAGTTCAAGACTACATACTCCCTTCGACCATTCCAATGCCAATAGTCTGCCAGAATCCCACACACTTATGTTTCATGACGTCTGGGACGAACACCCCGGCATCCTCATAAACAGTAGGTTCGCGATGGGGAGTCAGATGATCCGTCTGTAACCCTGTCTGGGCTTCATCTCCGTAAATTAATTTGTCCTGGTGTCCTTCCAGGTTTCTATTAAGCATTGACACCTGGCCGGGTAGCCAACAGTTCTGGAATGATAGATATCTCCAGTGTACTCATTCGTCGACTGACCATACAGTAGTACAGTTGATACTGTATTAAAGGCTAAAACGCGCAGGACCCGTCTTAGTTCTCGTGATATACCAAATTTGCATGGAGACAAAGCTAATGCGGATAACGAGTCCGAAGACCATATCATCCCTCTTCAGGTTTTAGTATCTGTATGTTGTCTTTGCTGGTCGGCTAGGCACCGACTAAGATAAGAACTCCAGATGAGGGGAACTGGATATGCACCACTAGTGACACGTACAACAAGTTAGTCTGATATGGATCTGGTTCTAAGTGCAATGTACAAAGCTGTTTTCTGCATTTATTAACTGCAACCATGTGACCTGAGACCCATCAATAGTACTCATATGCATGAATCGTTCCCGATGTGGGTGTTCCTTGTTCTATCTCAAGCTCGTTACTTTCCTTTTCTACCTCGGCAAGGTATAAGGGCATGTATTCAGTATCTCACATCATAAATGAATAATAGTATCTTTCTCTCTGATTTAACCTGCTGGTTCGCATTTTGCTAGTCATGAAAATGGATGCGCCGCCAACCTCCCTTCCGACAGTCGACATAACCCCATCAGCATTACTCCAAAGCACAGAAGATATCGTAAACCGGATACAAAACAGCACAGCCAATTTAGTCGACTCAGCCTCCCCACAGCAAGTAAATTTCGATAACACGATACGCCCACTAGCTAAGATTGATAATGATGTCAAATCGAGCGTCCAATACATCGCACTTTTTCAAGCAGTTTCTCTATCTTCTGAGCTTCGCGGAGCATCTTCAACTGCCGTTAGTATCATAGATAAAGCATACCTGGCCATATTTCAGCATGAGGGCCTTTTTGGCTTAGTCGATACAGTTTATAGGAGTCCTTCCTGTCTGCAAGTGGATGAGGAAGATAGTAGACTTCTGGACAGATTCCATAGGATGTTTGTGGACAATGGAATTCAATTGGTTGGCTCGGTTCGCGAGCGTTATAGCTGGATTTCACGTTGTTTGATTGACCTCCGAATAGCCTTTATGGATAATCTGAGAAACGATCCAGGATGTGTCTGGAAGACTAAATATGAGCTGGAGGGTGTTTCTTTGGCTGGACTGGAGATAGGTTCAGATTCACGATATCGCATTCCTCTCACACGGCCTATTATAGGTTCAATCCTGGGTAACTGTCGTGATGCTAATACTCGCGCGGAAACTTTCCTCAAAAGCCAGACGTTATATCAGGAAAAGAATGTACCCATTTTCCGTGAGATTATGATCTTGAGAAATGAAGCCGCAAGATTACTTGGATTCTCTTCTTTTGCAACCCAGAAGTTGAGGAGTCAGCTTGTGAAGTCGCCAAATAAAGTCTCCAGTCTGCTGAACGAGATTAGCCTTGCTCTGCAGCAATTGGCACAGCAGGAGGTGCGGATCTTGCAACAACGACTAGACACTCCACTGCGTCTTTCAGACTTTGATTTCTATCACAATCAAATGTTGAGAAAGGAGTACTACATCGGCCAAGAACTGCTTGCAGAATATTTCCCGGGAGAGGTTACTGTGAGACATATGTTGGATATATTCGAGACATTGTTTGCCCTAGCAATCAAAGAACTTGATGAAATCCCGCAAAACTGCAAATGGCATCCCGATGTGACGGTTTATGAAGCTTGGGAGGCAAACAAATCTGTCTTTATTGGATATCTTGATATCGATATCTATCCTCGGCCGGGAAAGTATAATCATGCTGCAAATTTTAATATTTACCCTGTAAGTGCTGCATGGGCCCTGGAATGTTTTCTGCCTGACTCTCTCGTAAGAGCTATGTAGGTCCAGATGGGAAGCGGACTCCTGTTGCCTCAGCCCTGGTATGTAATGTTTAAGGACCTCCGATGGCCAACCGGCCCTTCTGCAGCATCGAGAAGTGATTACAATATTTCATGAGCTAGGTCATGGTGAGTCCCCATATCCTTCGGGATCTCTCCTTTTATGTTACTTGAGCTGACCATGGTTGCCAGAAATACACGATCTCCTAGGAAAATCAAAGTACACAATGTTCCATGGTCACCGAACAGTTCCGGATTTACTGAGGCACTTAGTCAATTACTCGAATACTGGTGTTGGGTTCCGGAGTGCCTCAGACGTCTCGGTTGTCATTACTCCTATCTTTCGCCCGAGAACTATAAGCATTGGGTGACGGCAAATTTTAGGAAAGATACTACGCGACCTCTAAAGGAGATTCCTGATGAGATGGTAAACAATCTCCTAGCAGCTAAGCAGCTGAACCAGGGTATTCTTACCTCAAGACAGGTAGCCTTCAGCAAATTTGATATGCAAATCCACAATCCAGTCTCGCACGATGAGATTGAAGCGATTAATTTCTCCGAATTGTACAACTCACTACTTCAAGACATGACTGGCCTTCAATGGCCGAATGATGAGTTGAAATCAGGGAGTGGCTATGCTACCACTTCTCACTATATATGGGGACAGGAAGCTAATTACTACTCCTACCTTTAGTATTTCCTTGTCCCTAGACTTAGTGTAATTAAATGTACTAATCAGCCTTCAAAGTACCCGAATTCTAGCAGCGGACATATGGTTTACGCATTTCCAGTCCAACCCCTTGAGCCGAAATGCAGGCCTACGATATCGAGAAATGATTTGAGACCATGGTGGAAGTAGGGATGAATGGAAGTTGCTCACGGACTTTTTAGGGAGGGTTCCTACCATTGATCCCTATCTTCGAGACATTGGGGGAACTCTTCATGGAGACAAAAAGGAGGCATAGAGAATAGAGATCTATGAATGCTTCACGGAGCGGCTGTGATTCAGAAGAACTCCTGAAGTCGATTTCATTTCGTCCACGGCTAGAATATCTACCACCCACGCTCGCCCTTCCTGCTCACTTGCAAATCTAAATATGCGGAACAATCTATCAATTCGATGACTACTCGCTTAAAGAAGACATGTCAGACATTTTACTTTAACCAAAGTGTGTGTACATTGACCAATATTGCTTCAGCTTTCTTCGACCAGACTACACGTACGTCAAGCCTCCATCAACGGATATGTCTTGCCCAGTCAGAAACGAACTTCCCGGACTGGCGATAAAAGCCACCACATCCGCCACTTCTTTGACAGTTCCATTCCTCTTGATGCTCTGTTCCACCCGAAACTTCTGTATCAAGGGATGCTCCTCAGGAGGCGCCATATCGGTGTCAATGGGACCCGGCAGAATGGTGTTGACTGTAATTCCTTTACCACCGAGCTCCTCGGCCCATCCGAGAGCCATTGCACTCAACGCTGCTTTGGTCCCGGCATACAATGCGGCAAACTGACTGCCGCTCCGAGCCACAACGCTGCTAATATTGACGATCCTTCCTCCTGGTGCTGCCAGATGGGGCAAAGCAGCTTGGACAAGAAGAAAGGGCCCACGAGTGTTTGCGTGGAAAAGAGTGTCGAAGTCCTCGGTCGGAATGGATGCAGTATCGAGATGGAAAAGTCCTAGTCCAGAGTTGTTGATGATGATGTCGATCTTTCGACCTGGAAATGCAGCAGTGGTCGCAGAGATGATATCTTTCCCAAACGTAGTACCGGATGCATCGCCATGAACAGCGATGGCTTTGACGTGTCGAGACTCAAGTGTCTTCACATTTTTGAGAGCAGATTCCTTGTTGGTGTTATAGTGGAGGACGATCTGGTCACTGTCAGCTCTAAAGTTCATAAAGTTTAAGCAAGTTATCCAACATACGTCTGCACCCTGTTCAGCAAGCGCAGTTGCAATAGCAAAACCAATTCCGTTCTCTTTCCCACTGCCAGTGACAATAGCCAGTCTGCCCTTAAGAGATCCCTGAGACGACATTTTGACTGTAAGATGTTCTCGATTCCGAGCAGAAGGAATTTTCTAATTTTGAATGAAATTGGCGTTTTTAAATGTACGGTGTGTTGTTCTGATTTCCCTAAACCTATGGTGGTGATGTGGTATTTATATACTTACTATCAGAAGGTTAACAGCTAGAGTTGAGCAACTAAAAAGGATCATAGAAAATTCAAGCACCAATGAATCATCAGCTCATTTGCTTTGTAAAACAGTGTAATCTAAGTCGAAGACTACCAATGATTCCAAATCATGCATACGCTTTATTAGCAGCTCGCCGAGCTCGCCGAGCTCGCCGAAGTCAGCCAAGGTGCCAGAAACTGCTGAATAATTCAAACTCCCAGACTAGTTGGATGCTTACAGTGTATCTTCTGGATTTTTCCACCTGAATAATGATGATCTCAGGAGGAAACCCTGTGTTCTACACCGGCAGAGGAAGCTCGATTGGAAATGGTGCTCGGCGAGCCCTAAGAACATGATAGCGACCTATTAGCAATCCATGACAGTTTTCATTGTATGTAAAAGTGTTGAAGGAGCTTGAAGTATTTAAGACTTGCAACTGCGGCCCAAATCATATTTTATCTCCAAATAATCCAACCGAGTACGTTCCAACTTTCACAACAATACTTCTCTACCTTTAGCAGAAGCTCCTTACACGCCATTATTGATCAGTATAACTATAATATCTACTGACAACACCATGTCCAAATTAATTGTCGTGACCGGTATCACCGGCGTTCAGGTACGTCTGGAGAGTACCTAGGTCTCAGGAACGAACTGCACTCTAATATGCGAATAAGGGGGGCTCCGTAGCCAGAACCTATCTAAACACACCTGGATGGAAAGTACGTGGTGTTACCCGCAATAAGTCCTCTGAACGTGCCAAGTTCTGGGCTTCCAATGGAGTAGAAATGGTGGAAGCAAACCTCGACGACATCTCTTCGCTCAAGTCCGCTTTTCAAGGAGCCAACATCATTTTCGGCGTTACTGACTTCTGGACAATTTTCAAAGACCCGGAAAGTATGACGAAGAAGAAACCCAGCCAAGATATAACTGAATATTGCTTCGAAGTTGAGCTTCAACAGGGGAAAAATCTTGCAGATAGTGCGGCCAGTATCCCGGCCTTGGAACGATACATATTCAGCTCAATGGCAAATGCGATAAAGTCCAGTTACGGGAAGTACCGTCAACTATATCATATGGATTCAAAAGCTTTTGCTGCAGATTATGCGAAGAGTCTCCCTGGTCTGAATGGGAAGTTCTCTCAAATTCAGGCTCCGATATATTTCAATTTGTTGTGGGAATGGGGCCTTCCCACGACCCCTATCAAGGTAAAACGCAAATCGACTAACAAAGAGAACATTATTAACTGACTTGATGAAGAATACGGATGGAACCTACCGCATCAAGGGCATCGGGAGTGGCGATGCCCCCATCCCGTTCGGACATGTTGCTAAAGACTTTGGCCCCTGTGTACGAGCGGTAGCAAACGCGGAACCAGGCATAAACCTTTTTGCCGTTGGTGAAGAACTCTCGTGGAACCGATACCTTGATACATGGTGTGGATCCCAAGGCGTCTTGAAAGGCGGATACGACGAGCAGTCTCTGGACTGGTGGATGGAAAAGCTTCCCGGTCTTGGGAGGGAGTTTGGAGAGAATGTTCTTTTTAGTACGGAATTTGGGTACGCTGGAAATGACCCCAGTGTCATTCGTCCTTCTCAGGTATGTTTGAGACGGCCACCGTTGTTGAAGGGAATATGGCTAACGTTTAGATATAGCTTGGAGTGAAGATGACTACCTTTAGAGAGTATTGTGCCGAGACTGACTTCTCTCGTATACTCTAGAAATTGCCAAAATCTGGAAATCACGACTAGCAATTTATTCTGCCTTCTTGCGTATATAGATACCTAGGCAACAACACGGGTTGGAATAACCCTGGAACTACATGCATTGACAATATCAAGACATTTGCTTTCATATGTGCTGTACTAAATATATCCCTAGATTCTAGGTAGCCGAGAGGTATTCATATGACCATGATAAGCCAATATAAAAACATTGAAACGACGTATCATAGAATTGACGTTGTAAGCTAGACATGGTTTTTCTTCAAATCAGTGTACAATCTACCACGCCTGATTATCTATCGTCTGGTCATAGAAGTCATCAAGTATGCCAGGATCTGGGTTTAAAGGGAATTCGGGGTCCACCCTTTGACCGAAGATGGGATCTAATCCATGCATAGCTGCATCTGACTGAGCCTGCCACATATCATCATTATTGTTTGTTAGGGCATTTCCATTGTCAACTCCCAGGGCTTCATCACGACGAATTTCGGCCTCACGTTTGAGAGCAAGAAGCGGTTTCCATAGGACACTTTGGTCGTCTCTCCGCTGACCAAAGATGAGATTTATCTGAGTCCAAGAACGCTGCACCTCGAGGTCTTCTTGCTCTGTGTGCTGAGACAGATATATCAAGATCGTTGACGCAAGATGCCATTTAGTAGTTTCATAGAAACTGTGAAAAACCCAGTCCCAGTAGTGTGCGGAATAAACACCTTGGAGAGAGCGGGCCATTTCCGAAATATGAAGAGCTTTTCGAAACAGCTCTCTGCGCAGTTCACATGTCGCCCATATCCTGTGTTTCAATAAGGATCGCCTTGCGATAAACCAGAGATATTGAAAGGTAAGATCCATCAAGTCTTTCGTAATTCGGTGTATCGGTTTGTCCAAAAGATTCTGGGAGTAATAGACCAAAATCTCCGATTTTGCATCCTGCAATACCTGATCGCATTTAGCTAGGTAGGCTTCCTCCGAGCCATGTTCTGGTATATTCGTTTCAAGCATGGTCCGCTCCAGCGCGGACAGTTTGTAAGAAACTAGAACTGGGACCATTTCGGTCCAACCAGAAATCGCGACGGGCAACTTGCGGCTGAACTCGCAAGCATCCCAAGCAATATCCGGCGAGTTTTGTGGTAGCTTTGTAGCATTTACCTCAAAAGCTGAAACAGGAAATGGCTCGATGCCGTGAACTTGAAGAGCTCGCACGTTGATCATACAGAGGTAATGCCATAGTCGACGGCGGATTTCCACGGCATAAGGACTCAAACCGAACGCCTCTCCGTCCTTGTGTATACCCAGCCGGGTTGCTATGTTCAGAGATAGGCCGCTCAAGGATGTCCACTCGAGGCCTGAGATGTCTATTTCCGAGAGTAACGTAATGTATAAAGCAAATGTTGTGAGCGCCGTCAAGGAGTGGGTAGAAAGAATGCTGATTCTCTCAAGGCCCCTCCGAGTGGTGGTAATGTACCGGTTGATTACGATCTCTTTCGATTCGGCAAAATAGACCAGGACATCCTCTTCATGAAGTGAATGCACGGAAAATGCATATATAGAGGAGAGAAGTGTCTCAAATTCTCCTCTCTGGGACACGAATGATTCTTCCTGTCGATAAAATTGGTCCAAATCAAGCCTGAAGCGAGGTTTGTGGAAGAGGCGAATAAATGGATCGACATTCTTTAGGTAGTGATTGATGAGAAAATCCGATACTTTCCTAGGCGTTATGTACATTCCTAAGTCAAGGAATTGTTGAGGTTGGATGAAAAGTGAAGTAGGATCTTGTAATCTTCTTTCAGGAGCAGCTTTATCCAGTAGAAAGCTGAGACTTTCAACCTAATCCGAGAGGCTTTTAGCATCTTTGACGATTGTGTATGATAGCAGGAGAGATGGTCAACTCTCACCTCATCGTAAAGACCAGCCCAAAATGTCTCTTTAATATACCTCGTATGTGCATCACGGAAACATAGTTTTCCGGTATGAGACGACTGATTTTCTCGCTCGTTGATTCTATGCAATCTTCGGAGAGAGTCTTCCAACGTATTAATGATACTTTCCACTCTAACCCCGCTGACGGAACTATCATGAAGGCTCTGGTCAGTATTTCGCGGGCCTTTAGTCAGCTTCGTGATGGAATCCTGAAGATTCATCAATCTCCTGAGGAGATCAGCATTGACAGAACTTGTGTCTCCTGTTGGATCTTCATTGTAATGACAATCGATCTTGGCCCGAGCACAGTTTGTACAAGGTTGAGTCTTGGAGCATCGAACTTTACGACGTCGGCAAGTAGCGCACGGAAGATTTTTTATAGGGGTCTCCATGGCCTAAAAGCTGCTTTTCATCAGGAAGAAAAAGACGAAGCATTCGCTTCAACGCTGATTAATCCGCCGTAGGTCTAGATATTGCTGAAATTCTAACCCTGAAACCCCACTATAACAAACAGAGGGCCACCACATATCCGTCAGTATATCAAATGTAAATCTGATTTATCATTTATGTAGGGTGGGTGATCCAGCGACACCCCACGTGACTTAACTGTACTGATTGGACATCTTTTTGTGACATGTGATCAGAAAATCAAATTTCCTTCCAAGCATTGCCATATTAGGCAATAGGGTCTAGGGTTAGGGCTAGATCTGACTATTCTTATCCGTTCGGACCATTTCCTAATGCTTGTTCCAAGCAATAACAGGCACACGAGTCAGTAATAGTATTCCCCCTGGAGACAGAAGCCTTAGGGGCCGGAGCCCCGAACAGAGCCTAGCTTTTAACATAATCATTCCCTTTTCCTCGCTCCAAGCTGCCCCTAACGCGTAGGGCATTGTGACGGCTTAGCTTCCGCGGGCTTGGCACCGCACGTCCCTTATTGACTATGATAGGGAATCCTTGTATGGAGATCCTCGTTATAAGTTCTCAATCGGCATTGTTCTTTGCTTTTGATACATGTCGATTCCATGTTGGGACACCAGCTAGGCAATAGAGAATTTGTATGAGACGGGCCGCAGGATCAATGAATGAGAATGGAGGCTAAAAATACGGACTGTTTCCCCTCGATAGAATAGTTTCTTCTTCATACTCAGTTTCTTCGTCGACACAGCACCCTAGGAATAGAAATACTATCTATTTGGATTGGCTCATCGTCACAGGCATTCGAGGTGCCTCCAGACGCCGAATACCCAAGCGACCGTACCTTGTTCGTTACGTTTGGGCGCATTTAAAAGAGCCCTAGTGCGAGGTGCAAGTCGTGTTCTTAAGCGGTGGTGTGTTAGGGCTTCGTTAAGTTTGTTTCCAGTGAGGATAATGAAATTAGTGGGAACGGGGATGACGAGACCAACGAGAATCAGATCAGAAGAAAGCAAGGGACGTGGCTGTGGCCAGCCGGCGCCATGGCTAGGCGATAAGAATGAGTAACAAGCAAGGAAGCTGTAATTTCTTTTCTGAGACAAGTATCTAAGTTGACTGAAATGTTGTATGATTAAATTAGCAGGAAAAATGACAATTGATAGTGATGTGATAGACCTGGCCCTATCCAATCAGTACAGCTAAGCCACATGGGTGTCGCTAGATCACCACCCTTTATGTATAGGAAGCTATCTCATAGACTATACTGCGGGGACTGCATACTCCTATGCTGAAGTAGTCATAGACGAGCTTTCTATAGCCAGGAAGAACTGCTCTGTGCGTTATAACCGGGTTCTTATTTCTCATGACGGTAGTGCCCAGACACTCTAAGCTCGGTCCGGCAGATCTAATGGCGCTGGTGAAGGCCGACCACCCATTACTTCCTTCAGCATTGAAGTCAACATAGCATTGATCCGGAGAAAATAAAGAGTTCCAGTGTGCGATTTTTGCCTCGGTGCCACACGAAGTTTAGTCCAGTAACTGAGCACCCATGAACTACGTCGTAGACTGAAGCATCGTGGGTCAGTCAACAGGCGAATGATATCCACAATGTGTTTCTTGGGGGCAGCTGGGAGAACGACTTGTTCCTCCTTGGTTTCATTCCCAGTGCAAAAAATATGGGTGTCTAGCATTCCATCGTCGTCTCCAAGGCTTGGGTCAACCCCTGCATCCAGTAAGGCATTGACTGCGTTAATATTCCCACTTTCAATACTCAACTTGTAATTAAGCTAGCTTTCGCACTATTTCATGTGGAGTTTCTTTTGTTTATACCATGAGAGGTGTGTGACCTATACAGCTCAACTGGTCCCCAACTGAACCTGATCTATCTGCGAGATGTTGGCGAATTCGGTCCATATCTCCTTCATGACAGGCGGCCATGAACTGTAAGTCTGCGGGTTCTCGATTCTGCATCCTAATAAAATTCGGAATTCGCATCTGTAGCTGAAGGTCGATGTTTCTTGACCAGATCCATGTGGGGAATTGGCAACCAAGAAAGATATCGGATGGCCACCCCAGTAACTCTCGCTTTCCGATGCTTGTAGTGTCGATGCATAGCCTCCATATGTACGTAAACGAAACGTGTAACACTAAATATACTGTGTCACGCTGTTTTACGCTGGGCCCGGCTTCGGGATTGATGCGGAATCGCTCGCTAAGCACCGAGGCGGGAATGATTCAAGTTTTAGGAGCCGACTGATCAGCCGAGCTCTCCGTTGGCAACCTCTTACGGCCATAGAAATTAGCTGGTTGATGAGGGCAAGAGATGGCCAGCTCATTGGGATGCTGTTCAACGAGATTTCTGATCTTCGCGACGATTGATCCAGGCTCGTCTAACAACTCCTTACTAGAAGTCTGGCTTAACTCTTTCATGACGAGGAGGGGAGAGAAGATTGTATGTATAGCGCCAATATGTTCAGAATGGCCGCAGCGCAAGCACTGTCAGTTAATCACAGTTCTGAATCCGATTTTGAGAATAGGGGTGCTTTAAATGGAGATGTGGGGAGGGAAACTGCAGTGTTAAAATAAAGGAGAGCTTTGATGTAAGGACGCCACCTGAACGTAGAAAAAGCAATGCTACACGAGCCTAAACAATAATGTGTACAGGAATATAGAGTCCAAATTACAGCTTCATCGCCAACAGATACTCCCTAATCCCTTCACCAATCCCCTCCGGAGTCGGTTTTTGAGCGACTACATCCGGCTCAAAGCTATATTTCGTAATCAGATGATCTCTAGTCGTGGGACCAATAGTAATTATTCGGCAATTTCTCCTAGAGTCGTTGATCGTGTTGTTATTTTCGTCGAGAATATTCAATGTCCGTAGAACAGCGTTGCAGCCAGTAGGGGAAAATATAACTGTCCATAGAGGTATTCGAACATCCTTCACCAGCTCCTCTCCCTTGCGAACGACATCCTGTAATGTGGTTTCAAACCCTTCCATTTGAGTCGTTTCATAAACCACCAGTTCATCAACATTAATTTGTTGACTCTCATCCAGGTCTTCACTCATGAGTGTTTTAGGTATAATGTCTCGTCTCTGTTCGCCAACTAGGAATAGTAGTCCCGGTTTTTGGCTGTGCGTTTCTGCTGTTGATGGATAGCAGCTGTTATAATGTTCGAGTATCAGATGTGCCAGATCTTCACCATTCCCGGCTTCGTCACCGTATATCGTGGCGAACGGTAGATATTTATCGCGAATGGGAGTCAGGGTGCGGGTTGTCGCTGGTCCGACAGTGTATAGAATCAGATCTTTTGAGGTGGAGGTTGTTATTTTAGCTGTGAACAGTTAGTTACCCATACCTTCACCATACCAATGATTGGACATACTTGGTATACCCTCATGCTCTAATATATGCCCCATTGCTTCCACTGCCCTTTGACTAGTGAATATGATTCCACCGTATTTCTTTCCTTGCCCCAAAAAAGCATTGTTCAGGGGTTTCCCATCACCCTTGTTGACCGCCGTCGTAGGCATGAAATAGGACTTGACAATTTCCGAATTCTCTGGATGGAATCGATGTGATAGCACAGGCACAAATATTGGATCATATTTTACCTTCTCGAGATCATCATCTGCGATATCGTCATCAACCGAAGACTCCGTTTGTTGCTGTTGTCGGATGGCGAAAGTATTATTGCGAAAGTACTCCTCGTACAAATCTCGCGGGGTCGAGGGTGTCTTGAGAAGAAAGACTGGAGGCAGCTGTGACCTAGAAGATTCATCGCTGGTAGACTGCTCCATCTTTTCTATTCTCTGGTCCTGTGCTTGCTCTGTGGTCGTCTATCGATTGTCGTGTTTGGTATAGTTAGGTATATCGCACTATCGTACTGTGTCATGCACAGCAGAGTCCCGGTGCTAGAATCATAGTGATACTTGACTGGCCAATTGCTTTTTGTCAATGCCGACTTTATGAAGAGAAGTTGTCGGGATAGAGTTGGAAGAAATTAAACTGCGGGGTGCGGAGATCTCCACTTAGGATTTGTCAGGGTTATACTTCAACGACATCATACGACAAATCATATAACTTAGCTATGATACAAAGGTACACTGATATAAAATTAAACATGGGGGAATATCTTTCAACAGTCATATCTCAAACTCCTTCATCTTCTCTCTTCGACCGAAGACATCAGTGACAGTCCTTCTCGAGTTACCAATCATCAAGGCATAAAAACATATAGAACATCAGATTCAACTAGTTGAATTACATATCAAGCATCTCCTCAACATAGTCCTCCAGATTAATCATTCGAAACCGTTTCCCCCATTTCGCACGGAATTCCTTCCGTTTATAGGCAAAACTAGTATTCATCGCAAAGCTAACCAACTCGACACTCCAACCTTTCTGCAATGCCCGTTCGACCATTCTCAGAAATCCGCCTGAATACTCAGCTTCCGCTGCATCCCCAGTGGCAAGGACAATGGTTGCCGGTTCATCCGAATCAATCAGACTTTCCAGCATTTTCAGGTGTAGAATTTCGTCTACACACTGTTCTACCCATCTTTCAGAAGGCGAAGGGCCCATTTCAGGGCTCGTCCCGGGGTCAAGGGCATTGCGGAATTTGAGTTGTCGAGGGGTGTATTCTTTTGCTTTGTGAACGCGGCTGAGGATGTTGACCTCATAACCGAGTTTTTCGGCTTCGTTGATAGCGGGGAATCGGTCGGAGCCTGCAAGTACCTTTTTGGCTACAGGCCGGCCGCGTTCGAGGATAAGTGAAAAATTGTGAAAAGACAATGGCAACCGTTTGATATGCGTGGTGACAGGAATATTGTGTTGGATCTTGTAACTGTCATGGAGACCAATGGAAATATTCGATGCATCAACAAAAATATGAACAGCGGGTGACTGCTTTGGAGCATTAAAGATGGATGGCGGACTGATTGTGAAATCCGGGAATTGTTTGCTCAGTTTAGAGATTAGCTCTGCTTTGCGTTCTACTGCAGATTTGTAGCGAGAGGTGGGCAACTTCTTAGCCTTTGGTGTGTAAGCTGATAATGTGCTGTCCTCTTCGCAAGAGGAGGGTGGCGTTAATAGCGGTTGACTTTTAGCGGTGCGAGCGACCTGAGATGGGATGAGTGACAAGGCTGACTTGGACGAAACAGTGGAGTCGAACACGCTGGCATCACCATCAGATTCGGTTGTAGAGTCTGATAGGGCACCAGATGCGGTGGAACTATCTTGTGTAATAGCCTTGCTAGGTCGTTTTAATATCGATATCGGTTTGGATGGAGATGGATAGGTCTTATCCAGCGATTGTCTCTTAGGCGTAATCGGAGCATTTTTGCCGTTTACTGCGGGCGGATGCAAAAAGTCCCATAGTGCGGTGAAATCACCGAGGCCATGATCTCGGGGGTTTTGCCGCAAAACATCTGCCTCATTGTCAGATAGGGAAGGATCCGGAGACCCCCGAGTTGGATTCGTCTGAGGTCTGGTCGGGGTATACACGAGATCAATCACCGCAGTGAAGTCCCAAGCTGAGGGACCATCCGACGATTGCATGGGAATGATGGTCCGTTAAAGTATAGAAATCGAATTGTACTGTTATATGGATAGGGCGTTGTGTTATGTCAAGTTGCGTTAAGTTGCGAGGGGCTATGGTCTAGCTTGATCGGAGGTTCATATCGATGATGCGATAACGCGTTGAATGTGATGTCACGGAATATGAGATAGCTGCGAGATGCTGTACAGCATTGTAAAATTGCGAAAACTTCGATCTATGTCTAATTGTGTATTTGGATGATTGATGTTGTTGAGTCACTTGTTGGTACCCGATGGGTGGCAAGGCGGACTTGGCTATCAGCACGTAATTCTAATACAAACCTACCAAACTCGATAAGCCGGTGAATTGATGTTCCGGACCGTCACAATAACCCTAATTCTCCGAAGAGGTCGACCCAATCTCTCGACATAACTATCACATTTTACCAAGTCATTATCAAACATTCTAGATAAGTCATTGCTTCTCGGTTAAAGGAAACTCATGTTTACCTGCATGATGCCGAGAGGAGAGCTCGTGGGAACCTATATTCTATGGCATAGATACGGATGGAAAGAATGTAAAGAGGCCTGCTCAACAGCAATCTTATGAGTACAGGAATCGCTACTCTATACGACAGTTGCGTTAAGATAAATTAAATCATGATCCCTCGAACTTGACCCAACCCAGAAGCTGTACGCCCCGGTCTCAACTTCCCACGCCATATGGCGATAATAACCAAGATCCCAGGTAGGCACGGTGAAGTCCACAGTGACTGTCTCTCCAGGAGCAAGCTCTATCTTCTCGAAACGGATCAGTTTCTTGACTGGGGTCTCAATCACCGAGAACTCTGGACGAAAATATAGCTGCACGACTTCCTTACCAGTCATGTTTCCTGTATTCGTTATGTCCACCGTCAAATTTATTGACTCACCGGACGATATTTGAGCATTGGAATATTTGAAAGTGGTATAACTCAAACCATATCCGAAAGCCATAGTGGGTGGGGTAGGCAAAGATGGGAATTGCCACGCTGTGGTGAAATTTCCCGGTGCAATACCAGCAACTCCTCCTTGGTTATCAGAAGGAAGGTAGTTATAATAAACCGGTATTGTTGAGGATGATTGCGGCATGCTAATGGTTAACTTGCCGCTGGGGTTCACCTCGCCTGTTAATATTTCCACGAGGGCATCGGTCGTATACTCTCCGCCGAGGAAAGAATGCAGAATAGCATTAGACTGGAGAGTATGATCATTCAACACAAAGGCTTGGCCGCCACTAAGGATGACCACAGTCGGTACACCAGTGGCCAGAATTGCATCGAGAAGATCTTGCTGCCGACCAGGAAATCCCAGGTCGGCGTGAGTGAAAAATTCCCCATCTCTGCGCTCGTTAAAGAGAGGATCAGCCGTGATTACTGAAAGGGATCCCAGCATAAGGACGGCCAAACCAGCCTCCTTCGCAGCTTGAACGGCAGCTTTGATTCCTGACGTATCGTTGCCGATGATGTCTGCTCCCTGCGTAAAGCTTACGCGGTCAAAGCTGAATGCAGAAACCATGCTCTGGTAAAGTGACTTTCCGAACGATCTATCAGTGGAGTTATTGGGGGCGTACGATCCTGGATTGATGATATTGGCGAATGGCCCTATGATCGCTGTTTTGGGCCACGTGCCATTCTTGTTCTTTGTCAAGGGGAGGATGCCATCGTTTTGCAGGAGGACGATTGATTCTCGAGACATGTTTCTATTGATTGCTAGATGGGCCTCCAACCTCAATGTTGCTTGTGCATCGGCAATTTGAGGTAGCTCCTCATCAAACAGGCCTGTCTGGAACTTAATCTTAAGGATCCTCAGGACTGCATCGTCAATGCGTTCCCTGACCCAAGCGATATTAGTGCTTGATACGAGCGTAGGAAACGCCGCTGGCTGCGCGGGTGAAAGCTCCAGTTGCAGACCAGCCTTGAGAGCACGGAGAGCAGCATCCTCCAAGCTCTTTGCCACTTTTGATTGCGTATGTAGATGCAAAATAGCCAACGCATCTGACATGAAGACTCCATCGAAATCAAGCTTCTGACGAAGCACAGTCTGCATCATGAATTTATTGACAGACATTGGTTCACAATCAATGCTAGCGTAAGATATCATGACCGACGCTGGCTGCGCCTCTTTTATTACTGTTGCAAATGGTGCCACAAGGTCATTGAAGAGATGATTCAATCCTCCGCTTTGGCTCGCTGTGTTGATTCCGCCTGTCGGGACTCCGTAGACGAAATGCTTGATTGTTGTGGCTACTTTCATATAACCTTTCTCATCCTTCTCCTCCATCGTCTTCACGTACGACGTCCCGAATACGCCGTTTAGATATTGATCCTCGCCATACCTTGTGAAATCTATCAGTACCGATTTCCGTCATTTCTTAAATCATGGCGTGGAGGAATCTGAATATCTTACATCTCACCTACTCGGCCATAGCGAGGTTCCCTTCCAACGTCTAATTCCGGTGAAAGCACCCAGCGAACACCCATAGCAACGTTCTCGTCACGAATACAAGATGTCACTTTCTCGTAAAGCTCTATGTTCTACGAAGCGCTCATTGATAACGTTGCTGGGTAAAATGTTCCCCCCGGTAAATAGATTGAATTAACCGAGTCCGTGACTGTGATGTACGGGATCCCCAAGCGAGAATATTCAATCTCCTGCTCTCTGACTTTGTTGGCAATCGGAAGGACATCTAATGCATGATTCAACATATATCCGAATCCTAGATAAGTACAGATTAGCTTCGCATATCTTTGCATAGGTAAAGGCAACAAAACCAGGATCATTACCTAGAATCCCATTCTGCAACTCATGAACAGATTTATACGTCGTTTCATTGAATGTCAGGTTTGCACCCAAAAGGGTTCTCACTCCGCCCATTTGACCTATCTTCTCTTCCCATGTCATTCTCTGGAGTAAATCTGTGGCTCTTTCAGAAGCGGAGTATGACGAGTTCTTGCAGATGAGCTCATCCAGACCATAGACAATCGGAATAGTAGAAAAGATACTCAGAAGAGCCGTAGACTCAAGCGTTGAAAGTGGCCACATTGTGCCTGAAGGAGCGTGTGGTATTATACCTGCTAAATTCACGAGTCTAGCCCATCTCACATCCTTCTTAAAGTGAATAGCGTAATTGCCTCCTTATATAATGTATGTACTTTACAAAATCAGCCTTATTCCTCACCCCCTCACAACCATTGCAAGTACGGTTGTTGTAAACGAGACTAGTAGTGTATTCGGTCAATTCAGGGTGCCAATCACCGGCCAGGTCTCCCGATATCCTAGGTTCCCTGGTATTTAGTTCAATTTGTCTTTTTCCTGACTCTCCTCTTATTCTTATGTCTCTGCCTGTCCCGGGTTAGCTAAACAATCCCCTCCCACCAGCTCAATAATTAACACATGACCGGGTTAGATTGCGTGCTAGGCATTCAATGATCGCGACTGAGAAAAGAATAATGCCAAAAGAGTTTGAACATGAGAAACACGCGGCATCCGTTCATGGCGCGGTTCTCGGTCTGTACAATCGATGATTGGATGTTCCATCTATCCCCCGTTATGTTGTTCCATCATGGAGAAGGATTGAGTTCCTGGAAGACATAGCTATTCTCCGGGACAAAACTGGGGTAAAACCAGGGTTCCTGCTTAGCTATGAGCGGGTGGGTGTCTGCTCATGCAGGGACTGTTAAGCCTAGAACTGTAACCCAGTAGTCATTTTTACCTATGTATTGAGAGCAGAACGATACTAACTAGATTTCATCAAGCTACAGGCACTGGCAATCCTATCAACATAATGCATTATAATCCTTCAGTGTCGAGCAATAACTAAGCCAAGAAACTCTCTTTCGACTGTCTTACAGAGCGGGTATTCTCTCATGAACCGGCTCGTCACCAATCTCAGCCATCTTCTTCTCTAACAAACCCGCCATTCTCTCGACAACATCTGCATACTCAGGATCATCATACACATTGAATAGTTCTAATGGGTCCTTGTAACAATCAAATAACTCCCATTCCTTCTCATCCGCAGCACCCGGACGAGCTCCTTCGACGTCTAGATCTTCGTTGTACCAATATATTAACTTGTAACGATGATCTCGGATACCATAATGAGCATACGCTTGATGGATAATGTCGTTATGCATCCAGTACCTGTGGTATGCTACTTGTTGCCAATCCTTTGGAGTATTACCTTGCAACAACGGGCGGAAGGAAACGCCCTGCATATAACTCGGAATAGTCAAGCCTGCAAAATCCAACCATGTGGTTGCAAAATCCACGTTGGAGATGATATCGTTGCAAATACTGCCCGGTTGGATTTCGGTGGGATATCGAATTAGAAAGGGCATTTGGAATGACTCTTCATACATGAATCGTTTATCGAACCATCCATGCTCTCCGAGAAAGAACCCTTGATCGGAAGTGTAAATGATAATTGTATTTTCGCGCAATGAGGGCTCCTCTCCATCGAGATACTTCAATAGCCGACCAACGCTGTCGTCAATCGACTGAATGGTTTGGAGGTACCTCTGCATGTACCGTTGGTACTTGAACTCAGCGAGTTCCGTAAGAGATGAGAATGTGAATACCTCCCCGGTATCCTTGTCGATCAGCCGCAATGATTTGACTACTTCATCTGATGATGGCATGGGAATTTTACGCTCCGAAGCGCCCTTCTCCTGCACAACTCTCTCACCGACCCAATTGCCTCCCTCGGGCTGTACCAGGCCTAGGTCCTGGTAAGTCAGATCCTCGACGACGCGGAACTTGACCACCTTAGCGGCCTTGGCTCGGTTTTTGTATTCGTCTGTAAATGTATCCGGCAGTTTGATGGGGCTTTTGTAAAGATGTTTATGCTTCTCGTCGCATTCCCATGATCGATGCGGCGCTTTATGATGGCACATCAAAAAGAAAGGTCTGGTTGTATCGCGAGATTTGATCCAATCCAGACTTTTGTCGGTGATGATGTTGGTCACGTATCCGGTCTCGACTTTAGTTCCAGTCGGCTCGACAAACTCTGGATCCCAGTACTCTCCTTGTCCGGGGAGTATCGACCTATGTAGAGTGTGAATAAGCATTTGTTGTGATATACCTTAAGCAGTGGAAACGTCTATTCCATGCCGAACGCAGGCTCCCTGGGTATGTAGCACTCACCAGTAATCGAAACCCGTAGGCTCATGTGGTTTCCCTTCTCCGAGATGCCACTTTCCCACCATAGCTGTTTGATAACCCCCAGTGCGCAAATGCTTCGCAACATTTGGGATATGCTTGTTAATCTGGTCAAGTCCCTGATCAGATATCATGTACGACAAACAATAAGAGAAAAAGGGGGTTAACCAACATGGTTGTCAAGCGTCATCACACCATTGACGTGATTATACGTGCCAGTCAAGATTGACGCACGAGACGGAGTACAAATAGAATTCGTCACATAGCAGTGATTGAACTTCATGCCCTCCGTCGCTAAGCGGTCAATGTTGGGAGTGCGGTTGATGCCAGCTCCGTAGCAACTAATAGCCTTCGAGGCATGATCATCTGCCATGATGAAAATAATGTTGGGTTGTATGCTTGAAGACGTCGCTTCCATTGTAGGAGGATGTTGGTTTGCCATGCTAACCATTGTTCTTTTCGAGACGTTCTGAACTGCGACTGAAGGCAAAGAGAGTTGATCAGAGTTGGAGAAAAACAAAAGACAAGAAGAGATTCCATTTTGAATTTGCGATTTTTTTTTCTTTCGATGTCGATGACTGTAGCGTGTCACATGTAAAGCCAGACTTCACTAGACAAGGAGTAAAGAATAACTCGGTCAGGATGGCTTCTGATTGGCTAGATCTGGGAAGACATCGGTACTCGGGGTATACAACGCCTCATTGGCTACAGCGAATGTTCTCATGCCAGTCACTTAACCTTTGTCACGTCTTTTTTCTTGTTCATGGGACTTCTTTGCACAGTGGTAGTGAGGGGTATAGGAATGATACAGGAGACATCGGCGAAGCATAACTAGCAGTGTATGTAGAGATAATATGTGCATGCAATTCTGGCAATGAATATTACCAAATATCCAACTCCTGTATTGAAAAGTCATCTGGTTGGTATCCAAGGTAAGCACCAAGCTCATCGCCTCCAAAGAACCCGGCGCAGGACGCATTAAAGATGAAGCTATGGTTTTCCCGAATCACTTCTGGATCGTTATGAAAAGGTTGCAAGACTTGTGTGTCATTTACATCCGGAAAGGAGGCATATTGACCCAGGCTATCAACTTGCTGCTCGGTTTCGTTACGCTGGAAAGAATGCTTGACAGGACATGGTTCGGTTGAAGATCCACTTGCTTTAGAGCTGTCATCAACAAAGTCGGCTTGTAGTAAGAGGCTATGGATTGAGAATCTCTGGCGTATAGATGCATCTCGAGCGACGTGGTTGGAATGCGATGGTTCTTCTCTCTCGGCGGCTGCACTCGACCCTTCTGTCGTATAACGGCGCAGAAGTCTTTCTAGATCCTTGAGCTGGAAATAATCAGTATGTAAGTACTGACACTCGGAGAGTCTGATCATTTTAGACTTACCATTGGTGTTACAGACTTGAGGAAGCCGAAAAGCCGGGTCATAATTTCAAGGCAGTCCTTAGTATTGGATACGGCCAGGTTCATTTCAACGCGTGGAGTACTCCCAGTTCCTGTCGCACAAGCCGCAAACAGCTGGAGTCGCAAACTATGATACAAGCATACAGCAGCATCAAAGTCTAGTAATCTTGGAGGATCACATGCAGGTGTATTTCCACAGCCTATAAGCAGCTGGATGATGTTTTGGGCGTGGTCGAGACATCCTTTGCGCATTTGCGCCACACGGGACAAGTCAATGCCTTCTGTAGCTGAGGTTGGTACTGCCTCCGAGTATCCAGTCAGAAAATTTCGATAAAGGTCACAGTAGCACTGGTGGATAGACATCTGAAGCATAATAGGGCCCGAGCGCATCAAATGATTTTCCACACCTTGCGGTTGAAAGGACGCCAGAGACCGAAATTGCACTTGTACAATCTCAAGTTGATATTCAAAAGTTTTTATCAAACGCATGAGGTCGGGAGGTGCGAATTCTCCTAAATACAATTTTCGATTCAATCTTCGAAGCTACCGAGTCAGACACGTCTTCCTTAGGGGAGAGAATGTGAAAATGTGATAACTTACTTCATTATTTCTCGCCGAATAAATGTCACTCTGAGATAAAGACCTCGAATGCTCACACTTCCAATCTCTAAATTTTCATCTGGCTGCAAACCACCTCCGGTCACGGCCTTCCCAATGTCAAAATCCTGATCTTCACATGGTAACTTTAGGTGGATGACTTCCGGCTGGCATAATTCGAAATCCTTTATGCCGACGCTGAATATGTCATTCAACAAATAAAGAGACCAAAATGTACGGCGTCGAACTTCTTGAGCAATGGGACTAAGATCCGAGCGCTCATAATTGAGACGCAATCCCATTGCCAATCTTGCAGCTAATCCAGCCAGCAGGAATGCACTGGAAAAATCCCCGGCTCCGGCACGATATCGAACAATAAGCAAAAGGCTCTGAAGATGGAAGACGGAGGGTCGAGAAAGATTCTGCCAGACAATTTGCTGCGCCGAGTCGGCCCATGCATCACTAGAAAGCGACGTACCAAAAGTGTACAAGGCGGTTATTGCACATAGGGATAGCTTTAAAGACTCGTCAAGAGACTTTTCTTGACATCGCTTGATCACGGTAGCACGGTGAAGGAATTCGTATGAGGGGAGATGGAATAGTCGTTCAAAGTAATCTGTCACAAGGACTGCCACTGTCTCTTCTGAAGGGGACTGTTGTTCATTCGAAGAAGGGTTATTGATGGTGAGAGAGGTATCGGGTTGCGGACCTAGTTCATCTAGGCTAACAGGGGCATCATTGAGATCTGTGACAATGCTGTCGGTTGCTGGGCCACCTTTCTCACGCCTTGGTGGATACGTGCATTGCCTATTCTTTTGCCGACAGTTGGTGCAAGCCGGCATCTCTCCCATACAACGAACCTTTTGTGCGCGGCATATCATGCATGCACGAGCGCCTCGCCGCTTCCGGGGGATTTCGAGAGAGCGCTGAGACTGTCCGAGGGAACAGGTGTAATTGAGTCGACTGCAGCTATTACATGTCGGTTGCTCTCCATTGCATCGAACCTTAATCGAAGTCAGTCAGCGCGGATTCATGCCAAACTACAAGTTCATCTACTTACCTTGCGTATTCGGCATTGAACGCATACAGTCTTCATGTCAGCTGACATGTATACCGTCGACTTATTTGCTCTAGAGTCCTTTGAAAAGGGGAGTGTTAGTTGCAGTAGTCATGCCGGGGAAATAGTACAAACCCCGCAAAATACCGTACCCCGTATCGACAGTATCAAAAAATACGAGTTTGGTATTCTAAATGGCTCAGTGGACGCCTTTATTGGCTACGGCACAAATGCTGAAGTAAAAAATCCGACGGTGTGGATCGTACCTTACTAGCGCAGGACAACAACGGGTCTGGGGTAGTCAAAAGCAGCCAACCGCGTGCCAGTCTGACCGACATCCGAATCACGCTTTCCCATGGAGATAACCTTCACCTAGGAGTTTGCTCTCGTTTCTCCTCCGTCTATTCTGGCATATATAACCTTAGAATTGACCACGCACAATGTCTGCCATCATATTGCCTTCCGATCTTCTTCTCCTTGATCATCATCCATTTGATTCAAGGCCTGTATGACTAATATGATCATGGCTTCGAACAAGCTGGGCCTTTTCAGGGCCGTTTACCTGGTAACCCTAAGTTGTATCGGCTCGTTTCTGTTTGCCTACGATACAGGCATCGTCGGTGGCATACTCACCTTGAAGTCGTTCCAGAAGGACATGAAGTACTCCGCTGCCGACAAGGCCAAAGTGAGCTCTCTGTCAGCCAGTCTCTTACAAGCGGGAGGTAAGTAGTGTTCCTGTGCGTCTTTGATGGATTATACTGACTTTTTTTTTTAGCTTTTTTCTCTTGCTTCTTCATCTGGCCGTTTACAGCACGCTACGGCCGACGCTTGTCCATCGCTTTAGCCTCGCTCATCTTCTGCATCGGATGTGTGCTCCAAGTCATCAAAGTCAACGGATTAGGTGCATTCTACGCAGGTCGTGTCATTAGCGGTCTTGGTGTCGGCATGGCCACGGTGATCATTCCTATGTACAGTGCCGAAATGGCACCAAAAGAAATCCGTGGCCAACTGGGCAGTATGTTTCAATTGTTTTTCACTCTGGGAGTCACAACATCTTATTGGATGGACTACGGTGTATCGAAGAACATTGCCCCGTCGTCCAAGCAGTGGCAAATCCCCGTCGGTTTTCAACTCGTTCCTGGGGGTTTGCTAGGCCTCGGTATGCTCCTGACCAAGGAGAGTACGCGATGGTTAGCGAAAACAAGTCGTCGTGAAGAGGCTTTGAAATCTCTCATATGGGTGCGTGGAACTGATTCTGTTGAAGTCCAAGAAGAGTAGGTTTCCTTATTTTCAGAGAATTTCATAAATTAATGATATGCCATAGATTTGCCGAGATATTGGCTAGCATTGAACTAGAGGAGCGTGTCACTGAGGGTCTCACATGGAAGGAGTTTCTTCTTCCGGCTAACCGCTACCGTCTTTTTGTGGCTATAACTATGCAAATAGGTGAGTGCTATCCCGTTCAACTACCCAATGCAGATGAACTTACTTTCTTTCTTTCCAAATAGGTGTACAGCTCACTGGTAACACATCTCTGGCATATTGTAAGTGTCTTCTATTCAATTCTATGCCACAACTCTAACCAAGCCCTGCAGTCTCTCCACAGGTCTTCACTGCTGTGGGTGCCGGTCAACAGGCACTTTTGATAAGTGGCTTCTTCGGCGTGGTCAAGGTAGCTTCCTGTTTATTTTTCCTTCTGTTCTTAGTGGAGAGAATCGGTCGTCGGGGCTCACTGATTGGGGGTGCCTTTCTCATGGGGAGCTACATGCTTATTATAGCTGTATTGACGGCGGTCTACCCCCCCAAGACTAGTGCTGGTCTTACGAGTCCGGCCATTGCGTCTCTTACAATGATCTATCTCGAAGCAAGTACGTGTTATCCGCCCTTGAACTACGAAACTACTATGTTTACTAACACTCGTGGCAGTGACGTACAATATCTCCTGGGGACCAGTACCATGGGTGAGCAATCCTTACTTCATCTCCAAGTTTCAAGCTGATAAGGCATACAAATGTAGTTGTACATGAGCGAAATATTTCCGAACCGTTTGCGTGAAGGAAGTATTGCTATTGGTACTGCGACGCAATGGCTCTTTAATTTTGTCTTTTCTCAAATCACACCTCATGCGGTCAACAACTTGGGCTGGAGGACGTTTTTGATGTTTTGCATATTCAACTGGTCTCTCGTCGTATACGCTTGGTTCTTTATCAAGGAGGTAAGCCTCGCCAACTGAAACCCCGAGTATCGAAAGAAATTTCTAACATGCAAGTGCGACAGACCAAAGGAAAGTCCCTTGAGGAAATGGAAGAAGGTGTGTCTCTACCAAAGAATCAGTCGTATATATATCCTTTCATGCTAACTTGCGTTTCAGTGTTTGATTCTAAAAAGACAGCGATCGACTTTGAGAAAGTCCATCACGATATACATGTCATGTTCATTCCCAATGAGAAGGAGACTGTTAAAACATGTGGAATGATCTGATCTGATCAGCAATTGTACGATGCACAGTCCGAGGTATGTCGGCCGGCGTTAGAGATCTCAGGGTATATCAACTACCTAATCTGTAAATTATATAGTGTGAATTAGTTGATTCATATACGATTCTGGCTTGTCACTCAACTTTTTAGCCCCCAGGTTCAATGTCGTTGCTCATATACAGGTACTAAGTGGACTCTATCTATTCAGCCGCAAGAGTATCAATACAACTGTAAGGAAAAAATATTTAACCCTAACCCTAGAAAATTACCGAGGTCAGGAATCATAGTCTACCCCACAAAAACAAGCCACACTTTGTTTAAGGTTGGGTCATTGTTATGTCATAGATTCGATGGATCAGTGCTACCATGACGTTTCAAGCCACAACCAGAATCCAGATCGGATCTCGTGACCTCCACAGCTGGAACTAAAAGTAAGATCATGGCGACGTCATGTATACGAAACAGGGGAAACAACCAAGAACTAAGCCGAATTGGGCTCACCAACGACCAAAAAGCCGGTTCCAGCCAGTCGACATCGGTCTGATTGGCTGGCTAATTCGAGATAATAGCTTCATGAATGACGATGTGATGCTTCCTGTACGACATACGTCACTTCCACATGTACGAGATCGTGGGCCAGATCGGGGTATATAAAGACCCTTCTCTCCTCTATCCACTCTTCTTCCTATCATCGCAACACACTCAATCAGTCTACTCTACAACTTCAATCTCAATCTCAATCTCAATCTCAAATCTTCAACTTTTCAAACTCCCAAAACAACACAACAATCAACATGTCTGACGCCGGTCGCAAGGATTTCTCCACCAGTATGTTCACTCGACATCTTGAACGTCTGCTAGATCACTAACAACTCGCAGAGGCCAAGGAGGAAATCACTCCTGACTCCTCCAAGTCCACCCAGCAAAAGGTCAAGGAGACTGTCACCGACACCACCGACCGTCTCGCTCGTGGCGCCCAACCAGACGACAACAAGTCCACCACCCAGGAGGCTTTTGACAAGACCCAGCGCAGCCATGACAACACTGCTCACGGCGGTGCTTCCAACTCTATGTAAGCACCCTGCACCTTCTTTTATGGGATCATCGACTAATATTGAGTAGTGGTGACAAGATCAAGGACACTCTTGGCATGAACAAGTAGAGTGTCTCGCTCCATCTACCATCACAGTCGATCCAGCCGGCATGTTGCGGAGGACGTTTAATTTTATGACTTATGATTTGATGTGATGTCTTTCGGTTCGTTACGGTGTATTATCAACGATACCACTTGCGATAGCTAGCAATAAATCCAGTATACCCTTAAACCTTCAGCGTTTGTAATTTCGTATAATGCCATTCAAGTAAGCAGTGATTATCGTCGAACTGCACGCTCGAAGAGATTATCTCGTTCTCGGGTTAGTCGGCCAAGCTCCTTCTCCAACCGTCTGTACTCATTCCTCGCATCGTCCAAGTCCGGTGGTAAATCACGGTAACTTTTAATCCTGCTTTCGAGCTGTTTCACCGTTTCCCTCAGCCGCAACACATTCTCCTCTTCCTGTTCTACGGTCTCAATCGTAGGCCCATCAACGCGTAGACTTCTCTGCAACGAAGAGATTCTTTCCCGGTATTCGCTGATTTTGGCATTGAGCAACTTTGCGCTGCGAGCCCATTCTACCGTCTGCGATGTCAAATCAGACGGCGTCTTGTACGCAGAATGTGTCTTGAGCGTCTCAATCTCCTCTTGGACAAGAGCCATCTCCTTGTGCAGGTACTTTTGCAAAGCTTCCACATGCTGAACCTGATTTGCAAGCTCAAACTCGTCTCGCGTAAGCTCGATGAATGCATGCGCTAATTCCGTAACATCGGTCGACGAGTCTCCAAGCAGAACCACCGTTTCCGCCAAATCGTTCAGACTTTCTTCACCCTGAGAATCTAACCGTGCCTCTATGTCGTCTAGTATATCCCGTTTTCGAGGATCTTCGGCCGTTTCACGCTGCTTCAAAGCGCGGAGCACATCTTTACGTGCTCGATGAAGTAGAGAGGCCTCTTCGTCTGCTGCGTCGTTGGCCGCGGCAATCGCAAGGAGGGTTCTGAGTGTATCCTCGTTGCGCTCGAATGGGGGGACTTGATTGGGGGCATATTTACGATTCAGCCATGAATTCACGTAGGCCCAGTCTTTGGCTTGGATTGCTGCTTGTCGAGCTTTCGTCGGGGATATTAAAGATTCCATCGTATAGGTTATGAGTTGAACAAGCTCTTGGGCGATTGATTTGTTTTCATGTAGTCGAGACAGGAATGACCAATAGGAGAACGGCAACTGTCAATTGCGGGGACATTGTTTCTCCTTTCTCCGCACAACATCTAATCCTCCACCGTCGTCCTCTTTACATCAATTAACGGGCAACTACAATGACGAGCTACTTCACTGCTCCTGACATCTCTGGAGAAGCATCAAATGCGATATCACCTCCCGGCGGCGCAAATGTCGCTCCACGCTCAACTGCGCTTTCGAATAGATTGGCAAGTGTACTTTCCGCTTCGTACGCCGACTCGGATATTCGAGATGCATTGGAAACGCTCGACAAGAGGGGGGTAAAGAATACGGCGGAGAAAAGACGGCAACTCAGGTTGGATATTCAAAAGGAGGTTTTGGATTGTAATGGAGAGATTGTGGCGGATTTTGGGAAGGTGGCAGAGGTACACCTGTTACTCTCTATCCTGCAAGACGACGCAATTATACTAACTGGTGGTAGCAATTAAATCGGATTGGCACGGTAATTTCAAATCTTCAGCAGACTTGTGCGGAAATGCGCAAACACATTACACTAGCGAAACAAGAAACAGCCCCCGTACTAGACGAAGCGTCGTCTTTGCTAGACCAGAAAGAAGATGCCGAGACAAAACAACACCTGCTCGATGCGTTCACGACTCATTTCATCGTACCAGAAGAAGACATTAACGCGCTTACATTATCCGAAGCACCAGTCAACGACAACTTCTTCGCTGTCTTGTCCCGAGTTAAACGTATACATAACGACTGTCAGGTATTGCTCGGTGGGGAGAATCAGAGACTCGGCCTGGAAATCATGGAACAAAGCTCGAAGCAATTAAACGCGGCGTATCAGAAACTATACAAATGGATTCAAAACGAGTTCAGATCACTGGATCTGGAAGATCCACGGATCAGCGGCTCGATCAGGCAGGCGCTGAGAGTGCTTGCAGAGCGGCCTAGTTTGTTTCATAGTTGTCTGGATTTCTTCGCCGAAGCGAGAGAATATATCCTATCTGATGCGTTTCATTATGCATTAACTGATGCGGCTTCTGGGGGAGCAGTTGGGGAACGGAACGTCAAACCGATTGAATTTTCGGCGCATGATCCTTTACGGTATGTTGGGGATATGTTGGCGTGGGTGCATTCGGCTGCTGTTTCGGAGAAAGAAGCCCTTGAAGCGTTGTTTGTTTATGAAGGAGAGGAACTTGCACGAGGATTTCAGGCTGGTATTAGTAGTGAGCCTTGGTCTCGTGTCGATGAAGGAGAAGTGGCCGTATTTGATGGACAGAAAGCTCTTAATGATTTGGTTAATCGTGATCTGAACGGCGTATCACGATCGTTGCGGCAGAGAGTCGAGCTAGTCATTCAAGGTCATGATGATGCGGTAACGACCTATAGAGTTGTCAATTTGCTGTCTTTCTACAGACTCACATTTTCTAAGCTGGTCGGCGCAGAATCACATCTCGTGGAAGTAATTGCCGGCCTTGTCGAGTTCACATTCAAGCACTTCGAGGGATTGATGAGAGATCAACTACACATGCACTCCGCAGATTCGCACTCGTCGTCACCACCGGATGACTTTTCGGCTCCTCAATTCCTTACTGATCAATTAGAGGTATTGACGTCGTTGATGAAAGAATACAACTCCTCAGTCGGTGCAGCAAGCGATATTGAAGATTCAGAAGAAAACGGATTCACACCTGTTCTTCGAGTTGCACTTGACCCGTTCTTGGACATTGCAAAAACATCCGCGCAAGAAGTCGACGATCACAAAACGTCGACAATCTACAAGACCAATATCCTTCTAGCTGTACGGGGAACCATATCACCTTACAAATTCGCAGCCGCGACACATCTAGCCCCAATCTCTACGGCTTTATCCCACCTCCGAATCGAATTGTTGGATATACAACGACGATACCTCCTCGAAACATCCGGTCTCCAACAACTCCTAACCGCACTCGAATCATCCTCCCCATCAACCTCATCACACAAAGAAGCCGAGTCTTCCACAACACAACTCAATCAAAACCGCAACCTAGCCGAAATCGCCGGCCTGCCCGCCTTCCAACCGGCAACTCTATCAGCGATCAGCCAACAACTCGACGACTTTCTCCCCTCAGCGCTAATGGACGCTACGGACAATCTAAAACTAATCCGCAGCTCCACACTGGTGAAGAGCGTAACTGAAGAAGCCGTCGAAGAATTCTGTCGCGATTTCGAGTTTGTAGAAGGCATGATTATCGGTGCCGATGAGGCTCGAGGCACGAAATGGGATATGTCGAGGATTGTTGGGGAGGGGGAGAGTGATATTGTTTCCGTTTCTGTGCGGAATCAGCCGATGCGAGATGAAACAGAAGGGGAAGAGAAGTATAGTCTCAGGGCGTTGTTTCCGAGGACAGTGGGTGAGATTCGTGTTCTTTTGAGTTAGTCCATAATTTATCTCTACATATATAAGATCTACTTTCGTACAACAACTCCAAATGGATCACGATCCACTTTACTAACAGCCACCACCTCGCCTTGTTCTTGGATCCCCAACTGCGTCACAATCCCATCTTCTAATTTCCGCCTCATAACATCCCATAAATATCCACGCTCACTATTCGAATGGAAAACAGTAACAACAGCCGAACCCCTCTCAACTGCCGCCAGAGCTTCATGATGACTCAATTCACCTGTAAATAATAAATCCGGTAGTACGCCCGAGGGAGGATTCATGAGTATACTACTCCCTGAACCCGGGCAGACGCCTACAGTACGAATCTGGATGGATGATACATTCCGACCCTGAGGAATGGCGAGGGAGATTGATCCTGGGCATCCAGTTGCGGCGCCGATGCGGTCGAGGAGAGTTGATAATGGTTGCGGGGTTGAGAAGGTAAGGAGTCGACCTGCGCCGGCGCCTTCGAAGCCTGTTGGTACTGGTTCGGGGGAAGGACGGATTGGGACCCGGGTATGTGCGTCGACTGATGTACTAGTTTGTTGATTGGGTGTCGGTTGCGGGTATATCACGGCTGAATATGACCCTCCCCCGGTCCTCTCTATAGCTGTAGGGGCAGTATTGGCAAACTTTCCACTAACAATATCACAAAGCCAATCTGCCATTCCGCCCGGTACGGCGTCAACGGCTGTATGTGGTGAGTATACACTGATCCCTTCCTGGGCCAATCGGAGGAGGGATGTTTGTTGCGTGTCTTGGAGGGTGAGCGATTTCAGGCCACGGAAGATTATGGGATCTGTCACTTATAAGTATATCGCACGATTTGAGAGAAAGAGGGGACATACGGTATGTAATGATGATTGAGTCTCGACGGGCAATGGCTTCGTCGGCGACGGCTTTGGTGAGATCGGTTGTGAGGAGGACGGTATTTTTGAGGTTGTGGTTGGGGGTGTAGGGCGATTCGAGGAGTACTGTTTCTTATTAGTTTTTGACGGATATGGGAATCGAATGAGGACTCACATCCTGTGTTGTCGAAGGTTTTGTCTGCGAGGGATTCCGGGTAGCTTTGTACGATTAGAAGGTTCTTTTTATATCTGGGTGCGTAGAAGGGATGGAAGGCGTTCGTACAGCTTTCGCATGGTATTGACGACAGCCTGTGAAAAAGGCGAGATTGCCGGCGCTTGAGCCATTGTCGAGGACCAGCGAGATCGAACTGAATTTGACAGAATTGATCGTATGGAGTTCTTCATCGAGTATCAAGTTGCTTGAAAGAAGATCAAAAGTGAAGCTAGCGGAAAGTGTGGGGGTCCTAGCAACTCAGCGTCATCGGCGGAAAGAAAATCATCTTCATCATTATTAATACATCTCCCTCTATACAACTCAACAACAACTCGACTCAAAAGACTCATGTTCGTCCGTACCACAGTCTCGAGAGGCTATCGCTCCCTCACGCGTTCAACCAGCAGACCTTTTTTCAATCCAGTGCAAACAACTACACCATTCTCACGTCTACCCTCCCGATCCTTCGCAGTCGCAATGGCCGACTCAGCAAGTACATCCGGCGTGACAGCAGACGGGCTAAAAGAAAAACTATCCGCACAACTAGGCGCACAATTCGTGGAGATTGAAGACATGTCCGGTACGCACGTCACTCGTCTTGACGATACAGTCACTAATTGATTCTTTAGGTGGCTGCGGTCAAGCCTTCCAAGCAATCATCGTATCCCCCCAATTCGATAAGAAGAATATGCTGGCGCGTCATCGACTGGTTAACTCGGTGCTAAAGGATGAGATTGCTGCGATTCATGCGTGGACGCCGAAATGTTATACACCGGAGCAATGGCAGAAGTTACAGGAGGAGCGGTCGTGAGCAGAGATACATTAATGGTGTGGCTTGTACGATGTATTGATGGAATTAATATATGAATGTTTGTACAAATTCTACATTCCCAGCAATGTCTTCTTCAAGCGAGGACCTTCTCAGCAGCGGAGACTATTCATCGTTAGTATCGGATACCCGGACCGTAGGGGACTAGACAGCCAAACCATTAACACCAGTATTATCCGGCTCAACATGGGCTTCCTTCACCTTCCCATCTTCAACCACCAAGGCATAACGCTTGCTCCGCTGGTTGCCAAAGATGGTCGCGCTGTCAAATCCAAGTTCCAGGGCGTCTGTAAAAGTGCCGGCGGGATCTGCCAAAAAGCGTACCTATGTCTCGTCAGCACGGCGAACTGGCGCCTCGCTGTAAGTCATACGTACACCACTCTTGCCAGTAGGATCAAGACTCGCGCGCCAAGCTTTCATCACGAACGGATCGTTGACCGAGACGACAAATACCTTTCCGGCGTTTCTCAGGGCGGGATGGTTGATGTAGCCGGGGACGTGGGTGCTGGAGCAAGCCGGGCCTATGTTTTGAGTCAGCTTTATTGGAGGCCGAGTACTGGAATAGCGTACTGAAAGCAGCGGGAACACCGACAATGACTCCCTTGCCGGTCAATTCCTTGGAGAGGTTGACTTTGTTGCCGGGAGAGTCTTCGACGAGGTCGACGTTGGGAACGGCATCGCCGACTTTGACAAAGGCGGGACGAGTGGCATGGAAGAGGGCAGATTGGCTGCCGACGGTGCGAGGCACGGTAGCTGTGAAGCGGCGGGCGAACATTTTGACTGCTACTATTCAATTCACAGTTGACGGTTGGAGCGTTGAGAGAGAGTATGGGGAGTAAAGGTCACTGAGTGTTGATGTCCGCCGGGGTTCCGGTGGAGTCTCCTTTTGTCATCTACATACTCCGTAACTTGGTCAAGTTACTCTGTACAAACTACATAATATTTCACACTGTTGAGCAGTGAATAGACCGACAGCAATAATACTCATAGTCTTATCGTACTCTCCACCAATCGCATCAGCCAGTAAACCAACTGCCTGATTCCCTCTAGCTTCCTGTACACCCATCACATTGGTCTGGACCTGCACATCGGAAGATGCATCTTCATGTTCCAGTCCTCGTGTTTGGCATTTGCCAGAGAATAACGCTGCTGTAATATTGCATTGTCTCAATTGTTTGCAATCAGTCCAACTCCACTGTTTGATATCTATCATTTGTTATCATTTTGTTTTAGAGCAGACGCGGATTGCGAGGAAAATTTAGAAAAGAAAAAAAAAAAAAAGAAATGGCCAGCACAGCCCATTATTGTTCTTCGTTAGAGTTTGTTTTTAATTGATAATTTGATTAGATTCGGGGCGCCCCCTCTGAGCAGAAAAAAAAAGTCGGCTCGCTCACCGCCGTACACTACTCATCTTCTTTTCTTCTTTGAACAGTCAGACCACATCAAGACTCGTCGTCATCAGAAACAGCGAAAGCAAGGGAAAAGGAAAAGGAAAAGAAAAGTAGACGCTCGGGATATCATCACCGCCTTCTCTGACATTCCGACTGTTTTGTTCCTTTTTTGTTTCGTCCCTGAATAGACCGCGACCGACGTCATCTACACCCTCTCTCTACTTCTCTCTCTCTTTCTCTCTTTCTCTCCTTTTCTCTCTCTCAGCTTCTTTATTTCTTGAACAACACCTCAATTGAGTGTATTCGGCTCTGCTCTTTGCAATTGATCGGCTATTTTTGATTTTTGATCGTTGCGAGTTTGTCAATTGCTGCTCCATTAGCTCCGAGCTGGAAAAGCGGACATAGAAAAGCGTCCTCAAAAAAATAATCCCGCTCCGAGCATCACGAAATACTCGCTTCTCGCTATTCTCACCAGATTCTTTCGACTTCATTAATCAATTGCACATTATTCGTGCGTCGATACGACTACCAGTCTAACCGACGCATCGAGCTTATCCATCAATTGACGATCGACCGTATTCTTATCTTCTGTGCTCACTTACCGATTCCGTTCCGTTCTTTTCTTAATCTACCTGAATCGATATTCAATGCAGCCTCGGTAAGCCGTCCTGTCAGTATGTGCCCGGCCAAACTGACATCACAGACGGGAATATCACATCGTTGTCTTGGGAGCTGGTACGTCTATATACAATGCACAAAAAGGGCCATTCTAACCGCCACAGGTGGTGTTGGGAAAAGCTGTCTTACCGGTACTTCAGCCTGTTGGATCAAATTGATGATATCGTATTGACGTTCCAGCGCAATTCGTACAAAATGTCTGGATTGAGAGCTATGATCCGACGATTGAGGATTCATATCGGAAACAAATAGAAGTCGATGTAAGTTACTCTGTACTTACTGACGGCATATAGCTAATAGTTCAGGGCCGGCAATGTATTTTAGAAATGTACGTATGATGCGCCGATTAAAGGAAGATACTGACGGGGAGGGGGAAAAAAGTCTCGATACCGCTGGAACAGAACAATTCAGTAAGTCCTAGCTAGCCTCCAAAGCTCAGATCAAAGCTAACAAGTCCAGCCGCCATGAGGTACATTCGCCAATCTGCTCCGTATATACGATAATCGACTAACAGTCCAGGGAACTATACATGAAACAAGGACAAGGCTTCCTCCTTGTCTTCTCCATCACCAGCATGTCTTCTCTCCACGAACTCTCCGAAATCCGCGAACAAATCATCCGCATCAAAGACGACACCAAGGTCCCCATCGTGATTGTGGGCAATAAATCAGACCTCGAAGAAGACCGCGCCGTATCACGAGCACGCGCATTCGCACTATCGCAAAGCTGGGGCAATGCGCCTTATTACGAGACCTCGGCGAGGAGACGCGCAAATGTGAATGAGGTGTTTATTGATTTGTGTCGGCAGATTATTAGGAAGGATTTGCAGGCGTCGCAGTTGAGGTCGTTGGAGATGCAGGCGAGGAAGAAGGAGATGGCAGCTAGTGGGAATGCGAAAGAGGCGCGGAGACGGTCGAGAAGACGGGGCCAGTGTGTTATTATTTAACCCTCTTGCGACTCCATCTCATGATCACGACTCCACGACCATATCTCGACACGACCGAACTACTTCCATCACGACATACACCATTTATCACATGAGCTGGAACTCCTACCAAAAGACAATATCTTTCCTATACATACTTACAACATACATAAATACGAGGGGGAAAAATACTCGATACATTACAGTTATGAGGGCAGGTCTAAAGGGGAAAAGGAAGGAAGGAAAAGTCATTTAATTCTTTGTATAGGTATGAATTATAGACACTGGTCTTATAACAGACCGTTCATTTCATTTGCACTATATATCCATTTACCCGACAGAAGGAAGAAGAAAGGATTACATCCTAAAAACACCAAACCTCGTGTCTGTCTTACCAACATCATTCTTTCCCCCTATGGCAGCCATCAACCCCATACCGAGATACCTCCTCGTCTGCGCAGGGGGTATAACACCATCATCCCACAACCGAGCCGAAGAGAAAATCGCCGTTGATTCTCTGTCGATTCTGGATTTGAGTTCTGGATCGGCCGTGCGACCAACTGCTTCCATCACGGCGGAGAGTTGTTCGGAGCCCATCACGCCGATTTTCGAGTTCGGCCACATGAACATTAGTCGAGGGGAGTAGGCACGACCGCTTCTCACATTAGATTAGACATCTTCATAGAAAAAAGAAAAGGGAGGGAGGACACACCACATGCCGTAGTTACCAGCACCAGCACTCGAACCAAACACAACCGTGAATTTAGGAACATCCGCGCACGCAACAGCAGTAACAAGTTTTGCGCCATTCTTGGCGATACCACCCTTTTCCGCATCAGCGCCCACCATAAATCCCGAAATATTCTGTAAAAATACAAGCGGTATCTTCCGTTGAGCACATAGCTCAATAAAATGAGCTCCCTTGAGAGAAGATTCGGAGAATAAGATGCCGTTATTAGCTACAATGCCCACTTGAGTCCCGTATATGCGCGCAAACCCCGTGACGAGGGTACTCCCGTAATCACGTTTGAATTCGGCGAATTCGCTGCCGTCGACGATACGGGCTATGACTTCGTGGACGGGGATTTGTCGGCGGAGGTTTGTGCCGACGATACCGTTGAGATCTTCGGGGTTGTAGAGAGGTTCTTTTATATCTGTTCCCTCGGACAGGCCGGTAAGAGGGGAACTAGATTTGGGATAGTTGAGGTTGCTGATTGAGCGGCGAGCGAGCACCAAAGCGTGCGCATCGTCGACGGCAAGATAGTCTGTAACGCCTGAGATGGTGCTGTGTAGGTTGCCTCCGCCGAGATCTTCGGCAGATACGACTTCACCCGTTGCGGCTTTAACTAATGGTGGTCCGGCGAGGAAGATTGTTCCTTGGTTCTCGACGATGATGGTCTCGTCGCTCATGGCTGGGACGTATGCTCCGCCGGCGGTGCATGGTCCCATCACCACGGATATTTGGGGTATTCCCAACGAGCTCATGCGTGCCTGGTTGAAGAAGATGCGGCCGAAGTGATCTCTATCGGGGAAGACATCGGCTTGGTGAGGTAGATTTGCGCCGCCAGAGTCAACAAGGTAGATACAAGGGAGTTTGTTCTCTTGTGCGATTGCCTGTGCACGGAGATGTTTTTTGACTGTTATCGGGTAATATGTCCCCCCCTTGACGGTGCTGTCGTTGGCGACGATCATGCATGTAACGCCTTCAACGGTGCCAATACCGGTAATTATTCCTCCACCGGGGACGTCTTCGCCAGGGTATACTTCATGGCCAGCGAGGGGCGACAGTTCCAAGAATGAAGATCCAGGGTCAATCAGAGACGTAACCCTGTCTCGTGGGAGCATCTTCCCACGCGCGATATGTTTTTCTCGCGCCTTTTGAGATCCGCCCTGTGCGATTTTATCGTGTAGCTGCGTCATCTGCTCAATCAACTCATTCATTTGTGCCGCGTTTTCTTTGAAATCGGCGGATTCCGTGTCGACGGCTGTAGGTAGCACCGAGATAGCGTTTGCATGGTGAGGGAATGTATAATTCGAGATTGATCTTGAAGAGTTTCGTACAGCAGTAGCTCTGTTGGAGACATGTTTTCGTGATGGTGTCAGTCTTCGCTGCCCGGCGATTGTGGAGAGACATCGAAGTCTGGGGATGAACTCTTTCTCCGCAATTTGGCGGAGAACAGGACGGGAACTGAGCATGCTGCTGGCTGCTCTGCTTGCTGCTCTGCTTGATGCCAGATCTGAATAATATTAACAATAGTCACTGTCTCAAACTCTTGTATTCGTAGTAGATCTGGCAGGTAGTCAAATAGGATAAGATGAAAGAAAGGTGTAAAGCAGTTGAACGGCGGAGACTCCGATAAAGAGCGACGCTGAGCGACAATTGCCGATTCCAACCGCTCGGCAACGTCAACATCAACGACCTTTTGTCTTTTTACCTGAACTCACCTCTCATCACATCTATACTCTTGAACGATACTGTCTATACACATAAAATGTCTTCAAAACACCTTTCTCGTCTTCTTCTGCGCCCGACCAGACCAGTCGTCGCCTGTGGAGCTGGAGCTGGACCCTTGCGGAGCCCCGCGTGGAGTCGACATCACTCAACCAAGCACCCGAAAGGATTCGTGCCGCCGACAGATGAGGATTTGCTCCAGTTACGCGAGAGCGTGCAAGAATTCACTCGTTAGTTTAATCTCTTTCACTGGAATGATTTCATAGCTGATATGTTGCAGGTCGAGAAATACCCGAAGAGGTTGCTGCGCGCACGGATCAACAGAATGATTTTCCGGCTGAGATGTGGAAGAAGCTTGGAGAGGCTGGGTATGTTTTATTTTGTTATGGAACTCAGGATCATAGTGCTGAATACCTTGGACAGCTTCCTAGGCGTGACTGCAGATGAGGAATACGGTGGTCTCGGAATGGGTTATCAGGCGCATTGTACCGTCCTGGAAGAAATCAGCAGAGCTTCAGGTAGGCAACTTGTTCCTTAAGCCTCTCTATGTACTAATGTGTTACAGGAAGTATTGGTCTCTCCTACGCCGCACACTCACAACTATGCGTCAATCAACTCTCACTAAACGCCAATGCCGAACAAAAAGCAAAATATCTTCCTGGGCTCATTTCCGGAGACAAAATCGGCGCTTTAGCCATGTCTGAGCATTCAGCTGGCTCAGACGTGGTTAGCATGAAGACCACTGCCAAAGCTGTGGATGGCGGATGGTTGCTCAACGGGACAAAGATGTGGATTACAAACGTCAGTAATCTCAGACCATAAGAAATTGGCCATAGCTAATGCTTTGCAGGGCCCGGATGCAGATTATATAGTAGTCTACGCCAAAACCGAACCCGAAAAAGCGTCCAAGGGAATTTCTGCATTTATTGTAGAAAAAACACCCAAGGGCTTCTCATGTGCACGCAAACTAGACAAACTTGGTATGCGCGGCTCGAATACAGGCGAACTCGTCTTTGAGGATGTATTCATCCCCAAAGAGAATCTGCTCGGTGAACTCAATCGAGGTGTAAAAGTGCTCATGGAAGGATTGGATTTGGAGCGGCTCGTTTTGAGTGCTGGGCCACTTGGGTATGCTTACCTCTTATATCATATAAGGATAACGCTGATAAAGATAGAATCATGCAAGCAGCCCTCGACCTCGTGTTACCATACACCCACATAAGGAAACAATTCAACACCCCCATTGCACACAACCAATTAATCCAAGGAAAACTAGCAGACATGTACACCAAACTCGCCGCCTCGCGAGCCTACACCTACGCAACCGCAAAATCAATCGATGAGTCTAGCGCAGCACCATCAGGAACCCTAATCAGAACACAGGACTGTGCAGGCGCGATTTTGTATGCGGCAGAACGCGCGACGGAGTGCGCACTAGATGCTATTCAGTTGATGGGTGGGAATGGGTATATTAATGAGATTGCGGCGGGGAGGCTGTTGAGGGATGCAAAGTTGTATGAGATTGGGGCTGGGACGAGTGAGATTCGGAGGATGGTAATTGGCAGGGCTTTTAATAAGGAGTATGCTTAAATCAGTCTGGGTGTATATAGAGATTCAGTCCATCTCAATAACTTAAAGACCAAACTTCGGCTAAGCAGCCGTATCATGTTACGCAATATCCAGTTGGTTAGTTATACCACTCCCACCCTTTATATTTTTATACAAAATACTTAATCTTGAATCTCTCGAGCGAAGAGAGAGATATAGAGAAAAGAACTTCCGAACCCTAACCCTACCTATGGATGTCTATTCACAAGCAACCTTTCTAACCGATTTTTCGCTAACAGGTCGTTCAGGGAACGTAGTATTTTACCTGAAGTCGTTACGTTTCGGTTTTTGAAAAGTCGCTCCTACCAGCTCGTAACGGCTTATCTGTTAGGAACGAACATGTCTGAATCTTCGAGCAAGAACGAGTCGAATATTGCCAATCGCATTCGCGTCGACGCCAATATAGCCAGGTAAAAGGTGAAGAGCAATCTGAAAATCTGGCGGATCACTATCTGAGAGAAGAGTTCCCATCTGTCGATGGTATCGACATAAATGATACCAGCAACGATGAAAGCGGCTATCAAATAGTTGAGAACGAGGGAGTTGACCAAACATCTACACTTGTTTCACTATCACACTCGGAAAGAGAGTCTGCCGCTCAGAGGAGCAAGATTCGATCTCATCGACGCCGGCGGCATCACGCCACCTCTCGAAGTAGTAACATTTTACTCGATGAGAGGACATCTATGAGTCAAAGCTGCTCCTATCAAGATTCTCCGAGGATTCATTTCCTATGAAGCAGATGAGAGAGAATTTACTGACGACGAGGTTTAAAATCGTCTCAGGGAGAGATGCTGCATGTTCGATAGCATCAGCACTATTCACAGTGGTTCTGGTATGTGTAATCCGACTATCCATTCAACCGTCAGTCCGATTACCAATCATAAATCGACTACCAATATGAATACAAATGCCTTATTACTTGATGTCTTCCATCAGCGTTGGCTAAACCTCATCCTTGACTTGGTAGTAACCGCCATTGCAGTCACTATCGTGGCTCTTGCTTCTCAGATCCATGGGCTGTCCTCTGATGGCGCTCTCGGAGTCGCCCTTTCCAATGTCGTCAGCTTCAGTCGGATCCTCATGTACTTGATTCAAGCCTGGACTCAAATGGAAACGTCGATGGGTGCGATATCGAGATTGAAGGGCTTCACAGCAGATACGCCATCGGAGCATTTATTAAAGTTATTGTTCCAAACGGGGATTGGTCCACTCAAGGAGCAATTCGATTCAAGAACTTGACTAGTGGCTATGGGCAAGAAGCGGATATTAAGAGCGAGACAAAAGTGACTGACTTTGACAGTAGTGCCCAGTCCAGTCCTATTCTCAAGGACATCACCTTGAATATCGAGCCAGATTCCAAAGTTGGTATGCGCGCGCTCTGGAAGACAAGTCTCCCTCCCTCAAAGTCTAATGCCACTTTCTATTGCCCGTATATAGTGGAAAGAGCTCGCTATTTCTCAGTATTCCGAGGATGGCTAATATTCACGATGGTACAATCAAGATTGGCGGCATTGACTTAGAAAAAGTTTCTCTCGAAATTATCCGACAAAAGTTGAATGTCATACCGCAAGATCCTCTCTGGCTCCGTTGATTTTATTCTTGATCCCTCAGGCGATCACTCTAATGAAGAGATTCTGTCGGCCCTCGCTGAAGGTCGGATATTTGGTTTGATTGAATCGCGCGGAGGTCTAAGCCCTACTTTAAATGAAAGCTCACTTTTGAGTGGGCAACAGCAACTCATCTGTCCTGCCCGGGCCTTGATCAACCGCTCGCGCACCCTTATTCTCGGCGAGGCGACTTCCAATATCGACAAGGAAACAGAGACCAAGATGATGAAAGCCGATTCAAGACCGATTTCAAGAATGCACTATCCTTGTGGCGGCACATCGACTACGGAAAATTCGAGATTTAGATTCTGTATTAGTGTTGGATGAGGGAAGAATTCTGGAATATGGGAGGTCTGATGGTCTGCTTCGAACCCCAAGGAGTAGGTTTCGAGAGCTGTGAGAGTTGCAAAGATATACATATTAATCATTAAGACGGTAAGGATTATCAAGTTAAATTAAACTGCTCTTTCATATTGATGATTTCTTTATCTCTTTAGATTATTAGTGAGTTCCAAGGTTGTCTTAGGTATCAATGCAGGTGTTGCAATCTCCATTTGAGCAAGCTATACCAGGAAAAGACCATATCCATATGACAAAGAATAACTTGCCGAAGGTAATCGTAGCAACGATCTTGGTAAATAGCTAAAGGAAGACACACCTAAACAGTCACTGAAACTGGTGCATGGTACACAGTACTCAAAACGCGGATTACGATTGTCATGATGCAGACTCATTCGGGCTAAGGGGTTCAGTAATTCCATATCGTCCATTGCGATGAGAGATCAAGCGTGAAGTAGCAGCGAGGCTGAGTGAGCATAAACCTAATAGTTTCATGGAACGAATCAGAAACAGTAAGCATGAATAGGGTTGAGGTCCCAGCGTCCAGCCGTGTCTCCGTTCCATTCGTTTTAGGGCAATTCTCAGTATGAGTTTGCTGCACGCACGGCATCGCAACCTAATTTAGCTCGTATTGCGATGAAGTTTTATTTGCTATTGTCTGTCGAATGTCGGTCGTTGCCTGGTTGAGAAGCATGGGGTACATAGCCTCGTGATGGATGTTATGGCTAGATATAACCTGTTCGTGCCCACGTTTGGGTCTGCGATCACTTCGTCCTGTACTTAGATAATCTTTTGCCATCATGGCTTTCAACTCGATCTTGATTGTAGTGGGCTTACTAGGTGGAATCATCGTCGCACAAGATGCATCAGATGGCGTAGTTTTCAAGCCCTCACGCAAAGACTCAACGCTCGACGCTTTCGGAAACTCAAGTCTCTCTTTTTCGCGCCTCTTCTCGGCACAAGACTACCTCGGTGGCCGCCTCTTTGCTCGAGATCAGACTTGCGAGTATCCGGTCCCTTGTGAAGGGAATGAGTGGTGCTGTCCAGCTGGCTCCAATTGTGTAAGTGCAAATAATGACACCCATCAGGATGTGGCTTATAGCAGCACATGCAGTGCCCGACTATCCTCGACTGCTGCCCCGACGGTTCTGAATGCCGAGAAAACCACCAGTGCTGTCCTGACACGGCCGAGACATGCGGAGGTACGTTTTGCGCTGAAGCTGGCTCTGTGTGTTGCAGTGATTATGTTTGTCCCGGGGGCACAACCTGTAATGAGCGGGGAGGGCAAAATTGTTGCAAGGAGTCTGACACAAGTTGCGAGGATGCTTGTAAGGTTCTGCAATCTGATATAATCTTGTAAGTGGCAGAGCTAACCTTGCAGGTTGTCCCGAGGGCTCAGAGTGTGGATCGGAGCCCGGATATTGCAGATGGATTACATCGACTACGACGACATCTACACGGACATCTACAACATCTACGACTTCTGTTTCCACGTCGACTGCTACACTGGCGTCTACAAGCACCAGGACTTTTACTTCGACATTGACGTCTACACAGACATCTACAAGGACCCAGCCTTCTACTACCACTTCGGCGGCTACTGACGCATGTGTTCCTGGCACCGAACGGAGATCTCTAATTGACAGAGGCAGATTTCCAAAATACTGCACAAAGGTGTGCAATGTCGCTGACAGAAAGGAGTATCCTGTATGGGAGATAACTCCCAAGGCCGGTGTGACCGACGAGCTAGTCCGCAGCATGTGCGAAGGTAAGAAATTTTGCGCAATCATATGCGAGCTCAACTAAGGGACTGGACTTAGGTATCAATGCACGGGTTTCAGCTGGAACAATACAGAGCGGACTCGCTGATGGCGAGGATATTCTGAGCTATAATGGACCAGGAGTAAGGAATGAGGCTGACTGTAGAGATTTTTGTTCTGGTTCGTTTCAACCAAAGCCCACCCACTGAAACACGAAGAATTAATACCTTGTAGCCCAAAATACGGCGGCTGGCAATACATATCCTTCTAGAGACTATCTTGAATGCGACGAATATCCACCAGGTATGACCACCCCATCATCTTACAAAAAAAAAGAACAATGCTAAAGGTTATCAAAGCCGTTTTCAACCCGTTAGGTGGAGCCCAGACGCGCGTTTGCATCCCTTCGTCCCAAAATTCCAGGCTCCAAGGCCCAATGCTAAGTCGTCTCCTGTCCAACTGCGGCATAACGAATCAGGGGCAGAAAATGATGGTTAGAATAGTTGGGGGATGTTCGCAGTACGCAAAACGTAGCGGTGATCCTGCAACTCTCCTCTCAGCACGAGACACGACCATTCAGCTCTCGAATAACAATTCGACGCTCATGGATCCGTACGGAGACGGAAGTTTGACTTATGTCGGTCTTGCTCTGGGGGAGAGAGCTGCTGGACATTACGATCTGAAAGTCAATTTCAGTGGGACTATTGACAATTTGACGATTTTGAATGCTTTCGGAGAGGAGTATGCTAGGTGAGTATACCGTCCCAAGATTTGTTGATGGGTATTTGTGCTGATGAGTGTAGGAATGATACCCCCAATGGACAGGTAACTTTGTTGTTTGATGTTACTGACGACTCGTATTTGCCACTGGCATTGATTGCTTGGACTGAGAACGAGGTCAATGTGTCATTTACTGGGACTGGTGACTTGACATCGTCGCCGTCATCTTCGTCCAGCACTCCGACTCCCACCTCGGCGGCCGCCAATCAGTCGGGAAGAGTGTTCATTCATCTAGTGGTGATATGTATGGGCTCTTTACTTATGCTTGTAATTTGATCGTAGTCCGCCGCAAACAGGTAAAGAAGCTGTATTCTCTAAAGTTGGTGGCTAGCACACGCGAATTTACAATTTGTCAAATTGGTGGTATGACTCCTGAAATCTCCCTATCCTCGGCCTCTTCAATATAAAGGTATAAAGCGTAAAAAGTCACTGGGTCTGCAGCTTCAGAAGAAAGCGCATAACATTAAAGGGGTCTTTCAAGCCTGGAATATTTGAAGGTCGTACATGTATCATGTTGCAAGGATTGATTATTCGTAAAACATCATTGATAACCCGACAATTCATAGGCCATGAATTATACATTAAACGTACAAATATCTAGACGAGTCCAAGGACTACGGACTAAACTTTTTTCCTCTTCCCACGCTCTTCTCTCGGTGAAGCCATCGAGCCAGCACGTGTCCGTTTCTTATCCGGTTTGTCGTTTCTTGCTTTCATGTTTGGAGATGAAGCCACTCTTTTCGATCTCCTTTTGTGGCCTTGTTCTTCTTCATTGTCGGCTCTCTTCCTTTTCGTAGGAGTCTGTCTGGTTGCAGTCTTCTTAGTCGTGCTGTTTCCATTCGTCTCCGTAGCCGCCAAAGAATTCTTCGGCGTCCGACCTTTTTTCGGTGGTGGAGCACTCTGGTTCAATGAATCCTCTTTCAGTGCGGCTGCTAGTGTGGGTATTTCGACTCTGACTGACATCGTCTGCGGAGATTCGTCTTCATTTTCTGGTGAAACATTATTCTCCTTGTCGTCGTCGGCAGCATCTCCTTCGACCGCCATAGGATCTATTGTTTCATCGAGTTCCTCTTCCTCCTCGCTGTCTGCGACAATCATCCTTTCTGCTGGTACTTGTTCAGACACATTCTGTTTTTCCGGCTGTGACAATTTCTCCCGTTGGCGACTAATAGTTTTATCCAAATTCTCAATCGCAAGTGGTGGAGGGGAATATCTGCCGTATTTTGTGTCGACCGCATTTTCAGGTTCAGTAGCCTGATCATTTATAGTGCTATACGCCCTGTCCTCGCCATTTATTTCGGTAGTTTTAGACCCGTTGGCAAACCAATCTTTCTGGTATACCGGCGCATTAAAAAGTTCCCTCCAATCACTCAACAAAGCCACCTTCTCCTCCTTACCTGGTTCATACAACTCCATCTTCTCATCCTCTTTCACAGGGACCCTCCACAACACACCCTTGAACGAATCCGCCATTTGCGACGAAGAATCAACAATCGAAGAACCAAGCTCGAGGGCAGGAATATTTCCAATCGAAGATAATTTCTGCCTTTTTCTACGAGGTTCGCCGTTCGTATTGTGTGTGGTAGTTATCGTCGGATCGTCGTCGTAATAGTCGTCGGAATAGTATTCCCAGTCACTGTAAGTATCGACTGTTTCTAGGGATGGATCTTCAACCATGATGGGGGAATGGATGGCGTTTTCTGCTAGGTCATCCTGTGTCAATGTTAGAAGGATTTAGTTGGAGGGAGACGAGAATGAACGTACCCCAAGACCCATGTTGTCCTCCTCGTACCAGTACCAGTCATCGTCATCGTCGTAGTAGAATTCGTCGTCGGACATTGTGCAGACAAGTTCAAGAGAAAGAGTGTACGAATGAAAGTAGACAGATTGTTGTAAAGGCTTATAGCATAATCATAGCTGCTGATAACTGCAGCTTGATGGAATTCGTGAGGGGTGCACAGCACCTTGCGAGCGAGCGAGCGAGTGTCAAATATTTTGAATCGACTAGCGATAGAAAATCAAATCATAAAAACACTCAACCCATTTATATTGACTCCGATTGTCGACTCGAATGAAAGAGAAATGGTGGACGTGCGCTGAACGATGTGTCAAAGATGAATAATTATTTGGAACAGCCCAAAATTGATTTGATTGAACCATGATTTCTGCCATAGATCTCAGGCACCAAAGACAGTGATCACGTGCGGCAGTCCCCGCAAATCGACGAAACAAAGCGCGGAGAGCTTCGGTTGGCGTCGGCTCTCCAGGTTGCAGACAATAAATACAAGGATCACTGACAAGGTAGAATTCTTTCTATCTCGTTACCACTTAATAATTCCCGTCATGTCTTGACTTTGAGTCTTTGACCATATTTCTTTCTCGTGGAATTACATCCTGTTCTACATATATCTAGTCGCCATGACTCTCTCCTCTCTTCTCCGCACGGGGTCCCGCTTCAGCCAAATCGCGGTTCTCAGGTCCAGAACATCGTCACGACGTGCTTCGACAGTTGCTACCACAGAGAATTCTGCCATCTTATCTTCAATATTAATTGCCAACCGCGGCGAAATTGCTTTGTACGCCAACCATACTTCACATTCTTCGCTAACTAACATCCGGGTTATAGACGAGTTGGCCGAACAGCAACTCAACACGGTATCAAGGTCACGACACTCTACACAAACCCCGATAGCAAAGCACAGCACGCTTTGAGTAGTCCCTATGCGTTCAATCTTGGTGAAACAGCTGCCTATCTGGACGGGGACCGGATAATAGAAATCGCTAAACGCGAAGGTTGCCAGGGGATTCATCCGGGTTATGGATTTGTTCGTTTGTTCTTATGGTTTTAATGGGACTCAGGCTAATGAATCATAGTTAAGTGAGAACTCAGAGTTTGCGCAGAAATGCGCCAATGCGGGATTGGTCTTTATTGGACCGCCGTGGAAGGCTATTGAAGATATGGGCGACAAAAGGTATTATGAGAAGATGAGTATGAATATGAATACCTGCTAATTCCTACTGAAGCCGATCTAAAAAAATAATGACCGCTGCTGGAGTTCCTTGCGTCCCCGGGTACCACGGCACCAATCAAGACCCCCTATTTCTAGAATCCGAGGCAGACAAGATGCAATACCCCGTCCTAATCAAAGCGGTCAAAGGAGGCGGCGGAAAAGGCATGCGGATCGTTAGATCCAAGACTGAATTTCAAGATCAACTACGATCTGCCAAGATGGAGGCGTTAAATTCCTTTGGGAATGATCACATGCTGGTGGAGAAGTATATCACTACCCCACGACATATTGAAGTACAGGTGTTTGCGGATAAGCATGGGAACTGTGTGGCGCTCGGGGAGCGGGATTGTAGTATTCAAAGACGACATCAGAAGATTTTGGAGGAGTCGCCCGCTCCGCATCTTCCGGATAGTGTGAGGAAGGATCTCTGGGAGAAAGCTAGGGCTGCTGCGTTGGCGGTTGGATACGAAGGTGCAGGCACGGTTGAGTTTATCTTTGATAATGATACGGGGAATTTCTACTTTATGGAGATGAATACTCGCCTTCAAGTTGAGCATCCAGTGACAGAAATGGTGACGGGACAAGACTTGGTGCATTGGCAGATCTTGGTCGCTGAGGGGGCACCTCTTCCTCTGACGCAGGACGAGATTGAAGCTAACATTGCCGTCCGCGGACATGCCATTGAAGCTCGAATCTACGCCGAAAATCCCGATCAAGGGTTTATACCGGACTCTGGTCGACTACTCCATGTTCGACTGCCTACAGAGACGGAGGACGTCCGAATCGACGCGGGTTTTGTCGCGGGCGACGAAGTATCCGCGCATTACGATCCGATGATTTCGAAACTGATTGTCCGGGGAGCTAATCGCGCGGAAGCTCTGCGCACTCTTTCCAAGGCGTTGGAAGAATATGAAATCGCGGGACCGATTACGAACATTGAGTTCTTGAAAGCGGTTTGCAAGAGCGCAGATTTTGTGTCTGGTGCGGTTGAGACGGGGTATATCGAGAAACATCGTGAGGAATTGTTTATCAAGGAATCGGCGTCGGACGAGGTTCTAGCGCAGGTCGCTCTAGCGGTGTTCATGACGTCATCCGGCCTAAGAGGATCGCAGCTCGGATTCAGTCCCGGCTTCCAACAACGTCAATTCAGCTTTACAGAGGCTACAGGTACCGCACCTGCGCACGAAGTTCAGGTCCGACAGCTCAGCGGCGACAGTTTCGAAGTAACCGTCAACGGACGAACCTTCTCGAATGTAACGAGTCATGTCAAGTCTCCTGAGATTACGTCGTTTTTCCCCCACACACGACTCGACACCAGAGTAATCCAGGACGAGGACACGATCATCGCCTTTCAACGTGGGCAACAATACCGCTTTTTTGCGTCTCGCGGCAAATGGATGGAGAAAGCTCTGGGCATCAAGGACGTCGCGAACAGCGTCTTGGCACCAATGCCGTGCAAGATCCTCAGCGTGGAGGTCAGTGAGGGCCAGGCGGTGGAGAAGGATCAGCCGCTGGTGGTGATTGAGAGTATGAAGATGGAGACGGTTATCCGCAGTCCGCATAACGGGACGATTGCGAGGATTGTGCACCGACGAGGGGTAAGTTCTCTTTCTTTCTCTTCTCGTTTTAAGGCTTTTATATTTTCTTGCCACAGACCCGCAGCGGATCTTCTTAGCGTCTTCGAGAATGTCTTCTAATCTATCGTGCAGGACCAATGCAAGAGTGGAACGCCACTGGTTGAGTTTGTCGGCGACGATTGATCTGTTAATCATACGATTGTATACTACGTAGTATACGTATGAGACTTGTTCGTGGGGTTCTTAGGTACAGTCCGGAAAAAGAAAATACGGTCATCTGACAGACGGAACAGCATGCATCAGAGTATGCGGAAGAATTGCCAGAGTTAAGTCACGAAGGGGTTATCCAGAGCTTGTTCCAGACTACAATTTCGGCCAGCTTAGTAGAAAGATGTATCTGTGACTCAGGCGATACATGTACAACAGAGTAAAGCGGTGTGTGCAATAGATTTACATACCTGTATCTCTCAATAGATCCAATTAGGCCAACAGTACCTCCACGCTCCCCATCGCATAGTCTAGATGGCTCAATGGGAAATTTTCAGCAGGTCATGTGGATTGTCGCAGTGGAGCAGATCGACTTAGTCAGAACGCTAGCCTGAGGCTGGCGGCTCACGCGGGGGTCCCTAAAGCTGCTGTGGACACATGGGATTCCCCCTGTTCCTACACGCTGGGCCTGGCCAGGCCTGGCTGTATATACAATGCTCACGCACTGGGGACTAGATAGAACTAGAAGAAGTATCTTATATTTTCATAGATCCATACAGAGTAACCAGCATTCCATCCCTTCAATCCATACAAATCCCTGTCGTTGCCAGTTGTACAGCACAATTAGCGTACTGCACCACGAGCCATCTACTATCTACTCGCTGAGTCGAGCTGACTGTCCCACGACGGTTCCAGAATTAATCAAAAAACCCACAATTATCTGTACAGACTTTGCTAGTCAGGTCAGACGATTTGGTTTTTCTTTTTTTCTTTTCTTTTTAAATCGGGGCGCTTCCCACTTTTAGGATTAAGTAAGCCCCGAATTTTTGCCATCCAGCGGTAGTAAGGAGGTTGATTATTTATTCCCTTCTTCTTTCCCTTCCAGGGGAAATCTTTTCTTCGTCCTCTTGTCTATCTGTCTTCCCTTTTCTTACTTCTTTTTTTTTTGTATCTGTTGTCCATTTATACATACAATGGCCACCATCTTCAAGCCGGCTGCTCGCCAGGCTGTCCGAGCTGTCGCTCGCTCGTCAATTCGTCCCTCCCTCACAATCAACACCAACATTCGCTCCCTCTCCACAACTCCCGCCCGCTTCCAAGATGATGAGAAAAAGGGTGCCGCTGCTCCCCCCGGCGCTTTTGCTCGTACCGACGACAGCCTCGTAATTGAGCACCCGGCAGATGAGGAGATGCCGCGCTCCCCTGTTGTCCAGGGCCGGGGCGGGATGCATTTTAAGCGCACTCTAGCTTCGTTTTCGTTGGAAAATAGGGTTAGTGTGGTTACTGGTGGTGCCCGGGGGTTGGGTTTGGTCATGGGTCAGGCGCTAGTGGCTTCTGGCTCGGATTTGGCGATTGTTGATTTGAACAGTATGTTTTTTTTAACCTACGATTTTCTACTGGATTTGACAAAGTCAAAATTCTGGTAACACAATACGTATATGAATTGTACTAATATCATGCAGAGGACGAAGCCCAAGAACAGGCCGAGAAACTTGTCGCCCAATTCTCCAAAGAGAACCCCGGTCTGGAAGAGTGAGTACACATTGCAAATCCATCCGTGCGACCCTAACTAATCTTCTACAGACTCCCTAAGGTCACCGCTCACTACGCCGACGTGTCCGACCCCGATTCGGTCAACGCCGTCCTCGCCAACATCATCGGACAACACGGCAAAATCGATAACCTCGTCACCTCAGCCGGATTCACCGAAAACTTCGACGCCATTTCTTACCCCTACGACCGCATGAAGAAACTCTGGGGCGTCAACGTCGACGGAACATACCTCTTCGCAACAGGCGTTGCAAAACACTTGATGGAACGCAAGGCGCCAGGCAGCATCGTCATGATTGGAAGTATGTCCGGTGCCATTGTCAATGTTCCTCAACCTCAGGCTCCGTACAACGCCGCCAAAGCCGCTGTGCGACACTTGGCCGCGTCCCTAGCTGTTGAGTGGGCTGGTGCCAATATCCGGGTCAATTGTATCAGTCCCGGTTACATGTTAACTGCATTGACCAAGAAGATTCTTGATGAGAATCCAGAGTTGAATCGGAAGTGGACCTCGTTGATCCCCCAGGGTAAGATGGGTACGCCGGAGGATTTGATGGGCGCTGTTACGTTCTTGCTGAGTGATGCTTCTCGCTACGTGACTGGTGCTGATCTCCGTGTTGACGGTGGTTACACTGTCACCTAAGTCCTCTTCTAAAAGCGCGTTTCATCTTTTTTATTTCTGTCTCAGCGTGCTTTTTGTTTCTCCTTTCGGTCCTGCGACGGCCTATCATAGACGGTGTATTACTTGCAATTTCGGAAGAGAGAAAATTTTTACTTTAGAGAACGGTTTTTCTTGCATTGCATGTTTTTTCTTTTGAGCTTTCTTCAAGCTTTGGGACGTGGATTTTTTTTTTTCTTTTTTCTTGACACGATGTCTTTTTGATCGGTTGTGGAATATATAGACTCAGAAGTCTAGCGATACCCGCATTTAATTAATTGTCTGAATACATAGGTGACTATGTACCAGATGTCCTTTTGCCCAATCGGATCTCCATCGGAATTGCATGTGACAATGCCGTACAGGACAGGAATGTAAGAGACAAGGGGTTTCAAGGTTTATCACCCTCTTCAACGGAAAACCGGGGTTATGATTGAGAGTTAAGGGACGTGATCAGTGAAACTGTGTATTTTATGAGTGCCTCAGCAATGGATCGCAGTCGTCACAAAGTCAGGTCTCGCAGTGGTCAATGCAAACCCAAGGAAGATGTCTTCGACAACAATCAGGGCCCTTTCCTCAATCACCGCTCGACCATCTCGCTTCCAATATACCAACACCCCAAAGAAGGAAACCCCTCAATACCTTCGAGCACGATAGCCTAGAGTTACAATCATTCAAGCAAAAGGTCGACCGAAATCTCTTCTCGTACAATCCGGATGATTCCTGGATATGGGAGATTGTATCTGCCGCTCTGAGTGTTACTGGCTTCGCTCTCCTCGGCGGCTTCCTTTTGAGAATTCAGCATAGTAGATACCCTTCCTGGAATCAAGCCATTTCGCCAAATACGGTTCTACCCATCATTATTACAGTTACCGGAGGAGTCATGCTAGTTCCTGTGTCATCATGTCTCAGCCAGCTGAAATGGAATCAGTATCATAAGCCAACTCCACTCTACAACATGCAAGCTATCGATCAGGCGAGTCGGGAGCCATGGGGCTCCTTTCAACTGCTCTGGAGAAGCTCTAAAAATCCTAAAATAGAGTCTCTGGATCACGGTATTAGCACTTGCTATAGGCCCGTCTACACAGCAAATATTGGCTTTTCCTGTGCATACCTTTCGAGTTACCAATGGATTCGCAGATTCAAGCCATGCACGGTTATGTTTCCTCGAAGTCAATATCGTTCCCTAACCCTATCCTTGATACCAAGACGACACCTTCGATCATGACTGGACTAGCACAACAAACCACTCCTCTTCGGCCACGCTATCGCTCAAGCAGTTGTTATTTCCCAAATTTGTCACAATAGGAATTTGCAGCTATTGCGCCGATGTCGTCACTCGAACCAGTCAAAAGTGTTTACCACACAGAAATTTCTCCCCTTGCCATTCGAAAGAATGTGGCACAGCGAAGTTGCTACCAACAGCACATTACAAGTCCCCAAGTAGATTTCATCTAGCGCTTCCTCTCGATGATATCTTTCTAAATGGAGATCACGGATACAAACATAAAAGGTTGCTACTTAATATGAGATATTGGGGTACCAGTACACAATATGTTAGTACAGTCCTCGGTATTCAAAGCCCAATATTCTTTTTGCGGCATACTATCCTACTATTTCCGTCATTTATGTTCCAGAAAATGTGACAACATTGATGCTGAAGCTTTCACTCACGGAATGCACTGTGTATTACCGTAAAAAGCAATATTCATCAAGCTCTCTCTTTCAAGGGAAACAAGCGAACTACTCTGTCAACATCTCTAATACCCAGCCTCTTGTTCCCTTCAACTCCTGGAGTTCTTCCGACACTGTGGGCTCCTCAGTAGTCATACGATTCGGACCGCCAAATGGTAAGGCCACTTTATCCGAGAATGTATCGTATTACATCGACCTCCAAGCTTTTTCTGCTCACGCTGAGTGAAAGTCTTAATACCAGTCTCTTTCTCAGCCCCACCCCCTTTGAAGAGAAGAATACGGGTCTAACAAGGCTTTTCTACACTAATGGTACCAATTCATCACTCGAGTCTCTCCCAAATTCTTTGACAGATGCTATGCGGGAAAACTCACAAGCCTTTGCCATTCCCAGGGAGGCCTTCATCGATGTACGGTAGCAATGAATGATCCTTCCATTATACACTCTAGTAGGAACCCTTACATTACTTGTTGGGACTATACTTGCAAGTAAGCGGCAGCATGCTGTACTATGGGAAAAGCTCAGTCATCTCATTACTGGCACTCCAACTCGAGACTTTACCTGAATATGACATTGGGACTTCGCAGAATGTGGACGAAATGCATCAGTATCCAAAAGAGGTCGATGTGAGAATAGATCGGCATAAAGGGCATCTTTCCTTTACTGAGAAGGCAGATAATAAGTTGGCGGACTTGATTCTAGAAAGCCTCAATGACCCCGAAGTTATGTCTTTTAGCAGGAGGGGGATTGCAAACATAGTTACTTTGTTATGCACCAGTTGCTGAACAGCCCCCTAACCTTAAAACAAACCCACTTCTGGATATATTGACTTAGATCTCAAAAGGCCTCCGGACCTTTATAGCCCAGCTCCAATGTATTTCAAAAGACGTATACACAGTGCTCCGACTAATCAGATAGAAGGTGAGAAGAATGTGGCTATAACAACAAGGATGCATCTCCAGATCTATACTGATCTTAGCTTGGTTGTTTCAATATGGAACTAATGAGCCTCTCCGAATTAAAGTAGACGTGTCGATGACTTTGACATGAGTTATTTAAGTAAATTGTACGTTTCGTTCGAATAACGATGTGGGAAGCACTCTGAGGTCTGATAGAACAAGGAGAGACAAATAGTTGTTTTTAGGGCTTCGCGAGTCCCGTGCACTCATCTTTCCCTGCTAAGTGCCCCACAATTTACTTTGATTCAAGCCAACCAAGAGCAGAGATCAACAATTTCTTCAGGGCAAAACAAACAGAGAAAAAATGGGTAGCAAAGAAATGGCTGGGTGTTCTTTGTGCAACAATTGAATTTCCTCAAACAATTGCCCCGGCGCCTGATTGAGCCCTAGCCGGTCCCACTGAGTATTATAAAAAAAGGAGCCAATTTCCCCCTCTTCTGTTTTCTTTATTCCTCACTTCACTTCAAAACCCATGTCTAGTTGAGCAGTACTATGAGATTTATATTCAATTAACGCCGTTGATTCTATTATTCGGTGGGATCCCAGAGCGAACTTCAGTTTCGTCGACAGTCAGGAGGTCGATCAGACCTTGAGCGCCCCAGTGAGAAGCTCAGCCCAGAGAGATTCATGCACCTCGCAGACGGTCGCCGGCTTCGCAACTAAAACCCCGAGCGTGTCGAAGCTCCAATTAAGCCACCATTAGATCGAAAAATGGTCTACATTCCAAAAGGATGTCCGAAAAGTCATCCGGTCTGTGATACCAGACGACCACAGATACGGCTAGATAGGCCGTGGTAAGGACCACCACGTCACCGGGAATGAGATAGGGGTCCAGACGGGATTCATCTTTGCTGTCTCCCAGGCAATGTTTCCAATTCTTCAATGTGTGAAACTGAATGTCCGCATGGTGGACTTTGAGTATGGTGTCCATCGGAATCCTGATATTGTCTTGGATTACCAAAAGAAAAGGCGGGGGAGGTTAGGCTGGTTTCTGACTTGGTCATTGTCCACGATCTATCCCACCGCATTCGTGTGGTGGGTGAGGGTTAAGGAAGCCGATAATAACAACTTCTATCTTCGGGAGGCTTTTCCGTACCTGGCAATGAATGCCTCTCACGAAATGGAGTCTTTCTTTGCGGAAAGACACAGCAGTATCAAGTGAATGGTCAAGAGAGTCAGGAGATGGGAATGGTAGGACTGATCTCCTTACAAAAACTGGATGAGGAATAGAGTTGCTGCGTGAAGGGGATGGACTGGCAGCTCATCTGGATTCAAAAGGGCTTGCGTAATCGTAAGTGAAGAAAAACTCGATGCAGGCGAAGCCGACATGATTCTGACATATATTCTCTCACAGACAGAAGGTGATTTACAAGTGCTACTCCCAGAAACGGATATTCGAGGTGGAGAGACAGGCCCCGGATGGAAGGGATTTCGTGACTTGGGGGAGATGTTGCAGGGAAGACCCCAGGTAATCAGATGCTGTACCAGGCAATCGGTCGAGCCGGACGTCTTGGCCCGAGGTCTATCGTCATGGTTTTATCAAGACTTGCGCGACACGATTAGGACACTGAGAACCGTAGAATATACCGTTCGATCAAAAATGAGGTGCTGTTAATTGGGGGTTGTAACAGACAGGAGGTCGGAGTCTCAAAGGAGGACTGGTTGGCATGGCGATATCGAGATTTCATGTTGTGATGGTCATTTCGTTCTGATTGTATTGTCTCTCTCCATTAACCTATGTAGCTTAAAGAAGCTCGCGACAATATCCTTGGTCTGAATTGAAGTTGTTGTAGGAAATAAGAGAGAAGCGGTGAACGTGAGGCAGGTGGAGACCTCCGATAGGGCAGTTTCCATTTTGGTCGCGGTTGCAGCGGCTCCTGCCGGCACTTCTTTTTGAGGGTCACGGGTTACACTTCGGTGATAGTTACAACTCGAACCTCAACACTCAATCAATCGGATACTGATTCGTGATCACCCCGCCACTTGATACGGAAAGAACAATGGATACGTTCGATAATCTGTCGGGGCCCCCTTTGTCAGGACAGACTGGAATGTGACTATTTCTTTCTTTCATGATTGATTGATCAGACAGCTCAAAACCCGAGTTATCCCTTCCTGGATCCTGCTGGAATCCCGGCCAGCCTTTTGCTTTTACTATTTGAAAACCAGGGATCCCTTTGAATCCATCCATGCACCAGCCTTACTCTACATGCGTGCAAATACTAGTGACTGCATTCAGCTCACATCGTTGGGCAGCTGAACAAGCTGAAACTCGGCGTGGAATCAGCTAGTCTGGTTCTCTTATTGACTGGTCACTACTTTTATCGACGAGAGTCTGCTCATTTGGTGAAGATCGAATTGTTTTATGCAGTAACACGTCCTATTCGTTCCATTGGGGGGCTTACCGCACAACCAATTTGAAAGACTTCTCGTCCTTTCACCTGCAGTTTCAAGAATTATTAGCACTATTACGTAGTGCTATTCGTCAAACTAATAATTCGATCTCCACAACCCCAGAATTTCTCCAACAGTGCAGTGGCTGCCTGCCGAAGTCTATGGCAAGGACATAAGTGTGCACCCTGCATCGGCCCGTCCACGGTACATCCCTCCTTGGTCCTTGGATGAACGCACAATCAATTTTCTCTTCTATTCGTCACCTCAACAAGCTATCTCAGTCTATTGACATACTCAGAGAGGTCTGTCATATCTGATTGTCGAGTTATCGCCAGATTTTTTGGAACATAACTTGCATGTGACGGCGACAACGTACAAATGAACTCAGAATGCGATACGTCGATCATGTAGCCTGCTACTCTGACATTGATTTGATTGCCCACTCGTGGTAATCACTGAGTGACCATGGCTCGTGAATTTCCTGCAGACGTGGTGAAGACCACCGACAAGTTCTCGGCAGAGTTGAGACAGTCCGACTGTATCAACGTTGACGATATTGCGCGACTTTGGAAAGGTACGAACTACTTTTAGTCAATTATGACATGTAGTCAGTCTACTGACCCCATCTAGCCTACGCCACACAGAGTGCTGTTGTGCGAGATGTCGTGGTGTCTCGATTGGAGAATCTCTTCTGGAGGATATGGGGAAACGTTGATGTCCAGCAGAACCTGTCTGGCGGCGTGTTGGCTACTTTGTTTATGACCATTCATGAAGATTCTTCTCTTCGCATAACCGACTACCCTCCTCCTTTAAAAGTACGTACCAGAAGGTTACAATATCTAATCAAGACTAATTAGATAACATGCAGGCTTCTACCATCACATCTTCCAACGGTATTACCGGATCTCAGCAAGGACGCAACGATTCACCTCCAAAGAACGAAAGCAAAACTCCACTTCCACCTATCCTCAAGAAATCTACCGAAGGAACAAAGAGTGTACCTCCAAGCGAGCCGTCGTCTCATAAGACGACAAGGATACTTATTCCTGAGAAACCCAGCGAGAAGCCAACCCAAAAGGCGACGAAAGGTGCCGAGACTGGAAAGGGAAACAAGTCAACAGCAGCCAGTTCGACATCTGCAGCCCAAAAGCCAATCCGCAAGAGACCAACTTTCGTGGCAAACAGAGCAGCATCCTCGAGAAAGAGAGGCGTGCTTATCCGGCGGAAATCATCGCAAACGTCTCCCGTTACTTCTCCAACCGTTGAAGAAACGGAAGATATTTTGCAAGAGCAGATACAAGCGCAAGAAGAGGAGAAAGCAGAAGAGCAAGCGAAGGAGCAATCGAAAGAAGCCTCTGCTCCTTCTAGCCCTGCCAAAGAGACAGAAATCTCGTGGCGTTCGATGCCGTATTTGAAAAAGTTTGACGAAGACAGCAGGAATGCACCAACAGAACGGGAACCGGGCACGGCAAGCACAAGTCCTCCTCCAACAAGCTTTTCAGTCAGTAGCGTTCATCACCACCGCAGCCCAGAAGAACATTTTCGAGCTGCCAACCAGGAAAAAGCGCAGAATAGTGTCGTTTCCGACAAATCACTTGTTGAGCAGGACTTTCGAACGAATTTTGTTCAAAGACAGCGGCAGGGATCCGCATTTACCACTAAAAACAACAGCGCGGCGTCTTCTCTTACGACGCGACTCAGCTCAACGAACTTTCGGGAAATGCTTAATGCCGCACAAGCCGCTGCTGCGTTGCAAAAGAGTGACAGTCGTGGTGCAACCCGAAGCCTGTCACCAGGGCCACAATATGTCCTCCTTCCAAAACACGACGGTCCCATCAGTTCTTCGACGATGATGACCTCCCCGACGCGAAAATCGGATGTTAGAGACCGAAGTCGACGACCTATCATTATCAATACATCATCGTCCAAGGCACAGGAACAACGCTCTGATGATAAAGAGCCTGTTTCTAATTACCCATCGGCAGTAGCAGTGTCGGAATCTGTGATATCGACGTCACAACAAACAACAACCGGTGTTTTTTCAGTACCGAAAGAGGCTCAGGAACTTCTGGGAGAACAATTGACTAATCTGATTAAGGGGAAGGGGGGTAAAAGATGGTAAGACGAAACGGAGTTAACAGATATGCTTTTAGAAGTTTACTTCTCCATGTGCAGTACTGGCAGTGTTAGGGGCAGCTTTAGATGGCAAGTGGGCGTTTGACATTTCGTGCATAGACCTAAGATAGCATGCTTACTACACTTGCAGTAGATGAATAAAGTCATGAATTGAGTCAGGATTTGCCAATGAATATACATAAGACTGGCTGGGTATCTATGGAAAAGCATTTTGTACCTGTCAAGGTATTATGAGTGCACAAATATGGGAAATGATATCACATGGTTCATAGACCTAAGAGATTCAGCAACATGCTCGCAATGCTTAGCATGATGGAGCACACTTCAAGCATATATGTGTGGAGAGTGTCTAGTACGTGGTTAATGATCAGTCCCAGGCGTTGTTGGAGGGGTGCCATACTCGTCAGCGTCCACCATTGCACTTATCGACGATTCAGAACGAGGGTAACTTTCACCATTATGGCCCAACCGATCACCAGCATCATGGGCTACTGAGCTTACCGGCGAATCCCAACAGTTTTCATCACCACCAGGTGCAGTAGTACCAACACCACCACCACCGTTACGAGAAGCAGCAGTACCAACACCAGGACAATTACCAGCCAGAACAAACTCATTTCCCTCACGCTGCTGCTCCTTCTTAAGGATATCCTTCTCCTTCTTAGCCTTTTTCCCACCACCACATTTAAACCTATCCTTCCCCAACCTCATTCCCGACCAAACCATCGTGACCACCCACAGCAACAAATTCACCAAATCAATCCAAGTGGCATGTCTCATACGTTCAATAGCCCCATCCCCCTCCGGATCTTCCGATAAATACATCTTGGCGAACACACCAAATAACACCAACCAGATCAAGCAGATAAACACCTCCCAAAGCAAAAACGGTAAATGCAAGCTTTGATAGGGGTCGACTGCGCGGCGCACAACTCGTGGGACGAAGCACCAGGTCATAAGGTCCATTGCCGCTGTGAATGCGGCTAGAGCAGCGACTACTTCGGCATACACCCATTTCGCGTCCAAGTAGACGTCCTTGTCGCAGGCGTGCTGGAGGTCTTTGCCGTATAGACCGGCAACGGTGAGAGCGAAGATGAATTGGAGAAAGCGCAGAAATGCATTTGTGATGGATGCGGTGATTGATCGAGGGGTGCTTGGCTCGGTAGGTCTACCATTAGGATCTCTCATGGCGTTATAGTTGCTGTTGCTTGACTGTAAGCCCTGTTCGAGAGCTATGTCTTTGATGCGACCATCTTTGAGTGCTTTAACGCCAGCACTGGTAGCTTCTTTGCCCGCGGTCAAGGCTATCAATAATGACATTTTGATCAGTTTTTGTCAATAGACTAATAGGGAAGAAAAGGAAAGAGTGAAAATCGCCAGTGTTTCTTTGGGAGAGTTGCTGCTAATGAAGATGAATGATGTTCAGTGAGCTTTATGTACCATTAGAGGTATAGATACGCTCAAAGTCATATCTGACTCAGATGAATGACTGTGTTGAAATGGTAATTATAGCAGACAGCACATATCAAGCAGCGAGAAAAAGATTGTTTCAGACAACCAAAGAGAAGAGATTAAGAGCATAATGACATTATCGATAAGTGATAAATGAACAAAGATTCGGAGGTATAGACGAATATACCTTTGCTCTTTATATGAATCTAGATCTGACTCCGATCTGTGACTGTGTCAAGCTCGATGGACTAAAACATGAGTAATCCAGACTCGTGAAGTTGTGGTAGTCATGCAATATTCCCTAAAGGGGTAATGTCATGGCTCAATTTTCCTCCTCTTTGTCCGGCTTCTTAGGACATATAGAGAGGCAGTGCACTTATAAACCTGCTAGAGTATTGGGAGAGAGTAAATTGTTTTCCTTTTTTCAATAATGAGTAGGGCGTATTGTAGCCGCTGTACCTCGACGACCCTTCAGGCTATCGTCTGATTATATAGACCCAACCCATAATGCACTACCTAAGTACACCAAGAATAAGAACAACTAATCCTCTTAACCCACAGTTTCGCCAGTCATGATACCTGCAACAATCTAAGTTACCCTAAAAGAAAAGGACGTATGATTGTAAAGGCTTCATCCTAAGCGCCAACGTCACTTTAGCAGGGATTATTTTAAGCTAGGGTATGGGACCAATTATGCTTAAGGGCCTTCCCGACCTGGTTTTGGCGCTTACATAGGGTTGCGGATCGACAAGGTGGTTAGGGCTTGACTGGCTGGCGGATGTTGGATTTGGATAGATTGCGGTTACTACTTTCGCTCTTGGCCGGAATGTTTGTATGAAGTACTCTGTATTGACACAATTATGCTTCTCAGCCTCGACTCTAGTATCTTAGGGTAAGCTATGGAGAACCTTCATCTCATCATTTCACATTCATAATCAACTTCTCTCAGCTACATTGAGAACAAGCTTCTGAAGTAGACTCACCACTAACTGACTCACTCACTGACTCTCACTCTCCTCTTCTTCTCGCCATCAACTTATCCTGTATGACACACATACAATCCCAAAAACCAAACATAACCATCCAACCTAGGTACAGCCCGACCAAAAGACACCTTATTAACATTTTCGTATCTAACAACAAAATCAGACTTGGGTGATAGGAGCTTTGTACAACAAGACCATGACATGACTGCTTTGACGCCACTGATGCTGACTATGCCCTATCAGCAGAACAACCATGCTGACAATTTTGAACTCGAAATTTAATAGAATATCAATGGGGTAAGAGAGGGGATTCAAGAATGCAAATGGGGGGGAACCAAAAGAAAAATGCAAATAACCAAAAAAAGAAAACTCCTGACAGCCAAGGGGGAAACAAAAAGCCAACGAACCGAGCGGAGTGAGCGCATTCATTGTGCTGGAAGAAGATCAGAATGATTTCGAGGATCGATATCCCTCCTCCAGGAAAGTAGCGGTTCAATTTGCCTGGCTAATAATCTAGGCTGGACGATTCATTCCACCGTCACCAATCCTGCTTTTTGTCTGTGTTGGTCCTTCCGCCGGAGAATGACCTGCATTATGTATGCCGACAGGTCCCCGATTAGCCGTTGACTGAGGCACAGGAGGTGCCGATGTGGGCATCGGAGGGGCATCGTCCTCATATTCTCCCAGATAATCATCCGGATGAGGCGGGTCCATCGGAGCCTGCTCAGGAGCATGGTTGTGGTGTGCCGGTTGTTGAGCCCCAGCCTGTTTTGCTGCGTTCTTCGTGGCCTTCTTTCCTTTTCGACCCTTCATCTTGGCTTTTTCCAACAACCGTCGCTTCTCCGCTAACCGACGTCGTTCCTTTCGGTCTTTGATCTCGTATTGCCGGATCAATGCTCGAGGAGGTTCTCCGAAGATAGCTTCATACTCGCAAAATTCGCACATCCAAAACTCTTCCGGGCTGGGCGGATTATGGATATTCGCATAGTGCTGTTGAATTTTCCGACGACGAGCAGCCATCGCGTATATACTATCACGAGACCGTTTGGGTCTCTGCCCAGGATTAGCTGCTGGTGCCCCCGCCGCAGGAGGCGGTAACTGCTGATTTCCACCCATTGTCCCCATGTTCGGACTGGTTTGCGTTCCCTGTGTAGCAAAATCACGCGAATTCGGTGCATGTCCATGGAGAGATGAATTCGGAAGTCGTGGATGAGACATTGGATACGGATTGGTAGATTGCATAGCTATACTCTTCGAACTATCCGATTCGCATGTGAACGTGAATTGCGTTTTCGTGGGAGACTGTCTGTTCGCTTGTTGATCAAGAAGACTGACGTTGTTGGGTCCTCTTGGAGACGGAGAAAGTGCCGCAGCGTTTGCTATTGCCGTTGAGATTATACCTTGATCTGGTTTGGTTCCGGTTTCACCTGTGATTTAGGCACAAAGTCAGTGAACAATCGTTCCGACAATACCTCCTCCTAATGTATGGTGGTTTATACCTGATCCGATATGTGACGATGGAGTTGAATCCCGACGGCTACCGCCAGGTCGTCCACCAAACCAGGCGCCTTGAGGATGCATTGGAAGTGAATTGCGTCCACTGGAAACACGCGGTGCATGACGAGCGTAACGACCACGCCCTGGCCCCGAAATCCCGCTCCCTGCATTCGACGCGGCTGGACTGCCAGACCCGTAATATGTGCCAGTCCCGCTATCGCCTAGCCCGCCAGGAGATCCAGGAGTTGATCCAGATAATCCCATATTCGCAAGATCTGTGCTCAGACTCGAGTGATGATTATTCAACGTTCCAGAGGTCGGGATTTTGCGTTTCTTTTTGTTATTGGTGTTTTCAAAAGCATCATATCCATCAAGCCCGACTGGCGATGATTTTGTTTGCGACGAATCTTGCGCCTGCTCATTGGAGTACGGAGTGGAAGGAGGTAACGACGACCCGCGAAACCCGCCGCTGCGGCGAACAACCACCGAACCACCTTCATCTCCACTTTCAACTTCTGAGACGCCGTTCTCGTACGGATGGCGGTGGTCTCGATCGGGGCTATGATCATGGTTGTATGGATCGACGGAATGCTGGCGCATCAAGTATTTGCTATCTTGTCTTTCATGATGTTCGGAGTACGAGCCGTAAAACAGCTGTGACACAGGAGGAGCGGGCGGAAATAGAATCGACTCGGCAGCCTCGGGAGAAAGACGAGAGCGTAATGGGCGCTTTGGCAGAGGTCGAATGAGACGATCAGGATAGATGGGAGACGGTGTGTCTGGAGTGGCGGAATATGTGCCACCTAGTGAGATTGATCGTATCAGCAATCCACCCTCATGCTTTACTAGAGCAGTCTGTTCCATGCTCAAAAACGAAGACCTAGATGCCTTGTAAAGTTTTGATTCCGGATAGACAGGGACATACTCATTGTAGCAGCCATGTTTCCTTTTCTTGCCTTGGTCTGGCACTCATGCACACACACACACACACACACACACACACACAGAGTTTCTCTCCAAGAACCAGACGTATAACCCGCACCAGCTAATCTGAGATCGTCCTATTGTATTCCGAAGTAACTGAAGTAAGATGATCGTTTTGTTTTCGGTGCGGCAAACTAACGGCAAAACTCGACGTGGTCTCCCGAACGATTTGAATATTCCCCTATCCCAACTACGGAGCGGGACGTTAGTGAATATGGTGAACGGCGCCGAGACCCGGGAGATCATAGGAAGATGATGAAAATAGAAGAGAACAGAATTGATACAGATGGAGCAGAGTTGTGTCGGTAGAAGCAGTGCTGATAAGACAACTCACCAAAGCAGGTAAATTAATAAGCAACCCAAACGGCAGACTTTTTAAGGAGTGACTAGTCGTGTATTGCAATTCCAGTAATATCAGAGACAGACACCAAGAAATGCGCAAGCGGAGCGGAGATAGAAATGAAGTCTTTTCAGAGCGAGCAAATGCAAGATGACGACCAAAATATCCGAGAAATGAGGGACGTTTTGGAGGTTCGTCAAGAATGAAGCAGAAGTTGGCGGGTGCTCGGGTATGCCGCGCTAAGCCTAGTTGGGACTATAGTGCTATGTGGGAAATATATGGCAGATGCTCACTCGAACTACACATCAGTCAATGACCTGTTGAAAACACGTTTGCAGTCCTGGATTCATGGCCCTGGATTCAATCAAATCATGTCATGAACGAAGGGTCTATGTGACTTAGTCTATTATGTTGGTAGATATCTTTAAGGAATTCCCGGACTGAGGGCAAAAAGGATACGTATGTATATTCTTTCTATTCTTCCTAAGTTGTCTCGTATTGTTATCCAACTGCTATAATACTACGGAGAACCCCATCTTTGACTCTTTTGATGGATAATAGTAGTCAAGCCAGAGGAGGATATATGAACCCTCAACAGCATTGTTGTTCCCGGATAACCTCCAGTTTGCTGAGTTGTGCCCCCCATTCTGCAGCTTCCTAGGATATCAAATGAGCCAATTGTTCCGCGCAAAGGCCAAAAAAAATTAAAAAGAAATCTCAATTGGCGGGCAAGATCGCAAGCGGGATACGAAAGCGATCAGTATCATCGTCAGTAAAGATGTGGACGGGATTTCTCTCTAGATTCAATGCTGAATGTCAGATCGGAAGCGAGGAAATCGTACTCTTTTATTTAGACCCGACGCAATCGACAATTGTCCTTCATAGGTAGCCGACTCCTTTCGGAAGGACACGGACAATTATACGATCGATCACTCGTCACAGAGCGTAGAATGGACAGAAATGCGGTTTGGTTTTGGACATCGCTTATCTCACGAAGGGACGGATGAGGCGATATCTGCAGTTTCGATGTCAATTGAATAATGCTGAAAATGTGGCCCTAATTTGATATCTTCATGGTCAGTCTTTCCACGTCGTTCGGAACGTCCCTGTTGCAAAACCACCAAAGCTGGAAGCCCGAAGGAGCATGAACGAGTACTAATCATTAGAGGAAGACTCAGGAGAGAGGAGAGTGAAATGAAGAGAAAATAGAGAAACAACATGGGGTAGAGAATAATAACGCAGTCGGCATTGTGAGCGGGGAAGCACCAAGTTAGTCAGCAGTTTCTTGACACAATGAAGGCGGCCAGCCATCCCGTTCCGTCAGTCTTTCCCCCCATCTCAAGTGACTTCTCTCTCCCTTCTCCCCACTCAACACTCGCTCGTTACAACCCAGAGTATGTAGCTGCTTTGCTTGCTATGATATTTCCCAGGCGATCTTTTTGGAATAGGCACGTCATTGCCTAATTTCCCGCAATTGTTTTGTTGACTATTCTCCTTTCGCTTTGCTCGGTTTTCGTCAAGCCACCAGAAAAACCACCTTCGAGTTCTTCCTCCAACTTGTCACGGCGCGTAGGGACACAATTATCCTCGGCCGATCACAGATCACGCTGGCAGTCTTACTGTGAAGCTACCCTCGTGTCTAAGTTCCTGTCGGCCCTACTGCGTCGTGAAAAATTCGTACCGTGACCATGAGTCCTCGTCGCTCTTCCCGAGCTCGTACCACCCAGCCCTCGCCTGCCCTGCACCACACCAATTCCAGCAGCTCTGGAAATTCACACAACCGGGGAGAGCGCAACACTCGTTCCAATAACAAGCATGCATCTCCTCAAAGATCGTCGACGCACCGTTCTCAGTCTCTTGACGACTCGGACGGCAAACCCGACCTGCCACAGACGCGCCAGCGCCATCGTGCCCAAGACGACGATAATGACGACCTTTCCCAAGCGAATGACGACGAAGGTGATGAAGAGGAAAATGATGATGAAGAAATAACCAGGTGTCTATGCGGACAGCAAGAGTACCCAGGCTTACCTCCATCCCGGCGCAGCGCCACTGGTCGGCACCGTCAGCAGGCAGGAGGCAAGGACAATACTTTGGCAAAAGATGAAGCCGATCCTCTTAGCGACGATATTGGAAGCATGTTTATCCAATGCGACTCATGCAAGGTGTGGCAGCATGGTGGCTGTGTTGGTATCATGGACGAAGCTATGAGCCCAGATGAATACTTTTGTGAAGAGTGCCGGAAAGACCTGCACAAGATCACTGCTGAGTCGAATGGGTAAGTCGTCAGTTTTCCTTGTATTGGAAGCTACGCCCTGGAATTTTCTAAGTGGCACACCACATGACCGATGACTGTCTTCATGCTTCTTTGATTTCCTGCCCCGGCCTCTATCCATCCTCTGTCCTTGTCGTTTGATCAAAACAATTGAATCAGGAACATTTGACAATACCATAAAACACGTTAACTGTTTTTTAAAAAGGTCTTTGAAGATAGCTAACGTTTCCACAGACAGCATTCTTCCCAGTACTTGCCAGTTGCCCCTGTGTTCAGTCCTGATTCTTCTTCGCGAGAATCTTCCAGCGACATTGCGCGGCGCTCACGCGACTCGAGATCACGACAGGCTGAAAACCCCAAGCGCCGCTCCACGATGAACAGTCGAGATGCTGCGTACGATGAGGAGGAGCTGCTCAGACGGGCTATAGAAGAAAGCAAGGAAGATAGTAGAATGAGCAATGACGAGACCAGCTCACGGAGAACGAAAAGAAGTCGGAGCGATGATGAGGTGTAAGTGCTTCCCTTTTCTGGATCTGTTGGTACCTGGAAGATCACGAATAGCTGACGTGCACAGTAACAAGCAAGCCGTCAAACGCCCCCGAACAGGCTCTCCATCTCCGCCGGCCGTGTCTAAGCAGAGTATTCCTCCCTCACAACCTGTTTCAGAAGACGAAGCAAAGCCGAAAACCAACGGAGTGAATAGAGCTAAGCGGGGTGCTTCTGGGCGCGGTCAAAAGGAGAAAGAAGTCAAGGAGCCAGAGGAGCAACAAGAAGAGGAAGAAACAGAACAACCAGGACCTATTCCACGGAGGAAATCACGCTCAGAGAAGAAGCGAGAAGAGGGTATGTTTCAACGTATGGATATTTTTTGGACGAAAACTGATGCATGACAACGAGTAGAATCCGATCATGAGGCTGAGGCATCACCATCAAAACCCTCTGCGCTTGCACCCACACCGAGCGAACCTGAGCCTTTGGAACCAACTCCGGAAACCCCAGTGCTCGCTGCAGAGCCTGCACCCCCGCCGCCTCCCCCTCGTCAGTCAACACGAAAATCGGGCCGCCCTCCAGCTCGACGTGGTGGGCGGCTGGGCCGTAATCAATATACAAGGGACCGAGACCTCAATGGGGACGCTGTCAATTCTCCAAATTCGCCGCATGGTAGCCATTTCCGGGACAATGGGCGAGATTCACCTAGCGTCGGTGGACCCAACGGGTTGGCCAATGGAGCTGACGGCAAAGGCGGGAAAGGCCGTCACTTAAATCCACATCGTACGTCGATGAATGAAATGAAACGACGAGTGGCAGCTATTCTGGATTTTATATCGCGCATGCAAGTTGAGATGGCCGCCAGCGGAGAGACAGTAACTCCACCAGACAATAATACTACAAATAGCAACCGGACACCATTAGTCAAAGGCGTTCAGGATCAATTGAGTTCATTGCTCACATCGACAAACAGCGAAGGTGTATCGGTAGCCAGTTCAGCAGGATCGGCCGCAGATGATACATCGAAGGAGAAAGAGAAGGACTTCAAAGACCTCACCAGCATCGAAATGATGGATGTTCTCACTCGACATCTACTCAAATGGCAACAAGAGTATGGCAAATACGGCGAGAAATAGTACATTCTCTGTAGTGAATGACTATGATCTCGTCTGATCTCATACACTCATGTCTTTTCTCTGTGCATATACGAACGTCCTACTGTCTCATATGGGTTGGATTGGGATTCCGGCGTTTTCTTCAATTTTTCAAAGACCATCAACTGACATACTCCCAACAAGATACCCACAGCCGGTCTCATACTTCTATACAAAACCTTATGTACTATTACTCAGCAAACTTACTCCTATGGTGGGCGGCGCTTTCATCTTTCTTTTCTCTTTGTTTGTGCTGGACATTTAATGGGATTGGTATTCGTGGCAATGTTTGTGTGCGTTCTGGAGTTTCTTTGTAGCTGATTTTGCATTGTTCTTGCTTAAGTTCTTTTCATTAGTGGGCTCATGTCAAGCTATCGGGCTGGTCCGATTGCGAATATTGATTTGTCCTTGAATGGCGTTGTCTTTATATTCACAAGTCTTGTTAGCAGGAGCGATGGTACAGTGTGGCATACACGCCTTGGGCAGAGATTAGCTCTATAGCAGCCACCAACCTATAGATGGTTCCTCTAGGTAGCTCTGTGCAAGAGCAGACAGACCGCCTTATAACAGTGGTCATGAAAGCAGTCCTAGAGCTAACACTAAGAACAAAGCCCTCATTATATGCCAAGCAGTGGTAGACAATGGATCTGAATATATACCTACTAGAGAAATCAGGCTAGATCTCAACACAGAAGGGAATACACAAATCCTAAGCTTAAACGACAGGCCAAAGACACAGCAAAGAAATATCAATGTAATCTAGAAATAGAAGAAGGCACACTGGGAAGACTTCCTTACTAATAATACTAATACATGGTAGGCAACTAAGTACCTAAAGCCCAGCGGCAGCTTATTCAACAATAAAATACCACTATTAATGTGGCCAGACAGGTCTACTATCAAAGACAAAATAGAACAGATTAAGGAGCTACTTGCTATGTTCTTCCCACTACTACTAGTAAGTATTGGCGATGAGGGATCTTAATAACAAAGGGAACCGATTCACATGCTAGACCTAACTATGGGGAGATTAAGTAGAAAGTCTTTGAACCCAAACCATGGAAAGCACCTAGAGAAGATGGTCTACTAGTAATAGTGTGGAAGCATCTGTGGCCAGTGGTCAAAGATAGGGTGTTTCTCATCTTTTAAATATCACTTTAAGATAGTGAAATCCCTTCCTAATAGTAGAATACTAAGATTATACCACTCAAAAAGCCTAGAAAGGATAACTACACGCTAGTAAAATTATAGAGACCTATATTATTGCTCTCAACACTTCAACACTGGGTAATATTATGGAAGTGGTTATCGCAGAAAGGATATCATATGCTGTCGAAGCGTTCGGCTTGCTGCTAACAAGCTATTTTGGAGCAAGGGAGAGGCGCTCAGCAGAACAAGCGTTGTTACTGCTCCAGGAAGAGATTTACAAGGCCTGAGAAACAAGAGAGTGTTCAGTATGGTCAGCTTCGATTTCAAAGGCACATATAATGGAGTCTATAAGGAGCGGCTACTTCTGACCCTATGCCGACGACAGACATCCACGTGCCAATACACGCCTTTTTTACTCATTCAAATCATCAAGATGTGTTTGCACTCGCTCCCCTAGCTTTATCATTTTTGACACTCACAACATCTGTGATTATGGCTCCAGTAGCATCGGAAGATACTTTGAAACGATGTATGTTTGGCAGTTAATACACTGTATATGAATTGCATTCTAACTATCACAACAGCTACGGTTGATTTGGTCGATAAACGCGCCTACTACTACTATTCTGGCCCCGAGGAGCCTGCTGAGAATGACAAGCACGCATATTACTACTATTCCAGTCCCGAAGAGCCTGCTAAGAAAGAGAGACATGCCTACTACTACTACTACTACTACTACTACTACTACTTAGGTCCAGAGCAACATAGTGAAGAGGAATGAGAGCGCTGTTCTAAAGTATATTGGCGAGTGCGTTTCGTCTGTGGGGTTTATATTGATTTATATAAACGTTTGCTTAGATTTCTGGTGCCATGTGAGAAAAGCCAATTGCAACAATGCGTGATCGACCGAGGATTTACGGAGCACTCCACAGTTATATCACTCTACGCTCAATAGTCCTTTTATAGGATGGTTCTTTCTACAGATTTCAATTCGATCATATTAGCTGCTCCAAGTTTCGAATAAGCGATGAAGACTAGATGCTCCCACTACACTCTTTTTCTCTTTTTTCTTTCCTTTTCTCGAAGATTCTCAGATCTTTACACTCTCGCTATATTCAATCACGATTTAGTTGCGTCAATTAGTTTCTCGAATACGTTGAATAAACGGAGTCCCTCAACAACTATATCTGCTACCTAATGTCTCGACTAAAGTAGTAGACTATCTGATTTACTCCCGTGCTATAGTAGCTTACTACCTACAACCAAAGAAAATATCATTTATGTGGGTGCATAAAGCACGTGTACACGTTAATGTACGTACGTACGTACGTAGAGTGTTTAGCAGGTAGTGACTCTAATAGTATATATCGGCCTGCTATTACTATCGCACTTGGAGCATCTCTATTCCATTCAGCCTTCGCTTCTACTAAATCTCTTTTTGTCCTTGTCACTAATGTTTGATATTGTACGTGTACGAACCCTGTGGCTCGCGCATTATACGGCCATAGCTGCGATTTTCACGGGCAGCACTGGACTGAAGCTTATCTGGTTTTATCTAGAATCAAAAACCAAGAAGGCACACTTCCTCAACCAAACGATACAGTACAGGACCGGAGAGATTCGTGGTCTATATAGTCGTTCTTTTTTTTGGTGGATTAACCAACTATTCGTCTTTGGATTCAAAAGGGATATATCGGTGGAGAACCTACCACATCTGGACCGAGCACTATCTTCAGATGCAGTCCATATCTCGGTAAAACAACTATGGGATGCGCGTGAGTCTGTCGGCTGTATACTCAACCGTTTCTTATATCACGACTGATGGATTACGTTGGAGTTAAGGATCCTAATAAAAATGATGGATATGGACTAATTGGGGCATTTGCTCTCGTCTTCACACTTAAAGCGGTAAATTGTCCATTCGATTCCGCCGCCTTACCGAATTTAACTGATACGGAATTTTGCAGGTCCTAAACGGTATGTATGAGCATCATGTCTTTCGCCTTATTACTCAGATACGCGGTGCAATGGTGTCTATGATCTATGAGAAGACATTATAACTACCACTCGAAGACGCTAACAATAGATCGGGAGTCACATTGATGAGCAATGAGGTGGATAACATTGCAATAGGCATCCAAAACTCACATGAGACTTGGGCAAGTCCGACTGAGTTAGCCATCGCCGTCTATCTTTTAGAGAAGAAAGTCCTTTGGGCCGCCGCTATTCCGGCAGCCATCTCATTGGTAGTCTTCTATTTGACCGGCCTAATCTCAAAGTCATTTCCACCAAGACAAACGAGATGGATGCAAGCAGTCCGTGAAAGAGTTTTTTCACATCGAACTTCCTTGACACCGCAAAGTCACTGAAGATGCTTGGCATGTCAGAGCAAGCGTCAAGGATCATGCAGCTGCTTCGGGTCCGGGAGTTAAATCTGCAGAAGAAATTCAGGCATTCCATGGTCAAGATGAATCTGTTAGGTTAGTTTGCCGCAACCAGGGAGCACAACCGAGGGAAAATAGTCAATTTATATTTTTAAGCATTATACTGAGAATAAGTTACAGCGGGAATACCATCGAACCTTAGCCCTGTTATTACACTTAGTGTCTATACGGGAATTGCATTCTGGACAGGTAGAGAACCCCTCACGGAAGCACAGACTTTCATGACACTCTCAGTCATCCTGCTATCTAGTACTCCACTGTCTAATCCGGTGTATTCCGCTCCGAGACTTGCTGGTGTTGTTGATTGCTTTAAGAGAATCCAAGAATATCTCTTGGAATCTCCGCGGCGTGACTACAGAAGATGGGAAAAATCTTTCGAGACTTTCGAAGCCGAAATAATCCCTGATAGGAAGAGCTGCGACTCACCGAAAATGCCAAGTATCTCCATACAAGCATTAACGCAAACAAAATCTGAATCAGCTTACCCAACGCCAGACGTTGTTATCGTTCACCAGGCCGATCTCAGTTGGAGCAGCACCCATCCGATCCTCTCAAACATAAGCGTCAAACTTCCACATGGATCGCTTACCATGGTCCTAGGTCCTGTGGGCTCAGGAAAGAGTATGCTTTTAAAAGCCGTTTTAGGAGAGCTCCATTGTACAAAGGGCTATGTGCAGATACAGTCATCACTGAAAGTCGGTTTCTGTGACGCAAGTCCGTGGATTTGTCACAGCACCATCCTTGAAACGATTTGCGGAGAACTCGGGTACGACGAAAAATGGTATCAAACAGTCATTCGTGCGTGTGCTTTGGAAGAGGATATTAATAATTTTACGGATGGCTATTCCACTGTTATTGGGAACAATGGCATTTCAATGAGTGGTGGACAATGTCAGCGGATCGCTATAGCTCGTGCAGTATAGGCCCGTACACAACTTGCCTTATTTGATGATGTTTTGAGTGCTTTGGATACTAGAACCCGCGAGCATCTCTGTGAACATGTCTTTGGAAGCCGAGGCCTTCTACGCCAGCATAACGTGACTGTCGTTCTCGTGACACATGCACATCAGCCTTTGGCCTTCGCTGATCAAGTTCTCTTGATGGAAGACGGTAGGATATCGGATTATGGAAACCCACAAGACATTGGGAATAGAAACGAGCCTTTAGTGATTGAGGATATTCCTTCCAATGTCAATACGGTCTCTGGGTCGACACTCGATGATTTGCAGCGCATGAAACCCTTTCCATCGCCTAAAGTGGAAGATGTGTTGACAGAAAGCTAGGAGACCTCACGGACTATTCCTACTACGTTGCGGCAGCTGGAACCAGAAACATGCTGTTCTACCTTATTCTTCTGCTCATAGGAGCATTTTACTCTCAATTTCCGAGTAAATGCACCTATTGTAGATAGACCCTGACGTACATCTACTAAACGTGGGACAACTAGGTCTATGGGTTCAATGGTGGGCGGAAGTCAATGCTCGTTCTCCCTACAGCCAACTGGAACCCTACATATCCGTATACGCCGCATTGGCCATCTCAGCATCAGCACTGTGGGCGTCATGCATGCGGCTCGTCTTTTGCCGCATTGTTCCCAAATCCTCGACCCAATTTCATGAGTACCTGGTCACCAAGATCAGAGATGCCCCTTTGTCTTTTCTGACATCCACCGACAACGGTACCATTCTCAATAGATTCAGTCAAGACATGACCTTAGTGGATAGATCGCTACCAGCGGACTTTCTCAAGACCACCAACAACTTCGCGCAATGCCTGATGACCGCTGTTTTCTTTCAGTAGGAGCAAAATATGTAGCTCCACTCATTCCTGTCGCTAGATTAGTTGTATATCTGATCCAAAAGTTCTATCTCCGCACGTCTCACCAGCTGCGCCAACTCGATTTGGAATATAAGTCCCCGCTTTATACCCAGTTCACCGAGACTGTCAGTGGCCTTATCACCATACGTGCGTTTGGCTGGCAACGACGCTTTCAAGAGCAACATCAGAGATAGCTCGAGGTGTCACAACGACCGTACTTTACTCTTTTTGTTGTCCAGAGGTGGCTGATCCTGGTCTTGGATTTGTTTGTGGCTGGTGTTGCTATTGCGCTTTCTTTACTAGCGGTGTTCGTTCCCAACATTGGTCCCATAGGCGTGTCTCTCATCTCCTTGATTACATTCAGCCAACAGTTGACTGAATTAGTCAATTTTTGGACATCCATGGAAACCAGCATCGGAGCAATAACCCGTATCAAGTCTTTCCAGAAAGCGGTACCTTCTGAGAATCTACCCCTCGAAAATCAGATTCCTGCTCGTACCTGGCCATCTGAGGGACGGTTGGTGTTTCATAATGTTTCTGCAGGGTACTTGATGACTGTGCGGCCCGTCATTCGAGATATATCTCTCACCGTCGATCCTGGGACAAAGTTAGGAGTCTGTGGCCGCACAGGAAGCGGGAAAAGTTCTTTGATTTTAACCATTCTCCGGATGATTGAAATCCACAACGGGGATATCACCATTGACGACGTGGACTTGCAAACATGCCTCGCCAGATAATTCGTAATAGAGTTATCGTCATTCCACAAGAACCGGTTCTTTTATCAAGCAGATCTGTGCGCGACAATCTTACCGGATTGGCAGCCGTCGCTGACACAACAGCACTAGTCGATGACTCCATGATTCTTGAAGCCTTGGAAAAGGTTCAACTTCGTGAATATATTGACTGCTGTGCCAGTGGTCTAGATACCAAGATGGAGAGCGTCACACTATCCGCAGGTCAAAAACAATTACTTTGCCTTGCCCGCGCTATCATCATGAAACGGAAAATACTTCTCCTAGACGAAGCAACCAGCAATGTGGACGACAAGACGAATGAGCTCATGCAAAAAATCATACGTACGGAATTTCAAGGTTGCACAATTATCGCAGTCGCGCATCGCGTGCATACCCTTGCTGATTTCGATATGGTAGCTGTTATGGATGAAGGTACCATAGTTGAGTATGATTCGCCAGCTAAGCTATCAAGTCGTCCCCAGTCGCTTTTTCGTCAACTTTGTGAGAAACAAAGTACACCGTTCACCAAGCCTACTTGAATCTGACAGACATTAAGTAGGCCTCGTTGTGGATGAAGGTTCTAAGAAGATTCCACCAGTAGTACCAGGTATATCGAGTAGGAATTGGGTGTTAACTCGGAATATATGTCTTTTCTTTTCAATTCTTTTCAACAGAGAAGCTACAATACTCCTAGGCACTATAGGAACGGCATTCCATCCATGGATTCAACTGGGCTCTTCTCAGTTATGTATTCAACAGTCTCATAAATCACATATCTTCTAGTCACTGCGGATGAAATCGCTACCACAAAAGGTGATTAGGTGCCGTGTATACAGAGTTGTAGAGTATTCTCTAATTTCTTAGCAACCTCTCGTCAAATCCTATGAGTGCAATTTGTGACATTCCATTATGTAGATGAGAATGACCTTTAACGGATTAAAGGGATGAATACCAGGTGAAGCAAAGGCTAATCGAATATTTTGAAAGCTTAAAGCTGATTGCTACGCCGCGCGAAATAACCACCAAAGCACCTGCTTTGTCACCCTTGAGAATCCAAAACTTGATTCGATTAGTCAGTCAATCTCATACAAATATTCTCTTGCGAGAGGTGAAAAGATTCCGACATCAAGCGGCTGTAATCGATGTATAAAATGGGGAGGTAAGATGACAAGAATTATCCCATTCTGATCGCAATAATCAATGAAGTGAAGATTGATATGACTTGAATGCCCATCAGTAATTTAGAGACTCTTTGATTTTAAGCTTCGAGATGATCTTCTCAGCGAGGAAAAGCGGCGAGGGGGTGAGCACTAAAACGGAAGGGAAAAGCCCAGGAGCGTCAAAGGAAATCTGGTATGTATGTATTACTTAACCATAGTGACATCAGAGATCTAAGCCCATCCATAATGTGTACAGTATCCTAAGTGAATGGAATGATCAACGGCGAACGCATGGCTTTACACGTGCTGTATAAAGTCTATGATGGATGCAAGGGGTAAATCCAGACCTTAATGACAAAGCATTCTTTAGACGGCAGGCATTGTTAAAGTCGCTTTCAGAAGAACAGTATAGTATAATGATCATTATCTTGATAACTTATTTTACCTAATAGTCATATATAGAAAGAGACAAAACAAAAAGACATCACTATACAAAGGAAATGTAAACAAGAAAAAAGAAAAATAAACCGGATCTGATCAAGAAACCGATCGAGTCGAGTCTCCATCCCTCTCCATCATACACGTTCCGTCGTATCCCAAAGTAACCACCTTCGTATTCATTGTTCTTGTATGTTGAATGACCAAAAAATAAACAAAAGAAAAGAGGTTAGTTAGGCTTGTCCCTGCATGTCAGTGGAGTAGACTCATCCACGAACAAAACACGGGAGTAACCGAGACTAACCCTTTTTGGAAATTGGCATGAATATTCTTACAGGCGAGAACCGTGGATAACCTTGTAGTCGACAACCAATTCATGGCCACCGTCGTTGATGACAAGAGCACGGACGCTTCCACGGCCGTCGCTGTAAGCTTGACGGATACGTTGGAGGAGACCGCCCTGGCTAACGACAGGAAGGCTCTGCTTGACATCACCAGTTTCGGTCATGGCGGTGATGCTACCATCGTCATGGACATCGAGGACACGGTAAGTCTTGTAGACAGGACCAAGCATGGTCTGGACTACGACAGAGGGGGAAGGGTGGGAGATAAAGCTGGACTCTTCATGAAGTTGACGGGTGAAGAGGTCAACGCCGAGGTAACGATGCTGGCCGGTCTGAGGGGAAACAGAGACACGGATGACCTGACAAGGACGTCCCTGGAGAATGAGGAGATCACCGACACGGATGAAGTGAACGGGGATAGGCACGCTGTCCTTGCTGGAGACACCGCCACGAGGTTCAATGATACGGACCTCCTCACGAGGAGCACGAGGAGCTCCCTCGACAATCACCTCTTCCCGCTCATGGTGGAAAGGGTGAAGGAGGCGGTCGGCAGCACGCTCAACGCCGCGGCGGAAGGAGTGGTAGTGACCTTCGTCGTCGTAGTAACCCATTTTGGATTTAGGGGATTCTTGACGGATAGTCTCCTTGGTTACGGAAACTTGAGCAGAACGGTTGTAAGGGTTGCTGCGGCTTTCAGGGGTGACGTCGTAGGCGTCAGCACGGTAAGCTGCAGTGTCGGGTTGGTATCGACGGTCGTAAGTAACGTCGACCTCGTAAGTGGGTTGGATACGACGGCGGATCTCGCGTTCGGTAACGTCAAGCTGGGTCTCGAAGGCCCGTTCTTGAACAGTAGTAGTGTTGTTAGAGGTAGGGTACTCTTCGTAACGACCAATCGGTTCGCGGAAGCTGTAGAGACATGTCAGGTATTAAGGCCATGGAGAGATGCAAGGCTAAATAAATACAAGGAAGAGGAAAGAAAAAAAAGAAAAGAGTCAATCAAAACAAAAAAGGTGATTGGTGAGCCATTGGGGTTTAGGGGGAGCCACGTAACAGCTTGGCGCGTGTTGGTGGATTTAGTGGAGTTGGGCTAGCGCCGCAGCTGTGCTCATGAATTGGCACTGTTGTCCAAATGCACCGTGTTATGTGTGGGCCCCCAGCTCCCACCGCTTGTTTTTCCTTTGCTTTGCTTTTTTACCGGAGTGGGCTTGTTATTATTAATTGCCTTGGAAGAGCAACTGCAAATAACGCCCGGTTTTGGAGAGAACAAGAAAATGGGTGTAAGCTTACCGTTCGCGAGAAAGTTCTACCTGGGGGTAGTTAGCCTGATCGTAGGTAGTCTGAGGGTAAGTAGCCGCCTGAGGATAGGTAGACTGCTTGTCGTAGAATCGATCGCGCTCTTCGTAAACACGGGTTTCTTCAAAGCGAGTACGAGGACGGCGGTCGTCGGTACGGATGCGTACGTCAACTTCTTCCTTTCCGTAGACACGAGGGTCGGGAAGAGGAGCACCAGCAGTATCTTCCCGTCCGACGCGCGAAGTGCGATTGATTTCAACCTCTCCTTCTACTCTCGTCTGAGTAGTCTCAGAGACAGCGTCACTCCGGTACGACGACGGGAAGACACTGAAGGGGATGGGTACACGCGCCTCAAAGTCCAGATTGACTGTCCTTTGGGCGTCCTTTCTCGAATGCCTTTCGAACTGTTAAAAACAACTCGAAAGGCGAGACAAGAAAAGACTTGACTGCGGGAGGAAAGTCTTTTATTGGCACGGAGGAAAATACGATTGGAATGCTGGGGTAGCAATCCAAGCTTATCTGACACGTTGGATAGATGTAAAAGAGGTTGAAATGGAAGGTTCAATTGAGAGGAATGGAAGGGTTGTAAGATGGGAAGATGGAGAAGAGGAAGAGGAATGCGAAAAGGAGGAGGGGGAGGGATCTGGCTTGTTTATGGGCGACACGGGGGAGGTTGGGAACAATAGGAAGGTGCGCAGGCTGGGCCAACTGGCAAGAACCGCCAGGCCGAGGTGTGACCGCGATGTAAACAAAGCTAGGCCTAAAGAGGAATCGCCTGCTTTCCCTTCTAGTCTTGGCGATGCTTCACATGTTTTCTCTCCTCCGTATCAATCAATTCTATCACCTTGGAGTACTAGAGTCTTTACTAAGGTTATATTCACATGAATCTTGTCAATTGACATATTATGTTGTTGTGCCTTAGACCTGTTGACTCCCAATGTTCCCTACCAACTCCCCTCGGTCCCCAGAGCATCCTCCAGCTCGATCTGATTTGGTGGCTATCATTCTCCATCTGAAACTGTAGCCGGTGGCGTCGGCGTCGCTATGGCAACCCTGCAGTCGCGCCTTGTCTAGCCCCGATTTTCAGGCTGAGTTGTGCGGATCTGTGGTCACTGCTCACTCCGACTATTGCCGGTTTAGTGTCGGTAATACCGATACCGTACAGTTCTTTGTATCGATCGAAGATGAACTGCAAAACTACTCCGTACTCCGTCAAGAGCTGTAGAAACCTTCCGAACGTCATTGATCAGACAATGGATTGAATGAATTGCTCAATTGTCGGTAACGACAAACAATTTCTATTCTGTGGTGCTGTACGGAGTAGCTTACCTATAAAACCCTTCCCTCCATCCATCCAGCGTGATCCATGTCAATTGACCAGCCATGCCTGCATCCGCAATATATTTCTTGCGACACAGCTGCAAACTCCACTCTCCATGAATTGACAATTCGACACTCGTCTCATACCCCACCCATATGCTTCAACTCCATAGGTCAATCTACTCTTTGCATCAAAGAATGGCTGGCCAGTCTCTTCTATCAGGCCTCAGCTCGGAAAGCCAGTGGTCCAGCCTCGCCGATGATTATGAGCATTGAGACACAAATTTGGGCAGCTTAGCGCCGATGGTAATTGTCAGTACGATCTATGTACGTATTTTGTACCCTGTAATCTTTGGGTTTGTCTCGTTTGTATGTCAAGCCCGATTTGGTCATATTACCGTATTTGGTAATTTCGGCTTACAGCCACACGTGAGCGAAAAGCCCTAATTCCATCGACAATTAACCACACGTAGCCTGACTACTTACTCAAGAGCAACGACTTCCCTGTTAGACCTTACGGTTGATATATTTGCTCAAGATGTAGCAATCCTATCCACAGGCAAAAAAAAACCGACAATTCATAGTGCTGACTGGATGAATCCCTCGTCATCGCTTGGTTCTCCTTGATCGAACCGACGCATAATTAATGAGACTACCACTCAATACTACCCATTTGACAATTCAATATGGCCTTCAGCACCTTATTCAGTATGATGATCGAACAATTACGCCAAAAGATCGAGACGAGTCCTTCAGGATGCGGTCGGAGTCGCCCCGGTTGGTGCAACCTCCCATACAACGTCTATGGGACTTTCAGCCATCATGCATATACGCCGTTGACCAATCATCCACATGCATAGGCAGACCAAATCGTCTATCATTATGATGCAAATGCTCATAGTACAACGATTTTTTTCACAATGAGAACGATGGAATTATATTCGGCTTTGTGTATGTCCGCCTCGTTAAATCCGGCATGAATGTACAGAGTCTACCGACTTGGCACAATGTTGTCCCGGGTATAAAAAGACATTGAAAAGTACCTACAATCTCCTGAACATTTGCGATGCCATTGAACTTCATATTCTCCATCTCAAAATTCCGAATCTACGGTTTTCGACGCAATGTCCACCAAAGAAATCGTCCTCATCACCGGCGGTAATCGAGGTATCGGCTATGGCGTCGCTCGAAAGCTATCTAGAGAATACTCCAATTTTCACGTAATCATCGGCAGCCGTGATGCCAACCAGGGTCGCGAGGCAGTCTCATCTCTCCTCGCAGAAGAAGGCTTGTCCGGGTCATCCATCTCCAGCGTCGAGTTAGACGTCACCTCTGACGAATCGATATCAGCGGCCAAAAAGACCATTGAAGAACAACACGGCCGTTTGGACGTGCTTATTAACAATGCCGGTATTGCGCTGGACGTCAAGGAGAAAGGAAAACTCCCCCTTCGGACGATCATGCAGCGTACCTACGATGTCAATGTTATTGGGGCAGCCCTCGTTACGGAGATATTCGTCCCTCTGTTAGAGAAATCCGCCAACCCGAGGATAGTCTTCGTTTCATCGGAGATAGGATCTCTCACATCGGCTGCTGATCCCAGTACTCCATGGTTTAAAGATCCGTTTCTGGCGTACAAGTCGAGTAAATCGTCACTGAATATGGTGATGCTGTGGTATAATGCTTTGTTAGCTGAAAAGGGGTTTAAGGTGAACGCTGCTTGTCCGGGATACGTGGCCACGAATTTGAATTCGTTCCATGGCACGGGAACTGTTGAGGATGGGGCTGTGAATATTGTTCGATTGGCTGTGTTGGGTAAAGATGGAGAGACGGGGACTTTTTCGGCAAAGGAGGGTATAAGACCTTGGTAGTCTATATGTCTGGGTGTATTCCTACATATTGTAACTAAAGAATAGTTAAGCCTACCTTTGTAGCTGTATCTCGTCGCCTGATCGATATCTCCAATCTTGCAGTTCCTTTCAATTCTTCGAAGTCTCTCTGTCGATGCAGACCTATGACTGGTATGCCCCATTTCACCATCCACTCCATCTTAATTGCCTTTGTCGACATAATCCTCTCCGAAGGCTCATAAGTCAATTATTGACCCCAAAAGTCCTTGAAACGCAGACATCTCATCCACCCCAAACTCGCAGTCTGCCGGATTCTCCCCTCGCCCCATGATACGCAATCTTTCAGCCAGTGGTCGAGAATACGGTCCATGACTCTTACTCGTATCTGCTTTTCAAGGCCCATCTTTAAGGAAATATTCTATTTTACGGTCCATTTTCCCACCAACGACTAGGAAGAGGTCCAAGAGTGCTAATCATTTCAGCGATTACGTGGTCTTGGCCCGGCATGGGGCCTTCGAAGAAAGGTCGTTCGCTGAGTATTTCGTAAATTCTGCTCGCAACAGTCCAGATGTTGACAGGCATGTCGATAGGTTCTCCAAAGAATGTCTCAGGTGGAACCAGTAAGATAGGAGTATGCAGTTCCTTGCTATTTCATCGTTGTCGTTGCCGTTGTCCTCGTGGAGAAACGCCTCCCCAAAATCGCATATGACATTCTTTGCATCTTTGCATCCACGATATGCTCGCTTGGCTCGAAGATCATAAGTGGAACGCAGTATTTCGGCACATTTGGACCGGCTGGGGCACCATCCAGTCACTCCACAGGTGAGTTTCTGAGGCTCTTCTAGTTTCTGATAGAGTTGCTCGGTAGTAGTGCAACCCTTCAAATCCAGAGTGTTCAATAGAATATTGTTCGAATGGAGATCTATAATTTAGGCTATTCATCTTCCCAGGCCTTGGAATTGGGGATGATCTATGTACCACCGTGAACAACACCACATGAGTGGACATAGTCCAATCCAAGCAGAGCCTGAGCTGCTACGGATCTAGCTTCATTGACCGGAAATTCCCATGTTATGCTAGCCTCCTTTTGACTGGGTAATACACCCTGTCGCTTCACTCACGATACATAGGTAGGTTATAGCCATTAGATCCGCTGATAATAAACTCGTCTAAGAGTGATAGTATATAAGCGCGTCCGGGGTGATCTTGCTGGCCTGAACTCAAAATATGCAAAATCTTGTTTTCTGTATTTATTTCTGAGATGTCCGCAAGTAGGATTTTAAGACAGACAGGTTTGTTTTCCAGATGGTCTGGCAAGCCATACTAAGGAATAACTTCCCCGGTCCCAACTTATGGACGACTTCGTAACAACCGTTGTGATAGTGATATTGGTCTCCAATGTGAGTGAGATGATAGCCACCCAATTGATAATTTTCTAAATTTTCAGCTCCTTCTTGCCGTTGATGGAGTATCAGAGGAAATGAAATTGGTTTCGTTGATAATAGCATTCTATGACTGAAGAAAGTTTGTGCCGGTTTGTTGCAGTACACACATGAAGTGAGACGAGAGAGGGATCTAAAGGTTTGTCGTTGTAGTTGTCAATATCATTTGAAGATCTCTGAATCTCTGGTGAGGAAGGATTCTTTTCGAGCCCGTTTCAATCACTCTGTCCATGGATGAGCGGGATTGTTGTTTGTACCGTGAAGAGTTCTGAAGGTTGGCAAGGTAACCTTGAGGGCACTCCAGTACCTATTTATTCCCTACCACCTGTTAGCCTCTGGCCTGAAAGATGACTTGAATAAATTCAGAAAACATCACAATGGCAGTTCCAATGGGCACATCAGCGAGGGATAACGCGGTCTGAGCGGCCGTGAACGCAGCCTGTAATCCGAGACCACAACCCGTGCCGAAAATGACCTGATAACCAATCCATTCGGCGTATCCAGGGTCAAATTTGAGTCTACTCAATAGACCCGTGCCAACGGACATTAATATGACGGATAGGTAGAAGAATTGCGTGTAATAGCCTGTTTTTGTGGTCAGGATGCCCCCGAGGAAGGAGAAGATGACGAAGCTGAGGACCATGGGCAGAGACATGACGCCGGATTTGATGGCGGTTACGCCTTTGATGGCTTGGAACCACATTGGGATCTAAAGAAGGTTAGTATAGGATGGGCGAAAGGAGAGATGTGAAAAGCATGACGAAGAATGAGGCCGCCACACATGACCCGAAAAGGGCAGAACTCCAGATATTACGCTGACAAAAAACTCGCGTAGGCACAGTTGCTCGTTCGCCGCTGCAGATTTGAACAATGACAAAGCTAACGAGCAAGATACCAGCAAGTATAAGTAAAGCAATAATGCGCCCATTCTTCCATGCATATGATGTCCCACCCCACTGAAGCGCAAGCAGGAGGCAAATGACACCAAACAGAATCATAATCGTACCAGGCAGATCAATCTGGCGGAGTTGCTCTTTGAAAGCAATCTTACTCCCATTACTAGTTGTAGGAGAAGTAAGAAAGAAGAAAATAACCGCAACAACGCATCCACCAAGCGGCAAATTGATATAGAAACACCATCTCCACGTCAATTTGGGATTATCAGTAAAAGCGCCGCCAACCAATGGCCCTGCAATCGAAGCAAAGCCGTACGTGGTATCAAGCAATCCGACCAAAGTCGGCAGTGCAGCAGTACAGAGTGCGCGATCAAAAGGAAAGATCTAGTACCGACACCGGCAATAGCGCAACCGACGATGAGGGTAGTTGACGAAGAAGCCACAGCGCAAATTAAGAAGCCTAGTTCAAACAGGAACAAAGCTGTCATGTACGTCCATTTGATGGAATTGAACGTGTAAAGTTTCCCCCACATTAGTTGCAATGCGCAAGTTGTTAGGAGGTCTGCACTGGCGTACCAGCCAACGTCGTCGAGGGCGCGGAAGTGGTCTGTTATTTTGGGGATGGCGATTGAGATAATGGTATTGTCGAGGCCGACGAGGAACATGGCTAGATTGACGGCGAAGGTGATGACGACCAATTGGATTGAGCTGGGATAGTCATCTTTTTTTTCAATTGACATATCGTCTTCTTTCATGATAGGTTCCTCAACGACGAACTCGTTCGGCTTGCGATTGGAGTCTGTCGAGGACTCCATCTTGGCTAGTCCACTGTCGAAAGGTCGTTTGTTGATACCAAAACTGACGGGCTTGTGCAGCCATCATCTTCCCTTTTATACAATATGTGAAAGATCAGAGAATGAAGTAAGGCGGAGAAAGAAAAGAAACATTCGATACTCAAGAGGCAGTCCGCTGATTGATCAATGGCACAAGAATAAGGATGAGTCATTTAGAGTCATCATGATTGCACTAATTGAACAGACAACTATCCCATTATAAATTCTTCGACTTCATACTATGAATACTGCATTTATACGGCCAAATTGACTGTAAATCCATGTACATGGTAATTCTGTCTTCGAAATCGAGAATGAGTACATTCTCTCCTTCTCAAATTATCATTTCAGTCAAGTAAATGTAAGTATGTATATGCTTCCCAAGCAAAGAATATATAAGAAACATATAAGACAAAATCCTTCCACCATATTAAATACGAAGGGAAGACAAATATTAAACTCCATCCAAGGCAATTGCTGTTTTGGTCCAAAAGAAACGAAAGAAAAGCGTTTGGTCATAACCAGAGTCTCCGTGTGATGGTATCAATCAATTTCAGGAATCAGAAAGAAAGGGTGCTCGGAAAGTAGAACATATGTGGAATAATTCACAAGAAAAAAGTAGAGTATGAAAAAGGTAAGGATATTTGGGAATCTGGGGTGAAATACATGATTTAGCTTTTGTGGGATTATCATGTCACAAATCGCATGAAATTCTGGGTGTGGGCAAGAGAAAAAAATGGAGAAAGATGTTATTATCACCTCGCGCGGTGAATAAAAAAGTGTCATAGCACGAAGGAGCAAAAAGAAAAATATAATGAGAAGATGACAAGATCAATCGCGTAAGCCAAATGCTCGTCTCAACAGGGGAAACCGCTTCTTCTTGCCTGACCGGCCTATAACAACCTCGGATGCAGCAGAGGTCACTCTCGAGTCGACGCTATCACTAGTCCCATGTCGGCTGAATACAGGACGATTGTTGTTTTTGTCATTGGGTATACCGTCCGATGTAGAGGGTCTATTCTGTGTGCTATGTGCAGCTGACCCAGCTAATGTCGAAGCTTGCTCGGCATTCAATGGCCATGTCTCGGCAAAAGCAGAAGCAGCTCTATGTCTTTTTTGAAGTTTTGGAGATGCTGTTTCTTCCCTCATCCGCGCCAGTTCATGTCGAGATCGCTCTAGAGGGGTGTCCCTCCTAGCCGGACTCTCAATCAAGGACTTGCGGACTTTGCCGTCTTTCCCACTGCCTCTAGTCGGTGATCTTAGACGAGAGAAAAGCCCGCCCTTTTTCTTGGGCTGGGACAGAATCGCTTCGACTTCCTCCGGGGTCATTTGTGCGACAAGTTTATTCGTGCCGTTACGTACATCAGTCTTAGTTTCCTCATCTGAGCTATCGTCCAGGTCGGTTGAGTCTCCGTCGTATCCGCCTTTACGGCGAGGGATACCACGGACTGGTGTCAAATTGCTCGATGTCGGCTCATCCTCGTCACTGGAGTCTGCAAACCGACTCTGGAAAAGTCTGCGAGCACCCCTACCCTCGTCATCGGAGTCGCCAATTCGAGACCGTGTGCTTGAGGAAAGCACCGAGCCCCGCGGTCGTGGGCGCCCCGGCTTGTCTCTCAAACTTGAAAACCCGGAAGAGCGTTCAGAAGCTGGTCCTCGCAACGTCGTGCGCATAGACGATGCACGTGGAGGGGACGTGGTTCTCTCGACGAGTGTGTCCGAGTCTGCCATGCTCATTGGTCTGCCAGCACGCATCGTTCTTTTCATAGTGTACTGACCACTAGGTCCAACCCGAGACGAACGCCTGGTCCGTTTGAAGCTGCTATCTGAATCGCTGTCGTCTGCCGTAACCTTTGTAGCTGAGGCCGGAAAGGTCATTGAATGCGGCAGAGCCTTGCCGGCTCGTTTTTTCGGGGAGTTATCAGTAATCTGAGTCGCACTTGATGTCTGTGTACGCCTTGGTTTTGTGGCAGCAGACGAAGCCGGACCAGATGTGCTTCTGAGTGACTGCCTTGGTTCATGTTGACCATCTGAAATCCCTAGTGATTTTCGCAGATGAGAGCCGTGGTGAGGATCCAAGGATTGTGTCTTTGGCTTTTGTTGAACGCCAGCTGCAGGAGACGTTGCGTCATCCTTGAGCGGCCAAGACGATTCGGCTGGATCAGACCTTTGCTTTTGGTGCTCCTCGACCGTTTCCAGAGGACTAGCAGGATTCGGCACCTGTGTTGGGCCAGAAGGTGTTGCGGGCATTCTAGGATTGATGGCTTCCAGAGATGGAGAAGGTATCGGCTCTGAAATGTTTGCCAATGGATCAGGATGCATGAGTGTGCGAGTAGGACTCTCTGGAGCTTCTTTTGGTAATTGAGCTTGAGGTGGTAAGGGACTGTCGACAATAGCATTGATTGAGCCAAATACATCGCCTTGGAATTCAAGGGGGTCCTCTGCAGCATCGCTATAGATACTTTCTCCCGATTCACCATCACTGTCGGCTTCCTCTGCTGGCGGGTTTGCGGTTTTGGGGTCCACCGGAGTTTGCTGGCTGCCTTCAGATGCGGCTACTCGCTCGGAAATATATGTTGGGAAGCCCCCTGGCATATTGCGTAGATCGATACTATTCCGTGGCTCTTCACCAGGAGTTGCAGGCTGAATAGCAATTGAAGGCACGGTTTCTTTGAGCTCATCGACCTGCTGTTCAATGATATTGTCCTCTTTCGGGACGACCTCAGTGTTCTGCGCAGACAAAGGGCCCCCAGCTTCTGATGGAGTAGTCGAACTCTGCTCCTCTTGAACCGTAGGAAGATGATGGACTCCGCCTGTACCCTTCACTGGCTCAACCTCATCTAAAACTTCTGACGGGTGTTCTTTCGAACCTAAGTCAGGCACTGAAGTTTCATCTGTCGGATGTTGCTGAGTTTGGTTGGTACGCTCTTGAGCATTACGAAGTATAGCACCAATGGCATGATCACTAGAGACACCAGAGTTCCGAGCATCAAAGTCGCCATCCGAAGACGAATCCGAATCGATTTCATCCATTACTAGAGCCGCGGCTTCTTCTGATTCCCTCATGCCACGAATACTGCCAAAAGACGGAAGGGCTGGTCTAGGTCTAAGCACAGACTCAAAATCGTCATCTTCTGCAACATCCTTGGACGTAGTCTTCTTCTTGCCGATGCCAAACCATTTTCTGGGCTTGACCTTTTCCACTGGGCTTTGAGCTCTGTTCATTGGCTCTGGAGACGTAGGGGGACTAGCAGCAACCCCGACAACCTCCGCTTCATCGTCGAAGCTAACCTTTGCAACCCTCCTCTTGGAACCGGCTCGCGATCCATCATCCGAAGCTACGGATGTAGCGTCAGAGAATTCGCTCGGTGTCTGTCCCAAGTGAACTCGGCGATCTGGGGATGACGAATTTTTCAAAGCTGGCTTCGCCGGGGATGTTGATCTCGGCGGTGGTTCATGCAGAGGGGATTCAGACCCCACGGTCAATTGAGTTGAGAATCGAGCAGACCGGTTAGGGCTTGTAGACGATTGCCGTTGGGGTAGAATGCAAACAGTGTTGTCTACCAAGAGCCTGTCGCTGGGGGACGACGGCGTGGATGAGGTAGATGGTGATGGACGAGTGTGAGGACTAACGTTTGTCTGAATAGCATTGGGTGGGTAGATGACAAGGGCTTCACGCATCGGCTTTTGGATGGTAGTGCTTTCGGTTTGTGGCTGAGGCTTTGACACAGCAGGAGGTTCTGGAACTGCTTCTTGCGCAGCATGTGCTGCTTCCGCTAACTCCTCTCCTTCATGATCTTCCATTACCATCGATGGTCGCTTTTTAGGCTGAGGCCTGGCAATGTGCGCAATATCACCTTTTTCGGAGGCTAGAGACGTTCGATCCTCTGGGACCGGAACAGAGTGACCAGGAGCAAAATCGGCGGTAGAGACCCCTGAAGATTGTGGAGATGCGGATTCATGCGACTCTTGTCCATCGTTTTCAACTTCATCTTGTATTGCTGTGCCAGTGGGGCGTCCACCCATGGTCTTATGTGCAAAATGACTTCTTTCTTTCGATCCTGGCGCTGCTGTTCTCGGCTTTAACTTCACCTTGCGGTTTGCAGTGTTATTGATCGATTGTTGTATACCAGCCGCTTCGACAGGAGAAATTGAAGGGGGGCTAGGCGATTTCTCTCCAGAGTTTCGCGGGAATTCACATTCTACCGGGGATTGCGGAGGAGAATTGGCGCGCGCATTCATCGGGTAGGAGAAATTTATGGACGTCCTGCTCCCCGGTCGGTCCAGCTCAAGCGAGCTCCCCTGTGAGACGTTCCGCGGAGTGGTTGGGCTCGCTGTCATACTACTAGGCCCGCGATCAAGACTGGCGCCTCGCCCAGTCACTAGCCTCCTCAACGGCGATGCGGTGCCTCTTGTCGGTTGAACACTGGCTGACCTTTGAGACGGCATAGAGTGACTTGGCAGGCTCTGTGGAATTGGTGGGACAGGAGGATGATGGCTCGCCGCGCCCGAGGTGCTTGATCGACCTGGAGACGGGTCTCGGAAAGTTCGCGATGTCATCGACCCGGAACTAGGGGTTCGGCGAAGTGTCGGCTGAGAACCATGGCGCAATCCAGCTGCGCTGCCTCGAGACGAGTTCGATAGCTGCCGTTGCAGCATTCGTTTTGTCTGGACATTTCCGGGCGAAGTTGGAGGTGTTGTATGACTTCGTAGAGCGGCGGCGGCAGCAGCGGATGAGAGATTGGCGTCTCTGTTGGCTATGTACGCTCTTGAAGCTGCAGTCTGAGCGGATTCAGAAGGAGTGGTGTTCAGAGGCTAAGATGATCAGGTGTTAGCAGATAAGGTATCGATAGCAATGGCTGATTGAAGATAGCGCATCATGGAACATTCGGATAGCAGGGATTACGCAACAAAGCATGCGACTGCCTGCATGCATAGAGAAACGTACCTGATGGCGAGACGAGCTTCTCCGACGGAACATGGCGACTCGAGCAGTTGTCGTAGCGACAACGCTCGGTCAATTACAGGCAAATGGATGTGTTCGGTCGGACCCAGAACGGCGGTCTGTTTGCGCAGTAGACAAATCAATTGCGCCGCGGTTCGCGATATTGCTGTGACCCGAGAGATATATATATCGCAGATGGGGATGGTTATTTCTGCAAGTTGTGTGAGATCGAGAAAGCAGTCGTCATGCTCAGGCGCCACACCCGTTTTCAAGGCTTCAAGCCAGGAGCGAGGCAGGCAGCGGAGATAATTGGCAGGCTGTCCGGGAACTCCGCAGCGGGCGGAGAGCAGGAAGTAAGGAAAAATTACGATTATCAGAAGCAGACGATACCGAAAATCAAGGACAACAATCTATGGCGGCGAAAGGGACAAACAAGCGAAAAAAGAAAAAAGAAAAAAGTTGATTGGCAAAGCGTGGCTTGAATGTTGTCGTGAAGCAGGCTGATGATGATGAAACGACAGTCACAGAGTCAGAAAAACCTAATACTAGAAAAGCTTAGCCGATGACAGCATAGCAGCTACTACGTAGTACGTACTATGTTACTATGTAGCCCTGTGCTGGGCAATTGCACCCATCACGTGAAATAAATATCCAGATTAGGCTAGTGTGTGTAGCGCTGTCGCTGCGTTGCGTCATGGATCGAATATTGTCCAATCATATTGCGTTATTTGAGCCAAGATGGGTAATCGAGTGCGAATCGAGGCTAGTGCTTTCCACTTGCCTCTTTGGGACTGTTCTGTGTCTTATCATAGTGGCTGTGCTTCTTCTGGGTTTTCTTTTCTCTGAATTGTTTTGTGTTTTTCCAATTGCGCATGATTTTCAGCAGTTGACTCTCGATTAGCATGTACCTGATCGTCATGCTGATCTTTTCGAGAGTTTATGTATACTCCTATGTCATACGAATCCAGGACTCTGTCCCTGGTTGAAGATGTCCAGTGTATAGAGCTGCCTGTGCTGCCATCTGATCATCTACGGTAACATATCTGAAATCTGAATGGGATCAGAACCCACAGCGGGTAAATCTGGTAGATCAGACAGATACAGACCCTTAGGGTTATTTCCGCAATGACTCCACCATGACGAACATCGTCATCACGTGCATGTCAGTCGCATAACTGGAAAGTAGCATCGAGTCGTACGGGATATCATGATGCAACATACAGCTACAAGCTATACTCAATGGCACACTTCATCACAGCACCAGATCCAGCTCCTCTCCCCCTCCCACCAGGCATCATATCCCGCCAGATAGATCTATCTGCATACGGCCATCTCTCATATCACATCCTCGAAGCCGGTGCTCCTACCGACCCTCTTATTATCCTCCTCCATGGCTTCCCTGAACTAGCATTCTCATGGCGCAAGGTCATCCTTCCACTCGCCAATGCCGCATCAGCGCCTAGTGAGAATCGTCGTCGTCGTGGCTATCATGTCATTGCACCAGACCAACGAGGCTTCGGACGCACCACCGGCTGGGACTCACGACATTATGAGCAAGTAGATCTACACAATTTCACGACAACAATGTACGTTCGAGACACGATTGCGCTAGTAAATGCATTAGGGTATAGTAAAGTGGAATGCATCGTTGGCCACGACGCCGGCGCTGTAACTGCAGCTGCTTGTGCGACCATTCGACCAGATGTCTTTAAGAGTGTGGTTCTACTCACCCATCCATTTAGTGGAATGCCACGCTTGCCGTTCAATACCGTCGATATACAGGGTTCCTCTTCTTTCCCGCCGGCAAGTGCAGGTATAGCTGCCCCTAGCATCAACGATAAACTCAGAGTCTACAATCGCAAACATTATAAATGGTACTACTCAACCCATGAAGCGAATGCCGATATGGCCGGACCCACCACCGCAGGCGGTCTTCGTGAGTTCTTACGCGGATATTTCCATGTTAAATCTGCTTCCTCGAAGGGAAACAACCCTCATCCATTGATCAATAAGGCGGAGAGTAGTCGACAGCTAGAGTGGCCGATGGATGAAGTGGTCAAAATGCCGTATTACTATATCATGCCTTTGGAAGCGACTATGCCGCAGGCGATCGAGAGACTAATGACTGATGAACCACACGATGCATCAAAGGATTGGCTACCCGATGAAGATCTTGAGGTATACGTGAACGAGTATGCGCGCACCACTTTCCAGGGAGGGTTGAACTGGTACCGAGCCCAAACCGCCGATGGGGATAAGAAGCCCGAACTGAGACATGATCTGGATATCTTTTCTGGGAAACGAATAACCATACCGTGTGCGTTTATCGGCGGTGAAAAGGATTGGGGTACGTATCAGCAGCCGGGAGCTATTGAGAAGATGACTGGGGAGGAGAAAGAGGTCTGTGATGATTTTCGAATGTTTCGGATGGTTGAGGGTGCTGGGCATTGGATTCCGCAGGAGAAGCCGGATGAGGTTGTGCAGGCGATATTGGAGTTTATAAACTTCTGAGGCTTGTCAGGTAGATGCTCTGGTATGTTACATGGGCTTTAAGTTCCTACATGTCCTGCCTAGGTAATTGAATGAAAATATAGATGAAATCTAATTAACTATGTCAAGACTCGAAATGAAACAAAGGAAATACCAGGTCAATGAATGAATATTCAATGTAAGGAATGTGAAATTAAAGAAGCCAAGTAGAATGTCAAAAGAAATCTATAATGATGAACCTTGGAAGAGCAGAAAAGAAAACGAAGAGAAAGTGAAGGCTGGTTTAGAAGCGACAACTGGGATGTCTAATACTGTCGTTTAATGGTGATGGCGAGTCAATATTGCGGGTATTGATGTCTGTGTCGTTGATTAGGTGAAGCAGGTCACAGGTCTACAGACTGAGGAGACGTCGATGTGCGAAGCTGAGAAGTTCCTGCGCCGATATGCTTCCAGGAGGAGGAGAGCTTCAAGGACGAATCCGATTCTCCAAGATTGAGCTCAAATATAAGCTAATTTCGAGTTCGGAATATGCGAGGGACAAATGGCCGAATCACATATAACGAGTCCGGCAGTTACCACAGAAGACGTGTCCACAATTGAAGCACGTATCGGCGCTGTGTGCGGCCACCCAGGATTCCAAGCAGCTGCAGCATTCCAGAAACTCTACCGGTACATCCGTTGCCGCTTCGAACACGATCTTATCCAGATCCAGCCTGCAGCACATCTCCTCTTGGATTTGAGTGGAATGAAGATGGCGATGGCTTGTCAAATTCTGCGAGGAGGGGGGCGCCATGATGATAGGATATCTTGACGAGGAAGCAAAGAATCTTGGTACTGGATATGTACGTTTCGTGCTCTTGGTTTTTAAGGATCTGAAGAAGTGAATTTTGGTACTTTTTTCTTTGGTTTCTGGTATTCAATCTCTGCAACAAGAATAGGAATATATATCTCCGTATAACCTTCCTGTGTAGACTGCGTTCAAGATTGCACTGCCATGAGGGTATCCCAGTGTCACAAACCCTAGCCCTACGTAGAACCATAGATAGCTGAAAGGATCTTCAACCAACAATCAAAATCCATTCCGGGTACAGTATTACCTGAGGGATCCATCCCGGGTCTGGTATAGAGCACCCAAAGGGGCTTATTCCAAGGCAAAAGCAAAGCTCCGTTTGTGATGATGTCGGAATCCACAGTTAGTATCAGATCGTATGCGGTGTGGGTAAATCAGCAAAGAATTAAGCAAGAATAGAACAAAACCATTTCGATGGCACGCCTAACCAGCTAATCAGTACCAGAAATGGGACGAACCGAGGGCTAAACCCCGTACCACATTTTTTCTAGGGGGAAGATATCGTCATCTGAGTAGAAAATCTTCACTTTCCCATGGTTTTTTGCTTTACCATTGTGGTCCATCTAGTAGGGCTGTGGCTATGCTCGAAACCGAGGGCGGTTGTCGCATCTCCCTCGAGTCGAGAATGTTGTTAAACACATGAGCCACGGATAGAGCATTCGGTGCCGCTTTCATCCATCGGTACGATGTGTCGGGTGTCCTCCTGAACCCTAACGAGCGGACTCAGCTCAGCAGTGGTATGGCTACTGGGACACCGACGCATATTAATTCAAAGAAAACGCTGAAATGATATCATTATTCCAGATCCGTGGTGAAAGTCGGAACATTCCAGCTGTCGGGTGACGGCCACTGCATATACGTATTTAGGTTGCAGCTTGAGGCATTAGTTAGTGTGAAGGCCATGGGCCTCATGCATGAGCATTCGGGGCCTGTTTGTAGATCAGTTTCAGCCTCATTGATGGAAAGCTATCTGATTTGCTGACGTGGGAGCGATAGCAGTGTTAAAGGCGTTGCAATTCCGCATTCCACCTTTAGTCAGGTCCGGAGAACTAGGGATCGAGGCGCCTGCTGCAGGGTATAAAGCATGTGCATGCATTCCATCACATCATCAATTTTGGCCGTTCACCTTATATTATCGACCCGGTTTCCTTTATTCTTCGCGCTATACGAGATGTGCTTAATCAAGACGTATCATACGAGAAGTAACTAGCTATCAAGGACTTACTTGTTATGAATGGAATTCTCCAACACGGGTACGCACCCAGGTAGAAGATTGCACTGCAATGCAGTGCTCTTTGTGTAAGCCCAGGGACTAACCGGAATGCTGCCCAAAGATTTCATCCATGTTTTGGGTAGCTGTCTGGAGCTATGTCGGACAAGCGGGTGAAGAAACACCCTATCAACGTACCCCGCCGAATCTTGTGCAGCTAGAGTGGTACCAGATAAGGCGTGGCATCACGATGTGAGGCTGTTGGGCATCGCTTATGAACGGTAGATATAAGTATCCGTGGATAGACAGATAGAGTATGGGGTAAGTGATTGCTTCGAAGTTAGGCACAGTATGAATATGAACAGCAAGTACTCTATCGTGTCCTCACCAGCATCACCGACAACTACCGAAAATCGGAACAAACGAGCAATATCGGGAAAGCGTCGTGACTTATTATCGATGACTTTAGATCTTCGAATTGGTAACAGGGCGACTTATCCGGGCAGTAGCAAGTATGAATCGAAACATTATGATTGCTGATTAGCTGGTTCAGGGACCCACTGAACCATCGGAAGCCGCCGTTCGGTCTATATTATTTATCAATCCATGGAATCAGTTGTATCTATCCGTCGACCCATGATATCATCCAATCGATATCGAGGATTGAGTTTCGTGATGCTGTCGATTTACCCACCAAAGCAGTCACTTGACTGATCCTACTACCAATTTGCTTCACAAGTATCAATACCGACTGATATCGGACTGGCTGGCAATCTGCCGAGCCGCTGCTTTCCGAGCAAACAGTTATGCTTCACTTTTAAATCGCTATCGTACGCATCGCAGAGCTTGGTTGCTTAACACGGAGTGGGCCGCGTCATCCATGTCCAACGAAACCGGTAAAATCTGAAGGCTGGCAGTGACATATGCTCTATGGGCGAAAGGCGCCATGGACAGGGATAATCGTTGTTGAGTCCGACAATCGTGTACGCGCTAGCAATAACCTACAAGGCTATTCTTGCCCGATAGTGACCCAATAATTGAACGTCGAGGCCATCAATCTGGATTTTACCCATTGAATCGTGGCCGAAATAAAGCCCCTGAACATTACGGCAGCACTGGCCACGTCTCACCACTAAAGCTGGTGCCCAACCAGTGACTTGAGAAGGAAAGTCAATCGCTGAATAGTCGGTTTGCGGCAACGACATATGTTTCTCGTTGGGTCTCACAGTGTGAATTAGACCATAGGAATAAACCTAACGGCCAAACGTACAGACGCCACCGGTCTCAATTGGTCTCCACTGTGAGGTGAAACCTTGAGGCTCTGTGGCCATTTCTCCGTGAGCAGCGCTAAACGGTGCGAATGACCTTCGGTCCCTAGGGCGCAATCAATAAGATCGGCCACTGCCCCAGCTAAAATAAGAGGGTCAACTGGTGCCAGCTGCGTCATATCGCCCCGTCGCAACAGCATCAGTGCTAGGAGAATTTTGCCTTCCCCGCTAGTTGATGACTTAGCAGCGAGACTACATACGTAGTCGCCCAGAAGACTCGGCAGTTCTGATTCGGATACCCGCGGTTTGAGAGCTGAGTTACTGCCCAATTGTTTTTGTTTTTGTTGCTGCTTGATCGGGGTATGTAAGGAACAGAAGAAGAAGAAGAAGAAGAAGAATAAAACAACACGAAGAACAAACAGAGAGGAGACAATCAGTTTGGCGCCGTCGTCCCGTGCTGTTTCTCTTTTCCACTCCGCACTTGCCCGTCCGGTCGCACCTTCCCGAAACATACCCCTCCACTTGCCATCTCAACAGCTTTTTTGACGAGCTGAATTTCACCTCTCTTTTGTCTTCTTTCTTTCTATACCATCCACCTTTTTTTGACCACTTTCATTGTTTTGCTTTGCAACAACTTTTCTTCCATCTGGTGTCAGATTGAGCATTTGAAATCCTTAGCCTTCATTACAAATATCTTATCTGGTGCCAAACCACCTGTTGATGGGATTTCCTCATCCCATCCAACGGCGCCTGGAGTCAGAAGATAACAAATTTTGATCGACTTCTGTCAACATGTCTCACGCGTCAAGATACCGCTCAAGCTCACCAGGGGGACGGCGGCTTGTTGACCCTTTGCGAGCATCGACAGGAACAGTTGCAGAAGATTTATACACTTCGCCTACGAGTTATCACAACTACGACGGTTACTTGTCTCCTAAAGTTGCTGAACGAAGAGGCGGGTTCTTCAGTGTCGACAGCGGCGAGCGTCTCGAAGCTCATCCCATATCTACCACAACTTACAGGGATGGCAATCATTCTACGAAGCTGAAGACTTCTTACGCAATCCGCCCCAGGAGTCAGACTACCGATTCCAGCCGGCGTCCGCTCAGCCTGTCTATTCCTTCAACAACGTCGTCAACTCGAAAGGGACCCATCATAACCTCCGGATACCAAAGGTCAACAAGTCCTTTACCGCCACGTACATCCCATGCTCGAGACGAGCCAGAGCGATATATTCTACCAGCCAGTTCAGGTCGATCTCATAGACGCATTTATAGTTCGGATTACACAAGCGACAGTGGCTATGGGAAATCTGTCGTAAAACATAGATCTCATGAGCCCCGATATCATATCTATCGACCAGCGGGTGTGTCACGCTATCATGCTTACGGAGATCCTAGACAGTGGGACGATTCCAAATATTACGACGCTTATTCGTATACGAATGCCCGAGAAACGTTTGAAAAGGAATCTGCTGCAAGGAGCTCACAACGAACTCATCATCGAGTAGGACGTCCGACAAGCATGGTAGCTACCGGCTCTGCTTTGATTCGTCCCGTTCACCACAAGGAGTCCAAGAGATTATCATCATCTCATCGTGGATCTAATCGACATCATGAGGACGACAGGCTGCGTATCACCAATGGCCGGGACTTCACAGACAGCGAGACGCACCGGGATCATCATAGATATCCACATCAACAACGTCTTGTAGTACATCAAGACAGAGAGGACGGCTATCAGTCATTCACGGATGATCACAAGCATTCCAGTCGTCATCGCCACAGCTCCCGTGCACGGGAGTCTCGTAAGAAACGTGCCGAAGACTACCTAGCTCCAGTTCTTGGTGGACTTGCTACTCTTGGGTTGGCAAGTGGCTATTCCGATGACGGCAGGGACACTGACCGATCCGGTCGATCAATTAGGCATCGTTCACGAGACCCAGGCCACGACGACCATGACCGTGATTATTATCAAGATCGAGAAAGAGGGAAGGAGGGAGTCTCTGGGGATGAACATGCTCGTCGTCGACATAGACGCCATAGGGATCGATCCAAGCGCCCAAGCTCATCGTCAGACTCTGATGATTCTGACTCCGAAGCGTACTCACGACGACGGCGACGTGAAAAATCATCTTCCCGCAAGAAACATGATTCGAGCAGTTCTGAAGGAGGTCGTGATCGCCGCAAAGAAGAATCTGGGAAATCACTGCCTGTACGGAAGGGCGATGGTGAAAGTGTAGAACGTCCTCGAAAGCCAGTAGCCGTTGAACCCCCCGCAACTAAGGAGCCAGAAGCACCTCCCAAGAGCATTCTCAAGCCGCCTCGGGAGAAATTTCCAGAAGATGAGACCCATATGCGAGAAGGCGTGGCACCCCTCAAAGATGCGCAAAAGAATGGCATACCGCCAGGAGCTCGATGGACAAAGATCGACCGGCGACTTGTCAATCCCGCTGCGCTTGAAATGGGTCATGAGCGGTTTGAGGAGAGACCTGAATATGTGATTGTTCTCCGGGTGTTGACAAAGGAAGAGATTCAAGCTTATGCGGTGAAGACCCAAGAAATTCGAGGTACGTTCTCCATTGTTCACTATGGATTATATAACGTGATACTAATATGTATATAGATGCCCGTCAAAAGGCCACGCAAGAGGAACGCCGTAGACTACGTGAAGAGCGGCGCCGCAATGGCCAAGTTGATACATCCTCTAGCGATGACGAGGATGACGACGAAGACGAGTCTGCCCCATTGGCTATTGAACCAGCGCCGATGAAAGATGACTTTCCGGTGCCTCGAGGGAGAGACCGAGTCGCCAATGAGGTTCCAGTGGAAGTGAAGAAGTGAGCGGGCTTGATGGTCGGTTGTATTTGCATTTATCTTCTACTCTCTTTGTAATTCTGTATCTTACGTGTATGTGTCTCCTAAATGTTCCTTCGAAACTGTAACCCAATTTGTTACTTCTATCACTTTCACATGTCTTTTTTCATGCTATGATCTACGAAGTCTACTGTATCTCGGTCAGTTGATGTAGGATACAAGCTGAGATGTGATATTAGCTCGGCGACTTACATATCCACAGCTAATGGTATCAACATGCATTCCCGGTCGAAAGATCTAGCTTATCTAGAAGTCCATCTTCCTAGTACCTAGCCTAGTCTACAAGCTATCACGACAAGGGTGACGATGGCATGAGCAGGAACAATAAGCTCCATGATTTAATGTCAGGGGGTTCCCTTGAAAACTAACAAAGAACCTGTCTAGCTAAGCGAACCTAGCCAAGTGACTAGTTGGGTGACTAGATGATGCCGAATATCCCACAGGCTGAGTCCTATCTGCCAAGGTACGTCCATGGATAAGTTCAGGGCAACCTTGGAAGGGGGGGTGGCAGGGCAAGGTTAGGAACGATCCGTTCCGCAAAGTTAATTTAATTTTGATTCAAGGTTCTTTTTACATGCATGCTTGAAAATGAAGAACGTGAGCTTTATGGGATGATGAAATGAGATTGGTTGGGTCAAATTGAAGTCCCTCCTTCTTTTTATTGGGCATACTAGTTAATTCTCTTATCTTTTGAATGCTCTACCTGTCTCGCTAGAAATCCAATCAAATCGTCGCAAGTTGCTATGACCAAGCGCTAACCATCAATCGAACTATGTTACTATGGTCCATACTACGGCTCAATATAGTAGTAGCTCTCATAACGAACAGGGGTGAGATAATAATAGGCGTACTCCCCCTCCTTAGAACATGAATTATTAACGGTCTGGCTATCAGTCTCTCTAAGCCGAGACTCGAAGAGAACTCGTTGAAGTAACCAATTATTTGATTTCCGTTCAATCTTCAAGTTTAAGTTACATGTTGTTATACACCATATCTGCAGCTGAGTTTCTATCGGAGTGATGTCCTCCCCATTCAGACCTCGAGTTTCGGAGATATATGTACGTATGTAGTAAAAGGATGTAGTATTCCGGGCTGTAGTCAGACATGTCAGTCGGACATTTTTCAACCAATATTAACACATTGGATTGGATTGGATTTAGATGGCATGACAATGGGATCATCAGCATGCATATGGAGAAGACATGGACCACCATGGAGGGGGGGGATATCACGATCGATTATGGATGGGCATTCATTGTTCATCTGTGCCACCCCTCTCCTTTTCCCCTCCCTCGTTCCCTCGTTCCCCCAGCCAGTTAACTAGAAGAGGTACATGATTCTCTCCGAAGTCGTAGCTCCCGCTGACAGCGCAGGAACGCGGCGCCGGCGCGGGCCAACCCGTGGATATCCTGTAGCCCAGATCCTTTTGGGGACCAGGACCAGAACTGGGGTGTGGGAGTTGACTCTTGAGAATGTGGGAAAAAGGGGAGATGGCAGACGCCCAAATGTTGAATTCTGCGCTTTCCCTTATTTCCACGTCCTGTCATGTATTTGCATGTCATGCATCTACCGTGCTGAACTTGGCAAATACGCGGATTGGTCATACATATACTCTACATGCAGTGCAACTTCCGCGTCGAATCAGAGTCCAAATTGGTGAATTTTCCGTACATGATGCATTGCCAACTTGCCTGGTTCTGCGGGTATGTGCTGTAATATCGTTGCCACTTTTCTGTAAAACTTGTCAATTAGTTGTAGCCTGTCAGGCTGTACTCCTGAGCACTTGGAAGTATCAAGTGAAAGCGTTCTGGTAGCGGCTTGGCTTGTATTCACATGTTAGATAGTGATATGTACGTACTACAAATAGTCGCGCCACAGAGATATGACTGGCGTTTTTTTCCCTGGGGGTGCATGATTCATGCTGATGGTTTGAGGGTTATTGACAGCTCTCCCGTTATCAATCTCATACTGTTATTGAATACTTCCATATTATAACCTATTTACCTACACCAAAGGTTACATGGATGGTGAGTAAGAGTCGATTCCCAAGGCTGTGCACACTCCAGTATTCGAGACAATTTGTTAATTGGTCCGTGTACAAAGTGGAATGTATATGATTACACACAATAACGCATGTTCTAGAGCTGTGTGACTTCAGGCTGACAATGGCTGGCTATTACTTGTCCACTCGGCGATTTAACAATATACATGAGTGACACACAAAGTCTATACAATGATGTACTCCGTACGGAGCAATATCGATGCATGGAAGGTTGCATGCCGAAGCCGCGTGGATCGGAGCTGGACATGATTGTCGTACCTAAGCCGGAGTAGAGAGAGGTAGATACCAAGACAGGAGCAATTGCAGTTTTCAGTTGCGAGATGCATTAAGTAACTGCTTCATTCGTACTTTTTCCATAGATGTGCGAGCTTTCGCCGTTCAGTGCTATCCAGAAAAAGCCCTCAAGCAAATGAGAGACATACCAACCGGCCTAACCATAGCCGAACTAGTTCGCGTTCATTATACGGAAAGCTAATCATCTGAAACTGATTTTAGTGGAGTCAAGGCCTCATTCCACCAACCATGATCCAGACGATGAGAGGTCTGGCTGAGTCTATGTCGGAAAAGGTCGTATTTTAGCGTGCAGCCCAGATCTAACTAGGTTAAGCTTCTGCTTCTTGTTCTGATTTTTGTTGCTTCGGCCTTATGATGCTATTTCCGTTTGAGGCACCTGAGCGAGAGGCCGAGAGGCATGATACCAACCACAAGTTGACCAAACAGCTTTGACCTATGAACGGCGAATGATTGATTAATTCACAAGTGCATTCCACAAGAAATATGAATCTGGCTTCCGGCTCAAGAAGCTCCTCGTAAGACTGTGCCGAGCCGGCCATGAACGAACGACTCTATCGTTGAACACCACAGTCTCCCCGTTGCCGATTCCGTGTGCCGTCGTCATCGTCATCATTCCCGCTGAACTTAAGCGGACGTTCGCCCTGTCAGGAATCAGCCGTTGATTTGAAACGAATTAAGCTTTCGGTCTATCAGGCTGATCTGACTCGACTTGCTTGTATGAATAGTGACGATATCTGGTACGTAAATGAGAGTGAGACATACGGCGATTCTTTCAAAGGCTCGAGGACCCGCTCGCACTAGGCATTACGTACCGATACACAAATACGTACTGATAGTAGACCATTCCTACTCTATCGACTCAGCCGGACATCACATCAGAGCTCTTAAAAGATCCAGAATAGATCGGCCAGCCTGGCATGCTCCACAATCGACCCTGAAAAATAAACGATCTTTTCTAGACTGTTTCGAGTTGACTCGGAAATCCGTAAGTCTCCGTATTCACAAACGGTGGCTTGCTTTATGTCGTATGGAGCTGGCCGGGGCTGCGGAAGGTGGATTATTGGTGGAGAGTAGACGGTAAGTCATTGGACGACGCCGGCGTTAGGGCTTTTAAGGCATTCGCGCCCAATTTGTAGACAATCAATTGTGATTGCGATGGTCGATCGCACACCGTTTCCTCGTCTGTAAGCTTGAGTTCATATTATTAATCCTTTTATACGTACGTGCTTGTATTTGCTAACTATCGGGTCGACAACCGAACCAGCCAGGGTCCACGGTTTACTTCCGATCCGTCTTGATGATTCTGTCATCCGTTGCAACGGCCAGTTCCAATAGAAAGCCATAATCTTAGTAAGGGATGACATCAAGTCCTTACTTCTATCAGCCTAAATACTGACTAAATACTGACTAAATCGTACATACGTACATAGTACATGGTAGCGAGTTGTTGTATGAGGCCGTAGCTTGATCCTCTCGCTTCGGATGAGCTTGTGGAGCATCAGATCGTGGAAGCGGGCCGCCAGATCTAGGAACGTACGTACTGCTACGGAGTATAACTCACGATACACCAGAGGCTACAAGTCGCTGTGATCATGGCCGATATATCAGCTTTTTTCTTTTTTCTTTTTGCTTCCCCCCCGCCCCCCCCGTATAATCTCCTCTGTCATAGAGTACAGTACTCCGGAGTACTTGCTGGTACGAGGCTGGAGGAAGTGGGATATAACCACCCAATAGGCTTATTTACAACAACATCATCTGGTATCGATACACGCGATTTCATACACAAACCTGACAAGTCATAACGGTCGGCTGCCAACAACGTTTTTGCCCCGTCACATTAGTTACGTTGTACAGCAGGAAACTAGTAAGGATTCGTATTGTGCGCGTAATTTAACACTCCGTCGATCAGGTCCCGTCAGGAAATCATTTCCATGAACCTCTTCCATCCTCTCTTCCAATCATGTATTCCTTGCTTCTTGACATTCAACATCCCGACTGTAACTGTGGTTAATCAGTCCATAGTTACATATTGACCCTGGCAAAACTTGAAATCAAATCATGCAGGGTCCGCCCGAGATTTTTCCACGCACCCGTGATTCCTTGACTGAAGCTGGTCGACACTACTGCACATCATCTCACCCTCTAGTCTATTTCAGTCAACGACTAATGAAATCAACTCCTAACTCCCACCTCGCTAAAGGCTAGGACAAGTTATTAACACGATTTCAAGGATGCTTCCGTCCTCCGTTGTGCAGCTGCATGCAGTGTGCAGCTCTAGGCCAGCCAACGACATACGGAGAAGCTACCCTGGCTGGCTGTGGCGGTAGCCATTCGGGTCCTTTATATTAATTGCTCAATCTATTCTGCTTGAATACCACAGTCAACCTATACTTAGTTGCGTCGTGATAGCTGTTGGTATTAGCTATCTGCATATCTAGACTCAGTACGTAGATACTAGGCGCTGAGCCCCTCGTAAAAGCATATCTGCCTACATAGTATGTTCGATTCAAATCCACAAACGACCCCCCCAGTACAGCCATCTCTCCGGCCTTCTCCAATGAAAGCCCTCACTAAATCGTCTCCTGTTTCGTGTCTGTTGGCGCTTTTCCAGATCAGTCTCTGTTCGACATCTTTCATGCTCTACTTCGTCCTCTCAGTCAGATACTCTACTTCCATTTTGATCACCACTATTGTCTTGATCTGGACTGGCCTTCCGTAGCCATCCAATAATAATTCATATCAACTCTTTACATTCTCACTTCATCTGTTGAGAAGAAGGCCGAACGCCCTAAATAAACCAACTAACTTCTTAGCTACCACCCCCCTCCACGCCCCGGTTTTTTTTTTTTCTCATCCTTTTTTTCTTTTTCCCTTCTACTCTCTTCCTATCACTGTTGACTATTCCATTCGGCCCCCCTCCCTTTCAACTTGTGTGGCGCGCCTGTTGCATTTCCTCATAATCAAGATTTATTTCCAAGCCTCACAAAGCCAACAGTCTAATGCGCGGCATTATTATTCCCACTCTCGGCCACACACACCTGACAGGCTGCTTGAATCGGATTATCCACTGCGGGAGCCTTTTTTTTAAGTGTGGACTGGCAACCGTTCCAGCCCTTCCCTCCCGGCCTAGCATCACGACTTTTCTTTTTAATCAAATCAACCCTCGGGAATATACCCATTTGCTCCGCGACTATACTAAGCATACTTAGTCTTACTGCTGATCCCTCCTGGGCTTAATATTTCCTTACTTGCTAAACTTGCGACTCAAGACGCAGCCAGAAACCTTATCCCGGACATCTTTTTTATGCTTGTGTCTCGCAGAAGGAAAAGAAAAAACGTTCTGTGATCTCATCGATTTGACCATAGCGCTCGTCCTCCTGGTCCTTGATTTTTATTTTTTTCTGTTTTCTTCCGTTCTTTCTCATGTGTCGCGTGTAATCTGTATTATCCCAGCTAAAAAGAACAACCTTCGCTCTTCTTTGTGTTCTTTGGGACGGACGCGGTCCAACCATGACTGCTGTGGTCCAACCCGACCTTGGTCCTCCACCCGCGCACAAGTATAAGGATGATCCTTCAGATGACTCGGTAAGTTCAATTTCGTTGAAGTTTATTGTTCTCTCTGCTCTTTGTTTCCTTGTCTGGACAAGACCAAAATGCCGAACATGAATGGTCGCATGGAGAGTCATGTCCTACGCGCCAACTGGGATGCCTTGCTTTTGCTTGAGCCGCCAAATCAACTTCCATGCGCCCGGTATCAGAAGTGGAAAGAATCAAACTTTGATACCATAGAGATCCGGGACAGTGAATTCTCTTTCTGCGCTTCCACAGCAAGATACGTATCACTTATGCCTGGGTACGCGACCGCTGCACCTCATGGACCCTCTTCATGTCCGATATGCAGTACCGTCAACCACTATATCGTGCGCTAAGAATACTGCTCGACATAGATGCTTCTGCATCCTGGTCGATGAGCTGACCGAGAAGCCCCTGATAAACGGCAGAACAGTCTCGACCATACTGGCCAGACCCTGGGTCGCTATATCGCGGGGGAAGGGGGGGGGGTGGAACTTGACATTTCTGTCTCTCCACGCGGACCTAACCTCCCTAGGAGCATGCTATGCAAATGGTATACATCAATATCAAGGGATGTACAGCCAGACAACAAGCAAGGGCCCCCGGAGTTTACACGTTAGAAGTCACATGCCGATCCGCCAACCACGTGCATGATGATCGCGACTTCCTCATTTTTCAGATAAATTCTCCGCGTGCCAGGCTCCGCTTCTCCATGTTCTGCTTTCATTCTATCTGATCGTTCCATCCATTTGCGGCTACATGCTCGAGTCTTTACTTTCATCATGTCAACTCTTCTTGAATTGTACAACTGGCAATCAATTGCTGACAGCATTCATAGCTTCGGCACCTAGGAAGCAACCACAGCCATCAGCACCCTCAGAATCTACAGCAACATTCCCGCCCTGGAGGCCTTCTACACCAGCATAATCAACGGCCAGATTCTCCGCACCAACATACGGGAGGATCCCTTCCAACCAATCCATATTCTGCACCATCTGGTCTGAACGGTCTGTCATTACAGCACCCGCCTCCACCACAATACCCACCAGCTGCTCAGGAACCTGGTTACTATACCTCACACGCCCATCCATACCCGGCAACAACCACCCCGGCGCAGTATCCATCTAGTGGTGAGTTTTGGATCGAGTCTTTTCTACCGTCCCTGTTATCCGTAGGACAGTACGACTTTGTTTTCATGCAAGGAATGCGGAAGACCAAAATCAAGCACCTACGACTCTCAACCAATCCTTACAAGACCTGGCCCGCACGGATCGGATTACTTATTAACAATTTGACTGTACATTGCTAACATTCTAAAAGGACCCCCAGATCTTATGGCAGCAACTGCCCAAATGCAGAGGCCATATCCTCCAATCTACCAAACAGCCCCTCAATCAAACTCCCCTGTGTCGGTGACATCGCCACCAACACATGATCAGCATGGGCGTAGCCTTTATGCGCAGTCTCCCCAGATTGCATCGCAGATGTACAGTTACGGTCAACCGTATTCACCGATGAATCCTGTTCATCCGGCCTACAACCCCCAACCACCTGCGCCGCCACAACACCCCTTGACTACTCAGCCTTTGATGATGCCTCCACAGACGGCACCTATTCAGCACACTATTCCATCAACACATCAACCAGCTATGTCTAGTTCGACGATGGGTAACAACAGCCCCCGGCTCAAGGTGGATCCCATCCCACAACAACACACCCCTGGTCAGAATCAGCGGCCATCAATTTCGGCTTCTACTTTGACATCACCTAATCCCTCTGTGCCGCCTCTTTCGGCAAACAATGTGCATGTCAGTCACCCGACTGGCACAAACCCTACCAACGCGGCCCCTGGTCCTATTCCTGCGACAACTCCGCAGCTTGTCCGTCAAGACAGCAACGGAGTGCAATGGATTGCATTCGAATATTCACGTGACCGTGTGAAAATGGAGTACACGATCCGTTGCGACGTGGAGTCCGTGAACGTGGAAGCTCTATCAGCAGATTTCAAGACGGAGAACTGTGTATATCCTCGTGCATGCTGCAGCAAGGAACAATACCGTGGGAACCGACTGGTGTACGAAACTGAATGCAATGCTGTTGGCTGGGCTTTGGCTGAATTGAATCCTCCTCTGAGAGGAAAGAGAGGCTTGATCCAGCGCGCCGTCGACAGTTGGCGCAACAGCAACCAGGATCCTCGGCTGCGAAGCCGTCGAGTTCGACGTATGGCAAAAATGAATCGTCGACAAGCGAATCAACAACCAAATCACCAACTCGGCGGAAATGCTGCGCCTGTGCCTCATCTTCTCACGCACAGCCCTGTGGGACTCGCGCCGACCGCTCGACCGCCGACCGCACCCCTGACGCTCGCAGCGCCGCCCTTACAGCATCACACCCACCACGCAGATGGTCAAGCTGGGAATGAAGAAGTTAGCGGTATGTTCCACCACCGATACTAAAAAAACCGATTTCTTAAACACCGAACAAGATTCCTTTGTTCTTGTATGCACTGCACTCGGCGATAGACTGTATCTTTGTGTGTGTGATGTATGTCAGGTGCTATGTTGCTGGGCGAAGCTTTCGATAGAGATGAACGCTTTGCGGTATACAGTTGGAGATTGTACGATGATGGATGTATTATTTTATCGAGACTGTAACTCGTCTTTTCGTGCGATGGTCTCCTTTTTGTTTTCTCTTTGTTGTGTACCTGACCTTCTTTCTTCCCTTTTTTTTTTCTCTTCTTGTTGTTCGCCGTCCCTGTGTTATCACTTGCCTTTCTTTGGGTCGACAGCGTAGGCTAATCCCAACGCAAACTGTTCCAAACTATAGGCAGCACTGATTTATCGAATGGTGCTCAACGTCCTCCCTACGTTCCAACCAGTGCGAAACCTCCGATTAGTGATGCTCATGAATCGACTCCAGGCCTTCGTCCTGGACAGGTTTACCATGGCATGCTTTCATACCCTGCAACAGCCCATACACCTAGTGGTCTAGGAGCGCCATCCATAGCCCCTCCCCTTCAAGGAGGTGGATTCGACATTATAGGCCGACAATCCGTGGCCACTGCATCCAGCCAGCGCCACCAAGCAGACGATTCATATGAAACGGAGGGCGGTACAGGCAAGCCCGGCGATAAAGTTCTGTTTGGCAACCTACCCGTTGGTAAACGACGGAAATTCATTCTAGTTGAAGATCACCAACGCGGTGGCCGTGCGCGAGTGAAGGTCACATTGGATAGAGTCAACATCAACGAGATTCCAGATTCATACCGTCTCACGAACGCCGTATACCCTCGTGCTTATTATCCTGTGCAGATGAAAGGGTCTCCGGGGCATACTGTTCCTGACAGCCGGTATCTCGAGGATAACGACGCTGACGATAATAACGATGATGATGACGATTATGAACTTGAAAACGGTAACGATCCCGTTACTGTTGGTCGAACCATTGTGACTGTGCCGTCGATCGAGGGCCTCTCCATGCCTGTTCCACAATTAACCCGCAGTCGACACCGCAAAGATAAAATTATAAACGATTTCGGGTACCGTATGAGCTGGAGCCAAAGCAGGGTATTTGCTACTCGACATTTATTCTTGCAACGATCACGTAAGTCCTTCCCGTCAGCCAGAGAATATTGTTCCCAAACTGACAGTAAATCATAGTAGATGCATATCGAAACAAAATGCGCGGTTCAATGCTGACAATCGGACAAGAACCGGAATCTATCGCGTCACATTTTGAGACACGAATCGGAAGACGCAAGTTCAATACCCGGCGTCAACGAAAGAACGAAGGCTCGTCAATTTCGGCATCTCGACGAGAAGCCGAGGAGGTTGAAGCTTAGCTTCCTTTCTTAATGACGACCTCCCCTAGGGTTTGTTTTTTCTTTAATTGTATAAATTACTCTTCTCCCCCTGTCCTTACCGTGGGCTGTACCGGCTCTTAATTTTGTGTGACTATCATTTTTCTTTTCTATGTTGGTCACTTCTGTAACATACTGTCCCTATCGATTTTATATACCCTGTCTTTTTCCTGTTTCTCTTCTTGCTTTTCTTCGTCTTGTTTGTTTCTTGTTCTATTGCTTGTTATATGTCAAACCACGATCGAAAAGAGTTGGATACGCGATACGAACATAGGAAGAGAGTTGCTCTCTGGGCCGGCTGATAATGGTTGTTTGATATGGTACATGGTATTGCAGGTTCTTGTTTTACTGGAGGGATCGGATATAGGGTTTAATTGCATATTGGGACATGGCAAAAATGGATTGATTTTCTAATGTGGGAGGAAAGAGAAAAGGAGAGGATACAATAATACATACTTTTTGTTTGATATACAAGTTCTACCGGATATGTAATAGCACGTGGACATCTAATCTGCCTCCATTATATCCCTCTCTAGGTCACGAACTTCCCTGTATGATCCATATGTGAAAAGAGACGAAGACCTAACCGAGGCAGTGCCGCGGAAAAGTGAAGACACACAAAGTTTCCTCATTGGGCAAATCATGTTACCCTGAACTAGTCCTTATCAAGTTAGTACATGCTAAATGTTACTATTTTTGTCTCCTTTATTTTCCGGAGTCAAAATATTCGACGATAGATTCAGATCGACCGATACCGCTAGACTTAGAATAGATAGGGGATACGTACTCAATTAGTATGAGGCTATGAGATTACTCAGATCATAAATTTCGAGACATCTGTCAAAAAGAAGTAGACAAAGACATGGTATGGCGAAGTCGTAGCGTACAGTGTGGTTGCTGATTCAGTGATAATCCGCAAGCAGCTGGTGCTTGACAGGCTATGTTTATTGTACATGCTACTACAGGATATGAGTAGTACTATGTACTACGTACATCGAATGTCAGTTTATCTTCCAAAAGACTACAACAATGGCAGTGCTAAGTAGGAATTATCGTAAGTAGAATGTTGAACAATGAAGACAGAATCACAGTGCTTTTACAAACCGGGACTAGCGGGTCGAAGTTGTGGGTCTCCTATCTAGCGGGGAATCAACAATCAATAAACAATCTGTCAATAACAGATGATACATCTAGAGACAGATATCAGAGGCATAACTCTCGCATATGTACATCTATCACATAGTAACATCAGAGAGGTACTTCGTCAATAAGTCAGGGGCAACAGAGTTGAGACCTGTCTTACTGCCAAAACTTGTACATTGAGAAAAACCGAGACTCCGCCCCTCTGAGGCTTATGTGGTAACCGGTTTCAGCTGGTTGGCGCTAGTCCCCGTTCTTGCTCAATCGACCCGGCAACGTTCCTACCTCGAATGTTACTCTTGTCCTCTCTTCATCTCTACACACAACAGTATATCCCTTGTTACTTTTGCTTGTCTCTTTAATCTGCAGTTTGTACGTCGCTAGTATCTATTTACTCGGTTCGTCGGTTCTGCTTGTTTACTTATGCAAGAGCGGGCCCGTAACCGGACGAAAACACAGACGAAATTGATGTGCGCCTACATTCCTGGGCTGGATTTAACTCATCGTGACAGACCTGGGGGGCAGAGACGTTGTGCATTCCAGCGGTTGATTCTCTAATTTTTTCTCGCGATCGACGTCATTGAAGACGAACAGATAAAAAGAAAGCGGCTCAAATTGTACACACTATCTGGGGTTTCAGAAAAAGTAAAGAGTATGTCACGCCAGCCTGGCACCTCTTTCTCCCGCGGCGAAGTCTCGCCTATCACGTCCGATATCCAGAGTACGTCAAGTCAGATATCACCTGTATCCGATTTGGGTGCCCCACGCGGTTTCCGCAATCATCCGTCTACTCGTCAAAACATGGCTTATAATAGAGCACAACAACCCAGCAATATCGATACTGACATTCCGCCTGAACCGCCTCAGCATCGTAGTATCGGCTCACCATCGCGAGATATGGCCGACAACAGACCACCGATCGATCGCTCGACTTCGTTGCGTACCAATGTTACCGCTACGCCAGGCGCGGATAATCTAAGTGCGGCGGCTGTCGGGGGTGGAATCAGTGGTATTGCATACGACGTTGCAAGTCGGAATCAACGGGAAAGCGGCCTGGAAGCTGTACGGTCAATAGGGCAACCAGGGAATGGTTACTACGAAGGTCCGTCGGACGGACATTATACAGATGGTCCATACGGGGTTACCAACAATCCCAACCGACATAGCCAGGTAGATCCGTCCGGGACACAGTTCGCTGCCAATATGCCGTTAGGAGGAAGTGCTCTTGCAGCCAGCACTCCTCCGCAACAAAGAACGCCTAGTTTATCGCCTTCGAATCCATCACAAATAAGCGTTGGGGAGCTTTATCCGCGGTATCCGAGCGGCGGCCTCTACGATGGACCGTACCATTCGTTCAACAGCCATGATCCCACCGCGATCAATCCTAATGACATTGCCGACGACGGCGATGATGACCTGATGAACACACCCCCGCAGCAGCAGCGGCGGTCGTGGTTTGGTAAAAAATCCACCCCAGCATTGGCAGCTGGTGCCGCGGGGGGTGCAGCTGCCGGTGGCGTTCTAGGCGCTGTTAACAGTCTTCGCGGAGGCCCAACGACATATGAATCCGTTCCTACCGGTGCCGGCGGTGCTGGCCAATCTCCATATGAAAAGGATGCGTTTCTTACTCGCCAAGCTGACATAGCTGCAGCTAAAAAGCGTAAGAGGTGGCTACTTACACTATTGGTCGGGTTTGCTATTGTGGCGGTTATTGTTGGAGCAATCGTCGGCGGTATACTCGGTAGTCAGGCTCATAGCAATTCTTCAAATGATTCCGGGAAGAGTAGCAGCGGCGGCGGCGGCAGCGGCAGCAGTAGTGACCCCGGTACGAACATCAATACAGCTGCTGGAGATTTGGCTACAAACGGAGATCTGGATAAGAATTCTCCTGAGATTGTCAAGCTCATGAACAACCCGGATTTGCATCGGGTCTTCCATGGCATGGACTACACATCATGGGGCGTTCAGTATCCGTTGTGTTTGAAATATCCCCCCAGTCCGAACAACGTGACTCGTGATATGGCTATACTGTCGCAATTGACCAACACCGTGCGTGTCTATGGTACAGATTGCAATCAGACGCAAATGGTGCTGCATTCTATTAATCAATTGGGACTTACGGATATGAAACTATGGCTCGGGGTATGGGTTAACTCCAATGAGACCACGACCAATCGACAGATCGAGACACTTTACGACGTTATAGACAACATGAACGATACGAAAATCATCGAGGGTGTCATTGTCGGAAACGAAGTTCTGTTTTCTGGAGGTTTCTCGGATCAGTCAACTGCTCAGAAAACCCTCATTTCATATATAGAAAACGTACGTTCGAACTTGACAGCAAAGGGATTGAAAGTGCCAGTGGCCACGTCAGACCTGGGTGATAATTGGACCCAGAATCTGGTGGATGCTTCTGATTTGGTTATGGCCAATGTTCATCCATTCTTCGGTGGTGTTCAGGTCGACAAAGCAGCGGCTTGGACAGTCGACTTTTTCAACAATCATGATGTTGCGTTAACGACCGGTACGAGCAAGGAAGCATACATCTCCGAGGTTGGCTGGCCGAGTGCAGGTGGCAACGACTGTGGGTCAAACAAATGTACGGACAGTACATCCGGGTCTGTTGCTGGTATTGACGAGATGAATCAATTTTTGTCCGATTGGGTTTGTCCGGCATTAAACAATGGGACGAAGTATTTTTGGTGCGTCACTTTCCTTCTGCGCACGGTTTGACATCAGCACTAACAAGACTATAGGTTTGAAGCATTTGATGAGCCCTGGAAAGTCATCTACGATACTCCCGGCCAAGAATGGGAGGATAAATGGGGTCTCATGGATTCCGCACGCAACCTTAAACCAGGCTTGAAAATTCCCGACTGCGGTGGAAAGACTGTATAGTCCTGGTTATTGTTTTCTTTTTTTTTTTTTTCTTAACAGGCGTTATTAATTCAAAAGGTTTACTTGGGATGGGAGTTTGTTGCTTACGATTATACATATTATCACGTTTAGCGTTTGGGTTCTTGTACGAATACGGCTTCTCTCTTTTCTGATGCTTTGGTTGATGCGTACGTACCTAGGTACTAGGTATTGTTTGTGATGGATGCATATGCTATGAGACTTGGGAACGAACTCTTATTGCGATAGGATAGTCTTGGTTATGGATATTTTGATCGCCGTGGATGTCTGATTACGGAAAATCCACGATGTTAATGAATCTATTCTTAGATAAACGCTGGTAATAATTCACGTAGGACTTTCTAATGAAGCATAACATTCAAACGCAGTCTATGCTGCCAGTTCCTATAGTAACAACTTTTCCAAAGTACCAAGACACCGACCCAAGAATGTATCGGTATGATCCAAACTTATCACTCATCATATAGCCAATAAACCCTCATCCGCCAAAACGTTTCCGGTCTCGCTTCAAACTCTTGTAATTTCACGGACCGCGTCCGAGCCACGTAATCCGCCAAATCATCATTTTCAATCGTACTGTTGTCGTCTTCATCAAATCTCTGAGAGGTTAATGAAGGCCCTTCTTCCAATGGTCCTCCGAATACCATGGCCGGGTTAGATGGTAACATTAATCTCAAATGCCTCCTTTCAGCGCCAGGCGCGAATAAAAATGTTCTTTCGTTGACAGCATTGAAGCCCTCTGGTGTATTTACGACTTCGATTCCGAGTGAGGAGAGGAGTTCGACATCGAGGGTATTGAAGACTGGGTCTTGGGCTATGATTTCTATTTCTTTTTCATCATCATCTTCTTCCTGCTCTTCGTTTTTGGGAGTTTTATGATTTTTTTGGTGTTGTTTGAGAGAGGTGGCTATCGAGACTAGAGAGGCGAGTTGATAGAGCGCTACACTCCGCCGATCGACCCATCCACCTTGTACAAAGCCGCTGGGTGAACCGAGGCCGATGCATACTATATTATTGATGCGTAATTGCGTATTGGTTTGATCGAGGATGTCTTTGGATAGGGAATGTTTGAGTTGTTGCCATGTCTGCGATGATTCCCACGTTCCCTGATGTGCGGTGAATTGTTTCCGTAGTTCGGGCAGAGTTAGTCTTGGTGGTGGTTCTGATGGTGATAATTTATATGCTGTAGCTTCACCTCCCCTTGATCCAGTGTCATCATTGAGTATGGTCTGAGCAGGATGATCGTCATCATCGACTGCGCCGTCCGTCATTATCATCTTCTTCCTCCCCGACGAAGGTGAAGGCACTGAATGCGTGTTTGAGACGTGAGTCCAGCCATCTTCATCAGTAATTTCGATTCTTTTTGGGTGAGTGAATTTCTTCCTGTGTTTACTGGATGTGTGTGGCATTTTGGTAAATCATAAAGTTGTAGTCACGCTCATGAGGGTATCATGTAGTTTTCTGATATAGTAAGGACCTAGAGATGCATTAGTCGTTGGTGCGCGAGACAAGAAGGGGAGAACATACTGTAAGTCTATAGTATACTCGTATCAATTCATGTCCCAATGTAACGTCTATTTTCTGTGTCTATTGTCTATCATGAAAAGGTTGATTGATGCGCCGATAAACTTTAAAGTGGGCCATCCACAATCAGGCTAGACCGAGTATGGAAGTTAGGGTTATGAGACAAGATCTATAGAAAGTGTATCCATAGAGACTCGATCTTATCGTTGTGAGTTTAAGCTTGTCTAGACTGTACCAGCTTATCCTAGGAAGACACTTACCGTGTCAAGGATTTACATATTTGAAGGGTGAAGAGCCCTCTACTGTTATGTTGAGGGAACAAAGGACTGCAGCAATAAAGATCCTAGCTGTTCGCTAGAGGAGTTCGATATCCAACGAATTTCCCAATCAACTGGCGAACATGCCTATCACTTAGACTTGCACATAACATTCTTGATCATCCAGAATCGTTTTTGCTGGATAAGTATCTCGAGTAAACAGAAAGCGGGGTATATATACTAACCCAGCGCCAAATGCAACATATCCGAGAAGTCAATCACATTAGATGCCGGGGCCAGTTCATGCAGCGAAGATCATTAAAGACAACGAATGAGCCAGAACAATTCATATCAAGATAGTTAACAGACCGACTCAAATTGACAGCGCCGCAAATTGAGAAGGAACAAGCATAACTGTAGTGCTACTGCAACCTGGAGCAAACTGGGTTCAACCAATCGTGGAGCTCGTTTTAGCGCTGACTTGATGTAAAATTGGAGATAAGAACTGGATGTAAAAGGCTAGACTGTGTGATCTTCTTCTAGCAAATAAGCATCCTGGCACAGTTATCCTCATGGCATAGGGTTAGGGTTCAAGATGTCTGTGGTGACTGATTAGGGCTAGCTTGCTGCGGGGACGGACGGATGATCCCGTTGATTGGGGCAGACTCGCTGTTAGTCTTCTCTTAGTGCTCAACGCGGCGGCTATCCAGCAACAAATCACAGCCAAAAAACACTGCTTCTCATGCATCGTGGGATGTGACAGCCGTGCAGATTGACACTTCTCTGCTTCCCTATTGGCTGGACATGTGATATTCCCTATCGTCAATTACTTTGCGTTGGAGAAGTACCTGCAAATATGTTCTCCTGCACCTTTCGACACTTCACCCTCGGTCGAATCGGAGGCGACATGCAAGCAATGCTTCTGAGTAGCTATGGATTGTAGAACAGAAATCGTGTGATTTGTGGGTCATCTTTGTGCTTTGTCTGTCTGTGTCTCTTGTCACACATTTTTGAAGCTCATTTCCTTGACGCCCTACTCGGATTTCTTGTATTTCTGACTGGCTTGCCCCCCGCCTTGGATGAGAACCTCTTCTCTCAACTATCCAAAGCCATCTATAGATCATCCTGTTCTGCTCTATAAATATATTCAACTACTAGGATATTGCCAAGAGAGAATACCAAAGTTATCTCGACAGAGTCCAGACTGAGAGGTCGTTCTCGACGTATCCTGACACGCGGTGAAATCGAGTCCGGCCCGAGATCGATGTCAACTTTGATATAGATTAGACCAGGTCATTTGCCTCTTCTTTTTACTGCAAATATTTTCGACATGCATTCCCAACAATCAATATCACAATGGACGGCTCTGGCGGTCATGATACTTGCTTGCGTGAACTGGGTTAACGCACATACTATTATCGTCTACCCCGGATATCGAGGGAACAATCTACACACGAACGGTTCAGTGGAGGAGGCCGGTGGACTTGGATCTGCGTATGTGAATGATACTACGATTTATCCATATGGCATGCAATGGATGTATCCTTGTAAGTCCATCTTTAAGAGATTTTCATCAAGGGATTGTATTCAAGTCGCTAACCTCATGTGGCCAGGCGGCGGAATGCCCACCTCAACCAACCGCACAAAATGGCCTATTCAAGGCGGCGCTATCTCCATCCAACCAGGCTGGTTCCAAGGCCATGCCACAGCATTTTTCTACTTCAATCTCGGCCTCGGTGCCATACCGCCAAACATGAGCAACCCGATGCTTCCTCCCTTCCAGATTATCGGTCCTTCTGCGAACCCTTACCCCGGCACATTCTGCCTACCTCAGGTACCCTTACCGGCTGGTTTGACGGTGAACGTGGGTGACTTGGCGACTATTCAGGTCATTGAGACGGCGAAACATGGTGCTGCTTTGTATAACGTATGTTCTTGGACGCCGTCGTCGTTCTTCAAATATAAGCCCAAAGCTAACGAATTTAGTGTGTCGATATTGAGTTTGCGTTACCAGAGGATTGCGTCAAAGTCACCCAAGACAACTGCTTCAATTCATCCGACATTGCGTTCGCCGATATTTACGAAGTCAACGTAACGACTTCTGCAGCACCGCCGTCTCTGATGGCACCGGGGTTTACTCCTATAAGCTTTGTGACGCTTATTACTATGCTTTTTGCGGGGTTACTGATCTAGACTGAGTCCATTGAACAACCCGTGGAGAGTCGAGATATCGTGCGAATATAATACCCTATACAGCCCTTTTCCCTCTATTCTCAGATCTGACGAATTGATAATGGTGTCTGGATGGCGTTAGGGTGCTCTTGGTTTACTGTTCATGTTCAAGTGTCCAATCTTTGTTGATTCGATAACTCTAGTATATATGAAATAGCGCTCATTACCAGACCATTCTTGGCCTTTGCTTTGGTTTCAGGAGTTCTTGGAGAAGTGATGGTTCAATGTTACATAACCTTTCTCCAGATCAAAGCACTTGTTTGTATATTTCTTGGAATTCCTCGTAGAATAGCGAAAGAATGATTAAGTAATAATTCTAGATGACTTCTCAGGACATTGGTTCGTATGGGTTTGATAACGAAATATCCATGCTAAGAAACACCTAAGTAGCCTCTAGGAGTTTTACAACCGGTTCCTTTCTCTGAATCTCATACATCTAGCAGCTAGTTATTGAAAGTAGTGTAACAGTTTATAGATTTCCCGTCACCATTAATTTGCTTGGAATAGCCTGAAAACGCATTTCCTCTTTCCTAACAAGCCCCTGAGTAATGAATTATTAGCATCTTTGACACTCTCTTATATGACGATTGTGATATAGTAGCGTGATCGGACCTGGAACAACATAGATTCTTAACATTTTATTCGTAAAATTACAAGTAGGTGAGCGGTCTGGATGAGCTCAAAATCCTGACTAATCTAATTGCTTGCCCTAGGCTCTTTTTTCTTTCTGCTCTTCCTCCAGCGCCCTCTGAACCCATGATGATGACTTTTGCTCTCGCCGCGATGCATTTTCACTTGTTGAAGAGGAAAGAGAAGTTGATTGTGCGCCCCTCCGGGCGGTATGAATCGAATATGCACAATAAGAGCATAATATGACTGCCATTGTAAATGCTGCAATTGGGGCGTTGAGAGACTGTGGTTAGGCTTAGTATTTCAGAGGTTCTTAATAGAGTTGCCGAGGAAGAGATAGATGTGGCTTACGTACCCCTGGTGGGCGACCGAGTGGTCCTTTGGACATTTTTTTGATGTATCTCTTTTCAATGAGCGTTCATCATTGCATGTTGCATGTTGGGTGAGGTTGCTTTTAAGGTATGTGCAAACAAGACAAACATTTGAGATGAATCAATAGGGTTAGGGTTATGTAGTACTTGTGTGTTTGGAGTCAGTTTAAATATCGACTGCAAAGGTATATTGAAAGAAAAGATAATCAAAATAACTCAATTATATATCAGCATTGAGTTTCATGCCCATGCTCGCGTTTCTGATGTTTGATAGCGGCTTGTTGATGAGTATGTACATTGCCCCCTTCTCCCTCGTCGTCTTCGAACAAAATACCAGCTTCTCGTTTCAAACGATCCACCACAGAACCCATGGGATATGCACTGACAATACTACTGTGGTCGACACATGGAGCTATCCTCAAGGGTAGTAACCAATCCCAAAGTGTATTGCCCATGACCTGTTGGAGATTTTTGATGGGATCACCAAGATCAAAGGGGTTTTCGCCGGGTTGAGTGCGGAGAATTGCGAACATGCGCATGTCGGTTGGTTGATTAGTATTATTTGCATTATTCGTATTATTCGGCGCAGTGCTCGCAACGCCATTGGATTGAGGTTCGGCCTCAGATGAAGGTGCACCGGGCGTGGTAGAGGGCACAGGTGGAGGTTGAGTCGGAAACGTCACCGTGGGAAAAGTTAGAGCCCATGGACCGCTCGTCCGATTTGTCATGCGTTGATACTGTTGTGGACTAATATATATAGCAAGCATCCATACCTTAGATCGCCTACTAAGATTTTCGATTGTTGTAGTATTTAAAGAAGCTAGTTGTAGTGATGTTCCGCTCATGCCTCCGGAAAAGAGGAAAAATAAAGCGGCTCTAAACTCAAGTCAGTTTTCAACCAAAGACTGAAGGAAGCTGCTCTGTCTACTTACAACCCTAACGCGACAACCCATTGAGCATTCACTCTACCGGTCTGTTTGAAATGTCAGTTATTACCGAAGGTAAGCTAACAAGAGAACTTACATCAGAACGATGCTCGGCAACAAAAATAGCAAGAACAATTAAACAAAAGCATGTGAAGAATGCAGTATAAATAACAAATTGAAGAAAGAACTTAAATGAGCTCTCCGAAACGACTCCGCCAACCCATGGACAGAAGTGATCAAGTTTGCGCACACAACGATCAGCGTCGCGGTTATGATGTGCCCGATCCGTCTTGAACTGGCAGCATTTAGAGCAATAGGCCGGCCGCCCATCATCTTGACAAACGTAAATGTCCTTCATCCAGAACTTCTCTTGGCCATTCTCGTCGAGCGGATATGCAACTCCGCCAGTCTGCCGTGCTATGTCGGCAGACTCGGCAGCGGATCGTTTTTCGTTATTTTTAGTCGTAATCTCGTTGCCATGGTCTGCCCTCCTGCGTCTCTTCGATAACCAGCTTTCATGCTCTGGTTCGGTAGGCGCCCAATCCGCTCCTCTCGGCAAATAGTCCGGGTTGAATGCGACGACAAGGACAAGACGAAGATATGTGGTGATCGTAGGGAAAAGGAGGACATAGAACACTACAATGATTGCAATGCCAGTGCCTACTCGTGGATCGCGATCGTAATGGTGTGGCCGAGGATTGATCAAGTAATCAACTGGCAAGGTTTATTCGTTAGAGCTGATGGTAGATTCGCTCCTAGCTAGAAACTCTTACCACAAAGCGGCTTTGTTACAACATAGCTTGCATAAGCAAATATTCCGAATATCACCGGTGGTATTACCCTAGATACATATCGATTTGCATCTCTTTCGTCGCATAAAACTGGCGCAGATTGAGAGTTTCGCGCAGGCATGTTGAGTAGACGTCCGTTCTGTGCAGTCCGCCGACGGTGTCAGTTTGGTTTCTCCATTCGGTCGTTACAGCTGAAGCCGTATATTAGGAATAATAATAAGAAGAAATAAAAGAGATTGGAGATATGATAGGCTTAGTGAACAAGCGATTATAATGAACGGGCGAGTTTTCAGCTTCGATGGTGGTGGCCGACACTGCGTTGCTTCGGGGAAATCAAGGAACCTCAGGAATAAGCTAAGTATTCTTATTGATAATAAATCACGTGGCGATAAGGGCACATTTTCATCACCGAAACAGAAAATACAAAATGGAAATTCTGATGATGCTTAAGCTTTACTCATGTATCTAACGTTAGTCTTTTAGCTGGCAGTACGGATTTGCAAGATTAGCTATATTCATAGATTTAATAAGAGAAGACCGGGCAGTTCAGAGACTTGCATAAGGTCTTTGTGGTATCTTGTGGTATGACTGGTATCACGTAACTATCTCACTACGAAATGCTCAAAAGGAACAAACCATAACCCTATAGTATAAAAGTATATCGTTGTTGTCATAGCACCGAAAAAGTTAGTTGAGCTTCGGTTTGTGGAAAAGTCCTTGACGAGCCAATTTCAGTGCTTTTTCCTACCGCCAATGCCCAATCGACCAAGATGACTTAAACTAGACTTGCTTTTATTTGTGGATGTCGGGGTAGATCGACCGTCTCGTGCTGTACCATCCGAGGTGCGGCCAGATATTCCAAGCCCTGCGTTTCCGAATCCGCTTCTAGGTACATCAGGAAGAACCTTGTCCCTGCTGCCTTGATGGTCGGTTGCAGCTGCAACAGACAATGCACCAACCAGTGAAGGCTGTTTGCAGGCGGTGCCTGTTGAATCTGCTTCAAACTGCCGCTGCGATGCTCGTTGATGCCGCTTTGCTTTTTCTTGTACGTTCTTGAATTTGTCCAGTAATTCGACCCACCGTACAGAGCTATCTTCACGACTTTTCAAGCGACTCCCTGAAGGTCGTTCGTAACCTCCACCAGCGGTGACAGGACTGTTGTATAATAGTAACTTTATTAGCTGAAGTACAATGTCATATGGTCTTGTCAACTTACGGACGAGGACCTTGTAATAAGCCAATATTGCTCACACTGTTCAGTCGGTTCTTCAAAGCAGCAAATGCTGAGCTTTGAGGGAGAAGCATGAGGACTCCATACAAGCATTTATATAGATGTGGATACTTGTCAGGTTCCAGCAACTGCAATCGAAGGTCTAAGCTATGTGAGTATGTCTTCGGAGACGGTGGCTATGATGGAACTCACAGGTAAATACTGGAGATTCCAAAAGTTGTACCAATTTGTCGATTTGAATCAGCATATTCACTGTCATCTCCAACTCGGCACTTCCCGCGGTTAGTGTTTGTTACAAACATGGATTTAATATACTTACAAGATTTGCAAGAGATTGTACGCTTGTTCGTATGCTTGCGCAAGCAGACATAGGGAAAATGTGGAAACGGCGTTGTGGCACCATGACCGGAACAGTGCAACAAACAATGTTTGCCCTTCCTAAACAAGCAATCAGTAGGCTTTCCAACTATGTCGATATCTGAATACCGTACCCTACTATCTAAGCTTCGCAACCTCTTCCTCAGATCAGAAAGTTCTGGTGCTGTTATCAGGTTATTATTGAGATTCTGCACCATTATACTAGCAAACTCAATGTCCTAATGTGTCTGTCAGTATAGGTTAATGGTACCAGTGTGAGAGAAAACAAACATCTTCTTTTTCGAGACAATCTGCCAGTGTGCGATAGATACGTTCCGGGCTCAAGTTCATACATAGCTGACGAATGATCAAATTCCCACGCACTTCCAAGAGTTTTCTGTCGGTCGAGAACAGCTGGAGAAGGTTAATCATAAAGGAAGTGAAGTATCCGTCTTCACTATTACGTGAAATCTGAGATAGAAGCTGAAGATCTTTGGTGACGACTGCCTCAGCCGGATCTGATAGCGTCTTCAGCAAAGCAGGGAACGTGCCGTCATTAAAAGCCAGAACCTTGCGAGGTGCTTTTCGATGAAGCATAATCAGCCATGACAGAGCAGCGACTCTGGTGCCCTCATTTTCATTCAAGAATTGTAGGGTCAAGGAATTGACCGCTGCAGCATAGTCCAGGTCCGATGGTGGGCTGGAAGAAGGACTATCATTGCTTTGATTATCAAGAGAAGGTTTTCCACTCTGTACGGATGCCCTTCTTTCTTCACCTTCTTTCCCTTTAGATGTATAGCTTTCCATTGTTTCATCCGACAGAGAAACAATATATTCCATGAGTGATGTATTAACCCTTGTTGCCGCCTGTCTTACTTGATCTGAACCACTCGATATTGCCGGAAGAACCTGAATCAAAAGTGCTGGGACGAATTGAAGTATATCTTCAGGGCTGATTTCGAAAAAAGTATCGATCCATCGCAGGGCCGTCAATTGCATTTCCTCATCTAGTAATCAATCAGCAAGAAGCAATATGGTATTGGCGCACTTAAGTACTTACCATATGTAGTGTCGACAAAGCCTACCAAGATCTCCAAGATCTTCGGATAGTCTATATAAGCATCCTGACCAGGTACCCAGTCCCCGTCAACAATTATGCTTTGCTCGTCATCATTCCCGTCCGCAGAGACAGACTCTGCCACAACATCGTCACTGCCTCCTACTTCATCACTGTTACCTGTGACGACGCTCGTATTTTCACTAGTAGCTGCAGCCGCTGCAATCTCCTCTTTGCTCTTCTTGCTTTCCGCAATACCTTTTTTAATACGGGCGATTCTTTTAATTTCAGAAAGAAATCTTTCGAGAAGCCCCTGAGTGGCAACATTTACATCTTTGTTGGGGTCTCCTAGAAATTTGATCAACCCTCCAAGGAACGCAGGCAGGTAACACACCAATTCCAAGTCTGGGATTGTGTCGAGCAGAGTTAACCAGGAGACAAGGAATGTTCGAGTAAAAGGATTGAGAACATGTATACGCTCTTGCAACAACGGTATAAACATTGGAAGCGAAAATGCTGTTGGAAGTTCGACCGATGTTTCATCTGGATCTCGACCCTGGTCCAACTCCTGTAACGGCTTCTCCCCAAGTTGCAACACAGAGACATATGACGCAGCTGATTCAGCGACAATATCTTTGACCAGACGATCGAGTAACTCGGCGCCATTCTTGACCGAAAGCTCGGAGTCAGAAGCTAGCTAAAAAATAAAGAGTCAATATAAAGTAATATGTCATGCCACAGAGCAATATTCGCACCTTGCAAAGAGCATCAAATATGTCATTGAAGAATGGCAAAATCTCCCCCTTAGCAACCTTGGCAATATTGTACATGCTCTCGCATGCATAGTATCTCACTCGTGCATCTTGATCGGAGAAACAAGCGAGAACCGGCGGAACGATTTCTTGCAGATATGGAGCTACACCTTCCTGTGAACGAATCCATCAGCTGCACTGCCATATATTAACACCTTATCCACGTAGCTATCCACCCACCGATCCCAAAGCAATCGAAGCGGCGGCTAATCCAATAAGTCCTCCATTACGAGCATGTGGCTGATGAACGGCGTAAGCGTAGTCGTGGCACAGTTGATCTACGATCTCTCGGATCTTGTCGTGTTCCCCTTTTATTGTAGCATCACGGACGATCTTCTCGAGCCTGTTTTCGACGATCCGCAAGTTAGCAAGAACTTCACAGTATCCAAATAACATGATTGAGCTGCACACACTCTAAAGCTCCCTGTTTTCTCTTATCGTAGAGCTTGTCGTTCAACAAGCGCTGAACAGACTGGTCCATGGCGAACCTCGAGTGACCATACCGCGCTCAAACTGGAACCAAACCCTAAGCATCCATGGCTGCTTTCCTAGGTTGTTGATATATCCCTCGGACTGATTTCAAGCAAATATTTATGGCGTAGAAGTATGATAGTGACTCAGAAGTGCTCTAGTTAAGGTGTGATGCAGTTAGCTGGAGTTTGACATGTGCGGGGACGCTATCGGCGGTGACGTACGTATTTTTGCTGCGTATTGTACGGTAACACTACTTAACAGGGGCATCCTGGTAATTATGAATTATACAAATCCAACGAACCTCATACGAATAAATTACATGATATTTACTTTGAACTATATAGAGCAAGCTATGTAATCTAGGAAAAAATCACTACTTATTCTGTGTCACAATCAACTGCTGATGAATTGGAACACGGCAGAAACATCTTTCTCTGCTGTCTCCTGCCTCAGTAGTAAATCCTGTATCTTGCCCAGTGGTCCCTTCTCACCATCATTGACAAAATGATTCCAAGTGCTTGTATCACCATAAAGTATAGCAGGCGCTTTGATGTGTTGGATTCCATCCGGTCTACACCTTTTACACTTGAATGTGTCGTGAGTATCACTTCGTGTGTCCGGTTTGAACTGAAATAGTTCTCGGAGAGAATCAAGAGAAAAGTGCCGTTCCACATCTTCGGCAGAGTCCACGACACATGACGATAGTGACTGCTTGTGTGACTGTCTCTGGAAGATCTTCTCCTCGATAGACCCTGTCGCGATAAACCTGTAAACAAAACAGTCCTTCTTCTGGCCATCACGCCAGACACGGGCTAGCGCTTGCTGATCTGCGGCTGGGTTCCAATCTGGGTCAAAAAGAACCAATCTGTTTGCTCCAATTAGGTTGATACCACAACCACCAGCCTTGCTGCTCAGCAAGAACACGAATTCTTCGCCGTTCGGGTCGTTAAACTTGTCCACCAACTTTTGTCTCTTATTCACATTCATCGTTCCATCCAATCGTAAGCAACCATACGCGCGTGCGCGGCATAGCTTCTCAAAAAGATCAAGGGTTTGCGTATAATTGCTAATCAAAACAATTTTGTCGTTGGTATCCTGTCGTATCCGTGCGAGCATCCGGTCAAGTACCATCATCTTGCCTGAGTACCAAGATTTGATATCACGATCACGGCCACGGCCATCTGGAGGGACGTAATCATCTGGAAAATATTGCTCGCATCCAGGTAAATCTCTTGAAAGATCAAGGAGGTCCGGATGGTTGCACAATTTTTTCAAAAGACCAATAGCTTTGAGCGGCTGGCTGCCTTTGCCTCTAAGAAGGCTTCGGATTTCTGGGCTTTGCAAAAAATAATTGTATAGATTCAACTGAAATTCGCTAAGGTTGCAGAATACGACATGCTCGTATTTGATTGGCAGATATTTCGAAAGAATGTCGTTCGTTCGTCGAATGATAAATTTGTTGACAATAGTAGATAATTCTGCTAAACGCTCATCGCCTTTCTTCCGGTCTTCATCGCTTGCTGCCGCATCTCGGCCTCTCAAAATGGGGATCTCAAACCTCTTTCTGAATTCATTCTGAGATCCCAGCAAGTTCGGATTCGCGAAATGGACAAGAGCAAAGTACTCAGATAGATCGTTTTGGATCGGTGTGCCAGATAGGATGACGCGGCGACTGACATTTAGGCTATTGAGTTCTTTCCAGGTTAAGCTCTCTTTGTTCTTCAATCTGTGGCCTTCATCACAAAGCAACAAGCCAATGGGTGTGTCCCTGAGATCCTCAATATTCAACCTCAGCGTCTCATATGATACTATAAGTACAGGGCGCACAATCGCACGACCGGAGGCAATAGCCCATTGTTTTAGCTGACTTGATAGCTCTGCCTTGGTGGCTTTGCCGTCAATCACAAATGGTATCACAGCATCAGGACCCAGCCATTTGACTAATCAATCAGTGATCATTCCTGAGACAGACATGAGAAGCACTTACCTAGCTCGTTAGCCCAATTGCGGACCAAGGTTGAAGGACAAGCTATGACACATTTCTGCACAGTAGTCTTTCCAGCTTCTGGTGATTGCTTGAGAAGAGTCCACATTAAGGAAATGCATTGCAGCTGAGCAGAGCATTGTTAGCGAGCGTCTTACAATCTTAGAAGAAGAAATAGCTACCGTTTTTCCAAGTCCCATCTCATCTGCCATGATACATCCATTTGCGTTTTCATCAATCATTCCGGTGGTACACCGGTAAAGGAACTTTGCAATCGGAGATTGTTAATCCATACCGGCAATGACAGAATTTTGGATGCAGCACATACCTTTACGCCCTCAATCTGGTGAGGTCGTAAAATTTTGGCAAGTCTGGGATCAATGACAACAGGAACTTTAGGGCGATCTTCGACTTGCTTCCTTAGGCCTAATATATCAGCCAAACTTTTATGAACCAGCGGTTCATCCAACTTCGGCGGCTCCTCCGCCGTGCTTTCCGCCTCTATTGTCTTCATTGCAGGTTTGTCGTCGACGGTGGGATCGTATAGAACTATGGCAAATTCTCCACTCGGGTCGTGTAGAGGTTTGACAACGAAAGTAGCACCTCGTCGCATTCCCAACGTCGGTGCGGGTCTCGAGGGATCATATCCGCCAGATGTCTTGTTTATCAAGGGGACCGAGAAACGCTGTTTGATCGTCAATTCCTTATCCTTGACCTTGAATACACCAAACTTGTTGATATCACGGTTTGCAAGTGCGAGCCGTTCCTCGGTCGTCCATGGCCTATTATAGTCATCGTCGGCAGTGCCATCAGCACCGGTGTAGTCCACCTTGCGTCGCTTCCGGCTTGGTCGATCAGATGTAATGGTGGTTCTAGCTTGACCGGGACATTTGAAAGGTTTTGATAATCGTTCCGCAGATTGTTCAGAGGGTCCGTGGAGTCGAAGAGCTTTTTGGGGGGTTTGCTTGCTGATAGTAGCTACTGGGCGTGGACGCTGCCTGCTCTTTAGTTAGCATCAATCCATGCCGCCTGGTCTTGAATGAACACATACATTCTGTATCACAAGCTTTTCCCAGACACAAAATAGATTATTCCAAAACTTCCAACGTCTCCCAAAATATGCGATCCCAAAGTTACTCCAGTCTTGTCCTTCCAATTGTCCATCCAGCGTACATAGTTCGGGAGGCACCACGCGTCTTTGCTGACAAAACAGCCGCGTCCGACCTGCCTTCGCGACGCGATATCACGTGATCTTAATACATCGTATTATCGACATACCCCGCCAACCTTGTAAGCAACTCCGGATATACATGACAAAACCCAGCATTCGCTTGTAGAGGCCAATGTCATCTGACTTTGTGGCTGGGTATGTCAGCGGCGCTGTAGGGATACTGATCGGAAATCCACTTGATCTCGTGAAAGTGCGGCTACAAGCCCGACGAGGTGATGAGTCCCTCCGGGCGAGTTCACAAGGCCATGGCTACTTTGAAACAAAATCATCATTGATCAAAGGTATGCTCTACTACAATTTTGTTCTAGTAAGAATCAATTGGCTGACAAATTCTAGGCGCCGCCGCCCCCATTCTAGGATATGGAGCTTTGAATGCCCTGCTCTTTGTTGCCTACAATCGATCTCTCAAGTTCCTGGATCCATCGGTTATTAATCCAACTAATCTTGACGCAAATGTCTCGTTGATGAATATTTGGCTGGCCGGAGCCGCTGGTGGCATGGCCAGCTGGGTTATTTCATCACCAACTGAACTTGTCAAATGCCGAACGCAACTCAGTAGAAATCAGAACATCTCTTCCTGGACAGTCTTTCGGGACATTCTTCGAGTACAAGGAGTCAGAGGACTATACTTTGGCGGGCTTATCACGAGTATCAGGGACTCTGTAGGCTACGGGTTCTAGTATGTCTGCCTCGTCAAGTGCGCTTAAGCTCCAGTCTAATATATACAATTTGTAGTTTCTGGTCTTATGAACTATGCAAACGCAGTCTATCATCTCTTGATGATAGCAGTCAGCAAGAAGCCCTAAAAGTCCTGCTCTGTGGTGGAGTAGCCGGCATTATCACTTGGGCTTCTGTTTTCCCACTTGATGTGGTGAAGACTAGATTGCAGGCTCAACCTTTCATTGCACATACAGTCAGCGAAGTTCCGGATTTTCAGCGAAGACTCCTGCCACCGACATCATCTTCCAGACCACGAATACTCAACTCGCTAGAAATTGCTCGAGATGCGTACCGTAGCGAGGGTTTCTCTGTATTCTTTCGTGGACTAGGCATTTGTAGTGTCCGGGCTTTTATAGTCAATGCCGCTCAAGTAAGTCCGTCGCAATCCAACTTTACCATGCATGCTAACCAGATGGATATGCAGTGGGCTGTTTATGAATGGTTGATGAAGGAATTCAATAGAGCATCCACAGCACCCCATGTGAGCATGTAGGTGTTTTAAGTACTGGATTCGGCAGCGGCTACTGCTAGGTTTTGAAAGATGTAGAATGCAACCAATTTGATTGCTAAGGGAGTAGTTACATCCGAAAGATTATGCTTCACCATGAGTTGGATGGGATTCTATGCTTGAGAACTTACCGAATACTCAGTGTGAACGGCGCTAAGTAGCTTAAGGCTTTGGAGCCTGCAGGTAGTTGACTAGTTACAGATTACCCTAAGCCCACTGCGAGATTAATGGTGGTCGTAACTAGAGTATCACCAAATATTCTCTCCGCGCATAGCCACGGTGGATCATATTTGACCATACAGAAACTCATGATGGCTGCAGCTATTGTTGGCTGCAGCAGGTGAGAATTTGCCACATAAGTTTATGGGTTCTAGTGTCGATACAGATGCAGCTATACGTTAGTCCCACCACTACAAGACAGCCTTAGACCCAATGAAAAGAATTTCAAGGTTGATACACATCGCCGACACGAACAGGGTTTTCCATTACCCCTCCAGCGTGTTGCGGTCATGAAGCTTACGGACTCAAAAAGTAGAAGATTTTATTTGTATATTATTCCCTGCGTTGCTCCCATATTCCTCTCTCATTTTTGAGCTATTCATTTAAGCTTCCACGTTGGCCTACAGTCTAAGTATAGTAGACTAACATTCGACTCTCAATACATTTCCGAGGTCGACATGACGGCAGCGAAGCATATTATTAGACTGCAAGTCTATCTCGCCTGGGTAGACGCCTGGGTCTCATCTTCTGAACAAAGAGATGCAATAGATGCAATTGAGATCGATGAATATGGAGCGGAAGAAAGCGGATTCGACAGAATGGACATCCCAAGCATGAGTTCGAATGAAATGGCAGATTTGTTCCAGGACGAATACCTACCGTATCTTCTCAAACCAGACATTCTCGCAGAAGTGGTCCATGCATTCCGCCAACATTTGGTTCATAGACGCATCAAAGTCGGAGGAAGCCTTGCACCTTCAAGCCCTGAAACTAATGTTTTCTCTGAGAGATATGACCCTCGAGTAGAGTGCAACTGTGCAGGGGATACGCGAGATGATAAGACGACTTTAACAGATCTCTCATTGTGGCAGGATAGTGAATGTCAATCCATTAGAAGGACCGTTGCTGCTGCTCAGAGAGTAATCAACAATCAGCATGACTGGAAGCAAGAAATCTTCACAACTCAAGGCCTGACTGACGCCATCATTGAGCTATTCCTTTCAAACAGTGACCCCCAACCCATTCCGGATACATGCCATGGCTCGGGACTCACCAATCCAATTCCCGAGATCAGGGCTCCTGATCGACGACCTAATCCGGAGTGCGACTCTGATCCGAATGTCCATGATAGCCTGTTCCCCACGACAGAGAAAATCAAGTTGTGCGCAGATGCAAAATATTTCTTTGCAATGGCCTGTGGCGGCAGTCTATGTGACGAAGGCCTCTTACGAGCCATCGCTGATGCAGGCAATGATGTTCTCATCGGAGACTATGGCGATGCAATGGATGAGAAGACGCTAACCACATTGCGAAGGGACGGAGCGGCAGCTGTGGCTTTCTTGAAGCTTTGCAAGCTTGCAGATGTTGTTACAGCAATACAATTCGATAATCTGGTCGCATCTTTGATCCAGTTTCGTGTGCTCGGATATTATAGGGACCATGGACGAGCGAGCCTTGCAGGTGGTCTTTACGGTAGCCATACTACTGGACTTGTTGTACACAGATATATAGACAGTGCCATCTGGGTGGGAGTCATGTCGGCATCGTTGGCTACAGGAGAAGAAATCACGGAAACGAAATATTTCAGACTCGTTACAGTCTGTTCATTATTCAATGACCTGGTCGATCTCCGGGGAGACGCGATGCGAAAGCAAAGAGAGAACCCTATTCTCCGAGGCGTTCGCGGACGTCTCTGTGGATATCTGGACTCTTGCATTTCGCAATGCCTTACCCTAGCTTGCGAAACCCTTGGATCAGACCGACTAAGCGGGATGGTGGTGCTCGGATTCTGTAATTGGGTTGTCATGGCCTCTCATCACAAGGTATATGAGCTCGTTAACGGCGTCCGAGAGGTTGATCACTATTCCACCTGCAAGTACGACTCAACCGAGGACGAGACGAAATATAATAACTTGCTCAGAGTACTGGAGCACTATGGCACCCTGGGAAAGGACGGTCCACATGTCCTCATGGGTCGTGCTACCATGGATAAACTATACTCGATCAATCGCGACAAATCCGAGACGCATCTTGCCTGGATGGCTGATATAACGAGAAGCCTTTTGAAACCGGAGATCCTCCGAAAGATTGTAGACGTTGTGCATTTTGAATGGAAGGGGGATATTGGAGATGGAGAATATTGTCCTTGAGTGTGTAGACTTATGTTCTCGCATACACTTTTCATGTCATTGAAAAATATACCGTAGCCGTATATGCAATAGTATAGTAGATTCTAAGATATTCGAAGCTGTTGACTTCGCTAACGAAGATCCTGGTCATATGCGGAGGTTGCATTATCACACGTGGTAGATGCAAGTGTCCGAGACTTCCAACATTCAGACTAAACTCTTGGACGTCGACGCCAATCTGGAAAGACTACGCTTTCATCGCAGTGGCAACTAGACAACATTGACACTCATGAACGTTCCTTATTTGATTCAGAGGTTATTGAAATAAACAACGAAGCGCAAGTTGTATTGTAAATGTGTAAATACGAAAATCCACAATTGTTACCTCGGCTGGTAATCTATTTCAAAATTACGAACCATTTTAGCGGGACCCGTACGAAAGTTCGTTTTCTCGCCGTGAATCGGAAGTTTGTGGGCCGGCTATTCGGGACGGGTTTCTGGCGAACATCGGACACTGGGCATCGTACCGAGCATGTGCGGAATAGACACAGTCGCGAATACAATACAATGCTCTTTGACATGCGCACATGTTTTCATGTCGAGACTTGAAGATATATGGTGGAAGCAACCCGTTATCCCTTCAAAGCAGGTACTTTTAATTGTGCGATGGTCAGCCGATGATTGACTTGCTGTGTCCAGTACCTCGAGTCGAACTGCTTTCTGCGCTTCGTTTGCTGTTTCACGCATTGTGATATTGATTGAGCCGGAACTATGTTTCAGGTTCGTCGGTATCCATCAATGTATGCTCTCGCTTGCCATTGTCGACGACCAATCCCACTGCCTGCTCCGCCGTCTTATGCGTATGGACGTCTTCCTTGAGGATTCGCAGTCTGTTGGAGATGGTGACGTTGTGAGCAACAGTTGACCAGTCATCCTTCCCGCGGGCTCTTGATTCTTACCTTCTCTTATGATTCTTTCCCTTGCGATGTGCCACCAAATTGTGCTCAGTTTCGAACCATTTTGCGCATTCGACACAGTAGTGTTGTCCTAGACCGGGAAGATCTTCAGCATCCTTGGTGGCTTTGAAGTCTTGTAGGTGTTTCTTGGAAGCGAGGTCCTGACGGATTTGGTCGTAGTCTCTGTGAGATGAAATTCATTAGTTATTTTCGCAGGTACTTGGTAAAGTCTACATACCTCGTCCGTCGCTTTGTCTTGATTCTTCTGGTGGCACCCATTTTGCTATCTCTACAACTTCCTAGCCTCGAAACTCCAGCACGGACCGCTAATTCTTCTGTAGCAATTGTGCGTATGCGACTATCACCAGTTGACTTGCTGGCGGCAGTAATAGATCGGACATGCGCTGTTTGAATAACGAACCAGCCTGCTACACTGCTGAGTCTTGCCTTGAAGCCTAACAAAAAATTTTCAGGTCGAAATGTCCAAACTCTGATTGGACGGCGCCTGCGCTAGTTGCCCAAATCGGTTAGCACACCACAGACTGAGAGCAAACGGTGCTTCCGGCTAAGATCGGATAACCGGATTTTCCTTTTCCTATGAGCTTGTATCACTGTGTAATGTATGACGTTTTGATGCACTAGCTGTCAGTTGATCAACAACTTGTTTACTCTCTACTCAGTTGTTTGATTGAACAAGGCAATTGCAGTAGTATGCTTCTAGCAGCTTCGAGTCAATTGGGGAAGCTTGAGAAAGCTGATTGCTATGTATCGTTATCTGCGAATGAATTCTTGAGAGTGCTATGTTTGCCCCTCGTTAACTTAGCTATCCGGTTACGGGACGTCGCCATCAGCCGAACATGTGCAAATTCAGTCTGCTGCTATGGCAGTCTTTGCAGCTCGCGGCGAGGAAGCAATGCGACCAGAAAGTAAAATAACATCACCCTTTTCTTCTATATTCAACGGTGAACGCTGTGCTATCTCGCAGCAATATCGAGGAATCGCACTGTATTTATCACGAGAGCTCTTGAGCTTTTGTAATGGCTCGCATACCATTGGCAAACGCTGATCCACAGTAATTTACGGGATGTATTTGTGTATTGTTTTGGTACGTACGGACTAAAGGGATGCGGTATTTTCCCTGTATCTTCTGCCGTGGATAGAGCAATTAGCGGTCCTGTGATTGGCTAGACCCAGCGGCGCCTGCCGGAATCGCATGCCAGAGCAGGAGAAAAGGATGTAAATTTCAATACCGTCACGTTGCCGGCTCAGGCTCCGGTTTTAGAGTACCGCCGCCAGCGTCACTTCATAGCAACGCCAACCAATGCCCTTTTTTTCACCTGTCTTTTTCTCTTCTTCCTCTTTATAACTTCTCCATCTCCCCTCCACAATTCCCTTCCCATTGTGTTCAGGCTTTGGGGCTATATCTGGACAACGTGTGCTTTGCTCATTGAATGAGTCGCAGCTCTGTCTGTCTTGCCTAGAGATACCAAGATGATCTCCACTAGGCTCACCCGCTTGGGTGCGGTGGTAAGTTGTCCTCTCGAGGTCGTGCCGAAAGAGAAAAATCGCGCGACATTCGAATCACGCTTGATCGCCTGTTTTTTCGATGATGCTAATTGATTTCATCGTTTATAGGGCACCAAGTCCCGAGTTGTAAGTCACTATCTGCGCCACTCCCTCATCGACTGTCGACAGGACTGCGGGAGTCGATTCCAATCACTATACCACATACTAACAATTCGCGATGTAGCTCCTCGGTTCTCGCGGACTGGCCACCGTCACTGATTCTCCCCTTGACAAGAAGGTCGAAATGACCAACTGGGAAAAGGTAAGCTGACCTGTTGTAAGTAGCAAGGGTGTGCAGGACTGACGTCAACCTCGCTTAATAGGGAAATTACATTAACTACAAGTATGATTTCCACCAACTCGCCATGAAAATAGCAATTTCAGTAAATTTGCGAAGAGAGTTGGTTATTGACTCGTTTTTAGGAAATTCTCAGAGAACCTCTCCATCGTTCGTAGCCGTCTTAACCGACCTCTTACCTTCGCCGAGAAGATCATCTACTCTCACTTGGATGACCCTCACGGTCAAGAGATTGAGCGTGGCAAGTCGTACTTGAAATTGCGACCTGATCGTGTTGCTTGCCAGGATGCTACTGCTCAGATGGCTATCCTCCAGTTCATGTCCGCTGGCATGCCCTCTGTTCAGACTCCCGCCACCGTCCACTGTGACCACTTGATTGAGGCCCAACTTGGTGGTGACAAGGATTTGGCTCGCGCCAATGAGATCAACAAGGAAGTCTACGATTTCCTTTCCACTGCTTGTGCTAAGTACAACATTGGTTTCTGGAGACCCGGTTCCGGTATCATTCACCAGATCATTCTCGAGAACTATGCCTTCCCCGGTGGTTTGATGATTGGTACTGACTCCCACACCCCTAACGCTGGTGGTCTCGGTATTGCTGCTATTGGTGTCGGTGGTGCTGATGCCGTCGACGTCATGGCCGGTCTTCCTTGGGAATTGAAGGCCCCCAAGGTCATTGGTGTTAAGCTTACTGGTCAAATGTCTGGCTGGACTGCTCCTAAGGACGTTATCTTGAAGGTTGCTGGTCTCCTCACTGTCAAGGGTGGTACTGGTGCCATTATTGAATACCACGGTCCTGGAACTGAGTCTCTTTCCTGCACTGGTATGGGAACTATTTGCAACATGGGTGCTGAAATTGGTGCCACCACCTCTGTCTTCCCCTTCAACGACCGCATGTACGACTACCTCAAGGCTACCAAGCGTCAACAAATTGGTGACTTTGCTCGCGAGTACGCCAAGGAGCTTCGTGAGGACGAGGGTGCTGAGTACGATCAGTTGATCGAAATCAACCTTTCTGAGCTCGAACCCCACATCAACGGTCCTTTCACCCCCGATTTGGCAACCCCCATCTCTAAGTTGAAGGAGGCTGTTGAGGCCAATGGCTGGCCTGAGGAGGTTAAGGTCGGTTTGATCGGATCTTGCACAAACTCTTCTTATGAGGACATGTCTCGTGCTGCTTCTATCGCCCGTGATGCTTTGAACCACGGTATCAAGTCCAAGTCCCTCTTCACTGTTACTCCTGGTTCCGAGCAGATTCGTGCCACCATTGCCCGTGATGGTCAGCTCCAGACCCTCGAGGAGTTCGGCGGTGTCGTCCTTGCCAACGCTTGCGGTCCTTGTATCGGACAGTGGGACCGTAAGGACGTCAAGAAGGGCGAGCCTAACACCATTGTCTCTTCCTACAACCGTAACTTCACTGGCCGTAACGATGCCAACCCCGCCACCCACGCCTTCGTCACCTCCCCTGACTTGGTCGTCGCCTTGTCCATTGCCGGAACCCTCAAGTTCAACCCTCTCACCGACAAGCTCAAGGACAAGGACGGCAACGAGTTCTTGCTCTCCCCCCCCACTGGTGAAGGTCTCCCTGCCCGTGGATACGACCCCGGTCGTGACACCTACCAGGCTCCTCCCGAGAACCGCGAATCTATCAATGTTGCCGTCTCCCCAAGCAGCGACCGTCTCCAGGTTCTTACCCGCTTCAAGCCTTGGGATGGAAAGGATGCCGAGGGTATCCCCATCTTGATCAAGACCCAGGGCAAGACTACCACTGACCACATCTCTATGGCTGGTCCTTGGTTGAAGTACCGTGGTCATCTTGACAACATCTCCAACAATATGTTGATTGGTGCTATCAACGCCGAGAATGGTGAGGCTAACAAGGTTAAGAACGCTATTACTGGCGAGTACGACGCTGTCCCTGCTACTGCTCGTGACTACAAGGCTCGTGGAATCAAGTGGGTTGTTATTGGTGACTGGAACTACGGTGAGGGCAGCTCTCGTGAGCATGCTGCTCTTGAGCCCCGTCATCTCGGTGGTCTTGCCATCATCACCCGTTCCTTCGCCCGTATTGTGAGTATTCTTCTCTGCTCTATCCATCATGATATTTGCTAATTCTATTACAGCACGAAACCAACTTGAAGAAGCAGGGTATGCTTCCTCTCACCTTCTCCGACCCCGCCGACTACGACCGTATCCCCCCTGATGCCAAGGTTGACTTGCTCTGCACTGAGCTTGCTGTCGGCAAGCCCATCACTCTCCGCGTCCACCCCAAGGATGGCAAGTCCTTCGACGTTAAGCTCTCCCACACCTTCAACGAGTCCCAGATTGAGTGGTTCAAGGATGGTTCTGCCTTGAACACCATGGCCCGCAAGAGCGGTGCTGCTTAAATCATTACCTACGTGCCAGATCGCCTCGAAGATATAATTCGAAAAGACAACGAGGTGAAAGAATTCGATTTTGTGATACCACTGGAGAAGGATATTTGTGGTTTTCAGAGCTGACACTCAATGACATGGCTCAAAATGACATTTTTTCAAATTGGACGGAAGATGAGCGAGATAAATACAAAATGCTACAGACTCTGATTGTCTTTGAACGGTTGTCTCAATTTCTTTGGTGTTTTGCATGGAGATAGCCCGTCATGTTTTTATAAGTCATTTATTTTCTTTCTTGTTCAGACTAGGTATATCAGTGTATAACGATGATTCTTTGCTATATTTAATATTTGTTAAAATTGTTTTGGTGGAAGCCATAGAACATCGATGTGATGACATAATCCTCTGACAGGATCACGATCGATATTGCCGAGGTTCGGTGATGTTATTTATCCAATGACGGATGCACCATACTACTTTACTCAGCTGCTGAATATTGCGGAGAAAACATATATATCGTATTTGAGGTAGTCCACTTGTTCATCGATTTGTACTCGCAAGGAAGGAAATATAATACCCGTGTCGTTGTCGCCATGGCTACGCAGCTCGTACCGCTTCCAGAAGTCGAGAGACTGAGCACAACAGTTATCAGAATACTAGCTGGAAATCCAGGCAAAGTTGGTCATCTTCCTACCCCGCTCGTATTCGCGACCCCAGAAAACTGATTGTAAGGCGGATGTACTAGTTTACACTACAAGGTGAGTCTGGTACGGCCACCAAAGAGCTTCACTTATTGGCATTTAACAGGAACAAACACATATTTAGTCGGGCTCGGCCCTCGACGGATTCTCATCGATACCGGGGAAGGTCTCCCTCGCTGGGCTACTTTACTCCAATCAGTCCTCAAAGAAGAAAATGCAGTTGTCCACGAAGCGCTGCTCACACATTGGCATCATGATCATGTTAACGGCGTACCGGATCTGCTAAAGATTTGTCCACAGGCTACTGTCTACAAACATCAGCCGACAGAAGGGCAGACGGATATTCAGGATGGGCAGGTATTCAAGGTTGATGGTGCGACGCTGAAGGCGTTCCATACACCAGGGCACACAGAAGATCATATGAGTTTTATCTTTGAGGAGGAAGGCGCTATTTTTACTGGTGACAGTATGTTCGACCTGGATCATCGGATCAAGTGCCCATGAGAATTCTAATAGAGTCTAGATGTTCTAGGCCACGGAACCGCGGTCTTCGAGGACCTCAGCACCTATCTCTCCAGTCTAAAGAAAATGAAAGACTCGGTCTCAGGCCGGGCATACCCCGGTCATGGCGCCATAATCAATGACGCCAGCACAAAGATAACGGACTATATTAACCACCGTCAACAACGGGAAAACGAGGTTTTGCGAGTCCTCAAATTCGGGAGCGTGGACGCGAAAGCAGCCGATACTACGACACCTTCTCCCGAACGATTATCGCGTTGGACACCTATGCAGCTGGTTAAGGTGATTTATAAAGATGTGCCTGAGAGTTTGCATCTGCCCGCATCGCATGGGGTGATTCAAGTACTGGATAAATTGGAAGCCGAGGGTAAGGTTGAGCATGATCGGGTTTCTGGAGGATGGCAGCTTATTGCACAAAGGCCTACCTTGTGAGAACTATTATTATTTCCTGCAAGAGAATTCTTCTTGCCACTTTCTTGTTTTTCCGTCATGTGGCTTGCAAGGGTAGGGTAGTTATCGTACGTACTACACTACGTACATATAGAGGTAAGTTAACTTATGGGTTCTCCATGTCAGAGCTCCGAGAGACCGAAGGAATATCGTGATAGGCCTTTAGTCTTACACGTATCGAGCCACGAGTAAGATTCCGCGGCGTGGTCTCATGTCCGGTTTCTCTTTTAACATTCGTCTAGTCCAATTATCCCTCATACTAGTATATTTAATCAATGCGTGGTCCCTTAGGTAGGGCCGTTGGGGTAAAGTAGTAGTATATAGAGTCGCGGCCTGAGGTCTCCACATTACGTTCTGCCCCTCCAAACTTCTTTACTTTCTTACTCCACCAAACCGTCTCCATATTAACTCCATTACTTATCCCTACGTATTCTTTTGTCTCTCTACTTATTCTCCCCTCCATCGATGAGTTCGTTATTGAGGACATCTTTATCCTTCCATCTGGCCTCGCCATTGCCCTTACCTGACAATCCCTGTGCTGTTGTCGCGTGAAGAAGACATCTACATTTGCATCCGGTGAACAGGTGAACAGGTGAATAAAGCGAGACGTCATTCAAATCACATTGATAAAGCTCATACTGCTTGCTTTTCTCATATATGTTGGATGGTCTGTGATGGTAATTATATATATTATTTCTTTTTAATCCCTTTCTTCCATTTTTGATCTATGCTGTACGAATCTCTTCTGTCCAAGAGTCAATGACATCGATCCCCTCATTGGATTCCGACCCAGTTTTTCCTCCCGACGCATTCCTTGTTTGAGCTCCCCTCTGGCGATAATCAGAAACTTGGACTCCCAATGCGGGCATTTCATATATTAAATTCTTTACTGACAACTCCATTCAAGAAATTAGTTGCACATTGAAGCTGTTTATTATCCCACGTTAGCTACGACGTTGTCTGCAGACATTGCATTGAGCCTTGGTCGTGCGGATCGCTCGGTCTAGACTAATTACCATATCGAAAAGTGTATAGTTTCTACGCACATAATCGCCGAGATGCCTTCAGCTGAAAATCAAAGCGAGGAGTCGAGATTGCTCCTCGTGTCGAACCGACTGCCCATCACAATCAAACGCTCAGATGATGGAAAGTATGACTTTTCCATGTCATCGGGGGGTCTCGTCAGTGGATTGAGCGGACTGACGAAATCGACTACGTTTCGTTGGTATGGATGGCCTGGCTTGGAGGTTCCTGAAGAGGAGATTCCTGTGGTGCAAAAGCGTCTCAAGGACGAATATGGAGCTATTCCCGTCATGATTGATGACGAGCTTGCCGATAGACATTACAACGGCTTTTCTAGTGGGTACACTCTTCTTGCTCATTGTAACTAGCACTGACATTGTTCGTCTGTAGATTCTATTCTCTGGCCGCTATTCCACTACCATCCTGGTGAAATCACATTCGACGAATATGCATGGGATGCATACAAGAAAGCCAATCGCCTGTTCGCGCAAGCTGTTGCTAAGGATATTCAAGACGGTGATTTAGTGTGGGTCCACGATTACCATTTGATGCTGCTACCGGAAATGCTGCGAGAAGAAATTGGTGAATCAAAAAAGAATGTCAAGATCGGTTTCTTCCTTCACACACCGTTCCCCAGCAGCGAGATCTATCGAATTCTACCTGTGCGAAATGAGCTCCTACTAGGTGTTTTGCACTGTGACCTGATCGGGTTCCACACTTACGACTACACACGACACTTTTTGAGCAGTTGCTCTCGACTTCTGTAAGTACAGGTTTATGACATGGGGGAAGACAAATATACTAATAGATTTTAGTAACCTACAAACTACTCCGAATGGAATCGAGTTTCAAGGCAAAATTGTCGCTACCGGAGCGTTCCCTATTGGCATTGACCCCGACAAGTTCAAGGATGGACTTCAAAAGGAGAAAGTCCAGAAACGAATTGAGATGCTTGAACAAAAGTTCCAAGGCGTGAAACTGATGGTCGGAGTTGATCGCTTGGATTATATCAAGGGAGTTCCCCAGAAACTACATGCTTTGGAGGTCTTCCTTAGTGATCACCCTGAATGGGTTGGCAAGGTCGTGCTTGTCCAAGTTGCAGTTCCTAGCCGACAAGACGTCGAGGAATATCAGAACCTGCGAGCAGTTGTCAATGAACTTGTTGGCAGGATTAATGGAAAATTTGGTACGTTTACATGTTTTGGTTTCAAGAAATGTACTGACAAGAACAGGTACTGTTGAGTTCATGCCAATCCACTTCCTGCATAAGTCCGTCAACTTTGACGAGCTCATTGCCTTGTATGCCGTCTCAGACGCATGCATCGTGTCCTCTACTCGTGACGGAATGAACCTCGTCGCCTACGAATACATCGCTACACAGCACAAGCGTCACGGCGTCCTTGTCTTGTCCGAATTTGCCGGTGCAGCTCAATCACTCAACGGCAGCATCATCGTTAATCCCTGGAACACAGAAGAACTCGCCGGAGCTTATCAAGAAGCCGTGACCATGAGCGAGGAACAGAAAGCGCTCAATTTCTCCAAGCTCGAGAAGTACGTGTCCAAATACACGAGCGCATTTTGGGGACAATCGTTTGTCAGTGAATTGAAGCGCATCTCCGCACAGTCGAAACAGAAGGTTTCAGTGAGAAAAGCATCGATCCTTGTCCCTGGTGTCTCTACACCTGCGGTTAATGGCGATGAGCAGACGGCCCCTGATGAAGTGGTGGTAGTGTCGTCGGAGGAGGAAGAAGTAGGGGAGGCTAAATCTTAGATTTATTTTCCTTTCGTTGGGGTCGAATCCAGTCGGCAACACGCAACAGGCGGGAAAGAACGGGCTATGATAGAAAAATGAATTGCAAGGAGGATGGCGTACGGACGGAGTGTTTTTGTCTTGGATTACCTTTTTTTTTCCTCATTTGAATACGAAGCTCTCATATTGTTTCTGTTCATGCCGCTTCTGTAAGGCTCAATCATCGTATATACGATTGGATGGTGATAAACGAATACATGTACACTATATCAAGATTGGGTGTTTTTGGATATTATCAATATACGAAAATACGAATATACTACTATTGCTGACGAGATGCATCTAGCCACTTAGTGTAAGCCGGATAGCTGATTGGTCAAAAGCGGGATGGGATGTTGGGTAAATACAAACAGTGCAAACGCAGAGCGAGAAATCCGCAACATTTCCGTTCTCTTCATACCTTCAACAATTTATGATTTCCTTTCATTTCTAACGACCCGCAACCTTCGAAGTGATTTTACCGTGAGGAATTGAAAGGGATTTGGTTAATTGGGTATACTCGACTTTACTGGTTTGATAATCGTCTAATTGACAGGGCGCTCAGTCGTCGACAAAAAACAAAATTTACGAGTCTTCCCGACAGCGCCTTACACCCAGGTTTATAATATAGAACATGGCGCCTAGCAATCTGCTAAGAAGCAGTGTGCTTCTCTCTACGGCAGCGGCAAAATCCGCAGGCAGAATTACACCCACCTTCCCAGTACAAACCAGATACGCCACCGCCATCAACTCGAGACGATCAATCTGGGATTTTCTTGGGGGCAACAAACCGCAGGATCAAACCCCGAAGGAGGAAAAGCAGGTCGAGGCTGATCAGGAGCAACAAAAATCATCGACAGAGACGCAGCGTCTGGATACAGAAACCAGCACTACCACGACTACTACTACACAATCCTCACCCAACATAATCGAACAAGTCCAAGAAGTCGAAGAAGAAATCCTCTCCACTCCATCACCCAACAAAACAGCAGAAGAACAAGCATTCTGGCCCGCGGACCTCCCCCTGCCATCTCTTCGCCAATACCCTTACACCCTCAATCGCGGCACCGTTACATCCGTGGGCCTAATGGACAAAACCGTGCGCGTATCCTATCAAACCCGTGAATGGGATCGAAAAGTACGCAAATACTACCCCAAGACAGTCACCTATCTCGTGCATGATCCACGCAATTCGCTCCGTCAAGGGGACGTTATTGAATTCTCGTCGGGGGCGCCACGAGCACCGAGGGTGAGACATGTGGTTGAGAGAATTATTTCGCCGTTTGGAGTTGCGGTGGAGGATAGACCTGCTGTTTTGACGCGCGAAGAGAGAGAGGCGGAGATGGTGAATAAGAGGATGGAGAAGTTGGTTCGAAAAGCGGGTAAGGTTGCTGCAGAGGAAGGAGTGGATGTTGAGAAGGCTACTAGACGGGTTGTGGAGAGTAAGGAGCATATTGGTCGGATTAGGGCTTTGGTTATTGAGAGGGCTGCTGCTGAAGCTCAAACCAATGCTTGAGAGGATTTTGTTGTTCGGTGCCGTGTGTGTACATTACCTGTTGTTCGGAAGATTATTGTACATTTACTTTGTTACACTAAAAACTAGATATGAATTCATCTTATAATCCCGATACTTCCAATGCGTCGCATCGATGCATACATTGACTATCCTAATCATACAATATACCTACTCATGAGTAACATGCATATAATTCATAAAGATCATCCACCCCTCTCTCCATACTCTCTCGCCCAATCCTCGTATCGTTTCAATCCTTCCTTGCCCACACTCGGCCTAATAGTATACAAACTAGCCTCGAAATCCTCAAATTTGATCGGTCGAATCTGATCCATTGGTGTGTGCAATAATGCCTCTCCGAGATTACGCAACGGACCCATTGCCGCATCTTTGGCGAGGGCTGTTATATCGGAACCTGAGAATCCTGTTCATAAAATCATTAGCTTTGGTTTTGCTTAATGTGTAAGTGGATGAGAAGAGATACCTTCGGTAACTTTGACGAGAACTTGTATATCCTCATCTGACATTTCATGGGTTTGATGACTGAGCAGACGGCGGATTTGTTGTTCTCGGACGTGGTCTTCCGGTAGAGGGATGTATTGTCGACGGACGAATCGTCGTCGAGCAGCTTCGTCAATATCCCATGGCAGATTGGTTGCTGCTAATACTAATACTCGACTTGCATCACCGCTTCCATCGTGATTCTTATCCAGTGATTGGTTCCGACCTGCAGCTGCTCGTTGGAGGTCAGACCACTGGATCAGAAACTCTGTCTTCGATCGACGAGATGCTTCGTGTTCCGATCCCGATGACCGGGTAGATAGTAAAGAATCAATTTCGTCGACAAAAATAATAGAAGGCGCTAATGCTTTGGCAAGTCCAAATAATGCTCGAACAAGTTTCTCGCTTTCTCCGTGCCACTTTGACGTTAATGTTGATGCAGATACAGAGAAAAATGTTGACTTAGACTCTGTCGCTACCGCCCTCGCAAGCATCGTCTTTCCTGTACCTGGCGGTCCAAATAATAGCATGCCCCGAGCGGGTTCCCGTAACCCCATAAATAAATCCGGTCGTAAGAACGGATATACCACAGCTTCCTTGAGCGCCTTTTTCGCTGTTTCAAGTCCTGCAACGTCATCCCAGTGCACTTCGTCGCCTCTGACAACTATATCATTTAGGATCTGTCGAGCCGTGTTGATGTCAATTCCTTTGGGTAGCTTCTTCATAATATTTCGTAACTTGGGGTCGTCATCTCCTCGTTCAGACGAACTGTCATCCTCGGCAGAGTCCTGGTCACTCGATGGCGGCGTAATTCTAGGCTTCCGTCTTGGTGCAGGAGGCTTCGGCTTGCGTGTAGCAGCTGAAGCAGCGGCAGCGCCATCAAAACTCGCATCTACCCTTCGTGGAGATGGACGAGCTGGTTCGTCTCCGCTAACAGACGAGACAGAAGCTCGGTTCTCTCCAACGAAAACCCGCGGTGTCGACTGCGACTTGGGGAGTGTCCTTCGGATCGGCTGGTCTGCTGTCTCACCGGTAGACGATGAGACTGTCGGGGTGTGCGTCGCGGAAGCTGATCGGTTGAGCGGTGGTGTTCTAACATTTCTCTCACTAGAAGCAGGGACGGGATGTGAAGGATATTCTTTACGATAAACCGGGTATTTCGGCGGAGGTAATGACTTGATAGGTGGTTTAGGTGCAGTCGGTGGCGGTTTAGATGATGCATCATTCGTTAAGGACTTTGTTGCAGCCGCAGCAGCGGAATCAATATATGGTGAAGCGAAACTTGACGGAGTTTGGTCCGGATAGGTAGGCTCACGCCAGCTCGAACTCGGAATATAATCTGAAGAGAACGGACTGGTAGCGGGCTTTGGCTGTCCAACTTTCCGGGATACATCCTCGCCAGACAGTCTTTGTTTCGAATCAGTATCCTTACGCAAATCGGAGTCACTAGACTCTGACGCTTGAGGTACTGGATGGTGTTTCTTGATTGTTCCCCAAGCAAGCCCGGCCGCCTTTGACGCTGCCGGACGAGTTCCACTGCGACTAGAAGAGGAATTTCTGTTTTTGGACTTTTTGGGATCTTTCTTCTGACGAAGCGTCGTGAGCATGATTTTTCTTCTTTCGGGACTCGAGCCACGAGACGATTCCTTCGTAAGAGGTGTGCCCGGGGAAGAAGCAGCTGCTGGAGCAGGTGACGGCGAAAGTTTGTGGGGCGATGAAGACGAAGGAGCCGTCTCTTTCAATTCAAGAGACGCAGCAGGCGTTAACGACACCGCTGCCGCGGAGGCCGAAGGTCTAGTTGGTAAAGGAGGAGGTTTCGACAAATCGTTGTAATCAACGGCCGGAATAGTGCCATTCCCAATCCATCCTTGCGGACTGCTGCGAGCAGCATTGCCGGTATTTGTCGACGGTTTCTTTCCCTTTTCCAGCTTTGGTGGTCTGGGACCCATTGGTCTCACAGAAGAATCTTTTTCGTCGGTACTCTCGTCATTATTCGCGGCGGCTTCTTTCCTACTTTCCTGCAGGGCTTCTAGTAAATCTACCCGTTCCTTGCATTGCAATTCAAGTTGTCGAAGGGACTCTTGTAGAGCCTTTTCAGTCTCGGTTTTGGGGACGTAATTCGGGGGCACGCGATATGCGTTATGGTAGTATATAGTTTCGAGGGCGGAGCGCCATGATCGTAGAGCCTCGGCTTCGTTATTCTATTCAATATGCAGCAATGAGCAAGAAGCTGCTTTGTCTTAGACCGAGTATTACGTACCTGTCCTTCAAAGTAGACAGCCGTAGAACACATCAAATAGCACTCATCGTAGGTCTTCTGCATAGAAGACGAGGGCTTTGAGCGCATCATCTAGAAGGTATCAACAAAGACGAGCTCGCCATGCGATTGTTTGGGTTGTTGGTCCAGTGATTGCTCGCATGCAGTCAGAGTAAGTCGCAACTCAGGTGGGGAGTCCGTATAGAGGGGTGACCATGAAGCAAGGGTCTAATTTTGCTAATTTTGTGCTGTGAAAAATAAACAGGCAAGGAAATGAAATTCGGATTAGAATAAAGGTACGCAAGTTGTTTTCTTGTCTCTTGAGATGTGGCTGAGTTGAAGAATGGAGCGGGCATTGGTTTGATGGGTCTTTCGGTCTTTCTCGCGTGACGTCGTTGCTCGTTTTAGTGTTGCTTCGATCGAGCCGAACTTAGACGCCAAGAAAATCATGCTGATGTCTCTCGATCACGTCTAACATGGTCTTTGCTACGCAGAGAATGTCTCATGCTTGTGAAGTTCGTTCATTCAGATTTGCTGTCTCGAGCAGCATTGAGAAAGAATTGGTCGAGGATGCACCGCCTCAGGCTGTAAAGCTGAAAAGTCTCACTGCCAACCACCTCCTATATTTCGGCATATTCGAGCACAAGACTGTCTGATAAGAATCTAGTTAGGAAGATCTCATTGACTTTCAGGTAATTACAATTATAAGACTACTAACAGCTACGTCTCTCACCAAATCCTTGACTCTATTCACACCAACAGGCAAATTCATGTAAGATCAAGAGCTCCACTAAGCTTCGCCAGAATGGCTACTAGACTCCAGCACCACGATGAGGTGCGAGCTCGTTGCTGGAGACTTGACATCAGGTACTGCGATGATTCAGCAGATTTCTCTTTTTTGCCTTATTTCAGCAATAATTGGCGTTCAGGGCACTATTTCAACGCATGCCGCAGCGGAGTACAGCTCGGACGTCACCCTTCCTCTCTGTCCGTCTCTCCAGGGGCATCGAGTTCCTACTCATTAGCTCCCTGGGTCGTCGCATCCTCTTGACGAGCTGCCTCCGCGCGCTGTGCAGCACTCTGGGCTCGGCGACGACGACGACTCGGATCGCGATAACCACCCACCAGATGATCGAACGGGAGGTCCTGCACCAAGCATTTCAGTTGTATTGGCACAATATAACTCAGCCCTGCAAGACCCCAAACTATCGGACGGAAATGCTTGCGTGAGAAGCCATGGATAGCCCAGTTCTCAAGATACCAGAAGAGATATTCTGTGTAAATCCCAGGATCATTTCGCCGAGACTTGTAATTTTCAAATCCAAGCTCAATGTCCACAGTCAACGGATCGATACATTCCTCGATATCGAAAGCATGATCATCGATAGCCGACTGAGGACACGGAACAAAAAGAATAGGTGGATAATAACTCAGATAGGTAGTAGACAACTATTCAGTAGAGTCATACTCTTCGTCATCATTGGTCTCAAAATGATGCTGGATAAGCCTTATATTGCAAGCGCTCAACTGGTCTTCTGAGAGCGATCTGAGTTCTCCTCGTCGCAAATGGTCCTCCACAAACTGTCAAGCCTTTTACGGAGACGGGAGGTTGTGCTGTCCATTTGATTTGGTCTCCAAGTGCTTCTTAGATACCGGATGTAGAGAAAGATTGAAGTTGTTATTAGGTTATGTTGACAGCACTGGAGTAATATGTAATTACGAGCAGAAACATACAAGTGACGTAGTAGATTTTCGTACATACGACATAATTACCGGACCTTGAAATATTCAATGCATCGATATACTTTTGTATATCTTTTTATTTTCTCCTTCTCCATTCCTCACCATATGAAAAGGCCAAGACCAGACTTCCACATATCTATGAGTACATGATAAACATACAAAAAAAATGGCAAACCCCTTAAGCAACATCATACAACCACGAACATAAAGAAGCATCCCCGAACATCCAGGCGATTAAGAAGAAAATAGATGATAAGAAAAAAAAAGTAATCCACCCATTTTCTCCCATGTCTTTACAGATTATTTTAATCCCATCCGATCTGAACGCCAAATAGAAACGAACGCAACATATGTAGAAACAAGAATGTTGCTGTGATGAAATTCCAAGGTTTCTTCGGATGCAGAAATCAAAAATGAAGTTACTTCATGCTGATGGTGACATACCGAATTCAGATGTTTGATGTTGTGATGTGCGAAGAAATATCAGAAATGCCCCTTCGCGATGATGATGAAAATGATGGGCAACAATATACATCGCTAGAATAGAACGTTATGATGCGAGGATGATGGGTCGTCAGAAGCCAGCAAAAATAGCCCGCTGGCCTCTAGGAGATCGATGAAGATGTTCGATGAGGGGAAAGGTGTGGACAGTCAAAACGACGTTCGTTATTCTTGTTCATGCCGGCTGTAGAAGAAAATGGTGTTCATGGGGGAAAAGCGGAAGTGTCGGATCGATAAAATCCACACCATATTCGTGAAGAGTAACAGGTTAGTGGCTGTGGTCGGTTCATTTGTCGGCCATTTGGTTTTTGAAGTAAGCCTTTGCCATTTCATACGAAGTCCTTGTACTGTCAGCTCGGGTGTCTATCTGCTAGTGTTCGACAGTCAGGGTCACTCACCAGCAAATCGCCGTGCTGGGCATGGTCGAAATAATGCGAGGTCGCAGTCCACGCAGGAAACCAGCCCATCCGAACTGACGCTTAATAATAGCAGCAGCATTGAACAACCCTCGCGCAGTTCGAATCTCATGGTCCGTCGCTAATCCTCGGGTTTGCAAAAGTGTCTTGATCACATCGAGTGGTGTAGTGATTGCCGCTGCCACGGCACCGGCGAGACCTCCCGCAATACAGTGAGTGAATGGATCATACTCTTTCGAAGGGTTCATGATCTTCGATATTGACTCGTAGGCTACAAATTGCGTAGCTGTAAAAGGGACGGTCATGCTGAGAGTGGTTGGGTACGAGACGTAGAAGGCTTGGAGACCTTCGGCGCGATAGACTGCTTTGGCACATTGCGCAATTGATTTGTGAACGGATCCGTGGACTTGCATTCGCTGCTTGATGACTGTTGAGGTTAGTTGGATGGTCTAAAACTTCAATCGCAAACCGAACTTACCATCGAATGGGTTCATGAGAGCGTCACTAGCAATAGTAGCGCATGCACCGCTCAAAGCTAGCAAGTCAATTAGCATATGGTTTTGCACATCACGAAGAGCAAGCTTACCAGCAGCAAATGGATGATGGCCATCATCCGCATTTCCACCTGCAAACTCTTTGACCGCCTCATATGTACCGAAATAGACAGCGTGCGCAGGACCTAACACATATTTAGCCACGTTGTACAGAAACTCATGCTTAATCCCATACCAGCGCCCACAATCACACTCGAGACGCCCTTCCACAACGTCCTCCAGCCTTCAATCCGATAGATAGTAGATACCGCATTCGTGATACCCGTATAAAGCCCGCCGGAGCTCGGATGTAAAACTTGCATTCGCGTCTAGAAAGTTAATAAGACTAACTCGCACCTTCAACTCATTGCGAGGTATTAAAGACAAACCTTTAACAAATCGACCGGATACATAACCGAATGCTCCTATATTTCCGAACCCATCAGTTCCGTCCACCCTAACCTTCCTTCAGCTGTGTGTGACTCTCGAAACATACCGCAATCCCCGCGAAAGCACCGGCTAACATATTGTGGCCCAAGCCATAATTCGAAGGAAGAGCTTCATACCTGTCGTCGCAAAAAAAAGTTAGCTTTATTGCAGTCCTATCGAATCTTCCCCAGGTTTCGATCCACGCAATTGAATCATAGATGCAAAAACCGGTCGCCTCAGAAAAGAGATATAGAAGAAACATAACGTACTCATATTCCTGTCCTGGGATGTGTTCCGCCATCCGAGCTGGAAAAAGCTCTGAAGGCGCAGCCGGAGCCGCAAGCTGACTCCGGGAGGTAGTTATTTTGTTGGATTGAAGAATAACTAGCGGGCTGGGTGGTGATGATAATGACACGCAGGGTTGGAATAAGTTCCTGCCAATTCCCTAAAACTTTTTCGAGTATGAAATTTGTAGACTAATCAAAAGGATCGAGAATATTGAAAATGAAGTAAGAATAAAGATCAAGCTGGGTTGCATAAGTAGGAGGAATGGATGGGAAGATAAAAATTGGGAGTGACGGAAACTCCATCTGTAGCTGTTTTGCTTGGTTTGCATTGCGATCTGAGTTGACTAAACAGAACCACCTGGACTCTGGCCTCGATTTTCTTTCTATTTTTCGAATCCTTTTTCTTTCCTACGATATTGCTACTGTTACCTATAATAATAATTACTGAAATTATATATAAAAAGAAGACTATTCTTCTGCCTGACTACATCTCTTAATGGCTCTCTGTTCACTGAGTCTGTCAAGCAGTCTTATCAGATCAAACCAACTTCCCCAAACTTCTTCCACACCGGCCCGAACTGCTCGATTCAGTAACTCCGTCTTTTTACATTGTTATCAGATTCTGGACGGACATAATATTTGATAGTTAGTGAACCAGCTGAAAACACAGTGGCTATAGGCCAAGTTTCTTCTTCGGAGTGTTGGCTCGGTCTTCCGCGGCTTTTCCAGGAAAGTTCGGATGTCCGATTGCGGAGGGCTTTACGGAGTCTGTGCTTTGCTAGGAAAACTTCATTTCGTCCGATGGAGAAGATATTTATTCAGACTAGTTTCGGTACAGTCGAATTCTCGCGCGAAGATGGAATAAATGAATGAGTAATCGCTGGATAATGCCATTGATCGATTGGAAAATAAAGATAAAACATGCCAGGCTAGGAAAAGACAATAAATACATAGCATAGTAAGTAGAGGTCGTCATTCTAATCGTCATAATTCCACGTTGAACTTCCATTCATCTAGTCGAGTCAGTAGATATTCTTGTAACATTCAGGAAAACAACTTACTTTGTTTCAAATTCTCTGCTGTATCGCTCAACAAGATAACTCGGCGCTTATTGCAGTATGCCGTTTTGTCAAGAATATCCACCTTGAGTTCCGCCAGTTCTGCAATCGGTTTCTCAAACATCTCACTCAAACTCTCCACCGCCATCTCCAGATCCTTTTGGTTATCTTCAAAGATCTCCGTTAGATTGTTGCGCGCCAGGTAATAGGCAAATGCATATGTCCATTTGAGTGTCTGACGACACTGCTGTAATGCTTGAGAAGCCGTGTCTAGGAACTGAACTTCGATCCACGACATACCCGACTGAGACTGTAGACTGGTCATCTTCTTCTCAGTCTTGAGGTACAAGTCCTTGTCCAGTTTGGCCGACTGCTCGTGGTTGGCGTATCGGTTGTAGTAATGTAGATATCGTTCAAGTGATGCACGAGACCGCGCTTGAGCATCCCGAGCATCCGAGCCAGACTTTTCCGTGTATCGATTGCAGTTATACCAACTGGTTCCGTGCTCAGACCAAAGTCCCATGCACATCCAGCAAAACTCATGTTTGCACTTGCGGCACGTCATGTGATTGCATCCGCCGTTCTTTTCAATCGTAGACAAACATTTGGGACATTCCTTCGTGTTGGCCGAGATCCAGTTTGCCGTCTCGGAATCGTCCTCGCACTTCTTCAACCACATCTTGACCAACGAGCAGGGAGGCGGTTGATGATCGTTCAAACCGCATCCAAAGCAGAAACTGTGCTTGCATGCGCAGTGTACCGTGGGCACAATCTTGTTAAGATCTCTAGCCTTGACTCCGCATTCTACGGCGAATTCACAGTTCGGAGCGGGACACCATTTCAGATTGTCTTTATCATCGACATATGTTCGAGTAAGCAACGTTTTATATCTGTAACAGTCAGTGACTTTCTCCAGCTGGTTGGTCGTAATACTCACCTATCCTTAAGTTCATCCGTTACGAGTAAGTTGAGCGACTTGGAATCAACGATCCGATGACAGTTATCCTGAGGACATTGAATTCTCGCCGCCTCACCTTCCTCCTTGATTTTCTGCGAAAGGTAGTGTCTAAAGCAATCCACACAAAACCGATGGCCACATCGCATAGCGTACGTCTCCAAATCGTCACCATCCTCGCAGCAGATCGAGCACATGAAGCCAGGGACAACCTCTGTCCTGGGATTTGCCTCGAAGCTATGCCCCAGTCCCGCCTCTTCTAGAATCTCCTCTGACCGGTCCATATAAGACTCTATCAACTTTTCCCTATTCCATCGCGCGAACCGGAGCAAAATTCCTGCAGACTCGGGAGGTAGCCCAAGAATCGACGAGACTTCCGCGATCTGAGAGTTTTGTTCACGATCAATGTCGCCAGGACTGAGAACTTTGAAGTCGACTTCGTAAGGTTTCTTAGTCTTTTGTACAAGATCTTTGTCGTAAGAAAAGCCGGCGTCAAAATCGTCACCGAAGTCTGAATCAAACAAAGAGTGAGCCATCAAACTCCCCAGGCCTTTAATAATAATACATTAATGAGAACAAACCTTCACCTAAACTCTCATCTTCGCTATCCTGCGTATCCAGGAAATCCTCTTCTCGACTGGAAACATCGGTCATAAACTCATCGTCCGAATCCATGCTCCGCGTTGTTGCAGTGGGAGTCACCAAAGTGGACACCTTTTTCTTAAGCAAGAGGGAAAACTCTTTATCGTCGTTGCTTTGCTTGCTACTCCTAGACGACGTCTGCGATGATTGTTGTTGCTCTTCTTCTACTGCTTGGTGAGGGGAGACACTTCGTTCCAGCCGCAGCGACTTGTTTGGGCCTGATCCTGATCCTGGGCCCAGCCCTGACCCGGATCCCGATCTAGTAGCCTTGGATATACACTCGCGGTCGAGATCGCCCTTTTTCGAACGAGAATTTGTCACTGTCGCCGCCGCCTCCTCGACTGCCTTCCTCTTCCTCGTTGTGGGAGGCGTGGTGAAGGTATTTCTGGGGTTATCGGGAAGACCTGAGAGGTGAGGCTCGGGAGGGGGGAAGAGGGAGGCGAGTTGAAAAGATCGAAAAGTAGAACGAAAAGGAGAGATCCTTTTCCTCGGTACCTTTTTATTTTTCTCAGGATATACGGAAGTAAGAAATATACACAATCATGTGGTGTTGGTTAGGACTTCGTTGGCAGGAGACGATAAGGTGGAAGGGGAGACCCAGATAGTGTCACTGGTCACAGCCCAAGGATCGATAGGTTACGGCGGCAAACCCAGCAAAGCGGCGAAAAGAGAATCGAGACGAAGACACCTTGACGGCCAATAACGGCTCACCAAGGTATTATCAGTTAGTAATCCTTGATATGAGAACTCTTCCTTCAGTCAGAGAAAAATGAGTCAAGAGAAAATTAACTTGGACATCGACGCGAGAGTAAGAGAGAAGCTGCGAGTGGGGTCGTAGTCTGTCAGCTGGTAACCATCGATGCCTGCATTACAAGGCAGAAAATACTGGCGCCGCTTTAAGCCGTCCTAAAGCCCTAGGTTCACATATTTCATGCGAGTAAAGTACGATCAAGGTCAACACCACCAAAGACTTGCAGTCACAGTCATGATTTCTTTGACTATATCTACACAACATAATCATTCATCGCTATCTTCCTCCTCGTCATCCTCACTATCATCTTCACTCTCGTCATCGTCATCCTCCTCCGAAGCATTCGCCAGCCAATCCACAAACTGCTGCGTCTGGGCTCGCACCTTCTTCAACTCTTCCGTGGCGATAGATCGCTCATCAGCCCACCAGGCTTCAAAGGCCTCTTCTTCAATAATATCCAGATCATACAACTCCTTAGCCGTAAATAAAAGAATTGTATCTCCCTTTGCGCGATGGGCAAGATCCTGCTGGATTTGCAACAATAGATCGGTCTGATCTGTCTTTGCCTCTTTGTTCTTGTCGAAAAGACATCGGTCGACGACATCTTTGTAGCGTGTGAATACGTCGTGGACTGCCTCACCGGCGCCCTTGCCGGATTCACTGATTAGTTGGGAGATGCGTTTCATGAATGATGAGGCTACTGCATGACGGACTTGGTGGTCTGATGCATTGGCACTCATACGGAGACTGACTAGTTCAAGTGCGACAACGTCGGCTGAGACACCGTCACGCATGCTTTCGTACAAGTTGTTGGATGCGTCGTATTGGAAGTGGTCGCGATCCGAGTCTTCAGAAACCGAAGTTCCGAAGCTGTCGCTTCGCTGGCCGTGGAAATACTCGTCATCGGCTGAGATCTCGCTTGATAGTGTAGAGATGGAATCGGTAGACAGAGAGAGATTGGCCATATTGTAGACTGGGGAAAAAAGTCAGCGATTTCGTGTCAGTACGAACGGGCAAGACCTACTTAGACCAGAGGACTCGCTACGGTTATCCTCATCTTCCTCGTCTTCCTCGCCAACATATTCATAACCTCGTCCCTCGCTACCCACGATATTCTCTTCATTTGCAGGCACAGATCCATCCTCGCGCGGAGCAGCACTAATCCTGGTACCTTGGGCCACGGTAACTCCATTCGAGATCTTGACACCATACGACAACAGCACATCCGGTTCAACTTTACAATTATCTCCCACAACAACGTCCCCAGCTAGAATCGCCTGGCGAATCTCTGTATTATCGCCAATGACCACCCCGTCCCAGATGTACGCTCCATCCAGGACCACATTCTTGCCTATCCGGCAATTCCTGCCCAGTACCGAGTTGGTGACGGTGGTCTTGTCGCCTATACTCGTTCCTTGGCCGATGACCGTCCGTCGCCCCACTATACAGGACCGAGCTAGTATGACTCCCTGTTCCTGGTATATACTGCCCCGTCGCAACTCGTAGGTATGTCCCGGAAGCAGATTCGTGTCTGGACAAAGCGGGTATGTCCAACGTGATATGATATCCTTTGTGATTGCATCATAAGCTTTTAAGTTTCTCACTCGAGCCGCATAGTGCTCCTGGATGATATGGGTATGAATCGTCTTCCCGTTCAATTCATAATCTTTCAAGACACCGTATAAGAAATGTTTGCGCGGAGACTGATAGTCGAAACTATCCGACCACAAACTTAAAACATCCGGTGTGCAAATATCGATGTTACAATCAATTAAATCCCGACGAATATCAATCTCGGCATGACTCGTCAAAATCTCTGTATCAATCGTCAACCGTGCAGGACCCGACGACGACGATTTATCGGAATGATCAATCTCCTCATAGTGTAAACAACGATCCTTTGTAGGATCAACGACGAAAACCGGCGAGACGGAAGATGACTTTGTCCGGTGTTGTGCACCGGCTTCGCGCAGTACCATGGTCATGATGGCGTTACGGTCTGCTTGGCGACGAGCGCGGTGTTTAGAGAGGACTTCGTCGATGGGGAAGTTGCTGATTACATCTCCGCTGACGGCGATGAAGTCGCCTGTTATCAGGTGTTTGCCGTCTAGGTCTCGCATGACGTCTCCAACGGAGGTGGATGTGGATTTGAGAAAGGTGAGTTTCTTGAAGGGTGATGACGGTGCTTTCCATCGGGATGTACTAATAGTTTATCAGTCTAGTACTTGATATTCTAGTTATGAACATACCTGATATGCTTCTCCAATAAATTGGAGTGTGCTCCTCCGTAGAGGAAAACGTCTTGCACGCCCGCATTAGCGAGAAATTCAAGCGTATATTCGATCAGAGGAGTGTTAGCCAGCGGTAATAGACACTACACATCGTCAGTACTGGTCATCACTGTAGCTCTGATCCACACATACTCTAGGCTTCTCCAAAGTAAACGGCTCGAATCGAGTCTCAAATGTATCCGCAAAGACAACGGCCTGCAAAGTCTCTTCGACTTCTTCTGTAGCGTTTCCCTTTTGTTTGTTTCCTCCCCCTCCACCACCTTTTTGCTTCGGACCCATTGTTGTTACCGATGGAGCGTTGTCGCTGTTCTATCGAGTAGAGTACCTAGGCAGGAGTCTGATATTTTCTCGGTGCGGGGCTGGTTGAGATCAAGGTTGATAGTGTCACCAGATGGACAGTAATCGCGATTCCCATAAAAAGCGGAATAGTTAAATAGCAGCTAGAAAACTGAATGTGTTAAGTAAATACCGACGCAACTATCAGACAGTGTCCCACAGAAAATGAAGCTCCCAATTACACAAACATCAAATCGATTATTTCTCGGCAGAAAACCAGCACAAACCAAGGCGGTGTAACATATGACTCCTCAAAACAAACAAAGCAAACATGCCCTCGTATTGCAGCCTGAAATTCAAGGCATCAATTTCAATCACACAACCCTCGAAGATCTGGCCAGACCGAGACAACAGCGTTCTGGCCCGTTCTGGGACCAGACAATCTTCCTATGGACAATCGCCCGGGCGGTTCGGTACGTAGCCAGTCCAGATCTTCTGTGTAGATTAAAATTGAATGGGCTTGCGTTCTAGACCGTCGATGATTCATGGCCCCCGGTCAATAGTTGTGTAACTCATCTGATCTAAGCTTTGGAGCTTGGATGTGTTCTACTCGATGCTACATAGTACTACGTATGTATATTTTGAGAAATTAGTATATGTCGTGTTGGAAATTGGTCGGATTCGTATCATATTATCCAAATAAAACTATGTAGGCTCATCACCTGAAACCCTTCGGAATGGGGTCAAAATGAATGGAAAGAGAAGATGAATGTTACATTCCTCTGCCACTGATCATGATCTGGAGTTGAATGAACATGCCATAAGATAGAAAAAAGAATGACCGTCGGAAATTAAAATTGTAGAGAATGATAAAAAAAAATACCAGAATGTCATGATCCAATGATTTAAAACTTGCCCTGGTATATATCAAAAAGACTCGCGGACCACCCCCCCCCTTCCGGGCCCGTTTTTTAGACAAAAGAGATATCATAAGAGAGCAATAGACAGAAAAACGCCTTATGCGCCGATATGATGTATGATGTCTGCCGTGTCCGGTTGAATTATATGTCCCTGATGAATAGACATTAATCCAGGACGGATAGATAACTCAAGAAAATAAAAACGAGGCCATATGATTGCCACTCCCAATGCAATGAGATGAAATATCAAGAGAAACGCACACCAAAATTGGACAAGATTTAACCGTTCTGCTGCCCGGCCATTTGAGGCATCATCTGCGGGTTTGAGTACATGCGTTGTCTTTTGGCGTAGCCTGCTGCATCTGGAGTACTTGACATATCAGAGACTTGTCTTCGGTGCTGTGGGCGCAGAGGAGGTTGACTGAGAGCTGATGGAGTCGCATATTGAACTCCGTTTTGGTCAATTGCAAATGGCCCCGCAGGAGTCATTGGCTGCATATATTGTGGAACTTGTTGGACATTGAGGTGTACCGGCGACATTCCCTGAAGCTGCCCGGGAGACTGCCAGTTATTCATAGATGCAGCTGGTGACTGTCCAGGAGAACTATCTTCCTTGATAGACTGTGCCGCCGAGGTATGCGTGGTCATGGGTGTTACCGAGGCTGGATCCATGGTTGTTGTGGGCACGGTTTTAAGATGCATCAAATGCTTTTCAAGCATGTCCAGGAGACTCTTCCTTGTAAATGGCTTGGGCAAAACATCGTCCATGCCTACAAAGTCGTCAGAAAAGATGTGAAGTTTTGGGTCAAACGAGATAAAACATACCGTGTTGGAAATACAGTTCAATATCATCCTTGCGAATATTCGAAGTCATAGCAATAATCGGTGTGCGATCAAACTGACGGATTAAATGGCATGCAGATACCCCGTCCAAATTAGGCATTATGATATCCATCAAAATCAAATCGTACCTCTTGCCCGACTGCACTTTGGTGACAGCTTGTAGACCGTCGTACTACCAACGTCAGTAATGATAACGTTGTTTTGGGTCAATAGGGGAAACATACAGCGTTATCAATTTGACATTGAAAAGAGCCCAAGAATTTACCACCAATTTGACGACACGTATCATCATCCTCGACCAGCAAGATATTAGGCTGTTTGATCCAGCCTGGGTTGACAAATGTATTCTTCTTCCGAGTCTCGTTGAACGGGCGCTGTATTTGTTGCTGTTGCGGAGCGACTGCTTCGGGGGCAGCCATGTCTTTTGGTTGAATTGAGTACGGGATATTGTTCACATGTTCGCTATACATTGGATCAATACCATTGGTCGCGCCAACTGGGTAGACAGCCGTCTCCAGTTCACCATTCATCTTAACAAAACCTATAGAAGGATTCGATCCAGCCGAATTGGGGCCTCGGGCGATGCCGTTCCGTGCGCCAGCGCCTAACGGAGGCGTCGAAACCATCTGAGCTTTGGTGGGATCATTCAAAGAATCAAAATTCACGAGATTGGGAGGCAATTGCGAAGAGCTCAAGTCACTGAGAATCTTGGATGCTTGTTGTAACGGCGAGGCGGGGAGATCGTCTGCAGCTGAGCCATCTTGACCAGCAAAGGCACCGCTGGCGCGACTATCACGGCGGTGGCGAGCATCGACAGTAAACAAGTAGTTCATGACATTATGGATGACGTTTTCATGTTGAAGAATGGTCTTTTGCAAGCGCATGACCTCCTGCATGATCACTTGGGAATCAACCGAAAGCTGGGCGTTCCGGTCGGTCAACGACTGGATTTGCTGCTGTTGGGCCATGATTTGCGAGTTCATCAGATCGATCTGCTGGGTCGGGACTGAATCTTCATTCATTTGGGCTGGCTTTCGAGGTGCTGGCGCTTTTCTTCGAATGTTGTCCAACGAATCTTTATTATTAGCTTTGAATTCGGGGTGTTTGAATTCCCAGGCCTGGCTCAGTCCCATCGATTAGTTTGTACTCTTGAAGTATCGAAAGGCCGAAAGGAAATCACTGACATTAGGCCCATACGGCGATTGCCCTGTTTCTTCATTATTCTGGCGCACTTTGTGAAAGTCATATTTGTTGAGCTGGCGAACAAAACTGGCAAAGTTGCTGTGTTTGAAGTGTTTGGGGAGGATAGTTTTGGTAAATTTCTCGCACTGTGCACAACAATATCAAGTCATCAGTTGCTGATCGAAGGTCATCGGATGAAGATGATTCAGTACCTCTAGTACAACAAAACTGTCATTCTCATCGCCCCAGCGCACAATGTCCGAATACGATGGATCCTCCAACATCCTATTGTCAAATTGATTAATCAAACAGTTTTGAGCGATCGCATTGTGGGTGATGAAACAGGAGTTGTAACCGGGGGAGTGAACAAAGATGGTAACCTACTTGTACAATTTGCGAACCTGTAGATTCGAGCATATTGTTAGCAGGCGAACAGGGCTTTCTATCTTCTTGAAGGAAAATGAGAACATACGAAATCGCTCGAATTACCAGCAGAGCTGGTCCCAGTGGTCTGGCCGTCCATGGCTTGGGGGAGGGGAAGATATTGAGTGTGGCGGACCGTCTCAAAAAGCGAGAAAGAAGAAAGAAGTAAAGTTAAGGAAGGAGGAGAAATGGGCGAGACGCGGTCCCGGCAGGCCCAGACGGAAGAACCTAGCTTGCTCCCCTGTCGATTTTTAGTGTGCACCAACTGGGCGACAACAAAAAAAAAAAAAAAAAGAAAAGTGCTATTTACGTTGAAGTACGTATTTATCGTTCGTTGTCAGACAGTCAGTAATAGACTGACAACTCTTCTAGTCCAGCCACGAGTTGCTGTCGAGGGAGTCGACGGAGTCAACGCAAGGAGGGGAATTTGCCGAGAAGCTACAGCAAAGATTGAAGACAGTGGGTACAGCACGAGCAATGCGAGAAGAGTAATAACTAACTTATAGAGATGGGCGTTGCTTATTGTCCTGTCTTCTGATTCTACAGGACTCAATAGGTATGAGTACATTGTTGACTCACTATTGTACCTCTCTCTACTCCATGAGTCGGTCACCATCAGATGTTTTCAACAGATGTCTCAGCTACGAACAGTTCACAGTGGAGACGAGGCCATAGTTTGGTCTTGATTTTGCTCAGACTTCTAAGAGGGGCATGGACTCCACTCGTCGTCTCTCACTCTTTCAACAGCTTCTTCTTTTTCTGATTCTCTTCCAACGCATGCTCCACTGAGGCTTGTCGTATTCCGGTCTTCCGTATGGACCCTGAATACTACATACACTGAATACTACATGAAAATATATGTGGAATATGTGGAATCAGGTACCTATCGTGAAGTCTTCTGCCTGATATTTGTCTGATTGAGAAATCACCGAAACGCATTGAGCCATTGACGTGTTGGCGCTCTCTAGTTTCCTCCGCCTACTCCGTATTTCTCCGTGCAAGAACGGAGATCTTTATATTTGTCTGCTATTGCAGATCGACTAACCACCGCTTAGCTTGACCTCGAATCTATGTTCTGTGTATATATTTAACTACATTGATACCCTACCCAGTGCCGGTTAAACGTGAGTGGTCGGCTCAGACCAACCATCGAGTCACACAACGCTTCCAGCGTGTCTTTGACCCTGCCCATGCGTCGCCAATCTGCGTTTAGAATTTGGTCCGTGTGCTCGATGCAGTTGCATCTACATACAATGCCGTATGTAGCTGCATCCGCGGATGCAGCTATCATGCAAGTGGATGTAGGGTATCCATGTCATCCCGAAAGAGAAGGAGTACTCGCACTTTATTGCCCTTCTTATTGACAGGGTCATTGTCAGGCCCGTTCTTTCATAAGTGTCTCTATAGGTACTCTCATATTGCCCGGGATCAAGAACTCATACATTCTACTACAACATTGTTAACGATATCTACGCCAGACTGCGAGATATCCGGTGGCGTCGGCCAAGAGCCTCAAGAATGCTCACATTTAATATCCAAGTCAAGAATTCAGTGGCCGTTGGATTAACGACCACATGGTCTCAAGTGCATTCCAGATACTTCCAAGACGGTGATCTAGACTCGCGGGACGCCACAACCCGTGATACAATTGTACCTAACGAGTATTACATGCATCCAAAAATATCAGTTCAGCACCTCATCAATAGCACGCGACACTGCCTCCGGATACTCCAAAGGGATCAAATGCTTCGCACCCTTGACGACACTAAACCCAACATTGAAACCTCTCGCAGCAAGCATCTCCACAACTTCACTCTGCACTCGATCCTTTTGCTCCACCACATCAAACTCACCAGCCAACACACTCACCTTAACATTCATAATATGAGGCCGCGAAGCAAGTTCATCCAAAACTGGAATGAGATCCTCCTTCATTCCATATCTGATCCATCCTTCGTTTGCCAACGTGTTTCCAACCAGACTATCTCTCACGACCATCGCCATGTCCTCATCCGTCAATAGCTCGGGTGATGAAAGAATGTTCGACAGTACGAATTGCACGGATTCCTTGCTGTCGTAAGCATGTTCCTGCTGCTCACTCATGTCCGGCGGCAGAATGAGAGGTGTCGGTGGAGCTGGTGTCACCAAAACCAAACCTTTGACAAGTGCGAGGATATCATCCGAGGCACTTCCGAGGGCAGCTAAAATGACCTTTGCACCCATCGAGTGGCCGACGAAGACAATACCGTTGTTCTTGACGACGGATGCTGTGGCTTCATTCGTCCTTAGGGTTTGTAACACAGAGACAAGGTCTGATGCGAGTGGCGTGACGGAATAATCTTTTGCTGTACCACCGTTCTGTGCAGTAGGTCCAGTGGATTCTCCCCATCCTCGATGGTCCATTGAGACGCTGGGGTAGCGGGAGCTCAGGGAAAACGGTGAGTCGGGTGAAGTAATTTTGTACCAGGTTGAACTTGAGCCACCCCAGTAATGTAGGAAGACAATCAAAGGGGAGGATGAAGAGATGGATGACTCTTTCACCAGACGGAGATGAATCTTTGTGTCGGGGGATGTTTGTACAAACAACATTTTGCCTTTTCGAAGAGCTGTAGATCCCTGCTTCGTAAATGGATTTGAGCTTTGGAGGTTGCTCTGCTGATTTTCCCTACCACCAAGGTCAAAGTAATTCTATATATACGGTCCTATCTTCAACAATCTCAAATAACAACGGTACAATTCCGATGACGCTTCCAACAATCTCCAAGACAAAGCATTCTGATTGGCTGTTATTCAAATGACAAATCAAGCGATGAAGAGCATTCTTACTAATCTAGATGACAAAATAGGCGGAATTACAGACACCACCAACCAATAACAACGACCAACATTGTTGGCGTATGCGAACAGACCAATTGTGGTTTAACATATTATTCAAATCACTGTACGGCGTACAGATATCGTGTAAGTAAGCGTCGGAATTAATTCCATGTAGAGTGAGAAAGTACGCAAAGTGTTGCCGTGTTCTGGGTTTGTTTATAACGAGCCCTAACTTCATTGAATTTCCAAGGCTCTAGTCTATACGTACATCAACATAGAGTATCACAAGAAATATCAGGCAAATAATACACATAGTCAAAATAAATATTGCTCCCATACAGGCGCCGCATACTCAGGAAAATATTCCTCATGGATCCTACGCGCATATTCAATCACATTCGGTAAACTGCGAATCAACTTCCTAGATTCGGGGCCACTGCAACAGACTCATTAGCAAGACAGGTCAATGATTAAAAAATGAAAGAAAAGAGACGTACGCATCACAAACCAATCCACCAATTATAAACCCAAACAAACTCGTATCAACCTCAGTAGGCCCTTTCCGCCCCAGAGCCCAAAATACATTCCGACCGGCAGCGGCAGCAGAAGTCTTGTGTCTCGACTCGGCAAGTAAATTGTCGATATCGTGCCAAATTTTGCTACGGAATGAATGAATCTCTTCAAGAGAAAACCGCCCCGTTCCTTGGCCGTGTAGGGTAGTGTTGGTTTTGCGCCATGCAATGTATCCTACTATCACGCGGATAGGGTAGGGTATAGAAGCCATGACACCATCACGCATGGTATAGTAATTCTCATTCCAGCGTTCGTTCGTCTTTGAATTCTTATTAGTGATAGAGTTGATATTAAATGGGAAGGATAATACATTGTAAAAATATAGCTTATCCTCTAACAAAGCTCTCAAGGCTTGATCCATGGTCTCCTCAGTCGGCGACAACTCCTCGTTGAGGTCAGGTAAGATACCATTCTCCGTCAATTGGCCACTGATGAGTTGTGAATCTGAAAGAAATTCCGGCTCATTGTTATGTTTCGATGTGATGGAGATGTATGGAATTTTCCCTCGAGGAGCTTTAATGATTGACCCTTGCTCGAGATTATAGTATACACCAGCAAATCGGAGACGGGCCTCGAGCTTGGTGACGAAGGGGGACCAGGCGTAGTTTGCTGTGCATGAGAAACCACGGAAGATGGTTATGGTTGGTTGATGTTTGTCTGTCATTGTTTTGAAATTTTTGAGGTGGTACTTGCTTCTTCTGGATATAGGTATATATATACACGGTCTATATTGAGAAACATAAGAGTGAGAAGAAGAGAGAGAAAAATGAAATTCGTGAAGAATTTAAAGATGTTAAAAGTTGATGCTTAAGAGGTATGGCTCAGCAGCTAAGCCTAATACAGTATCGTGTCTGCGTAAGTGGGCAATATGATTGGCCCATATGAAGTAGAAGAGGAGCCGTCTTAACTCCGTCCAATCGTTGCTTCCTTCGTCAACATCATTGTTCGCGCTGACTCCTTCACCATGAAACAATTGCCAGATACGAGTTGTTATGTCTTCCATAGACACCGCGCTAGATATCATCTCCTCGACGAGACTTACGCCAACTGAACATCTCATTCTGGGGGCTTCGTGAATGGGGCGCCGTGGACCCGGAGTTTGCGAGTCGCTCCGGATGGCCTTCAAGGTAATGACCATAATGTAGAGACTAATCTAGGTGGGTTCAAGAAGGACTGGAGGAAAAAGGTGACGAGAAGTAAGAATTCGATATTTCAGCAAGGATATCATCGTGCTAAATCGCTCTAGTATCAACATTTGATCCAGAATGCACCGGGGAGACGGCATATGTGGTTTCTCCTTCGATTATGCATGGTCTCGAAGCACCAGAAGATGTAAAATCCGCTTCCTCTGATTATTTCGTTGCAGCCATGTCTCTGACACTCGAACAGGGTTGCTTGTATGAGATGCTTGAAGCACACCTCTCTCCGCAATACGTCGCCAAACCACGCTCGCAGCTTGTAAACCAAGAATGCAACGATGGGACTTCTTTGCAAAACCTCTGGGTGCTGTCTCCCAGCGTCCACAAGGCCTTTCGACAGGGTCACTTGTACGTTAGGCTCGTGTCACGCACGCGGGACAGCCCGGAATTTACTATGCGCGAGCTAGATGAAGATAAGTTAGATGCTATGGTAAGGCTCACATTCATAATTGAGGCTAGAGCAGTTCCAAAATAATACTACACAGCATACGTTAGGAACCATGCATTTAGAAGAACCAGAAGGCCTTTTTTCTCGGCGATGGAACTGATATCGACGGTTTGCCACATTTCAGGTTCTCCACGCCTAATGCTAAGACCCTTCCAGCTCCGACGCTCTTTTTCTTTGGGGTTCATCGATGCTTGCCAATGCATTCATCTTTTCTACGTTGAGGATAAGGCATCTCGTGGCTGGCCAAGATCCATCAGAGGTACGAAAGCCAGGACTCTTTTGTGTGGTTTGATTAGTCGCTAAATACTGAATTCAGATCAAATAAACTTTGATATTCCTATTCTCCGAAAAGCGCTTCCATCGGTTATGGCTTTGTATACCGTTTCAGGTTCGTTTGTCATGCTATATGCTTCTTAACAAAGTCGGGAGATGGCTTTATGGCCCCTCGACAACGCCGTATGTGCAACGATTGCCATTTGGATTGGTACTAAAAGAATATGATCGCTCTCGACATAATGAGCCGAATGCTTAGAGGCTAGTTGCTCAGTACACTTCTATCCTAGCACCTCGTGTGGTCGATGCTGGAGAATATGCCGGCACGGTATATCTACCATCTACGTGGGCAGATGATCCATGAGGTTATGCATCTCATGTCGTATGAGGAACGAGATCGCCTCGCAGACGAACTCGGATCTTATGCAGAGCAATTACGAAAAATTTCCAACCCTTCACCATTCCTATTCTGCAACACCCTAGGAGCTAAAATCGTTGATCATCGCCTACCAGATCGATCTGGCGGACCGTTCCACCTTCGAGTCTGAATTCAATAACCATCTATCAAGTCATCTCAAATGCTCACCAGCCGAAGTCGTCGATAAAGAAAATCTTCGAGGAGATCATTGCTCATACTTTACGCATTGCGATTGCCACTGCACTAATCTTCTTGTTCATCGTGGACGGCTTAGTGGGATTGTTGACTGGGAGTGTGCCGGTTATATGACTGAGTATTGGGAGTACAGCAAGGCCATGTACGGTGCTTTTCAGAACCATATACTGGAAAGTATATTTCGACGCGCCTTTAAATATCGATACGAGTCAGAGCTTAGCGTGAAGCGGACATTCTGGCGTTATACCTCTTTCGGAGTGTAGTTTCGACGTGATTTCCCATGGATATTCTCCAACAGTCCGATCCATCAATAGTTATGTTAATAAGTTATAATTATTAAACAAACTAGAATACAAGTAGTTATGGTGGTCATCAAAGGTGGTTCTGTTCGTATACTTTCCACAATAAAAAAGAAAAAAGCTTCAGAATCTATATCATTTCAATCAAGTCCGAACCCAAACCCAAACCCAAACGCCATTACAGGATGAGGTCGAATTCTCCGTTCCTGCTGGAAATTTTGGAAAACAGATGGGAAAAGCGAGGGGTAAAGAAAAAACAAACAGGCGCAATATTTATATGCTCGAAGAAAAACGATGTTACCCTTTGCAGTGACAAAGATTCTCATTCAGGATTGATAAAGACGGGTTCGACATTAGCCAACTCCAGTCAGAGGAAAGTGAGAGAAACGGCTTGCAAAGGCAGTGAATGGTGAAGTTCCGGAGCAACCGGGACGGGTATCATAGATAAAAACAGTGCTTCGCTGCGCTGTGCCGGGATGTGTATGCAAGAAAAATGAGGAATCGAGAAACGCAATCAATCAGTTAATCTGGATTCGTGAGCTGTTCAAAATGTTAGCAGTCAGATTTGGATTTCAAGCCAGGAGAAAAAGTGGACAAACCCTCAAAACAGGGCGCGAATAGTCCTCGTCATCACGAAGAGACACCGCGCTAAGTCGATCCCCATTGGGATACAAAACTGCATCCTTTTTCATGCGATTGTCAATAAATGCCTGGTTCGGATTGAGATAGTCGTTAGGCGAGGTAGGTGATACTTCGTGGTCTGCTGGGCCGGCCGGACCCATAAAGTTGCGCATGAAGCTCATCTGTGAGCCTCGACTTTGACGCCGTGTATCGATAGTTCCGCCTGCAATGCTGCCATCGTTTCCTCCATTTGGAGAGCCCGGTTTTTCAGAAATGTCACTGTTGCCTCGACGTCCGAAGAAGAAGAACCACAGTATGAAGGCGGCTAGAGCTCCCACGCCGACAAGGGATCCAATAACGATACCCGCAATAGCTCCACCACTCAATGACGAGCTCTTATGATCGGACGACGCTGAAGAAGAGGTGGCGGACGGTGAATTTGAGACGGTGATTGTCACGGGCTGGCCAGCTATAGTCTGAATGGAGATGGTTGGAGCAATGGTAGTCGAGGTCTCTGATGAGGTAGAAGTACCCTAGACGAGGATATATAAGCAGACGTTCAAATATAGATTGTTCGCAGATCATACAGAAGACACCGATGTTACCAGAGTCGTCCCCGTGGAAGCCGACTCGGTTACAGTGACAGTTTTGGGTCCGGATGTGGATGTTTCAGTGGCTGAGCTCTCCTGAGTGGTTGTTAAAAACCAGACACTTCTGAGATTGCACCAAGCCACCTTGACATATGAATCCAAGGGTGGTAATATACGCGCAAGGAATGGCATGATAATATACAAGGGTAAATTTACTCACCGAAGAAGTGGTTGAAGAGGAACTAGAAGCGGTTCCAGTGCTGGTAGTATCTATTCTGCCGGTTGCTGTTCCGGATGGTTTGTGATTTGACATGGCGATGTAGCCGAATAGACCTTTGGCGGGATTTCCGCATAAATCATCCGGATAGCCTGGACAGCCAGAGTTGCACTCGGTGACATTTACTGTTGAAGCAGGGATATAATTTGAGCACCAGCAATTCTGGCCTTGGAGGACCGCAAAGGCGTAGTCTGAAGTACATAGCGAATTACAAGCTCCGTTCGACTGATATATGTTCGTATCTAGCAGTATGATTAGCCATCGCGTTGAGACCTTAAGCGAATTGAAGGGATGCGCACTTTGTGTACTATCTGAAGCGGTGTTTGCGTTGGAGCAGTATTCGATTGTCAGTGCGGTGACCGAAGACGAGCCGAGTAGAAGAGCGACGACTCCTAGATGCACCATGCTTTGGAGAGTCATCTTTATGCCGGTATTATTCCGTCCCCTTGCCCGTGTTACTTGAGAGTAGTTTGGGTGTTTTCAAGGTGCTGTATCATGTGATCGATATCAATGGAATTCTCTCGAAATCGGAGGATCGCACGTGTTGACGATGTCTCACTGAACGATCGAGTCAATTAGCAGATGAACTCCAAGAAAGTTGATCTCAATATCCAATCCTTCCAAGGGAAATCGTCCTCGCACATACAGTCAAATCAGTTGGAACTTTGGTGGTCGCGACGGTCTCGGTCGGTGTTAGGCCCAATTGCCCGGATTTGCAAACGTATTACACACAACAATATCGATAGATCGCCAACGGCATCTTCGCAGCCGCTCAACAGGGCCCGATTCGAGTATCAATTAAGTATCGAGATTCGATCGTCGTAGTCGAAGAATAGATGGTGGTGGGAGCCGGTAAGACGCGGAAGATTGATGAAAATGATGAAGAGATGGGACAGACACCGCGCGGAGAGAAGAAGAGCAAACGAGCTCGGTGTAACAAAGTAAAGATTGATTGTCTGAGTACCTTGCTGTCAGACAATCGAAAGGGTGAGACAGATGGTAGATAAAGGCGATACTAATTGCGATGTCAATGACAAGCACACTTTGTAGAAGAGAAGAGAAGTTGTTGATGGCCAGCCAAGGGGAAAGAGAGGAAAGTTGGTTAGTTTGATTAACTAGAGGGGTGGGTGGGTCCTATCAGAATACTTGGTTGGAGGCGTCGTCGTATGACAGGTGATGGCACCTTTGTATGTTTTCCGAGTATATATATATATATACGATGGATATATTTTGTTTAATATAACCAGAGGATATGTCTACAGCGACCAGAGTGTCTGGCATACTCGTTCTTAGTCGTACTGTTGACATGAATGCTGACTGTGTTGTTTATCTTCTGGCGGAATCGTTCCCAGATTGAAAGCGGGTAGCGGGTATTTGTAGCCAATCAGGCTGCGGTATACTGTGGATCAGGAGTCTGATCATGGCGTAATCTGACCAATAGAATTCTGGTCTGTGGATGTAGCGATCGGTATTATTGGCTGTATTACCACGTATTATTTACTTGGTATTTGTTATTTACGTTACAATTCTATTCATCTTCATTGATGTCGAGCTCATCGAAAGACACAATACTGTACATGTGGTACAAATATATATTGATATTAATAAAACTAAGTATGCAAGCATGCAGTGACCAGAATGCAAAGCGCCTCCATGTATGCCGATCGTAAAGGCACACATATGGAGCAGTGATAAGCTAGCACTGCGCCAGACCAGGAGCCAATCGATTCGTGTCCACTGTTCACAGAAGAAACGGCCGACACATGGACTCAAGATCGGTTTGCTGTGTTACAATAACGGCTGGGTACTGTCCTATTTTGCCTGCATCTGCCATTGTCTCTCATATATGTCAAACGGATTGAGGACTCAAGCGTGACATAACATTGACGATCAGGCTGTGCTTTGGCCGTGCATTGAAAGGATGCGATGCGTCAATAATATGAAGTTATATAACGTTATGCCTTTGGATAGCGAGGTAACATCGCTAAAAACATCGACTGGACGGATTACGTAGTACGTATATGCATCCTCCGATTAAGTTTGCGGGCAAAACCCAGCGAACCACAGCTTCCTAGGTAAGACTGGATCTGCATGTCTTGAAATATGTTCCTTTTTTGACTCTTAATACATACGGTAGTACTATGGTAATATTGCCCATTAGCCACGCTTGATGGCGAAACATACCGTATATATCGTGGTCGACATCCGGACCTTAGTATTCCATCTTATAACGACCACCTGGGCAGGAGCTCACATGCGTCGTGGCGAGGCCTAACACCGAGGTTTCAAAGCTATTGAGACTATTCAGCAATGCTAGGATTTAAAACCATATGAAAACGATGGAAATCTGGCCATTAAAACCACCTCACTTTTTAGTTTCCTTTTCGATGTCGATAAGACCTCGGTGACAGGTTCAGCAGATGTTCGCGTCTGATATTCAAATACATAGCGAATACTCAAATATTGGTAAAGTACAGATATTTCGTCTGATCCGTGCTTGCAGAGACGCAGAGCAGAGTGATGCGAAGTTCACCTTTTAGGGCTTTTATTAGGGTTTGTTCCAAATCGGGTAATCCCTACAATTAAGGTTACCGATTCATGATGACATCGCCCGGAAATTCGAACCTTCGGTATCTTCCTTTTCCTTCTATTTTACTACAAGTTTTATTGCAAGGCAGATACAATACCGTGGGAGTCTGATAGCCAATATGAAAAGACGCAGGCACAAAGCGGACACATCCGTTGCTATTGAGTCATTTACATAACAAAAGTGTTGGGACCTCGAGGAGTCATTCTACCAGTCAAGCCGACTTTGTTACTGGTTTGAACTCTGCTCCGCCCGCGTAAACACAAGGAATAGTTATTGACTGTAACTATTCCGAGTCGCTAACCTTGACGAATACCACGCGTATACAAATATATCAAACAAGCATAAAGCAAATCATCACCCTTACAGACAAGACATCTAACCATGTTGAACGAGGAAGAACGCAAAGAACTTTACCCACTCGGCGAGTTTAGGCACTCGTATCCGCGCTTGATCCGAAGACTAGCGGAAGCCATGACAGCAATGATGGCTGACCGAGATTACACTGACTTGACATTGGAATGTGACGGCGAGAAGTTCCCGGTCCATAAGCTCGTTCTTTGTACTCAGTCCGAGGTGCTCAAGGCCGCTAGTGAAGAGCGTTGGAAGGTTGGCCCCTTCACTTTAATGTGAGAAGCCAGCTAACTAGTCTTTATAGGAAGGAAAAGAAGGTGTCATTCACATCGAGGGATTCGATTCCTTGACAGTCCGCCGTATGGTTGAGTTCCTATATACTGGGGACTATGGTCAGGGCAAGCCAGATTATGTGCATGTGGATCCCCATAACAGGGAAATGTACGATTGGGATGAACCTTTCTCGGAAGAGGAAGAGAATTATTCTGGCGACAGCGAGGACGTTGATACTCTTCATAGCAAATATCCACGTACTCTAACGGAATCTGAGGAAATGAAGCATGACTTCATCAACGCCGTGGAACCACACATATGTGTCCATGCGATTGCGGATTACTACATGATTGATGACCTGAAAGACCTTGCTAAAAACAAGGCAAAGGTAACTCTCGAGAAGCAAGGGTGGTCTTCCAGGGGGTTCTTGGAGGTCGCCAACTACGCCTTTGAGACTACTATGCCACCAAAGACACCAGAAGAGGAGCGGCAGTACTATGGAAAAGAGATCTTGCGCGATGTCATAGTCCGTGTAGCCCTTGAGCATCTGAACGACATCACTCTCCTGGAGGACTTTGACAAATGGGAACTACACCCCCAATTTGCAGTGATATTACTGCGAAACCAAGCCGCCAAATACAAATCCGACCGAGAAGAATGGGCGCAGGAAAAAAAAGACCGTGAGAAGGAAGGGTGGAACCAGATAAATTCCTGGTGCAAACTTATGAATGATCTGGACATTGAGAGACGTCGAAATTCGCGAATGAAGAGGTGTATCGACGCGATACGAGAGTTGAAGACTTGTCGGAACTGTAACTGTACGTTCAATGCTACGGTTCATTCCCCGCGGCATGAGACCGTTACTCTTGATGGTGAGGAACATCATATTGAAAAGTACGTGGTTCGGTGTAAGGAGTGCTTAAACACCAAGCATCCTCGCCGTAACCGTGGATGGAACACGGCAAGTGGCTGGGGTGAGCAAGCAACGCGGGGATGACGCTGGCTACACCAGGTGGTAGATCTACATTGATCTTATCCCCTTGTTGTATATAGGTACCAATCTAGAATGCACGGATTGCAATGAAGCTAGGCAGTATCTAATTAGCTGGAGTACTCCCAAGTCTGAATTTATACGGAGTACTTGATCTTGAATCCCCCTCTGTCTCTCGAGTGAGGCGAGAGAAGACAGCTTGCACAGCATACAGGTATAAAAGTCTCGTCTTTTTCAGGATAATTCAGGATATTCCTGTATGCTACTTAGGAGGTATGTCATATGTTCAAAAAATCAAAATCATTGGCACGTTTTTCTTTATAGTAGGGGGGATGAGCCTAACCCTAAGCTCAGTCCCAAACAAGTAATTATTTTACAGGCGCATTACCACTCAACTGAGCCTCATCCATGGAGCTGCAAAGCCACTTACCCAATTGTCGCAGCTCTTATCCATGGTACATATGAGACAGAAGACCCATAAATGATTGTATTATGTTTTGTAAATGGGTCCGGGTACCTTAACACATCCTTGGTACACTGGCGAAATGTATCCATGGTCGGTGCTTATTGACATCTGGTGATGCTCATTTGCAACTCTTCAATTCAATACGGGACTATAAACCATTAAATACTCCATAGTAAAGTGTAGATGAGATATGTAAATAGAAAAAAATAGTGTCATGACATCGTATCTATCGTATCTCGTCACTGTCGTTTGATGTTGTCTGTGTCGTAGCTAATAAGTGTATAAGAAGGAATTAAATCTCTCGATATCGGCGCGGGCGTCGATCTTCCTCGATGACGATATCCCGTTCACGATAGCGCTCACGTTCCTCCCATGGATATGGCTCACGAACAGGCGGCCGTTCCAGCATCAATGGAGGCCGAGGTGCAATAGGAGGTGGACCGGGAATAACGGGAAGTGGTGGAAGTCTCTCTCGCTCACGCCGTATGCCACGGATTCGTTCGCGGCGGAATTGACGTATATCCTCGCTGAGGTCGACAAGTCTTTCGACGTCATCCTATCATGAAAATTAGGATATGAACAATGGAAAGCATAGCACCGACTTACATAGCGGAGATACTCAAAAACGTAGTAAAAATCATCAGTCTCATCAAACTCGTAACCTGCTCGCTTAAGAGCTTCTCGGATAACAAGATCCTTGGAGATCTCTGTCCAGAGTTTGTTGCGTTTTTTTCTGGTGTTGTCGGTATATCTCCTATGAGCATGGACTTCTTCTTCCCTGGGCTCGGGGAATGCTTCGATTTCTTCTCTTCGATCCCGTTCTCGAATGACTAATTCCCTTTCAAATCCTGGAAGGTCTCTGTCACGCTCTCGCTGTCTGATTTCTACCTCTTTCTCGACTCCGTGATCTCCTGATTTGGTCCGAGTGATGACCAATTTATCCTCGTCCTCATCGAGTTGATGTCGTTGGCGTGGAGATATGCTCCTTTCTTTTTCCTTGTCGATAATGATTTCTTCTTCATATGCTCGCCCGCGTTTATCCCCTCTAGAAGGCGTATTAGTATAGTCAAATACACGCTGATTGAGCTCTTACCTTCGCTTTATGTCAATTACGTCCACATCGTCAGCGAGTGACTCTTCGGGGCTATCTCGTCGGACAGGTGGAACAACCTCGTAGCCTTTTCTTATTAGTATATGCTATCTTATCACACAGTGAGCAGCGAACTTACTGTCAATATGACGGTGATGGGTAATTACTTCCTGAAGAATAGGCGGTTTGCGAACAACCGAAGGTTCACGGGATGATTCCGACGATGATGATTCCTCTTTCCGTATGATGACTTCACGACTAGCTTCGTTCTTCCCTCGCCTTCCGCTCCTATCGGTATCCTTGATTATGATTTCTTCCTTATCACCGCCTTTCGGTCGGGAAACAGAGCGACGCGGGCTACGAGGAGGACTATGAACATGACGGAACTCGATGCGGTCTTTGCCTCGGTCGTCATCACGTATTACTACTTCGTCTTTTTCGAGACCCCGGGGCACTGATTTTCTCCTTCCATGCTTCTTGCGTATGATGACTTCTTCGCGGTCATCATCATCATCATCATCAAGTGAATGGACCGATCGCCGTCGTAGCACTACATCATCGAGATCATCATCTCTCGCCCGCGACGAACCATGGAAGTGACGAATCCGTATCTGCCCTCGGTCATCCTCCCCTCTTCGAGGTGTGGAACGATCACGCTCGCGTATGACAATTTCTTCCCGGTCGTCTTCTCTTCGAGGCGATGATCGGCTTCTGTGCTTGATAACAATCTCATCCCGATCTTCTTCTCTCGGTGGTGGAATGGAGCGACCTCGCCGACGAATGCGGATATCATCAATCTCGCCATCATCGTCACGACGACGATGGGGAGGAGTTCTTTCCTCCCGGCGTATTTCGATCTCTTCTTGTTTTTGGCGATCTCGCTCCCGGAAGATGACCTCTTCCCGTCCATCTTCGTCAAGTATATATCTCTCGTCCCGATGACGACGGCGGCGACGGGGACCAGGAGAATCATGGTTGTGACGAATAACCACCTCATCCTCTTCCGCGCGATAGTCATCGAGTACTGGCATCGAGCGTCTATGACGGCTGATTCTTTCGCGCTCAGAGTCATCTTCTCGGCGTGACGGGCGATCACGGTGGCGGAAAATAATCCTTTCATCATCTAGCTCCTCCCGAGGATCAATGCGCCTTTTATCTTTTCCAATGATTATATCCTCTTCGTCTTCTCTCACTCGGCGAGGTGGCAATGATCGATCTCTCCGGCGAATAATGACATCGTCGCGCTCATCCTCTTCACGAGGACGATGTAACCTCCGCTCCTCGAAGATGATTTTCTCCTTTTCCCGTGATCTTTTGCGATAATCATCAATTTCATCTCCTTCGTCCAGAGTGACTTCGTCCCTCGAACCTCTGCTCGGATGGTGACGAGATAGCGGCGGAGTCCTACGCCGGATATAACCCTCGTCCATCTCTCTCTGCAGCCTCAAGTCGTCCGGACGCACTCTGTCACGATACCTTGGGGGTATAACGTCCTCATCTCTGGGAGGTAAGTAACGGTCAGGAGGGACATCCGGTGCAGAGCTGTCGCGACGGACCCGAACTCGCTCTTCAACCTCGCGGACTGCAGGCGGAGAGCGTGTTAAGCGGCGTCGACGGTGCCCAAATTCGGGATCAAAGTAACGATCGTCTCTGTTTCGTCGCCTTCGGTCTATTTCTTCGTAGTAGTTATCCTTCTCGTAGACATCGTCCGGTGGCGCTGGTCGGGACATTGCGATATGTTCGAATGATTAGATGATGCGAATATATTGTATATTTATTGCTAATTTCTGATTCCAAAAGTGCTGCATTGATTATATATGGTATGCGAAACCTGCGATTTCGAGATAGTGAGGCATAAACAGTGTTACTCAAATCGGCGGGGTACGATGCGTAAGAATCGTGAAACAAACCGCTAAAAAGAGAATCTGCAAGAAGAAAACAAACAAACAGATTAAAAAAGAGAAGACATATGTGACAATACAAATGCAAGTCAAGGATGAAAGAGATGAATATAGACGGATTACATGTTGTGGTCGTAGTTGTTGCTGATGTCATTTCGCACCCCACCTTCATACGTTAGTTAGTCTACAGCAAGGCTGATAGATAGCCGGTGTCAAGCGAGGTCGACATACGCTACAATTGCAATACTGAGAAGAAAAGATAGGGTATCATTCCACATACTCCGCCATATGCATACATAAAAACATGCATCTATCCAAAGAAAAGTCGTTTCTGGCCCTTCTCGGGCCCAGAAGCAAATACCCGTGGCCGGCCAGGCCCTGTCTTTTTGCGATCCAGCATTCTGCGCCTAGATGATTGTTCAGCAATGTTGCGTGAGGTCTGATCTGCTCGTAACTCTTGGGCTTCGAGGTCTTTGGCAAAATGCCAGTCGTCGTGCTCCTCGCGTTGGTCTTCTGACATTTCTTCATTACATCGAGAGCAAGTGAATAGGCTATAAAGCTGACCAGGAAATTCTCCCTGTGTTTCTGAAACGTTGGGTGTATGGTGACTGTACTGGCTGTTCGTAATTGGCATGTTATGAGCTGGAAATGCTGAAGGTGACTGATTGTTCCCATCTGAACTGACCAAAGATGTTGAGTCTCTTTTGAAGAATTCACCTATCCCCTTGGCTGCGACTTTTCTCACTTTTGCCGGCCTATCTCGATCTTCCAACGAGTCACTGACCATTTTCGTAAGGGATGACTCCGTGAATGGGTTGCTCTGACCCGGGCTGAAGAAGCTATTAATGGCTCTATTGTTGACAGGACCTTCCTCAAACCCAGTCACGTTGACAGATAGATTTGCACATGGCCATGCGCGTGCTTCTGCAACGACTTGATTTAACAAGTTATTCGAGAGATCATACAGAATATCCTCTGTAATCATCTTTCCGCCACGAATTGGCGATGTCTTTGAATGTACCTGCGAGCCTATCCGATGATGTAGACTAAGTGACTTTGGTCGACGCTTGTTTTCTAACAACCCATCTTCCACCAACCTGTTGTAAAGGTCTGCTGCGAATATTCGCAGCCATTTTCGTGCCTGGTCCGCCGAGTTGATGCTAGGACGAAAAGACTTGGCCGAGAGCATGGATTTGATCTGCGTCCTAGTGTTGACTTCGCTGTCATCAATCCCTCGAATGATATTGTACAGCCAAACGGCAGTGTCGTCGTCTAATTTAGCTTTGAACTGCTCGACAGATATATTCAACAGTTCCTTGACCTGTTCAGTTCCAAACTCGGCCCTAATCTGCTCTCCTAGCTTCCCTCCAAGCATCCGGATTCTAGTGAACTGGAATCCCCCTAAGAAGTTCTGGATGGCACGATTGCGAATGATTGTTTGCTTATTAGGTTTGTTCTGTGCGCTTCCCAGTTTGGACATCATTTTGTTGCGAGCGATACCAGCAGAGCACGTGTAACTCAATTTGTCCCAAATGGCAGAGCGGATTGACCGAATGATCTCGGCACCAATCAACATCGCAACATCGTCCCAGTCAGGATCATCTTCCTCAGTTTCCTGTTCGTCCAGATCAACTAAGCCGTCTTCTGAGGACCATTCCAGCGCTGTCGTCGGAGGCGAGGGTAGGCGAGTTGTTTTATCAGACGTCGAGTGCGGTTTTCTCAGCTCAGGATAGCGTTGGTACAGAATGGCATACACTAGTGATGATAGATCAATAAAGACCTCATCAATAGATGCCTTTTCAACTTTTGCACCCTGGAATTCCAACGGAACAACGTCCTTGGAATTAAGAATCTGATCCCTTTGTCGCGAAACTTCTTCCTTAATCGTACTCAGGATCTTACGTGATTGCGCTCGATACGGATCGAGGGATACCTTGTCTGTCTTGATTCTCTTCGAAGCATCATCACGGTAAGCCCATGTTCCCCCCTCACCTTCTCGGAAGGTCGCGACATGTTGCAGGACTAATTCTGGACATCTTTTCTTCGCCTCTGTAGCTGATAGCATGCGAGTAATTCCAAACGGACGTGCGGCATAATTAATTGCAATGAGTGATTCCCATTGTTGAACGGCTAGGGGTGTATCGCGCGGGGTTCCCAGGCGAACCATCTCACATTGGGCGTAGAAGGCATCGAGATCGATGTGAGCGATGACCCTGAGAGGGCTCGATGGAGAGTTTTGGCGAAGAAGATGAAGATGCCGGAAAGTATAGCGGGACGATTTTATTGAAGTACTCGGCGACGATTGAACAAATGCGGCTGGAGAGGGAGAGCGCGACATGCTTTGCAGGCGCCTTGCATTTTCATCTTATCTGGTTTATATTATACACATTTTCGTTTTGTCTGACAGTATAGAATCGTTAATCGTGTCGCGTTACGATCAAGTGTTCGAACTAACTTAACCCAAGAGCCACGCAATGAGCGATCACATGACTGTTAAAGCGGCGCCGCGCGCTATCTCCACCAAAGTGATTAGTACTCCATACGTAGTTAACTACCGCCTATATTGAATTCAAAGTTGTGTTCATGTCTCCCATCCTGGGGTTGAACAATCACGCCAACATATCATGACGCGTTGCGTGAAAATAGTCGCGAACACCACCTCACTTTCGTTAGCATCGACCTTACGACAATATTCATTTCCTGCTTTTCAATCCCGTTGGCGCCGAGGCGTCAGATCGGGGTCTTGCGCGCCCCTTGACCGTGAACCATCGCATCGAGTACAACTGAATCAAAGGTGTGGAGAATATCAGCCTGGAGGTTATCATCCTGTCATGATTGGGGACGTGCTACATGACCAATATCACATTGCAGACAAACTTGGATTTGGGGCTATTCGACGGTTTGGCTCGCCCTAGATACTCACCTGAAGCGATAGATTGTTGTCAAGATAGGTGTAGCAGACTCGCTTCCGCGTGAGACCAAAATCCTCAAGGCTTTGTCTAGTCCGCTTCCGTCGTCTCCACCTATGCATCCTGAATGTCGTTTAGTACCTGTCTTACTGGATGAGTTCAAATTGCAAGGTCCCAATGGAATACATACGTGCTATACGGTAACCCGTGCACAATGCAATCTCAGAGAGATCTCCTCAGCCGCCTGTTTTCGCTCGATATTGCTCGAGCAATATCATATAGACTTACACAGGCCGTCGCTTATACTCATTCACGAGGCTATGTTCATGGAGGTTTGCTATAACGATGACGATACTATCTAGGTTTCATGCAGGTAAATTGATACGAAATATTGCTGGTTTAGATATGCAATTACGCAACGTTTTGGTCAAACTCCCGTCAAGTTTTGATGACTTTTCCATCAACCAACTATATGAAAATAACGGCGAACCCGAGACAGTTCCTGTCAAGAGATGTGACGGAGAACCACTGTTTCTAGGAAAATATGCGGAGAAGTTCTCATTGGCCGATGCATATCCTCTTCTGAGTGACTTTGGTGAGGCGTTTTCACCGGCTCCGGAAGTTCGCCTCGGGCAAGACTGCCATACATCACCCTCGTTTCAAGCTCCAGAAGCCAAATTTGAATCGCAGAACCCGCTTACATATCCTTCAGACATCTGGGGCTTGGCTACTGCGATCTGGGAGCTCGTTGGAATGATGGCCATTTTTAGCACCGATTTTGTACATGAGGATGAGATAATCGCTCAGTATGTCCACGTACTTGGACCTATACCTTCCGAGTGGTAGCAGCGTTGGGAAGGACGGCCCCGATTTTTGAGGAGGATGGGTCCCCAACAGCGTCCTACAGTCGAAATAGATGGCCTCCGTTCCAGGAGTCATTTGAGCTTGGTGTGCGGAAATGGAGACAGAAAGTGTGCAGGCGAGATTGAGGAGGAGGAGGAGGAGGAGGAGGAGGAGGAGGAGGAGGAGAAAGCTGCATTTCTGGACTTGATCATCCGAATGCTCTCGTTCAGGCCGGAGGAGCACCCGAGTGCTGAAGAGGTACTGAAATCGGAGTGGATGATCAAATGGGTATTGCCTGATTACATGCGAAAGCAAAAATCAATCCTTGTAGCGCGCGTACCCCTTGAGAGCCGTGCGTCGGTAGTCATATCGAAGGATGAGCAAAAGAATGAGCACCAAAGTTGCCTGGAGACGAGCAGTTGATCCCTGGCTATCGCATAGACTAGGGCAGTTCAGCGCTGAATAGTACGTTGCGCGCGAACAATGAAAGTCTTCTCCCCTCCATTGTATCGTTTAGGAGATAACCAGAGGATAACTGACTGGATTCGGAGGGTAGGTCGGATACGAATTATCCTTTGGGCTATGTCCCGAGCATACAAGTACCGCTCTCTGAGTGGCAAGAAGGGGAGTTGAGACAGGAACCTTTCTCTGACTAACATAGTTACTCGAAGCTACACTTCTATGGCCTGAAGAACATCACATCATGCAAGCATTTACCTTGGTAAATTAGTATAGCAGCATAGCAGTATAGCCAATCACATTAGAGAGGTCCTGCACAACCTTGGGTTGCGAGTTCGGGCCGGACCGTGTCCCGTGACCTGGTGCTGGCCAGTGTCCGAGCTTGTTTGTTGTGTTTGTACAGAGTACCAAAGATTTATTGGAGTCAGTCTATAGGGCTACTTAGGGATGGCACCATTAGTTGGTAGAAAGCACTCACTTCGTGCCATTGGATGGTAGCGACCTCCGTGTGAAAAAGACCATACTTGATTAGTCATAGTGGCTTGTGCGTTGGCCACCTTAGACCTATGGCACTTAAGCATCTTGGCCCAAACAGCCTCATCGATGCCCAAAGCTACGCATTACGGCCCAACAACCAGCATCATCGTGTTGCCTGCTTGCCATCCCGACCGTGACCTTGACACACTTGCGTTTCTGTCCTCACAATCGCGCATCGGTCCGACCGTATGGAGCAGTACGGTGTTACTCCAGACTCTGATTTCCCCATCGTCAAGCAAGAGCCATCGAATAAGCTGCATTCAGGGAGCCGACATCAGCACTGTTTGCATCACAGTGGATGTAGAAGATTCTTATGTCGGAGAGGCGGGCGTCGATCGGTCTTTGTGCTTCAGCGGCGACTTGAAGTAGACTCGTGAGTCTTCAGCAAACAGAAATGATTAACGGACCATTCCAGATTTCTGCAGAAGTCCTTTCACGAGTCACCGTGACTGGATGGAAGATCCGTGGATCTGAGAAGCCAGAGATCTGGATAGGAGTGTTTCTTCATGCCTGGCAGTCGTCCGTCGGTCAGAAAGACTGGCGTAATGCTGACCAGGATAGAATATTGAATTCGACCGTAATAAAGGACCTGGATACATTGAAGTAATTATTCTGCCAGTACCTCCTAGTGAATCAACGGTGTAGTCGTGGCGCCAGCAAAGCAGCATGTGCGCGTCGTAGCCCAAAGCCAGCCCAACAACAGAGAAACAGCCAACCGGGCGGCGAATCCACAGCAGCCGCCCACAACCTTCGTGCCTTCCTAAAGATCCTTCGCCCCTCCCCTCCTTCCCTCGTTCCTTATCTTGATCTTCGCCGTCGACTTTCTTCCTCTCACTCTCTTTTCTTTTCTCCTCCTCTCCTCCTCTCCTCTTCCTTACTTACACTCCGGCCCTCTCTCATCGGCCATCACGTATCTCCATCAAAGGTGGAATAGAAAAGAGTTGCACTTGCCTTCCCTTGAAGGAGGAAAAACAGAAAAGAGGACAGAAGGAAGACCCAGCTTCTTTACTCCGCAGGATCATTACCCAGAAGGATTCCAGCCAGGAAAGTCTTTCGCTCTATCCGCACCACTGGGATATTCACTCAACACCTTGCTTCTTTATTTTTTTACTGTCTCGGTTAATGTGCCAGACTACAACAATTATTTAACCATCACTTGCTCGTGGACTTTCTCATTCGGACCTGTATTAGGCCAGATAATTTCCCTTGGTCTTTCGTCTTGCTGATAAGGCCTCTGTTTATCGCCCACTCTTCTCAAAAAGTCCTGGATTGAGCAATATCCATTGGATTTCCTGGATTCCCTGGATTTAATTGTCATTCAGACTGTGTGCGTGTCCATACGCTTGACTAGCCCGCGGATTATCTGATTGCCGGTTTTCTCTTCTGTTGCCATCGTTGTCAACGCTAGGATTGCCCACTGGACTTAGCCAGGATCAGACAACTCATTATTACTCACTTCCTGGATTATTGATCCCCGGGCGGAATACCAAGGATATATCATTGCCGTTGGCTTTTCTATTTCTCTATTTCTGAGTCTCCTTTTGGCCACCATGACTGGACGAGGTTTTGAGCGCCCGGAGCGCCACAATGAATACTTTATCCCGGGAGATGGGATCAGCCGAGAAGTCATCCAAGCCGATATCTGCAGATACCTGGGAAATGATGCTCTCGTAAAACCTGGAACACATCAAGTTCGTTGTCAACCCTAAAACACCTACGTAGATGGTATGTGTTGTCATAGAATTAAATACTGACAGTCTCGTGTAGGGCCGCTCAGGCTACTTAATACGAGCTTACCGGAATCTCACATCAGTATGTTCTTTCTTCCCCTCTTGGGCTCTCCTGGTCAATCGTGCTGACTCTGTTCGTCTACGCAGGAAATGATTGCCGACCTGAAAGCCGATTCTGCTCGTTGGGAACAAGAAGTGGAACGCCGGGCCAATATGGGTTATTCCAGAGGTACTTATGTTCAAGATGTACGTAGGTCCCGAAGCCCTAACGAGCTATCAGGGAGCTATGTTTCGCCAACCCACGAGCTCCGTTCACAGGGCGGCCCATCGCCACCATCGTATGCCGCAGCACCTGCTCCGTACGTCGACCCATACGCCCAACAATCGCAATATGGCGCACCGCAAGGTCAGCCATACGCCACACAATCTTATTCAACCTCACAGTCTCCTGGATATAACCAAAACCCTTATACTTCACCCCCACAGCAGAATCCTTATTCAGGCCCAGGTCAAGGCCAGCCCCCTATTTCGGCATCAGATGTTCATCAGCCTGCCTACACCTACAGTAGTACTCCCAGCTATGGATATGAAAGAGGAAATGCCGCGCCCCGCTATCCAGGAGCTGGTTATGATAATGATCCCGAGTACTCTCCTGTCACAACCGGTATGGGTTACCCTGCTGCCACCGCACCTGCGGATGCCCGTTTAGGAATGGATCCCAGATATACTCCAGAGGCTGCCTATGACCATAGGACAGGAGCCAGTCGGCCACAGCAGAACAGGGATCCTCACCGGAGGGCTCGGTAGATGAACGAGTTTGATGCTGGCAAAATTTGTTTCCTTTCACATTTATGGGAGCAGTCCCAATTCGCACCTAAAATATAGGATGTGCCATGCTTTTCCACGGATGTTTTGGACCTCTTGGATTCGATGAGCCGGTGGTGCGATATTTTCGATTGATCTTTCAGAAAAGGATGTTTTATAATGCGATTTCCTAGGAGGAAGGATGCATGGTGTCAATGGAGTCAAAATTGCTTTAGGGGTAGACCGGTGGAAGCTGTTGGGCTCGGTGATGTATGTATGAATCGCGTCTCAGGAGCTTTCCAACGGATGGGACTTGCCAGGAATAATGACGAAAATACGGCGGACTTGCAGCCATGATGAAGTTGGCTGTGAGTCACCTCTAATTGGACGATTGGATTACGAAAAGGCGGTGGTCTTTGTTGTTACATGTGATGATTATGCGTGGAGTTTCCTTTATCTTCCTGGGATTTTGTTGACCTTACCGCTGTTGTTGTACAGAAATTTGGTATTTGGTTTGGTTGAGCCCCTCGTTGAGAGCCGCCTTGCTTTCATCCGTCTAAAATATCCCTCGGTATGCCTGTGGGTTGCATCTGCCAGGAGCTTTGAAGACCTTTTGTTTCCGTGTTGCTTCATACGGGATCTACTGGGGTTTGATGTTGTAGATACATGCATTACAGGCGTTGAACTGTTTGATACATTACAATTGACACATTCTATCTGGCCACATCTTGACTTCCACCTCTCCATCTTTCGATAATTTCTAGTGTATATCTCATCTAACCCGAGCAAGGAAACTATTGTTGTGGTGTTCACCCGAAGTCGACTTCCTAAAATCAAAGTCACTTCATCTTCAATTATCACCCTGACTCTCATCTACTTAGGTTTTCGTTAATCCTCTGGTCTCTCTTTACATTTAATCTTTAACCTTCGCTCATCTATTCTCTCCACTTTCATCTAACCAGCCCCTGTATGCCCTCTCAAAATGGCCGGCGCAGCAGGTCAAGAAAACGACGAGGCTCCCTCAGAACTCCCTTCTTTCCACAACGGAGACGTTGTTATCGTCATCCACGCTGATGAAGTTTACCAATTGCACTCTGACGTCCTCCGCCGTTGCTCTCCCAACAACTTGAGACAGCTAGTGGCACCCGAACATGTGGCACAATTAGTTAAAGCAGCAGTGAACGGTGGCTGCTTTACGCGATACAGACTGGTCTTGGAGTCCTCTGAAAAGCATCCAAATGGAGTTTTTCCGCAGAAAGGTCTGTATATATTACGATTGCTCTTAAGGGGACTTACGTATCTGTTGGACTCGCGATATGCATATGTGTGAAACAGGAAATCGACAAATATGGCCGCATCGTTGCAGACAGAAACCAATCTATGCTTGCCAATGCCTACAGTACTGAATCACCTGCATATGTATTCGAGTCATGGAGGAACCTATTCTGCACATTTGACACCTTGGACCCTGACATCAGCGGATCTTCTCTTCAAACAGTTCTCGAGAAAGTTAGTCGCTTGATGGATACCGCAGACAGTGTCGGCGCCGCTGCAACAGTATGTGCCTATATTAATAATTCCCCGATGCGTCAGGATCAGCTACTATACGGCGCCCTTCTCCCACGCCCGATTCCTTGGGGGAATCAGACCATCAGAACTGAGTCTCAGTCCATACTCAAGGATGCCGTCATACATGTTGTTGGGAGATGAAACTCTCTGCCGAACAGCAAGAAGAAAAGCCACAATTCCGTGCTATTTGCAAAGCAGAAAGTAGCAGAGCTTTATAGAATCAAGGGTACAATCGAGATGCGCATCTCTGGGCATTATCCGCAGGTGCTTTGAAGGGACGAAGGCAAAGTGCGCGACCTCACGAGCTACGTATGTGAATGATATCTATGTGTGGATGGCAGTCAACGTCCGTCGCCAATGATTCTGCCAAGTCGTCGCTACTAATCGTCGTGATCGACACGGTCCCATGGCGGCACGGAGCTATACAGAGCCATTTATGAAGGTGGAGGTACATACCTAAATCCGCAGGACTATGTCAGTTTTCACAACACCCATGTCCAAAAGGCTCGCAGGATTGTATACGACAAAGTCCGCCAGATCAAGTTCGATGTGCGCAAATACGTCAAGTTTTGATGGTGAATGGGTCACAGCTTGATCTCAAGGACGATTTGCAAGCGGTTCACTTGCTGTGTACGGAAGTGATGGGTTGGGATCTTCCGTGGAACATGACTGATGTTGGAAAGCCGGTGCCTCCTGACTTGGAAGATGATGACGAGGAGGTAACAAAGGGGGCTTCCTCAGAGTGCTGATACTATCTTTGGTTCTCAAATTCATCGACCAGATGATCCGAAGATCTTCTCCGGAGGTTCACCCAGCTGAAGGGTGAGCTTATGAGCCTTGCTAAATTTTGAAAATTCTCCGCAAAGGCCGGTTAGATGAGGCATAACCCCAAGTTCCTATCGGGCTTCTGACTTGCTTTGCCAGTTTATACGCTAATTTTTAGCAACTTATACTTAGCTTACACTTCGATAATGGCAATTTATTGCATCACTTCAACACAGGAAAATAGGTTGTATGCTTCGAGTCCATCCACTTCTATATGTACAATATCAACTCCACCAATTTGAGAATACCGATAATGAAATGTTTCAAATTATGTGAAACTCGTTTGCTGTCCGGTAACCACTGGGGAAGTTGTTCGCTCTTTGGCTGCCTTCCTCTCAATTCCCAGACAATATCAAAACACAGTCAAATTTGGCCAGTAAAGACCGGTGGTTCGGCCTAACACTAGTGAATCCATATCACAGGCGTAAATATATCTACTCGTCGTCGAAGCCTTGAGGGATCACACGAGGACCCTTAGGAACTATATTTAAGAATGAAATTAGCTCGTGTCAACCTCAGAATCAAAGCGGTTCGGGTACAAACTTGGATACGAAAGCGGAATCGTCTCAGGATCAACGTCACCAAAGTAGCGGCGGATGGGCGGTACGACAGCGAGAGAGACAGGGCCGAAGGAACCGAGAACAATTGAGTAGAAAATGGCAGGCTTTTCGTGTGAGGCCCAGCGAAGGTATCGCAATGGCGTTGACCAGAAGTGAGGGGCCGACATGATTGCGGAAGTTCTTCGGATGTGTGGGAAGGCAAGACGTAAGATGGTGGTCAAGGAGTGACCCAATTGCAGATGTTTTTATATGGTGCGAAAATATAGTGCACAGTTTTCGACCGTAGAGGCTGACGCACTGAGAGCGATTGGAGCAAGAGAGAAATGGTCGTGGCGCTAAAGATTCATTGAACTGAGGTATCAAAGATGAGGTTATCACAAACCCGCTAACTCTAACAGGTGGAGCACCTCAAGTCTTGGCACTCCGGAGCAACACGTCGCCCGATCTACAATTCCATGCTATTATCTGTCTTGTTCAACATTCATTCTTTCGGTGTTGTCTTCAATTGTTGTCGCTTCAGTTCGGATATTTTTCTAGATATCAAGTCGACTGTCCAACCCGCCTTGAGCGGAGACCTATTACAAGATGAGGTCGTTTCTTTCTTTTCTACTACTTGGCTTCTGGGGAGCTTGCGTACATGCATTGAGTAGCTCGGGATCCCGCTTGCTCGTCGTTTTGGAAGAAGACAAGAACTTATATTCGAATTTATGGGCTGATTTAGAAGGTATCTAGTCATTCTAACGTTTCATTTTATCCTGAATACAAGAAAAACAAAGAATGGTGTGGCTAACCACTTTCTGCGTAGACCGCGGCTACGACATCACTTTCGAATCTCCCAAAAGCGACAAGTTGTCGTTATTTGCACATGGAGAGAAAGCATACGACCACCTTATTCTCCTTCCATCCAAGTCGAAAGGTCAGTGCCGTACTTGATGTCACAATCCACAGACAATTGCCGATTATAACTTGCTATCAGGTCTTGGTCCTGCATTGACCCCCAAGCTTCTGCTCGACTTCGTCAACAACGAGGGCAATGTTCTTCTCGCCCTTTCCGGAAAGTCTACTACTCCTAGCTCCATCAACTCTCTCCTCCTTGAGCTAGATCTGCATATCTCGCCTGACCGTTCGTCAATTGTGATCGATCATTTTAACTACGATACTATTTCTGCGTCCGAAAAGCATGATGTTCTTCTTCTACCTCTGCCTGATCCCGTGAGGTCAGATGTAAAATCATTTTTCTCCGGTGAAGGTGTACTAGCTTTCCCCCGCCCGGTGGGACAGTCTCTTGGAAACGCCAGCCCGCTCCTTACACCTATCGTACGAGCCCCCGAAACAGCTTATAGCTACAACACCAAGGAGGACTCTCTTTCCGTCGAGGATAGCTTTGCGACTGGCTCGCAATTGGCGTTGGTATCGGCACTACAAGCGAGGAACTCTGCTCGTTTCACTGTTCTCGGATCTGCAGAGGCTCTGGAAGACAAATGGTTTTCTGCGTCTGTCAAGGCTCCGAAATCCAAGTCGGCAGTTACAACTGCAAATCGGCAATTTGCCAAGCAGCTCACTGCTTGGACATTCCAGGAGCTTGGCGTTTTGAAGGTTGGCAAGATTGAGCATTATCTCAGTGATGAATTTGGAAACATTGAAGGCGCGGTGAACCCGAAGATTTATCGCATTAAGAACGACGTGGTAGGTTAATCTTCTCGGGCAATGAACCTTGTCAAGACATAACTAATGGTCGAAATAGACATTTGATATTGAAGTTTCTGAGTATGAGTTCGATAAGTGGATTCCATACAAGGTTCCCGCCAACGACGAACTCCAACTTGAGTTCACCATGCTATCTCCCTGGCACAGACTTAAGCTCTTGCCCAAATCCAGCACTCTGAACAGTACCGTCTTTGGCGTCACTTTCACCACTCCCGACCAACACGGCATTTTCTCATTCCGAGTAAACTACAACCGCCCATTCCTGACCAACATCGAAGAGAAGCATGAGGTTACTGTCCGCCACTTTGCGCACGACGAGTACCCACGAAGCTGGCAGATCACTGGTGGATGGGTATGGATTGCGGGACTTTGGTCTGTTATTGGGGGTTTCATTGCATTTGTGCTAGTATGGCTCTATTCGGCCCCGGTGCTGAGCGCAGAAGCGAAGGTTCAGAAGATCAAATAAAGATTTCGAATTATATCTTATATACAAAAGAAGTTTGATGTGGGTTATAACGAGGGAAATTGAATTCCTTGATGGATGGCCAGTATTGTACCACGCTTTTTTGAGATATCATGAATTGAATGTATATTACACTGCAACATGAATGCTATTCATTTTTATCGTACATACTCCATTGTCTTCAAGGACAATTCGAATCAAGGCCTGGAAACTGTTCAGTGATTCAGAGTAGAGTTATGAACATAGATATCATTACATCCGAAATCAAAATACTATACAACAGAGATAGCATAAAATACACATCAAAAAGCAGAAACTCCAGCCCATGCAAATATGTCAAACAAGTAGCTGCGCAAAGAAAAGTCTTCATCCGAAAGATTATGCATTTATAAGCCCCGCGTCTTCTCAGGATCCATCTGGACCTCATCACCACTAATTTCCTTGACAGACGTGAACGCCGGTTTGCCTGCATACAACTGCTGTGGTACCTGTGTCGACTTTCCTCCTTCGATTTCTCTGGACACGGAGATGGGCGCATTGCCGCGAAAACGTTTGCGCATGTCGACTAGACCACGTCTATTGCACCAAATCAATTAGCATGTGTGCGAATCGAGATGGAGAGGAGGGAGAAACGTACTTGCAATCCGCGAGCGCTTTGCTTAATTGTTGACATCGAACTGGTAGTTCATCTGACAAGGGCTGTTTGAGGCAGTCATTTGGTGAATTCCGTTGTACCATTATACAGTCTGATTCTTGGAGACATTGCGCCAGCGCTGCTCCTGTAGTAGGATCAAAAGGTTAGCAATAATTTCTGGATTTCAAAGCAGGATGCTTTATGCTTTATCGGTTTTGTTGGAAATAGTTGAAAAATTGTTTGTAAACTCACGGATATCTCTGCAGGAACTCGGCATCTTGCTCAGTTGGAATATAGTCCAGTAGAACAAGGGCTGACTTGTCGTCGTAGTTCTTCATCAACTGATCGTGGAGAACTCCGGAGCGGCGGAGATGAGATTTAAAGAACGACCTTACCAAAATCGGATTAGCCTAACTGACATTCAACTGCATGTCTGATTGGTCATCGTCAAAACATCTACATCGATTTTATTTCTGTCGAAAATAAGCTTCATGCTATCATCAGAAGCAGAGGGTCAGAGGCCATGTATTAGTAATTAATTCTTGATCTCGGTGGACTATCTAGGAAAGGTGTACAACTAGCGATATCAAGCTCTATACTTGAGCTGACCATGACAGGAAGAATAGGTATTTACAGAGCCAGAACTGGTTACATGAGAAGTTGCATATTTGCAAAGTTCGGTGTCCCAAGCCCAGTCACATGGTCCCAACCATGTGCAGCCGGGAAGCCATTGGTGTTGCATCCAGGATTGCTTCCAGAGGTTATGTCGCTCAGCACGCCGCTTTCGAGATAGAGCCATGGATCCAAGAAACCCAGCGGCACAAGTCGCTGAGAGTTGAGGAGCGCAATGGTTGAAGCGAAAATTGGTGCAGAGGGACTGTCATCTGAGTTAGCTATCATCTAAGTGAGCAAGAAGGTCCATCATACCTAGTGCCATCAACCAGAACCGGGCTTCCCTGGAATTCTATAACAATTCTCTCTCCCTGTGCAGCAACATCCGGATATCCGCGGCCGCTAGCATTGAAGCGACTGTTATATTGAGATTGGATACCAGCCAGATACCCATCAACCGCTAATTCCTGGTAGAAGGGGCGGGTGAAGATATTCGAGAATCCACCAGCAGAGAGCGCCGCTCCAATTTCTGGGACTCCCGCAGTGGCACCGACAGTAGTGACATAAGGGCAGGAAGCAGGAAATGTCGGGATGAATGCATTGCAGGAACTGCTTGGTCTGATTCCGGCAACTCCGCCATCACCACTAGCAACGATAACGGAGATACCACGAGCACCAAGTTGAGCAAATGCATTGCACATACTGTTCGCAGCGCTGGATGATAACGCGTTCTCGTTGAATCCATAAGACAGGGATAAGACACTTGGCGGCTTTGCTTGGTTGACAATATACGATATGACATCGAGGAAACCTGTTACGGTGGATAGGCCCGACGAGATGAACGTGGTCTGAATCTCATTGGCCAGGCCAACGGTATACTGTATATCGAGGTTGGCTTCGACACCTGGCTTGCTTTGGTCATTCAATCCTCTGTCGACAGACTCTACTGTGAACGAAGGAGGAGGATTCAGATCGGGCCGAAACGTCTTCAGAAAGAGACCCAAGTCGTACTCATTCAAAAATCCCGGGACTACAATCCCAGCACCTGGACTGCTTGAGCTCGCTGTGGGCAGACCATATAGAGATTGGAGACATGCTGGAGTGATTTGTGTGTTGCAGGGAGATGGGGTGCTTTCGTTACTTAAAGAGGAGAGGTTACTGAGATCTGGTCCGTAAGCCTGAATCTGGGGGCCTTGCACTTCTGTGAAGTCGGTTGTCGGTTGGATTGTCTCGATGAAGCCGGCAAGCGGTTTGGGAATGGAGTACTGAAGCGTTAGGGTTCTAATTTCGCCCGTTGTGGTACTCTTATAATCATAGAACTTGGTCTGCAACAAGTTCTCGGCGTGCTCAACTGTCATTTGCAAGGCTAACCAGTTTCCGTTGTCTTGGATCGCGTTGGTATGCAGTTTTTGGCCAGTGAGCCATGAAGTAACGGAGTCAGAGGCAGCAGAAGAAGGGGCTATCAGCTCTTTGAGTTGTTCTGCTGACATAAACTTTCCATAAGTTGCATGTCCTGGGGTTGAGAGGCCGAGCACGGTATTTAGCCAGTTGTCTCTGTTTGCTGGAACTAAAGAGAGACGCAAGTTGAGCACCTGTGTAGGAGATGCTGGAGACAGTTCCTCCCACCCGCTTGGGACTGAGTCAAAGCCTTCTACTGTTGCATAGCTCGTAGAGGGTGCTGCAAGGGTAAAAAATGGAAGACTCAGGTTGGAAAGGACGAAAAGTGCCAACGGCACAAGAACAGATCTAACCATTGTTTAGGGAAACTGTGGTAATGAATTTTGAAAGTGTTCTTTCCTCGCTCCGATTGAAAGAACCGGAGCAAAGAGAGGACCCGAGGAGCTTGAGGAAATTGCCTTCTTATATGTGCCTTCCAGTGGTTCAAGCAGGAGTCGTCACCACCGATCTTCTGCCCAGGCGATGAGTGAAGTCCTAAAAAGAATATAGACGAACCAACATTCGCAAAAAATCCACAACCGATCTCACACTCATCTTAGCCTCTACTAGATCGAGCACAAATGAAGATAAAGAAAGACAAGGAACAGCTATAGCTCTGATGCGCAAGCCACGATCCACCAAATCTGGGTCTCAAGGCAGCGCAACTGCTCACAGAAGGTGCCATCACGTCATACTAGTTACGTATTGAGATGTGGTTGTTCTTGAGATTCACTCTGCGTCGAAGCCACAAGCCAACCTGAAAAAGTTTTTCTCTAGTCGTGGACGTAATTAAGTAACGAGATCCAGGGTCCAGGCACGGGACCAACAGCCTCCTTAGCCTGAATTAGGGCTAACTCGGCATGATCGACAAGAATTACCGCAGATATCACGAGTCCATGAGCAAACACCGCGTGAGGAAAGATTTGATACGTAGTATTTGCCATTTTCGTCATTAGCGAGTAGATCTTCTATCTTGGTCTGGTTTAAACTTTAGGTGCATCACTGTTTTCAATGTTGGAGAGACATGCCCGATCTCGTTAATACGTGCGTAGTATCGCCAGTGCGAGATCGACCGAGACGGAGCTAAATCTTTGACAGAAATTAGGCGCTCATTCTACGTACGTACCTATCTTACCATCATCAAGGACTCGGAAATAAATAGATCGTTGGGTAGGCTTAGTTCTAGGTACTGTCATCTGCCCAGACTGATAGGTACATGTACAACCAGGAAGAGTATAATCAAGGTCGCTCTGACAATGAGACCACACAAGTCGCCTCTTATTCAATTCGTTCGGTTATTAGAACTTTAGAAGACCCATATGGAGTCAAATCATTCCAACTATCAACATTGTGCTTCTTTTCTGTATGCACGGTTAGTCACGTGCCCGCGATGCCCTAGCTACCATTGAAGTCCAAGGACAGTTACATCCATCCAACGCAGAGTTTGAAATTACTGCATAAGGGGATTCCCCCACTTTCCTCTCAATCCTTTTTCAGCTGATATCCAGGTATGTCATATTGCAAATCAATCTTTGAAGTGTCAGTAGGGTTAGGGTTGTACTGACCCCTGAACGTGAGACGGATGTTCTTTTATCCGTAGCGGCAGCCTAGCGCAATCACATGCAAGTTACATCATGCCAGCTCTTTGATACGTCAATCTTGATGTTCTCGAGGTTGATGCTTCATACAACAAATGTCTTGAATTCTTTTCAGCTTCTTACAGCAGATAATTTAGCCGAAGCTTCAGCTTGCAATGCCTCGTGTCCCATTTCTTGGGAGGCTTGCTTGGTAAGAAAGCCCATGTGTGACTGGCCACTGTCGCTAAGCATTCACTATTGAAGAATCAACTGTTTGCCTTAGATTCTGGCCAAAGGAAATAGCTCCAACTGTTCATTTACTTATCAATACCTGACCAGGGCCGAGTACCTCGCTCTCTTCGCTTCGTTATCGTTGGTGTTTGTGGAAGGATTCTTGAGACTGATCACATTATGCCTGCGTACGTTTTGTGCTTCCTCCTACTTGAATTATTCATTACTAATATGGCTGTAATGCAGCCGACCCTGTAATCCGATTTTGTTACGAACAGTCCAAAGCACTGTTCAATGCTCTTACTTCAACTCAGACTAGGGCTTCACGCGCAAAAACAAGAAGCCTAGCGGAATCAATCGCACAGGCAGTCGACTTTGCGGACTTGTGTTCCATATACGGATACGAAGCTGAGGAGCATATTGTTCAAACGAGAGATGGTTACCTCCTCGGTCTTCACCGGTTACCATATCGTCGCGGCGAAGAAGCAGACTATGTCAATGCTGGGGAAGCGGGCGTGCGCAAAAAAGTTGTGTATCTCCACCACGGTCTGCTCATGAACAGCGAGGTCTGGGTATGCTTGACTGATGAACAACGATGTTTACCTTTCCAGCTCGTTGAGCGAGGCTATGATGTGTGGCTGGGTAATAATCGCGGCAACAAATACTCCAAAAAGTCAACGAGAAATTCACCTGCTACAACTGACTTTTGGGACTTTTCCATTGACGAGTTTGCCTTTCATGATATTCCGGACAGTATCGAGTACATTCTTGAAGTCACCAAGCAGCCGTCTCTATCATATATAGGATTCTCGCAGGGGACCGCCCAGGCATTTGCGGCGCTCTCCATCCATCCAACCCTTAACCAGAAACTGGACGTCTTCGTCGCTCTAGCACCTGCTATGTCTCCAGCGGGCCTGTACAATGGCATTGTCGATGCGCTAATGAAAGCTTCGCCACAAGTAGTATTTCTTGCTTTCGGGCGCCGAAGTATTCTCAGCTCTACGGCCATGTGGCAAGCGATTCTTTACCCGCCAATCTTCGTGCGAATCATCGATATTTCACTAAGGACGCTCTTCAATTGGACCGGCGAGAATATATCGCAACACCAGAAATTAGCAGCTTACCCTCATCTGTACTCGTTCACCAGTACGAAGTCTGTCGTTCATTGGTTCCAAATCATTCGCAACAAGGCCTTTCAGATGTATGATGATGAAGTAGGCGGGCCATTAGCGGTGGGTAACAACAGTCGGTACTATAAGCCGGTCAGATATCCTACAAGAAATATCCGGTCACCCATCGTATTGATCTATGGCGGGAGCGATAGTCTTGTGGATATTGGAGTCATGCTCCGTGAACTGCCACGGCGGACTACAGTCAGAGAAATTCCCAAATACGAGCATTTAGATTTCCTCTGGGCATCGGACGTGAACGAACTGGTTTTCAACCATGTCTACGACGCACTGGAACGATACGCTCACGGTCAGTCCACGGTGGAAATCCCGTTGCAGATTACAGGCCCTGAAACTGATTCCAATGGGGACGATCAATTCTCATTACGGCCTGTCAAGGAAGATATTACACTGAGGGAATCGCCGAGGCGGCACTTACGCACAGACTCCATGAACTCAAACAAAGGTCGCTTTTCACCAAATACCTTGACATACGGGGACGAGGATTGGCGAATTGATCCGAGTAAGGCGCCGGAAGATGTTGATCTTGACACGCTGACTTGATGCTTTATGCCTCTCATACTCTCAAAGGGGAAAACTAGCACTGTACTTGTAAGAAAGCGATATTGCAGTTATCTTAAATTTGATACCCATATCCATATGCCAATTGTTTCTCAGATAATGTACATATATAGACCCAGGGCTACATAACTATTCATATAAAATGAAGTGCTCGATCGTTGCTGCTTCCTAAGCCATTTCATGTCAAAAGGCTCCATGTCCTGTTAATGCTTATGAACACTCCGATACTTGCTCGACGTCGTCCCTTCTCTTCCATTCGGCTGATGAGGCGCATGAGGATGATCAGGCGGATGTCTAGCTGCGGCACGATTCGGCGGACTCGGACCTCGTTCCTCAGCGAGTTTTTGCGCTTCTTCTCTGCGGACGGTATTCTCGAAGTCGTCGATTGGACGATCGTCGTCTAGGACACGGCCAAAGGCTTTCTTGGGCACCGGGTGGGATTCGATGGGTTTGGAAGGAAGAACGTGAGAGTCTTTCGGCATTGTGTTTGACGCGTCTGCTGATTTTCGCGAGGGTTCGTTGGTTTTTGTTTCGCCGGGTAATTGTAGATTTCTTTGGCAAGAAAGTTGTGATGTCCATGATTATACCCTAGGTGGTAGTCCTTGTTGAAGCTGATGGCAAACCTAATGTGATCACATCATGATGCAACCTGTACCATATGGAATCATGACCACACATAAAATACAATGATGCTGCCAAGTACTTGCTTCTACAACTTGGTACTGCTATACTGCTGGATCCAAGAGAAACCTTGGTAGGAATAAGGAGTGAGCAGCCCTAAGCCCTAACTCAGTATCGATATCACTCGAAGGCCCATAGATAGAAACGGATGACCATAATATTGGAAACCTGGAGAAGACTATACCAACTATATTATAAATCCCTTAATTCCGGCGCACTGAGCACGAAGCATCTTTTGGCCGTATCAGGGCATAGAAGTCAAATGCATTACCCGATTTGGACTACGAGATAGGCTTACATTCCAGAGGATCGTGCAGTCGGTTGCAATTGACGAATGAAATTGCAGTATTCAGCACGTGCTGGAGTGATCATATTTGATGTTGACTCCCTACATGACTGCGATCTTTTTTATTTTCACGGCGGAGTGTATATAGCTAGTGGAAAAAGCCAAAAAAAATATGAAGAATGACGATGCGAAGCCTCAACGCTAAGGCAGCCAACCAGGCTAAGTTTTGACTTTTCTTGACGCCACTGCTGCTTCCTTCCTTCTCATTCGCTCGTCTCACCATCTGAACTCATCTTTTCTTCTCTTTTTCTTTTTCTTGTTCTTTTTCTTTTTCACTTTGGATGCAGTAATAGTCTCTTTATTTTGAGATTGTTGCGGTTGATCATGAACCTGGAAATACGGCTCCACGATGAAGTTCGCCAAGTACGTTCTGCTCTTCCCGGATGGCATACATACATACCGGATCAACCCGCTTCATTGCTTGCTTTTTTGTGTCCTACCTACAGTGCATTACTTGCAGCTAACACATTCTCAATTGCAGAGAGCTTAACGATGAATTGGTTCCGGAATGGCGAGCCAAATATCTGAATTATAAGGCAAGTTTACAACCTTGTGCTGTAAGAGATTATACACTGACATTATATCTAGCTCGGAAAAAAGAAGATAAAAGCAATTCAAAGAGCACTGCAAAAAGCAAATCGCACTCCAATCCGACGCCACGACACCTTTGCAGGAACTCCATCTCAGCGGCTTCCTCCCAATGCTTCCACATCCGTCGCTCAATTTCCCTTAGATTATAATGGATCGCCTTCTCGTAGAGATATACCCGAGCAGCGCCCGCTCAAGACTCCAGGGTCACGGTTTTCGAATGTCGTAGGAAGTTATGGCAGTATAGTTTCTGAACCCGAACAGTATGATTCCAAGCATCTCCCCAACCTCGAACTCCCCTCACCTGCGATTGGACTTGATCGCACGGCAAAGAAGAACAAAGCGCTGCAACTGGGCCCACCAGCTTATGAGTCGACATCGCCGCAGATTCAACGGACGCCGGGCCGCCCTCAACGACTTGCTTCATCTCCAGCTATTATAAGAAATGGGACACCGCCATCTGGCAGGGTTTATGGAGGCGGGAGCGATGGATATTCGAAGACGGCAAATTTCCTCAGAAGGGTGTTCACAAACAGCGACATGGATTCACCGGGAAAGAGTTACCAGACCAACATATCAAGCGAAGTGACGAAGAAAGAAGACGATTTCTTTGATTTCCTGGATTCTGAATTAGATAAGATAGAAACATTCTACAGACAGAAAGAGGTGGAAGCGACAGAGCGTCTGCAGGCACTTCGGCGGCAACTGCATATCATGAGGGATCAACGAACAACGGAAATGCTAGATGCGCAGCGACCAAAGTCTACGCAGGAGGGCGGAAATCAGAACGGCAACTATCTCAGCGTATTCCCCAAAACGAAGTGGACTCAGGCTATTGCCGGTAAGCATTATTTTGGAAAGAATTCACGTGCTCTGGCCGATATGCAGACGCCCAAAACGCCGGGACCCATGGGCCAGGACCTTTCGGGGGATTGGCGCGACTTTGTGCGAAGACCAGAAGCTGCTAATGTACCCTATCGGACAGCAAAGAGGAAGCTTAAGTTGGCTATGCAGGAATACTATCGTGGTCTGGAATTGTTAAAAGCGTATGCGTATCTTAACCGCAAAGCATTTCGAAAGATCAATAAGAAATTCGACAAAACTGTTGATATGCGACCTACACTGCGTTATATGTCCGAGAAAGTTAATAGAGCTTATTTTGTGCAGAGTGAGATTGTCGAAGGGCACATGGTGGTGGTTGAAGATCTCTACGCTCGCTATTTTGAGAAGGGAAATCGCAAGATCGCCGTTACTAAACTTCGCGGAAAGCGTCGTTCAGACGACCATTCACCAAGCACTTTCAGAGTAGGCTTGTTCCTTGCTGCTGGACTTGTCAGTTGCATTCAGGGCTTGATCTTGGCCATTGGCTTGTTGAATGGTACAGATAGCACTGTCCGAGTGCAGACTTCCTACCTACTTCAGGTACATTGTCAACTCGTATTTCCATACTTGCGCAAATACTGACTCTAGACAGATTTATGGAGGGTATTTCTTAGTCGTTTTTCACTGCATATTATTTTGTTTGGATTGTATGATTTGGGTTCGGGCAAAGATAAATTATGGTTTCGTTTTCGAATACGACAGTCGCCACACACTGGATTGGCGTCAACTGGCTGAGGTACATCCATAACCATTTGGATCTTGTTCGATTGCTAACAGTAATAGATACCCTCTGTTTTCTTTCTTTTGCTTGGACTTTTCATGTGGGTCAACTTTTCATGGGTTGACACCATGTTCTTGTATTATCCGGTGATATTAATTTTCATCACTGTCGTGATGCTCTTTCTACCTCTCAAAATATTCTATCATCACAGTCGAGTTTGGTGGGCCGTTTCCAATGTACGTTTCTATCCCGCTTGGCTCGATTTTCATTGCAAGCTGACATCAGATAGTGGCGTCTCCTACTTGCCGGCCTTTACCCTGTCGAGTTTCGAGATTTCTTCCTGGGCGATATGTATTGTTCCCAGACATACGCGATGGGTGTGAGTCATATCTCTCTCCGATACCTATCTTTGAGACAATTCAACTGATATTTTTATAGAATATTGAGCTCTTCTTTTGTCTTTATGCAAATTACTGGAATAATCCACCGACTTGCAACTCGAGCCATTCCAGACTGTTGGGCTTCCTCACCACATTGCCGTCAATATGGCGTGGACTTCAATGCCTACGGCGATACCGCGACACCAAGAATGTCTTTCCTCATCTCGTCAATTTCGGCAAATATACCTGCGGCATTCTGTACTATATGACACTCAGTTTATTCCGCATTGATCGTGATATTCGATACCAGATCCTTTTCATCGTCTTCGCCTTTATCAACGCGGTATATTGCTCAATTTGGGACGTAGCTATGGACTGGAGTTTGGCAAATTTCTATGCACCGCATAAAATGCTACGTGAAGTTCTTGCTTTTCGCAAAGCATGGTTTTACTATGCGGCAATTGTGGTCGACGTGGTTGTCCGGTTTAATTGGATATTTTATGCCATTTTCACCCACGACATTCAGCATTCGGCTTTTCTCAGTTTTGCCGTTAGTCTCAGCGAGGTGTTTAGAAGAGGGGTCTGGTCGATCTTTCGAGTAGAGAACGAGCATTGCACTAATGTCAATCTGTTCCGCGCTCTACGGGACATTCCCTTGCCTTATCAAGTGGAGGAAAACACGGTGGCTGAGGATGTCGCTGGCCACCCATCGCCTGTGCAGACAAGGGACTCGGAGATGGAGCGAGAAGAAGAGGAAGTACGCGTTGGAGAGCATCCGACCGATCCAACTCCTCATACACCTGCTTTTGTCGCTAATGATGTCGATCTCGAGTCAGCATCAATTGCAGGGAAATCTCCGTTGACACTACGTGCTCGCCGGCCAACTATAGCTCACGCGATGTCTCGATTCGGTAACATGGTAGCAACAGCTCATACTCACGATTTCCAACGGCGGCGTCGGGTCGATCCTCTATCAGGAGAGACTGCAAACGCCGGGTTACAGTATATGGATGATAATTCGACTGACGAAGATGACGACGAAGATGATGACGATGATGGAAGAGACGCTGAATCGAATACCAATGGTGCTGCTGCCTACTCAGATGTTGATTTGCCCAGCCAAAGGACTAATCACAGCAGGAGTGGTTGATACAGCTTTCGGGGTGTGTAATGACTTGCTTGATGCTTTCGGTTACAACTTTACTTATACTTGCATATATATGATGTATCTATCAACTGGTACTATGTATATGATTTAGGGAATACATTTTAAACACAAGTTCGGACTTTCATGATACTTCTAACCCTAAATAACCCTCCCATCTAATATTACCCGATTGGAAAAGTCCCGAGGCTGAGCGCATGACCTCACGAGTAGTAATCCGCGGCGCGACCCACGTGACTGGCGCCACTCGTTCTGTTAATGAAACTCTAGAAACGTTTCGAACGATCCAGTCAGGCTACACACTTCCCTTCCCATCATTTTATCCTTGGGCATGATATCCATCACCAGATCCTGTCTTTAATATTTTCTAGATCAAGACAATCTTGACTGGAAGTAAAGCATGGCTGCGAATACTCGCTACCAACCCGCTCCTCAGCGCGACTCGTTTGAGGAAGCTCAGTACGCTCAGCCCCCACCTTCATATGATGCTACTGCGGAAACACCGCGATCTGAGGATGATAATGTTCCTGATGACTTCAAGGTATGTCTTGACCTTTTGTGATTGTTGGTAACGGACAATGCTAATGACTTGAAGTTTGGAGGAACTGTCGCGGAGGGAACGCTTCCCATCCGGATGCAGTTTATTCGAAAGGTGTATTCTATCTTGTAAGTGTTACTTGATGAAATTGATGACGATCATATCTCTAACTTTGATACTTCCCTAGAACTGTACAAATCCTCTTAACCACGGTCCTCAGCTCAGTTTCTTTCTTCAGCGACTCCTACAGGCAGTGGATCCAATCCCACTTCTGGCTCATGATCGTTTCCCTCGTTGGCGCAATCGCATTCATGTTACTCACCTACTGGAAACGCAAATCGTACCCTACAAATCTTCTCTTTCTCTCCGGATTCACGGCCCTAGAAGCATACTCCATCAGCGTCGTGACCTCATTCTACGATGCTCGTATCGTCGTTCAAGCCCTCGTCATCACACTCGGCATCTTTGTCGCCTTGACTATCTTCGCATGCCAGACGAAATATGATTTCACGCACTGGATGCCCTATCTTTTTGGTGGATTGTGGCTGCTCATCATCTTCGGGTTCATGGCTGCTTTCTTCCCGTATAATAGCGGCGTGGAGCTCGTTTATGGTGGTGTTGCTGCGCTTATATTCTCAGGATATGTCCTCGTCGATACGCAGTTGATTATGCGTCATTATCACGTTGAGGAAGAGATTGCCGCTTCCATTTCGTTGTATTTGGATATTATCAATTTGTTCTTGAGTATTCTGCGGATTCTCAACTCTCAGAACAATAACTAAGCCGATTCAGTGCATTGCTATCAGGGAGATTACGATCTCTGCACTGAACACATATACAGATACATAATAACACCTCAGGTCTTGTGCTTTTTTCATAACAATTGATCGCGCTTGTTTTTTATGCTCGAGTTGCGATAAATGAGCAGTTCGTGTTTTGAGTTACTTCGTTACCTGCCCGCATGGCTTATACAGAATATGTGTATATCTGCGTTTCCTATTCTTTCTATAGGCATATCTAGTTATGAATGAAATAGCGTTCAATCAATTCGACAGGCCTGAATCATTCCCATACAAGTCAGTCAAGTAAATTCTTAGCAATATGTTAAATGAAATACTGGCTTGATTATGTACATTGAAGCGCCCCCTTTTTCCAAGAAAGAAAACAAAAAGAGAAGGGGCTGGTATGGTCGAAGTTCGTTTAATTCATCAGGAAAAGAGCAAAACAGCAAAGAAAGGAGCAAAAGAAAGCTAAACGCTCATAGACACCTAACTTACAATGGCCAAAAGCTATGTTATGTCCCAATGTATGAACTCGCCGTATGGCACAATTTATATCACTTTATCAGAAACAGAAAGAGTCGGCTTTATTTAGATGCATGGAAGAATATGTTCATGCTGAGACAGACCACCATGACCACAATTCCATATACGGAAAGCGCAAGACTGAGTCGTCGTAGCAGGGTCTTTTTCAATCGACTTCCGGGTAGAATGCCGCTTGACGAGAGTATGCCACTTCCACTTAACAATAGACTGTTTTGTTGCTGCTCGTCTCCGGAGACCTCGCCATCGGAAACGACGTCGTCGTTTGCCTCATCATCTTCTTTCATTAGTTGTTGATGGGCTGTTGAATCCGGGGAGGATATTTTGTAGTAGAAAAGACCCGGGAGGATGAAGCTGATGCTGGTGCTTCCTGTACTACCGACGTAGGCAAGCACGGCTTCAAGTGAAGTCACAGTCATAGCTGTGATGAAACTCAGCACAATAATAGCTGAAGTAATGGATGCAAAGCGAAGGTCGCTCATAGGCTCAGGACCGCGGTTTGCCCTAGGTAAAAGAGGGAATCTATGAGGTGAAACGTCGTGGCCGTTGCTTACTCGCGCTGGTCGCCATTTCAGTACGGCATCCACCGATGCTCGACAAGGGTGTACTTGAAGCGGGTACGAGAACATGACGAGAACGACGATTGCGGCTCGGCCGATAGTAGCGGATACTGATGCAGGATACATGCCGACAATGTTTCCGCCTATGTTGTTTCCGAATGATAGGTAGCCCGTAATGGCTACGAGGATATATATCGAAGCGGCACCGCCGATGCTTGCAAAGACAACGCTCGTGGTCTGGAAATGGCCATTATCACGGATTTCGTTCAAAATTGAAAACATCTAGTGCAAGTCAGCATATCACGTCCGTCCAACTTCATGTACACGAGCCTCACATTCTGATGGCACGTATAAGCAAACACGATGACCGGGAAACTGCTCAGAGCAGGCGCAATTCCTGCCCAATGAATAATACGAATCGGACCCCGGTCAGCCATTGTGTCCCCTTTTGTGAAATGATATACGACCAGTATAACAAGGTATCCAATAGAGATTAAGGCGACAATGCTAGTATATTTCAATGAATCGAGCCGACGAAGGAAAGAAAGGGGGATAACGATAAGCCTGTACGATCAAAATTAGTTTGACACCGCGGCCACGGTTTCCGTATACTCAAATGTGGGAGGTACTGACATAAAAGCCGTTATCCAAAAATGACGATCTAGCAAAAAGTCGCTAGTCGCCGTATTCCCAATGAACCCCTGCACGACTCCAGGCATAAGATCTCCAATAATGATTAAATAGCTCACGCCGACTCCAAAACATTTTATCGCGATCGCGGCGTCAAATATCACGGAGGCATTAGGATATGTAAGTTGCGAAAGAGCGAAAAAGGATGCGGATCCTCGATCTAGATATTGTGCGCATCTGGCTTGTAGATAGAGGCCAAATCCAGCTGCGACTCCTGACCATATGACGACGATGACGCCTAATGTTATTCCCATGTGTGCCATCGCGAGAGGCATAGCGAGTACACCGGCACCGACAACTAGAAGATAGGGAGATGTGTTAGAGCTTATATGATTTGATGTTGCTCTGCCTTACTTGTATTGACTAAATTGATGACACTGCTCATCCAGCTGGCCGTTCCTTGGAAGACATCTCGCTTTCCTCGCTTCCTATGTACAAATTCGATCAGCATTCACTTATGAGAATAAATATCAGAGATATGTGGTGATTACCGTCGGCCTCTGTGGGCGGCTGCTCCTGTCGAAGGAGGCATCACCACTTCGCCCTCTGTCATCATTTCGGTTTAGTGAATGTGCTCTGAAGAAATGCGCCAATGTCTCAACAAGCCGTCATTGAACTTTAGAGACGGCATATGGAAATCAGATCATTGATCGTTGAGTGATAAGGCAGCGATGACAGAAAGGTATGACTTAGGAGGCTGAGGTGGTGAATGTTGGCATGATTATCAGCCTGTCTTGCGACAGATAACAAATGGTCCAATAATATTGCGTCGATCGCTGAATAGTGGGGGTATTTGCCATCGGAGAAATATGCCCCTTCTGGGTTCCTCATTTGCTTCTTTTACACTACAACAGACATTATTGTTCATGCTGGAATCATGCAATTGTGCTTCATGCATAATATATATCGCTGATAGCTATAGCCTGGACTTCCCCCATCCATCCGTGGATAGCAAATCATATATTTCATTCTCAACAGCCTCCACATTCGCGATGGTATTTCCAGCACGATTAGAAGGACCAGGATCATTGAATGGATGTACTTCTCGAACAGTCTTGGAGACCTCCAGAACCGTGCCTCCTTTGACTGGAAACAATGTTCCTTGTCTACCCTTGTCACCGATGATTTCACTTACTTCCTCCTGTTGCACCAGGGCCAGCATAACTTCGCCAACTTCTTCCGCCGTAACCCATACATCTTGACCTTCCTTGAACATCTTGAGCTTCTCAGGATGTTCCATCCAGAGGGGTGTCTTGATTAATCCAGGTGCCACGGCTGTAACACGAATACCGAATTTCTCATCCAACTTGGCTAGAGATCGGACTAGACCGCTGATTGCATGCTTAGTTGCTACATATATCGGTGCTGCTGTTGACGGACTCTGTCCAGCTATGCTTGAGATGTGGACAATGTGTTTGCGGCTGCTGTTGGACTTCCGGTGTTGTAGAAAATGTGAGATTGCAAGTTGAGTCACTCGGATCGGATGAGTTAGGTTGATATCCACCAGACGATATCGTCCTCCTCGTGGGTCATCGCGACTTTCTGGACTGCCGGGAGGTCGCCAGAAATTGCTCCAGTGCTATTCAAGTATTAGTGAATCTCTTATCTGTGACGTACATGGATGCAAACCTCTTCATAGACTCCTGCACCGGGGCAGACAATATCAATCTCCGTAAACTCTCTCTCGGTAACCGCAAACAGCTCTTCCAGCTGTGTCCAGTCTGTCACGTCGGTCTTCTGGAAGATAGCTCTAGCAGATCCCGAGTGGCCATTGAACTTGTTGACTACTGCCTGCGCTTCAGGACGAAGGCCGAGATCCGCGATCACCACATTACAGTCATTTTCCAGAAGCAATGTTGCAAACGCAAGATTGATTCCTGTAGCAAGCCATAAAATGATTAGTTTGCGATTGACCAGATTCGTGGGTAACACGAAAGTTCACCTGAACCAGCTCCGGTGATTATGGCAGTCTTGCCCTTGACAGGATGGGTGACCGACATGACGGGTATGCTATTCAATTAACAATGCTGGAAGTATTCTGGGAGAACAACAGATATGTTGAGAGGGAAAGGAACAGACGGTAAGTCCACCGTTATTTATGAGTTATGAGTTGTAGCCTTGTAGGTGCAACCCCGCAAAAAGAACCCTGACGACTCGAGAAGTTGAACATGTCCGGGGAAGTTAAAGCGAATCACGGGGTAAAGCCCGAGGCAAGAACGGCAGGTTACCCGAGGGTGGAGATGAAATATGTACTATTCGCTCTTATTGTTCACTTGTTCGAATCCATCCATATCATTATTGGACTCAGAGGTATCGAGACTGTAGGGAATCTTTATATAGATCAAATGCCGAAGCTCCTGCGGGGAACGCAACCGAGCGAAACAACACTCGTATCTCCGAGTTCCGTCATAGAGTACTATGATATGAAATCGGTAATGGAAGATAGATAGGAATATCGATGGATGCCAAACATTGTTAAGCAAAGAAGGGTTTGTAGTATGGAGCGGATGTCTGTTTAACGGCACGGCTTCCTTACTGTCGAGCTTGAATGCAGTGGTCGTAGGCAATCGCTGGGAGATTCAAGGACACATCATTGACATAACCCTAGCTTGGAGTGCAGAGTCCTGACAGCTATGACTCTACGCCAGCTGTTGAATCAAGTGGACTTGTCACATGCAGCACCAATCTCTGCTTCTGTCGATATTGAACGTGAGAGGGATTTTCTCGTACGAGATAACTGCGGGCTATTCCGAGACATTGCAAAACTTCTGGACTGCTTTCTCGCTACTTACGGTCTATGAGAAATCGGAGGTGCAACAAGGGGCAAAGGAGAACTCGAACAGCAACGAGCAAGAGACTTATGTTCTTGGCTGAAAAGGTTGGTTGAAGGAAAAAGTCATCGTAAAGCGTGCAGTACCGCTCACGCATTGAAAAGATCCATGGATATAAGTCTGGAAATAATCCTAAATGACAGTGTCTCGTAGAGTTCTTTGTCAGAAAGGAGAATCCAAAATAACAACCTCTGCTGCAATAATAATAGTCGTATCTCATCGTGATGAAGAAGCAGAAATTATTTTGGCTTGACGGCCGGAGCTAGTGCTAACAGGTCGACCCGCAGCTTGGAAAGTGGCCAGCCAATCTCCCAAACAGCTCCGTCCGATCAACTCATACTCCAACCTCAAGATCTTTCTCGCATGCTCCCATCACGAGAAGATCATGATGTGGTTCAGGACGGCGATTGTACTCCTCGCCTCTTGCGCCCTTCCCTCGTCGGCCGTCTTCGTTGATGAGATCGACCATCTCGATTTCCATCATGCCCTCCTCGGCACCCCATCCCCACAATCGACTTTCTTCCACCAGCCCTCATCTTCGTCAAACGCGTCGTTATTATACACTCTTTCGGAGCGATCGATTATAGGAGCAGTCAACCCGAGAGATGGAGCAATTGTGTGGAGACAGGACTTGACACAGCTTGGTTCGACGCAGGGCGTCGAGGGCTTTCTGCGTGCTAGCGATGGAGAAGCTACAGTTGTTAGTGCGATTGGCGACAAAGTCACTGCCTGGGGTGCGCCAGATGGGAAATTACACTGGGAAAATAGACTACTTGGCGGAGTCGTGAAGGATTTGGAATTACTAGAGCTTGAAGATGGGCGAACAAACAATCATGGTCGGGATGTACTTGTTTTATCTGAGGGTAAAGGGGGACTTGTTCAGCGGCTGGACGCAACGACCGGAACAGCCAAATGGGAGTTCAAGGATGAGAGGTAACGCTGGATTGTGCGCGCATGATTGTTTCAATGCTGACCTAAAGTAGCACCGACGTACCATTTCAGGTATCCTCTTCCGCAACAGAGGTGTTCTACATCTCTCTCCAATCGGCTCTCCTCAAGGGTTACAAGATTAGAGTAACTTCCCTAGACTCGCAGACCGGAAAGCAAAAAGGCCATCATACACTTTCTTCCGAAAACGATGTGTCCGGACCCGAGTCTGTGCTCCTAGTCGGCTCGAACACCGCTTCACCTTTCATCGCATGGGCTGATAAGTCCAGCAAGACACTGAAAGTTAACATTATCGGATCAAAGAATGTTGTCAATTTTGACATCGAAAATACGAGTAACGAAGAGATTCGCGATATTAAGATCTACGGACCGACAGGCCTGAACTGTCTTCCACATTTCTTGGTCAGCTACGACACCGACTCCTCATCATGGGCTGAGGTCTACCATATCGATCTACAGACTTCATCAATCTCACAAGCCTATCGGCTACCGCGTACATCTGGGAAGTCTGTTTTCGCAGTTAGTCACAGAGCTGCAAACGTCTTCTTTACTCGAATTACCGATACAGAAGTATCTGTTTTCTCGTCGGCTTCGCATGGAATCTTGGGCAGATGGCCATTCACAAAGAGCGGACATGGAAGTTCGAGCAGTGCCGTTGCAGAGGTTATAAGCAAAGGTGACTCCGCTGCTGTACGCTTTGCGTATGTATTGGACTCAGGAGATTGGCAACTGAACCGTAATGGGGGACACGAATGGACGAGACACGAATCACTTTCAGGTGCTGTTGCTGCTGCATGGGCTGAACCTAACGTCAGCGAGGATCTCGTTCACGAACTGGAGTTGGAAGGTCATGAAGATGTTTTGAGTGCCTACATTCATCGGGTGAAGCGCCACGCTAGAGACCTGGAACACTTGCCAACTTGGCTACAAGAACTGCCACAACGCATCTTTTCCAGCTTTTTGTCCGCCGAGGTCACTAACCTGGATAGTTTTGGGGTGAAGAAATTCGCCATCGTGGCCACAGAGAAGGGAAGAGTCATAGCTGTTGATACCGGGAATCACGGCTCCGTGTCCTGGAATGTGAAAGTTGTCGACACTGCTGATTGGAAGGTCAAAGCGATTAAGACTGACTTGGGCGCTGTCACCATCTATGCCGAGGACGGAAGCACTGTTTCGCTTAATGTTACCTCTGGCAGTATCATATCTCAGAAAGCTTCTGGCGCACATATCCGTTCCGTTGCTCTAGTTCCCACTGAGAAGGGCGTAAACACGGTTGCCGTTGCAGTCGCAGAAGATGGAACGCCTCTTGAACCCCTTCAGGAGGCAGGTTATCTCGTGACTTTGAGTGAAGATTATAGAGTGCTTGGATGGGATCTGTCAAATAATAAAGTTCCTGTTTGGCAATTCCTGCCACCTGCAGGAGAGCGAATCATCTCAGCAACCTCACGACCAGCGCACGATCCTGTTGCATCGATTGGCAAAGTACTCGGAGATCGCTCGGTTCTCTACAAATATCTCAACCCAAATCTTGCTCTTATTACCGCTATTGGACCAAATACGGCGACCTTTTACCTGCTTGATTCGGTCACAGGCAAAGTGCTTCATTCAAGCACGCACAAGGGTGTAGACAACACACAGCCCATCACATCAATCATCTCAGAGAACTGGTTCGCCTATTCACTCTGGGCAGATTTGACCGATGAATCAGAATCCAAAGGCTATCAACTCATCGTCTCCGAGCTATACGAATCTGCTCTCCCCAACGACCGTGGCTCATTAGGAACAGCAGGAAATTACTCCAGTCTCGGTGGAACCAATACTTACCCCAAACCCCATGTCGTCTCACAAGCATTCATCATTCCCGAACCCGTCTCCCACCTCGCCGTAACCCAAACACGACAGGGAATCACAATCCGACAACTCGTCTGTACCTTGCCAGCATCTGACGCCATCGTCGGTATCCCACGCCACGTCCTCGACCCCCGTCGGCCGATCGGCCGTGATGCAACACCCGCCGAAATCGAAGAAGGTCTCTTCAGATACACTCCCAACCTCGAATTCGACGGTCGCTGGTATCTCACCCACTCTCGGGATGTAGCCGGTATCCGTGCCGTCATCGTCTCTCCCACGTTACTCGAAAGTACAGGCCTAGTTTTTGCCTTTGGTGGTGATGTATTCGGTACTCGGGTTGCGCCGAGTCAGGCCTTTGATATTTTGGGCAGGAGTTTTGCCAAGTTGCAGCTTCTGGGGACAGTGGTTGCTCTTGCGGTTGGTGTATGGTTTTTGGCTCCGATGGTAAGTCCTCAGAAGTTCTGTTATTGGTCATTACTAATACTAGTATATAGGCTCGGAGAAAGCAAATCAACCTTATCTGGAAGCGGTAGAGTGTTGTTAGAAGGCTTTCATAGCCTTCTTTTCCCCTTAAATTATGATGTGTAGATTAATTCAATGAATTTCCTGTTATCGATGTAACTCCTAACTACCGGTAGAAAGAAAGAAAAATCCACAAAAGAGCCAATACGAGATATGCAAAGTCCACGGAATTCAAAACAACAATATGCAAATCTAATAATCAATCTGTATTCGTATCCATCCAGTATCTAACGGATTATGTCACGAACTCGGATCCAGAAACCAAGTCACGAGTAGCGTTGTGAGCCGTGCCGGCAGCGGCCCAAAAAATTTGGGAAGCCCTAGACATACATGACTAAAATAAAGCCGCAGCTATGCTAACATCAACCCATCGCTCCAGATCAAGTTTATGCGACAACGGCATCCTTGATGTGGCTGTAGATAGCACCGAGCTCCTCGTTCACGACCTCCTGGGCCTTGATGATCAAATCGTCAACTTGGTCACTGACGGACTTGGTCTTGTAACCACCCTTGGCAATGATATCGCTGTAGTTGGAAGAACCACCACCGTTCCAGGCGAGAATCTAGGATAGACTGTTAGCTATTGTGTCCTTAGCCGATTAGATAAGAGTCAGACTTACGTTAGTGGTGTCGGAGGGAACGTCAGTGAGAACACCCTGAGTACCAATAGTAATAAGGTTCTCCTTCAACTTCTTAGGAGTAATCTCGGCAACAGCGAAGGCAGAGTCGCTGGCAGGCTGGAGGGAGAGGAAGTAGGCCAAAAGACCAGCAATATGAGGAGAAGCCATGGAGGTACCAGAAATGGTATTGACGGCGTACTTGCTGCCGATCCAGGTGGAGAGAATGTTAAGACCAGGAGCAAAGATGTCGTTGCACTTGCCATAGTTGGAGAAGTAGGCACGCTCATCAGCCAAGGTAGAGGCACCGACGGTGACGGCCTTCTCGGCAGCGGCAGGGGAGTAGTTGCAGGAGTCGGCGTTGTCGTTGCCAGCAGCGACAGCAAAGTGGATACCAGCATCCACGGCAGCATTGACAGCCCGGTCAAGAGTGACAGACTTGCCACCACCGAGACTCATGTTAGCAGCGCTACCCTTGAAGCCCTTGGCCTTTCCAGCCTTGGCGTCCTTGACCTTCTTGATGTGTTGTGTAGCGGCCCATTCAACACCCTGAACGACATCAGACATGGTACCAGAGCCGTTAGACTTCAAGACCTTGACGGCGTAGACATTGGCTTTCTTGGCAACGCCGTACTTCTTACCAGCAATGGTTCCGGAGCAGTGAGTACCGTGACCATTGCCATCGACATCTTCATCATCAGTAGGAATAGTCTTGCCCCAGGAAGCACGACCTTCGAAGTCGACATGATCAATGTTGGTGCCGGTGTCAATGACATATACGTCAACGCCTTCACCGCCGTCGGCAGCGTACAAGTACTTATTGAAGCTTCCGAAGCTCAAGCTCTCTCGGTGAGAAATACGAGCCAAACCCCATGGGGCGTTCTTCTCGGTTGTGGGATCTTCCATGGTGTGGACAATAGAGTCCTTCTCGATGTAGTCAACCTAAGAACGGAGATACATATTAGTCACGGTTTCAATAGCAATCGTAGCAGTGCTGCGAGCAACTCACGTCAGGGTGTCGTCGAATAGCCTCAATGACATTCTCGTCAAAGTGTCCAGAATAGCCAAGGAAGCTTCCGGCAATGTCGAAAGTGTGCTTGAGTCCCGCGAAGACATCGCCAGCAAAGGGGAACTGAGATCGCTTTCTGAGCTCCGTATGTTGGTTGTGAATATCTTGCACCCAGCTATGATGGGCAGCTGCAGAAGCGGGATCTACATGGTTCTTGAAAACAATGATATATGAATCTGGGACCTCAACGGCGTTGGATGAAGAGAGGATGGGAGCTGCATCGTTGTGGATGGTGCTGGGCATCACCGGTGACGCAACCGTCAACAACGGCAATAGCGAAAGGCCGAGGATGCCTTTCATGATGACTGGCTGGAGAATGAAAGAATACCAACGAGAGTAATACTGTAAAGGAAAGACAGTTCACACAACAGGTATATAGATGCGAAATGGATGAATGGATGATGGATGGATGGATGGATGGATGGATAGACAGGAAGGAAGGGAGGAGAGTTGGAGAGAGGAAGACGGCGGATGGAGATGAATGGAGATAAGTAGTTCGGCAAGAGGGGACTGGGGTGATGATTCAAGCCGGGAAGCAGATAACGTGAGCAGGCACCTCTCAGGCAGCTGGGGCAACCCAGGACCCGCTAGGCCGGAATAGGAACATACTCTGCGTTCATTGGCTGATGGAGGGCGGCTGTGACCAAGCGTGACTCAACCCCGTCTCAAACAGGCCAATCCCCACCAATGGCAGCGGCTGATTGCGTTGAGCTGGTCATGTGACGCGATAACTGTCCATGGTTTGCTCTGAATATTGCTGAGAAGTGCCTTGATAGATGTGCTCAATTTAACATCATATCTACAGTCATTACTCTGTGCTTTGAGCCTGCTTATGAAACTATTAAGGGCAAGGATGCTGGAGGATCTGGGAGCTGATTACCCGAATCGGAAGAGCGCCATGTTGCTACTGCCAGCCTACTGAGGATTCATACGATCTACCCATCCATAAAACCATGTACTAACTATCAAGGAATATAATAGCATGGCCCTGTGCTGCCCGGGATGTATCATTCCTGAAACTATCTTCCACATGATGATCTGTGTTATGATAGCGATAAACAAAGTTCATCTGACTCTGTCTCTTGATGCATAGATAAGTTCTTATCGTCCGACATGTCCCTTGGTGGATCCATGCCAGCAGTTGGATGGGGTAATACTATTAGACTAATAGTGTATTCATCTACTCCGTATGTAACTGCTAGATTGCTGCTTCCGATTATGTGTGCACTAAGCCCCATTCTCAACACAAATACACGTAGCCATCTAAATGGTCGAATATGAGCATGGTGTCGTTTACGGGTGTCAAGTGAGGCGTACGCGGCATGCTAGGGTGGAGATCCCCATCGACCGAGTCAACACCGCCTTTGTGTCTATTAATCAGTACTGTATTCATCATCGTCGTTTCCCGTCACAGACGTGTAGCACATACGTGCCTTCATTTGACATATACACTCCCCAATCCTGAGATACAGTTGCATCTATCCGTTTCGCAGTGCTCGTGTGCCTCCCATCTGCTGACCAGCGGTGGAGCATTCACTGGGCGATCATCAAGATGCGGACAGGCAGAATCTGACCAATCAAGAGCTTCGACTGTCGAGATCTTATCGTCTTATCGCTTCTTTGTTCTGGCCAATCAGATGGCTTGTGGTTTAGAATCACGTGATTCTTCGGAGCCGCCCTGTGGAGCTGCCAGCTGCGTCAGAGGGCTTGAGTTTCCGGTGATGACTGGCTAGATTCGCACACAGATTCGATACTGGTGATGCGACTTCAGAATAGACATGGACTCGACATAGGCACTTTAGCCTAGCTAGTGTCATACGATATTTCTCCGAATTGATGCTCACGCACCACAGATCCATATTTTTCACATCTCATACACAACAGGAGAGCTTGACCTGCTTCCAAAACCGCCGGCGGCTCCAAGACCCACCTGCCTCGCGACTGCCCGTATCCTCCTCCACTTGATCAACAATTAGTGCCAAAGATTCTTAGAACAACCACACTCCCTCATGATTCCGAACGCTTCTGTGGAACCCGGACAAGTCAAGTGCCTCTGGCCTAGTTCCTGAATGGTGTGAACAGCAGAAAAGAAGAAGGGGGATTGGGCAGGTTTGCGCGGCACAATGGACGGCTCACCGAACCCGGCTGAACAGCGCTCCTCATCCTCGTCACTGTCCGCCTCGCTCGAGCAAGTAGTCGCCGATCTGACACCCATCCTCCGATCCATACAAGAGATAATTGACTGTCGCCCATTCAATATCGAGAGTATTGCGAAGTCGACCGAAAGTACCTTGACACTCCGTCACTCGCTGATTGATACCGCCAAGCCCCGCGAACTAAAAGACGCTTTTCGAAACCTGGGAGGATTCCAGACATTGCTAAGCTTGGTCCGCCAATTGGCAGAGTTATACAACCCGAAGGAACTGTCGAGTGAAGATAGAAAGGCTCTTTTGACGCTTTTGACAGACGTATTAGTCGTGCTCTCTGAGTGTTTACACGACCATACAGGGAATAGACGCTATTATGCCAAGAAGATCGTGTGTGACACGGCGTGGTCTGTCGATGAGTCGCTAAAATTGTTGGTCGGTGACGCTGATGGAGAGCAATTGCCTGACATCGATGTTGACCAACTGTATGGCGGATTGCTTGCCGCGGCTCTGTGCCAGGAGACTGCCGCTACGATTTTCGCTACTTTGAGGACCCAATATAAGTCAGAGCTTACACCAACTGCTTCAAGCGTTCTCCTGGATCTTGAAAAACTACTTGTCTCTACGGAGACGGTTGAGTTGCACGAATTTATAGGCCCAATCTTACGCACGTGGCTCCTTCAAACATCTCATTCCACCCAGTACCCAGTCCAGAGACTGGCCATTCCAGCGTGTCTCTGCAAATTAGCCTCTAAATCGAAACGAAACGTTGTTGCTATTCATTCAACTGGCATTTTGTCGTCTATCATACTCTCCATTTTTGACGATAGGCTGTCCGATGATGAAAAAGAATTGTATAAAGAACTAGGCCATATCCTCTGTACGGAAGGCATCCCGAACCTCGATGATGTTATATATCTCTATAGGCAAGCATGTGGCTCTCTGGAAGCTTCCAGCTTCCTTCTCCGCGCCATGCGATCCTCCAAGGGCCCACCTTGCATCCAGTTTGACATGACCCTCCATGGGTATTCATCCATTGAGCTATCAACTCTGGGTCGACCATTTCCACCGGTATCTTCATTCGGATACACATTATCAATATGGGCCCGGTTCGACCATTTCGATCCGCAATCACATACGACAATATTCGGCGCCTTCGATTCTAGACAGTCTTGTTTCGTGCTTGCATACTTAGAAAAAGATACACACCACTTTATACTGCAAACCTCCATCAATGGACCGCGACCTAGTGTCCGCTTCAAGTCAATGGTTTTCAAACAAGGGCAGTGGTACCACATATGTCTTATTCACCGGAGGGCACGGCCAACAGCTCCTTCGCGTGCTTCGCTGTTTGTTGACGGTGAGTTTGTTGAGCAACTGAAGATCGACTATCCAAGTGTTCCCGTCTCACGACCTACGACCAAATATCCCCGAGTCCAGGCGTTCCTGGGTACCCCTCAAGATCTTGCTGTCAAGATAGGCAAGGGAGTTTGCACGACGAAGTGGTCTGTTGCTAATGCAACTCTGTCCGAAGAGACATTTAGTGATGACTTGGTATCGGTCTTCTATCATCTCGGACCAAGATATCATGGTAACTACCAAGATTGTTTAGGGTCATTCCAGACCTACAAGGCGTCCGCAGCGCTCAATCTGCGAAATGAAAGCCTGCATCCCGGCAAAGAGGAGAATTCTGATATTGTAACCGCGATTCGCCAAAAGGCTAGTACTCTTGTGCACGAGTCTTCCTTTCTCCTCAATATTTCACCCACTACAGTCTTAGACGACGATGATAGTAACAACGTCAACGAATCACAGCTCGTCAAATCATTGTCAAGACAAGCTGCGAAAAACTTGTACCAGGCGATCAATACAGGAGGTAACGCTATCGCCATCAACGGAGCCATTCCGGCAATAAACGATGCCCTCACTAACCCGAGCGGAATGGCAATACTTGCTGGCGATCCTGTTGTCTCCGTACCCCAATCTCTCGATGATGCTAGTTGGAGAATTGGTGGCTGTGCAATAGTGAATTTGAATATGCTTCATGCTGCTACATGTCCGGAAAGTACAATTCTTGCAGTTGAGATATTATTTGAAGCTATTCAGGGAAATTGGAGAAACAGCGAAGCAATGGAGAGGGATAGTGGCTATGGTATACTCGCATTATTACTTCGGGAGAAATTAGGATTCCCACAGACCGCGCAGCTCGGCGGGTCAAAAACATCAACAGTGTGCTCTGACAATCGAGAAAGGTCGTCATTGGCAATTGAGCTCCTTCGGCATATCCTATCCTTTGTTGGCTACAATTTTGAAGAGCCAGGCAAATCTATCATTACGAACCCTCTGGCGTACCGTGTTTTATTAGTGGACCTTGATATATGGCGTTATGGAGAGCCTTCTCTGCTCCAAATGTATTACTCTCAATTCAGCACTTTCGCCACGGAGAGCCAACATCGTCACTTCAATGCAAAACGCCTCTCTCGCATGCGTGAGTTCCCTTTCATTGCCTTTTAGAAAGAAATCATGCTCATGTCTAATCTCTTCTCAGGAGTCAACAAAAGATTCTTGGATGCCTTGAAAGGCGAGGATTTTACTGAAGAGACATTGAGTCTGTTTATACCAGCCTTCAGCTCTTTGTTCGAGAGTTGTGTGTCTGCAGAGTTGTTACGATCATTGTCTCTTTACATTACTTTCGCCCTACACGAGGAGAAGGTACCAAGCCTCCATAAAAAGAAGAGCATGCGCTTCAATTCTCGTGCTCGCCAACTATCTTCGGCGTCCAATTCAAGCCCGAAGAAAGCCATGCTAAAAAAAGAAATTGGCCTGGAACTTCTTCGTATGTATACCGACTATCTCTGCACACCAGGCGATTTCATCAACATAAGGAGATTTGCACGAGCAGTGACAAACAAGGCAAGTCCTCAGAAACTCGAACAATATAGGATTGACACTAACATGTTGGTGAAGTGGCTTCTCTATTTGATGTGTGAAGATACTTCAGAGGCTGTAACAATGGCGACTAAAATTCTCGCACGGCTCATAGTTGTTCACGGTGGAACCTATAGCAAGAAGCTTGCTGACAAAACGGGCGGGTACATTATCATGAGAAATCGACTCAAAAGGTGGTGGAATATATTTTCTTTATGGCCTATCTGCTTTTCCATCCTTTTCGGGTTGGATGTGGCAGAGGTAGACATTGATGCCATGACTGACCTCTCATCGCTACTGGACGTGCTTGTTTACAAGAAGCGCCTTGACATTGCTTTCCCCGAAGTGCTTCCAGTCATTACTGAGATGTTGAGAAACGGTCTGGAAGATTCGATGTTTGACAACGCTCCAGCAAAAGACAGGGCAGTGGTGTCAAATGTTATCACTTTCCTTTCCAATATGCATGCGAAGTCTCCTGCATTCAAAGAATTCGCCGCAACTTCAATATACACTCAAAAACTCCTCTTTGTTCTGTTTCCTATGACAGGTTCGAGAATAGTCAATGCCGAGGTTGAGCTTCATTACAGGGAAGCTGTTCCCACTACTGAACGTAATGCTGCAAAGATGCACCGGACTGTGACCCCTCTGCCAGTGCTACGTACAGCAAGGGTCGCCCCTTCGGATTCTACATCAGACGCTCGCGGAGCTCTGCGACGTTCTTCCTCTTTTGTTCTTATATCCTCAGACAAACCACAGAATACAGCTTCGTCAGCACATCTAAACCGAGCCCCCATTACAAATATTGATAAAGGCATCTCTCATGAAGACGATGAACTAGTCCTAAGGACGCGATCAATCGTTCTCAAGATTTTCGCCTCACAAGTCACGGATCGCAAAGATTTTGCTGGTCTTGGACTATTCCTGAAAACACCGCCGAGCAATCTAGAACATCAGGCATATTTGCTATCTTGGCTTCTCCGGGGAACCATTGAAGAATTGCAGTCCGTATTTTCGGCCAACGAGAAATTACTACAAGAACCGCGCGTTTTGACGAATTTTTCCCGGTTTTTGACACATGTAGGAGAATCCTTATTCGAGGGCTGGTTTCTGGATGGCAGCCACCAGACACTTGATCTCGCCGGCTTCGTGCTCGAATACCTTTCTCGTCCTGAAATAGCGTCATTGAAGATTATTCGGCTATGCAACCAAGCTATCACTATCATTCGATCTGTACTTTTTAGAGTTATCCTTTTCGAACTGTCGGAACAAGATGATAATGATTCATTGACCTTCCTAAACCGTCTTGGCTATTGGCAAACTATTATCCTTGCAGCCGGAGAATCCGAAGTCGAATATTTGAAATTGTTCTTTTATCAGCTTTACATTAAGTCGATATCCGAGAAGCGCGAGGTTCGCCTGGCTGCTGCCACCCTGTGGCGGATAATTCTTGTCCAAAAGCCGTCTGAAATGACTTCCATACTGAGCCATGCTCCGCTGTCTCTACAACGTCGACTCACTGGTGGGTTTGAGGAATTAGCTGGAATGGATGACGCAGCTTTCCTGAACTGGATCGATGATCAGCGCGAGGATCTGGACTCATTCTTCTTCGGTAGTCTCTGCAAATTCTGGGATACTTTCGTTCAAGAAGAAAATAGCAAGACCCAAGAATCGAGCCGCTCTCGCTTAAACAAGCGGAAAGACAAACTGAAACAATGGGTTCAAGAAGAGAACTTTGCTGAGGACATTACTCGTAAACACAATACTACGTTTGACCACTGGACTTCTAACATCTTCGCGTCTGAATTTTTGAAACACCAGAGGCTTCTGCAAGATCAGCATGATAATTACACTTTCATGTGGTCACTGTTTTCCCGTCTGTCTGAAGACTTGTATCGCTTCGGCGGTGTCTTGGAGAAAGACAGTGAGAAGCGGTGGCGTCTTGACCAAACCGAGGGACGTAGTCGAATGAGGCTTCGTGTGATTCCTGATGACTCGGATGAACGACAGAACTATCAGCCGAAGCGAAAGGCCTCTGAACCCCCCGTTATGAAAATAAATACTCAGTTACAACCCACGACAATATCGGAGCCCCTTGGTAATACTCCTACTACGTCCGTATTCGTTGAAGGCCCTGGCGAGACTGAAGGTGAAGGTGAGGGTGAAGGCGATGTTGAAGACAGATCTGCTCTTGAAGAAAGCTTTGAAATGGTCGATGACCCCAGAGTGGATATTGATGAATACGAGGACAAGAACAGGAAAGTCTTGCGAAGTCTTCAGCGAGGTGACCAAGTGCAGAGTGTCTGTAATATGTCTTGCATCATTGGACTGGAAGCATGTGAAGGTCTCTTGATTATTGGCAAACAGGCCATCTATATTCTTGATAATTACTTTCAACGTGCAGATGGAGAGGTCGTTAATGTCTGGCAAGCCCCTCTCGAGGAAAGAGATCCGTTTGTGCGCATGATCTCTGGTCGCGAATCCAACGAACGAAAGTCTCGCGAACACGAAGTGAGGAGCTGGAAATGGCAAGACCTTATCAGCGTTTCCAAGCGACGCTTTCTATTTCGAGATGTCGCCCTCGAAATGTTCTTCACGGACGGGCGAAGCTACCTTCTAACCTTGATTTCTTCGAGAGCTAGAGACGAACTATACAATCAACTTTGTGCACATGCCCCGCAATTCGGTGGGAATATGAACGTGACTCGGCCTGAGGATATCTGGAGATTCGAGATGTTGAGGGTACAAGATGATGCGCCACAATCTTTGGGATCGAAATTTGCCAGCGTCTTTGGGCAGTCTTCTACGAATCCAGCTACTCGCAAATGGCTGAAGGGAGAGATGTCTAACTTTCACTACTTGATGCTTATAAATACTCTGGCCGGCCGAACATTCAACGATCTGACTCAGTACCCTGTCTTTCCATGGGTTATAGCTGATTATACAAGTGATGAGTTGGACCTGGACAATATCAAGAGTTTCCGTGATTTGTCGAAACCAATGGGTTGCCAGACCCCTACCAGAGAAGTGGAATTCCGCGAGCGGTACAAGTCTTTTGCTGAGATGGGCGACGAGAACGCCCCTGCCTTCCACTACGGGACTCATTATTCCTCTGCAATGATAGTCAGCTCGTATCTAATTCGACTACAGCCATTCGTCAAATCATATCTCCTTTTGCAAGGCGGCACTTTTGATCATGCAGATCGGCTGTTTTACTCAATTGGCAAAGCCTGGGAATCTGCTTCGCGAGGAAATCTGTCAGATGTCCGTGAACTCACTCCGGAGTTCTTTTATCTGCCTGAATTCTTGGTGAACTCCAATAAATACGACTTTGGACTTCGACAAAACGTGACCAAAGCGATTGACTCTGTCGAATTGCCTCCGTGGGCCAAGGGTGATCCTAAGATCTTTATTGCTAAGCATCGAGAAGCACTAGAAAGCCCTTACGTGACGGAGCACCTTCATGAATGGATCGACCTTGTCTTCGGGTTCAAACAGAAGGGAGAAGCGGCTGTCGAGGCTGCTAATGTCTTTCATCACCTTTCATATCAAGGTGCAAAAGATCTAGACAACATTGAAGATCCGGTTGAACGACTTGCCACTATTGGTATTATTCATAATTTCGGGCAGACACCGCATCAGGTTTTTCAACGGCCTCACCCTCGTCGGGATGATGTGAGTCGAAGAGAGGGCCGCCTTGACACGCTGGCCGAGTCATTGACGAGAGTTCCTCTCTCTCTACTAGGTAAGCAGATGTTTCTCGAGAAATTGAAGGAGATGTATGCTAAATACTTTCTTCGCAGATATCCATGAACGAGTGTCCTCTTTGTCGATGAAGAGCGAGCGCCTATTGTGTAGTCCCGCGTTTCGACTTAATGTCCCTCCAAATTTTGACAAGTACCTGGAATGGGGCTTTTCAGATGGCAGTGTCAGGTTTTATGCGGCTGATAGCAAAAAGGTGCGTCCCTAAGGATTGTCTCACACATGAAACCGAACAAGACTTAACGAAATCCGTGATAGATCCTGGGTCACTTTGAGCATTTACACGTGGGACAGCTATCGTGCGTTCTTTTTGCGGACTCACAAACCTTGATTACAGCAGGCTGCGACTGTACTGTCTCTATATGGTTATTCAGTACCAGCAGCAAAGCGATGGAGCTACAGCCTCTAGCTTGTCTTTACGGACATCGGACTTCTGTGTCGGTATTAGCTACATCCCGGTCCTTCAGCACTCTTCTATCGGCATCCTCGGACGGCCAGATCATGTTATGGGATCTAAACCGGCGACGTTTTGTGCGGGAACTCCCCGCTGAAGGGCCAGTAGAGGTAAGCAATCGAGCGTACGGGGTTATTTTTAACCACTGAGCAGTTTTACTAACATTCACTAGTGTGCTCGAATTAACGATAGGACCGGAACCATCATGGTCTGTCGAGGGGGACGCATTACTCTGTATTCGCTGAATGGTGCTCTTCTTGTGGATCAGGTGATTTGTGAGGCCGAAGACGAGTACATCATATCATGTGCTTTCTATGAAGGGGAAAGCAATGAGTGGCTGGAGAGAGAACTCCTCTTTACTGGCCATAAAAGAGGCGTGGTCAATGTGCGTGAGATGTTTCAAGTTATATTCCAACGAGATATCACTAATGCTTAAATACAGGTTTGGAGCAAAGTTATAAGGAACGGGCGATTCGATCTCGAACTGATACGCCAGCTCCATCATGTGGATCAGCATAAAGATACGGGCGTCAACGTCTCTGCTGGCATTAGCTGCATTCTTCCACTTCCACATAGTGTGTATACCGGGGACGAAGCTGGCCGTGTCGTAAGTACTCTATTGGAGTTGAACTCTTCAGTTACTGATCTATGATATAGTACGAATGGGACTGCATTCAGCGACGCTTGTGAGAAAGGGGCATACGTTCATGGGAGAGGTAGTGAAGTCAAAAGTTAGACTCTGGTATTAAGCAATTCCGTTTACAGCATGCATTCATTATTACTAGGTATATATAGACACGACATTTAAAAGGGCGGCCAATTTGGTTTTAAACAGTTTCTCTCTCTGATGACTAACGGTGATGCATCCTTCTCAATGGCATGATAATGTGAGAGATGTGTATATATGCATGGAGACTGAATTTATCCGTGATATCCAGATAGCCGGGATATACGGGTCTCGCAATTCCAACCTCCGATAATTACCTAAGCTTCTAGATGCTTATGACACGCTGACTAACTGCGTTTTATTGCCGGTGACACCCCCAATTCTTTGGAAATATCCATGGCGTACTCACGAGTCCAGGTGATCACGAACTGTTCCATAATTTGACTCGAATTGACCCTGGTCGGAGCACTGCGCACCGCACCCGGGGTTTATTATGTGTCTGGTTAATAAGGGTGAGTAATGGATTTATATCCTTTCTGTTACATAGACTATTCTTCCGCGGAGACCCGTAGGGAGTGGTGAGAGGGACATAGGCTCCTAACTGGCATGATAACAAGAACCGCGTGTTACATTTAAAAACAGTAGAGTTACTAAGTAATGTGAGTACTTAGTAACTAACAGGGAATATTTAGGGAGAAAAGCATCGAAATGCGTTGCCAGCTGTAAGAGCAATACAGCGTCATAGCCCCACGTCCTTGCCGCCAGTGTTATTTGTCGTTCGGTCAACACCCCGCTATAAACCAACCATTTCTTCTGTCCTTGCTGCTCCTTCTTCTTTATATCCTTCTTCCTATCCTCCAAATCGCGAAAACCGCTTTTTCTTGTAGATATATTTTACTGCAACATTCACAATTCCTTCTCCAAACCCTAACACAATGTCTTCGTCTTTGGATCAATTGAAAGCCACCGGCACCGTATGTTTGCCCCGCCACATCCAGCCCGCCTGATCGAACAACGGAGAGTTAACTTTGTGTTCATTTAGGTTGTCGTTTGCGACTCGGGAGACTTTGCCAGTATGTTATTGCCTTCTTGCTGAGATTGGAGATAATGGACGAGATGGATAGATAGCTGACGTCTTTGCAGCCATTGGCAAGTACAAGCCTCAGGATGCCACCACCAACCCCTCCCTGATCCTCGCGGCTTCCAAGAAGCCCGAATACGCCAAGTTGATTGATACAGCTGTCGAGTACGGCAAGCAACACGTACGATTTCTTTTCATTTGAAGTCTAATCGGATCGATCACTCATACATTCTACAGGGCAAGACTGTCGATGAGAAGGTCGATGCTACCCTTGACCGTCTCCTCGTTGAGTTCGGCAAGGAGATCCTCGCCATCATTCCCGGAAAGGTCTCTACCGAAGTCGATGCTCGGTACTCCTTCGACACCAAGGCCTCCGTTGACAAGGCTCTCCATATCATCGAGGTGAGCTTCTTCCGCAGACATGTTCTTTGACGCTGTATGCTAACTTAGGTCAATGAATAGCTTTACAAATCCATTGGGATCTCCAAGGACCGCGTTCTCATCAAGATTGCTTCCACCTGGGAAGGTATCCAGGCTGCTCACATCCTGCAGTCCCAGCACGGAATCAACTGCAACTTGACCCTCATGTTCTCCCTTGTCCAGGCTATTGCTGCTGCTGAGGCTGGTGCTTTCCTCATCTCTCCCTTCGTCGGTCGTATTCTAGACTGGTACAAGAACGCCCACAAGCGCGATTTCACTGCTCAAGAGGACCCTGGTGTCAAGTCCGTCCAGAGCATCTACAACTACTACAAGAAGCACGGCTACAACACCATTGTCATGGGTGCTTCTTTCCGTAATATCGGTGAAATCACCGAGCTCGCTGGCTGTGACTACTTGACTATCTCCGTAAGTTTGCCCGGCTTTCATTTCTTGTACATTCCTCCGCTAACTGAACTTCCAGCCCAACCTTCTCGAGGAACTCTTGAACTCCACCGCCCCCGTCCCTAAGAAACTCGACCCCTCCGGCGCTGCTTCCCTCGACATCCCCAAGCGCGAGTACCTCAACAACGAAGCTCTCTTCCGATTCGACTTCAACGAAGAAGCCATGGCTGTCGAGAAGCTCCGTGAGGGTATCTCCAAGTTCGCCGCTGACGCCGTTACCTTGAAGGATCTCCTCAAAGCCAAGATTCAAGCTTAGAGGGAAGACTGATATGATGATAAGAAATACAAAATTTGATGATAACTGATGGGCTCTAGATTCCCTTTGTTCATTTTTTTTCTCTCTTCCCTTATGTGTGCACATCTCATTCTCTGCTTTTGATTTGGGTAGTCAGAATGATCAGAATGTGAATATTAATGTTGCATGAGATGATTTTCATTGCCTAGGTAGCCATCCTAAAAATACTTAATATTATATAAATATACTGAGGTAGTTGACGTGAGGTTCTTCAATCTAGTCGTGTGTGTGGATAACCCTAACCCTGCAATTACGCAATACTGGAGTCTGGGCTGGGCTGATGATTAATCCAAGCCAATACGGTATTGATACCACAAATACCGAACTATGCAGGTCAGGATGACGGCATTCAGCGCGGAATGAGGGGCAGTTATGACATCTCTCTGTATTTGCCGATACACGTTATCACCTTCAAGACGAGGAGCTTTTATCATGCTGGAGAAGGTGTGAGGGTAAAATTGGGTTGATTGATAGGAAGAATCCATTCGCATAGCTGTAGCATGCGTCGAATTAGTACTTCTAGAGTCTTCGATGCTAGTATTAAGCAGTAATTAAGCTGGTAACTTAAGTATCCTGTAATTACTAAGGAAGGTGGGGGTTGCTGTTTCCCCTCAGCGAATTCGGTCCGAACAACTCCTGCTCTTATTAGGACTTCTCCTCCTTGTAACACTCTTCAGACTCTGTTGTTTCTTGTCAAACTGCATCACTATTCAACGTCTTTCCTATCATCAGATATCCCAATCATTAAAAATCTAGCCAAAATGGTCAAGGCTGGTAAGTTACCTGCCCATCATTGGCCTCGGTTTTCCCCCACCGCCATCAAAACAGACGCTGGTCGTGCGCGGATTAGTTCTCCGCCATTGACCGGGCTGGTATGATGAGCACATTTGAGCACCTTGGAGGAATTCCGTCTCTCAGGTCACTTTTCTGTACCTGAGACTAGTCTAGTGGTCACGGGCTCGATCTTCATTATTCATTATAAACTAACCTACTCCCAGTCGCTGTCCTCCGTGGAGACTCCAACATCAAGGGTACCGTCACCTTTGAACAGGCGGACGAGAACTCCCCTACCACCATCTCATGGAACATCACCGGCCACGACGCCAACGCTGAGCGTGGCATGCACGTTCACCAGTTCGGTGACAACACCAACGGCTGCACATCTGCCGGACCTCACTGTACGTCGTATTCTCCTAGATCTCTCGGCCAGTATAGTACTGATGAAAATTGGTAGTCAACCCCTTCGGAAAGACCCATGGTGCTCCCTCCGATGAAGAACGCCATGTCGGTGACTTGGGTAACTTCAAGACCGATGCTCAGGGCAACGCTGTCGGCTCTGTCCAGGACAAGCTCGTCAAGTTGATTGGTGCTGAGAGTGTTCTCGGTGTATGTATCCAACCTTTTCCCGCAAGACGTGTCAAGATGACTAATTGTTCAATAGCGTACCATCGTCGTCCACGCCGGTACTGATGATCTCGGCCGTGGTGGTAACGAGGAGTCCAAGAAGACTGGTAACGCTGGTCCTCGCCCTGCTTGCGGTAAGCCATCGTTTTCCTCCCAGAGACAGGAAGTTCCACTGACTCGTAGTAGGTGTTATTGGTATCTCTGCTTAAATGTTTAGCCATATAGCCTGAAAATGAATGATAGGTAGTCATCAGTTGCAATATGACGATGAACCAAATGGATAGAGACAATGCAATGACTCTTTAGCATTGAATATGTTCACTGACTTCAAAATCCTTATTTTGTAAGCTGTAACATATACACCAGTGGTTAGACAGGCCGTTGATTGTTTGTGCAGTGTACCTAGTCGTAAAGTGTACACAAGCCACATAAGAAGTTGATCAAGTATATATGTAGTCTTAGATACTTTATTATGCACCATTCTTTCCCTTATAGACTTAGTTTTATAGTAGATCATGATATGTACACCTTAATACTTTAGAACTGTCCACTTTGACCGCCTTATATGCTGATGTGGTATGATCCAGACAATATTGTTTGACAGCTCCACCTGTGCTCAGTAAGTTCTCCGCATTTTCGAGACGCTAGCGACTGTTCCTCTATTTGTGTGCACACCTCTCCTTTCAGCCACCTCATCCTTTTCTTACTTGTACTCTTCAATTCACTCTCCTTTTTTTCCCCTTTTTTTTTCCCCTTTAATTCAGTTATTTGTTTTTATTCATCATGCCTTTCGAAGCTCGAGTCAAGCAGGTTCTTTCTGGAGATACCATTGTTTTGGGTCATGTCACCAACAAAGGACAAGAGCGTACATTAAGCTTGGCATATGTGTCTGCTCCGCGCCTGAGGAGAGAAGGAGATGAGGTATGATTTTGCCTTTGGAGACATCTGATTCTTTGAAATAGCTGCAATTTGACTGGTTGATTTTTATATTGTACTGTCTTGAATAAGCAAGCTTTTCCAATGTCGTGACATGTGGCCTTTTGTCTCTTCCCCGCTCTTTGATGACAAGATTAAGCTTATTATTAAACTATCACGATCGTGGAACGACAGTGCTAACCAGTCTCTTTTTGTCTACAGCCATTTGCTTTCCTCTCCCGTGAATTCCTTCGTGAGCTCCTTGTCGGCAAGGTGGTGCAATTCCAGGTCCTCTACGCTGTCCCCACTGGTCGTGAATATGGAACTGTCAAACTTCCTGGCACTGAGGCCTCTCTCCCAGAACTGGCTGTTCAGGAAGGATGGGCTCGTGTTCGAGAAGAAGCTGGCAAGCGCGGCGACGAATCCGAGGACTCGCTTACTCTGCTGAGCCACCTGAGAGCATTGGAGGGTCAAGCCAGAGATCATAATAAGGGTGTTTGGGGTAATGACCCAAGGGGATCTCTTGACACAGAATACGTGATCGAAGACGTAAAGTCGTTGGTAGAGCAATATAAGGGTCGCCAATTGGATGCTGTCGTGGAACGAGTGTTGAATGGTGACAGATTGCTGATGCGACTCTTCCTTGAGCCTACCCGCCATCTACACACCATTATCGCTGTCGCTGGTATTCGCGCACCTTCTGCTCCCCGCACAGCTGCAGACGGAACCCAACAGCAAGGTGAACCTCTCGGTTCTGAGGCACAACAATTCGTCGAAGCGAGACTTTTGCAGCGAAAGGTCAAAAGTCAATTGCTCGGAGCAACTCCTCAGGGACAACTTATCGGCACCGTGCTACACCCTAACGGCAACATCGCCAAATACCTACTGGAAGCTGGTCTAGCTCGCTGCTTCGATCATCACTCTACTCTACTGGGCGCGGAAATGGCCACTTTCCGTCAAGCCGAGAAAACGGCCAAGGATAAGAAGCTTGGACTGTTTACTGGTCACGTTGCTGCTAAGGGCCCTGCTGGCGCGGCTGATAGGGACTATATCGTGGGTCGCGTGCTGAATGCCGATACCATCTTTTTGAGGAACAAAGCCGGCGCAGAAAAGAAAATCAGTCTTAGCAGCATTAGACAGCCCAAGCCTTCTGACCCTGCCCAAGCGCCGTATGCCGCCGAAGCCAAGGAATATCTACGCAAAAAGGTCATTGGAAAACATGTCAAGGTCACCATTGACGGCAAAAAGCCAGCTACTGAGGGCTATGAAGAGCGTGAGGTTGCTACAGTTGTGCAGGGCAATACTAATCTCGCTCTATACCTGGTTGAGGCTGGTTATGCTTCGGTTATTCGCCACAGACATGACGATGAGGATCGCTCATCACAATACGACGCTCTCCTCGCTGCGGAAGAAGCAGCCAAGAGCGAACAGAAAGGAATGTGGTCGAACAAGCCCCCTAAGACTAAGCAATATCAGGATTACTCGGAGAACGTCCAGAAAGCGAAGATGGAAGTGTCTATCTTGCAGAGACAAAAGAGGGTCCCTGCTATTGTCGACTTTGTGAAGTCCGCTTCTCGATTTACTGTTCTTGTGCCACGTGAAAACGCCAAATTGACCTTTGTCCTCTCTGGAATCCGGGCGCCCAAGTCTGCACGCGGTCCTGATGACACAGCCGAGCCATTCGGAAACGAGGCCCACGAGTTTGCTAACAAAAGGGTCCTGCAACGTGATGTGGAGATTGACGTCGAGAATATTGACAAAGTTGGAGGTTTCATTGGTGTCTTGTATGTCAACAGGGAGAACTTTGCCAAGCTTCTGGTTGAGGAGGGTCTCGCTACTGTGCATGCTTACTCGGCTGAGCAATCGGGTCATGGTCCAGAGCTGTTCGCTGCGGAGAAGAAGGCGAAGGAGGCGAGAAAAGGCATTTGGCACGATTGGGATCCCAGCAAGGACGTTGAGGAAGAGGAAGAACTGGCCGGTAACGGTGCCGCTGAGGATAATGGAGAAACCGTCACTGAGCGACGCAAAGATTATCGTGATGTTATGGTGACTCACATCGACCCAACCACTGCAAAATTGAAGGTGCAACAGATTGGAAGTGGTACATCGGCTTTGACTGAACTCATGAACTCGTTCCGTTCGTTCCACTTGAGCAAGGCCAACGAGACGCCACTTCCTGGTCCTCCCAAGGCTGGTGACTTTGTTGCTGCGCAGTTCTCTGAAGATAACGAGTGGTATCGCGCCAAGATCCGCAGAAACGACCGAGAGAAGAAGACAGCAGAAGTGTTGTACGTTGACTACGGCAACTCCGAGGTCATTCCATGGACTCGATTGCGACCGCTTACACAGCAATTCTCGGTTCAGAAGCTGAAGCCCCAGGCTGCAGATGCCACATTGTCTCTGCTCCAGTTCCCAGTGTCGCCTGAGTATCTCGCCGATGCCGTGCAATTCATTGGCGAGCAGACCTTTGACCGTGAGCTCGTGGCTAATGTTGATTATGTATCTCCTGAGGGGACGCTTTTCGTTACTCTCTTGGATCCACGCTCGTCGGAGAATCTGGAGCAGAGCATTAATGCCGAAATCCTCCGCGAAGGTCTAGCTATGGTGCCTCGCAAGCTCAAGGCGTGGGAGCGAGCAGCTGCCGATACATTGGCTCACTACAAGAAGGTGGAAGAGGAAGCCAAGCAGAACCGCCGAGGCATGTGGGAGTATGGTGATTTGACGGAGGACTAAACATGGTTGGATCGAAGAGACATCCGGTGTTTTAAAAATGATAGTCTTCCTAGCTGTGTAAATATTGAAATGACGACACTTGGTCACTTTGCAGACAGCAAGCTGGTCCGCATTGCATATCGTAGCTAGTCATATTACCTGCAATCAGCTTAAATTAACAAATGAACTGCGCATGACCCTCATATAGACTGACAAAAAAGACGAGTCATCGCATCCAAAGATCTTCTCTGCTTAAGAATCCGAGATCCGAGCTGTCCGGGCTGTGGGTCTCTTGGCCCAACCAGCTGAAGAGAGATTGCCTCATTACGGAGTATGCTGCTTTTTTGCCCTTGAGCTATTCTTTTCAGCTTGCCCCTTTTCATAGCTCTTGTTTTTTTTTTTTGATTATTGATCTATATATTCTACAGAGTATAAATAAGGGATTGTCACCGACAAAGTCATTCATCCGTACAACGTCAGAGCGGACCGGACCAAGTGTTGGTGAAGAATAAAGAAGATGCGTTTCTTCTCCCGCAAACAGCAACAACCAGAACCCGACAACAACAATGACGAACAACCCCCCACAGAAGGATCTGAGACCAAGGGTGATCTGAGCAAGATCGCCGCCGAGAATGATCTTGTTGCATCCGCAAATCAAGCCTCCGGCACGGCCTGGTTAGCGGGACATTTGAATCATTTGACGCCAGAGCAGGAAGAGAAGTTGGTTGAATTCAAGGCGCTGGTGGAAGAGAAGGGTTATTATAAGCCTCGGAAGGATGAGACGGGTGTTCCTAGCCATAGTGATGCTACTTTGCTGTTTGTCTCCGTCTCTTAATTTCTTGCTGCATATGTGCTGACTTTCGCCAGGCGCTTTTTGCGCGCGCGCAAGTTTGATGTTCAAGGCGCTTATAAGCAGTTTTCGGAGACGGAAGATTGGCGCAAGGAGAATAAGATTGATGATTTGTATGAGAATATACGACTGGAATCGTATGAGCGGACGCGACAAATGGTACGTTTTTCGTCTCGTCTGTGGGATATATTGATTAATAATGTATAAAGTACCCCCAATGGACCGGTCGCCGAGACCGTCGCGGTATCCCCGTCTATCTCTTCGAAGTCAAACACCTCACCAACAAGAACGTATCCCAATTCTCGCAAGAAGTGAGCGAACAAGGCGCTTCCGAAACACACAAGGACTCCACCATCCCCGCACGTCTTCTCTGTCTCTTCTCGCTATATGAGAATTTACTCCAATTCGTACATCCACTATGCTCTGCTCTTGCGCGACCAAACCCGGAGACCCCGATTGTCTCTTCCAATAATATCGTGGATATCAGTGGAGTGAGCTTGATGCAGTTTTGGAATTTGAGAAGTCATATGCAAGATGCTAGTGTGCTGTCTACAGCTCACTATCCCGAGACTTTGGATCGTATTTTCGTACGTCCCTCTTTCGCCTTTTTTTTCCCATCCGTCTGCATGCTAATGAAGGGTATAGATTATTGGAGCCCCGTCTTTCTTCCCCACAGTCTGGAACTGGATAAAACGCTGGTTTGACCCCGTCACCGTATCCAAAATCTTCATCCTATCCTCTTCCGAAGTCAAATCCACCCTTGAAACATTCATGGAACCATCATCCATCCCCTCACAGTACGGCGGAACTCTAGATTTCAAATGGGGCGATTTGCCAAATATGGACGATGCTGCGCGTGCGCTAGCAGGGGGATTGGAGTCTCCGCCTACGACTCCCGGTGGGAAGCCGGCTTTCCTGAAGGGGCCAGTCAGATTCTTTGATGATCATATTCAGGTTTTGGGTACGGATCAGGGTAAGCCTAGACGAGCGATTATTCCTGTTCCGCCTGTGAAGACGACAGAAGAACCAGTAGCAGCGAGGACCGAAGCGCCAACAACCGCAGAAGCACAAATCCAGGATGAGAAAGTGGACCAGTTAGAATCTACTCCTGCCCCTGTTGAGACTGCATCGCCTGCTGCTTAGTGCCTTCACACCGATTTGGTCAATCTTTTGGATATTGGTTGATATTTCTCGGATTGGTTCTTCGATATGCGTATATTTGGCCAATGGGTGGTACATACCATGCAATGCATGCCCATGGGATTTACCTCTTATTAATTATTATAGAGGCATTTTACTTATTACTTATTTAGGGCGTGTGACTTGAAAGCTACTGGTGCTAATCTGCAAATTCTGTGAATGAAACAAAGCCGTCTATTGATCTAGGAAGATTGAGAAAGATGCGTATCGATACATTGCATAACGCGAATCCCATCCAAACCAAACCATTCGAAACTAGAGTAACCGTCGCGCCTGAAAGGGGGTATTGTGGAGGTGAAATTGAGGGAGAAAAAAAGAAATAGATAAAACACCATGCTATGCAGACTTGTTAATGCCGAGTGATGGAATAAATATGTGCGGAGGTAGACGCCTGCGCTGTGCTCGCTGAAAATGCACTAATGGAGAGTCATGAAGTATCGCCGTCCGTCTCGTTATCCTCCTCGTCGTCGTCCTCGTCGAGGGACCCCATTTCGTCGTCGTCGTCTTCATCCATGTCGACATCAGATGAGTCGCTACCGCCAAACGGGTCATCGTCCACATCACTATCGGCCCAGAAATCAAGATCTTCTTTATCCGCATCATCCTTTTCAGTCGGCTTGGAAAGGGTGGATTCAAAGGTAGGCATGACAAAGCCGTCGGGTATATCTTGCTTTGAGCTTTCGACGTCCTGACGAACATGTTCCCGATATCCCTTTGGATCCTTGCGAAGTTGTACACCCGCATCGACGTTGGCGGGGGAGGAGCACTCGGCGTCGTCGAGAAGGGAGAGGATGGATATGAGAACGGATTCGACACGCTGGGCGGGAGACCACCGCTCTGCCGCGAGTTCGCCAGACTGTTCGTCTTCACCGGGTGTATGGAGGATGGAGATGCATAGTTTGCCGTCGGTGTAAATGTTTGGATGCCATATGGGGCGATGAAACCGAAACTCTAGAGCGAACTAGTCAGTTTCCCTGTTGTTTCACAATTGATCCTTGAGATTTGACTCACTTGGAGGCGAATATGGATAGTTCTTGGGGAATTCCATAACGGCCTTAAAGTAGCCGCCGTAGTACAAAGAATCAGGGTTCAGCACGATCAGGGCGACTTTCCAGCAAAAGATGTCTTCGCTTTTTAACTGATTTCACGAAGAATTAGTAAGTCTCAGCGACGTAGCCATGTAAATGGCATGACATACCTCGATGTTGACCCATTTCTCTTTTGAAAGAGCCTTGAACTCGTTCATCAAGATGCGCTCCGCCATGATGTCGCTTGCAACACAAAAATGCAAAGGGGTGTGATGTTGAAGATGGCAACAGGCAAGATGACGAGTGATGGCTGAGTGGCGGAACTGGAGGTTTAGGGGTCTAGACATAAAAGTGGACCCTAGTTCAGATCACCTGATGCCTGATAGAAAGCAACACATGGGGAATAGTGAAGGCAAGAATTGAAGGGACTGCGGGAAGAAGGCGTGGTCTGTTTGGGTTTAGTGTGACAGTCTCTAGTCACACGACTTGTTCTGCAGATTCTCATAAACTTCATATAAGAGCTTCTTCGTCTGATGACTTTCTGCATCTTGACTCTTGCTTGTTGATTGTATCAGAGTCATACGCTATACAATAGTACACCATCTCAAACAGCAATGGATTGTCCTATTTGCTTTCTGTAAAAACCGTAAGAATAGGATAGTGAATAAAGAGCAGTCTATTAGTAATTCTCGCCGGACTATTGCTTCACCGCATCTCCTCTATTTGTGTGGGGGGTAAATACGGAGTACAGGCATCTAACTAGATAATCACCCTGCATGAGATAAGCAAACATAGCTTGTTGTTGAGGGTACTCGCATGTTATGCAATTGCATATGTTGCAGACTGTTTGCCTATGTACTGCTCTGTTGGGCATTATGCAATCTCTATCAACTTGCAAGTAGATGATCCCATTCTTGTTTGGCTTTGATATGTGGAGTACAACACAGAGAGAGATATGTAGAACCATAACCCTAACCCTTCTTATCTCAAGCCCCGCAGCCCCGCCATAATATACTGCATACGAATAGTATGTAAAGATTTGCTTAAGAGTCGGTGATGTTCTTCGTAATTGGCAAATTCTTCTAATTCTTTTGTCTCTTTGTGACTCATTCGCGATACGACTTCAAATTTCTGAAAGTGGCAAGGTGCTGTAACTGTTCGCTGCACCAGACCGCTGATAGCCGGCTTGATCAAGCCCTGTGCTCTCCGTCCCGCGATTCTAAGATTCTTTTTCCTTTTCTCATAGCAACCGGACTGACGATCGCGACAACTTCTTTATCTCAGACCAGGCGGAGACCAAGTACAGTATAGTAGTAATTCCCGTTCGTGAGCTGCAGCTCTAACTAGCTGGATGTTTAATAGACTAGACCTGCAGGCTGACTCCGCTTTTGCCATTAGCTTAACCTCTTGGGCTTAGTCTTGGCCCACGTTCTTTCCTGCTCTGTGATGTTACATCTTTTCTCTTGTTGCTTTTCTTCCTGCTTCTTCCTCTAGATATCTCTTCAAATCGCTGCAACACCCGGATATCCCTATCACTTATTCTATCTTCCGTTGGGCTATCCCTCGAATACGTTCCTGGCGATCCCTTGCTCTGGCCCGAGCGTCCCAAGTTTTCTGCGCATTACGTCGTTGGCGTCGGAATGCTGCTTCGCGACCAGCTTTATTCGTAGTAACTGGACAATTTCACTCCTACACACACACACACACACTCTCTCTCTCTCTCTCCAACCCTTCAGACAGAGTTGCAAAAGTACATACGACAGATGAGGAATTGAAGAACATCTCGTTCGCACCACCGCCGAGATTTCATCATCTCCATACTTCTACCTTGTCGCCTTCCTGTCCTCCTCTTAACACCCTCTTCCGTTCAGACATGGGCTTAGAATGCCATGGTCCCATTTGGGTCATCGATGATCTTACTCATTGCTTTCAACGCAAGTACGTGATACAATCTCCGGGCTTGTTCAATTTTTGCGGCTGCTGACAGATTTCTTTCTTTCATGTTCTAGCTATCTCCAAACCCTGCTACCCCTCGTTTTCTGTGGTATCTCCCTCCTATTAATCATCTTTCCTAATACCTACCCCCGACTAGTACAATGGTCACGATCCTGCTACAGGTCATTGGCAAATAGCAATGCAAACCCCGATAGCGCCGACGAAGACTACCATGAGGATGTCGACGATCTCATTCTACACAAGTCCGCCAGTCGTATATCCCATGGCGACTTTGAGCTCAGCCGCCCTCGAGGACAGCTTCTTCTGGTGGCATTGGAGCTTGTCGCGTTGTTGGCGGAAATAGCTGTCTGCATTACAGTTCTGGTAACGCACTCCTGGGGTCACAAGGGCACAATTGCCGCCATCGCTAAACTCGCATCCTGGTCGTACATCTTCGTCCTTGCCGCCGTGCGATTCATTCTCTCCACGCTGGACAAGCAGATAAACCCCAGGCTTTGGAATCACACGGCTTCTCTATACGGCATCCAATGGCTGTTGATCGTTTTCGTCTTCCGCTCCGAGATCATTCATCCCCATTCGCGGCGTGCTCTCATCCTGTCGTCCATCGAATTTGCCGTCTGTACGCTCTTAGTAATCCTTGCGACTACCACGCGAAGAGGAAATAAAAGCGTTTTGCTTCAGCGGGAAGATGGTCTGGAGCCTCCTCATCAACCCTACGCTAGTCTCTTGTCTCTTGTCTCCTTCGCATGGGTTGATCCTCTCATTTGGAAGGGTTACCGCCAAACATTAGAGCTGGATGATGTGTGGAACTTGACTGTATCGCGACATGCTGGTACGATTTTGAATGATTTCCGTCATCAATATAGAAGCTACAAGTTGATCTGGCGGCTGCTACGATACTTTAAACGGGATCTTATTATTCAGGCCGCCTGGACTGTATTCTCAAATCTATTCACTTTCATCCCGACTTTGCTACTCAAAGCTATTCTTGAACATGTTGAGGATCCGCGGTCGAGCCCGCCAAACGCCGCGTGGCTCTTTGCCATCTTACTGTTTGTTTCCGGTGCTATTCAAGGTTCCGCTGATGGCCAGGCTCTCTGGATCGGCCGGAACAATGTTGGCCTCAAGTTGCGTGCAATCATTATTGGTGAAATCTATTCCAAGGCGTTGAGACGTAAAGCCGGTGCTTCTACTGAGACCGATAAGGAGAAGGATGATTCTAAGCACAAGAAGAAATCCGATGACAAAAAGGAAGATGGTTCTGCGCCTATGACTAGGATTGGAACTATTATCAATCTGATGGCTATCGACTCTTTCAAAGTTAGTGAAGTGTGCGCTTATCTCCACTTTCTCTGGGCAAGTGTACCTGTACAGGTGATCATTGCCGTCGTTCTGCTATACCGCGTACTTGGTTTCAGCTCCTTCGCTGGCATTGTCCTTATGGTTCTCATCCTGCCTGTCAACGTCTATATCGCCCGCAGCTTCCGTCGTATTCAGAACGAGATCCTCGCCAAGACAGATGCTCGCATCCACACTACCAATGAAGTGTTGCAGAACATTCGCATCATCAAGTACTTTGCTTGGGAACGTCGATTCAACGATATCGTGAATGAGAAGAGAAGCGCAGAGCTCCGGTCTTTGCGCTACCGATATATCATATGGTCTTGTGCCGCCACCGTCTGGTACGGCACTCCGATTTTGATCACCCTCACCTCTTTTCTCTTGTATACCGTCATTGAAAAAAAGCAGCTCACACCGTCCATTGCTTTCCCCGCTTTGTCAATGTTCTCACTCCTTCGAGTCCCGTTAGATCAATTAGCGGATATGATTGCCCATGTTCAAGAAGCCAAGGTATCCATCGACCGTGTGGAGTCGTTTTTGAACGAAGAGGAAACCGACAAATACAATCAAGTTCTCAGAGATACAGACGAATCTGGAGAATCGAAGATTGCGCTCGAAAAAGCCACTTTGACTTGGGGCGGCAATTCCGGAACGCAAGATCTCACAGATGCCTTCCGGTTGATTGATGTTGATGTATCATTTAAACTTGGTCGGTTGAATGTTATAGCTGGTCCTACCGGTTCAGGAAAAACGTCACTTCTCATGGCTTTACTGGGTGAAATGAAATTGTTGGAGGGCCGAGTATATCTTCCTGGAGTAACAGCCAATCGTGCCGAACTGCCAGTTGACCCGGAAACTCTGCTCACTGACAGTGTCGCATATTGTGCTCAAGAAGCTTGGCTGGTAAACGCTACAATCAAAGAAAACATCTTATTTGCGTCGCCTTTTGACAAACAACGCTATGATGCTGTTATCAAAGCTTGCGCTCTTGAGCGTGATTTGCAGATTCTAGAGGCAGGTGATCAGACGTTGGTGGGTGAGAAAGGTATCAGTCTTTCAGGTGGCCAGAAGCAACGCATCTCGCTTGCACGTGCGGTTTACAGTCGAGCTCGGCATCTGTTACTTGATGACTGCCTTAGTGCAGTTGACTCACATACCGCAAAACATATCTTTCGGGAGGCCTTTACAGGTCTTCTCATGGCACACCGTACCTGTATCCTTGTCACACATAATGTGGCGCTTGTCGCTCCGGAAGCACACTACATTGTCGTTATGGACAATGGCAAGATCTCCAGTCAAGGATCCCCCGATGAGGTTGCAGCCTCTGGTGCTTTGGGAGAAGATCTGATGAAGTCCAGGCCAGCATCGAGGCCGGGCTCCAAGGGACCATCTCGTACGGCATCCGATTTGGAAGAACAGATCGAGTTAGCTAACGGGGAAAGTAACGGCAACGCAAATGGGACAAACGGGGTGTCCAAACCCGTTCCAGATGGCAAAATCCCTCAAGGGGAAAGCTCTGCTTCCAAGCTCACTGAGTCAAAAGCTACCGGTAGCGTCAAATGGTCGACGATACAAATGTATTTGGCTTCGATGGGTCCGTGGTACTTTTGGATTGCCGGTGGTGGTGTTTTCGTAGCACAACAAATCGGCAACGTCGCAACAAACGTATGGATCCGACAGTGGGCGAACGCCTATAATGCGAAGCAAGTTGGGGCAACGGATATGAGTGGTTATGCGATGATGTCGAATCTCAAACTCCCATCTTTTGTGACAGGAAGTGTTTCGCATTCAAATACCTGGAATGGGGTCCTGGCGAGTAGTGTACGAGGTGATACTGCTGACAATGAAGTCAACGTCGCGTACTACCTGGGTGTATACTCATTGCTTGGTCTTGTCTACGTGTTGATTTCGATGTTTAGAGAATTGGTTCTTTTCTGGGGTTCGCTGCATGCCTCTTGGCAGCTTCACGAGAAACTGTTGAAAGCCGTGCTCCATGCCAAGTTCAAGTTCTTCGACTCGACACCTCTAGGTCAATTGATGAATCGATTTTCCAAGGACGTCGAAGCTATCGACCAAGATGTGGCTCCTATTGCCATTGGCATGCTTCATAGTTTAGCATCAGTGGTCATGATTGTGATCCTCATTTCGGTCATTACACCTGGTTTCTTGTTTACCGCCATCATTATCACCATACTTTTCTCTGCAGTTGGTGCCATTTACTTGAACGCATCTCGTGACTTGAAACGTCTGGAGTCGGTGCAACGCAGTCCGCTATACCAGCAGTTTGGCGAGACTTTGACTGGAATCGTTAGTATTCGGGCATATGGTGATGCACAACGTTTCATGATTGACAATCATCGTCATATCGATTCATATAATCGGCCGCATATCTATTTGTGGGCTACCAACCGATGGCTGGCTTACCGCGTGGATATGATTGGTGCTCTTGTCTCATTCCTTTCTGCTGCATTTGTGTTGATGAACATTGGTCGTATCGACGCCGGAGCTGCCGGTCTATCCATGACTTACGCTGTCACTTTTACAGAGAATGTCCTCTGGTTGGTGCGTCTGTATGCGGAATCTCAACAGAGCATGAACTCTGTCGAACGTATCCGAGAATACCTGGAAGTCGAACAAGAGGCAGACCAAATCATAGAAGAACGTAGACCACCATCGGGCTGGCCCACCAAGGGAGCTGTCGACTTCATTGACTACTCCACTCGATACCGTCCTGACCTCGACTGTGTGCTCAAGGAGGTGTCTTTCTCTGTTAGTGCAGGTGAGAAGGTTGGTATTGTGGGACGTACAGGGGCTGGAAAGAGTTCGCTTGCACTTGCACTTTTCCGTGGTCTGGAAGCAGTAAACGGCAAAATTGTGATTGACGGAATCGATATTAGTACCATAGGCCTGCAAGATTTGCGCGAAAACATCACAATCGTGCCTCAAGATCCTACTCTTTTCACAGGCACGATACGTACCAATCTGGACCCATTCGGCTTGTTCAGTGACGAACAGATCTTTGTTGCGTTACGCCGTGTCCATCTCATTACAGACACAGTTTCAGGGACTGCGACACCAGGCAGTCCAGCCTCTGCCGATCAATCAGCGGACGACTCCGCAGCTCCGGAGAACAAGAATGTCTTCCGTAATCTCGAATCACCAGTGGCCGAATCCGGCTCGAACTTATCACAAGGTCAGCGCCAGCTCTTGTGTCTTGCGCGTGCACTCCTCAAGAGTCCTCGCGTTCTCATGATGGACGAAGCCACAGCATCAATCGACTACGCAACAGACGCCAAGATCCAAGAGACCCTCCGCGAGCTCAAGGAAAGCACAATCATTACTATCGCTCACCGTCTCCAAACAATCATCGACTACGATAAAGTGCTAGTCCTCGACCACGGCCGAGTCGTTGAATACGACCACCCCTGGACGTTAATCAATAAAGAAAATGGAAGTTTTAGAGGCATGTGCGAAAATAGCGGGAATATGGATGTATTACTGGAAGGAGCAAAAAGTGCTTGGGAGAGTAAAACACTTTGTTGATACGGAGTGATGGATTGATTGATTTAGGTTGCTACATTTTCAAAACTTTTTGCACATACATATCTGAAAACTGAAAGTATATATAATTTCTACACGGACAATGCACTTTTCATGATCCGCACATGAGACTGAGTTCTATACGTCACTCGTTACGGGTCGTCTACTAGGAAGGATTTACTCGGGTTTACTCTGAGACTAAGCTTTTATACTTATGATTTTGATGGTGTCGAAATAGGGAGATTTCAGTGTTTAAAGTCCATTTATTTGCTTGTTCATCCACTCTAGATTAATTAAGACCATGACTACCATGATGAACAGAGACCAGTTACATGTTCAGGTGTACGCTCTGTAGATCCTCTACTTGACAACAATCTCTGAATACTCGATAATTCTGGCGGGATCAGTCGCATAGGTCAATCAAAGTCATCTCATTAGAGCTGATGGTCAGCTCCTTCAGGCCTTTCGACGGATCAAATGTCTCTACGAAACGTCTTCGGGTAGGGGTGTCGCTGTTGTTGCTGTTGCTGGTGCTGCTGCTTTCTTTCTCTGCATCTGACAAAATTCCTCCAGCCGATTCTTCGGTAGAAACGGCGGCCTCAGATTCGTCCAACTCATCGTCCGCAAACAAGCTCGCTTCTGCTTCGGCATCAAGGCGAGCGAGTATTTCCTGTGCTCTTTGTGCTTGCATGGTCTCTGCAATTTGACGATCGTGTTCTTTGGCGCCGCCGTTTGCGAATTGTTGATATGCTGTGACATGTGCCTTTGCCTTCTCTGCGTAGGTAGTTGAGGGTGCAACTGAGGGCTGTGTGATGGGTTTTGCTTGTTGAGAAGCATTGGTTTGTGATAGCACGGTCTTCTGCCCAGGAAATTTTGGATTCATAGCCCAATGTCCGCAGACTGAACAAACGCAGGTCTCCGCCGAACACGTCATTCCACACGTATGACCACAGGAAAGAGTCCTTTCACATGTGGCTTGACACTCAATTTGAGAATGATCGAAATTGTGGCATCGTAGTGCACAAGTATGCCCGCAGTCGAGAGTCTGCGTACACGGAACACTACACCCTCCTGTAAGTTCTACCAAGTCTTGGGGCATCTCCACAAACTCTTTATTTCCATGCTTTTCACAAGTTAATTGGATGTAGCGCGCAATACAAGTAGTAGTCGCATTTCCACTGCCTATGACGCTGATCACTTTCATCCATAGAGGGCTTTCAGAAGCGAGATGCTCAGCGTTCCCGAACATGTAGAACCCACGTCGAGCTCGAGATAGTGCGACACAGACACGGTTCTCGATTTTGAGGAAACCAATCCCGTTCTGGTCGTTGCTTCTCACTAAAGACAACAACACAACTTCATTCTCTTCTCCTTGGTAAGAATCGACAGTGTAAACTTTGAGATGTCTGCCCTGAAGGTGTTTGTTACTTTTCAGAAGGCTAAGGATCTTCTTCCTCTGGCCGTTGTAAAAAGTGAGCACTGTTATATGCGCGGAATCCAGCCCTGCTAATACCAAATAGAGGAAGAAAGTTGCAACCATCAGCGCTTCATTGTGATTGTATTTGGAGAACAAGCTATCCGAATTTTCTCTCCAATGGTGAGAAAAGAAAAATGCCCGAACCTCTCCCATGGCTGGCACTTTGGCGAGTTTATTGACTGTCTCATGGTCTTCTATGTTATCATAGATGGGTGTGAGTAGACGTCGGATCTCCGGAACCATACGACGCTGTAGGGTCATAGTCCTGAAGTCGACACCATTCCTCACTAGTCGTTCGAACATTGACACATTCAGATTGTAAGGTGGGCTTTCCAATTCTCTGACAGAGCAGCTTCCTTGTAGCTGTTTATGGTCACCGACAAGAATCAAATGTTCAAGGGATTCAACACATGCTGCAGTTATGGGGGCTTCGATTGTCTCAGCTGCCTCCTCAATCATGATGATTTTTGGTTTCAGGGCCGACACTAAAGCACGGTATTTGCTTAGTCCTGTAGTGGTCATTCCTATGACCTTGGCATCCTTCAACACCACGTAATCATATTCCCACTTGCCAATCTGTCGCTCTGTAGCGACAGCATTGTGCTGCTGAACATTCACTCTGAACGATAAAAGCAGATTGTTCTTAGCACGTTGTCTGAGTTTATTGTAGATGTGACCTCTTCTGCTGGGAGGTATCTGCCACAGATCGCCCATGTCTGCTTCCGTTTCTTCAGGCTCGTTCGAATCTTCTAGTCCAATGAATGGCTCATGCAGAGGTAAGAAATATCCATTAAGAGCTTCAAGCTCATCATCCAGGTAGTCTCGCTCTTGTTCCAACTCTTTGAGCTGCTCATATTCCATATCCGCCTCATCGTCTTCCTGTTCGAAGCTCTCATCATTGTAAGTAACACGATGCTTTCCAAATGAGTCACCAAGCCAGATACTCATGGGCTCGGTACATGATCCTTCCCAGCCGCCGGCTCCCTCACAGAGAAGTCTATATTGGCCGTTTGTGATGGCACCATGCTTAAGAAAGAATGTACCTGGGAGTGGATCGCACAACTCCTCGGCAGAGAACGGAGATAGCAGTTCCTCTATCACTTTTTGAATTTTTTCAAACCTCTGCCGTATCTGTGGCATGCTGCTCCCTTGCAAACGCGGCACTGACGTGGACTTACTGACTTCAAACAACGTTCGCTTTTTCACATTTTCGTCGAGGCTTCTGCCGCCCAGGCGAATATAGTCTGGAACAAAAGCCGAAATATGATTAAGCAATTGATCAAGAGCGTGGTTAGTATGAGCAGCAATCACAATTGGAGGGTCGCCTTCCTTCCAATTTGATAGGTATAACCGTAACGCAGAAACAGATACATGAGTTTTTCCCGTTCCTGGAGGGCCTTGTATTATTGCCAACCTCTTCGTCAAGATCTGATGCAGCGCTTCCCATTGGGATGTATCGAGGTTGTTCTGCGGCTCTGAAGGCCAGTCAGACAGAATGTCGGCGTACTTGTTGTCAAACAGTTTCATTTGCGGGTTTTCCCCAATATAGGTCGGATGACCAATATCGGTCTTGAGGTCGCAAAGGTGTTCGGAGAAAGGGAAACTGTTTCCGTTAGTCACCATCATAATCCGCTTGCTCTCTCATAGACTTGCCTTTCTTTACTCATAACTTGCAATGTCTTCATTGTGTGGCGGCTCGACTCCAAATACCCAGACCTTGCCTGTACCATTATCCACTCTTGCTGAGGATCGAATGGGGCATTATTGCTTTCAGCAAAGAAAATGTCGATTTGACGAGGTCGGTTGTTTAGCTGTTCAAGAGGACGGGCTGCAACAACCGCAACGAGGCATTGAGTTTGGAAGCAATCATCTGCTGGAGACAGTGCCACCATGGAACCTGTAATCAACCGACTTGTGTACTCCCACACGATGTTTTTCCCTGCACGGGAAGTGGAGAAAGATATCTTTGTCGCGACGCCTTTTGTACTGAGAGTTATGCCAGTGATATAGACCTAAGAGTTTTTATTAGCCAACGAAATGGAGACATAGGTTAGGCTTGTCATTGCATACCTTTTCATAGATGCAGACCTCGTTAGTGTCGGTCATTTTAGGCTCATCTCGCACAAGAGCTACTGCGTCTCGAAGTGAAGCCACGGTATCCTCCCTAAGAAGCTCATAATGGGCGTTCAGGTACGCCTTTGGCGACTCCCATGGTCCGTCAATCTGGTTCGTGGGAAGATCAATAGTACCGTCGTCAAGATCTATTGCGCCTGTCTGGCCCATAATCTCTTGCGCAGTAGGAATCTCCGGGTGGGAGAGCCAACTTTCGCTGTTGTCAACCTTTAGCGTTTTTAGGACATACTTTCGAATGTCTGGATTTGCTTTGTTGGCAGCAACTCTAAGGAGATTGAGGGATGAACCTTCTTGTGGGTGACCCTTGGGCCCCTTCGATGTGTTTTTTAGGCCTTTTTGTTTGCTGGGCATACTGAAAATTTGAACTGACAGATAGACAGGAAACCGTCAAATCTACAGGTAAGTCATCTCACAGATTGCAGGACATCGAGAAATGCAATGTCATTTGAGTGAGAAACTAGATGTTCCTTGGTGAGGGAAACATGATGGTAAAGTAAGGATCCGATGAAGTGTAGAAACGAGTAAAAAGGTAAAATGAGCAAGAGTGGAAGATGAGATGAGTCTAGTCATGTGGTAGCAGGGCAAACGACAAAGAGGGAAGGAACAAACGCGGTCGACTTATCAGGACACCGAAATCTTATTCTTTATAATCTATCATAAGCCAGCCATTCATTCTCTTTCATCCAGCAATCTTTGATTATGTGTTGTACAATGAAGCAAGTAAGCAAGATACGGCATTGTCCTATAAATGGTACCGACTTGGACTGTCGACGGGCACATTCATTCTTGCCCATACTGCTTCCACTCCCAGATCCTCCTGGCCACTGCATCGCATATACTGTTAGCAAGTGAGTTTTGGATGAAGACCACCATATACGTACTTGTCACTGGATTTCACAGTTGGCTCAGTCTGCTCGCCAGAGGGATTGCGGAAAAGAATATTCCGTTTCTACAGGCGGCATCAGTACGATACTCAGTGCCAAAACTCGTCCCTCACTGAACTCATATCATTTATTGTACTTACTAATCCCAGAGTGAGATGGATTGCTGCCGGGCTCCAACTGAAGTGTTCCCGAGGTTCTTTCCCTTCAATCATGGCTTGAATATTTCTAGCAGCGACAGCAGCTTGTGCAGCCCCGGGCTTTGCGGCCTTATGCAATCCAGTATCCGCAATATCACCCACGGCAAATAGATTGGGATATTTACTGTCCAGAAATTGCAAGGTCGGTCGAACGCGGATGAAGCCATTTTTAGGGTTGGCCAGAGACTCGCCATTCGAAGGAATAAGATCTCTGAGGAGGTCATTGTTTGGCTTCTGCCCAGTGGCTAGGATCACAAAATCCGCCGTTAGTCTTGTGCCGTTGGTCAGATGGACTTCATATTGAGATCCATCAGTTGAAAATCTCTCTGATGGTACCACCACTCGAGCACCTGTAATTAGTCTTTGACCATCGGTTAGATTGAGATGAGGTGAAGGCAGCATGAAATGAGGACATAGTGAACATACTTGACACCGAGTTCATCGAATCTTTTTTGGACTATGTCATGAATCTTGGGGTGAAAAGCCGGCATCACCTGTGCCCGAGAATGTACAAGTGTGACTTCCTTTTCAAGGTAGTATTCTCTGAGGTCTGTGGCCACTTGAACTCCAAGGGCTCCTCCACCGACTATAAGAATGGAATTGGCTTTCTTCACTTGCTCCTGGTGCCTCTGCAGATACTGAACTGAAGACACTTTGTCATCGTGCTTTATAGTGCCGGGCTCTGCCAGAGTTGTTCCAGTTGCGATGGTGAGGTATTCGAAAGGAATCTGATTAGATCCCTGCCATTCCCGATCAAGTTTCACATACTGAGGCTGGACAGAAAGGACCCGTGCTTGCACAACGGCATGTGACGAGCTATTAGGTAAGGAGTTGAAGACACCTGTGTATGGGATAAATGCCTTATGCTCGTGACCAGGAACAACGGAATATCGAGGCTATGGTTTATGAGTATATGCTGTCGCATCTTCAATGAACGATGTGAAAACAAGCCAAACATTCGACTTACAAATGCGAACAGGTGATGGAAATGGCTATGTGGCTCAATCAATAGCACCTGGACGCCATCTCAGTCCGTGTGGTCTTTGAGCTGTACGAGTACGGTATCATAGATAACTCACTCTGTGTGTCGTGGGTATGATACGGGCAAGTTCTTGCGCTGTAGCCTTGTCTCTCATGTTAGTTCTAGCCAAGAAGATAGGTAAGCATAGTCAACAAGTGCTACTTACTCGTCCAACATAGGAGCCTCCCACTACAATGACATTTTTCAGTTGACTCGCCATGATCAAGACAATCTTTCAGTATGTGAAACGAAGTGCCGATAGCTAAAAAGAGTCCCGTTCTACAACGATTATATACTCGATTCGTCAAGAGTAGGCAATTGTCAGGTAATCGGAGAAGCAAACACGAAGGTCAGCCATTGCCTCGGGGTCTCCATGCCTTTTCTACTGTGCTAAATCCGCACGACTCGGGTATGGAGCGAGAACGCGCGTTCGGCTTATTCTACTCTTGCAATGAAGTGTTGTTAACAACTGCCGGCAACCGGAATGCAATTTTATCTGATCAATCTGATAAGCCCTCTATCTTCGACGACCGCGGAGCACTATGTCCGAGTGTCATGCACCAGCCAATAACTCGGCAACGGACGACATATCTCGGAGTTAGTATAAAGTCTTACCCGCCTGTTGGATATGGCTATCCGTACTCATCTTTGACAAAATATTGGTCAATGGCTCGGACACTTTGACGGATACCTAACGAAGAGCCGGAAACTGCGGACGTTTTCCGGTGAATGCTAGGAGCTCTCACAAAGTTTCAACCCTTTGATTGAGCATCAGGCACAAAGGAAAATGAGTGCGAAATATCGCAATATCCTTTCAATGTATGTCAGCTCGTTACATTTTAGATGAAAGAACTAGATAAGTCTTTTTGAGCGCCACTACACCGTAGACAGAGCGTTTTCGAGTGGATGATAATAGTAGAAGAAGAACCCCGGTAGGAATAACAGAGAGGTTTCCCATGGCTGCCTTATTTCAGGCAGCTATTTCTCTCACTTCCTTACTTTGCCATTTGCAATATCTAGTGCTCATTACTTTCTTCGCCAAGAGACGGAGCACCCTGGAGAAGACTCAGTAGCTGGGAGGTCTCTCTCAGATCCGCTTCTCTAGGGTTTCAGACACGTATTTACCTCATATGCACCGTGATTGGATGAAGTTTGAGCGAGATTTTCTGCTTCTGCGGCTTGCAAAAACCCTATCATGCGACGAGGACAATCTGATAGACTACGTACTGCAACAAAAATGCAAGAAGCATGTCTTGACATATCCAGTGGAGATGTTATGCCTGAGGCATCAATGCGGAGATCCCGCGATTACCAAGTTCAACACGCCGCCAAACACGTCGTATACCCTTCAGACCTCCTAGAGAAATCCAGACAAAGAGTCACCTGGAAACATTGTTCCGAGCAGACAGATTCCGAAATCTCCTTCACCCTTTCCAACTTCCCTTGCGTTTCAGCCGCAACATATCCCCGATCCTTGCGACAAGCTAATTCGCCGCCAAAAATCGGCTCTAGTAACTACCAAGAAATTCGTCAGTTGTGGAAACCCGGCCGATTAAGGGCTTAACGCTCGGCCGGGGGGAGCGCGGGTGATAATACTAGCTGAAGATGCCTTCGCTAGCCGATGATGATGACGATCGTGATCTTATAGGTAAATCGCCGGTAGATTGGTCGCATCAACGAGACACTAATCGCAGAAATGATTTATAGGGTCTCAAGATGGAAGTTCTGATAATGAGGATGAACAAATGAGGGATGCCGATGACGGCGATGTCGAGAACGACAACGACCCCGATCAAGAGCTCGACCAAGAGCAAGAACAAGACGCCGAAAGTCCATCGAACAACAGCCAGACCTCTGACGGCCCCGGAAATGATGCGCAACAAGATACAGATCCAAATATTTTAGTAGACTCTCTCGATGCCTACCGTCCTACTGTCCGGCCAGAGTGCCTGACTGCGACAACGTATGATATCGTGCCCACGATCGCCGCGCCGCAGAGTACATCTATTAATGCCGTGACGTCAACCGGGGATATGCGCTGGGTCTTCAGTGGTGGTAGTGATGGTTATATACGGAAGTATAACTGGGTTGAATCAGTGAATGGCAAATTAATGCTGACCGTTGCTCAACGGCATCCCTTTGTCGACAGCGTGGTCAAGGCTGGTGTGCTGATGAATTATTGGGAAAATATGGACGGCAATGTGCTTTCACCTGTTTACTCGCTTGCAGCTCAAAACGAAGGCTTATGGCTGTTATCCGGCCTAGAATCAGGCAACATTCGCCTCCAAACGGTCCGTCATGAGGAAGGAAGAGAAATCGCGCTCCTTAAAAGTCACACATCAGCTGTTTCCGTGCTCAACTTATCTCCGGATGAGAGAAGTCTTCTATCTGGAAGCTGGGATAAGCGAGTTTTAGATTGGGACCTGAACATAGGGCAGGTCAGGACCGCGTTCGGTATCAGTTCTGGACAAATTTCGGCTATAGAAGTCCGACCAGATTCTGCGCTACCCATTCCACAGGATACGATGGAACCGCAATATGAAAAGTCTTTCTCGTCCAATAATCATCTGCCTTCTTCTACCTTGGTGAATGGCGCTGCGGGCCGTGGTGGTGCAGGTCAAGATGACGATGCTCCACCAGCATCTCCAGCAGACTCTCTCTTTGGCGGCGCTGACTCCCTGTTCGGCGATGGGGACAACCACATGGCAGACGATGGAGAAGGATCCGGTGATGCAGCAAATGTGGGAGAGAATGCATTATTCGGGGGTTCACTTGACATGGACATTCGACCTTCGGAACATGAGGTGAAGCTGGAGTCAGAAAATGTCCATCAGCCCAATGGCACGGACGATTGGCCATCACTGAATGCTGAATCCAGTACTGTCCAGAATGCTACTTCCCCTAAGGGAGGGGACGGGACTAAAAATAATGGGCAAATAGAACAAAAATCTGACTCTACCGTGAACGGCTTACCGTATGCGGAGGCATTGGAGTCTATCAATGTCGAAGATTCAGAAAGTTCCCCTCGAATAACCTCCGACACGACCTTCCTCGCTTCGTCCATTGACGGTCCAATCCGTATATGGGACAGACGACAGCCTGACCCTGTTGCTCGTATCACTCCTAGGAACGTCCCACCATGGTGTATGAATGCCTGTTGGTCTCCAGACGGTAATTACATATACGCAGGACGTCGAAATGGAACAGTGGAAGAGTACAGCCTGCATAAAGGTTTAAGAGACCCAGAGAGGGTCTTTAAATTACCCCAAGTGGGAGGTGCGGTCACTGCACTGAAAGCAATGCCCAACGGTCGTCATCTACTCTGGTAAGTTTCTATGAATTATTGCCAAATGCCAAAAACCATGCTAATTATAACTAGTGCTTCACACGACATTCTTCGGCTGTATGACCTAAAGGGTCAACCTCACAAACACTCCCCTGTCCCATTCCTCGTTATCCCAGGTCACCGAACAGGTGTAATATCACAGCTGTATATTGATTCAGCTTGTCGCTTCTTAATCTCTGCTAGTGGTAACCGTGGATGGGAAGGAAATACCACTGAAGTGCTGCTAGGCTATGAGATTAATGTGTAAAATCTCATCTTCATCGTTTGCTTTGAGACTGGTTTGTTGTCTTTCTGTCTAGGGCTAAATGCCCCTATTTTATTGTCTTAAGATAATGCACGGCTAGCTGTCATGCTTTTAGATATACGGATGTACTATTCCAGGAGTTCAGAAGGAGCATCATACTAACAATGAATATTGATATCAGTCAGAAAGGTATAATACAATACAAGGTCAACCACTAAGCATATACTCTGAAGTGAACAGACCCCTTTGACCAAAAGCCATCCCAGATTCAAACACCGGAAACCAAATTTCATATATCAACAAAAGAATCATTTACATTAAAGGGAAATCATGTCTCATTTCTGTGGGAAAAGCGGGCCAGCCCATGAAGAAGAATAAATAGGGAAGAGCAGTTGAAGGAAGACCAGTGACTCAATAAAGACTCAAGTCGAGTCCTCCACAAACATTGGCCGACTCCTGCCTCCACCGATCATAGTACGTATTATTTTCCTGCTGGATACGGCCGTCTTCGTCCCAATCAAAAAATACGTATGCAGGGTCCTTGCCTGTCACTTTCACAAAATTCGGCCCAGCAGCAAGATCTCCAAACCCTCGGAGTGCCACGTTGGGGACGTGTGTGCGTGCTTCCACCCTATTTCGCATAGAATTCACTGATATCAGATATACGGGTGGTATCTTTGCCTCGTTATGGGCGCGCAAAGGCATGCCGATCCACGCCGCATTTCGATATGATTCTTGACGTGTCGGTTCGTATTTCATAGGGAGGGGACGCGTCAGAATCATTTTGTCGAGTTCCTGCGCATCGAGTAACAGTCCTGGCGTCCGGAGGTATAAGACACTGTCGTATGCCATGAATTGGATCTCACCTAGGCGTAGTAGTTTTGAGTCTGTGAGCGAGTACCCTTGCTGAATGACGAGGTGCATGTCAATGGGTAATAGCCAGAACTTGTATTGCACGCTCGCTTCTCGCAGAGAAGATAATGCTTGGCTAACGACAGGATCGGTGGGCGTTATCAAGTCCCATTCTTGCGGGTACATGAACAGACGGTCTTGTATTGTCGATCCGCCTTCAAACATTTTCTTATAAATGGCGATCGTCGAACATATACTCGCAGGATTAGGCTCGGAAAGAAGTTGCAGATATGCAAAGTTGCCTTGATTCAATGTTGAGAGTTCCCCAGTCTCTGGATCTAATATCGATTGCTCCTTGTTGGTATCATATGTCATGTGTTCATAGTCCGCTTGCATCGAATCTAGCGAACGAAAGTCTCGTTCTATGTTTCGTACTCCATGTTGCTGTAGTGCGTACCCCGCCAGAAAAATGCCAAACGTGCATACACAGGTGATGACTGGAATGAGGAAGGTCGCAACTGTGGAGGATGTTAGGAGTACCATGTTGACTGGCATTTGCTGAATGAAACAAACACCACAATCAATTGGACCTAATATCGTAGGAGGTTGAGGTAGTTGGGACTTGGAGTTGGTATCAAAATAAGAAGGACATTATCAAGAATCCTTTTGGTTGATCTAGACTGGACACATGCACATCATTTGTTACTGGAAGAACGAAGTAGTATGACTGACATGTTTACACGAAGCCGTTGCCCGGCGCAACTATCCGCACTTAGTGTAGCCTCAGGCCGCAGCGATCGATAACGGGACCGCAAGCCTAGACCGAACTAGGTTAGATAGGGACACCTCAAGGTAAGGAAAAACACAAGCGCGGATCAACTTGCTGCTGGATAAATTCATTTGAGTGCTAAATATCCCCGGAACGTTCGGCTGTTCGGTCAAAAACGTATAATTGAAAGAATGTCGTCTCATCGAGCGGATGCGAGCACCTTTCTCGACAACCGAGGCTACACTGGCCCCCTCGTCCGCGGCGTGAATCCTGTCACATTGTTCGAAAAAGCTGTACGCGATCGTATCACAGATTCATACTATTGGAAAGAGCAATGCTTCGGTCTCAATGCTGCCACACTGTGTGATCGCGCAATCGAACTGACGTCGATCGGTGGAACGTACGGATTATCACAGAAACCAACTCCGTTCCTTTGCCTAGCTTTCAAGATGCTTCAGCTAGCGCCAGAGAAAAGCATTGTTCTCGAATATTTGAATTTCACTGATCCAGGAAGTGGAGATGAGGAGAACCCGGAGGATACAGAAATCAACGGAGAAGTGGTCAAAGGTAGAGGTGACTTCAAGTATTTACGATCCCTCGCCGCATTTTATATTCGTCTTACGTTCGAAGCTGCCGAAATTTACAAATATCTGGAGCCGCTACTGCTGGATTATAGGAAGCTGAAGCGAAGGATGCGCGAAAATTACGTTCTTACCACCATGGATCAGTTTATCGACGATTTGCTCACGAAAGATCGAGTGTGCGCGACGAGTTTATGGAAGCTACCTTCTCGACAAATGCTAGAAGATCTGGACTTATTGGAAGAACGAATTAGCCCGTTGGCTGATGAATTGGAGGAACTTGACCGGGAGAGTGTGGCAAGTTACCACAGCAGGCAAGACGATGATAGTGATCGCGGTTCAGATACTATGCGGCAAGAGGAATGAAAATGGAATAAGAAATCTTGAGATAATCTCACCAACGCCGATTTTCCATGAATCATGACGGATCCGATAATAGGAACATGATACGTTTACATGCGTGCATTTGAAACGCTCGACGATCTCGCAAGAAAACAGCAACTCTTAATGGATCCACCTAAAACCCTTGTTGACGGTGCCACTTGTCTTCCCAACCTTTGTACCACGGATCCTCATCTAACGTGGTCACCTCCCAATTCCTTTCAATGGCACCGCTGTCCTCTTGCTCCTTATTCCATTTGTCTAATGCGGGAAGCACAACATGCTCTACATGCCATGTGCTCTTGTACTTCATGAGATTCTCCTTTCCGTTTCGTAGAATCTTGGCAACCAATGCGGGGATCTTCGGCTCGTCTCTAAATTCTTGAACGGGAGTGAAAATCGCTTTGAAGTTGAAGACTATACCTCCAGAGATGGGAAGACGTCGTAATGTCTGCCAGTCAACTCGAAGGAAGCAGTCTTTAAGGGCAAGATCTGGTTTCTGCGACAGTCTGTGTTGCTCGTGTGGATGTCCCGCTGGCATGTACAACGGTTTATCGATCTCTAAGCCCCACGAGCCACGTTGGATAGGCTTATCCGCTGGCATTTTGGTGAAGAATCTACTGGATTTAGCGATGGAAAATAAGACACGAAATTGTGACTACACTTACCGGTCCATGGAGAACCTCATTTTCTCCTTGTAGTCGGGAACTGGTGCATGAATTTCATGAAGCTGGAGTCCAATCTTGGTACCGACATTCCAACCGAGCGATGAGCATATCACACCTGCACGAAACACGTAATAACCGGTTTTGTCGTCTCTCAAGGTGATGGCGAAGTCTTCGGGGACATTGTCCATGAGAATTTCCAAGGGCTGTTTGGAACGGATGTCCTGCTCGGTCTCCAGAATCTTGTTTACCAAAATACGGTCGTCTCGAATGGAAAAATATTGAGGGTAGCGAGCGCAGATAAACTGCAAGACCATCTCCATCAATTCTTTGCAAGCGAGTTCCGATCCGGGCATCCAGTCAAGCACATCTTTGCCATGCTTCTCATATAGTGCCTTGCGCTGGGCGATTCGTTCTTTGTACGTATTTTCGAGCTCGACCCACCAATCGGTTTCAAGTTTTTTCAATGCTAGTATAGATTAGCTTCTTTTTCCCTCTATCGTTGAGAACATCCAGAATACTCAAGAACATACACATGGTCTGATGATAATTCCATCTAAACGGCCGATATGGTCGAGGCAGGGCTTTCTCAATCTTAAACTCCTGATGAGCATTCGGCAAGGGCACACCACTCAGCGCAGAGTAATCTAGAAAGTCTCCCATCTCCTTGATCTCCTTTACAGAGAAGCCCATCGAAGTATAGAGTCCATCACTAGCGGTTTCATAATTCTGAGTCATGGGAAGAATGTTTTTGAGGATATGTTCTTCACTAATATGCTTCGAGGCCGTTTTGGGTATTTTGCTCTTCATGTTGAGCATTGCCTCTCTTCGTGGAGGGGGTAGGGCATCGCTGTAACATGTATCAGGCGCACCTGAAGATGCCGAAGGCTTTTTCTCTGGGGATAGCGAGCGTGGTGGTGTCTTTGATGTTGATGTTTTGCGGGCACGGCTTAGTATGCTGCGTCCTCTGACTCTGGTGAAGGCAACGTATATAACAGTTGTACCCAACAGAGCTAGGCCGACCAGCCACTGGAGGCTCCATATATGAAAAGTCATTGTGAAGGGAAAGTTAACTCCTGCTGGATATAATGAGGGACTTACGCAAACGAGTGTATGCGTGTACCTATATCAAGACGATATAGCCACAAGATACATTCATGAGATGGTACGTCCGTGACTGGCAGTGGAAGGTACAGGGAAGTGTATATACAAGGATCAAGATGGCAGTTAAAATAGAATGCAAGGAACTGATGTTCTAGAAACGATATTGAAACAAGGACTTCGGGAATCCTGAAGAGAGGGGGATTTGATACGCAAAAAAGTAATCAAGACCCCCCGGGGAAATATCACAAGACACAACTTCTACTACCTGTGTCTTTCCAACGTTTACTGTTTGTTCATACTTTTTGCGTTTGTATTGAGCCAGAGTTTGGGGAGGGAACAACCTATTCAAGGGTCGTTACTCATGGCTAATCAATGCTAGTGAGATATTGCTTACCATGTTTGGTGACGAGATGCAGTTACATCAAGGAATTTGGTGGGCTCAAGATAAGCAATATTATCGGTATGTCTAAGCAACCTCGTATCTATGGCATCCATGGATAAGGTCCAGCTGTATTTCATGAGGGTTGACCATCTATATGACTCTTGATGCCTGTTCCGAAGTTAAGGTAACACAACATATTTCATATCACCCATGGATGTAGACAAAATAGTTGACACTCGTTCTTGTCTAATTGAAGGACGTTGAGCTATTCGTATTATCAGTTATCAGATACTATCCATGACATACATTGCACTATCTACACCTCCCCCGCAATGGATATCTACTAGAGGGGCGTTCCAGACCAGAGTCAATCAGTACATCACCACGAGCCTACAGCCTATCAAATACGTACCTATATCTTCTTATCAGCGCAGATAGAATATCCGCACTCACTGGCCGAACAGGGAGAGGCAAAATACTGGACGGCTTGACCCAAGAGGGCAAAAACTGGGGTTGGTAGACTCATTCCTAAAACGGAAAAAATATCCCGTCTTGGATATCCTCTTAGGGTTTCTCCGCGCTTTGGATTCCTGAGGCAGTAAGGCTTATAAAATCACATACAGACAGGTGACGTAGTGTAGCCCTAGCCCTACTTCTGAATAGTTACATCTTGCACGAAAAACACCCTCCCAGTAGCTCCGCCTTCACTGGTGAAGGACCGGTAGTCTTCGGTAGTATTGAAAGAAGGTATCAATGTTTGTTGTAGAATGGCCAGTTAGTTCCATACATCGCCTTGCTTCGAATTGATTGATATTGACTTGATGTTAGTTGCTGTAACAATCTGGATAGCAAAGTATATATATATATATATCTATCAAAGAAGATTTCGATGACTCTCTAACAATTCCATTCACTTTGCGTTCGAAACCATTTCTTTCAAGCCTCATTTGGAATTATGTTTTGAAAATAGTTGGGTACTGCCTTCCTACTAGTCAAGCTCTAGTTGGGCGTCACCATGAAAGAACTTGACTCTTTATTGGGGCCACCAATTGTTTGCAATTCCACATTTCTCCCTTCAAGGATTTCCTTTCTCTCTCACTTCTGCTTCACTGTTTCAGCAAAATCTGAGGATTGTTGTCGACAAGTCAAAATACAAATAGGCTTTCATTTTCTCTAGAGAACATGTTCCAAAGCAAATTTTCATCTTCCAGGCAGGAATAAAAATCGAACAATATTATATCTACTCCCTTTTCATCGCGTCCCATCACCTTGTTTCGATTACATCTCTACGTGTCAGCAGCCTTCGCAACACAGCTACTGCTGCACGATGCCTGGATACGCTCACGAGCACACCCCCACCCTTCGAGCACGTGCCTCTGGGGATAATGCTATAATACAAGACATATATCCAAAGGAGTTGACCATTGATCCAACTGCAGATAGTCAGCTTGCGCGTCTTCCAGTAGAGCTCATCCTAAAGATCGGCTCCCTCTTGCAAGACAGCCCCGCCGATCTCTGTCACTTCGCCGCATTGACTTCAAAGAACTGGTCGATCCTTAGGGAAGAGTGTCACCGCATTGCAGTGAAACTGGCTGAGCCGACAGAGGAAGAATTCAAGAAGTACCTCACTGAGACTGGTGATGTGGACCGCCTCATCCTTTGGGACCAAGTACAGGAGTCTGACATCCACACGCGCTCAAAGTTTACAGATGCAGTTAGCAATGGTAAGCTAAATGTTGTGGACAGCTTCTTGCAACATGGCCTTAGCCCCAATACTTGCAGCATCTTTGGGAATCGACCTTTGAATTTGGCAGCTAACTGCCCCCGTCCCGTGGAGATGTCCAAACTGCTCTTGAAGCACGGAGCAGATCCAAATTTAACAGACATACTTACAGACATATTCAGCCCTCTATATACTGCTGCCAGCTTGGGTCATGAGGATTTGGTGAATGTGTTGTTGGATTGTGGGGCTGATATCAAGGTCAAGAGCGCCATTCAAGCCATATGCCATATCTGCACGGAGGCCACAATTGTGCGCGCCTTCGAGATGGGTGCCGATATTCACTCAATCGACGAGGGCGGCAACAATATACTCCATCATGGTGGTAGAAATGAATCACCTGCCGTCCTACCTATACTTTTCAAATTGGGCTGTCCCTTGGAGGCCGTAAACAAACAGAATCTTCAGGGAAAGACGCCACTGATGAAGGCTGTGAAAGGGGGCCATGTGAACAATGTGACAACTTTGCTTGCATATAACGCAGACCCTAACACTCCTCTCGCTAATGGTGCGACTGCTTTACATGTGGCTTGTAATTGGGACCACGTCGAAATTGCACGTTTGCTCATCGACGCCGGGGCCAAGGTCGAGGTTGTCAACGGCGATGGGTGGCGCCCTATCCATTTCGCAGCGTATAATTACTCAACCAAAATGGTGGAGTTGCTAGTTCAGCATGGCGCCGATGTCACAGCTACAGACCAGCAACAGAATACTGCACTGCATCTGCTGTTGGCGGAAGTGACTTCCAATGCCTCGAAGAAGTTTGTCAAAGGCATCCTCCGGAAGGTAAAACTTCTAATCTCGGCTAATGCTGATCCAACTGCAAAGAACGATTCGGGTGACACTCCTTTGTCTCTTGCCAAGAACACTGGCCACTATGAGATCTATCATCTCCTTTCCACCCGTGATACGCACGCACTTGATGGCAAACCCCCGACCGGACGCGACTGGAAGGATTACTTGCGTGAACATGTTTATGTTACCGAAGCGGCATAGTTTCGATTCGTCTGCCGTTACTGCTTTTCCAAGTCTGTGGTTAGTCTAGAAAATTCGTAATGAGAGCGTTGTGTATGTAATCTCGTCACGTAACCTCTCCTTCACAATCACCCCGACATAAAAGATACGACTTCGCCCTCTTTTCTTCTTCTCTTTCCCTTCAACTCCTTTCTTCCACTCATCGCCGCCCCCTTTCTTTTCACTCTGGGACCCACCGGTTATATAAAGCTAGGTTGGACGCAGGAATTAAATGACGAGACGCAATACAAGCTATTCTAATTGTCCTCGTCTCTGATGCTGTCTTGGTTTGCGCTTATCTATACGCTGCTTGCGTAAACTGGGGGTCCATGTTGCGGAAATAGTTCACACAACAGGAATGAGCAATGGCCAGATAAAGCTCCTGAGTAGAATTATACGCAGATCAAGGATCCGCCATATCAGCCTCGCTTAATTGATACAACTCTCTCCCCAAATCCCCGGTAACGTGGTACCTATCACCGATGGTCCCCTCCTCCCACAAGTCCGGAGGCAGATTCAACTGATCCCAGTCCATGATGACGTCCGTGATCGTCTGCGCATCGGCCTCGACGCGGGTCTACCGAATGACATTCCGCTTACCGTCCACATAAACCAGACGCAATTGGCCGCCGGTCTCGAAGGCCTCCTGATCCGCAACGAGAATGTACGCTGCTGCCACTGTGCGGAGGAGGTCGGCTGCCTCGAGTTCAATAAAGCGATGCGGATCCTCCCTCCACCGATCGGGCTCCTGCTTTGACTTGCTGAGGGAGGTCTTGAATTGTGTTCGTGACGTCTCCACAATTTCTGGTGACGGGTATCGCTTATACCCGGCACCGCTCACCGGACCCGCAACCTCGGGCGTGATGTCGTATACGCGCTGCTAGTCAGAGCCAAAGTTGAAGAGAGTTGCATCGTTCAAGCACGCCCACCAGGCTTGGTTCTCAAACTCCTCCGATGCACCGACCCATTCCTCCATCTTCTCATCATCCGGGTCATAGTGCGTCCGGAGAAAGATCGGTGCGACGTTGCCCGATTCTAAAATTTCCCATGCTTTCTGGCGCAGTTCGTCCGACCGCCAGGGACGGAGGACTGTGTCGATCTCCTCCGCCGTGGGCATGCATGGCGGTGGTGCGCCGTAATTGACGGGATCCCATTCGCGGGGTATCTCGTCCAGATCGATAAATTGCCGGATGCGCCGGAGGCGCTGTTGGTCGAAGGACTCTGTCGCTGCAAAGTCCCAGTATCTCTGCGGAACGTTAGCGATCTTTCTGAGCAGTATAGCCGGTAAGGGAAACGTGCAATTAGGTATTGCTCGACGGGCAACTCGCCCCATTTGGGGATATATCCTCGGTCGTCGTTTGACATGGTGAGAAGAAGTGGTGCTTTGGAAGTGGGGTGGGGAGGAGGTTAGGCTTGAAGATATATATTAGCCAGCGGTAGGTGTGAGGTTGGTATTGACAAATGCTCCATCCCGAGAAGCGAAAGAAATGATTTGAGTGATTGGATAATATGCCAATTGATAGTCACCGTGCATAAAAATTTTGGTTCTGGCAGGATGGGTCAGTAGTGGATCAAGCACTGCAGTATTTGAGGTCATAAACACACTTACCCATCAGCACCTTACGGTCAACGTTACAAAGCTCTATGACAGCACAGAGAACGTCACTTTTGCTCTGAGAGTCTCGTAGGTAGAAGAGTTCAATGTCACGATAGCAGACCGAATCAGGAAGGTATGCCACGGGAATCTGCTTCGGAAGATCACTCTGAAGAGTGGGATTTTTGTTTGCGCCTGTTCAGAGGAGTCGCCAGGTAGAGATGTGTTCTGTGGAAGAAGGATGCCGGGTCGGGTCCCGGTAATGGCGGGCTAGAGTTGGATGGTAGCAAATTGGACAATCATGCTTCCATGAAGAATTGTTGAAGTCGAGCGTCAACAACAGGAGGATCACTAACAGTCCCTGTGAATTTCCGTTTACCGTTAGTTTTCCTGTTCTAGACTAGTCCCTGGATACGTCGTATGGTCAATCACTGCCTGCACCCCCGTCACGTATAAAAGACTCTTTCATAGAGCTTTCATAGAGACCTAGAAGCACAAACAGTTGATTCTACTGATCGGGCTCGAAGTTCCTATAACTATGTGACTAGTCGTTACGCTAAACCTAATCAGGATAGAGCATTCTAACAATTCCTTTGCCGTCGTCGCGGGCTTGGCGGTACGGAGTATTCTACTATGTAAAACCTGCCCGTAGTTACCGAGCCAAACTAAGTTGAGTGGGAAAGAGCGGGGCCCACGGGGACAGCGGGAACTAACCTAACCGGAAGGAAGGCATGGACCATGGTTCTTGCCCACTGTACCATGACCCTCGCTTGTCTTTCCTCTATCTATACTCCGTACAATACAGACTTCATCTAGACGCACTCAACATTTCTCTTCTATCTACCGTCACATTTCCAATGCACAGAGAATAATTGCTCTCGACTACTGACAAACGCTTCGCCAATTCTCATGATCCTACTCGCCCAGCCATCAGCTTATCCCCCCACTTGACCGACTTAGCACCAGTTATTTTGCGACTCCGGCTGCATCACACCAGCCACCAATTTAGATCTGTTCTTATTATTCAGACTTTTAAGCTGTTAACGATGTACCGACCCTCTTCGCAGTCGCGCAGCGAATTCGCTTTACATTGTTTTCTATGCCCATGGATGCGAGAATAAGTTTGGAATTGTTTTTTCTGTTGCCGGGATATCCTCCTTCTCTCACAGAGTACAGACAATTGAGAGCCAATTGCGTATCACAGCCCCCACAAGAAATGTGATTGCTTCAAGCCATTCGTTTGTATATTTATAGATCGAGACTCGGTACCCCTCTTCACACGAGGCTACGTTCATATTAACTGACAGCTACCGCTCCAATATCGTCAGACTTTGAAAAACCTCAGAACAAAGTATCCTGAATCAATACTAGAATTTCAGTGCGATATTACTTTAGCCTCACATTGACTTGAGTGCATCGTTTAGACAGCAATTTCAGGCCCCTGGTTGTGGCCGAGGAGGCTTTTGAGATTCAGATCACGAAGATGGCATCAACGCTCCCCCGAACCCCATCTGGAAAGAGAGTGGAAGTTTTAGAGAGAGAAATTGAAAACCTAAATTACGAATTTGCCTTGGGAATCCCAAATCCAAAATGGCAGTCCCCCAGTTCTCGGCCTGTGACTGAAAGGTCAAAGGAGGAGCAATGTCGAGTTTGGATAAAAGAATTATTCTGGAAGAATACTGAAGCATTCGAACGTGCTTTGAATGGTTTCCGTGAGCAAGTTCGCTCAGAAATAAGACAGGGCAAGCAATGGGTACATAAGCCGAATCAAGAATCCGGGACCGTTCCATCGAGAGAAGATTTTCTCAAAACCAGTAATACCCACCGCTATCAGTCCTCAGGCGAGGAACGTCTGAAAAGGGTGGACACATTATGGGGTTTTCTTCATTCAGAGATGTGGATTATAAGGGGAGGAGAAAGCCCTTTGGAAGGCTCGCAATCATCACCCCGTCCTCGCAACCTAGCCAACGGGCCGCCTCGAACCAGTTCCAACTGCAATTACCAAGAGCCCCAAGTCGCAAGAACGCCGCAGGCCAAAAGGAAGGCTAGCAATGATCAAGAGGTATTTTACACGGCTCCTAGCTCCCCGACTCTGCCTGCCGAAGGGCAATATCCGTCTTTGGGCAACCTAGACGAATATGACGACCCGAAGTGCAATGAATTCAACTTGAATACAGATCCTTCAGATCGAGCTGACAAACTGAACGTCGAGGCTCAGAGGTTTAGGAGTACAACGAAAAGACAATCGAAGATTACGGACCATATGTTCATTGCGAAATCATCTCGGGGAAATCCGCCACCTGCCAGCAAGGCCGCCCAAAGCTCCCCTCTCAATGATACATCATCCTTCGGAATGGCAGGCCCGTCAACGAGCCCAGAAGTCAGTTTTGCAACAACGACAGCAGATCCTGTGTTTGATCGGCCAGAACATTCACGGCATTTCGAAACTTCTTTCGATACGGTAATTACCGAGCCGTCAGATGAAACCGCAACGCAACCCGATTCTGTCGATGGAATCATGATGAGCGAAGAATTCAGCATGATGCTAAAGTCATTAGAAGGCGATGTTCCTACATCCCGTGAAACCGAGCAGCAACAACCCTCCGTAGAGCAGGAACTAGTGGCCGAGCTAATTCGAAATGGTCCTTTTTCAAAAGACCAAAAATGTTTCTCCGCAAAGGTTCCTCTGCGGGCTAGGTATGAGCTGGAGCGAGTTAAGAAATATTGGGATATGAACCCAAAGGATATCCTTGTCGGTGATAAGCCGTACGAGAAATATTCGGACTTCTGGCAATGGCTCTCGGATCTTGGCCAACGTAATAATAAGACCCTTCCTGAAAAGCCGTCTGTGAAAGCTTGGAACGCTGCCTGCGGGCGTTTTGAAGGCGATAGGCTCTCAGAAGCTGTGATCCTAAGTGGTACCCTTGACTGGTGCACCAAGGACGAACCTGGTATCTTCAAATTCCGACTTAATCCGCTCAAGATTGATCGGACATGTCGTTTTTACCGTCGCTTCGGATCAGACAGATTTCTGACCATAACGATGCCCTATCCTTCGCGGCCACCGGGTCATTTGCGAATTAAAGATCGGAACTCTCTTCGCGAGGCTCTGGCTGATTGGTTGGTCCAAAACAATCACTATCTCCTGAAACGAACCTGGAAAGCTTTTTATATCGAGGAGTTTAAATCGAAGAAGAAATCCAAGCCCGGCGATCCTCGAGTCCGTGTAGACTTCTTCGCTGTCGATGGCTCTGACTTCACGACAAGACTTTCACCTCCAACTCTTTCGCCCGTTAATGAGGCGGCGGAATCACACACACGAATGACGGTGGACCAACTGATACAGTGGCACACCCCACTTAATGAGAATCGCAGTCAGACAGACTGCAAATTGTTCAGTCGACTTAGTCTTGCACTTTCGAAGACGTGGGCAACAGTGGTGGTTCGGCCACATCAGTTCTTGAAGCTCCCTGACGCCCCTGATAAGCCCGTCATGAACGACGGATGCGCTCTGATGTCACGTTCACTAGCTCGAGACATATGTACAAAACTAGGGATAGACGGGGTTACACCGAGCGCGTTTCAGGGTCGTATTGCCGGAGCTAAAGGCCTGTGGATGGTCGATAGAGACCGGGGAGAAGATGAAAGATTTTGGATTCAGGTATCCGACTCTCAACTAAAGGTCAAGCCGCACCCTCGAGACTTTTTCGGTCATGTCGACAAAGAAAAAATCACGTTTGAGGTTGTAGGCTGGTCAAAGCCTTTGCGATCTTCGGAAATTAATACACAACTTCTCGAAGTTCTGAACAATCGCGGGCAAGTTCGGAATCGCGTGGCAGATATTGCGCGAGACGCAATCAGGAGTATTTATTCTGAATTCGAAATTGTCATGGAAAAGAACAGCATCCCCCTGGCTCGGGCTTTGATACAGAAAATCCGGCCCAATACTGAAGATGGCCACTCTCGCACAAATATACGGAGGATAGATCAGTGGCTATCAAACAACATAGAGTCTATTATTCGTTTTTTGGAAGCAGGTTTTTCTCCACGGGATTTTCATCCACTAAGAGAGCGCCTGAGGATATGTCTGCGGGACACACTGGACCGTTACGTCACTCAACTTCATATTCCTATTCCTTTGTCTACTTATGCATATTGTATCGCTGATCCATATGGGGTACTTGAAGAGAATGAGGTTCATTTTGCTTTCTCTGGCCAGTGGAGGGATTGCGCCTATTTTGATGATGCTATGGTGGATGGCGTGGATGTTCTTGTCGGACGAACCCCGGCTCATTGCCCCTGGGACATCCAAAGAAGAAGAGCGGTTTGGAAGTCAGAGCTTCGGCATTTTAAAGATGTCATCGTCTTTTCGACTAAAGGCACGACTCCACTTGCAAGCCTCTTATCTGGTGGAGATTACGACGGCGACCGCACCTGGGTATGTTGGGATTCAGGGATTGTGGAATCTTTTACCAACACCACACCTCCCGCCATCGAACCTGGACCAGAACACTTTGGACTAGTGAAGCATGCTCGGCCGATGGAAACAGTAAGCTCTGTCGAGGATATGCTTCAAAATACCTTCAAATTCAACCTGGCTACGACAAACCTCGGGCAGTGCACTGTTGAACACAACAAGCTGGCATATGATGAAAAGGAAGGGATTAGTTCGCCGTTATCACTTGAATTGGCAACGCTCCTCAGCCACCTTGTTGACAGCACAAAATCCGGTCTCCAGCTCACAGAGGAACAATGGGCGCGATACCGCAAGAGTATTAGCCCACGGGAGAGACAATTACCTGCGTATAAGGATTTGGGCGCAAAGAAAGGGAAACCGGAAAACATTAATGATTTTCTGAGATTCGATATTGCGTTTCAGGAAAGGGAAGAGGCCCTTAAGAAATTTAACCAGAAGTTTAGTGGAGTAGAAGATAAACGAGATGAAAGCCTTCTTCGTCCCTGGCAAAATGCATTTGCGCGAGCGGAGCGCGAGAAACAGGAAGATACTGGAACAAGTGGGAATATAGGACTTGCGAAAGGCCCCGCATTGTACGGAGTATTAAAAACTCTAGAGGCGGAGATCGACCAGGCCTATAGCAAATGGCAGCACGGATGCCATTCTCTTGAAACGCCAGAGAAGACGACAGCGTTCAAGATTCAGTTGGCTGCTGAAACTCTAGGCCAAATACAAATGCCTAGCATCTGCCACCCTCTTGTACATACGTGGCAGAATAGCGAATATGAATGGCGAATACTGTTGGCTTCGGCTTCATACTACTTTCGCTGGCGGTCTGCTTTCCCACTGTACGCAGCAGGTGAGGCTTTGTGCTGGATTAAGATTGGAAATGAGCCAGCTCGTTTGATCCGTGACCAGGTCTACGTCAGCATGAAAGTCAACAGCAGTGCTGCCCGTCGACTAGCAGGCGCAGAAGCTGAGCAACTGGCAACCGAGGATTTAGAAGGCTATGAAGAAAGCGATGATGATGATGGCTCAGAAGAATTCGACCGGGAATCAGCGATTGACGCACTGAATGAAATTGATCGACTGTATCAAAGTCAACATTGAGTCGTCACTGTGTGTTGTGTGACACCATTTTGAAGGCTTTTGTAGGTGTCACCAGATCCAAGTTCCGCTTCATTGAATATTGTATTTCGGCTGGTCGTGCGTACCATGAGAGATGCCATTGCCTCTATGATTTTGATCACCATAGAATTTTTTAGTCATTTAAAGCGGGCTTCCTTGGAGCCCGACTTGAGGTACATTTACTGTTATGTGTCTAAATTTTGACTGTCACCGCTGCCTTGGTGGTCAATATAGCAATGATATTCATGGATGTGGGATGCGATCTGGGTTACGACTGAAGATATTTCGGTATTATAATATTCACCTATGTTTTGGGTTTCATCGCAAATAGCAACTTTGAGGATATTACATATGTACCCTAGAGATATAGGTTAAAAACTATTTGATCCTAATGAGAACCACGACACCGCCCCCCGGATGGTTTGCCCAGATATTGGAAGTCCAAGAAAAGCACATGAAAATCTCTATCCCACCTAACTTAGACCTGTACTTGGAGTAATCTGGAAGCAAAGCATTATCGTGATGCGTTGACCAATCAAAGACTGAGGAAATATAGACTCAGACACGTGCTAATCATCGAACCCTAACACCCGATGAACCCACCCTTATGCAGTGGCACACTGGAGTCACTCTGAGTGCTTGAACTGACCTAAAAGACGAGCCTATGACGGTTAGATGCAGCTTCAACTGGACGTATATCCTTGTCCCATCGTCCACGATTCATGAACACCTGCCAAATCTGGAAAGGAAACGCGACATGTGAAATTGCTCGATTCAGCCTAGCTTCTCCTTCTCATAAGGCCTTAGGGCTCAGGCAGCAAAGCCCAGGCGAATGTCGGGCGAGGTCGGCAATTATCACATGATTTTGAATCAAATTCTAAATCTATGCACACCGGATTATTAAACAAAGACATGTGACTTTGCCTGTGTCTGACTCTGATCTGCTCTCAAGGGAAACACATGAGTCGTACCTTATATTAGCCAAATGTTTTGGTTATACGAAACTGCCGAACAGGTAAGTCTAAAGACACAGAGTAGATCGTATCATAAGTGCGTGACACAGAACGGACAAAATCAGATCGTACAATTGAGAGCGCAATATGATCTCATTGGTGAGTGTGCGTGCGCGGAAAAGAATACGTCGTAGCTATAAAGGAGCCACATGCATTCGACAAACTTAAATATCGAAACCCATACAGCCCGAGTTAACACCACGCCCTTGCATCTTTAAAAACAGTGATTTTTGCCGCTGCCATGCCGTTTTCACGTGCCAAATCACCTTGAGGCCCCAACATCACCAAACGAAACCTCCCTCTGACATCTACCCCAACCAGCGTCTGACGAACGTTACTCACGGCAAATACTCCGGCTGAATTTGCCAATTCCCGTGTTAAGGACAATCACCATCCAATCTTATCAAGAGTCTCTACCAGATCGAAAGAGAAAGTCTCAACGAACCGTCTTTTCCACCGCTTTTCTACCACCAATTTTACTTTGCTAGAGTGAAACGCCTGACGGCCGCTGTCCAACGACGATTGCCTGATCCGACAAAGGCATACTATCAAACATTATCAGCAGCTTTCTCTTTAGGCTGTCACAGGCCCAAGCACATGCTTCTGTCCCAACGGGCATAAACCCGGTGGTATTAAGTGCCAGTAATTACTGCCGAAGCGCTCGACGCATCTCCCGGTCTCCTTTGTTCCGTCACCGCGGTTTTCCTTTCTCTAATACGATTTATGAACTCTCCCAATACAATCATGGACGTGGATAGTAATAGTGTCGACGATCGGGCTCGACGAGCCACCAGTGTATTGTCAATGGACGACATCGAAGCCGCGCAGGCGCTTGAGGGTCTCCGTTCAGGTTAGTTCTTCTACCTCCATATGCACATCGCAAATCACCTTTGCCGAACCGGAAGAAGCAATGACTAACTGGAAGATTTTATTCTGTGATCATAGACTTTGCATACACTCCTCCTTCTCATCCTCCTGCTCTATCGCAGTCGCATCCTCAACAGATTACCTCCCCCGCTTCCCAATCTGATCAGTCGCAGGCCGAACCATTGATATCTCTTTTGACTTCTACACATCCGTTGATATCATCTGCTATCAACAGTTCCATGTCCGCATATACTTCTTCAAAATCATATTCATCGCGTTTCAAGTACGGTGCTGAGTTTCTCGAGCGCAACATCGGCTCACCCGTTGCCAATACAGTCGGCACTGTTAGTCGCAAGACCGGTGTGGAAGGTGGTCTCCGATGGGCACTTCAGCGCAGGGACACGAACGAATCAACTGATCGAAATAAGCGGCGGAAAACGAATCCTACTTCTGGTGAGGTAGACGAGAATACAGATCTCGAGAAGGCTTTGCCTCCCATGAGCGAGATGAATCGCAACCGCTCGATCTCGGAAACGTCTTATTCGGAGACTCTACCCCCTTACGATGATCAGAAATCTCCGAATTACGAAGAGATCCAGCAACATGATCAACCATCGAATAACAACGCAGAACAGAACAAAACATGGCAGAGCCGGCTCATGATTTCAACATCTGGACTCGGTGTAGCAATGAGCGAAGAGTCCCTCCGCAGATTGACTTATTGTTTAAAGTGGCTCAAGTGGGCGAACGGCCGACTCAACTCGGCTGTACTGGCTCTAAAGAGTATGCTGGAAAAATGGGAAGAAGAGAAGCAGAAGAATTTGACGGACGAGAACTCATCGCAGAACCGTGCATTACTGCTGCAACATATGCAGGCCGTCAAAGAAGATGTGTTGCGCACACTCAAGCAAGTTGTAAATATTGTTTCCAAATACACAGGCGGAGCCCTACCGGAGAACGCGGGAACCTTAGTGCGCAGCCACCTTATCTCCTTGCCTCAACGATTCAAAATCGCATCGACATCCACAACACCTTCGGACTCTACTACATCCAGCTCCGAGGAAGCGTCTAGCGCACATCGCGTTCTTGTACTTGCTCAAGAGGGACTCGAAATGATGTCACAGGTCCACCGAGTCGTGGACGAGACTTTGGTCAGTGCACAAACGTGGTGTGAACGACTTGGTCGTAAACTTCCAGATCTCAAAAACGATGAGTCGCACGGAAACCCGCCAGAAACTGCGCCGAAGAGTAGCCCTCAATACACGCAGCATGGTCAGACAGCAGTTTTCTCTGATGTCAAACAGCCAATTGTTGATACTTCAAATGTCGATGTTGAAATGACGGGCACTGATGCTGTTTGATATGCTAGCAATCACAGGGGGAAGTTGAAGAGTACATGCAACGTCCAGTCATTACTTTCCTTCTGGTTATATATTTTATTTGACAAGCACGGTTTATCTGTCAGACTATTTCCTAAACTACAACTGAATGTTTCGAAGTCTTCTATGTATGGAAGAATAACCAGCAACAAAAAGAAATAGGCTCGAAATCTGTGACTCTCTTGCCTTTTGCATTCTTTCATTATGTTTCTTTGATCTCGTTGATATCTTTCTTGTTTGATTATACTCCCCATTAGTCTCGATTTCTTGTCTATAACTGCTCATGGTTGCTATTATATATATTAAGAGATATCAGGCGTACTATCTCGGCTTTTTTATTTCAATCGAATTGAATTCCCTTACGCTTTTTGAGAATTCGGTATTTCCTCGATCAATGAAAATTGTGACATACATTGTTATTTGTTGTTCACCTGGCCAAACATCGCTAGATCGAGAAAATACATAGAATGAGATCAAAAAGATTATATATGTGAATAACCGTAAACGCCGTACTGTAACTAGAGTCTCCTGAAAATGACATGAATAGGGGTATCTTGGGTATCTTAAAGCTCATCCGGGCTCCAACTTTATTAGAAAGGGGACGGCAAAGAAAGAGAAAGTTCTGACGAAGAATAAATCGGAATCCTTGATGACGAAAGTACGGAGACTCAACGGTTGTATCGTTTCAACAACTCCCCGATGCTTCCATCTCGGGCCATGAAAAGTGGTCCACCTCTATGGCGCTGCCACTTTTGTAACGTGAATGCCGCTTCATAATTGGCTATGATGAGGCCATCACGGCGTTGTTCGGCGCGTTTTTTCATGACCTCTTCCCAGCGTTCGCGGACGCTGCGGGCTCGCGCTGCCCTTTCATGAGGATTACTCAAATGCCGATGCAGGCTGATTTGGTTCGAGAATTTGGCTTGCTGTTTGGGCCATGGGAGAGTCGTTGGTGGAGACGGATTGGGAAATGACAACGGTTTAGGTGGAGATGAGGATGTTGTTGAAGGAGAAGAAGGGGCAATTGATGACGAGAAGACGGATGACTCTCGGGATGATGGCGCGGTTGATTCTCCTGAAAAGTTGGTCGAGGTGGGAGAGGTGTCAAATGCTCCGGGCTTTGCTGTTCGGGAGACCTGAATTGGGGCAGTCATGCTAGAGGTGGTGGTCACAGTAAACTCGCTCTCGTCCCGCGTCTCTTTGGATTGACTTGCAAATTGGATATTGTTCTGTGCAGTCCATACTGCCAGCCTGTACTTCCAGTCTCGAATATCGTTCATCTCCTCGTTGGTTCGACAGTAGTTGAGAATGCTACGTCTGTGGACAAAATGATGGTGAATATGGTAGTCCACACAATAGAAAGCGAATTTGGATTCGTAGCCCTGGTCAACTTCTTCCATTCCCCAGAAGACCTTCTTCTCACGGTTTCGAGCTATAAAATGCTCGACTAATTCAAGATACTGTTCTTGCTGAGCTTCTGTTGCTAAATGCAGATAGCCTGGGTCGTTGACTTCCTCGGGAAACTCGTCTGGAGCCACGTCGTCCTCATAAGGCGGGTTGATAAGGAATGGGGGATCTTCAGTGCAGCGATAAATGCCGTGTCGGATATCTGACTCCATGGATTCGGGTTTGAGACGCATTGTCTTCTCGCAGTGGTTGCAGTTGAGGGCTTCTTGCAATATGTCGTTCTGTGATATTGTCAGGTGACCCTCGGAATCATAATTAAACTGAAGGGAAACTTACCATTTCTAGTTCAGCTCTAGCGATATCATTCAGAGCGCCCACCTGAGCTATGGTCACGTCACTGGGCAGCCGCTCGTTACTGTTGAGCTTTTGCTCTGCAACCTCAACCTTCCTGGTCGCGCTTGAAATGCCATTGAAAACTTTCATAATAGCTTGCACTTTACAGATGTCGCTATAGTCATACGAGGCATCTTCACCATTTCCAAGAAGCGGTGTGTCCTGCCAACCCCTAGGACGAGGGTCTACCTTAGGTGAAGACGACTCTGGAGACCGCACGACCATTTTCAACCTGGTTGCCTGCTGTTGAGGTGGCTTTGGTGGTTTCAGTATTAGCCTTGGAGGTTTTGGCGGATTGATTTTGAGTCGCAGTGGCCTCTTGCGTCTCGAGGATGACCCTGAGGATCGCTTACGAGCGGTGGTTTCCTGAACCATTGGGCGGTGCTCTCTTCAAAGATGTATTCCAGGCTCTTTTGTTAATCGGAGATTCGTGTCAATTCGGTGCAGGACACAAGATTTCTATCAACGCATGAGATGAGGTCGAAGTTATTGCTGGGAGAATGCGAGAAGTATACAAAGGGGCTGCGCTTGAAAGATGGGATTGAGAACAAAGTAGCTGAGTCAATTGTACGAGAAACAAGGTGAATGAAAAGTGTAAAATAACAAACAATAGGAGACAATACCAGTCAAGGTTTTTTGAACGTGACTGTACTGTAATACAAACAAATAGATGAATAGGGTGATTCAGAGTTGAGCGGTGACAGTGTGGACAGCTAGGTGGCCACCAGATATTCGATTGACATTAGTCTCGCACGCTGCTTTATATTCGAGTTCAAGGCATCCAAGCGGTTCCCAGATTGCGTATTGGTCGTCATGATATCAGCGCTCAAATTCCAGAGATCACACCAAGATACGGTTAGGTCTATACATGTATATGCCAGGAAGATGAAGAAGGAAATGGGGAGGGGGAAGAGACGGGAAAACAGGATGTAGTATGTATATGTCTAGGGTTGATCGATCCAGCATCCTCATTTTCACCGCAACGCTGACTGTATCACGTCGAGCATTCATTTATCAAGTGACAAGACCATTTCCCAGGATGTATCACTCTGAGGCGGCGGTGTATCCAGGAACAGGATTCAGTCGGCGGATCTAGGGATCGCCTGGCAGGAAGGGTTCCGAGCAGCGACAGCCATTTTTGCACAGGATAAGCGACATTTCCATGAACAGAGAGCGACTGGTGGAGGAGCAGCGATCACCAGGACTCAGTCTCTGAGGGTCAGTGGGTGAAGAACAAGAAGAGGAAGAGGTTCCCGTGACTCGCTGGTTGCAACCTTCCCCCCGGTCATTCACCCGAGGTCACAGGACTTCCACAACAAACATCGCAGGATATTTCTATTCTCCTTCTTTCGTATACTTATTGTGGAGAGTCCTCAACATGTTTCTGATCAAGAATCTTTTTATGTTGCTTACTCGAAACTAGGGCTTGATTGCGACGTCATTTGAGTCAGGTAGCACAGAACTAAGTCTTCATCTGTCAAAAGGTATGTTCCAAGTCATCAGGTCAACATATACTTGATTTTTTTTCCGGTCTTGAAGGAGCCGATTCAATCTATATACTGAAAGTCTATTGTTCAAGCAATCGTCACCAAGAACAACAAAACAAAATCGCATAATCTCGTCAATCGCAAGAGAAATCCTTTGATGTCATCAAGATAAACCAAAATCAACCTTGATAAATCTATGCAAAAACACGTCACTTTTCGAATCGTGTCGGACTCGCTCTATATCTATGGATCTTATGAATTTATGGCGCGCAGTAGCCACCGTCGACGATGATATCGGTTCCAGTAGTGTAGCTAGAAGCATCGCTGGCGAGGTACAAGAAAGCACCCTTGAGTTCTTCGGGCATACCCTCGCGACCCATAGGGATCTTGGACTTCCAGAGATCGTGTGTCTCCTTGGGTATGAAATTGGAGATCTCAGTGGCAATGTAACCAGGAGAGATGGTGTTGGCACGGGCGAACTTGGGCCACTCAACGGCAAGGGACTTGACTATGTTGGCTGTCAGCGGAAAAGGATAATCGTGTGCTGCAAAACACAGAGCAGATGTGCTTACCAAGGTGGCGGACACCGGCCTTAGCGGCGTTATAAGGAGCCTGGAGTTGAGGAATGTTGACAATATGACCGCTCATGGAGGCCGTAGCAACAAAGCTTCCGTAGGTGAAGTTCTCAAGCTTATTGCCGTTCACGTCAGTACCCTCCTCCTTCTGTCGTCGCCAGTGAGCGGCAGCAGCACGAGCGCAGTACCAGGTAGCGTCGAGGTCGGTCTGAACAACATCGAGGTAGTGCTGAATGGGGCCGTCAACAGTGGCACCCTGGGTCCATGGGATACCGGCGTTAGCGATGAAAACGTCAAGGCGACCAAAGTCCTTGACAGCCTCGTTAATGGTGGCTTCGGCCTTCTTCTGGTCACGGAGATCGGCTTGATATGCCTTGGCTGATAGAACGAGTCATTTTAGCAAAACAGCAAACATCCCAAGTCGCTCCGGAGGAACATCCTTACCCTTAACGCCGTACTTCTTCTCAATCTCGGCAGCACGCTCTGGTGCCTTCTCGTTTGTGTTGTAGAACAAGGCAATATCGGCACCGGCTTCAGCGAGACCCTGGGCGACAGCAAGACCGATACCGGCACCACCGCCGGTGACAATAGCAGTCTTTCCCTTCAACGAGAAGAGAGCGAACAGGCTGGTGTGCACGGGAGGCACACTGTTGTCGTGTACGAAGACAGCATTCTGGTCGAGAGGAGAGCCAGCCATTATGTGAGGAAACAAAGAAAAAAATACGAGTAAAGATATGAAAAAGGGTATATATGAGGACTTCACACGGGAGGATCGGTATTCTTGCAAAGAGAAAAACAGAGGACAACTGTCCTGGGGATCTTAAAGATTTAATACTGGCTCTGGGCTGTTAGGGTGGAGGGGCAAACCAGCGGTGATCGCTGTGAGCATCGAGCAACGCAGTGCTGGAGCTTCTCACAGCGGCGGTACAAGTGGGTATCGGCGGGGGTTTTTTTTTCGCAGACTAGCCACACATCTACATGGGTTTCTTGGGAAAAACGCTTGAGAAGGTAAGATGGTCCTGAACGAAGATCCAAGAGGACCCCTCGGTGCCACAGAATAACATCATCGCCGGGAAACTCAAACCTAGACTCGCCGTTCCTGACAAGAGTCACGATTTTTCGTCGGCTAAACCGCCATATTATACTGTCAATATTTATGTTGGTTCGTGTGTTTCAATGTTCACTCAACTGTATCTAGATCTGTTGTGATATCGCTCATCACAAGACTTGACTCTCCGTGCATATCTCTCATCTCGCTTCAGTTGACCATCTCATTCCTTTTGGCAATTGCGACTGAAACTTTGGAATACATGGCGTTTACACCGATAATTCTCAAATATCTGAATGCGCACTATCTCTAAGCTGCATAAAGCCATTGACAGCTATCACAACGCCGCCCTCTCATCCCACACTAAGGTCCCCAACGATCGGTCATGTGCTCCATCAGAAAAATAAGGTCGGAATCCAGACACTGTATTTTTTTTAAGCCACAAATAAGACCGGTGAGGGGAACTCGTTGGATACTTCGTTTCTTTTTCTTTCCAAATGGCTTCTAGACTCATCAAAATTGCGCGCGGAGGACTCCGGAGAGGAGAAAGGGAGAAGTCACTTGACACCAAAAGGGACAACTCTCATTTATGATACCGTACTGTTGAGAGGGACGGACTAACGCGATATACGTGTACCTAAAATTTTATTAGTACTCATAGCACCCTTTTTATCTTGACATGATTCGACTGCGATGCTGATTTGCTCTGCAGAGGGCCGGACTATGACATGATGAGGGGGCCAATGTGTCCCAAGGTGTTCCCACTGTGGAGAAGTTAAAGAGATTTCGGGTGGGCGATTTCAGACGAAACAAAAGTTCCATCTTTCGAGGCTCCATGGTGTTGATGTCAGACCACGGATCAGATTGACACATTTGACGAGACATAAACAATTCAAATGTCGAGGATATTCGTGTTCGAAGTCCTCTATCGCTCTTCCTTTTCTCTATCAGTACCCGTGTCATTCCGGGTATGTTTATGTGCGATCATACTGCATGTGAAGCGGGATCTACGAGGTGTACACATCCCAGCTGGGAGATAGTCACTTTACAGGGTCTCAAAGATCGAAATGAACTACTCGAAAGAAAGGAAAGAAGTCATTAGCGAGTAATTTTTAATAATCCGTCGTATATTGATCGTAATCCTGGGGACTGTGTAAGTTTCTACCCACTTACCCCAAGTAGCTCCCCTTCGGCCAGCCCTAATCAGGCATGTTCCAAAACTTTCCTATTTAGGAAGATGGATGATGAGTGTTGTAGGTAGGGCTACAGAGCAATTTCATCGTCAGCGTCCTTGTATCAAAGGACAAAATAATAATTACAATTTCACAGGGAATCATTGCCTATTCTTTATGCTAGGTGCTAGAAGACTGGTTTTTACTGCAGCACATCAGCTGCAGAAGATAACCCGGAAGCGTCGAGAGACGATGGTAGAATTAAATTGAGCCGATCGCATTTCAAACACACTATTGTACCTGAGTAACTATAGTTACATTGATTGCTTTAAGTCATAGAAAAATCACGTGTGAGCAGCTGGTATTTCGTCTCATCCCTTCCTTCCTCCTCCTTCCGGCCAACATCACGACTTCTAGAAACCACCCAAGAGAGGGATCATTGATGCATTGGAACCTTCGATTATATAAAAGTATCCATTGCTCTGACACATCATGTCATCATCTCTCATGGACATGTCAAAGCTCCTTTGCTATCCGGTCTTAGTGGATGTATACATTCCACAAACTCACAAACAACGCTGTCTCCAACTTGGGCTGCACAGGCTGCCAGCCGGCCTAAATCACGAAGATACATATGATTCCATGACAAAAACATGAAGTAACAAACTTATTTTCCTGTTTCAAGACATGATCATCGACTTAACAGCCTATGATAGGTAGGAAATATGTCTGCTCTCTTATACTCGACCAGCATTAGCACATTCTTCGCGTGTTGAGAACTTGACTAGTTTGCATTCCACAATCATAACCAGACACCCATCCCACAACAATCATAAGACAACTTTCCGTCTGTCTTAGCTGGGCATAATATTCATGTTACACATGTCTTGATTTTGCTTCACTTATGCCGTCATCTCGTCAGCCCGTGTGCATCCAGGAGGACGCATCCACAGATATTGGTGCGCCGCTGCTGCAAGTGCCACTTGCGCTTTTGACTAATGATTTGACATACAATAGTCAACTCATCCAATAACTTGATAATCGATACGAAAACTCTGACAATGCCGAGTCTCCCGGTTATGATCGCGGTGGCGGTAGGATGTTCCGTCTTGCTCATCGTCAGCGTAATCCTCGGGGTAGCAGTTTGGTGGAGGAAACGACAAGATCGTCTATCTCTTGCAGTAGCGCAAGTTGAGCACTGCGCATCACATCAAGGACAAGCTTGTAGTAGCTTTGTGACAGATTCTCCCCTCACCTCGCCCTTGCCAACATATCCATACGGAACACGCCAGGAGTGGGCACCGCTTGGGTCACAAGAGAAATTTCAAAGACCACCATCTCAACCAAAAACATCACCACCACCTCCTCTCAAGAAGGAAAAGTCAAAGTCAATACGACGGTCAATCTCAAAATCTCTATCGAAAAGTCTCTCAATAGGGCGAAGCAACCAAAAGTCTATTCATATGGAGTCGCTCCCCAACCTGCAGCCAGGACCACAAAAAATCGTCTGTCCAGTCTATCCTGATGCCAAAGAAAAAGAGCCCAAATCAGCTATTGCAGGTTTCTCAGAGCTGCCCACGGAAATCACTCCACGCAACACGCCAGAAAGGGAAAGAGATGATATACTTCAGCTTGAAATGTATAACAGTCAACCAGGATCTACTGCATGGCCACTACTTCATTCAGAGCAGAGGCTCTCTTCAGTCGCCGGTGGCCAACCCACTTATTTCGACCAGAATCACACCAGGCTGCGGAACGGGAGTATCACAGCCCAAACAGCTGGAATAGCTCCAGATATGCCAATGCCACCTACACCATTGAATATCTCACAATCGTACCAGTTTCCAAGAGAAGACTCTTTGATGGGTATGTCATCATTGAGTGTCGAGACTGCAAATAGCTCAATTTTGGATGGCAATTTGCGAAGATCAATGTCGGTCGATCATGACTTCAACTATTCACCATCTCTGCCACCATGCCCAACCTTCACACCCTTTAGTCCTTACGATATCGTGATTGGAGGAAGCGTGGCTCAAGACTGCGCATCACATCGACGAACACAATCTCAGAGATTATCATCTTCAACTGCTCATCTAACATCAGTGTCAATGGAATCCGGAAGAGGAGATCCTTCTCCTCGACGAAGTTTGACTACCCGAGAGGTCTCACCTCAACCTCCAGATTGGGCCAGTCGGTTACCACGACGCGGTGAAACGGTTCTGTCGTCTGCGTCATCCGCAGGTCACACTAGCAGCAGGCCAGTGAGTAGCATATCTGGTACTAGTCCCAACGCTTTCTTCCCCGCAGGTCAAGGCTTGTATTCTCGGCAGGAATTTGGTCCCCAGAGCCATCGACAAGAGCGGTATTCAATGTACGAAAGGTCTAAACCCAGGGAAGAGCCGAACATGATTTTCAGCCAGAGTTTAGGTGATCGACCCAAATCAACCCAAGCTCCTGGCCCAAGAGGATCAAGGGATAGCTTTAAAAAAGCCCCTTTACCTTCCGCTATGAAATCCGCCCAGAGTGTGAAAAAGGGCCATAGGAGGCAAAATTGCGTGCGGATCTCCATACACCCACCCATTACATTTGGTGGTCCTGCCTTCTCGCCGATGCTAGAAGAGCCAGAAGAAGTGTTGGATCTCCAGAAAAACTTAGTCAAGCCAATGCAACGGCGACAATCAATCCAGTCACCACCTTCGAGAAATGGAAGCGTACACCACCCAAGTTATGAAGAAAAGCGTTATTCTAGGCAGAGTCGTCATCTATCGACAGGGTCCATTAAAGAAGAGCCTACAGTACTCAGTGACGCTTCACCTGACACAAATTCTCGCATTCCTCGCCCACAGTCGTCTCGAAAACGCGCTCGCTCCAGAGCAGACTCGGTTGACGACGTCTTCACGTCTGAGAACCGAATTGTAATCCCCAACAACATCTTTGCCCGACCACCTGATGAAAACCAGCTTCTAACAACTCCATCTCCGGAGAGGCACAAGCCATTGTGGTCTCTCCCGCGCTCTAATGAGTTCTCTGGCTCTTCGCCTAAATTCCCGGTAAATGCTTCGACGGGAAGTCCGCGGCGACCAGCGCCAAAAGGACCACGAAATCAACCGGACCGACAACAGAAAAAGACAGAACCACCATCATCTTTGCAAATTGGAACATCCGAAAATGGATCGCCGGACCGCGAATCTCCAACCAAAAGGGGTGTTAACAGATCACACACACTCACTGCATCTCCAACAAAGGATGTTCGAAAGTCTATAACTCTGCTTCGGCGCATGAACAGTGAAGCATGTGACGAGGATTCTAGATCATATCGGCGTATGGGTCGAAATGCTAGTATCACCCGGCATAGCGACAGAAATATTAGGAAGCCGCCGAGCAATCGCAATTCGGTACTAAGTAATGACAGCTTGATTATCTGGGAAGATGCGAGCGAGGATGGTAGCGTCACGTCACCGATATTCCGACAGAAGAATCCTCCACCATTCAAACTTCTTGAGCGAATTGACTCTGAAAACACAGTTGAGGAAAATATGAATGTTATCATAGAAAATCAAAAGCTATCAACCATACGTCAAGTACCGCCAAGCAGCAGTATTATGGCTTTTGAAGATCGTGATCAGGACAATAACAGCGACAGTTCGGACGAAGTTGCACGCAAGCGGCGCATTAATATCACAGCAATGCAGACGCCGAGCAGAAAGGTCCAAGGTTATGCAAGCGCGGCAGCAACTCCAGGAAGTCTGTACGATCGAGACGGTTTTCTGAAGGAATGAAAGCATGGTTATACATAATGTGTGCGTATGTGTAAAGTATGATTCGAGATACCAATTTATGTAGATATGGCGCCTGTTTTGATTGTTGTACGCATTTGTAGTGCGCGATCGTTGACTTTTTCGTTTGTGGTGTTCGATATTTCAAGTAACTCGTAATCACAAGTAGCAGAACCGAATCAATCCTATATAAGCACGATAATTGTCAATCTCAAAGCGACATGTTTGTTAAATGGCATATTCACTGGTTTTTGAGCCCTAAAGCCTTCCTTTTGGATTACTATTGCCTATCTATATGACCGCAAAGAGTCTTGCTTCAGTCCGTCCTCCGCCATTTCGTCTCTCCATCCCCATTCTTTTCTCCGGCACCATCACCGTTTTCGACCTGATCCCCATCATTCCTACCATGCACATTGCCAGCGCCGGGGCCCAAGCCCGGCAAAGTCATAGAAGCAGGAGGCTCTCCATCAGCTATCCAATTGCCCTCCTCATCAAAATACTCATGCATATTTTCAGCGGTAATCCAACCCGAACTACCATCTACCGGAGGTGGTAAGCCACCATCAGAAGCACCCGGTACGATCAATCCGGCAGCTTGCAATATCCCACCAACCCCCGGTTGCTCAGTAGAATCTTCGTAGTTGCCATAATAGTCATCATCTCCTTCTTCGCCGGGCGCGACAGGATCCGGATGTAGATTTGAGCAGGCAGATACGGCTGCGTAAAGAGCCTGTGTTGCGGTTTCTTCAGGTTTCGCCTCTGCATTTCCTTGTTCAGCTGCCATTTCCTCTGCCACAAGGCCGGTCATCTCTGTACCCGCTGAATATGAGCCAAGTGCAGAACTAGCAGCTTCCGTCACGGATGGGGGGACAATGGTCAGCGTGATACTGTCTTCTTCTTCGTCTTCCTCTGCGCCTGTTCCGTCCGCAGGCGTAGGTTTAGCAATTTGCATGTACAGGCCTTGCCCTTCCTGTTCATTCTCGGGTGTGTCAGGCAGACGGAGTCGTTGAATTGCATGGAGAGAGATGAGCGGATAAGGTAAAGCTATGCCGGAATTTGCTTCTGTGCGGTAGAGGAGGAATTTGCTATATTTCGTTCAGCAAATTGGCTATTTTCGAAAGTCGATGATTGTAGCTTACTCAGATGTTACAAAAACATCAACCCCATCAATTACGATTTCTTTTCCTTCTTGCGGTTCAGGCGCAACCTCCGATGATCCATTAGCAACAGGCGCTCCACCGCGGAGGGTATTCAATGCTGGAGATGCGCTAATATCACTTTCTAAAATGACCACTTTGCATCGTGAGCTATGGTAATGCAGTACTGGAGGACCACCATAGAAGGATTGAGGGGTGCGTGATTGATGTTCGGCGAGGGGAGTGAAGGAGCTGGCCGAAGGGGAGTTCTGTAAAACTTCCATTGTTGTTCTCCTCAAACTTTCACAGAAACTCCTATTTGATTCAATTTTCTTTGATTTCCGCTTATTGTGCTGGAATTGGCTGCAGACAGGATGATTGACGTTCGGACAATGAAGCTTTTTTCCTTCTGGAGAAGCTATTTTGAGCTCCCCAGTCCCGCATCACTCACGTGACTAGTCTCCCCGCATGCCGTCACTGCTGATAGCCAATTGTCAACAACTTCTCTTCAAGTTTGATACATTCTTATTAGCAAGCAACTTCTTTTCCCAGTATTAACACTCCTCGCTTTTCTCTTGGTTATATCTTGTATCTTACAAGACCTATTGTATGTCGGAATACAAGCTATCCGCTTCTTTAGAAGGCCACAGCGATGATGTAAGCTTATTGTCGTCGTTCATCGTTGCATACTTGTTTTACTAATCAGAACAGGTACGTGCTGTGGCCTTCCCAAACAGCAAATTGGTAGTAACAGCTTCTCGAGATGCTACTGTTCGTATCTGGAAGCAAGTCTCATCTCCACCGCCGACGTACGATTACACTATTTCCTCGCATGGGTCGTCATTTGTCAATACAGTCGCATACTATCCTCCTGCTGGCGAATATCTGGAAGGCCTCATCTTTTCTGGTGGACAAGATACGATAATAGAAGCTCGACAACCCTCCAAAGCCTCCGGTGATAATGCGGATGCAATGCTCTTGGGCCATAGTCACAACGTATGCTCACTAGATGTCTGTCCTGAGGGTGGATGGGTTATCAGTGGAAGCTGGGATTCATCGGCAAGGTTATGGCGGATAGGCAACTGGGAGACCGACGTGGTCTTTGATGGCCACCATGGGAGCGTATGGGCTGTATTGGCCTACGATAGGAACACCGTTATCACAGGTATGCTACGAACCCGTCAGAAACCAAGGCATGTGACGTATCTGACGAACTTCTTCAGGTTGTGCTGATCGCATGATCCGTATTTTTAATACGTCGGGAAAACTGCTGAAAACGATTAAGGATTCTCGGGATGTTGTGCGAGCTCTGTGCAAACTACCCGCTGGCCATCCTTCCGGTGCCCAATTCGCCTCTGCGGGCAATGACGGAATAGCACGACTTTTCACACTCAATGGAGACCTTGTAGGAGAGCTTCATGGACACGAAAGCTTCATCTACTCAATCGCAGTGACCCCGTCGGGCGAACTGGTGACATCAGGCGAAGATCGGACTGTCAGAATATGGAGAGGAAATCAATGTGTGCAGACAATTACACACCCCGCGATATCTGTATGGGGTGTTGCTGTCTGTCAGGAGACTGGGGATATTGTTACGGGTGCGAGTGATCGCGTGGCTAGGATATTCACCAAAGATCCCAGTCGGCAGGCTGACCCAGCGGTCATTCAACAATTCGAGGACGCTGTGAAGGAGTCTGCAATCCCACAACAGCAAGTGGGTAATATCAACAAGGAAAAATTACCAGGGCCTGAGTTTCTCAAACAGAAGTCTGGCACCAAAGATGGCCAGGTGCAAATGATTAGGGAAGACAATGGCAGCGTTACAGCCCATACTTGGTCGTCAGCAACACAGGAATGGATTGCGGTCGGTACAGTTGTCGATTCGGCAGGAAGCTCCGGAAGGAAGACTGAGTACCTTGGACAAGATTATGACTATGTCTTCGATGTCGACATTGAGGATGGCAAGCCACCTTTGAAACTGCCTTACAACTTGTCCCAAAATCCATACGAAGCTGCTACGAAGTTTATACATGATAATGAGCTACCGATCGGGTATTTGGACCAAGTAGCCAATTTCATAACTCAGAATACACAAGGAGCAACAATCGGTCAGACGACAGATACCCAGCAAGCAGGGCCTGGTTCTGATCCCTGGGGTCAAGAGAGACGATATCGTCCAGGCGATGCTGCCGCCGCTGCACCCCAGTCTCCGTCGATACCAGAAACCCGTCAAAATGTGCTTCCCCAGAAAAGCTACCTCTCTATCAAGTCAGCGAATATCAAATTGATAGTGAAGAAATTGACGGAACTGAACGAACAGCTTGTCTCTTCTGGGAACAAGGACTATTCCTACAACCCGCCCGAATTAAATACAGTTGTGGCTTTCTGCAATCACTTAGAGAATACTGCTTCGTTCCCCAAAGATCCTGCTGCCGTGGAGGACAGCATACAACTTGTTTTGAAGGCGGCTCTCAAATGGCCTCCTGCAAATCGACTTCCTGGACTTGACTTACTTCGACTTCTAGCGGCAGCTACACCTGTTACTGCTCAAATTCGGTTTGAGGGGCAGGATATTATCGACACCGTTCAACAAAGCGGGGTGTTCGATAGTCCCATCAGTGTCAACAATGCCATGCTGACAATTCGATTCTTTGCAAATCTCTTTGATACCCCTCTAGGTGGAGATCTTGCTGCGACCAAATTCGATGATATTCTTCGGATGGTATCATCAGCTACCACAGCAGCAGGTGCACCGTCGAATCGAAATGTTACGATAGCCGCTACGACCTTATACATCAATTATGCGGTCTATTTCACTAATCCGGGACGGGTTCAAAGTGCAGAATCTGCAGAGCACGCTCTTCAACTGCTTGATGAACTGTCCAAGATCTTTGCAGATGAAAAGGACTCGGAGGCAGTGTATCGCGGACTAGTGGCTCTTGGGACGCTTGTCAAAGCGTCTGGCGAGGAAGTGAAGAGTGCCGCAAAGAATATTTACGACGTTGAAAAAATATTGAGCAAGGTCTCGAGTTCTAGTGCTGGACGCGAACCGCGGGTGAAGGGTGTGATTGGAGAGATCCGGGATGTCATGCGATAGATTTACTGGCTTTCTGGAAGTCTTCTGGGTCATTTTTGCATATCTCACATGAACCAATCATATTCATATTCTTTCTACAATCAAAAGCCAGCTACAGATAGTTCATTAAGCCTACATCTTGACCCATCATCCATCCATCAGAGACATAATTCTTCCAATTTCGTAATCTAGAGCTTCTCGTCAGCATTAACACCAACCTCCATAATCTGGTCAATGCCCGGGTAATCAGGAATATCTAAATCATATTTATCCGCAATTGATTTTGTCAAAAACCTTCCCCCAACAAAATGCCTACCCTTATACCATTTGACACATGGTTTGGGCGCAGTAAGACTAATCAACGCTCCGGGCATGAACTTGGCACCGGGACCTTCCTTTGGTGGTCCTTCTTGAATATCCCATGAACTGGGCGCATCGACGCTGAGGACTGGTACTTTTGTTTCTTCCATTTGACTTATGATGGATGGGAAGGGTTCTCTGAGAGGCTTTTGGAAGGAGAAGCCAAAGATGGCGTCGACTACCAGATCGGCAGATTTGAGGGCATCTGTGAAGTCTGGTACGAAGGGGACATCGAGGTTCCGAAGTTGGATTTTGAGGCGCTGGGATGGCCCATCAATATTTTTATGCTCTATCGTTTCACGTATCGGTTCTTCGACCTACCTCGTATAATTCGTTCTTGCCTTGCTTCGGATAATAAACAGATGGTTTGTAGCCATAGTGCACTAAATGACGAGCTGCAACAAGTCCGTCCCCTCCTGTAATTTCAAGCTTAGCATGTCATTTAGGATGGATATAGATGGCTGTACAAACCATTATTTCCAGGTCCGCATACAACAAGAACATTCTTGCCTTTACTTATAGGATGAAATCGATATACTACGCCCGCGCTTTAGTGAGACCAGCCAATGTTTTACAATCACTTGATAAACGTACCAGCTTGCGATACAGAGAGACCAGCTAGTTCCATCAATTGGTCTAGTGAAAAGCCTCCCACGTCCATTAGATCCTTATCCAAGGCAGCTGCATCTTTGGAAGATATTGCCTGGCAACTTTGTCAGATTCATAATATACAATTCTGGCGGAAGAAAACTTACCTTGAGAGACATGCTTGCTGTTTTCGCAAATCGATACGGTTTTACTTTGAACAGGTGATGTGTCGTGTGCTTGAGAAAGGTTGTCGTACGGAACATATATACTTGTCGTCGGTACGATTCAAAGATGTGTATCACACTGATCAAGGTTCCGAAGTAGTCCGTTATAAAACAGAATCAAATTGAAATCAAAGATGAAGTACAAATAAATTAAGAAGATGGTGTTGAAATGCAGAAAGATATCATTGCATCATCGTTAAACACATGCATATCAGTCTGCCCAATCGGGTAAGGCTCTTCTTGCTCCCATCTATACGGGTCAACGTTGTTCCGGAGCTTAGAAGAAGATCCTCTCCGCGGAGGTCATTTAAAAGAAAGAGTGTCTCAACACTATTGTGCTGCAACCACCACCTCGAATACAATTGTTCAGTCACTCGGTTCGTCTTTCATAATGGTTGTCAAGATTCGATTTGCGCGATTTGGTCCGCGCCATTCGCCATTCTACAATATTGTTGTCGCACAAGCTAGGTATGTTATTTTTTACCTCCCATGATCCCGACGGTTACCTAAGATGGCTTCCAATCCGTTTAATCTCTTGGACTCTCAGATTTTACCTGGAATAATTGATCATATTTAACTCAATTGTACAATGCAGGTCGGCGCGAGACTCCAAACCACTTGAGGTTGTCGGAACCTACAACCCCCTACCACAAAAACCGACCAATTTGTCCGAGGAGGAAGCACGGGTCGCAAAGCCTTTTAAAGAGATTTCAATCGATCGATCACGAGTCAAGTATTGGTTGGGTGTCGGTGCGCAGCCCACCGATTCCGTGTGGCGGCTACTCAGTATGGTACGTCAATATATTTTGAGACCTTCTTTGGTTGGAATGAGACGGAGATAGTGACCTGCTCGAGTACAAATATCGGGCGTATAATAGATTTTGATGAGACTGACTGTTATACACTGCAAAGGTTGGACTACTCGAACCCAAGCCGAACAGATTTGCTCCGCAGAAGAATTGATCGGGCTTTCAGCTCCCCAACCGCGTTCAATTAGGAGAAACTGAACTCACTAAAAAGGTATATGGTACGAAGAAGGGGAGGATCTTTCGAGGAATATCAGGAAGCTAGCGATTCTCGTGTGGCAGAAGTGTCCCGAGTACCACAGCATTTTCGGCGTTTGGGTTCTGTCTATATATCTTTCGCATGTACAATATAGTCTGTACTATTCGGTCTTTTATCAGTTCTGGAGCTTTTCTCTATAAGTATAAGAAGTGGCATATCGACGTCCACTCGTTCCAAATTTTTGGCATTGATGTATGACCTTAGATTTTCCTTTGAGGGTCATGATGTGCGTAAATATCAGCCATTTCATGTTCGCAATGTATACGACGAGCGCCCAGATGCTTTATCGACATCAAAACCAAGCAACCTGACCGTTCACGGATCACTTGCTTGTTGAACGATATGCTGTGTAGTATGTTAGGGTTGTAGCTCAGCTTGGAGGAGTCTAATATAAAGCCGCCCGAAACCCGAGGACTCGGCCATATTGCCCTAATTAGTGAATTGGCTGATATTATTCCCGAATGCTCTCGCACTTCACACTTTCGGTAGCTTGTACCAGTGAAGTCCGAGGCAAGCCGTGATATTTCTTACCGCCGGATAACCTTGCAGCCAACGCTGTGGCTTACCTCCAAACTCGGGACACCATATGCAGTAAATAAGAGACAACGTCCCAGTAGTTCTATTGTCCGACATAGAAAACACATTAGACCGAAGCTTGCTAATCAAGACTTTACAGCTCGGGATTAGACGATGGTTACATAACGTGTCTCTTCTACATAAATATGACGATTCCTCCGACTCCAGTATACCTAGGAGCACTCTCAAATAACCAATTATTATACCTCCTTATCATATTCTAGACTGACAGCAATGGCTTCCATGGGCACCCCCAAACCATTCCATACCAATGTCGATCTACGCTACACTGCCCTACTTCTTTCAGATATCCAGAATGAGATTCTGGCACGATTCCCTACAGAGAGAAGAGAACGGTATATCCAGGAAATAATGTCGTTGATCAACCTCTTTCGCGAAGATATTCATAAGCGACGCACGGCGCCAGCAGAATCGACGGAACAGGCAGCCGGCGCCTACGTAGGAATACCGCTCATCATCCATCATGTCCTCCCGTACGGATATAACAATAACGCCTTCATATCGCCATACAACAAACTGTCGTCCTGGGTCAAGTCTCTTGAAGAAAAAGGTCTCTTCACTGTGGCAGAGAAAGCGAAGAATCCAGAGACCCCGGCTTATTCAATCCCTGAAGCTCTCTACCCGCAAGGAGGTAGCTTTGGAGGATCGAACATTGATGAGATTCTCTTGCCAAAGTTTCAAACTAGCTCCTTTGGCTCGAGTGATCTTCTGGGGTATCTGCGCGCGCGTGGCATACGGCACGTTGTGTTGTGTGGCTTAACGACTGTTGGGGCAATTCTGGGGTCGGCTCGTCATGGTGCGGATCTGGATTATCATGTTATTATCCCGCGAAGTGGAGTGATGGATGATGAGGACGATGTCAACGATTTCATTTTGCAGAGGGTCTTGCCCAAATTTGTCGATATTGTTGATATGAAGGACGTCAAGAAGGTATTTGTTAACGCTACTAGCTGACATTGTTTCCTTCGATAACCTCTATTTCCTTAGAAATGTTTGATAATATTGAATTTCTCGAGCCTTGAAGTAGTAAATGCGCACTGATGATTTCCTGGATATGGTCTGTGACTTGTGGATCCATTCTCCATCACCTTCCCGTATCTGGCAAGGCTGAATGAGCTTAAATCGAGCGACACGACAACCTCGATGAAACAGTCAACGGATAGTTATGTTCCCCTAATCGACGGTCTGTACTCTCATACTTTGAAGTCCGTACTGTCTCGAGCTTATAAACAGGATTTGGGGGCTGAAGCAGCCGATAATGGATAAGATAGGCGACTAAATGCTGATATCACGATCCGCGCGCTCCGATTGTGGTCACTGAGTCGTGAGTCTGACAGTGGTGAATATCCATAGTAGCCCATGTTTTTGTGTTAACCAAGCACAGGTGCAGTTCTCGAAAGTCTAATAGAGTAACTTACCGATAACCAATACGTACAGTTACGCCCCACTATGCAGCTATGTAGCCAATAATATTTAGTGACGCGCGAACTATGCGTTCCGAAACATTTCCGGACGAAAAGAATTAATCACTGTCTCGTCTTATGCTGATCGCTGATCACACTGTTACCGACTCTGTACAGCTGCGTAAAATATCATATTACCCTAAGCATCCCAGCTAGACAGTTACTATCATTCCTGGAGCCCCACTCGTTACCCGCGCGGCCTCTAGGGATACCATAATGGATGGCATAAGTGGTAAAGGACAGTATTCCTAAGAAACGCCAATCAACCTGTGTAAATGCATATTTTGACCACCTTCTGAGTGGTCAGCGCCTGGCACACTTTCCAAACGTTTTCAAAAAAAAAAAAACAAGACGCCCCACTCTGGTCGCAAGCGGTGCTCTGGTTCGCTCTTCTTGCTCTTGACTTTTTGTCTTAGTCCTCGCCCGGCCCCACTAACCCTTGTCTCTGCATTCGGTTCGACAGATCTGATTGGCCATCCACATAATCCGGCAACGCTCAGCCACTGAGAGAGACGATCGACGAAGCAATAAACAGCCCATATCCGAATCAGTCTTAGGCTCAGCACGGGTTGTGTACACTACATTGTAGTGCATACTATGTATAATAATACGTTCGCACACCGTATCGTATTCCTTTAATACAATACGAGCTAAGTCGCTAGGACGCGCCGTGCCTGAGGTGTGAAAGTGCCAACTAAACTCTTCCTGGCCGCAGACAGTCTGCCGGGTCCGCAATTCCTGTTCCTTGGGCCGCCTAGAACGCTGACTTATCAGGCCCAGGCTCGACTTTCTGATTCAGTCCCCTCTTTCATGCCTGCAGCGATCGTATTGACTGTTGTCCAGCGCGTTGGACATGATCGCGTCTGAAGAGAAAAGCTGGAAAAATAAAATTGGGATAGACTACTGAAACGCTTTTCGGTGAGAAATTCACGTGTTAGGGCTTCGCATACTCCATCACCTCTTATTTCTGGTCATGCTCCGTGTATTTCTCGTCGTAATTTACAGTACAGCCGGTGTCTGCCTTCGACTTAAATAACGTGCTAAGCCGTTCCCGGCTCGATGTCAGTCCCAAGAAAACAACCAACAGCATGACCCAAAGAATTTTAATCGAATCCATCGATTGAAAATTACTTGATTCTTTGGGACGTGGATGTGGCTGGCCAATCAGGGCTTGTTGTGGCCGTATCGTGAGCCATATCTGGCCAGTCACAATCCTGATTTCTGCGTCCATTACCATAAATTACACAATTATTCTCCCCTGGCCGCTAATCTCCGCCCACCTTCCCTCGTAAGGGCTCGCAGGCTGCTCGAACTTCCCACTTCTCTTCCCACCCCCCCTTCCCCAACTTTATCCTAGATCTTCACCTCACCACACCACCGTCCTCGTCATCATCATCATCATCATCATCACTCTCCACTGCCATATTTCCTCTTTTCATTTGGTCATCTATCCTTGCGACTCTTTATCGCATCTTCATTTCATCTATCATCTGTCGCGCTTTCTTTGTTCCATTATACAACAGCTTTTTCATCTCCATCTGTTCATTCCCGCGTCCTGGGATTTCCGCGCGACCGTGTTGCAGACCGCGTGTGCGATCCCATCCGCGCTTTTCGAATAACTGACGCCGACCGATCAGATACTTGTCGCAACACCTCCAGCAGTCTCATTTTATGTGGCGCAAAAATACATTTATCAGTAAAAGACGAATCCAGACCTACACGGCTCTTGATTATCGCGTCGCATCCCAAGCCAACCGTGATTAGACAGCATCTCGGATACGCCACTCTACCGTCGCGTCTGGTCTAGGGCTTCTAGGCTTCTCTTTTTCGACTACCTCCTGTCGTATCCTTTGAATAATTTTTTTTTCTCGCTTTCGGTAGAGCTCGCTATCTTGCCGTCTTTCATTTCACTTCTTTGGACGAGGCATGGTCGGCAGCTCAACAACGCAGTCCAGCCGCACCAGCCCTGGGTCTTTCAGTACTAACCAGCGCGCGACATCTGTTTCGTCCAGTACGTCATCTCCTCAGTCTTTGTCACAAGGGCCGTCTGGGTTGCATAATGCGATGTCGACCGACGTGTACAACTCCGCTGTTTCCCAGCCTCCCATGTCCTTGAGCTCATCCTTCTCCTACCCCTTTTCGCCGATCGGAACCAGCTCGTCCTTTGATAGTCTAGGAACAAACGGTATGCGACTCACTGAATCCGATTTGTCGCCTCCCATGAATGGTTTTCACCGTATGGGCAGTGGTGGCGCCGCGATCTTGATGCGCAGACTGCCTCAAAATACCAGTCGAGAAGCACTGCGAAGCATGTTCCTCTTTGCGAAGGACTTCGTCGATGCTGACTTCGTTCCATCCGAATTACCAGAGGATGGCAAGTTTCTAAGTGCTATTGCACGGTTCAACACAGTCGCTGCCGCCGAAGAAGCGCGAGCCATGTTGGATGGCAAGCCCAACACGAGCAACGATGCTAACATGATAGTCGAGATGTTCCCTGGGCCACTTCCAGGCCGCCGTAATACCATCGACCATACCGCCTCCCGTGGTCTTCCAGGGCCTACTGCTCGACAGTCGTCTCGCTTCAACGGCACTTTCCAGACAATGGCCAACGGTGCTTCTCAGCAACCCAGCGTCAACGAAGCGCTTCCTGCTCCAGACACCAATTCCCGGCTTCATAGTCTTTTCTCACCACGATCCCCCATAGGTAGTGGACTGGGAGAATTACCACGTGTAAGCGGCAAGTCAGTCATCGACCAAGACCTTGACGAAGAGACCGGCGAGCTGCTCAAAGATCCCGTTGGCTATGCGCAGAACGGACATGGGAATATGCCCCTCACGCGGCGCTCAACTAATCCTTCAATCCCAACCAGCCGTTTTGCCAATCTATCGTTATCCACGAACGTTACATCACCACCTATTCAGAATTACTCCAACGGGACTGCCGGTCGTATGGGATTACCGACTCCTGCAAGTGCGATGCCACCGAACATGAACGGCAACTCGCCTTTCCATTATCCCAACCAGCATAACCCACGCCATAGCCTTCCAGCTGCCAATCCGAACGACTTGAACCCTCCATGCAACACGCTCTATGTTGGCAATCTTCCAGCCGATACACAGGAAGAAGAGCTCAAAGCTCTCTTTTCTAAGCAGCGTGGTTACAAGAGATTGTGTTTCCGCAACAAGCAGAATGGTCCAATGTGTTTTGTCGAATTCGATGAGGTGGCAATGGCCAGCAAGGCTTTGAACGAGTTGTATGGCTACAAGCTTTCCAACAGTGTCAAGACAGGTATCCGCCTGAGTTTTTCGAAGAATCCTCTTGGCGTACGCAGCGGACAGCCGGGTAGCAGCGTCAACCCTCCAACGCCTCTTAGCCCACAGACGCCCATACATGGCGGCGCTGGTATCGGTCCCCTGCCGAATGCCATGTTCTCTACAGCCAGTGGTCCTCCACCAGGCTTGTCTGCCCCGCCGGGTCTTGCACTTCCTGTGGGCGCCCGAAATGGACCTATTCCACCGCCGAATTCTCACGCACCAATGGCCAACGGCAACTCGTTTGGCCCAAACAATGGACTCGGTATTCGCGCCAACGGATTAAGCTCTCTCAATCCTGTTTCTTTCGGCAATGGGATTCCTGGAAACGCTCAGGGGCCCGGTATGGGCGGCTTCAGCAGTGTCTATCCCGATTATATGATGGGTCGATGAGTGGTCGAACCAACCATCATCGTCATCTTTCTTTATACAAATGCAACATCATATTACGGATCGGTAATGTCTGGCATGTTTGATGATTTACTGGGTTATACGGCGCTTGGGGATATTGGAATTTCAAGTTAGAGTCGGTATCAGGAGGTTTCGTTTCTGCCTCCTTTTGCATTGCAGCTGAGACGACCATCATCCTCTTCATATATTCCCATTACACTATCATCGGTTTCGTTTCGCGCAGCGTTTGTTCAACATTTGTGTTGTCTGATTGACAGGGAGTTTCATCTTTATCTCAAGACCTGCATTTTTATCCTTTTCCCCTCTCATTCTTCCTTGTCATATTTTCTTTAGGCTGCTTCTTATAATCATTTGTCTTTTTTTTTTTGCCTTGCATTATTATGTTTCGCTTTGAAAATTATCCATGGATTCTGGGTATGGTCGCCCTTGGAGGATGTTCTGAAAGATGGCTTCATGGTGCTAATTCTTTTTTTTTTCTTTTCGAATCTGCCTTGCTCATGTGATTCCCCTTTTGCAACAACCGCATCCATTCTACGGCGCATGAGTAACATGGATGGATAATTTGTATGGCCAGTTGACCCTCAAGGCTTTGCTTTCAAGTCACTGCCTTGACATTACAGCATTGCTTTGAGACTGCGTGTTTTGATTTCCCCATTCTATTTGCATTTTACAATCATCTATGCTTCCTTCCTTCCACTCTTTTCTTCTCGCGAGAATGGCTTTCCTGTCCACATCTTCTGCTGGATGATGTACTTCTTTGAAAGTTGAATCTGTCAATGTTCTATTAGGCTTTCTTGTCTTGCAGCACTTACATAGTAGGTATTATTAGCACTTGATTGACTCATGTGAAGGCGTTCTTTCAGATCTGGAAGTTGTGGCTGCATTATTACTGATAACTATTGTTTTTCAAGCTTGGATTCCTCTTTGTTTCATGATGACCTTGGTATGAAGTTAGATCATTCTTCTGATGACTGTATTCATTTGAATAATTAGAGAAGTTGAATTTATTTACCCCAGTGGGCCTGATGCCATTTGCGCCAAGCTTGTTTGCATTGTTTGTTTATATCACGTGATGCTCTCGCGGCTAATCACAGAGAAACAATTTTTCCTTTTCTCTTCCTTCTATTTCCTTCAAACCAAGGGTGCTTCACCCTCAATTGCGCAACATCTTCGATTCTCATTGATCAATCTTAACAAACATAATACCCCTTGGATTGAGCTTTAATCAATTATCTCCATAATCAAACCCTTCCCTCACTCAGCTGTCACCATGCCTCCACGGATAAAGACGAACCGTATTCTCTCATCCTCCATTCTTCCTTCCTCCTCTTCCACACTCATCACATCACACAATACATCACAGATACAATGCTCTGCACGGAGACATCTCTCATCATCGCGCGTCGCACAGACGCGGCTGAGGGAGCAAATGTTCGACTGGTTGAATGGACCAGGTGCAAGTCTCAAACACCACATCCCCGGATCCACCAATTACGTGACGGCATTACGAAATCGCAGAGGTGGTGACTCAGAAGCATCAAGCACGAGAGATAATGCAGACTCCGAGGACGGTTATCAATCAAAACAGCCTTTCCCTCTGAATCCTCTCTTTGTTTCTGAGCCTATTCTTAGTGATGAGCTCTCCAATGAGATTTATAAACGTGTTGTTGTCCAGGGGAAGAGTGTTCGAAGTGTTAGTGTTGAGTTGCGAGTGGATATGAGGCGAGTAGGAGCTGTGGTGAGGTTGAAGGAGTTGGAGAAACGGATGAAAAATGAGGTATGTTCTTAACACTCTATCTTACCGCTTTCTTCCTTAGTCCGTTATTGCAATGATGAGCAAAATCGATTAGTCTTCAAGACTCGGGCATTCCCAGCTCGGAAATGGTTACTAAAAGTTCAAAATTACAACTCTCTGAAGCAATACATCTGCCCTATCATGATCATATCTTCTCGGCGTAATGAGTGAATCCGGCTTACTAACAACGTACTGTCACCAGGGAAAGTCAATGGCAGTCCCATATGCTCGGGCTGTCCATGAGATGGTGCCTACCACTCCGTTGGCTGAACAGGGCGAGTCCCAACCGACGCACGAGTCTATTAATGACCTGCCGGTTCATCGCTTGACAGCACCACAAATATTCTATCCTGTCTCTGAGTCACGCCAGTTTACGCGTGTTGACGCAGGACGTGTCTTCTCGGCGGCCCCGGCTCTGGAACAGGGCGAAGAGGCGACGGTCAATGTTGAATCGTTGATCGTACCGCAACCGAGACGCTATGAGAAAGTCGGCAAGGGTGATGAGGAACAACAAGTTCTCCTCCCTGCGGATGCCCGTATACCGCATCCGCAGTTGATTGCGCTTGAGCGGGACAAGATCTCGCACTCAATGGAGCGTCGTGAATATCTGGAACGATATCAGGAACGCCTCAAACAGTCTGATGAATTAGAAAAGGAGCGGAAGAGAATTGCAAAGGAAAAGGCCGAGAAACAGTTGACTCGACTTCAGCCGGACAACTCCAGGTTTGAGTTCCGCTTCAAGGATGTTGTGGTCAGCAAGGAGACGACCGGTCCAGATGGTCGTGGCCATGTTGCTCCTGGTCGACGATATGGTGTGCCCACGTATGATAGGAAGAAGGGACAGGTCAAGATTCCGCAGAAAGTGGAGGTTTGACTGCTCGAGACATCCAGCCTTGTACAGTATAATCACGTATCATGTATCATTATCATATCATAATATCCAATGCAGCCACAGGGGCATTTCCGGTTACCTTGATTGTTTTGTATATCAGTCTAGTCTAGTCTCGTCTCGTCTCGTCTCGTACCTGAGGATATAGAAGGAGGCCGCGCTGTAAAACAGCCCGCTTGGGTCCCTGGGTGCTCCGTACAGCAAGAGAAGTTTGGACATGACTCTGTAACAAGGTCTTCCCTCCATCAGCGTTACCGACTGGTGGCATCACTCGGTGTCAGAATATCCGTTTGAGAGGCCAAACCCTAAACCTCGGAAATCAATTAAACTCGCAATCAAAACCGGAACAGAATATGACACGTCCTGGCTAAACATACCGGCCATTTTCGTATTCGAAAACTAATCGGAGAATTTCTGACGTGTATGCGATATGCAATACGCAATATGGTATGGTAACTACGAAGTCTATCTCGGGCGATAGATCCTTGCATACGGGATCTTCGATCTGGTTAAGAAATTAAGAATATCGGGACCGACCGAAAGCCAGAAATAATACTACGTACATAAAGTGACGACATAGATATTTCGGCTTTCGGTGGTGGTTCGGCGCCGCGTGTTGTTGTTTTCTTTTTTTCCTTTTTGGGCTGGCTATGGCAGGTCGGGGCCGAAGCCCTAATTTCTTTCTGATTCACGTGGCTTTGTTCATGTTTACTCCAGTTTCACTAGTCTAGGGCAACGGTTTAGGGCAAATGGATCTCGGGTATACCTGCAATTCTGCGGGTAGTGTTGCCGTCATCGATCTCTCTCTTTTAGCAGATGTTATACTCTGTATCCTGGACTGTATAGACAGACAGCCGCGAGTGGTGGATTAGCACTGAGACGAGCCTAAGGCGATAATGTGATAATGCAGTGAGTCACTTCTCGTGTCAGACGAAGCCATGAATCGACGTTCCTGTCGATGCGATGAGTGAGGGCTTGGGCTTCAGTCAAGCCGAGCCGAGAGAAGGCCGCAGCCTTCTTTTTCGGCGCCGAAGCATCCGGCGCATCGCCGAATGCTCGACTCCGTGATCTTTCTGTATCCTCTCTTCTTGTCTCTGGGCCTCTTTTCTGCTGGACAGCTGGATATCGCTTGGCTTGTAGCTGAGCTATCAAGTGCTCTATGGTCCTGTTCGACGCGCTGGTGTCTTGTACATCATCACTTCCGAAAACATACATGAAGCTGTGCAGAAAGACTATGGTTCGCTCGGTAAGCGCCGCCACTTCTGACAGCTACTAGCTCGACCCACTGGCTAGACATCTAGATGCTAAATGCCTTCAGCAAAACATATCCAAAACCGGCCGTGTGCGTGCAGCTTCGGAATTGTATCACCCATGCATTCTCTGCAGCCGTGATAGGATGCTGACAGCGCGGATGAGTGATCTAGCCCCCTATATCAAGTTATTGAAGAAAAGCACCCCGCTCAAGCCCTTTTCTATGACTTCAATGGCTAAAACAGTGGATCACATCCCAAACATCCAGGCTCTGCTGTACCACTTGACCCTGCCCGCCGTTCTCCGATCTGAATTAAAGGTTTATCCAGCCGCGGACTTTCATCTAACCGTTGCGGCGCCGGGCACGGCTTTTTTTTTTTTTTTTCTGATACGGCTATTATTGCCGTGATCGATCACTTGCTTTATATAAGATATTTAGATGAGCCCCGATACCTGCCTACCATCTCGACTTCTCACTTCACATCACAGCCACAGCTAAACACCACCTCCTCCTTAGCTTCACACCCGACTTGACTGTCTAGTATTGGCTCTTTGAGTACTTGTTGCATTGACTCAGAGCATACTCACTCGACTCGGGTATCCTACATCAAACACTCTTACCGCTCGAGCCTGTTTATGGTCAACGACAACGTTCAGTCAGCTTCTTCCTAGGTTCTACTCTTCACACGGCCTGCCAACATGGCCACCTTCCAGCCCACATTCGAATCCTCACTTGACTTCACAAAGCCGATGGAGTTCCCTGCAGATATGAGTGACCACGTCGATCCATCCAATCTGATGTCGTCCTACCGGCCCTCAGACGCCGAATGGCTAACCAAGGATCCCTTCGAGATCTTGCCGTGGGACTCATTCGGTGTTGATCAGACCTTCAACCCTTTCACGGAAGACGCTGGTCTTGTTGAACTCGAGCCTCGCTCTTATGCTACTAGCAATCACGGCTCTCCGGCGGGGTATGGAGGTTACACGATCAAGACTGAGGATGCCCTGTCAGATGCATCTCCTCTTTCAGTATGTGCTTCCTCTCCACTTTGCCAATTGCACGCATACTAACCTACCCAGGACCCCGAGAGCGAGATGTGGTCCCCGTCACATAGCAACGACAACAAAAGCGGGAGCGTATCCCCCGTCGAGACTATTGGTGTCACCAATAAACCCACAACCAATACCATCATCCCCCTGCGAAAGGACTCCAATGCTTCCACGTCATCAACATCAACCTGCTCGCCATCCTCTCCACTCGCCTCGCCCAAATCATCATCCTCTTCAAAATCCTCGAATAATAAATCAAGCCGGTCGGTCCTCTCACATGACAACGACGCAGCAGCAGTCATGAAGCGGAAAAAGGCAGCACACAACGCCATTGAGAAACGATACCGGACAAACATGAACGCGAAATTTCTTGCTCTGGGAAACGCTATCCCCCGCTCCGGCGTTTTTACCGGTACACAATTAGCCTCGAACAAGGGGCCGAGAAAGCATTCCCTCTGCCAACCAACTCGAGACGGAAGACGACATCAAGAACAGCAGCAGCAACAGCAACAACAACAACAAAATAAATCCGAGATTCTCACAAACGCATTATCATATATCCATGAACTGCAGGATGAGAACTCAAGATTAAAAAGTGAATTACTCGTTCTGAAGGAAAATCTATTACCAAGAGGGAATATGATGTGGCGGCGATAGACCAGATTTCCCCCCCCTCCCCTTCGAAAAATGTGTTATTTTTTGATATCCACTCCTCCCATTACAACAACATCCCCGATATTTAATACGACCCATTTTTCGTTTCAGGCAGGACCAAGGAGTTTTTGGAGCCGGGTGCTTCGATTTTTTTTATTTTTTAACGATATGTACATATATATATACCTGAAGTCTCACTTCCACCTTATACTATAACTACAATGTGCTGGAATCACTTTCTACTCTCGACATTGATAATGAATATCATTCTTACCATTATCTCCTTTTTCGTAGGACAGTAGATAGTAAAGTTGGGGGGGGGGGGGGGGGAGGGTAAATCGGTACTATGTGTCGTCTCAAATCTTTTTGATGTTCTACACAGATCTCCATCAAATCGGAAAAATGACCTATTTAGGAAGCACAATTTAAGAACTGGATAGATGAGGTATATGAAAACCCCTATATTCCCATCGTATATTTGGAAAAAGAGTAGTTATATAAACAATATAAAGGAACAAACTGATACACTTGAGTCGTATACGTATGCGCATCTTTGCAGGACCCCTTTCCAGTCGAGAGAGATAGCAAGGCTGAAACGATTAGAAGAGATAGTCGATGTAAATGTACAATGTCGAATAACCTTCGTAATGAGATTGAAGCAAGAACAGTACGAGAATGGGTATCTGAGATAAATTCATCACAAAACATAGAGTATGACGAGTTAGGGAAAAAAAAAAGGCATGTTAAAAGGAGAAAAAAAAAGTTATTGATGCATAAATGCAATAGACAAATGCAAATGCAATGTAATGCAAATCATCTCGTCACGCTATCGAAACAACTTTCGGATTCGCTCAATCGGTGTAGCAAATCTCCGACTCAGTGATTGTCACACCCCATTTGTGGATGATTTCGATGGTTCTGCTGCTTTTAGTTCTTGGGCTAGTCCTTGAGGCATGGGAACTTCAATATCTTCGTCCTTGCTGCTGCTGCTTCCCGAGGCATCTGGTTCAATGACTGAGACTTTTGCGCTCTCTTTTTTGGTGGAGTCGCTGGCTGAGACTTTGACGGCGTGAATTGCAGCGTTATTTCGCAGACGTGATGGAGAATTCGTCGACGCTGGTTTTTCCGATGTAGCGCCAATACCTCGTGGTGAATCTTCGTATCCTCTCCATTTCCGCCAGCCTTCGAAATCAATCAAAGCTTGCATGCAGCCCCATTCGGTTACTTTTTGTTCCAACCACGGGAATCCAATGGGCTATCCAAAACAGATTAGACATCATAATGAATATCGGATTGAACGGACAAAATACCTTGGTCAAAAAGTCATTGCAGCCAGCCGCTAGAGCCTCATGCCTGTCGCTTTGCAAACTGCTGGCTGTCAATGCCACTATAATCACCGGACTCTTGAACAACGACAAATCCTGCAAGGTGTCTTCCTCTTTCAACGGGCAGTCAGCCGGTATAGAAGACGAAGGCGTAGCACTCGACCGGCCAGAAGCCGTCTTGGAGAAAACACCGATCCCATTCAACCGTTCTAACCGCCGTATTTCTTTCGTCGCATCCAGTCCATTCATTACAGGAAGCTGAATATCCATCAAAACCAAATGGAACCCTCCTTGCCGCCACTTCTTAACTGCCACTTCACCATTTGGAGCGCACTGCCATCGGACACTGAGACGTTTCATGAAAGCCTCGAGTAGTTTCTGGTTAATGACATTGTCCTCGACAATAAGCACATTGATTGGTGGGACTGTGCCCTCGATCAACCCCCCAAAAGCCCCTGGATTCGGGGAAGATAGCTTCTTTGCTCTACGTGCCGGACGGGGAGAAGCCGTCCTGGTTACTGTGTTAAGCGCAGGGTGTGTTGGTGAATCTGAAGGAACAGCTGGCGCTGGTGGCGTAGGCAAAGACGGTTGTGAGGAAGCTGCTTGTCCGTTGACGGCAAGATTTGTATCTAAGAGAAATCAGAAAAGAGTGTTTATAAAACGTGAATCTTCCTTTTATACCTTTGGACACCAGCGCAGTTGGCGAAGCGGTCGTGTGTCGGGCGAATGGAGGCCTTCGCGAGTGTCGATTGGGACGGCTTCCTGGTGACGGAAGAGGAGGAACTTTACCTGTTGTAAGGACAGACATGGCAGGAGTTTGATGAGCTGCACCCGCACTGCTATTACTAGAGCTTGCTGGATGACCTGGGGGTGTCCCCACATTGATTGGGACTGGCATAAGCGGAAAGTATTCGCTATGTTCACCCGGCTCTGCATGGTAGTAGAACGACTGGCGAGGCGACGGTTTGATTGGTGTCCGGCGAGTAGGCGCTTCAATAACAAGAGCTTCCTCAACAGTTTGTCCTCCGGGATAATACTGATCAATCAAAGCAAACAAGGACTCTTCCGGGCTCAGAAATCGATCCGGTGCAGCTGCTCGGTTCGCAGTCGCGCGAGGTAATATCCGCACCATCAAATCCGGTGAGTCAAATGTCCTTCCAAGCGAATTCGAATATTTGCGCAAGACATGATCTCGTAGCTCGTCAACGACACTGTCTTCCGGCATCGATACTAGAGTGGCAGACGCATCGGGTCGTTTGACCCAAATTCGCCGGTGCACCATCTCGATGATGCCGGATGAGATGGCACCCGAATGAAGGAGCTATGCGACGGCCACACTTGTATCTGAGAACTCAATGTGCCAGCCCTGCTCGTGAAATTGTGGTAAGATTGTCTTCGGAGGTACCAATGTAGCGAAAACCTGATTAGAGCACTAGCCTAGACGTGACAATGGACGGTCCTCGTGGTCTTCATCCGACTGCGGCTTGATAGGATAAGATCGATGATGCTTTGCTTGTTGGAGTCTCGAGTATCTAAAAATTAAACATTAAAGACCTCAAATTAAATGCAAACTCTTGAGAGGTAACAACGGGAAGCTTGGCAGCTTGCAGGATGAGTCGGCTATGTGACCGCGGTGGTGGTGAAATTAGCAGTGGAGGTGGTGGCGGCGGATAAGAGATTGAATCATTGGACTGGCTGCGATGTGTCGGGGGTAGGAGATACGGCTGTTAAAAAGCACAAAATAGCCCTGGGAAGTGGTTCGCCAGGGAGGACCGCTCGCGTCGTCGTTGTTGTTGTTGATGAAGATGAAGCTGTGAAGATAAATTAATTTCTAGAGCAATCCATGCCCAGTGCTGAGTCATGTGATTGGGCTGCTTCCCACCTTGCCAGCATTTCATCCGGCTAGAGACGCCTCTTAATTTACTCGACTCCATCGTGGCCAACAATCTACAATTATTTCTTCCACTAGATCTATATTACGAACGCAACGACACCTATCGACTTCATTTATACACGTTGCGATATCCACTGTTTTGCTTCTTCAGATTACAAGATGCCCCCGGATCTCGCCGGTATAGCTAGCCTCTCTTGACCCAGCTCTGGCTAGCCAGTACCTACCGAATACGATCCGCAACTTGAGAGAGTGAAAGCTGATGCTTAAAGAGTGATCTAGAGAAGTGTGCCCGATATTACTAGGGTCTGCCCTGTTATGATGATCCACTACGGCTCCACGCTTGACGTTCCGGCTCAAGCCTCAGGGCTCAAGGTATGTTCTGGGATTATCAACTGGATCCTGCAGGCTACGATAGCAAATACCAATGTATTGAAAGTTGACTGCTATCAAGTTTAGGTAAGTGATTGTATATCCATGCCAATTTCCAGATTAATCGGCTCTATGATGAATGTATGCCGGTCTACCAAGTTGATAATGCAGAAACAACCAAGACAAACGCCCTAACCAACCATATCATGCAAATGCAAATGCAGCCGTATCTCTTATCATAACGGCAAACCCATATAAACAATGCAGAACTCAACCCTGACCGCGCTCAAGATCTTTATCTTCTGTTGATGCCGAAACACCTGCTTCGGTTTGCTCACCTGCAACCACGCCTTGGTCCACCGGTGTCTGGGTCACAGATGAATTGCTCTTTTCGTTGTCATCAACTGGATCGCCATCCTTCTCGGCTAATAGATCATCGACAGTCTTCCCGCTTTCTTTGGCTTCTCGGAGAAGTTTGCGATGACGGAAACGCCATATCACATGGCTCAAAAATATAAATACTTCGGCGAGGAAGCTATGTCATGATAAGTCAGATGAAAGTTAAAGGTCGAGGATGGGAACTTACACGACAATGTAAAGGATTCCACCGAGAATATCAAATGTGCCTTGTGCCGCTAGGTAACGTCAGTATCCATTCCGAAACATTCCGCCAGAAATGTAAGGTACCAAGTGCAAAAAGCGAAAAGAGAGCTCCTAAGCTATCTATACTCAAGAAGACCCAGTCTGTAAAACAAAAGCCCGATCAGCATTCAGACAACCAAGCTCCGCCGGTGATTTGACTTACTAACTCCCACCACTCGTCCTCTCCGTTTCCAAACTTCCGAGTAAAGTGGAACAAAGCCCGAGGCCAGCATGATGGCAGCTATAACGCCGAAAATCAAGTCCGGCCATGTTATACCCTTTCGATATGGAATCTATCAGAACGTGTTAGCATTAATCTTTGCATACCCGAAAGAGAAGAGAAGCGTACCCGCAATGTAAGAATAAGCAAAGCCTCAATGCCACCAGCCAAAATACAAGAGCCGATGACAAGAAGTGATACCTTGAGTTGCGAGTATCCACTAAAACACGATTAGCAAACAGTCCCGAAAAGCCCCATTTGTTGGGGCACTGACTCATGATAGTGTAGGATCTGTCCCCAGCTAACGAAGCCGAAGAAGCCAAATATCTGAGGCTGAATCTGAAGTGGAATATTGACATTCTATCAAGTCCACCCAGTTAGATCATCTCCACCTATTGCTGTGTAGTTGGTATAAGCATACCTGAACAATCATATAAACCCCAAACGGCACCGAACCTAGAGAGTTTCTAATATGAGTAGCTGTTATCAAAGCAGAAAACAGCATGAAAGGACAACGTACAAAGAGCCCACAACAGCATCATACTCGCCGGCAATCCATCGGTCTTCTTATATCTCCAATTATGCCATATCTGAGGTACTAGCTGAATGCACCAGAACACCGTACCGATTGTTCCTAGCACATTTGCCGCCACGGGGATATCTTGGCCACTCATGATTCAACAGATTCCAAAGCATAAAATGACGATTGAATTGGAAGATTGTAAATTCAAAAACGACAGAGAAGATAAGCTAGAGAAGAAAGAGAACCACATGATCTTATTATTATATAAGTAAACTGGATAAAGAGGGTCCAGCCCATTCCAACCTAAAATTTTATACACGAATCAATCGAACCCTAAACCGGACAATGCAATGACCTGAAAGATGGACCCGATCTTGTGGAGATTCTGTTCTAGAAGAGACTTTAGTACCCCATAAGTCTTGAAGCAATCACAGACCAAGCATATATTAACATAACATAACAGAGATACCAAAACCGAGAGAAGTCACGAAGGGAAAAGAACTCGATATGGAAGGTCGGATGCAGAGGAAAGAAAAAAATGATGGACGTTCGATGTCAATATCTGCAATAAAGTTCCGTGATTGGCTAGATTATCCACCTTCGCTAGTCCTGATTCGGTCAATAGCTAGAGAAAAGTCGGAGATTCGGAGTCTAGTGGCCAATCAGAAATACGAACGAAAAGGCTTCTAAGACTATATATAAAGTAGAAGATAACGATATATCCGCTGCAATTGATCAAATATGAAATTGACCATATATTCTACACTGACACTGAACCATTCAATTTTGTCAGAAATCCACAGCCTCCTAATTGAACATCCCGGTTGATAAACAAAGAAATGAAAACGAAACTAAGGACGGAAAAAAACCCAATACTATGGTCATGAGAAGGTAATAATCAAATCCCATCGCAACATGACATGACGTGTTAATCGCAGTCGAAGAGGAAAAGACAAAGACCGAACAAATCAGTCATAATAAAAAAAAAAAGGAAAACCGCAGGATGATCCTGTCACAAGGGTATCAAAGTAAACTAGGTGTATGACGCCGAAGCGGAAATCGCATTAATGAGCACACGTTCATTGGAGAGTATTCTTTTTTGTGTTATCTTTTTGCTGCTTTAGTCCTTCCTTTGCAGAGAAGGATTCTAAAGCAAGATGAGATAATTCGACGGAGCAATGCCCGTCTCTCCGTTTGCTCGCCTTGCTTGCCACCATCGGCCACTGACATCAGATACTTCAAGTTCCTCACCCTTGGTGAAACTGATTTCGTTGGCATCGTCGGGATTCGCATCGTATGAGTAGATGGCCTTCGCCTTGTAGGGATATTCCGTTGGTTGACTGACTTCATTCGAAGGCTCCACGTTGGCAGGGGGGAAGTTGGTGGCAGTTGTATTGCGCTTGTCCGATCCCGGCGGGCCGCCTGGGTAACCGGACATGGGCGACGAAGTTTCGAAACCATTGAGTTGAGCAGAGGTGTACATCTGAGGAGGCTGGCTAACAGTAGTAGCGGGACGAGCGCCGAATGCATTGGAGGCCGGGCGACTGTTGTGGTATGCATTGCCTACTTTGTTCAATGCGAGTGAGTCAATTGCCTGGCGGTGGCTTGACTCTGGCGTAGAACCAAAGTAGAATATCCAAATGATCTATCTTGTTAGCAACGCCTACAAAAAAGGTCATGTCGTACTTACATTGATCATAGACAACAAGATGAAACCAGCGGCAGCAGCCTGTTTCGATGATTGCGGTTGGTAAACCAAAGAGTTCACAGCCAAGGTAGTGAATGCAAGACCAGCAGATAGATATCCAACGACCTGAAAATAGTCAGCATTTATAGATATATATATATATACACTTCGCATTCATGGTCACAGCATACCGCATTGCTATAGATCAGGGTAGTATCAGAACCCACAACGACAATTATACCGGCAATGACACAGATCATATAGGCGACCGCCCACCAGGCATAGTTGGGGAAATCTGTCTGAACATCTGCAATGATTGAGCCAATGAAGGAGATAATCCATGCGATCTAAGAAGGCTGTCAGTAATCGTTATGATATGAAGATGCTGATGCGAACGCGAAAGTCGATTTCTCACGTACAATTGATATCGAAATGGTGGATAGTGCGAAAGGATCGCCTAGGATATTACTAGGGTCGAATCGTGGCATTGCCGCGATATGTTGATGTAAGAGAGAGTAGTTCTAGGGTGATTGCGGCGATAAATCTACCGCAGCATCAAGTAAGTCTGAGTCGGCGCAGTCGCAGGACGATATATCAACGGATCTCTTCAAAGTGAAATGTTGATTCTATTACACGGAAATCCCACAAGGCGACGGATATGTGCGGCAAGGAAATGTATCGAGGTAACACCGTCGGAACCAGATGCAATATCCAGGAAAGATCAACCACAACGATATCGATCGAACCGATTTGGAGACAATCGTAGGCGATGCGTAGATACGAGAAGTTGCTTTAATCGAATGGTTGGATGTACAGACAGTCAGCCCTGCCGCAGTAAGAATTCCGAGGCCAGATCAGCACCAGGCTGTTCAAGGGGCGAGAAAAGTAAACAGAAGAAAAGAAAATAAGTTAGTAGTTTATAGATCACGGAAACAGATAGTCGAGAAAGGAGACAAGAATGAGGGAACGAGTGAATGAAAGGAATTGCCTGCGGCGGGCAGGAGGAGTGAGTTGTTGGTGTTGGTTGTGTGGATGTTCAAGAAGATGGGAAAGATGAGGAAGGGGAGGACGTGCATTCTAATTAGAGTGGGGACCCGGTTTGTAAGACGGGCTGTGTATTCAATACGTGGCAAGCGGTAATTAACGAAGCAGGGAGTTCAGCCCTAAGCTGCGAATAGGATGGCTGGCTGGTATTGCTCTGTATTTGTCGTTTAATTTACCTTTCATACCCATCCGTATCCTCCGTAATTCGTTCTCAGGACCTACTCGTTTAATTAGATCAAGGAGCTGGGTCACAATGAAGTGTTGTCCGTCGATATCAACATGGCCGGAGTCCGATTACAGAATGATATATCACTGGTAATGACTGCAAACAATAAAGAGGGGAATAGGAATGACGTCCACACGGGGCAACTGCATGCACCTGGGAACTGTTTCACGTTGCTTGAATTCTCAAACGCAGCCAAAACTGGGAAGCTCCTGATGCTGGGATATCTGGCATGAACTCGTCGACATCTGACGGCAATGCTCATGCTTATCTTTATATACTGACGATAGGATGGCAGTACCTCTTGAGAACCGATGATTCTGTCCCGTGTCAGTCGAGTAAGGTAAAAAATACATACACGATTGATTAAAATAGCCAGGATCCACTAACATGAAACAGCCAATCAGACGCTGTTATTGATCAGGAACGGGCTAGGCCCTCCGATCCCACGAACGGTGGGCTCTTGCCATTGGTTGTTTTCAATACGCGAAATTACAATCAATACATCTTACATACATATCGATTTTGTTTCCCTTGCCGAGTGATAAGAATAATGCAAGGCACGAAATACGACAAATCATATATATATATATATATAAAAGTTACGCATTTTCATATATAAGAATGAATATATCTCGTTGGTATTCTGGCGCTTGTTGATCCACTGTGCGACGTCAACATTCTACATCAGACGAACTACCCCTACAAAGCATCAGGCAGCGGCTAATGAGTCAATCAACAGTCTTAATGACAGCGCTGCGTCCAATCATTTGTATGGAGAATATGCTTGATGAGGAACATAGAATGTAATACAGCTAGTCTGAATAACCCCAAGCCCGTTGCTATTGGCCTGACGTAGGAATGTAGAATTGACTGGTATGCCAACCTCAAATGATCGCACCAGTGACGTACTGGATGATATTCCCTCTTCGCTGTCCAGCGTCCGCCGATGCCGTATGACGAATCGAGATGCATGTCTCCTTGGCGATCATATTATGCTTCTTCAAGTAACGCGACGGCTATGTATAGAATTTTAGATTGGCATTTCACCTGTCCATGAAGCATTATCCTTCTGAATGACTTCGAGATCAGCTTGGCTGTTACCCAGCGTCTCGTATCGCTCAAATATCCTGTAACATATATCAGTGGCTTCATTGTCCGCCTGAGATCTAACGATAAGACTTACCAACGATATACAAGTCTAGAGCATCAATCATTCCTGGGCTTCAGATATTCTCGAGTCGATTATCCAAAAAGCCATAGCCCATACGTATTCTGAAAACTTCAACCAGCCACTTCTTTATATCTCCCTTTCTCTTCGATCATGTATAACCTCACGCCTCTTGACTTCCCGCTCAATATCTTCCAATCGCGACTCCCATTCCGCCCAACACTCACTATTCCTAAGAACCCCTAATTCATACCATCGCTGCAATAACCGTGCACTGCGCTTCCGCAACTCGGATATCTCGATAGCTTGTTGTTCCTGAATACTCAAAAGCTTCTGGAGACGTGGTTGAAGTTCAATCAGCGCGGTTGAAGCTTGTGCGTCCGGAATGGGTAGGTCTTTGAGAGATGAAAGTCGCGATGCAGTTTCGGGGAATGCGGTGGCATAGGATAGAACGATGGAAGCGAGGTTTTGTGTACTTAGATCAGCGGGGATAGTATCTTCGTGCGTAGAGGCGCCTGGAAACAAATCGGGGAATCGAGAGTCTGCGCACGATTAGCAAACAACAAATCTCTTGAGGTAAGATTAAGCTTACACAGCTGCAACACATCTCGCACTGCTGGATTTGATTTGCTCAAAGAATTGAGCGTTCTCTCCAAACTAGTCAAGCGACGCGCGACGGTATCTTCTAATGTGTCCGGTTTAGGTGCCGTAGATGATTTTCCGGTCCATTGTGTGTCGCCAGTCAGGAGATATTCTAGCCTGCGGAGCCGGCCCTCGAGAAGTTCAATTGTAGCTGATGCTACAGCCTCGGTTTCTAGGGACATTTTGCTGGATGTAAGCTGGAATGTAGAAGCTTGTAAGATGGGTTTCGTATGTTGTGAATGATGGAATGTGTTTGTTGTTGATTCCGTTGATGGGGGATAATCCATGTTCCCCACACGGCAAGGACTACAACTCAAAAGTTATACGGACAACACCGAGAGCTTCAATCAATGATCGTGAAATTATTAATTCGAGAATTAGTATATTCAAATCCACTTTATAAACAAAACATTCTCCGTTTATAACATTTATCCAACCGAAAGCCAACAGTATGTGCCAAGAAGCAAAGAACCTGGACAGTAACAAATAGAATCATTATACATAATCATCATATCAATGCAGGAGACTCTTCCCTCTCCTTTCCTGCATCTCTTGCATTTCCTGACCTTGACGAGAAGTGTCTTCGTCAAAGGCATCAACCTCGTAATCAAAGACGTTGACTTTCGACGCATTTTCCGTTGCCGCGGGTGTCGTTTCGTCTTCAGCGTCGATCTTGGGCCAGTCCTCCATAACGGCATCTGCGGATTCGCCTGGGCCTTCTTCGCCGTTGTAGATGTTTGTGGCTGCGTCAAGCTCTGCTTGGAAAGTGATGTTATCGGTTTTGACAAATTCCTAATACAGAAACTATGGTTAGCTTTCGTCCGATGTGAAACATAAATTTTACATACCTGTAGAGCTGGCGGTGGAGGTTCATACGGGAACTCCACTGCATTATTATTCGCGTACACTAGGAGAACACTCCTCGATTCTCGCGCTGCTCTGAGGACCTCAATCTCACGCACTTTGACAGCGGTATATCCAATGACATCCGCATTGTTCGTTTTGCTATTCATAATCCTCTTATTTTCAGGTTTAGCAGCTTGCTGTGTTTTGGCATCGTCTGTCGAGAAGCTTATCCGCCACCAGTGCCATTCTTCGGGCTTTTTGTCTTCCATTTCGATTAGATCCTCGTCCGCTCGAGGAGGGGAGTCTTTTCGTAAAATGTAGGTAATGTGAGGTGCTGTACAAAGGCCTCTAAGGGTGTACTTGTAATGCGGTGGGTCGTCAGACGAGACTGCCGACTCAGTCAAGATCTTGGAGTGGTTTCGGAGTGTATCACGAGCTGCTTGCTTCTCGGCTTCGAGTTCTGCGGTAGGGTCAGCTAAGGAAAGACGTCTCAACAAATAACAACGCTTTCCATACCACTCAATTTATCTTTAATGAGACCTGCAACTCCACGCAGCTGCTCGGTCAAGTGTTGTGCTTTGGCATCATCATATTCGCTTGTTCCGTCAGCTGGATCTTTCGGCAATGCGTTTGTGACAGCTTGTGCTGCCTTTTCTAGCAGCTCTTGATTGGACATTCCAGCTCTCGATACAGATTCCGTGCGTCTATAGCGTGCTGCTATATTTTCAATGTCGTTTATTTTTTGGCTAACATTTAGCCTTTCCATACGCAACTCGCGGACTGTGTCACGACGTGCCTCCATATACCGATCTGGATAGAAAGTAGCAGGAATCTTGACATTCATCGCCTCGCTGCCGTAATTTTCCAGTTTTATCGTGAGAATCTCGCCGACATGATCGAGCCACACATCATCCAGTTCCTCTCCCGGTATATCGGGCCAGATGGCATCATCCAAAACATCATACAAGGTTTGGCTCGGTCCAGACTCGACATACGTGTTAAAAACGAAAAATTCCTTTTGGTTCGGTGTATCCATTTCAGTCATTTCTTGCTTCATTGCACAGGAGGAAAAGACCATTGACAGTTGGTTGGCCGGAGTCGCACGAACAGATGCTTCTTGCCATGCTTCCAGGAATCTTTCCACGCCGCCATCACCATTGTAGCCATAAAGAGATCTTAAACTAGCGAGTGCATCAGTACTTCCAAAGGCGCGCCGCGTACCATCCAAGAAAGCCATCAATCGTTGAGTCTCGTAGATGATATCGTCCCAATCTTGATCGTCGACGTATGGGTCATCTAAAGAAACAATTCGGGGAATCTTGATTGACTGCCCATTCCACCATTGCGAGTCGTAGCCATAGTCGGGGACGGTCTTTTCTCGCAATAGCAGTGCTTCTCGCGCAAGTGGTATGGAATGAAGTATCGTCAGAAATCCTCCAATGTATAAAGCTTCTTGTGAAGGGCGAAGGAAAGCTGGCTCATCATCTTTGCGCAGGCGATCTTCAGGGTCCGGACTGATTATTTCTTCCCTAGCCCCCGAATTGACGACGGTCATACCCCATGAGGTTTCATCGTAGAAGTCCTGAGTTGCCGGTCCAAATCGAGTGTCCTGAGAGTTTGCGATAACGCCGCTTTCTTGTTTACCGTATTCCTGGCCTAACGACATGGCTACCGCTTGTTGGAGCGCGCGTTCTTCCATTTGAGCGTCAGTGAGTTTCATATCTACAATAAAATTTCAGTAGAGGTATCAAATGTTTGGAACATATGACCGCTACCTGCGCCTGTACTATCATGTCCACTTCCTTCATATTTGCGATCACTCAACGTTTCACTGACATTCATTCGGGACGGTGGGCGCGAGGGAGCAACTGAGTATCCATGCCCAGGGTTACTATCGGAATTTTCGATATGAAATGCTAAATGATGATGAGCTATAGTTCGTTCGAAAGCTGTTCAGGGAAGCTCGCTCACCCGGCACGGACTGGGTGTCCTGAGAATACGGCGAATTGTTGAACGACGTCCAGTCATCCTGAGGCTGTAATTTCTCAATCAGTCACGATCATATCCAGAATAGGAACATATCTCCAAGATGCATACTTCGGATGGGACGCCGTCGGGGTTTTCGAAATATGCATTGATGGCCTTTTCTAGGTTGAGGTTGTTTGCCTGGAGTAAGCATCGTAATTAGCGTTCTGTTCAGACGAAAGATTATTTTCATTTCTACCTTCAGAAATAAGATGGCTTTCTCTCGTGAAAGACTGGTGAAACTGATAAAATTGCCAATGTCATCTTCGGACGGTTCGGCGGCCATGATGCTCGTGCACGTTGCTTCTTGAGGAGCTCTTAGGACACTGAGAGCTTCCAGCAAGCAACGTGCGCCAACGAGCTATGCGACAAGAAGAGGGGATGAAAGTATCAGTTATGGGTATTATGCAAATCATGAAAACATAGTGATTGGATAGTGATATTCCTTTGTGATCTGAAAATGAATAGTTTAGCAAGATGATGATGCTTAGCTTCCCCGCGTGCTACAAAGAATGCCACTGAAATCAGGCAGGAAATCTGCTAGCCCGATTAGGCGACATAGCCCTAACAAAAGCTATTCTCTCATAGTCAAACCTTTGATCTTGCTCTCATAGTAGCATTATGTTTCATATCAATGTGGAATAAATTTTCAATATACTAGTCTTGTAATAGAAACATGCGTGGATCATACTTTTACATATGATAGAGCACACCCCTAACCATAAGCACTTGCTTCTTACGGATGCAGCGTCTGAATGGGATTGTGACATCGTATCCCGTTTGATGGCCATGGATAACTCCTTGGCTCTTAATGTCATGCTGGATGGTATCAATAAATTGTCTTTGCATTCGCACAGAAGTTATGGACGAGTGTCATCCATGAATCGTCCTGAAGAACTCCCCCCGGGACAGACAGTAGCGTGGAAGCATATCAATATATTAGGAATATGACATGTACACTGTTAGATACATTCCGAATCTTTGTTTAATAGGACGAGCATCACCTAACCTTCTTTCAATTTGGCTTGGATGGATTCTGGGCCCTGAAAGCTCTTCTTTGTTGCTCGCAACAAAGAAGAACCCGGATATTCAATAAAAAGATTCATTTGTCTGAGGCACACTTTCATCAGAAGGAAGTTTACCATACTTGCGGTGTTGGCCTTCGTTGCCTTCCAAGTTGGCGGATCCCATACCAGCGCCGTTCTTGAGCCACATGAGGCGCACTGTGTTCCGGTTGGTGGTATGTTGTATCTAGAATCGGTACATGTATTGAAATCAAGTGCTAATGCTTGCTTGTATTGATACAGGAAGCTGTGCGAACGGCGAGAGATGCTGTCAAATTTGCGTTGGGCGACGCTGCGAAGCTCTCTGAAGGAGCCAGTACGCTCAATATTTCATCTCAGATGGACGCCCAAAGGTCGGGAACAGCACTTAATTTGTTATTATGTTTTCACCTGCTAATGCTGGGTAGGATACTCCTACCAGTCCGTGATGTCTGGCTGTTCTAGGAGGACTTTGCCCGCCCTGTTCTTTTATACCGATAGCAGCCCTGTTCACCTGCTCATGGGTAATCCAAGGGGTCGCTATAGATTGTCCTGTATGTTTCCTTATTACGATATCAGTCGTTCGATAACGAAATAACTGTCGCCATAGAATCCCAAATAGTCTTTGAATTGGTATTTCTGGAGCATAGCCGAGGATTATTGTTTTGACGTTCGACACTTCATGTGGCTGGCATGAAATGCGGAGACTTCGTGGAGGCGGACCCTGGATGTTTGCGGGGAAGACTCATCCCACTCTGTGTTTCAACATACGTACATTGCACTGGGCTTTCACAGAGGACCTTGACAAGTGTAGGCATGATTTAAAGATAAATTCAGAAGAAAAATATTCCAAAAACCTCTTTATCTGACATAGTTAAACCGCTATATACCTGGCAAATGTCGCGTAGATCAAGAAAGATGGTGCGCTTAGCGCCGGGAGTCAACCCCGGAAATCTTCCCCTCATTTCATATCCGAGCTCCTCCTCTGCCTTATCTCTCTGTCCTTTCCTGTCCCTTGTTTTCCTCTGCTTTTGATTGGCACCATACGCAAATTCAGTTGCAGGGTATATAATATCAAACACATATACTGATAGCGATTATCTCATACTTCCACCAAGCAGGTTACAAAGTAGGATAGGACAGGGAGAGTTGCACGTTGTCAATGGATGCGGTGCTGAGACGGACGTGACATCCACTGAGAAGCTATGCGGATACTTCTCTTTCTATGCGCAAGGAAAAGCTTGCTTGTACGTGGAAGCAATGACAACATTGGCCGAAATATATTCCGTTTCTCGACGCGACATGCTCGGAGTTTGTTGACACAGAGTTACGCGCGGGGCCCTGATACGGTACGGCCCATGAACCCAGCTTCTCTCTGACCGGACAAAGTGTTTTCGATAGGATCTGTGTTGATGTGAAACTATATAGCCGCCTTTAATAGAACAGACGGTAGGAGATCATTTTGCAACAATTGTGAAGAAATTCGGAGATCGTCCCGCGTGAGTGAAGCGTCCGGACCGTACAATAAAGTGATCAAAAAGCTAAGACACTAACAGGGTCGTTGCTCGCCACCAAATGGGCCGCTTTACCTACGATGAGCTTGATCGTCACAGTAATGCTTTAGCTCGCGGGCTTCAGTCTCTATCTGTACGGAAAGGTGATCGCGTAGCGGTCATGTTGGGAAACTCTCTCGAATATGCATCGGTATGTTAAAAGACAATCGAAGTGCGGTCTCACTACTTACGATCCATTACTTCTTAGTTGACCTACGCACTCTTCAAATTGGGGGCCATCTTGGTACCACTCAACCCTTCTTTTAACGCGAACCAGGTTGTGTCCGCCTTAAGTCACTTGGGAGCAAGTCATCTGATTATTAGTGCCGAAGCAAACTTACCACGTCGTCAACCTCGCGACAATACACCTCTTATCAAACATCTTGTCCCTGACCTCCACGCCGAGTCTCATGTTCAATCGGAGTTGATCCCATCACTCAAGCAAGTTGTAGTTGTTGACAACTCGGCTGGTCAATTTGACGGCTCGGCATACAAAGCTCTTACACCTTTTTCATCTATAGTATCCGACCTACCTGCAGACAGAGAGGCATTACCGGACCAAGGACTCTCTCCTCATGATGTGGTCAATATCCAGTTTACGTCAGGAACAACATCCATGCCCAAAGCAGCCTGTCTTACTCACCGCTCAATCTTGAACAACGGTACTCAGATCGGCGATCGAATGCTTCTCACAGAAAATGACATCGTCTGCTGCCCGCCACCGCTATTCCATTGCTTCGGATGTATCTTGGGATACATGGCCACGGCAACCCACGGATCAGCCATCGTATTCCCATCTGAATCGTTCAACGGCCTCGCTTCGCTCCAAGCCGTGCGAGAAGAACGTTGTACGGCTCTATACGGTGTACCGACAATGTTCATCGAGGAGTTGGGTCTCCTAGAAAAGGGCGAAGTCCCCCACGATGGATTTCAATACTTGCGTACTGGCATCGCAGCTGGAAGCAGTATTCCAGCTGAACTTATGCGCAAACTACACAAGACGCTGAACTTGACTGAGTTGACAATATGTTACGGAATGACGGAAACAAGCCCCGTTTCTGCGATGACGACTACAGATGATCCTATTGACAAGAGGATTACGACCGTAGGCCGATTGATGCCGCACGTTGAAGCCAAGGTCGTGGACCCGGCTGATCGTAGTAAGACTCTCCCTATCGAAACGAAGGGCGAGCTGGCTGTGAGTGGATACCTACTCATGAAAGAATACTGGGATGCCCCGGATCAGACAGCAGAAGTTATGCTCGCGGACGAGAATGGCAAGATCTGGATGCACGTAAGTAGCCTCCCATATCAGGTAAAGCCCCATTCTTAACGACGTATCCAGACTGGCGATGAAGCAAGCATGTCCGCCGACGGCTACATAACCATAACAGGCCGAATCAAAGACCTGATAATCCGCGGAGGCGAAAATATTCACCCTTTAGAAATTGAGAACTGTCTCCTTGCCCATCCGGCCGTCAAGGAGGTGTCTGTCGTTGGTGTCCCGGATGAGAAATATGGTGAAGTAGTGGGCGCATTCGTGGTTATACACTCTGCTTCCAATTCACGCGACCAGGAGCAGCGGCACCTTCTCAAAGAAGAGTTGAGGTTGTGGGTGAGGGAGAAGTTGAGTAGTCATCTAGGCGAGTTTACATCTCGTGCATACAAATTATCAGCTAACATATCTATCTCAGTGCCGAAATTCGTCTTCTTCCTTCCAAGCTCAGACGCATTCCCCAAAACAGCAAGTGGAAAAATCCAAAAGTTCAGGCTCAAGGAACTTGCTATTCAGTTGTTGAAGGAGGAGTGATAGAATAGGGCGGTACTCTCACTTTAGGCCTTCCAATCTACTTATATACCACTGGAAAGAAAGTTGGAAAGAAATAAATAGTCTGTCAAGATGCAGATGCTACGTGTAACAACGATCCCTGGTAATGAGTGCTCCAGAACCGAGTTGACAAAAGCCTGATTATTTACATAGAATGATTTTTGAATCCCTTCCTTCAATTTGTGCAACAAAGCATCGCTAGTCATGAACGCTTCTTCTCTGGGGGAAGATGACGATGTGCCTTCTTTCGGGCCATCCTCAGACTGTCCTTGTTGATAACATCAAACACAGTATCCATGCGGGTTCCTTGATTGATCTGCTGAGTAGTTTCGTGTTCAATATCTGGACTGCAGCAGTCGATGGTCTGGATGCACTTATCGTTTAGAGCCTCTTCGATCGAAATACGAGTCTCAGGATCTGGATGCAGCATCTTGAGTACAAGCTGATTCAATCCTTTCTTCGGGAATGTGGTGAAGATTCGACCGCATGTTGGTGATTCTGTCTCGGTTATGACACCATTCGGGTTCCGAAGGAGGAACTTGTGCCATCCAGCCAAAAACTTTCTGTAGTGAGGATCTTCGGGTTTTGCAGCCTTCCATGGGCTACCCCGCACAAATAAAGTGAAACACACAATGGCACATGACCATACATCAAGAGCACGCGGGTCATAATCTCCTATTACTGTCAGCTAAGCTCGGTAAATGTAAGAACAACAACAGACGTACCACTTTCAGCAAGAACCTCTGGCGATGAGTAAGGTATACTGCCACAAATGCCCGGGGGGCATTTTCGAACCTCCTTCGTTTGCCCTGGATCATTTTCTGTTTGGTTGACAGTTCTGAGCCCCGGGTGTATCCCTAAGAAGACTTCTGAAACACCAAAATCAGTGATTTTCAGTTGTCCGTCTGACGTGACCAAGAGGTTTTCGGGCTTGATATCCCGATGGGCAATGCCATTTTGGTGTAGATATGCTACGCCTCGTAAGAGTTGCTTGAAAAAACAAAGATTATCAATGTCACGAAGGTATCCTTGCTTAATCAACAAGAACAACTCCCCATATTCACAAAACTCCATAACATGATTCCATCTGCCGGAGTGCGTGCAAAGACGAACTGTTTCCACAATGTTTGGGTGGTGAAGGCTTTTGGCGATGCTGAATTCCGATTTGACCATGTTCTCGTATTCCACTTTATCTTCGTTTCGTCCGCATTTCCGGAATTCTTTGACGGCATAGATGTCATTCTTTGACCCGCCCTTTCGATACATAGTTCGTACTATAGCTGTCGCACCCCTGCCTATTTGTTTGCCGCTTTTGCCGAACATTATCCGTCGATTACAAAACTCATCGCTGAGCTCACACGAGTCGACATTGAAGTTTGCTGGGAGAGTGGTGCCGAGCCGACGAGACTTTAACCCCGCGCCAAACATGGCAGGGATAGCAATGTCGGGATCGTCTCTTTGTCGTAGGCTATGACCCATAGATGGTGACCTAAAAAGCTTCTTGCGTGATGGTTTCGGATGCGTGAAACCGGTGAAAGTGATCCTTTCCCTGAGTGATAAGCGCGAAGTCACTTTCCGAAGGCGTGAAGGCCTTCTGATGGTGAGTGAGATATCGTTATCATGGTGCACCGCAGAGTGAGAATCCCCAGTTGGCGAAGGAGGGGCATCCAGTATATCTCTTGTGGAGATGTACTCTAATTCTTGAGCGTATCCATGTCGACTCGCTGTATCCCTAGCGGTCTCATGATGAACATCTGGGACAATCAGCCCCTTTGCGGTATGATGAGTCAAACCAGCGCGGCGAAAGAGACTCTTGATCGAGGTAGACGCGGATGTGTGTGAAGTTGAAGAGGATGTACTCGGAGCTGAGGCTGCGGTATGTCGAGTCTTTGTTCTGTTTTGTCCTGATTTGGTAGAAGGCCTTGATGGCAACGGTGACGAGGTGCCGGTAGACCCCGCCTTCAATCGAGGAGTCTTGCCAAATCTAAGCCGGGCACCTTTAGAGGTAATTTCCGGAGTAAGGATGGGAAATGAGGGTGCCGCTAGCATCTGTGCCGACTGGATGGCTCCGAGACTGATCCAACTAGATGGGAAAGCAGTACAACCGCAATTGAGTACGGAATTGTGTTCATCGGTTGCTGGCATCAGGCGACGACGCTTATTTGAGGGTCCTTGATCTGCTGTCGAAGGGCGATGCTCACTGAAGTAGACGACCGGACTATTGAACATTTTTGAAAGACGATTGACCGCGGATGGCGATGACGATACGGAGGGATAATACCAAGAAAAAGAATATGGAATAGAATGATCGAAAGACGAGAATTGGCCGTAATCTGAAGCCAGTCGATGTATGAATAATCCAAAAGAGTGGCGGTTGTTTAGTAGTGGTTCATAGCATCCAATGGAGGATGAGTAGTAACATATGAGACGAGCAAAGAGAGCCAGTAGTCGAATACGACGATGAAGCAAGATAGATAGTTAGTTTGTCGATAAGAGGAGAATTGTAGAAGAAGAGCAAGACACGATGTTGTATAAAGAAAGAGAGGTGTATATATAGCAGGAAGGGGCCTAAAGTCTAATCAGGAAGGCACCAGAGTGTCTGCCTGCCAGCACAAAACGCAAGTGAGACTCACAGTATGGTCCAGACAGGCAGCAGATGTGCTGTACATATAAGCTACCTACGTACGTAGGAGTCAATCAGTTACTCCGTCAAATGCTGCATGTTTCCCGCCCTGCCAAGCGGAGGCCAAGAGACAGCCACCCAGAGAGGAATGACAAAAAAGTAGGAATAGCAGCAGGAATAGCAGCAGGAATAGTGCTAGATAGAAACAAGAAAGCACCGAAAAGGGCTTTTGAGCGACCGTGCGAGATACGTCCACTAGTCATGGGCCCGTTATTATTAGTTTGGTGACCGGCGGTGCTTCCACAATCAACTGGGCAGGCAGTCAGTCGGTTGCATTGCAGTATTACAGGGTAGGCAAGCATCTGAAGAATCATCAGAGTCGAAATAAATCTGCTTGCGCGTTGTGCAGAGAGGATCGATCGTATCATAGAGAAGGAGAACATCGCCAAGGAGGCCAAGAGCCAGTGATGCCGCTATTTGCAGATCAGGGGCTACCATTGACCGAGCATAGCCTCAGAACAGATCGCCCGTGTGCGACACCAGACGACAAAGTAAATGTCTCGTATTGAACTGCTCAAGAATAGCCATTGCTCTCAAAAAGAGTGACACTGCCAAGAGCCTCGCGCCAAGCATTCCTCTCTCTTGAAGGTCTTCGTCTTGGCGGGCCAGAGGAGGCGGCGGAATGAGCGGGCTCTCTGACTCTAAGCCAACTGACTGAAAATGAAGTGAATGATATTCCTGCTCAGGATATGTATTCCTTGCCACGTCAGCCCGCCACTCGTAAGCGCTGCGGTCATGTTTGTTCGCCAGGCATGTATATCTTCCTGATGCTGTACAATGAAGTCACACCGATATTTAGGTTTGATTATTTGTCTATCATCTGAGAGAATTGAAAGTTCAACGGCTTTGCAAATTAGAGGCCTCGGGAAATGTCGACCTTAAAACACCGACTGCCATGCCGTGACTGCCGGTGAAGAATTGAATATCGCCGAATCTGCCGGAGAATAGTATTACACAGCAAGATAAAGGCAGGCGAGAATATGCTCCGTACGTGTCCGTATTGTATCCTAAAATTGGGCTGTTGAGGGAACAAGTCTCAATCGAGACCGGTCTAGTTCAAGCCATAAGAATTTCCAGTGTATTCCTCAGTCCTTTAAGACTATGCGCACACCGAACATGCGGGATGCGCCGGAAGACGCCTTCATTCTCTGTCCTCTGCATAAATCGCTGCCATTCTGGAGTTTCAATCCATTTTTGCCAAGCACTTTTGTTCTTGAAGCTGGCTAGCAAGAGAACATCATGCATCTCGTCACGAGATGTGCCCTTAGGTCGACCGGGAGGTGACATTTCAACCGGGATTGGCTCGAAGCGTGTAACGTAAGGGCTGCGATTTGCATGTTCCCCTACCTCTGCAAGCAGAACATCCAATCGGTGAGCTTTCTTGGGTAAAACTCCAGCTTCAGCTGTCGATTCTGAAGATGCCGACCGTGCTTCCAGATTACTTAACATCTGAGATGCGAAGAAGAAAATCATGCAAGAGAGAGGCCTCTCCTGTTTGTGAGGAGTCGTCGGTTCTTCACCGTCGGTGGAATGATTTCGGTTCTTGCTGAACAACATGCTGCCAATAAATTGAGCATCTCGTATTGTGAAGGGATTAATTCAATTGAATCTCGTCGTGACAAAAAGGCGTGGGGTTGTTGGTGTTCTGGTCAACATGACGTGGTACCGTTCCACCGTTTCGCGACCATTTTTGGACAGAAGCTCAGCGCATTCTATTTGGTCAGAGAAGTTTAGCAGATGTTGTGAAAGCGACCATGAAGAATGAGCCAAGTTGTACTCCCACTCTGTAAGCGCTACAACACAGGGTCTAGATTAAAAATCTTGTATACCAGTCTCCCCTATCAACTTATCTTTCTGAACGTCTCCTTCCTGTCCTTTGTCGAAAATCCACTCAGGTTCCTCCTCGTCAAAGTAGCGTTCTTGCTCCTCATTCCAGTCATCATACTCGTCGTTTTCGTCCACTGTCTTATAGTCGAAATCATAGTCGGCGCCTTTGAGAAATCGCATTTCCATTTCCCATTTCCAACGTTGCATGCCTTCTTCCTTGTTGGCGGGTATGTCGTCTTTATCTTCCGCCACGATCTCGCCGTTGGATCCTCGTCTATAACTTAGCATTGCATTCGGATTGGGGTGAGCGAGCGCATCTAGTTTAGCTTCTGATCGCTGAATGTCGGCTTGTAGTATGCCAGAAAAGCCCTTGGTGCGACCCTCTGCCTCTCGTTCTGCGGGGGTCTGGAAGCGTCTGATGAGACGGTCGTAAAGTAACGGATCTAGAAGGGTCGCACGAGTCAGTAAGCTATCAACAGCGCGAAAATGTTTGTGTATCATCTAAATAAACGAACCGGCCATTTCAAGGTCAGCAGAAAAGTACTCTGGATGCTGGTCAAGATAGCGTTTGCGACGGTTCTTCACCTGCACTGAAGCAGGAGGTTTCAGCTGATGCGAAGCTAGCGATGCACCATCATTTGCATCTTGTTGAGAGAGTCCAGTCGACATTGGAAAAAAAGGCATATTGCGAGGACACTAGAAGGGAAAGAGTCAAAGGATAGACACTGACTACGTCTATAGTATGCAGACATTGCCTCTAAGATGAATAATATCGCCATCGCATAGACTTATCAGAGCTCTCTTATCTATCCGATACGGATGATTACGTTAGTTACCGTACCAGATAGCTATTCGTCTAGTAATATAGATTACCATAGTATGAATCTTACACTAGCTCAACTTCTAAACATGTTACAGCTTTCTCTTCGATGCGTTCTGTCCCCTATCAGAACTGTATGTCTATACATTGCTCCTCACATAAGAGAGCTCCAGTGTCTATACTGTACTGTCACATGAAAGGTAGGCTGACTCAATGTACCGGAAGAGTTTAATTAACATCAGTCCGCTAATTCTGACTATTCAGCTGGTATATCTGGTGAAGAGCCGTCATCATACGATGAAGGCGGATTGAATAGAAGACCAACTGTCCTCTGGGTTTGATTAGCTTTTGGGGTCATACACTGTCCGGATAACTGTTTCACGAAGATGGCGAAGCAAAGAAAGGCAAAATTCCAGGCCACGCCTGACCCTAGACCTAACCCTGTTACTGAGAGATCACTTATCCCTGTCACTGTCTCTGAAGAACCAGCAGCAATCCGTACTCGCCATGATTGGAAAGACTCCACCAGAGCTTTGATGATTCCTGGTCTTGCCGCGGTATATTCCAGAGTATCCTTGTTGGCTTTGGCACCGGTTTATGGTTCAACACCAGCACACATGTATCACGAAACTCTCTGCAACACTGCCATCTTAGCAGGGTCTTTCTTGTATACACGGATTCCTAATGCCCTCAGAAAGGCTGAAAACATTCTTCCGGCACTCGCAATATCTATCCCCATTTTTCAAAGCTTCCTCTTCCAGCAGAGCTCTCGGTTTGGTAACCCGGCTGGACCGGTGTTGACTGAACTGATAACCATCTGCCCGTTGCTGTTACTTTCAATGTCCTCGTATTCAAGGATTATCTCAAATACATCGAACCTTCGCCGAGCAAACCGACTGCAACTCCTTTCGAGGTTCATTCCATTATTATTTGGGGTTGTTCTGTTCAGACTGGCGGATTCGGCATCTCAGACTTTGTTACCATCGTATATCGGCTCGAATGTCTTCATGACGACATTTGATTTGCAAGTTATTATTGCATGTATCTACTCTTTTATTCTTCCCTCCTATCTGTCATGGGTTCTATTTATGCTACCCGGAGTTTACCTCTACGTGACGTCGGATATGGACGCATCGTTTGTGCTTACACCGGCTCGTGTCAATTCGACTTTACATGAGGTGGGATACAGTCTAGTTGACCGGCAGGAGTCCTTGACTGGATACATATCCGTCTTGGACAATGTCGAGCTTGGATTTCGCGCCATGAGATGTGATCATAGTCTTCTGGGAGGACAATGGACGAGTCGACCATCGGATTATAACCCGCGAGTATCAGATCCTATATATGCTGTTTTCACTATGCTCGAGGCGGTCCGGCTTGTGGAGCCTGACTCTAGCCTACCGGAGAAAGAGGACAAGGATAGCAATGCGCTCGTCATGTATGGGCATCTCCTCCCTTATACTCTCGATTTTGCTAACTGACCTGTCATAGCGGACTCGGAATAGGTACGACCCCTGCTGCACTGATTCAACACGGTATAGATACGACTATTGTAGAAATCGATCCGGTTGTATACAACTTTGCATTACAACATTTTGGGTTCCCGCAAAACCATACTGCAGTCATTGATGACGCAGTTTCATTCGTCGAGACCGCACGATACGAACGCATGAAGTATGATTATATCATTCATGATGTTTTCACGGGTGGTGTCGAACCTGTTGAGTTGTTCACTCTGGAGTTTATGCAAGGGCTTGACGCATTACTCGAAGACGACGGTGTGATTGCAATTGTTCGTCTTCTCATTCATCCCTTTTTGGTCTATAGATGGCTAACTACACGTCAGAACTACGCTGGAGATGTTTCTCTCCCCGGTGCAGGAGTAGTAATCCGCACAATAAAGACGGTCTTTCCCGAATGTCGCATTTTCCGTGAAAATGACGGCTCCGAAACACCAGCAGAAGAATCTCTCGAGTTCATCAACATGGTCGTCTTTTGCAAGAAGACTCGTACGCCTCCGTTGACTTTCAGACAGCCCAATGAAGGTGACTATCTCGGTAGTCAGTCTAGGAAGTCGTACATGGTACCACGACGGGAGATAGACCACAAGATATTTGGCATCGGTGATGATTCGACGGATCAGCGTCTTTTAGAAGTTGGTAAGACGGATGTCCTAGAGTCTTACCATACTCAAAACGCGATTGGACATTGGAATATTATGAGAAAGGTACTTCCAGCCAAGGTATGGGAGAACTACTAACATGTTTCATATATATGAAGAATTCATATAATTGCCTTCGGAAATGTCGAGCGTTTATGGATAGAAGCTTGGAATATACTTGTTTCTGAACATCTGTTCAAAACAAACCCTTATCCTCCACAACCAAACTCTTCCTAATACGCTCAACATCATCATCCCCAAACCCCAACTCACCCTTCAAATAACCCTCCGCCCCTCCAAACTGCCTCTCGATATACTCTATAGTAGCACTCATATTCTCCTTCCTGGCCGAAAGCAACCTCTCAATACCCGCTCTATTCTCCGGATCCATGCCCATATCCTTGATAATCTTATCCGTCAAATGAGCCTTGACACTAGCATCAAACCCTTTTTCCGTCAACGAATATTCATGCGCAATCATATCACGATCTTGCACACCCGCAACAAGCAACAAAAGCGCTACAAGCACGCCCGTCCGATCCTTGCCACCTGTACAATGCACCAGAAACGCATCCCGGGGTCGATCACGCACATGCTCAAATATTGCCCTATAAGCATTCACACCATCCCTCAAAATCTCTGCGTAAGCAGCCACAAACCCTTCCGAACCGTTGACAGACATGTAATTCGCAAACCTCTTTGCTAATTGTTCGGGACTTGAATCCCTCTCGGGGAAGACGGGGGCATGCAACACCTTCACAGCCTCATGGTTATCTAAGGGGGAAGATGTGATTGGATCTTTGCGCAGTTCAGCGTTTGAGCGTAGATCGTAGACGGTAGTAATTCTCAAGTCTTGCGTGAGTTTTTGAAGACCTGTGGGTGTGATGCGGGTGGGTAATGCGGAGCGGTAGATGAAGTTGCGTCTTATTGAGGTTGAAGATGTGATGGGATAGCCGCCTATGTCGCGGAAGTTGGGGACGCCGTCGACATGGATGAAGGGTGGTGAGGGGGTTGAAGGTGCTGCAGCTGCAGTGACTTGTGCTGCGACGCTCATTTTGCTCTTTCACGAACGATATGTTCAACTATAGGTATTCTTTCCGTATATGGGATGTAAGTGCTATCGTGTATTATAAATGCCGAGGTTGGGATAATGGTTCAGGTACAGTGGGGTCTTCAGGTACCATCTGACCATGATTAGTCAACAAGTCAACGCAAGCCATCAGATGATACGAATCAGAAGGGTATCATATTGGTATGTATAGTTACAAAGAAGACACATTGATAAAAGAGGGGAGGTGACTCGAAAATCTCACCCAAAGTGAAAGAGAAACTAAAATGAAAGAACACCAGATGTCTCTCTAGAATCGATTTCCAAGGTATTCACACAAAAAATAGACGAGAAAAAATAAGTTTATTGATTAGAGTTAGGTGCTGGACTGCTGCGCGGACTGCCGCCGGGCTTTTTGACAAGTCCTGCGAAGAAGCTGGCGAGTGCTTGGTTCTGTGCTTTCTCATCGGTTGGCCCGGTAGATGGGATGGCTTCTCTCTTCGGTGTACGGTTGGCCTCTCGTTCCTGTGAAATCAAGTCAGCAATGGAAATTCGAAGCTTGTTTGGCATATCTTACCTTCAATTTCCTCAACATGTCGTCAGCATCAACTTGGATACCTCCCATATTGAATTGTACAGGCCCGATATGTTCATTAACATGCCCAGATTCGTCAAAATGAGGAGACATTTCAAGAGCCTTTGGTACTTTCTTGGCTTCCCGGTCCTTTTCGTCTTCGGCCTTGAGTTGGTCCAGTTTAGTGAGTTGCTGGTTTAAGAATTTCTGCATATCCTCCGTCTCTATTTCGATCTTGTTCCTGTTCGCATTGACACCGCTTCCCGGAGCGGCGGAATCTTGTTTAGGATCCTTGATAGTTTGCTCGTAGATGGCGACGGCGCTTGAGCCATCTTCTCCAATGGGAGATGTAGGTACGCCTGTCGTCTCGACGTCCTCGTCTTGTCTCGCACCATTAAGCAAATGCCGTGATGACTCTTGAATTTCGATAGACCATGCATCGCCGACTCCCTCAATATCAAACCCCTCTCGGATAATACGAATCTTGCCCCAAGAATCCCAGTTGGCCGGTACAAGGACCTTGTCCCGATCTATGACGTTGTGTTTGAGGGATTGTCTTCTTAATAACGAATGTATACCCAAGGTCGAATGGATCAAACTTTGTAAAGAGTTTGCGAGGAATGGTGTGGTGTAGATGAGTGAGGCACCGTCTATGCATAGCATTAGCAAGTTGTTGACAAATATTTGTAAGTAGTACTCACGTTTCAGCAGAATAGTTCGCATAAATTGAAGAATAAAGTCAAACTCTTCTTCTCGCCAGCCATTTTCCTTTTCCAATTGTTCTATTTTATTTGCCTAGGCAAGTGTTAGCTGAATCTTCATGTGCACAAAGAGACGACTCCGCTAACCCCTTGACAGACAACGCATAGAGGAACTCCAAGTCCCTCATCCCATTCACCTGGTCCTAAAGGTATCGTTACCGGCCCTCCAGAATTCGTGACACTCGTTGCCGAGTTGGGATCCAATCCTCTCTTTTTATCCTTCCATTCCATCATGACCTCCTCCATAACTATTTTGGTCGAATCTTCCAACGATATCATTACTGATCTTAAGAGTCGGATCCATTCGCGTAGTTGCCGAACCCAGGTCCAAGGAGAAGACCAGTCAAGGAGTATTACAATTAGCGTTTCTGGAACGGACTGAGGTGTTAAGAGAGGCCGTAAAAGAGGTGCAAAGGAGGGAGATGGGTCGGAAAGGAGGTATATCGAGACTCGTGCAAGGATATCTTGTAAAATTGTCAATCAGATTCCACATCACACCTCATCGGCGACATCGGAGACAAACCTTCGTGATCCGCATCGAGGACATCTTGATATGTGTACCCCAAAGCAAATTCATTCGCAAGAGGGGCGACTTTTCCCTTTCTCCTCTCGTTTGGTAGCGACGGGTCTGAAGGATCCGAGGAGAATGTATCCAAAAACTCTCTTTGACTTTCTGGTGTGCCTCCTACAGGTAACAATTAACATTTTGCTGGACACACACAAATATTGCTCCATCCGGCCACAACATACCTAACACAATCATATTCTTCTCTGGTAGTCGTTTACCACTAGCCACACTGTCTAACATAGAAGACCAGATATTCTTCTTGTTGCCATCTTTACTCGACGGCCGGCTTCCCGGGCCGCCAGAGTTCTGAGTCCCAGTAGACATACGCGACCCGATACCAACCATTTCGTAGACAATCAGACCATATCCGGCTGGACTGGTAAGTTATATAAAACCCACGGTTGACACTGATCAAAATGCCGTATGGATATCCAATCGTTGTGTCACTTTTCGCTCCGCAAACTAAAACGGTTCCGCGTTCAGGGGACGTCGCTCGAGGCGATGGGAGATGGCGACAAGTGGACGAAAAGTATGATCGATAAACACGAGAAAAGTCGAAAGTAATGTTTAAATCAGTTGGGCCAGAAGTTATTCGCAGAAAATGATATGACACCGAATGAGCAAGGGAGGAAAACCAGTTGAGATGAACAGAAGATGCGCTTCGAGTAAACAATGATGCCTCATAGATTAGTCCCGAGCGGGTGGGCCAGCCACGCGCTCTGTGACTGGCTGAGCCCGCCATCATTTTCTCGTCAAGCTCTTTCCAAGCTTTACTTTCTGAGATCCTCCAACGGTATTTGATCCCTACAGTATTTGCTGTGTGTGCTGCGATGAATTCCATACGTCAAATACAAGCGCTGAACAAGCGTGAGCTTGAAAATGCCGTGTAAGTTATCCAAGCCATGTTTATTAAACGTCCGTTAAGAACACACTGCTTACGCCATCGATTTCTACATAGACCACCCGAAGCATCCTGGCATGCCGACTATCGTGATACAGCATACATCTACATAGGTGGCCTACCGTTTGACCTGTCCGAAGGCGATATTGTTACGATTTTCTCCCAGTATGGCGAACCGGTCCACGTCAACCTCGTACGCGACAAAGATACAGGCAAGAGCAAAGGTTTCGCCTTTCTCAAATACGAAGATCAGCGAAGCACCGATCTTGCGGTAGACAATTTGGGCGGTGCGACGGTAATGGGGCGTGTTCTCCGAGTTGACCATACGCGATACAAGAGGAAAGATGGAGAGGAAGAGGAAGATAATGTAGCGACAATCATGGGTTCAACTACCGGACATAGAGATGAAGACACAGATACTGAACGAAGAGATCGGAAGAGCTGGCGGAAAGGAGGAGACACTGACGAAAATGACGTGGAAGAGCCGTCGCGGCCAATGCTCAAGGAAGAAATAGAATTGGTGGAGTTGATGCGAGACCATGATGACGAAGATCCTATGAAGGAATATCTAATTCAAGAGAAGAAGGAGGAAGTTGCAAGAGCTCTTGAGAACTTGAAATCGAGGGAGAAGAAATCATCTAGTCGACGAAAAGATAGCCGCGAACGCTCGCATAAACATCGCCATCATCATCATCATCATCATCACCGCCGCAGGCGAAGTGATGAACGGTCCCGTGAGAGATCGCACAGGGAACTAGACGACGGCAGTCGCAGAGAACGACACCGTCGCGAACGATCAGAGTCTCCTCACCGAAGACAAGAAAGGTCTAGGGAACGGTCTAGACGGGAACGAGATTAAAAGCATAGCATATTGAACAATCTTGTTACATATCTACAATTATAAGATCGACAAAGTTATGCACATTTCGACACTCCAAAGGTTCACACATCGCGAGAGCAATTCCGGTGGTGGACTGGAAAAGCAAATTTCTTAAATCGCATTGCATGGGCGTCGGTGGGTCCTTCAATGACCAGATTTGGTTGTCCTGATGTGAACGATAAGGGCTGGCATTATGTACTCGTTGAACAGCTGGGAGTTCAGGTGGTCGATAATGCTTGGGTGTGTGCCAACAGTTCGGGTTAAATTCTGTTACCGGCTGAGATCATTTCATCCTCCTCCCAGGTAGCGCTTCCAGCCTTCCCTGACGCAGAAACGTTTGCCGTCTTCACCTTCACGAATGACAAATTTCTCCCACCGACCTTCTCTACCAGCGCCAATTATCAAAATGGTTTGGTCGTCTGTCCAGCCAAGAACGCCTTTGGATGGCCGTCCGACAGATGTGCCTAGAGGAGGAATATAAGGTGTACTGCCGGGAAAGTCATCGCCAATTTCGAAATGGGCACTTGCGAACGAGTATATATCTGAGAACACCCTGGGAAGCAAAGGAATCTTGCCCAGAATACCCCATTTCTGGTTCACCCCGTCCTCGGAGTATGAGGACGGAGATTGGCTGCGTCGCGATAGCGTTCGAGGATGAGGGAGATCGAAGATATGTAGCGTTGACTTATCTGACGTGACTGCTAAATACGTGTTTGACGGGGAAACGGCAAGGGAGAAGATCATGGCATGATCAACGCCTCGTCGTAATTCGGCGATCTTTGCGCAATTTCTGGTAGAAAATACCCGTATCAAAGTGCCCTTATCCTTTAGTCAGATCTGATTAATCAATATGAATTTCATGGACATTACCGCTTCACTTGCTGTAGCTAACACCTCCCCATCTGGACTAAGCACGATGGCTCTGAGACTGGTACTGTGCGCCGGAATGATACTGACATTTCCCGTCTCCAGCTCCACCAGTTGAACTTGTCCTGGAGACCTGCCGGGGAAGGCTAAGAGCTTCTTGCCCAGACATATCAACCCTAAGGGGTTATCTGTGGTCTCAAATATTGAGAGCTTTTCTGGTGGTGTGGAGAAGGCGAAGACATGGACACTGTTAAGAAGGGCAACTACGATGCGCGATTTGGATAAACGTACTCGGAGGACGGAGGTGCGGAATTCGAGCGTGATCACGGATTTTTGTTTTACGTCATCCCAAATAACCATCTGCCGAAGTTCAGCATGAAGCGAACATAGAACGCTCGAAGGATGTGTTGCATACTTTGTTCTGCGGTAGTTTCGGTTGTTTGCCTCCGCCAACGATGGCAAGGTAGTTGGACTGCCCTAGCATTTCTGCGACGCCGATACCTGCATTGAAATCTTGAGACGAGCACCGTTTAGCGCTTTTCTTCTATGTTTTAGATCAAGCATGAGACAGTTTGGTTGCGCACCTCGAGATACTTTGAGTTCACATGGATCGGAGTTGAAGACTGGGAGACGATCATATCCATAAGCTCCTGTTTGTTTACCTCATGCGGGGAGTTGCGACGCAGCGTACCACAGAAACCTGTATCTAGTCCGACCGAGAAGCAGCTACTGTCGCTGTTGAAAGCTGCCGACAGGGAGACCGGCCCTGCCGAGTCATCGATAACCTGGCGTGTATTCATGTTGCAGCATCGTATGCAGAACGTGATTGTATATAGTTGTTGGAAGTCACTCGGTTCGGTGGACCATGCGGAGATAGATATGGATTACGTAATGGTCCGTAACCTAGTTAGGTTAGTTAAACCCTAGTAAGCTTGTTTCGTGGAGGTGGAATCCATATCAGCACAATTGATGTGAGGATGTTCGTAGAAGTAGTAGTAATAATAATAGTAGTAATAGTAGTAGTAGTAGTAGTAGTAGTAGTAATTGGCAGAGATATGGCAAGATCTGGAAGTATTTTAAGGAAAAGTCGAAGCACTAGATGATCGTTCAATTGGCAGTAGGATTTGGAATTGGGTCAATGTATATGCGCGCCGAAGATACAATACAATGATAGCCACGTAGAATGGCTGGGAACAGTTGCACAAGAGAAGCCCGTAAAGCAAAGATATCATATCATCATCAAGAATCTGTCTAAGAAATGCAAGAAATGTAAGACATGGGAGAGACCACGTGACCGGCGGTGAGTGGGCCGTGGGAAAAGGGGAAAGAGGCAGAGCAGCAAAGCAAGCAGCCGCGACCAGTAACAGCACCAGCCAATCAGGGCCGCCCACTAGACAGCTTTCCCCCTAAACCGAACTGTGTCTGTTGTCGCTCTCCCTTCCTGCCCCATTCAGGAGACTCAAGACAACCATCTTCTCTTTCACCTTCGTCTACCCCCCGACCACCACCTCCAATCTCTTCATTTACCGGTCGCTGTCAGCATATCTCTACATTCCCCGTCGCTTGGGCAGTCCAGATAATCGGCCATGATGTCTTCGCCTTTGAACGCGGTATGTTCTGTCTCATTTGACTTTGTTCGCTACGATACCACACCCAATCCGCACGAGCCAGTACCCTTTAGATACTGACATTTATTGTTTCTACTGCATAGATTCGTCGCAAGAAAAATGTCAAGAAGGGGATTCAATTCTGCCTGATGGTCTGCGGTGCGAGTGGAACGGGTGAGTTTATTTGTGGATAACTGGTCTATCAAAGCATGGCCATCAATTCGATACCTGGACCCATCTTCTAACAATTGAATTTTACTGCAGGTCGTACTACATTCGTCAACACTCTCTGCGGGAAGAAGGTTCTCGAGCACAAGGATGCAGATGATGCTGCCAACGCACACATTGAGGAGGGGGTTCGAATCAAGCCAGTGACTGTCGGTAGGTGAAATCCGGAGCCTTTGTTTTGCGGACCAGCGCATGAAACTTACTATCGCAATTAGAACTGGAACTCGATGAGGAAGGAACTCGTATCTCGTTGACAATTGTCGACACTCCCGGATTCGGCGACCAAATCGACAATGAGGCCAGGTACGGATCACCTGCATCCTGTATCATTGAATCGGGCAAGTTGCGATTGCTAACGATCAAACAGCTTCTCCGAAATTGTTGGCTACCTCGAGCGCCAATATGATGATATTCTTGCCATGGAGTCACGGATTAAGCGTAACCCCCGATTCAGGGACAACCGAGTCCACGTCCTCCTCTACTTTATCACCCCTACCGGCCACGGTCTCCGAGAACTTGATATCGAATTGATGAAACGCCTTTCTCCACGTGTGAACGTCATCCCCGTCATCGGCAAGGCAGACTCTCTCACCCCAGCAGAGCTCGCAGAGTCTAAGAAATTGGTTATGGAAGATATTGAGCATTACCGTATCCCTGTCTACAACTTCCCATACGATATTGAGGAGGACGACGAGGACACCGTCGAAGAGAACGCAGAGTTGCGTGGTCTCATGCCATTCGCCATCGTTGGCTCTGAAGAGGTCCTTGAAATTGGCGGCAAGAAAGTACGAGCCAGGCAGTACCCATGGGGTATCGTCGAGGTCGAAAACCCCCGTCACTCAGACTTCCTCGCCATTCGAAGCGCACTTCTACACAGTCATCTTGCAGATCTCAAAGAGATTACCCACGACTTCCTCTACGAAAACTACCGTACTGAGAAGCTTAGTAAGAGTGTTGATGGCGGTGCTGGATCGTAAGTCATACTACACACACCCACAGCCATCGGAATTCTCAACTAACGAAAAATGTACATATAGAAACGAAGATTCTTCCATGAACCCAGAAGACCTTGTATCCCAATCGGTGCGTCTCAAGGAAGAACAGCTCCGTCGTGAGGAGGAGAAACTCCGTGAAATCGAACTCAGGGTACAACGCGAAATCAACGAGAAACGCCAGGAACTCTTGGCCCGTGAGAGCCAGCTCCGAGAGATCGAGGCTCGTATGCAACGAGAGGCCAGTGCTCATTTGGCTGCAACTGAAGAAACCAATGGAGAAGCTGGGGAGGCTTAATTATAGTGATTATGTACACGAACTCATGTGCCGGGGTCATGTACACCTGAGTAGGTCTATGTTGGTGTTGGTCCTGGCGATGTGAAACCCTCTAATCTATGATATGGGAGATTGGCGGCCTGGCCGTCCTCGACGTTTCCCTTCTTACGTGTCTTGCTTATTACACCTCGGAGATCTTTTGACTGCGTTTTTCTCGGTGTTTACTACCTCGGATTGGAAATACACCGCTTTATTAATGGTCTTGAATTACCTCCTGCGGAAATAAAAGAAGATCTTTCCTGTTGATATCTTAGTCAACAACCCATTCCTTTCTTTTTCTTCTCTCCTTTTCACCTTCCCCTCTGGTTTGAGCTTTGCAGCACCAAAAGATTCCCAGTCACCTGTGACCTTCATTTTCTGGATTTTAATACTTTGTTTCCTTATTTAGGTATTTCAATAATTGTATTTTGTTATGTTGAATTACTTATGTAACTCTGTTCTGAATGCGGAACAACATAGAAAACAAACATATCTCTTCATGCAGAGTGAATCTTCAAAATCGCCACAGCCAGAGTCGGCTGGAACGCAGTTATATCGCTCATGTCAATCAGTCCCGTCTACTTTATCCGTCTCTCCACCGCCTTCTCGCAAATCTTCGAGCAGCATGAGTTCCATCTCACACCATTGGTAGTTACGCGATGTCACCTCATACTCCAGCTGGCCAAAATTTTGAAAGGTAGAATCTGGCACGAAGTCGATCTGCACGTCTTTCCCAGCTTGATCCGTCCAGTCTTAACACGTCTCTACAAGGTGTCTGCCCTCACAAGTATAAACGGGTACAGAGTGCTCGAGGCATCGGATATACTGATTTGCCCAATGATTTTGATACAATATGAAACCATTTTCTGTCATCTTATTCACATGTTTCGCTTCATTTTACTGTGGCCTTGCTCCAAAAATCCAAACTAGCCACCACATCCTCGCCTTCCTCGTCCTCGTAAGCATACAGAATCTGATGCCAAGTCAGCAAGTTTACTTCAAAGTAATACAACGTAGACGAGAGCAAAAGTAATGGCTCACCTCTCGTGTCGATGAATGTAACATTCGAATATTCTTCCCGGTCATAATATGAATAAGCTCACTCGTCTCGATATGTCGAATCTCGATAAAATTCGGTTCAAATGCTAAAATGTATGGATATGATAAGGCAAAGGCATTCGGTGTGCCTTCCCAAGAAATTAACCAATCTGGTCGTGCTCGCCATCCATTCCGATTCACAAAGAACGAGAAATCACTATAGTTCAGAAGGAATTCTCCATTCATTCGCTCAACGTGAATGGGTTTGACGTTTTCTTTTCGCGCCACGAAATCCAAGGAAGTATCCGCTTGGTCGAGAAGTGACTGGCTTTCTGTGGTTTCGAGACTGACTACCTCAAAGCCTCTGGCACAGCCAACACACAAAGTTTTTCGTAAGAAATGTACAGAAGAAGACTCCGCTGGGATATAGTATTCCTAGTCAATATCAGTTAGTTGGCAACCTGAGAAAAAAAAATCATATGAACTTACTTTGAATGGTTTCAACGCTTCTTGTCCTCCCCTGAACATCTTACCCAATGCCGGTTTTCGGCCTCCCCTTGCTAAGTTCTCCATAGGCTCAAAGACTTTAATGGTAGTCGATAGCGCAGAGGTCTTGACAGAGCACACCAGATGTCGTCCTAGTCCGATACCAACTTTGAAGAAATTGGCGTGTCCCTGAATCTTCTTTGGCCGCCGCGCAAGAGGATTTTGACCTTCGTTGACATCTAAAGCTTCCATCGGATATGAGCTAAGAGTCTTATTGGCAAGGACCAAAACTAATTGATATTCTTCTAGCGTATCAATCTGCGTGACTGCAGTGGCGTCTAATATGCGTCTTGGCTTCGCATTCTTGTCTTTGGGCCATCTCTCAGCTAGATAGATACCATCATCGGTACCAATAACGAGTTTCCTTCCACCGTCTAGAAGAAGAAATCAATAAGAATACTTCGCTAAAACAAGAACTGTAATAACTTACCTATCGGCACCAAGCAATTGACCCTATTAGCTGTTGTGAAGAAGTTTTCACAGAGGATAGTCTTGGAGTAGAAGTTGCTATTGCGCTCCCGTAGCTTCCTCTGCTGTTCTTCAACCATTTCAATGAACTTCTTCCTCTGCGTTGGCGATGTGGCATATAAAGTCAAATCATAACCGCCCTTTCCAAGATGTCTGAAGGTAATTGGCAGTCCTTCTTTCGGTATGGGAGCGTTGTTGGGAATGACTTTTCCAGGAATGAGACTGGATGATGATCTTTTTGCTAGGCCAAGCCTAGGAATGACCTCGTCCATTTGCGCAATAACCAACAATTCCAGAGGAATTGGCTTCTTGTATACTCGATATTCTTCGCGCTTGTTGATCAATTTGATCCGCACAAGCAGTACGGCATGGTCGAAGAGATATGCAGTAACTTCAGAACTGTCAGTTGGCCCTTTCTTGAATCCCATTTTTGTAAGCATTTGTCGATTTTCTTCGGTGAGTTTCAGATCGACATAATCTCCTGGGTTGAATTTCAAGGCTGCATTGAGCTGAACCAAGTTGAAGTGATTCTCCGCTTTGCCACTCTCAGTATTGACTCTGGAAAGAAAGTCTTTGATCAACCCGATTGCTTTGGGGATGTCCTGTTTGTCTGGGTTATCGTCGGCGGTATTCTTGGCCACTTGCTCAAGGAGTAGAGGGTATCGAGCAAGACGAGTCGTAGGTTTCGTGAGGTAGCCATTTAACTCTAACTTGCGCGACTCTTTCAAGCGTTCGGTTTCTTCGACAAAACGAGCGAATGCAGGATTTGAAGCTTTTTCTTTTTCAAATTCATACTTTCCGTAGAGCTGATTGGCACCGTATTTAATGAATGGATCAAAACGAGGGACGTGCTGCAAAAAGATATCACCAACGGTATGGACAACATGGTTTTCTTTTTGTCTAGCGTTGAGTGCTTCGCAAAGAGCAGAATTGACTTTCAGCACCTCCAGGCAGTTTCCGAACACCGTCCGGATAAACTTTTCTCGTCGATGCTCGGGAATTGGAGATAAGCTAGTATTACCTGCTGAACGAAGTGGCCGCATCCAAAAGTCTCGAAGATACTCCAAGTCTTTGACGAAATCTCTTTCCGTATACATGATCTCAAAAATGATTTCCTGTCGCTTCTTCTCCCGATCTTCAAGCGTGTCGGAAACTTCCTTGGGAACCATGTTGATCCAAAGCTTCTGGTTGTCATTATCATCATCGGCGTGAAGACTACTTTTGGAAGACGAATGTCGTAAACCAGGCTGAGGTTTGAGATTGAGGCGAGCTTGTTGTTCAAGTCGTCTAGGACAAGCAATCGAATAACAAAGGTTATCCCGTGTACAAGTTGGAGAATAGCATTCTGTGAGTAGTGTGAACACTCCATTCACGTCCGAGGTGGGTGAATCTTCAGTCACTGTTTCCTTGAATTGATAAATCTCAACAGCAGAGTCTCGGAGACGGTGATCGTATGTCACATCATGGAAGAACTTCTGTGCATCCAGTGCACGACCAAGCAGCAATGCAAGATTGCGATCTGGTGTTCTAATAATGTGAGCGATCAGATCCACTGCTTTTGATCCCGAAAATGCATTCTGGTATGAAAGCCCGTTCTTCTGGTATTCCCCCAGAGGCATCCTTTCGCGGAAAACATCGGCGACACGTGAGAGTAGAGCGGGATAAACCAATGGCTTTAATTTGCGAGGTGGTGCAACTGCTGTTGTATTTGTGGACTGAGTGGTTTGCTTCTGCATGGGTTGACTTTGGAGGCTCATTGTCCGATCGGAAATGAGAGTAGAAGCCATCGACATAGTTCTTACGGTCATAGACGCGTCGCTCGGACGGCGTAGATGATGATAGTTACCGTCACTTTGTCCTTGTTGTTCTGGGAAAGCTTGACCTTGGGCCTGTGTTTGCGTTTGCGATTGTACTTGTGGTCCAGCAGGAAGCAGTTGAGATGGTATATGATCGGGTCCAGAAGGTGGCCTTGACGGTCTTGTAGGTACAGGCCGGCCGTAGGCTGTTTGGGCGTGATCACGAGAAGATGAGTATGAGCTGAGAGACATTGTCCGGGGATCCTCATGTTTCTCAGGTACGGGACGTCCCTGCGGTGTTCTCGCAATAGAATTATAGTGATTGTCGCGAGTTACCGGAGGCTGTGAATATGTTTGCTGGGGAGGAGGCCTCATTGGAAGATTAGCCATTGACCGAGTGCGGTCTGGATACGAATTTAAAGCTGGAGAAAAACCTGGACGACCCTGTGGAATAGGAAAATTTGGATTGGGATAATGAGGATTCGGTCCAGAGCCTACACGGACAGGTCCAGGATATGGGGAGCCCCGTGGGAATGGTCGAGGATAATTCTGGTGAGGTTGCTGTGCGACATTTCCATTGGGGATTTGCTGGCTCCCATAGCCATTGGACAGATGCCGCATACCTGCTCCTGGATGTGGTGGTCCTCTTTGCTGCATATGCATCGAGGGCGGGGGAATATGAGAGGTCATCGTACGCGATCGCTCATTCGGGAAGGGAGCGGTTTGTGAAGTCATCGTCTGAGATCGGCCGGCGGCATGTGCTGGTGAACCAAAAATATCAGAAAAGGCAGCATCGCGCGTCGGATTCGGCGCCTGCCCGTATGTATTTGGCCGATAATTTCGGTCGTGTCCCAAGTCCGCCATGGTAAGCGAATAGATGGCTGTAGGAAAACAACTAAATGATAAGGTCAGTTGGTTCTGTTCGCAAGGTGCAATGATTGATGCGAACTTGCAATGAACGGGTAAAACTGACTTGAGTGTGCTGTTAATGGAAATATCACATACAGGGCCTTGATAAGGTCACAGATGGACGAGGAAAGAGACGATGGTGTCTTCCCCAAATAGACTGGGACTCTTCTTTGAGACAGCTGACCACGCGTGACTTCGCTTCATATACGACACTCGATTTCCGGTGTGTTGTAATTAGCTATCTCTGTGGAAAGTGAGTAGCGAGTGCTAAGATCGGCTTGATTAGAACCGATGAGGGTGCAAGGAGCCTTGGGCGCAACCATAGAACAGGGCCCCTGCAGTCATACCCTCCGCATCCTTTTTTCCCACTAGAATAGGAGGCTCAATGGAGACGCCTCGCGCACAAGTCCCACCGCAGTCGAGGCGGAAGATGCCGTGAAGAAGGGTTGGTATAGAAGGATGGGAAGCGTGGTGTCGATAAAGAGAGAGTGGTCGTGATGAAGCAAGCAAGCAAGCCACGGAGGGTATGGTGATTGTGTTGTGAGTCTGTCGCTTTGGTCAAGGCCGAGCCGGAGACGCCGCCCATGTACGGGGCGCCACAGAGGACAACTTAGCAACCTCTGCCAAGTCTCTTAGCTCAACATGGAGAGCTTGTCGGCCTCACTTCCAACACATTACTTACATCTTACCTGTCTCACATCTTTCAACCTGGAACCCTTATCGCACATTCTCCTCACGCCTAGGGTTTAGGATAGCCACCGTCGCCCGTGGTCAGTTGGCTCCTTAAGGGCAGCCGGTGCTGTGTATCAACACGCTCACAGATTCCGAACCTACCTCTACTGAGTGTTAGCGAGTTACGTGCAATACTATAGCCAAAATGACGGACAGTGAATATTCGCCTAAATTTGCGCCGTTCTTCTCCTTTGTACGTACTTTCTCAATCTCGGCTGAATGGCGTCATACTAATCAGAGCAACAGGCAGGAGTAGCAGCCGCAGTAAGTCCTGCGAGATATCGTCACATTTTATGACAAGACACTAACCTACTCGAAGATGATCTTCGGGTGTACGTTGATAAACCTACAAAGCTTCCTTTCTCAGTTTAGAATGATATCCGCTCACAAATGGCAGCAATCGGCGCGGCATATGGAACCGCAAAATCAGGCATTGGTATTGCGGGTGTGGGACAATATAGACCAGATCTGATCATGAGGGTATTTTTTTTTCAGTCCTTTGCGCTTTTGTGGCTACTTGAACTAACTGGAAAAAGTCGTTGATCCCCGTCGTCATGTCCGGTATTATTGCGGTCTACGGTCTGGTCGTCGCAGTGCTTATAGCAAACGCAATGAACCCTCCCCCGGGCCAGAACACGAGTCTATACACGTACGTTCGAGTTTCGTCGTCGTTAAATGAAGGCAAAGATGTATGTCGTCGATATTAACCTGCATATTACAGAAGCTTTATGCATCTTGCGTCGGGCCTTTCAGTCGGCCTGGCCGGAATAGCGGCAGGGTATACCATTGGGGTTGTGGGAGATGCTGTAAGCATGACTTTGAGTGTTTGAACTTGAGTACATTACTAATTATCTATCCATAGGGTGTCCGCTCGTACATGCAACAATCACGTGTCTACGTTGGAATGATTTTGATCTTGATTTTCGGAGAGGTGTTGGGACTTTACGGGTATGTCTGTCCTTAGATATACAGAGAGGATCACGACTAATACAAGTGCAGTTTGATTGTCGGCTTGATTCTCAACTCGCGCAGCGGTGGCTAGACGGGCAGCGTAAACTCATTTAACTTCTCGGAGGAAAGCTTAAGACAGCGAGCATGCTGGTATAGCGAATTAAAGTCATGGTTAAAATCCAGACGTCTCGTTGATGTCTTGATAGCTCATTTTTTTAGGCGTTAGGAGATGCGAGGCTTTTTATTCACTGACAGGACCACCGCGCATGAGCAATCTGTTTCCTGAAGGCCACTTCATGCATCTCAATTGCAGTTGTACTGCACCATCTTAGATATATATATGTGCTACCATTTTATTACCCTTGAATATGACTTATTGCTTGTATATGTATGGACTATGGAGACAGAAAAGACACGTGAAAAAGCCCCGCTAAGATAACGTCAGAGTAAGAACTGTCGAAAGCTGCGGGGACCAAAGCGCGGAACCACTCAAATCGGGCCGTGGACGTCCAGAACTTTGGGAAGTCACAAATTCTTCTACAATCGCGGATTCTCCTGGCTGAACAAAATCAAACAAGAATTCAATCGCAAACCCCCAGTATCATATATAAAACCGTTGCTACGGCGAAGAATTACGAATCGGTTTCAGCTACATGTCCTTGATCTAGTCTCATCTCGGAGACCGTCTTCATTTCTCGCGGTACCAGACGCTTGTATCACCCTTTTGACGCCAACGTTTGCGACACATATCAGACTCAGAGGCTGAGAAATGACCGTTTGTCAACAGTATGGCCACAGAAACAGTCGAACCCACGATACATGAACATGAGCCGGCAAGAAACCCAATAGTCGTACCCAAAGTGCATCCAGCAGCAAAGTCGGAAGATTTCACTACGTCGTCTTCTGCGCCGAGTACAGAATCTACCACAAGGCACAATATAAGCTCCGAAGAGGACTTTTCTGCATCTGACTTGGGCCAACCGAGCCGGAACTTCCAGGTAGACGATTTTGAGCTTATAAAGACCCTAGGAACAGGTATGTCAATGCCATTGAAACTGGGTAGAAGGATATAAATGTGGCTTTTTGGAAACTAATTTATGCAATGTGATCAGGAACCTTTGCGCGTGTCTGGCTTACGCGCGTGAAGAATGATCCTAGGAAGGACAATGTCTACGCATTGAAAGTTCTCCGTAAAGCAGACGGTACGTTGAGCTGATTACGTTTTCGGATTGAACTCTACTAAATACGTTATCGGCAGTGATCAAGCTCAAACAAGTTGAACATGTCCGCAATGAGCGAAGAGTTTTAGGTGCTGTAGCTGGATATCCCTTCATTACAACCTTGATCACTACATTTTCGGACGATCAGTCTTTATACATGCTGGTACGCTTAGACACGTGTTGCTATTTTCTTTTCCAGCCAAATTTCGATCTGACTCTATCAAGTTGGATTATTGTCCCGGCGGCGAAATATTCACCTACTTACGACGCGCGCGGACTTTTAGCGACGCAACAGCCAAGTTCTATGCTGCAGAAATCACATTAACAATAGAGTATCTACACGACGTTCAGGGCGTTGCGTATCGGGACCTCAAACCCGAAAATATTTTGATTGATACCGACGGACACATCAAACTAGTCGACTTTGGATTCGCAAAACAAGTGGGTAACCGTGAAACCTATACCCTCTGCGGGACACCGGATTATCTGGCGCCAGAAGTGATTCATAACAGCGGCCATGGTCTTGCAGTTGACTGGTGGGCGTTGGGGATCCTGATATATGAGTTTCTGGTCGGACAACCACCTTTCTGGGACCAGAATGTCATGCGATTATACGAACAGATTGTCGAAGGCCGCCTTCGCTTTCCACATAACATGAACCTCGCAGCGAGGGATATCGTCTCGCAACTCTGCAAGACAGATGTAACGCAACGCCTGGGTTATATCCAGGGAGGCTCTAAAAGAGTCAAAGCCCATCCTTGGTTCGACAATATCAACTGGGATGACCTTTACAATCGGCGGGTCAAGGGACCTATTATTCCACGTTTGGAACATGCGGCTGATGCAACGAATTTTGAGGAATATCCTCCTCCTCCGGATTCGGACCAGTTGGAGCCGTATACAACTGATATGAGAGAAAAGTATGAGCCTCTTTTTAATGATTTTTGATGCATACTTTCATGAAGATATATATATATATTTATTTTCCTATGTTGGGAAGGCAAAAGTGTACATTTGATACAGTCTGTTCTATTTCAATGTTCTGTCAATATTTGTGCTCTCATTACATATCATCAACTATACCCAGAAGAATGACTGGACATATTATGAACCTTGTCTGATAATTTACATCTGATGTACTTTCTTTTCTTTTATTTATACCATTTTAATACTACTTCTTCTGTGTTAAACCGTTGTGAAATCTACAGCTGCACAAAGGGGTACTATATTTGTAATCCAGTTCGAATGAAACATTGAATTATATGGCACTAATAGATATCAACCGTTTGAATCTTTACACGATTTCTATATAAACATCTCGAATATCGTAGTCTTCCTGAACACATCTAGTAAACAAACCCCGTGCTCCTCGCTCGCGAGCCGTAAAATTATAAGAATATCCAAAAGGTAGACAGTGAAAAACCCCCCCTCCCCCCAAAACAACCAACCAAAAAAAAAAAAAAAAAAACGCCGTGCTAATGCGCTGCCGATGTTGTATTTTTAGCAGAATGGGGAGAAAGGATACGATATCGTGTTTCTATTATGGTATCAGAGGCAGGTGTAGGGCCATGTTGATCCATCGTTTGCATATATAGATGGAGATGCCAGAGGTATATAGTGTAGTCGATTAAGAAATACGCTCGCTTTCAGGCTTCCATGATCCTAGATAAACTGCATTAGCACAGCTCAAGCATTGTGTGTGTATACTGGGGGATAGACACCTTCGAATAGGTGGCTAACAAAAGCCAGAGGATCTTCTGGCCCTTGAGCACCCATTTGACCCACGCCCGGACTGAAACTGGTAATCGGCAGAACTGCGACATCACCAACCTTCTTCTGTCTGGTCAAGCCGGTGAAGTCTTCGTAAGTCACGTTGCGAGTTCCCTCACTCAGGAAATAATCAGGGTTGTTGAAGTAGCGGAATACGGCATCAGTCCATACGGCAGGACCAGTAAACTCCACAATCGACTTGTCCATCTTAGACTTAGTCAGGACACCTTTTCGTTTCATTCGTAGAGTATCCTCGACAATAGTCGCCACTACGTCACGGAGGACAGGATGGCCCGGTTTGGCTTGAATTGTCCATTGACAAAATTGTATTCTTCGTGAATACCACTCATGCCAGTCCGGGCGGTCTGGGTCAGCTTCGATACCAATCACAAGGCCGACTGACGACGGATCCATATCATCCGGAAGCCAGTCAATGGCCGGCTTCAGCGCTTCCGTATCAATATCAGAGTATATACCGCCTCGTGCCAACAGAATCAAATATCGGAAAAGATCCGCCTTCAAGACGGGTGCCGGTAGTGAATTATACGCCTCCACCACTTCAGGAACGGATCCATATAGATATTGAACGAGGTGATCAGCCGCCTCATCCGATATTACTTCGTGAACGAATTCCGGATTTCGCTCGGTCCATGATGCTTCTAGCGGGCGAAGATGGTCGGGGAACCAATTGGAGTTGACAGAGTCCTTCCACGTCTGCCATATATATGCCGGGAACTTGCTGTCGAGATCATAGGGGTATTGATATCGAAGCTTTTCGAGAAGTGTCGGATATGCCGTTTCGCCGACAGGGAGTTGCGATTGTCCGGTCCCCGCGCGACCCCTTGCCTGAGGTGGAATGCGCAGCGGCTTCTGGCCCTGCGAGAAGCCGTCTCGGTAGGCTGCATCGGAGGTTGAGAAGGGCCGGAATAAGAAGATAATGCCGACTAGCAGCGCAAAAGCTATGATAGCACGTCGAATGGGGGCCATGGTTGGATTCTTCGCCGGATATTGCCTTGATTCGATTTCTTTCATGGTTCACGTCAAAGCCCGTAGTCGAGTAGCGACAGACTCACTGACTGGCGCGCGCTGGTCAATTCAGTCACGGTATCAGATCGAGGTCGCAATTATGGCGCTTTGTCGACGTTGAAGAGTCGAAGTGGCGTGCTCCGGTAAATTATTCAGAATGGCCTGAGTACCAAAAACATCATGGCGATATGCTGCTTGGCTTCCAAACTAAATATACGAATCTAGAGGAGGCGGAGCGATTTAATAATGATGGGATCTGTGTGAAAGTCAGAACCGATGTAGGGACTTTGAATTTCCGGGCCCAAAGAGTTCGGGCGAGTTAACGGCGGATCTCACGGATCGGGCGTAGCGTCTTATCTTACGAACCTACACAACTTGACAGCTTATCTACCTCTATATGTCTCTCTACAGCAGTCGTATACTCGAATACCTCAACGTTACATTTCTCCTGCTCAAGCGCCGACCGTGCGACATGACATGGAAAATAAGTAGAATTAACCAAAAAAAATTCATGAATTCTTTTTTCTCAAGAGTCATTCATGCAAACCTCAAGCAACTCTTGTGGCGTCCAACAAAACAACCCTTAGACGCCACAACTACTTCCAGATGAAGACGAATCTCAGATGTGTGATACGTAGTAGTAGTCGTCAGCGAGCCGCGTCATCCACGCTGAGGAGAGCCGCCCCATTAACATACTGGCGTCAAAGCCACAACGGACGTATATACTAGCCTCGCCAGTATTGTAGAATTGATTCAATGCATAACTGTCTGATATGACTTGAATCGCAGTTGCATTTTCTAAGAACAATCGTGGCTCTGGATCATAACTAGTGCTGTCGTTGCTGCCTGAGGCATTAAATTACATAATCATTGAATTCGGGCATGATTAACCAATCACAGCGCCGATACATGACGTGCTTTTGGAGAAGCTGCGATGCGCGGGGAGCTTTGCGGAGGTCGAAATTTGCGATTACTAAAAATTTGAAGCCATGTCGTTCTTGATTCACTTCAATCTGCATCTGGGTCTTCCGGACTGTCGTTTCTTGTCATCGGATTTACCGTACATCGACAGCTTCCAATGATGACCTCTCTACGAGGCGCCGTGCGTACGGCTTCCTCGTCGTCCTTGTGGACCACGAAACATGCACACCATACCGATGCTTTTTTCCAGATCAGAAACCGATATAGAGTACAGACATCGCCATCGCTAACACCATGGCCCACCGCTGATTACAGGTCACGTCGCTGGACCCAGTCTGTCGCAGTGCGCGAACAACAATTTGATTCCTCGAATCCTGCCATGTCGTTTCCCTGTCTTGATGCTCAAGAAGCCAAGTCCGCGTCACTATCTACACGGTCAATGAGTTCTGGTCCAGAACCATCCTACACGACCGGACAGCATGAGAACTTCCACTGCAAAACCCCGCTACTTCTCGACTGGGGCGGTGTGCTCCCCGAATTTGACGTTGCTTACGAGACTTGGGGTACCCTGAATGCCGATAAGAGCAATGCGATTCTCCTACATACAGGCCTCTCCGCCTCAAGTCATGCGCATAGCACACCGACGAACCCTAAGAATGGCTGGTGGGAAAAGTTCATTGGTCCCGGGGCTCCTCTCGATACGAACAAATATTATATTATCTGCACAAACGTAATCGGTGGTTGCTATGGAAGCACAGGCCCTTCATCCATTGACCCATCTGACTCGAAGCGATATGCGACACGTTTCCCTATTTTGACGATCGAGGACATGGTTCGGGCGCAATTCAGACTTCTCGACTCACTAGGCATCCAGAAACTGCATGCATCCGTTGGCTCCAGCATGGGCGGAATGTTAAGTTTAGCATCTGGTGTTCTCTTCCCCGAAAGGATGGGAAGATTGGTTAGTATCAGTGGCTGTGCGCGCAGTCACCCATACAGCATCGCCATGCGACATACCCAACGACAGGTCCTTATGATGGACCCCAATTGGCAACGCGGCTTCTATTACGACTCGATTCCTCCTCATCACGGTATGAAACTTGCCCGAGAGATTGCCACCGTTACATATCGTAGTGGTCCTGAATGGGAAAACCGATTTGGCAGAAAGAGAGCGGATCCCAGCAAGCAGCCAGCTCTCTGTCCGGACTTCCTGATCGAAACCTATTTGGACCACGCAGGAGAGAAATTCTGTCTCGAGTACGATGCCAATAGCTTGCTATACGTGTCCAAGGCTATGGATCTTTTTGATCTGGGCTACGCTCATCAAGTTGCGACCCGAGCACGAAGGGTACAAAATCAAAAGAGGATGGTACTGGGCAGTATGGAACGGAACGGTGCTTCCTGCAGCTTGGCATTGCCTGATAAGCCTTATGAGGAGCAACCTGCCACTTTATCGTCTTTGACACCGATGAACGAACCGGCAACCGACGACTCGGCTGATGGACCTCCACAAGATCTCATTCGTGGCATGTCCCCGCTGAAAGACCACCCAGTACTTGTCATGGGCGTTGCAAGTGATATTTTATTCCCAGCATGGCAACAGCGAGAGATTGCGGAAACACTAAGAGCTGCCGGAAATCAGAATGTGGAGCATGTCGAATTAGGTGAGGATATCTCACTTTTCGGCCATGATACGTTCCTGCTAGATCTCGAGAATATTGGAGGTCGAGTTGGGAAGTTTTTGGGATGAGCGTCATCTTATCCTAGTGTATATTTATCATGGAGCATTCTAGCATAGCATAGCATAGCATTGCGGGCGTTTCTTTTCTTAATTTCGTCACATTCGACACATAGATAGGCGTTTTCGGACTGAATATACCTAATTACATACAACGCCATCGTACCTTTTAAAGAAACCTTGGAATACTTTGGAAACAGAAATAATGGATATAACATTTAAGTAAAAATATATAACCCTCAGATTAGCTCTCTGGTTACCACTGGCTTCCATGCACGATGTACAAGTGCCGGATACCTCAACTTTGGCTTTTGGATACTGACGTGTCATCACCGGGTTGTATGTATGTATACAAAGCAAAAAAGAAAGGGACAAAATGAAATGTGTGATGATCATTGTATTGCTGACTTACGAAATACATCAGCTGGTACGACGACACAGCTCTGCAGAAGATGTAAACTGGTGAGTTAATTGCTATCCGAGAAGACAATAGAAAAGAGAAAAAAAATTTTGGGCAAATACAAACTCTCCCTAGCCTTTGTTCAGATTGAAAACTACCTTTGGGTAAAGGCTCGTCAAAGGCCTGCTGCACGCGGCTACACTCGTTAGAGGCAACACGCGGAGCATGTCTCCGAGGTGTCCTAAGATTTGGGTCATCATGTAAGGCATCACTGGGATCGTTTTGTGGTGGTAGATCGAGGGTGACTGTGAGAATACGAGGATACAATGCTGGAGACGGCATTGGAAGTTGATGCTGAACCACCGACATTTAATGGCAGTGTCAAACGACCAAACCGCCCAGATCTGTAGATAGTAATGTAAACAATAAGGAACGAGAATAAACTCAGACCGTAGTGGCTCTCAGATTTCTGTTCACCTGCATCAACCACACATTTAACACGTCTTCTTCCACCGATCAGGTCGTGTTTGAAACGAACCAAATATCAGGGATAAAGTCCATGTGGTCACTGACTATAGGACCATATGTGTCAAAAGCTCATGTGAGAAGTTGTCATCACTGAGACGTACACAGTCTTCTGTTGAGAAATGTTGTGTGTTGATGTTGTTGAGAAAGGAAGGAGGAGAACAGAGCTTGAAAGGTGAGATGAGAAAATGCTAGCCGAGCTGGATCAAAATCGGGCCGGTGTACCCACGTGAGTCTCCGCTGTTGATAGGAAATCTGCCCGCCTGCAAGCATACAAAAGACAGCGTCATGTCAGCACGTGATCATATTCGCTGTTGTGCTGCTTTGGCATGGCAAGGTAGCAGTGCATATACAAAAGTACCTGATTGAAATGTGAGATACATTTACGTCTCATTGATTCCCAATATGCGCAAAATCGCTAATTTTCGTCGATATGGCTTACAAAGATCATAGAAGGTCCCGTTCTTACTACGACAAAGACGATTACCCAGATTCGTTTGATGATAGAGAGTTACAAGGATACCAGAGTCTGAGAGACCGACGGGACAGAGGGAATAACAAAGAGAGTATGAGCTCGTGGCTGCAGAGGCAAGCTGGCTCTCACTCCGTCCAGCTTGCTGCCGCGGCAGTTGTGTCCGGGGCTGCTGTCGCTGCAGGCATATTCGGTTACCAAGCTCTGAGAAGACATGAAGCTGTAGAATCACTCAAGGCTTCGATTCCACAGATTGACGACAAGCATCATGCAGAGAGTCTCAACGAATTCGGAACGGCAGGTCCTCTGCCAGTGCTGAGTAAAGAAGACGAGCGCAGTGCGGCGCTTGCACGACGAGCACAACAAGGAGACTACGATGAGGAACTTATACTTGAACAACTTGCTAGAAATCGAGTCTTTCTGACGGATGAAGGTCTTCAGAAACTTCGCTCATCTTTCATAATTGTCGTTGGCTGTGGCGGCGTTGGTTCTCATGCCACCGCAGCTTTGGCTCGCTCCGGAGTGGCCAAGATCCGACTCATTGACTTTGATCAAGTTACGCTTTCATCGCTAAATAGACATGCACTTGCCACCCTGGCGGATGTCGGTACACCAAAAGTTCATTGTATACGACGACGATTGGAGCAGATTGTGCCGTGGGTGCACTTCGACTGTCGGAACGAATTGTTCGGTGCGAATGTGGCTGATACACTCCTTGCTCCCTGGACAGGCAGAGGGTCCAATGGACAGAAACCTGACTACGTTATCGATTGCATTGACAATATCGAATCCAAAGTCGAATTGTTGCATTACTGCCATAAGAATTCTATCAAGGTCATTTCGTCTATGGGCGCTGGATGCAAATCCGACCCGACCCGCATTGCGGTGGCTGATATCTCTGTAAGTATGGAGGATCCGCTATCTCGCAGCACTCGTCGGCGCTTGCGTGTTCTAGGCGTGACTTCGGGTATTCCAGTAGTGTTCTCAGTCGAAAAACCAGGTCCTGGAAAAGCATCCTTATTGCCGCTACCCGAGGAAGAATTCGCGAAAGGAAAAGTTGGGGAATTGGGTGTATTGCCCGACTTTCGCGTGCGGATTCTTCCCGTTCTTGGTACGATGCCTGCTGTCTTTGGATATACCATAGCAAACCACGTGATCTGTGCTGTTTCAGGCTACCCTATCGACTACAGTCTGGCGGGCAAAAAGCGTGAAAAGCTCAGCGATACCATGTACTCATTACTCCAGGGTACAATAGAGAGGCTGGTGAGGGCAGAAGTCAAGGATAACGAACTTGTGGGACTGCGCATGCCACTCAGCAAGGAGGAGATCGGCTATATAGTCGACGAGATTTGGCGTGGGAGAAGCGTGATTAGCGGTATTTCTAACCGCTTGGTCCTTGTGCCCTGGAAACGACCGGCTGAAGGGTTTAGAGTCAATCCACAATGGGAGAAAGATGGACAAAAGCTTGTCCCAATAAATTGGAGGAATCTGGTTTGCATGACGAAGGAAGAAGCTGTCCAGCATGAAAGAGAAGTTCTTCTAGGCGGGAAGAATGTGGAGGAGATTTATGACGACAAAGTACTGCAGCTGATTGATGCTCGTCTGAAGGAGGCGGAGATCTATGAGCGGTACAGATAGTGCATCTATACGGAACACGTATCTAGTTATTGATGAACCATGAATTCCAAGTATACTCGAAAGAGCCAATCAGAGGCCGCAATTGACCGAACTTGGCAGCTGAACAAAGGCCGTTAATACAGCACTGTGATTGGTAGAACGTAAAAATAGTGGGTCATACTTGTCAACTTCACATCTTGGAAATTCTTGGATGAATTCAACCTGTATTGATCAAGCTGAGACACGACTATGAAATACATTCGACATTTTGTTTCGTCCTATTTTTTGCCTCAATCTCACATGCCCGCGCCAGCGATTTCCAGCTATGTTAGCTGTTTAGAGATCCATCCCGGAACTTCAGACAATCAAACAATTCCGCAATCAGCAACCCGCCAAGACTCATCAAGAGTCCCCATAACGTAACGCAACGTCGTCATCATGGCCAGAAAAGAAAGAACTCAATCTGTCAGTTTTCTGTCGAAACCTACAGGCTTCGAGATGGATATGGACAATCTCAGCGTCTCAAGCAGCAGCGACGACGACAATGACGAAACTGTGCATTCTCAAAGCGGCTTCTTCAAAAGCTTTCCACAAGGCGGTGCTCAACGACCTTTGATCAACTTCGTGAAGAATAAATGGGAAACTCGTGCCTCCAGACCTCGTTCAACTTCGACTTCCTCTGCCGCTTCGCTTGACTGGTACCGCGTTCCAGGCCTCGGATTCATAGCGTCGATCGTCATGGCTCCGAAATTCAGGCGATATATGGTCGTTTACGCTATTCTTTTGATGTTTGCTTTTACCGGATGGGAAACTGTTCTACAACCGATGATGAAAGAGCATGAAGATATACTCGCGTCGCTTAATGTGGATACATTGGAGAAAGTAGGTGGGTGGTTTGGGACCAATGTGCGCCCGGAGTTTGTCGATGTGCTGCCTATGAGAACGCTCAATCCGGCGTTATTACCGAGCTTCGAGGAGAAAAAAGGTCGTTCATCTCGACGGCTAGTTATTGTTGGTGATGTACATGGGTGCCAGGATGAATGTAAGTTTGTGGACTCCGTCAAGTGAGATCACTGACTCATACTATCTAGTGGAAAAACTCCTGGAGAAAGTATCTTTTGATCCAGATGCTGGCGATCACCTCATCCTCACCGGGGACATGATCAACAAAGGCCCCAAGAGCGGCGGTGTGGTAGACCTTGCCCGCGGACTTGGTGCTTCATGCGTACGAGGAAATCACGAAGACCGCATCTTGCTTGAGCGCTCAGACATGAAAGTCCATCATAGCGAGTCTTCTAATCAGGAACATACCGTGGTGGCTGATACGGCTGAACGCAGGGTAGCCAAGTCGTTAACCGATGAGCAAGTCGCATACTTGCAGGACTGTCCTGTCATATTGAAAGTCGGGCAAATCAAAGACATGGGAGAAGTAGCTGTTGTGCACGGCGGATTGGTTCCCGGCGTACCCTTGGAGAGACAGGAATTGTCGAGCGTGATGTCCATGCGGACCATCGATTTGGATACTCATGTTCCAAGCGCCAGCAAAGATGGCGTGCCGTGGTTCAAAGTGAGTCTCCTTATATCACCAATACATCCAAGACCTACTGACATCTGAAAAGCTTTACAACCAATATCATAAATTGCTAGTAGCAGGACAAGGACAGGCTGGTACTGTATCTCCTCAAACTATGACTGTGATATATGGACATGACGCCGCTAAATCACTCAATATCCGTCAGTATACCAAGGGGTTGGACTCCGGATGCGTTTACGGTCGAAAATTGAGTGCATTTGTCATCGAGGACGGCGGTAAGAATGAAATTGTGCAGGTGAAATGTAACGAATATGTAAAATCGTGAGCTGGGTGTATCCTTGCTTTTTGGGTGTTTTCCGAGCTCTGCTTGCTCACGCATTGTTCTGGAGTTAATATGTTTAACAAATTTTGGGCTTTTAACTAATTTTGGGTGTGGGATTTACAGGATTATATTTGGCAGATGTGTGAAACCGTGCCGTTTACAGTTGTGCTTGTGTCATGTCCAATGATACCCAAGATGCATCGGCGTCGGACCTATGTACTTAATAGCTACCTTGTTTGTGCAGTGACTCATGGCTTCTTCTCAGATAAGGGGCGAGTAATATATATAAGCGATAGATTTGATGTCTATGGGTATACCTCTAATCTACATGCCAACTTCTAAAAACGACTATGTAAGAATAATACCGTGGACAGTCAATCCAATATAAGAATGCCTTCAATGAGCAACCTCAGTTTCGGGTTTGATTCATTGAATCCAATCACCATTATCTCTCCAAGTACCAGCTTTGGTGAAATCTTCATACCACAAACCTCCCAATGCACTATTCTTCATATACGCAAATCGGAAATATTCTGAATGATTCTGATGTAAGCGTGTCCACTCGAAGGACAATTCCGGGGATGACTTGACGCCTGTACCGGTTCCTTCGGCTCTAGAGACAGCACGGTATAGATTGGCGCGTAGCACATCATTGATCATTACTGCGATACCTGAGACATCGCTTGGTAGAGCTGAAAACCAGAATGTAAGGTTATTTCCTCCAGCACCGATGATGGGTGCAGTAATGTTAGGTAGGACGCTGCCCAGTTGCGCGTCTCCAAGTAGAGCATTCGGGGTCTGAAGAATACTATCGAAACCCCACCGGGCGATACCATTGATAAACAAACCCATGAGCAGGCCTTGGTATACGAGAGATGGTCGAGTTTTAAGTGCTGTTCCAGGAAGCAAGAGAAGAGAAAGGATGTAATGATGAATGCGGAGGTTGAGCTGAGGAAGAATAATCATAACGATTAGTGTGCACGCCATGATTCCGTATATCACCAGATAACGGGGTAGCTTTCCTGCTGACCAGATGGCCCATGCTTGTGTGACTATAGTAATAACAAGAATGGTGACGATAATGATCAATGCCGGGATTGCGCCTGGTTGTTGCTGGATGTCATGCGGAGTCAAGCGAGAGATTGGTATACGGTCAAAGGTATCCGTGTTAAGAGCTCCGACCCAGAAAGGTCCAAGCCATAAAATAGTTTTTTCCCATTGAGCGGTGAGACCACTGAGCGTTTCCCGGACACAGAAATAGTATATAGCCCAGCCAACAAAGGAAGCAGGTAACAAACGACCCATGCCGATAGAGACGACCTCAAGGTAGTCTGAAGCAAAAGGCGGATCGGATGCAAGTGCCACCTGAAACCATGATATGAACCATACAGAGACATAAAATACAACTGGTGATGTCGTGCATAGAGAAAGTATGGAGGTAAAGATCAAGGATACGGTGAATAGTAGCCAACGTGGATCCCGACAGATGGCAATCGTCTCTTTCTCAAAATCAAACGATAGTGGGAAATACGAATTGAACGAGACGCTTGTGATGCTATTCTTTTCCACTCCGATGAAGCTGGTCTGCTCGCCAGTACGCCGAAGAATACCACATCCACCGGCAGCGTTGTTAATGACTCCAGCGTGGATTGCAGCGGCACAGACAAAAGAGTCGCCGCGGTAAGAGCCAATAGTATTCTCAGCATCAGCTGCACCTCCAACGACCAGGCTTCTGTAGTTGAGTTCCTGGTCGCCTACGGCGTATGGCTCGAGAAGAATGGTATCGTGACATCCCGCTGGACATCGAAAAGCAAATTTTTGCTCGTCAAAAGGACGGCATGCATTACCGTCAATCCCACAGAGGGTACCATTGTGCCTATAACTGTATCAGATGGTCGTTTATTAAAAGAGACTGGATGAAATTCTTACCATAATCTAGCTCCGCACGAAAGCCGATTCGGCATGCCGTAGCCGGGAATCTCTGGTCCAAGCACTGACCAATTGAGGATTGTTAAGAATATCGTCGCCCAAAGAGCATGAAAAGCGATCAAAGCGATGGCTTGCGACCTCAGAGTTGGAAACAGTCGTTTGATAATACGGATGGGTGCGGTCTGGAAGCTCTCAAAGAATGGTCGAATGCGATGTCGTCGGGGAGGATTGGGTCCTCTTAGAAAAGAGCTGAACCATCCTGATTGAGCGGAAGAATTCTGTCCTTGTTGATGTTTATAGCTTCGGCCACCGAGAAGTCCTTGCCCGACTTCGTCTTCTGGATTATCGAGAGAATCATCTGAACGGCCAGAATCTTGCGGATCCTTGTGGCTGCTAACATCGACTCCGGTCCTGCCGGATTCAAGATCATTTAGTGGAACAGATTCCTTGTTATCGGGTATATCATTGTCAGAGAACGAGTGACCGAGATCTCCGTGACCAGAGACCATTTTCCTTAGTTTATGTACATGATCTGTTCCAAGGTTGCAACGCTCATGGGTGTTGTAAAGGAGTGAAATGCTGTAGCTGATCTGCCGTATTTAGCCCCGTCCCACTACGGCTACGGTACCGTACGGATATTGTAAAACATGTAATTACACTGTAATGACAAGTAATGCACACACATTATTTGGCGATTATCGGCCCAAAATTTCAGTAATAGTAGCATTGAGTTATCACGATTTAGCGGCCTCGTCAGTCTGTCGAAGCCCCTGCAACTAAACAGCTTTCTGATCGATCTGAAAATTGAACGTTCAATGGTTCGGAGTCGGGCAAAATATCCAGGAAGGGAATTGATGTGCCATACTTTGAGAGAAATACGCTCATCTTATCACGGTCTTCACTCAAAATGGTCTGTACGATATAATTCAGAATGCAACACCTAACCGAATACTCTACGAATGTGAAGATCCATAGTTCAGAAGACCGAACTTGTTTATGCTCATACATTATTTGTTCCCTAGCTCTTTCTAGGGCAACTCTTTTTGACATAGCATGACAACTAAAGAGTTATGATACCTCCCTGGTGGATATAGACCCGGCCTTGATTACTACTTAGATGGTAGCTGATCTAATTAGCAGCCAAGGAGTAAGAATCTTGAACAAGATTGTGTACAGCGTATGGATACCAGATTTATCTGCCAACACGCCCGGGATTCAGGTTGGTTGCGCTCAAGAACCCATTAAGTCTTCCAACCTTCACCTCTTTCTTTTGTGCTGATGACAGACTCCGCCGTTGGTGGTGGCATTCGCTCCGTGGAAGAAGGGTTTGGAGCGTTGCGCAGAAACTAGAACATGAATGATTAGTGGACACAGACTTGTCGCACTCTCATAACATCAAGGAACAAGGCACGCATACGTAAACCCATAAACCATGTCAATCACTACTGGGAAAGCTAAGCTGGCCGAACAGAATGGTAACGTGGTTACAGCTTGATTCGAGCTGAAGCAGATTATAACCATTTCAGCCATGTAGTTGAGTGTCTAAGAAGTCTCGCCAAACGCTGAGAGTCAGTTTTGTGTCATGGAAGAAAAACATGTTGAGATCGACAGGTGGTTGCGTGAGAGGATACTGAATACGACAGAACAGGATTTGTTGAAACATTCACAAGATTCTTAGAGTATGGAATGGGTCATGTCAACAATTTCAGGAACCAAGCTTGCATCGCAATCCTCACCAGAGGTGGGAGTGACTTTCAGGAGTAGGAAAGGATGCGTCTTACTTTTGAGAACAGTATAGAAATAGTTACTGAAATTCCGTCAAACTGGCTGACCTCAACAATAATATATAAATAGAGGTTCTTAACTGCTTCACCATGATTGGACATACCATCATATTTCCAAGGTTCCTCTTAGCATCTGCATTGATGGAAATAACGGAGCTCGGGTGTTATGAGCTGACCTCATATTGATGTGGTTCGGACGAAGCCCTCACTAGAAAATCTGTATCGTTTTCATTCGCTTCTGCACTCAGTAGCTGGAGTGCAGATTGGAAGCTCGAAGTTTAGCTGATCTGCCCCTTAACAGGACTTCATGTCTTGGCACTCATGTGGTGTCTACGATTATACGGACATCCGGCGCCGAACCCAGCCCAGCACGAGCGTTCCCCTTTTCTATATAAACTCGTATGTACGACGAGATCTTGTTGTCCTTTTCTCTTTCTTTCCTCATGTTGTGTTTTCTATTTGATCATGTCCATATAGTGAACATTAGGCGGGACTAGCCCGTAACATCGGGGGGTTTGATATCCTACGTCCCGAGGCGGATGATCCGTTCAGCCCTGTAGGCCCCCAACTCAAAGGCCCCCAACTCAAAGGCCCCATGGGCCCCATAGGCCATCTTAGGGCCGATCTTAGCGAATGCTTGTTTGTTACTCCGAGCCCGTGGTTGTATAAACCAACCCACCAGTCATAATTAAGCATCAAAAGAAACTTGCTCTACTTCTGTACGTTGAATCAAGATAGTACCACTCACCTTTTATATTATTGATCATCTCACTGTCTGTGGCCTTATATACACACACTCATCCATCTTCTCCTCCTCAAAAGCTCAACTCAGGATTATTCCACTGATACAGGCACAGCATATCAAAAATGTCTTCACTTCAACCCCTATCATCCCTCACAATCTCCTCCTTCCTCCCACCCCTCCCACTCCTCGGGCTCATCACCTCCACCAATGCCCTCGTCTATGCCTACAGCGAACACATATTCCTTAACCCTCTCTCGGACCCTAACGTCGTCCCCGCAGCAACAATCCGACACGTATGGCACAAATGCTTCCCCTCGGGATTCGCGCTCGTAGCCTCTTCACGGATCGGGAGTATTTTGAGTGGTGTGGCGGGTTATAGGGCTTCGGAGACGGGGTCGACTGCAGAGACGCTTTATGCAGCTGCTATTGCGTTTACAGTGGTTCATTTTGTATTTTTGCCTTGGGTAGGTTTCCCCCCGGACCTCCTCTTCTCTCGAGTGCTTCAATAAAGTCGGAGCTGATATAAATTGTAAAGACGAGGGTTCATCTGATGCCAATCTTGGATAAGAATCCTACCAAGGAATCCGATGAGAAGATTCATGAGCGTAATAAGAATTTTGTCCAACTTGATGCAATTCGCACTTTTGCTAGTGAGATTCCTGCATTTTTGTGTTTCTTGGGTGCGACTTTGTCGTATTTGCGGCTGTGAAAGTCTAGGTGTATATGAATGGCTATGGCAATGCGATATTGTGGAATAATATACATGTACGATGAGTTGATAGACTGATTTGTTGACTAGACTGAATTAACTAAAACATCAAGGAATGGTATCAATTTCAATGAAACCGTCAACACCAAGCGTTAACACAGCCAAGGGTATTCAACACGAGACTGAAAAGAGTAAAAATTGAAGGGTATCGAGGTCATCATAGCATAATCATTAAAGCAAACCGTTGGAGCGACTGTCAGGAGCATTGAGAACTAATTTAATCCAGTAATAGCGTCTTGTCGTCGGATCTTGCATAGTTGCAGATTTTAGACACTGTAGCGTCCGTAGACGTAGTTTCGGCGACGGTCGACACGCCAGACAAAGTAGATTCCCTAAACGAAGAATATTAGCATAAATCTCAAGACTGATAGACTACGACTACATACCAAGATACCAGACACAAGCCAGATTATAGCCGACAAGAAGCTAAAGGCTTCAGCTGCCTTCCAGCGTCCACACCAGTCATTGTGGCCGATATAACCCCAGGAAAAGGCAGTGCCACAGTCGACGCCGTCCAAAGCATCGACCAGCAGACCAAAAGCAGCGAACCAGCAGAGTGAGATGATAATGTCAACTATTCAATATTAGATATTGAACCACGAGATTGTTGTCTCGGTTTTGGGTCAACTTACTGGGCCAGATGAAGAATGTATGAGCGGTTGGGATTAACCAGAGTAAGCCTAGCAACAAAGATAGGCCTGCTATTACTTCGGTGTAGATCCAGCGACCTTGTGCCCAGGCACTGAGGTGGTCATCGCTCCAGCGGTGCAGATAGTATCCAACGATACCAGCAACGACCTGCGTATGTTAGACGTGACATTCAGAGACAGGGGAAAGGAGATGTGGACATACAGCAGCACAAGCAAGCTCCGCAAGACGGAGGAGGACAGAGAAGAGGCGAGAGATGACAGGCATGTTGTGTAGTTAGACAGATAGTACTAAGTAGGTAATGCTGGATGGATATCGACCTGTGGTTGAACAGCTGGCGTACTTGTCGTGGCTTAGGGAGAAGGGAAAAAAGGAATGCAAAAGTCGAGGGATGAGATGGCATTTAAGCTCTTCGCTCGGCCCAGATTGCCCACCCTCATGCATCAGAGTCAACTGCCTTGATGAAGTGCATATTGACTGCTTGGTATGACGCAAAATAGACACGCTGGACCAATGAGATGGACAAGCGGATGACGCTTCTGATTGGTCGATCCAGGACTCTTCATATCTCTGCTCCGTTTCTCCACAAGGTAAATTGGACCTCCTTGTTATCTCTCTCTACCTAGCTTGGGATGAATATATCGAATACGCGATATATAATGTATTTTAATTGCGTATCATAGTAGGTCTCCCAGATTGTACGTGAAGCTCCTCAGGTATCAGTCCTTCGACGTCATGGGCCATGACGTCATGTGTGCCTGAAACAACAACAAATATCAGGTGACAAGTAACATCTCAACAGACCATTGCGATGGCCTTGCATATTAGCAGATGTAGAGAGACGAATAGGAGAATTTCCTTGGAGTGCGTGGGTAAGTCTCACAGCATCATCTGTTTCCGCTATGATAGGTACACAAATATCCGATATGCAGCTCCCTGATTAAAGGTACATAGTACCAAAACATAACGCTAATAAAAAAAATACAAAAAGATAACAAAAGTCGTCTACTGCTCCTGTCGTTGCGGCTTCTTCTTCTTCCCCTCCAAAAACCACTCAAACACATTCTGAAACACCGCCTTTCCCCCGGTCTCAATGATATCACCATGACAAGGAATAATCCGATCAAAATCCCATGTATTTATCCGCACAACTGAATCGCCGACGCTCTTGCGATCGTTGGCTGTGATATACCATACAAACCGCTTGTGCCATGTTGCTGGCGGTGGATTGGCCGAGATCAAGGGTGTGAATAGTTTCGTGAAGATGCCTGACGTGGGCGACTCATTCGTACGAGAATATTGTTCCTTTGCGGGTAGGTTGAAAATCAAATCGGCTTGAATCATGGTTCTGCTGGGTTTGTGTAGAAACACAATCTCCTTGTTCCCGTGGCCATCGACGTATTCAATGTCAATTTCGCGATCAAATTCTTCTGATATATGGATATCGCGTTTGTTGGCTTTGGTGAGAATGTGTGAGAATTGGGTATCTTTCTGGTCGGGTTTGCTCTGGCGCTTCTCGTATAGACCTTCGGGTGCGATAATCTCCGCGTCGGGGAAGGCCTTTTTCCATGCAGTAAGGTAGATGTGGTGCTCGAGATCGGGTGCTGCAATGTATTTAATCCGTCCGCCCTGCGACGCAATTGTCTGCTGTACTTCAGAGGTAAGTGCCACGGGAGAGACCACGAGCATGTTTCCTGTCGCAAGTTTGACTATACAATTACACACAATCAGTTGCTCGATTCTAGAGATGAAGCTCTAAGAACATACCAAGAGTAGCTCTTCCGCCAAATTTTATTAGTCCGAATCGCGAGAATGGAACGCTGAGTGTCGTGATATCCTTGGTGACTTGTCTGATCACCATGACCTTGTTTGGGTCACCTGGGAATAATTTGGAACTCATAATGGATGTCGTCTTGTCTCTGGACAGAAATTCGATGTTGTAGAAATGAGATGAAGGAATAATATCTCGTCTGGATACATTTGAGAGAAAAAGATCGATGATGTAACGACGGATGGAGCTTGTGTCCCGATCGGGAAGACGCAGGCCGAGGCTCAAACCTTAACTCGAAGTGACTATTGCTCTGGCCAATCACAACCCTCAGTGTTGTTACTCATCTTGATCTAGACGGTTTCTATCTGACTAGTACTTCTCAGTGAGGTTCATTATCTGCTCTTTCACCATAAACGACGACGACTCAGGTCAAGCAGATGTCCAACATATGTCTCAATTCGGCATAGATTGATGGCGGATGGAAGTGCGGAATGGCGCGAGATCCTATGAGTCACTAGGCAGACGTCGACTTTGATTCTGAACATATTTAAGCAGGACGAAGTCTTGACTGTCACTACCCTGTATCTACCTAGCAGTTAGGAGAGGCACCCGGATCAACATGTCAAATGATTGGTCGCCCTCGCCAACATTCAGTATCCCTACAGAGCGTTTACATATCTCATATTTCCAAGCGGACAACTCTGAGCACACTGAATTTCTAGTCCGTCTCTGGAACACCGAAGATTTCATCAAATCATGTGGCAAGACAGGTCTCGACACTCCCGAAAAGTCAAATGTTTTTATCAGGAATCGGGTCCTCCAAGACTATAAAAGGAACAAGCACGGCCAATTTCTTGTATCCTTAAAACCGTACCCAGGTGCACCTCGCAGAAAGCAGGTTGATTGGAGTAACCTCTCTAATGAAAGGCGAACCACCAAATGCATATTCCGCACCGGATATTGGGTATACAATCTTGCCCGAGGAGAGTGGTAAAGGGTACGCAACTGAAGCCAGCATTGGGCTATTGGAGTATGCACGTCGGGAGCTTGGAATCAATGATGCTTTTGGATTTTGTGGTCAGGATGATGCACGTTGTCGTCGTGTGTTGGAGAAGATTGGCTTGCAGTTCAGGGGAAATAGGGCATTGAAGGTATTTGGTGGTGCGCAAAGTGCTGTTTATGCGCTGCCGGAGATGAGCCAGGATTTGACGGTGTATGGGATAGATGATTGATCTCTGCTCTTCTACGTTGATCTCAATATGATCATAGAGCGTTGGATCTGATAACTGTCTTGCTGATGACATGAAATGCCATGTGAAGAAATATTTCTAAAGCTAAACATCAATATTACCCCTGCCGTCTTAGCTCGTAAGGATTGTAACCCTAAAAGTTACCTCCAGGACATTTAAAGCTAGGATGGGCTCTGCTCTTCTGACGCCGCTCCATTCAGTGTTTGGGTGAAATGGATTTGGCGCCTCTTCATCAAGAAAATCATTAATCTCCCTATCGCTGCATTCATATGCCCGGTAATTGCCGATCCCCCATGATGAATGGCCACGCATGCGTGGCCTTTCGCTGTCCCTTCCATCCCACCTTCCCACACATAGCATCGAGAAGGTGGTAATACCCAAACTCGCCTTCCGTCCTGAAGAACAGGTAGCTTAGCTCAACAGATCGTAGCGTTGCGGGCTGAGCAGCAAGCATAGAGATCAACTCATCTATATCAACAATTACCCCTGAAAGACCCAAAGGTCGCAGTGTCTTCCATTTGCCAATGGGTATTATACTACCTAATGGGAGCCAAGGCTGATAATCATGTGCGTCGAGATAGTCGAAGCACCAATCATGATTCGCCCGAACCCGAATACTAACATGATTATGGATCTTTCATAAGCTCAAGAGCACGATTTAGATATCCGCTGTGAAAAGAGGACCAAGATCTCCCTCGTTGCAAATATTCCTCTTGCGAGTCAGTGGAGCTATAATATTGACCGTCAGCTCAAAGAGCGACATCAAGGCGCCCAAAATTAGACTGTTGAAGCAGAGCACTGAAGCTGTTGTACTCTTCATAAGGCTTATCAAAAACGTGGCAACTTAATCCAGTCTCCAATTCCTTCACATCGATGATGAACTCTGAAATGTGATGTTTTTGTCTTGCAAGCTCACGCGTAAGAGCAGAGAATCCACGCTATTTAGTTCTCTCTGTTTCCAAATCCCATGATGGACATTCATAAGGTTGAAGGCTTTCTCCCGGAACTGGCCAAGTGGCACGATCAGCTGGATAAGTGAAGCCAGGCGGGAAATCTCGTATCATAGGAGTCGCATACATTGGATGATCAAGGACTCCACATGTTGCTGCAGTAAGCGTAATTCTTTTCAGATGTGGAAACTGCTCTAATCCAGATCGATATGCTTCGATATCAGCGCCAAAAACAAGCATTTCATCTTGCTGTGGAAGTAGCTGCTGGTAATAACTTCATGATTTCACCAGTGGTAGGACAGACACTTTCCTTTCCTCCTTTGTGCGGATTAAAGTACCTTTGCTTTCCTGGCACGCAACTACATACCAGTACGGTACCCCTCGCTCAGGAGGAGGGGGAGAATCTTCATCCTCAGATAGATACTTGTCATCTATCCGCTGCCCGTAAGAAAGACGCACATCATCCCAAACAATCTCTGTAATTTGATTCCGAGACTGATCATGATCAGCAATATCGCGAAAGACTTAGATATTGCGTGGATTGGCGGATATGAAGACTCTCTTCAGGCGTAGGAATTCCTTTGCTTTAACGGCCTTGCTGGTCAAGCGTAGATTTTTTATGTCCTTATTAGACAGATATGACAACACTGTTGCATTCAACTCAAAAGGAAGGCGCTCGAAAGCTGATGGGCTTGGGAACTTGGAGGTCAGAGGCATGTTGATAAAAGCGGAAGTATAGTTGATGGATGATCTAAGGATTCCCTCGGGAAATACACAATATACGCAGACGTTTCCACACTAATTCAGTACGCAATCGCTGTAACGAGGGTATTGCTTCAGAGTGGGCTTTCACGGCGCCGATTCCATATCAAAGTTAATGCTCTCTATTCAGCTTGCAATAAATACTATCAGAAGGAGGGTATCAAACAACACATGTCTTCCCAAGAAACCAATTGCGCCACAAAGAAGAAAATCTAGCCATATACATTTCTAGACTCAATTGTACCAACCATGTTGGTTTTGCTGAAGGAACTCTTCATCGTTTCGGTGCGGTATGATGGATTCTTTAATATCGAAACTCTCAATCAGGTCATGCCATATTTCAAAATTGAGATTCAATATGAGTTGATGCTTTTGAATTCCTTTTTCCTGTGCCTCCAGTGGTGGGTATGGTGTTGAAGAGTCTGAAATCAATTAGCACAGTGACGAATGCAAGGGAAAAGAATATCTCACGTAGAGTAACAAAGTCATGACTATCCTGCGAGATGCCAACATTGCCATCTCTAATCAGAAAGCTTATGTAGAATAGGTTCTCAATAGTTTGACCAAACGACTTTGGATTAATGGCGAATGGGTAAAGGAGAATGCCACCATTCTCCGCGATCTGGTGCTTGTCCATAGCTGCATAAAGCTCATCCATTGTAGGCTCCCTCCCCAACGAGTACATCTCGGCATTAACAGCAGCTTGTCGGCTATTTATCACATCCTGCAAAAGTTTGCTGATTTTAGTGCACATCGCAGTCAGGTTCGACGACTCTTGTCTATCTAGATCTTGTTCTTCAAGATCTTGCGGCCGCACAACCTGTGACCTGTCGATTTGATTTGCAACTCTACGTTGCGTAACTTGTCGAGTGCGTTTCTGGACAGATAGTGGACCAAGAAGGAAGCCGGATAATGAAGGACGCGCATTGTACGGGAAACAAGCAGCCCGTCCCAGCCTATCCCAGTTCAACGTATCGTCAACTCCCTCGTCATCACTATCATCGCCATTTGCTCTGCGACGATGTGTGCTGCTCAGGGGATTTGACGCCCCATTTGATGGAGTTTGGCGCATGAAAGACAGACACTTGGAGACAAACTCGTCTACATCTATGCCGGCTGCAGCTCCATCCAATGCAAGTCGCGCCGATTTTTTATATGATAAGTCTGCCGCATTGACCAAAAGTTGAGAATCAACGGTCGCATCTGACGTCTGCTTTACTCGCGTGAAAAGATCGTTTGCTTTCTGGATCGTGTTGAGAATACCCTTATTTCCGCTCTGAAGATATTCACTCCTGCAATCTTTACTCTGACATCAGCACACTATTCCATAACTATTATGCGCAGCGCGCAAACCTACCGTTTAGATCACGTTGTAGATCTCGAAGACCCTTTCGAATTTCGCGGCGCTCGCTAACATCTTGATCTGGGTCGTAGTAATCGGTGACGGCTCTTTGAGAGGCGCGCGTCTGGGTATATTCCATATTTCCTTGTAATTCAGCTAGTCGTCTTCGTTTGCTGCCTGACGATGATACGGAGTTATCATGTGCCATTGTGATGTCGCTTTTCCTCTTTCCGCCTTGAGGCCGTTGGCGATAATGATTTTCTTTATCGACTGAGAGCGCGGGGGACGAAGGAGGGGATGAAAGTTGGTCGTCTTGATCTTTGCTTGTAGAAAATCTGGACGGAGCCATTTTCAAAGTCCTTTTTTCTTTGGAGCGGAAGAGATTCGACCTAAAATGTGGCACTGCAATTCGATTTTCACGGAACCCTTATCAGGCTGAAAGATTAGATGAAACGAATCACAAGGCTGGCTCGATAGAAGTGAATGGCATAGAATAAGGACCAACGAATGTGAAAAGAAACGCGAAAATAGATCTCATGTAAAGGGGCAATTATCGTAGCGCGTTTTAACCGCGACTGCGGGACAGAATGAAGCCTTGACGCCTTAAGTATCAGGCATCAACGTTCTCGAATCATGTGAAACGATCAAGCTGCTACACCGCCTTCTCGTTTCGGCTATCATGATGGGTAACCACGATGACGAAACAATTCCAGACGATATCAACAGCTACTATACTTCGCTCGTGATGGAAGGAAGTGACAGGAGAAGCTGAAGCGACCTGGAAAATGGAAGCATTCACGTTCGCGACCTCAACACAGGTCGACTTTCCGGTGCAGGTGAAGATGTAAGTCAGGTGGGCTGGCTGGAGGTAGCAAGTACAACAAGGAACTAATGAACTGTTTCTCAGCGGTGCTTTGGAAGGCAAACAGAAGCTGATCCCATATTCAACACTCCTCAAGAATCCCGAGTTGCGACATCTCGGGTCAAATCAGAGCCCGGCATCAGATCTTTTTGTAACCGTTCAGCTATGGTCCGATTCAAAGCCCCTCGGCGTGCCGATGCAGACATCATATAAATCCTTCAAGACGAGTCGTATATGGAACGAATGGTTGCAAATGCCACTATTCATCAAAGATGCGCCTTTGGGATCTCAGTTGGCTATTACGATATGGGACCTCTCACCCTTAGGCAATGAAGCCTCTAATAATCATGGCGTGCCATTTGGTGGAACTACAATATCACTTTTTGACGCTGATGGGAAGCTGCGGATGGGAAGACAGAAATGCAAGATTTATCGACACAAGGCTGCGGACGGGTTTTCAACAAGTGCAACACCGGCTATACCACCTGCTCACCGACGCAAGACGAACGGCGTACTTTCACTCACCCAATCCCCAGAGGAGGCTGAACTCGAGCGAATAGAGGGTCTGATAAAGAAACATGAAATGGGCGAGATAACACGAATAGACTGGCTGGACCAGTTGGTTTTTCGCCAACTGGAGAAAATCAAAATCAATGCAGAAGAAGCCGCCAGGAAAAGAGCAATTATAGTTCAAGCAGCGAAGAAAGCTCAGCAGAAGGAGAATGGGGCCAATGAAAAAGACTCTGACCCGGAAGGACTTGATGAAGAGAATTTTCTTCTATATATTGATTTCCCACGTTTTGATCACCCTATTGTATGGGCTGATTATGAATATCCTCCCCCGCCAGTTTCTACGCATCCGCAACACACACATAATAACCCTCCGGCCACCCTCAAACCACCACCTGAAGTTCGTCTAGGTCCGGGAATTGAAGGCCATGATGATGCGGGAACCTACCGAGTTATCAGAATCTATGATCCGGAAGTCGGACAGACCGGGAACCCTTGTGAAGACAAACATAGAAGGCTTGTCCGTAGTCATCGAACTGGAATCATGGACCGTGACCTGAAGCCTAACCCCAAAATACGTGATGAATTGAATTTTATCATGTCTTATGGGCCAACTCATGAGTTAACTGCAGAGGAGAAAGACCTTATCTGGCGGTTCCGATACTATTTGACTCGCGATAAAAAGGCACTCACCAAATTCGTCAAATCAGTCAATTGGAGAGATCTCGGTGAGGCTCGACAAGCCATGGATATTTTACCCAAGTGGACCGAGATTGACGTCGATGATGCTCTGGAACTTTTAGGACCAACTTTCGACAATGCTACTGTGCGTGCATATGCAGTTGAACGTTTACGAAAGGCAGGAGATGACGAGCTTCTCCTGTATCTCTTGCAGCTCGTGCAAGCCCTGAAATTTGAAAAGACACCCGAAGAAGCCCCAGAAGAAGTGGCACATGACTCATCGTTGGCAAATTTCTTAATAGCACGAGCTGCGAATAACTTCGTCCTCGGCAACTATCTCCACTGGTATCTTATGGTTGAATGCGATGACACAGGTATTGCAAACTTGGCATCTCATCGGCGCTTGTTCGCTCGTGTGGAATACTACTTTATGACAGAGTTGGAGAAAGTCCATCCAGAACATCGAAAGACCTTGCTCCGTCAAGGCGAATTAATTACTGTCCTGACCCGAATTGCAAAAGAGATACGCTTCTCGCGAGAAAATCGTGTCGTTAAAATTGAGAAATTGAAGAAATATCTCAAGGATCCCAAGAATGAAATCATCACCATCGACCCCCCTTTACCCTTACCCTTGGATCCGAATGTCACTATAACAGGCTGCTTCCCGGAAGACTCCAACGTCTTCAAATCCTCCCTATCCCCACTACTTATCAACTTCAAAACCTCCGACGGCCGCAAATATCCCGTCCACTTCAAGGTCGGTGACGATCTCCGTCAGGACCAGCTAGTCATTCAGATTATCACCTTGATGGACCAACTACTGCAAAAGGAGAATTTAGACCTGAAGCTTACGCCATATCGCATCCTAGCAACCGGCGCAACAGCTGGAGCCGCACAATTCATCCCTTCCACTTCCCTTTCGGCAGCGTCAGCGAAATACAAAGGGTCTATTCTCGCGTATCTCAGGGCGAACAATCCCGATGACTCAGAGCCACTCGGTGTTCGTAAAGAGACTATGGATATATACATAAAGTCATGTGCAGGCTATTGTGTCGTCACGTATCTCCTTGGTGTTGGAGATCGTCATCTCGAAAATCTTCTACTGGCGCCAGATGGGCACTTCTTCCATGCAGATTTCGGCTTCATTCTCGGTCGAGATCCCAAACCTTTCGCACCGATGATGAAACTCTGTAAAGAGATGGTAGAGGGCATGGGTGGCGCCAATTCGCAACACTATCTACAATTCAAACAACATTGCTTCACAGCTTACACTACTCTCCGCAAGTCAGCGAACCTCATCCTGAATCTTTTCAGTCTGATGGTTGATGCCAACATCCCAGACATTAGAGTCGAGCCGGATAAGGCTGTACTCAAGGTTAAGGAACGGTTTCACTTGGAACTTACCGAGGAAGAGGCCATGAGGCATTTCGAGCAGTTAATCTCTGACAGTGTGAACGCTATCTTTGGTGTTGTCATCGATAGGTTGCACGATTTTGTGCAAGGATGGAGGACTTGATCTAATTGATATATGACTACATGATTGGTTCGAGCTTATGCAAAACAACCCATATGCATATATTGCCACTTCGTTTATTTGAAAAGTGGGAGCGAACTAAGCATCCATCTGCATAAGATTTCTCGTTGAACGTCCAAGGATCAGGACTTACCTTGGGGAAGGCTTAGACATGTAACACCTCCAGCGATGCGCTCTATATGTCCTCGCTTTAGTATTACGACTGCGAATTGGCCGCAGTCATCGTCAATGATTTAACCCAGTCATGGTAGTCATGAGTTGCATGCATGTTCCATACGAACGTTGCTCCCTTGGCTAGAAAAAAACACATCTCCTAGCATGCTCCCCGTGAGCTTGTTTAAAGTCCAACTTTGCGAAACAGTGATCTGAAATTCGTGTGCAATGTGTTACACTCAGTAGAATGACGAGAATCATTGAACTCTAAGACTATGCCACCAAGCAGTAAGAATATCGCCAAAATCTGATATTGTGATCTATCTGTATATACAGAACTATCAACCCCTTACATGACCACATTACACAGCCTCGTCACAAGATTGATAAAGTCGGTAATTGCCAGCGCTACACATGTACTGCGCAGACCAGTAAAAACATAAAACAAGAACGCATTGGACCACCTCTTCACGCTTATACACGAGCAGCTCACAGTTTGCCAGCATAATAAGCGTCGAAACTCCTGATTCCCTTTGGCGATTGAGTACCAACTTCTATCTCTTCATCTTCCGAAGCTCTAGGTTCTCTCAAATCCAACTCTATCCAATCTTGTGCGTTATCCCTTTCAGGACTATCACCTACGTCAGCTTGCACACGAGACGTGGGATATAACTCTCCACTTGCGTTTCGTCCATTATCCAATGGATAAGCGTCCGCGGTAAACACTGCATCATCTGCAGAATCACTCATCTTGTTTTGAGCTTGCTGGTCCTCATCATCCTCAGGGGTACCTTCACGACATGCCCATGCATCAACAAATCGAAGCACTTCGCGATTCCACCAGCGTTTCATGAAGAGCAGACGGAATGGAACCAGAGCGATAATGAGCACCGGGAATGCCGGGGCGGCTTTTGTCAGAGTCAGAGCGAAGACCACTGCTGTGAGGATGATTTGAAGAACAGTATAATAATGGATGGGGAGATACGAAGGTCTTTCGGAAGGGTTATCCTCGTTGTGCAGAGAGGCGGGAAGCTGAGGAAGCTCTGACGGTGGGGTCAGAATGTAGAAAAAGCGATATAATATAGGGCTGCGCCGTATGGGTTAGAAAAGCTGACAAGTTCGGATTTGTGGTTCGGACGGTACGTACTTTACTGATAGACTCTGTTCACCCATGAACAGGAACAGCCCAGCCAATACGCTAGTTGGTGTCAACCCCAGAACGGTCATAAATGGAGGGCTAACAAAGAGCATGATGCCCCCTGCATGCAAAAATGCCGACCAACGCTGCTCGTAAACACGGCGAACCTCGCGAGACTCGACCTTTTCCTCGCCATCTACAACCACTGTATGCCGCTCGTGCTCTGAGTGCATCAACGACTCTGAGTGAAGTGGGGCTTGAGGAAGCAATCCATTTGCTGGGGGAATCCCAAGGATTCCACAGATAGCCGTCGTTGTTCCCAGGAGAACAATATCCCATGCGAAGCCTCCAGGCTTTCTGGTTCCGTATCTGTCAATGGTACAGATAATTGAACTCACTTCGTGATCGAAAAAGAACAGTACTGTGATGATCAAACCAGGCACTATGGCAGCGAGTATCCATCCTAGGGGCAATGTCCAAAACTTGACGAAAAATGTGTCGCGTTCTGGAGACGTTGGCCGAAATGAATGGCTTACATTGAGGGTCATCTTGTCCAAGTGTGCCAGTTCTCCGACGTGAGGCATAGCAATGAATATGATTATTGAGATTGCAGCGGCATACTCTGTAAGGCCAAGTCGGATATATCGATGAAACAGCGGTCGCCACGATTCAGCAGTTGACAGAAATATAGCAAGAAGCATGGTACCAACTGCACCGATAATGGCGTAAAGAAATGCCGCAAAAGAAAGATTATTGTGAGCTCTTTGCAATTCCTGAATAGCCTTGTGGAAATATATCACACTGTTCAGTAACGAAAATATCTCGGTGGAAAATGTTGTGACATATCGCATGGTCCAGTCATGGGCATTGACAATAGCTAGCACATAGTGCATCCAAGCGGCATGGACCAAGGACCAGGCTATGAATGGCAAAAAAGGAATCTGATTTGGTTGTCAGGCCAATGAACTTCTGAGCTGCAAGAGGGGTTTCGTACCTTGAAACTGTCATGGCACAATGCATATATATTTTCAGCCAGTACGGAGAAGGGCCCAGTCACGCCGAGAATGGTCAATGGTTGAATTGAAGCAAGAGCGAAAATGATACCGCAAAGGCCAGTGCTAAAGACAACTTCAATTGTGCCCCAATTCGCTCCGGTCAAGACATAAAGGTCACTCGCAAATGTGATACCAGGCAGAAGGTTGGTGAAAAATACGTACACGGCGCTAGCGAAGATCTGCTGATTGAACACCGTCCAGTCGGACAAATAGCGCCTGCGAATATTGACAATGTCTTGTTTCAAAAGTCGAAATGGACGAAGAGGACCGCCTTTAGCGACAGAGCCTTTCAAAGCTCGCCAGGGTTTAGGTGTGTGCTTCGATGGGGTGATAATGGAATGTGCATCGGGGCCTTCTTCTTCTCCATTTTCTTCAGTTATCCCATTTTGATCATTCGAAGACCTTCCCTGGTGACGGCGGTGTGCCCTTTCTGACCGGTGTCGCAAAGAGGATGAAGTCCTAGTGGATCGAGGACGAAAGGCGGTAATTAGAGACATTGAGAACGTCTACACCGAAAGTTTTCGGGTTTATGATGCAGTAGAGTCAAGTATTTCTCTCACTAAAATTCAATTCTCAGAAATCAGCGTTGATAATGTCTGAATTGATGAAATTGGACGATTGTTTAAGTGTATTGGTGGTCAAGACTCTGACAAGCCTTGCCCACATACCTACCCCGCGCGTATCCTTTTTCCTCATAAAAGGGAAGATATTCTCTTACCCATAGACATAGTCGTTATATATTCCATTTTCATGGACATAATAGAAGCATTCTTTGGGAATTGGAGTAGGATGAATAGGCAAAGCTGGACTGGGATCGTTATCAGCCCACAAAAAAACACAGGTATCGACGTCATAGGCGTTTGCACTTCACCGCCTTTGTCGTTCTGCTACTTTTGTCTTTTTCCGAAGCCGACTCCGATCAGTGATGGTCAACTGCCAACGTCCCGATCATTAGCGCCAGTCAGCAGAAGTTTTTGGCAATGTACGATCGATTTTACGGGTGACTGATTTGATATGATGCTCGTGTATTTCGAGGCCCAATTGAAAACGCTCTCACTGCGTCAACAACGATGACCACCAAATTCATTCCGCGCGCCGTATTCCCTCACTACGACTCGATTCCGCGATCGTATTTCCTAGGCCACCACAAGGCTGGTCTGGAGAAGATGAAAAGTATGATATCCCGAATAGACTATATTATCGAATGTCGTGATTTTCGGGTCCCAATTACTTCCATCAACCCCATGTTTGAGGAGGCTCTCGGAGATAAACAACGTCTCATTGTATATACGAAGAGAGACTTGGGAGGAGAAGCCGATGCTATGGCAAGAAGAGTACATAAAACCCAGTCCAAAATCAGTCGTGTTTTGGAGCTAATAATGACATCTTCATGTAGAATAAGGAATTAATGCGCAAACTGGATCCCAACACCACCGTCTTTTTCACCACCTCTAGTTCTCCAGACTCCGTCAGTTCTATTTTGAGACATTTAAAAAACGACAAATCAACCGCTCATCGAATAGCAGCGTGTCGAGCGATGGTCGTCGGGATGCCGAATATCGGGAAATCATCGTTGATAAACACTCTCAGGAATCAAGGGGTCCATAAAGCGAAAGCGCTCAAGACGGGTGAACACCCAGGTGTAACGCGCAAGATCGGTACACCCGTCAAGGTGGTAGAAAGACAAGACGGATCTTCGGTTTATGTTTTGGACACACCGGGAGTGTTTGTTCCCTATATGCCCGATGCTGAGAGGATGCTGAAACTTGCTCTTTGCGGTTGCGTCAAAGACACGATTATCCCTCCTGTCACGTTGGCAGACTATCTTTTATATCATATAAACTTGATTAACCCCGAAATCTATGGACGATGGTCCGGTCCTACGAATGAGATCATGCCACTGCTTACTCGATTTTCCCTCCAAGTGGGATTGCTTTCAAAAGGCGCTGTTCCGAATATAGAACAAGCTGCCATCAACTTTGTTCAAAAGTGGCGGTCAGGTGACCTAGGGAAGTTTGTTCTGGATGATATAAGAGCGGAATTGAGGGCACGAAAAGAGGGAAACATAGAGACGATAGGTCCTAGTCGGACGCAACAGCTCAAGGCTATCACGCGTGCACGAATAAACCGGAAGAAGGAGCAGCGGTTGCAAGCTCCCAAAAGCACGGCTGAAACGCAAGTGATATCCAGCTCGGAGCGACGGTAGCTAGACATGTTATGTCGAGCGTGTATAGTATTATGTATATAAATGCAGATCAATAAAAACGAATAGTGTACAAATAGCATATCTCGTATTCATTAACACGGAAGTCCCATCGAGAACATTTGACTATGAGATCTTGTCCAGAAGCCTTCGGCGCCTCCTATCAACAAGTTCTTCTTGAACTTCTTGAAGTGTGGGAAGCCTCCATTCAACACCATCGCCTGCATCACCAGGCAGCGGTTCCCAGCCATCGTCCGCATCATCCTCTCCATTCTTGATCATATTTTCAATCGCTTCCTTCTCACGTTTCTGCTCGTAAGCAACCAGAGCAGCCTCTTCCTCGTCCCTTCCATAGCCGAAGTAAGCAGCATCAACGTGTTTGCGAAGCATATCAGCAGCTTTTTTCCCGCTCTCGGTTTCATCCTCCTCTGGTCGATTTCTTCTCGCCGCAGCTTCGAACATCTCTTTGACACCAGGCAGTTCACGTGCTCGCCCAAAGTATCTGTAACCTTTCCCACCACCCGGTATTTCCCTGCCCTCATCGTCATAAACTCTTCCGCCGCCACGCATGTAGTTTGGTCCGCCTAAGTTCCGAATTTGCGACTCCCACATGTGTTTCTCCCTCATAAGTTTGTTGATCTCATCGTTGAGATCCCGGATTTGATAGTCACTGAGACTGGGATCCTGAATCCTGGAAACCTTTCGCGAGATTTCCTTCAACACTTGACCTCGCCATTTTTCTGCGGTCGGTATGGAGTCTATCTGTGTGATTGCCTTTGGTCGACGTGTACGTGCAATATCGAGGATACCGAGGTCTGCTGCCTGCGCCGCTCGAAAGCGGAAGAGCATCGACTGTGCCTTCTCGCTATTTCGCGCCTGAGTAATGAGGTGTAAGTTTTGCGTTCGTCCGTATTAAGAAGGAACCTCGACACATGACTGAGACCACTTACCATGATGGTGATTGAGAGAAAAGATGTTATGAGGTTCTGATATTTAGTTGCTCATGAGATTAGAAGAATGTTTTGGAATCAAAATGCGCGATTGGCTGTTGTATTTATGCACAAAGGGGAAGATGTCGTCGTTTAGCTTGTGGAAGCTGGAGGTTGGCATCGATATTTCAAACGTTGAAGGTTGAAATTTGGCGCTAATCCATTTTAGGACTCGACGACTGTACCCTAATTTCACAGACATCTAACTTGGTTTACTACTTTCAACAAGAAACCCTCGTTGAATAGTGTCAAAAGGCTTAATGCTTATATTTATGTATTCATAATTTAAGTTCTCGCATCAAACATAGTTAGATAGTTTAAAGAACTATTACTGCAAGCTTACGAGGACAGACGTGCACACATAGTAAGCCATGTAAGACATTAACTAACTGTAACGACACTGGGAATTGATGAAATCCAAGTTTTTTTAAGAATTATAATTTTGAAAATAATAAATCATGCATATCCCCGCGAGATGAAATCTTCTTCCAGTAACGTGGACTTGAGCTTTTCAGTCATGTGAGTTCCGAAATTCCGTAGCTTTGTTACTTCATACAGACTGCGCCTCGGCGCTGCTGCGTGTCCATATGTAACCTTAAAATATATAGCAGTACAGCGACCTGGGAAGAGGTCGGGGTACAAAAAGGAGTGAATACATTACAGCTTGCTTCCCGTGCCGAAAGACTTCATGAAGGCCTCTTTCTGTTCTGTTGGTGTTTCAGTTGGGCGAGGTAGTGACTTGCGCTCGTCGCCATTGACAGTGACAACAATTAGAGCGCTTCTGTCAACAGATCCAAGTGCCCTTGTCACTCCTTCTGTCGTATCTACAATAAACTTCCTTTCATATGGTAGTCCTTCGACCAGTGCAAGAAAGTCTCCTCGACCTATCATTAACGGCTGATTTCCTGTCGAGCTATGTTTTCCGTTGTAGATCACCACGTGAATCACCCTCTGATCTGGTAACGGAGCAAGAATAGCATTGTTACCTAGGTGCATCATGAAGGATCCATCGCCATCTATGCAAATAACTCGATTCTTCCTGCAGCCATTTGACACTCCATGTGCTAGAGCGTATGTGTGGCCCATACCTCCAATACCAAAAAAATTCCTTGCAATACTTTGGCCTTTGTTCTTTCGCAGCATCCACAGCTCGCGACTATTACCACCAAGAGATGACACGGAGACATCACTGGGCTTTAGTGCACCAAGTACGCTCTCGATCGTACTCTCTCTGGACAGGGCAGGTCTTTTGGTTGATGACAGCCACTGATAAGTCTTCGACTCATTCGGTGGAGCAGTCGTCCAACTAACCCATAAAGGATCTTCGTATGCTGCAAAATAATTTGCGGGAACAATCAACGCGACGGGCGTATTGTCTTTCTTCGCCCTGGCAAAGAGGCGAGCAACAGCAATTCTAGCCTGTGCTAAGCCTTTTGGAATTACCTCATATGGAATATCATTTGCTTCGAGGTTTCTCACGATGCCGGGGCCAATGAGGTTATGCTGCGGTTCATCCTTCTCACCTGGCCTACCTCGCCACCCTATCATCAGAAGCATAGGGATGCCGAAAACCTCTTTTGCAACAAGAGATTGTAGAGGATTTAGTGCATTCGAGTAGCCAGAGTTCTGCATGTACACGAGAGCTAGATTGCTTGTAGACAGATAGTAACCAGCGGCCAGCGCCACAGCGGCGCCCTCGCTAGCCACTGTGATATGCTTGCGCGTACATTTCGCTGCTGCCAAGTAACTCAAGAAAGGGCTCAGTGTTGAATCGGGAACACCAAAGGACCGGTCAATTCCGTTCACCTTCAGGACATCCTGGTAGAATTGCTCAAGATTGAATGGCTGTTCCATGGTAAGTATGTACAAGTTGAACTCGAATTAGAAGGCTGTAAAGGAGGAAAGAGAAAGTGTATGAAACCCAAGTCCCCTCAAGTCGTGATGAAGAAAATGTAAAATCATGTAGACGCCTACTTCCGGAGGTGCAGCTATACTCGCCAACGGTCTCCCGTTGCTTTGACAAAACCAATATCCTGTTTATCATGTCATTTCTCAACGCTTTCCGCCCCCACGATCAGACATTCACCTCATTTCCTAGTCGCGTGACGTCCTGCCGTTTCCAATAATCATGGGAGAGCTAGCAATGGGCCGTGGCATGTATTAGATGCCTTAATGGAGTTACATTTTGACGCGGACAATGCACAAAGTAGTACGGATGTACTTCCGTATGGTGCGATGCCCAGAAGGATATCTAAGGGCCGCTTGACACTCCCACTCCAAACATGTTGAAACTTGGAATTATTAACTGTGTTAAGTAATTCCTCTCAAAAGAGACATGTGCACTGTCCCTTATGTTTATGTGCATCCCTACATAAGTAATTCCTTATAATTGATTTCAGCCCCGAAGATGATTATCAGACACTTCCTTGCCCTATATCTCAATAACAACGGACGGTGGGTGTTGACAAGCCTACGAATCAGCTACCTATATTTAGCAAAATACTGAGCTTTACAGTACTTTACATGTCAGTCTCCGTAACAGAGGCAATTCCTGATAATCTCGATTAATAGAGGACCCTACTTCCTTTTTAAGTCAAATCGCATCACTTCAGCAGATTCTTTTCCATTCTCTTTAGACCACTTGTGGCCATTCCTCCCTTGAAAACATTTTGTGGTTTTCAACTTCGGTCAAGATGCATATTACGTCAAACGTTCGAAACCTGGAAAAGTTTCTCAAGGCTTTCCCATGGGCTGGCTCGGAACAGCTTACGGAACCTGAACTCGCTGAACATTTCGCTGGTAAGCAAGATGCTCGAGCCCATCACTACAATCTTGTAGTTGCCAAGGTTGTCTCTATTGGAGCTACAGTGACGGAGGACCGTGAGGGTCATGAGAGGCAACTGGTGCTGAACGAGATGCTCATTGCGCCGCTTGTCGGCCGTGAATCAAGCCTGGGCCACAGCTCGGCTCTGCCCACTGAGGGAATTGCTGTGGGATCAACTATTGACTACGTCAGTACTGGCGGCGGCTTGGGTGTCTCACCGGACAATCCTCCGGGCAAGGGAGACCCCTCTAAAGTCAAAGTGCTCAGCATATTACGCTATTCGTGTGGCAAAGTAGCCAAAGCTCAGGACTTTGCCAAGGATTTGCCTTCCGTAGACAAGCTGAAGCCTGTCACTATTGTTGTGGGGTCCAAGTCCGATGCAGGAAAGACAACTGTCTGCATTGACATCCTGAAGAGCCTTGCTTCTGCTGGACGGCGAGTCGGCATTGCAAAAACTTCAGGGACTGCGCAACGCATGGAAATTGAAGAACTTGCCGTACACGCCAATCAAGGACTCGATACAGCGGATGCTGGTATGCCGACCACATACGCTCCGTCTCAGGAGCCCGATGAGCGGGCTAAATTCACTCACCAGCAGTCCCTTCTCGCAGCTGAATCAAACCTACGTGCCCTTTCTGTTGCCAACGAAATCATCCTGGTTGAGTTCGGAGGTGATTTACTGTCTGCAAGTGTGCCTGAGATTCTCGCTGACCCTGCACGTTTGAACATTGTGGCAGTAATCATGGTAGCAGAATCGGCAACCGCCGCTATCGGAATAGAAACGAAGCTACTGAGGATCTCTGAGAGTTATGGTAGTATCCCATACTATATTGTGGGTCCAACGGCAAATCTCAGAGCTAACAGAAATTGTGTACAGCGGGAGACACAATGTGCAGGATGTTTTGATCTATGGAACAAGAATAACTCTCTTGCATCGCAGAGTCAACGAGACGCTAGCGCAGCCTCTTCCCAGGAGTTAATGCGGAAGCTGTTGGAGCATTGTAGCCCTGACTCTGTTTAGCTATTTTCATTTGAGTTGATGCGTTGCTATTCAAATCTCTGATTGACGACTTTATTCAAGGGGACCACAGCCGACTGTGAAGTATGGCTATATGTGAGAGGGGTATATCAATGCACAGGCTATCCAAGGTCTTTTTAACATTATCAACTCTCAAATTATCATATACGCAGCAATTCTTGCAAGAGAACCATAGCTATTGGAATTCCCGTGTATTTTTATAGTAAAATAGCTTGCGCGAACGAAAGTTGGCCTGAAAATGACTACCTCATGTTTAGTAACGGTCTGTACCAAGCCAACTGTCTTGCGAAACTTTTTCCTAATTCAAGATGTCTCAGCAATTGTTACACTTATCCAAACTTTGAAATGTGCATGCAAACTGATGATTCAAACAATCCTAGGCTCGGAAGTGCGCAGATGACCTCCTAAAATAAGTATTCCTCAACTCTTGGTTATCTAAGTCTCACAGCCTGGCCGTAAATAGTTCTCCAGACTTCGAGAAAAGGCTGATCAAAGGGGAGACTTGATGGCTATTTATTTTGAGAAGCTCCTTAGCTGTGGCGATATTATTGTCCACAGCCCTGGCATTCTTACCTTCTAGAAGCGCCTTAGTCACTTTCTTCACGTTCATCAGTACGTATCTCGTTGCAAGGGCGCGGTATTCTTGCGCCGACTCGCTCAGATTCTCAGCCTTTTCCAATTTCTGCAGAAGATACCCAAAGTTTCGGCATTGTAGGGTAAAGTCCAAAGTTTTATCTCCAAAAGAGAAGCTCGACTTTCTAGTAGCCAGGAAGAAACTTGATATTGCATCACCAGCTGTAATCTTTGCCCTCATTAAATGATTGGCGTAGATGATAACATTTGCTCCAGCCTGATGCAACTCCTCATCTGTGATGGAACCGTAGGTGGTTGGCACCACAACCAGAGGAGTCTTCACATCTTGCGATCTGAACTGAGCAAGAAATGACAAGACCTCACTTGGGTCTTTCTCTTTGCTACGGATCATGATAGCATCTGCTCCGCCCTTCTTGTAGACCTCGGCACGGGCCAGTGCATTATCCACTGCAAGCCTGACAGACGCTAGCTCTTTTGCTTCGTTCTTCCCCACCATGCGAGTGGTGAAGCTTTCGATTCGTGCAGTAATCATGATCTCACTGTCTCCGGCAGCAGCCCTGAAAGCTCGAAGAACCTTGGCAAACTCGTACATGTCTGCCTGGCCCTGGGAGTGGGAAGCGCCAGCGAGGGAATTGACTTCCTTGCCCGGCGCTGTCACGCTCTTGTCTTCGATAATGACCATTGAGACACCGAGTGACAATAATAACGCGACTAGTTGAGGAATGTCATTAACATCGCCACCGCTATCCGCATCAAAGGCAGCGCAGAGGGGACGCGATCCATGCTGCTCGATGTTGTTGTTTGAACTCGACATATACGTTGCTCGCTGAAGAGGGGATATGAGTTCTGTATCTGGTATGCCTAGATAGGTTGTCTGAGTTAGGCCACTCAGCCAGATCCCATCAAAAGATTCGCCATTGTCGCTGAATGTCAAGCGAACAGCCTCCTTTGTTGCATGGTCATGGGCCTCGAGTAGACGAACTCTGTCCTGATTTTTCTTCAATACGGACTTGATGGATTGAGACATTGTATGAACTCTAGCGACGTTTCAATCGGCCTAAGGTGCCAACAGGAAGGAACAAGGAAGGTATCTATCTACTTCTAATTTGCGTTTTGAGGGCTTTATCAACTCTTGGGGGCGAAACTAGCTAAATCACACCCAAAATGGATTACTATGCCCTGTTCTAGATATCGGTACTACTATCCTTGCAACAGGAGCAGGTCTCTTTCAGCTAACCGGTGTGTTCAGTCCGACTTGAACATAATTATGACATGCACCTCAAAGGTTATATGTCATGTCATCTTCTTTACTGAATATGGCCGACTTTAAAAAGCCCTTGTATGACATTGTCACAGAAAGTACACCACGGTTCAATGCAAAAGCCCGACCTCTGACACCATTCGAGATTGCCCTTACTAATTGCCTGAAGAAAAATTTGGCGAGATATTTTATCAGCAGTTTAATCATGCAGTCAAACTCTCTCACCGTATAATATCTCTTCTTTGACGAAGAAGAACGCAATGTTAGATCGTCTATGTGATGATTACTTAACTAGACGTGGATTGAAAGTTTTAGAGTTTCGGTGGCTTTCATCGGATCGGCAATAGGCCGTTCCCCGCAGGAGTAAGTGCGGGAGCTAGCCTAACAAGGTAACTAGGCATGCGACCTGTTCTGCTTAGTCTTCGTAATCAAAAATGTGGGGTGCTAGGGCTACTCAACTCCGCAATCCCATTTTCTTGCTGCTTGATTATTAATAGTTTTCTTCAAACAGGTCACGAGTATGATGATGATGATGATGATGATGATGATGATGATGAAACCAAGCAATCATTTTTACATTTGACAAGCTATATGTAACTAATATTTCCATGTACATACGCTTTGATCTATTTTCTCCACCAATCTGTTCCGCAAACATGAGAGTCAAAATACGTTCTATATGAGGAATATATTAACATTTTCTATCATCCCTGCCTTGCGCCAAAGTAGGGAGTACATATAAGACACTGTTATTCTCGTAAAGCGTAAGACAGTGGCCAACTGGGCAAAACCCAATGCAAATTGATGCTCCTTTGATGTCATAAGTCACGATAGCCCGTTCTTTTGCAAGAAGGCCTCGTGCCAGAAATTTCCTGCCGGAAAACAATTTAGGGGCTTTAAAGTATGGTAATACGAGTGTTGGGGCCAAAATATAAATAATAGGGCCAATCTACACCGTCATCTTCTTACCTAGGGAAGGATCTCTTTGAAGTACCCAGGTTGATGAAATGATCTGTGGTCGACAATCAGGTTTGTCTGAAACACAACACTTTTGGAAACATTGAATATTCAGACGAAATTTTTGTCAGCATGAGAGATCTGAGCAATGGCTAAGATTCAAGTGAGCGGAGCGCATGACTGACAACAGATAGAACATGCACTAAATGTTTACTAGGGAAGCTGAAACAACTCAATGAAATTCTAATATTCAACTTGGAGTTTTACGTAAACAAGAGCACCTTAACCATCTTTCCGCATGCAGTACCAGCCTCGCTCCGTTTTAGGGCTGCTATCCTTGCTAGTCTAGTTCGCTCTTCTCAAGAAGCTGTGTACCCTGTACTACCAGTTGACGGTGTGAACTCGCACATGAATGCACTAATATTTGGGCTGCTTATCCAATTTCGAACCGTCGATTCAGAGATTTGAAAGCTGAAGATGGCGTGGTAGATGGACCAATGCACGCAAGACAATTGGATCTCAGGGATGCAATTTATAGGCTAAATATCATGAAAGATGACAAATGGAAAAACCCATTGGTCACTTCCTGAAAACTTGAATGTAACGGTCAGATTTTTCTTTGTCCGTATCGGGATTACTCGGGACGAACATCAAAATGTGACGAGATTAGCCTTTAAGCATAATTTGGCCCCACTTCTCATGCTCGTGCGCATTCAGAGTGGATCACAATGCTAACTACGTTCGGGATATGGGCGTAAACTGTAAAGGATTGTCGAGGCTACCAAGACGGGACGAATTACCGCCTTCCTATACAATCCTAGACTCATCCAAGTGCGGGATTTTATTATTTAAGGCAACTTTAGACGTAGTAGTTAGTATCTTGTAGACCTCCATTGTCGGTACCAACCGCTCATCATTATTCTCAGACGATATGGCTAATATTTCAGAAGCTGAAAGCGGCCTTGCATCCGTCGACGACGGGTCTCCCTCGTCTCGAGACGCTACCGAGGAAGAGATTGCATCTATGAGGCATGTCGTTGATAACATACCGCAAAAAGTCTGGGTTTCCTTACTGGTTAGTGGAGCAGAGCGCTTCACATACTATACGATCTCAACACCCTGGCATAAGTGGTTGACGACAAGACGGCACACAATATGGCAATTCGCTAAGACGAGATGGCAGAGAACTATATACAGAATGCACCAGGTGATAGTGCTGTTCCAGGTGCTCTTGGACTTGGACAGTCTCGAGCGACTATCGTCTTCAATGCTTTCTACTTATTCTCTTACTTTGTACCAGTCCCGTTTGCCATTGCATCGGACACTTGGCTGGGGCGATACACCGTTCTCTGTATCAGCTTGAGGTGGGTTACATTGTCAGAGTACCTAGAATTTACTAGCTTGCTAACACTGACTAGCTTGTATTTTTGTGGTACACTTGTGCAGTTCATAACGTCTCTACCCTCTCTTTTCAGCCAGGAATCAGGCATGGTGGGATTTGCAATCATGATGGTCTTGATAGGTCTTGGTGTTGGGCGTACAAAGGCAGCAATCACACCCTTCATCGGTACTATACCGTCCCTTATGCACATTATCTTTGAATACATCTCATAGAGGCATCAGGAGATCAATACCCGGTCAAGCTTCCACAAATCAAGACCTTGCCGACTGGAGAACGCGTGATCATAGATCGAACTTTGACCTTACAATATGTGTACAATGTCTACTACTGGTGAGCGTTTCATATAATCAATAGATAGCAGAGACTTACTTCAGTAGGATCACCAATATAGCCGCCCTTTCTATTCTTGCGTCAACTTATCTTGAGAAAGAACGTGGTTTTTGGGCGGCCAACCTCCTTGCACTGTGTTCATCTTAAATTGGAGTTGCATTGCTTGCAATATTTAGCAAGAAACTCGGTGCGTCCCTGCGTATAAATAGCCCCAATGTGTAACTGACTAGCTGTAGAGAGGTTTCCAGCTCAAGGCGGTGTCTTGCTGAAAGCCGGGAAGGTTCTCGGATATGCTATTCAAGATAGGTTTAAAATCGATGCCGCGCGGCCACGCTGGCAATATGAAAAGCACAACCGGGTAGTCCCATGGACGGATCGTTTCGTTACAGAGATCAAGAGTGGTCTGTGTGCATGCCAAGTAATGTGCGTTCTATTTGAAACCCCGGGGACCTCTATGCGCATTTGATACGAGAGTTTACTGACCTCATCATGTGCAGGCTTTGGTTCGTCTTGTTTCATCTTGGCATCAACCAGATGACCAACAACCTGGTTTCACAAGCAGGTGAAATGGAGCTCACAGGCTTTCCCAACGACGGTATTCAGATTCTGAACCCAATCGCCTGCGTTATACTCGGTCCAATCATCCAGAAAGTACTTTACCCAACTCTTGCGAGATATCACATCCCCTTTGGTCCACTCATGCGCATGGCCATGGCTTCCTTTACGATGGCAGCCACGTTTGCCTATGCAGCCGGTGTGAAGAAGATGATCTATAACTCTGGTCCCTGCTACGACGCTCCGTTGGCGTGTCCTGCCGCAGAGAGAGCCGGACAGACCCATCTGCCCAATACGATCAAGGTCTGGGTGCAAACGCCGGTCTACGTTATCCTAGCCGTGTCCGAAATCTTCGGCTTTGTCACGCTTAGCGAGTATAGCTACAGCAAGGCACCTAAGGATATGCGCACTGTGGTTCAATCGATGCGACAGCTCAGTGCTGGCGTTGGAAGCGCTATCGGTATAGCCCTCGGTTCAGTTTCACAGGATCCCAAAGTATTGTGGATGTATGTCGGGCTGGCAGTAAGTTTAGGGTTGGCAGGTGTGGTGTTTTGGGTGCTCATGGGTCACCTTGAGAAAGATAATGAAGATGTGAACACGATGTTTCTAAACGAAGACGAAAGTGCTAGGGGCCAAACCGAGGGTAAGATAAACTCAGAAACCAAGAACTAAACATTTTACCGAAATCCAATTGTTATTCTGCTGTACATACGTACCATCAGACACGTTAAGATAGAAGCAGTCGGGGTGCTGACGAAGGGCTGAAACTATCCATGGATAGAAAATATCAGAACTACAGTAGTCGGCAAATCCAGCACACAACAAGTAGTTTCTGGCAAAATTGGATGTAACTGCATACTCCCTTGTCTGCCTTCCTTGTATCTGGATTACTACATAAGAGTAGCGAGGGGTTGCGCGGGGTAACCCAATGTTCAGTCCTCGAAAGACCTATTATGGGTCAAGCTGGGACTAACAGAAAAGAAAGGGATAAAATGCCTCTGTCAAGTTCTTTGTATCAGACGTCGCATAGAAATCCTGGTTATGGCTAGCGTTGACCGAACAGATTCATGATTCATGTGATCAGAGGTTTGATAGCGGGTGTAGTGTGCCTTTATTCCAACCAATATCACCGCTGACGAGGGCTTTGTAGACCGCATCGTGGCTGCGGTGCGCAGCTATGACAAACCTATCCATGCGCTAGTGACGGTCAACAATGCTGGCGCAATCGGTACCGCACGAGCTTGTCAGATATTGGGGTTCCGCTCTGCGCCACCAAAGTCATATATCATTGCTGGAGACAAATTCAAAACGCGGGAGATGGAAACCGACAGTGGAGGGGCATTCAAGGTCTTTAATCTAGACGAGCTACACGCACGATTGTTGTCCAAAACCCATCCGCCCATTGAATACCCTGTGATTGTGAAACCCTGTATGGGGTGGGGTAGTGAATGCGTTTTGAAAGTGCAGACCGAAGGCGAACTCATCCAAGCAGTCGCCTGGGCTTCGAGTCGACACAGCGATGGGCCGAACCCGCGTTCTGATGTGATGATTGAGTGAGCAGTATATTGAGGGACCCGAGGTTGATGCCAATTTCATCCTTATTGATGGAGATGTCACCTTCTTCGAGGTTGCGGACGACTTTCCCAAGACTGGCGACAATGCGGAAAACCCGTTGGATGCGTCCTTTGTGGAGACATCTATGGTTCTTCCTACAGGACTCTCTCCAAAAGAGATTCAAGTCACGAAGGATTCACTCCATCAAGCCCTTCTGAGACAAGGTTTCCACACCGGTGTCTTTCACTGCGAGGGGCGAATTCGATATGCATCCAAGGAGTACGATACGCGCGATGGCCTTGTCGACTTGTATCCAGGCCGTCAGCTAGCCGGTAACAAGGAACCTTCCTTCTACCTGCACGAGATCAATGCTCGGCCGGGTGGTTACTTCGTGAGTAGCGCTACGTTGTTAACGTACGGTGTTGACTACTACGCCAATCATATACTTGCCGCTTTCGGCGACCTTGATCGATGCCGTGCGTTAAGCGTACCTTTCTCCCATGGTCCTCAATGGTGGCTCCAGGTGATCATCATTCAGGAGGACAAAATTGGTGTGATGAAAACCCCGGACGCCGGCAAAGAGACGCTGGAACGGCATGCGGATCTACATCAGGCCGTAGTAGATTACAGGACGGCGAAGAAAAAGGGCGATAAGCTACTTGGGCCGAGGGCTAATATTTTCAGCTACCTGGCATACTTTTCTGTGATGAGTAGGAAGAGCAGAGAGGACTGCCTTAGGTTGGGAGAGAAAGTACGAAGGAGTTTCACTTACGAGATTGAGTGAATCAGTTCACACTGGTTTCCTAGCTACCCAGGTATCAAACTTCGCATTGGTTTCATGAATTATCACTATCAGGACTTGCTATAAAAGCATAAACATGCATTCTCTGCACCACCTCACTGAGTGTAATACTAATATACCTCCTGGCCATAGTACTTTAGAGCAGTTTTCTTGTACCCTCTGATGAATCTCCTGAGCACCGATTCGCCGATGCTATCCCATCTCGGGTCCAAGAAGGTTTCAATCTTTTTATCTATAGCCCATTCGCCATTCTCAAGCTCCTTGCGTCTCATCGCCCTGACGCTCTCTGGGATGACATTCTGAACCTCTGACAGTTTAAGGTCGAGCGGCAAACCCATAAAGAATGGAATAGAATATCTGTCTTTCTGTGAACGTGCCCTTACCCGGTGTACTGTTGCTCTGGCAGCACCCTCGGTGGCCGCCTCAAATGCATACCCTAAATTGACAACCAGGGTGCCAGGGATCGGGTCTACGGGGATCCAGCTGCCATCCCTGTCTTGCACATCCAGCGCGCGTTCAGTACCGACCTGGTGTAGAAAGGTGAGCCACCCTGCCATGTCTTTGTGTGGGCCCACACCCTGACCCTCCTGCTCTGGAGGCATTGCTGGGTAGAAGTTGAATCTGAGCCGATGCTGGGGCGAAAGGAAGTCGCTCGCAGTTGTAGAATCAGAGACGGCGGAATCGGAGTTTTTGTTGAAGAAGCTATCGAATGTCCCGATAGGAATGCTAAAAGCCTCCTCCACGAGGTGGACAAATCTGTAGGATAATTCCGAGAAAGCATCCAAGTAAATGCAGAAATATTAGTGGAATTGATTCCTACTTATCGTGTTCTAAATTCTTACTCATTTGCAGCTTTCATAAAGCCAGGGACTTCATCTTCTGACGGCCACACGTTTGGGACCTCTGAGTTTCCAGTACAATTTTGAGAAATCTCTTCCACGTTCGTTCGGTGTGGCATCTTTCTGGTACACCTCGGGTAGTTCAGTGGCAATGTCGTATTGCTCCCTTAAGTCGAGCTTTCCCTGAGTTGTCTCCTGTGCGTAGTCACTGAAGCCAAGGAAATGTGGTGATTTGGTTTTGGACAACTCCCTCTTTCTTTGTTGGGGCAAATGAAAGAGCGTCGGAAGCTTACTTGACAGAGCATCGATTATATCTTGTGGGACTCCATGGTTGCAGATATACAGAAATCCAACGTTGAACAATGCGTCACGCAACTGGTCAAGAAGTAGCCCTCGCTTTGCAGGATCATCTGCGAGCTTCAGATCAAGGATTGGAATTTTCCTAATAGATGACATGTTCTAAATACTTGCAAGTAATCGATTCGGTTGTTGTAATATCTCAAAGACTACGTTGCCTGCACATCCTTTCAGCTTTTTATACACTTTTACAGTCAGAGTGCATAACATCATATGGTCACGGATGCACTTACTTATTCGGGTAGCCAAAGTCCAGGCCTAACACCATGGGACGCCATGAAGACAAGGCGGTTCTTCATCCTGTCAGTTGACATTATAGCTGCAACTCCAGCTGTGGAGGGACATGCGAAAATCGCCCCAACATCCCTGCCATTTCACAACAACATCCGCCAATGACCAGAGTACCGCATTAGCGAACTTGTGTTCAACTCCTTGGCCATGACTTGCCCGATGATACCTTGTATGGATAGTGTGCGGGGTATGATTTTGATGTCTACGGTTGATCATACTTTTCTAAGATCAAACTAATGCTTTGTCAAAGTTGCGTTCGACATGAACCTCATCGAACGTTGACATTTGGCACTAATCCATTTTCGGATGCAGCAACTGTGCCCTAACTTCACCCGGCGTTCAGCTGAATACACTGTTTTCACCGAGAGGGGTTGCCAGGCTGTGACGAAAGAGGTGTCTTTACTCCAAGCCCTTGTAGAAATGGAGAATTCTTGGGTAGGTCAAACGGCTATAACCTGGAGCCGAAAGGGGTTGATACCCAGTTATACCTAACTATACGCAGCAGACCATACAAGACACCGGAACCAGTGAATTCACCTAGAAATTGATTGACTTAGGTCATTGATACTTATTATTATCTGTACACGTATTAATTTGGATCTCAAGTCGTAGGAAGTAGAGAAAGGATGTGAGGACAAGTAGATATGAGTCTGTTTGTATCGAATTCCTTTCCAAAATTCACGACGATGGCCCAACCTACTTCTTATGAATGATGAAATGAGCAGCATTCCAGAATGAAAGAAAGAGATTATGTTCATCAAAATGACTAGCTCAAAAACAAAACAGGAACCGACCAAATCAATCGCACCCTAATGAAGACCATAATACATGCAAATGCACATATAGTATAAACAAAAACAAGACGAGAACCCCCTCTTACCACCTAGCCACTCATGTCCTTTACCTCCATATCATATTATCATCATCAGAACACTAAACAACCCGGGCCCCCAAGCAGATGAGTATCGCACATGCCAGAACAGCAGAGAAAAAGAACGACAAATGTTTAGATATGGCGTCATATACCGCCCTCCGAGTCCTATTCAAGCAACTCAGATGAAGCCCTTAGTGTTGCTGAACTTCCGCTGAGGTACTTCGACCGTACCATTAGCGATATACACGCCACTGCCGCGTCGACTAGCAACGTCACTCAATCCATTTGCTCTTCCAACAATGCTGCCTCTCTCGACACGCAATTGCTTCCATCCTTCTAGCTCTCTCTCGAGCCGAAGAGCTTTCTCGCGCTCTTCACGCAATTCTCGCTCTGCCCGCTTTGCTTGCAATTGGCTCTGAGAGTCAGAAGATTGAAGTTCATCAATCGTTTGCAGGAGGCGTTCAATTTTGTCGCGGGATTTGTTGATATCGTCGGTCAACTGCGAGTTGATTTTATCCCTTCGTTCAATCTGCGATTGCAAGTCCTTGACCGTACGATCGACATTGCGTGTGGAACGCTGCTCGGCGCTATACTTAGATTCTTGTTCCTCCAACTGCGTTTCGAGCTATATCACTGTTAGTTTCAATATCGGACCTTCCAAGGATAGATTCCTTACCTCCTTAACTCGCTTGTGAAGGAATTTGATATCTTGAGAAGCCGATGAAAACCCCTTAGTTTCCAAGTCGACGCACCGGAGCTGAACCTCCTTAAGCTGCTTCTCCAGTGATGCCTTCTCTTTGAAAAGAGTGGCGTTCGCTTCTCGCTCAGCGACTAGTTCTTTCTGCATCTCCACCGAAAGAGCTTCTGCTCGGCGCATCTTCCCAACCGCAGCTGCAGATACATCTTCATGCTGCGCTAGCTTAGATTTGAGTTCGAGAATCTCGCGGTCCATGCCAGCCGCGTCCCTCATGGAAGGGCTATCTCCATTCGCCAAATCTTCAAGACGATCGGTAGCCTCCTTCAGTCGGGATTCTAAGACCTTCTTGTCTTTTGCTAACAAGTCTCGTTCTGAGGTGATATCATCGACAGAAGTACGCAGATTCCGCACCTGTGACAATAATGACACAACTTTGCTTTGAGCATCATTGTGCGCCTTGATTGCTTCGTCACGTGAGGAGGAGACATCTTGCAAGGTCATTTCCAAACGAGACTTCTCTTTAGCCCACGTTGAGCTGTTGAGCACCTCATTATCCCATTTGCTGCGTAAGTCTTCCAACTCCTCACGCAACCTCGAATTCTCGTCGCGGACATGAAGTAGGTTCTCGCGCTCGATTTCGAGCTCGTTGGCAATAGTCGCAAACTCTCTCTGATACTTTTTCCTTGTCTGCTCGAGGGAAGCTTCCTTGTCCTCAATTTCTGACGCTCTATGGTTTCGATAATCTTCTAGCTCATTTTGCAGGCGTCGTTTACCTTGGAGAGCTCCTTCTAGATCCGCAGAGAGATCTTCAACCTTTTCTTCGTACGACTGGACCTGTCGTTGTAGGTCTTCGACAAGAGAATCCATACGCTGACGTTCAGCCATTATCATAGCACATGTTTCTTCTGCTTCTTTGGCTTGCGATTTGGCGAATTGTTCGGCTCGAGCAGCTTTGAGTACCGCAATTTCTGCTTGTTCAAGCTTGCTGAAGTACTCATCGGCACGACTCTTGTACAAACTGAGACTAGATGTCAAATCAATGACTTTTGACTCCTCGGCATCGAGACGAATCTGTAGATCAGAAAATTCCTGCAATAGTTGATTTCGGCTTGCAGCTTCCTGTTCCCTTGTGAACTCGGCGTCTTGAAGGTCGGAGCGAGCATCTCTTAACTCGACTTCTAAAGCAGTCTTGCTTCTCTTGAGTTTTTCGAACTGGGACTTCGCCTCCGTAAGTTCCGCTATAGCATTTTTATTGACATTAAGAAGCGACTTCCTCGATTGTTCCTGGGAGTTGAGGAGATCAAAAAGCTCCTCGTGAGACTTGGCTTGTACATCACGCAAGGACAACTCTCCGGTCTGCATCATACGCTCTAGAGCGGAAACCTTTTTAGCTGAGTCGTCCAGCTTTTCATGAAGTCTGCCATTTTCACGTTCCAGCAATTGGACACGGCGGATCGATGGACTATCCTCTTGCCACATATCCCTACTAGGAGTCGCGAGCTCAAGCTGATTTTGTAGGTGTCTATTTTGCATTTCCGTCATTTGTAATTTGTTCTGCAACTCTTCAAGCTCTGTCGCCATGTCCATTCGCTTTTGATACGTTGTAGTGTCGACAGTACGATCTGAGCGGCCGGAATCCTGGTTGACTTCATTGAGGTTAAATCGCCGGTTGGGTGTTGAAGGATTGGAGAATCTCTTTGCATTCTCGGAATTCTTTCGAATATGGGTCGGTGATCGAGAAGTGGAAACCTGGTTATTGTCAATCTCCTCTAGTAAGGCCCTTTTTGACGAGCTGTAGCGAGCGTCCATCTCTTTTATCTCGCCTTCATGACGTTGACGCATTTCTACCAATTGGCTTTCCGCCCTGCTATATCTTTCTTCGGAGACACGTAAGTCCCTATGAGCCAGCTCGAGAAGTTGAGCGAGGTCCACTTTTTTGGAGAGATCAGGCTGGATTGCTTCCCAAGATTTCGAGGCCTCGTCAACCTCGGGATCAAAGACCTTGTGCAGAAGCATTAACTGTTGGTGGCAATCTTCAATCTCTTTGTGTGCCTGATCCAAGGCTGTTTGAAGTTGGCGAGTATTGGCTTGTGCCTGGTTCCGCATTTGCCTCTCAGTTTCGAGATTTCTATTTGCTTCCGCCAGCTGAAGAGTCATCGTTGAGGAAGCTGACTCGGCCTTACGACTCGCCTTGTGCTCTCGAGCAACCTCATGATTCAGATCTTCAACGGTCAAAGCCAACTTTTCTTTCTGCTTTTCAAGAGAAGTTATGGTAACCTGGGCATCACCTAATTGACGCTGCACCTTCTTTTGTTCCTCTTCCAACTTAGCTTTTTCATTTTGCAGCTGGACGATCCGTGATCGCTGGTTGTCGCTAGCCTTTGAATTCGAACGAGAAATCTCCAGGTTCTTCTGTTGGATCTTATTGAGAAGAGCACGATTATCATTCTCAGATGCAGCTAGTCTACCTTTGATAGTAACCAGCTCGCGTTCCAGCCGCTCCTTCTGTTGATCGTGACGTTCGCGAAAGTTCTCGGAATCCGCTAGCATCTGTGTGAGTTCCTGGACCTGTATGGACAACCGGGATTTTTCGCCTTCTACTTCCTGCAAATGGCTAGAAGCAATATCGAGTTCCTCGCGAAGTGCCGCTTGTTTTTCGTTAGCTTGCTTTATCAGGTTCCGCTCGACATGGCTCTCCGCATCCAATCGTGCTTTTTCGGCATTGGCAAAGCGTTCACGCATTCTAATCAGTTCGGCTTGTAGATCTTTGCGAGCCTGTTCGGCAGCTGTACGAGCTTCGGTGGCACGACGTAAGGTATCTTGCTGAATATACATCTCTTTCTCTATGGTGATCTTCGCTTCGTTCAAGCTTTCGTACTTGCCCTTCAGCTCGGCTAGCTTGTGTTCCCCAAGCATTTGAACATCGTCCCGTGATTGTCTCTCCCGGCTGAGATCGGCCTGCAATTGGAAGAGCTGAGCCTTCAAATCCTGTACCTGCTGTTCAAGAAGCCTTCGACTGTGACCAGCTTCAGCATCCTCAGTCATCTTGGCTTCAAGCATCCTCTTAACATCAGCAGCCTCACGCTCTAACGTAAGCTTCTCTGATTTTGTTGCATCCATTTCGGCCTGTAGATCACGTAGGCGTTTCTGCATGTTATCATGCCGTTCCCCAAGGGATTGTCGCTCTACCTCAAGACTCTTTTTAGCCTCTTCGTATCTTTTCGCATCGTTACGAAGGACTACGAGTTCACCTTCCTTACGTCGGATCATCTCCTCGTAACCGGTCGAGGTCTTCGAGAGCTCGGCGATCTCTTGCCTGATGGCTTTATTCTCATCAAAGAGGTTCTTCACCTGAATCCGGGAGGCTTCAAGTTCCTTGGAGGTCTTTGCTAGTTTCACATCGAGATTTTGATCGGATTTCAGGAGTTTTGTCTCGAGATCCTGTAACTTTCTCTCCTTCAGGCTGAGTTGGCTTTGTAGCATTTTCTTTTCTTGAGTGAGATCCTGTACTTGGACATCCCGCTGAGAATGCGTATTCTCCATCTCTTTCAACTCAGAATCCATCGCAGTCAGTCGCTCCTGTAGTTGCTTTTTGTCGGCTTCCAACTTCACGATGATCTGTCCGGCTTGCTCTAATTGAACCTTTCTTGCTTCAAGCTGTTCCTCGGCCTTTCTCTTGGCTTCAATCAGTTCGTCAAGTTGTCCCTCGAGGTTTTCTTGATCAGCAATGGCCTCTGCTAGCTTCTCGCTCAGCTCAACCTCTCTAATCTGAAGGCGCTTGAAGATTTCCTCCTTATCCAATGCAAGAGCCCGTTCACTCTCCAAAGTCTTCTTGACACGACTGATTTCTAACTCCGCTCGTCTCCTTTCTTCCTCTAATTTGTGGCGGTCTTGCAGGTCCTGTTGCACCTTGGCTTCAAGTTGCGAAATCTTTTCGTCCCTCTTCTTCACCTCAGCGGCTGTTCTGGTAGCTCCAAGCAGTGGCTTCATTCCAGTAAATAATCGCCACCAAGGATTCCGTTGCAAAGCCAAATAAACGTGGAAGTTCTTCTGAATGATACGAGTTGCCTCCGCCCTGTACAGTCTCTTATTCGCAATGCGCCTCTGGACAAAACCTCTAGCCGCGGACTGAAATAATGTCATGATTTCTCGGATCAGAGCATCTCGCTTCTCCTCCAGTTCCGCGAGTACTCCGGCTCGGAAGAAAACCTTTGTCAGACCAACGCGATACCACGATTTATCCAGGCCTAATTTATTCAACATAATGTGAGCCGCGCTTTGGCCCTCAAGATAGCCTTTAGGCATGTCGCGACAAAGGACTTCATAGCGTTGTCGGAATTCATTGAAAGAAAGACGGTTTGGGAAACCAGTTCGAGCGATTCGAATACCTTCGAGGACACCATTGCATCGCAATTGGTCCAAGACAAGAGGTCCATTGAACTGTTTGGGTTTTTTCTTATGGTTTGGAAGAATACAACGTACGAAGTGTGGATGAGTCGAATGAAGTTGATTCATCAAACTTGACAGCTGGTCTTTATGTCTTTGAGCCACAGTGCGGAATAGACCTTTCTTTACCCTGCTTCGCGAAAAGCCTTGTTCATCGTCAGTATCGACGTAATCCGAAAACAAATTGCAAATGTGTTTATCGGTCGAGCCAGATAGTAAGCGAGTGATGTTGTCGTTCAAAGGGTCTTTGTTCTTTTCCAGCCAACCTTCAGTAGTATATTCCACTTCCGCAGCATAATGCGTAAGGACAAACCCTTGACTTAGTCGAGAGGCACGATATTTTGGCGAATTCCGGTCCCAGAGAGAGTGCAATTTTTCCGTGAAAGTCTTATCCGTAGCTTTTGGCATCACACAATCTTCATCTAAGCAAGAGAAAATGCCAATTGGATTCGTCAGTTCGATAAGGTCAATGGTTGGCTGTAAATCTTTGCCGAAGTCAATGAATTGCCATTCGATCTGCTCTCTAGCATATTCTTCTTGCTCAAGCACAAACATGTGGTGATTGAAGAACTGCTGGAGCTTCTCGTTGGTGTAATTGATGCACAGTTGCTCGAAGCTGTTGCTTTCGAATATCTCGAAACCAGCAATATCCAGTACACCAATGAAGTATGTATCGTCGCTGGCAGAACTGCTCATATCAAGCTGATTATTGATACGATTCACCAAGTCACCAAAGCCCCGCTCATAGATACCTTTAGCCAATGCATCAAGTGCCAGTCTGACTTGTTCTGGAGTTTGGACTTTCTCGACCCACTCCCTGCCAGCCTTGACTCTCGGATGTAAAAGTCCCTTGACAAACGAGTCGGAGTCGACACCGAGGAGCTGGCATGCTTTGTGGACACTTTCATAGGCTTCCGGTGTCAAAGCTGCTTGATCGCCGCGGACACGCTCTTTCGTGACGGTGATATTTCCAAGATACAGCACGGCGGCAACGGTACGTAAGATGCACATGCGATCATTCTCGGAGAAGTTCATTATTTGGAAAGCTTCCATAAGTGCTTTCCATTCCTCGACATCAGATACTCCAGCAATAGAGTCGTTGCCATCTCTCGTGTATGCAAAGTCTTCAATTTGCATGTCTGCAAGAAGAAGTTTACTTCTCAAATTCTTATCAGAGCCTTGCAATAGCTGGTAAAAGACATGATAATTGCGTTCTCGGCTACCAGGTTTAACCACCCTCGACTTCTCAAGCAGATACCAATCAATATATGCCCCGGATATCTGGCCGGAGCGAGTGAATTCGATTCGAATGAACTTTCCAAATCTAGAGGAGTTATTGTTTCTCACCGTTTGGGCGTTTCCGAAGGCTTCCAGGATTGGATTGGCGCGGAGTATTTGTTGCGACAGATTGGAGAAAGCCTTTCCAGATCGTGTCCCAGACGACTCGGGAGTGGCTACTGCCGCCAAGTACTGGATCACCTTTTTAGTGTTTTCTGTTTTCCCGGCACCTGACTCGCCTCTAAAACTGCTGTTAATATCTTGATGTAAAATAGTCCGGAAGGAAACCATACGTCACGAGTATACTTTGATTTTCGCCTTCTTCCACGAGGTTGCGAAACGCTAGATCTGCCATTGCAAATATGTGCGGCCGTGTATCCTCTCGACTCTGACCCTTGTACATTCTCACATACTCATTTGTATAAATCGGGAGGGGACAATATGGGTTAACAGTAACTAAGAAAAGGCCGGAGTACGTCTAGTCAAATTGTCAGCGCCTACCATAGCAACGAAGGGGATAGGATGGCTAACATAGATGAGATCAGCTTGATAACGCAAATGCAGGTTATGCACAACAGACGCCTCGTTGAGATGAGTAAGTTCGGCCATGTCGTCGGCCTTATCGAATTTCGCTGGGTTGACTTTATCCGCATTTTCTATACTTACTTCGCGTTGCTAGACAGAGAGAGAAAATAAAATATATTAGCGATCATTTGCCTCTCTGACTAGGTAATACTTCACCCACACTGCCATCCTCGCATTGCACAAACAAGTTGCCATCTTGTCTCTCTTCGAGGACCTCTCCCCGAATGAAAGCCTTTTCGGGATCCTTCAACCAAACATACCGCTTGCCCGAGAAGTCATTATCCCCTTCCAAGTTATGAATCGAGTTGGCTCCCCTCTGCAGTTCCTCCGCTTTAATGAACTGGGGAGCAAATGTTCCCGAAGCGTGGACTGACTGTCTCAGAGAACTCGACCGTGGCCGATTTTCTGACCCGAGAGTTACCGCTGAGAAGTGTGATAACGACGAGTTCCGCGTGTGCGATTTCTTTTCAGGCTCCACAAAGGTCGTGGGCAACACAGCAGACTTTGGTCTTGATGTTGACACTTGGGGACTTGGTGAGGGCGAAGGTGAGTGACGGCTAAAGGGGTTGGCCCTTCGGGGCGAATTATTAACTGACGAGGGCTGCATATTGTCGAATTTTCAATGCATGTCGAGATACCTAGCTCATTGTTCGTTCATTCGGCCGATCTAAGTCGTAAGGTCGTGGGGAACAACGCGAAACGACGTGCTCTTGGAAAAGGAAATGAAAGGAAGAAATTCAAACTCGCGTTCAATGAATAATAATTAGATAAGGGTTCAATATCTGTCTACTCTCAGAAATAGACCGACTAACTGGGGGTTGCGCATAGGTGGAGAGTACACATGTAGTTCAATCGATCTTTGACGGTTTGCCTGTTTGTTTACCTTTTACCAGGAGCGACCAGCCTACTCCGCAACTACCCAACTCACATCAGCTAGTCTAACCTCTTTGAGCTTAGCTGGAACGTAGGAAGCGGTGACGCAGAGCTTTAGCATTATTGACGCGCTAATCCATACTTGGTAAGCGCCACTTTCCTGGTGCTCGCGTGATCACGTGATCTCATTCTGCGTCAACCAAAAATCAACTTTTCGTCTCATCCAGAAACCGCGATTCACCACCCCATCGCTTTTCTGGCCTACCTCATCTGGGTGTTCTCTTTGTTCGTCTTGGATATACTGGGGCTCTCCTTATAAGGCTGGACACAATCTCATTTCTGTCCTAGCAATGAATTACTGTTCTATGCACTAATCTTTATGGCTTCACATCGCGAACCAACTCGACCCTCCTTTTCTTGGTCCCGGCTACGATATCTCTGCTTCTAAGAAAACAGATCCAAACGATCGGTTTCGGCCAACTCCATCCACTAGAATAGCTTTTCTTCTCAATATTCCTGGGTAATCTCCTAAGGTTCGTGACATGTCGCAATACCCTGTGCCGCCGTCGTATGATGGGCAGCACAACTACGCGCCGACATGGCCAATGCAGCTTCCTTACGGTTCAAGCGACCCCAAGCAATCAGGGACTAATTTCTTCGCGATGAACAACGCTCCAACGGGTATCGCAAACTTCGCTGGCTTACCATTCGGCTCTAATGATCCAATTCAACTACCAGGCTTGGGGATGCCGTCCAATGCAACGCCATTACCTTACCTACCGCAACAATTCGCAAACAGACAGATGCCGCTACCCCTTTATAGCGCGGCCAACTTTCCTTTCAGTACGCCAGCTGACTCACTGCATCCAAATCAGCAAAGTGCAGTTACACAACCTTCCGAAAATCTTGACTCTTTGGCGATTCAGCGACAGGAAAGATCGAAACGTCCCTCGCCGCTGTTGACCAATGATACAGAGCGAGAAGAAGGAGAAGTGAGCGATGGTTCCAGCTACGGGCTATCTCGCCAGCATCATCAACCTGGGTTGCAGTCAGGGACATTTACGCAAACTAGTCGCGAAGCTCCTATCCCCCGAAGCGAGACTGCATTAGATACGGATGCGAGCTTCTCCCACCTGCAGTCCCCTAAATTTCCAATTGGGAAAAATGGCGCACGCGATGAAGATCCGGAGAATTCGGCACCAGGGAACAATTCACCTCGTGGGTAGCCAGATTTAACACTATTTAGGAACCCATAGCTAATCTGTCCCAGCTTATAACCCACCAGTTACTATTGGGATAAATCAACTGTCTCCAGCCAAGGTCCAAAGGGCTGATGCATCTCGACCACGCAAAAGCGAAGTGAACAATCAGAGCAGCTATTCGCAATTCAACGGCAAAACCCCTGCTCAGATTCGTGAGATGGCGTTGGGTGCTCTACTTAGTCTGGTCCCGCATAATATTCGATATGGTGAGCTTGTCAAGGAAGACATAGATCCCACTGTTCTCAAGCAGCTCTACGATGATATCGGAATCAAAATTACCCCTGCGGGAGAAAAGTATCCTGGGTCCACTATTCCTAGGCCAAAGGTCTCCGAAATCAAAGTCACAAAGCCTGCCATCGACAGGAAAGACTCTAGTTCCGAACCTCGGGAAAAGTTACCAGCATCCCCATCACCCGCCGTTTCAAATAATGAGCTCAAAGCCACTTCTATTCCCACTTCACAGAAACCATTAGAACGGAAAGACGTCATTGCTCGAATGCTGGCTGAGAAAGCCAAGAAAAAGGCTACCAACATTGCTACTGAATCTTCTTCAAGTTCAGAGACTTTGCACAATGGCTCGCTTGCGAAACCGAGTGTTGAAAAAGATGCTCAAGAACCCAAAGCTCAATTACCGGTGCAATCAAAAGAGAAAAATAAAGCTCTTTCTGAACTTGCTAGGCAGCGCATGGAGCAACTGAAGAAAATGGGTCTTAAAAGGCAAAAATCGCATTCTGAAGACACAAACGTATCTCCAGCACCAGTCACATCAATATCAAACACGCCAAATATGAAACCGGAGACAACGGCTCCTCTTCATCACCCTCTCCCTGAACGGCCGGCTATCACCCCAAGTCCATCCAAAAGTTCAACTCCTCAGATTCCTGGATTATCATTTTCATCCGAGCCTAGGAGTAGCCCTTCGATCGTTGAGAACAGATCCATTGGTGCTTCCACCCCCTTCAAGAATTCGCTTGGAAAACGTCCTCGAGCTTCTGATTTTGACGAACCTATTCCAGAAACGAAGAAACATTCCATGACCGATAGACTTGTGATTGATATCAGCGAGGATGAATCCATGGATGAGGAAGAGGACATTGGAATGCCTGAGACTAGCGATCCTGCAATAAATGTTCCACCTCCGAAAGCGAGTAGTAGTTTACCGCGGGCCACCATCTCGCGCAATGCATCTTCGTCATCAGTTACCTCTCAAAGCAGGACTAATGAACTAGAGAGCCTCCGACAGAAAAACCTCGAGATACAAGCTATGCGCCGTCGAATAGCCGAATGGGAGGAGAAAAATGCCAAAAAGTCAAAGACCACTCTACCTTTGGTAACCATGACTGGCAATGGTTCTCCCTCACTAGTGGCTACAAATATAGGAGCCGATGAAGACAAGTCTCGATATGTCATCGATAAAACACAAGATACGGCAACTCCGTCGGACAAGTCAAACTCCCAACGCTTACAACGCAGCCCATCGGTACAATCGTTGGCGTCCATGGATAACTCTGAGTTGGATCAGATCCGACAAAAATTGCTCCGAAAACGAGTCATCGAATCAGGTCTTCCTACTTTGGACGCTGAGCTTATGAAATTCGAAGCCAAGCTCGCGGAATATAAACGTGAGGAGCAGAAGTTGTTGAACGAGATTGCCCGGAGTCGGCAAGAACGAAAGCAACTCGGCGAAGAACTAGAGAGTCTCGGTATGGAAACCGAAGGTCTGACACTTGAAGAGTTGAGAGCTGTCAAGGAGGATATAGAACAGGGCACATATACAGGAGGTGAGTTATATTCGATAGAGTTCATTATGGTTATAGCTAATCAATAGTTTTAGCTGTACTCGAACCGCTTGACGCTGTTTCTTCCGACTCTCAGCCCCCTACTGCAACCTTGGCAACTGCGACTGCGGCGGACGAAACTACCGAGTTCCCTCAAATACCGAACACACCATTACCTGAGCCTGGTCCTCCTGAGCGCCGGGAAGCGAGCGATGCTGCCGATATCGAAGATCCGAGCATGGAATCTTCTGGGTCCTCAATGGACGAATCAACTAGCTCTTCAGCATCAAGTTCAGTGGGCCAAGTATCAGAATTGGAATCAGAACAGCAAGCTGTGGAGGTACCTCTTGATACCAGCGACAGCTCTGTCGCACAGGAGGACCCGGCTCATGATATTTTGCCGGTCGAGACTCCCCCAACTGCCACTCTAAGTGCGAACCTCGCTTCGGCACAAAAACACACTGTGGATACTGCATCTACTGTGGATGGGCACAATACCTCACGGGAGTCTTCAGTCTTAACTGATAATTATGAACCTCCCGAACCGGAGGACTTGGATGAGGTCTATTCTCCGAAGCTCAGCCCGAAGGAGGGTGAAGAACCAGAAAAAGAGACTGTACCGGAAATAGTCACTCAAAATGATGCTGATATGACATTGACTCGCAAGCCTCAGGATTTTGTTGTCATTGCATCTAAGGGAGATGCCCTTGACGTACGTTGGTCATGTTGAACTGCGGTCAATTACTAATATATTTCTAGAACACGGCACATAGTGGTGAAACGGTATCGAAATTTTCTCCTTACCAAAGCCCCCTGAAATTCTTTAGAGCCTATCGCTATCACCCCAATTTTGTTGAAGAGGTCAAAGATAGTTATCGATCCCTAACATACAGCCATTCAATTAATCCATTACAACAATTCTGTCCTTACGAAGCGGCAGGAGGCGTCTGTAATGATGCAACTTGCGATTATCAGCATTGGCGAGATATAGTGATGCCCGGTGCGTTGACGGTTCGAGAATTTCCACTCACCCTCCAAATCCCCTCTTATCTTCCACAGCATCATTCTTCCTTTGAATCTTCATGTGATTTTCATCCTTGGTTAGACACTAACTCTTGGTGAATTTTGTCCGTTTGCAGATGACAAGATACTCGTCGACATGGGAAATCAAAGAGAAGGGAAGACAGCCGAAGAACGAGAAAACTATATTGAAGGGTTGAAAGACCTCATCAATAACATGCGACGCGAGCAAGTGAATGACTTCTTCACTGTTGCAGGTGAAATCGCCGCATACCGTAGACGTTTCCTCTCCGACCCTTCACGCATTCTCCCTCTGTAGCCTGATCGCAGTATGATCGCCTCTCTCATGTCTGACTCAACCTATATGGGCATTACAATGGCAGGTTTCCGTCCTTTTTTGATACCGTTGCGCTGCATTGAGCAGCTACCGGCCTTGAACGGTCTTTGACTTCGCCTTTTCTTCTTCTTTTTCCCCTTCTTTCTTGTTTCTATTCCCTACTTCGCTTCCTCGTCCCCTTTCTTATTCATACTTCTTTTACATCGATTCAGGCATGCTCTGTTGATGAGCGTAGCATCGGAAGGCGTTTGTCGTCTTATTTCTTCAATTGGGGCTGCACAGGCTCCACAAATTATGGAGTTCACATCGGTTGGATCTCGGCTATTCCTACGGTCTACACCTTGTCTGCAACGTAGGTCAAGGACAGATTCTTGGATCAGGCATGCCGCCAGTGATGCGGGTGAAGATCGAAGTTACTACACGGCAGGCAGACAGCTAATTTCAGACGGAAGTCGCGCACCAAGCGATTAATCTCGGTTATCTAGGACTGAGTAGCTAGTCCGCACTTTATCATTAATATACGTGATTATTTATGACGGTATTTGTCTATACTCTTCGAATACGAGCATTCTCATTCTTTGTGACACAGTATCTTTAATATGCATAGATGTTATCCGTAACTTTAACTAGGTAGGAGGGTCGAGTACATAATACTTGTTGAGTTCGTGCAAGAGCAAATAATATGCATAAGACATTGAGTATGATGGTTTCAGGCGTCAAGATTTTACCGGACTCGAGGATGGGGATTGGCAATCTGTCTTTCCAGTCAGTAATCTGCGACTAATCCAACTAAGGCAGACACGATTGTCTTACCTGATCACGATACTTTCGAAAATGAAGTACACCCAAGGCAGACAAGTATCAGAGGGGCTACAACCTTGTCTTTCTTTTTTCTCACCGGGATCGCTTGATTTTTGACCGAGTACATCTGTTATCAAAAAATCGCAGTAGATTCTGATATGGTCTGCTTAGGCCTTATACACGAAACACCGAGTAGTAATCGCTTTCATTCCATTGGTCTATCTATATGATCCTGCCGAGCCTGAGCTTTTGGCACTGGCAGGGATTTAATAATGATGGTTGTAGGGCTAACGCAGGGGTGGTAGGGAGGTCCAAACACAACATTACATGGGGTGCGGCAGATGAGCTGGTGGGGTGACTTTATTTGAAAGGTCAATATATCAAATCCAGATACGTAGGAAGACTATTACTCGTCTTCACACCAGCTTACGTCAAAAGCAAAGGTGATGGCAGTTGAAAACTCCGACTATGTTCTAGGCAGAAATACGATCAATGTAGAGTCGATCATGCCGTCAGGGCTTCACCTCGAATGACAGATCCTATCCAAATGTCGCTTAGGTGCTGTCGTCCTAATACTTCCCGCATAGAATTGGAATCAAAAGAGACGCATTCATAGATAGATGACTTGGTAGACTCGGTTGCCGTCGGCCCCGCATCAACCTTATGGCTGCCTGGCCGATTTGACGCGGAGTACTCTGTAATCCGTAGACAAAAGTAGTAAGAATGTTAGATAGATTTCTGAACACGTTTACCGATTTGACATTCTTTCAACTATCTTGTTCTAGGGTCTGACAGACTGGAAAACGGAGATCCCTCGTCCGGGACCGATCCTATTTTAGCGCCTAGATCTCCAGGCATCGATCTCGTCTCCACACCGAGTCACATTCCACTTTGCCTTCATTTTGTGTTCTATTTCTGTCGACTCGATCTTTTTTTTTGTTCTTTTTTCATCATGTGAGGACAGAGTCTCTGAAACATACATAGTATAATGAGCCAAAGAATGAACAGTCCGCAGTTTTCATATGAAAATAAGTGGAGCAAGCGGCTCAAGGCTCCTTTTTGCGGGACAATTAGCCCTATCTCTACCCTAAGGCTCAATTGACTACTGACGAACTTGAGTCACAAAATGATCTAAAAATGCGCCTACCCTGCAGTAGCCTGAGTCACATCTGACGTCGAAGTGGCCATTTAGCAGTTATTTTTGTCTCTTTTGTGCATAATGAAAAAAGTGTGTGCATTTAACGTCACTTACATACATGCAAAATTCTGAGTCATCTCGAAGCAAAGGGAAAAAGCAAAATGTGAAACTATATCGATTGACAGACAATGACGAGTATTAAGATTTTCTCTGAAGATGTGTTATTCCTTCATGAAGAAATCAATGCATCAAAAATCAGGTCTATAAAGGAACAGTAAGCAGCAACAGTCACCACGATAGAAGCAACGGCAAAAAGAAAAGTCAAATACATGCAACAGTATAAAAGCACAAGTATGGTATATAGTACACGGTGATATATATCACTCAACCAATTACCCAGAATACTAGAAGCCAAGAAGCCAATCTAGTTCTGGATACCTGGCTGTCTGGTATCTCACCTGAAAAAAAGCAAATCCCAAACAATGCCATCAGAAAATGCAATCCAAAACATGCCCAATCCCAAACATCGCTCAATAAACATAAAAAACTGTGTTCGCTTAAAAAGATCAATCATGCCGAAAGAGGAAACAAGGAATAGTCATCAAGTGTCTTCAACAAGGACGGCAGCTCGCGCAGGCCCGGTGATCACACATAATACAGGCTGGCTGGGTGTCAAACATCTTCGGTCCATCGTTGCATTGGCAGCAGTAGTATGTAGTTGGACGACCGTTGATCAATCCACTATGTTGAAAGATGTCCGCAATTGAAGGGTTCTCAAGCGAGAACAGGTGGCCAGTTTCGCGGGACGGTATAGGTGTCTGAGAAGGCATCAATGCCAATGATGCCCTTCCATATTGTTCCTGCGCGAGATTCAACGACCCTAATGATGGGGTACTGGTGTAGGTATTTGCGCTCAGACTGGTAGCTCCGAACAATTCAGGGTAAGGATGGACCACATCTCCTGCTTGCATTTGATAGTTGTAGCGGTTTGATATTTTCTCGGTTGGGCAATTGTAGCAACGTGGGCTATGACAGGCCGGGCAGGAAGAGTCGAGTAAGACGTTTAATGGGCCATTTCTGCAATTGCAGCAGTACCAGACAGTTGTGGAAGGCATGTTTGATTGAGGTCTGTTGTTGTTTATAGAATCTTGTAGATGGGGAGTTGCTTCCGACTTTGGTGGCTTGAGATGGAAGATGTTTTGTGTTATGTGAGTAGAAAAGTTTCTGCAGAGATTGAAGGATTTTCATGAATATTTATACACAGATACATACAACACAAAACGAAATGAAACATCTTATATTCAAGCATCGCCTGACAAGATCCGCAGTGAAGCGTCAATTCAACAGGCAGAAACCCATGTCTCAGAAGGAATACTGTACATGAATGGTATTTTCCAGACCGCGGTCTTCAGAAGCGGTGTTACTGAGAAGTTAAGGCATAATAGCACCAGGGCGACCCAGTATAACTAGGCAGTCAACATGGTAAAAAGCCCTGAGGCAGAATCGGTCTCAATAGATCCAATCAGGGGTAGGAGGAGGATAGCCACAAGTTCCACGCCGGAGCTGGATAATATGTACAATAGAGTTAGGTGTAGTTCTAGCTATGTAGTTATCAAAATCCGCCTGATTAGCCCTAAAAGGATCTAGCTGTCGTTGCCTGGAAGCCCCAGGCATAGAGGTGGATAGAAATGGTCACGATTCATCGCTCTCATTGGTTGGGGTTTGGGTTGGTAACGGTACGGGTACAGCGGGTTATACTCCCCGAGCCCACCGTTCGACACTTACTGCCAGGGCCCAGCTTCACTTTTTGAATAATTACTCGTGTCTTCAGTCGGGGATATTTGGCATATTGAGGCATTTCTCTATGGCTCAATCACTTTTTGCAACGACGGGTTTTCCTAGGTAGTATGGGAATGTCGTTGCCATTTCTATCCCTGCTCATACGCAGCTCCATGCGGCTCTTATGACCCTGGGCGTCATAGTACATACAATACGTACTACGTAATACAATACACTACGGTAATTTAGTGTTGAATTTCAAGCACCAATCGGAAACGGATGATATCAAATATGAAGATGCAAAAATACTACTAATCAGACTGGAGAATGAGTTTGAATGAAGAACAGAGAATGTAAATCAAGAAACATATTGCCCGAAGATAAGTTCGCTTCGGAGTTCTCCGCCTCCATATGATATTGAACTTCAATCGATGCATCTTATTGTAAATGGTAGGCCAGATGTAATCAGGGCAAGATACAGGATATCGAATCACAAATGAAATCGTAACAAAGCTGCGCACAATAATTGAGTTATATCTATTACACTAATTGTCAATCCATGTATCTAATATGCCAGGCCAGCCCTACTAATCGAGCCGGGGTGGAGGGGACGAATTGGACCCTGTGGCGCAGCGATTAGCAAGATATGGTACTATGACTACTTCGTATAAGAAGCAAAAACAAAGGGGAAACAATCCCATTCTCACCCCAAACTCTACTTTGACGTCGTTATCTCGGGCGTTGTCTGCGGGACCCGGAATGGAAGTGAAGCTCTGGGCGCTGCGCCCGGGAAATAACTCAAATGGCTCAGCCACCTATAGCTTAAAATCGATCATTTGATACTCAATATTTCAGAATATATCTCATCATCAAATTACCAAGCAAACATCGATTATACTGGTCGGGCAATGGGCATCAATAGTGCCAGAACCGCTCCGCTGGAAATCGCCGAATTAGGAAAGGCAGGTCTATTGCCTATTCGGAAGCGCTTCATCTCATCCCAAACAACGCCATTCAGAGGTAGCAGTCTATACCGACTTACCTGAGGTATCAGACGAAATATCTCATCTTTTCTCCTGTTCTCTGATCTTATTCGTCTCGTCTATCCGGTAAACCCTCGTAGTACCACTACGATCGACCACAGAGAGCCGTTCTCAGCGGGGTAGATACCCAGGCCCCGTCCCAATGCATGGCTGTGAACTTCCAAGAGAAATAGTAGATTATAGTTCCACATTGAATACGCTACATAGAGATGATGATTCGTCCGCGGATACCGTTTGCCGGCTTCAGAGAATGATTGCAGACTGCAGTAGTCTTATGATTTTACCTTGAATATTCAGTTGAGAATTAATATCGCGCAAATGAGGCAATTGTTTGTATCTACACTTGGCAGGTGACCAAAATGACGTTGAGGCGGCGGGCGCGAACGGGGGATTAGGGCTTAGATCTAGGGTTATGTAGGTACCCTGGGGTTGCCCCATGCCAACAATACCTAGGTATGGACTGGACTTTCTTTTAGCATGGAGACTATAGTAGTGAGTCATTGGATTTGTTTTCCCTTTTGCAAGGCTCTCTCTTATTTTCACCGTAGGCGCAGGGTTAACCTACCTTGGGATCTGATGAGGAACTTTATTAGTCCTTGGTCATAATAGGTGACTTTGCTGAAGTCTAGATTTTATTTTTTTTTCTTTCTCTTTCTTGGGAAATCGGCGAATATGATAAAAGCCAAAAACGTAGTCTACAGACTCGAACAAATCATCTTTGCTGCTCGGCAAGTAACAGTTCGTGCCGTTGAAATTAGATCTAGCCAAAGAACATCAAGCAATGAACATTTTGTCTTTCTCTTTCTTCGCAGCCACATTTCTTTTTATGAACCTTGAACTTTTCTGCCCAATGTGTGGAACATTCTTGTAATCATTTACAGAATATTATAATGTTCCTGGCCGTTGAATGCATACTACATACATCGGAGCGTTCGATGAGGCTCTTCCAAGTTTACTGTATGCCGAGCCCTAGCACTGCCCCTGTATAAACTACGACAAGATCTTACTATGTGATGACTCACCTGGGCACACTTGCATCGTTACTTTTGAGTATTTATCGTACATAAGCCCTTATCGCGGTGTCTCGGAGGTCGCCGATAAGACTTTTCATTCAGACGCTCTGGAAAGATGGTCATGTGTAGATCGGCATCAACATTGATAATGACTAAAATACATGCATACAAACTAAGAAAAAGGAGAAATCATAACCTGCAGAACACAAGAAACCCATGTGAAATCCAACTCCATAGCTCCACCGCTAATCCCAAATCTAATCCCAAATCTAATCCCGAAATCTTCGAACCACAATATATTACAGGGACATTATCAATGTTGAGACCGATTAAGTGAAAGAGCCTTGAGAAAGCAAACGCGCACAGTAACCTAGCCCTCCCCCAAGGTTTTTTCGGAACTAGGCCCTCAATTCCATGGTGCTAGAATTGAGGATCAAGATTTGATCCGGACACGAAAAGAGACCTTGGGGAGGTCAGAGCCTAGGCTCATCGAGGCACATAGTGCTTCTCGACTCGACAAAGGCTGCAACGCTGATGTCCACATTCCTGGCAATGAACTTGCCATGCTGAATAGGGCCCGTCAAGGCACTGAGAGCAGTACCATTTGACTTCCACCTGTACGGGTTGGCCTTTGGGAGCGTCTGGCATGATGATGATGATGATGATGCGGAGAGCTGTTTTTTTGCGTTACCTCGGTATCTGGCTGTCTTCGTCCTCGAGGTCCGGGAAGGCGTATATAGAAGATCGAAAGGCCGTCCTAATCAAACATGCGTTAGTCTTCGTGAGAACAATCCATGGTGACTTGGTAGAACCGAGATACCTGACGAGGATATAGTGTAAGAGATATATAGAAAGAAAGAAGATTCTTTCCGACAGTGTTATATCTCACTACAGCGCTGGCTGAAAGAGAGAAAGTAATGGCGAAAGTAGATGGTTTCTCTTACCTTCATCCTCACTTGTGGCCCAGGGGCTTTAAATATACATCCCATCTCCATCACAGGGCGTCTCTACCGTGTAGTAGTACATCATGGCAGTGCTGAATATCCAGGGCAAATGTGAGCCCCGGCGGTGGTGATTTTGGCAAGCTATACCTTCAGAGACGACAGCTTTACGAGGGCGCACATGGTATAAACCGCAGTAAGCCCCAGGCGAATTTCAGAGAGGAGTATGACCAGTAATGTAATCTTGGTGACGATTGGTCACTCCAAACCGGAGAGGCGGAATTGAGGTCAGGTCAATTTCGGGGCTGGTACGGGCTCGCTGAATTCTGACTACCGCAACCCATCACAGCCATAGCGGTGACGGATCCAGTAACGGTAGATCCCAGCTGATACTTTCAGGTTTTCAACTTGCACGACGAGTGGAAATGAGACTTATCTCCGCGAGACAAGCCTCAAATGAAGTATTTCGTCCATGTCGTACGGAATGCTATGCTCAAAAGCGAGAAAATCGCCAGGGCGTTCTCCGGGCAAGGCTCAACTACCTAAGTAGGGAGCAAAAACGACTGGACGGAGGGCCGGTGAGAGAGTACGCAGTGGTATTGACAACATTTTCGGACGTTCGCCGGTGCTGTACCCAGGTGGGGAAAGAATAATGATGGGGAGGCGATGCGACATTTCGAAGAAAAGGATTTCGGAAGGAGACTGAGGGTCGTTACCACGGGCATCAATCATCTTTTATAATCGGTGAGTAACAGCCTCATTTTTTCAGCACAAAATCTGTGCAAGCTTGTTTGCAACTTCGTGCGGCACACACGGCATATGGCCAATCTTCATGACAGAGAGGACAAATAGAATATGCCCCGGTTGTCATGTTACCAGCAGTGCAATTGCAATTCTTAGCGCCTGGAGAGCATTCGAAAGCATACAAAGTCGGATTTCGAAGGCAAGGCTGGGAGGTCTGGCTCAGCTAATACCCCGCACCTGGACAAAATGTGCAGCCTTTCGAGGAGACCAAGCCTAATTCGAGTATTATATAAGCTCTGAGTGCGCCTGAGCATCAGATAATGTCCGATGTCGTAAAATCATCTCTTCATACCCCAGTCCGATGAGTCTCTTAAAATCGAAAAGTTAGATGAGTTGAGGAGGTTGGAGAAAAATGGAGGAGATTGCGGGGAAAAACTACCCTCAGAGATAAGACGGAGCCGCCAACCCACCTAGATTTCAAGCCAGACTGACCATAACACAAGCATTAGGGCAGACATGGCTAATCAAACGAGATCCGAGGTCCTTCTTGTTGGCTGCGGTGGTGTTGGGGCATTGTGTGCATACAACCTTGAAGTTGGCACACAGGCCAACGTAACCGCCGTGCTGAGATCCAATTATGATGCCGTTGATAAGAACGGTTTCAGCATTTCCTCCATTGAGCATGGCGAGGTGACTGGCTGGAGGCCTAGTAAAAGTGAGCCTCTTACCCCCTTGCGTCGTGCTTGATTCGTTCCGCTCAGTAACCGGTAATCAATGGGTGTAGTTACACGGACAATCTCTGGGAACGGTAAGCCCTTTGATTTCATCGTGGTCACCACGAAAAACATCCCGGACCAGCCTCCGGCAATTGCAGAAGTGATTTCTCCCGCTGTTACACATGGACATACGATCATTGTGCTGTTGCAAAACGGCATCAATATTGAGCGGCCGTTATTCAAGGCGTTTCCCGATAATATTGTCCTCTCTGGCGTCTCTATGATCAGTGCAACTGAGACGGAACCCGGAAAAGTAAGGCAAGATGACCCTGACATCTTGATTATCAGTCCATTCCATAATCCTCGCATTTCTATGGAACGTGAATCGGCAGCCGCGCAAAGTTTTGTTGATTTGTACAGCGCTTCGGGAAAGGCATCGTGCAAGTTAGAGCCGGATGTTGGTACTATCCGCTGGCGTAAACTGATTTATAACGCTTGTTACAACTCCATTTGCGCCATTCTCGATATGGATACGACCACAATTCGTTACGCAAAGCATCCCGTGAACGATTTGGTCAGGCCTGCCATGTGGGAGATTTGGCACATTGCTAAGGCTACTGGTCACCCTCTTCCGGCGGATATAGTGGAAGAGATGGTTGACATCGATACGTGGTCCTTCTTCAAGCCAAGCATGGCACAAGATACGAGCAAGGTAAAGCTAAACAATATATGATCAAATGCCGCGATGAGTACAGCACTAACGCCTCATTGATTCAGGGTAATTTTACTGAATATGAGAACATCGTGGGCGAGCCTTTGCGTGAGGCTCAACGAGTCAATGTCCCAGCACCCACACTCACAGTGATTTACGGTATATTGAAAGCTCTTCAGTGGAAAGTACGAGCCCAAAATGGTTTGATAAAAGTTCCCCTTGAAAGACCTCAATCCCTATCTCTATTAGAAGATAGCTAGATACAGCCGTGATATTGAAATGTCCAAGATTGTTCATGTCAATAGAAATATGTGCATTGAAATGTAAACAAGATCCAAATCAACTTGTTTATATGTCGCGAAGAAAAAGACATCACCGTGAATATGATGCACCAAACAATATAAATATGCAGAGAAACCCGAAAGACTGAAAAAAAGTCATGTACTCTGCGGTTCCATAACATCTCAGAAAACTTTCGGCCAAGGCAAAATCCGCCGAAGCGGTCATGTAATGATAACAATCATCTCGTCGAAGAGAAATCGTGTCGGAAGAGTATATTTGTGACGTGAATCATAATAAAATGTATTTATCGGGAATCGGAACTGGTAGATCGACCCCAGGTTGGTCGCCAGTGGCCGCCTGTCGAGTTCTTGGAGACAGCGGGGGATGTTAGGCCATTGGTGTATACGTATTCGCCGTCAACATATTGGGCATCTCCGTAAAATGTGGAACGATTCTTGCGTCGTGTGTATCGCTGTTCAAGGCGATAAAGCTCAAGCTCTGTATTCAATGTTAGTATGAGAGATAGCCTTTAATATGGTTAGAAGATAGACTTACTACTCTGGAGTTTTTCGATGAAACCCATATTGTCAATATAAATATATTCACTTGGTATTCGAGGACTGAAGGATAGGTCCACAGCCTATATAATCAGCGGTCTAGTATGTCACGTTGCCACGGCTTATTGGAAAAATGTCTATGGTTGGACGGGCAATGAACCGGTCTATCCGAAGCAGGGTACGCAGTGCTGTAAACAGTGAGCCCATATTAGCTAAGAGCATCACACATGACTGAATAATATGAAACGAGATCAACATACGTACTAAAATATCGCAGAAATGACGTGGTATTCTGATACAGAGACTGTTCTGGAAAAGCGAGATATACGCAGTAGCAATCCAGAGGAGTATGTATTTATCAGCCGGGAATCAAGCCAGAAAAGAACGGAGTATGATTAAATAAGGATTGAAAATGGTCAAAAGACGCTGGCTAGTAGATATTCGATTTGCAGTTTGTATAAGGAGTGTGGATAAGATATAAGAGTGTCGATATAGAAGAGAAGAAGAGGGCAAGGAAGTGAGAGAGGGAGAAAACCAGACGGGAACGTGCCCAGTGGAAAGGTGCCATCAGGGGGGCCCGTTGTGGGGAAACCGCGTGCTCCAGGCGGTCTAGTCCCTCTAGCGTCTTCCTCTTAATTATTTTCATGCTTCTTATTGATCCGATATCCTCGCTGAGTCCACTCAACAACTCTCCCACGAGGCAGATGCAGAGCCTCGATCAGCGTACAGCTCTGGAGTCTGGAAGAAGATTACGAATGCACTCAGCAAGATCGAATAAATTGTAAAGGGAAGTTGTCTACCATCACCACAGAAACGGGAATCTATAGCGAAGGTTTCAATAGTAGAGAACTTAGCTGAGCGATAAGACCAAGCGGTTAGGTGCATTTCTCACAGGCGGTTTACTCAGTTAGTGATCCATTTCAGGCATACAGCCTTTTGTGGCGCGAGTTTCCGCCCATTGCTTTGGCAGCTTTGACCACAGACCTGTGCTAATATGCGCCACTAGTGCAGTTTCATCGCGAATAATTACTAGGTCATAAGGTTTCGGACTCTTGAAGGATTCGTTGAGTTGAGCATTGAACATTGAACGAACCTGTTGACTGCATGGACAAAGTATGTACGTATGTAGTAAATCGTAGTAAATATTGAAATATTCAGGGGTTAATATTCGTGCTACATCCGTGGATCTCCCTCCGGCATGGATTAACTATGTTCTGAGAATCATGTGACCTCCGTAAAGGGTTCAGCGCTCCTGTAGTTAGCTTAGATAACCACCAATAACAACAACTAACGTAATCCACAACTGCTGAATTTGACCGTACATGCACTGAGAATAATATTATTCCAGTCTGTATGCCTCCCCATTCCTCGCATCTTTTACAGCTTCTTGATGTTGGCTGCTTTGCTGTTTTAAAGCGACATTATGGACAGCTTGTTGAGCAGCGAATGAGGCTTGGATTCAATCATATTGATAAACTTGACTTTCTTACTGCATTCCCAAAGGCTCGTACGATGGCATACAAAGCTCAAGCTGTTCGGAATAGCTTTACAGCAACTGGATTAGTACCATTTAATCCAGATCGAGTTTATCAACAGCTTACTGTTCGATTGAAGACTCCAACACCCCCTCCAAGTCGATCAAGTGATACACAATCATCCTGCTTGCAAACCCCTCAAAACCCACGTCAATTTAAGCGCCAAATGACTACAATGAAGAAGAGAATAAGCTGGCATACAAGAAGTTCATCCGAGGCTATTGGTGAAGTGTTTACACGGGCATCAAAGGCTTATGAGGTGAGTATTAATAAGCTTACAATTGCACAGAAGGAACTCCATGATCTACGGGCTGCACATGAGAAGGAGAAGCAAAAACGCCAAAAATCTAAAAAGCAAATATCCCATGATCATGGAATTACCAGAGAGGAAGCTCAGGCACTTGTACAAGGTCAGATTGAGGCATCTCAAGCTGTTACTACTGCTCCAGCCGAGCCTGAGCTCCCAGTCTCTCATCCACCTGTACGACGTCAATTTCGCTGCAGTGGTTGCGGTATTGAAGGACATAAAATAACCGGATGTCCTAATCGTACTAGGAGTTAATTCTTTTGTATATAATTTGTATGTGGTTAGAAATTGAGATTTGAGATCAATATTTTGTACGCGTTCGGGAAAAAGTGGTGGTTCGCTTGTGGATTACGTTAGTTAGTTAACACATCAACATCCGGAATCTGATCACGTGCTGAAAAGCCCTAACAGCCGATCTGCGACACCGCTAAAAATCCCACTTTTGCTCTATATACAGATCTATATGTACAACGTATTCATCTATATCACTTTTTCGACTGTGGCTGATCTGTTTTGGTCACATTTTCGGCTAGGTCAAACTCGGGATCGATTTCGAGGTTCTTCTCGAGATCTGCATCCTGGGCAAGAGACAATTCTTGGGCTACTCATATCATCAGTATTTTCGCTTTCGAAGAAACGTGAGAAAAAGTGAAATAGCTCACCATGCCACAACTCTGCATAGACACCCTTCAATTCAAGCAATTCCGCATGTGTGCCACTCTCAGCCACTCGGCCATCCTTGAGGACAAGAATCTGATCGCTATCATAGATAGTCCGCAGCCGGTGCGCAACAAACACACTTGTCCGTGCCTTTTCTTTGATGATACTATTGATATTTTGGAGAAGGGCCTGCTCGGTATATGTATCCAAAGCTGAAGTCTGTAGTGAACGACAGTCAGCAACTGCAGTAGTGACATACCCCTCATGCTGTACTCACCGCTTCGTCAAAGAAGAGCAGTGGCGGGTCTTTTAGAATCAGCCGCGACACCGCCAACCGTTGTTTTTCCCCTCCAGAAATCATCATTCCTCGCTCACCCACAGCTGTTTTATATCCGTCCGGCAACCTTTGAATGAGTTCGTGGACGTGCGCTCTCTGGGCAGCTTTCTGGACTTCTTCGCTGGTAGCATCTATCCGGCCATACCGGATATTGTGCTCAATTGTGTCGTTGAAGAGAGGCATATCTTGCGGCACAACACCAATGGATTTCCGTAGACTCTCCAACGTCACATCACGCACGTCCTGGCCGTCAATCAAAATCCGGCCTTCTTGAACATCGTAAAAGCGGAACAACAACCTGAGGATTGTGGACTTTCCGCAGCCACTGGGTCCGACGACTGCAAATTTTGCCCCAGCAGGAATCGTGAAAGTCGCATTCTTGAGAATGGGTCGGTCTGGATGATATCCAAAGGTCACATTTTCAAATCGAATTTCACCTCCTCGGGACAAGTCCAAGACTTTGGCATCTGGTCGCTCCTTAACAGTGACGTTGACCTTCTGAAGGTTGAATAAGGTCTCCATATCAAGTAAAGACTGTCTCAATTCACGATAGACGGAACCCAGGAAATTTAACGGAACTGATAACTGGAAGACTAATTGATTGACCATCACCAAGTCTCCTACTGTCAATTGTCCTGTTGCCACTCCATCCGCTGCCAAGTACATCATGGCAGCTAGGGCGCTGGAAAATATCATGTTTTGTCCCGAGTTCAAGAATGCCAGAGACGTAGTCACCTTTATAGATGCATCTTCGTATGCCTTGAGAGCTTTATCATAACGTGACACTTCGTACGCTTCGTTATTGAAGTATTTAACGGCTTCGTAGTTGATCAATGAATCGACAGCAACTGTAGCTCCTTTGTTATCTGCAGCATTAGCCTGTCTTCTGAACTTTGTTCGCCACGCTGTGGTTGTAATTGTGAACGCAGTGTATGCAACCATAGTGGCTGCTGTGATTGCTGCGAACCGAAATCCGTATTGATATGTCTAGAGTAGATTAGCTCACTGTCCATATCGATCCGCCAGAGAAAGAAGGCTGCTTACCAAAATACCACAAACCATCGAAATCTCCAATGCAGTGGGAAAGACATGGAACACCATAGACGTCAATAAGAAACTGATACCCTTGGTTCCGCGATCGATTGCTCTTGTGAGACCACCAGTTTGTCGGCTCAAGTGAAAGTTCAGGTCTAGTCGTAGAAGGTGATCGAAAACATTGCCCGCAACTTTTCGAATCGCTTTCTGCGCAACACTTGCAAATACAGCGTTTCTCAATTCTTGAAATACCGTGGCGCCAATTCTCGTAACTCCATCTACGGATGCATGTTTAATCAACCGCCCACTCCTCAAAGACCTCAAAACTTACAGGCTATTATCATTGACCCTGCCACTGTCCATGCCGTGCCACCCACAGCTGCGAAATCGATGTTCATCGAGTCGACAATATTTTTGAAATAGAAAGGAACTTCGACGTTGAGAACCTGCCAACGTATCAGAATCTTAGTGAAGCTGCAATAGAAGCGACTTCTTTACCTTTGCTCCAATCAACAGTGTGAGAGCTGTCCCAACTCGCAACTTAGTTCCCCAATCACCCTGCGCAAGCTTAGTCAAATACCACCGCGCATAGAGATAAAGCCATACCTTCGGCCACAAGTACTTTGCCAAATCCTTCATAATGGCCCAGTCTGCCTTTCGCTGTTCTTTGTTTGTAGCTGCGCTTGTGTTGAGAATATCTTCCGACTTCTTTTTCGGAGTTGATTTGGTCTCCGCGAGCAATTTCTGTACGCCTGGCGCATCGTCCTTTTTCGTAATCTGAGGAGCTATTTCAGTTGTCTTCGATTGCAACGAAGAACTAGCTGTGGTTTTCTGGTTATCTCGTAGCGAGCGACTCGTAGTTAAGATTCGCAGTTGGTTTTGACTGTTCACGCGAGCGACTCCATAAAGGCCTTGCGATCGCTGCGGCAGTCGCGCGCAAGACGACCTGACGGCTCTAGCGAACATCGTGTTGGTCAGTCCAACTTGATGTCTTTCCGACTTTAGAATCTGAGAAAGAATCCTTGAATGTCTCCGGAGGTAGCGGTTCGCGATTGCGCAATTACAGGCGCCAGTGGCATATTACGTACTCCGCATTCGGCGATTAGAGGATGCTGAGGTTATTGCAGGAAGTGTCAAGTTTGTCGGCAGTGACCATATTCCAAAGAGTTATTGTGATTTCGATTTTTAAAAAAAAAAAGAAACTGAACAATAAGTAGGGAAAAATAGCGAAAAAGTGGTTGTTCTAACTTCTAGATCGAATGAAGTCCCGCAATGAATTTCCGCTCGCCGGAGCTTTCCTCAACGGACCGGTTTTAGCGCGTCAACACCAAAAAGTTCAAACTGACGTAGGGCTCAGAAGAAAAAGCCGTCCTCGCCATCGCTTCGATTTCTTCTTATCACACCCATGCTTCTGCTATTGCCATGCGCCTTACTCTAGGGAAAGGTGCGACGGCCGTTTACAGGGCCAGGGCCGGAGTCAGTGTCTCATCGCCGCTCTATAGACGACATGGCGTGAGAAACGTCCAAATCAAGGCGGCGCCATTGGGGGAACCTACCATTGTCAATGGAGTGAATCTCCCCATCTCCAGCACGCCTAGCAGTGCCTCATCTGCCGGTATATCTCTTATCAATGCATTCAGGTTCATCTACTAACGAGCAGTCGCTGAAAGATGCCAAATTCCACGTTGTCGGCACCCCATATTCGATGCTTTCGGTTTCTTTATCCGCATCGCAGAACCTGTATACCCAAAGGGGCACGTTGGTGGGATTGAGCGGGAAAGCAGATAATGTATTGATACTTTGACTTATGAGTTCGATCTTGTGCTTTTACTGATGTGTGTTCTGCCAGGTAATATCAACACTAAGCGTCCTCGAGCCGTCCCGAAGAGCAATTGTCGGAATACCATTCCTATACCAAAAGGTGATCAACGTCCTGCGGATCCAATGCACTTTGGATTGCTGACTAGGATTAGATCTCATCTCCGAGTCCCATCAAGGCCTTGGTATCGGTCCGATCACCGGTTACATCTTTTGCCGTGGTACACCTAGATGGAACAGTGGACTGGATGGTGGCTCAACGACGAGCATTGCTTGCATGGACAGGACATTCGTTGAAAATCAAGCCCAGGATCAATACAAATCTGGTATGCGCTTATGCCTCATAGTGGATTTTCAATTCTGACATGTCCGGTGCAGAGCGTAACGAATTGGGGCAGCTCTGAAGTTACAGGTCGAGGACTCCTGGCTCTCGTTGGGAGGGGTCAAGTATACTCAGTTGAGCTGAAGGCTGGAGAGCAATATATAGCTCACCCAAGGTATGGCTGGACTGTCCCTATAAATTGGATACGGCAACTAACCTATCCAGCAATATTGTCGCATACACGTTATCATCCACGCGGCCTCAACCATATCGTTTCAAGTCAACCACATTACGCTTCCAGATCCCGGGTCTACAGATCCCTGAACTTCTACTAAAATCACGATATGTTCGCGACTTGACAGCATCCGACACCTGGAAGGCTTCTATGAAGTTAATCCATAATTTTCGCACATGGGCCCGAAGGACAATCTGGGGTGATAGGGTATGCTTTTCAATCGTCCGAACAAGCATAATGGAACTAATGAGACTGCCACTAGCTTTTTCTTCAATTCAACGGCCCCGCAACTCTTCTCATCCAGTCTCGCGGAGCGCGTGTACGAGATATCATGAGCGATAAGGAAGTCAACGAAATAGCCGACACACCCACCGGAGCCACCCTCGACGCCATCAACAAACTCGAAGCTAGAACTAGTCCTTCCACAAACGAAAATGATAAAATCGACTATCAACGCGCTGCTGAAGAAGCCGTATCTCAAGCTCCAGGGCCGTCCAGAACAGTCGAGGGATTGACGCAGGAAATCAAAGGTGTTAGTCAAACCATCGCCACGATCCGCGACGGTAAAGTTGAATTCGAGAAGCTCAAGCAACAGAATGCAGAAATTGCTAGAAAATGATTATACTAGTTTATGCCTGTGTCTTTTTCTTGCTGATGTTATGTCCTTGCTGAATCATGTTCCATTTGTTTCTGTTCTGGTTATCCTCACATACAGATAGACTCAGTTACGCAGTAGCTTACAGGATAACGATGTACAATATCTATTGATTGAAGATAGCCTTAGGCTTTAAATATACGTGATGAGGCTCCTAAGAATAAGGTTTTAGACTGCTTGCTGAACGTGTAACGCGTAATGATCATCAAGATTGTGGATGCTAAAATAGACTTTCAATAATTTCATTCAAGAAGGCTGTTCTCACGACGTTCATTGACATGTAGAAACATCACCCTGATAATATCAACCAAGAAGAGATATTCACATCATGATAATAGAAAAAGAAAAGGAAACAAGTAGTTACTCAGACATACTCCAGATCTCATGCAGAAATACTCCATAAAAGAAAAGACACAATCCAATTGTTCATTCACCACAACATGGATAACCAACATGACCATCAACCAAGGTGAGCACTCCCAAGACTTTCCAACATGTTATCAAAGTTCTCTTCACCAAGTACACCATTCTGATTGATTTCGGTGTTGCTGACAGGCGTATTTTTCTTTGCTGAAGCGTTTCGTGGCTTGGGCTGAGTTTGCAGCAATGGACCTTTGCAATGTCCACATCTCACTCTGCTTGGATCAATGCTCTTGGAATGTCTTCCATACTGATAACCGCAGTCAGTGCAGATCCAGCGATATTTGTAGTCAATTTCGTATGTGTGGTGCGTGGTCACTTCGATGGGGTACCGTTTGTAAACGGGGTGCTGTTTCATTGCCTCGACGCATTTGCGACCCCATTCTTTGAAGCTTGGACCGTGAGGTTGGTGACGAACTCCCGAGATCACATTGTTGGCAAGGTGGCAGTATTCGTGCGCCATAGTGTTGAGGAGTCGAAACTCATCGTCAATGATATGCTCTGCAAGCTCAATTAAGGCGTGGTGAACGAAGGTGAATCTTCCATCTGGCTTTCGAATTGTTACCACCTTCCAAGTCGCGCGTCCTGCAGTGCGGCGTAGGGTTTTCTTCCACTCAATCTTGATTCCTCCTGTAGGCTGGGCGAGTTCGTTAACTCGACCTCCTGTAGTGGCCATGTCAAGTTCAAGTAAGAAATTCATAGCAAGTGAGGTTTTCTTGTCATTGAACTCTTTCTTGCGAGCAGCCGCTGTCTTCTTTTCAGCAAGTTCTGCCTTCTTAAGAGCCGTTTTGCTAAGACTCTTGGCAGGGGTGTCGACGCTTGAGGCTTTTCCCATGGTCACGCTGTCAGCGTCTGTGCTGAAACTACCCTTGTCGTTCAGGGCAAGGACACGCTCCAGAGCCTTGCTTTTGGTCTTTGGCTTAGGGGGTGACCACTGATCATTCCAGGCGTTGGTGAGTTCCTGACTCCAGAACGCATCAGAGCTCTGACGATGAGGTGATGGTGGTATTCTGGGTGTCATTTTGGACGGGGACAGCCGTGTGTCCTTCGAAGGGCTGCACGGGGGAGTCTCCATTTTGTTGACTTGTTGCTTCCTCGTTGATCCAGGACTTGATGAGCTAGAATCGAGTTAGAGAACATCCCTCCCTTTTTTCATGATAGATAGCCTTACATAGAGTTGATGCTCTCACGAAGTGGGCTTCTTTTGGGTTTGAGATACTTTGTGGGTTCACTTTCTGTGTCGAGTCCCTCGTTGGGAAGTAAGTGTGTGAAGGGAGAAGAGAAATGAAGAGAAATTTGTTCGTTGTGCAAAGACTTCTGTGGCGGTGTTGCTGTGGAGGCTGGTGAGTGAATTTCGTTTGAGATGTGAAGTCTTTGTGTTTGTGAACTTATGCTAGAGGTTCGAGGTTTTCGTCCCCTTATAAGCCTTCTTCGAGATGGCTTTGGTGTGGGGGGTTTGACTTCCTCGTCCTCGTCCTCTTCAAGTCCATCATCAAAGTAGCTCAAGTCTTCATTGTCACTGACGATGAAATCATCGAGCGAGTTATACCCATCTGAGTCGTCACTCACTTCTACCTCGGATTCATCTGACTCTTCTTTCCGTCTTGTCTCTCTATACTGCATGAAGCTGGCTTCTGGTGGCTCCGAGTCAAATCTTCTTCCACTTCCTACGCCGTTACCTGCTCCTGAGTTTGCATCTTCGTGCAACCCAGTATCCTCTCCTCCATCTTCTTCTTCGTCATCACCTTCCTCCTCAGAATCGTCAGGATCCTCTTCAGCTTCATTGTCAAAAAAGAGGTTCTCCTTGTCTGAACTTTCTTCTTCCTCTGAATCGCTACCAAATCGTGACCTTCTTGACGAAGAACCGCTACTGTCCTGAGATGCGCGCTTCGACAAGCCAGAAGTAATTGAGTTTGTATGTGTGAGCTTCAACGGCGCCATAGGCTTTTTTTTGTTCGCATGCTGAGGTTCAATAAACGGATCGGCGCTTCTCTCCTCGTCGTTGTCTGACTGCTCTTCGTCTTCGAAGATCTTGAATTCCGAAACCCCATTGTTCTTTTTGGTTTGTTGCTTGGACCTTGGCTTTAAAGGTGACCATGTAGTGGTTCTAGTGAATGACGAGGATGGTGATGCTGGCTTTGCGGGACTGGGACTCGGACGTCCATGGCGGACGACGGTTGGGTTAGATGTGTTTAATCGTGCCATATTGTAGGCAAGATAATATGCGGTTGATAAGAACTGTGACTATCATGCCACACACACACAAAACATGTGCGCATTTGATATACGTTGACCAAGCAATTGGTATGTTATATCGAAGCAATTGATTCTGTGTTGCGGATGATCCAGGAAAGTACGTCGACAATTTGTGTTTATGTGCTGCCGTTGGCGGGACAACGTCGCTTTGGCAGGCAAGCGATAACCGGAGTCTGATAACAAGATACACCAATTAATTCATGGATCCGACGACAATCTTCAATATTTAGGGTGCCAATAGGTCTAATTATCGGTCGAATCAATGTCCACATCGTCGACAAACCCTAATTCCATCTAAAGGCCGATTCTTCACCGGATTATGCCATCATCGTTGGTTTACTGTTCCTGACCACACCTCTACTGGTGTGATATAGAGAGAGAGAGAGAGATATATATATATATACCATATACAGGAATATTTCTGGACAGCGAAATCTGAGATACCTAGGTATCAGTTGATCCATGTATCTAGAATCTTGTAGCTTGAGATGCATATCGCAAGAAACAGAATATCCATCAATTGATACAAATTGGCAACTGTATTCATCACCATGAATGGATAGCTCTACCCCCAGCGTGCCAGGCTTGTAAGGAGCCTCACGAGACAGTGAAGCATGTACTCTTTGAGTGCCGAGGACATCGAACAGGACGGAGAACTCTATATCGAGCTCTCCAGAAAGCCGGAGTGCCGCTGCCTACAACGGCCGAGGAAAGTCCCGAGGCTAGGCTGTTCGCAGAACCTAGAACGACCCAGGGGCTGCTGCAATTCGTGACTGAAGCCAACCTATTTAATGATAAGGAGCGGACAGCCAGAGAGGCTGAGTCTAGTGATGCGTGGGGATGGGATATGTTGGAAGAAGGTGGCCTAGGTGTCACATTGGAGGAATAGGAATAAGGGCACGCTAGTCAGGATTTGTACCTACGGAAGGCGAGATAGTGATTTTTTTGAATTTTGCATGTATGATTCTGATAGGGGTGAGCCTTTAGGGTCTCACCAAGGCTTCTAGTGGTCTGTCATAGCCTATAGCGCTGGGTATGGACAATAAACATGAATAATAATAATAATAATAATAATAATGGATAACTCTACCATGCGATGTACCTTACAGACTACAACCATGGACGCTGCTTATCGATAGAGCAGATAAGCTTCCGTGATCTCTTGGCAACCTTGGAAGTAACGCCTAAAGAGCAAAATCTTCACCCGCCTCGATGATCTGGCTATGGAGTTCGGGGACATGAGAAATGATTTCAAATCGTCATACGTGCCACACATCAAATGCGACTGCGGCGGATTCAATTGCCGAGTAGAATTGACCACTAGCTTGTTTCAGACCTGGAAAGCAGCGAATGAGATTAAGTGTAGGCCGTATGTGCGAGCCCCTTTTCGCACATGTAACAGCTGTCATCGATATTTATTATGGCCCGTTACAGAGACCGGACATAGTATGCCGGACATGCGGACGAAAGCAGCGCCCAAGTCCGTACTTAAATTGAGAGTTCAAGATCCATCTCCATTCTGACAAGCTACTAGCGAGCCCTTGTACTCCGTAGTTCTGGCTTATTCCAGATGGCAGATGAAATAGGACCAATAAGACGCATGATAAGTGTATCAAAACTGTATCGTACGGCTAGTGGAAATTAGAGCAAGCCACAGAAGCGGACCGGTGGCGATCCAGAGGGCTTAATTCCGACAATTCAAGTTTTTAGCTTTTCTGTATGGAAAATAGCAGGGTCAAGAAGATGTAGAAACAAGGAACGATATGTGCTATGACGATTGACGGTAAGTCTTTTTTTTTTTTAACTCGTCTATCTTACTTACCTGTCCTAAGTGATCACTGCGTGTTTATCATTTGACAGGAGCTATCGATAGATACTTGTCAAGAAAGGTGGCTTAGCCCGTGGATAAGATCTTAATGCATAAGATATTGCATTAATTTATGATCCTGGTTCGGTGATTAGCACGGAGGACATGCAGCCGAATGCCACGAAATTATCTGATGGGGGGATTGCCATGAAGACGATCTCAAAAATCTCTGAGCTGGCAAATTCTGAGAGCAGTAGAGTAAGATAGACTATATATATATAAAGAAGCAAAGCATTGTTCTCGACAAAAGAGATTCGATTGGCCAATCGGAGGGTATTCATTCCATGGAACATCTCAGCGGGTCTTGGCGGTTGGTTTTGCTATGTTGTCTGTGTCCCCTTCATACCGACCAGTGAGCGTTGCAATTGTCGGATACCATCGTTGACCCGGCTGCAAGCTCAAATTCTTGATCTCCAAACATATGGAACTGAAATACTCTTTTTCGACTTCTTTTTTTCTGTGCTGGCGATAGAATGGATGACTATGAGGCTTTGCGCGTAAGTACATAGTACATCTAATACGTAGTACGTCCTTGCCACTGTGGGCCGTGTCTCAGGGGCTTTGCTACTTTCGGGGTAAACATGATACGGCCTGTGGTAACGTATCATAACTCCGCTGGCCACTCACGGCGTCAGCCGGAAGTCGCGGAGGGGATCTTATCAGCAATGTGACTCGCTGATTGGTTGAGATGACACGCTTACCCCTGTTCCGTTCCCCACTGTCCAGTTATCCTCTCGTCTCGACCTGTAAGATAGCGGTATTCGATACACAACAGCCAGGACCCACTTTCATTGTCCAGCCAGTAATCGGGTGTTACTCTTGTCCTCCATACCTGATGAATCATCGCGAGTTGCGATCTGTGCGTGGTCGTAACCTGATCATTGACCTGTTCTGTTTGCAGAGAGTTTAATTGCCACAGCAATCTTAGGACGAACAGTGTAACTTACATACACGTACGCACCTCGACTAGTAATGAGACCGATGAGCCCAAAATAGCCACGAGCCCCTCCCACTTTCCCTGGCCAGAACTCACAGTGTGCTCCTGCCAGCACCAACAATTTGTGCCTGCCCTGCGACTGGCTCCGCCCCCCCTTCCCCTGCCCTGTCTGCAGCAAGTCCTCTCAGTAAGCAGAACCCTGCTTTCTGAACTATCCAAGACTCTCTCTCTCTCGCTCCTTTCTTTTCGCTCACTTTCCTAGTTGCATCGCTACCTTACACTCTTTTTCATCCATCCATCCATTTTTTTTTTTTTGCTGCTGAGTCCACAACTTTTCGTTCGTCTCGCCATCCCCGTCCTTGCCTTTTTCTTCACCACCTGGTGGGAGAAAAAGACAGCCAAGGAGAGGATCATTGGGCGAACCGTAGGTTCCTGCATCTGTTGCACCTTCAACTCGCCCATCGACGACGCGCTGGCGACGTTACTGAAAGCTGTCACTGAGCCTGTTCTTTCGAAAAAAAAAAGACATAACAAAACAAAGCAAAGAACAATCATTCGTTCACCATCCCGACGACTCCCTGTCAAACGATAATTAATAGTTATCTGTTCAATCGTTGATAAATTTATTCGGTCGTGACAACCAAGGACAACTCAGGTTTCATCACGCCATTTTGCGAGCATTCGTCACCTGGCTGTGACCGACTTTTCATCTTCCTCTTCGTTATCCAGCCATATGAGACTTTAATTGGTTCGACTAGTCTGTATATTCAACGAGCATTTGTGACCGGTTTCATGGGCTGTTTATAAGGTACGTTTGTTGATCGATCGCTCAGGGTGTCACGGCGTGGACGGTGAAACTTGATAAGAATCTTACGTAGCTGACGGTGTACTTGGACAGGACTATTTTGTCATTGCATTATAAATAGCCATCATGTCTGGCCATTACGACGATGGTTACGGCCATCAAGGCCATGGTGGTGATGCCTATTACCATGACGATCAGCATGGGTACTACGATCAAAACGAGTACTCGAATTACGGAGACGGCTACTACGACCAGAGGTGAGTTTACTCAGAGAATACAACGAATGGATCCGGCAGACTCGTGAACTAATACTTTTGAATTCCAGTGGCTACTACGGCGAGCACAACGGTGAAGGTCACGGCGAGCACAACGCTGAAGGTCACAGCGAGCACAATGCAGGAGGCGGCGGCTATTATGAAGGTGGTCAAGACAACTACTACAATGATCAGTACTACGATCAAGGCCATGGTGGACATCCTGACTACGCACAGAACGGCCGCGGTCGTCGACGTGGCGATTCTGAAGAGGACTCGGAAAGTTTTAGTGATTTCACCATGAGATCCGAGACAGCGCGTGCCGCCGACATGGACTACTACGGTCGCGGCGATGAACGCTACAATAGCTACAACGAAAGCCAGATGGGTGGTCAAGGATATGGAAACTACCGCCCACCGTCTTCTCAGATCTCCTACGGTGGAAACCGCTCATCGGGCGCCTCAACCCCGGTTTATGGCATGGACTATACCAACGCTCTCCCCGCCGGTCAGCGTTCTCGCGAGCCGTACCCAGCTTGGACTTCGGATGCTCAGATCCCCCTTTCCAAGGAGGAGATTGAGGACATCTTCATTGACCTCGTCAACAAGTTTGGTTTCCAACGCGACAGCATGCGGAACATGTACGACCATTTCATGACTCTTCTCGATTCTCGTGCGTCTCGCATGACCCCCAATCAGGCACTTCTCTCGTTACATGCAGACTATATTGGTGGTGACAATGCCAACTACCGCCGTTGGTACTTCGCAGCTCATCTCGACCTTGATGATGCCGTGGGATTCGCCAATATGCAGCTTGGAAAAGCCAATCGTAGAACCCGAAAGGCCCGTAAAGCGGCCAAGAAGGCTGCTGAGCAGAATCCCGAGAATGAACAAGCAACGCTTGATGCGTTGGAGGGCGACAATAGCTTGGAAGCTGCCGAGTTCCGCTGGAAGACACGTATGAACCGCATGTCTCAACATGAACGTTGCCGACAGATCGCCCTCTATCTGCTTTGCTGGGGTGAGGCCAATCAAGTACGATTCACGCCCGAGTGTCTCTGCTTCATCTTCAAGTGTGCTGATGACTACTTGAACTCCCCCGCATGCCAAAATCGTGTCGAGCCCGTTGAAGAAGGAACATATCTCAACAATGCCATCACTCCTCTGTATAGCTATCTGCGTGATCAGGGTTATGAGATTTACGATGGTAAATATGTTCGTCGTGAGCGTGATCATAGCCAGATTATTGGCTACGACGATGTCAACCAGCTCTTCTGGTACCCTGAAGGTATCGAGCGCATCATCCTGGAAGACAAGACGCGGCTTGTGGATATTCCGCCCGCAGAGCGATGGGAAAAGCTGAAGGACGTCAACTGGAAGAAAGTATTTTTCAAGACTTATCGTGAGACCCGTTCCTGGTTCCACATGATTACTAACTTCAATCGAATCTGGGTTATTCACTTGGGTGCTTTCTGGTTTTTCACTGCCTTCAATGCCAAGTCGCTGTACACCAAAAATTATCAGCAACAACTCAACAATCAGCCTCCTGGCTCTTATTCGTGGTCAGCAGTTGCCCTGGGTGGCACACTCTCTTCTCTCATCAACATTGTTGCAACCATTTGCGAGTGGGCTTACGTTCCACGTAAATGGGCCGGTGCCCAGCACTTGACCAAGCGTCTTATGTTTCTGCTCGCAGTCTTCGCCGTTAACATTGGACCTGCTATCTATGTCTTTGGTGTATCGAAAGATGGCACAGACACTATTGCATTGGCCCTCGGTATCGTACAGTTCTTCATCGCTTTGGCAACGTTCTTCTTCTTTGCGGTCATGCCACTTGGTGGTTTGTTTGGCAGCTACATGAAAAACAATACACGCCAGTACGTTGCCAGTCAGACCTTCACAGCCAGCTTTCCTCAACTCAGTGGTAATGGTATGTGGATGTCTTATGGCATGTGGGTTTGCGTGTTCGCCGCCAAATTGGTCGAATCATACTTCTTCCTCACACTCTCCTTCAAGGACCCCATCCGTATCCTTCGCCCGATGAAGATCGAGCACTGTTTGGGTGATAAGATCATCAAAGAATATCTGTGCCATGCTCAACCTCAAATCCTTCTTGGTTTGATGTTCTTCACGGACTTGACTCTTTTCTTCCTGGATAGCTATTTGTGGTACATCATCTTGAATACAATCTTCTCAGTGGCGCGATCGTTCCATCTGGGTGTGTCTATCTGGAGTCCTTGGCGAAACATCTTCTCTCGGTTGCCCAAGCGTATCTACTCCAAGGTTCTCGCTACCACGGATATGGAAATCAAGTATAAGCCGAAGGTCCTGATCTCTCAGGTCTGGAACGCCATTGTCATTTCCATGTACCGTGAACATCTCCTCGCCATTGACCATGTTCAGAAGCTTCTCTATCATCAAGTTCCTTCGGAGCAGGAAGGCAAGCGGACTTTGAGAGCGCCCACATTCTTCGTCTCTCAGGAGGATCATTCATTCAAAACCGAATTTTTCCCCTCTCAGAGTGAAGCGGAGCGTCGCATTTCGTTCTTTGCCCAGTCGCTTTCAACCCCCATTCCTGAACCACTTCCCGTCGACAACATGCCAACTTTCACCGTTTTGATTCCTCATTACAGCGAAAAGATTCTCCTTTCCCTGCGAGAGATCATTAGGGAAGACGAACCTTACTCTCGTGTCACTCTTCTGGAATACTTGAAGCAGCTCCACCCACATGAGTGGGACTGTTTTGTGAAGGACACCAAGATTCTTGCAGATGAAACCTCTCAATTCAATGGCGAGTATGAGAAATCCGAGAAGGATGCAGCACGAAACAAGATCGACGACCTCCCTTTCTACTGCATTGGTTTCAAGTCTGCTGCTCCCGAATACACTCTGCGCACTCGTATCTGGGCATCTCTTCGTACTCAAACCCTCTACCGTACAATCTCCGGTTTCATGAACTACAGTCGTGCCATCAAGCTCCTTTATCGGGTTGAGAACCCCGAAGTTGTCCAAATGTTTGGCGGCAACTCGGATAAATTGGAACGTGAATTGGAGAGAATGGCGCGCCGGAAGTTCAAGATCTGTGTCTCTATGCAACGTTACGCCAAGTTCAACAAGGAAGAGCGTGAAAACACCGAATTCCTTCTCCGTGCTTACCCCGACCTCCAGATCGCTTACCTTGATGAAGAACCACCGGCTAACGAGGGTGAGGAGCCAAGACTCTACTCTGCTCTTATTGATGGACACTCGGAGATTTTAGAGAACGGTCTTCGGAAGCCCAAGTTCCGCATTCAGCTCTCTGGCAACCCCATTCTAGGAGACGGGAAGTCCGACAACCAGAACCACTCCATCATCTTCTATCGTGGTGAATACATTCAGTTGATTGATGCCAACCAGGACAACTACCTCGAGGAATGTTTGAAAATCCGCAGCGTTCTTGCCGAGTTTGAGGAATTGACTACGGACAATGTCTCTCCGTATACGCCAGGTGTACCTACTCCTAAGACTGATCCTGTTGCTATTCTTGGTGCTCGTGAATACATTTTCTCCGAGAACATTGGTATCCTTGGTGATGTCGCTGCCGGAAAGGAACAGACGTTCGGTACTCTATTCGCTCGTACTCTTGCCGAAATTGGTGGTAAACTTCACTACGGTCATCCTGATTTCCTCAACGGTATTTTCATGACCACTCGCGGTGGTGTCTCTAAGGCTCAGAAAGGTCTCCATTTGAACGAGGATATCTACGCTGGTATGAATGCTGTCCTCCGTGGTGGAAGAATCAAGCACTGTGAATACTTCCAATGTGGCAAAGGTCGTGATCAAGGTTTTGGATCCATTCTCAACTTTACGACTAAGATTGGTACTGGTATGGGTGAGCAGATGCTGTCTCGTGAATACTACTACCTCGGCACCCAACTTCCATTGGATCGTTTCTTGTCCTTTTACTATGCTCACCCTGGTTTCCACGTCAACAACATGTTCATTATGTTGTCTGTGAACATGTTCATGATTACCATGGTTAATCTTGGTGCCCTTCGTCACGAAACCATCCTTTGCCGATTCAATTCCAACCTTCCAATCACCGATCCTCTCATGCCTACTGGTTGCGCTAACCTTGTACCTATCACTAACTGGGTCAACCGTTGTATTGTGTCTATCTTCATTGTGTTCTTCATTTCCTTCGTGCCATTGGTGGTTCAAGAATTGACTGAGCGAGGTGTTTGGCGTGCAGCAACTCGTCTTGCCAAACAGTTTGGTTCTCTTTCGTTCATGTTCGAGGTGTTCGTTTGTCAAATCTATGCAAATGCCATTCAGCAAGATCTCTCCTATGGAGGTGCCAGATACATCGGTACCGGTCGTGGTTTTGCAACTGCCCGTATCCCCTTCGGTGTTCTCTACTCTCGTTTCGCTGGACCCTCGATCTACCTCGGCGCCAGATGTTTGCTCATGTTGCTCTTCGCCACGACAACCATGTGGACTGCTGCTTTGATCTGGTTCTGGGTTTCCTTGACGGCTCTTTGTATCTCACCGTTTTTGTTCAATCCTCACCAGTTCTCATGGAATGATTTCTTCATTGACTATCGTGACTATCTTCGTTGGCTGTCGCGTGGCAATTCCAGATCCCACAACTCTTCATGGATTGCCTTCTGCCGCCTTTCTCGTACCAGGATCACTGGATATAAACGCAAGGTCCTCGGTGTGCCATCGGAGAAGCTGTCAGGCGATGTCCCTCGCGCGCGTATTACCAACATCTTCTTTTCCGAAATCCTAGGCCCTTTGGTCTTGGTCGCAGTCACAATAATTCCTTATCTCTACATAAACGCTCGTACTGGTGTCACGGACAGCGGCGCAACGCCCACCAACGCGCTTATCCGTATCGCTATAGTCGCCTTTGCTCCTATCGGTGTCAATGCTGGCGTTGCTGGCGCCATGTTCGGTATGGCCTGCTGTATGGGTCCTGTTTTCAGCATGTGTTGCAAGAAGTTCGGTTCTGTGCTTGCAGCTATCGCTCACGGTGTCGCTGTCATTATGCTCCTCGCTATATTCGAAGTCATGTTCTTCTTGGAAGGCTGGAGTTTCCCTCGTTGCGTCTTGGGCATGATTTCCATGGCAGCCATCCAGCGATTCGTCTATAAACTGATCATTGCTCTCACATTGACCAGAGAATTCAAACATGACCAATCCAACATTGCTTGGTGGACCGGAAAGTGGTACAACATGGGATGGCACTCTCTCTCCCAGCCCGGCCGTGAATTCCTCTGTAAGATCACCGAGCTTGGTTACTTTGCCGGCGACTTCGTCTTGGGTCATCTTCTCCTTTTCGCCATGCTTCCCGCTCTCTGCGTGCCATACATTGACAAATTCCATTCGGTCATTCTCTTCTGGCTTCGTCCTAGGTATGTCTATTTCCTCTACTTTATGCTCGATTCATCATGCTAACAAATTATCTAGCCGACAAATTCGCCCTCCTATCTACTCTTTGAAGCAGTCTAAGCTCCGTCGGCGTCGTGTGATCCGCTACGCCATCCTTTACTTCACCATGCTTATTCTGTTTATTGTCCTCGTTGTCGCGCCTTTGGTCGTTCGCCGCATGAACATTAAGCTTCCCTCAATCCCACAGGACCTTATGCAGCCATTGGATGCTGGAGACGCCCATAACGACACCCATACATACTATACCGGATCTGGTCTACCGGCCGGTTTTATCGCGCATTCTGGTACTGACAGCGGCAGCAAGAGCACCAGCACTGCCGGCGCGAAGATGATGTTCATGTTCTAGACTGCATACTGATTTTGATTATCTATTTTTACTTTTATCTTCACATCTCGGATGCTGTACAAATGCCTGAAGATCCAGGAAAATGGCTCAGTTCGGGCATTCTTTCTTACGACTGCATCGCCCGCACTCATTTCACTCATCACCTCTTTTATTGCTAGTAATGAGTAATTACATCTCCTGTGCTTTTACTGTATACGTTTATGGAGTTGATTGGCTGTTGTTTCGTCGAACCTATATGTCTCTTAAAACCTGCCACTTTCGTTTCTCATGCGATTATGCTTTTTTTATACTTCTACAAACGCACTATCTGACGATAGCCTTTTTGTATCATCAAATGCAATTCTCTGGTTTTGTTCCATATTTCTTCATCAACATATGCGTTGTCTTCTGTATGGAGCATAAATTATACTGCCCCTTAGGTTTTTAAAAATTAACAAGTCAGTAGGTCACGTGATCCGCCCTCTATTAATGGCTGCCTAAGATTAATGCTTCCGGGTGGATGCCCGTCCGGTCAGAGGCGGCAAGACCATCTCTCCTTTCTCTGACAACTCTATCCCATAACTTTACAATCCAAAGTCGTCAGCAGTGTTTGCCCTTTCAAATATCTTCAATTGCGCCTGAGAGAAGGCAATGTGACAGATGGATATCCAGGAAATCCAACGAGTCCTGACGGACTTTCTCCAAGAACTGTCCACTCTGTTTCACCGTGTCCCCGGTTCTGCGATTTTCCTCCGTTATGTCAAATCCAGTTATCAGAACGACCCAATTCGCTCAGCTGTCGAGCTGTTCTTGTTTCTTTTCGCGGTTCGCTATCTTCTTGCGCCGAAATACTCGACAAAACCTGGTATTGTGAAACTCTCGGAAGAAGAAATTGATGATTTGGTGGATGAATGGACTCCAGAACCTCTGGTGAGCAGCCCGACGGCTTTGGAAGAGCTTGAGGTTGAGAAAAGAGCAATCATTGTAGGGTATGTTGCTGTCTTTCTAAGAAGCGCGGTTGGATTATATGCTGAAGTATGTTTTCGTCGTGATTAGCCCGACCGGCCCCAAAGTCAAATTGTCGAATGGACGAACTGTGGTGAATTTGGCATCTTATAATTTCTATAACTTCACTTCAAACGAAACCCTCAAGGAGAAAGCCGTTCAAACGCTGCGGACTTACGGTGTCGGACCTTGCGGCCCCCCAGGTTTCTACGGTACTCAAGATGTGCACATCAAAACCGAAGCGGATGTTGCTGCCTTCCTCGGCACAGCGGCGTGTATTATATATGCGCAGGCCTTTTCCACAATTTCAAGCGTTATTCCCGCATTTTCTAAGAGAGGAGATATCATTGTCGCTGATAAGGGTGTAAGCTATGCCATTCGCAAAGGTATTCAGATATCTCGAAGCACTGTGCGTTGGTACGAGCATAATGATATGGAGGATCTTGAGCGCGTGCTTGAGAAGGTTACTCGGGAGCAAGCGCGCAAGCCGTTGACTCGACGATTTATCATCACTGAAGGCTTGTTCGAGTCTATTGGTGATATGGTTGATCTGCCTAAAGTTGTAAGTCTGGCGCTTCGTTCAAATTTGCCTTCCAATTGAAGATCGCTCATGTTTTGTCTTGCTAGGTTGAACTCAAATTCAAATACAAATTCCGCCTTATTTTGGACGAAACCTGGTCTTTCGGAGTTTTGGGTCGCAATGGTCGCGGTATCACAGAGTACCAGAATGTTGATGCCACTGAAATTGATATGATAGTCGGTTCTCTTGCTGGTCCTGTAATTGCGGGAGGCGGTTTCTGCGCAGGTTCCGAAGAGATTGTTCACCACCAGCGTATTTCCGCATCTGCATACACATTCTCTGCTGCTCTTCCTGCTCTGTTGTCGACTACCGCTAGTGAAACCATCAACTTGATGCAGACCAGCCCCGACCTCTTTGTTCAGCTTCGATCCAACATTAAGACTATGTGGTCACAGCTTGATCCGCGGAGTGACTGGATGTACTGTACAAGTGCTCCAGAAAATCCAATCATGATAATGGCAATCAAACCGGAGATTGTATCCTCGAGGAAATTGTCTTTTGAAGACCAGCAGTTTTTGCTGCAAGATATAGTTGATGAGGTATGCAATTTCCATTGGTTCCACGAATTCTGTCACGTACTGACCTGCATGTCAACAGGCTTTGGCAAACGGTGTGCTTATCACCCGCTTAAAAACCTTGCCTGATAGTGTGACGCCAAGTCAGCAAGTCCTCCCATCTCTTAAGATCTGCCTGACGACCGGCTTGACGAAGCGCGAAGTTGAAAAAGCAGGCACGATTATCCGACATGCGATCACGAAAGTACTAGGCAAAAAACGATAAGATTTATAATATCTTCTGCCTTGCTATAACTACGACTTCTCCTGCGTTGTATTCTTATAATATAATTTATATCCATGGCAACTGGACAGTTTCTTGCTCCTAATTGACGACTCTGTTATGTCTTCAGTCTCGTTTGGTTGTATTATCGAACGGACTTCCGAGTCCCTCAAAAGCCTGAATCGTCGTTTTCTTTCTCTTTGAACGAATCATGTTAACATTAATAGAGTACATATATTTTTAATTTGGTGATGCTTGAAAATGACAGGAACGAATTCTTGCAGGCAAACTCTTCTTCTAACCATATTGTCAATCCAATATAATAATGCATGAGTCGACCTCGGAAGAACGCATGGCTCTTCTGGATATGTTCCTTAACTAACTTTCCACTGAATAAATCCGGAATGAGTAGGTAACATTCCAAAGCACAGTAGACGAGGGTAAGATGGCGGAGTGGTCTGAGGTGTTTGTCCCGAATCTGACCAGGACCCTACTAGGAATAAGTGTTAGGGCGCTAGAGCGGCTCTTCGGATGCGTGTGGTTCGATGTCGCACAGAGTTTACTTATATCTTTCTTGCCAGGGCACTGTCGGTAGAGAATATAAAGGACCTTTTGAATGACTTTTAATTTGTAGCAGTGTGGCTCCTGGGATTGCACGCTTATATGCCACAGCCACGTACTTTGGAAATCCTGATTGGTCATGCAAAAGCCCATAGGAGTATACATACCTACCTGGGGTAGTCGCATTCCTAGACGTCGCTTATCGAATATGAGATTGAAGCCCAAGTATTTTTTGCAAATTTTCCTTCCTAGTGGATTGAACTTGGCATAGACTAGCCCTAGATCTCTTTGTGGAGGAATTCAGCATGTTGTTTACATGTTTCCTTTTTTGGACAAAAATGAAGACTATTGAAATTTGGAGATCTTGGATCAACTTGAGAGATCTTTTTTCCTATCATGTCATCATTCTCCTTCCTCATATTAGCATTTGGATATCCTTCTTGCTCTTGTCAGTGTAGAATTGTATATACTCCCCGAGCCCTAAAGCAGATGATAAGATAGTCTCCTCGATCATCACACCGAACTGATTCCAATTTATTTTCTCTTTGTATCGACAGAAGCTTCTCATACTTTTAGCTTATTCAAGTGAGAGATGAAGTACTGTATCCTGGGCATTGCTGCCCTGGCCTTGCTTCATTCTACGGACGGCCATGTACATAGTAAGTAAAGCCCCTGATAATCAGATTAGAAGAAGCACTAAAGAGACGTCAAGACCATCATCAACTATCGAAGCGAGTCTTATGGCAAGGACGAGCCGCACAACCGTGCCCGAAAGAAACCCTAACAAATACTGTTGTTGTCCAACTCGACCAAGCAGGACACACGGTAGATGTCCAAGTGCACTCCGCGAGACCATCGTCGACGGTGACTGTATCGGTGAGTATTTGACCAAAGCATGTCCTGCTTTCATTCATTGCGTTGGATTAATATTGACGTTGCCCCAACTTAGGATCACCATGCACCACCTTCTATCTCGTCAACAACGGCGATAGTACCCTCCTCTGCTTCCCGCACAATACTTCAATCAAACCGGCACATACTCCCTCGACCTTCAGCATTGAGTCATCTTCCTGACCTCCTGGATTCAAACTTCATCTTGGATGCCCCGAATGCTTTCCTGGGCCGCAGCAACTACGGAATTTCATACTCCCCCTACAAGGCCGACGGCACATGCAAGGACCAAGCAGAAGTCAGTAACGATATCCGTCAACTTCGACAATTCGCATACGTGCGGTTTTACGGAATAGATTGCAATCAAGCCCTGACAGTGACCAACGCCGCAAGGGAAAACGACATGATGGTCTTTGCGGGGTTATACGACATTGACGACATTGAAACCGATCTACAAAAGATCATTGATGCGGCGGGTGGTGACTGGTCAACCTTCCATACCGTCTCTATTGGGAATGAACTGGTCAACAGAGGCTCAAAATCCCCCGTGGAGGTTGTCGGAACCGTGAACTCTGCGCGCACTATACTTCGTCGAGCAGGGTATCAGGGGCCGGTGGTAACGGTTGATACCTTCACTCAGATGATTGCACACCCGGAACTGTGTGATGAATCTGATTATTGTGCTGCGAATTGTCATGCCTTCTTCGACTCTGCTCAGACACCTGAAAATGCTGGTCCGTACGTCCTTGAGCAGGCCCGCCATGTCGTTGAGGCCACGAAGGGAGGTAATAAGAAAGTGATAATTACGGAAACAGGTTGGCCATCTGCAGGAGAACCGAATGGTAAAGCCGTGCCCTCAAGACACAATCAGATGATTGCATTCCAGAGTTTGAGACATAGTTTCCCTGACGGCGGGATCGTGTTCTTCAGTGCTTTTGATGATAAATGGAAAGAGGATAATGCTTGGACGTTTGGGACGGAGACACATTGGGGTCTTTATGGGTTGGCTAAGACCGCTGGCGGATTTCCGAGTTTGATTGGTCCCTTGGAGGATGAGGTGTAAATATTTGATCTAGATAGTTATTATTAGCATTACGAAATAGTTCATAGATTTTGGACATTAAGCAATATATTGTAGTCTGTGTTTGTCTGATTCAGCACTGCTGCTAAAGTGTTGGTCATCCTATGGACTAAGTAGTTACATTGTAGCCACAAGTGATGAATGTGTTTCTGGTATTCAAGCTTCAAGACTCGTTTTCTCCATTGTCTGTTCGATGGCTACGGAGGAGTCGTGTACAGGATGGGAATCATCCGAGTCTGTTGGAGGAGCAAAGCTTCCGACAGAGGCAGGAGATGCAGACCGCTCATCATCAGCTCCAGACAACTCATGCGATAACTTTGCACCATGTTGCCAACGACGTGTCTTTGGTGGCGGGGGCTTGTGGTTCGATTTGATAGGTAAGGGAGGATAGGTGTTTTGATGGATGTGATGATAAGTGTGATGGTCAGATGTAGTCGCATTTGGTGATGCATGATGAGTTGATCTCCGCGGTGGAGGCACAGCCGGCGCTGGTCTCGACGTTGATCTTGATGTGGATGGAGGTTTCGGAAGAGGTAGTGTCCCTGATGGTGACTCGTGGCTGACCGTCAAGGTCGGGGCGTGATGTTCGCGTAAAACTGCAGATCTTCCGCGATTATCATCATGTTCCTCTGTGACATGATGGCCGCTGCGCCTTGACTTGGGAGGTGGTGGTTTGGATTTGACTTTGGCATCTGAGCCTGTCTTGGTAGTTATATCAGGTGCTATCACGGAAAAGGAAGTATTGGGTGATGGCGGTGCGAGTTCGGTAGGCGATGTAGTTGAATCAGAGCTTTGTGAGACCGGTGACTCGGCCAGGTCTGCGCCTTTCTCATGTGATACATCTGGGATAGGGACGCCTGTCACCTCTGCTTGCCCATCCTCTTCGGGTATGTCTGGTGTGTCACATAGTTCTGGCTCTGGATCGTGTAACCATTCCACTTGACTACACCGAGAGACAAGTCTTTTCGTTGTATCATCAGCTTCACCAAAATGCATAATCTTTTCATAGTCGTGCTCGTTTCCTTCAATTCTGCTGTGGACCAATATGCTCAGGGTCTTTCTTATTTCGTCGCGCTTATAATGAGGTGGGTCCTTGAGCTGCGTATGTGCTAAAAGGGGGTAAAGAACTCGTAGATATGTGTGTCGCAAAGCGACAGCTTCTGCCGGCAGATCCAGTAGATTTCGTATCAATATGTCAACGAGTACTCGCAGGTCATTTGTGTAAAAGTACTCATAGGTAGATGGAGTTGTGAAAATGAGGTAGAGTAATTTAAGTGTGAGCAATTGCAAAGATGTTTCGCCTAGAAAGGTTAGAATGATGCTGTCTTATGGCCAGAAGATCAAGATTTACCTTCTCGATTGAGTAGTAAGATGATGTTTTCACCAAATGTTTTGAAATTGTTTCCATCTACGGAAAGTATCTTCATCACTTTGTTTGTGAGTGGATTAGAGGGTGTCCCAGAGGCAGGATCGTGCGCAAGGACCATGAACTGCTCGTTCAATACCAGCTGCGTACAGAGTAAGCTTGAATGCCAATAAGCTGTATCAAGAGGAAGGACAAATGCGTACCAGAACGCGAATCACAGGATAGTGGTAAGGGTCATGGGCATCGTCAGATAAACCTTCAATGAGATCGAAGAGATACCTAATGAAGCTGTCCTCTACCAGTACTACACAGAATGTTAGTATTATGATTCCAAATCAAGTATACATCCCAAATGTCATTGATCCACGCACCCAAATCCTCTATCTTGATGCGTTGTATTCTGGACATCTCATAAAGAAGATCCATCAACATACGGTGAAGATCAGCACCGTCACCATCTTGAAGTTTGATGGAATGAACTAGTTTCAATAGCCTTGGAAAAGTGCCGACTTCGTTCATGAGCAGAAAGGTGCTATCATTCTGCCGCCCGTCAAAGAGTAGGAATGACACGATGAACTGTAGAATATCCGGCTCATCCTCCTATTTTCCGCAATCGCAAGGACCTTCATTAGCGCGACTTCACAAGCGTAGTATTGTGCCACTGTATAAGATGTTGCAAACGTACTTCTAATAAGCTGTATATTATCTGTCTTCGAATGTAATCGGCGTGTTGGGCGAAGAGGCTTGACGAAAAGAGTTTGTATGAGCAGCGAGAAATGTCATATTCGTTGACGAGGTATTCATCTAACCGCGGAAATTATTAGTCATTTGTTTCATTTCCATACGAGAAAAGAAAGCTTGTTGTCATTTCATTGAAATGGTAGATTGAACGTGTGATTGACATTCATTACCTTTAAACTGGGCGCTGAACCCCAGGTAGGCGCGAAGGGCATTGTCTATACGGGCATGCGAGTCACATTTCTCGGATAATATCTTCTCTAATTCTATCGAGGCGCATTAGCAAACTAAAGCAGTTGATAGGCAGGGTAAAGGGAAGACTCATGCAACTCACCAACCCAGAATTGTTGTTCATTCTCCAAGCTGTAGGAAACGTCTTCCAGCTCCATTTCCTGCATAAACACAAGTGCTTTCCACTTGAATGAACAGTCATCCCGTCGTGTGCCTATCAACGCAATTTGAGAATATCTGTAAGTAGCAGCACGAGTGACTTAGATTGAGGGGGAAGTTGAGTGTCTTACTCTGGAAGTACTTCATAGAATGCGGGTTTCACCGCCCGCCCTTATCAGAGTGATGCGTCATGTGAGAGAATAGGGCAGTATACACCAATAACAAGGAAAAACTTGGAACGTTAAGGCGATATTGCTTTCAGTGCTTTGGCGTAATATTTGGACAAATATGCACAGCTGCATGCCTCGTCGAAAGTCTCGACTTTTGTTTCGAGATTTTGAAAGAAAAGGACTATCCTCAGTAGGCACTTAGGTAAGATTTGAAATGATTACAGTAATGGGAATGATTTGAACTTTTTATTAGATTCATTGGTATGCTTAACAACTTTGACAGTTTCCATGCTCCTCAGGGTATATATATGTAGGCTGATTCAAAAGGCTTTGAGTGTACAATACACAAAAGCCAAGAAGTACGAAAGTCAGATAGAGACTCATCACAATTCGTATACGGTCTTGAGAAGCCAAAACAAAAAAGGAATAAAATATTGTTAGTAAAAGTTGCCGATTATGACACTGGTCGTTTGAAAGGATGCGCCTCGGTATTACTATTTGTATGCACGTTAGCCAACTGTACACAGACTCGGATGAAAGTAAAGAGCACTTACAGCACATATTCATCAAGACTAACGACGCTGGGATCGCTAAATAGGAGATAGAAATATTTCAAAGTCTCCGCTAACCAAAAAGACTCCATTTCGTCAAGGAGCTCAGGTGCTGTGCTGGTAACGTCGGAAATCGCAGAGTCTGCGAGTTCCGTTCGGCAATATCGTGCAATGGACTGAAACATTTTCCACCCTTTCTCTCTCCAACCCTCATCTCCTGTAAGTCTGTACATGATAAAGACAGATTCAATGGCTTCCGGACGAAGAATATACTTTCGAGATTGAATTTTCGTATAGCCCAGAGGGATATGATCAATCTCAAGTTTGTTAGCAACGTACTCTTTATGCGATAAAACTGTAGGTTTAGCAGGGACTCCATTATTTTGGACCTTGGTATCAAGGCGTGACTTCGCATTTTCCTGGCTTTCCACAGTCGTCTTCGTAGCAGAGAGGTGTGCATGTTCGTCGTAGTCATCAACGCCAGAATTGTTAGCTTCCCGCTTGGCAATACCGTTATAGGATTTTTCACCAGTGGTATCGCTCTTTTCTGATTCCGAGATCCGTACAGGAGCAACAATGTTTGGCTTTTTCTCGAGAGATACTTCTTGAGCTTGCTTTGCGTTTTGCAGCTCGCGCTCATACCAGGCCTCCGCTTGTTGGATGCGAGATTTCTCATTGGGGTCCATTACATCCAAGTACCTCGTCTCATTCCAGGTACATGCAAAAGGATCATCGCACGCAAGAAGTTCAAAGCCTTCCGGCATGATGCCCGTGTTGGTTGACCCGTAAGCCCATACACAGCCCTCAGTCAATTTGGCTGCAATATCCATATCGCCATCTATTCCGAACAATTTTGCTCCCACAGCAAACATGCCTCCAGCAAAGCAGGTGAGGTGCGTACCCTCGTAAGTATACCGAATGTTTAATTCTTCCTCATCCTCATGTCTAGGGTCGGAAACTTGCACGGTGGCCACCAACCGGATATCTTCCTGATTCGGGAGCATAGGCCGGAACAGAAGTTTCTCCCGCACTGGCTCCATTGAAACCTCATACATACTGCGATATTGGTCACTGAGACCGCCGAGAAGCATGTACTCCTTGGGTAGATACTCATAAGTCGAATCAGACTGTCCGCCCAAACCAAATCGATCCGATCTGGCACCGTGGGGTGATGCTAGGCCCTGCTTTTCACAGTCCTTATTCGGGAAAGATGTCAATTGGACGGTGGATGTTGCCTTAGTTTCCGGTTCATAGTCCGCAGGTTCAGCATCAATTTCCAGCCCAATTTCACGTTTCTCCAGATCTTTCGGGATAACGAAATCCCTTTGAAGTGGCTTCGGTGTAGGCGTTGGCGTTGGTGTCCCCAAACCTCTATCTTCATTGACCTTCAGGTCCGAGTTTTGACCAAGAGTTGAGAGAGTTGGAAGCTGTGGAGTGCGCATTTTGCACCCTGACGCATCAATCGCTAAAGGCCACATACCAGGGAGCCTCGTGTTATTTTGCATGACCTCAAGTTCATTGGTGATGCGTGCAACCGCATCATAATATTTAGCCTCCTGGGTCAACTGAGCCAAGCGGGTGAATTCTACAGACAAAGATCCCAGCTCAGCTAAAACGACTCGAGTACTGGCGCGGTGAGGCTGCTCTACGTATTCACTATGCAATTGTTAGAGATCACGGATAGAAAATAGTCGAAAAAGAATAACTCACGGAGCCCACTTGTAGTAGGTAACTGGCATTCTGTTCGGGGTGTCAAAGGCGCCCATCAAAATGTCGGCCAGCTCTACTGCCTTGTCTAAAAGTACCGAATACTTTTGACCGGAAATGTCGTACGCGCCAATAAGGCCACCCAAGTAACGGATCACCGTTTCAAAGAGAGGAATGTCGCTTCGAATAGCGCTCGTTGTGAAGTCAATTTTCTTGACTTGTTCTACAGCGTCGGCAAATTCTTCCTTCATTTCCATTATCCATAACGTGTCTAATGCGTCGACGAGTGTGGCGCCCCAACCTGCAAATGGATCTCGAAAGCTACCGCTCACAGGTCGAACTTCATCATGTCCCATTGCATATTCCGAGTATCCGCTCCACGCATGCTCGAACTCTTCCTTGATGGCTGCCAGCCGTTGCTTGCGTAGAATGGTTTGCGCAGAGGTCTCATCCTTGGTCGCAACCTGAAGCGTTGGTAGCTTCTTAGGCTGACCGGTGGGCAGGGTGATGAGATCGGCTTCACGGATGGGAAAATGCTCCGGGAGCTTCTTCCAATGTTTGGTGGGTATCGGTTCGATGATATCGCTTAGTTGATCGTTGAGGTGATAATCTGGTTTCTTAGGGGTTCCTTCGTAAGACTTGTCACCAGAGGATTTGAAAGTGGGCTCCTTCACAGACGGCGTATCAATTGACTTCGAGTCATCGGTGCCGGGACGAGTTGGAGGTTTCTGAATAGTCTCTGGTTTCGATTTTTGGCTATCTAGTAATTCTTTCTGTTTCGCAGGGTCTTGGTTAGATGGTTTCTTGGTATCCAAGGGCTTCTCTTTCGGGGCGGTAGGGACGTCAATGCGATGTTTCGAATCAAACTTGATCTCGGTTGCAGCATCATGGTCGTGGGGGGAGGCCAGATCGTGAGCGACAGGCGCAGGAGCTACTTTCGTATTTGCGGCTGGCTCCCTCCATTCATTAGACCATTCTCGCGATCTTATAAAATGTAGGAAAGCAAGACCAAAAATGACGCTGAAAATGACAAAGGTGCGGTATCTGCGACTTCGAAGCATGGCGAGAAGCTACCTAGCAGATCGCGCGGGAGTTATGGCAGAGGGGTATATAAAATTTTCAAGATAAAAAGGAGAGGAAGAAGATCCCAGTCTTCAAACAACAAGGAAAAATGATGCGCCAGTCATGCGTGGTATGAACTCGACAGGGGAAGCTTTGGTGTCTCAGGTCGCTCGGCGATGCCGCAGCTGGTCCGTTGGCCCTCGATAATGAAGGAATGACTGAATGAACGGTAAGAGTAAACTTGCACTCATGGGTCCTTAATACACGTGAAGTGCATGAAGTTCGTACCGAACTATGAGAGATGAGAAGTTGAATCACAGTCGAGTCGAGGGATAGAAGGGAAGGAAGAATGGGTGAACAGACAGAAAGTCCGGAGTAGGTGGAGACCGCCCAGAACTGAACGCTCACTACTTAAATGCCCAGGGCGCCACATCACACCCTTGACTGCTACAATAAAGAGTAGTTGGCGGGAGATTGCATTTGAGTGCTTATGCGGAGCTTTGAGTATGTAGTACGAGCCTGGTAAACGTAGACCTGATACTTTAGTGAACTACATACGGAGTACGTAGATCGATTAAGATAGTGCCGATCAAGTTAAGCCTAAGTAAAATCTCGAGCTGCTAGAATCGCTCATCGTTTTGCGGTTGTACAAGCAGGAAGCTTGTGCACGAGCTAAAGGATTCCGAATGATACTACGTACGTACAATGGCGCAACGACAATAACAACTTGTGCCATCGTGAAAAGGGAGCAAGAAGAAGTCTAGATCTGACTATCCCCCGCGTTTTCGTGGAGTCAGCCAATCGCTGGCCTCCCAGATCTTGGGACACGTGCCGCTTTTCTTCTACCTCGGAATCTGAAGTACGACTACGGTTTTGTTTATGCGATGCATGCCCTCTATCGTAGATTTGAATTTAGTTACCTAGTTGTAGGTGGTTAGTCAACAACTTCATATGTTCACAGCAGCTCCACCAGCTCTGCCTTCATTGTTTGCTTTCTGGAACTGTTGGATCAAACCAAGCACGCCGCCAGGGCCGTTGACGATCGCTTCCACTTCATCACCTTCTGCTACACTATCACTATCATCCGCGTCTCCTGCCAGGTTCATACGCCACGATCCTTCCAGGTTATTGTCACTAGTAGCAACAGCTCCTGTAGAATCGTCCCCAACCCGACCAGATTGTTGACCGACAGCATTCTTGGTGGATGCTTCGATATCAGATAGTTCTTTCACGTCATCCATGCCATCAACGGCACTGGGAGCTGCGCGTGACGGTCGGAACCGAGGTTGCGCACCCACTCTAGGTGCTGAGCGCAATGCTGACGCCGAAGGTTGGTGGTGCGGATCAAGAAGCATCGAATGAAATGGAGAATTATACCCAGCTGCCCCGCCGATGCGAGAACCGCGCAATGTGGAATGATACCCCTGAGGGCCTACCGTAGGCGAATGTCGGGGGGCCATCTGGTCCCAACGATCTGCCCGGGGAGTCGCATCGACCACCGGATGTGCAGATCCAAGAGCAGGGAAAGATGGAGGAGGATGAAATCTTCGCCGAGTACCAGGTGGCGGAGCAGCCTTGGGATTTGTTCCGTAACTGTCTAAGAAGCCATAATATGAAGCAAGCATCTTTCCATCCTTGGTGGAGAAGTAATCGTCTCGCAAGTCTCCTGGAGGCCCAGTGTGGTGAGGCGCGCGACCTTGAGGATTCGTCTGAGCATCTTTCTTGAAATCAAAGACGGCAAAGGAACACACGTAGCCCAGTCCATCTACATGAACTGTAAACTCACGGAAGAAGTCAATTAGGCGATCACTGCACTTCGGGAGGCTGAACCAGAGCACAAAGGGAGTAAAGATCATGCTAAGAATTTCTTCCAAGAAGATGACGATCTTCATCTGATAAAGCATTGCGAACTCTTGTCTGACCTCGTCGCTGTGCAATCGCCCCGCCCAGTGATTTGGACGATAATGTGTGAAATTTGTCACCTCGAGAAGTGCATATTCGGGGTCGAACACAAGCGTTTCCTCTGGAACTAGCCCGCGAGCGATAGCCCACACACTACCGAAGAGTCCTAGGTAGAAAAGCACAGTACGATCTTGAGTGACCTCAAATCCCAGAAAGAGCTCTGGGTCCAAAAGTGATGCCAACGCCAGGACTGAAGCAAGTGCTCCTGCGATGAACGCCACAAAGCGTGAAATCTGCACTGTCTTGTCTTTGGGAAACTGATCGATGTAGCGACTAGCGAAGGGATAAGACATGTTTATGCGACGTTGGAAAAGATGCCAGAGCTCGTTGAATTCGCGAAATTTCCATTCCGCGAGGGGGGTATATTGACGGGAGCCAATCTGAGATGGGTTCTTTTGGTATTCGTTGAAATATCGGAAGAAGTAATGCATCATAAAATAAACAACGATAAAAGGGGCAACGAAAATGTTCATGACTCCGGCGAAGATAAACCGTCTTCGCAGCCCTTCGCTCAAAGCTCGTCGGTGCGTATCCCTTAAGAATAGCGGTCTAACCTGGCCCTGCTCATTGAAAACATAATCGAGAATGCACAAATGCAAATTCCACTCTAATGTGCGCGAAAACAACTGTCGGTTTCGCAGGAAAGGTACGGGCAATGTGAGGTCGAGTATATCTTTGTTGAATAGAGCGATCAAGTAGTTCTCTTTCCGCATCAGCCTGTTGGCAATGTCGTGTGCGTCCATTCGTTGTTTAGACTGGCTGCCCATGAACCTACGATGTCTTGCAGAGATGGCAGCAGCAGTAGCTGGATTGGAGTCTCGCAGAGTCATTAAACGACTCACGACTTGTTGCCACGATATTGTTTGTATTTCTGGGTCGGAAATATCCAATAGATAGTGGTAAAAATCATGCATATGGCGCAGTCTTCGGATATCAAGTATATATTGGGCAAGTTTACCGATCCAAAAGAAGGTAAAGAGCCATAGCAGGAGAGTGGTTGATGTTGAAATCTTGGTCATACATTTCGGCACAAGAACGTTGTGCAGGGAGGTACTGCCGCGAATCAAACTATAGTTCACGCAACTCGACAGAAAAGTCGTAAAGCCTACCACAAAGCCGAGAGTTCTGGAACGGTCAGTACGACTCACGCAGTAACATGGATATATCATAGGTCTAGGAATTCTCACAATAAGTTGAGCGCCCGGCTCATCAGTATACTCCAAATGCCATTTCCCAGGTAATAGATGTATACATCTTTCAGGAAGTTATCGAGATTCTCGACATTCGCCCACCTCCACATTGCCTTGTCCTTGGGGCTCGCAGATGCTAAGCCAGACAAACCGCCTGGTCTTTTTGTTTGCTGGACGATCGGGGTGGGCAAAAATTGATGACCTTTTCTTCGGTTCCGTGGTGATTCCCAGCGCTTTCGGGATCTGGTCGACGACGGGCCGACTCCTGGGGAAACGTCGTCGCGGTAGTCCAATCCATGTGAGGGAGGTGCGGGCGGCTGCGGCATATCTTCGAGGTCGTGTCCCTCTATCAACAGGGATGCAGGGACGTCGTCATCGTCGCCCTCGTCAGCTTCGGCTACACGGGGTGATAAGTGTTGTAACCACCGAGGTCGACCAGATCTAGTTCCATTTCCTCCTGCCTTTGGTGAATGAGTATCTGATAGCTTTCGAGGCCGCCGCCCTTGTCCCAGAAATGCAGTGCTCTGTGTAGTTATTTGACTGTTACCGGCGTCGTCAGGATCGTAGTGATGCAGAGACTCCTGAAGGTTCTCCTCGTCCAGAGCCATCGCAGCACGCTCCTCGATATCGGAGTTCCCAGAGGCTTCGTCGTCTTGCCTAATAGTTTCGTAAATGGAGGGTAAGCCCGTAGGAGGCAGCACCCGCGATAAAATATTCGAATTCATCATGGTGGTCGTGTTCTGTCACTTCATGACTGCGCGGCGCATAGTCTAGATAGATCTAGACAAAGTCGCAGCCAAACAACAAAGCGATAGACAGGTGACGGCATAGATCATGGACCTGACTTTGCCTTGTATATGTGACCAAGGGTTTGGAGTCCTTGTGATGCATTCTCAATATTCGTCGAAGCTTCAATTGCGGGAGGAGCGCATGACGCAGGCGGAGCTTGGCATCGACCAAACACACGTGATTTTGTTCCACCATATCTCTTGCTTTTTTCTTTTTCTATAACGAAACAATCAAAAAACTGACTAGTAACTACGGTAGGTATGTCTATATGGTTATACACTGGCCATAAACCATCTTCCCGGAGGCCATTACTGCTCGGGATCTACAAAACAGATACCCATGGCTACTTTCCAGTTCTTCATGGGCATTACTATGTTTGTCCTGAATCAGACCGCCGTTCTTTTCATTGTTTAAGCTTCATCACTCACTTCCTAATCAGGTCCTCCTTGATAAGCTGAGACCCCTTGCTGTGCGGGTCTCATTGGCCAGGCAAATGTCGGACAGCCGTTCACCGGGTTCACTGGAGATTGTGGATTATGATATGTATCCCCCCCAGGTCAATATTGGCCGAGTATTAAGGTGACTATGGCCTTAGGCTATCGGCTTGTAGTCTGCTAGGTTTGGTAGTGACGGCAGGATTTCTTGTCGCATTCAAGGACTTTATGGCCCGATACTGTTTGGTCGTGGTAGTTTTCAGTGATAGCGTTGGCGTCTTGAAATTGGAGGAGGCCGTTAGTAATCGACTTGTGATAGACATGTTTGCCATCAACGCCATCAATCTCTGCCGGACCGGTAGGCACAGCCCTGAGGTATAATTGACGGAATATTGCAATAGTGGTTTGCTGTTATTATTATTGGTAGTAAAGGGAGAAGACAAAGTAGCCATGAAGATCGAGAGTAAAAGACGGACTCCACAGCTGGCGAGTCGCGGCTTCACTAGTCAAAAAACATTGTAGTTACTCTGGCCACTCAGCGTCTATCATTGACCACCAACGGCCAACTACCGCACCGAAACCTCGCTCTGAATTAACATCTCTCCCATCAACTGTCGAATTGACCTCCCTCGCGATCCTCGATTCTCTAGGTAAGTGCTTTGTCTCTGCCTGTATTATTCTATTTCTCTTTCATCATCCTCATCCTGCAAGACCGCACTCTCCCTGCTATTCATCGTGACGCACGGAATTGCGCTCTCTTGAGGACCCCCTCCCCCCGCGCAAACGAGTGTCTTCCCATCCCCAACCCAGGAGGTGTCTATCAAGTATTCTGCTTGAATTGTGTTATTGTTATTCTGTTTTGTCATCTCTATATATCTGATTCCTTCATTCAGCATCAATCTTCGCAAGTTACAATCTGATTGTGGTGTGGAAGGACAGACGCTGATCTAGTCGTACCATAAGCGCGAATCGCAAGAACCCAGTCGGTTCACCAAACAAACCCCTCGTTACGTATCCTCTTAACGGTTTCGCAAACGCTGCAGGGGTTTTTGTCGGAGCTATTGAGCGACTGCGCGCATACCAAGCTTTTTTCGACCAATGTGTCGCATTTCGCTCCATGCGTCCCGGTAACCAGCCGTCGTTGATCAATACCCTGCCACTTACGGGGGACGGTGAGCAGCATATACTTGCTATCTACCGGAGAACCGGTACTACCGACGAGTTTATAGGGCGCAATTCTAGGTGACAGACCCGGGAGGATGGAGCAAGAGCGCTCCAATGGATACAGGCGGAACTCGCTTCAACATGGTAGTATTCATAGGCGGCCTGTTGAGCGACGAGCGAGTAAGAAATCGTCTTCAAAAGATCGCCATGGGATAGTATATCCGGAAAGTTTTCAGCAGGGCACTATAAGGACGGTTACGCCGGATTCTATATCCGACGTTGGTAATCAATCTTCTCTCTCCGAGTCCGACCATCTTTCTACAAATCCTGCTGTTTCTCCGCGTTCCACGGCCAGATCAAAGAACACAGAATGGGAACGCCGTCGTGAGTTTAGTCCCTACCATTCTGCGGCCGATGACGACGATCTGTCAAGTGAAAGCAGAAGTCAGCGTGCTCGATCACGGACAACGACTCTGGAGGACCAGCGAAGCGAAATATCACCCAACTTCTTGTCGAGGGCGAGAAATAGGCTTGGCTCAATAAACACGGCAGTACCTTCGTCCGACACAAAAGAATCCGAGGAATCCGTGAGCTCCATAGGCTACCCCTCGGTTGTTCAGTCCCCAACGGCGGGCGTACCCAACAGTCAACAACGTCGGCCCAAAGCACCCTCTGCTGGCCCTGCACTGATCACGGGCGTTTCCAGAAATCCTGCTGCATTTGTATCTCCATTATCCAATGCTGATTCTGCCAAGATTCTCCAGCTGATGAAGACAACGTGCGGGCGAATGCATGGTATACTATCTTTTCGAACCGCTACGAATACGCAATGGACCTCTGGTTATTGTGCCATCAATGTGGCTACTGGCAGCCTAATATACCAAGCTAAAGGTGAAGTTGCCATGGCAAAAACGTTGATTCCGGACCTGCGGGGTTGTCACGTTCGGACCATGTTTGACACTGAGCTTCAGTCAACGTACCTCAGCGTTTCGACATTCTCGTCAGGCCTGGGAATTCAGCTCAAGCCTCATGTTAATGAAACATTTGATTCCTGGCTGGCGGCGTTGTTATGCTGGCAGCCTATACGTCCGAAAGGTGTGCAGAATAAGAGAACGAAACCTCAATCAGTAGCAATTGTCGACCGTCGGATTGCTGATCGGAGGCGGAACTCTGAGAGTACGGTGCAGAAGGAAGCTGCTATTATAAAGGTCGGTAAAATGCTTCTCTGGGAGAAGCCCAGTCCATCTGGGGCACGTCCAGAATCTGGATGGCGGTCATCCACGCAGCATAGAAATCAAAGAACGCATTCCTCGGCATGGCAAAGGGTGAGCTGCACTTTGCAGGAAAATGGCTACTTCAAGCTGTTTACAGAGGCAGACGTATCGTTATTAGCTGTCATTCATCTCTCGCAACTGTCGCGATGTGCCATTCAGCAGTTAGAGCCTTCCGTCTTAGGTGATGATTATTGCATTGCAATCTACCCTCAATATGCTGCACTGTCGGTATCAGAAACTGCATCTCGGCCTGTTTTTCTGTCTTTGGAGAGCCGCGTGCTGTTTGAGGTTTGGTTCGTACTCCTACGGGCGTTCACAATACCTGAATTGTACGGACCTGAAGCCGCTGCTGGCGAAGACTCTAGTCGATCGCAGACATTGATCAATCCTTCCGCCGCATCAACGACCGATATGTTTCGAATAGAGAGAATGCTATCGCTGCGCATTACCGAAGCAAAATTGTCAGGCAACAGGAATAGAAAAGAAGAGTCACCTAAAAGCAAGAAGCCTTTTGATCCTACCGAAAAGAGCTTTGTTAGTGACTACTATGCCGAAGTTCTTCTGGATGGTGAGATACGGGCCAAAACGGCAGTGAAGCAGAGAACATCCAACCCATTTTGGAGGGAGGAGTTTTCTTTCCCTGACCTTCCTCCAATTCTCTCTAATGCGTCGATTCTTCTGAAGACATTGAACCCTGCGCAAAAGGATTGGACGCTTATTGCGCATGGTCCTTATAGTCTTGATTCTCAGGCTAACCCCTTGAGTGTTTTGGATGACCTCGAGTTATCATCGCATGATGCAACTTCCGGACGAGTCGATTTACGCCTGGACGAACTTGAAGCAGGCGTCGATCACGAGAAATGGTGGCCGATTATCGATGACAGGGACCAGGTCATGGGAGAAATGTATATGAAGGTTCGCTTGGAGGAGATGATTGTCCTAATGTCCCACGAATACGAGCTCATGTCCGAATTACTTCACACGTTTCCCAACAACCTCACCATCAATATGATCCAACTCGTTCCTACAGAGCTTACCCGCATGTCTGAAATTCTCCTCAACATTTTTCAGGTGTCAGGGCAAGCTGCAGAGTGGATTTCGGCTCTCGTAGAAGATGAGATTGATGGTTTCGACAGAGACACTACCTCAACTGCCCACAACCGATTCCGTTACACGACAAGAATACACTCTAATGACTCGAAAGAATCAGGACAGGACCGTGAGGTTATAGTGCGAGACCTGGGTCGCTCTGCGACAGTCGAAGCCAACTTGCTTTTCCGGGGTAATTCTTTGCTGACGAAGGCACTTGATATGCATATGAGGCGCTTGGGAAAAGACTATTTGGAAGAAACGATCGGAGAACGTATCCGTGACCTCGACGAGAGTGACCCCGACTGCGAAGTAGACCCGCTCAAACTCCGATATAACCGACCAGAAGAGTTGGATCGCAATTGGAGGAATCTTATCGGACTCACCAGTCTTTTTTGGAAATCGATTTCAGCTTCCGCTTCCAGATGTCCAGCAGAACTTCGACGTATTTTCCGGCATGTGAGAGCTTGTGCGGAGGATCGCTATGGTGATTTCTTACGCTCAGTAACCTATAGCAGTGTTTCGGGATTTCTCTTTCTCCGGTTTTTCTGCCCTGCAATTTTGAATCCCAAGTTGTTCGGTCTAATGAAAGGTAAGTTCCTATTTGGCTATAGTCTAACGTGCATGAACTGACGGCTAAATAGATCATCCACGACCTCGTGCTCAACGTACCTTAACCCTTATTGCGAAGGCCCTTCAAGGCCTAGCGAACATGACAACTTTTGGTAGCAAGGAACCGTGGATGGAGCCCATGAATAAATTCTTACTTTCGAACCGCTCTGCTTTCAAGGAGTTTGTTGATTCTATCTGCGCAATTCCAGCAGAGAGACCAGCAGCGATAGTCACCCCACAATATGCCACACCCATTCAGATACTGGGGCGATTACCACCGACGTCCCGTGAAGGCTTCCCAAGCCTTCCGTTTCTCATCGACCACGCTAGAAGCTTTGCAGCACTGACTAAGTTATGGTTGGCAAAAGCGCCGGACAAGTTGAACGAACTGGAGGAGATTGATCCGAGCGTAGCGAAGTTTCATTCGCTAGCTTTAGAAATCCAGCGAAGAACCAAAGAATGTTTCAGCAAAGCCGAATCTGCTGAACGCCCGAGTGGAAATCTCGAGATGAAATGGGAGGAGTTGGTGGAATCAATGGATCGGTCTATAACCTTCTTCGACGAAGCTTCCAAACCGGTTACACCTGCTGCGGAGACTCCACTCACGGCTCCGGCAGTCGTCTCGAGCCATCGTAACTCTATTGGATATTTTGCGCCGAAACCTTCGCTTCCTCGTCGGTCAACTGACACAACTGCGGACGGTGATGAAGATACACCGCCGAGTTCTTCCTCTGCAACTTGGGAACAATACCGTCTCCCGTTCGCGGTAGGCCGGTCTTCAGATCATCGCGAAAGTGTCACTAGTTCCAGAAACTCTTCACAATATTCGTTGGAGAATCCCGAGAGCTCCAAGAGCCGGCAGTCAACGATAGGAAAAGAAGCATCCAGCAAGCTCCGGCTTTTCGACTTTGTTCCTGGAGGAACGTCGCGACGCAAGAACAAAGATTCGTCAAACAACAGTACATTATAACATAAGATCGAGTCAGACATCATTACATCGGAAACTCATATGAAACGTGCAACGAAGTTAGACTATTCGCAAATTCTCAATATGTAAGTGGGCTTTGTTGGCTCCCCCTTTGAAACTCCAGGCCTAATTCACTTTTACTAGATATGGCTATATATCAATTTGTCATTTTAGCATTTACATCGCTTTTGTTCGATGCGCGAGAGCCATTATTATTACGCTATCTACACGATATTAATGCATTTCTTCTCATTGATATGTACTCTTTTCCTACAAGCATCTGTTGAATTTGGTGTTGGATACCCTTTCCCCATCTAGCTTTTCTTATTTTTATTCTTCTTGCTCCTATCCAAAACTCTTGGACCTACAAGCATTTTGCTCTTTTGATGCTCCACTCTGTTCCTTTTTGAAACTCGCTTCACCGAATGTTTATCATGCTAGAGACATTTTGTTCTTCTATCTTTTGGAATTGGCTATCTGGCTTTACATCAAGAACGGTTTATTGCACTTATATCCAAAAGACATAGGGGTTGTTGTCTTGCGGGCTAAGAACATAGGTTAGGTTAATCTTTACAATTATACAAGAAATCTGCTCACGCAATAAAATCAGGGCTTTGTAGAACTTGAATGTACCACCTTCTTTCTTGTCTATATATTACATATTCTGCAAGTAAAACGAATCATTTAATCTACATCCACAAGCAGATTTTTCCACTCGCAGTCCCACCAGCGACCCAATTCTTGCTCCTGTGAAAAACTGCCACCGCAGGAACAGCGGTGATATCCTCGCCACCTAGTTGAGCCAACTGGTCACCATTCGAGGTATATATGTCAACGAAACGATTCATATTGGCAATGCAGAAACGTTGTATTGCCGATTGCGGATTTTGTTGCCAGTGTGGCCGAAGACTATAAAATTTAGGTGTCAGTAAAACTAGTGTAGAAGAGAGAGGAATGTATTTGTGAGAGAGAGAAAAACAGAACGTACATAGTAACCCAACGACCTGTTTGGCAATTGTGCCGTACTACCGTATCGGGTTTCATTCCTTTCTCGTCAAGTTTATGGCCCGGTTCCCATGATGCGATTCCCTTTTTGCCGAAATCGTACAGCTTGATAGAATCATCGTATGAGGAGGTGGCGATTTGACCGACACTATTGAACGCTGCGTGCGATACTGATAGTCTACTCTCGTGTTCGCCAATTGGCTCTGGATTTGAATGGGATAATTTCCTTATATCCCATAATCGCATTGTACGATCCAGGCTCGCAGTCGCAAAGAAATGTGGGTGTGATGGAAGCAAAGAGAAGCCGCCTATCTTCTTCTCGGAAAGCTGCCATTCTCGCACAGAAGAGGGTTTATTGGGGGAGCGAAGGTCATAGCGACTGAAGAGACCGCTAAGAGTTGTCCAGTACAGACAGTTGGGATCATCTAATGCCATGTCAATGCTCGATACAGGTTCATCGGTGGATCTTGATGCCGGTGCCCATTTTTCTTCAGACGTCATCTTCTCCAGATCCAGTTCCCGGATTGAACTATCATAGCTTGCGGTATACAGACGTGTCAGCTTTTGCGGTTGTATGACCATTGAGCTGATCGTGCGAGTATGCAGCTTGAGAGTCGTGATTGCCGGGTCAGGGTCATCATCTTCTTCGTCGTCTTCGATCTTGGGTCGTTTTTGCGACGCGTCGAATACGCCCAAATGGCCCATTTTGTCGCCCACGAATATAAGGGGTTTCGCTTCGGAAGGGTGGAATGCCATTGTGTATATTCGTTCAGGCGTGATTTTGATGCCTGTAGAACATCTCATTAGCAACCTTCCAATATATTCTTGAGCGCATATACGTACGACCTGGCGTCCACTGGTCCCACAGCTGCAATGAGCTCATCTCCTCTCTCAATGCTTTGAGATCCTCATCTTTCGTGTTTTTGACATCTTCATCCGCAAATGTCCGTTCATAGGGCTTCGCGACACCCTTAGTAACCACATCAATCCCAATGAGAGCATCGCCGGCCAATTTCTGTCCAGAGACGAGCATATTATCAAGAGTAAAGAAATCGGATTTGCGTAATCTTTTCTCTCGTTCAGCCTTTTGTGCTTGTTCGAATGCTTCATCTGCTTTTCGTTTTGCGACTTCGCTATCTGCCTGGATGCCTCGTAGGCGAGATGACATACGCCGCACAATTGGGGCTTCATCTTCCTTTTTCACGCGAGGTGCGGGTTTCTTTTTCGATCGCGATGTGGTATCTTTGCCGCTAGGTTTGAGCGATGCTTTTGCGAATAGGCCGGATGACTGCGCCTCTAAAGTGAGTTTCTTGAGAAGGGCATCGCGTTCGGCGATGTTGGCGAGACGCTGTTTCTCGAATTCGGAGAGTTCTTCTACCTGTGGACGCGGCATGATGGATACTGCATGCTAGAGTGGATCGAAAGGCTGGGTTCTTGATATCTTGATAGGGAAAGTATGTTTCATCCGAATGATACTACTCTTCTACTCCTCAGTGCAGCCGGGATCAGACAAAAGGAAATCTTGGACGCGTAAAGTGGAACGGGAGAGGCGCGCTTGCACGTGACCACTTAAGTAAAAGCATCACATTTCAAGGCCTAACATCTGATACTCTGAATATCGTATGGTACATAAGTGAATTATACGTTGTATCGGTACAGCAAAATGCATGCAAATTTTAGATCTTCAGCCCCCAGCTTCGCCCTAGACTAACAGCTGTTCCAGCCATGAATCCCATGTATGACTTCACATCACTGACTTTCTGTCCAATGGCTTGGCTATCTTGAAATCGTCGTTCAACAAACTTCTCCGTGGATATGAATCCATGACTGGAGTCTCGAGTCATGACAACTTCTGCGCTCGCATAGACTGCTGATAATGCCAAACGTTTCGAGTACCATGAGCTGTCCACAGAAATATCGTCTGCGAGGTATAGTATATCGGATGAAAGTGAGTGTAATTCGGAAAGAGAAAGAGGAATATTCGTGGGGAACGACATGAGCGCAAGTGCCTGTAGATATGACAAAGTTGTTAGAATGGCCTGCATCATCTATTACCAGAGAAGCACATTTGAACTTACGTCCTGCCAGCGATGAACGATCGGGCTGTTCATTCTTAATCGCTCAATAACGAGAGCCTTGATCTTCTCATCAATGCTCATCTGTTTTCCATCAAACAATCCGTTCTGTACCTTTGCCCGTAGTAATCCGCGTCTGCTTGCCAGCCAGTAGAGGACGAGATCCATCTCTTGCCTCGTGAATAGTTGTATGGAGACGTCGAGAAACCCCATGTCCCGGGCACCCTTAATCAAAGCTTCCTTGGTGAAGCCATGCTCTGGGATATGTTCTAGGGCAGCGGAGAGGATCGTGCATTGAGAATTGGTATATTCATCGGTAGGGAGAGGCGCATGGAAACGCGAGTGGTAAGATCTGGCTGAAGAAGGTAGCGATACACTTGGTCGGGTGCTGAATCGATAGCACCCGCTTTGTCGTGTAGTTTGGTACTGTCGTGTGCCCATAAATCTGCTTGATGATCGAGTAGCCATGGACATCCACGAGTTTGGTGTAGCAATGATCATTTTGGCACCCGGCCGGCAACCGCATATAGTGGCCATTTGTGACACTTCTCCTGTCGAATGGATTCAATTAATACAAGAAAGTTTCAGTTCTTTAAAAGAAATTGTTTCGTGGTGAAGCTTGAAGGGTTGAATCAATTGATGGGTTGAGCAGGTCAGGAAGAAAGATGAGAGAGGTTACTCTCCAGTGTTGTCATTGGAGCCGGCAGTCTGTGGATCCAGCTCTTGGCTTCAAGCCCGTAGAATATCAGACCACTGAGCGGAGAAATTCAAGACAAGCGCATTCTGGGTCTTAGTTAACAGTATATTAATATATTATGTATAACATAACATATGTACAATGTCTGGCTCAAGTCTATAAATTCACCTGTCTTGGCATATGGGGCATGTATCTTCGAGCCGAGTGTCTTTCTACTCCCCAGAGGGTGTGAACATGTCCATTGTCGATAGCATGGATTTACTGGTGTACATCTACCCTCAACGAGGTGAAAGGTTAAGTGGGGTATGTCAAGCAATAACCTGATATGTGGTCTATCAGAATACAAGAGAATGTACGTATGCAAATGCACATTCGTGTAAGACCGTTCCATGTCGGGAAAGATGAGGACACGCTATAATGAAGGATGTGGCCAAAGTACCAACTGGAAAATTTCCATTCTGTCTGAATGAGTCATGTCAACTCGCCGGTGTGACGTTTGGTAGGTCGACAGTACATGCACGCGGTGCAGATGCATTAGGGAATGCATAGTAAGTAGGGTAGCTATTGGATAAATCATGGGCAGTGCAGTACACTTAGTCTCGGTGACTTGCCGCCAGAAGGATAGTATGTGGCCGGGAATCGTGCCGGGCCTAACGACATGGTAATAAGACGCCAGTAGGAGGTCGTTTACAGTGCGTAGAGACGTTGAGGCAGGCTGGGCATAAGTCCTCAGCGGAATTTTGTGTCGATCTCATTGGCGAAAACGGTGTTGCAATCAGCATCGAAGATGCTGTAGATCAATACTCTGAAAGGCTCAAACGACTTGTGTCCGCTGCAAAAGTTCCATGAAAGCTGCATAGTCGTCAAATCTTACTGTTACCTGGCGCAGCTAAAGCGGGACTATATGAAACGACCTGTCATGGAACTGGTCCCCCTTCCTCTTCCCAGGTATTGCGATTCAGATTCCAAGTAAGTGTAGCATATCCCTAAGGAAGTTGTACGGGGTATGCTTGTATTGATCTTGGTGGATGATAATGCGCAGCCCGATAGGTGCAGCTAGAACACCAAATAAGAAGGACGCGCCGTCCGAGGCTTGTTTGCGAATGGCTCTTTCGTGTCAGAACATCGCGCATTTGCAGTGCATTCGGTGGCCTCTTTTGCTAGGTTGATTCTTCTCCCTCGGCAGCCTCGAAGCAGTGGTGACCCCGGCATTCCAGGCCACCAAAGACAGTCACTACACTGCAGGTATCATCGCCGCTGCTCATCCATTGTTGTCATAAAAAGAGATAAGACAGTGCAGAAAAGAAAAAAAAGGTAAAAAATGGTCTTCTCAGGTATTGGCTGTCAGCATCCATGTATAGTTATGGTGAATGGCTCATCGTTGAAAATAGACGCCAACAGGCGTCGGCGCACCCATTCAGAAGGATGTCAAGCTGTATTTATCCATTGATCACTGCGTCCCGTTGTTCCAGCATCTGCTTATAGAAAAATACTCAGAGAGAACTTGGAACGCGTGACGCACAAACAAAGCATTGTACCGACTGATTATGTAATCACAAACATCATCGGAGCCTGAGGATCCAGGAATCAACATCTCTGCCCGCCAAGACGGGCACCTTCCCGCGATGATTTTATTCCATCGTGAGGTCTCTTTCTCTCTCAGTCAATTACTCATCGGCTATCTCTTTTCTCGACACGCAATTCATCGGCGGAAAAGAGAACGAAAATTGCTTGCGACAAGGCTTGCTTTAGGTCAGTGGATAATCTCTCATCAATTCGTGTGCTCTTCGACTTGCCGTGGCCTCTCGGACGTCGCAGCGAGGTGAAACAGAACTACTGCTGCGTACAACGCGTCAATCCATACGCGCTGCTCTGAAAGGCTGTGTCCGGATAAATTAATCCTATTTTCTTTTTCGTATGGCCTGATATCTCAGTCCATACAAGGCCCCTCCTTTTGCTTCCACACCCCCCTTCTAACACCAATGGGCCGAACTTGCAGCAGCTAATAAAAAGACTCAGCGGCTGCCAAGGGCTCCTGGTACACGCTCACCACCGCTGGTTGTGATTGATTTACTCTTCCATTCCACCCTCTTACCATTCTTCGTTCCTTGTGCTCAACATATGCAATCTATCTCTCGTCTGTCTGTTCCGCTCTGGCCCGAGTAGGGCCGCGTTCCCACTGTCGTGCTGCGTGCCATGTCCAAGTGCCCGTCAACTAACAGCTTTCAGCACCTGTCAAAATTTGGTCTGACTCCAGGTCTTACACTCTATTCGCCTGAGATCCCTGTCCAGAGGGACCGTTCCTTGACGTCTAGGACGTACAAGCGCTCCGTCGGCTTCGCTCTTCGCCCACTCAAGTGTCTCCCTCATCACCCTTCCCCGTGCAGTGCAGCCTCGCAGCCTTCCTGCGCTTTCCCACCTTACCTTTTACAATTTCAACTCGAACGGAGGGGAGCGCCGCCAATTATTGCTTTCATTAATCATGGGTAGGCTAGAAATTGATTATCGACTTACTTTCGCACTGCATTATTTCTGCCCTCCTGCCTGATCAACATCTTCCACTATTCTATTTCGCGCGGCACGATTTTCGAGAGATTTGCGATAATCTCTGTGTTATTGTTGATTTTGATTTCCTCCCATCGTCCAACGCAACTCCTGGTGCAGGTAACACCGTTCCCAAGCTCACCCAAGTGATCGCTGACCATTCCCCTCTCTCTTCCCCTCCCTTCCCTCAATGTAGCCGGCTGGTCTAGCCCACCTCCAACCTGTCTTGGCTTCAGTACATGCAACTGGAAAATCGCCAACAAGGTGATTATCTCAGCATCGGCTGTCGGTGCCTGGCGAGTGATGATCATTTGCAAACTTATTCATCGTTTAATTCATTAGTTCTCCATACTATCATCTTCTACTCCTATCTTTCAATCGTCTCTTGTCTTGCGCAACATTGATACTTGGCAAATTGTGTGTACTAACGCTGCAATTTAACAGCTGACGTATACCGCCCGAATCAAGTGAGTGATTTGCGATTTCTTATATTTCTCATTACGTTTCTACCGCATATTCCCAAGCTATCTGAGCGTAGCCTATTCATGGGCATGTCTCGCAAGTGAACCCCATGATCTATGCCATGGTTTGTGAGGCTCTTTTCAGGACTGGCGAACTCAGGCCCCATACCGACTTGTTGCTCTGATCGTATCGCGGACCACATTTCCCGTTTCTTGATGCAGAATCTCTCCCTAGCTGTACTCTCACCTAAAAGCTGCGACTCGAATCGCACTGACCGTACATAGCGCGACAGATCTCGTTCTCCTCGTGGTGACCGTGGTCGTCGTTCTCGAAGTCCCCGTCGGTCTCGTCGTTCATACTCTCGCAGTCGCTCTCTCAGCCGTGAAGATTATCATCGCAGCGAGCGAAGAGATAGATCTCCCATGAGTGGTGTCGGTGGAGCTTCTGGAGGACACTCGGGATCTGCGTACGGTGGACGAGGAGGCCCACCATCCGGAAGATCGTTCGAGGATCGTTCAGCGGCACGAGAACATATGATGCAGTCTGTTCGAGACTCTTCTCAGCAAGACCGCCGAGTCTATGTTGGCAATTTATCGTATGATGTGAAATGGCATCATTTGAAAGACTTTATGCGACAGGGTAAGTGCTATAACCCACTACATGCACTGTCTGGCAAGGCTAACCAACTACTATGATTTATATGATCTACAGCTGGAGAAGTTCTCTTTGCCGATGTTTTGTTACTTCCGAATGGAATGTCCAAGGTGGGCGCCAATGCGTAGATATGGCTGGTTCTTTTCTGGTTTTCTTTTTGGTTACTTTGATGGACTGTTGGGTTGACGGGTTGGGACACGGCTGTCCGGTATTTGTAGGGCTGCGGGTAAGTCATTGAGTATACTGCACTCCTTTGAGTACTAGGATGTGTCGCTAACTCGAGATTATAGGATTGTGGAATATGCGACGAGGGAGCAAGCTCAGCATGCAGTGAATACGCTCAGCAACCAGAACCTCATGGGTCGCCTAGTTTACGTTCGAGAGGTGATTATACCACCATAATGTGATATTGAGGGTCTTCGAAGCTAATCCTGAACCCAAATTGTAGGACCGCGAAGCCGAACCTCGTTTTGCTGGACAACAGAGAGACTCGGGCCCCAGTAGAGGCGGCCCCGGAGGCGGTGGCGGAGCTGCAGGTCGACAGATTTATATCAGCAATGTTTGTTCATTCCCCTTCCCATAAGACTTTTGGTCTCCGTCTTTTCATCAGTGATTGGGGGGGTTTTTTTGACATAATACGTCTGTTTTCAGCTTCCTTTCAACGTTGGTTGGCAAGACTTGAAGGACCTCTTCCGTCAAGCTGGTAAGTGCGAGATATTTGATTTTTCCTCCGTAGGATATTCCTCGGAATCAAGTCGGAATTAACCAGAATGGTTCTCGCAGCTCAACAAGGCGCTGTCATTCGAGCCGATGTCCTAAGTGACCCAAGCGGACGCCCCAAGGGCTCGGGTATCGTAGTATTCGAGTCACCTGAGGATGCCCGTGTTGCTATCCAGCAATTCAATGGTTATGATTGGCAGGGACGCATCCTTGAGGTTCGCGAAGATAGATACGCTGGTGGTGGAGGTGGCTTTGGCGGCGGCTTTGGCGGTCGCGGCGGATTTGGAGGTGGTTTTGGCGGCCGTGGTGGCTTCGGTGGTCGCGGTGGCTTTGGAGGACGAGGTGGTTTCGGAGGACCAGGAGGCTATGGAAGAGGTGGTTTTAGCGGCGGCGGCGGTGGTAACTATGGCGGCGGTTTCGATTCTACTCCTGCCCCTCCACCCGGACCGCCTAACCCTTTTACTGACTACGCTACCTCTGGCGGTGATAAGAGTGCTGTGATCTATGTTCGCAACGTGAGTTCTTGCCTGCTGAAACCCATTTGTGTGAGGATGCACTACTAACAAGGGCGCTGTTAGCTTCCTTGGTCTACTTGTAACGAAGACTTGGTGGATCTATTTACTACGATTGGTAAGGTTGAACGTGCAGAGATTCAGTACGAAGGAAATGGCCGCTCTCGCGGAACTGGCGTCGTCGAGTTTGATAGCCCGGAGACCGCAGAGACCGCAATCTGTAAGTGCAAAATCCTCGCTGTTTATGCTGATATAGTTTCTTACTTTTATAGCCAAATTCACTGGTTACCAATACGGTGGTCGTCCTTTGGGGATCACATTTGTCCGATATGTTCATCCTCCTGGTGCAGGCGACGCTGGGGACGCGGGTGACGAATCGGCTGGCATCACCCAGGACCAGATCATGTAATCTGAAATTATCACGTTGATTTATTGCTTTAACAACACTTCCTTTCTTCTTGAGAGCCAGTAGTGGATCAAGTTGCGGATTCTTTGCTGTTTACGCGAGCTTAATTACCTCACGTCCCCTGTCTATTTCGGTGCTTTTATTCTACTTTCGCTTTCGATCGCCTTGGGAAATTTGCTTCTGCGCAAAAGGAAAATTATAAGGTTGCATTGTAAAAGATCATGGTGTATTGTGTGTACGATACGATATCCCCAGCCTGAATTTGACTCATTTTTCCTTTGATCGAGATCCTGTAGTCAGTATTTTAAGGGAACATGTATACTCGAGTGACTGACAGAGATCGATTTGCCAGGTAATCCACTCATCAACATAAACTCAAACTCTCTGGACGTAGTCCCGAACACTGCTCTGTGCCGGTACTCCTCCACATTACCCGATATTTCTAATGTTAGTATTTCTGGAGTAAATCGGAGGAGGTAAGACCACAAACCGGTCAAATGCATAACACATATAGTTTTGCATTCCATCCTATTCTTTCCCAAGCTTATGCTAGACTTGGAACTAGGCTTAGGTTCTTCAGCCCATGATGTTCATTCTTCAGCACACCGGGATAATTCTTGCTGTGTTTGGTAGTGCTCATGCTGGGTTGCCTTCTGTATCCTCAATACCATGGCCTCCATTACCCAGCCCACAGCCCTATTCAAGTACAGGTGCTCAGACTCTCTTGGAACCTGTGTCAATCAGCCCAGGTTTAACGAGTACCAGAACCAATATCACCAGCTCTCGGCTGACATTCAACGCCGTTGGTGATTCCTATACTGGTGAGCTCTGTCATCCAATGAATAGCCACAGAAGTGGACGTTGCTAATGGAAAATAATCTGCCAGTTGATTATGGAGTGGCAGTAGCCGGAAAGCCAATTTTTGATGTTCTGGCTGTTGAAGGCTATGCTCAGATTGGGGTTAGATACAGCGAAGCCTACAAGTGAGTCTTATGTGTCTCAGATCACCCTACGATCTGATGGATCGACTGTACTAATCTAGTGCACTGTCAGGGGTTTGGAAAATCTACAAGGAGATGACCCGTTCGCTTTTGCCAATCCATTAGCAGCCACTTCCAGAGTGGAAACGTTCAATCAATATAACGGGCCCCGGAAACATCACGGGTTCCTTCATTCAGGGCTCGCAGGCGATGACAGTCCATTAAGCTAGGAAAGGGTTATAGCTTAACTCTCAGCCACCCTTCATTTATACCAAGCATAGACATCACGCCAGTAAGGATGTACTGTATTTCCGTTCCTGGGAGAGCACTAATTCATACCTATCATGTAACATCTCGCTGCTCTGGATGGATAGTTTGCTTCTAGCAACTCTATGTATATCAATATCTGGGCACTAGGACCACGTACAGAGCAGTTCACTTATTTTGCTCCCGGAACACAGTCTGCGACATGGGATATCTCTAAGAATGGAACTTACATTCGGGGCCAGAAACCGGCATCTACGGGGGAAATAGTCAATTTGAGAAACTGCACAGTAAAATTTGAAGCCATGATTGACTACGGCGGGACTGGATGGCGAATGGGCACGGAAATCAATGCTACCCAGGCTACCGGCCCAATCTGTAAGCGGAATTTGAACGATATTCATCAAGGATTTCGTATTTACTGACAGGGTCTGCATAGTTGTCCTCGCAAGTGATTATCCTGATGGATCTTTTGTCAACATTTATAGACCCTTAGTGCCTCCGAATACCCTTGTGTTGGGTTGCAGTTGGTCTCTACAGGATCAGACCAGACTCATTATTGGAGAGGCTATTCAACAGCTTTGCTGACAGAATACGCACTCGGAGTCCGTCCTGTCACTGTAGGATACCGAGAGTTCCTTTTTGCCCCCTTACCAGGTTTCAAGGTCGAGAGGGTTCAAGGACGGGTACCTACTCCTCATGACCTTATATACGCTAATTGGGGCTATGGGTCCAATAGCAAGATCATCATGGATATCGATATACCAAAGGGGACAAAGGCTACTGTCGTCCCTCCATTTTCTGGGCCATGGACTCGTCAAGGGTAATCCGGACAAGGTGACAACACCACCGCGGTGGGTAAAGTACAGCTGCTTGAAACATAGGATATCAGTCTGTATGGTGTGCAATTAGATATACCTTCCTTTCATAGGCAAGATGGCCGGGCAGTACAAGGGAATTCTTGTAGGGATATACCTACCTTTATAGGTGTCGGTTTGCTGACCACGCATAGAAAATATGCCGTCTCGCAAGAGGTAGGGCCCCCCTCCCCCTTCTTGTCATTAATTTGGTTTGGTAATTTAGTTAGGGTTCCTCCCTGTCACCACCCATGTCAGCTATGATGTATGGACACGAGACTGCGTAAAGTGGCAAGAGATAGACGACGAACATCAAACTATATATTCAACGACTTGTAATGACTGCTATGTACAAAATCCTTCTCCCCTCACTCAGAGAAGGAACAATAAAGGTGGGCAAAGAATGAAGTTGTACTGTCGAAAGCGATATTGCCATATATAAAGAAAAACATAGAAGGCCAAATCAAGAGGTCATAAGACGAGGTATCATGGTGTAAATATCAGTTAGGGTCATGATTTCCAAAACAAGCGAAGAAAGACAAAGAGTACTAGAGTGTGGTAAGTGGCACTGGTAAGAGTGACGACCGGATCGCAGAAAAATACTCAAGCGATTGTGGTTGTAAGCTTGACAGAATTGTATCGCGTGGGGGTGAACGAGTGAGCAGTACTCGGCACACGTCGCGAGGTAAGTATGAAACGGATGGAAAGATCGGGTATAAAAGAGAAAATGTATGTACGAAGATACTCAATGCTTTAATTTGTTGTTTGACGAGGATATCGTCCTGGCATTTTGAGCACGTCAAGCGTCGAGGAGCTCTCCTTTGACTGGGGATCAGGACGCTTCGATGCTACATTGTTGGCATTGTCAGAAAGAGGGGAAGTGGCCTCGGAGGTTGGGGTCGAAGCCATCAGTGAGTAGGTGGAATGAGTTTGTCGCGACTTTTGAGACTCTTGCCTGTTTAGTGACGGAACATCTGCATTGCCAGCGGCATATAAGGTACCATTCGCCGGCGCTTCAGCTGCGTTGGCATTAGGAACTTCTTCGTTCCTATCAGTGATCATCTCGCTAGCGACGACAATAGGAGCTTGCGAAGGAGATGTGACGGGTTGTTGATGATAAACCTGCTCCTGATCGAGATTACGACCTTGTACGTGTTCGGGATAATGATCGGCGGTAGTTCCTGTCCATGTTCCGTAGACTTCACGATTCGCCCCGTCTGCTGGTCGATAAACCAATTGACCATGTGAGGGAAGTGCGGAGTGATTCAATTCCTCGGTTTGTTGTTGGCTCGTCGAGAATGGAACGCCAGACCCCGGCAGGGCCCCGGCATCGGCTATAGCTTCTCGGACACCAGAGCTCTCTCCACTAGAAAGTGACATGGTTGCCTGTAAGTGTCGGTCGATCTGTACATCACTTGGGAAACGCCCACCTGGTTGAGGGCGCTGTGCAGGCGACTCCTTCTTCACTGAAGAGGCCCTTCGAAGGACAGCAGACTGGCTCGAATAAGGAGTCTGATCGGCTTCGTCTTCATCCATAACCCCATCACTACTAATAGAGCTTGGTCGAATGCTATTCCCACTTAAACTTCGAACGTGATTCCTGACAAATGCATTTCGAGCCTCGCCGGTTTTCTCACTCAAATTTGCAATATCCTCAAACCAAGCCATCATCGTTTCATGAGACTCAGCCCGGAATACCCAGGCGTGTCCACGATGCATGGCACCCGTTTGTCTTCCTTTGAGCATGAATTTGTGCGATGAAGAATCTGGCTGCGAATGAGAGCCCAGTTTTTGTTCCGGAAGGTAGAGAGACATGACCGGTGTCTGGAAAGCGACGCGATCGGCGGATTTGAATTCGTGCAAGTGTGTCGGTGATAGTACATACCTATTTAAACAAAAATCGTATTAGTACGAGATCGTGACTTGGAAAGAAGGCAGCAAATGGATAAAACAGACCATCCGGGGGTATAGCTCTTGAGGTATTTGCTCTTGCGCTCGAGCATGCCAGATCGAATTTCAGCTGCAGCTGGGTGATCCTTGCCGGGATAAGAGATATTCTCAACGCTGCGAATAGGTATTCTAGGGTCAACAAGATGTTCGCTTTCTGCAATGAAGTTGTTCCATTCATGATCTTTGGGCATAGATATAGGGCCTGCTCGAAGCTTCTCTACGGCATCCAGGGCAACGTCTGCCTCGCGCTTCAGGATACTAGCGTAGGCATTATAAGCTTTCTGTATCTCGCCGACGACAATTGCCTCGAGTTCACGACCGGAGTTCTCCAGATTCAAGTATGCCTGGTCGGCGTTAGTCACGTCTCTGAAGCCAGCATATAGGCAACTTACTCTGTGAAGATAGTTTTCCTCCTCGATTTGTTTGTCGACTTGCCTATCCACCTGCAATCTCAGGATAAATGGATCATGCCTGCCAGAGGTCGCAGACGGATCAACATCAACGAGACCTAGGCTCTCCTGTAGATTTCGGACTGCCTTTCGCGTATTCTCAACTTCCTTGTCGACACTGTTTTTGAAATCTGCGGACAGACTTTTGATTTCTTTGGTTTTCTGCTGGAGATCGCTTCTTAGACCGGTCAATTGGAGAATCACCTCGCTTTCGACTTCCTTGGCCTTGTTGGCTTCAATGAGACCTTGCTTGTGATAGTCGCGTAGGATTTCCGTCGCATCGCCTAGCCCACCGGAGTTGAGGAAGGTTGGTGGTAGGGATGTGTTGTTCATGATATTACCCGCCGAGAGGAGCAACTTTGCTCTCGTTTCATATGATTTCTGTATATCCTTGAAAAATACGATAAGGTCTTTGAGTACCTTCCGCCAGGCTGAGATATCAGTCAGCTAAAGTCCAGAAATATGATAGGGTTTCACGTACCTTGGAAGCGATTTGCGAGCTCGTCCGTCGGGCTACCAGTCGTTGGGATTGGCACGTAGAAGGCACTATTAGGGTCGTCGCTGCCATACTTTTCCCTCTCTCCGAGGTTGAGACTCCTTACACTGCCGGCGCGAAGACTTCGCCTGCTGCTGCTCCGCTTCAAGCTACCCTTCCGACTTAGGGATGCCTTTTTCTTCAACGTGCCGCTTCTGGACGGCGCAATGCTGTTATGTGACATTTGCGATTCGCTTCTTTGCAGATTATTTACCCCACCTGCGCCGTCCATCATTATAGGGCTGCCTCGCTGGGACATGTCAATCTCTTCATTGAAACGTGACGGGTAGGCCGACTGTGTTGGGTGCGTCTCCTGTGCGACTGCGAAATCAGAGGGAACAATCGAATTCGCAATGTAAGAGGTCGGTCGCGATTCTGCCGACATGCCGTAACCGCGGCTTAGCTGTGATGCGTCATGGGGGAAAGGAATGTTGCTGTAGCCCTCGTGGAGCGGTGACTGTGATGGCATGGCCATCGTGTCTCACACTTTTCTGGCTGGATGGTGGGACAATGAAAAATGGAAGACAATGGATTCCTCAAAAATCGCTGGATAGGCTTGAAATACAGATCAACTGCTTGTTGCTCTAATGGATGGAGTAGTGCCGAAGAGATAGTGACGATCTGTCGGAAGTGTATCAGGCTGACTGCACGAACATGGAGCACCCCGCGATTGAGTCGTTGTGTCAATCACACGTTTTCTCTCCTCCGCAAACTTGAATCAATCAGGATCGAATGGAACGCAAAGGAATGACAAATATGAGGCGATAATACGGGGAAGACGCAAAGAGAAAAAGAAGTATAATATGATATGTAAGAAGTATGGAGTAATAGTCCGGCCTGCGATCGTTGCACGGGTGACGGAAGCGGATGACGTCGACTGTCGTTGCTTGCTCGGGCAGGAACCTCTCTCTTTTCCTGGTTGCGCCTTCCCCAGTCCCGCTTTATCATACAATATAGTTTTCTTCCAACCTCTTTTCTCCTCCAACTACAAGCATATATCAGCGGCATCGTGGACGGTGTTCGCAGCCAGCTGTGGCGAAGGAAGCAGACATGGACGAATAGTCGCCGAGCATGGGCTGATCCTACGCTCTCGAGATCCTAGTGACCCTACGTGTTGGCGATGAGCCACTTACGGACGCTACGTTTTGCTCGATAAGTGTACTTTCACGTAGCGGACCAGTGATCGCAGCCTCCTCATTTGTTCATCATCAAGAGTGGACTTTTCGAGCAGCCCTTGGCCCTTTTACGACGATATACTAGTTTGCACGAACCGAAAGTTCAACGCCCATTCGTAACGTGGTGGCTTAGACAGCAGCCAGAATAAAATGGTGATGCCTAGTTACTGAGAATATAATCCGTTTGAGCAGTTTTTCCGCAGTCCATGTATCATCCCTAGATCTCTACTCTTTTAAGAATCTTTATTCTCTTGACGTTGAATGATCAAAGTCAAGACGTCACCGTTTCGGGAATGTGCGGAAATATCTCCCCTGATGGACCAATCGTAGGGTATGCTCGCTGACCAATCACAATGCATACAATTGCTACCAACATGAGTTTTTGGCATTTTGTGTAGTTCCATAAGAAAATACATGGATCAAAAGGTTGCTTCCATTGGCTACTACTACAGCTATCTCCCAGCGGTATCCTCAGGCGCAGATATACAATGCGGATCAATAGAAGACAAAATGGAAAATAGAAAAAGAACTGGTACGGAAGCAGCACAATGTGGGCGTACTGTGTCTTCAAAGATGACGCTTGAGAATCTAGTTGAAGAAAGGCTGAATGAAAACCTCGACGAGCATGAGCGAGGCAGAAATAATCTACATTGGTTTTCAACCTCTTGCTCAAGATGCTGGAGGTGGTGTTACCGGAACATCAATGCCATATGCTTCCTTGATTCTCTCGCGCCGACGCTCGGCATATCCAGGAGCATAAATACCTACGAGTTTAAAGTTAGAACTGGCGTAGGGACAATTCCATGGCAAAGCATCAACATACCTCGTCCTTCACCCAGCTCTGTGAATGTTTGCTCTGCCGGAGTCCGGTAGTTCTTCCGTAACCTCTCTAATTCCTCATATTTGTCTAAGTTGTGGTCTTTTGGTTTTCCGAAAAGCGAGCCTCCGGTATATTCGAAAGTAGCCAAGGTCGCCGCCAATCCGGTACCGTATCCGAATACTGACGGGAAGGATCGTACTATTGCATATATCAGCAAAGCGGTGCCTATTGGAAGTCGGGAATAAAACCCATACCTCGAAGACCAAGAATTGAGCCCGCAAAGAATCCACCCAAGGCAGTATTCCATGTATCGTCCTTCTCTCGCAGGTTGGCCGATGCCGTTCGCACGAATGAATATGTGCCTCCCATGGCCGCTGTCATCCCACGCAAAACACATCAAATCAGTCCCGGTTTTCTCTACTTAGCCCATTTCAATCATCGAGAGTATGTCATACCGAAGATAGCAATTGTGCTACCACTCCTAAGAAAGATACCTAAGGATCCGACATTCTGCTTTGCCAAGGTGTTTTGAACAGCTGAAGCGACTAGACCGAACCCTCCCGTAAGAGCAGTGCTCTTCAGGGCGACATCGATGGCATCTCGAGGATGGTAGGTATTGTTTTCTGTGTGTTGTGAAGCCATTGTGGTTCTGAGAGCACGCCGACTATGCGCTGCTTTGAATTACAACGAAGCATCGGCGCATCAATCGACGTTAACTTTGGGTGTTGTTATTCTGCCACCGCCTTTCGTAATAGGCTTAGTTTCCTGATTGACTGCGGGCCACAACTTGTAGTAACTTGGAGCACTCCACGGTTCCCCTTTTGGCTTGCTCAGTCGACGACCTCCGTGTTGGTTTTCAAAAAGATTTGAAGAGCCGGATCCTAGGCATACACTCTCTTCGAAGCTTCATTCATTACGGATCCTGAACTCTTTGTGGGTTGCTGAGAGCTGTAAGAACGGGCACGGACTTCAAGTCTTGGCACTGATTGCATAGCTCCAAGCAGGTGTTCCTGTATGAAGCAGACTACTTAGAGCTTCTATCTTTTGTCTTCTTTCACATTCATTTATTTCACATCTTGTATACGGGAACATTTCCCTATGTCTCCATGCTCATAGACAAGACAAATTTCCCAGACCTGTTTCTCGTTTGCAGGAAGACAAGTCAGCAGACTGCTTGCCATCTGTAGGTGGGTTCGCCCCTCAGGCAGTACCTTTACGATCTCGTTTACTCTTCTTGAATCCAACAAATGGACGATTTCTGACATGAAATGAGCAGCATGAAATTTCCTCTGACTTAGATACCCAGTCATCCACTCTCTCAGTCGAGCCGATTACGCCTACCATCCAAGAATCCGTTAGTACCGGGGGGTTGGTGCTGCACCCGCTCAGTCGATGCTTATGCGATTCGGTAGCCTACATCTCGGCGTTAATACAATCGTGAAGTCGTGTTAAGACAGATATATTCTCAAAATGATGTCCTCACACAGAAGAGCAGGTAAGTCGGCCATGGCGCTATACCACGTGGTGGCTCTGTCTGATTTACTAACTTCGAAAAGGCAAGACTGCTCCGCGCTTCCTCCAGGATATAGAGTTATATGACCCCGTTCACCCTCCAGCTTCAGGTCGCAACCTGCTCGTTGATATTCCCCCCGTATTTCCGGACGGATACGATGGCCCGCCAGAATGGCTCTCCCCTTCAGCCTGCAAACACGTGTACGTCACGAAGCCCAACCAAACCATCGTTGTAACACCGGATCAAAGACAGGGTCGAGGAGCCTATTCAAAAGTTTGTGCAGTATGTTCAAAGTGTCGATTGCATGCGCAGGTGGTGGTAAATTATACCGCCAATGTAGCCCCTACGTCCGGCCATCTGCATCATCTTGTCTGTCAGTCTGGTAGCCACGCGAATGGTTCGACCACGTCGAGAGGACAAAGCGCGGAAACTTTCTATTACAAATGCTCTTACTTGACATGTGGCATCACTGTCTCCGTACAGATTACGTCCCCTGTTCTGAATCATGACTTTCTTCAGCTCCTGACGGACGTGGAACTGGTCAACAAGCGTGCAGACGAAGCGATAGCGGCTCAACCTGAGCGTCTAGAGGGAATTGCACGGCCTCAACCCATAACTATTCTTGACAATTTGCGCACATACCTTCGCAATTCTCTTCAGGATCCACAACGTAGCAAGCCGATTTCCGCCATCAACAAACGATTTGTTGTTTGCTTTGGTGTTGATGGCAAACATTGTAAAGACCTGCTGGAATTCCTGGGATTCTCATTTCGGGACGAAGGATTTTGGGATCCTCCAGATCCAAAAGCATCCGAGGATCCACCCTTCCAAAACGAACTCAATATCTTTCTTGATAACGTCATACATGAACTGTCCATATTGATCGAGCAGCGACCCGTCTCAGAGAAGAAGACCCCGTATGCTCTGAACCCGTCACTACGAGCTAGTAATGACTTTCTTAATGCTCTTGAAGCTGCCAACTATGCGAAATCGACAAGACTCATCGAGTTCGAAATGCCTGGACAGCCGTGCTACGAGGATCTTGGCACCGTGGAAGATATGGCCTCCGACCTCATAATTGAAGCATATCATCGCCAAGTTGCGGTTGATCCGTCAAGGGGCCCGCATTATCTTCAATGTTTGAGCTCAATTGCTCAATGGCGAGGCGGCCCAGATCGCGATACAATTAACGAGGCTGTGACGATCGCATACAGCAGGGGCGCCTATACAACGAGTGACATCTTCAAGGCTTATGAATACTTCGATCTGAATCCGAATGACACAACTCTTACAGATGATGTTATTATTGGAAGGTTCCACGCATATCTAAGCTCTACCACCCAGGAAACTGAAGCCCGGCAACAACTATGGCGTATCGGGGATGTGAGGGAAAGCGAACGAATCAAGTCTGCTGCTGAGGATAGAGTATCCAATGCCGAGCAGGCCCTCGTTTATCTCGGAGTCGAAGAGAACACGCCTGACGATTTTGTCATCACAATGTTTACCACGAAAGTGAATGACAGCCCTAGTAGCAGAGAAATCTCGGAGAAAGCTTTGTCACTGATAGCAGAAAAACGCAATTCCGAAACTTTGAAGCATTTTCTCAAAACTGGCGAGACCGGGGCGGGAGAGATGGATGTCGGAGATGCATATCGTCTCCTTCAAATACCTGACCGCACAGTTGGCGATGACGCTATACTTGCAGCGTACACGATCTGTGTAGATGAAGCTCCAACGCAGGTAGAAACCTACACGCGTGCTCTTAGTATCATTGCCAAAGAGAAAGATAGTCCTATGCTAAGTAGCTTCGTCTCGGGCTCTACAACGCACAGCGATCGAGTTTTGTCTGAATGGCCTGTTGGCCTCCAAAATATAGGTAATACTTGCTACCTTAACAGCTTACTCCAGTTCTACTTCACTGTGCGTCCTTACCGGGAGATGGTTCTGGATTTTGAAAACAATAAAACGGATTTGGACGAGGAATCCCTACGCCAGAAGAAAGTTGGTTCGCGTAAAGTATCGAGAGCTGAGGTCGAGCGGTCTCAAAAGTGTGGGTTTTCTCCAGTGCTTACCTCATCTGAACGGTTACTGACCATGCATAGTTCTCCGCGAGCTTCGCGGGCTGTTCCACAATATGATAACAACTTCCAAAGCGTTCGTTCGACCCGAACAAGAACTGGCTAGGTTGACGTTAATCAGCTCTACAAACGAGGCGGAGATTCGCCGAAGATCCACCATTTCCGGGATCAGACCTTTCGGTCTTGGTGAAATTAACGGTGCGCCAGTGGCAGGACCACTGGGACCACCTGAATCCATAACATCTCCCGGACATGAGAATGTCGACCAAAACACCATTCCGATTCAAGGAACTCCCGCTCATGACCGTCAAGTCAACGACATCGATAGTGAGACTACTCTTGTTTCTGACCCTGAGACTGAGAAGGATGCGCCGCTGCCTGCATCTGCATTCGCTGTGTCAGGAGACACGGAAGATATCACACAAACTATCTCGCAGCCACAAACTCTAGAGAAAGTTGATCCGCCGAGTCGACCACCTCCAGAGCCGCCCCGACCTGCGGAAACAGATCGTAAAAGGCAATTGATAGAAGAAGTTGAACTTGGGGCTCAACAAGATGTCACTGAAGTCATCAACAATGTTTTGTTTCAGAGCGAGTGTGCCATTAGACCCCGAGGTATTGCTCCAGATGGGGAGCAGCTTGATCAAATCAAAGAGTAAGATAGTGGAATTATCTCCTTGAAGAGAAGAAGTCGCTAATTTTACTGCTAGTTTGTTCTATGGCAAGACAAAGACGTACATTACAGCACAGAACGGGACACGTTCAAAAGAAGAACTCTGGTCTGACATCAAGGTTGACGTTGCAACAGGCTCACGAGATATATACTCGGCTATCGACGGCGCATTTGACATGCAGGAGGTATTCGTCGATGACGCGGTCGTGGAACAATTCGGTGCCATTAGCAAGCTGCCCCCAGTACTGCAAATCCAGGTACAGAGAGTTCAGTTTGACCCAATTAAGAAGACATCTTTCAAGTCAACACATCACTTGGACCTCAAGGAGACGATCTATCTCGATCGTTATATGGACACTCAGAAGGAAGATATTGTGAAACGACGCAGGGATTGCTGGGCCTGGAAACGAAAGCTGATTGCTCTACAAAGCCGCAAAGCGGAATTGTTGAGATCAAGTGTGAGTTATACGTTCCCTGGAACTAGCCATGATGAGAGCGCTCATTCTTTCCTAGGACAATGACGGACAAAATATGCCTTCACTATTCAAAAACGCTTCAAGCCTTCTGACAGAGCTTTCTGCAATTAATTCTACCGATGATAGGCCTAGCGATTCCCTTGATATCAACGCGGAACTTGCAGTTGAAATGCAGAAATTGTCACAAATAACCCAGGCTGAATTGGCTCGTGAGTATCCGGTTCTCCACACAGGTTTATGTCTAATGTTAATTGACTACCTTGTAGATATCGAACAGGAAACGAAGGACATTGAAGCCATGATTTCGAGCAGTTTTAATAACTATACAAAATTGGCATATCGTCTTTACGCCGTCTTTATGCATCAGGGATCTGTAGAGTTTGGGCACTATTACATCTACATCTTTGACTTCAAGAAGCAAGTTTGGCGCAAATACAATGATAACGACATCACAGAAGTCAAAGACACAACAGAGATATTCGGAACCCCTAATCAGGCCAATCCCCCAACACCGTATTTCCTGGTTTACGTCAACGCCGCTATGAAGGATCGGTTGGTTGAACCAGTCCGCCGAGAAATTGTCTCAGAAACAAACACGACGGAGAACTCCGACGTGAATGCCGTTGCAAAGTTCGATGGGCCTATGGATATTGATGTCGCTACTGATATGAAACCGCCGTCCTATTTTGATGTGAAGACGAAAGACGAGCCCCAAGGTACGTGAGCTGTTTATCATAGTTCCAGAAGAAAGAATAAACTGACTTATCTGAGTAGTCTCGAGCGTTGAATCACCGCCATCTCCAGTTTCACCAACAGCTATCCCCTTAAAACGAAAAGGATCCGAAGACCAAATGAGCATCACTGTCAGTTCTCATGTCGATGTATCTTAACTATTTTTTTTTTTCATCACTATTGAAGCGATGTATTATCGTCATGAAAGTGTGAAGCTTGATATGTTTCTGTGTCCATATTTTTCTTTATGATGTTCAGTGCTAGATTCCTCTTTTACATACCCGTGTTCTTTTCCTGTTCTGAGAGTCCTGTCTATGCATAGCTATGATTTATATGCAATATCCACAAGAGTGAGGAGCAGAAAAATGACTACTGTACATACACCTATCAATGTTACGACTTTACCTAATGAGGTGACAATAGGTATTAGGGAAATGAATTTCATATATATCAAGGCGAGTGACGTGGCACCTAATTCTGAACTAATTGGATGTACATGAAAGTTCTTCTATTGACTAAAATGACGACACTTGCACTGGTTTAGCAATATCGCATAGTTAAATGGTAGATAGTAGTAGGTACACACTGTCGATGGGGGCCTGCCCGCCAAACCTCGTTCTCCGTGACATGATATGACTCGACGAAAAGAAACCAGACCTGCATGAATCAAGCCTTGTTCCAATGATTATATCTTCAAAAAATTGGTGGGAAAAAGGAGAGTGGAATAAACGACAGGTTGAAGGAAAGGGATAAAAGAAAGGGACAATCATATACATGATATATGTATAATGAATAATGCGTACTGATGTTAACAGTGCATGGATGATAGTGGATAGGAGGGGGGGTAGATGAATGCAGCTCACATACAGTAAGGCTTATCTATTGAAAATGGAGAAGCTGTCGGATATGACCACAGTCAAACGTAGAAAAGCTGGCCACCATTTTGAATAATATATAATCAAGTATCTGTTCAGTGTAAGAAATCACTTCCTCGCTGGAGGGAAGCTTCAAGATCATTCTGAACTGAGCCTGGAAGAGGCGCTTCCTGAGGCCGAGGCTCCTCTTGTTTCCATGGACCCTGGTTGTGTTCCGGAATGGGAACATTTTGAGGAACCTGTTGCGATTGTTGGTTTTGGTATGCGGCTTGCTGTTGTTGACGGACGTGCGCTCGGAAGTTGATCACTTCGTCCAAGATCATTTTACGCATCTCACCGACATCATCGACGACTTCGAAGTGAAAGTCGAAAGTTGTTGGACACGAGGGCTCGTCGGAGACATCATGCCAGATGTGGAGGTAGCGATGTTCTAGTGCTTCTTCAACGGAGATACGTTTCGATGGGTCGAATGCAAGCATGCGGTCAAGGAGATCAAGGGCGTCAGGATTGGCTTGGGGGAAGAGGCGCTGGAAAGGAATCTTTGGCATGAACGGTAGATTACGCACGTACTCCTGCGCACGAGGTGAGCCAATTCGGGAGAGTGTCTCTTCAGCAGGAGTACCGAGGTAATGAAGGATTTGGTTGAGTTGGTCGACGTAGTCACGGCCCTTAAAAAATGGACGACCGCCTAGAAGTTCGGCAAGAATACAGCCCACGGACCATACATCGACTGTTTGACAAGGGATTAACGGGAGTTCAAAGGCCAGGGGAGGTTCGGGGAAAACATACTGGCTTTCGTGTAGCTCTGAAAGCTCAACATAATCTCAGGAGCACGGTACCATCGAGTAGCAACATATTCCGTCATATATCCAGCGTTTTCCTCCGGGTCGATTGAGAAACCTCGAGCTAGACCGAAATCGCAAATCTTAAGTTCGCAGTCCGCATTGACGAGCAGATTTCCAGGTTTCAAATCACGATGCAACACGTTGGCCGAATGGATGTACTTCAAGCCGCATAGAATCTGATAAATGAAAGACTGAAAGTGAGCATCTGTCAAGGGTTGTCCTGATCGAATGATAGCAGCCAAGTCACACTCCATTAATTCTGGATATCATTGGCATATCAGCATCTAGGTTGAGAAATATGGTGATTGGGTCGCGCACCTTCATATAAATAAGTTTCGTTGAAGTTATCCGGGCGAGGGATGTCCATGTCATACAAACAGGCAATCTTGCGATAGTGTTAGCCATGACGCCCGATATCTGATTCTCACGGAGAGAAACATACATTACGATGGCCCCGGAAGTGCTGTAATAGTTTGATTTCTCGTAGAGCACGCTTTGCGAGAATTTTCTTGCTGAAAACATTTGTGACCTTCTTGATGGCAACGCCCTCGTTCGTCTGGGTGTTTACGGCGGCGCTAAAATTACAAGTCAGTATGATGAAAATCAAACAGTGAGAAAATCATGGCTCGGATCCACTGCTTCCATGCTGAATAGTAGGAGAAGGCGCAACCTGGATGGCTTAACCGCGCCATCCAGGATTCGAGACAGAAATATGTCTTTTGTTTATATGCCAGACGTACCAGACAATTCCGTATGCACCTTGGCCCAACTCCTTGGTCACATTATATCGTTCATCGACGACAAAGTCTTGGTTGAACACCTTGAAGACTTTTCGCCCCTGGAGATCCGACATGGTGATATGTTTTGCTCGTTTGTTATGCTGTTCGTGGCGCTGGGCGGGGAAGGCTGTCTGGGGCGGTCCGTCGTGAGGATTGAAGGTATAGATGTAATTCGCAATTTATAACGAGCGGGACCTTGTAGCGAAAGACGTATTGATTCTTTCTTCCACGGAGCAGAGAGTGTTAGTGAGTGATGGCAGAGGTAGTGGTAGAGGGAAAGTAAATAGTCAGTGAGCTGATCTGATCGTACGTGAGGCACCAAAGCCCGCCCCGCAGTCCGTCAGTCAATCAGCCCGTGGTGGGGATCCGATAAGTAACTCACTGCTTTTCTTCTTTGTGTATGCTGAACTTATAAGTGAATATCAAAGAAAATGACTTGTTCAACTGTCAGGAAAAGTCGAGAGAGAAGAACTAACGTGGTCGGATACTGTATGTAGTCTAGGCCCCTGAGAAATTAGAGAAATTAGAGATATTATTGTGGGTTCATAGAGGAATAGTACAACTACCTAGGCCGTACTTCCAGGGTTCGTAAGCATGCCTATGGTAGGGTATAGGAAAGGCCGGAGAGGGGAAAACGAGGGGCAGAGAGTAAAAATCTGTAAGTAAAAGTGACTTGATTGGGCCTCTACAACTTCGAGACTTGCCTGAACACGTACTCCATCTATTCTATTCGTCGCGGTGATATGCACTGCGGCGCATTATCATATATCCCAGTGCTACTCTTTCTCCACAATAAAGGGCGGCATAGATCAGGCATGTTCGTTGAGTTTATTAACAATTTATTCTCCAAGAAAAAGCGCTTTTTCATGATATTGATGATGATTTCATTTGAAGCAAGCTGAGAGCGGAAGGGAAAAGAAATAGGAGCCCCTCAGCCTTACGTCTGTCACTCTAAATCTGCCCTAACGGTAGGGTTAGGGTCATAGGGCTAATTCGCTTCAACTGTAAGTTACAACACCAAGTGTATCAAAGAAGACTTATGAGATGTTTCTATTGCTCATATATTTCAGAGATATATTCAAAGATAGAAAGTTGAACTACATAGCCAACATTCAGGAGAAAATACTATCCTATGACGGCTGGTAAGTTGAACGCCACCAGACACCCATCGATGCTGCGACTACCAGATCAATCATCTTTATGCCTTCATCTTCGATGATGAGTTTGCCTAACTTAGCGCTTTTCCCGCTCATGCCACCCCCGCCAAGCTCTCTTGCCAGCGAAAAGTCGAGTCGATCTTCATCATCAGCAGGAGCTACTGATGCAGGTGACTGTTCATCTCCACTGCTGCGTGTGCTTCCCAGGATAGGGGTAAAAACTCCGCTTTGTGAACGGGAGCGAGCATGTTGTTGGACCTTTTGTATGTTCGTAGTTATCAGTTGGCTCAAGGCTGCGCGTTTACCCTTTCCCCTTTCTGACGGACTTTTGCTGTTACCATTCGCATTCAATATTGAAGGAGGACGAAACGACTGTTCAAGAGCGAAAGGAATGTTATATCGTAACTCCGAAACCGTGACTTCAGGATTCTGTCCGCTACCACTAACACCCGCCTCGGAACTCATTACAGGACCAGGTATTGTATGCTTGCACTTGAGACTTCCCCCATTCACGCTGGCCACAAACGAACAAGTACCGTCCCACGGGGATTGGAACGAGTAGTATCCTCGATTGACCTTGGAAGATACATATTGCGTAATTTTCGGAGTCTCTGTAGACCCGGAGTGTCGATTGAAGAGTACTTCTGACAACGAGTGACCGTGATAGTCATGCTTGATAGGGACGATGTCTCGATAGAATACCCTTCTTCCGGTATCGCCATCGTCATGCGTCATATTTTGTGCCATCTTCTTTAAGACATCTGCCGCATTCTGCCCTTCGGTAGCCGCGCCGGTTAGATCGTGGGCTGTGGTATTCGTGGAGAAGCGAATATTATTCATGAATTTCCCATATCCTGGGTTGGATATCTCGACATGTATGACGCCCTTATCCGCTCTTGAACTGGATATAGTGCCGACATTCCATTGGTTTCCGGAAGCTGCGTCGCGACGGATCAGAGTGATGCGGAAAGGAGAACTTGGATTGGAGGGTATGGGTCGTGGCCCGTCGTACGAACGTCTTTGCTCTACATGTGAAGTAGTTTGCTCAGTCGAGGTGGAAGAAAATACACTCGGTGTCGGATTTCCTGAAGCTGACACAGGGCGTCGAGGTATCGCGAAGTTTCCTGAGACACTGTTCGCCTTTTTCCGGGTGATTGGAGAACCGGAGACAGTTGGTTTTCTGCGAATATTGCTAGGCGTGTTTTCGTCGTTGATGGATTGGGCCTGATACCGGCCTTGATTCGTTGGTTGTAGGTGGGATAGCTGTTCATTACCCAAGCCAGAGATTCCTTCTAGGTGGGGTGGCGGTGGAGGAGGACATTGTGCTATTGAAGCATTCTGTCCTCCTACGGGCTTCCGATGAAAATCATTCAGACGTGAGATAGTTTCGTTCGGGAGACGAGATGCCGGAGCATCAGGCGGATGCTCCCTTTGCTCCGACTCTATAGACCGTAAAATATCTCCATCTTCTTCAGTGGCGACATGCAAGTAATACAGCGAGGAGTTAATGGCTTCAATTGAGATGTTGGACTTGGTTGGAGGTTTTAGTGGAGTTAGCACAACATCTAATCAAATGACAGTTGATAGCAACTGTTTTGTTAGAAACCATGATCCTTCTCGAGAAAATAACCAGAAAGTAATTGAGAAAGATTCATAATCTCTAACCTTTACTGCCGGGCACCTTCACAATGTACAATTCAAGTCGATCGAATTTGGCCTGGGTCGGATTTCGCGGGTATGCGGGGGGATTTGCAGCTATGGATGTGATCGAGGATAGCGATCGAGCTTCGACTGGGGATGATGAGAGAGACGCAATGTCCGCCATGAAAGACAAATGAGTATCACTACGGTGTGGTTTGAGTCGGGAGGTATAACATGTTGGTGATGGTGACTGTGATGGTCGTGGGGTGCCTGTCGTACAAGAAATAATCTTGTGTGGCTTAGCTCGCAGAGAGTTTTAGATGAGGCTGAGCTGTGACATAATGGCCCTTACTGCCTTAGGCAGCTGTTAGGGTTATTTTATAACCTATAACCCTAAAGACGACTTGCGCTATACTTGAAATGATTAGTTGCGCTTAATTTCACCCTTTCCGGTCGATCAGGAAAGTATTAGCGCCTCTCTGTTTTGTCCTCCTGAAAACTTCCAAAATAGGCAACTATTTTCAGGTAAACGATGCTTTGCAACTGGGCCAGAAACGTGATGAAAGGGGTTTCAAATTTTCAATAGGTCTATAACGCATGTTAATTCAATGTGAAGAAGTCCAAAATGCGTATGATATACATTCGTCATGGGATTACGCCGAGGCACAGTGACCTCCATCAACCCTTAAATCTGCACCGGTCATGAATGAACTACCCTCCGAGAGAAGGAAAATGGCCGGTGCTTTGAATTCGTCTGGTGTTGCAAGTCTTCCCAAGAGAGCTCCAGCCATCCAAATCTTTTCTACCTCTGGTTCGGCGGCGAGCAATTGGTTGGTCATATCTGTGCGGATGTACTAGAAGTAACAATTAGTTATCATGATGAAAGGGAAGAAGTATAAGAGACTTACACCTGGTGATAGTGTGTTGATTCTAATGCCATATTGACCCCATTCTTGGGCTAGAGATCGACACATTTGTTGGACGGCTGATTTGCTCGAGTTGTATGCAGAGCAGGTAAGCCCCTATTTATCAGTCAATTGAGATGGACCTTGGAAGAGACATGAATAGCAGGCTAATAAAATATACCCGATTTGCGATATTTCCTGACATGCTTGCAATCAGCACAATGCTGCCTGGCCTCCTTTTTTCAACCAACTTCCTGGCCGTCCATTTAGCCGTGATAAAAGCCCCAGTAACGTTCACCCGTAGTATTCTCTCAAAGTCTTGAGAATTGTAATCAAGAGCAGGCACTTTTTGTTGGATGCCGGCGCACGCGACCATATCATAGAATGGCGCTCCGTTTTCGATCCCGTTCTGCTCAATGGCATTGATCACTTCTTCCATCTCAGCCTCGCTCGTAACATCGCATTTGGCATATGTGGCAGTCAAATTCCGAGGTTTGCACAGCTTCTGGAGCCCAGCCCACTCAGACTCGGAAGGAGCAGGAAGGAGATCGAGACAGGCTACATGGCCGCCGGACTCAACAACTGCATAGGCGACAGCCATACCGAGACCTCTGGCACCACCAGTAATAGCTATGGTTTTGCCGCGAAGGGAAAGCATGTTTGGAACAGTGTCCAGACTATATTGAGGCTTAGTTTCTACTGCAGGTGCAGTTTTAGCCTGGGGATCTTCGAGTAAGACAGGTGACATTTTTGCTGTTCTGTTATAAGAAAAGAACGATTGCGCTCAAGGGTTAGATTTGGAAACTATGTATGTTGAACATATAAGAAGAGAAGGGACTTGACATTAATTCCTATAAGGAAAACATCATAGCCGATATAGATTTGCCAATAAAAGGTTTTTATCCCTAATTTCTGCGTAGGAAGCAGATGGAAGGTCCCGAGACGAGCTCGGTTCAGAGTCGGCAAATGATTGTCATCACTCCAGAATATGCACATTGATCACAGAATAATTTAAATACCTTAAGAACCAGAATGGTTTTTGCAAGCGTTGCGGGTTCGGGAAAATCCGCATGACCACACTTCTCTACCCTAATTTGGAAACCCTAAGCGCCGTCTCCAAGGACAGATGCAATAGTACCCCTCATGAACAGGAAAACACCACGAGAACAAAAATATTATGGAGACAAATTTTGGAGCTCTGGAATTGCGGATTTCCAGATCAGGGTGAATCAAGAATAATAAGTGGTACCTGCTCTTTCCATTATCGAGCGGCGCGTAGCAACATGGTAGACGTATAAAGCGGACGTCGCGGGGTGCTAACAGGTTTACCAATTGATGATTTTGGTATAATCTTGAATTTTGAAGAGTTTTTATAGTTCCAATATCCTGGGATATTATACACTCGTCAACAATCGATATTCGCAATGGCAGCAGTAATCACAAATGGGGCTGCGACGAATAGCATTGCCCCTTTTCATTCATCTCCGGTTCAAGATCAAAAGAAGATTGACCAGGCCTTGAGAACTTTCCGATGTTTGATTGCAGATTTATGCGAACAGTTCAATGGAGGCCACCCAGGGTGAATTGCGCCGTTCTACCAGACAAAAAACCAGAGCCATGAAGACTAACAGAATACTGGCAGTGGTGCAATGGGCATGGCCGCGATTGGCATCGCTCTCTGGAAATACACCATGAAATACTCCCCAACAAATCCTAACTACTTCAACCGTGATCGCTTCGTTCTCTCAAATGGCCACACATGCTTATTCCAATATACGTTCCTTCATTTGGTCGGCTACCCTGCGATGGCAATGGAACAACTAAAATCGTACCATTCGGCTTGTACTAATTCGATATGCCCCGGTCACCCGGAAATCGAGCACGATGGAATTGAAGTCACCACTGGGCCACTGGGACAAGGAATTGCGAATGCCGTAGGACTAGCAATGGCAACAAAGCATCTTGGAGCTCGTTATAACAGACCTGGATTTGAAATTGTTAACAATATGACTTGGTGCATGATTGGTGATGCATGTCTTCAAGAAGGCGTAGCGTTGGAAGCTATCCAGCTTGCTGGACACTGGAAGTTGAATAACTTAGTTGTCATTTATGACAACAACCAGGTACTATATGCCCCTTCAACATATACACAATCACGATAAATAACTCATCAGTTTGCTGTGACGGAAGATTACCTGCGACGGCAGCGTGGATCTCTGCAATACAGAAGATATCAACGCAAAAATGCGAGCATGTGGTTGGGACGTCATCGAAGTCGACGACGGCTGCTACGATGTCCCTGCGCTCGTTGCGGCTCTAGCACAGGCCCGATCCAACAACATAAAGCCAACATTCATTAATGTCCACACACTCATCGGTATTGGGAGTAAAGTCGCTGGTGATGCTAAGGCTCACGGTGTGGCATTCGGAGCGGAGGATGTTGCGTCCATCAAGACGAGATTCGGCATGGACCCAGAGCAGCACTTTATCGTGCAAGATGAGGTTTATGATTTCTTCCGTGATGCGGTACCAAGAGGCGAAACCTTTGAAAATGACTGGAAGCAATTGCTCGAGCAATATGCGAAGGAGTACCCTGAAATGCATCAAGAGTTCTCGCTGAGAGTACAAGGAAAGATGACTGATGATTGGACTAAGATCCTACCCTCAAAAGAAGAGTTTCCTACCATCCCTACAGCATCTCGAAAGTCTGCGGGGCTCTGCTGTAACCCGCTGGCTTCGAAGTTGCACAATATGATGGTGGGAACTGCTGATTTGACGCCTTCGGTTAATATGGCTTGGAAGGGGAAAGTTGACTTTCAAAATGTACGTGCACTTCATAGATTTTTGTCTTTCTATACAAATATAGCTGCTAATCATCTATCTTCTCATGATACAGCCTGATTTGAAGACAACCTGTGGTATTAATGGAGACTACAGCGGACGTTATATCCATTGGGGTATCAGGGAACATGCCATGGCCGCGATCTCCAATGGATTGGCAGCCTTCAACAAAGGAACAATCCTCCCGGTCACCTCTACATTCTTTATGTTCTATATCGTAATTACACTGCAATGCTGTCCATTTTCTGAATCCATTGCTAACCTTCAACTAGTATGCCGCTCCAGGTGTCCGAATGGGTGCCCTACAAGGCCTCCAACAAATCCACATTGCCACTCACGATTCGATTGGTACAGGTGAAGACGGCCCTACGCACCAGCCTATTGCTCTGGCAGTCTTGTATAGGGCAATGCCTGACATCCTTTATATCCGTCCATGTGACAGCGAAGAGACTGCCGGAGCTTTCATTTCGGCTCTCAAAGCAACATCCTCCCCAACGATCATTTCACTTTCTCGCCAAAACCTAGAACAATATCCACATTACTCGTGCAGAGAAAAGGCACAAAAGGGCGCATATGTCTTTGTCGAAGAAGAAGATGCTGATGTGACATTGCTCGGTGTCGGTGCCGAGATGGTATTCGCTATGCGTACACGGCATCTTCTGCAGGAAAAGTTTCAGATCAAAGCTCGCGTCGTCAGCTTCCCGTGCCAAAAACTTTTTGAAAGCCAGAGCATCGAATATAAGAGGAGTGTACTGAAATATCAGTCGATCCCACGTGTGGTCATTGAGGCCTACGCTGTGAATGGATGGGAACGCTATGCTGATGCAGGATTCTCCATGTCTTCTTTTGGACATTCTTTGCCTGGTGCAGCGGCATACAAATATTTCGGATTCGATGAGCAAATTATTGCTCCTGAAGTGGCCAAACTTGTGGGTGATGTCAAACTGAATGGTCTTGATTCTTTGCGGGGAGAATTCAGGGATCTGAACCCAATCCACCACTAGAAAAACGACTATATGGGAAGGCACCTTTAGAGTATGTGGAGTTTTGTAGTTATTTCTGGTGACCTCAATGCTACTTCAGCGCTTCATTCCTAATTCATTTAAATGATGCCCCAGAATTCCTTCAAGCCATCCGCTCTCCATTGCGTGGGCCACCCACTCTCCTTCTCGATCCGCTCTAACAGCTCCAAAATTTCTTGATGTTCTCTTGGATGACTCATCCATTGCCCTGCAATCCAGATTGGTTGAATGGCGTTGGTCCATGCTCCATGGTGATGGTTAGTGATGGAGATACCACACGCCAAGCGTGCGTGCCACAGAGGAGACCGTGGCTTTGGTTCCAAACGCAATCCCGGCGGTCGAGCTTGTAACATGAGCAATGAAGCAGTGTGGTATAGTTGATTGCCAGATACCGCAGCAGGATTAGCAAATAGTATCTTTGGAAAAGCACTACTTGTCGAGGAATATTCCATCACAGCTTTCATCTCTTCTGGGCGTTTGAGATACCAGTCTTGCACGTAGAACCATAGCCTGGACCAACGCTCTGTGAATTCTCGGTCTGTAAGGTTATTATGTCGGGGACCGCCGATGCGTCCGAATTTGTAATGGCATGGCGCAAGAATATCCAAGACCTGTGCACATAGATATACCATATAATTTGCGAACATGTCGAACGTAGGTACCGATTGAAAGAGACGCACGTCCGCATCAAAGTCGCCAGTTGCCCAATGATCAACGGGGATGAGGGTCTTGGTGCATGAAATAAATCCTCCGCAAACATCCATGCGGGCAAAGCACCAGAAAAGTGCTTGCTCTGGTCCTCCGGAGAAGCCATTCATTCCAACAGCTTCCATCAACCCTGCGCAGCCGTCTAGATGCCGTTGCCAGGCCTTGGGCGCACAGCTGAGCATTTCTAACACACAGAGAACTACACATGATGCAATCACTGCCGTACTGCGCGTCGGTAATAGTGGTAGGAGAATATGTATAGCATGGTGATACAACTCTAGACTTCGTTCTTTATGCGTAGTAGCGCCCTTTCGCTCCAGCTGACGTGCCGATAGGGCTAATATAGCATAACTAAGGTGGTCATGAGAGCGAGCCATATCCAATAAAGTGTTTTGAAAGTGACATTGGTTGTCGAATTTATCCAACCAAGGTGCGAGTTCTTCCAGCCAATTCTTCCATAAAATAAATTCTTCATCTTCGGGAATCTTAATACGGGCACTTGCATGATTCACCGGAATATGCAACTCCTCTCCCTGAACCGGAGTACAGTGTCTAGTAGGCGCGCTCGACTTGGCCTCTAGGATAAGGTGGTTTCTCAATGTCGAGTGAAGCTCAAGGTACTCTGACCCAGGCACGAAAATCCCATCGTGGACGTGAAAGTCAGTCAAAGACATTGGTGGATCGTGATAGCCGCTTTGAACGGTTTGTGATAGGGGAGAGTATACTGCGCTGTACTCGGATTCGTCGTCCATCGATAGCTGGTCCCGCTGGAGCACTTGTCTTAACCACACGCTATTTGTTGCGAAACTGTCAGTGGTGCCATCAACACCTCGAATTTGCTCTGGGGATTCGCAGGCAACTTGTCCTTTGGTGCATGCGATAGTTGACCGTGACAAATGATCAGTGTTATATCTGGACGAGATACCCCCATCCGCTTCTACACTCGACTCTGCTCGGCCAGTTGAGAAGTCTTTAGTCTGTCCTGAGTCCTTCCAGAGATATTGTTTCTCCGCTGCAATACCCCGTTTGTTTCTATCCTCTTCTCTTCCTGTTTGGCTTACTCGCCTCCTTTCTTCTCGTTCACCGCCATAGTCAGGCAGTTCATTACCTGGACTGCAGGAGAAATCATTGTGGATAAGAGAGCCCTCCTCCTCTGGTACAGTTTGATGGTAATCACGAATGACTTCTGATGTGATGTCTAATATTCGGAAACGCCTGGGTGTCCGAGTTTGTATGACGGGCATCTGCACCGTTTGCGAGTTCTCGGAACGAAAAGAAATTCGCATCCCCCATCTACAATTTTCACGACTCCTGTGGCAGTGGTGACAAGTAGGCTTTTTTTCATCACATTTTCGTCGCTTCCGTCTGCAGTTCAGACATCCTGATCTGGTCCGTTTCCAGAGCTTCTTGCCACTGCGTCGACCTTCCTGGTGCTCTTGCCCTGTTGCATGCGAAGTATCACATACTTCCATTGTACGTAGCTAAGAAGTATGATTTTGGCCGTTTAGACTGGAGTAAAAGTAGAAACGGTGAGCAAGGAGAGTGTGGGGTAGCCACATGGAAGAGATCTACATCTACATCGCCTACAACTACCGAATAGGGCAAAAAACATACTTTACGGGATAACACTCATTTTCCTTTCCGTATGGACCAAAAGGGCAATTGTGAGAGCAAACCTATCGAGCTTGGATCCTCTTCGCCATGGACGTCCTGCAATGGGTAACTGCTAGCAGCCATATGGCAGTCTGCCAATTTGGTTCCCCCGCAAAATTTCACCCACAATTCCCGAGAGTCTCCACGCACGAGTCAAAGCTGGAATTATGGAAATGAGTTTTAGCCCTTTCAAGGATGGATGATTTCGGTTCTATCCCGACGGTTGAGGAGTATCTGTCCATTTACGTGCAGCTTGGATCCAGGACTCCCCAGTACATAAATATCCTCCTCCACACTTCGATTCGTTCTTGTCTTCACTCACGGCTAATGGAATTTGTGGGACATGAAGTCAAACTATTCGTTGCTTTTGATTTGTGTTTAGTTCGTTACGCATGCATTCGAAAATGACCCGTCTAGTTGGACGACCCTTGAACTGGGCCATTACGGCCACTGCTGGCTCTGGGTTCTTGCTCTTCGGATATGATCAAGGCGTTATGTCAGGACTTCTTACAGGAGATGCCTTTACGAGAAATTTCCCAACCATCGATATAACACGCGGCGGAAGCTCAACTATCCAAGGAACGGTTGTGGCTATCTACGAAATCGGTTGCTTTTTTGGCGCTCTCTTTTGCATGGTTTTTGGGGAGCACCTCGGTAGGAGAAAGTGTATTGCACTTGGCTGCATTGTCTTGAGTATTGGCGCTGCTTTGCAAGCCTCTTCTTACAGCCTCGCGCAGCTGATTGTCGGCCGAGTTGTGGCTGGTCTCGGAAATGGCATGAATACCAGTACTATCCGTAAGTGAGCACTTTTCTGCGACATTCGAAGGTATTTGTGTGCTATACGTTAATAACTAATTCTCTCGATTAGCCGTGTGGCATTCCGAGTTGATGAGCGCACATAACCGAGGAAAAGGTCTCTGTATTGAACTTGCGATCAATATCTTCGGAGTTGCCCTTTCTTACTGGGTTGATTACGGCATGAGTTTTGTCAAAAACGAGTCTCAGTTCCGATTCCCATTGGCTTTCCAAATCTTCTTTGCCCTTTTGACTCTTGGTGGCATTGTTATGTTGCCCGAATCGCCTAGATGACTAGTTGCTCACAATCGTCATGACGATGCTAGGCACATCATCTGGGCGGTTCACTCGGGTGCCAAACTATTAGATATCGATAGCCCGAAAGTGTCTCATGATCTACACGAAATCCAGCGCGCCATTATCGAAGAACGTGAAGCAGCCTCTGCAGGAACCTACCGAGCGCTGTTGACGAACGGACAGCAAAGGTTTTTCTACAGAACAATGCTAGGTATTGGTGGCCAGTTCATGCAGCAATTATCTGGAATCAATCTCATCACCTATGTCCGTCACCTTCTCCTTGTTCACGACTCACGAGTATCAATTTTTGAGAAATCCAAAATTAACATCCTTGCTTTCTAGTACGCCCCTGTCATCTTCCAAACGTCCGTTGGCATGTCTCACAACACCTCTCTTCTGCTGGCTGGCTTCAACGGAATTGCTTACTGGATCTCCTCATTGATCCCTATCTGGATAATTGATAGACTTGGTCGTAGAAAGCTGATGCTCTTCGCCGCTGCTGGTCAATGTGCTTGTATGGCCATTCTTGCAGGAACGGTCCATGATGGTGGAAAAGCTGCTGGTATTGTCGCCATTATCATGCTTTTCTTGTTCAACTTCTTCTTCGCTGTTGGGCTTTTAGCTATTCCCTGGCTATGTAAGCATTTGTTCAATCACTGCCACGAGAATAGGTTCCTTAGAAACTAACAAGTCCTTTTCAAACGTACAGTACCTGCCGAATACGCACCCCTTGCTATTCGTACGCGCGCTGCCTCTTTGGCCACAGCCTCCAACTGGATTTTTACGTTCCTAGTCGTCGAAATCACACCTGTCAGCATCAATAGCATCGGTTACAAGACTTATGTCTATTTCTGTATATTCAACTTCTGCTTCCTTCCTCTCATCTACTTCTTCTACCCGGAAACCAGAAACTTGTCCCTGGAGGATATTGATACATTGTTCACTGGAGAGAACATTATTTTCCATGCGAAGCCCGGAGTTGGCATGGGAAATGCGCCCGAAAAGTCTACCGGCGAAGCTGTTTTTGATAAGGATAAAAATGTTGTGCAGCTTGAGAAGGTCTAAGTGTAACTTATGTTCTTGCTACGAAAACCGAGTTAGGGTTGCTCTGAGTCACGTAACTGAACACGTCAGAAGCAAAATTTGTACAGCACGATCTACTATCTATGGTACAGTACATCGCAAAAGGTCTTCGGCCAAACCGGCCGAGAACCCTGCACTTACAAATTTATATGTAAACTGTTTTTGAATATTTCGCCCAACACAACGCCTAATCTAATAAAATTCGAGGATATTAAATGAGATTGTTTTATTGGGGTTGCCTCACGTGACGACCATACTGCGACTAGTCTTCACCCACACGTGCTGCGTACTGCGGGGTTCTTCCTCCTGACAACTGCCTCATGAGAGTCAGCCGCTCGCCTCCGCAAGTTGCTTGTCATCTCTCACGCAGTCAAGACTTGTTTTTTATCCTTCTCGATATTTCCTCCTTACCTCCACGATGACATCCTCCAGCCAGCCTAGCACCTCCACGCCGCTTCCCCAGGACTCCGTATGGCCTCCAGCCCATATCTGGGAAACCATGAGTACGACTGACCGCGCCGGTTGGCTAGCACAAATACAAAGGGACAGGGCTAGACGTCTGGAATTGGATGAAAATGAGGTCGATCTCTGCTAGAGGCGAACTCACTTGGACCAGCGAAATGACGAGAATAATCAAGAAGGAAACCGTGAGCTACCCCTGGTAAAATCACTCATCGATATGTTTCCGGGTGTCTCCGCCGCCCTCCTTACGCGCGTCTTCGAAAGGAAATTGAAGGCGACCAAACTCATTCGCTTCAAAGAGAAGTCAGTAATCGATACGGATCAAGAGGATCGGGTCTTCAAAATGACCGAGTCAGGCGGCACCGTAGGCTTCAAAAAGGCTGCTTCGTCGCTTTGAAGACTGGGGTCCTAACCCTCAAATATGGATTAGCTGTTTCCTCACCTACGCGGCAGTTATAGGATATCTTTTGGTGTCAAGTACCCTAAGGCTGTCGCCAACCTGCTCATGTTTATGATGCAGATTCTAGACTTTGCCCAGACCTATCATTGGTCAGAAGCAGTACTTCCGCCGGCTCTCAATTTCCACCAATATATACCGGATAAGGGAGAGCTATCAATGGATAGCTACCTGGTTACATCTTAGTTTCGCGAGAAGTATCTCCGCTACAACCTTACACTACCAGCTAAGTCGTCACAGAACCGGTCAGCAGCCCGACCGCGCAATGCCAAGTCTGCCAGATCCTTAAATAATGATATAGAGGTTTGTGAAAAGTTCAATATAACAGGATGCCTCTGGGAAGGCTGCAAGAGATGTCATGAATGTACTGTGTGTAGGTTAACCGATTATGGTGCCTCAACTTGCCGCAAGAGAAAGTAGCAAGCAATTCAGGTGGTGAAAAGGGAAAACCCTAGGACAACCCCTTACTTTCTACCGCGGACAGAAATACCTTATGGCCAACCAGCGAGGCCCAATACAATTATCCAGTACCCTATTTTCAACACAGAACTATCAAAATTATACCCTTCACCTTCGCCTCTTCATCCATAGAGATGGCGTAACCTCCTTCATTATTACCCCGGTGATCTAGGATCAAATTTAGCCGGTATCCTAACCTACGGCGTCTAGATTAGCTATAGAGGCAAGATACACTCTTATCACTCCCCCAATCACTACATATGCGAACCCAGCATTATCACGGAGAAGCTAGCAGAAGACCTCAATCTCCATTAGGTTAGATTTACCTCCAAACCTTCCTTTATTTCGCCACTAGGCCTTATCTCTAAGCACGATGGGGGATGGCGCCATATCTATGATTTATCCTGGCCCCCTGGGCGTGGTATTAATCAAGGCATACCAGATAGCTGGTCTGCTATTAAATATGTGAAGATCGATTATATATAACCAGATCATAAGGGCAGGATCTGGCTGCACAATTATCAAACAGGACATCAAGGATGCCTTCCGGATAGTTCCTGATGCCTAAGACAGCCAGTATTTTTTAGCCTTTCAGTAGAATAACTCCACCTATGTTGAATGTTGCCTCCCTTTTGGACTAGCAACAGCTCTATTTCTCTTTAATCTCTTTGCAGAGGCTCTCCACTGGATACTTCAGTGCCTCCTTCCCGCATTTTACATCAACTATTATTTAGATGACTTTATTGCTATCATATATTATCCCTCAATATCCAATCCTATAGATGCCTTTAACAAAGTCTACCATATGATAACTAACTACCTGGATATTCCTCGCAATATAAAAAAGGACGAGCAAGGGACTTACATTACAGTGCTAGGAATTCAAATAGACTCCATCTTGATGGAAGCTCGTCTGCTACAAGAGAAGCTATGCCGCGCCATATTGGACGCCCCAGCTGCTCTTAATGCAACAAGTGTTTCTCTCAAGTAAATAGAAAGCCTCACAGGCTTACTAGCCTTCTGTTCAAGAGTGGTCCAGCTCAGAAGAACAAGGCTACGATCTCTATACACCTTTTAGGTTGCCTTTCCCACGTGGGAGTCGCACGCGGCGCCGTATCCCTTATGAGGTACGTAACGATCTGGAATGGTAGAGGGACTCCTGTCTCTCTTCAATGATGTACTCCTAATTGACCCCTGCCGCTGCAACATCACACATCTCTATATAGATGCCTCTACTATAGGCCAGGGACTCTTCTTTTTCTCATCAAAGTCTACATTAGACTGCTGGCTAGCCCATTGCCACTAGCTTTAATCATGCAATGCTACCTCACTGGCCCTTGCTCAAGACACACATGTGTATATCAATACTATAGAAGTAGACGCCATTCTACAAGATTTCCTACTCTTTAGCCACCATTGGCTTCACCACACTATTATTATCCATATGGATAGCTCTACAGTACATATAGGACTAAGCAAAGGCTTTCTTTATAGCCCATCCAATGCACTATTGAAGAGTCTACTTATCCTAGCCGCGGCGAGAGACATCTAAATTATGCCATATTAGCTCTCTTCTAGGAAAACGCATTAGCAGATCTTTCGTAATAATTTCCAAGAAATTGCTAACATTTGTCCCCACTGGTAGGTGTCGGATTAGTCGGTTTATTCCAGACCAATCCTGAAGAGTGTTTTACTAGGATCAAAGAAAAAGTGACTAGCAAGATTGTATGTATTGAGTTCTCTCTCTCTGTCTGATACATCATGTTCAATGCCGGGTCCTTTATAGACACTTTTGGCGGGGTCTTTTGTGAGCTATCATGAGGGGTAAACTTTGAGGGCTATATTGACCCCTGATAAGAAGATGACTCCTTATTTGCTGAAGTGTAGGTAACTTGAGGTGACTGGATGACCTGATCAAATAGCCTATCTTCTACATCGCCGGATATCCCGGTTATCTGACAGTAGGACCTCTCCGTATTTTTAACCCTAAACTGCCCGCGTGGTTCTCTTCGCAAGCTCATTAACTTAGTATAGACTATTTAAAATTACTCTGGAATGGGCTCAGCACTAATACACGCTCTATCTATCTCTCTGTCCAGCATAACTACCAATTAAAGATAGAGCATGCCCCAATCAGCACCTATCTACACTGGATAGGCCGACGGGAATTGCCTAAGTGTCAGGCCTGTAAGGAGCCTCACGAGACAGTTAGGCATGTGCTCTTTGAGTGCCGTGGACGTCGTGCAGGACAGAGAACTCTATATCGAGCCCTCAAGAACTACGCGCTACAAAACTTACCAGCATGGCAGCGTCAAAACAATCATTAATCTCATAGATAACCTCCCAACTCCTTAGTAATTCTAACCAAAAAAACAATCAAACTAGATACTGTGTTGTCAGATTTAGCTCCTCTCCGAGTCTATCATATTGATAATTTCCTCAACGATAAGCTCTTTAATAACAAACACTTCCAGCGCCTTATTGACGGCGCGAGAAGGCTCACCCCAACAACCAAAGTATAGGTTAGAAAGCCTATTTTACGTGAGGCCATTACAAAACTATCATCTAGCCTAGCTACACTTCCATCACAGCTCTCAGAAATGACTGCAGATCTCATAGATGACCTGAACTTCGCAACTACTTGCCAGGTGGCATTTGCTGGAATCCTCCGCATCGGAGAATTCACCTACAAGAGAGAAGACCTTGATACATTCTACTCCGTGGGCTCCATCGTGGCTGCCTGGTGCACGTTTGGAACCTTCCGCATCGATGGTACGGCGTCATGGAGGATCCCGTCTGCCCTGCAGGAATCTCCGCGTTGGCTCATCAGCAAGGGACGTAATGAGGAAGTATTGGCGGTTCTGGCCAAGTATCACGGAGAAGGTGACGAAGACGATACGGCCATGCAGTTTGGATATGTCGAGATTCAAAGTGCTCTCGGCGCAGAGCACTCCGCCGCAGAATTTACCATTTCCTCATTCTTACGTGAGCTTGTGACCGGGTCAGGCAATCACAGACGGCTGTTCATCATGGTTTGGGTGGCGATCAGCTCACAAATGTTTGGAAACGCCTTCGTGCCCTACTACCTGTCTCCAATTCTGAACTTGGTCGGCTTGACCTCCGATCTGCAGCAGGCGCTCATCAACGCGACATCTCAGATGCTCTCCTGGGCCAATGCTGTGTACTTTGCGACTCTGCCTGCCAAGCTAGGACGTCGGACTCTCTTCCTCCGCTCTCTGTGCGCCATGTGGGTGATCGACATCTGCATCATGGCCGGAAGTGCCATATTCGCCAAGGACCATACAAACAAGGCCTCTCTGCCTACACTGTCGTTGTCTTCCTCTATCTGTTCTCGCCGGCGTAAAATTTCGGTTTCAATGGAAAGCTCGGCCTCTATGTCCCAGATATCCTGCCCTTCCACCTGCGCACCAAGGTTCTGTCCTTCTTTTACTTCGTGCAGTTCTACTTCATGATACTGTCGACTTTCGCCGTGCCGATCGGCCTCGAGAATCTTGAGTGGCTCTTCTACATCATCTTTGTGGTTTGGGTTGTTGTGGAATTCATTGGTGTATTTGATGTTTCCTGAGACAAAGGATCCGACACCAGAGGATATTGCATATATCTTCGACGGGCCAGATGCCAAAGCCAGCGGGAAGGTGGAGGCAGGAGAAAGCGACGGGAAGGTTGAACATATCCATCAGGAGCTCAAGTAATGATTGATATCCAGTGGCCTTGTCAAAAACTCTGTGATTTATTCCAGGGTGGAATAATACATCTAGAGATAGCATTTGGACCTAAATGTGGTGTATTGTCAGTGGGATAGTTCATGGTCATTCATTCATACAGAGTCATTCCAGCAATCCCAAAGCAATATCGGCCAGCTACTTAGAGACAGATCAATCCGCTCCCTGTTGAGCGAGCAGATTTTGTAGAAATCACACGATGAACAGAGAGATTCGCTTTAATCCACTATTGATGACCATCACCACACTGTACGATAGTTACATGCTGGAATAAAACATACTGGCCATGACTACAATCAGATAAAGTCAAATTACGCTTCTTGAATGTGCTTCTAGTCTTCGGTCTTCTATTTACGAAAATGTTCATGCATGATGAATATATACTTCCGGTTTTCCTGAACAAGTGGTATTGCATGTACAAAACGGGTGTTTCGGCGGAGCATACGGAGTAGAGCAAGCGCGCACTAGCCTTACTACAAGTCACAGAGCGACAGTACCGCCGTCTCGTGCATTGTTCAGAAAGCTTGCGAAAGCTGCGCAAGGATTCGCCTATATTGCTGATGAATACTCGCGTCGTATTGCCAATTCCACCTACGCGGGCAATATCCGCTGGACCCGTGAGGAAACAGGTTCTCGTAAATCTCTCAAAATGGCTGGGATCGTAGATTCTAGCCAGGTTGAGTATGAAGCGAATCGAAAAGGGTGATGATTTAAAAGTGCTGGATAAATTGTGGCCGAGGTGGAAGGAGGTTGAAGAGACTCTGTAGGAACGGAGTTTCGGGTTAAACGGTGATTTTTGGTACAGATTGTTTGGATTTGATTCCGAGTACTGGATCGGTTGCAATCGATCTGATAGATTTGATATCTTTTGGGTGGGCAGTATCGTTTGGGCGGCGAATCCTCGTGTAGCGAGGATCCGAATATATGGTAATTTGTGAACCTTCTTCAACCAGGGTTAAGTCCAAACAGAGCCATGGGTCTCTGATGGAAAATAGAGATACCCATTGCCACCCTAAAGATCTGAAATTCACAAGTTGTCGATTAGCTCCACCTGTATTCTCGTATTCTCGTATTCTCGTATCTCCATTCTCGCATTCTCGCATTCTCGTTTTCACACCACAGTCTGGATCCGAGCTACGTGATCCACAAGAGATTAAAGGGGTCTATATTCAGAATGAGTCCAGACAGGATCATTCGATATAAAGTCAGCTTACTTTCTCTGTTCTCCAGTTTTAGTCTTTCCATCCTCATCGACTTCTACTCATTTGTCAACCCGCCTACCATGAGTTCTATCGCGAGCAGCGATGGAACCATCAACTTCGCACTCTACCGCTATACGCCCTCGATCACGGCGGCATCCATATTTGCAGCGGTCTTCCTATTAATCACAATTTTTCACTGTATTCGACTATGGCGATGCCGCGCTTATTCCTTCATTCCCTTTATTATCGGCCTACTTTGTGAGAACTCCCTCCCCCCCTCGAGTTGGAAAGAATTCAAATTCACCAGGATGATTAACAAGGCTATCTTCAACGTAACAGTTGAGTGTGCTGGTTATATTGCTCGCATTTTCTCGCACTTTAACACCACAGCTCTCGGTCCATATATTGTACAGACCATGCTGATTCTGGTCGCACCGCCCCTGTTCGCCGCTTCCATTTACATGACTCTGGGTAGAGTCATTGGTACCCTAAACTCTCAACAACTCTCCATCGTACCCGTCCGATTCCTCACGAGAATATTTGTGGTCGGAGACGTGATCTCATTCCTCCTTCAATGTGGAGGTAAGCGCAAGCTTTCCAGCCTCTTAGCAATCCTATTTTTCGATTCTAATTTTTATTAGGGGGTGGTTATATGGCCGCTGGAACGGTTTCAGCTATGAACACTGGCGCAAATATCGTCATTGGTGGTCTTGCTATTCAGCTCCTTTTCTTCGGCTTCTTCGTCGTCGTATCAGCGGTGTTCCACTGGCGCGTGAAGAGAAGAAAGTCGCGAAATATTTCGCCTTTATCGGGGCGCAGCAAGAACTGGGAATCTGTAATGTGGGCGCTCTACGCTGCCTGTTCCCTCATTCTGGTGCGGTCGATCTTCCGCGTGGTAGAATTTGTTGAGGGCAATGATGGCTTTATTATGAAGAGAGAATATCTCTTGTATATTTTCGACGCTTGTCTCATGTCTTTGACTGGAGCTGTGTTGGCAGTCGTCTACCCTGGATCATATCTCGGTCGTGATGACGGCAAGCGGGAGAGCGCGCTGCGGCTTATGTCTACAGATGAGGAGAGCAGTGGACAACAGAGATTAAAGTCATCTGGAGCATAAAAACTAAGCTTCAATTTTGTACTGTTAGACTCATTCTGTTACCGATGCATGGCATTTGGTGGTCGTATCTGGATTTCGCAACATTGCCTAAACCACATCCATCAATTTTCTTTTCTTTGGTTTAGTGATTTAGCAAAAACAATATGGGGCATATTTCTTTGATAAGCAGAGGTCTTCATTCAAAGTTTAGTACGTAATGATACCGAGCCGGATATTGAGCCCATTGTTGCTATGAACCGTAGGGGACGGCAGATTCGGCTCCCTGAGGGTTTTCGCTAGGTAAAATGTAGCTCATTCTTTTTGCAATAGCTTAATTAGTACTCGCCAAAAATCTATAATATTTTCTATTTATATGACGTTGTAAGCTTCAAAATAGTTTACATGGCAAATCGCCAAAATTGTGCATTGAGTGGTAGCGGGCATTGGGCGGTGAAGTACGATAGGGGTTTCCGCGCTTTTAGTCACCTTTCGACCCTGAACTTTTCTTCCCACGTTCACATCTGAAGTTATGTCCACTACCTACCCCATCGCTTAGTGCATCTGTTGGGCCATTAGGATCAGCTTTCTTCGGTTTACGTGAGCTCCTTAGTAGACAAAGCCAAAGTTAATGCCGCTACACACAATGCCAGGGCAGGAAGGATCTCGGAACGCAGCGAAGTCGCACTTTCGTCCTAAGCAACGCATCAGTCACACCAAGTCCCGCAATGGCTGTTACACGTGCAAGCTGCGTCGCGTCAAGGTACATATCGATTCTTGACATATGACCTCGGTCAGTATTACTGATAACCCCAGTGTGATGAGGTACGGCCCGTTTGTGGTGCATGTTTAATTCGGGGTGATGACTGCGTTTACCCCAGCCCAGGAGACACACGTGGCCAGAGACGAAGACAGCGGCCCGGCTCTCGCGAGAGGCCATCATCCGAGAGTATTCATTTTCAGGCACGCAATGATACCCAGGAAGTACATTTTTGCCCGTTGAATTTCAATTTGACAGCTCCGGAGGACCCGCAAAATGTCAGCATCCAACGAGAGTCCAGTCTGAACATGAGTGATCTCAATCTACTTCAACACTTCATCTTGCACACCTCAAAAAAGATGACTCTTCACAAGATCAAGATGGTGGCCTGGGAGCGTGGTATTCTCGATTTGGCTGCAGCCAATGATTTCCTGATGCACCTTGTCTTGGCCCTGGCTGGCATAGACATTCTGACCACTAGGGATGGCCATGACGGAAATATTCAAACATTTTCTGATCCTTCCATCTCCTGGAGCCCTCGGCTTCATTCAATCATGGAACATCATCAACTAGGACTCGCCGGGCTGCAGGAAGCACTTTGCGCCCCCGCTGAGCCCAATGCAGAAGCCTTGCTGGCGGGGTCCATGTTGGTAGTAGGTTTTGCGTTTGCATCCCTTGGAATCAAAGACCCAAATCCGTCAATGGGTACCTTTCAGAATTCCAGTCACGGTTCACCATCTGCCTTTCCTTCACAAGCCCCGCTCCAGATACAGTGGCTTCACCTTGTTCGTGGCGTCACATGTATCCTAAGTCAATTTTGGTCCACTTTGAGAAGATGCCGCCTCAGGTCGCTACTTTTCTTCAACAATGCCAACGACGATTGGAAGCTTTGTGAAACAGAATTGCGCTCAGGCGTGGCGCTCAACCAAAATATCCAATCAAAGAGGCTTCGGAAGTTTGCCACAGGGGCCAATCGCGCCTTGACGGATTTACGAGATATATGCGTAGACCTACGTCATTCTAGGAACTTTGAAGAAAGCAGTGACGGGTTACTATTAAATGCCACCCCTCGATCCGAACAAAGTGGATATGCTGGGGGTAGGATATCCCTCAGCGCATGCGAACAAGTCATAGGCGTGGTTGAAGACCTCTATATGAGAATCCTTTATGTTCTACAGATGAAGCCACTCAATTCTCAGTCACCATCAGATCTCGAGATCCAGATCGATCTCGAAGATGCAGCCATTTCAGCGTGGCCTCATCGTCTACCCGAGGAATTCATCGCGACCTTGGACTCGCATGGGAATGTCGACACGCTGTTCGGTGTGAGCCTGACGATCCTTGCACATCTCTACTCGACTATAGCTATTTTTGAAGATATTTGGTACCTTGGTAAGACATGTGACGCTGAAATTTACAAGATCAATACCTTGATTCATGGTCTGGGGGATGAAGAGCTTATCCGCTTAATGGAATGGCCAGTTGATATCATAGAGTGATGAAATCTAAGGGTGACTGGTCGATTTCAGGTCGCCGTCTCATATAGGCCCACCTAGTCTTTGCTCAAAAAACATTCTGAGACCTTTTTTATTGATCGCGCGGAAGTCGCTATCTTCAAGATCTGTCATGATGTTAGGCTATCAGGACAAGATACTATGCTGTAACTGTCTCATGTGATGCTTTGGTGCTTAGAAAATTCATCCATGTCACAGTTATTGCTATTCCTATATGTTATGGGCTGACACCATATGGGTGGTTCAGGACAGGACCCTCACTAACACCGCTCAATACTGACTTATATATTTTTTCAAACTTACTGATTAATTACTTAACACGAATATTCAGCTCTGTGAATGCTTAAAGTAGTGTATGTATATGACTTTGTCGAGATACAGTAGTTTGCACATTCAGAGTAACAACTGAAACTCTCTTCGATTTCCTCTGAAACAATGCCAAGAAGACATCATAGTAAATATAGAATAGCGTGGGAATAATATTTATCCGGAAATAATGCCTGTCTCGCTTAATACAAATTTTTATTTACAATACATGTATGGCGATAAAATACAATCCTGGAATATTTGGCTGTGTCTTAGCACGTGCCCTGACCAGTCTGCCGGATTAGTAGTAAAACCATTGACCTTTGAGACATGGTTGTTGCAGTATCCGTAGCGCGGCTTGTGCACTGTCGTACTATCTGTGGTAGTAGCTTATCCTCATGCAGCTGCAACCATCAAGTCAGGTTCCTAGACCGAGAGCTTATCCACGATATGATACAGGCTCATCCCTCGCCAACCGCCGTGGTCCACTTCAGATGCGGTTTACCCCACTCTAGAGCGGGGTCACTTTGAAATGACCCGCTTAAATTATAGTCGTCTATCAATCTCGGGGATTGACGTGAATTCTGTCTTCAGTTTCTTTACTTTATGTTAAAAATTCTTGAAACTACGCAACCTAGCTAGTGTTATTCTCTTCGTTGTCCTCATACTCTGGACTGACGATAATACAGTGCACCTAGTGCTCTCCAGTCCCTCCATTGCTTTGAATACGATTTTCCTATCATTTCGATATCCCATGATGGCGGAATCCACAACATTCCTTAACCTCCCCACGGAAATCCATGAACTTGTTGTTCAGTGCCTTGATTTGCCTAGCCGTATGCGACTGAGAAAGATTTGCCGGTATTTCCATGAATTGATTCCCCAGCTCAGTATTCACGAGATGCTGGAAGTGGAGGTCTCAGCTTTTGGGATACAGAAAGACCTGTATACATGTCGAGATTGTTTGCGCTTGCGCCCAAGGGCCAAATTCGCGGATAATATGGTAAAGAAAAAGAAAGCAAGGTCTGCAATCGATGCAGAGAAACGATTCTGCGTGGATTGCGGCATAAACCCTGCAAAAGGTACTACCCGATATACCCGCGGCTGTCTTATCATCGTACAAGGAGAATCATTTGTGATTTGCCGATCTTGCGGGAGCTTCAGTGATGCGGCAGTAGAAGGGGGCAGGAGTCTTTGTGAATGTAAACGATGTCGGCTATTCTCGAAAGCAATCGAACAGCGTGCGGAGGATTACAGGGCGCGACAGGAAAGGGCCCGCCTGCGGGCTGATCAAGCATTGAAAAGAGCCAGAAGACGTGAGATTTGGGGTTCTGATTACGAATATAGCGAGGATGACATGTCCCCTAGCCCCACTTGGAGTGATCTTGAGATGGAGATGATCCAGTCTGAAGCTGATACCTATATGAACAGCCCCAAGCCTGGATCTGAATGAATTTTTTGAATCCACATGTTAGCGCAAGCTGGGTTAAGTAATGCAAGACCCAACCTCACCTTCACCGGGAAGGGCATGGCTACTGTAAGGAGTTCCTTGACTTAACACAGCTATGGTCAAAATTTTGACGTGTTGATTACCCCTATACTTTACTAGTTCCTGATATTATATGGTTATAAAATGCGACTTTAGTACCTTTAAAGGTGATAAACCGCTGAATCGTTAGATTTGCGCTGGTTTTATCCACCAAAGGCACTGCATCTTGAATCTTACCTCAGTAATATACTGTAATTTATATGTTTGAACGGTTGGCCTAGAAGAAAGGAATGAAAGAGAGCAAGAAAGGAAATGTGCCCAAGCCGTGACAGTGATACATGTATTTTACAGGCATATTATTATGTGAATGCACAATACCCCAGGGAAAAAAACACGCCAGTTAGGGTTACTCCGGATCTAGCTAGATCTATACTAGGCAATCCTTGGCACTGTTTCAGAGGAAAGAGAAGAGAGTTTTAGTTGTTACTCTGAATGTGCAAACGACTGTATAGAGATGATGAACAATGATCATTTGTACGGAATACACGGGTGGCCAACTCGCTTACCGATTACGTTAGTAAAACTTTGTGAGTAACTATGGTGGGTCTCAATAAGAGTGAGAAAGTTAGGGCTAAGGGCGGGCCGGCGCATCCACATGCCCCCACCTCACATGCAATCTGTACGGCGTACATGATACAAAAAGGCGTAATACGTATATGGATGTAATTACTGTAATGTGAGATAACTGTCTCAGACATTTAGTTTTCAAATTCAATAGGCTGTACACAACTTTGTAGCCAGATTACCTCAGTTTGGCAGATGGCCTAATCATAAAAAAATGTAAAGTATGACAATTGCTGGAATAAATTCACTTGTCATCAGAAATAATTACAGTTTCAAGTGAAGAGTCTATCTCCGAGTCTCTACCTCTGTTCCTAGGTTTCACTGTATCTCTGAGAGACTTATGTTGTGGAATTCGAAATGAAGGCATCAGAGTTATTCAGCGTAAAGGGCCCTATAGCTATTACGGGTGGCGCATCAGGCATGTAATCGTCTTCATTCTTCAGTTACAGACTAATAACTCATTCTACCTTTCACATGTATCGGTCGTGCAATGGTGCATTCATTTGCTGCAAATGGAGCTGAGAGAGTATACATTCTCGGTAGTTGACTCTAGACTCTTCTGGAATGTGCATAATTTAATCCTAATGTCATTATTCCTATACAGTGTGACATCACCTCAAAATCAGACCTTCAAAGAAGTGCCGACAAAGTGCAACAAGAAGTGGGCTATCTCACTCATTTGTAACTCCGAGACTAGGGCCCCTGAGTCCACCAAGCTCGGACCTACCAGTACTATTGACGATTTCATAAGGATGAATTGGGATCATGATGTCGATTACGTGAAAACATTCGAAGTGAATACCGCAGGATATTGTTGTTCTACCCTCACATTCCTGAAGCTTCTACATCCTGGAAATGAGGAGAAAAATGTATCGCAAAGAAGCCAGGTAATAGCAACATGCAGTACCCTTAGTTTTGGTCGCCTGACACCGACAGCTCGATTTGCATATGGTCAAAGTAAGGCTGCAAGTACATGCCTCATGAAGCAGCTGTCAACATCATTGGTGTCATACGGTAGTCGAGTGAATATACTTGCCCCTGGGCGTAAGTCTTTTGATCAATTAATACACCGATCATTATTTATCTGACATACCTACATTGTTCATGACGGATATGATGTCTGTAATGGCATCAATCTCTTACGATGTTGGCAAGTTGTTCCCAGAGGGACGCGCTGAAGAGGATCAAGATATTGCTGGGACGATTCTCTATCTTACGTCCAAAGCTGGAGCATATCTAAACGGAAGTGTTCTGGTCTGTGATGGAGGAAGGCTAGGTGTTGTGCCGTCTTTATACTAAGAAATCCCAACAGAGTATTCGGGGTGTTTTATATAGGAAGGGGTAATTCCTTTTTCTGCGAGAACATCACTGATTATACCGTACCTTCAATTGGTAGGGGTCCAATCATAAATCACAAAAAGTAGTGGCAATAGCTGTATAAAAGATACCATCAAGAAAGCAGTAGGTTAGGGCATCATCCAAGGTGAGGATTCTAGACACAGCAGTATCCATTGATTCTATTTCTTATACAAGACATTATGTCGTAGACCCTAATATATGCGAATCTGCTACAATAGCACAGCTACTCTTTGGAACCCTTGCAGCTGCCGTACTGCTGGAACCTGGTAAGATGATTCTGCCCATAACATTGACTTTTTTCACGTATGCCTAGGTTACGACGTTTAGTTGAATGAGATGTCTGGAATCTCAAAGATACGACCGAGCAGGCTGAGATAACTGAAGCGTTCACAATACCGCGGTCAAACAAAGTCGAACATATTTCTTTAGAGTAGCGGTAATACGAAGAAGGATGAAAGTTCAAATTATGTAGCTTATCGAAGGGGAAAAGGTATGATCTACTACATACTGTATTTTGGTCTAGGGCTTTCCGTAACCCTAAAAGCTCTAATGCAGTGCAAACTTCGTGGTGGGTCTTTGTGGTTGTCAATAATTCTCGTCTGACCCAGAGCCCTAAAAACGGGCAAAACTCCTATAATTACTCGATTTGGAAATTTCTAGTCATGCCCTATTACAGTGAGTTGACGCCCTGAACCAGCGACGCCCTATATTAGAGGGTAAATTGCAGCTCCCATTTTAATGTATTGAAATTGTTCTTAAGTCTTCATCATTGACTTCTACGTGAGGTCAACTATACATCGATTACTGATATTTCGTCTTCAGGGTAGTTGGTTCTCATCCTGGTATTCAACTCCATCCCCTCATTTTTCGCCAAAATTTTCCTTCATTTTCACGATTTTTGAAAAAAGCTACTCTCCGGCAAGACACTCTTTCCACGATGGCCAAATCGCCCAAGATGTGAGTGCTACCTCAGAGGTTGTCAGGGCATGGGAAGTACAGAGCAGAGGCTGCAGATTGATGACACACCATCTTCGTCTTCTACAGAAGACTCTCCCAATGGGGGATTTTGAGCGTGGCTCCATGTTGTCGCCAGCTTCTGTATCTACTTCAACAGTTATGGTGCGTTAGTGTCTACGCATGCTGCTTCAACAACTATCGCGCAATGAAAGTGGACGCTCAGAAGCTAACTAAATGTTTACACTCGTTTCGCAAGTGTTAGTAATAGTTATGGTATTTTCCAGCCTTACTACACAGAACAAATAGGGTTTCTGCACCGAAAGCGGCAGCTATTGGATCCATTCAGAGCTTTCTATTGTTTTTTGGTACTTTCTGGCCTGACCACTCTACGATGCTGGCTACTATCGCTGCCTTTATGCAAAGTATCAGTATAGAGATTTAACACTTCATTCTTCCACAATATATGCATTGGCCTGGGAGGTGGTATCATATCTACGTTGGGCACGTCCGTGCTTTCAACATACTTCACCACTAACCTGCCACTTGCAAGTGGTATTTCTGGGTAAGGGCCTTTGATATTCTACTTATATTTGTTGAAAGTACATTTGGCTAACAAAAATCCTCTGCTACAGTATCTTATTTCCAATCCTACTCAATAATCTTCAGCCGAGGATCGGATACGGATGGAGTGTTCGTGTTTTGGATTTGTGAGTGTAGTGACACTTCTGATTTCAGTATTCGTGATGAGGGCCCGTGTCATTCCAAAGAAGAATCGTACGATAATCGATACGTCCGTTCTCATGATATTCTTTTTTGGGAATGCACTGCTTATCCTCGGTGTCTATATTCCATTCAAACTACGTTGAATCATTTACAGTTGACCAGAAAATTACTTCTGCAAACATCGCATCCTACGTTCTCGCATTTATGAACTTCTCGAGCCTGCTGGCAAAGTGCTTCCGATGTTGTTAGACCCTCGAATTGGTTCCTTCAATCTGCTTCTCTTCTTCGGGGTGGCAACCGGTGCTTCCTCCATAGCGCTGATTGGCGTCAAGAGTCTCACAACCGTTATTGGAGTATCTATCATCTATGCGTTCTTGTGTGGTGCTCTTTTTTGCTTTGCAACCAGTAGTGCTAATTGGACTTTGTCCAGATCCTGGACTCATCGGGGCACGAATAGGTATGGCATTTGTGATTCTTGATTTTGGAATTTTAGCAACATCACCTATTGCTGGTGTTCTTCAAGATTCAGTAAATTTCTAGTCACGTCCTATTACAGTGAGTTGACGCCCTGAACCAGCGACGCCCTAAAGTCGGTATGCCAGGATTCTCCACTTATATCGGTAATGCTAGCATGTACGAGGTGCACAAGTAAGATACTTCCTTTAGATGTAGACACGTATCCATGGATACTTCGAGGCATTTCTAATTTGTGCTATTCTAGGTTTATGGTCCTCGATCCATACCAAATCGGATATTTCATAACCCAGGTCGGGTTGTCAGCAGCTTCATTTGGTGTCGCCAATTTCGATATCAATGTTGTTGCCATGGCTCTTGAGGGTCTGTTTGACTACCGGTGTGCTCCCAAGAAAACTGTGATAGAGGCTCAAGGTCCGCAGTATCAGAGTATCTGCACAGATGAAAGCTGCCCGCTTGCATTAGACTCGATCTGTGCCGATCAGCCAAACATTTCACAGCCCGTTGTTGCAAATTCAACACTAGCTATGGGTGAGGAACGTACTGCCAGTAGCAGCAGCATCAGCAGCGCAATTGCGCCCTTATCCACTTCACGACCCTCAGGAAGCTCCACTGGTTCTGGTTCTGCTTCTGCTTCCGGCTCTTCGTCGGGAACCACTCCTATGCAGGCCAAGTCAGCTGGCTCCCAGTTGAATCCAAGGATAGGAACCCTATTTGTCCTTTTCATGATCATTGCCATCTGCTTCTAGGTATCCCAAACTGTTTTACGGCTTCGACATGGACAATGTCAAAATTGACATATATGGATAGTAGTAGTTAGCTACTTAGGCATAAACAGGATCGATTTGTGCTTTGGACTTACCAGTATTATTCAAGAGTTGAGCCTCATTGACCATGAAAATCGAACTTGACGTAGTAAAGTTGACCGACTATATCAGACCAAGCAGCTCTGAAGAACCGAAAAAGTTCAAATCCATTTTGTCAATTCAAAATAAGATTATCTCACTGCTATATTCAGGTAGGTAATCTTCGTTTGCAGCTCTAGTCTGAGTGACCTATCTCCGGGGAAGCCCATCTACAAGATATGACCGGTAGAGCGAAGTGAGAGGTATCCCTAATGAATATATGTGGTATCTTCCAAAAATAAGTACAATACAAGAGACAATGGAAAAGCGGTTATAGCAAACAGAGCTCACTTCCAAGAAGCCAAAGGTAACCGTATGAAAATAAGAAGAACGAGACGCCAGGACTCCGTCATCAATTATGCGCCTGAACATAGTGCAGATTAGACGACCCTCTCGGCGGACTCGCCTTCGGCGATAACAGGGACACTAAGGCCTCTTTCCGGACTTTGTAGAATGAGTTGTTCATGCTTGCGAGCGCGAAGAAAGTCGCTAACGGATCGAATCAAAATAAACCAACCAACAACCATCAAGATATACGATATCCATTCACTTGTTGTAATTGAGGAGATGCCGTTGCCTCCACTTCCACCTCCTTGGCCACCTGCACCAGAACCGTCGCCAATAGAGTTCGGATCAAAGTTATGACTATTAGGATCTGGTGGAGATGTATATGGGTCTGCATCATTATCGGGTCTTGAGACGCCACTTCCTTTCATATAAAAGCCATATTGCACAAGAGTCAGACCCAGACCGGCTTTACTGCCGTTCTTGGCAGCATGGGTAGTGTGAAGGAGATATGTGAGAAGGAATCCGACGAGCTGGAAGGACATGGAAATCATGCCGTTCCATGCAAACGAGAAGACGGATCCAACAGGCAGACCATCGACGTATACTTCATCGGAGGACATGCCAGGGGCCATTATAGTAGTTTCCCAATAAGGAGGTGTAGCATCGGCAGCTGCTTGTTCATATGACTAGTAGAAAATCAGTACGCGAATAATTTCACGAATAGAGAAGACAGCATACTGGAGGTAGATCTTCTTCCTGCTTCTCAGCCCTCTCGGGCTTGGCATTGAGGTTGGCAAAGACACCGTCATTTGATGAACCCGTTCCTATCACTCGCGAATTTGAAGTAAAAGTCGGTAGCATAGTGGCACGTCTTTGTGTTGATGACGGTTGAGCGGCCGCCGCATTTGACTCTGCTGATGTGTTATTGGTGGTTGTTGCGGTTATAGTAGGATCTCCTCTCATCAATCGCTGTCTATCGTCGGCTTCATCCGCGTCGTCTGAGTCATTTCCATCATCAAAGGCATCCTCTAGCGCATTATCGGGACCATCTCGCATGGGGTCTTCATGGAGCAAGCGACGCGACGAAGGTGACGATGATCGCGAATGGAAAGGAGGCGGAGGCGAAGCGGGGATTCCAGCAGTCAGATTCGGAAAGGCTTCGAGTCGACCATCATCATCGTCATCACGAGTATTCACCTATAGATCATTCATAAAGAGATGAGCAAACGTCTAGTGACAGCAACGACAGTAACATAGTCACTTGAAGGGGAGTGGTTTCACTTACCCGTTGATATGACTGCGAAGTCATGATAAGCGGATTTACCGGACTGGGTTATAGATGGGCCTTGAATGAGTGAACTACAAAAGAAAATCGACAACAGCAATGACGAGGCAAAAAGAATCGATATAGAAGAACAAAAAAAGGTTAAATGATTGGAGGAGACGAAGAGACAGAGGGATGATGGATGATGGATCTGGATGGAAGGGGCTCTCTCTCGATGAGGCGGTCGGAGTTTCAGTCAGTGGCGGAGTCAATGGTGGCAGCCTGACGTCGACACCTGATTACTGAGGCACAAAAGGATTTTCGGGGCGGCCGGACATCTTCATTTGTCCTTCACTTCGAAGCTTCGATATTCTCCATGAGATCACCACAATTCAACGTGAGGAATTACTGTTTAACAGCCTACGCGACTATATTCAGTACATTTTAATTGCAATCGCGTGATACAAAATGTCGAGATCACCAGTAAGCAAGCCCAAGCCTATCTTATCCACATGACTTCCTTCGCAGGTGCGCCAGAGGTATACATTCAATCTAACCATCAACAGCAAACCATCAGTACGCGCCTGGCGCATCTCGTTAAAAGCTGGCCCACCGATACCGTGCGACCAGCTTCTGTCTCTGTACAAACATATCTTCAAAGCCGCATGCCCAAGTCCGAGTCTGAGACTCCCCAAATATCGCAGTCGTCGATAAATGCGCTTACATCCCTCCTCAACAATCAATATAGCAAACAATACCCGTTGCCGCAAATTTTACGACGTCCCGCTAGCAATCCCAGTCATTATGATGATGTGGTGAGAGAGTTTGAAGAGGCGCCTAACCGGAATTGGTTGGGGAGGATACAGAAGAGATTGGGAGGGATGTTACGGTTCAAATAGTCGAGGGTTGAGAAATAAGGATGGTGAAAGCATTGTTCGAGCTATGATGGGTACGGAGTTGGGGAAATGTATGTACGCCACTGTATATTGTACAATATTGCATACGATTTTTTTTAACCAGTCACGTGGAACGATCATAATGGATCAGTGATAGTTGTTATGATGGTAATGTGCACTGAAAATCATTTATATGCGCAAGAGGATATAGAATACAGGCATCAATCATCAGCCCTTGTAACGAGTTACAACATCGGCTTCAGGTCATCGGTAACCTTGAAGGGAGCACCGGTCTTAGCCTTAACCTCGTCAACGGTGACACCATCAGCAATCTCAATCAAAGTCAACCCATCAGTGAAATCAACATCAAAGACAGCCAGCTCTGTGATGATTCGGCTGACACATGCCTTGCCAGTCAATGGGAATTCACACTGCTTCAAGATCTTTGGATTGCCCTTTTTATCTGTGTGCTCCATCGTCACGACAACTTTGGTCGCTGAAGGGTTGGAGACAAGATCCATGGCACCACCAAATCCCTTTATTTTGCCCGGAAGCATCCCTTAAGACAGCTTTAGCAACGAAGAGCCAGGTTAATCGAAGAATATAAACTTACAGTTCGCAAGATCACCTCGGGCACTGACTTGCATAGCCCCGAGAATAGTCAAATCAATACGTCCCGAGCGAATCATACCGAAAGACTCATCACTACCAAAAACAGCAGCTCCCGGCAAAAGAGTCACAGTCTCCTTGCCAGCATTAATAAGATCGGGATCTTCCTGACCTTGCTTGGGATACGGCCCTAATCCAAGAATACCATTCTCCGATTGCAACATAACCTCGACAGATGGGTCGACAAAGTTTGGTGCCAACATGGGCATTCCAATACCCAAGTTCGCATACATGCCGTTCTTGAATTCCTTTGCAGCACGTCGCACGATTCGCTCACGCTTGTTTGCTGTATCTCCTTTTCCGAGAGCGGACATATCATCGCCTTCTTCCTTGGCGTATGTTCGTTTCTCAATTTGTTTTTCTTCTGTGCTCTGAATCACGCGTTTCACGTAGATTCCTGGCAGATGGACGGCGGCAGGTTCAATTTCGCCTACTTCAACGATATGTTCTGCCTCAACAATGGTCATTTTCGCGTTTCGGCCCATGGCACCGTTGAAATTGGCTGCGGCGTATCGGAACTGGCAGTTACCCAATTTATCTGCCTTCCAAGCCTTGACAAATGCATAGTCGCCCTTGATAGCTTCCTCCATAACGTAACTCTTCCCATCGAAGACCTTAACATCTCGCGGTGCTCCGTACAGGGCCACGGTGCCATCACTGTTATGTTTTAGGGGTAGTTCACCGGTCTGAACCACCGTTCCAAACGCAGCTGGCGTATAGAAAGCAGGAATGCCTGCTCCGCCCGCACGACATCGTTCAGCTAGTGTACCTTGGGGAGTTAACTCCAACTCAATCTCGCCACTGAGATACATGCGCTCAAACGTCTTGTTTTCACCAACATAGCTAGCAATCATCTTTTTGATTTGTTTACTGGCAAGAAGCAAGCCTAATCCGGATCCGTCAACTCCGGCGTTATTACTGACTGCAGTAAGGCCTGTGATTTGGGGGTTGGCTCGGACAGCGTTTATAAGAGTGTCGGGGACACCGCATAGTCCGAAGCCTCCGGCTAAGAGGGTTGAGTTGGATTTGAGGTCTTTGATAGCTTCTTCGGCGGATGGGAGGATTTTGTTGATTTCGCATCGGCGAACGGAGCTTGAGAATGCGCGAACGAGGAATTGCTGGTGCTGTATTGCGTTAACCGTTTGCGTAGTTAGAAGCATAGACAAACATTCCTACCTTGTTCTGTCGAGCAGTGACTTGCCTTGCCACACGTAGGCAGTACCTGATTTGTGAGGGCATCTTCGCCACAATCCTTTTGAGAGCTACTCTCTCAGCGGATTTGAACTGCTATCAATTTCGTACCGGCCTATTCCCGGTATACAAGCTGATAATGCTCTTATCAACACGTTCAGTCTCGTCGTTCTTCGTGCAATATAGACCGGGAATCACTTTAATACTGACGTAGGTGAACTTTAAGAATAAATGACTGAACCAGCTAGGACAATAACGAGCATGGACACGACCACTATATATACGCAGTCCTCATATTCCGCTCTTCACAGCGATGCCATCATCCGATGTTGTTATCCGATGCGCTCGGGCTTTACCCCGGATAATCAAATGTGGAGACTCGCGCGGAATGGTTGCGCGCTTTCCGCTGTTTGGCTGGGGTAGTAGCTAGAACTCTCAGAACAGAATTATCATCACCATTCAAAGCAGCATTCGAATATGTATTTTCTTACTTTTGATGTAAAGGCTCGGATTCCTACTGCGCGCATAAGGTGATTTATATTCTTACTGAGGATCACGAAGTGGCATGCGTGGATGACAAGTACTGTTAGAACTGCATTCAGCCGGCTAGTGACGGCAACAGGCGGTTACTCATGCCTCATACCGTATGTATTCCTGTCACGTAGCTCTAGATTATCAGAAGTATTGACACGGTTAAACGGTATCCATCACCATGAATGAGGATCTCATGAAATTACTCAATATAACTCTCGTAATGAGGAACAGGGACGTCCCACGAGTCCATCGTTGAATGTCTCTCAGAGACTGCTCTCGCGGTTCCCCAACGAAGCAACAACATGCGCATTCCATCTCTCGATTGAATGCACAGATGCTAGCGGTTCGCCTTCAGTGACCCGAACGTTGGCTTGTACCTGCGGAGGAATATCATGATGCATCACTTCCCCTCGCTTTCCAAAACCAGCATCAGATTCATCATCGCCGTCTTCACCCTCGCGGTCGCCGTCATCATCGGAACTTGCCGAGGAAAAAAATCCGCATATCGCGGGTGGTAAAGACGATGGTGCCAATTCTTCATGTGTCGCTGTGACAACGTGGGTTTGGAAGAGTTTCTTGCCCTTCTTGTGGATTCTGCCGTTAGAACTAGAGGAGGTATTGGTGTCCTTCAAGGTATGGTGCGATACGAGCGATGCTTCATTTTTCCGACACGGCACCTCTTCGCAGCGACTAGTTCTGTCAATGCAACCACCTGTCTCCTCGTTGGGCTTCACTGGAACGTATTTCATGGCAACATGTACAGCAAAATTATCGTCAGGGACGACATCCCCAATACCCGAGGCTGGAAGCTCCATTGATGTGGTCATGTATCCATTTACTGCTGATGACAATGGCTCTTCAGCTAGAGATAAAGCAGGGGAGTTGTATTGACTGAGGTTCAACGCCGGGTCTTTCTCGCTTGGATAAGAATGAAATCGATTTGCAGCAATGTTGGTGGTATGTGGTCGCTGTTGACATCGCGATCGATCAGGACTGCTTTGGCGCTTGCGCTTCCCCGCAACATCCTCGGTCCCCGCGAATTCCTGTGGTTGTGAGTCTTTTACATCGAGATTATCTCCCGAGTAATCAATGTAAAAGGTCGAATTCTTGTAGTAAGTCGATCGGTCTTGAAACTCCGCTTGCGATCGCAAACGAATACTCGAATTCTCACCGCTTACAGAGGCGCGAAAGCTGATTTCGGAACCACTACTTATCATAGACAATCCATCATCATCATAATAATCATCAGCCTCACTAGCACGGGTTCTGGATATAAAAGGTATATAGTCTGAGAAGGTTGGTCTATGCAATGATGTTGTGTTGCTCCCAGCAAGACCAAGGACCGTTTCTGGATGGATCGATTTGCTTCGAAAATCTTGCGCCTTCGGATGGCTACGGACGTGATCATACATCAAATTGGACCATGCCAACCCACGTCGGCTGCTAGCTGTCCATCTCACAGAACAGCCATCTGACGAAAGCTCAAGTGGTGTACCATGTTCCTTCAAAGCCTCCCGCGCGAAATCAGGGTCAATGTTTGAAATTACATGCTTTATTGAGTTCAGTGTGTCATTCACATCAAACCAGGCATCTGGGGGCTGCGATGTATTTTCGAAATGGTGGTGATTAGTTTTGGTTGCAACGCCCAAACGCTGCTTGAACAGCATGGTCACGATTGCTTTAAGGGCATCATCACCTGATACAGGTGTATTGTCGCTCATATGCTTGCTTTTGGTGGCAGTTGACCTATCTCTCGGGAACCGGTGACTTGCAGAGATATCAGAGGCAAATCGCTGCAGGATTCTCTCCAATTGCCGTTTTCGCCGGCGTGGAAGACCATAAGTGCGGACATCAAATAGCTTATCCGCCTGAAGTCGAGGGGGATCTCTTTCCTTGTACCTGCGAAGCTTTCGCTTTAATCGTTTGATATCCAAGGTCAAATCGTCAATGATTCCACGAAGTTCTTCATTTTCCCGTTCGTTATTGTTCCCGCGCATATAAGACAGAACGGGATCGTGTATGGGATCTGGACTTGAAAGCCTCCCGCCAGAATAATTGGGTTCGACAGCATCAAGGAAGAAGGGCGCATCGTCTGCCAGTCTGTCAGTCAACAAAGAAGAAAAATCTTCATTCCTTGATTTACCTCCTAATCCGTCTAATTGGGATGTTACGTGTTGATTCGCCTCGATGAACCAATGCTCAGACTCAGCATGTTGCTGGCTTTGTTCAGTTCTATTCCCAATGGATCTATGAGGCATTTGTACAATGCCCGCTGTCCCTCGGGATTTGGACGCAGATCTGGGTAGCGAGTGGCTACCATTACTGTTCCCCTTTCTCCCATCTAGTGATGCAGTCATTGGTTGAAGCACAACTGACGAAATTGTCAAACCAGGTGAAGAAGAGACTCGATTTTAAACTGGTAGTTAACCCAGAATCATCAAAGAATCATAGCAGTATCACACTCGCAATACTAGCATTGGGTATGATTGGACCACAAGAGATGAAGATCAAGAAGGACGAAATATATCAAGGACATGAACAGGATATGCTGCTGTATTGCCCAATATTCAAAAGCTCATGGACGTGATCGGAGCAATTGACATCTGTATCACCATGTAATTCTTTTGAAGAAGGGCAGCAAATACTCAAAAGGACAATGATCCAGTGTAATGCCAATTTATAATAGAATTTGACCTCCACGCCGAGTCCACGATCTCGATTCTCCCACCCATTGCGGTGAGAGTGGATGAATCGATGGTATATATAACGTCCGAGCCATTGAGAAGAAGCTATAGGGGGCGATAGGATTGTCATCACGCAAAAAAAAAAAAAAAATAAAGAGCGAAAGGATCTAGCAGCTGAGGGAATCTTGGACCGTTTCAGTAGTATGATTACTATGGGCGAGCGGTAACAGAGCGGGTATGTGCTGTCTCGGAAGAAGAGAGAGGAAGTTATCGCGATCACAACGTTGTAGGGTCGATCTGAGAATTGGGGAGGAGGCCAGCAAAACAGTTGGGATCGAGCCAGTCAGGTCCCGCGAAATAGGCTGACCGCTCTAGGGTTGATCGCGATCGCAGCTTGTTTGGGAATAGCTTCAGAGTGTAAATGGCTTCACTTTTCGACCGAAGGACAGCATTACAGACGTATTCTTCTGGAGCAGAACCGTGTTTGTATGCAGCCAAGATACTATGGAACGGGATTATAGCACAGCTATTTTCAAGATACAATCAATACATTGCAGCATCGTTGCTAATTCTTAATCCACATCTGAATTAATCACAGTAATGTCTTGGCTTCCCTATCCAAGACCTCACTTGCGTGTCCATTCCTCCTTTCCCTAAAAAAGCAAAATCTCAATAAATCTCCCAAGCCAGGTCATTGCAGTAATGTTTTCCAAGATCTCGAAAAGCTCACAATTTCAAACAAATAAAGGAAGAAAAAACTGAATATATTTACATGCCCGCAACCCATCACGCCCAGAAAAGACTCGGAATAATAAAAGGAAAGAAAAGCACGCCAAAGTGAGGAACCTGCAGACAGCAATATTCGTAATTCGGATGAGTTGGGCGATATGTCGTGGTCAAAGGAAGGAACTTATGTCGATGTATGGACACGAAAAAGGAGGGTGGGTTTCGAGAGCCGAAAGTCAGAAAAAAAGCATCTGAATGACGGCGAGAACAAAACAGCTGAGACAGGTCGATCGATTTACTGATCCAGTATTGTTTTGGTGTAGACATTATAAAATCGTAGTAGAGGACGCACTTATTTGTGATAGCATTCAGCGATCGGGGTTGGTGACCTAAATCGGTTTCCAATTAGCCTGAGTCCTTTAATACGATAATACTAATGTGGTGGTGGCTCTTACCTGGAGAATGCGTCGCGAAAAGTCCTGGGAATCGGCAATGCTGCCATTGCTTTGGCGTCGTTGAGCCATAAAATCGCTATCCCATCGAGCATCTGAACTCATTGATGATGGTTTTTGAGCAAAGGCATTGATTTCAGCGTTCCGTCTGTACTCCTCTTCAACGCGTTGTTTCTGCCGACGTCGGAGGAAGAATACCGCAGCCCCAATGATTGCTGACAATACAACAACACCTACGACGACACCCGCAGCAATACCGGCGGTATTCGTACCGCTTGACTTGGACGAGGCGGAGGGTTCGCTAGATGCTGTGATAAAAATGGTTTGTCCTGCTTGTGTAACGACGGTGACTCCAGCGGTGGTGGAGGTAGTGGCGGAACTAGTAGTGCTGCTGCTGGTATCTGAAGATGAGTCATCCATGGGAAAACCAGTTAGATAGACATCGAATGCAGACTTCCCGCCGCCTACAATGATTTGTTAGTCTTCCCTTGCACTTTCCGCTTATAAAAGTTGGGAGAATGCTTACAGCCGTCGTCACTATAACCGACACAAGTCTTATCACACCCTTGAGATTGAGTCGAATTTGCAGGCAATTCATGACCACACCAGCACTCATTTCCATTCGTCATGGCCATCACAGGATATCCCAAGGGGACACATTGATGCTGGCAGTACCCTTTGCTTTGATATATCCATGATCCGTTGTTTATGAAGTCATTGGGTATTGACGAGTAACAGGAGACATATGTTGTTGTGTTGTAAGCAATGTCGGCAGCCACGGGAGATGGAGCCCACAATAGCAATGAGGATGCCGCCAAAACGACGCTGGACGCTGTGAAAACCATGTTGATTTCTGGTTTGTTTATCTTCTTTGTCGTATACGATTCGACACCCTCAGGACACGGAACACCTGTAGTATGGCGATGAAGGGACGACCTGCGTAGCCCTTGGTCACCGACACGAAGGTTCTTGATATCGTTATTTTTCTTCTTGTTCTGTGCGTCTCTTTCTGGCACGAGCCTGTCAACAAAATCGGTCAAATCCTGTTGTCGACGGTATGTTGTTCGTCTGTGGACTAATTCAGGGGGTTTATGGATGTTCTGGAGATAGACAAGTCGTTACGATTGACAAGACGACGGAGACTCCGGAACCGACGTTGGTTGAAAGTGAGTGTCGAAGCAGGTCGCCCGCTGGCGCCGTGCAATAGATGAGCCCCTGACTTTGTGTGGTATTTGCCAGCCGGGCGTCGGTTCGTGTTTTGGTTTGTTTGAGGTGATGAAAAGCCTTCCTTGATAGAGAAGACAAAGGACAGGCAGCGAAGGACTGAATTGAATGAAAGGTTGACTAGGCTCTGAAAGTTGGTAGGTAATAGTATAGTGAGGGAAAATTAACGAGAGAATGGGGAAACGAAGGTAACGACGGCAAGACTAAGGATCGTGTGAGTCTGTCTGGAGAAGGAAGGCACAGGGCAGACAGGGAGAGACGGGAGACCTCCTGGAATGGGCATGACCTAGACTGGTTTGGGTCATCAGAAACATGGCTGCAGTCCGGCGCCCTCTAGCGGCCCGCTAGTGACCCCCTTACGCACTGCTGATTGGCTTATCGGCCCATATCAGTCTCTAGTGGGTCCTTTCCCCCAATCTTATTGGCTTGTGCCTGGCCGCAGCGGGACATCGTCTCCATAGGGTGCGTTTTATTGTCACACAGACCCATACATGTACTCTGTGCGCTGTCTACTCCGTACAGCATACCGAGGAAGAGTTACATGTCCCAGATACTAGTATCTGAAAGACTCAATGAAGCCACTGCTTCAGCCTTTATGAGTCCAATGTTGTTGATTGACACACCTAGTCTATGGCTGACGGTGTGGCGCGATAAAGCCGGCCATCTGCGTCTAAGGCTGCATCGGTGGAGCAAAAGAGTCCGAAGGCGTCTCCCACCCATCTCAAATTCTCGATTGATAAATTGACCGTTCTCTACATATTGACTATGAGATAAAGCGTTATTGATTTCTAGTTATAAGCCATTTCAATTGATATCTTTGACTCAGCCATACCCGTACGTACTGTCCGGTGACATGGTCATGAAAGTTACCCACGCCCTGAGTCAGAACACCATCCAAAAGCGACAATGACTCTGACTGTCACGTGAATTCATTTAAGCCTCCATCGCAACCAAGCCTTCGAGACGACCTCGGATTCGGCTTCGATCGAACTTTCAAAATTCGTTACGAATACTCCGTACATAGGAGTAATCATTGTAGCCCAACGTCATCCGAGGCCTTCCGCAGCAGATCCATCGGCGCAAATTTACCGATCATTCCTGGACGGCCCGATCCTTATAGAGCAGTCGAGAAGAGTTCCGAAGGGTGAAGGCTCTCATCACAAATAACGATTCAGCTGCACGCGTCCTCGAGAAGCAAAATGAAGTATCGAAAATAATGTTGCCAAGAACCGCAGGTTGTTGATCGGGAGTCCTAGGGGAGTCCTTCAAACAACGTAGAATGCATAGCTACACTAACAAAACTTTACATAGATTCCTCACTAAATTTATGATTGCCGCATTCCTCCTCGGAACAAAAACAAACCGTATAAACGAAGCGAAAGAGCAGACGCGAATTCCTCCCTTGGCACGTCCATACCTAGGACAAATTAACATGTCAGATAAAAAATCTGCCCGATCTCAGAATACCACCAGGGTCTAGTCAGACATTACGTACAAAGGATTTCACCCTCAACGGAGTCCATTATCATTTTGCTACTCTCGCTGCTGATTGTTAGCTGCCTGACAGGCTGACAAGCTGACATACGCCATAGACGAGGTCTAGAACCTCACATTTAGTGCTGGACCCCACGGGTCACGGTTCACAAAAGAAAAGAGATACGGTAAACCAAAAAAAAAATTTTAAACAAAAGAATTGGCGTAGATCGTTTTACGAGTCTCTGACTCGTGAGTCTAGACATCCATGGATGCGCCCAACTGAACATTGGAATCTAAGCCATCGAGTTGTTAAGAAAAAGTCTATGTTCTCAGTCAAAGAACGGCGACCAGTACACGTTCCACTAGATAGCCAACGTTACAGTGCTTTAGGTCGTTTCAAGGTATCAATATACATTGAATGCATGGATGCCGGTTGTCATACAAGATATGATTATGATTTATAGCGGGTGGAACACCATATACTAATTCAGTAAATAATACCATTCATTTGCAACTCCTAGACATACTACCATAACTTTTAAATGTGCAACTGTTTGCACAACTCGTCCAAGCGACAGGTTCCTCTATATAGTCCCCGAACCTCATAGGTCTTGCTCAAATGAGACACATCTCATGGCTTGGGTATACGTAATGTTTTGCTAACCATCAGACAGCCCCAGAGCGCAAACAACAATACAACTGGATGAAATTCAAGTACGGTGCCTTTGAGAATAGTACCCCACGGCAAGTTTTCGTGGATCCAGCCTTGAGAAACCCAGTAGGCCATGAGGCTCGCAATAGATAGGGAAGTGGGTATCGGGGTGCCCTCAAAGTATTTCGATTTTCCGGTCTTGTCCTTGGGAAGAACGGCAGCGGTGACGTTGAATCGTGCTAGTCTTGTCAAGCCACAAAGGACGAAGAAGCTAAGGAAGAGGTGGTCTGCGAAAGTTCGAATTCCAATGGCGAACGCTGCTACAGCGGGTGCAACGCCAAAAGAGATCTGTAAACAACCGAGCAATACAAGTCAGTCTCCGTAAACACAGCAAAGATGAATATCCAAGGTTCGCATACCAAGTCTGCCAGAGAGTCCAGCTCTTGACCCATCAAAGACGACTTTTTGCGCCATCTTGCAACTCGACCATCCATAAAGTCGAAGAATAGACCAAAAGGCATGAACGCAAGCGCTAACCAGACATTACCAATGCTTTCGGGCTCCGTCAAGTATCGCATCGACGACAGGACCGACATGACTGTTCCACTTTGTTTAGCTAAACTCCTGGTCCGAGATTTTCGAGGGTCGGCTGCAAGACTTACATCCGCAAAAGCCTATAATAACATCCCCAGTTAGCCGTCTGCAATATTTGGAGAAGGTATCCATTGAAACGCACCATTCAATTCAGTTATAAGATCCGCAAGGTGCAAGGTCCTGTTGATGTTAATGTCTGACTTGCTGAGGTTGGCTGAAGGACACCAACCGAATCATGCTAAAATGCCCTGTCTCTGCCTGGAGCAGTTTTTTCTGCTTCTCTTGACTGACTACGAACTTGTTAGCGATCGTTGTTCTTTAAGCTGCCTGTCATCTGTACGTACCATCTCCACCTACACCGTTGCCAGTGTTAGGCTCCGAAATCGCCGAATGGACTGGGGTTCGACGAGACATGGTGTTCACTAGGATGAGGCGATGATAGATACTTCCTATTACCGAGACGTATCAAGGAATAAAACAAAATAGATATTTTTTGGTGAAGGGCTCTGATTGAAGGTGGTGCCGCGGGCTTTCCTTTCGAATTTACGTTTTCCAGGATGAAGGTTGGCGTAGCAGCCAGACGTCATTGTTTGATTCGTTTGCATTACCCAGCCACAATGCTCAAAAAAATTTCACAAGACCGTCCAGATCGTGTGGCTGGTGCATCACCACCACAAGTTCTAGGATTCGCTTGCCTGAAAATGATAATTTACAGCATTTTTTTTAACCGGTGAGAGCAAATTTCTAGTTACTTGCGACAGCCGTAAATTTGAAAAAAATCCGTATCCAATTCCCCCAACGCCAAATGTATAACAAGACGAGAAACAATACGCTGGCCGGATATTTTGCGAGCAAAATCTTAACCACGTCCACGGAAACCTCCACGAGAGCTCCCACGAGCTCCGAATCCTCCTGACCCTCCTCGCGAGAAGCCGCCACGGCCTCGAGGAGCACCTGCACCACCTCTACCACGGAAGCCTCCAGGGCCACCTCGGCCACCTCGAGCACCACCCCTGGGTGCCCCTCGTCCTCCGCGACCACCACGAGCACCACCGCGGGCTCCAGCTGGTTTCTTGACCTTGGAACCGGGAGGCGCTTTAGGCTTCGGAAGGAATCTATCAACGAGTATGACGTTAGTGACCACCTTTTTAAGCATGGATGTAGCAAAACAATTAAACATAAGAACGTAAATATGGTATGGTGAATGTACTTTTCCAAAGGTAGTAGTTTGTCTCCACCAATGTAGAATTTATCTCCGGACTTAAACGAGGTTGCGACGATTCCTTCTTGAGGTTTGATAGTGAAATAGACTTGGTTAATCGGACCAAGCACTTCGTCAACTTTTCCGACCGGCGTCTAAAAAAAAGAAATTAGAATCAAAATTGGAACGCTAGCTTTTGCTAGGTATAGATTATGCGAGTCGCATACCTTATTCTCCAGGTAGATCGGAGCATTGAAATATGGGATCTTCGGGTTGATCGATTCGCAAACCATTTCACCTTCACAAGCATGCATAAAAGTTCCCATTTCTACATCAATGAGTATTTGTCCGTCATCCAATCGATTGTCATAGATCCATACCTAGAACTTGGGCAGGGGGCCCGAATGATTGCTGGAAGCCCCCACGACCTATTCCAAGCACACGATTAGCACACCAATTCTGTATTTTCCGCAACATGAAGAAGGATATTCTTACCTCCACGATTGGCGCCAGAGGCAAAGCCGCCGCGGCCGCGTCCACCGCCACGAAAAGACATGACTGCTGTGATGTATGATTGTCGAGGTGGTTGCTGTAGAAAATGTTCGTTGATTCCGAAGTTTTTTTGCTGTGGGTACTAAAAGCGGTAAAGTCTGGAACTAGATCAGGCAGGCTCACGTGATACACCGCCTTCCTCTGTGTTCCCCTCCAGCCCACCAAAAGAGTAATTTTCTATGTGACTCACCTCGCGTCGCTCCATTATCTCTTTCTACAGAAAATTACTGTCGTTGGTGAGGCATCAATGGCTTCGGAAGGACAAAAAGATCTTCCTGTTCGCCCTGCTAGTGAAACCAAAATGGAGCAAAAGTCCAGCTCCTTGCCTGATCCCTTCATCGAGCGAAACAAGCTCTTCGAAGAGCTGTGGCAGCAACATCTCAAAGAGCTTGCGGAGAAGCCTCGATCTGATATAACAATTACACTTGATATTGGTGACGGAAACCCTTCAACGGTAATTGGCAAATCCTGGGAGTCCACCCCCGGGTCGTTTTTGAAGGATGTCCCAAAAGAAATCAGCGCCAATATTGTAATTGCGAAGATTGACGACAAGGAACTGTGGGATCTCAATCGCCCGTTGGAGAGGGACTGCAAGCTCTCTTACCTTCCTTTTGACCATCCAGAAGGACGAGATGTTTTCTGGCATTCAAGTGCTCACTGTCTAGGAGAAGCTTGCGAACTCGAGTTTGGTTGTCTTCTATCGCACGGTCCACCCACTCCCCAGGGTTTCTTCTACGACATGGCTATGCCAAATGGGTAAACTTTGCTTTCATTAGACTGGCAGTTCGCAAGAGAGTCATTAATTTGTTTATATTATAGGCGCGCCGTTCTCCCATCGGACTGGGCACCACTCGATAAGAAAGCAAACCAGATCTTCAAGGAACGCCAAAGCTTCGATCGACTTGAAGTTAGCAAGGAAAATCTTAAGAAGATGTTCGCTTACAGCAAATATAAACTGCACTACATAAACAACCTTGTGGAGGGAGAGAAGAGTACTGTTTATCGCTGCGGAACCTTAGTCGATCTTTGTCGCGGACCTCATATTCAGAACACAAACAAAATCAAGGCCTTTAAAATCATGCAAAACTCCTCCGCTTATTTCCTCGGTGATCAATCAAACGACTCTTTACAGCGAATCAGAGGTGTTGCTTTCCCAGATAAGAATGGCATGAAGGAGCATTTGAAATTCCTTGAGGAGGCTGAAAAGCGTAACCACCAGAAAATTGGCAAGGAACAGGAGCTTTTCTTCTTTGACGATGTCTCTCCTGGGTGCCCTTTCCTTCTTCCTCATGGCACAAAGATCTTCAACGCATTACAGAAACTCTTACGGGCAGAGTATCGCAAACGCGGATACCAAGAGGTGCAGACACCCAATATGTACGATGTGGGTATTTGGAAGACCTCGGGACATTGGGCGCACTACTCGGATGATATGTTCAAGTTGGACGTTGAGAAGCGAGAATGGGCTTTGAAACCCATGAACTGCCCAGGTCATTTCATGCTTTTCGGTCACCGCGAGAGGAGTTATCGAGAGCTACCTCTGAGGATCGCTGACTTCGGTGTGTTGCATAGAAATGAGGCTTCTGGAGCTCTACATGGCCTCACGCGTGTGCGCAAGTTCCAGCAAGACGACAGTCATATTTTCTGTACCTCGGAACAGGTATGCTGTATTCTCCCCTTAATTTCCATGTTTGTGAGCCTAATTATGGATGGTCTAGATAACTTCTGAGATCGAAGGAATTTTCGACTTCCTGAAATCCGTCTATGGTCTCTTTGGCTTTACTTTCAAACTAAAACTATCTACTCGCCCAGAAAAGTACATGGGTGAGCTGGAGGCATGGAATTATGCAGAAGAGCAGCTTCGCCAGGCATTGAACAATTTCAAGGGAGATGACTGGGAGATTAATGAAGGTGATGGTGCTTTCTATGGTCCTAAAATCGATATTACTATCTCAGACGCGCTCAAGCGGGACTTCCAATGTGCTACAATTCAACTCGATTACCAAGCACCGATCAACTTCAAGTTAGAATACATCACCAACGAAAAGCAAGCTGGTTCGGATGCCAAAGCCAACAAGGACGACACAGAGAAGGCCAAGGAATCAAATGCGAATCGTGCGCGCCCAGTTGTTATCCACCGTGCTATTATTGGCAGCTTCGAACGGTTCTTGGGTATCCTGATTGAGCATTTCGCTGGTAAATGGCCATTCTGGCTTAGCCCTCGTCAAATCTTGATTGTCCCTGTTATGCCGGCACTCAATGATTACGCAAAAGAACTCCAAGAAAATTTATTGGCTGATAAGTTCAACGTTGACGTGGATGTCAGCGGAAACACTCTACAAAAGAAGATTCGTACAGGTCAATTGGCCCAATACAATTTTATTTTCGGTAAGTTGTTATTAGATGAACTCCTTGAATTGCCCAAGACTAACGGTCACATAAGTTGTTGGCGCACAAGAAAAGGAAAGCCGATCGGTCAACATTCGCAACCGGGATGACCCGAGTTCCCATGCTAAAGGCGAATTGATCTCTCTCGAGGAAGCTCGCGTCAAGCTAAAGGCTCTCCGCAAAGAGCGTAGACTTGTTAACGCACTGTAACTGAGACAAGACTGACGGAACACAAATCGGCATACGGTTGGGCCTAACGGCAGCATTGAAAGAAATATTAGTAAAATCAGTCATTGTGGTTTTCTAACAGCTATGTTATCGAACTTTAGAACAAAATATATTCATTAGTTTATATACCAGTCTGCCCTCGAAGGGCTTCCCCTTCAAATTCCAAAAGTTGATCTCCAGGGCTAATACCTGGACAATAACGGTCTTCCATGAAACAAATTGATTTCTATGTACAATCTATCTAACTTCGCAACGGTAAGATCAGAGGAATGTCATGTTGTAAGCAGTGCGTTATCTGTATGGGAAATAAGACAGGGTATATAATACACAAGAGGTATCACAGGACAGAATTCTGGTAAGATAAGAAAACGTCATAATCAACAAGTATCAAATGCGAAGAGAGAAAAGAAAAGATTGAGGAATCGTAGTCTAAAACGCCATACCATCCCGAAAGCCATCCCACATCAGAAGTCGTATGTATGTACATCGTTACAAAGTCTTTCGCCAACTTACTTTGAGTCTGGGGAAAGATTGAATGGTAAATCTTAAGAAAACATGAATAGAAGAATATGCTTTGCAGCTAACGGCAAGCAGAACAGGGGCTAGAAACTCCACATGCCCCTTATTTCACCTCGTGCACCTCTAGGTTCGGACAATCGAGCAAGTACTCGATTGGCTTCATGGAGTAGACCTCCGGTACGGCCTTCATGAAGCTGAGTCATCCGTATATATTGCAAGAGTGGATACATGTTGCAACGCACTGCTGCTGGAATGTTTGTTTGAGATATTTGTCTCCAGGTCGGAGCCAAGGATATCATGTTATGAATGTATGTCCGTGCTTCATCGGCCTGATGATCTGGTGGATTTTCTGTTTCTGATCGTGCGAGATTGTTATAATCAAATCCATATGCCCAGCATATCAGAACGCAAGTATAGACGCTCCAAGTCGCCTGTAGCATGGTAGATGGACCCGCCGCTGCGGATTTTATCACAGGCACATTTCTGGTCCAAGCGGTATTGACTGTAATAGGAGTAGCTGTAGACGATTGCCATTCAGGGCTATGTATAGCATAATGTAAAGCCCTCACAGCGTGCCAGATAGCTTTTTTGACATCGTCGGTATCAGATACCCACTGTCGTAATTTTGTCTTCGCACTCCAGAACTCGCCTTCCTGGGCAATCTTTTGATTGAAGAGCCATGACTCGCCACTGACCGTAAGTAGGGTGTGTAATGGCGTATACCGTACGGCCATCAGAGTATGATAGCTAAAAAGGATTTGAGAGTGATGACTTCCGGGTTGACCTTGGAAAAATGTGATGAGAGCGTTTAGTGGGTTATTTGGCAAGCCTTCGTCTTCGGTGTCAACGTAGGAAGAGAAACTATAAGTTAGAATCAGAAAGGCTTGGAAATAATCCAGTCCTTCCGGTCGAAGCCCGGAAAGTCGATGGATGCTAGCGGCAGCGGAAGGAAGAGATAAAGAGACGTAGGATCGAGCTAAAGAGACCCATTGGCTTAAATCTTTGCTCTCCCACAACTCCGCACAGCACGGAAAAGGAATCTTGGTTGCTTGCGAGATCTGCGGTTGCCTGTTGAATGGATTGGAACTAGGTTGCACTGAAACGGAGGGCTGGCCAAAAAGTTTGGATTGCAAAACGTCCAGGATGAACGCAGCTTGCAAGACACGACGCCTGGTTTCATGTTCAACCCAGAACTTTTGTGCTCTATTTAAAGCATCATGCGAGGAGTCGGGAGGCAGGGTGTTCAAAACAGCAAGAGGATTCACATGTACCCAATGTCTATCTTGCATAAAACTTCCATATAAACTGCGAAACCGATGGGAGATCTGTACATCCGCCTTCCGTGACCTAAATTTCGACAGATGCTCGAGCAGGAAGACAGCCTGGATATCGTTCACTCGAGATCTACTGGTAATCGCCGGCCGCTTGGCCAGTAACTTGTTGCAAGCTTCGAGAAGAGCCAAGGAGTATTCCTTTGCGTTCGGCCGTGTATCGAACTGAGAACCGATTGCAACCATGGCGCCAGACAAGAGTGGGCTAGGTTTAGTAGTGAAGAAAGTAGGGCGGTGGACGATAGGGAATAAGGGATGAAAGTGTTCCCAATAGCACTCAAAACAATCTTGCCATTTTACAGTGTCAATGATTTCCATGCCGTCGTCTCCGGAAAGGACCCCGGGCGCTGAAGTGAGCTCTCGTCGTAATGAATACCATTCATCCCCATCCAGGTGTGAGAGGGGTATTGGCACTGAAGACTCTTGAAACAAGTTAGTCAAGAATCTGCATAGCTAACACCTAGGTGAGAGGAAGGTTCACCTACTGGGTGAATCATCTGGTTTCCGTCTAGGGCGAGTGGCATCATGTTAGGGGCGGAAGAGACGATATCCAAGCCATCCCATTCGCGTGTAGCCGCTGGAAGCTGTAGAGGTGACGCGGTAAGATCTGAATAGGCGAACGGCTCCATGACCGAAGTTGGGGCAGAGGAAGGGTGCGGTGGTAGTCCATACCCAGCCGCGTCCGACGCTGGAGAGCCACAGGTATCTGGAGAAGAGTAGAAAGGTAAGTCATCCGGGGAGTCACGAATGTGGCTTCCAAAAACCGCTGGGCGAGGTTGAAGAGGAATCTCCATGCCGTTCCATGGTAAAGAGTAATCACCAGCAAGATCTGGATGGATTGCACTTCCAATCACTGGGCTTGCTGAGGACAAAGGAGTGGAGACCTGGCTGGTCGGGTACGATGCAGATGTGACATCTAATGGCACTGATGTTATCATAGTGGTAGGAGCAGATGTGATAGAGGCGGACTTGCTCTGATGCCGCCATTGCTGTGACATTCCACTGTCAGACTGGCCCTCTAGTTCACTGTAGACACAAATTAGCAAATCAGTGATTGGCTAGAAAGTGTGGTTTCACTGCATGGACACCAAATAGATGTAACCTACTGTCTTTCCATGTGGCGCTGTAAAAGATCAGATCGATGAAACGCTTTACGGCAACCTTCGTAAGTACATGGGAAGGAAGCCTCCGGGTTGTGGTTCAACTCATGTCGTCTTCGATGCTCTGCGCGAGTGAATACTTTATTGCAACCGGGGAATTCACAAGCGTGTACTCGTTTCCCTTTCTTCGCTTTGCTGATTCGGTGTGTGGTCGGTGTATAGGTGATAGGGAGAGGGATCTCGGCCACGTTGTTTGATCGCCGCATTGTGCCGGAGACAGTAGAAGGGAGAGAAGTAGAAATAGCTGCAATTGGATGAAGCGTAGTAGTGGCCGAGTATCCGGCGAAAGGTTGAATGATCTGGGTAGTGGATGTTGAGGAAGCCAGTGATTGTAGAGGTTGGATAATAGTGGAAGAAGTTGCCTTTGGGTATCTTGCCTTGGTGGAAAGATCCGGCAATGTTTCCATTAGTCGCTTGAGTAGGGTCCTGGGAGCAACACTATACGGAGCAGAAAGCTTGGCTCTTCTGCTTTATCAAACTACCAATGAAGCTGCTGTGAAAGATAATGTGCTCCTCGATATGAGGGTCTAAATAGACTGGTGACGGATCTATAAAGTTGAAGAGAAGGAGAGGCGAATCTCAAGGGCAACGAAGTCGAAGTAGTCCAAGTTTGAGTCAAGAGAACGTTGTAATTAGCAATATGATGGAAAAGGAATCAAGATGTCCTGGGACCCTGTCAGGTTATGTATGCATTCGTTAGGCGGAACAAGACAGATGATGACCAGATACGGTGTCGATCACAGCCAACGAATGAGCCCGGACCAAACTGTAACGAGCGGGGGTTTGAAACGTGGGTAAGCAAACCAGTACGCAAGTGGCTCAGTTGCACGAAAGGCTAGAGGACTCGTCCCTGCGAAGATTACTCTTGATGATCCATCCCATATGCGAGTCAACCACCATACTTCGAGGGCTTAGGCTTAGTCACTTTTCGCTCATTGCAGAACCACCTGGGCTAGCCCTAGACTGGAAAGACGCAGGTGGATCTGCATCCAACAAGAAACGGATTTGAACGGAATACGGGGTTCGTAGAAGCATCATTCAATAATATCATTTCGATGAGACACAGAGGGCTCCATAAGCTGGCCTGGGCTAATAGTCTAATACATCAGCTGGAGTGACGTGGCCAATAGAGTGTCGCAGCGAGCCGCAGCTGGGGCTGTACGGTATGTAAAAAGAAGCACAATGGAAGCCTGAAGGCATTTAGCGCAAAAGGCTAATTTACAGCATGCGGCTGAGCCCAGATTGTCGAGTCTCCACTCAGTATAAACAACTTTGTCGAGGACCTCGCTGGTTGGCCCACTCTTACGCGGGCTGGAGTGGGGCAGTGAGCGTTTAGCGTCACGCCATGACTGTAACGGAACCGTATTGTTACATGCCTCGTAAGGCTCGTATACATACCATACAGCAGTCAGCGTAGTCAGCCTTCCCATCCAGGTGAAATGGTACGTTACTGCGTACAATATGAGGCAAGAATAATCGCTGTACTATCAGTGGACCCTCATTCATGGTTAGTTTGAGAAAGCTAACTATATGTGATTTATAAGACTGGATGGCAGGCAATATATCGTGCTTTTTAGTCATTTATAAATAAAAATAATGACAGTTGAAACCTACCCTGCCCAATCACCGTATTAAATAATGACTACGTATATCATCCAATTGCGTGTCGACGGTCCATATTGGATTGTTGGCCACGTTCTGGCGGGGCAAATCAGCTACCTCAGAGAGATTAGAGGAGAAGGTGAGCTGTTTGGAGACAAGAATAGAACAATTAGAATTCGATGGACAAGAATGGGATCTCTAACCTACCATGGTGGGGACGCTGATCCGGAGAAGCAGATTTGGAATGTGTAGTTCAACTTGGTTGCACGGAGCAGCATAGAGAATGCTTTTGACAGTGTATCACATTTATTTTGCTACGGTACAGGAAAGTACGAAGAGCATGAATATAGGTTAGTTGCTTAGTTACTAGTAAAATTTACTGGTTGATTTATACATATTACAGAGCGAACTCGAGACGTAGTTTACTATTAATGTTGCACCTGATTCTAAAAATACCATCAACGCTCGTTCGAACCCCGAACTTCACAGCACCCACTCTTCAACAGTAAGCATACATAAAGTGAGCGCATAATGCACGATGAGTCAAATACTGGTAAGTGAACACAAAATTGAGACATGAACGTTCAAAAAGAAAATAAATCAAAAGTAAGAAGCAGGGAAATCGAATCGTAGAGGGTGCGAAGACTTTCCCAAGAGCGAAAGCTGATGACTGATGAACCGATGCATCTCCATCATTGTGCAGCATAAATCTCCATCATCGAAAGACGATTGGAGGATATGTAGTTCAGCTTCTGCACCCGTTGAACCCAGATTGTCCGGGAAGATAAGAGCGCAAGGGTTACTTATTTTAGCGAGTACGAGAGCGGAGATGATTGGCTGCAGCACCTTAGCCATTTTAGTTGTCTTTAGCGTATGACAGTTTACGCTATGCAGGGCCCATTACAAAACCACAGTTTTGTGGTATGGCCAATGAAAATAAGCATCTTCGAGAAAAGCCATGATTGCTGAGGATATCTGATTTACGCTGGATGACTGATTGCACGGAAGGATTATGTACATGGGTACATCCACGTAGTTAACTGATATGTTAGATATTATTAAGTGAGTGATTATTATGGACGCCCCGTCCTGTTAGTTCTATTTAGGCCACAACTAATCTATGGTTACGTATGCTATTCCCTCTGTCTGCATCAATCAGACTGGAGTATTTCCCAACAGTTACACAGAGAAACTTCCACCCCGATCTTCTAGAAGGTAAGATACCGCAAATGGCTAAAGTTGACCAAGTGACTGGAGTAAGGTATACAGCAGATTCTGCCGGGAGATAACATACGTCGCTCACTCACTCTAAGCAGCGTTTAGATGCATTGCATGTGTTGGTTGTATTTGGACTTCTGGAGGTATCGTTGCTGCGTTAGAAGAAGATTGGAAGAACATCCTCGAGACCCTGGATGCAAAGTAATTAATGCCCAGACCTTAACGTTGATAGAAATCGGATGGAACAGCAACCCGCTTCCGCGAAACCACAATTTTGTCCTAGGTATTTACTATTTAGATTGACCGACCAGGGAATCCTCGAATGTTTCAAGCCTATGGAGTCGGAGCTCCCGGCTCCGTATCACCGGCAATATTTTCTGGACAGGCTTCCCCGCTAGTGTGTAATCGCTACATATCTGCGACAGAAGGTGATAGATTAACCGTCGCCGAAGTCAGAATTCTTCTCTTTATACACGGCGTATGAAGTTTGGATTATCTCTCTTCGCATGTTTCACAAGACTTCAGCACATATGGGGCATGAACTCTATCATGATTGGCTGATTCACACTCACGCTGTGGGATTCTAGGCTGCAAATCTTGGAAGGTGGCTGGCAACCCTAACCTTAGAGACCCACCTGCGTCTTATCTTCTGACTCGTTTCGTAAAACTTCGTACAGACAATACGAGAGCCCACGCACTGTGCAGAATGACTGAGGTTTACTTGTCTGCTACTACGTTATTATCCTGGTGAAATAAGACCAAATACGGTGATAAATACCGGTCCCCCACTGGGTTCAATAAGTGTCTCAGCTCGTCAATACAAAATAACGTACACGCATGCACTCCATCGAATCTTACCTGGTACCCACTGTTCCCGAATAAACTACTGAAAAAGGCAACTGTGAACTGTCTAGCTTGGTGTTCATCGTAAGCGAATATGGTAAAAAGAGGCATTTATGGAGTCCATATATCAATTAAATAGAGTCTATAAGTTTTCAGTACTCTCCATCAAGTCACGTGCAACAAATATTGGGTGAGGAGAAGCCGCTCCCCCCACACGCTCTTAGACGAATTAACACGTATGAAGTACTAGGCACTCCGTAGTACAGTACTGCTATGTATTTTTAGACAAAAATGATCAGAAAAGGTCCTCCGTAATTAATAGTAACGCTATTAGCATCATATGATCTCCTTGACAAGTGCGCACTCGCTAAAGATGAGATCAAAGTCTCAGCAGGCTTAGTCGGACGATTTAACGGTCAGCATTGAAGATCAGGAGAAACAAGCGCAGAAGGCTTAATCAATTCTACTATACGGGTCCATGAGATTTTACGTTAAAGTTAGACACTATGTATCCGTAGTACCAATTACCATTTTGGCATTTATCTTAACTCTTAAGATGTTGATTGGACAATGCATCCATGCGAACAGGGTTTAAATCCTTCCTCAAGCCTAATGCAACATTCCCTGGCTGGATGCGCCGTGTGAGTGGTGCTCCATTCGTAGTCTGAAGAATCCGTAGTCTAAACTCTGAAAGCAGCATGCTTCCTGTCATATGGCACGGACTTAGCACGCCGTCTTCATCTTGGAGTCGATCCGCAAATCCTTGGTAATAACCAACTAGTAGTCATTTGCCCTCTCGAGTCTCTACCTATTTCATGCTTGATCGTAATCCACAACCAATAATTTACATAACAGCTAACCAAGCTGAGTAACTTGTCGAATACTATCCGATCCTCATTCAGGTTTTGTAAAGCGAAGGTGTGGTAAATATTAAGTGTTGATGGATTAATATTCCATCTATGTAATAATAATGGTCTAAAACAGACTCTCAAGAATCTATCATTCAATCTTCAACAGCAGCGGTCTTGCCGTAATACTTCTCCTTCTATCATAACGCGTCTAAGCTTTCCTTTCGCATCTTCTTTCAATGCAGTGCAACTAAATACATTCTCAATGACATGCACTGTGCAGGAAGAGGTCGAAGGGAATTTAGATCCATAGGATAGGCGCCTACGCGAGTCATGATAAGTAACCACTTACATCATAGTCGGTCTCAATATATGGTTAGCCTACAAAGTTACCTATGGACAGTGGAGAGTCAAATTCAACGGTGCGCGGCTTTTCCTTGCAAGTATTACATCCAATAACCATAACCTTAGTATGATTTTATCACAGTAACCTTTTGGTCTACATTCCATGCCTAGTGCTTCAAAATTTAACTGGAATCCTTCTGAAATTGTTCCGCAGATTCCAGATTATGCCGATCCGGAGCCTGGTTAGGATGGTTTACTTTTACTAATCACTGTAAGGATAGTCCTGTGTATGTAGTAGTTTTTATTCATTATGAATGGGCGTTCTCATAGCACGTCGTTACTGCAGCAATTCAGCCACTCAGCCTATTATTTGGGCTTCTCGGGGCACAATGGGAACCTTGCTGGGAGGTACCTTCGGACTCGCCATATCGATTCCAACATGGCTTTCTGGCCGATATATATGAGGACTGCTTATGTTCCTACTGTCACTGAAACATGATCGTTCTATTTATTTCGAATATAATAAACTATCCTCTTTCAGTCTCCCGTCTTTCCGTTTCTAGTAATACGTGGATAGAAACTCATAGCCGGTGGAGAACGTAAGCTGAAGAAGCCATCACCACGCCATTTCTACCTGTGGCTTGAAGTAGCTCATG